CCTCTTCCTCTTCCTCTTCCTCTTCCTCTTCCTCTTCCTCTTCCTCTTCCTCTTCCTCTTCCTCTTCCTCTTCCTCTTCCTCTTCCTCTTCCTCTTCCTCTTCCTCTTCCTCTTCCTCTTCCTCTTCTCTTAACCTTCTTCGGAGGATGCACCTCGTTTCGTTGTGTATTGTCCTTTTGCTTTGCTCCCTTTCTACCCCCTTTGTCCTCTACTCGAACAATATTGAAGCCGAGTCTGGGGTGGAAAATACAGTCAGGCAGGCAGGCCAGGATATGACATGACTGGACAGGACAAAACAGGATAACATGCTCACTCTTGTTTCTTTGTGCCCGCAGGCCTCCCCTACGACATGCACTACTGCTGGGTGTGCAAGTTCGCCCGCGGCAAAATCGTCCAGGTGCGAGCGTACCTCGACACCGAGCTGTTGACCCGGGCGCTGGAACAGAACCCATGAGAGATGATGGTCGGGCGGGCGAGCAAGGACGCACGCAAGCAAGCACGCAAGCAAGCAAGCAAGCCCCGTAAGGCAGCGCATGGGTTCATCTCATCTCATGGCATGTCCGAGCGTGCCTGTGAAGTGGATGTAGATTCCGTACTCCTTTCGTCACTTAGTACATACGGAGCTACCTACACATACCCTGGAGACTTTTCCAGGAGGTTCTTTTGTTAAAGTGGCCGAACGATGCAGGCCTGCTGAATGTATGACAGGCCGGAAAGTTCGAAAAGAAAAGGCTGTGAAAGGAACAGGATGTGGAAAGGCAGGCACATGGTGAATGATTGGTGAATGGATTAATGAGTGAATGGATGAATGAAGGAGACATTTCTTTGGCAGTCATCTTATTACAGTGTGTAATATCTGATCACCCACAGTTGAGCCCAATGCAGTCAGTCCTTGCCCGAATCAATCGCTGTGATTTATCCAGTTGTGTTTCTGTCTTGAATCTGCACCCGTGCTCATACATTCCCTTGCTGCAAGCATCTCCAATGTCCAGCCCGGTCCACACACTGCCTCTTGATGGAGATGGCCCTGTCGACCCTGCAGAAGGATGTCCGGATCCCGTGCATGCGTGTGCTTCTCCTTCATTTCAAGACCTTCGAGTCTGTCCTGTCGACTTTCCAGAACCAATGCCTTGAGTTTGCAGCTCTATTCACACAGCCTCTTGGTGGAGATTTGCCTGGGTACTGGGATGCGCTCATTTCAAGACTTTCAGGTCGCTCTCCTTCAACTTCCCGGCACCAACCAGGCTACCGGTGGTTGCGGAGAAAGCCTCCTTGACCTTTGCGGCGTCCTTTCCGGCGAGGTTGAGTTTGGAGACCAGCTCAGCCAACTCATCTGCGTCAACATTGCCGAGCAACTTGTCCACGTCATTCAACACGTCGTCGATCTGTTTCGGAGACGCTTCACCCTGAGAGAAGTAGTTCACATCTTTGACACTGCCCTTGACAACTCGCTTGTTCTTCTTGACGGCGTTCTTGGCCGCTTCTTTCGCCTTCTTGGTCGCTTCCTTGTCCGCCTTCAGCTTTTCTTCTTCCTCTTTCTTCTTGCGCTCCTCCTCTTCCTTGGCGCGCTGTTTCTCTTCAGCCTCTCGTTTCGCGGCGGCCTCTTTCTCAAGCCGCTTCTTGTTCTTGTCTGCGTTTGCAGCCTTGCGGAATTTCTTGATTCTCTCATCGTAGCTCAAGCATTCATCCACAAGTTTTCTGAGACGAGCGGTATCCTCTGTCTTGCGCTTGCGGCGAGCGTTGGCGTTCTTCTTCTCGATGTGTCTCTTGTGGTCTCGGCCTTCATTGTCATCGGGGACATCCTCATCAAGATACTCAAACGTGCGCCAGCTGTCAAAGTTGTACCAGAAATCGTAGAATTCCTCGACCTCCTCGCGCGTGCTGTTCTCGTCACCAAGCATGGGGACAGGGGTCTTCTTGCTAAATCTAGCTTCGCTCTGGAACACGGCATTCCACTTCTTGTAAAAGTTCCCAGGCTTCTGCATGTCTTTCTTGGTGGGGGGTTCGACATCGGCAGCTTCGTCCACCGAGTCCCATTGACGGCGTTTGACTGGGTCGGTCAGGATCTCGTAGGCACGCTGGATGCATTTGAAAAAGCTGTCGTTCTCGTCGCTTTGACCCGCCGCGGCCTTCTTGTCAGGATGGTGTTTGAGGACCTTCTTGCGATGAGCCTTCTTGATCTGCTCGTCGGTAGCTTTGTAGCGGTATTTGGAAAGGCCGAGAACGGCATAGTGGTCTTGTCCCTGTACAACTTGGTCAGTGGCCAAGCACGGCAGCTCGAACTCGTGCAAGAAGTCTTACCTTCCAGTCCTTTGCATCTCTCGCAAGCATCAAGGGATCTTCTGGCTCGCTGATTTCGCCGTCATCATCGTCTTCAGACTTCTTCACCTTTTTGAGGGCCTCGAGACGTTGATCTTCAGAGAAGGTGCGGCCATGGCGCTTGCGGCGGGCATAGGCCAGAAATTGCGCTCCAAATGGCTCAATCTTACGCATTACAGGTGGAGAGAGCTTTCCCAGGGCCTTGAAGTTGGGGTTGCCGTCGCCGCCCTCGTTCCAGCCCTCCGGCGGGGGCAGCACAAGGCCTTTGGAAGCCATGTCGAGATTGCGCGCACGTTTAAGCTCCTTGGTTAGCTCTGCTGCAATCGCTGTGAATTCTTGAATAGTCTCGAGGGCGTCTCGAAGGACTTGTACACGATCTGTGGGTATTAACAGACAGTCAGTGTCGCAGACAGAAATTATTTTTTTGTCGATACTTACCCATAGCGGCTGATTGGCGGAATGGAATTCGGCAAAGTTGCCAGAATGAGAGAGGGAGGTTTGGTGTTTGACAAATTTGGAAGGAGAAGCGAAAATGAAGAGAGATGTGAATGCGCCGATCGTCTAGGACAAGTGATGTGAATATTGAATCACACAGAGCGTACCTCACCCTGCATTCACTCTTCATTCGTTTGAATCCGGCAAAAATGGCGCTGGCGGCCTACCGACACGTGCTCCGAGCGACACGCAGAGCATTTCAAGACGACTACCATCTCCTACATGCTGCCCGGATGCAAGCCCGCACAGGATTCGAGACGCTGAGGACGATGGACCCCGACTCAGAGGAGGCAATTAAGGGCATAGCACACGCTGAGGGCGTAGCATCTATATTACGGCACAACGTTGTGCAAGGCAAGCTCGTTGACGGCTCCAATGTGATACGTATGTAACGGCCCCTTGTCGAGCTGGACACGAGACTAACCTGTGAGTCAGGGCTGAATATACACGAGGACACAGAGAAAGGCGACAACGACACGGTCAAGAATCCCCTCGGCAAAGACGGAAGGGTCAAGGTCGGCGGGCTATGAAGAGTCAAAAAGCTTGGATTCATTCATCCTGGTGAAACACAAAATGATACCCCCCGGGACAGCGGCGTACCCTCGCCATTGCATGCCAACAGCACGATGTGCTATAACGCCATGCTAATTCTGTACAAATAAGGATACTTTGACCCGAGAAGCTCAATCACCAGCGAGACTAGCATAGGTGACTTCCCCTTGGCCTGGTGGAGGCATTACAGCGATGCTGGCATTTCCTTCAGCATCTCCGTCCTCATTTTGAGCTTGGCCGTCGACCGTGGCGAGAGCCCTCTGGCCAGACTGCTGAGATCTGACAGCGGCTGCGGCTTCCCTACCTTCTCTTGCCCAGCTTATTTTCTGCTCCCGGTCTGTGTTGTCTAACGGTTTCGGTTTGCCCCACCGAACTCGCAGCGGACATCCTTGAATGGCTGCTTTCCCTTGGCAATGCGCCGCAGCAGCCTCGGCTCCTTCTCTTGTGGCATAATTGATGAATGCGCAGTGTGCTCGGTGGGAACAGACAATAGACCGGATCTGGCCGAAAGGAGTGAAAAATGAACGAATCGCATGTTCCGGCAGATCGTCCTCGACGCCGGTGACGAAGAGCGACGTGATGTTGGGGTCGGTGGGAGGCAGCCAATCTTCGGGCTGGGGAGGTCGTGCCAGTGTGACGGCTCTGGCATTACCAGGTCCTGTCTTCGCGCCGCGGTGCGCGCCCCCAGATTTTCTGGAGTCCGCAGTTCGAATAGGTCCCGGGCCATAGCTGCTTTGCTTCTGCTCTTTCGGTTCTTGTTGTTGACCGGGTTGATGACCCTCTGCTTCCAGTCGTCTTTGCCTCTTGTAGTATGGCTCACTGTTGGCCAATCTGCGTAGTAGATCCCTGGCCTTCTCATCCGTCTTCTCATATGCTTCAACTGCGCCTCGTCCTTCTTCTAATTCCTTCTCGTGCTCTTGGGCGTAGTACTCACGGTTAATGCTGGACTGTGGACCCGGTGCAACCATTTTGAGAGCGGCGTCTCTAACTGTGATAGGCAAGCCGAAAGACAGATCGAGCATACAACACTGGCAGCAGTTCTTCAATCGAGCGCAAGTGAGGCAAATGTTTGTTCGCTTGGTTCTGGCGGTCCGATCGGCTTTCCAGCGGAAGACGGTGAATGGGCGGGTGCATATCTTGCATTCGGCTCCATACTCTTCTTTCAGCATTTGGACATAGGGGTTATCAGGTAGACAATTCTCGCAGCTGGAAGGGAAGTCGGTTGTTTCCCAGCCAGACCGGTTGAGATCCTGCTTGATCTGAGGTGGCGCCATAGTGGCGAGGGATTATCGCAGGCGGAGGGAGAGACAAAGATCAGGGAGGATATTGTTCTGTTAAAATTCGGGACGGTTAAGAAGACTGTTCGAATATCAAGTACTTTGACGCAGCACTTGCCTGACTAATGCTGGTTAATTCGTCGTTGAACATAAAAACGGCGGGGAAAAGTCAGCCCCGTGCCAAAATGCCACGGCACGTGCACAATGTCATGCAGAAGGTTACCCGAGAGTCACGTGCAGAATGCCATTGTAGTGGTGGCCTGCTGCGGAAGGATTCAGTTCCAGATCGCTGAGACCCCTGCCAAGAGATCTAGTCGAGAATCAGGCCATTAGCGACTGCGCCGGAGGATTCAGTGCCGGCCAATATACGGAGCACCTTTTTTTTGAACCCCCATAGCACCACCGTATCGCTCTTTGATTCCGGATCGTGTCACTGACCGCTTGTCGCTCATTCTTCTACGAATACAATCGAGGCGGAGAGACTCATCATCCTTCTTTTCAAGTTCCACTACCTTCCAATATTCACTCCGGCTGTCTCAACATGGCCCCCTCTGCTACCTCCCCAGTCGCGGTCCTCGAGAAGGAGGACCATGCCCGCGATGCCGCCTTCAACAAGGCGCTCCATGGCAAATCAGTCGAAGCCTCCGGTGGGCTCATGGCCATGCGCAGCAAGGACAAAGCGGCGCAGAAGGCTGCAGTCGAGGAGTACTTCAAACACTGGGACAACAAATCGGCAGCCACCGAGACGGAAGAAACTCGAAAGGCACGCAGAGATGAATATGCCACCTTGACAAGACAGTGAGTGGTGACCCTCCCAGCATTGATGATATTAACACTAATTGTGTGGGTAGCTATTACAACCTTGCCACTGATCTGTACGAATATGGTTGGGGCACGTCATTCCATTTCTGTCGCTTTGCCGCAGGAGAGTCATTCTACAAGGCCATTGCCCGTCATGAACATTACCTCGCACTGAAAATGAACATGCAAGAGAACTGGCGTGTCCTGGATGTCGGCTGCGGTGTTGGGGGACCGGCGCGAGAGATGATCAAGTTCACTGGGGCCAACGTTGTTGGATTGAACAACAACGACTACCAGATTGAACGGTCACTACGATATGCAAAGAAGGAGGGTATCGCTGACAAATTCACTGCTGTCAAAGGCGATTTCATGCAAATGTCCTTTCCTGAGAACAGCTTTGATGCTGTATATGCCATTGAAGCCACAGTCCACGCCCCGAGCTTGCAAGGGGTGTACGAGCAGATTTTCCGGGTGCTGAAGCCGGGTGGAGTCTTTGGAGTGTATGAATGGCTCATGACCGACAACTACGACAACGACAATCCTGAGCATCGGGAGATCCGACTGGGCATCGAGCAGGGAGACGGCATCTCCAACATGGTCAAAGTCTCGGAAGGGTTGGCTGCTATCAAGGCGGCTGGTTTCGAGCTGGAGCACCACGAAGACCTTGCGGAAAGACCTGATGCGATCCCGTGGTACTACCCTCTCGCGGGCGAGTTCAAATACATGGGCAGCATGGGCGACATCTTCACGATCGGGCGCATGACGTGGTGGGGACGAGGTTTGATCCATAAGTTCATTGGTCTCGGCGAGACTCTGAGAGTTATGCCTCAGGGCACTCAGAAGACGGCGGACAGCCTGGCACTAGCCGCCGACTGTTTGGTTGCAGGTGGGAAAAGGAAGCTGTTCACACCCATGTACATGATGATTGCACGGAAACCCAAAGCTTGAACGGGGTCAGCAGGGAACGGCTGGAAAAGGGCGTTTCTGGAGTAGTTTGCCCGGTGACTAGAGGTAGACGGAGGCATGCTCCTGGTGCTTGCTGTATCGTTATAGCATAATCTAGCGAATGTACACACATACGTGGACCGAATCCTTTGTCCACGGGTACCTGAGATTACGCATCTAGTTCATAGTGGCGATATCGCTTCAGCCTCAAAGATTTGCTGGCGAAACAATTGCCGCCGGAAAAAGAGCGTGCCTGTGCCAGGTGGCCTTTGCACCGCCACATTGCACTCGTCGGCATTGACGTGTGGCGAGCGGTAGGTTTCCGTGGACATTCGCGACCAGCTGGACATGGTTCAATGTCTTTTTCTTGTTCCAACAATGGAGCAGTCAGTCACTCGCTGAATCTTGAGTCTAGAACCGTGTCCCAAGAAACGCCATCATGAGTTATGGGTGAATTGAAGAGGTGGCTCGAGAGTAGTTACACAAATTTCAATACCCGAACAGCCAATTCCGTCCGTCAAATCAATGGTGATCAACGGTCCCTTTAGGCTGGCCTGATGAATACGAGCAGTAGTGGCTTGGGGCCTGCAGGGCTCATGATTTGAAACTGACAGTGTGCGAGAGCAGTTCGTGTCCGTTTCAGAGGGTCCGTACCACCCACTCGTCAGGTACGGAGGACATGCAGGTCAACCGGTGTGTATACGGGGATAAGTACTCGATAGTGGTATGCACATCACTTGTGTGATCTATGTACTGTGTACATGATAAATTGAAGTATGGGCCGTATGTTGTAGTAATGTATTGGGAGGATGCCATTGTGCGGGATCACCCCTACACACTAAGGCGCAGTGCCTCAAGATATTGTGGCTGGTTACAGGTGCCGAGAGCGTAGCCAAGCACCCCCAAGCACCCAAGGCTGAGACCTAGCCCGCGCGCGAGCCCATCTGTAACCCCCAAAAACAATCACCCTAGCGGTTACCAAGCTGCCGAAGCTTTCCAGGGCAGGCGGCCTAAGGGGGTGGCCAGCGCGATTCGCCGGGCGGTACATGGATCTGCCACTGACGAACTGCTAGTGCTGCACAATTTCCCCGATGCCTTTCCCTCACGCCCACAATGGCCCATCTCATCCGTAACCATCCCGTCATCGAACCTCGCCAGATGCTTCAGGCGGCTTTCCTGACTGGTCACTCGCCGCTGTTGCCGTCATGGCTGCTGGGTTGCGTCGTCGCCCTTTCCACGTCTTCTCCTGGAGGGGACAGGCAGGAAAGAACCAAGAGGCGCAGTCACCACCCACTGCCAACTCGTCCATTTCAACTTGTATAAACCTTGGTCGTCTCTTTTTCTTCCTTGCATCACAGTCCTTTCAGTTGCTGTTCTTGCTTGTAACATCATCATCGGTTTCTTCAGCATCAACATTCCCCGTCGTCGTTCCTTTACTTTTGGTTTTCTTTGGCTTCATATTCCTACCTAATATCCCTGTTGGTGCCATACCCTCAACACCTCGTGCTCGCTCTCTTCCCCATCATGGGCAAGTTTGCAGCAGCTGCTTTGGGAGCAGCGTCTCTGCTCGCTTCCATTGCTCCCGTAATTGCCGCTCCCGGCACTGTGGGTTTCACATTCGAAAAGCGTCGCGTCCTTGCGCAAGATGCTCCTCGCCTTACACGACGTCAGTCCAAAACCATCAAGGCGGGTTTGGACAACGAAATCTTGCTCTACTTCATCAACTGCACCGTGGGAACTCCGGGACAACCCTTTTCCCTGCAGCTGGACACTGGCTCGTCAGACATCTGGTTCCCTGATGCCAATGCCCAAATCTGTCAAGACAACGACGGCTGCTCCGAGTTTGGAGCGTACAATGCTGATGACTCCTCCACCTTTGTCGACCCCAACCTTCCTCAGTTCCAGATCCAGTACGTCGACGGCTCACAGGTCGTTGGGGAATACATCTCTGATGTGCTGAATATCGGTGGAACAAAATTGACAAACATGACCATGGCTGCGGCCCAGCAAGCCAACACCCGCGCCATCGGTATTATGGGCATTGGCTTCGAATTGGGCGAGGCCTCAGCCTCTTTTGACGGCTTCACCTACCCCAATGTCATCAACGTTATGAAGAACGAGGGCTTCATCAACGCCCTTGCATATTCCCTGTGGCTGGATGATCTGGATTCCAATACTGGCTCCATTCTCTTTGGTGGTGTAGACACGAACAAGTATCACGGTAACTTGGTTGCTCTTCCCATCCAAACCGACTCGCAGACCGGCGTCATTGACTCCTTCACCGTTGCCTGGACCGGTCTTACCGTCTCTGGAGGTGGCCAGACCTCCGACGTCTCCCCCAGTTCGCCTCAACCCGCCATTCTCGACTCCGGCACCACAGACACCCTGCTCCCCGATGACATCGCGAACAGCATCTTCAATGGTGTCGGCGTGGTGACCGACCCTCAGTTTGGCAATGTGGTGCGCTGCTCTCTCGCCAATGATGATCTCAGCTTCTTATTCCAATTCGGCGGCAAGGGTGGGCCCACTATCAATGTCTCGCTGTCCGAGTTTGTCACTCCCCTGATCACAACCGACGGCTCTCAACCAACTTTCCAGAACGGCGATATGGCGTGTTCATTTGCCATTGATGCCGCAGGAGATGATCCCATCTTGTTCGGAGACTCTTTCCTCCGCAGCGCCTACGTGGTTTACGACCTTGAAAACAACCAAATAGGCCTCGCTCAGACAAACTTTGACGCTAATGACGCCAACTCCAACATTAAAGTATTCCAGGCATCGGGCAGTATTCCCGATGTTGTGTCGACTGCCACCGCCGCAAGCGTGGCCCAGACATTTTCTGGCAACCCAGATATCACGCAAGCCACGCTCACCGCCACCGGAGAACTCGGTGGTGGCACCTCCAGAAGTGCAACATTCAATTTGACGCCCACAGGCTCAAGTACAGGCAGTTCAGGCTCTGGCAGTGGGGACAGTTCTGGTGATTCCAATGCCGCGAATGCCAACTTCCGTGTCATTCCTGCTGAGATGACGACTCTATTGGCGGCAGGTGTAGTGATGGTGGGATTTTTGTTCGGTGGGGGGATGATGTTGTTCTAAATCAATGAACAGCGCGCCTTTTGCCTTGTTATGACAACCCAAAGTTGCTTCGCAACTGGGCAGAAAAAGGGCGTATGGTTGGACGGTGGTGTCTTCGGCATTGAATTGTATTCTGCCTGGGTGCCATCAGGTTACAGGACCGGTTGGGAGACAGGGCTCATGACGTTTTTTTCCCATTGGTAGCATGACACAGCGAAAGACAAAGTAAAAATGACACACTTATTCTTGTTCCAAACCTTCGAATCGGCGTATCCTTTTGGGCTCTTTGTTCATGTATGAACTGCAGCAAAGGCTTCAGCGAGTGTCCACTCCAGCCCGCTACTCTCTCCCCTTCGAAGCAATTAACATATACACATAGGAGGAGACTCTATCAAGAGCTCGGGGTAGGACTGGCAGGCAGGATATTTTTTCCATCGTGTACTCGACAAACACAATTATTTTGGTGAAGACGCGATGAGTATTGAAGTCAATATTCCCCCGTCTGCTCGCCCTCTCCCACCCTCCTAGGCTGGTTCGCCCTTCAGCTCCCCAGCGTCAGTCGATTACAACCCGTTTCGTTGGCAGGCGAGGTCAGGGAAAGAAGAAGAGGAAGAGCAAGAGGAAGCGGAAGAGGATGGAAAATACATTATGGAGAACGAACAAGCAAGAAATCTATGCTGGTCGCCGAGCGAGGATTGCCACACCAGCCCTCTGCCTACCCCATCCCCTACTACCTCCTTCTCTCGTGTGTCTTACGGCGTATCGGGTGGCTGGTGGAGACTTAGTCTGTTGTCTGTGAGTCTCTTGAGAAGAACGTACGCCAGAAGCACTTGCACCCTCGGTTTGGAGTCGGAATTGGCGTTGGCGTTGGTGTGACTGTTGCCGACGATGCGTGTGTTGAGATCACTTTTTGTCGTTGTCGCCGTGATTTGGGCGGTAGCTCGAAACATCGTACATTTGGACGTTGGACTTTCCACTCCTTCCCGTCTCGTCTTCTACTTCTCCTCCCGGACCGTTTCGAGCGGACTGTGCGGAAAGGCCGTCCCGTCCCCGTTGAGGCTGCCCGCGCTGGTGGTGCTCGTCAACCAGGGCATGCTCCGCCGGTCAGCCTCGCTTTGACCCTCGTCGCCTGTGATCTCCATTCCCACCTCGTTGTCGTCCGGCACCTTGACGTCAAGCAGTCTCTCGGCGTTTTTGTACGCGATTGCCTCAAAATCTTGGTCGTTGATCCTGCATGGGGGGAAAGAGAATGCTGTTAGCTGGGTCCAGTCTCGCCCTCCATAGATTTTTCAACTGGATAAATGGTGGGAAAGGAGAAGGAAAGGAAAAGCTTACATTGCACTTTCTCGTAACGCGTACATAAACTTCAGGCCATCCTCGTGGCTGCAAAATGGATAGTCGACACTGTACAGTACTTTGTCGGCGCAGCACATGTGGATCAGGCAAGCCATGGGCGCCAAGCTGAACATGCCAGCCGTCGTAATGTAGATATTCTCGTGCCAGACCTGCAGAAGATGACGACGCGGTTTCGAGGTCTGGGCCCAGGTCCGCTGGATGAGCTTGTGAATTCGGTAATCAGGAAAGGCAGCGTCTCGCCCATGTGGCCTAGAAGAAGTTTCAAGTGTCGATGCGTGTCAAATAGCTTGCTGGCGAACAGTCGGAGCACGTGCAACGCCACGTCGCTATGCCAGTGAAAACCATGGTTGGCTAGGAAGTTCGAAACTTGAGGCGAATAGTTCCCATGGAAGGAGGGCGCTGGCGTAGCTTCCGTGATTGGTTGCGGTATCGCGTGAAGGTAAACAGGGACGTCGAGTTTTTCGTGAGCCGCGAAGATGGGCCAGAAGAAAGGATCGTCATAATAGCGCCCGTTGGCAGTATTGTCGATGAGGCTGCCCACAAATCCAAGTTGTGAAACACACCGGTCCAGTTCCTTTGCTGCTTCCTCCGGGTGAAGCATTGGTAGCATGGCGAAGGCAGCGAAGCGGCTCGGGGAGGGTGAGGCCTTGATTGCTTCGTATAGCTCGTTGTTCGCTTTTGTGCAGACCTCCGGTGGGACAGGGATAGTGTTGGGTCGATGAGAGATGACTTGAAGACTGATGCGGCCACCATCCATTGCCTTCAGACGCAAAGGCCCGACCTCACGAAGGGCAGTCATAATGTGGGCCATAGAATCTGGGAGACTCGTGTCGACGCCTTGTGAGGCATAGTAGTCGAGCACAGCCTGGGAGATGAAGTGCTCCTCGAGCGTAATGAGGGGGATTTTGGTGCTCATGGTAGATGTGTGGCCGTCTTCTCTGTCGTACCGCGCGGCTGAATTTTCCGGGTTAACCTGTATAAAAGAGAGCGTGTCAGATAGATAGATGTTGGGGTAGATGGTGGCAACTTTACCTTGGGATGGTTGAGAATAGCTCCGCCGGAACAACGTCCCGCGGTCGATCTCTCCGTCTTAAAGCGACCTTTGAATGGTTGGACTTGAAAAAAGCCACCAGGAAATTCGTTAACGATCTCGAGCGGAAGCTGTACGAGATGTCTCACGTTTTTGGTATCTCACCCCGCAGCAGAAGAGAAGATTTTAAGAAGTAAGCTGTGCTACCGTGCTCCGAGGGGGCTAGGGCACGGATTCGGAAAGGGAAGGGATGCGCCTTGGAAGGAAGAGGGTTCGTATATCTTTACCCAGAGAACGCGACGGCGCCCCTCGGTTGTCCAATCAAAGCAGAAGATGCAAGTGACGCCACGCAATAGACAGAAGTTGCAGCGCGCCACTAGGATTGGCCGTCTCTTGTCGTCTGTCCTTGGATACTGCCGCGGCGGCTGGCGGGATGCGGAGGATGGTGGCAATGGCATTCTCGGACAATCAGCACCGAAGGAGGGGAGGGGAGGGGGGAGGACGCGGTGGGGCGCGGCTGAGCTCTCGGTGGGAATTGACTTTGGGAGACGCATACCAGACACGCCATCAAAGGGAGAGGACATGTATCGTTCAGGAGAGTATAGGGGCGAGTGAGTGTGCAGGTGTAGGTAGGTAGGTAGGTACGGGTATGAAGTACATGGCTGGGAGAGAGAGGCGCGGCATGAGGTCCCAGAAGTCAGCACGTGATACGTATCACCATTCCTTCCAAAGAATACAAAGTGCATCAATTTTATTGAACACCTGTCGCAGCCATCACCCTCACCCGACTCACATTTCTTGTCTTTCACCTGAACCAGTGAGAGATCTCTCTTGTCCTCAACAAAATTGAATGGCCACTTCAGCTGGTATGAACCACAAGTGAGGCTGAAAGCTGCTTGAGAGTCATGTTTACCCTGGCCTTGTCACTGTTTCTTTATTGACACTGGGTCAACGCTCGTCTTGAAAGCTTAGTCGTTGAGACAACCGACCAAACCGCGTTCAACACCAATGTTCCGACTCGTCCTCCCGCATACCTTGCCTCTCGACTTACCTCTCTACTCGCATCGAGAATACTCTTAAAAAGCTGATGAGAAATTACCCATGATGGTACAATTCCATGCGAAGGGATCTTCTGTGGCGGTAGGGATGACTGCTATGGACGAGGAGGATGTGGTGTTTGTGTCTTTGAATCATCGAGTCAGCATCTTTGGTTCTCCTTACCAACGAGCAATGCGGAGGAGAACGTGCGAAAGGATGGATCAGCAGCTGGCACTCGCATGAGTTCAGAATAATATCGGAACCTTTGATGGTGATCGGGCCAATGTGGCCATCATGAGAGGGAGATCCTGGTGGTGGCATCAGCGTCCTGACACATCTAGCATCGCCGAATTGGCATCAGTGTCCGGCTGCAGGACATAAAGGCCAGCATCGGGGGGGCTCTTTCGGCAGAGACGACCTTGACCACCAACACCGTGTCTTCACAGGCTTCTAGCACAGTCCAATTATTCAGCTGGTTCCATGGAAGACTTCAACTGAGTCCCTCTTATTCTCGCAAGTCGACATCGATATCAAAGCGACTTTTGGGATGAATTTACGTCGATGGGCGGCGACACAGAGGTCGAAGAGGTTAGGCCTGGCACATTGTCCGCGGCAGACATCTGTCTGTAGCCGTGATTTATTGTTATATGGTTCATTTTTGTCATCCCATACTGTAGAGGGAGGAAAGAAAGGGGAATTTGGTAAACTAAATAGTCGTGTTGGCGACGCTGCTTTCACAAACACTTTTTAGTTAAACGGCCCCTGTGGGTGCCTATAACCCTATCAGTAGAGAAAAGGCGCTATTAGGGGCTAGCGAGGCTCGCCCTTTGGTCGCCGCAGCTTAGCCGGCCCGGCGAGTACAGGGCGGCATCACCCTCTTCCCCAATGAGGGTGAGCCGCGACTTATTAGATTTCGATGACCCTTGGCGCCATGTTCAGTGAAACGAGCCACAGGCCATGCGTCGCGCAGCCATGCAGTAGCCAGTATCCAGTACCCACGGGCTTTCAGCCCTGACAGAACTTACAACGACCCAATATTTCTATGCTCGTGGCTGTCGATATCATTCTGTTGTTGTCTCAGTCACTCATTCTCCCCAAACACCGTTCCTCCGCCGAGATTCCAGTCCTTCGAGAAGCCCCGTTGCGCAACCCGCCGGCTGCGAACTGCTCGGCCTAAAAAGGGTCCAGGCACGAGATCATCAGCAACACCCTCCACCCACCCCATTGTCTCGCCTATCTCCTCACTGAGGCGCTGCCACCTCTCCATTGATGGCCTCCCAAGGAGGCCTCACGCGAAGGCGTGGTGCCGGAGGGGCCACGTCGCCCAACGGAGACGACGAGTCCTCGAGCCGGGTCACTTCCCCTGTCCCCAAACCATACAACGACCGTTCTCCTGAAACCGCCTACGAATCTGGCGAGAATGGCCACCGGATCGCCTACGATCCCAGAGACATCAGCGAGAGCGAAGAACGGAGTAAACAACCCAAGCTGACCCTGATGGAAGAGGTTCTATTGCTGGGCCTGAAGGATAAGCAGGTAACCCAGAACCAAAAGATTTTCAGAGTCGACACACCCTGACCCACAGTCACTAGGGATACCTGTCGTTCTGGAACGATAATATCTCCTATGCCTTGCGAGGATGCATAGTTATTGAGCTGGCATTCCGGGGCAGAATCAGCATGCAGAAAGATTCCTCGAGGAGACGCTTCCCTCTCGCCGACCGACTCATCGAGGTCATAGATGACACTCTCACCGGAGAAGTCTTGTTAGATGAAGCTCTCAAAATGATGAAGACGAGTGAGAAGATGAGCGTCAGTTCCTGGATCGATCTCATGAGCGGTAAGTGTGAAATTCACACACTTCGGCTGTGCCTGTTCGACCTATTGACGCTCCGTGTTGCAGGCGAGACGTGGAATCTCATGAAGATCGGTTACCAGTTAAAACAGGTTCGCGAAAGACTGGCCAAGGGCCTTGTGGACAAGGGCATCCTCCGCACCGAGAAACGAAACTTCCTTCTCTTCGATATGGCCACCCACCCCGTGGTTGATTCCGCCGCCAAAGACGAAATCCGCAAGCGCGTACGGAACGTGTGCTCCAGCCGCACCGTCGTTCTGCCTCCTTCACAATTCCTTCCCGCCGAACTCGATTTCAGAATGTTGAGAACAGTGAGCATGGTCTGTGCGGCGTATGCAGCCAATGTGCTTGAGAATGCGCTGGTGACCATGAGCCACGAAGCAAGAGAGAGGGCTTTTGCCCAAGTAGACGAACTATTGGCCGAATATTCACAATGGCCTTTTGCGCGGAGGACTGGCGGACAACAGGGCATCGGAGCGAACATTGGCCAGGTGATTGCCGAAGAGGTTGAGAAGAACAAAGACAAGGAGTTACAACTTGAGGTGAGTCTCGTCATTCTATCGTTGTAACCCTGACTTATCGGTGCTGTCTAGGTCGTTGCGGCGTGTTTGAGCGTTTTTACCAGGCTGGACTCTCTGCTGTAAAAATGACAAAGCAGGACACATTTGGGCGAGTGAGCGGGCGCCAGGAGGCGTGGACGTTTCTCGCATTTTCTTGTTGAAAAGGCTGTGAGTCTCAAAAGGATACCTACAATGTTCGCCTTTTTGCACATCCTCAATCATGTTTCTGTTCGGCTCAGGCGCCGGGTCTCACAAACATGCTCGGGGAGTCATAGTGCAGTCTACTTCACGCTACTTTTCACCTCTTCTCCGCAGGATGGTGTCCATGAATATCTGATCATTGTTCTCGGGCTCACGGATTTCTTTGTTCATGCTGACAGACTGGGTGGTCTGCTTCCTCCATTGTAATCAATGCCTTTGTCGTTACTTATCAGTCGCAGAGTTCAGAAACACAAAGCGCATTGCTCCCTGCTCACAAGGTCGACTCTTTGTATTGCAGCAACAAGAGTCGCTGTCAAAGCCACCATCGACGAGGGCAGCGGCCTCAAGGGTGGGCACCCAGAACTCGTGTCTTGACCACAGATGGCTTTGATCCTCTGCGTCGACAAAGCGAATGCCTTGAAATACTGCCAAAGACATGATGGTAGGTGAGGCCAGCCCGACTACTATAAAACACCGACTCCCATTCACCGCTTCATCCTCCGCATCGACATACTCATCCGCTGCAAAATCTGTCAACATGTGCTATACACGTTTCACTCTCGTGTTTTGTCCGGACTGTCGCTCCAGATCGACTTCTGCTGACTATCCAATGGTTGAAATACCTTGTTCTTCCAATGTGTGCCGAAGTCGCAACCACGGGCGCCTACCTCGCCGTGAAGGGCTGCTACTTAGGCTATGCTCACGATGCTGCAGGGATCGAGACGATCGGTCTTCCCATGATTCAAGCACATGTCAAGATTGTGTCTCAGTGACCGATAGTTCGGAGCGAAGTTCTGAACCCTCCAGGACCGGATCTACAGCGTCTAGAACATGGACTATTGGGTCAAACATCAGTTCCATCACGGACCACCGCAATCGCCCGGCCATAACGACGACGACGACGACGGCGACTTCCGGGTCACGACCTCAAGCTGGCACATCGCAAAACAACACTCGAGGCCGGTCCTACACGATCCGTGGGCGCTCCGACACCGATTCTTCCGTTTCTCTCTCTAATACTATGTCGACCCTTTCTGTCTCTGATGCTCTGTCGACTTCCAGCGGGTATACCGAGGAGTTCCAGAGTCGACCTCGGATTAGGTCGACTTCTCGCCCGTACGCTACCCATAGGCGCACCTATACTGAGTCCACCCTTTCTCTATCTGATGCTTCGTCAACTTGCAGCTCTTGCACTATCTATGGGCGCGCCGAGACCGAGTCTGCACTTTCTGTCTCTGATACTTCGACGGCTCCCGGCTTGTTCACTGTCAATGTGCCTTATTCCGAAACTTCCTCTTTTCGCTCGGATTTGTTTTCGCAAGAGTCGACCTCTCCATCTTGGCTTGACAACTTTCCTGACGCTCGCCCAGCACATGGTGCACGCACACATTGGGTCCGAATGCCGCTATGTGCGGCTTCGATGTATGCCAACTCTCGCCACATCATGACGCACTCGTCGACCGTCTCCGAAAGAAGGGCGAGCTTGACCGCATCCGCGGTGAGTTGCCATGATATCCCCGTCGACACGCTCCTCCGCCCACACGGTCTGCATTCGGCTGATCTCGACTACATTCTCAACGAGGCCTTCGAAGTGGAGGTCGTGATTCCACCAGAGTTGTTGGATACTTTCCCACCAGGCGACCTGTCGGGATACCCTGGTCTGATGATGTGGACGGTCTGTGAAACCTGTGTGCGTGCAGAAGGGGGATTTTTTGAGTATCTTGCAGGAGCGTAAAGAGAACATCGCGGGTGGAGAGAGCCTCGAGCTGGATCTCGATGCTGCGGTTGCCAGGGCTCGTTCAAGTTTTACTGACAAGATGCCCAGGGAAAGTGATCGGGGGCGGACAGGGACCAAAGGTAAGTATGTATTGAATGGAAACTGGATTTCCACTCAGGCGAGTCTGTTCCCGTTTCCTTCCTGACCGTGTATAAGTGTGCGTTTTGTCGACCATGAGCATCCCCTAACCACGCAGTTTCCCCTTCGGACCTGACCACCGCATAAACACCGTGTGCTGACTTCCTCCAATGACGCGTCTAGTGGCGTTGTTTAGTTTCCTCGCGAGTGATTCTGAGATAACCCAAGATGGTACGAGGGTGGCACCTGGGAGCATCAACACAGGCATTTGCCGATGTGACCTGGGATCTAGTCGGTGAGTGATCAGTTGACGTGTACTCACGCACCAGATACCAAAATAGAAAAAGTCATCAGCTCCCTTGTTTTCTCCCGCCAGGTTGTGCTGATTCTGATATCGATTCACGGGAGTACACACGCACGTGATATCAGCCATGCAATACGAGCAATACGAGGGAGGGACATCGATGGACGGACAGCGCTATATCTCGTCCAAGGGGCAGTCAGAGCAGTTGTTAGACTCCTGTAGGTTGATCAGAGCAGACGCCCAGCTTGTTGCTCAAACTCTGAAGCCACCAGGAGGCGGTGACACCACTCGAGGACAAAGGCCCGCGTCGGATACGTGTGTCACAAGGAATGGCGAGAGAGGAGTGGCGGGCGGTGTTCCTGCAAGACGAGGCTGGACTCAGCGGAGCAGCAGCGCACAACGAGACATCGCTGCCTTGAAGGCCCAAGAACAACAAAGACGATGACGATGGTCTTCCTTTCATTGCAACATACAAAAAACCATCCATTGGACTCTTTTTGACCCTTTGACCCCCCCCCTCCCCCCTCCCCCCCTTTGACTCGATCGTCCTTGTCATAGTCCGTCCTTTGAGCTAGCTGCCTGCCGAGACACAATGGGAAATAAGATGGCCTTCACAAACGGCCTGCCTCTTTCCAAGCTTCATAAAAGCCCGGTCACTTACCTGTCCTTCTTTCACAGGAAAGCTTCATCTTCCTCCGAGGCATGCTCTCTCGCCTGTTTCCTTTTGACCTGAACCCGACAGCTTCACAACAAAGCTCAGCTCACAAGGAAAGGCAGGAGAGGAGAAAGGAAAAAAGGAAAAGCCCAAAGCAAGGAAGGAAGATTGAAAAGGACACCAACACACACAAAGTAAACTAACTGACTGACTGACTGACCTGCCGCACCAAAATCTCTCAATTCCCCGGTCGCCAAGTCACTTGTCGAAAGGAAGAAAGAAGGAAGAAGAAGAAGAATGTGCTACACCACGTCTGCCCGCCCCGTGTGCCCCAACTGTGCCGGCCGCACGGGCCTCGCCGACACAGTCGATGTAGAAAAGACCTGCAAGCTCGCGGCGCGGTGCCCGTACCGCCAGTCTCGCCCCCTGCCCCGTCGTCCTCGTCCGCAGCAGCAGCGGCGGGGCGAGGAGAAGGAGGAGGAGAGCGTCATCTCGCGCCGTCGCTGTGCCGCGTGTGTGCGTCGTGCCATCACGGCTGCTAATTCTGTGCCGGGGCCGGCGGATATGCGGTTCGATGTTTCCACCACAAGCACCACGAGTACTACCACTACCACGGCTAACAGCACCGACAGCGTCAACAGCGTCAATAGCATCGTCCGTCGAGGCTTCGCGGCGATGAGCAGAGAGTGGGAAGTCCAGACCGGCAGGAGTGCCCCGGGCCGGCTGGGCGAGGCGTATCCCGAGAAAGAGAACACCGAGTTCTGGAAGGCGGTTTTTGGGTGCGAGAGGAGGGACCAGGCCAGAAGCTCTGAGAAGTCCGGAGAAGGAGGGTTGGCGGTAGTATTATTCATTAGGTAATTGGGTGAGAACAGTCCTGTAGGCGGGCACCTTCGAAAGGAATGTAGAAATGGAATTGAAATGAAATTGAAATTGAAACGGGAAAGTGATATAAAAAAAAAGGTAGGCAGACATCACTTCCTAGAGAAGTTCCTCGTCCCAATCCACACCTCAGACATACATAGGCCCCCCATCGGTTTTCACTATGTGAAAAGCATGCCATTGAATCTTACAGTCAGCCAGTCCTAGCTAAAGACCGTCGAAGCATTTCTACGTAACAAGCGTTCCAAGATCATCAGACAGATCCTAGTGTACAAATATGCAAATCAATGGTCTCGTCGATACCAGAAGACTTCTAATATACAATGTAACAATGTGCCCATTGCCGTCACATCACATCATTCATTCACTGTGAAGATACCAGCTTCGGATGAGTCGCAAGCATGACTCGTCCAGGACCAGACTTTCTTGCTCTGAGATAGAGACAGAGAGAGATAGAATATCATGGCCTGCGCCTGGACCATCAACTCCGGATCCTGTGGACCATGCTGATGGCCACCGCAAGCAAAATCCGCTGAAGCAGCTCATGAAGTTTAGAGACTTGGAAAATCTTCAGGCATTTGCGTTGGGACCCACGGCGGCTGAGAGCATTCTTGGACTCTTGGGAGGAGGCGGAGGAGGTTTGTCCTCGTCTCCTGAGTTCGCGTCGGTGTTCGCGTTGCGGGTGTGTCGAGGGATCTGTGGCGACCAATTGGGGGCCTTAAGGGTCATCTCCCTCTTCTGTGCCGTGGGCGATGCAGCTAAAAGTCGTTGAGCAAACACTGGCAAGAGCGGCACCGAGGGCGGAAGATCCTTCACAGGACCCCGCGGTCTTTTTGAGTCACTTGTCCCGGTGGCGTGTCGTCTGGACAACGCCTTGGACGGAAAGAGGCGAGTTTTCGTCCGGTCTAATATCGCCCTGGCAGATCGAGGATCTCGGTCCGCAGATGATGTGCCCGGGTGGCTCTGACTCCGCTGCTGGCTCGTTGAGCGCGAGAGGGTCCGTGACGGAACCGCCAAGGAGTCAGGACTGTCCGGGGCGCTGTCAGAGCCTTCCGTGAGCTGAGCAGACAGCGCGACTGCCGGTAGGAGCCTCACTGCAGGTATGACCAGGGGTCGTAGGGCGTGTGGACCTCTCATGACCACGGTTTGATCCTCGGCTGTCCGTGTGGAGATACTGTGTAGGGTTGAGGCAGCGGAGCGTCGACGGAACAATGACGCCGCGAACGATTTCGGCGGGCTTGGAGTCCTCGGCCTGGACGCTGGAGGGGTCACGGGGTTCATGCTCAGGGGGTTGGTTCGAAGGAATCTCAGAGATCGAGGCAGAGACTGCCGTGCTCTGGCGATCGTGAATGGTCGCGCGAAGGTGTCTTCGTGGTTCCACTCTGGAACATCGCTCATGCGAGCTTCTGTCGTGGGAGGGTCGGGCAGCACGTTAAGCGGTTGGTCGCGAGACGAATTTGGATCTGGAGGTTCGCGTCGCTGGCGCTGTCTAAAGAGCCAATACAGCAGCGCCAGGATCAAGGCGACACCAACTGCACGATTGTTAGCAAGAGATATCGGGAGCCACGGTCGGAACATACCGAGAGTTCCAACCGCGATTGCTGCCCTTTGACCTTGCGATAGAGTCCCAGCAGATTTAGATGCGAGGGTGCCATTTTGATAACCCCATGGGGTCTGGATAGCAGTGGCGCTAGTTGTATGGTATATGCTTGACTGAGATGTGATCTTTCCTGGAATTGATGTCACAGAGATAGACTGGGTTGAAATTGTGGATTGCGATCCTGAGCCGGCCAGAGACAAAGTGTCGGAAGCAAGGGAAGTCTGTGAAACATAACCGCTAAGACTGAGGAAATATGTAGTCAAGTCGAACGCTGAACTGGAAGAGAGACTGTAGGTAAGCCTGGTCGAGGCTACAGAGGTCGATAGTGATGTTGACCCTAGATCTGACGACGGAGTCGAAGTGGTGAGAAAAGAGGTGTCGTCCGTAGTCGTGGTGGTACCAGGAGCAGCCGAGCTTGAGAATACGGAAAGGGAACCTTGGGAAGTCGTGAGTCCTTGAGTAGTTGCCTCTATTGGAGGAGCCTGACTGATGCTAGTTCCTGGCTCTTCAGTGACCCCCGGAGGACGAGGGCTCGGTGGTACAAACTGATTCCCCTCCGGTCCAGGAGGACCGTTGTTGTTTGCCTGCAGACCAGGAACATTTAGATTCTGAGGTTCTCCGGCAGCACCAGGGCCGGGCGGTGGTCCATTTTGATTTCCTTGCGGTCCAGGCGGACCGTTCTTGTTTTCCTGCTGACCAGGTGGCGCTTTTGGATCTTGGGGTTCTCTTCTCAGGAGGGTGTCTGGAGAAGTCTGGGAAACAGTGGCCCAGTAGCCACTTGGTAGGAGCATCGTTCTCGTGCCACGCTGTACAGCCTTTGGACGGGTGCCTGTTCATTCGGGTCACGTAGAATCACCCCTCCCAATAATATCCAAGGGTCATTTTCTTGTCAAAGCTGTCAGATCTCTGTAAAGATGTAGCTTATCCAGTATCCCGTAAGAAAGGGGAACACGGAAAGAAAGCTGGAAGAAGGAGAAAAGTCATACAGCCATAACCCACGGCGCGCTGGCCAGCGACAGCCAGAAGAGGCCGGAACGAAGCCAAATAGAGCAGGAACAGGAGGGGGCACACCGGCCGCTGAAGAAAACAAGGAAACAGTGTTGAGTAGCGCGTATCAACGCATCGCTCTATAACAAAATATACATGTTTCCAGCCAAAGTCCGCAAAACGAATAGAGGGGCAACGAGAGGGGATGTCGGAGTGTGGAACAAGAGAAATGTGCATGCCGGGGTTTGTCGTCCGTCGTTCTTCGAGGGTTCCATTGCACGTTCGCCGATGGCATGCTTTCCACGAGCTGACCTGGTCATGGCGTCTGGAGAAACGGGGCAAGTGTTTCGAGCGAGTGTCGAACACAACCATTTGCGACGTGTGCACGAATGCACATTGGCTGCAAACAGACGTTTTTGAGTATAGACTCAGCCACACAAAAGCCCTGATCGTGGGCGTGTGCAAGGTCTCAAATATCCATTCACTTTCACCAGCTTAGGCTTCTTAAGCTCAGGGTGAATGGTGTGTGTGCAGTCCTGGAAGTCGACGATGCGATAGACCAAGACGCTGATCCTGAAGGGGAATCCCTGTCTGAACTGATGTTTTGAGAAGATTTATGAAACGCAATGGCCGTTTCTTTAGGGAGAGTTAGACGTCTAGGGTAGGTCAAAAGTTCTCGCCGCTTTTGTGGAAAGAGGATGCCGAAATACACCTGCAGGGGTGTTGTTGCGGCGCGCCGTTTTATGATATTTGTGGGACTGGCCATTTATCAATATCCATTCTAGGGTGCTCCACGAGTTGAGCAGGACTTGATGATACCAGCTTGCTAGTGAGCTCGGCACGAGATGGCCAAGATAGGCGAGCAACCCAGTAAAAGGCAGACATCAAAGAGTCAGGGGTGGCAGGTTGAGCTTCCCCAGTCGCAATCACGGATGGCTTGTCATTGGCCAGGGACAGAGTCTGGACATTAGTTGTGCCAACAGATTGTAGGCCTCCAGCAAGCGTTGGATTCGAGAATTCGGCCAAGAGAATGCTTGTGTTGTGGTCTTGGTATCTCCAGAGGGCGCAAATATATAAGTATTGTACATATGAAGCTCTGCACACAGTTGTTGCTCGACCCAGCAATCCATTTAGCTCGTCAAAAGATCAGCGAGACATACCTTTGCCCATCCAATCCGTTGGTTTCAGTTTGCATCGGCACTGTCACTATCGCCTCGCTGCACGTCCAAAGCGGCCATCTCTTCCAGAGCCACCAGTTTGTCCTGCAGCACGCTCGTGTCATACGTCGCCCGTCCCTCCGTTGCCGCCTTCAGTCTCCTCAGCCTTTGCCCTTCTTTGCCTGCATTGCCTAGCACACCGCCGATGAGGGAAATGGATCGAAGCGAATCATCATTCGCGGGTATCGGATAGGTCACCCAGGTCGGGTTTGCATCTGTGTCAATGACTCCTATAGTCGGAACGTTGAACATCCCGCACTCGTGCAGGCAAACTTGATTTTCGATCGGATTCATGCAAATCACCAAATCTGGGCGCATGACTTGATGATAGCCTCTCGACAGGATGTCGTCGTACTGAGGAATTTCATTGTCATGGATGTCAACCACTTTGACGCCGCAGTCCCCGAGGATTTGTTGCCCGTTGGTCAGCGCACCCGGAACCCAGCGGTGAAAGATGTGGTAGCCCTCGGCCAGTTTTGCCGAGTTGACAATGATCTCTTCCATACCCTTGCGTGTGCCAATGAAGAGGATGATACCGCCTCGCTCCGCCACTGCTTGAACCACCTTTGCCGCTCGCTTTAAATAGGCATAGGTCACATCTAACGAAATGATGTGAATTCCGTCTCTTACTCCGAATATGTAGCCGCTGTTCGAAGGGTTCCACAGCGATGTATGGTGACCGAGATGGGTTTGGTTGGCCAGCAGCATGGGCAGAGTGAGGTCATCCACTGTAGGGGGGCGGCGAAGAATTGTAGACGGGTCATATGTCTGTGTCAGGTGCGTCCCTTGGCGAGCAGCTCTCTGCATTGCACGACGGTGACGGTTCAACTCTTTTAAATTTCGGAAAGGTAGAGCATCTTGAGTGGATGGAGGTGCGGTGCTTGATATCGAGCCTGACGCGGGTTTTGACATTGCCCGAGCAGCAGCGTGTGCATTGATGTCCGCTTGAAGAGCGCGGATGGATTTGTGTTGCGACTCGACCATTTCTTCTAGAAGCCTCGTGGCGGGTGTTGGAGCGCGATCGATCGTGTCAAGGATGCTTGACGGGTCATCGGGATGCCCCGGTATTCTAGTTGTCCCTTTGGCATCTCGTTCTGAGGGTCGAAATGTGGGATTATCTGCCGAGATGCTCGTTGCATATCCTCGATTGACGCTGCGCGATGACTGCGCCAACACTGTCCGCCCTAGAAAGCATTAGCGATAGCAAGGCAATCATTGACCAGGTGTACATACCATGCCGGGCACAGAACTGTCGGATGATCATGCCTGCTGGTTCCTGGCAGCAACCTGAGGGTGCATTGAGACTTTCCCTCTGTTCCACTGAAGCTGGTGTCGAGTTTGAGCTTGGCGGAAAGAAAGTCAAACGTGCAAACAGGACAAACAAAGCAAACACGGTAAACAGCTTTCTATACTCTAACTATGCCGTGTCTCTCGGACGCTTGCTCTGGAATGTAATTCAAATTTCGTTGTCAGGTGTACAGCAGTTACAAAGGTAGGTGCTTCAATGAGGATACTTACGCCTTGCATGCAGCCACCGGAGCGGACTCAGGTTCAAACACACGAAAAAGCCCCCTCTGGACGGTAGGCCCGGAAATTGTCCTTTCCGCTGCACGATCCCGCCAACACGAAACAAATCCCCCAGCTTCTCAGCTCGTGATGGTTTCTTGCATCCTCTCAACAGATGCCAACTGATGTAGCGTTGTCTCTCTCCAGGACGCTATGTTTGGTATTTGTTTGATATCTCGGGTGGGCGCTCGTGCCAACAGCCGGCTCGGGGCTGAAGGAGCCGCGGGAGCTCATATTAAAAGTCCAGGAAACAGTGCTTTTCTTGACTTTGTTCCGGACACCTCCCGTTTCTTATCTTCAAAAACCTTCAGCTTGTAGCTGGATGCCGGAGAGATCAGTCATGGCAACGGTGAGCACAACTTGACAGACGGGGTTTCTTCTCAAGCTAAGGACAGCAGGATCGACCGCGTCGCAACTTCAATCCAAAGAAGACTAGACGGTATGGACGCCAGACTTTTGACCCAGATTACCTGGTCAAGTACAGTCCGAAATGGCAATACTCACGTCTCTTCAACTTCCCATATCCTGGCGCCCATTGGCAACCACGGATGCGGACCATAGTGATCGCTGTCGATGGAGGTTCCCGTGGCAACAATCGCAACGATCCCAAATCTCGAGCTGCTTACGGCGTCTTTTTTGGTCCAAACTGCCCACGCAACACACACGGTTTGGTGTCTCAGAGTGCCCCGCAAACAAGCTCCCGTGCGGAACTTGAAGCAGTCCGCAAAGCTCTGGAGCTCGTTCAAGGCATGAAACAAGCCGGCGAAATCGAGGACTGGCGTGAGGTTATCATCAAGCTGGACTCCGACTACGTGGCGAAGAGCCTGAGTGAATACGTCTGGATCTGGGAGAAGAACGGCTTCAAGACCAAAAACGGCGCACCAGTTGAACACGGTGACCTGATTCGCGAGATGCATGACACCATCACGCAGTTGGAGCAGAATGGAGCGGTACGGTTCTGGAGGGTTGGTCGTGAATGGAATCGAGAAGCCGATGCGTTGGTGAACCAAGCCTTGGATGTAAGTCTTACCGAAAGCCAAACCCAATGTGATTCTTTTCTACGACCTCCATGCTCACGGCAAAATAGGATGCGGCTGACAGCGGTTATGGAGATGCGTGAGAGTCCAGACCATGAGTGGTGATGTCAACGAGGGGAGATGCGCTTTTGAGGGGATGTTTCCATTTTTGTTCCATTCGTAATCTGCAGGTCGCTTGCTATAGCGTTCTGGCATCCTAGGGGTTGCTGAGATTGTAGGATCGAGTTGTACTGGTAGTGATGGATGAGGACCGGGGTATCTGCACTGTTTTACTAGTTATAGGTGCTGTTTGTTTGTGTAATGTTAACTTGTTGCATGGATTCCATCTCGTTATCGAGGCTTGAGCCAGATTCTGGGAATTACATGCTTGCCCAAGTATGTGCGCGGCACAATAAATTCGAAGCCAAGCTCACTGCGAAATGTTGTGATTGTTGAAGTTTGGCCAAAGTACATCTGCTGGGGATTGAATCAACCAGGCTCACCCAAGCAGTGAAGTGTCCGCTTGGATGGTGAGATGATATGACAAAGGGTGGTCGAACTGGAAACGGGACGTGTTCGGCGAAGAACCCGCTGAATTATACAAAGTCCTGGTGATCGTCTGATTCATAGCTATGCTATCTGCTGGTAGTCATATAAGGTGTTACTGGCGCTTGTCCGAGCCTCTCTGTCCACAACATAGCGTGTTAGTCATTACACGCCTTGTCAACCCAGCCGGACATATGAATGTCCCTTCGCCAAACCAGACGGCAATCCGGAGTTTTCCTTCTATCCCAATTCCTCTGGGGTCCCGTCAAAGCGGAACGTCAGACCTCTGAGGGTGCCTTGCTCTGTGAAAATGCGGCATCGGACGACTTCATACTTGTCCGTCTCGTAGAACCTCAACGCATCCTCCTCTTCTCGGGACCGAACAAGAAACGCGCTTCCAAACACCTTGGCCGATCCTGACGGCGCATCGACGAGCGCCTTGTATTTTCCTGACCAGAGTCGAACTTCAGCACCTTTGATGTGGGCCGGTACAAGAGAGGGTTCTGTGTCCAAGTTGAGGTGGTGTTTGAGGACAGCTGGATCGCCCAGGGTGCCGTAGAAGAAATACCACACTGGATATTCGTCCTGCAGTGGCCGAGGACTATTCTCTTCGTCGTCCAGCCTGTTCTGAGGCATTGTCGCGTCCTGTGCAAGTGTTGGTGCTATGCTCTGGGAGCAGAGAGTCTTCTTCGCCTTTGCCAAGCGAACAATAGTAGGCTGGAAGCCGCAATGGTGTTCGGCCAGCCAGTCTAGCAGCTTCGCTCTCGTCACTCCGTCGATCTGGCAGAAATCTGCCCGTCCATTTTCACCTGCTCCTGTCGCCATCGACGGAGCCTCGTTTAAACCAAGAGCTGCTTTGATCGTCTCCGGTGAGTCGAGGGGGCCCGTGAGCTGCACGATGAACGTGCCAGACACGCTCGAGGCGGAGTTCGTCGAGCCACGGGGTTGCTGCCGATTTTTGAGGGAGTACTCGTATGCTTCCCGGTCGTATCCTTCTGCCTCCTTTCGGGATCTGATGGTAGCCCACAGATCGTCCGATATCCTAGTCCTCGAATAGTCGCTCCGGTATTCTTCGATACGGCGAACAGCATCTGCTTGGCTATAGCCGAACAAGCGGTGCCATCTTTCAATGTCGGCCTCTGAAGGCATGTCTTTGTCTTGTACATCCGAAATATTGAGAGCCATGCTCTCTAATTCTGCAAGAATGTCCATCATTTCTGAGGTGGTGTCTTTCGCTATGAATAAACAATGTTTTGCAACATGCGAGAGTCTCTAATGGAATCTAGTGTTGTAGAATGTGTTTCAAGCTCGAGGAGCCTCAAGGCTTTGATTTCAGTCGCGGCATTCATGACTCATTTGGCATAGAGTTGAGGACCTGCACCAAGAATTGATGCCGACAGGGTCGGGTGGTGAAAAGATGTGTACCGCGAGAGGTCCTCATCTCCAAACCCTTCTAGAAAGTTAACAAGCTGTTTCGGCCTTCATTCCATCAGCTCCTGTATCTGGGAGAGAGAGCGTCCTCGAGTCGAGCTCTGAAGGAGCCATAAGATGGGGGGCACCTCATGGAAACCACGATCCATGTGCATGGCCACCAGTAGTGGCTGTGGAAGTGAGTTACACGTAGTAAGAAGGAGTGGAGACCATACGGATGAAGAAAGTGTGGTTACCCACGCGACAACTTGTTTACAAAGTGATCATGTTCTCTCTTCATCCTTCACCAGTGCGTAGTATACCCTCCGCAGTGAATGTCTGCTCACAGGTTTTCCAAGATGGCTTCTGGAAGGCGATCCCTGAAATATCTGCTCATATCGTGGAAGACTAACATCAACCGGTAGATTGGCCGATGCGGGTTAGGTGCCCACCATTAACAAGTTCTGGGATGCTCTGAATGAGAATGAGCAATTCGAGTTTCGACGAGATGCGTCATGTGGCTTCCATGTTCACATCTCTCTGTCAACTGGTTCGTACTCGGTTGCCCAACTTCACGAGCTATACAGGTAGAAAAAGGGGGTGCGCCTTCTCGTGGTACAGAGTGTCAGTAGCAGTCATCGCTGCGAAACCAAGACCTCTCAGTGTTGATACGAAATGCTTGGAAAAGGGGAAGAGTGATGGAACGTGAGGGATAGTCAGCAGACCAGTGAACTGATTGTGGCTCGGAATGATTTGCTTGGTGAGCTAGTGGGAAACCAGCCAAGTCGATTTCAGAAATGAATGGTACAGGTTGAATTCACCGTCAGCTGCAACTATGTTCTGTCTACTCACAGATACAGTGATGTCATATCCCTATGCTTATGAGTCAATATTAATCATTTCATTAATATGGCCGCTGCCTCGTCTTTATTGAGTACTCTGTCACAGTAATTAATGAATTATATTTCTGTGTCAGACCAGCGCACCATGACCCCTGAATGCCAAGCCACTAGTCTGTTTCTGCACTGGGTCATCGCCGCTTGGCACACGATCCGCTTCTTCTTGTTCTTGTTGTCCATCTTGTTGTCTTTTGTCTACCACTGTACCAAATACCGAGTACTACTCCTTCAATGCTGCGGCCAGCCACGTTTTCCTGTTCCCGGTCCAGGCCCAGATCATGGAGCTCAATAGAAGCTGCTCAGCCACTCGATGTCTGGCTGCTGATCTGCGTCAGTTGTCCCCCGACCTCTCGCAGCCTGGAGAAGGTTGCACAAAGCCTCTTGTTTTCATTGGCCCCGCCCCTGTCTGCCCCCAGCATCGCCCAGCCTGACTTCGAAACGCGCCGTGACAATTCGTCTCGTGAGCATCTAGAGGACGCAATTTCGACTTGAGTCTTGGAAGGTGTTCATCTCGGAAGGACAGAGGTTGGGTGCTCGGCGTGAACGCTTGCGTAGCCCAGCTCTTCACCAGTGGACTGATCTTAAGTGGTTCCTGTTGCCAGCATCGCCAGCCTTCCAGTCTGGATGTGAAGCTGTACGCTTGGCTCTCCAATCCGAGTACCGAGTACATATCCGCATCCAGGGCCCGTCGGTGGAGGTGTTTACTTCTCAGTTTCCTCGTCTGAACAGCTTCTCTCGATGCTATTCTTCAAACACATTTTTTGAGTTGCCTTTCTTTCTACATTGCCCAGCACAAATACACCTGAGCGTCCTCTCTTTCTCCCTTTTGCCCTTCCTTCAGAAGGCCACTCTCTCTGCCAAAGTTCCACCACATAACTCGAAAACTTCGTGCGTCTTCCCAGCCAACCACGAATCACATTCTCCAGAAATACCACCACGATGCGGACACTCTTCTTGTTGGCCGTGGGGATTCTTCCGCTCCTGACATCTGCATGGTCAGATCACGCTCTTTTGGGTCGTTCGACGGGAAACGCGACCTCTTGCGACGCAGGCGACAAGGTCTGTGGCGTCTTCTGCATCCCGAGCAACTATACATGCTGTCCCGACCTCGAAGGGGGTTGCTCGTCGAACTCGGTCTGCCAGAAAGGCGACAACGGCGTATATGGGTGTTGCCCGGTTGGGGACACTTGCACGGGTGACGGCGGCGCAGAATTCCTCGACGACGGTTCGTCCACTTCTTCAACCAGCACAGCCGATGCCTCAGTCGCATCCAAGACGACTTCGGCCACCAATGCGGCTCAGCCTCTCGTTGTGGCTCGGAAGTTGACGGCGGTGCTCGTCGCCGTCGGTATCGGGGCTCTGCTATCGTAAGGGTTGCCTGCTCAGACTTGCTTTGCCTTGTCTCATCACCTCACCTCGGAATCGAACGGAGTTATTGCATGTTTGGGAAGCGGGATCAGGGACATCGATATGCGTGGAGGTAATGTCGAGTTGACATATGCAAGGGTTGAATGTTGTTTGGGCTTTAGTGATATCCCCATGAATGCATACCAAGTCTGCCTCATCAGATCGGCCGTTCTTCTTCCTGTGTCTTCTGTCGTCTGGGACAGCGATGTCTCTGGATGCAGTCTGCCGCCATGGGTGCTGGACTCTAGCCAGCCTGAGACAACCCCAGGTGCACTGCCAAAGCCACGTTCTCCCTTCTCACCGACTTGCCATGGCCCGAATCCCAACGTCTCATCATCCTGCCCTACTCTGTTCTGTTGTCTGCACCCTACCACCGCCGAATCGCGGGCCAATTTCGACATACAGTCTGCGAATTCCGCAGGCTCATGATGAGCAAGATCAATGGCCTCGAACACGCCGAAGGTGGGTCCACGGGGATGAACGACGTACTTTAATCCACCTTGGTTGGGTGTGCTATTAAACCCCGCCAGCGAGTTCTGCGAGTGTGTAACACCCACCTGTCACCCGCGTTGTCCTGGAGAAGCCCGTAGTCAGTAGCAGTAGTGCGATGTCGATCTGAGAGAGGGGTGCATAAGCATGAACGAGATCGATCAAACTACGATCCAGGACGAGGAACTGGCTCGTTGGCGGCTTGAAGCGGTGTAAAGGCCATAGTTTTCGTTCCTCCAGATGTCTAAATGTCTAAACGTGGTCGGGAAATGAATAGTTACGCGGCTGGGCAGCCCGCTTCTTTTCACGCAGCCAGCAGCATCTATCCGTCCATCTCCTCCGCGTTATTCCCCACGTCCTGGGGGCGGCGCACGTACAGTATGCATGTATGTAAATACGTCGTACGCGGTAATAGGTACATTACCTACGACGAACTCCATCAGACTCCGGAGCAACCCACTACATACCAGCCAGTCAACTGCTCCATCCTCCAAGTCCCAATCGATTTATATGGAGTACCACCACCACCACCACCAAGACGAACGTGTGGAGAAGCGACGGCGACTGAATGACTGACTTTATCCGAGGTAACGAAAGTCCAACGAACTCGCACTCCGCCCGCACTGGGAACGTGTTCGAGGGGACTGACTGGACAGTCCGTATGTAACAACTATTATGTAGGCTGCATTCAACTGCCGATTATATACATACAAGCCTCATTTCTGTCTGGCTGTCTGTCTGTCTATCTCTCCATTCCTTCCTCTCTCGTTTTCTCTCTCCGTTCCTCAGCCGTTGGAATTTCTCTATACCATCATATAGATAGATACCATCTTGAAACATCCGACGAGAGCACACAACATGTCGTCGTCGTCCTCCTCCATGAGAGCAGCCCGCTTCTACGGCAACCGGGACATTCGCGTCGAAGACGTCCCCATTCCCAAAGCCGGCCCCGGCGAATGCCTCGTCGAGGTTGAGTGGTGTGGCATCTGCGGGAGCGATCTGCACGAGTATGCTGCCGGTACGTGAACCCAAACCACTTTTCACAATGGGGTGTTTCTGGCAATGCAAACGGGTGCCACGTGGCGGTCATTGGTTTTTCTTTTTGGGTTTTTTCTTTTAAAAAATGAACATCGCACTGACAACATGGGCCCCGTCCGTTCCATCATCTCTTATAGGCCCCATATTGATGAGCCCGGTCGACCCCAAGACGGGCGAGGCACGGCCCCTGATCTTCGGGCACGAGTTCTGCGGGACGCTGAAGTCGGTCCCCGAGGGATCTAAACTGCAAGTCGGCCAGGCCGTCATGGTCGACCCGCACTGCATCTGCCGTTCGTGCGCGAGCTGCGCGGCCGGCGACGACCACGTGTGCCCGAAACTGGGGTTCCTGGGCGGGAGCAGCGGGCGCGGGGGCGGACTGTCCGAGTACGTGGCGGTCGAGGAGGTGCACTGCCTCCCGCTGCCGGCCAACGTGAGCCTGGACGACGCGGCGGTGATCGAGCCTCTGGTGGTGTGCCACCACGCGGCGAAGGCGGCAGGGATGGACCTGCAGGGCCGCAACGTGCTGATCCTCGGGGGCGGACCGGTCGGCGCCGCGCTGATGGCCGTCCTGCGCGCCCATCGCGTCGGCATGATCATGCTGAGCGAGCCCACGGCCAAGCGCAAGGAGCAGGCCAAGGCCATCGTCGACCGTGTGATCGACCCGCGCACGGAGAGTGTCGGCGACGTGTGCCGCGAGTTGACGGGCGGCAAGGGCGTCGACGTCGTCTTCGACTGTGCGGGCGTGCTGCCGGCGTTGGAGGCCGGGTTTGACGCCCTGAAGCGCACGGGGACGTTTGTCAATATCGCCGTGTGGGAGAAGCCGGTGAGTTTCTTTTCCTACTATTACTACTACTCCTACTACTACACATATTGAGGGGGACCTAAAACAAGGAAGGGGAGGCGATGTGTGTGTGTGTGTGGGTTGCTAACGCTCTTCTCTTCGTTCGAACTGCAGATCCAACTCCCCTTTCTCCAGTTCTTCTTCAAGGAGATCAAGGTGCTCAGCTCGTGCTGCTACAACGACCAGGATTTCAAGGAGGTCATGGAGTTGATGGCCAAAGGTGAGTTTCCGACCAATCCAATGCCCTTTCTGTCTCCAAACATGATATTCATAGCCACATCAATTGGCCCCTCTCCTCTATCATCTTCTTCTCCTTCGCCTCCTTCTCCTCCTCCTTTTCCTTATCCTTGTTCTCTTCTCCAAAAAATTCGACCACTTACACATTCTCTTTTTTTTCCCACCGCAGGCGCATTCCCAGGCTACGAGAAAATGGTAACCAGCCGCATCTCGCTCGAGGACGCGGGACCCAAGGGCTTCGAGGAGCTGGTTAACCACAAGGACGACCAGATCAAGATCCTGATCTCGCCCAAGATCCGATGAAGAGGTGTGCCGTGTGAGTTTGGGAGGAGCGACGAACCAGCCAGCCAGCCCCAGCCCCTGCCCCAGCCTCCAGCCTCCATCCGCCATGGCTGACTGGCTGTCTATCTATCCCTTACCCCTTCACCCCTTCTCTTCTCTCAATAAGGCTTAAATTAAGGAGAGATCTTCGATCGATCATGCATACATGCATGTATTTAGCATACCCATGTAAAGGGACAAGATGCACTCACTCCATACATATCATGACATGACATGACATGATATGGCATTCCAAGAGCCTAAGATTGTAGATGAATCCCGCCTTTCCATCCTTGGATTTTCTCTCTCACTCGTTCGTTCGGCTCTTATAATTTGTTATTATATTATGACCAGTTCAACAAACTGGAAGCCCTTGAATAGAGCCAGCCTTGACACTTATCCGTGAGAATGCAGAGAGGCTACATGCATAGGCCAAGTAATGGTGTCTTTCTTGACATCGTCTCTGTCATTACTTTTGTAAAGTCGAACGAACGAGCACCGTACAGCGTGCTGTTGAGCCAATCAACGGCACGATGATCAGGTCCTCAAACACTCGCCCGTCTCGGCGCCATGGCCCGCAGCATCTTCTTGCCCTCCTCGTCACTTGCGTCCACCCACGCATCAATAATGCCGTTCAACTGGCCGTCATTCCTCAATCGCGACAGAAACTCCTTGGCGTAACTGTATCCGACCTCGTATATCTCGTCAAACTTGGCAAACTCCAACGTCCCATACGCTTCGATGGGAGGTCGCATGTATATGCACCCCGGGGTAGCTTTGGCACGTTCCAGTGCGTCGACCGACGAAACGTATGCGAGGCGAGCTTGGATGTCGGACAAGGTTGGTGGATTGGGGATCGAGGAGAACGGGTTCCAGCGGTTGAGCAACGACCAAAACCCGGAGAGCGTGTCGCCGTATTCTTGCGGAGTATCGTCGTCCACGGCGCCGACGTCGACGGCGAATACGAGGTCGGTGCCGAGCGATTTCATGTGCTGGACCGTGAGGTTGTCAATGTATCCCCCGTCGAGGAGCATGCTGCCTTCATCGCAGATCGGCGGGATCAGGCCGGCAAGGGACATGCTCGCCCTCACATATCTCCACGCATAGCCCGAAGTGTGAATCTCCGCACGAGATTTGCTGATATTGGTCGTGTTACAGTAGAACGGCAGCCAGAAGTCTTCGATCTGCGAATCCCCAAAAGCCTTGAACACGCCCCGGTTGAACTCGTGACCGGTGGTATATGCCGCCGAGGGATAGGTCAAGTCGAGAGCGAACCGCCACATGCTGCCCATCCGACCGGCAAATTTCTTCGCGCGGCCGTACATAGGCACCACGTCAGCATCGCGGGCATAGAGCGCCCCCAAGAATGCACCGATCGAGGTACCACCGACGATATCGATGGGGATGCCTGCTTCTTCGAGAGCCCGGATGACCCCAATGTGTGCAATACCGCGTGCGCCGCCCCCACCGAGCACCAGCCCGACAGATTTGCCGCAGAGTCGTCGTGCAAGTCGATGCAAGTCGCCCTTGAAAGGCGTGTCGGCCGAGAACAGGGGAGCCTGGCGGACTCGGCGAGAGGTGTACTTCTGGATCTCCGCCTGAATGACCTGGACACTTTGCTTGAGGGCTGACCCGAACTTCCTCGGAGGCGAATGCGGCGTGGCCTCCGGGCTCACACGAAATGCCATCTGGATATGGTGGTGACCACCGTTGATCCACATTCGATTGCTGATCCACTTCCTCGTCAAGCCTGGTTGCGAATATCGGTCGACGTGGAGCAGGACGAGATCCTTCCGGGCGGTCGTCTTCATTCCCAGGAGGAACCGTTCGTACTCCCCAATGCTCGGTGAGCTCTCAGCCAAGCCCACCAGCAGGATGCAGTCGGCTTGAGATATGCAAGTTTGGGTCCAAGGAGCGTTGACACTGGTATCTGCGATGTAGAGGACCATCCCAAATTTCTCTTCGAGGTCGGCGAGGTACTGTGACAGCTTCAGGCGACCCATTCGATTGAAGGCGTGACGGCCGAGGTGGCTGAGAATGATGGCTTGGTTCAGCAGAGTAACGCCACTGGGCACTCCGGTCTGGCTTAATGCGGCGAGCAAACGATTCCCGAATTCAACCACCGGCACTCCCGCCGTCACCGGCAACACCGCGATCGTCCGGAGGTTCAAGGTCGACGTGCTTGAGTCGCTCAATGCCGCTCTCTTCCTCTCCGGACCCTTGTCTGTCAGCGGGGCTTCGATAAGCGCTCGCATCCGCTGGGCGATCAACTTCGAGATCTGAATGGTGATATTGGGGTGCTCCTGCGCCAGACTATTAAAGAGGCTTCTCGGGAACTTGGCCAGTTCTGTGTCACGTATAGCGTGGAGGGTGGCCGGCCTCGTCCCGTCGGTCATCACTTCCAACTCGCCGATGCTTTCGCCTTGGCCGTACTCTCCTGTCACCCGCATGGTCCCCCCCTCGAGCTCGCGCACTGCCCTCAGTCGGCCGTTGAGGACAATGTAGATGGCATCGCTATCGTCTCCTTGGTGATGGATGACCTGACCGGCATTGACCTGTACCCATTCGAGAGCGAAGTCAATGTGCAAGATCAGCCTCGGGAGCAAACTGGTAAGTCGTTTTGCCATCGTCAGGAGGACAATGGGATACTTCTCAGCGACCCTCTCCAATGCCGATCGAGGCAGAAAACCCACATAGACGTCCGTTTTGGCCGTCACATCGGTAAACGATCTGTAGGATGACAGGGTCCCCACATAGCCAGCAATGCCACCCGGTTTGACCAAAAACAATGTCCTCTGCACCATTCTCTTGTTTTCTTTAGGTTGACCCGGGAAGCCCGCGGTCGATTGGGTACGGGAGGTGGAGGTTTTAGTTCTGCGAAGACGTGGAAATGTGTCGTCTCGCGAGCCTTTCCGTGACCGGTGGCGATCCTCCGGTTCGTGTTTTTCCTCTTTCTCTTCGACGGGAATGCTGACATCCAAGAAGCCGTCGATCACATAGTAAAGACCGGGATTCCGTTCGCCTTGCTCGACTAAAACAGAGCCCTTTGGGAAAAACACGATCTCGACGTCGTCCATCAACTCTTCGCTCAGAGTCCGGCTGTTCAGCGGCCCACCAACACTGGCTACCGACGTCGTCACCGATTCAGACTCGCCATCGACCGAGCCTTCGTAGGGGTCAATGAAGCCAAAGGCATTGTTGAAAATGGCCGTTTGGCGTTTCGCGTCGTACGACACCAGCCGTGGAGACTGCTCGACCGAGACGGGCGCCCCTTTCAAAGCCTGGGTGACCGTTTCACTCAGTCCGAGAGCCTTGGCCATGCATTCGAGCACGGACTCACGAAACAAGCTGTCTTCATGAACCGAGTCCTGTCTGTGCGGGAGATCGTTGCCGAAGGAAGAAGGCCGAAACGGTTGTGGTTCTCGGGTCCCCATCGGACTCAAATCCATCCGGTATCCGTCAGGAGCTCCCATGCTGGTCCAATTCGAGGTGGAGCGCAAGTGAAGGCTGGTTGGTCTTTGGCTCGGCCTCGACGCGCCGTGCAAGTCACCGGAGCTGACATTTCTGTCGCCCAGTCCCGGCCGGACAGAATTCAGGGGTGACGAAGAGACAGCGCCCTTGGCTGCATTGAGCCGGGCTATGGTCGCGGCATCTCTGCGAAGTCCGCTTGAGGATCTCCGTCGACCTGCCGTCGGATTGTGTAATGCTATTCCCTTGGTCCCTTCTTCGGGACCAATTCTCTCTCGTTCTTTGGCAAACTTGTCCCGTAACCTGTCAAGGGCGTGGCCGCGGAGGTGGTTGGGCAGATCATAGCTGGTGTATTTATTCATCAGCTTCTCGATTTGCAGGACCTCCGAGGTCAGGCCCAGGTACTGGTGCGCAGTCGACAGCGTCACTCGGTGCAGCCGTGTCAGTATCACCTGAACTATGTGGGCGGTGGCTTTGGGGTACACTCTAGTCAAGCGGCGGAATGCGCTTGCTGGGATGATGGCTATCGTGGTATCAACCACGGCTCTCGCCACAATATCCGGGTGCGCAGAGACCGACAATTTCGGTTTCTTATAGTGATGTTCATCAAAGGCAGATCCAAGGGTCAATGGCGGAACGCTGGGCAGCCTGGCTTTCTGGGTGTCGCTCAGACCGCCCCCCGCGAAGGCTGATCCGGGCGTCGGTGGATCCATGATCGGGCTGACAACGTTCGACTCGGGCGTGCGGGTGACGTGGTTGGTAAACTGCGTGCCATTGGGCATCTGGTCGTCATGGCGCAGCTTGACATCTTCGGTGAACAAGGACAAGATGGAGAATAAAGAGGACATTGACGCTCCATTCTTAACTTCGGTCAACAATTGATAGCCCTGATTGCCTTCCCGATACCCCTCGTCCTCGTCGAACAAGTCAATCTGGCCCGTACTGGTGCCGTCGGGCGAGTCTCTCAATGATTTGACAAATATCTGGACCAGCCCGTCCACCACCAAACAGAAGCCTTTCTCTTCCTCGAGCAGCAATGTCTCCCCCGCAATCAGCTTCCTAGTCTGCATCGTCCGCGTCAATTCGTGGAAGATGGGCCTCTCCAGGTACCCAAACACCTTGATCGCGCTGAGAAATTCGTCCAGATAGTTGGCCAGCCCTGGCTTCGAGTCTCCATCTTGTGTGTCCGGAAACAAATCGATCTGCGGTTCTTTCCGCTGTGGCTCTTGAGGCAGGTGTGTGTAGTAGTTGAGGAAACGGTAGCGGATGAACCAACTGACGGTCGAGACCACGGCGACGAAGATGACGAGTCTTTCCAAAGCTTGTTAGTTCGAGGGGACAGGGCAAGTCAAGTCGTGGGTGGGTTTCACTTACAGGGTGGTGAAATTCATGGTAAAGGTCAAACTCATCGAAAACAGAGTGAACAACCATGTCGGCAGCGTAATGGTACAGAATGCAATGATCCATAACAGCGCATGCGGCATAAAAGTCACGAGGGATATGAGGGCCGCAACGAAGCCCCTTCCAGGCGACGATTGTCCATGTCCCACCACCGGGAGATGTGAACCTGTATTAGTTGTAGCAGTGGAGGCATTCATGATGGCGACTGACCTCAGGTTCGATCTGAGGAGGCTCGTGGGGGTGCCGCAGGCGCAAGTGGAGGGAGGGAGGGAGAGGGCTAGGCTAGAGGAGCAAGTGAGCGATCCGAAGCCAGCCAGTGAAACACACACGTCCCGAGCAGACCAGACATTGTGCAGTTTGTGCAGCTAGTACTTGCCGGGCGAATGGAGACCGTGGCGTGGCATCGGGCGGACTGGGCCTAACTAGCAAGGAGAAATGAGCAAAGTTGAGAGTAACGAGGGTGAGATGATGGGGGTGATGGTGGTAAGAAGAAGGGCATCAACGACCATTGTTGATCGAATAGAAGGCGCACGTGAAATGGGAAACGAGGGTTACGAGGGCGCGGGGACGAAGTGGTAGAAAAGCACGGGTCTTGCCGCTTTACTCAGATGGCCGTGCCCAGTCACGTGATAACACTGCTGGATATAACTTCCACCCAGCAGCGAATCCTGATTCCTAGCCCCTACCAAAGTCCATTTTGGTTCCTAGACCTGAGTATCCCGCCATTTGGCTTGAGCCCATAACTTAGCCATCTTGAGCAGCAGCGACTGTACGCTGTACAATCCCAAGCGCCGCTTAGCAGGTAGGCTCTGCCAAGGCATGTATTGAGGTTGCTGTGGAGACAGTACCTAAGTAATCCAGAAGTGCCGCTGCTGTACAAAAGCACAAATCAAGAACAAATCAAGACTCACTCTGTGCACCAAGGTGTCGTAAAGCTTGGATATAGGTCGTCACGGCCAATGAGAAATGGAGTAGCTAGGCCCGATCGGTGAGTCTGCGAGGAACAAATACGGATTAGTCCGGTGGGGCGCCTTGATACCTGTCACACTTTTATACACCCTCGGTTTCTAGTCACAGTACCTTTCTGGGATACAGAGGAGCCTTCAAACGAATCAGGGCCGCAGGGTGGACATGCCGCCGTCTGTAAGAGCCATCTAGCCCCTTGCACGAGGCTTGCTGGCTACCCGGTGAGTGACGCTTGCCAGCAGCCAGACAACTTGCGTTAGTTTGACTGGGGAGGACGATTCGGTTTGAGGCTCTATCACCTGCCCCTTTTAATATAAGAAGTGGCTGATCACTCTGTTACCATTCAGTCAACAACGGCCATTGAGACACTTAGTATGGCCAAATCTGTCCGGCTTCGACAACTGCGGATGTGGTCGACTTACTGAATGCCTGACCGTGTGGCACCGCAGACTCAGTCGTGCGAGGTTTGTCCCAGGTGTGCCCCTCGCGGATACCAGTGCTCAAGCCATCTCACCACCAGTATTAGGAGGGGTTTCTTGCGGTGTACATGAGAAAAGAACTGGATGAGCTTGTTGTAACTGCGACGGGGATTTCGCTCATTCATCTAGCCCCGAGGCCATGTGCACTAGGAGAGAGTATCACGTCGATGTGTGCACAGCGTACGGTCACACTCTCTCAATGGCTATGTCCACACCAGACAAGTAGGCACCTCAACAGCCATCACGAAGCAGTTTGAAAAGCACAGCCCTAAAGACGGCCACAAGGGTCACCGTCCCAGCAGCAAAGCATGGCAGCACCATAACAAGATCTGCCCGGGATATGCACTTGGGCGAAGCATGAGATGAGTAGGGGGGGTTGGATCTACTTTGCAGGCCTGGTCGTCTTTCTCCTAGTCCCTTTCCTTCGGTTCTTTAAAGTATCAGCGTCTGAATTTTGGGCATGCTGGCGACCCGCAACTGGTACTTACAACAACAAAACAAAACTGGCCACGCTGGTGTCTTTTGTAGTAGTGGTAGTAGTACTGGGACGTCGTTCCTCCGAAGGCATGTGCTGCACTGGTTTGTGCCTGTACCAGGTATGTATGTATAGCATATCATATCATACATACAAACAAAAAAGCCATACTACCTACCAATATATACCAAGCATAAACAAACACCTTTCCTCTTCTTCGAACGAAACGGGCGGCGCCAGTGAAGCAGGACCAAATCAATCTGGGCTCTTAATATCCCCTGGTATCCCTGATATTATAATGCATTCATTTCACTCAATTGTTCCCTGAGATAGGGGGGAAGGGGGCCGGGAGGGAAATTCATCACCGCCTCTCGTGCACCAGCCTCCCCCCGACCCAGACCCGTTTGACGTTCCGTTCGTCGCCATTCCACACCCACTTGGCGACGCGGTCCTGCCACGATTCCCAGCCGAAGATGTCCACCCCGGTATCCGGATCCGCGCCCGCGGCGGCGCCACTGGCGTCGACGTCTGCCATCACAATCTCCTGCACGTCCCACAGCATGCCCTCGTCGAAGCCGCCCAACCGGCCCTGCATGCCGACCACCTTTGCGCCGCCCACGGTGGCCAGCCACAGGCCCTCGGCCACGCTGAGGTTGAACTTGCTGTCGCCGCCGTTCAGGAAGCCGACGTGCCGGCTCATGATGCACGCGTTGCGCACCGCGTCCAGGATGCTGGGGCTGTACCCGCCGCTGACGTCCGTGCCTAGGCCCACCTCGACGCCTTCCTCCAACAGCGTCCGCACCTGGCAGAATCCGCTCCCCAGGGCGCTGTTGCTGGCGGGGCAGTGGCTGACTTTGGTTTTCCGCTGTCGGATGAGCTGCATCTCTTCCTGGCTGAGATGGACGGCATGGGCGAGGATCGTGCGCGGCGTCAGCAGCCCGTGGTGATCGTACACGCCCGCGTAACTCGACTGCTCGGGGAACAGCTCCTTGACCCATTTGACCTCGTTCAGGTTCTCCGAGATGTGCGTCTGCACGCGGAGGTCCTCGTCCTTGGCCAGGGCGCCGAGTTGGGAGAGCGTTTCGGGGAGACAGCTGGGCGCGAATCGCGGCGTGATGATGTGGGCGACCAGCTCGCCCGAGGGGTCCAGGGACCGGCAGTACTCGATGCTGGCTTTGGTGTTGGCGATGGTCTGCTCGGTGCTCTCATCGCGATAGTAATCCGGACACGCCTCGGGGCGGTCCATGCACACGCGGCCAATGTACGCCCGCTGGCCCTTTTTGAACGTGATGTCGGCCAGGAGATTCGTCGCTTCGACGTGGATGGTGGCGTAGTATGACGCCGTAGTCGTGCCGAGCGAGAGGGTCTTGGACACCACCCTGTTGTAAACGGCTTTGGCGCGAGCGAGCGGATCCGGCGGCTCGATGGAGTCCTTGTACATGGGAGATTTGTCAGAGCCCAGGGACGACTCTAGAGGGAAGGTGTATGTGGTGAGCCAGTCCAGCAGTGTCGACTTGCCGAATATCCCGGCATTGGGGTATTGTGACGCGTGTATATGGGTATCTGTGCAAGAGCAGTGGTCAGCCTTGTTTGTGAGAGGTATGAAATCCGGCGATATCTGAGAAGACCAGCGACAATTGTCGCTCCTTTTTCTTCCCCGCCCCCTGTCATCCGACAAACACATGTACCGTTGTCAAAGGGGACAGTTTATCGAGCCCAAGCCACAAAACCTACCAATAAATCCAGGAAAAAAGAATCCATTCTCAGCCGCCGTCACGACGGGTGCCTCGACCGCGAACTTGCTGATAGCATCGTTGGGTCCATTGACTGTCCAGTCGGCCTTTTCGATGACGCCCCGGCCGTCTTTGCGGTCCACCAGCACGGCGCCCGTGCGTATCAGCAGCTCATCAGGCTTGGGCGTGGAGATGAAACGGCCAAAGTAGATGCGTTTCTGGGTCATAGTTTTCCCCCTTCGTCTATCCGTCGCCTCGTATCTGCCTGAAACAGGAACAGGGTTTGATAAAGGAAAAAGAAGTCTAAGAGGCTTGCAGGTACCGTGGAAATAATCTCAATAGCAGAGGCGAGATGAGAGGAGAGGGAAGGATTGAACACCAGTGATGAAAAACAAAAATGCTCCTTCTCTAGCCTTGTTCTTCTCCTTCTTGTTCTGCTTCGTCTTGTCACAGCAAGCAATGAGTGAGAGACGCCTTATCAGGGAATACGAATGGCGGAGGAAGAAGAAGCAAGAAGCAACCAAAGCAAATAAAAAATGATCCCCCACCCCACCGCCGCCCCAGGACGACGGACGTGGGCGGCCAATCGGCGCCGCGTCGCGGTCGCTTAATGGCCGTCGGCGGATCCCGACACGGTTCTTGTGTGCATGTGCTGGTGTTGCTGGTGAATTGGTTCGACTCGAACTTGGCCCACCCAGAAACGGCATGTATAATCTGAATGAGATGTCCTATTATCGTCTCCATAGATCTGCATCCGTCAATCTTACCCACGGTGAACATCTAGGGTAGTATCGTGCACGTCAGGAACCCACCCCTGTTTTTTGCCGACCACATCGTATTCTTCAAGCGTTGGTTGTGCAGCTTCGCTCCAGGGCCCGAGCCGAAACGAAACGAGATCCTGTCTTCTGGGACGATAACCTACTGCGTGCATGCATGCATACGTGCATACATGTACGACGTCACGGTCAGTCCGAGGAACTACTAACTAAGACGAAGAGGGTTTAGAGGATAATGTAAAGATATATGTGTGAGAGAGGGGGGAAGAGATGTGCCACGAGGCCAATCTGAACACAAACAAGGCTATCCTACCATGTCGGATTCGCTATTCTTGTTCTCGGTATTGATCAGAAAGTCGCATGGAACAGCTTCCCCCTCAGTCCCAGCCACGACTCTTTACATGACTTGCTGCCATGACATTCGTTTTCAGTCATCGTCGTCACTATCCACGACAAACCCTCCCCGGACCACCGCCCGCCGTCTTGCCGTCGGTATCACGTCTTCATCTTCGTCTTCATCGTCATCGCTGAGCTCGATTTCTGCATGCGCTGCCTTTGCCGTTGGCTCGACAGCGGCGCGTGGTTGGTCAAGCTCCATGAGAACCCTCTTCCCACTTCCCGCATCCATATTCGCGCTCGCGCTTTGAGAAGACATGGGAGTATCGCCGTCATCCTCCTCCCCCTCCTCATCGCCACTGTCCCAGGTGCGCCGCTGCTGAGATGACGCCGTCTCGGTGTCTTGGTCGTCCGCATCGCTCATGGGTAGATCTTCGTCACTGTCTCGCTCGTCCTCTGTCCCAGCGACATGCTTCTTCTGTGCTCTTTTGTTCGTTGTTTTCGATCCCAGCTCGCTGATGCCCTGGCCGACTTGGTTTCGAAGCTCGTTCCGGATCTTCTCTGCATACTTCGTGCGCATCTGCTCCTCCTTCTCAAAAAATTCACGATCCTTCTCCGCATCCGATTCGTCGTCACTGTCCCTGATGTAAGCTTCACTCTTGATTTTGCGCCGCCGATCCAATGCGGCTGCCCGTCGCGCGGCTCTTCTTTCCGCCGCCAGTTCCTCGTCAATGTCATCCTCGCCGTCCTCCTCCTCACCTCGCTTTCTCTTGCGTTTTGCCCGGAGTTCAGCCATGGCATTCTTAGCCTTCTTTTTGCGAGGATTATCCGGGAACAGGAACTCTTCTTCGCCTTCAGAATCATCAAGGAATGTACCCCGAAGCGCGCCGTCCTCGTCATCTTGGCGTGTCTTCTCCTTGTTTCTGGCACGACGGATCATGTCTTCGGCGTCTTCGTCCCCGTCATCACCCTGCCACGGCGTCTGTTCGTACCGCTCTATCGTGGCCTTGTGCTCGGATAGCTGTCCAGCGGATATGTGACCAGGGATGATCCAGCTCGCTCCAAGCACGTCTTCGTCTCCTTGCATTTCGAAATCAACCAGGCGCATCAACAATTTCAACCTTCCGTTCTTGAACATGGCCATTTTGATATCCTCCGAAGATGGATGCACGGTGATGTATGAGGGCTTCCCAACGTCGACATTGTTGGGGCTGTCTTCACCATCCTTTTGCGCGGCCTCGATGATAGCCGCTCTCCGTGTCTCGGCCTCTGCTTCCCATGCGTGTCTTTCGTCAAAGGCGTTTCCCAGCATGGTCTTGACCCATCGCACCAGGTCTGTCTTGCCATCTTTCAGGAGAACGGTGACAACAATGCCGATCTGTTCCTTCACATCTCTTCCGGGCGCGGGCCTGACTTCTAGCTCTGCAGGGGCACGACTGGTAGCCAGAGTCTGTTTCTCCTGACCATACTCCAGATAGTACAATGTCGCATGGATTTTGCTGAATAGCATCTCCACAATCAGTTCCGGCCGCTGATCGATCTTCTTGAACATTTTCTTGAACACCTGTCGGGAAAACTCGGACCACTCTTTGTACATGGCATGTTTCCGATCCAGGCCGTCGGGGCCGTTGATCATCTTGTTGAAAAGAGCGATAATGTCAATGCGATACAGGAGGACAGCCAGTTCCTGTTTGAAGGCCACCCTGTAGAAGAACCGATGTGCGCGTTTGAGTTGTTCCAGGCTGAGATCGCGATACAGTGTGGTTAGAGCGACAAAGGTGTTGACCGAGTTCTGGGTGGAGAATTTGGCGGCGAAGCGATTGAAGTCGAACTTTCGTTCCTTGGACACTTGAACAACATCGGCAATGTCTTCGTTTTCCGACACCTCGTCGTCCGCAGCCGGATCATCACCCGGTTGAGCCAGTTTTCTCATCTCCTCCTTGCGCTTCTTCTTCGCCCTGCGACGGGACCGAATCTGCAGGTCGACATTCTCCTTCGAATATCTCTCCAACATGCGTAAGAAAACGTGGGAGAGCTCGGTGCAGGCATCGAGATAACCAAACCCTTGATCCTTGTAGCCTCTCAGGATCTCGACAACTCGATCATGCGTGGTTTCCTCGTAAAATATTCGGTTCTGGATGTTGTCTGCGATTTCTTGATCCTCCTCCAAGGGGCTCTGGGCCATCTCTTGGACCGTAAGCAGAACCTGTGTGAAGCATCGCATGCAGGCGTTTAGATCCTGCCACTCCTTGTTGTCCAATGACACCTGCATAAATCGATTCAGCATGATGAACGATTCTTGATTGAGAACAGCCGCCACAATTGAATAGCTCTCATCGACGAAGTCGTCTCGGACGTTGTTTGGCTTGACCTCCTTCTTTTGCGTCTCTCGTCGGATGCGCTCGGCTTCGAGGAACCACGCCACCGCGTAGAAAAACTGGCGATAATTGACGTCGACCAACCGCTCAGCTTCTCGCTCAATGGCTTTGCGGAGGTGTGTGAAGAAGGGATTGAACCCCGAATCAAGAAACTCCTCGACGAAGTTGCGCAGTTTCTCGGCGGCAGAATCGCTGAGGTGGGTCGTGCGGTCAAAATCGTGGATCGTGTGGTCCATGTCCTTGCGTCTCTGTTGGGGCTTGTTCCATTTCTTCGACTTATCCATGTTCAGCAGCGCCTGTTGGTCATTTCGGAGGTTATCTTGACCTGAGACAGCCGACATCTTCTCTCCGTCCCGCTTCACCCAGAGCATGGTTCCGAAGCGCCCATGTCTGCTCCATTGATGCTTCTTCGCGTCCCGGTTCTTGCTTTCCTCCACAGCCAGAGCGGCCCCCAGATCAGTGATTCCTTGACTTTTTCGCTCTTGCTGGGTCATCCACAATCTGCGGGGGTCGACACCCTTGATCAAGTTGAAGATGATATCCAACACAATGACGTCCTGCAAGTTGAAGTCTTCACCCATATTTGAGCAGATGGTCAACAGCAGCGCGAAAACATCTTGGTCCCGAAATGCCTCGATGGTCGCTGATCGGGAGACCTCTGAGTCCAAGCCCTGGCTCGGTAGGTTTGGGATCTGCTGAATGACCGCGATATTCCGAAAGAAATAGAGCATCAACTTCAGAATGCCTTCGTCTCGGCTCGTCCTCTCGTCTCTCGCCACGGCGATCGACGGCAGTCCAATTCGCACCACCTGCCTCAGGATGTTACTAGTATCGCAGCCCAGGATCGCGGCCTTGTAGACGACTTGTGCTTGCTGGATGTAGGGCGTGTGTCGGTGATGGTTGACCGTCATTTCACCTGTCGTCTCCAATGGCCACGTCAGAGGTACCAACACTTCTAAGCATGCGAGCGCAACTCGAGCCTTCAGCTTGTTTTCCTTGCCGTCTTCAGGCCACGAGGCCAGGATGGGGATCAGATCTCCGCCCACGAGCTTGGCTTCTGCGAGACATCGTGCCACATCGAGTCTGTTGTTCTTCTCGTCGTACAGCTTCAACCACCGCTTGAGATCTCGAAGACACGCGAGCGCATCGTCACCGAGGACGTAGCGGCCATCGTCGTCTGTGCTACTCCCACCCAGCTAAGGGACGTCAGTATTGATATCCGGTCTGTCACACGCGTGACGAGGTACATACTGCATTAACCAGACTGTACACATAGGCCCGAACCTCTGGGTGAACCGTCTGAGCCTTGGTGAAGGGGTTGTTCTCGTCGATCGAGTCCATATTGTCCAGTCATACCGTCGTGGTTGAGAGATCAGAGAGCTGGCCCCAAGAAGAGGCAGGTGTTGGATAATGATGGAGACGCGTCGCGAGCTGGGACGCGCACGTGGACGCGTTAATGTGTTCGGGCGGACCATATGGACCCAAAGCGCACAGGTCGCCGCTTATCGTCGAGCCTCGGTTCCCGATAAGGGCCAATGATTTGGGACCCGCACGTGCCGCACTTGTGGGCACTGTTGGTCTCGGCGAAAGGAGAAATCCCGGCGTTTTTGTAGCTACTGTGTGTCGCTTGACATGAACTAACTGCGATTCCCCAGACTCGCCCAAAAGTGAACTGGTTCTCCCTGCAGATTCCTTCTTTTGCACCATGGCTTCGTTGTCGAGGTTATCGTCCAGAGTGATGGCCTCTTCAAAATCCCACGTCGCCTCGCAGAGGCTCGCCTCGCTCAACCGCCAATTCTCGTCCACGCCCGCATTGGGCTTCGAGGTGAAGAAGCTGGGTGTGGTTGGAGCTGGTCAAATGGTATGTTTTTTTTTTCTGGCATCGGGTACCATGCGTCGTCTACCTGCAACTTCTAACAGATGACACTAGGGTCTGGGAATCGCCCTCGTCGCCGCTCAAAAAGCCCAAGTCCCCGTCACACTGGTGGACACGTCGCAGCAATCCCTCGATCGTGGACTCGCATTCGCAGACAAACTCCTGGCCAAAGACGTGTCGAAGCAGAAGATCACGGAAGAGATCGCCAAAGCCACACGCGAGCGGTTAAAGCCGACCACGCAGATGTCGGACCTGGCGGACGTGGACATGGTGATTGAGGCGGTGCCTGAGAATCCCGCCTTGAAGGAGAAGATCTTTGCAGAACTGGCTGCGACGTGCCCCCCACACGCCATCCTGGCCACCAACACGTCGAGCATCAGCATTACGAGGATCGCGCGGGCGACGGCGAAGGATCCCACAGACACCTCAGCCTCGTCGCGCGTGGTCTCGACGCACTTCATGAACCCCGTGCCGGTGCAGAAGGGCGTGGAGATCATCGCTGGCCTGCAGACCTCCCCGGAGACACTCGCGGCCGCCGTCGCCTTCTGCGAGAAGATGGGCAAAGTGTGCTCCGTGTCGGCGGACAGCCCGGGCTTCCTGGCCAACCGCATCCTGATGCCGTACATCAACGAGGCGATCATCTGCCTGGAAACGGGCGTGGGCAAGAAGGAGGACATCGACAGTATCATGAAGAACGGCACGAACGTGCCCATGGGCCCACTCACGCTGGCCGACTTCATTGGCCTGGACACCTGTTTGGCCATCATGGAGACGTTACACGCGGGGCTGGGGGACAGCAAGTACAGGCCCAGCGTGCTGTTACGGCAGTACGTGGATGCGGGCTGGCTGGGCAAGAAGAGCGGGAGGGGTTTCTACGAATATAAGTGAGCCGGTTGCCTGCCCCTAGGCTCTTTCCACCTGCAGCACCCAGGTATGGTCGGGTGTAGTGTACATATGCATCTCTTGGATGTTGCAGAGAGCAGTCCTCCCTGCCCCCCGGGTGTTCGATGCAAGGAGTACAGGACGTCGGAGATGATGATGAGAAGAGGGCGAATTCTTGTCAAAATGATCCATCTATAAATAAAAAAATGTATTCGTAGGAAAAAAACCTGGACCGGACACCATCCATCTGTTCTCTCCCCCTGCCGACCCCCTCATTTGTTTCCTTTCAAGGGCTCGATTGACTGACCCCCTTGAGAACAGCTGTAAAGAACACCAGGCTCCGAGCTGACATGTTTGTTCCTCCCGAACCAAAATTCGCCCTCATGTAAACTTCCTCCTGGGAACTTCTGGGCTCTCCGCCCTCCCCACCTTCTCGGCACCGGTCAACATCGCGTTGAACTCGTCCAGCCGGTCCAGGGGCAGATTCAAGAACAGATGCTTGTTTTTCCAGCGCACCTCGCTCTCGATGTACTCCTGGCTGGCCGGTCCAGGCGGTGGCGGCGGCTCGGTGACCTTGGTGATGAGATAGGCGGTGCTGGCCTCGGCAATGCCGTAGATCAGCACGCCGATCAGGGGCACTTTGACCATGACGGTGAAGGCGACGGAGAAGCCGAATAGGACGCCGCTGCGGTCGATGAACCAGATCTTCTTCTGCTGCCGGGTGAAGCGGATGCGCTGGAAGTAGGGCTCCAGCAGGCGCGACATGAGGCTGCGGCTCGAGAAGTACGTCTGCAGGAACTGGACCATGTAGTGTTTGGGGATGACGAGGCCGGACGCGAAGACGATGCCGGCGGGCACGGGGCCGACGGCTTTGTTGAACGTGTAGAACGAGGCCGCAGGGAGCACGAAGGGCCCGATCCCGGGGACAAAGGTAAGCGCGTAGATGGCCAGGGAGATGGCGGCGCGTCGACCGTATTTTGTCAGGAAAATGACGACCCCGTCCACAAAGGAGCGCTGCTCTTTCTTCTCCTTCTCACCGTGCGTCGAGTACATCTTGAGCGTCGGGTAGTACATCCCCCGCAGCGTGGCCGGGTCATCGGACTTGTGCTTCTGCACATACGTGGTGTCGACCCACTTCAGCGACTCCATGAAGAGGTTGTCGAGCGTCGGGGTGACGGAGCCCATGACCATCATTAGGAAGAAGGGGATCTGGAGCACGGATCGCGACACGAAGTCCAGGCCCGAGATGACCTTGTCGTCCCAGGTCTCGTGATCGAGGTTGACGAAGGCCCCGATGATCCAGAGGAGGATCTTGACAATGTAGATGGGGATGTTGAGGATGATCCGAATGGCCAGCCCTGCGCAGACGGCAATCGCGGCCTGTCGGTAGTGTGCCGTGGTGAACAGCTCTGGGTTTTGCAGCGCACGGTGAGCGCCCACAAAGGTGAGCTGGGCCCCGCGCAGAATGGCGTTGACGTCGAAGTTGGACATGGTGGCGACGGCTGCCCAGCTGACGGTCGGTCAGTCAGCTCGAAGGGTGTGGATGATTGCAGATGTAGAGGAGCTCTTCTTCGATATAGAGTCGGTTTAGAGAAAGAAAGATAGAAAGAAAGAAAAGAAAAGAGGTTGGATTGATGGATGAAACGCATTCGTCATTCATTGGAGGCGTCTCGGCGAGGCTGAGGGCTTGGCACATAAATGTGGGTCCCGCTGTGCAAGGCTGGCTCAAAAAGGAGACTTGGGGGTGTTGGGCTTGGAGTGCCAGCGTCGTCTGCTTCGTTTTAAGAGTTGAAGATGCTGAGATGCTGAGATGCTGTCGTTACTCCTACTAACCAGCTGAGGCTCGAGTCAGAGGATATTTTTTATGGGCTGAGTAGCCCCGTGATCACTTGGGATAACACTTTCGAGGGGACAGGGCTTCCATCGAAAAGTGACTTGGTATCAGCCCTAACCTTGAATCTGTTCACATTGCATGTGGTTTGCCTGTCTGTTGCCATCGCCTGCCCGATACCAAACATTGAACCAACGCCTTCTCCACCCATCAGAATCCTGGCCATCTACCCGTTCATGCCCAAGCGTGACCTTGTCCTCCTTCCTCATCTTCCTCCTCGTCATAGTACTCCGGTTCTTCTTCACCCTCTTCGCCCTCCTCTTCGCCCATCTCCGGGAAATGCTGTTCGTTCTCTTCTTCCCCCCAGTCTTCTTCATGAGGAGCCACCGCTAGATGAAGACCTGTTGGGGCATGTCCGGCGGGCGCATGTGATGATGGTAGAGTGGGAGAGTCTGGCAGGGCGGGTGCAGCAAATTTGCTATGGTCGTCAGTGTGATAATATGGTAGTGGGCCCAAGTGGCTTGGGTCCTCAGAATGTGCCGCCGTGTCGTGGCTCCCATATGCCCCAGGAAAGCGACTGCCCCCGGCCTGAGGCGGTGCTGGAGCGCCGTGACCACTTGAGAGCCCTCCCAAAGTAGGAGAGTCTGGATTGGCGTGCCCGGCAAATTGGCTATGGTCAGTTTCACTGTGATAAAATGGTGGCAAATCACTGGGACTGAGTGGACTCGGTTGGCCGTGCTGTGTCGGTGGGACTGCGAGCGCCGGCGGCTGAGGAAAGTGCTGAATTACTGGCATCAGCCCGTCGTCGCTGGATCCATGCGTAGATGGCCCTGTATGGGAAGAAGTTCCAGAGTATGGCGAGGCCGGGAAAAGAGCAGAAGGTGGGGGACTTGCGGGCGTGCTCGGTGACGGAAAGGGGGGGGCCCCATGACCCAAGGGGCGTGGTGGTACAAGAGCGGGGCCAGGACCCAAGGGGACATGCGGTGGTGCAGGAGGGGTGCCATGTCCTTGGCTCCCAGTAGTAGACCATTGGTCAGAAGGCGGTCGAGAGGGCGGCGCAAGTGAACCGGATGAATGAGAGGAGGAAGACATGGTACGTAAACGAGAAGTGAGTGGTTGTGAATGAACCCGTCTGTGCTTGTTCGAACGCCGATCAGAATGATGGAAGACGACTTAATGGATGGAAACTCCATGCTGTGGTTTAAATAAGCATTTCATGTATCCTCTCTTCCTTCTGCCGGCAATGCCCTAAACCAGCTGTTTGTTCTATTATCGAACACGCCCGACTGCGCCATATGCGCGGCCAACGTGAGGCGCTTATTTTGCCTGGACGCTCCTTTTTGGGAGGATGTTGGGCGTGGCGGAGGTGCTGTGGCTGGACACTGGAGCCAAGCTGACTGCATCGAAGGCTGGCTCTCACCTATCGATAAAACCTTCGCGTTGGTACCTCTTCCCGTGATGGTGTGGTGGGCCGCGAGTGGTTCCACTCAGCACCGTAGTGCTGGGGACAGTCGAGACGTAGGCATAGTGCGATGCACTCATTGGTCATGGCCCTTGACAGGTTCGAGGTCATGCGGTGTCGAGCCCTTTAATTTAGCCACGAGGGCCTCACTCAATCTGCTTCCTCCGCACGATTTTGGCCCCATATCACTCATTTCCAGCGTCCAGAAGCGGTGAGGTCAGGACAGTCCAGCTTCCACGACACCAACGGAATGGCTGCGTGTCCTTGACCAGGGAGCCTCTGGTGGTGATAACGAGACCCTAGGCCTTGACGGTAGGTGTTTCGCTCATGACAGAGACATGTTGTCCTGCTTTTGGATCAATGCTGAAGGGATTCGGTGATGCAAACTGGTGGAGAATGAAAAACGTTTTCTTTCTCCCTGGGGCTCGGCTATCTGAGAACCTTGGTGATCCTTCGTCTCCCGAAGCCAGTCTGGGCAGAATCAGCAGAAATATTACATGGAAAAAAACCGGCCCCTCCCAGAGCCCACACGGTGTCAGACTTCGATGTTATTTGAGCGCCTGAGATCTTAGTCATGCTGAACAGACGACGCCACCACCAATCCCATTTTCTCCTGTTCTGGTACAGGGGCGCCTCCCGAGTCGTACTCATCGCCGTTCATTATATGCAGACGACAAGCTCAAATGCTTTCATACGATATGGGCCCAGGGAAGGGGCGAAGATTGGACGCTCCCTGACCCGTTGTTGATCGAGTGGAGCGAGCCTGGTTGAGCACTGGCCTGGATGTGACACAGAGCTGTACAGACGCAGAGGAACTCCTTAGACTGGGGTTTCTGGGGCCCAACACAATGCGACCGACCAGCCTTTGGAACATCTTAGCTAATAAATAACACACGACTTTTCGATGACGGGACACTAATCAACACCAAAACCTGAGCATGTCGGATCGTACGGGAATAACTGAAAAAGATGCGATGTGCTGGGGTATGACCTGCATGCACGTCGCTATAGCAGGGTCATGCATGTAACACAGCCTCGACACCCATTTATTTGCTGTGAATGAGTCACTGGAGCCAATTCTCTACATCACCGGCAGTTATACAGCTTCCTGTGATGTCCTATAGCCGACACTGTTATCTGGGATTCGAAAGGGAAGTACTGGGTAGATACGGAAGAATGGAAGGGCAGTCTGTCACAACACACCTCCCATTCCTCGTGACCGGGAGATAGATCTATCTCACTTTCTACCCACATGTCATGTGTGTGCTCGGTTACTCATTTTCACCACAACTCTCTTCTCTATAATTCTTACTCCCTCACTTCATTCCATGTCGTGAATCTCGCCGAGCTCGGAGCCTCAGCCTCCGTGCCCTCTACCGGATTTTCCCCCATACATCTCCGCACCGGCTCCGGCTGTAATTGTTCTACTCCTCACCCCCTAGCACACACTGCTCCAAATGCATCGCTCGGCTATCTGAGGACCGAGTATGTTCAGATGTGAGGTTTTCCTTCCAGAAGTACTATATATATGTATCTATGTACATATGTGCCAGCTGTGTGGTATTAGCCTGCACTATTCTGGGAAATAGACTTACCAGATTTGAGTGATTGAATTTATTTCCCCCCTTTATTTACTGCTTTCACAACGAAGAGATTCTATTCGACCCAATCATGGCATCACAATACCTCAGCAACATGTTCTCCCTCGAGGGAAAGACCGCCATCATAACCGGTGCGACCGGTGGACTGGGCTCGGCCCTCGCCACCGCACTGGCCCAGGCGGGCGTGTCGAGCGTCGTCTCCATCGAAGCGCCCAACGACCCGCTGTCGGCGGATCTGAAGACCAAGGTCGAGAGTGTCAGCGGCAGCAAACTGACCGCCTTCCACTGCGACCTGCGCAACCCCAAGAGTCTGCGGGAATGCTACCAGTCGATATGGAGCGCCGGCATCGTGCCGGACATCCTGATCAATTGCGCGGGCGTGATGCGGCGCAACCTGTGCGAGAACGCCACCGACGACGAAATCGATCTGGTGAGACAAACACCCTCGGTCACTTTTTTATGCTGACCCTCTTCCTTCCGCTTCTTAGCTGGTCGACGTCAACATGAAGGCCGTGTACATCTCGATGCAAGAGTTCGGGCGGAAGCTGTTCGCCCTCGGCCGGCCGGGCAAGATCATCAACATCGCCTCCGTCACGTCGTACCAGGCCGGGTTCAACACGAGCGTCTACTCGAGCACCAAGGGCGCGGTGCTGCAGATGACCAAGGCCTTCAGCAACGAGTGGGCCGGCAAGGGTATCCAGGTCAACTGTATCGCCCCCGGCTTCATGCGCACCTCCATGACCGCCCAGTACCAGGACGACCAGAAGATGGTCGACTACCTCATGCTGCGCGTGCCCATGCAGCGCTGGGGCGAGCCTCAGGACCTGGTGCCCGCCATGCTCTTCCTGGCCGCCCCGGGCAATACGTTCACGTCGGGGGCTTGTCTGATTGTCGATGGCGGGTTTTGCGGCAAATAATTACAGACTCTCATCAGGCCCAGACCAAATACATAAATGAGTCTGATGGTCACCATATTCTTACACATATATATAAATCGCCGTGGGATGAATCGAGCTGGAAAAATATCCGGCTGCCAGATACCATATACAATATACAGGGCCGCGTGTGGCAATGTCTGCATGCAGTGCTTGAAACCTAGACTCAGCAGCTTCCTCCTTGTCCACCCTCCAATAATTGTACAATGTGTAACGGGAATGGCTTTGGCGCTTGCCACTTCTGTGTTGCAGAGAAGATCATTCAAGGACCGGCGGTGTTGGGGACGAGGATGCCAACTCCACCAGCCACTCCTTCGGATCGCGATGAGATATGTAGACACTTTGTCCGCCTTTTTCCTTTTTGCCATGTCCACCGCCATCCCCGTCGGCAGGCCGGACGCTACCACAAACGAGATAAGGTTCGTATAGACTGGAACTTACCCCATAAGAGTTAAGTGGTAAGGAAGGTTCTTCTCCTTCTTCTAAACCGTCTGCGTCCTCTTCTCCCTCTTCTCGATTGTGCTTCGTAACACGACACAGCACAGCACATCATTTCCACCGGTAGGAGGCCAGGTGTTCGGCCGTAGCCTGAGACAGTTCTCGCCAGATCCGCGCGCCGTAGTCGGCCAAACGAGAATTTTCTTTCCCCTTGACCACCGCCGTGACCGAGAACCGCGACCCGCGCCGGCCAAGGTTCGATCGCCGGGGACTGGGATCTTTGGACGGTGGAGATGGCCGTGGTCGCGTACATGCTTCGTCTTCCAGTTCCAGAAAAGCGTGGATGTCGCCGCTCGTCCTGACCATGTGGACGGTCGGTCCACACGACGTGAGATCACCGGAGCATGGTGTTACTGCTTCTCGATACGGTGTTCTGAGCTGTGGTGACAGAGGACAGAGAGTCCGGTCCCCCAGCAGCGATCGGTGATATTGGGGGAGACGTTCGAAGCTCTCGGGTGTCGCGATCATCATGAAAGTTCCGGCGTCGTAGCATTCGGCCTTGCGTTGCCTTTCTTCGTTGCTCTGCAGCATTCCGAAGCTGGCAAGGCCGTCATTCTGGGCAGACGGTTTCGTCGGAGCACTCTCATGATGCCATATAAAGGGAATGGATTTGTCGACTTTGTTGTTATACCGACGTACGATGCGGGCGGTGTAATGGCGAAAGAAGAGTCGAGGTTTCCATTCGCACCGGAGTGACAAGCGCTGACAATGGTCACATCGGGGCCGCAACTCATCGCATTTGACCTGCACGAACAAGAGAGAGGGTCGTCATCATCATCATCGTCATCAACAAGTCTGCGACAGCGGAAGGTCCCGCGTACCTTGCGATCCCGACATGTTTGGCACCCCGTCTTCGACCTGTTGTACGGTTGTGGCGAGTGGAATTTTCGTGGACGGTCTCCCTCATCTTCTCCTTCATCTTGGAGTGTTTGCCCGTGCTGATCGAGACACTGAGATGATGGTGGGAGGCTGCTGATCGCTAGGCTCATCTTTCGCGACTGGTCTGGATGGTAGAGCGGCAGACGGCCTGATGGCGGGGTAGCATTCTCTGCCTCGTGGACAGCTCAAATGACAATTAAGTGATAAGTGATGAAGTAAGTGGGAAAAAGAAATGAGGTCGGAGGAGAATTCCTCTTCCTGGAAGGAAATGTCTTCTTCTTCTTACGAGTACATATCCAGCAGCTGATGGTGATGCAAGGGATCCAGACCGGCGGCTAGCCCACGGGTTCGATGAGGCTTTCCCTTTCTTTCCATCGAACAACCAGGGCTGTGGCCGATCCTTGCTCGACAGAGAATCATCCGGCCAGCTCGGACGTTGCATTGCCGCCCGTGCTGCGGAGATCATGTCCGTAGCGAGGAGGATTCGTGCTGATCATCCAGCAGGAGCTTCCTCTTTTCGAGCATCACAAATGTGGCGGTCATGGCACATTGAAGCTTGATTAATCTAGGTCGCTTCTGCCCTCGCAGCAGCAATGGCATGCATCCTCAAGAACTCGGTCCCGTCAACAAATCCCTCCCCCTTGCTGCCAGCGAGCCTTATTGAACGCGAGATCATGTCCCTTATCCCCTGGAATAGTCCCAGCCACTGAGCAACCAGCGGGTAACTGACACCGAACGCCTTCCGAACAACAAACTACTGTACAAGCACGAGGAATTGTTTTCCTTTCCGGCAACAATATCGCCCGTGATTCTCTGCCCAGCTTCGCGTCTTTCCTGGGTCGAATAAAGTATCTCTCTGAGCCCGCTCTGGGAACTGGTATTATTACCTCGAACGTTGTCTTGCCATGCGTTTCCGCCCGCGTGTCTAACAATAACATCGCCGGGAAGGTTTGATCGAAGGGGACTTGGCCTGCAGATACACGGCCCGAGTTCGCACGCAATCCGTCTCGCGATCGATTGGTTAAAACACCTTCCGGGGCTCCAGCCATGGGATCTGTAGACCTGGACCACCAGATCGAAGCAGGAGCTGTTGGTCCCAATTCTCCTTGTTCCCCCCTTTACCCCGGACGAGAGAACTGTCGAAATGGTTCGTCTGAGCTGATGGATCATCTACCCAGCGGACCGATCATGGCTTCGGAGATCTTTTGCGACGACCTGCAAAGGCACCGTTTATTGGATATCCGGATCCAGACACCCGGATATAGTCTCCGTGACCCGACAGAAGATGAAGAGAAGATGCCTCCTCCCCCCTGCGTAGATCGACATGCCTCAACACCAAAGCCCGTAGGGATCGGCGTCTGAGAGACATACAGGAAACCCAGGTCGAATGAAGTCCCAGCAGCTCCAAAGCTTAACATGGAGCTGAAAACCACGAGGCCACTTCGACCATCGGCTTTTTGAAGGATAAACTAGTCTTGTTCAGCATCTCTCAAAGATATTTGCATTTCCTTGTAAGGAGGGGCAGGTTTCTGTCCCGGGGCCATGGAAAAGCTAGACAAGCCCATTCTTCAATTATCAAAAGTGTAGCACCTATGTGTCGACGACGAACCTTAAGCGCCAAACCCTGCAGGCCAGGCTGATTGATTGATGGAGTCTGAGCACCTTCTCTCCCGCGATCGGGGTCATCCAACACCTAGAACGAAGAAGGATCATCGTCAGCCTGCACATGCCATTCCGACGCCTCTCGAGTTCTCGTTGACGCTCGACCGGCTTAGAGAGCTTTGGGACAACCCAGGTGAGCAGAAGGATGCTGCCATGCACGAACCAACCCTGAGAGAGAGCCAAACAAACAGTCGAAAACCATAACCATAACCGCCCGCGACCCGAGAAGTCCCAGCCACCACCATCCTCTCTCTTCACGGGCCATTTCTTACAGCCACGGGCCAGCCCGGTGGTGTACATCCCTCTCTCGACGAAAGGAGCCATCCCTACTCTCCCGTCCCCGTCCCTCTTGCCCTTCGGGTTCTCCCAGGACATCCTGCGCGAGTGTCGAGAGCGGACAGAAATCGAGACACGACTCACAGCATTCGACCCTATAATGGACGCCTTCATCTTCGAGCTTCTCAGAAGGCTCGAGGAGTGTCGAAGGTGTCAGTGGGCCATGGAGATGCTGGCCGTGCACCCTGATGACTGTGCGTTGGTCAGCGCGACCATGCACAACGTCTGTCCGCCGTGACTGAGAGCCACGACGGGAAGTTACTTCATCGAGGAGGAAGAGGAGGACGAGCAGGAGGTGGGGCTTGAGAAATGAATCCCCCTTTAATTCATGCAGATGTGATGTTCCGCGCGTCGCAAAGCTGACGTTCCGATCGTGTCAGGGCACTGTCTTTTCCTGATATAGGTTTGGAGCAAGCTTGGGAACCATGGTTGACGGATGGGCAGTCAATTAGTGCTCACGACCACGTCGGGACTTGCTCACGACAGCTGGTTCTTGCGCCGGTGCACTTATAAGAAAGTTTGGAACCCATCACACTGGTGGTCAACCTTTTGCAACCTGATATGTTGCTGTGGCTGCCTCTGACAAGTGTTTGACATGTGTTCGCGCACACACACGGCTTGGCCTTCCTGATGTCTCGCTGCTAATGCTTCTGCTGCTCAGTAGAGATGTTGGCGTCGTTGGCCAGATTCAGATGTGCCTGCCCACAGTTCTTCATTGGCCTGGCTCTCTGCACAAAGTCTCTCACTGATTGAACTGCACGCGCACAGTTCATTTCAAAACGTCCGGCACGGCGACGTGATAGTGCGAGTGCCGACGTTGCCGGCCATATTCCTCGTCCTCCACCACCGTGTACTCGTTGGCTACGCTGATTCGTCCCTTCCCGTCTGCGGTGGATACGTCGGCCGACGACCTCGCCTGGTGAGGCGACGCTCGGGCCCGTCGGCGTCTTCGTCGGCGTCGTATGTGACCTTGTCATCTCCGACGAGCCCCTTGTTGCTGTTGTTGTTATTGTTCCTGTGGTTGTCGCCACGTTTGTTCCAGAGCGTGGCGAGCTGGTGCGTGTGACCGCTGCTGACCACACCGGCGGCGGAACTGCCCTGGGACTCCTTCGTGCCTCTTGACCCCGACGACGACAGTTCGCCTTTTCGCCAGATGCTGTAGAAGGCCTTGAGGCCCGGCATGTTGGCGGCGAAGATGCCGACCTGGATTTCCACGGCCGAGATCAGGATCATGCGGCCCAGGATGTACGTGAAGTCCGGGGTCGTGGCGAACTGGTTGACCACGATCAGCCGCAGGCCCGACACCACCACCACGATCTCGCCCATCGTGATCATCGAGTACACGGCGATGCGGCGCCGCCAGCTCATCTGCAGGCCCTAGAACATGGTGACGGGTAGGAAGAGGATGATGCAAGCGAGGAAGAGTTCCTGGCGTCAACATTGTCAGCACAAATGATAAAGAACATTCATCCTCAGCCTCGATACAGTGTCGGACATACCAAGCTTCCCGGCACAAAATACGTCACTTTCGACGGGAGACACTTCGCCGCGGGGAACTGCGTGGGATACCAAAAGGCCTCGAGGGGGGTCGCATTGCAGGCAGTAGATCAGCCGGATGGTGAGGGTGATGACTCCGGTCAGGCCGATGGTGTCAAAGACAAGCATGCGGTACGTGCGTTCTTTCGCGAGTCGGAGGTAGAAGAGCAGGAAGCAGATCTTGATCCAGAAGTGCATCCAGATATAGTAGATTTCTTCGGCGAAGAGGACCTAGAACAGAAAGTTAGCTGAGGCGTGACGCAACGTAACGCAACGCAATAACATAAAGGGTGCGTACGCGTAATTGTTCCGAATGCGGTCCCTTGAGACCGCTCTATCCATAGCCATACTGATCGACAGGATACCTGGCGCAATATGTCGTCCTTTTTTTTACGGAGAAGTCCCTTCGAGGAGGCAACACAGACCTGTGGCTCCATGGTAAGAATCTCCTTCAATATGGGTACGCAACCGCTTGTCCAGAAGGGAATTAAAGTACGTGATAGCCTCGTCGATGCGGAACTCGTGCCTGCGGGAGTCGTCGCTACAATAATTTGAAAGCCTTGTCAGTGACCAAGACAAATGGCGTCCAATTCGGGGTGGCCCCTTTCCATCTTCTCATGCGGGCAGCGAACGCTCAACCCTTGTAATCTGCGCGCTCTAGCATAAATATGGGGTAGCAGTGGAGATCGTTAACACGAGCATGTGTCACTCGTCACCCAGGCCGTGGCAGTAATAGCCGGCTGAGTTATATTGTCGTGATGTTGGATGGAAATTCAGGTGTTAGGGGGTGCTTCCAGAGGGAAGTATACAGGGTACCTCTCCATAGATTCTCCTGAATAAGACCAGATGCTGCGGAGTAGTTGCCAATGGTACCACGAAATCCCCGAGGACAAGCTCCACTGATCGACGAAGGATGAAGCACCTTAGCCCCTGTCAGTATTTGCCGCCCTTCTCCGTTTGGGCCGTTGAAGTTCCTGGTCAACGTCCGGCTAGCTATCTGGCCAGGGAGGTATGTCGACACGACAAGTCATGCATACATAGCACGATTGTCATTCGCAAGTCGACTTCGATCAGCCGTCTGCGAGTCAGCCAACGGCAATGCTGAATCCGTTCACCCCACGAAGTCTCGCGTCTTCGAATGACTTCTGGCTCTTAACGACCCTCCACATGGAAGTATGTGCTCGGACCGCGTAGTCCATTCCCACACTGGTATAGAGACAGCAGCACCGCAGCGACCATCTTCGCTTAACCGTTTTGTCGAGATCTGCACGCCCGGCAAACGGTGGTGAAGCACTTAAAGAATACATGCCCCACAACCCGGGGACCACCAGCAGACAACAACACAGGGATTGTGTCTTCTCAGTAAAGACCCGCTGGAGTGTATCGGACCGCAGCACAGAAAGATCGCCTTGATTCGAAGCCTAGCGTATACCCATATGCCTCCCTACTTGCAGAGCGAGACAAGGCCAGGCCTGCCAGTTGCTGCTCCAGACTCAGATCCCCCCTCAGACCAGTCAAGAAGCTCCGCATGCACACTACCATATCAACAGCAAAGCAGGGTCCCTGCTACCTTACTCACCAGGGAAGCCGATCCCAGCATTGTGGCTCGGACCTGTGAAATGTCAGAAAATTGGAGAGAACCCCGGTTTCGTCTTTGTTCATGTCGGATTCGAAAGATGCCGGCAGCATGCTCTTCCACAGGAGGAACCTTCCTGTAGCATTTTCCTTCTGTTGAATTTGCTATTTCGGTACGTGCTGATTCGACCGGCACTCTCCTTCTGATGCTTCTGACTTGTCTTCCTAGCGAAGAGTTATTCCCACTCTGAGACGTCACACGAGAGGTAATCCTCCCTGCAGGCATGGAATCGGAGTGGACGACCATGAACCTGCTCTAGCATGCGTTGAACGCCGAGCTCGGGGTTACTGTTACCGCCGCCTTGGTGCTGGGAGTCATCGTCCACCAGAGCATACGTTTAATCGAGATTGATAATCGAGTATGGACGCTCCTCATTCTCTTCTCTGGCTTCAATGCTGCGGCTTTCGTCGGCTATGCTTTTGTCGTGCAACATGGGATACTTGCAGCAGGGTTCCGAGTCTTCGTGGTGGATGGCGCATTTCTTACTGGCGTGTATGGTAGCATTGCCATCTACCGGTTGTTTTTCCATCGGCTGAGGAACTTCCCCGGACCTTGGGGCGCGACGCTATCTCGGTTTTGGGCTCTGCGACGATCGATGAAAAAGGTCCAGTTCAATTATGAAGTGGAAGCCTTGCACAAGCAATACGGAGACTTCGTTCGGATCGGTACGCAGGATTGGAGCTGCCGACATCGACTCTGCTGATGGTTAGCATAGGTCCTCGCGAGATTTCAATTAATCGGGCTTCTGCTATCGACCTTGTATACGGACCTCCTTCAAAGTTGCCCAAATCGACCTGGTACAGCCAAGTTTCGGATGACGTTAATAAGTGCTCCATCAACTCAACACGGGACATGCAGATCCAACGTCGAAGGCGACGGGCTTGGGACCGCGGCTTTAGTATCAAAGGTGACTTGCTCTTCAGATCTTCGATGAATGCGGCCTGACTTCATTCTGGTAGCACTGTCAACATACGAGCCCCGTGTGAAAGCAAAGACAGATCTCTTGCTGTCACAGATTGCCCGAACAAAAGGCTCGGCGATGAATATCACCGAATGGTCGATGTTTTATACCTTCGATGTCATGGGCGATATTGGCTTGAGCAAAGACTTTGAGATGCTGACCACCGGAGGTGAGCACAAAGCGATCAAGGCACTGCATGATCAAATGATCACAATCGGTACTCTCGGCACTCTCCCCTGGCTGTTGGCATTTTTCAGTGCTATTCCCGGAATTGCCGGCACGTTTCGGGACTTTATGGAGTTCTGTCGAGATCAACTCGAAGAGAAGAAGCGAGTCAGTGCCGGTCTTGCCTACCTGAGACGGGTTGAAAGCTGCTAACCAGTTGGATTTCGTGCACAGTTAACGGGAAAGGATCAAGAGCCTCGTGATGTGATTTCTTGGTTGATCAAGGCCAAGTATGAGAACGATCAGTCCGCGCCACCTTCGGACTTTGCACTGAGTGAGGATACTCGCCTGATCATCATCGCCGGAAGGTATGTTACCGTCTGTCCACATGTAATACTCTGTCCGCAGCACTCTTTTAATGCATTGTCAGTGACACCACCGCGGCCGCTCTTGCCAACACATTCTTTTACCTGGCGAAGAACCCGATCGTGCAGCAAAAGCTCCAGAAAGAGCTGGATACCGTATTTCCTACCGGTGAGAAGGATTGGACGTACGAGAAGGCGAAATTTCCGTATTTGGACAATATCATCAATGAATCCTTGCGCCTCAAGCCTCCCGTGCCAGGCGGTCTTCCTCGAATCACCCCTCCGCAAAGGCTGCAGATTGACGAAGTGTATATTCCCGGAGACACCATCGTCGGCGTTCCAGTTCATACCCTGCAGCGAGATCCGAGATATTTCGAGCGACCTTTGGATTTTGTACCCGAAAGATGGGAAAAGACCAGCGTGGAAAAGAACCCCTTCTTCCCTTTCTCGAAAGGTATGTCAACAACTCAAAGAATCAATATAGCGTCCCCGGTGAAAACACCGTGCTGACTTTGGTGGTAGGAGCATTCGGCTGTGTCGGGAAGCAGCTTGCAATGATGGAACTTCGCATGGTCTTGTCAAGGGTTGCTCTGGGCTTCGACATTTCCTTCGCAGACGGCGAGGATGGGGTCAAATTCGACGCTGAGGTTTTGGACACGTTCACGCTTACATTGCCACCGCTGAAGATGAAGTTCACTCCTAGGCACTAGACGGGCGAAAACCAGGACCTAACTATCTGTTCAGGGGATCAGCTGCTGCTGAGACGTGGGCGTTCGAAGTAAGAGGCTGACCGGTCTTGTCCCAATGTCGATATAACGAAGACTTCAGCTGAGGCCCTGTGAGGAAAAGTTACTGCTTGGTCTATGGACGTGTGTAAGGTTGACGTGGAGTGGTGTGTAAACACGCGACACGATGTGGGAACTACGCGATATCACCTGACAAGCTTTGCTAGGCCAGCCTAGGATTAGCGTTAAACTATCTATAGTGTCCCTTCCTAATGTTTACCATTCTCTTCTGATTGGAGACACAGACTCGACCATGACAACAACCTGGTTACGCAGGTATAACCATCTCCGCCACCCAGGCAACCTTCTGAGCCTTGTTCCAGTCTACCAAACATCATGCTGAAGCGGCCAGAAAAGCCTTGCAAGAAATTGCATAATCCGAGGCTGAGATCACAGAAACATCTCACATAACAAACCTGCAAGGGCATGTTGTCATCGTCGAAGGTTTCATCCAGGCTCAGGATGCTTTTTCAACAGCGCCTCATCCGAAGCATAAATAATATCGTTCCGAGAGAACTATTGACGACATCAGTTTTGACGAGTGTAAGAGAGGAATACTGTCTTTACCTTGCTAAGTCGACTGCTACAGCCTTTCAATATTGTTTGTCCTTCTCATCTGCCCAGGCCCCCACACCCTGCACGGATTGGCAATTTGTCTCATTCTTAACAGCAGTGTCACTCTTCGCTTCCCCATCAGCTGCCTCCAACCTGGCAAGCTCTCGCTCCAGGGCGGCAGCAGCACGGAGTTGCTGATGGATCAAGTCTCTTTTCTGCTGCTGGTGGTCTCCACCAATGGAATAGCCATGGCAGCTGTATACCCAGTCTCTAGTTTGCCGGTGCAGAGTGGCTTCGACTTGCAGGCTGTTTGCACCAAGGTCAGCCTTGATGAGACTGGGTTGAAATCCGTTCGTTGTATTGAAGGTCTGTGGAGTCTTTTGTGCCTTGGCGGGCTCAGAGAAGTGGGTTGAGTTTATGTTGGACCTCGTCGAGGTGCCATAACGGAACTCTGCAGACGTGTCAGCCACTGGTCCAAGTCCCTAGCAGTCAAGTTGGGGCGGGACTACTGTGTTCAGCATTGACGGGATCAGACATTGGGAGTTACAAATGGAGAGCGCTTCGTTTCTCGAGGAAGAGATGAATCAAGTGGTTGAAGCAGTTCAGACTGACGGCAATTTTGCGAGCTTCTTATACTTCCATTTCCTGCTGCGCATTACAGCATCGACAATCGGGGCGCCCTCGCTCAACACAGCGAACCGGTTGGCCAGGGTGCTGTATTATGCCTGAAAGACTAACGTGGGGGGCTGGGACCGGGGTGTGTCGAGTAAACAGTTTGTAGGCCACTTGCTCGATGGACGCGCCTGTTGTAATTCTCCTTTTAGAAATCTACACGACTACCGCAACTGTATGTCCAGTCCTTTCAAGGGGCACTCCCAGCCTCTTCCTGTTAACGAGTTGTTTTATCGGTTTGCTCCGGCGGTCTCCTCGACGGCCTACCATTGCCCCAGGCATTACCTCCTTTGAAACGTGGAATAACTTGGTCTGCAGAATGGTAGGCCACTCTCTCTCTCATAGGCCACTCTCTCTCTCATAGGCCACTCTCTCTCTCATAGGCCACTCTCTCTCTCATAGGCCACTCTCTCTCTCATAGGCCACTCTCTCTCTCATAAGCCACTCTGTAGGCCGCTCTTAGGGCCACAAAGATCGCAACGTATTGTACTGAGAGGTTTGGTTGGCCCTATGCAGTGGGCTGCATGTCAAAGGGCTTGCGACGAGGTCGGGTCTGGCTAACTCCGCAATCATCCTGGCTACCAGGGAGCCGGCTGCTCGTGATCGTGATTTTGTCAAGTCTTGAAGAAATGCCAAAAATAATGAATAGTGTGAAGTCGTCATCTGATTTTCGACATTTTGTATTGGTAGCTATGTACACTATCTAGACAGGAGGTTTGTACTCTGCCTTTTGTAATGTAAGCAAACACGTTCTTGGGGAAACGATTGCGCTCGCCGACCACGGTAGATTTATTTTGCTATGAGAGAAGTGGCGTTTAACACAGTGTTGCCAACATAGGAAGTGAAACAAGCAGATATCAGCACCGTACAACGCCACGAGTCCCAATATGTTCGCCCGCGACTCGTGGCGTTGTACGGTGAGACAAAGTCGATTTTGAAGCAATATCATCGATCTTACGAACCTGTGGCCTGCAGACGAAGCCTTTCAATCATTTTCAAGCTGAATCATGGGCTGGCGAGGAACCCAATACCCGATGAACGTTTCGGAGATGTCGACGAAGGGTGTCAGAACGTGTAAAACCTCTATGCCTCCCGGTCGAGCTCCATTCGCATCTCGGACTAGAACATGGAAAGAGTTGAATGTGCTTGTTGTGCTTGGCATGGACAGTCTTCAGGTGTCTGGTGAGGTCTTTCTGATACTGGAATCTCTTGTTGCATTCAGGTTGCTCGCATACAAAACGAGGGTCGTGCCGTCTTTGGTGCGTCGTAAGCTGATGCTTCTTTCGGAAGGCTCTCGGGGGATTGCATTTGTGGCAATAGTGGCAGCTGTCCTCGGCAAAATTTAGTGACGCAGCTGACCCGAAGACACCTTTCCCATCATTAGGCTGCCTGTTCAAGGTTACAGGTGTTGGTGCGGACATATCATTTTCATGATGAACGAATGGCTTCTTTCGCCGTTCAGGTCGCACGCCGGGATGGGCATCCGTAGAGTCCTGAAGCCTGGAAAGCGTGCCCTCAATAGGCGCGGGACCCCCGAGAACTTCTTGTGAATCGGCATTCGGGTGGTCAGTCGACATAGGGAAATGGTCCAGTTCAAAAAATGGATTATCGTCTAGCTCTGGTAGGATCCAGTTGCTGTGAAGGCAGGCATCGTCCGCTAGCCATAAGTTTACAGGATTGATGAAGTTTGCTTCAAGATCGACTTTGTCTAGGGCTTCGTATGAGGCATGTTGATTAATTGGGAGGCGCGCGAGGAGGAGCCGCCCCCCCGCGAGCGGGAAGTTGTATCGATTTTAGAGGGTGGGAAGCAGTAGTGATCTGAAGGGATGGTGCAAAAGGGACTGGGAGTGTGTAGGAGGGAAAAAGGAAGTCGCACAAAACCTGGGCGGGTCAGCGTCTTGAACAGGTCTTGAGCGGCCTACCATCGAGCGGCCTACCATTCTGCCAGCCTTACCATCAAGTTCGCCTACCGATCGCCCGACCGTCAAGTGGGTGTGCAAATCAGGTGGACAGATGCACTGTGTATCCAGCGACCAGATAGGCACGTGGGGGAATTGGGGGGAAACTCGATGGTGCGGTGCCAAGACGCTTAGCGGTTCCTGGTGGTTCCCTCTCCGACGGCATGTGGCTGCTTGCCTGGAGCCGCCGCCGCTGTGGCTCCTTCGATATTACGAGGCTTTGTTTGAGGGCATGAACATCAACACGACCACAGTCCTCCTCATCCTCGCAGTCTTTACATTATACCAGCCCAGTCCCACTGTTGAAAGCCTATCCATGTGATACCTGCAGCCGACGAAAATGCAGCATGGCCAGTCCACCTCCTTCCTATGGCGACGCCCCTCCTCTCCAAAGTTACCGCAGGTCCTTTACTCTACCTGCACGCACGCTCTCCCTCCATGAAAAGGCTGGATTGGACAAGTCAGACGCCGATGCCGATCTCCTGTACTCCCACCCCTCTGCGCGCATTATCGCCTTCTCTCCTCCCAAAGAGTTGATCCCCACGCAGAGCAAGGAGACATTGCCCGATGCCGACTACCCCATTGACACGGTAGAAACCCTGCCATGGCGATCGCGCACAGAGATCTTGGCTGCCACCGGTCCTATAGTCATAGAGAAGGTCCGTGGCTCCAGCTATTTTCTGAAATCCGCGGACCAGAAGGTCATCCACACCATCATGCGCAATTCGCAGTGCTGGTGTGTCGATGGAGAATCAAAATTCGTCTTGCGCATAGGAAAATTCAGATACTACAGAATCGAGCTTCCGTCGGAAACGGAAGAGGACAAGAAGAAAGTTGAGGAATTGAAAGCGGCCCTGCCGAAAGTGCTCCGATTTGAGAGGACGCCATGTCCTTTCAAGCGCGCATTTCACGTGGACCTCCCAGAGGATGCAATAACACCTCGAAGGAAAGGAACCTGGAAACGGAGACAGCAGCCGGAACCGTCCACTCCAAACACTGACCCATTGCCCGTGGGCAGGACGAAGACTTCACGAGCGTGGAGTTTTCAAGGACAGAACGGCTTGAGATCCGTTCAGACTTATGGACGTCGTGGATCAGACTATGGCTACAGCCCAAGTCCAAGCTCGTCCCGGTCACGGCCCGCAGCTGATGGCTACCGATCCTCCACACCGTCTAGTGTTGCATCTAGTGAGGACCGCCGCGAGAGAAGACAGTTCGACCAGTCCAGTGACGATGGTTCGCAGCCCGAGGAGGAGCGTGAGGAGGTCCTTCCGAGGCGGGGACTTGTTCGAAGCGCAGTTGGCGCTTCACGTTCCCAGAGGTCGTCCATTGTCGATTCTAAACAAACGGACCCGAATCCATCTCCTGGACCAGATGATGAAGAATCTGCTCGAAACACAGAGTCGAGGGATGTGTCGACCGAACAGCTTGCTGATCCTTCTCCAGCTGAAGCTGGGGCAGAAATTATGGTTGATGCGACACCAATGGCGGTACTACAACCTCAGGATGATGGTGCAGACGAAATATCTGGCGAGACAAATGCGCCGGAACTAGCAGAGCAGAACTTGAAAATCGAGGCTCCTCATGAGAAAATCCACCCAGCGGTCGATCAGACGGATTGGCAGCCAGCGGGGCACCAAGAGGAAGTGCCCGAAGAGCCAGAACAAGCGGCCGCAACGTCTACGTCCACTGAAACCGAATCCGAGCTGGCTCTATCTCAGATAATTGAGCCATCCGCCAACACTGCAGGTGCTGAGAACTTACTAGAGATATCCTCAACAGCTGATTCAGGGGACTTCGAAATGTCCTCATCATTACCTCTGGGAGGAGAACGCGACGCCCGTGAAGTGGCTGCTCTTGCTGGAAACGAAGCCTCACTTAGCAGGGTCTCGAGTGTGGCCTCTTTCTACACGACAGATTCCCTCGCACAAGACCCGCCCAGTGAAAACATCCAGATTATCGACTTTGAACAACAGCCTCATGCGGAAGGGTTTACTCCTTTCTTTTTGAATAGGAATCAACACCAAAGGGGCCTTTCTGAGCTGACAGTCACGGCATCCACCGTGGAATCCGAACAGAGTCCTAAAATGCGACCTTCTACCAGTGGTTCAATGGACAAGGCTTCGACTCCTGGTCTGGCGCAATCTTCCATGTCAGATACGTCCTGGTCGGAGGTTCATACGCCTCCGACATCGCCGATCAAGGAGGGATTAAGACGGCGCTTGCACGCCAAACGATCCTTTTCGCCTCTCCCGCCATCCACTACTCTGCTAGCACCTTCGCCGTCCCCAACAAACTATGGGAGTCCTTTCACTGCCGAATTCCTCCAGAAAGCTGCCAACGTTGCATTTGTCAAACCCATTGAGGCCGTTGTCCTATTGGTCCATATTCTAGCCCGAATAGCCGGCGGTGCCACGGTGAGCGACCTACTAAGTGGCGAGTTGTTTCGCCGACCGGAAACACACCGGCGGAGGACGAGCTTCCCGGACCAACCTCCAGCGCCAAGGGATGATAGCGAGGAAGAAGATGACTTTGGAGTGCCAATCAGGGGGCGAACGAAAAGTCATGATCCAGGCTTGAAGCCCGATGCTACAAACACTATACCGACGAAAGATGACGATGCAGACTCCATCTTTGATCTGGATTAGGCATCCTGCTCCTGATATTAGTCTGCTGAGGTGGGAGAATCAGCCCGCGTGCGGGACCATTGTATCCCGGTTATTTTCGCTATTAATCAACAGGCGAGGTTTATATTTGAGCACGGCGCTCTTCACGACCATAGTAACGACTGGGTCCTATGTACAAAGATGCGCGGGATGTTTGCGGAATGTTTGCTTTTTGCTTGATGATACCACCAGTTTTCACGCTCAATGGCGCAATTGCACTGAATTGGCCCGCTTCAAGATGCTTGCTGTGTGTGACTCGTTCGTCTTGCAGTGCTCGTATCAAGCACGAGACGTTCTTCCTTTGCGGACAATCTTTGGCATATCCTGATCAGCAACGCCAGATGGACAGCTGTCTGTTATAGGTCTGGTGCGTTCGTCCTTAGGTGCCTTTCCCTCATTTCGCTGCAGTAGACCAACAGGCGTTCCTTGGTCCATGATGATCCAATTGTAGCAGACAGGCTTTTATCTCCGCTCGTGTCTCGGACCATCTGCAATATGTCCACCGACATCGCCTGTACTTTCACAGATTGACAGAGCCAGTCGTACAAAGGCACTCTTGCAGCACAGGACATTCAGTCGCCGTGTGCCCAACCCAGGACCTCGTGCTGAAGAACTGCTTCCGCATCGTGCATTAGAAGAAGCGACTTTTGCCTTCCCTTCACGACCCCGAAGCCTTCTCCCCAGCGCCAGCACCAGCACCAGCCTTCCCCTTCTTCTTCGCCTTGGCCTTCTCTTTGGCCTTCTTCTTGTCCCGCTTCCTCAGCCCCTCCATCCCCTTCTTACAAGTCTCAGCATACTTGGTGTAGAACCCCTCCAGCTCCGACATCTCGACCACTGTTGCAAACTTCACCTTCTCCTTCTTCGTGTCGCCAGCCTTGGCCTTCTTGGCCGCCAACCGGTGTTGCTTGGAGAGGCCATTCGAGGCGCGGATCAGGACCTGTGAGGGTGGCGGGGAAGCCGAGGTCGCTTGGTCGTCTGTGGGTGTCAAGGGCTTTTGTGTGAGATAGACCGAGCCGTGGGTTGCGGCGTGTGTGGACGAGAGGAGGGTGGTGAGGCGGGAGAGGAACTGTGTGCACGGGTTAAAGGTGGGCCTTTTATCTTCCAAGGGAAATGCATTACCTCGTCGTTGCTCAGACGTTCCTGCGACATATTTGTTTGTTCTGGCGTTCGTCAACTGAGTCGCATGTTCATGTCATTGACTCGAATTGTCGTTGGTGGGGAGTGTCCGATGCATCAAAAATGCCCGCCTAATCTTCGGCTAAACCATCTCCGCATTTTCCAAAAAATCCAAAGTCCCAAGCGCAGTTCTACAAAGTCCTCAGTAATACTTCCAGATCACCGGCCCTTGAGAGTTTCGGGCTCTACTGTCTCTAGCCAATGTCGCGACAGGGCACCCGAGCCCGCACCGGCCTGAAGTTGCCCTTTGCGCTTGAAAAAGAGCTTGGGCTCGAAGGCACATTGCAACCACGCACTGGAGGAGGGCGACGCTGGCATGGTTTGGTGCAAAGTAGAAAAGAGCAGCGGAAAGCGCAAAGGCAGGAGAAGAGACAGAATATAAAGGGGCCAGTGGTCCGGAGGGGACCGCCCATCACAAGGCAGGGGCTCTCAGATGGAGGAGACTCCGACGAAGACGGTGACGAACCTTTCTTCGCCCCTGCCGTGTCGAAAAGAGGCAGTGTGAAACAAAAGACCAAGAAAGAAGAGCCCAAGAAACCGAAATCGATTCTTAAAAGGCATAGAGACACGTCTCCGTCACTATCTGAGAGCTCCCTTCCATCGCGAGCCCGGTCTTCATCTCCTGGTCTCGTCCTCGACGCCAACTCTCAAGCCTTCAAAGAGCGAGCTGCACAGGATGACGCCGAGATTGCGGTGCTCGAGAGGAAGCTGGGGTTGAAGAAGAAGAAAACATCCAAGTCTTTCGCAGATGATGGGTTGGACGACTTGCTGGAGCTGCTGGACGGGGAGGATCGAGGTGTCAAGAGGAAGGGCGAGGGTGAGGCGTGGTTGGACAGGAAGAGAAGAAAGGCGGATACTGAGGACGATGAAAGCGCTGAGGAGGACTTTGGGAGTGACGATGATGGTGACGACGACAAGCTCGATGGAGAACTGGGTGAAAGCGACGATTCGTTGGATGAGCAACTGGAGGGGGGCTTCGAAGAGGAGCAGTCTGATGAGGATCTGAGTCAAGGAAGTGAGGACTCCTTCGAGGGCTTCGACTCAGACAAAGACATCCCCGACGTCCAGCCACCAAAGGTCCGCGAAAATCCTTACGTTCCTCCAGTCGCCCAAGCACCCACAGGAAAATATATTCCGCCGTCACTGAGGAAAGTGCAAAATTCCGAAGGCCCTTCGCTGGAAAGACTGAAAAAGCAACTTCAAGGCCACCTCAACAAGCTATCCGAAGCCAACCTCGTATCAATCCTAGGGGAGATCGAGAAACTTTACCAGTCCAATCCTAGACAGGACATTACCTCCGTCCTGATTGATCTCCTCCTAACCTTGTTCTGCAACAGGTCAACCCTCCAGAACACCTTTGTCATCCTCCACGCCGCATACGCAACGGCAGTGTACAAAGTCATTGGCGTAGATTTTGGCGCAGAACTGATCTCGCAGTTGGTCGAGCGACTTGACCATTACCGCAGTGATAGCTCTACTGGCAAAGAGGCACTCAACCTGATCAGTCTTCTCTGCCATCTCTTCACGTTCCACCTGATCAGCAGTACCATAATCTTCGACTATGTCCGATTATTGCTCGAGCGGCTGAGCGAGAACAATACGGAGTTGCTGCTCCGGGTCGTCCGGGACTGCGGACACCAGTTGAGGCAGGATGACCCATCCTCACTCAAAGACATTGTCCAAATTATGCAAAAAGAAGCGGCACGGATGAATTCGGCGGGAGAACAAATGAGCGTGAGGACGAAATTCATGATCGAGACAATCACGGATCTGAAGAACAACAAGATGAAAACGGGGGCGAATAATGCAGGCTTAGCTAGTGAGCACATCACACTGATGCGGAAGGTCCTTGGTTCGTTGAACAACACTCGCACTGTCAGGGCCTCCGAACCACTGCGGATCACGAGAGATGATATTAAGAACAGCGACAAGAAGGGGAAATGGTGGCTAGTTGGCGCCAGCTGGAAAGGTCACGAACCAGCAGCCGCAGCACCAGCGGAAGGACATATCAACACCTCAATGGCGATGACCAGCATTGGACTTGATGATGATGATGATGAGTCGGTCGATCTACTCGCCCTTTCACGTCACTACGGCATGAATACGGACATCCGCCGCTCCATCTTTATCGCCCTTCTCTCAGCGGTGGACTACCAAGACGCGCATCTACGTCTCCTCAAATTGCGTCTCAAGCACAATCAAGAGCTGGAAATCCCCAAAGTACTGCTTCGCTGCAGCGCTGGAGAAAAACCCTACAATCACTACTACACACTCGTGGCGCGCAAACTGTGTCTGGAAAAGAAGATGCGCAAGGCCTTTCAGTTTGCGCTGTGGGATTTCTTTAGGAGAATGGGCGAGAATCCGAAAGGGGACGACGACGAGGAAGAGGATGCCGGCGAAGGAGACCAGGAAGTGGAAATGACCGAGATTGCCAACCTCGCGAGGCTCTATGCTTATCTAATCCTGGATGGAGCAGAGACCCTCGGTGTCCTCAAAGTCCTGGAACTGGCCTACATCAAAGAACGGACGGCCATGTTTGTGGAGCTCCTGCTCATAATCATCATGACCGAGGCGAAGGACAAACCGGCTGCGTTAGCCAAAGTGTTTGATCGCGCGGCAGAGACGCCACAGATCATCAAGAGGCTGCAGTTCTTCATCCAGAAGAACGTGCGGGCTTCGGATCTGGTGGGCAAGAAGGACAGGGACGTGGTCAAACGAGGATGTCAAACTGCGCTGGAGACATTGAGGAAACTCGAGATGATCAACGAGGAGACGGATACATAAAATGCTTCTTGCAGCGTGCGTATGAGATTTCAAATGGATGTGCGAACCAGTTCATGCGTTTGGTTCGAGCTTCCCCCCTCCCAGCCTCGACGAAATTCCAACCATTATCTGTACGCGTTTAACGATAACGGCTCTATTTAACCGGTTCTCGAGATCCCACGTGTCAGGGAGATTCTCAATGGTGGCTTAACACTGTACATTGAGACCACATACAACAACAGACATTCCTTCCAGGAGTCATCGAAGGCCTCACTCCACCTACCACGCGGCCATGAAATCACGAAGAGACGGTGGAAATCCCGCTTCGCCTGCTCAACTGGCTCCTCGTGGAACTCGACCAATGTGCAAAGTCCATGCACGCCGACATATCGCACCAGATCACCGTCGCCACCAGCACGAGCACGAGCCCGAGCCCGAGCCCGAGTCTGGTCACAAGTCATCTCCAGGCTAAAGAGACGGTCCACCTCCCCTCGACGGATTTCCAACGTACTCCGAGCTGCCGGTCTGGGCGTGACCTTGCCAGGCGACTTCCGGATCTCGCTCAACAGGGCCGACGTGGTGAGGCTGACGACGTATTCACTTAGGGCCATCCGCAACCTGTTCGCGCAGTACTACCAGCTCCTGGAGCGCTGGAAGACGGTCGGTTTGCGGTGCCGGCGGGCGCAATGGGCCAGGGAGGAGCTGGTCACGGGGTGGTGGGACGAGCGGGGACAGTATCCAGACAGGGTTGTGGGATGGGGATCTCGAAACCCTCGGCGAGAGGATACAGAAGAAGCTCGATCGGCTTGTGGAGACGTATCTCAAAGCGGTGAACACCGCGGACGGGTAGGGTGATGGCTGGACAGGAATATTTGTCAAATGTGACCCCTTTTTTTGATCAAGAACAGAGTAGCTTGATGGAATGACTGCGAGCTCTGAATCTGGGTCTCAATGGAGGAGATTCCAGACGTTGCACATGGACCGGGTATTGACACAAAACAAACATATACACACTTGACGCCAGTATCATAATAGTTTATACGAGGCAGAATTGGATGGAACAGCATTATCGAACACAACATACGAGGAAGCAAAATAGATGAGTTTATATTTTCGGCCTCTTCCAAAAGATAGAGGGCCATCTCATATCGCAATCCCGCAATCCAGCACGATATTCTGGCCGGTAATCGACTTGCTCAGCACCAGCGTCTTGATCTGGTCGGCGACGTCCTCCGTGGTGGCGGTTGATTTCAAGGCCGACTTCTCGACAGTGGCCTTGACCTTTGCCTCGGGGAATTGGTTGCCCCTGTGACCCGACTCGAAGGTTAGAATCACGATTAATTGAGTGATTGACATTAGACACGGAGAGAGAGGAAGAGAAGGAAGGTAGTGAGTGGGTGAGTAAGTGACTTACCACTCGGTCATCATGAGTCCCGGACTGACGCTGTTACACCTGACTTTCGGTCCGCAGATCATGGCCAGGCCTTTGGTGAGGTGGATCTCGGCGGCCTTGGTGACGGAGTAGGGCAGGGAGGAGCCGCTGGGGCGGACGCCGGCGAGGCTGGCGACGGTAACGAAGGCGCCACCAACGCCCTCGGACTCGGCCGTCTTCTCGAGGTGGGGCTTCGCGGCGTACAGGAGCCACAGGTGGCTCTTGACGTTGACGTTGAAGCAGCGGTCCCAGTCGTCCTCGACGATCTGCTGCTCAAGGTCGAAGAAGTTGGTGAGGCGCGTCCAGCCGGCATTGCTGACCACGACGTCCAGGCGGCCCATGTGCGCGACCGTCTCGCGGACGAGGCGCTCGATCTCGCCGCGCTGCGACATGTCGGCCTGGATGGCGTGGAAGCGCGGCTCGGCCCCCGCGCTGTAGCCCGTGGGCGCGATCGCCGACGCCTCCTGGATCACCTGGTCGGCCTTCTCCCGCCGCGAGTGGTAGTTCACCACCACCCGGAAGTAAGGGGCCAGAGCCTTCACCGTGGCGGCGCCCAGGCCGGCCGACGAGGCTGTGACCAGGGCGACTTTTGCAGCCATCTTTTTGGGGAGACCGGAAGAGAGAGATTTTCAGGGTGAGCAAGGAGACCAAGGGGATTAAGATAGAGGAAGGAGCTTTTTCGAAAGGCGAGGACGTGTAGGTCTAATCGGCGAGGATTCGAAATTGTTTCCCTCCGTTTTATATCGAGGATTGTCGTCGTTCAACCTCAATGCAGTAGACTGGTGGAGGGGGAAGGTTTCTGTTTCTCCTTCTCCGCATTGGCAAAGTTGCCGCCTCCGAAGTCGCGGCGGAACGTTTCCGGCGTCAATTCCGTGGGGGATTGGTTATGTAATGATCACGTGGTAGAGCTCTGGTGCTCGGGATACCTTCCTAAATTGCACGCTATTCGGCCGGGATCACTTGGCATTTCAAAGGCATCAACGCAATTTCAAGTGCAGTCGCTGAGACTGTGTACCTGGAATTGGGGGCTTACACTCATACTAGGCAACTTCAAATCATGCGGCTGGAGCTGCAAGAGCAAGAACCCAAGCAGAGGAGCTAAGGGCAGATCTGTTACTGATTCGCGGCGCATTGCAAGATTCCGGGTTGCTCGGTGGTGAAAGTCTCTTGTCACTTTGCAGTCGAAGGTTTATCGACAGATTAGCTTCACGGCTCTATGATCTGTGGGACTAACGTTCAACCATCAATTTCCAGCGTCCAGAGATCCCCGAGCCGCTCGTTAGATTCCGCAAGACCTCCATGGATCACAACCTTTGGCGTTGGCGAGTTTTGCAAGACATCAGCATCGAACCACCCCCGTGCAGCCGGCCGATCCGAATCAGGTATGTCCACCTTGGCCCAGGTCGACGTGTCGAGATGGAAAATCCAGACGTCGTCAAGCATTTTTCCGGCCCCTTGATGACCGAGGTTGCTGGGATCACTTTCACCAAATAGGGTGACCAGAACCGGTTTCTCGGAGATTTTGGTTGCCACAAGGCAGCCTACGCTTCGCGCTGTAGGACCAGAACGACCGTCTGCGCGATATGCCACGGTTGTCCAAATATCGCTGGCGATGTCATATATGTCAACGTTGCCACCTTGTTCAGTCTTGCCATCGAAACCATTCATGCGGTACAACTTATCTTCCACGAAAGCAATAGAGGGGCCTCCTCGGGCAGGCTCTGGGGCATCAGCCAGCCGGCTCCATGTCCGGTCCGTAATGTGGAATGACCAAAGATCGCACAGCCTACCCTGTTCCGGGCAGCCAGCGTGAAGGAAAATGGTGTCATGGCCATCAGATGTAAGAGCGTAATAGCTTCGACCCTCGGGATATGGTAAGGTTTCATCTTTGGGGGAAACGTGCGCCCATTGCTCTTCAGATGGATCGAAAACCCATAGCGAGCCTTTCTCCTCGATTGGACTCATAGCGACTCCTCCTCTCCCGGAGAAAATGTATAGTTTTCCATTGACGGCCGTCGAGAGGACGCCAACGCGCGGTGATGGACCTGAGCCTGATGCGGCAATCTTTGACACCACGTCCACATCGTTCTGAACTGCAAAGCGTCAACTTTCACCTGATTCTGAAGAGCATGGATCTCAAAAGTGGAAGGTTAGAACCGACCCTCAGCAAGACGGACCATGTGTATGTCTGAATCAACAGGCTCGCGCGGCTTGATTTCTCCGCCGTAAACGTAGGCATTACTGCCAATCACAGACAGGGCATGGGAGGATCTTCGGACTCTTTGCTCGCCCAAAACACGTGTCCACTTAGCCCTGACCATGTTGTTACTGCTCGGACATGTCAATGCTGGATTCATGTGCAATCAGGAAGGGTCAGAGTCTCTCAAACCAGGTCGACAACAAGGATATCGTTGGCCGTTCAATTGATTGGTCGGAAAATGAGGACCTTAAGCAGACGATGTGTCGCGTCTACCGCACCAATTAGAGAACTCATCGCTCACAATCGAGTGGAGGAGACTCGAGGAGAACTGTATATTTCTCTTACACTTGCTGCACACTTCCACTAGATGGCTGAGGCTCTACTAATGATCTACCCGTTCAGTACGAGGTCAATAGCTAAGGCAACTGGTCTGCAACATTCAACTATGAAAAGCCAAATATATCGCTTCCAGATCTCCAGAGCCTGGAGTGGAAGTACATTGACAGTCTCCCAGGAATCCGGCCAGATTACGACGACTCCAGCTTGACAGCCACCGACCTTCCTTCAACCAACAATACAGTGCGGAACCTAACCACTCCCACTTCTCTTTATGCTTCCGACTATGGTTACCACGCCGGTTCGCTGATCCATCGTGGTCACTTCACCGCACAAGGATCAAGCACCAACCTCTCTCTCAACACCCAGGGTGGTTGGGCCTTCGGCCATTCTCTCTGGCTGATTCAGAGCTTCCTCGGATCGTATATTGGATGGGGTTGAAGACCCTGGGGCGGGCTTTTTCAGCACTTCTTTCGACTTGTGCGTCCCTGACGGCTGGGACCTTCCGGATTCATTCACATTCGCAAATACCACGACGCCTCCTGTGCCGTACAGAGCACAGCTCTTCGTCAATGGGTTTCAGTACGGGAAGTATGCCACCCAGTGGTCCACAGACGAGTTATCCGTTGCCACAGGGGATCTTGAACTACAACGGGACAAATTGGCTGGCACTTACCCTATGGTCCCAACAGCCTTGCGGAGCCAAACTCGACAGTTTTGAGCTTGGATGCGACCGCCCTGTTGCGACGGCTTTGACAGGTATCACTTCAGCGGAGGGCTCAGTATATACGCCGCGAGAAGGAGCGTATTGAGCGGCAATCTAATCATTCCATTCGCTGCAGGTTTGTTTATTATTACACGCTACTTTCTTGTTCTCCCGTACGAAGTCGATACACCTGCTTCATGTGGAACGTCTCCTCAGCTATATCAACCATCCCGTGGAACCCCGCCGTTGCAGCTTACTGTAATAAACAGCTTAGGCGTGCTCGGCCTCCAGCTTGTATGAATCGACAGTCCTATACACTGAGGCAGTCCATTGCTTGATGGCATCTTTTTCCTTCGGGTTCCTTATGTTGACCAGCGGAAGGACACAAATACATCACCATTACACATGTATTTATAGGTTTGGACGGTCTCTGGAACACCCATCGTTGTCAGGTCTGCCTGCCTCGCCAAATATGACACCCGCTAGCCTGGAGGCAAAAGAGTATGGCCCTGTCCAAGGTCTCATTGACGCTGGATTACAATCTGCACAAGATAGACGAGGCCGGTTGAAATTGCCGATGGCACCAACTGCGTACACAACAGGAACGGCGCCCTCCCGGCCAACAGTGGGTAATTAAGTTGCTGGATGGGTATGCGAAGTGGACCACGATCGTCAGCACTGCCAGGTTCCGCAGGCGAACCTCGTTTCCCAAGCGGTGTCTTTGTAGGAAAGCTGATATCTGATTCACGTCATGTCCACCCTTATCAAGATTGCAAGCACGGACGGTCGTCCCATCACAAAAGCCATCGTTCTTTTAGTTCCTCGCCATTCACGGAGAACCGGGAAGCCAGGTACAACGACAACGCATGAGCTTCGAGTATGAATCCTTCCAGAGCATCTGGTGCATCTACCATTGTGAAGCTACTCTCCAGTTGGCTAAGGTACTGGTATTGGATTGGTACCATCGGCCTCATGTTTTCGACGGAGACATTCCAGGTCGTCCCGGGAACTACCACTCTGGACTTCAATTGATTGCATTTCCGGCCAGCCATCCGATTGTTGATCGTGGGTTATCAGTTGACAAGGATGAAAGTCATTTTAACACGTCCAACACTTTGCGGGATCCTCCATAAGAGCACCTCCATATGCGAGATTGTGGGCCGCCCAGTCCAGAGTTGCGGTCAGGCCTTCGAGACGAGGAATTCAAAACCTGGGTCTTGTAAATCGGATTGATATATTCGGTTCATGTGAGCTTCAGTTCGAGAGCCTTTAGCTGCACCGATGTGTTCTCGCTGACGACTGACCGTATGGAATGGTGTCCAGCGGTAGTATTATGCGTCCTGAATGGGTAGAACCACCTTTTACTCAGGCTTCTTTTTGGTGATGAACATCTCGCATTGGCGGCCTTAAACGTCATTGTTGCTACAAGACAGCCGAACAATGGTGAATCCCGATGTAGGAATTCTTCGTTACTCGCAAGAAGCTGCGGAGGTAATGCGCAATGAGGTCAAGCACAGTGAGGGTGTCACGGATTGCAAACTGTCTGCATAGAGCTTGGAAGTTTTTTCCGCCCTCAAGGCTAAATGTCTCCGTCCAAGAAGTGATACTCCTCCCACTCAATGGCACTACTAAAGAGTAGCAAACTTCGGGTCTGAGATCTGAGTGGAACGCCGAACGCAGTAGAGTTGGAGTGGAAGGATTGCATGTCACTGCCCTTCCAACTTGATCACTATTTCCTGTGCATTCGTGACGTCTGTCTTTGGACTGAGAAGTATCGAAGTTTGTTTCACTGGTTGAGAGGCCGAGGTGAGAGCATGTGGGAGCTTCATTGAATTCAACTCTTCACAAGAGGCAGACCACCTAGTCTCTGGTCAACCACGTCTCCGTGTTGCACAGTCTTGCCAGCATGTGAATGGCTCGTCAACGCTCCTTTTTGATTTGTACCCTCTCCGCAAGTTCTCCGTACGAGCCTGCTTCGGAAACCCCGCGCTGGCCAAAAAGGATACGGCTGTTGAGTTGTGCCGGCGAACAAGACATGTGCATGGACTTTTCGATCAACTTCGATTCCCTTTCACCCTTCTGCATGGAAGAACCTCACGTTCCCCATTCTCCGCTCCTGCATCCTTTTACGGAGGCTCCCCTGGAAAGTGTCTTTTTCAAGCAGACTAGAGCACCAATCATTGTTCCACCAGCACAGCGCAAAAGGATCAGCGGGTGCCAAAGACCCATCAAACCCCGATCGAGTCTTTGCCGGTGTTCTGAGCTCTGCCCCTGCTTGTGATGATCGGGGACTATTGCTTCGCCTGCCTTCTCCGCATTGCGCAATTTTTTGCGAGCTAAATATGGCCCAGAAGCTCGTATGCCGCCATTACGCCTCTGGAGATGGCCTGGAGAGGAACATTTCACATGTAAGGAAGGCAAACGGCTCGTGTTCATGGGAAGGAATGTTACACACAACCTCTCAGCATGGGATGGCTCAATGGGCGAGGCAGCTTCGAAGCACTGCCATTGGTGGCTCGTCCAAGCCTGCTTGTGTCAAGAGCAGGGATTCCTCCGGGGTGTCCACAGAAACATGCTCGGGGATGGAGACAACAGCTCCAACACGGAACGAATATGTTCATCCAATCCAGCCCCAATTCGCTTGTCGAAAGTACGATCTTGTGCAAAAGCAGTAGCGAAAGAGGGCACCTAATGAAAGTGAGAGGATGAATCCCGTGGACTCTTTACGTACTGAATGGAGCGCGGCCTTTCCAGATACGACGAGGCTGCATGCATTGGCTTGCACTGGTCCTCCAGACTTGGCATAGTGATGACGCTTCCGGATGCGGGGAGCGCTGGATCGGCATGGCCGTTTCCCTAAGGAACTTACCGGGGGCCACAGCCGAATTACCGATGCGATTGGCGGGCCTAAAGGGGGGATGAAAGCGCTCACTAGGTCTTGAGGGGGGCTTGCAACCCCCCCGACTCCGGGGCCCGGCACCCCTAGCCTACTACCCAGTAGCTCCCAGTAGCCTACCAGTAGGCCGCCCGATGGTTTGCCAGTAGCCTAGCGAACCCCTCCAGCTAGTGGATCTATCCGCTGGCTGAGAAAACTCACTCTCAACCCTACCCTACTCTCCTTTTGTATGGCAAGCTTCGACTGAGTACAATCCACATTGATGTGCAAGACTTTTCATCACCATCTGCAGCCGAACAAAAGATGTACTGCCGAAAAGACCCTTTTATCCCTCGCTCACTAAACGATCGTCCTCGGATAGACGAAGCTTTAAACCAATTCGACAACACATGAAGCAGCCCACGGATTCGGTGGCATCTCAGCCATCTTTCAGGTGAGGGGAAAGTGTACGTATCAAGTCCACTTTGACTAAAACCGTGCAGCACAGCGGGATGGCGTGCAGTCTTCAGCCGTTTACATGTCCTCAACGGTAAGCGATGGCGCAATCTAGAGCGCACCTGTACTCTCAGCGAATAAGCCATGTCTTCGCATAACCTTTTGGGAATGGATGGAACAAATGAGGTCTTGGACCTGGTCTTGTCATACCACAGCTGTCTGTCTGGACGGAGACAACGGCTGACCCTACCACCGCCGACACAAAGCACATGTTGCTATCCCATGTCCATTGAACCCAGGGCAGGAGGATCCGTCATTACTACGGAGACGACACGACACCGTAAAGGTGTGGTAGGTTTCTTCCGCTAGACGAATGTGTCTAGCTCCAGTATGTGGCTAGCGTCATCCTCCCAGCGGTTTTACGTATCCCGTCCCAGCTTGCAGTACGGATACTCTTCGAAGAGCTGCAAAAGGGTGATGATGTCTCAATTTCTGGAGCTATGTTGGACCGGCCTGTCCGAAATGAGAGGTGGCTTGCATATCGGCGGAGAACGAGAGCGGTACAAAGGGTTGTGGTCGGTGGGTACGGATCAACTGCTGGGCCTCAGCAGCGGTGTCATCTTTCCAGAAAGGGTGCTTGAGAACCATGGCCATCGTCGATAGCTTTCCGCAACTCCCTGGTGCCGTGACCAATCATTCGGCCTTGGAGGCAGAGCTGAAGATGATCCCATGGATGTGATGGGCACCTGCACCTGGCGACAGGCCCGACCTCCTCCGCTATTTCTTGACGACCGGGTCTCGAGGGTGTTGAGGAGATACGTATGCTGCGCCCAATGACACAGCTGAACAAAGGGAACCTCCGAGGGTGGGGTGTGGCTCTCTCACATGCTCGAGTATATAGCTCAGTGCACAAATGGCCCGCGTTCTCCGCCTCTAACTTTTCATCATCAGGACAGTGGGAGCCGATTCAGTGACATCTTTTGACTTTCCCAGGGTGGACTGTCAAGATGCTTGGTCTGTTACGGCAACCGTTTGGTATAAAGCTCCCGTGCCCGGCTGGAAAGCTGTCTGCTAATCATGGCTCCCTCTATAGCACAAGACTCCTCGGCTACTAGAGCCGAGAAACAAACTAATATGACTTCCTCTTCTTTCCGACATGTCAGCAGCTCGTCGACAAGAGGCTTCGAGTACACATCGACTTCTTCTATTTCCAACGGCGCCAACGGTACCAATGGCGTCAATGGCGTCAATGGGGGCACATACTCAGCACTTGCTCCTCCAGATATACCGGACATCGCAGTCCGGTCAGCTAAGCCAATGCCTTCGGTTTTTATGCAGCGGCCACGTGCCAGCACAGATCGCACGTCTTCCTTCGGCGGCTTGGAGCAAGTCAAGGAGCAGCTGGCCACCTCTCGCAACCATGCTTACCGTGTGCTTGGCTCGAACTTCAGTGGCTATGCATTTGACACTTCCATTACTGGGCTTCTCGAATGGATTCGAGACGAAAGACTCATCAGACTCCCCCACAAAGGCGGTTCTTGGGATCGTGTGCTAATCGCCGCACAACACTTTGCAGAGCAAGTCCATAGGTTTAATATTGCTATCTCGACCTTCGAATCCGACATCAACGCCGCTACGAATCTGGTTTTTGGCCAATGTCTTCTACTGCTGGAGGTACGTTATTTTTATATTCTACACCTCCTGCCATTCACCATTCACCTGGCCTATTGCTTCCTTCCAAGCTCATTGTCTTGCGTCTATACCACTTTCAATGCAAGCCCTTGACACCTTTGCAGAAGCACAAATCCTTCTCTATCACTGTGACTGCTTCTTCCCTCCAGATTAAAGCTCGAATCCGCTAACGCTTCTTTAGCTCGGAAGCGACAATGCTCCAGCACTGGAGACGGTTTTCAACCTCTTCTACCAGTTCGGCCTCGAATTGTCGCCTCTCCTGAAACGCGTCGACATTATCACCTCCTCCAGACTTATTTCCGATAACCTCTCCAAAGCGTTTTCTGAGCTGTTGTCTATTGTGACCGGTGTGGCCATCACGTTCTGGCAGATCGTCCATGGGAACAACTCGTCAACCAATCTCGACATCTTTTCCACCTTTAGCACGTCTATTGAGAGTTTCCGCTCTCGGGTTTCTCAGTGCTCTCAGGACATGTGGAACTTCAGCCTGACAGCGAGTGGCTTGAAAGACTCCCATATTCTGGAAGCCCTGCAGGCGTGGCTGGCTCCACAAGACACCGTTCTGGCATTCTTAGCCAGCAACAACATCAATATCGCCAGCCGCCCCGAACAATTCACCTGTACATGGTTCCAATCTCACCTGACAAACTTCATCCGCAGCGGAGAAAGCTCGCTCATTGTCGAGGGCAAGTCTGGCACGGGCAAGACGACGCTGGCTAACTGGACGGTCGATCGACTTCAACGACCTATTGGCCGCAAGCTCGTTTTCCCTCTGAGCTTTTTCTTCAACAGCAACATCCCTGCACAGGCGAACTCCTTTGCGCTGTTGAAGACACTCCTGTGGCAGATTTTGTCTCAGCGGATTGGAGACATCCACCTGTACAAGGCCTTGACCGAAGCCTACCACGAGTTTAAGGACTCCAACGCCTTGCATAAGAATGAGGAGATCCTGTGGTCTGTCCTTGAAAAAGTCCTGTCGGCCATCGACGAAGATGAGACGAACACCCTCGTTATTGTTATCGACGGCCTTGATGAAATTACAGGGCCGAAACACCATGCCCATGCCGTAGCCAACAGGCTCCATGACCTGGCCGTGAAGATACCTGGTTTGCGATTGATCCGCTTTTCCCAACCACTTGAATCGACGCATTCCAAATCAGAATATGTCAAACTCTCGGCAGAAACTATGATTGACGACATCCGAACTATTGTGCGCCGAGAGCTTGGTGACCTCAAACTGTTCGCGGCAATTGAAGACGGCGCCCAAGAATCCGCCATCGACAAACTGGCAGCCGCCGCCGATGGCTCAATCCTGTGGGCTTGGCTGGCTACCCAATATATCGGACACCAAAAAGTCCATTCTGGCTTTGATGAAGCTCTGCAAAGCCTCCTCACCAGCCCGAAGACAGTGTCAGATCTGGTGGAAAGACTGGCGTCGGTTCTTCGAGTCGACGCACGAGCGAAGAGCCTACTTTCAGTTACTCTAGCTGCAGAGAGGCCATTACTGCTTTCAGAACTCGAACTCCTGCTCCAAGCTCAGCCAAGCCGTCTGGAGATGGATGAGAAGAGTGCCGACCTGCGTGAATTGACCGCATCTGTGGCGCCCTTCACCATCAGAGGTGAAGGCATGCTAACCATCAGGCATGCGGCAATCAAAACAGCTTTGATCGCAGTTGCCGAAAAGTCGAAGGACTATTTGTTGGTCAAAGATCGACACCGAGATATGCTGACTCGCGTTCTGATCCATGCGAAGACTTCTCTAAGAGAAGATCAAGAGCCGACTCTGGATTATTTGGACTTCGGCAGGATCCACCGCCCCTCTCACTCACGCCAGTTGCTCGAGTATACCGTCAGATACTGGATTGTTCATTTCAAGCAGTCCTCCCTGCTGAAGCGTGGGCAAGATCTCGATGTTCCAAAGGAGTTTGCCAACATCTTCCCTTCAACTGTGACTTTGGCCCTCCTGGAAGAGGCTTGCTGGCGCGCGCAGACGTCACCAAGTGAGGCTGCCGAGCTCCACACGCTTGCCTATCGTGTTCGCACGAACCTATTCGGCCAAGATCACGCGTGCGTGTTGCAAGCAGCCATTGTTGTTGCAAAGATATATGAGACAACTCTATTTCGGCTCCACGATGCGGCGTCCTGGTATATAACATCGATCAGGGTCGCCACCAAGATATTGGGTTCGCATCACGATCTCGTTGTCCAACTCTGCCTATGCCTGTTGCGGGTGACAGAAAGCTTGGTTACAAAAAGCAGAAGCCAGATCACAACTTATCGCGAAGAGACTCTGCGAATCCTGGTCTCCGCCTATACTTACCGCTACGGTGCGAGCTCAAGAGAGGTGTCTGCGTGCTACAGACAGTTGAGCGAGCTCTATGTTTTCATTGGTGAGACTGAAAAGACCGAAGAATTCAAGCAGAAAGCAGGGTCGACTGCCGTGGATGATCAGGCGGTCCAGGAGAATGGCGAGAAGGTATCTCGCAGTCTGGATGTCACCCTCCGCAAGCGTAAGGAAAAAGAACTCATTGATACCTTTGAGGGATCTGTAAGTCACACCCTTCAAGGATTGAGTTCTAGGTGGACTGCTCAACTCCACCATTCTATGTCCGTTCGATCCCGAAGCTAACAGATATTCACAGTTGTTTGCTGGCTATCAAGAAGAGACCGCTGAGTCTCTTACCTTGTCGTTGGTCGAAGGCATTTTCGCCCGTGCGACAGAGTTGATCAAACGCGAGGATTATGAAAAGGCTGAAGAACTATACATTGAACTTTGGTGGAAACTGACAGAGCACTGCGCTAGTGTCAGGACCTTGGAGTGGCACCAGAAGAAGCTCGAGTTGATGCTGGCGTATGCTCGCTTCTTGCACTCCCGCAACCGCGTTGACGAAGCGTCTTCTGTCCTCCTATTCGCCTGGAAAGAGTTCGAGCACAGCGAATTCTCAATGTACGAATCCATTGTCCGACTCTTGCAAGAGATCGCCATCATCATGAAGGCCGTCAGGCTCAGCACTGTGGCACTATCTGTTTACCAGAAATGTTTCTCCTACTACAAGAATGTCAGCGAAACCACCTTTATCTCGGAAATTGAAGAACAGATCACTGCCACATCCATGGAGATTATCAAGTCTTCTACCACGACAGTCAGCGAATCTACCGAAGTGACTATACGGGAGGTAAGCCATCTGCACCCTTCTGAAGGATCTTCGAGGGCGTGTTACCAACCCCATTGCCACTCAAGATATTAGTACTAACTGCAAGCTTGAAGGTCTTTGAGCATACCATTACAACCACGTCTGAGGTTACCCACTCTACTTTCGAACTGTCCAAGTCATTGACGGCGATCTACATTGAGCAAAGCCGGTACGCACAAGCCATCACAGTTCTCGAAAGCACGATGAAGAAGGGTTGGGCTGGGTTGTTTAACGACGCTCTCGAGAGTATTACACTGCCCTCCAAATTCTCTGCTGAGAGCGTCATGCTCGCTGTGCGCCTGGCGGAATGCTACGAACAACACCAGGTTCTGGACCAGAGCGAGCAGATTTACCTGAGGCTCTACCGTGCTCATCACAAGACACACAGCATTGACAATCCTGCCGTGGCCAAATACTCCGATATGTATGTGGCGTTCTTGAGGCGCCACGGCCTTCACGACCGCATCATTAGCTTCTATCAGGAATTGTTGATTGACTACCGCAACTTTTACGGGAAGAGCGACAAGAAGACGATAACTCTGCTTTATACCCTTGCAGACACTTGCCGCGCCCACCATCTAGTTCATCGGTACTGGGTGGAGTACTACCTGGAAATTGTCAACGCCGTCAACAAAGGTGACCTGATCAGTCAGAAGGATGCACTCCGTGCCCTCATCATTGTCGCGGAGCATTACTATGAGAGCCGGCGATTCACAGAAGCCTTGATTCATTTCAAGTCAATCGCGGCGACATTCATCAAGTTTGGCACCCAGTACGAACATTTCGCCGATGCTGCTGTCGTCCAGCGCCTGCTCGAGAAGTACTACACCTCCATGGAAGAGACCAAGCTGGACGTCGACCAACACGTCAAGATCTTGAGAGAGGTTCGTGAAGCCTGCTTCAAGTACTACGGCGAAAAGTCCGTGATCTCGATTATCACAACAAGCGCATTGGCAGAGGCATGCTCAAAGAGTCAAGAGTATTGGTAAGTCGTCCCCTTACAACATGTTGCCTCCGATGGGGCTTTTGTATTTTCTCTCCCGTCGATCGATATAGTCTAAACCCTACTCGCAGGTTTGAATCCATCCGCTACTTCGAAACCGTGTCGCAGCATTCCGAGGCGGTGTCTGTACAGACGATCGAGCGCTCCAAGAGCATGATCAAAGAGCTTTACATCAAACAAATCACGTCTACGAAGTCCACGACGTTGAGCAAGGAGACCGTCGAGAAGGCCGAGTCGCTGTTGTTCGAAAAGTACATCTCGAGCCGCAGAGCACATGAGTACACGCAGACGAAGACGCTCAAACAACTTCAGCAGCTGATCGCCATTTACCACAAGCAACAGAAGACTGACCTCATCGTCAAGGAACTCCGATCTCTGATTCTGGACATTGTGCTGAATGTTCGCACCACGGAAGAACTGGTGTATGTGGCTGATTTCCTCGCCACGATCTTCATCAGTTACGACCTGCGCCGCTACGCCCTGGAGATTGTCCGGGATCTCAAACTCCAGGCCATCTACCGTTCTGCGCCCAAGAGTTCGGCGTTCCATGGGGCGACAATTGGGCGAGCTTGCTTCGCTTTCATTGCGGCTTTCGAGTATCACGTCCGCAGTGATCATACTCTCAGCATTGCCCACAATATCGCTGAGCTAGTGGCCGTAAGTTCTTCCCAGCCTAATTTGACTCTGAGCACCTATCTCTTGATACTTTAAAACAACAGCCTTGTCACGCACTTCCCTGTCACATGCTACTCAGACATTAACTGAAATTCGAACAGGAGCATTTGTTCTATGAGCGTTTCGTCAGATCCATCAAAGCCAAAGCCAAGTTACAAGCGGTCTTCGTCCATGCTGCTCGTCTGCGCCATATCCTCGTCCGAAACAACCGCTTTGACGACTTCACCATCATCGAAACACAGCTAATTGATTTCTTTGCTGCCACCGAAGTCTCAGTCTCCAAGGCTGTTTCCCGAGCAGCTCTGAAAGCTTTCGTCAATGTCATCACCAAATACGCGGCGGAGCATCCAAATGTCCACTTCAAGAGCTTCGTTGTTGCCGCCAGCTACGCCGCAGTTGACCAGCTCCGCCTCTTGTTGAAGCAGAACAAGGATCAGGAAGCCCTTGACCTCGCCACCTGCACATTCAAGTTCCTCATGGCGCACGAAGGTCTTGACGATCCCACCGAGATCCGCCTTGGGTTCCAGCTTTGTCTCATGACTGCCGGAAGAGGTGAGTTTGCGTATAAAAGCAGCAGCCCCAAGGTCCAGGGTGAGATGCTCGCGCTCTCCCAACAGATCCTGGCAGAGGTTTTCGATATCTGCAAGAACAACAACATCAACATCGCCCGAGCGCAGCTCTCCGAACTCAACGAACTCATCAGCTTGATCGGCGAGCACAAGGACTATTCCCGCCTCTCTTGGCTTCTCAATACCCTCTGGACGTCTCGGGAAGGTCAGAGCTCCTGGCCACAAGACACCATCCTCGACCTGGGCTTCCGTCTCGTTCAAGCGGAGTTCAGTGCCGGCAACTACAAGCCTGCCCTCCGCCTGTGCGAAGACATTGTGTATAACATCAAACGTGTTCACGGCTCGAGGAATCCGCGCTTGTACTCATGCTGGAATCTCCTGGCAGAGCTCTACACCGGATATGCGAACCATTTGCTGGCCGAAGCGGGCAAGCAGGAGCCTGCGACCAAGAAGGGGACGGAGCAGAGCGCTCTTCTCTACCTACGAAAAGCGGCAGACGTCCACCTCACAGCGCTCAAACAGTTAGTTGACGCCGATGCCGCCGACACCGGCGACGACGACGACTACGAGCTCGACATCGGCATCAGCCTGAAGAAATCCGCCGCGACCAACGGCACCTCTACCACTGCCACCAACGGGACAAGCTCTCACGGCAAAGTCAACGGCGACGGCGACCACAAGCACGTGCGCGCGTTCCAGAACCGCGAGGAGGAGCTGGAGATCGTGCGCCGCCACCTCCGCCTGCTCAAGTTAGCGCTGCAGCGCGCCGGCGGCTTCTTCAAGCCGGCCAAGGAGTACGAGGTGCTGACGCAGAAGGTCGCCGCCCACTACGGCGAGGACCTGAAGCTCAAGGACCTCGAGTGGAACGCCGCCAAGTGGAAGGTCGACGGCTTCGCGCTGGGCCAGGCCGAGGGTCAGAAGCAGGACGGCGTGTACCGCGTGCCTGCGCACTGGGAGATCCACGTGGCTTAAGTGGAAGAAGTGTTGGGGGGGGTGGCAGAGGGGGCAGGAAAAGAAGAAGTCGATCGATGGATGGCGCGTGGAGAGAAGGGGGTTTTGCTGAAATGGAAAGAAGTTACAGCCCAGCAAAAGTTGACAAAAGCAATAACAACCATATAACGCCACAGTACAAAGAAAGGGTAATGCTTGTTATCTAGTTGATTATTAGTTGGTTAGTTGCTTGGATAGTTAATTGAGTTGATGCTCTGAAGCACCTTGCGTACAAGTCATATTATTTATTGATGTCTGTATACACGCTCCTCCTCCTCCTCTTCCCCACTCCTCCATCTTGTTGTCAACGATAGTAGGATACGGGATCTATGCGTCCGCTTCCTTGCGTGCGGGTAACATTGACAGTCGTCGATGATGAGGGACCCATTCATTCATGTCTCATACATATCCTCATCCACGTACATACGCGTGGCGTGGCGCTTGCTTGGTTGATCCCCCCACTGATGTTAATTAATTAATTAGTGACAAGAAGCAGGTTCCGTCCGTATGTCATGCCATGCCATGCCATGCCATGCCTGTCACTGGACCTGCTTAACGCTCGTGGACTGGCTGAGTGACTAGTTGACTGACTGACTGGCCCTTGACCTCAACTCAAACGCGTCCTTTCCTTGTCTTCTCTCCTCTTCAAGGTAGGTAGGTAGGCAGGTAGGTATCCATCCACTCCCAAATACATATTGACTCGTAGCACTTACACAGATGTGATTCGTCCGATAAGTGCCTGGCGAGCTGGGTCTAGACATCTATCTATCTACGAGTAAGCACGGGACGGGAGGACATACACAAATATCAAATACATGCAGACTCCGCTTCGTGGAGTGGGGTTCGGTGGGAATCATGAGATGATACATTCACTATATGTATGTAAGATATACATACGTATCGCCGGGGTAGAGTGTCCAACAAGGGGTTCCGAACCGGGGGCTGTGTCTTTCTATAATAATGGACTCGAAGACCAAGGTCAACGACGAGAGCAGCTTTATTCAAGCAAGGAAGGAATAGGTAGGGAGCCACCCATGTACCGACATACTTACTTAGCCTGTCATCTGCCCGACTAGTTACTGTACAGAGTACGGAGAGTAAGGACGTTACTCATCACACGCTCCCCAGGAGCCCAGCCCCTCGTGCACTGTCCATCGATCGATTTGACTTCGACCTGGTCCGGACACGGCTGTATACTTTTTGGAAAGTCCAGTCGATGATAATGATGCCGCGAAGTCAATCCAATCAAAGCTAGACAAAGCTTCCTGGGTGTGGGAGACATCATGCATGCTCTTGTCGCGTGAGAAGCCGTTGCCAACGCTCTGCTCGATTGCAGCCGTCATATACTAGGCGAAGCTCGCGAGGTCGCTGATAGAGTTCGTAGATTGGAAAACAATGACGCCAGCCAATATGGACGGTCCAACAGGATATGGCTCCCGGCCACGCGCCATTGGACCGGCTGCTGCTGCTCCTCTCGGGCTTCGCTTCCACCGCCAGCGCCGTGCTTGACCAATGCTTCCGCCCAGAACACCCAAGACCTCGGCGCGCACTGGCCAAGGGAACTTCGTGAGTCTTGGTTGATCTTCCTCTATCGAATCTCCGCTCCACTACTCCAAAGGACTGCCGCCGTGGTCATCGCCTCCGCGCCGAGTCGTAGTATCTCTTAGTCGTAACCTCTTGGCTTGCGGCATCTGCTCGATTGCCTTCCGCTATCAGTAAAGTGACGTGACCTTGGTTGATCCAGCCAAGCCTGCGTGCAGAATGAAATGATGCCCACGGTTGCTGGTGTGTAAGAGCTCGAGCACAGAAGAGGGGAGGGAAGCATACCAAGAGATAGCAGATTCAGCTTCCTCAGGAGCCTATGGCAGCCCTCTGCCAACCCGCTGGGAGATGGGATGGTGGCATTCAAAAAGCGCGACGAGTACTCCCTCCCTTTTTCTTTCCTCTGTCGCACGGCTGTTGCGCTGTTCAGAGCTTCTGTCCATTGGCCTCTCGACAAAGTTCCTAGACCCAACCGATCTTGACTTTTCTGTCGTGATTGTCTCCCTGGTAGGGCCGCCTCTTGCCTTTCCCATTCTGCCGTTGTCAAATCGGGAAAAATGAGCGTCGACGCATCGAAGGAATACACCCTGACACAGGAATCACCCACCGACTCGGAGAAGGCTGTGCCTTTTAACAAACACACTCCAGGGGATGGATATGTGCCTGAAACCCTCCGGGAAAGGGACTTCCTCACCCGCAATGGCCTCAACCTGGCAAGTTTCCGGAGACGTAAGACTTTTTCTTTTCTAGAAGTGTCGAGGTAGAACACGATATTGACAAGGTGGTACAGGGGACTGGGGCACAGGTGAGGACGAGCTTGATCGCTCCATGAAGTCGCGGCACCTGAATATGATCGCCATCGGAGGGTCGATCGGTGCTGGTTTCTTCGTGGGCTCTGGAGGAGCATTGACGCGAGGCGGCCCGGCTGCTCTCCTCATCTGTTTTCTCATCACCGGAATCATGATCTTCAACGTCGTCTATGCCCTCGGAGAGCTGGCCGTCATGTATCCCATCAGCGGAGGTTTCTACACGTACTCGGTTCGCTTCGTATGTCAAGATGCCAGACCCGTCCAAGATCAGAAGGCTGACAAGTGAGAAAGATTGACCCTTCATGGGGCTTTGCGATGGGTTGGAATTACGTATGTGTGCATGCCGATTGTTGATGGTAGTATTCCACTCACACAGAACAGGTCTTCCAATGGGTCATTGTCCTACCGCTCGAACTGACTGTCTGCTCCTTTACCGTCCAGTATTGGAACAAAGACATAAGTGTTGCCGTCTGGATCAGCATATTCTGGGGCTTCATCATCTTTATCAACATCTTCGGCACCCTGGGCTATGCCGAAGAGGAGTTCTGGTCTTCCCTCTTCAAACTCCTGGCAACTGTCATCTTCATGGTGGTTGCAGTCGTCCTCATTTGCGGCGGTGGACCCTCGAGCGGCATCTATGACGAGTACTGGGGTGCTCGGCTGTGGTACAACCCTGGTGCTTTTCAGAACGGTTTCCGTGGCTTTTGTTCCGTGTTTGTGACAGCCGCCTTCGCCTTCGCAGGCACCGAGCTCGTGGGTCTTGCTGCCGCCGAGTCCCGCAACCCCAGCAAGTCACTTCCGAGCGCCATCAAACAGGTCTTCTGGCGTATCACTCTGTGAGAGAGAAACCCCTACCGCCGGTGACTGTCCAGCTAATGGTCTTGGAAGGTTCTACATTCTCGGCCTCACTTTCGTCGGCCTCTTGGTTAGTTCTACTGACGATCGTCTTCTGAATGCGGCGAACCCGTACGCGGACGGCACGTCGCCTTTCGTGCTTGCGCCGCTCGATGCCGGCCTCATCGGCTATGACAGTTTCATGAACGTGGTCATCCTCGTCTCGGTCGTGTCGATCGGTGTTTCCAGCGTCTATGGCGGTTCACGCACCCTGACCGCCCTCGCTCAGCAGGGTTATGCGCCCAAGATCTTCGCCTACATCGATCGATCGGGCCGGCCGTTGCCCTCAGTGGTGCTCAACCTGGCCTTTGGCGGGCTGGCTTACATTGTGCTGGCATCGTCCGGGAGTATCGTCTTCGATTGGCTGCTCGCATTGTCGGGTCTCGCTGCACTATTCACCTGGGGTTCTATCTGCGTGGTAAGTGCCTTACATATCATCACTCCATATCCTTCGCCGTGCACCTTTTCTGACGTATTTGGGGGAGCAGGCACATATCCGGTTCCGAGCAGCATGGGCCCGCGCTGGACGCACCCTGGACGAGATCCCCTTCAAGGCCATTGGCGGCGTGAAGGGATCATATTTGGGCCTTTTCCTCGTCTGCGTCGCGCTGGCGGCACAATTCTTTGTCGCCATTGCCCCACCGTTCACGACCAAATTAGCCACGGCCGAGGACTTCTTCAAGGCATATCTGGCCCTCCCTGTAGTGCTGTTTTTCTGGGCTGTCGGATACCTCTGGAAACGGAAGGGCTTCCTCCGCCTAGACCAGATCGACCTAGACACGGGTCGTCGTGATCACGACTGGGAGACAATCCACGCGTACAGGGCCAGAGTGGCTACTTGGCCTTGGTGGAGGAAGGCACTCAGTGCCATTTTCTGATGGGATCGTGTGGCAGAAGATGTCATGACGAAGGGAAGAGTGGCGAGGTTAGTAAAGAGGCACGGTTCGTGCCTTTTTTGAGACGTAGGATGGGAGGGGAGAAGTGCCGATTATTGCAATACCGGTGAATAGGGGTGTGCTCCGTGAACATACATACAAAAATACATCAGAGCTGTTGCAATGTATGCACACATTCGGATCATCTCAGGCCCAAAGAGGCACGACTAGCCAATAAGACCAGAAGAACGAATTGCCCTTGTGAGGTCCTGATGGAAGTGGTGGAGATGTTCGGCATAGTTTCTGAAAAATTGGGCCGTAGCCAGGTTGCCTGCGGGCTGCACCGTGCACACCTTCTCTATCCTTCAGGGATGGACTAGAGTGTTGAAGCCAGATATGCATGGAGAGCGAAGGTCGAAATCAGAGAGTAATAAAACCTCATTCGTGAAGAACAAGAGCAAGTGAGTGCGTGGGTGTCTTGTTCAGATTCAGTCGAACCATCCGACCACTGAAAGAACGAACGCATGGCAGATCAGACCGATTAGCGAAGGCTAGTGAGGCGGGGGGATCTGGGATGGACGTGACGAAGATGGAAGAGATTGACAAGAAATGGGAAATGACAGCAAGAAGAGAAGAGGGAACATGAGCTGGTGCTGATGGTGATGGTGATGGTGATGGTGATGGTGATGGTGATGGTGATGGTGATGGTGCTGATGCTGGTGCTGATGCTCCTCTTTCTGCTCGTTCCTGAAAGTCATGACGTCGCAGGTCCGACATGTGCGCATCATGCACCATTTCCACCTCTCACCACCACCACCACCACCACCACCACCATCTCTATCACCATGCAACCCAATGTTCCTCCTCTCCCCCCCTTGTACACAATCCCCTTTTGATGGACAGCACTCCCTTCCACCACGACGTCGAGCGGCACAGCTCCACTGCTACCTCCTCCATGGCCCAGAAACCATCCAATTCCCAGCATCAGGCTGGACGCAAAAGGGTTCTCATTGTTGGTGCCGGTGCTGCTGGGTAACTTCTCTCCTCCCTCAAAATGCTTCGTCATGGTCATTCAATAACGGTGGTTTACTCCTACAGAATGTCCACGGCCCACCATCTCTCCCAGCATCCCGACAAATACGACATCACCCTCATCGACGCCGTCGACTACTGTGGCGGTCAAGCCTTCTCCTGTCCTCTCGACAAGGATCGACATGGAGCCAGCTGGTTTAACCAAGGAGTTCAAGGCGGGAGCTATATCTTCCACCACACCTTGACCATGTTCGCACGACAGGGATACCACGCCGACCCCGTCAATCTCCAGGTCTCCTTTGGCAAGGACAAGACCTTTTGGACCAACGTCTTCCCAACGGACCTGTTGGCTCGGCATCAGAGAGAGATCAAACGCCTCAATTTCGCCCTGAAATTCATGCGGTGGTTCGAGATCTTCTTCGCATTAATTCCCTTGAAGATCTTCTTCAAGCTGTGGTTTTTCTCCGAGGAGTTCACCAACACTGTTGCCTTACCCATGGTGGCTTTGTTTCTGGGAACAGGCAATGAAACCCCCAATGTCCCTGCCATCATGCTGGAGCGTTTGTGCACGAGCCCTACCTACGGCATGTGGTATCCCTTTGACCCGACCAGCATCGCGACCAATCACCCTCCCATGGTCGTCTTTCCCAACTTCAGCGAGTTCTATGAGACCTGGCGCAAAGATCTCGTCTCACGCGGTGTCACAGTCCGCCTTTCGACCGAACTTGCGGCTGTCCTCCACCGCTCAAAGTCCAGTGGCGTCGTCGTCTCTCTGAAACAGCGGACGCCAGCGCCTGACCACCACAACCCCATTGGCGGCGACCAGGATGCTCCGACGTTTGAAGAGCACTACGACGAACTCGTCCTCTGCTGCCTTGCCGACACCGCCAAACGGCTGCTCTCGCCCACCTCCTCCTGGCGCGAGCGGAAAGTTCTCGGCTCCGCCAAGTTTTCCGACGACATCACCATCACGCACACCGATTCCGCCTATATGAAAAAGCACTATCAAAACTTCTACTCGGAGTCTCTTGCCGTCCGAACCCTCGGGGGCAAAGACCAATCATCCCGCTGCGACTTTGGCGCGACAAATTTCCGCCCGATGTACTACATCAAGATGTACGACCAGGATCGGTCCAAGCTGGAAATGTGTTTCGACACCACCAACTACCAGGCACAGTTCCCGGACCAGGTGCCCTTCGAGGACCACGTGTTCCAGACCATCTTCCTCAACAAGGACCGGGACGGGCACCTGTGGAGCGACGACGAGATCGACGCGAGCAAGATCATCCGGAAGGACTGGTGGCACCAGTTGTGCCACTCGTACACGCACTACCTGCTCGTGGTCCCCTGGATGATGTTCCTGCAGGGCCAACGCCGGGTGCGCTACGCCGCGAGCTGGACGCTAGTCAATGCGCACGAGGTCGCCATCATGGCCGGCATCGCCGCCGCCGTCGACCTGGGCGCCGAGTACCCCGAGGACCTGGAGCACGACAAGTTCGCCTTCCTCAGCTTCCGCCTGTTCTACCTTCTGGCGTACGGCAAGTGGTATCGCCGACGGTACACGGCCGCAGCGAGGAGCAAGCGTGGCGAAGCGGAGAGTGACAAGGCCCAACAAGGCAAGAGCTGGGCCAGTGGCGTGTACGGCAGCGTGTACAAGGGGCCCGGCGTGGCCAAGGAGGAGCGGACGACGTGGCGCGAGGAAATGAAGGTCGGGAGGAGCACGGGGAATCTGGCCCAGGGCAATGCCGCGGGGAGGAGTCAGCCGTGAGCCACGAGCGCCATGCCTGAGGTCTGGACAAATAGAGACTCCTGGTCGGCCTTGGGATAAGTTCGAATGTATTATACAGTACTATACCCACACGGAGAAGGGATTTTCGGAAGGGCCTTCAAGGACAATTCTGGCATTGGGAACAGAGAAGATCTCACAATCTGGGTGAAGGTCGTTGAGTATATCGTTGGTCTGGGTCTAATGGAACTAGCTGCTGCATCATAATCGCTGCTGGTCGAAAACACCCTGTCGCTCGAGGGGAATATGCAAACTCAGTACCCATCCACGCCTTCTTCAGTTCATGCTTTTTTTCCCGAGCGGCCGAACATGACAACGAACCGAGAAAAAAATAATGAGGTCTACTCGTAGCCGCCACGCCTGGCCATGGTGCACCCCAAACCCGCGTCCGCGCCCACCCGTGTCTACAATGCCAACAACCCACGACACATCAGCCGGTAAAGAACTTCTTGTAGCTCTCCTTCTCCTTCTTGATGCTGTCAGCCAGAGTCTTCTTCGTCCGGGCCAGCTCGGTCTTGATGGCGGCGTCTTCGGGGGCCAGTTTCGCGGCCTGTTCAAAGTCCCGGAGTGCCTCCTCCAGGTCCTTCAGGGCCACTCGCGCTTGTCCTCGCCGGAAATACACCTTGGCCTTGTCGGTGTCCTTGGCGTCTTTCGGGATGGAGTCGATGGCGAACCCGGCCCACTTCTGCGCCTCCTCATAGCGTTTGGCTTTGTTGGCGAGAAGGGCCGAATTGCTGTGCAGGGTGAATCGCAAAGCGTCCATATTGCTCTGGAGATCCTTGGGGTCGTTGTCGTTGGCGGCCGGATATTCGTTGAGGTATCTGAGGGCCTTCTGATACTTCTCAATCCCTGTCTCGATATCTCCAGCTTTGAACGCCTTGTTGCCGAATTCCTTGAGGTCCAGCGCGATCTTGTAGTATTCTTCCCCTTTCAAGTCTTCGCCCTGGTCGTCTGGGTAGTCCTCGTACGGGTCGCCGGTCGGATCTGCCATCTTCTGGGTAGCTGTCTCATAGGCCCCACCTTCGAGTTGGCCACAGTCGGCTATCACCACATCACCACCAACCGGTTTGTCTGACTGTAAGGGGAGGTTTTCGATGGTGCGCACAATGTTCTTTCCGTTGATGACTTCGCCAAACACAACGTGCTTACCGTCTAGGTGAGGGGTGGGGACAGTCGTGATGAAGAATTGCGAACCGTTGGTTCCTGACTAGCTTTAGCCTGGGGCTCGGTCAAGCGTATCCATGTCTTCGTTGTCTTACCAGGACCGGAATTGGCCATAGAGAGGAGGAAAGGGCGGTCATGCTTCAGGTCGAAATTCTCGTCGTCAAACTTCTCGCCATAAATGGACTCGCCTCCAGTTCCATTGAACCTCGTAAAATCACCCCTGGATCATGAAAGCCTTGATGACTCGGTGGAAGATCGACCCTAGTCCGCACACTTAGTCCCGGGGCTCGTCCAACAACAGTGCACAGTGTATCCCACCTTTGTAATGGAGGGGTTTGCCTTGCTTTCCCATGCCCTTTTCACCGGTGCACAGAGCACGGAAATTCTCGGCCGTTTTTGGTACCACTGGAGGAGATCTTAGCGGAGGAGGGCGATTTGGGGAGATGACGGGAACTCATACCATCGTTGTACTGTTATGGGTGTCAGTCCGTGTTGCCCTCACAGAGGAAGCTGTGGGATACTTACAAGTTCAAAGACTATCCGGCCTTGTGGTCTATCGTTGATTGTGATGTCAAAGTAGACCCGAGGTCTTCCTGTACAGTGAGAGGTCGGTCAGGCTCGAGTGATGCGCATGGGAGAGTGGTGCGTAGTAAGGCTTACCACTTTTTGCTTGCGCCATGGTGTGAGTTGGGAGGATGAGAGCTGGTCAGGAGTATGAATGGTGTCGTCGCAGAATCCGAGGAACCGATGAAGAGTCGAGCAAGGAACAAAATGCACGGTGAGAGCCGCAGGCTCTTCAATCGCACAAAAACTTCTTGAATCTTCTTTGCTATTCACTGCGCTTGCGGCGGTCGGAGGGTCAGCCAATGGCGGGACGCTGGTGCCTGAGGGGCCCTCTTTGATTTGGCGGGGAAGAGGCTAGTGAGGCCTAGTGAGCCTATTTCTTACAGGGAAAGTCCCCCGAAACGCCCCCTAAATAACAAGCCTTGCAGGTGGTGTAGGTCGTGGCAGTCACGGAGCTTCATAGCCAGCACTTGATCCGTCCCTAACTTAGTTACATCATTACATTCAGTCGTGATTGCTTCAATCCTTCTTCCACACCACAGCATGATGGCGACATCTGCAGGTGCCTCCCAGGTAAAAGATGGCCATGATGGCTGTCCCTTTTCTTCTCGTCTCTCCCCTCCACCTTTCTTAAACCAACTTGACTACCGAGTACATCTTAGGCCACAGCAGCATCTTACATCACACATTAATCCCTTTTCTATTCGTGTTTGTGACATTTTCAGCTTTTTGCTCCAGCATTACTGTCTTCCACTATGGCATCCTCTCATGCTTCTTCCCATTCACAGCCCTCAACCCGGCCTTCAACTTCTTCCACCCAGGAATACCCTTCGGAAACAGTAGCCGCGGAACCGGTCCTGATCAGAGAGGGCAATTCCTGGGTCCTTTATATCACCGATAAGTCGCCCAACCCCGAGCCGGTGCCTGATCTTCAATGGGAGCAATGTTCGACCATCATTGTACGGATCAATCCCTTGCCAGATTCCCCAACAGGATCCGCAAACCCCATGGTGGACTTCAACCACGCCCCGACCTGCATGACAAGCCTGGTCAGTCGAGTTGAACAAGTCTCTGCGTCGATGAAGAGCAAGCTGCAAGATGATATCAATGCCGGCCAAAAGACAGTTCAAGTTGTTTTTGGGGAATGTTAGCTCCGTTCTCGCACAGCAGAAGGTGCATACGTGGCTACGCCCATCTGGCGTCTCTGCGACCTCGCTCAAATGATGGCAACCTTTCACTGGATTGAACCAGAATCGACCCACAATACTGCCGCCCTGGCATCTCAGGCGAGATTGCTCACTCCTCCCTTCATTCTGCCTCAAGTCAGCGTCTCCTGCCTGGATCGTGAGACCCCTGTGGAGCGCAGCACAGAGCACGAGGAAATGGTTTGGTATCGATGCCACCAAGTTCTTCAAGAGTCCTACAAGGGTGGCGAGCTCGCACAGCTCTTCCCCGGCGCCACCGGGGTGTGGAATCTTCTTGGGACTCACCTCATGAAATATGCTTACGTCGTCAAAGATCTGGGCGAGGCTCGTCCAACCGCGTCGTCGATCATTCCGGCCACATCTGACGACCTAAAGCTCCCGGACGACGTGATCCGCAACGGGATGAAGGAGACGCCAGACCCAGAGAACTACCTTTACATGAGACCGCCTCCCTCGACAAACGGGTCCGGTCATTCTTGAATGTGGACGCGAGGCCTGGAGGGCTAGTCAAGCACTTGGAAACGTGCTTGTACTCGTTCTGTGTGGGTGGCAATGGCACTGATGGACAGTGGGAACCATCACCGCGGGTAGAGGAATTGTCATGTTGCGAGAACACACTCGTTGCAAGAACGCTTATACACTAGTCGTTCTTGAGATTAGATGAATAGGGACCGAGACAATTGGTCAAATATAAGATTTTTGTTGTCCTCCACCATCGTCGTGATCGGTTTACTTGTTAACGGGACTCGGTCAAGCTCTTGATCTATAGCTCACGGGACAATGTGATGACGATGGAATCTTTCAGCTTGGGCCGGCAACGTACACAGCATAGCCTTTTCTCGAGGATCAGGCACTGAGGCGGCCGGAAACTGACACATACCACCACTTCAAACACTATCGATCCTAAACCGTGACACCATCAATCAATGGAGGATACCTGGGGAATCTACTATGTGTTGCCACAGGATGTGTGAGGCTGAAGAGTTGTCGACCTGGCGGTGGATGGATGGTTGACGTTGGCGACCTGTATCTGCTTGCTTACAGTAAGTAGACTTCGCATCATGCAACCATGCAACCATTAACTACCAGCAGCTCAGCCTCTCTTCTTCTCTTCTTCTCTCTATGTAACTCTCTCTCTCCGTCTCTCTGTCTCTGTGTCCTCGTGTCCAATAGCTTCGGCATGAGATGAGAGCCCGTCCTGCGCCTCTCACCTCGTATTCCTCGGGCCCTTCCGTCCGTCCATCCGTCTCTTTTGTTCCCGTGCCCCTTTTCATTTGAGGGGAGCTTCTTCTTCTTGGCCGGCTGGCCGGCTGGCTCGTACAGAACAGAACGGATGCCCAGGCCAGGCCAAGCCAAGCCATCCATCCATCCATCCATCACAATCCAGCCAGCCATGCGACAGTGGTAGTAGTGATCATGATCGACTGGCCCCTTTGGTCAGCAGTGAGTGACTCGGAGCTGAAAAATAAAAGACAAAAGGCGGGGGAAATAATACTGTGGAGGCAATTACATACATACGTGGTTGGTGGATTGGGTGGGTTGGTCACTCACTGAAGCCAGGGTCAAGCAAGGTTCTAGAACGGGAAGAAGGCCTGTGTAATGACACCACCACCACCACCACCACCACCACTACAAGGACACTCATTCACTCACTCACTGTATTATTCCGTCGATCATCGCTCTTACTGAATCAATGGCCCACCCACCGGTTATTGCACAGGCCCATCCATCCATCCATGCATGGGTCGGGTCAAGCAAGGCCAGGTGGGGGACACTGAGAGGAAGATAGAGGGAGAGAGAGTAAGTGAGCAAGTAAATTCAAAATCCAAAACACACACGAAAGGTGCTCATCGCGTCACGTCACGTCCCGTCACGCTCCTCCTCGCTCGCATCGTGCGTGGGCGAGCAACGCAAAAACGGGAAACCGAAACGAAACGCAGGTCAGGTGTCAGGTCAGCTCCCTTTCAGCTCATGCACGCACGACACGAGGCTTGTGCTACCTCCCTACTGACTGTACCCATCGCATACCGTGGCTCCCAATCAATCGATCACTCCTTCGGCGAGTAGTATGTATCCAGCTACAGATCAATATCTGCAATGCCTCGCAAGGCGTGAGGGGAAGGAGTCCTCCCATGGCGAGGCAGGACAGTGCTTGTGGACAGGTAAGTAGGTCACCGTACCGTGCATGCATGCATACATGCATCAGCACAGGCGTCCGACCCTCGTCACATCTCGAGGACCTTGGCGTACATATTGCGCAAGCATCTTCTTGTCTTGCGCGCGCGGATCGAAACCACCATGCCAGGGCGTCAGGGCGTCGGGGCGTCAGCAGTCACAGCTTGTTGCTGCTCGAACCGTCCACAACTGCATCTGAATGGCTGTCCGTCCGCTCTCGGGGCCCTGTCAACAAGCTGTGACATCGTGGATACGAATGCAAGCGTTCAGCTGCTGCGTATGGCCAGCCCCCCCTCGTTTCCGCCGCCCTTGGCTGATCAGCTGAGCCTGATCGACCAAAGGGACATGTCTATAAAAGGCCGGAAGGGGATCAACATCGACTGACTGACTAGCTGCTCTTCTCTCAGCCTTAGCATCTTCATCGGGCCCTCGCATCGCCTGTTCTTGCGCCTCCACAGCCCACGACCTACCGTTTTCCCCAACAAGACAAGAAAAGAACCCTCTTTTCATTTCCGAGAGAAACTTCTCCAATACCACCAGCAACAATCTGACACACAATGGTCCGCCTCCGCCTCACCAACCAGCAGACCGGGCACGGCATCAACGCCGACATCCCGCTGCTGGACCACGAACAGCCCATCCGGGAATTCTACCCGCTGGACGCGAACGGACAGCTCCTGATCAACGCCGCCGAGCTGACCGCCGACTTCCAGGGCGTGTCGGTCGTCGTCAACGTCGGCGGCCAGTCGGTCACTCTCTCCACGAACAAGACCTTCGGCGAGTTCAATAGCCTGGTGAACGCGGCGGACGGCAATATTCTCGCGACACGGGCCTGAGTTGCGTTTCAGGCCGGTAGGATGCAAGCAGGTGAAGAGACGGACCAAGCGCAGTCAAAAGAGGAGCAGCATGGTGGGGAGGTTGTAATGAGAAGGAATGGTATACGGTGCTGTGATATGTGTGCCGAAGACACAATGCCCAAAGAAAGGTTCCTCCGATGATGAGTCAGACTTGTGAAGACTCGATCGGGTGGATGATGGAGAATTGTCGCTCATTCTTCTGCAATAGGCAAGAAAAAAGAATACCTACCTACCTACCTACCTCCCTACCGATCAGCCTTGCTGCCCCCAATGCGAAGTTTCTCTTGAAGAGGTGCAATTGGTTGCCCTTTTTACTCCTTCTCCTCCAGATCCATTCCTTGTTCTCGTTTCCAGATCACGCGAGACGATGCAGCACATCGGTCCTCAGCCTATTGCTCAGAGCCACTCCGTATCCTGCTACGCTCATGATGCTGGATCCGTCGTCGTCACGATCCACAGCTGCATGTAGGCCCATACGAGGGGCTGTCATGCAGTCAGGACTTTCCGAGTATACCGTCGAGAGATGCCCATAAGATCCTGCGAAAGTCGCAATCAGTGTGTGTCCGGTCGGTTCAACCCGTGAAATCCAGTTGCCACCGGCCAGGCCTCAAGATTGAGTCTTGACTGTTGAGTCTCGATCGATCGATAGATCAATAGATCGACGGATCGACGGATCAGCCGATCGATGAACCACGGTGCCCATGGAACTTCCCCAAAGTCCTCGTTCACGCCAGAAGTCTAGGCCTCGGATAGGTCCAAGGCTCGGGAGGATGCTCTGGCTGGCTTCCTCCTACAACCCACACCTAGACCTCACGGGCATGTTCCCCCATTCCCTCCCGCCCAAAAATGCCAATCACGCCTGGTCCTGTGCATGCGCGCTAACACACACAGTGGCACGCCCACAATGCTTGCAGCCCGTATGCTGTGCCCCGACCGTGGCCCGGCGCAGGTCCCCTTGGAGCTTCGACTGGCCCGCTTTGGTTGGGGGTGAGGCTGCACGGGCATGGGAACGGGCATGGAAGTGGTCTGAGGCGAAACAGGGGGTAGAAAAAGGGCGACAGCCACAGATTTAACCCTTACCCTTACCCGTGCAACGACGCATGCGCCACTGAGAACCCCCAAATACTTGCCTGCCTGTGCGGGAGGTTGGTACATTCCTGGTGATGGCGGGGGAGGGAGGTCGTGTCCCGCGGTGCATACTGTACACACCACCGCGCAGGCTGGGCTAGGCTGGGCTGGGCTGGGCTAGTCTCCGCCTTCTTTCCCGTTGAGCAATGAGGTGAGATTGCGATGCAATGGGACAAAAAGCCTGGGCTGGCGCAAAGCCCTCGTTGTGGTACGGGTGCTGGCAGGAAGATGCCCAGAGCCTGGAAGGAGAGATGGTCTTCGTCATCGTCGTCGTGTTGATCACGATGGTGTGGAGACACTGACCGGTCAGTACGAAGTGGTGAGATTGCATGCACGCCCTTCCACACACCACAGGGTGACCGACCCTCGCGAATCCGACTGGCGAGGTTGGCACATCTGCGGTGCAAGTATGGTGACTTGGCCTGAGTAGTCCTGACACGAATGCAAATGTCGTTGCACAGTCAGGCCCCTGGTCCAGACTTGAACTCTTGCCGTGTGTCCCTGCGTCTGAGCGTTACTCAATCACCTCCAGAGCCTTATCCCTGCCATTCCCCGTACCGGTCTGGACCCTGTGCAATTTGCGCAACTTCCCCAGAATGGAGGAGGTTGGTCTGTCACACGCAAGGTGTAACAACGACAAAGAAGGCAGAGAGAGGTTGGGGGATTGTGGTCGCACCGAGACGACCCTGCAGGTGCTGGGCGGCATGAGGTCCGTGACACGGGGATATGCATCAGAAAGACAGCTTCAGCTGGAAGCCACGAGGGAGGGAGGAGGGAAAAGGGAAGAGGGGAGGAAATTAGGTATGCTGCAGAGTACAGACACCGGCCGGTCGTCGTCGAAAGGCAACACCGCCTGTGCTGTAAAACAGATCCGGTTTTGATTGTGGTCAGAAGTATCATCTCTGCAGTCGGACCAGGTTCGGTCGGGTTCTAAAGCTGAGCAGAATGCCCATCACTTCCACGCCGTTGTTCTTGTTCCGAGCGTGGATCAACATTCAGGCTGTGGTTAGCTTCTCCTCGGGATTCCATAATACGTTGGAGATGAGACCCGAGAACACTCATCCTGTTTGCACTCAGACTGGAACTGAATCCATTCTCGGAGTGTACTGGTTGAACAGTCCCTCGCACAAGAGACACGATGCGCGGCAAGACATACCCTCTAACTTACTTTCTTTGGTCTGCATGAGATAAAGGGGATTGGATTGGTTGACACAACCTTGTGGTCGATGCTTGAATACACCACTGATCGGCTTCATCCAAGAAGAGTTCTGAAGGAAGTGAGCCTCGAGGGCGTCAGGTCTAACACGTTGTGCTCCAAAGAACCTGTCTGTATGCATCGGCAAAAAAAGCAGGGCGGATTGGTAACTGGCATTGGTTTCTGGTCAACCTGAACATGTGGTCGCCGTCCAAGGCAAGCATGATTCCAGTTCTCGCCCAAGAGCGAGGTGAACTGCAGTGACACGGCAAGATGAATGAGGAGCTGGGATGCATACACAGAGTCTCGTGCCCAGCGAGACATGCCACGCAACCGGGTGAGAGAATGTGGTTCGGCTTCATGTTCTTCACTTAGATATGACAAGAGATGTTTTGTCGGTGGTCTGGAGCCTCAGAGTGACACAAGCCAGCCGTCACTACGTTTACCAACCTTTCTTCTCTCCCCAAGTTGTACAGGAGACAAGCCATCCGAGATCAGCATCTTCCAGAGGATCCCTGCCCCTGCCCTGTCATTGTCTTGTCACAGAAAACCGTCAGTGCCGAATGTCAAAACGTCAGACAAGCGATTATTTTTCTTGCCTCAAGACGAACGAGCAACGGGGTGTCCACTGTCCAAGAGAGATGGCGAGTAAACCTTTGGACGTGGGACTCCAATTGCCACCATCCCCAGCACACCTTGTGTACAAGACACACCTGCCACAGCAATACCCACGAGGCTCTGCTTGGCTCGGGCTCCTCACTCTGCGGCCCACCAGCGGAGCGAAGGTGTGAGCAGTGCTCTACTTGTCGATGTGGCTGGTTCTCACAAGATCCAGTACACCATGTCATATGTCATCGCCGCTCAGCACCCACTTGATCTCACAGGGAAAATACCTCATCCAGTTAGGCTTCATGTATAGTAGTTGCGTTCCGCATTGAAGAAGCATTTTGAGACGTCGACCGTGGCCAAGGTGGACGTTTAGCCGCAGGAGGAGTACTAGCTGCGGAAATATCTCATCATACTTCCACACCCTTTGCAACGGCGAGAAGGTGTAGCAGCAGATCCACCCACGGGAAGTAGTGTTCATAATAGGGCGGCCAGACTCCAGTGAGTTTTAAGCCGCATTTAGACATGGTTTTTGCTGTCTTCCACGTGAGATGCAAACCACCCGTGACCGTGTGGCGCAGGCTTAGATCCGCCGTGTTGAGGACATAGGCGACGCAAAAGGTGACGACAATAGACCTTGCAGGTGATACCCTCAGTAATCACAAGTAAACACAATCACCGCGATGAGAATAGTTTCGAGTCTGCGTGCAGAGGTAGTATGATCAAGTATGTATATCGGATTGGGAAAGGTCTGATATCCACACGAAAACTTCGTGGCGATAGTGAGAGCACCTGTGCGTCATTCGCAGGGCGTCTTGTGGCGCAAAACCAAAGAGTGACTCAAAGAAACAGAGTCAAGAGGCCATGTCGTCGAGCAAGGCCACTTCTCACCCAGTATCACTGGGCAATCTGCGGTTGGATTCAATAGGCGATGAATGCAATTTTCCACATGTTCCTTAACACCTCGTCGCGCAGACGAGATGGTGTGTGAATGAGACACGCAGCGCTGATCCAGCAGCTATACCAGTGAGCACACGCGCCTTCGAAAAGAATACGCCCAATGGTGGTGTTTTCTCTTCATAGTGACCACCCATTATACCCCCCCACTGGCAAAAGGACGCAGGTGGAGATGATGAATTCTTACCTCAGCCTGGAAGGATTCAACCCGTACGAGGTACGTGTCATCCCATCATAAGGCCCCATGCACTTTGTGAACTTATCGAATCCTCAGGCAAGAAAAAAAGAATATTATGTGTTGTTGCAATTGGCGCTCTCTCCACCACCCCATCCATGGTGGGTGAGATGCCTAGCACATAGGCGGGTTCCTACAGGTATTCCACTCCATAGCTTGTCAGCATAGAAAATCAAGAAAAATCCATCGGTCCAGCCAGCCTGCTTTGCTTTCTTTGGCCTTCTCTAAGAATCTGAGATGGGACATGAGCTGTCTCAGAAACCTTGCGGAGGAGAAGCGGTCATCCACCAGGAAAGAAAAGGGGGAAGAGCTAATCCACCTGTCAATAATGTACCTCAATGTCTGTATTGGATAATATTATTTGGGGGCCGGCACGCCATCGGAGGGACGGCGATCGGTAAAGACACGAGTAAGGAACGAGTCCCACCTGGCCGGCGCCTACGTCGCTCGCCTATCGATAGTGGTGCTCCGTATCGATAGCCATATCGATAGCGATAGCGATAGTGAGCTGACAAGAGGCGACGAGGGGCAATAGTTTCAGTCAGCCATCGTTGATCATTGCTCTTTCCAATTTCCACCCATCTGCTCCTTTCTGGTCGACAAACGAATAAGGCCGCTGCCTCGTGTTTGCGAGACATTTTATGCACGAGTGACGGCCTCTAACTGACACATGCAGGAGGATCCAGAGAGGGTGGAGGGGAACCAACCACGCGGGATCGCAGTCCAGTCAGCCCCTGAAGCGAGCGTTCGTCGCCGTCCACAACAAGAAGTCGGGGAAGTTCTTTTGAGCGAGCGCTAATACCTCCGACACTTACGAGAGCCTTGGGAGAAGGCTGAAAAGGGGAGCGGGTTGGGCAAAAAGGCACTCACTGTCCAGTGTGTGTGTTTGTTTGTGTGTGTGTGGCTCCCTTCGCTCGGTGTTCCCCGATCTAGCAGCTGAATGCATGCGTCCATGCTAGAGTTAAGTGTCGGACTGCACTCTACGAAGGTACCGAATACTGAGTGAGGTACTTCCTCGTACAAGAAAGGCAGCAAACGGCACCACCGACCCAACTTTGTAAGCGAAGGGTCGCTCAGCCCTATTCTCCACCACTTACCATTGGCCTCCTCCTCCTCCTCCTCCCCCTGCGAGCTACTTACCCGAACTCCTGGCTTGGACTTTGACTTTTGGGCCCAGCGGCCAGCGGCGTGCACCTTGTCTCGTCGGTCCCGAAGAGGGAGACTGAAACTTCCCAGTGCATGCCGGAAACGACTTGGCTGCATGCCAGGCCAGCCAAGGAGGAAACTAGAGCATCGAACTCGTTTCCAACATAGCTTGGTCAAGGCTTTTTTTTTCTCTTTCGTGTTGGCCGAATCCAGAATAGTCAAGTCGCTCTCAGCACCAAGGAAGACACGGCACAAACACTCACAAACGAGGCGACCAGCAACCACGTGGATGGGGGCGGAGTAGACTCATGGATCCCCCGTGTCCCCCTTTTAGTCGTTGGGGTTAGCGAACCTCTGACCTCGTACTACCTACTCGGACCGTAGGCCGTCCCAGAGAAAACAAGCAATCCTCAAGCTTGTTCAGGCTCTCCTCAGGCCACAAGAAGCGCTCGAGACAACAATGACGAATGATGCTGAAGGAGGCATCCCAAGTCGCTTACTGGTAAAAGGGTCACTCCTGTATACGTCGGCTGACAGGGCAAATGAGCTGCTAACATTATTTCACGTCATTATTTGCCTCATCCCCTCACCGGCTTGCTTACCAGTCTGATCGACTGATCGACTGATCGAGGGATTTTGCGGAGGCGGCCATGGCCACAGGGGTAGTGAGCAATGGGTAATGGGTTGTCTGGAAATGCTTCCGTCCACCCCCTCCTTGTTGTGTTGGGAGGGATGGAGGCCTGAGCCGGTAAGGTAAAGAAGAGGTGGTGTCGTGACATTCGATGCAAGCAAATACCACCCCAAATACCTCCCACGTACTCTGTTGTAAACCGGGCAAATGTGCAGGATGCAAATCACTTCCTTGTTCGATCAACGAAGGATTCTACTAGAAAGGAGGCCAAGGAGGGCTTCCACCCACTGCCACTGGACCACAGGATACTTTCTCCAGCCGGCCGGTTGCCCCGCGATCCCCCTGCCTCAAGGGAGCGAGCGTTGGCAAGCGGCTGTAGAAAAATTTCGACGACCTTCTTTTCTCCGGCTCGAGGAAAGCCAGGCAAAGAGAAGGGAGCAGGAATCCGGTTCGCAAGCCGACCATTCTTGCCCCCCCCCTCCCACAAACACTTTGTGAGTTATTGTAAGATCGGTTGCCTCTTTTGTCGACAGGCTTGGCTGCTGCAGGTGGGTGGTTTGAGTGGGTTGACAGTTTGTTGACCTGATGGGTCTGGGATGGAACGAGCGCCTCCCCTTCTCTACGAGGCAGGTATCAGAGGTGGTGAAGCGTTCCTATTGCCACATGTGTGGAGTAGCGAATCTCACTTCCTCCCTTGGTTAGGTGGATGTGTCCTCATGCTTCTGGGTATTGTTTGTGGCTCCCCAACTTTACTCGCGTGCACGGCACGTGGATTCGTCTCATGAGTGTGTGGGCAGTCGGTTCTGGCATTGCTCGCCGAACTAAACAGCCCCAATCATTCACCGTCTTTACCGTAGAGGAGGGAGGGGGGCCGCGCGATCGAACGCCAACGAGTGAGTGGGTGGGAGCACAACTACCCCGTGGTAGATAGGGGAAGGGAGAAAGAGGGAGGATCGCTTGTTACGTTACGTTTGGGACTGGTTAGGTTAGAGAGGTCAGCCGCTCCCGCAACGACTAGAGAGGACTTTCTGTGCCCTTGTACCTCATATTGATCGGTAGTATTATCAAACGAAAACGGGGGGGCGAGGGAATGAATATCAAATCCAACCAACGAGCTCGTCCACCTCCCTCCTTCCCATCCAACGTATGGACTGCGTACCTCGTACTGCGTCGCGCGAGCCGCGCATGTAATAAGTAAGCACTTGCACCAGAAGCAGACCGGGGGGGTTGCTATTGGGATGCTCGAATTGAATTACAAAGACAACACCATATTTGGAAGAAGCGACAGCACGGAACGAGCGTTCCATAGCATGATGAAGTTGTCCAATAGACGTTTTTCATTTCCATATTTCATTCTCTGCTACCCGAGAAAGGGTGGGCGATCTCGAAAAAACTCTCAATTCGCCTCTTTCCCAGAAGCATTCTGGTTCTACTCACTCTCACACATCGAGTACGAGCCATCCATCCACATGCATCCATGTCAGCTCGACCCATAATCTTGTTTGATAGCCTGCGTCTTCGAGAGACCGGTAGAGAGTGGGAGAAGACATTTTGAGTTCCATCATTTGCTGTTTCTCAGAATAACATACAGCCACATTGGGTATCGTTCACACATACAACAGAGGATAACAAATCCAAACACAAAAAGACGTTCCCACATTTTGGTGTGGAAAACGTGTCGGGGCCAAAAAAGGACAACAGATCCAACTCAGCACTTGAGGGATCATGATAGAAAGCTAAAAACTTCTTTCCGAGAGGCAACGAAACAAAATCCCCATTGACCGGGGACACTTTTTCGGTTCCATTGCGGGAGAAAGACAAACGCCGTGGAAAAAAACAAACCCGCCAGTTTCCGTGTATCCCCCCGTTTCATTGGTGCCATGTTCCGTTTTTCGTAGCCTTTCAAAGAAGTCGTGATACATTTAGACAAAGGAAAAGCGGGGGCCCTTTTCGAGGGCGCGGACGTCTTCCCAGACACTGTTCAAGGTCTCCACCAGAGGCTCAGGGAGGGGCCCTTGTTCGAGGATGTCCATATTCTCTTTGAGTTGTGAGAGCTTGGAGGCACCGACGATGACGGCGTCACCGTACTCGGCACCAAGCTGTGAATGCCAGGTCGTCCATCGGAGAGCGGCAGCGTGGCCACTGATGCCAAACTTTTTGGCTTGTTGGCGAACAATCTCGGCCGCGGCAAAGAGAGGATCCTGAAAGTAGTCGCCGGCATATTTGGCACCTAGGGGCGAGGCGATGTTCCACCGGCTGTTTCTGTCTCTCGTCGAGGCCCGTGAGACCTTGTTAGAGAAGAACCCACAAGCCGAGGGGCTGTAGGCGTAGAACGCAATGTTGTGCTCGCGGAGGACCGCGAACAATCGCTCCTCGCCACCCCGGCAGATGGGGTTGTATTGTCCTTGATAGACGGAAGGTTTGACAAAGCCGTTCTCTTCGCAGATGCGGACAATCTCTTCTACTTCCTCCACCGAGTAGTTGGAGAGGCCGAAGCGTTCAAACTTGCCTTCATAGTAAGCCTTGTTCATGGCCTCGCAGGTCTCCTTGAATGGGGTTGCTCGATCCGGAGCGTGGAGATACATGACATCGACGGCGTCGGTGTTCAAGGCTTCGAGTGATCGGTCAATGCTCAAGGCAATGTTCTTGGCTCGATGGGATCCGGGCATGAAACTGGAGACTTTGGTCGAGACATTGGCCCATTTCGATAATCGGAGTGCATCCTCGCCCAACAGCTTTTCGCAGGTGCCACCTCGGCCCACTGGGTATGCTCGAGCAGTGTCGATGTCGGCGTAGCCTCTTGAACGGAACAGGTTGACGAACTTGGAGGCTTCCTCGACGGTGGTGATTTTAGCCAGCGGTGACAGGTTCGATCCCACTGATGCTGTGCCCAGCACGACTCTCAAGGGAGGCTTGCAGGGCACTGGAGGGACGACAGGCATAGGCAGATGCTCGGCGTTATCAAATGTGCTTGCGCGCGAGCGAGCGGTTGGTGTGACGGTTAGATCTGTGGCGTCGGTATCTTCTGATAGTCTTGAACTGAACGAATATGCTGAACGAGATGATGATGCGGAATTGGGGTACTCGAGAGATGTTCTTTTCCAATGGGTGCCCAGGTTGGCCATATTTAATTGCGGGAGGTCTTCGAGCCTCGATCTGAGTGCTGCGGCCATTGAGCCCATGTGTCGGTCTTGTGACATTGTGGGGGATTGAGGATAATCGTAGTCTGCCATTGCCACTGAAGGTATAGGGGACATATGGCGACTAATATAGAGAGAGGGTCGGGGGCGAGGACAGGTCGCTGTATTTGGTCTGCAATGTATTTGAGAATAAAGTCACTCAGAGGAATACAGTCAGCTGTGCGTTGGGTGGGTGGTGTGGAATATAGTTAATCAGCAGGGCAGAGGACAAAGGCTTTTGTAGGTCTTTGTCAACACAACAACAACGGTTTGCCGTCTCGAGGTAGATCACAGTGAAGGAGAGTGTGTGTATACCGAGTAGTAGTATAAGAGAGTCTGGGTAGGGGACGTGGAGGGCGGTAGACGGGAGTATATCTAGGCTGGGACCTGAAACGGAGGAGTTTGCCGACAACAGCCATCCGCTTTGGGGTTTGATGGGCAAATGGGCCAGGATCCAAGGGTCGCCACACTTGTTTGCGTGGCCCAGGGCAGATGAGCACTCAGCAGAGCCTGTGGCGAGCGCCGGCCAAGTCTCGAGCATTCCTCCTTGGCTATCCTGAGTTGACGCAGCCAGCCAACGGTCCTGGGTCCTGGGTCCTGGCGTTTCCACCCACTTGAACCCAGAACCCAGAGCCACCCAGGTGACACGGAACCCACAGTCGCCGTGGTTCCACCTGTGCGTCGTGACCCTGGTCAGCTGTTGTTCCATCCCTGCCCCCTGGTCCAGAGCACAAACTTTCCCATTGCTCGGCTCAAAGTGAAAAAAGCCCCCTTGTTGATGCGTCGACGCCCATGCCGTGCCGCAGCTTTTCAACTAGCCTGCTCAGGGTCTAGTGGCCTTCCTTCTCGCTCAGCGCCAGAGAACACCTTTCGCCGAGTCACGGCTTGTGCACGTCGCATGCTTGGGCAAGTCATGATGCGGGTGCCTCTCCAGGTGGCCTCTAGGTGATCTCAGCCCAGTCAGCCGCTTCCCTCGTACATGCCGATTCGGTCAGCGAAATACTGAGTACGCAGTGCTGAGTCCTTGCAGCGGCCCAGTCTCCGCTTTGGGGGCTTGTTGCGCCAGACCTGAGCTTCAAAGCGTCATACCTGTCCCAAGCGGTTCAAATGACACACAGCTGGTGGAGGCGCTGCTCTTGGCCTCCTCGTGGGCTCCAGGGCTTCTGAAAAGCCTCTAGGGGTCACCGATCGGCAACTCAATCAGCAACAAAGATGCGCATACTCCCGGGCGATGCGTGCTGCAGGTCGTCTCTGAACAGAGGCAGTCCATCCGAGCCGCGGCGTGGGTGCTACTCACTGCCAGTTGCAGCAACTGAGTATACAGTAATTCAATGGCCCTCACAAATGACTGTACTCATTCTTCTCGACACATTCGGGCCCGAGCCATTGTAAAGACCACCCTTCAGATGGCGTCAGTGAAGGTGTGGAGAGATTAGCGGCTGTTAGCCGCGATTGGGCAGTCCGGGTAGCAGTCCTCCGTACGCGGTATATTCTGTACGGAGTAATCTGGGGGACTTGTGTATTGACAGGCATCACCTAATCTGCCACGGGCCTTGCTCTGGAAGTTACGGAGCGCAACACGTTCTAGGTCCTCTTTGGGTTTTCCAGCCATACAAAGAAGCAAAACAAACCATGCGCTAAACGGACCTCAACCACGACAGAGAGAAGGGGGAGGAGGAGGCTTACAGGACTTCCGTAGGCATTCACCACAACAGGCACCAGATTGTCCGTCCTCTGTTCCAGAACAGGGCAGAAAGTGACGCGCACGTTCTCGAGAATCCCTCGCACTATCGAGTTTGTTTTTCGAGAAAGTGAAACGAGCACCCTGTTAGATCTGTTGATCGCGAGTGATCCCCAATATGCTGGAAAACAAGGTACAGAGAGTAGTGCCGCGGGTAGCGTCTGTGATTGGCTGCTTCAGATTTGACCAGTCCCCAGATTAAGGGTTTAGCGTCGGTGTGTCGGCATCCCTGTTCGCCGACCTCCGACCTGCCGACTTCAAGTTTTTTCTCTCTCCAAGCAACAAACTGCGTTGCTGCCACCAGCCAGTCACCGGCCAACTCACCAACTCACCCTTCAACAACAGCCCCAACCTCCTCTTGTCTCTGCCTACAACTATGTCCTGAGTCACTACTCCCGTACGGATTACGGACTACGCGGTACTCTTTTTGGCTGTTTGGAATCACAAGCCACCACCACCACCACCCCCATCACCGTCTTCCTCTCCCTCGCCGCCACCACCAGGCCCTTGATGATGTGTCCTGTGGCTTCCCCCTCTTGGCCGTCCCTGAAACTTTCTATGCCTCGTGCCGAGGTGTACGACTGAACACGGCTGAGTACGACTCCTCCCGGAGTTACCAGTGTTTGTGCAATTCGCTATGGCTGGAGGCTACCGAAGTCGCACCTTTGCTTGCTCAACCGTGACATCCCGCATGTTTGTGGCGCGTAGGTCGACCGGATGACTCGCTCTGATTGCATCTGCTCAGTCACTTGGTCCTGCTAGCGCCTCCAAATAGATGGCTAGGGGCAAACACGGGTCCAACAGCAAGAAAAATATGCCTGGTATGATGGATCATCCACTTCTGGAGAATATGGCCTACCCACGTCACCGGCTCACGGGCAGATACGGAGGTGTCTTTACTCCAAGTCCGCAGCAGAATAGTGCTCCGTAGCTTCGCGTCTACCTATTCCTCATCAAAGTGCCAAAAAATCTCTCTGGTCATGCCGCCACCGTGGTCATGCGTGCCGGCAATTCCTCAGGTTCGCGCCAGAAAGCTCGTCTGCTGTCATCTCCAGGGAAGGAATCTTGCGATGACGACTGCGACAAAGACTCAAAACAAGCCTGGACTCGTAGTCTACTCGGTACATTCGTCACTCTCTTTTCACGTCCCCATCCCCCGCCTTCCTTTGGCGCAATATTGGGGCTCGCCTGTGGCGGCAGTTGATAAACAACAGATTGGCGTCGGCGAAACGGCGAAAAGGCGCCGTCTCGAAACAAATCCCAATGGAGACAACACGCTTTAGCGCAGCCACTGGTTCGAGTCGTGGCGTCCAGAATTTCTGGGGAAGCCTGCTCGCTGAGTCCAACCACAATTTCGGCCAGGAGGGGCACGCCAGGATGCCTTCGTGGTACCGGGGATTTCAGGCAAATTGCCCGCTCCTGTTAATCCTCGTTAATCCTCTTTTCTGCGGAAGTATCCTGGCCTGCATCCCTTGCGAAAAGTGATCTGCTGTCCCGGATCATTACTTGGAGAAATTTGATGGCTGAATATATTGGAAAGCTGTGAGCCAATGCCCGTACAGAGCCAGAGTCGGCGAGACAAAGGTGTTCGACCGAGCAGTCAGGCCGGAGTATTGCGCGTCCAACATGAATAACTCGTTTTCCATCGGGATGTCGCGTCCGGAAATTCGACGGACAACGGAAGCACACGAGTATGCACCAAATCGAGGGCAGTGGCTGCTATGCCTGTAGTTTACTGTGGTGTAGGGTGATCTGCCACCTGTCCTACTGCGCAATTGTACCCTTGGGCGTCTTTGGAAGCCAGCAGTGCGTAACAGCCATGCCTCTGACAGCCCATCAGTCTTGAAGGATCTCCAGAGACAGTCGAAACACATGAGAAAGATGTGCGTCGGCCTTGTGCTAGCTCTGCAGACTGGCTAGCTACATGACATTTCTCACGCGCGACTGTCCTCAAGAGGTAATAGCTTGATGTGGGCTGTTGAGGCCAGTCACAAACCGATGCTTCAACAAGCTGGTGACCAATACCAGCCTCAGTCTCCGGTCTGTCACGATGAGGCATGGCGCCGCTGCTGCTGCAAGTAAAGTAAAAAATACCAGAGATACACACCAGTACGCCCATGGGGTAGCAGGCCGGGGCAGGCTGAGTCGTCCTGCAGCAAACCGAACCGGATATCTCGTTGTTACTCGGGTCCGGCTCACGACATGGATGGTCCGATCAGCTGTCGTAGGCAGGCTGCAACAGTCACTGAAAATCCAATGTCGCAGTGGACAAGCAGCTCCTCACCAACAATGAGGCGTACCTCTGCCGAAAGAGCGCCGTTCCGCGCATCCAGGTGCAGGTGGTCCATCCACTATCTGTGGGGAAGTCTTTTCTACACCAGGTAGTTGTCGATATCGCTGGACTCCATACTGTAAGTATGCTGCAAGGCCGATCCATTCCTCCTGCTCAGTCTTTCTCTGTGGCTATCAGGTCTTTTGCGTGCGTGCCGGCAGAACAGCGAGCAATCATTTCCTCTGCAAGTATTCCCCGAGTCCAGGTTTGGATCGTGTTGGAATCTTTCCGACGCCTTAGCAGCTCCCTTAGCACCCCTAAATGCGCGCATCTCTAACGCTCGGGCGGTCCGGATGCCTACTCTAGGTAGGCGAGCGCTGATCGATCCTTTCAAGATCAGGTTCCCTCAATGTCCTTGAGCTCTCATGACGTGTTATTGCTGTGGCTCTTCTTGCGCTCGTGATCAGTCGCGTCACACAAACGACCACGATACTCGGTACACGCCCAGACGCCGTTTACCTAGACTTGCCTGATCTTCACAAAGCCTGAGAGGGAGTCCCTCTGATATGCGGCTTTCCATTCAGCTCCCTCGGATTCCATTTCCCCAGGGTCTAGCATAGCGCAGCGAAGAATGTGCCAGTTGACATCAGCAAACAAACTTGCTTCTGCGTAACAATGACGAGCTACATACAACTCGTCACTGGTACCAGTGCTTCTCACACGTGCTTTCCAATTGCATTGGACCGCCTTCGAAAGTCCATTCTCCCACACACCCCATAGGCGTCGTGGAATAGGAGAACGTGCAACTGCACGTGTGGAATGATTTTCAGCTTTGAGGCTGTCTGTCCACAGAACTGATTACATTTGCAGGAGCTGTGACCTGTTCACTCAGCATGCAGCCACTTGTTTTTCGTCTAACTGCGCCATGCCTTCGACGCCGTATTTTGGCCACACGCAGCAAGCCATAATACTTTGCAGAAGCAAACACCGTGTGCAGTTTCAGTCCCTTCTCTTCCAGGTCCAGGGGGAGCTTCACTAATACCCGCCCGACAACGGTATAAATCCTCCATGCAAGCCACAACATCACCTTTGCGTCTTTGCATGACGGCTGTTTGTTTTAGGTGCTTACAACTTGCATACATACACATGTCGACGTGCTCCTACAACGTTGCTGCAGAGTACCATTGCAGGGAAACACACGTTTACAAACATTCTCATTTATCTTTGCAACTCGGGACCAGATGCCACCTTCTTCAATCGGTCGGTGGAGATATGTTATCCGTTGCCATATCGCCGACACTGTCAATCTGCACCCTTTGTCGATCAAGGATGAATTCCCACTTACGCTGGAGTATGTGCAGTCAGGAGATTCGGTCCTGCATGCCTCCTCCCACGCTAGATTGCACACAAAACTTACCACAAGGGATTCAATTTCTCCCCGGCTACCCACCTTCTCTGGAAAGCGCGGGCAGTCTGTCTACTGTATCTTCCACGACGAAAAGGTGACGCGGTGATTGAGGATTTTGATCCACAAATATGCAGGTTCTGACGCCAGGAGCACCGCCGTGGGGCCTCACAAGTCGCGAGCCGCTGCGTGGTCTTCAACATTCTCGCCAATCGTCGAATCTTGACGTGCCTCTTATCGCGGCCTTTTTTTTGTTTTGCCTGATCAGTATTGCCTCATCGCCTCCCCTATTGATCCTTTCCAGTTTCGCGCTTTGCAGGTCCAAAGAAGGAGGATCGGTAGTAATGGTTTCAAAGCTATTCCTACACGCCGAATGTAAAAAGCCGGCCCCTTCCCTCCAACCCTGGGTGGTCGAAGGAGGGTTGGTGATCCTCCAACGACTTGCTACTATAGTGGGCAATAGTCGGCATATATGCACGCACTAGCCCTTCCTTCCTCTCCTTACATAAACCGGCTCACGGCGCTTCGGCTTCCGACATGTCCTGTACGGAGCAGCTTGTGTATGTTGCTGCAGACCTTACTACTACTACACACCCCCCTGTTACAGAACTCCTAGTACCGATTATGAAGGTAACCGCTGGGAAAATGATATTCTGGGCTCTCGGCTGGCCCCTTAGCAACTATTTCTGATTGTTGAATTTATCCCATGTTGGTCTATAAACGGGAGAGACAGGTAATATCACCAACGCTTCCCGTACTCCTTTTGGAAACCAGAGAACGCCATCAGACCAACACTTCTATCATCAACATTAGGGGCCTTCCACAGAAAGGAGGATGATCGCCTTTCTCCGTTCCGATCGCGGAATCACGCAAGAGAGAGGCCTCCACGCTTGGCTGGCTTCTGATTACACCTCCTTGTAACCAACGGTTCTCCATCTCTTTCGCCCTGCTGGATCCTCCAAGGCTAACAACAGGCGCAGACAGTGTATTATCCCGATACAGGGGACAATTCTAGCCTGAATCCCCAAATGGGAGTTAAGTATTATTTCGACTTTCCTGCACTTATTCTCTGGCCCCCCGAGCTCAGGGGGAACCTAGCCAGGTGCCGGCACCCACGACCACGTTTTTCTGGACCAGGTATTACCGTATCGGGCTCGCCCACTCACTCCCCCTCCTCCCCTGTACCGTCGACAGGCACCGTTGACCTATCCGGGTCAAAAGGGGATGGGGCAGATTCTATGCATATGTGTTTCCAACCCCCAGCGACACTGGACAGATGGCAGGATGACATTCTTTGGGGGTTAGCACCAATGCCTCCTCTTCGTCCACGATCTCATACTGTCGGTGCGCCCCCATAACACGCTAGGCTGGGATCGATAACATCCGAGAGAGGGAGAGAGAGAGAGCATTCGGAGCCGAATAGGTAAGTAAGAAGGGCCTGACCAAAGACACGGAGAAAGACATGGGTCGGTAAGGGGCACTGTCTCCTTGCGGATGCTTGTTACTTCCATACGTACAGACGTACGAGCTACGAGTTACCAATACGTGGATACAGCCCAGCTCAGCCCATACAGAGCTCAGGGCTTTATGGACCCCATCTGCTAGTCCCTCCTGGTGTGTCTGCATGTATACATGTCCGGTGCACCGAAGCCGAAGCTGGGATGAAGGCTGAAGAAGTCGACGGTGATGCTGGCCTTGACCACTGATCAGCTAGCCAGCTAGCCATCTAATCCGCCCTGAGAGAAAGCGGAACCGGGCCCTTTCGGCTGCCGTGTCCCCTCTCTCCTTGGGCAGACAGACAGGACGTCAGCAACCCTGAGGAGGGAGTCTGCCGAGTACAGTAGTCGGTACCAGGACACTCGTGCTCGAGTGCGTACGCATGCAAAGAGGAAAAGTTACCCAGAGCTTCTCTCGTCCCACGTTATGCATGGACCACGCGGCGGTCTCTTTCGACAAGGCGCCGTCGGCCCTGCTGTGGACGACCGGACGCTTCGGGCCCGAGTCCCGAGGCTGACGGCGAAGCCTTGGGGGCCTTTGGCCTTCCATGCACCAATCTATCAATCACTCGATCGATCAATTGATCAATCAGGTAGGTAGGGGGGTAGGTATGTATGGCAGTGGGAAGCAACATGAATTGGAAACAAACATGAAAAGCAACAGGTACAGGAAAGGTGTTGAGCGCCTCGCATCGCGGTAAGGAGGCGGTAAGTAAGTAGCAGCCTTGCGCGCCAAAGTCTCTTTCTTCTTCTGACCATCATGGAGCAACAGTGCTTACTATATACTTGTCTGCTCGAACAGCTGTCATACATATATATAAGCCAGACAACGAGGACGACCATTTCAGAGCCTCTAGAGATGGGAGGAGGAGGAGGAGGAGGAGGAGGAGGAGGGTATGAGGGAGTGAGTGAGGTGAGTCTGGGAGTGATTTATTTCCATGTGCGTCCCCCGTCTTTCGAGCGTGAGCATGCCATGCCCCCCTTCCTACGCACCTAGCTAGCTAGCTATTATGCAAAGAAAGAAAGAAACAAAGAATTTTCAATCGGGGATGGAACTGGGTTGGGCACCCACTTACTTTTTGCGTTCTGCTCTCTCTCCCTCCCTCTCTCTCTCCTTCTATCAGGAAATGCAGGCATTGACGAGATCAAAGGTTCCAGTGGACTCTGGTACGGATCATAGATGGAGGAGAAAAACGAAGGTTCCAAATCAAGCAGATCAATGATGGATGGATGGATGCTGCTCAAGTCCCTCCACGCTCCAAACTCGAACAACCAAAAACGCAGGGGAACGTGTCTGCGGCCGCCGTGATGCCTCTTCCTTCCAACCGCTGTAGTAAGATTCTCTATCTATCCTCTCTTTTGCCAGCTAGGAGTAGGTAGCAGTGGGCTATCTATCCATGGTATGCATGTGTACTAGCTAGCTCCTCTCATTGCGAACGCAGGGAGAGTTTTACGTATCATCCATCTCGTCCTTCTCCTCCCTTCCTTGTCGTTTCCCAGATCCGCCGCCGTTCCATCCCAGCTTCATTTCCTTCTCGTTTCACTTTCATTATACCCCTTCCCCTGCTGTAAAGCCTAGAGCAGACCTGATCAGATCAGATTCCCACGCGAGCTCTGCTCCTGCTGCATCCACGGTACTGTAGATAGATTACACTCCCGCTCCCACAGGATCTGAAAAGGGGTAAAAGGGGGAAGTCGTGGGCGGCAAGCAGGCCCTGCATCACCTTGTCCTCGTAAATAGGGCGTTTTCAGCAACCTTCTGTAGATGGACTGTAGATTGTTAGGTTCCCCCTGTTGTTGTTGTAGCAGTAGTAGTAATGATTACTCGACATGGCGATGATCCCAGCCTGGGATGGCGTGTATCTGTCTGTCTGTCTGTCTGTCTGTGTGGTTCGATCGATCCGTGGTCTGTAACGTCAAAAAAAGCAAGGACAGAACGATGTCCATCTATCCATTCCAAAAGTCGTCCAAGAATCCTTGAATCACCTTGACGTCCTTCAATGGAGCATGTGTCTTCAAGTCGAGACATTCAATCTCTGACCTGGTTTCCTTCCCCCAACTCTCGTATGCTTACGGAGCCTGAGGCGTTGGCGACGGCGAGATCACCCCCATTCCCACGCCCGGTACATTTTCCTCTTCCCCACCATCGCCTGCACGACGGACCATGCGCTCGAGTGCAGCGATTCTCCTCAGCAATGCAGCCTCGCGCGCCGTGGCCGCGGCCTTCTCCTCCAGGAGACCCGCGATGCGGTCAACAGAGGCGGCCTTCTCTCGGCGCAAGGTGCGCACGCTGTCGACGAGCGTGTCGAGCCTTTGTGTCCTACGGCCGTCGCGACCTGCGTTCGAAGAACCCACAGCCTCGTCCAGGGCCCAGTGCTGCTCCGAGAATTCTTCCACCGCCGCCTGAAAGGAGCCGTCGCGTACGCCACGCACGACTTCTGTGCCGAACTCCCCGTCGTCTTCTCGTGTCCCGGTCCCCTGCGTGGAGGTGTTTGTGCGCTGGGCGGCTGCCGAGTCGAGGTATTCAAAAGCGTCTTTGACGAGTTCCCGGATGGTTTTCTCTCCTGTGGCTGCCGTCGACGTCGGCGACACCGCCTGCTCGAGCTGTGATCTCGGCGAATCAAGCGTCGAAGTCTTCGTCAAGTCTATATAGCCGCAATGTCGTGGACTCAGCCCAGGTTGTCTCCTGGCATGGTCTTCCTTCTGTTTGCTTTCTTTCTGTAGCTGACTAGCAGGGCCATTTTTCTGTAAGGGGCGCACCATCGGACGCGAATGACGTTGCTGTTCTCTCCTGGTCAAGTCCATCATCAATGCAGTTCTCAACTTCAGCTTCTGTCTCTGCAATGGGTCTTCCATGCCACTACCGTCCTCGAGCTGTCTCTCAGCGACGATTTCGATATCGTCGTCACCATCATCACCATCACCATCATCCTGTTGTTTCTTTCTGGTGTCGGCTTCCGTACTTTGATATTTCCGCTTCGTGCCCTTCGCCCTGCCTTTCTCTTGGCCAGCTGTCTTCCCATCTCTTGCCCCGGCCACGGCTTTCTCGGGCGGCATCCCCAGCTTTGGTGATTGTGATCCTTCGGAAAGCGTGTAGGTAGCCTAATCTTCTCTATTCTTGTCCGGAGGGGGCCCAATGTCTGCGAATCAGGCTATGTAAGGTTCGAGAAGGTTTCCGAGAGAACGGAAGAACAAAATGAGTGCAGTGGCCAAGACCGACCATAGTACATATAGTTCGGGGGCAGATTTCGTTCTAAGAATGTAACCCAATAGGTCTTGACGCAGGTGGCTAGGAAGTTAGGAGTAGAGAAAAGGTATTACGGTCATCATCCGCCAAATCGACCACGGCAGAGGAGTTTGATGCCTCATCCAATGGCTTGATCTACGCATGAATGATACGTTGTCTGAAGACAATGAGTGGGGGCAGAGAGATTGGGATGACGAAGTCGAGACAAGGGTGAGAAACGCTGGGGTGAACGAACGAGGGCACTCCTGCGAAGGAGGGATCACATCGACAGCAAGCTGAAGCTGAAGATGAGTGAGAACTTCAAGTTGAAGGGGGGACAGCATAATAGGAAATACAGTGTGCGGTGAACAGGAGCGAGAGTCGAGCAGTCTGTGAAGCATTGGGAGCAGTCGACGATGGGAGATTTCTGCAGCAAGGAGTCAACTCAGTCGACGCTTTTTGTGATCATTTTCATGTGGCAGATTCGGAGCCTGGAGCTTCAGAGTGCCCGAGATCTGGGCGAGAATCTGCGTTTCCGGGCTCTTGTATCTGTTTTCGTGCATTCGGTTGGAGAGCTCGGGATCATCCCAGGGGTCTCCTTTCTGTTTTCGCAGCCTTCGTCCTGATCCTTAGAAAAATAATTCGAGACCAATCCAGTCCCAGTCCAAGTGTGCCGTCTGGTAGTCAAAAAAATGCCTCGCGGGGCCCAATGCGTGGGAATTGTCCAGCCAACTCCGCAGCCGGCGCCGACCATCTGGCTGAATCACTGGGCTCCTAAATGTCAATCTCAATCTCAATGCCCAAGTCCATGCTGGCAATGATCTCATCATCCATCGCTGCCTTGCGAATGGTAGGCAAGCCCTTCTTCTTCTGCTGTTGTAAAACTACAGGCTTCAAGGTGCTGGAAGCGACCGGCGTTGCACTCCGTGGAGTCCCATTAGCCAACGAAAGCGGATTCGGTGATGCCGTCCGCGAAATGCTTGCTGCCGCCGCCGGTCGCGGAGTCCCCAAGCCGTTAACCGGTGTGCCCGCACGACTAATGTCACTTCCGCCCTCGAACAATTCATCGACGCCCGGAGCAAGAGTCTTCTTCGCCTTACGAGCTCTCATTTCCGCGAGTTGCGCTTTCCGAACATTCTCCGCGTTCAGTCGCTGATTCCGGCGGTTAAGCTCTGCCAGGCGCTCCTGTTCGGGGTTGACGTAGGCGGTATCTTGTTTGGTCAAACTCGTTCCAAAAGCCAGTTTCATAGGCACGATTGACGCAAGCTGGTTCTCCAACTCTTCGGCAAGATCCTCTTTCCCGTCAGCGCGGGCTTCCACAATCCTGGCCTTGAGGTCCTCTTTCTCTTGGTTTCGGGTAATCTTCTCGATGAGGTCGTTTTGAGCTTTGATCTTTTGCGAAATCTCGGCTTCGCTGAAGCGGTGGTTGATCAGGCGATTAATCTGATCAAGCTTTGAGTTGATGAATGCTTTAGTAGGCAGCTTCAAATTCTCATTGGCCATGACAGATCGGTATCTCCGCCATTCGTCGTCCGTAAACTTGGACATGGAGCATTCAAGGAACGACCATGCTCTCTCTGCTTTACCGTGCGCGGCGAGGATGTACAATTCGACTGGAAAGGGTCGTCCGTTGGATCCGATCATCGCGTACGGCTTGCCCTTGGTGAAACCCTTGATCAAGCACAGACGATATTCATTAACGCCTGGATTGCGACCTGGTCCAAGGCAAACACGGGCATAGCAGTCTGTGATGGCTTCCTCAAACCCAGGGGTGTAGCAGACTTGAGCGAAATTGTCACGACCGACACGAGCTCTCTGGATGTCGGCAAGTTCGGCGATGGGTTCATCTTTTGGTGGTGTGGGAGTTCGTCGCTTGTACCGACGGTCATCGTACTCATTGTCACTCTCGCCTTCGGCATCCGCATCGCTGTAGTCGTCTCGTGGTGACGCTGCCTTTCTCGCAAATCCGTCCTTTTTCCGCTGCTCTTCACGGAGACTCTTTTCTTCCCGCTGTCGCTTGTAGGCCTCAATGGCACTGCTGGCTTCTCCGACACGACCGCCACCAACTTTGGTGCGCTGTCGAGTGCTCTTTCGCTGGGTGTCCTCCAGTTCGGCGGCGCTGGCCTTGCGCTTGTTCTTTGCGGCATTCTTCGCCTCCTCGCGAGCGCGGGAGGCGACGAGACGGCGAAGAGTGAGATCTTGTTCATGACGCTCCACCTGTTCACTGCGCTGTGCGAGGATCTCCTCTCGTTCGATTTCAGGCTTCGCTTCGATCCGGGCCTTGTCTTCCGCGTCATAGTAGAGTTTTTCGTAGGGGAAGATAGGCTTGTCGTCGGCACCGGCGTCGAAGTCGGCTTCAGAATCAGACTGAGACATGGATGCGGACTCCGAGTGTTGCGACAGCAGAGAGCTGTAAGAACAGCGCGTCAGCAGCGATCGCAGCGTTGGGGTGAACAGCGAGCCTTACACTTCATCTTCATCATCCGAATACGTCTTGCGGCGTCTGGTGCGTTTGACGGCCTTTGCAACACCCTTACGAGCCATGTCTGGGGACGGAGATTCTCTCGTTTGCTTTTTAGAGCGAGGTGGCGAGGGGGATTTTGGTTTGGGGGAGGACGGGATGCTCTCCTCGCCAGAGGAGTCGCCTCCGGCGAGAGCAAGAAGTTCCGCATCCAGGTCGGCCATGGTGAGGCAGTAAAGCGCAGTTCACTGTGCGCTGCTAGTGGGACAAGGGCTGTTCTCAGGGTCGATTGCTCAAAGGAAGAAGGTGAAGCGAACGGTCGGAAGAGGAAAAACTGCTACCGGTCACAAAGTGATCTCGTTCTTTGAAGCCTTTAGTCGTCGGTCAGTCGAGGATTGTGCTGAGGTCCCGCAGAAAAATGGTCAAACATCAGCCACCGATCTAAACAAACTGCAGTCTAGTGCAGAACCAAATGAGAACAACCAAATGTGTCAAATGGCACACGAGGCACAGTAGAAGCAGAATAGATCGTTCGAGATGGGAGAAGGAGGTGCGACGGGTGGACAGGACTGAGGTCTCTGTGCCGGACTCTTGACGGGACGACGAACTCTGGAAGTGAACACGGGAAAATGACATGACTCGGTTGTCGGCAAAATTTCCGACCTAATGACTCATGACTCGCGACTACGACGATGGATACTTGTGCCAGACTGCGCATCTTCGCCTCCAAGTGATGGTCAATTTGTTGCAAGGATGATTGTCAGGAATTGTGCCAAAGCCGTGTCTGGTGCGCCGAGGTGCTCAAAGTCATGCTTGTCCTTTTCAAGACAGACGGCAGTTCGACATCTGTCCACCCAAAGTGCCGCTTCTGAATCAACTCCGGACCCAGCTCGACCTCGAACAGTACTTTCCAATGAGCAGAGGAAGTTTCTCGACAGTGCGCTACGTGTCAATCAGGCCGGGGAACTTGCTGCCACTCTCATATACACCGCTCAGACGCCACCGGTGGTCAAAGCCTACCCACATCTCCGTCCGCTCATGAAACACATGTATGACCAAGAAGCCGGGCATTTCAAAGTCTTCAATGAACTCCTGGCAAAACACCGCATCCGGCCCACGGCCATGTATCCAGTCTGGCAAGTGGCAGCGACTGTTCTGGGGTGGACAACGGGGATGATGGGCAGAGAAGCTGCCATGGCATGTACGGAGGCAGTAGAGACGGAGATCGGGAATCATTACAACGGTCAAGTGCGGGAACTCTTCAAATGGATGACCGAATTGAAGGAGAAAGGAGAGGAGCTTGATCCCGAATTGAAGGTCTTGATTGAGGAAATCAAGCGAATACGCGATGAGGAGCTTGAGCACCTGGACTATGCTGTCGAAAATGATGCGAAGGAGGCCCAGCCATACCAGCCGCTGACCGATGTCATTCGATATGGATGCCGGGGAGCTATCTGGGTCAGCGAGAGAATATGAGATCAACAGATGTCAATCGTGACCGTTTACAAGTATCTGTCATAATATGAGTGTGGCCACATTCGCTGGCAGGCGACCGCTGGCATCATCGTGTCTGGATTTGGATGGTACCAGACATATTCAATCCAGATCTTTGTCAGGGACGCCGTGCACGGGCTGAGACAGGGATTGGGGAGCAAACGACATGGCCCACTGTCATCTCGGATACCTATCGAGACGACGCTGGGCTCATCGCCTGGCTTGTGCCTTGCTGGTGGAGGTTAGGTTGGGGGTATCGATGCTTCACCGCTTTTCAAGCAGCTTGGGCAGAAGACGGACGCTATTCACACTTGATTAATGCTATGCTTGTTGTTGGGGCCTCGCTATGCCTTACAACAAGGCGTCAATCGTCGCCCGTCGGGGCATGTCTGCGTCCAAAGACGCCGCCCGAGCCCGACCACCCGCTGCCTCCAACGCGCGCCTTGATGCCATGTACTCCTCGCAAAAGCGGCAAGGCGTCATCCTCCAGTCCTCCACCTGCTTCACCCCTTTACAAGGCTTCTCCTTGACCGACATCATTATTATATATTCCAGCCCGCTCTTGCACCGCACCACGGCATATTCCACATGCTGCTCCCCATCAACACACCCGAAATGGACGATCTTGATTGCATAGCACATTTTGCTGCCTTGGGTGTCGTACAAAAGGACTGGTGCCGTGTGGTATTTGATGGGGCAAAGAAGAAAAGCTTCCAGGCTGAGGGCAGGCAAGGGGTCGAGATTGTTTCTTTGACGGGCGATTGAAGCGTTTGGAGTGGAGATGAGTGCTGCAAGTTGCCGACTGTTCTCTCAAATGGCCTTTGTGTGCAGTGATTGGTGAGTGATTGTGTGATTTGCTTGCCGTGTGACTGTGGACTCAGGCACTTTCTTTGGCTGGTGACGATGATTTGGGATGATTTCGAGTTGAGAAGAGCATCCAAGAGGGTCGGCAGTATTCAAAAGGGTCGAAAATCTGGCATGAAGCTGGTCTGGTCTGGTCTGTGATCTGCTCGTGGTCGTGGATAGGGAATATGTGTTTGATGGTCATCAGCAAACTGTGGACAGGAAGAGTCGGCGTGATCAGTTGCCAGTGCACCAATTTCAACCGGATGGAAAAGCGACAAAAGGACAAAAGGGATCGTGTGCCCTGGTCGTTGCTTTTCTCTCCAAGACAATCGCGGTTAAAGAGGTTGCGCCTTCCTGGAGTGAGAGAAGCAGAATCGCGGCGCAGACACTACGCTTCACAGCGGTGGCATCCTCCATCTTCCTCTCTTCCTCTCTTTCTCTCTCCAAATGCTGCAGACATTCCATTCAGTCATCCGTTCATTCACCCACCCAGGCTTAGTGTCAGCAATCATTCATTCACGACATCACAATAGCAATCATTCTCTTGAGCAATCAGACCTTACTTTTCCATCTTCAGCAGGGGTATAAGACCTGCCTTCCCATCCCACTCCTGTCCCTCTGCAAGGATCGCAAGCCCAGAAGGTCTTATTGCATCACTACCGGGCAACATCATAACCAACACCTTTCCATCACCATGTGCCAGATCAAGCTCCCTGTCTGTCCCTACCCCGCCCACGATCCGGTCTCCTCCCTTCTCTTCAACCCGAAGAACGCACCCTGGTGGGAAGTCTGCGACAAACCACGGCCCTGGGGTCGCCTCTCCTGCGGCGGGCTTGAGGTCTACCATCCCGAACACCTGACTCAGTCCGAAAACAACCCGACCGTCGATCTGGACACCGCCGAGCAACACGAAAAGCCAAACCAAGAGCCCGCCGGTCACGAATCCACCCTACAGAACCTCATCAAACCTGGAGATGCCCACCAAGAACGATTTCAGCAAAAGCCCTGCTGCAAATGGTGCACAGCGGTTCTCAGACTGGCAGCAACAAAGTCGAAGGAGATGCAGAAGCTGGCACGGGAGGAGATGGCAGAGGTCGAGAAGAAGATGGGTGACGACGCTGAATTGAGGAAGATGCGTGAGGAGATTGCCAGCAGGGAGCAAGAATTGGATCGAATGAGACACCGTGCTTGGAGAAAGTGCACCGTGCTAATGGGTGGATTGGTTGAGAAGTCGGGAGAAGACGAGACGCAAAGCTCAGTCTGATCACCCGACATTGTATGGCAGACATTGAGATAGCAACAGCCACAAGCATATTGTTACCAATTGGGTCTGATTGCGCATCATGGTGTAGGTGAGATCCCTGCACGTTTGTACCAGAAGTGTTGACCTTCCAGACTTGCCCATATCTATACTGAACACATGTTGTCGTCCTATGCGTCCAACGTTTTCTCTATCTGCCCTCGACGGGGACGTGTGACTGATTCAAAGGGGAAAAACCAAAGACAGAGCTCCCTCCATTCTTGTTTCTCTATTCCCCCACAGACTAACGGGAAACGAGACGAACACGAGACTATGTGAAGGCCATGTGCAAAGAAGAGTTGGAAAGCTGTCCAGCACACACACACACACACACACACTCGTTATCCACCTACCTACTTCTTCTTCTCCCCCTTGGGCGACCACTTCAACCTGATGCGCTCCGGGTGTCGCATTGTCACGGTCAATCCCACATGCGAGTCCTCGACGACACGCTCAATCCTGCGTCTCGCATCGAGCATATCTTCGCCCACCTCCAGCACCGGGTCGACGCGATGATTCCGGAACAACTGCGCCACCACCGCCACGAATTCGACCTGCGAGAACTTCTTACCCGGGCAGACGCGAGGGCCGTGCGACCAGGTGAGGAACGCGGCCCCGTCACGCGGACCAGGCAGGAGTGATTCTTCTCCTTCCTTCTCTGAAGAGATCCAACGCGAAGGGCGCCAGACGTGAGCGTCGTCGCCCCAGAGCTTGGGATCCGTCTGCGTCGCGGCGTTGTTGGCCAGCACCGTCGTCCGGGGCGGCAACACCACCGTCCTGCCACCGCCGATCCGGAGCACCTGCGACGAATTCCCCGTCCAGCGCGGGACGCCGTTGAGCGGCGAGTACAGCCTCAGCGTCTCGTGCATGATGGCCAGGCATCGCTTCAACCTGGGGAACGCCTGTTCGTACGGGCCCATCATTCCATCATCATCGTCTCTACCATCTCCCTTCCCCTCGTCCTCCCCGTCATGCTCATCCCCCATCACACGCTGAATCTCCTCGCCGATCCAGTCCTGCAACTCCGGATGCGCGGCCAACAAGGCAATGCCGTAGGTGAGGGCGTTGGCTGTCGTCTCGTGTCCGGCCAGGTTATAGAGGAACAGGTTGCCGTAGATCTCGTCGTCCGAGAGCCACTGTCTGCCACGGGTCTTGTGATCCGTATTGTTGTCCACCCCGTGGAGCTCCTTCTTCGCCTGCTCCGACACCCGGACGAGCGTGCTCATCAGGTTGTTATTGCTATTGCCGCCTTCCTGGCTGCCTCCTGCGTCGTATGCCTCTCGCTCGGCTTTGACCATGGCGACCAGGTACCGGCGACACTCGACGAGCGCGGTGCGAACCCGCCGAAAGCGCCGCGGGAGCAGCCAGACCGGGGCGCGGGTGGCCGACGCCAAGACGATAGTAGCGAAGAGATTGTCCATGAGCGTGTGGATGGTCTCAAGGAATGAGAACTCGTAGCCCGCCTCGGGCGTGCGGTACCGGCTGTCGAAGGGCTGCGGTTTGCCGAACCCGGCGCCGCTGAGCACGTTGAGCGCGAGCGAGTTGGCGTCGTCCCGAAGCGTCCCCGGCGTCGTCGTCGTCATCGTCCACCCCGCCAGCATATCCCTCGCTTGTCGCGCTGCCTCCCTCCACACCAACGCGCTGTTCCGCTCGTTGAACGGCGGTGTCGTGATCCGCCGTTGGCGCTGCCACGTCTCCCCGTCGCTGCTGATTACCGAGGGGCCAAAGATGGCGAACGGCGCGGCGGTCGCGGGACTCTTGATGAAATCTCTCCACCGGTTCAGCACCTCCGCCGCGGCGTCGACGTCGCCCACCACCACCTGACACTCTGCCGGGGTGACGACGGTGAAGGCGGCCCCGTACCGCGCGTGCATGCGGTATCGGTACTCCCACGGCCAGCCGAGATAGCTGTACCGAACGAATTCACCCAGGCCGAACGGCAGCTTCTGGATGAGAGGAGCGAGGACGGGTCTCCCGAGCACCCACAGCGGGTTGAGCGCGTCAATGGGAGTCACAATGATGGGCAGGCCGATCTTTCGCGCCGCCACATAATGCGAGACCAGGCCGTGGAATGTCCATACTACCAAGGCTAAGATGCCATAGACAACGAGCGCCGAGATCATGTTGATTGACCCTTGTGCCGAATGCTCATCCGCTCCCTTTCCTTTCCCGGTTGGGGGGTGGGGGGTTGGCGAGCAATAGATGTGATGTCTCGCAGCAAAGTCTCGACTGAAAGTTGCCCGGGTATCTATCTATGTATGGCTCAAGGGTCCAACACAGTATGACGGGAAGAGATGGATGGGAGAGAATCGAGATTAGAGAATCAAGACCGCAAGCTTTTGTTCAAGTCATATATACACAGAGAGAGAGAGGGAAAAAGGCCCCCCATCTCCGGCCTTTTCATAGCGTTGCAGTGCTATCCCCCTACCCTCCTAAGTAAGTAAGGTAGGGGGAGGGGAGAAGTGTACATAACACACCGACCGTCGCCAGCCATAAGCTGGTGAGTCTGGTGAGTCTGGGTTCCAACACCCTCGCTCCAGGCTGGTTGATGAGCGGGTATTCTGCACAAATCCAGACGCGTTTGCAGCGGCACATACAAATCAGGAGCGCTCGCTGTCCATCCTCTTTTGACCGGTGCCTCGCTTAGTGCCCGTGAACCTCCCTCCCTTCTTCTCGTGGGTGGTTGTCGAAACGAGGCTGACGTAAGCCGCCGATATGGAATTCACCAACCAGATTTCGCTTGCTTGCTTGCTTGACCGGTTCGTTGGTTTGTTTGTTCGGTCGGTCGAAGAAACCGGGTCGAAAATTAGATAAGACAACTCACCCAGTTTTTGTGAGTACCTAAGGCGTTAATGTTAATAACAAGCTACACCGGATGGATAGACGGCGGGGCGATTGATTGGTGGCAGACGCCCGGCCGGTTAGAGGGTTGCAACAGGTCGCTGCTCAGCTCCAGACGCTAATTATCCCCCGTCACCGCCGGAATCGATTTCGAGAGTCGAGACTGTGCTGGTCCGTCCTCTTGTGATAGCTCCGATTGGGCGCTGATCCGTCATAACGATATTTGGTGTGTGGTCGCCGGTGCCCGAAAGAAACATTTACAGGACCTGGGAAGACGTGCCCCCTTGGTGGACGTTTTGAGCAGGCCGACGGGCTCTCTTTTCCACGGCTTCTTTCCACCGCTCGGTCATTCTCGTGCGGAGCGGCTGCGGCCAGTCGGTGTCAAAGTCCAGGGAGTTCGGTGCTTCTGGCGGACAGACCAGATCCAATTCTTCCGGTCCCCAGAGGAGGTGGTCAGCGAAATCGTCCCAAAAGCGACCTTGCTTGCTGAAATTGGCGCCGCCGTCGGGGTAGGCGTTGATTTCTTTCGGATCAAAGGCCACCATGGGCCGCGGCGAATCCTGTCTATGTGGAAACGACGCTTGCTCGCGTGCAAACGACTGATGCATGCTCTCGATGTCCCGAATCAAGCGGTCCGGTGGCGGTCGATCACCAGGTCTTAGGCTCAGGCATTCCTGGATGAGCTCGATCAGTTCAGGGCTATAACGGTTACTGATTTCCGAGTCGACGTCGTTAAGGACATTCGTCCCATCGAAACTCATCCAGGCCGGCCCTTCGCACAGCAAGATATCGTCGACTTTGTCGCTCAGCACCTCTATCTCGTCCATCGTCATCAGATTCCACAGGACGGCACCAATGGCCCAGACGTTGGCTTCATGACGGACCCGGTGCAGCGACGTGCTCCTGTTGGAAGGAAACCGAGGGTTGACATCCTCGCTGAAATAGTAATTACGCCAATCTTGCATGTGGTGAATACGTTGCTCCTGGTTTTGGATTAAAACCGACCGTGAAGGAGACGGGCAAAAATGGGGACTTACCGGCGCTTTCCAACACTGCGTGCCTTGTTGTATGAGCTGGGCGGTATTTCGTGTGAGTTCATTGGCATTGGTGGTGACGGCCAAGCCGAAATCACCAATCTTCGGCACGGGATAGTAGGCCGTTCCCTCTTGTCTGCCCGGATTCCTGCCCAGGAAGATGTTCTCCGTCTTGATGTCATTGTGCAGAAGGTACTGCCCCGGCGTGGTCTCCCCAAAATTGTTGAACTTCAGACTCCTGAACGGTCCGGCGCTAAAGTCAAGATAGGCTTGTGCCAGGAAGTGGAAAGTGTGCCAGAGGAAGGCTTCGGGGAGGTATTTACTGCATAACCCTTGGTTAGATTTCAGAACCGACAGCAGCAAAACGGGGTGGAACTGACTTCCATGCTTTGTATCTCAGCCTCAGCGTCTCCAGGGTGTCAAACTCGCAGAACTCAAGGTAGTATCGGCAGTATTCCTGGTCAACTTTATACTGACGAAGACGCACCAGGTGGTCGGACTCGAGATCATTAGTTTGCGCCATGATGGCAGCTTCCCTGGTCAAAGATATCTTCTTTCCCGTAATTGGGACGAAGTCTTGGGGGTTGGCGTCTGTGACTTTCAACACGAATGCCTAATCCAAGCTCTCATCAATCTGTCGTCCTCAAGACTCGTGCGGGAATGCAGTACTTACGTCGGTTCTTTCTTCCCTCTCATTCAATTTCGTAAAGAGGGCCGCCGCACCGAACGATCCCTAGTGTCGTCCAAAAGATCATGTCAGTTCGCCGGTCTTCCGACAGGGGAAAGCAAAGTGACTGTTCCAACATACCCTCCCCAAAGGCCTCTCCAAGCGCCATTCGTGTTCGTCGAGAAGGTCGAGGGTAGAACCGAAAAGATGGAGGAACCTTTCGCCAGTGGTTCTGGAGAGACCCGTCGAGTTGATCTCGTTCCAGCTGAAAAAGTGCTTGATGGGTGACTCGGCCTCGTTGCCATTCTGGTCAGCTTGTTTGAAGAACGACTGGAGGACAGTTGGGTCCCATTTCACACGAAAGCCATCCATCGCCATTTTGCCCCAAACAGAATTAGTTCTTTGCCGTAAATGTGAGTGTTTTAGGAAAGACGATGAAATGTACAGGAGGACAATGCTCGAGTCGTATTGAGCTAGGATGCTAGGCAAACGTGTTGGAGAATGAATGGGAATAAGGTCATTGGATTTCTTGGGGCTCGTGAACGCTGTTCTGGTGTACATTATGCTTTCCCACCGCATCCGGAACGCCATTGTCCTCGGTCAAGTTGATTCGACGGTAGACAAGGGCACCTCTTTTTGTTCACTCTCTCCCCTCTGGACATCCGACCAGCAAAGATATCGATGGTCAGAGCGGGGTTCAATTCAATCCAGTCAATCCCCTTGTTGCGGCTTTGTTTCGATGCAGCTCTGCCGCCATCTCCACATAGGGACCACGTGATTAGACACGTGACCTCTTCCACCAATATTGGTGGTGATAGCTCTTGAATCTTTGTTCGACCTTGGTCAAGCACGAACAGAGACATGCTCATATCCCTGTGTCTTACTCTTCTGCTTCTTCTTCGAGAGCTTCCAACTCGGCTTTCTCATAGGCTTCCATGATCTTTGGATCCCACAAGGTCGTGCCCTTGGGTGGAATGCCGTGATTCATGTCTTTGAAGACCGGCCCGATGCAGTTCTCCCATCTCCGTCTGCGATCCATAAGCATCCGCGCCGAGTCACCAATATCTCGGGCTCTGTTCACGCTCATCGCTGTGCCAGGTCCGCCCACGCCGTGGGCGCCCGGTCGTGGTTTGTTGGCACCTGGACCACCCTTCTTTGTCTTTCCCAACGTCCGAGTTCGCTTGAGATAGGCTTGTTGGACTTGACTGTCAAGATCTTCGTGGATCGTGCTGTATTCCTGAAACGCGAGCCGTTCCTTAGCCAGGTCTAGCAGGCGGGATTTGCGAGCCCCGTTCACGACCATGACCCGGCGTAGCTCTCCCTGAAGCAAGCGCAGTCTTTCGCTGATATCATCATCATGGTGGGCTTCAAAATCGGGATTTTCATCCTGTCCCAGGAGGCCAAGATGTCGGAGTTCGCCTTTGATTCGCTCCTCGCCCTGGATGTAGTCAAGACGCTGGGAATTGGACGATTTTGCAGGTGCCTGGTCCGCCACAGCTGCTGCAGGGGGCAGTGGCTTCTCAGAAGTGTCATGACCGTTGGTGAGCCCATCCAAATCCATAGTGTCGTTGCCGTCGGCCATAAAAGAATTCAAGTCGCCTGCGGGATTGGTCTCACTCGCCGGTGTGCGGTGCTCGAACTTGAGGAGGGACAGCAGCCGGCTAGCGAGCGGTCCAGTCGAGATCTGATCGGTCGCGATATTATCATCGTTGATCTGTTCCACACTTCCCCTGGGATGATTCGAGGACAGTTTGTCGTTGCCATTCTCGACAGAAATCGTTCCTGAATCTTCTTCCGCCCAGATCTCCTGATAGGAACGCTTGCCTCGAGGTACTGCGAGAAATGGAGTTGTTCGATCACCCTGCGCCACGTCAGTAAAGATTCTTCCACCATTGTTCTCGTACACTTACTCGTTCGCGCAACCAGGCAATGTCCTCTTCCGTGAGAGGTCGCACATAAGGCTCAACATACGTCAGGAATGTGTTGGCAGCGACTTGGTTGGTGGGTTTGGCATTGCTAAAGTCTTTGTCAGGCGGAGTGCCTGCGACTTGATCACTCAGGTCCTTTGTCGGATACGCAGTGACGCTGTAAATCTCCTTCTTCTCCTCGTCCGACATGCCGGGCGTCACCTCCCGAATGTGGTAGACGACTGGGTCAGGCGCTAGGGGGTCAGGGAAGAAACCTTGCTGCGGCACAGGTGGCTGGACAACACGAGCGTCTTCAGCATCTGACATTGACACGTCCGACTTGGTTGGGGAGGCGTGCGCACTGGCAGCTGCTGCCTCTGGTGAATCAGCAACTTCAGATAGTGATGAAGTACCAGGACTGAGTTTGGTCTTCTTTGAAGGAGAAGGACTGTCCAAAGGCCCGGGTGTGGCACGGGACGGTTTCGTCTTTGAGGGTTCATCTGGGCGTGTTTCGTTAGTGAATTCTCATCACAATCCAGGTCCTTAGAGGACGATTGATGGCTCAACAGAGGAACTTTGCCGGCATCCGCCAAGGTAATGGATATAGAAATTATAAGGAGAGTGGACAGACAACCAACATACCTTCCTTCTTGATCTCGACGTTGTCGACATTCTCGGGTCGGTCTTTTCGCTTCTTTGCCTTGGGATTCTTCTGCGAATGGACTTCCTCTTTGCGCGCCTTCGCCCGGCGAGCCTGCTCTGCCTGGCGGTCGCGATCTTGCTGATCTGTTTCCACATTCTTCTTCTGTTCATGAATGAGGCGGATGGCTTTCTCGCATGATTCGGCGCGTTTTTCGGCCGATTCGCTGAGATGCTTCAACTGATCGATAATCTCGTGCAGCGACTTGGGCTCCAGCTTAGAGCCATGAGTTTCCAAATGATCTATGATCTCTGCATAATTGGGCTTCGAAGACACCAGGAGTTTGGACGCTTCCAGGTCGAGGAGAGGAGTGGCCGTTGGTCCCAGCGGCGCAGTACCGGCACTGAGAACCGAGCTGGGGGTGGTATTCCTGCTTCGGGACTGCCGGCCATCTCGATTCTTCTTCTTGCTAGCACCTGGTAAGGGAGGCATAGTGGGATCGTATCTCGACTTATCGGTGATGGTGGATGTGGAACGTTGTGGTCAGAGTGGCGTTCGGGCGCTCGATCTCCCCATCACAAGGACTTCTCTGAAGATTCTCTCTTTGAAGATTCTCGAAGGTGGAGTTCAGCACCTCTCGCCAACGCGACACTGACTGCTGCGGGCACAGTGGGCTCAGGCTGTTTGATATGGCACCGTCTTCATCATCACTCATCACATCAACCTGACGTCGGAACTCGGCCGCAGGTGGATGCCAAGCGCCCTGTCGGCTAACATGCCATTTCTCAGGCCCAAGGCAATTTGTACGGAAGACGGATCGGATTGTTCTGAAGTGGAATAGCCGTGATAGCCTAAACTGCAGGTTGCCTAGGGGCGCCCAAGCCTACTGGGCGCTTGGGGCCCCTTCCCCTCCCAAATAAACAGTTAGCGAGGAAATCAGCCGGATCTGAAGGCACCCCTCGCGCCTCCTCGGCGCCCACTCACAGGGAGCCCAGCCCCGGAGAAAGCTGCAGGATGCTGAGACAAATCTTGAGAGGCTGGGCGCAACTGGGCAGCCGGCTGCGTCAACTGCAGGTTTGTCCGAGTTCTGCAGATCGTTCACGGGTTGAGGACTCGAGGTGGAAAGTCCGTCCTTACAATCAATCCCTTTCTTCACGTCCTTATTGCATCGTTCGTACACTTCATCCTCCCCTCCGACGAGGTCGCAACGACTTCCTCTCACGAAATTTGATGACCTCGATGCGTACGTCATCCAGATCTCGCAAGCCTCTCTGGTATCCGATCCGTGTTTGCCGGTGCCCAGCGTCTGGTTACTGTCGCACATAACAAGTCATGTACGCGGCCGACTGAGCCTGCCTGCGCAATCCGTTCCCTACGAAGTTGGTGGCAATCCGCTGTTTCGAGCAACCTAGATAGCCATGTGTAAGTGTGACCTTGAATGTTCCTGTCTCACACGCACACAAGAATAGGTGCTTACCCGCTGCGCAGCCGCACAGGACTTCGGTATCGTTGCGATTGTGTTGCCCAACCCACAATATGACCCCTCCAATGGAGCCCGCATTGTCAATGTATGAGACATCGAGACAGCGTACAAGACTGCTCAAAATAATACATGTGCTAATACATGAAAGGAATCTTTTGGTTTCGCACTGAGAGCATCGGGGCTCATTCGCACTCTGTCTCCCAGCAATCCTCACCATTACGATGTCATACAAGGCCTTGTATATTCTCCCGACCTTCCGGCCTCCAGTCCTTGTGACAACTCCACCAGATCCCTGATTCCGGCCAATGTCACGACACGGGCTCAGATACCCCCGGGCGATTACCCATTGATTGCGTTGGCACCGTGGACGGAGCCAGAATGCGTCTTTTCCTACCTCTCTGCCATGCGGTCCGATCAGGTCCGAGGAGCCATATTCTTTCAACCGGGCGATTCAAATACACAACCTCCTCCGGTCAGCGATCGCTCCTGGAGTCTCCGTGACGGTGGACAATGGAAATCCGCCAACCAGTATCCAGTATATGCCATCCCTGGGATGCTGGGATCTTTCCTGCTAAACGAACTAGCACTATACTCCGGGAACATGTCAGAGGTACCATTCGGCAGCGACCTGGTAGAGATCTACAACCCTCACGATACGGTCAGGCTATACGCAAGAATGGATGTCAATTCCAGCACCGGTATACCTTCGCTATGGGTATTTTTGATCATCGTCCTGGCCATCCTGCTGGCGGTGGTCTTGATGACTTCCATCGTCATGCACATGATCCAACGAAGACAACGGCGCATCCTCCAGCGGCGAGTGGCGAATGGCGAGGTTGATCTGGAAGCCCTGGGGATCAAGAGGCTGCAAGTGCCACAAGAGCTACTAGACAACATGCCAAAGTACACCTACCATGCGAAGTCGGAGCCAAATAGCATCAACGGCGACGGGCCGAATGAGGCTGTCGAGTCTGAAACGGTGGATGCAGTCAAACCCGAGGTGGGAAAGTCGGTGCATGCGGATACGAAGGACATTGAGAGTGCGATCGCACCTGCAATTGTGATCCGGCCTGTGGCGTTTTCTCAGTCGACTTGTCCAATTTGTCTTGACGACTTCATCAGCGGAGAGACGGCTGTTCGTGAACTGCCCTGTAACCATATCTTCCATCCCGAGTGCATCGATCCTTTTCTCCGCGACAACAGCTCACTATGTCCACTGTGCAAGAAATCATCACTTCCACCCGGATACTGTCCTGTTCAGGTCACCAACCTCATGGTGAGGCGCGAAAGACTAATGCGGAGGATGCGGCAGCGATCGAGGAGCGCCACAGAAGAGTCCTCACTGGGGACCCATTCAAACCGACTTCCGGCACCGCTCCTTGCACTCACCGGCCGTTCGGTTCGGACCATTTCCATCCCCATGGTGTCTCCTCAGATTCCTATGGACCAAGCGAGGAGTGCGACTGCACACATGGAGAATGGGCCTTTCTCTCGCAGGCGAAACACGATAGACGAGGAGATCCCTGCTGAGGTTCGAGCTCAGGGTGTGTCTGCGAGGAGAGCGTGGCTGCGTGAACGACTGGCGCGCAGAGAAGCTCGCAGTTATGAACAGCGGGCTGATGAAGGCCAGGCCGCCGAGGAGTCCCGACCTCTCTGTAAGTGTTGGTCCGGAATGTCACGCAACTGGTCGCTAACATTTTGTTCTAGGGCGCCGGGTCGCGGGTCGTCTGTTCCCCAGTCTTTGATGTGGTGATGATATGTGGCCCATATACCCTTGGATGGTTTTGATGCATAGCGATTGGCGTTTCCCCAAATGTTGCAAGTTGGTATGAGGAGGGACATATATGACATGGGTGTCGATATACGAGGGATCGGTTGGGGAAAAAAGGGATGAGTAATGAGTTTCCACGTGGATGAGGTTCTGAAAAGATGTCTGTTTGGATTCGTATACGCAAAGTCTGGCCGGTCGGATTCGTGATAGGATCAAAGCTGTTTCTTAGCTGGCGAACTTGTCATGCTTTCCTTTCACTCTAACGTCCAGGACCTCTTCGTAGAAATTTCCTTCCTTCTTCGCTCTCTTCAGGCGTTTCACTTCATCATCCTCTAGTTTTCGTCCAACCGCTTGTTCGAGCTCCCTCCGACTGACCTTTTCCTTTGCTTTTGTCTCTTTGTTCTGCTGTATTCGTGGCTTGAACCGGGCCTGCATCTTCACAATGAGATAGGTGGAATCTGATGATGCCTCACCGTCCCCGCGCAGTGAAATGTTGACTGATTTTGTGTTTGTAGGCTTCGTCTCTGTGACCGCGCAAAGATATCGTCTTCCCTTGTCGCCATCTTCCCGCTTCGACGCCGCCGTTCGGAGCCGCCACCTCGTCCTCCCATCTGCCGCATCGTCCACCGTCTCCACGATGAACCCCTCCTCGACGCCCCTGGCCTCCCTCTTCGCGCCCAGCACGCCCACGGAGTCACAACTCAGATAGCCTCCGTGACTCCCCTTGAAGCTCATTTCGCCCTTGCCCAGGCCCGCCACGGAACTCGCGACCCAGACCTGTCGCACGTCATGAGGTTCGGCCGTTTCCGCCACGCCCTCGACTATGTTTTCGAGCGGCGACGCAAAGACGTTGCCGTGCGCGTCGGCCGCGAGGGCCGTGGGGGGCACGGTGGGGAGGACGAGGATGACGGGGCCGGCGAGGTCGCTGGGCGCGTCGGGCGTGGTCCAGGAGTCGTCGTCGGAGGGGTCGACTGTCGTGGGTTGTTGGCCATCTTCTTCTTCCTCTTCATCGGGACGGTGCTTGCGCTTTTTGGGCTTCTTCTTGTCGCCCTTGAACGAGAGGGGCTTGATGGGCATATCCTCGAGATGAGAGTCTGGGTGCTTGAAAAATGGTGCGCACTCTATATCGCCGACTACCTGCAGTACCAGCTGGACAGCTGAGAAAGGAGATAGTGATGTGGTCGTGGTAAATCGCACGCAACAAGCAGATGCAGTTACATCAACAGAGACGAGGCGAGGCAAGGCTGCCCTCCAGCCTTGCCGAGGAAATGGGCGGTTGGTAACTGCCGCCCTAGCCACGTGATCTCACGTGATCATCTGGCGCAGGCCAACAGGTTACCTGGTCCCGTCCTAACACCTACATACATATTTACCAGAACTAGCCGACCTTGATCAATTCTCTCTATTTCTTGGTTCAGTGTTATTTCCCGTCCGGAAGTTTACAGCAACCTACGCCACTTGAAGAATTTATTTCTCACCTTGTTTCCTCTGGGAAGTATCACGCCTCTACCAAGGACACATGCCACCTCGACCGCAAACTCCATCACCTGATGACAGGCTTGGCGGAGGGCAGGTGATGTGGTAGCTCTGTGTACCATCTGCCCTTCTTGATCATCTCCCTCAACGGGGAGAGGAGTATATGTAGGTTCGCCAGAAGAGACGCAGCGGAAGCTAATGTGTGTGTGTGTGTGGGTGTGTGTGTGTGTTCCATCATCCCGCAGCAATCTCGTGCTGCAGCCATGTCTGGGGTACATATGTAAGTGAGTGAGTGGAGTCTCCTGAGGATCGAATGATGCTCCTTGTCTCTCGTAAAAAAGTACCTGGGCGTGACTGCTGTCAACACCAGGCAATCAATGAATGAATGAATGAATGAACATTCTCGAATACCGGATGAAAACCTTCTCGTGCTTCCCGTTCTGGTTAGGGGATGTGTTGATATTGAGATCACTTTTCTCCAGAACCTAGCGTACAAAAGCACTTGTTTCATCATTTTGGATTCCCCAGGGAGACCGAACAACCAGTTGAAGAAAGAAGAACAACCCCAGAAACATACCAAAACACAACTCAATACCCCAACCAGTATTATGAGTCGACTCGCATTATCAGCATCCGACGTCCTCCTGTACGTCCTCGCCCTGTTCCTGCCTCCCGTGGCGGTCCTCCTCAAGACCGGGTTCGGGGGCGATTTCATCATCAACATCCTGCTGTGTCTGCTGTGGTGGTTCCCGGGCATCATCCACGCCTGGTGGGTGCTTTACCGGTACGACAGGTCACGGACGGAGGAGGAGACGTACATCCTCAAGCAAACCACGTAAGAGGAAATTGGTCCTCTCGGAAGGACGTGTGGTGGGTTTTTGTGTCTGATCGTCGGAGGTTTGAATGGAGACTAGGGAGTTAAAAGGGATTCGGTCTGGGAGAGAGGTCTCGCTTGGATGTCAGTGATGTCTCTTCCCAGGATTGGAGCCAGGATTGCTCGCAGCACCAATGGTGGTGGCATATGCTGAAGCCTTGGTGAGAGAATCATTCTCTTCGGTGTGTGAGATGATAGGCATGATAAGAAAGGGTATCAAGCGACGGAGGTTTAGATGCATTCTGAACAGCTCTGTGTTGGATTGCATGGTCTATGTACTGTAGGTCCTTCATGGTGAGAGCAGCCTACCAGCAAACCATTTGACACAGACCTTGAAGATGAGACCGCGCAGCAACAGACCTGCTGTAAGAAACAGAATACAATTCCTGCTCCCATCATCTTCCCCATGCAACACTGTAATGGCTTTGAACGCCGGTGCCGATGCAAGCGCCCCCTGTGATCTTCCCGACGGGCTTGGTACTATCCCCACTCACTCTGGAGCCCCCATTGATGTACATATGTATGTAGAAGTGGGGGAATTTGCTCGATACCAGAGAAATAAATGCGTCACAGCAACTACAACAACGACGACGAGGAACTCAGACCACATTGCTGATAATTAAGACTCTCTCTGTCTGTGCCACCCACCCACCCACTAACTCACTCACTCGCTCACACACTCTCTCTGGAAATAAAAATACACACAATGGTCGAGGTCAAGAAATACCATCTTCCGCCGACGTCACTCGTGCCCAACTCCCCACACGCCCTGCTACACTATCCGGGTCTCCTGTCATCCACTGCAACGTCGACTACTTCTACTTCTTCTACTTCTCCTGGAGAAAAAGAGAGCATCGCGTCGCGCGCGCACGACCTCTTCACGGCCAACGGGTGGGAGACGCAGTGGATCTTCCGCTACGGGCCGTCGCAGCGCTCGCACTATCACTCGCGCGTGCACGAGTGCATGGCGGTGCTGACGGGGACGGCGACGATCCGGTTCGGGGTCGCCGACACGGTGGCGGACCTGGAGGCAAGTACGTACGGCGCCGGCAGGGAGGAAGGGGGCGTCGAGGTCGAGGCGCGCGCGGGCGACGTCTTCGTGCTCCCCGCCGGCACGGCGCACAAGACCTTCAACACGTCTCCCGCCGCCGAGTTCAAGCTCCTCACGCCGGGGGATGGGCACGCCGTCGCCACGGGTGGCGGTGGGGAAGAAGGGCGTACTAGGAGTGTCAAGGACACCTTGGACAGCGTCGAGCTGTCCGGCTTCACCATGATCGGCGCCTACCCCAAGGGCGGGGGACAGTGGGATTTCGCCCAGGGCGGGGAGGACGAGGGCCACTTCGACAAGGTGTGGGCAGTCCCTAAACCGGAGAATGACCCCGTGCTGGGCAAGGCGGAGGAAGGTCTTGTTGGACAGTGGCACTGAATGTAACACACACACCAAAAAGGAAGGAATTTCCTGATACTTGCGGGAGGGAGGGAGGCTCTATGGCCACCCGCCGCCCTGTGACCAGTGTCTGCTCTCTTCTTTTCTCCTCTCTCCGCTTACTGTCTTCAACTTTCCACTGCCCCCAGAAAGTATCTCCTGGCTCGGGGGACTACCCTGATCAGTCATCCGTCCCAATCTTGTACGGTTCGAACCTCCACTTTGACCGGGGCTCCTCTACCTTGGGGGCGCCTCTGCCATCAGTGTTGTAGATGACGTCTCGGTTCTTGTCATTACTCCGCAGCGGCGGTTTCTTGTGATGTTCTCGAACGGCGATGGCGCTTCTGTGTGTTGTCGGAGTGGGAGGGGGAGAGAGTTAGCCACGATGTTTTCACCCGCCTGGGCTGTAACACGAGAGAGAGAGAGAGAAAGGGATCACAAACGCCTCAATGGAAGAGATGGGTCGATTTTGCGACTTGGCACAGGAGAGGATCAGCCCGAGAAACGGGCAGCACATGTCCGGGGGGTTTTGTTTCGTTTTTCGGGGAATACTTGTAGACGTGCAGAAGGGTGAATTGCCCCCTTCTCTGGTCCAAGGTGATCCCACGTACCGCTCACAGGCAATAATGCATCCAGGGGATAGACGGCGCTGCGCGGAAGTTGCGAGAAGTGGTGGTACAGCACTGTAGAAAGGAGAATGGAAATGTAGAGCTGTCAGAACTCCTGAGGCATTGCACAGCCAGTGCTCGTAAAGCTGGAATACGAGTGACCCCTGCCGCCTTTTCAATGGTGGTGTGTTGACCAAAGAGATGGCTGTTCGCTCACTCGCCATAGGCCGAAGGTGGCTGCACAGCCTCAACCCAGCCGTTGGGCGCACGGGTTCAGTACCCTGCTGGTGCTGCCAGAGTCACTGGCCCTACCACTCATACCTATTCTTCGTCTTGTTTTCCGCCTCGCCAGTCGACCCGAAGGAGTCTCTTCTATTTATTGTGGACATTCTGCCATGCAGCTGCAGACAATCAATGGTGTGGTCTTTGCCTGGAGGTAATTTGACTGGGCACCATGGATGAAGTTCTCGGGTCTGTCGAGCTGGGCGAGGAGCAAGCAACCTCATGAGGCACGTCACCTTGAAGAATCTAGCGTGATCCCCACCATGTAAGGGCAGTTTGGTCACCGGGAAGAACGACATAACATTTCTACGGGTACTGTGAGAAGGAATATATGTACGGAGTATTATGTAGAGAATCGGTGTGTTTACTTGTTTCGATCATCAGGTGCCGACGGTGCCGATAGCCGAAAACGGACTTCTTGGCAAAACAGAAATTTTATCAGATTATCGGCGATTATCGGCCCGAGTGGTAATCTAATCTTATCACGTCATAAGATTGATAAGCCTTGTCCTTGGGGGATGGAGCACTAGAGAGCCACGAGCCCACTATCGTATGCCACAACACTACTGTCAAGACGCTACCACCCTCGCTATTTTCCTGCCGAAGACGTATTGACAAACCCAGATCCATCCTGTGCAGACTTTGTCCCCAACCGACATCGGCTAGAGCTTGGGGTGCTCCATGGCTGGTGTATTAGAGCCCAGCCCACCCCTCAGAAGTCAAGCACCATGGCGGGAGGAGCGTTGCACTCGTCGGCGGCCCACGCTGCAACGTGTCTGGTAGCTCGTGAACATGCTGGTTCATCACGGGTAGGTTGGCCCACACAATTCCGCGCAGAAGGCAAGGTATGGATGTACAGTATGTATGCCGGGAGGTAGATCAGGGATTTTCCAGGCAGCTTGCCAAAGCATCAGTTCCGTTTCTTCTTTCTTTCTCCCTTCCTTCCCGTATCTCTCTCTCTCTCTTTCTGGCTCGCTACTGTCCCTGCATGTGTGGTTGGCTTTTCTCTCCCTCGAGCAACTATGGCAGTGTTTCCCAAGTTTAGGCCTGGGTTCCGTCGAACGACCACCAACGACGCGGAGAACCCTCTGCCCATGAATCCGCTCGGCACGAACGAGAAACAACCAGCAATCACCAGCGTCGAAGGCACTAGCAGCGCAGGCGTCGGCAATGGAGAGAGCAGCCATGAGGTCGACGAGGCAAAGAATCCCACTGAAGATGCCCAGAGAGGTGTTCAAGAGGTTGAGGCCGTCACCCTGACCTGGTCCAAGAAGTCTCTGGTCGCGGTCTTCATCCTGTATGTGTCCCCTGCCCTGGCCACCGTCTCTCGCCTGCTTCGGCTGATGTTTCCCCGCCAGGATGTTCCTGCTTTATTTCGTCAATGCATTTCAGTCGTCGATCCTATACAACCTGGTTCCCTTTGCCACGAGCTCTTTTGAGACACATTCCCTCCTGACCGTCATCTACATCGTCTCCAACTCGATGAGCGCCGCCGTCTATATCCCCCTCGCCAAGATGCTTGACATCTGGGGCCGGGCCGAAGGCTTTCTTCTCATGGTGGCCTTCTCTACACTGGGCTTGATCTTGATGGCTTCTTGCAGTGGTCTCTCCACTTTTTGCGCTGCGCAGGTGAGTGCGAATGGCAGCTCTGGCTCAATTTCTCAAGCTGTCGAGGGATCGCGCGCTGATGGAACGTGACCTGGACGTTTAGGTGTTCTACTCCATCGGCTTCGGGGGGCTGATATACAGCGTCGACGTGATCACAGCCGATGCGTCTAAGCTGAAGAATCGAGGGCTGGCGTATGCATTCACCTCTTCGCCATATATGATCACGGCCTTCGCCGGCCCCAAGGCTTCGGACGATTTCTACTACCACATCAGCTGGCGCTGGGGTTTCGGCTGCTTCGCCATCATCTTGCCATTCGTGGCCGCGCCGCTGTACGTCATTCTGAAGCTCAATCTGCGCAAAGCGGCGAGACAGGGCTTGCTAGTGAGGGAGAGGAGTGGGCGGACATTGCTGCAGAACATTTGGCACTATACCCAAGAGTTTGACGGTACGTCGAGATTGCCACGCATTTCAACTTAGGATATCCCCTGACTGACACCTTGACTGCGGCAACCAGCTCCTGGTGTGATTCTCTTCTCTGGAGGCCTCACGGTCTTCCTGTTGCCTTTCACCCTTGCCGATTCTGCGCCGAACGGGTGGAAGACGGGCTACATCATCGCCATGATCGTGGTCGGGTTTGTGGTGCTCGTAGCGTTCGGCCTGTACGAGACGTATGTGGCGCGTGCACCGTTCCTGCACGTCAACCTGCTCGCGAACCGAACAGTGATTGGCGCCTGTCTGCTCGACTTCACCTACCAGGTATCGTACTATTGCTGGAACAGCTACTTCACGTCGTTCCTGCAGGTGGTTAACGACCTGACGCTGGCCGAGGCCGGGTACGTGGGCAGTACGTTCGACGTCGTGTCCGGGGTGCTGCTGCTGTTCGTGGGGCTCCTGATCCGGCGGACAGGATACTTCAAGTGGCTGCTCTTCGTCGCGGTGCCGCTGTACATCCTCGCCCAGGGCCTGATGATCCACTTCCGCCGCCCGGACTCGGGCATCGGGTACATCGTCATGTGCCAGATCCTGATCGCCGTGGGCGGCGCCATCTTCATCATCGTGCAGCAGATCTCCATCCTGGCCGCCGCGGACCACCAGCACGTCGCCGCCGTGCTGGCCCTGCTGTACGTCGTGGGCAACGTCGGCGGCGCCGTCGGCAACACCATCTCCGGCGCCATTTGGACAAACACTTTCGAAAAGGCCCTCGCCCGCTACCTCCCTGCCACCACATCCCTCGCGGATCTCGAAGACATCTATAACAGTCTGGACACGCAGCTGAGCTATGCCGTGGGCTCGCCCGAGAGGCGAGGCATTCAGCAGGCGTACGGGTATGCCCAGGCGAGGATGTTAGCGGTGGGTACTGGCATCATGGCCTTGTCGCTGATTTGGATGTTCATGATCCGGAATATCAACGTGACCAAGGTTGCACAGGTCAGGGGCACTGTATTTTGATTCACTCAAGGGTGAGTTGATGGTGGACATGGAAGAAGCGACTGCATTTGAGAGGCCTGTATGAAACAAAAGTTGACCCGGTCAGTAGTATACATAATCGGCATAACTCCGACGTTCTTAATTTCGTAACATCAATCTTTTCTCCTCAACTTCCACGAAACCAAAACTCGCGAGCCTCAGGTTGCTTTCCCCTGCTTCCAAAGAAGGCCGATTGCATTACAACTCCAATAGTACCTCTGATATTGAGGAACATGTGGCAACCAACGATGTGTCGGGCATTGGAAACATAGCGCATTCCGTCTCCGCCCAGTTGTCCCGTCCCTACTTCAAGTGTGGTCGAAGTCCACGGCTTTTATCAAGCAGCGTAGTTCAGGATATATTGGAAGAGATAACCGTTTTCAGAGGCCGCGTCGGCATAGCAAGACATTTTGTCAGAACTCGGACGTCTCGAGAACACACCAAGCGCTTCTCGCCGTATTCAAAGTCTTGTAGATTGCCTTCGAGCACCCAAAATATAGTATGATTTTGTTTAGGCGTGGAACCGTAGACAGTCAGCCAAGGTGAGTTAGGATCGAGAACTATTAAGGCGAGCAAAGCGCGGGTTTTGTTCGGACCAAAATGCTCCGAAAGGAGGACAATCATATATCTGGTCGTTGAAAGTAGGCCTTTAGCGTCAGAAATCTGTCGAATTTGCCCAGCTATCCCAGTCTACAACTGCTGCGGATTGGTTTTGAAAGACGTTTTCATGGCAGAGGCTGAGAACCAATGCCATCGATTACCAGTTGTTGCTTTAGCGACACGCCGCCTGCTGAGTGAAGAGCAATCTCCGTTTAATCGCGCCATCGCTGTACGCAATTCTCTCCACGGGCTTCCGTGTGCAGTCCACCCCTCTTCTCAAGGTCGCTGTGCAAGGCTCCCTTCTGCTCTGGGGATCCCTCGCCTCACCGGAAAACGAAGGCGAGGATGTTTCTTCAATGTTATGCTTCACGACTTCGATGTGGAGCTGTTCAAGTCCTTTTCCAGGGAGATATTGCCCTCGGAAGAGGCAGTGGCTTCACGGGCCTTTCGCTCCAGCTCTCGTTTCTCTCGAGCCCGTCTAGCGTGTTGCCGTCGAATGTTCACGGGTTGGTAGACCTCGTTAAAATTCATGACAACCCCCAAAAACCTCAGATCAACATCCGGTTGGTGAGCCAAATCATATAATAACATACTGAGCCGCGACCGAAAATCGGCCGACAAATTCAGCTGTCGGGCCCTCAAGGAATTCAGCTGCGTCTCGTCGTCGGTAACGTGTATGTTCTCACTTGGTGGAGCAAGTGAGGAATCATTCTCTTCCAAAAGTAGATGATTGGTCCTGAAAGCTCCTGCGGCTGCTACAGAACTGGGTGTGCTTGCTCTCGAATCCCCGAGGAGATCCTTCTCGGTGATCCCCCATTTCCCTTGAGCAGTTCGCCGTTCTATTTTCGCACTAAATTGTTGCCGTCGAGTGTACTCGGCAACACTGTACGAGTAGAGCGAGTCGATAACTTCTCGATAGGCAAGCATGCATTTTAGGATGTGGTGGACTTGGACAATAAGGCTGTCCTCTTGCTGGCCTGTTACCGGGTGTCTTTGCTGCCCAATCAGGCCCTTTTTCGTAATGTTGTTCAGGTAATTTGTGTGAGCTTCGATCAAGTCGTCAAGGGTGGCTTCGGGCTTGTGTAGAGCCTCTTCGAGCTTTTTCCAACTGGCCTCAATGACCTCAAATAGAAGGTAATATTGTAGCTGATTGACAAAATGGACCATTTCTGCAACAACACATCTTGACCGTTTCCAATCGTTGCCCAATTTGTCACTCACAGCAGCAAGGACTCCCCGGCCGCCCGTCATGCATCGTTTACAGGTCGAGCTGAGAGAGTACTCGACCCTTTTGATTCTCCAGAGCAGGTTGAATATCTTGAGGTACTGTGTGTTAGCCCATTGAGTGATGACAACATCACAGGGGGCACTGATTTTGTATTCGAGAGTGAAACAATCCCAGCCGATTTCCCCACTCGATAATTCAAGCATTCGGGCATCCAACCGTCGCAAGACCTCGGCGTCGTCATATTGGGCGTTGGAGTGTCGTATGGCATGTTCGAGTTGTGATGTTAGGTTGTGTCGGTACATTGAATTCACAGGGCGATCAAGATGTTGAGCCAACGACTCGATGAGGAGATCAAAGAAGTCACCCTGGGCTAGCAACATGTACTTCTTGATCGCCGTCAAGTGTGTGAATAGGCCAAATTTCGTCGACATCAGGTGGGTCAATCGCGACATGGTCGTTCGGTAAGCCACATCGATTGATTGTGCGAGATTGGCAGTATTTGCATAGTCCAGCGACCTCGAGTTTGATTTGGAATATTTGATGACCCAGTCAGAATCGCCGCAGTTGTTGCGAATGAAGTTGAGGGATTTCCCAATCAGGAAGACCTTTTTGGCAAACTCGGAGGATATGATCGAAGGTACCATACCCGAGTCGACTTTGTACTTCTCTTCCCACACAGATGTTGCTACGTGTCGATGATCCACCGGGGGTTGTGCAGTAGGATCTGGCTCTGTTATGAAGAATTCGTGGTATGGGTCAATTAATTCACCGTCATAAATCCAATGCCTGAGCATCTCATAGAATGGACGTGCAACATGTGTAAGAAGCTTTTCCGCAAATGATGCCACAAAGGGGTCGCCATGGGAGGAGGACAGGTTGTGTATAAGGGACAAGACTTGCCCTCCTCGCTTTTGCCTCGAGTCCTCGACAATCAGCTTCATCAGTCGAAGAGCCATGGTTGCCTCTCTTGTCCAGATCAGACATCGCTTCAAAGTGACACCAGTTAGGCGGACCGCTTTGGGGTCCTGGGCATTCTGGACAGTGGCTAAGGCCTGTCGGACCTCCGTTTCAAGCGAGGCGACAAGACTCAAATAGGAGCGTAATTCGTTGTTGATGGCAGAACGAAGGCTCTGATCAATGAGTCCTCCATCCTGACCTGCAGCATACTCTGCCAGTCCTCGATAGAGCAGACAAGGCTCTGCAAGTGCGTGGAGAAGAGAAATAATTGGAACCGGCAGGCTTGGTGGCAGTTTGAGCGAGCCATTGTCCGCGAACTGAAGGTGCGCAGATGACACGCCTTGGAGATTGAAGGGCAAATCCCGCAGAAGGTCCAATTCTGATGGATAAATGACTCGTGCCTCCGACTTCTGCGCAACGGGCTTCTGTTGCTTAGGCTCTTCAGTCTGTCCCTGATCCTCCTCCTCCTCTTCGGCGGGAATTTCAACTTGCTCATTCGCCTTTCTGGATCTGGTTGAAAAGGCACGGCGCGTGCGTATTGACACTTTCGGTGGCTGCGGATCCGCCTCTTCCTCCTCATCGTCATCTTCTAGCTCTTCCTCTGCGGTAAATGTGGTCTCCGGGGACAAGGTATGCCGGCGCGGAATGTTTGCGAATTGCTCCGAGTCTGCGAGGGGGTTTCGAGGCCGCACATCCGGGATGGACTTGTCCGACAACTTGTAGAGGAGGTACAGGATGGCCCATTTTTGGTTCAGGACGGGAATGGCAAGAAGTCTGGAGTAAAGATTGCTGAACCTGGCCGCTTTCTCTGGAGAGGCATTCTCTCGTAACAACTTCCGCTTGATCAAATCTTGTGCCTGGTTGGTATCTGGCGGGAGTCTGCCGTCTGCACCGAGGACGGCCTCTTTTGCATTCCGAATGGCGCGGTCAATGCGAAATTCGGTATCAGTATCGTCTTGGTCGGGGGAGAGTGCCGGAACGAGGCTTTCGAGGAGGGAGGTCAAGGTGCCCTCGACGCGGTTCAATCGTGGGTCGGCCATTGGCGGCGCGAAGAGAATGAGACTCTGGGGCGCATGACAATGAGCATGCGTCAAGGCGGCAAGGCTTCAGAGAGTTGTCAGGGTGTGCCAGGCAGTACTTCCTCGAGATGTACCCAGGTGTCAATTGTTTGTTGTACGAAGCGGGCGCGGGGTGGATTTTCCGGTCGTGGATTTGCGTGTGTTCTCTCATCACCGGACGCGTCTGTGGCTGCCGTTGTGGCTGTCACTTGTCAGACCCTGTGGCTGCAAGCCCAAGCACAAAGTGTCCGAATGTTTAGGTAAACAGGGAGCTCCCGAGCCACCCGGGTGCCACCGAGGCGAGCCCCCAGCACCCACATCTTAGAGGGGCCTAGTTTACGAGGGGGCATCTGAGGGTCACTAGGGAAGTCTCTGGGGACTATAAGCTTCACGAGCACTGCACGATCACTAGCCCTACATTCATTCTTTCTTGCCCAGCGTATTGGGTACTTTAGGTACAGTATCTGTGTTAATTAAAAATGCATTTCTACCAGCCGAGTACATAGATCCTTTATTAGACACGGAGTTCGTCCGAGCCGACTCCAAGAACGATCTCCAGCTCACCTCGCCTCGCTCCCTGCCCGGTTGACAGCGACAGTCCTGGAAGCGAACTTGCATGGCGTCGAATCAGCATCTCTTTTCGTCTCTTTCTTCTCGTGATGCATTCTTCGAAGCTTTCGAGACAAGCCTCATTGATCTTCACGTTTCACTGGTGCGTCAACACATCTCTGAAACGGGTAAATTGCTCGCCGTCCTCCCTGGAACTTCAGCTTTTTTGACCCCTTGACCCTTGTAACCTCGCCCAGCGCCAATCATGTCTCGAATCACGCCTGATCAGACCGTCGCTCCCCGCGGAATAGGCAGGACGAGCCTACAGACGAATGTTCGCTGACACCTATCTCAGCCCATCATTCCAGATCAGATGCGGCGGATATTCGTCCCGACTTTTGGTTTGACGATCCCTGCGCTTCTCACCGCACTCCGATGATCTATCAGTGGCCGCTTCTATGGGGAAGGTGGCACCAGGCGGGTGATCGTGAATCCTTCTTGAACTGTCAGCAGTGCTGACCTGCTCCAACCAACAATAACAGTTCTGTCGAATCCCGTACACTGCCTCCTTTCCAAATAGGCAACAGGCCGACGTCTCTGTCTGCATCTCTCCATATTCTGTTTGGCCAAAGCGCCGGATGATTCTACAGACGGTACCTCCACTCCACCTCCAAATACGACCCTTGTCTGCTGCGATATGCCTTAAAGAGTAGACAGATGTAACCCACCGCACTGTGTCTTTGCCTGTGTCTCCATCAACTTCAAGGCCCCTTCCAACTCAACTGCAAGAGCTGTTCCACCAGTTCAAACATGATTGAATACATACTGCGGCCACACGTCTGGGCCGTTGCTTTCGTGGTGGTGCTCGCGCTTCTGTGTTATCGTCGTCGGTCGAAACCGAGCTTGCCTGACCTCCCGTGGCTTAACACCAAAGAAGGCGAACTGTTCACGACCTTGCGTGCCAGATTTCGCTCGACAATCAACTACAAGGAGTCGATTCATCAGGCCTATGAGCAGGTAAGGTGACTTGTTTTACGGCTGCGTCCTCCGCTCATCAAGCCACAGTATTCCAAGAACAACAAATCATGCATAATTGCCAAATTGAGCGGGGACGAGATTGTGCTCCCAGCATCGTCAATAACCTGGCTCATCAATCAGCCCGACAGCGTTCTGAGCGTGGACGAACCTCACAAGGACGTTCTGCAGACGAATTACACGTTTATTCACCCGTTTGTGGTAGAACAGCCGCTACACCATGAGACCATCCGGAGTGAGCTTACTCGCCAGTTGGGTGCCCTCACCATGGACATCATGGACGAACTAGGTGCTGCATTCGATGACATCTGGGGTACCGATACGACCGAGTGGAAGGAAGTCTGTCCTTTCGAAACCCTCAAGCTCATCATCGCTCGGACCAGCAATCGAGTTTTCGTCGGCTTGCCTTTATGTCGGAACAAGGCACTGTTGGAACACGGCATTGGTTTTGCAACTGCTGTTCCCATTGCTTCGACCCTGCTCAAATTGTTTCCTGAATTCCTCCGCCCTCTTGCCGCCGTCGTCATCGCACGGCCGAATCGATATCACACGAAATCTTTCGCCCGCCTTGTTCGACCCGAGATTGAGCGACGCCAGAGACTTCTTGAAGGTCAGACCGGAGATCTGGAGAAGAAGCTTGGCGACCCTGAACCCAACGACTTCCTGCAATGGTCCATTCATCGAGCCCGTGAGAGTCCCTATCCGGCCGAACGTGACCCAGACATCATCGCCGAAAGACTGCTGGCCGTCAATTTCGCCGCGATCCACACGTCAACATTCAGCATCACCAACGCCATTTTCGACCTTGTCGCCTCTGACCCATCCAACGGATACTTGGAACAGATCCGTGAGGAAGCCAGCAGTATTATCGCGGCCGACAACGGCGTGTGGACCAAAGCCGGCCTCGCAAGGATGTACAAGACGGACTCAGCACTACGGGAGTCTTCGCGACTGGGCTCGTTCTTGGGTGCCGGGCTGATGCGCCAAGTCGTGGTGCCGGATGGAATCACCGCTCCTAATGGAACATTCTGTCCTTATGGGAGCTGTGTCGCTATCCCGACCAATGGCGTCCACAACGATCCAGAGCATTACCCTGATTCCGCCACGTATAACCCCTTCCGGTTTTCTGTGGAACGACAGTCATCGACAGCAGAATCCTCAGACACTCTCGTCAACAAATCTAACACCAAGACCACAGAAGAATACATTAGGAAGGCCAATCTTTCCTTTGTTAGTACGTCTCCGACATATCATCCCTTCGGACATGGAAGGCATGCCTGTCCAGGAAGGTTTTTTGCGGCGAATGAGTTGAAGTTGCTGTTGGCGTACATGGTGCAGCATTACGAATTTGAGCATTTGAAAGAGAGGCCGGCGAGCAAATGGATCGGCACAAATTTGGTACCGCCTTTGACTGCAACCGTCAAGGTGAGGCGGCGAAAGCAGAGTTTATAGGACCACAGCTGGGAAAGAAGAGTGGGTGTGAGAACTGGTCAAGATTTGTTACAATGTCCTGTACTCGGTTTCAAGAGCCGCCGTCTCTTTGATTTGACAAACCCTGGATTTCTGGAACAGGCTTAATGTGTACAGTGGAGCAGACACACTCCTGCTCAAGCGGTGGAATCGGGTTGCTGCATCCGCCATGTTCGCATCTTCCCCTGGTGGGATGAGTTGAAATGAATCATCAGCCATTCGAATAGAAGTTGTGTCCTGTGCTTGCTACATTGCCGCAGATTCAAGACGATGTGGACAATTCCTCCTCTTTGCATCTTGCAAAAGCAGCACATCGAAGTATTGCTATTTCCTTGGATTTTATCCTCACCTAAATATCCAGGATTCGTAGATAGCATCCATTCCAGTCGACTTCGCGACCCGCTTGGCTTCTAGCCGCTCGCCCAGGGATATCGCCGAGCAGGGCATCTTCCCGGTCTGGTTTGTTGGTATGTAGGTAGTAGGTTAAGGCAATGAGATGACGCTCTGCTTTACGCACGCAGTCTCCCACGTTGCATGCTTTCATTCACTTACCTACTACCTGCAGCTGCTGCAGCTGCAGCTCATTTGGGGCTCGACTTTGGGCACAAATATAGAACGAGACAGGAGCCGGTTGCGGGCAGGTAGATCTTGGTCAGCAAAGCAAGAGGAGGTGGACGGGAACCGGGACTGTTTTGCTTTTTTCCGGCAGCGCGGAACAGAATTAAAACATTACAAACAAAAGGCAAAACATGCGTTCAAACCGACCATGCCTGTTAGGGTCTATTCAGACGTGAGCTTGAGCTGTTGAAGGTGTGGCGGGCCACTTCCCCGTCCGTCGGGCCTTGTCGCACCACGAGAGGACATGGTCTCTCTGTTGCTCCCAGCTCCAGTCCGTGTCAAGGGGTTCGTACTCGATCTCAAAGAACTTCTCGGCCGTGCCATCGAAGAGGATGTCGTTCACGATGGCCAGTGCCGGTGCCTCGAGGCCCTCCACGTCATCGAGGAGTAGGTCGATCACCTGGAGTCTTTCGGGGAAGGTCATTGCGAGGCTCTTGTCGAGCTGGTACGACAAGAGCAGGAACTCGGCGATGTTGTTCCGCTCGCTGTCGTAGGCTACCAGGGCGGCTTTCAGCGTGTCGGCGCAGAGCTCGGGGATCGACATCGTGTAATTGACGCGGATGGCGGTGCGCATGCTCGTGCTGTGCAGGATTGCACGGAGGGAGAATATCTTGTCCCGAACCTGGAGGCACTCCGTGTTCTCCGTCGCATACAGATATCCCTGTAGTTCGCGGTGGCCCTCCCACTCCACGTCTGATATATGGGACGGGTCGTGCGCGAACTTATGGGCCTGTCGCGCGTCGTCCAACTTGGTCAGTTTTCTCGTCCAGCCCTGGTCGAATCGCATCACGTCGGTGAACTTGTACATGAGAAGATGCGCCCACGCAATCCGGTCCGGCCCGCAGCAAATCACCAGCTCACGGGCGCAGACGATCTCCGCGACGATCCAAGTCCTCTGCCAGTAGCGACGCTCCACGAATCGGGCCAGCGTGTCGTACTTCTGCCGAAACTGGGCGCGGTCATGGTCGAACAGGCTTCTCGCAGCCTCTTCGGAGATGTTGAAGAGGTTCTCGCTAGAGTCAGCGTGCTCGCCCAGCCACGCCAGGACCCTTGTGGCACTCTGGAAAATGTCACCGATCATTTTGACCTGTTGGGCCTTCTCGTTGGTGTCGTCCTGTCGGATGCTGATGGCATCGACCCATAGAAGCCTGGGCTTTGTAGGTAAGCGAAAGCGACGGAAGGCTTGATCTAGATTCAGTCGGAGCGGGACCTCGTTCCCATGCATGCTGATGGAGTTAGGCGATATCTCGTCACCCCATGTGTAGGATATGCATTCATACTCGGGGCATGAGGGCGAGGAAATATCCACCACGATAAGTGAAGCTTTGAGAATATCATGGTATGAGCCTGGCTCAACCTGCAAAAGCCTCGTGCAGGAAGTAGAGGGGAGGGACGAGTAGATCCTCTGGGCTATTGACGGGCTGAGCCGGGCGTCTTGAAATATTGTTGCCATTGTCGAGAAGTAGACTACTTCGAAGGCCTTGTACGAGGACGTACTCGTCGGGCTGGTGGAAGTTGCTCAACCGCCAACGGACAGCAGCCTGCGCGCTAAGAACTGCACCAAACGAGTACGGAGTATTCGGTAATACGTGAGGGGTGTGTTTTCGGCCGTCTTTTTTGGTTCATCCATGTGGTTATCTGCTCTCCACACCGCTATCGCCACTAACGAGTAGGCTTACCACCAGGACGGCACCCAGACGGAGGAACTTGTTTCTGCAACTGGCATCTTGCCTTAGAGACTCCACTTGCCGGGACAGAGATAGAGACTGCCGAAGAACGGGTCGCGCTGGTGGAGTGGTCGGTCATGCGTCGGACGACAGGATGAGGTGAAGGTGGGCAGCATTCCTTGCATTTTCTTTTCCTTTTTCTTTTTTCTTGCTGCCACGAGAAACGAGTTTTATGCGTGCAGCAAGTTGCATGACTCCCAGTGCTAGAATTCCTGACGGGAGTCGGAGGAAGGATTTACCCTGTTCCTCTATTGCCACGATATCCTCCATATGGGACGGATGGCGTACGATGGATGCGGTCAGCCTGAGAAAATTGGACGTAACAAGAATGATGTGTCTTGGGAAAGAGTTCCACTTTTGTGCCAATCTCGCAATCATCGCCCACGCAAGCACCCCCTTTGGTGTCGGTGGTGCCGTGGCCAGGTGTGCTCAGCAAAGAAAATGAAGAACAAACGTAATCTCGTTATCACTGGTCAGTTGATCTTTTACCGGTCCAATATGCCAAGGCCCAGGCGGCGTGGGCTAACACTGAAACTGCATGACCTGTGCCCCGTTCGCCTTTTGAGTTCGGTGGCTTGAATCATGCTTAACAAGACGCTTAAGCCTAAGCGGAGATGCCCCAGCAATGCTTGTCCGGGCTCGGAGATGCAGGCGAGGCGACTTTGGTCCAGCCCAACAGCATTTTGGGACAAATAATGTCATGTTGCCATAATCACGGCCTACGAGGAGTTAGACCGTTCAATTACCCGGAGCGAACGCGACAGGTCAGCGGAGGAGGGGGCCAAGGAGAAGGTGGAATCTGCTGGGGCATCATTGTTTGGAAAAGGGTCGCTGGGGCATGCCCAGAAACGACCAAGCATTCGATCAAAGCCTAAAGCGCGCCTGGAATTCCGCCGAGACACAGCATTACGCAGGTGCCCAGGCGCCCAGTGACGAGTCAGATTGGCAACTGAAACGAGGGTCGTCAAAACTAAGAACACCAAGAGAAGCCCAAGAGCCACCAAGGCTGCTGGCGCCTTGGCTAGCAGGCCGCCAAGTCTCTACTTTGGATGTGTGGCTGGCTGCCTGCCGAGCTGCATTAATGAAGAATAATGAAATGAGCAAGAAATACGGAGTCCACGTCGCCCGGGTTAGGTGCAGACCTCAGCATGCCAGGAACAGGGTTGTAAGCTGGGTGAGAAAACCTCGTGTCAGCATTCTTTCCCAAGATTCTTTCGCCTGAAGCACCCTTTTGGGGGGGGACAGGGCACGATGTGATCCCCCTTCGCTTCCGAACCCTTCCTGATGCCAAGCCCTAGTTTGACACTGGCTTTCTGCCAGGGCGTCATGCCACGACCAGCAAAGTCCGAGGAGTCATTCCCAAAATTCCCAAAATATTCCCAAAATTACAAGACCACCAGTTATTGGCCGTCAAAGGACACGGAGGCCTTTTCCCCCAAGACGAGCTGGGGATCAATTTCCCTCTCGGTAGGCAGGACGCTGATCCCGGATAGATGACGATCCTCTCTCGTGCTTGGAACGTAGGCAGAAGTTTAAAGAACAATAATAATAATAATAGGAAATAGAACTCTATCGTTTTATCTGACCTACTGCTCCAAGAGAGACTATGAACCAGCATATGAGTGATCGGTCGATGGCCAGAACTGCCCTTTCCCGTGGCTATCGGCTCATCGACAGAGAGATACCGGCGCCCTCCCCTACGGAAATGTCGCCCAGACTCGCTTGCAGTGCGCCCAGCGATCGAATGCTGGGCGCTGACCCAGTGAACGCTGGCGGCCACTGGCCAGTCTCCAGCTAGCTGCTGCGGGCGCTGGGTTAAGCATAAGCCTAGTGTACAAGCTTGACCCGCTGGGGAAGTGACCTACCTGTAGATTCCCTCTCCCAAGACCCAGGTCCCAGCCAAGGGGGCCCACCCGAGGATCCAGAGAGTCCCTCCCACACTGCGGCTTGAACTTCTTCCATTTGTCTGGGCTTTTGCTCTGGCCATATTTTTTGTTGCTCTTCTCACGTTCCTATCTTCGTTCTCACGAATCGGTGCTATCGGCCGTGTGCCAGACTCTGATCTTCCCCAAGACTTGCAGCCCGCGTAATATCTCTTAACGAGCTGCTCAATTGGCTCTGCGCTGTTCTCAAGACTTGTCTGAGTTTACCGGATCTCTTGTCCTTGAGCCTTTCTACTTGCATTATTAGAGGCCATCTCTCCTCGATTTTGACTCACACTCTGCCAATTCTCCAGCTACCGAGCAGTTCACGTACAATCTCTTCTCCAGGTCTCAAATTCACTTGAAAAACCAGGATAGTGTGCAGAGACTATTTGGCCATTCCCTACTGCGACCTCATACGTTACGCGCAGTTGGCTTTTGCGCCCGCATCGAGAAAGAAGTCAGGCAGGAGGGAACGCCCTGGACCGTTACCGATGGGCGCGGCGAGCTGAAGTGTGGACAACGAAAACATTCAGCCCGCCGCGATTGGAGTGACACTCCAGTCACTCTAACGACAAGTACGCGACCGCGTACGGTTCTGTTGTGTTAGCAAATTGCCCCCGGGCGAAATTGGAGCAAGCTTTTTGACGGGTTTCGGATATTCCAGACGATGGAGACATACCACGGCCTCGTCCGAACCCCGACGGACGCCATCATCCTCTTCGAGGCCTGCAGGCTGGGCATACTACCTCGAGTTCAGCGGAGGCTGTCAGAGAAAGAGAGACAATCGATCAGATCGGGCTCGGTTTTTGTATGGGATGAGCGGGAAGCGGGGATGCGGCGATGGACAGATGGAAAGAGCTGGAGCGCAAGTCGTGTCTCGGGAAGCTTTCTGACTTATCGGGAAATGGAAGGCAAAAGAGGAGGCAACGCATATGGCAATCCGGGAGCTCGAGGCACCAAGACACCAGAAACTAGTCAGGATGATCCGTCGCAGGCTGGCGAGGGCGAAGAGGGACCTGACGGGTACCGGTACAAGCCCGACGGTCTGATGAAGCAATCCTTCAGCATCACCACGTCGACGGGACAACACCTGCATCTCATTAGCTACTACTCTCGATCGCATCCGGCCTCCCAGGGGTTGCGTCAACCAAGCACCGATCCCAGTCTGGCATCCATCCAGCCCGCAAAAGGAATGTATCCGGAATCGACCATCAACGATCAGTCCACGGTTCCCGCCGTCACTCGATCACCCATGCTAGGCGCCCCGGGATATGTTGTGACTCCAGGAGGCCCAGGGTATCACCGTCCCAGCCCTGCTCCTCCACAAGCATATATTCCGCCCGGCTACATCCCTCATCCAGCCTACATCTACCCGATCAGCCCCATGCACACGCCTCCCCCTGGGCACTATCTCCAGCCATATGCTCTTCCGCCCGGTTTACCCCCGCTCGCATATTCCGCGGCGCCCTATCACTCACCACACCCTCTGCCTCTCAGTCAAGCACCACCGTCCTCTTTTGATCAGCGCCCCTTGCGGAACTCGGACTCGCGCTCGTCAGGACCTCCCCCTTTACCACCAACAACTTCGGTGCAGGCTCCGCTGAACGCTTACCCTGTCAGCCAACCCCCTCCGCCACTGTACCAGGCTAGTCCTGTCCCACCGGTTAATGCACAAGGTCCTGAGATGTCCAACGAAAATGTTGGCTCTGGGCCACAGATAGATCCGCGCTTGACTGCCACTGCCAATGGGGGCGATTACCAGACGAACGGTGCCACTGTCAAGAATGACGAGAATCATCCTGCTCCCGCGCAACCCCCCGAGACCACGACAGTGAGTGCCAGTCAGGCGCCTACCATCACCGCACTCGTGCACAATATCGATACGAATGTTCCTCCCACGGAAAAAGCCGAAGCCGAAGCAGACCGACAAGCAAGTACGAGCCCAGGTGGAACTAAGAACGGGGCGCCACCGCAAGACATTCCTAGCGAGAAACTGGGGTTTCGGGAGGACAAGAGAGCCCTGAGCAAGTTGGACCGTGTGTTTGCCAAAGTCTAAGACGGAACGAGGGCCGATTCAGCACGAGGTATCACATTGCATTGCAGGACGTCTGGGGGAAAAGTCAATAGTTCCAACCATATCGGATTTGAGCGTTCTAGGTCAAAGGTCAAGAGGCGGCGGATACGCGATCGTTTTCAACGATGGGTACGAGGTCACGAATTTTGATGACTGCAATCTTCGATTTGCACTTTTTCTTGTGTTTTTTTTTTTCTACTCTTCGAGATAGGCTTGTGGTTTGAGCCAGGTAAGTCCTGGCATCCTAGACAGGGGGACTTTCAGACTTTGAAGCAGCAGGGATGGGGGACACTGTTTTTACGTGATGCCTATGTGGTAGCATCCTCCATAGTCGTACGAAGCTCGAGTAGGAGATTGTACTGTATGAAAATGAGATGTCTCGGTTGTTGCAGTAAGACTTGCCCTTCGTGTTCTGTTGGATCGATCTATATCGGCGCCAAGTGGAAATCGGAGATAAAAGTTCCTGCACAGTCAGTCAGCACATGACATGATCCGCATCTCCTCAAATCAATCTCTGGCCGTTGGTAATATCATTGTTAGGCTTCTACCATCTAAAGCATTCAAGTGAAAGCGAATGACGAACAACGAGTGATTCCACGCGACCTGACGCCCCTTAGCTGCCTATGAGGGCAAAGGAAAGAAACCCCCATTGCTGATATGCTGGGTGCGCCCACCGTCATCAACGACGTCGCTCTCAATGAGACTGCCCTGGAGTCCTGGCATTACACGCTCTACAGCAATGGCACGCTTTCGAACGGGTCGCACTGCTTTCTCGCGTTCGGCGTCCATAAGCCCGTCATCTTTGCAAATGGGACCTTCACCAACACCACCTCGTGTTACACGCCGGTAAACCCCATCGCGGCTCGAGGCATCACCGGCCTTGTCTTTGGCTCGTTCTTTGCCTTGTCCATTCTCTTCTCGACCATCAACCTCAGAAAGCATGGCCGCGCATATCTGCCTCGGCAGAGGGGGTGGAAACCGGTCGGGAGACGCTGGCCGTGGTATTGGACTTTGGTCGTCGCTGCTTGTGGCATCTTGAGCTCGTTCACCGCTGTCGACGTGGACCGAGACTACATCGTCAACACACCCATCATCCTCCAAAGCTTTTTTCTCACCCTGATGGTTCCGGTGTTGCTGGCTTGTGTCTGGGAGGCTGTGAGAAGCTGGTGAGCACAAACCACGAGAGATGGCCTCCTGTCTAACTTTGATTGTTAGGAGCTCATTCAACCACCGTCAACTCCAAGAGGCACAAACGTATACCTTCTCAGCACATGCCTTCCATGATCGAGTCAATTTCTATCTCCCCTTACTCTTCTACACTTTCGATTGCCTGGTGTTCTTCCTGCTCGTCCCTCGATCTTGGCCATTTGCTCAGAAGCAACGGTCCCCTAGGCAGATTTTGGAATCAGCTCGGCCTGCGGCGCTTGATGCTCGATTCAAGACGGCTTCCGCCCTGGCAGCAGTCTGTCTTGCATTTACTGTCTTCCAGTTGGGCTATGGCAGCAAGACTTACAGGACCAAGATCCCTGCAACCCTCTTCCTGACCGTCATTGCTCTTGCCTTACGCATAGCGTATGGGGTTGTGGGATCCTGGGTGTGGGAACTGTCGCCATATCGCCGAGACCTGAGCGTCGGGTTGTTGTACGGACTCGGGTACGCACCCGGTCTACTCGTCCTTGTGCTGCTCAACATTTACGGGTACATACATGAGAATGAAGATAAGTTATTGATCGCCCAGCGCGTGGAGAGCGGTGAAGAGTTGGGTGAGGGGCTTGCTGGAGCCATGCAATCTCGTCAACACCACCGTCGCCGACCACCAGCCTGGTGGTTCAGGTCTCGAAACCCATTCGCGTCGCCAAGCGGGGTCTTCAAGATCCCTTCTTACTCCCGAAGACCGCCGTTGGAAGACGACTCCCACGTGATGCACGCCAACCGAGCAGACGAAGAGGACGAAAGCGGATCCGCCTGGTGGCAGCGGCACAGACGGGCAGAAGAGGATGCTAGGTACAGGAAACCAAGGCAGAGTGCAACCAGTAACGGATCGGCCGCAAGCTCAATGTTTACGGGACGCGGCACTACGGGCATAGCCCTACGATTCACAGAGCCCGAAAGCTCACTGCCCCCTCCAAAATACGAGAGGGAGACACGATATGAATACAGCGAAGATTGTCGGTCACAGCCTGCATCGTCCACCCACTCGCTCCAATCAGTGCCTCAGGTGGTCAGGAGTATGCTTGACGTATGATTCATCCAAGAGCACAGCCAGCATCAACTCGGCAAAAAGAGGGGTGCTTTCGAGCCATGAGCTTGACTAGCAAAACAAAGGAACATCCTGGCACAAGTACAAGGAATGAATTGGCTGGACACGAACCATTGGATTACGCGATGGCATCCGGCAGGTTCATGCTCGTTTCCCAGGCTGACTCTGACAGGAAAATAGGTTCTTATGGTACAACTTGAATCGTTATCACATGTGCGCTATGGCAATTTGAGGAGAAATCCTCCACTTCCTGCTCCGCTACTTTTGAGGCAGTTGCCGTGACGTTCTGCAGAAATGCCGCCGCAAATTCAAGCCAGAGACCACACAAGTTGCAGGCTTTTTTGTCTGGATCCATGATCTTTACCGAGGCCTCTTTCGACCTCGGTATACAAAGTCAAAAACCGAGTACCACACATATCAAAAAGAAGTGGCTGTTGGTTCTCGACCAGATTCAGTCAGCATCCAGGATCGCGGTGTTGCTGGTCTGGAAGACTGCTGAAGGGGCGAGGAATAGGATTGGAGCCGCAGACGGCATGTGTAGGTGGGCCGGTGATTACAAAGTCGACAGTATGAGGAAGAGCCTCTTCGCAGGAGCAAGCGCCGGGTCAGGAATGGACGCCGATAAGTTCTTGATCCTGTGGCAGCCATTGTGTCAGTACGCATAAGCGGCAGGTGTATGATGGTAGATGGTATCATTCAACAGACGGTGAGTGGGTTGGGGTACCTCGATGTGGTTGTCTGCGACGACGCTCATGGGCCCAGCCAATGCGGCGGGGGCTGCGCCTGCAACGCTTATGAGATTGGGTTGCTCTGATCGACTGAAGCTGGCTGAGGAGAAAGCCCCGATATTCTTGGAGCACCGAAAGAGCATCCAGATCTAGGGCCGGCGAAGGCTTGGGAGTGACTTGCTCGGTGTTGCTGGACGAGGACGAACCGAAAAACTTGATCGTCTTGAATACATCCTGCTCCTGAAAATAGTTCGGCACTTGTTGGTACAAGGCTGAGCGAGCTGCCATGGCTTCTTCTCCACAGTTCACGAGGTCACGAAAACAGTTGAAGCCACACCTTTGAAGACAGCGACTGTTGGACCGTCATACACTTGGTCGACGACTTCGAATATAAAGCATTGAGGCAGGCTCTGTCGCTGACAGCCCCGGAATTGTTGGACTGCCACACCACCGTCGCAATGATCCGAGCATGACATAAGAAGAGGATTCATGGGGCGAGTAGTCCGTACAAAAGAACAAGACGGCCAGGATCCGGAGCAGGGGTTAGATGCAAGAATACTTGTAATAAATGGGACAAAGAAGCCCATCCCCAGTCGGTCAGCGACACTAGCTCGCAGAAAGGTCGGCCAATCTGCTGCATCTGGAAAGTGTTGATAGCCCAGGCAGGACGGAGACGCGGAACTTGGCACGCGACTGGCATCACGTCTGGTCCTGGACATGGTGAGCGTTTGGAAAAACTCCGTGCCATAGAGTCCACCTCGAATCCCGCAGAGCTGAGTGGCGAATGGGACTGAGGAAGTAAAAAGAGGTGGCACCACCACACTAGTGGCGCTGTTTACTCCCTTTTCATCTTGTATACGTCAACGAGTCATGATGGCGAGGCTGCGTCCGGAATCTGGTCGGATAAATGCTTTTCCCGCATTCCGAAATGACCGGGATCCAACAACTCGCGTTTCCGCTATTTTTGTGGTAGAATCGTCCGCACGACACCGGGAGCTCTATTGATCGACTCTCACACTTCCGGATACTCTGCGGCTGCTGCTGCTGCTGCTGCTACTGGCCGCTCCCCTTCCTCCTCTGCGTGATGCTATGGCGTGTCTCGAAAGCGCCATGGCATCTCGGAGACGCGATCCTGCCTCGATACCCGTCCCTTGACATCCTGAGAATCCTGAACAGAACTGGACTGTCCCCGTGCTGCGGCAGATATGTGCATGGCCAAAGCACAGAGCCTACAGGGACCTCACCGGCGCTTGTCCGCCACGCCAGACTCACGAGTGATGCCGAGTACGTCGAGGGACTGCGAGCCGACCAATCCATCAAAATTGCCGGTCTAGTGCGCAGCATCAGAAAGCAGAAGAACATCGCCTTTGCCCGGATCGGCGATGGATCTACACTCGCGAACGTCCAGGCAGTATTCCCGGACCCGCAACTGGCGAAAGAGTACGTGGATGTGCTGTCAGAGAGCATGGACGAGTTCTAACACCACAAAATTTCCAGCGTTACCAACGGCGCCTACGTGGCCTTGGTGGGCAACTGGATTCGCTCCAAAGGAGCAGGGCAAAGCCATGAACTACAAGTCGAGAAGATCGAAACACTCGGTGACGGCAACACCTCGGTAGGTCCAGCCCGCTCCTGTTTGTTGTGCTGCAGTCCCTGACCATTGCGATAGGAGAACCCCATCCAGAAGCAGTCCATGTCGACTGATTTTCTCCGGACCGTTCCTCACCTGCGAATGCGCACAGCCTTCCACTCGCTGGTCAATCGGACTCGCAGCCAATTGATCTCCGCCATTGGGTCGCATTTCTCCACCCAGCCGGACCCGGTCTACCAGGTCCTTCCACCCCTCATCACCTCTTCCGACTGTGAAGGTGCAGGAGAAGCTTTCACAATCGCCCCACAAAGCCATGAGCAGCTACCGGAGGCTGCGGCGAACACATCCAAGGGACAAGAGAAGCTCTACTTCCGAGAACCGAAATACCTCACGGTGTCGTCACAGCTGCATCTCGAGGCACATGCCGCCGAGCAAGGGGACGTCTTTGCCTTTTCTCCCACGTTCCGTGCGGAAGAAAGTGATACCCCGCGGCATCTGTCCGAGTTTTACATGCTCGAGGTTGAGCATCGGCATGTTTCTTTTCCAGAGCTGCTGTCCCGAGTGCAGAGTTTGGTGGCAGATCTCGCACAGTCACTTCGAAAACATCGCACCGGTAAGGAACTGGTTGAGTACTACTCAGACCAGAAACACCGGCCCACCGATGCCGATTTTGTGGATCTGGAAGCTCGCTGGGATAGACTCAGCGGCAGGTGGCACGAAGTAGACTACACGTCAGCCATGGACGCGCTGATGAAGGCTTACGAATCGAGCGGTGGCACGCTGTTCGTTTACCGTCCTCAGTGGACGCAAGGATTGCAACTGGAGCACGAGCGGTGGATCGTGGACAATCTTGCAGGAGGCCAGCCGGTTTTTGTGACGCATTACCCAAAGGACGTGAAACCGTTCTACATGCTTCCGTCATCCGCAATGACTTCACAGCAGCACATCACTCAACCGGAGTCTAGCGGAGACACGGTCGCCTGCTTCGACCTTCTCCTTCCCTTCGGCTATTGCGAAGTCGTTGGGGGGAGCCTCAGAGAACACCGGCTGGAGCATCTCATTCAGTCTATGCGCCAAAAGGGGCTGCTCAAGAGCATGGACGTGTCGAATGGTGACAACGGGAGCGGCTATCCGTTCCTGCGAGCCGGGGAGAGCCTAGGGAACATGAAGTGGTACGCCGACCTTCGACGGTACGGGAGCAGTCCACACGGGGGCTATGGTCTGGGGTTCGACCGTTTGCTGGCGTACATGACGGGCGTCAACAATCTGAGAGAGGTCGTGCCGTTCCCGAGAACTTGGGGAAGGGCGGATTGCTGAGAGGGGCGGCTAATACCGACCCGGAAAGCCTATTTTGTATAGATACATGTATAATTAGTAATAAAGATACATGTAGTTATAACCCGCATGGGAAAGGAGGGAAAAGATAGACTTTTGCACTACTCCCCTTCAGGACAAGACCCATCCGGACCTACTGTATACCTACGCATATATGTATATCTGTGGATACGAAGTACATACGTACGTATACCTCAGGTGCCTGTCTGTCTGTCCGTATTGCACCACAGGTTTTCTTTCTTTCTTTCTTTCTTTCTTTCTTCTCCCGCCTCGTCGTCCGTCCGCTCGTAAGACGGGAGGGGACTTCCTCCTCCCGCTCTTACGCCTACACACACACACACACACACACACACACACACACGTCTTGTGTTGGGTTTGGGTCCTGGTAAAGAAAAGGCCAACAGCCGCCACGCGGATCTTGTGCGTCGTTGCTCGAGTTTGGCACAGAGGAACGGGTCGGGGGGAAAAGAAAGGAGAAACGGCAATTGGATTAGCGTGGCTGGCTAGAAGGATGTCAAAATCTAGGCGGGAAGGAGAGTCGGAAACCCAGAAAGCATATATCCTCAACAATGTTGCCCCCGTATCCCCTTTACTAACCCCGCCACTCAAAGGATCATTCAGTCAGTCAGTATCAGGATCAGGATCAATATCCCAAAGTCTTCTGTCGCTCGGCTCCGCTCGACTTGGGAGTCGGCGCCGTTCGCCCTCAAGAACAAAAACTAAACGGAAAACCTCCTCCTCCTCCTCCTCCTCCTCCTCCTCCTCTTCTCCTCCCTCTGACAATCTGCACAGACTTGTTCTCCCACTCCGTCGGCCCCCCGGGGAGGTGGGCGGGGGGGAAGAAGACGCCGGCACAACAACTACACAGCAACCCCCCCCCCCCTCCTCCCCCTCCTCCGCCTCCTCCTCCTCCACGGATGATCAGCAACACGGCTTGGTCTGCCACGTCCAGGTGCCCACGGGGTACGTGGCCGGGTTGAACAGGGCGGCGGTGTAGTTCATGACCTGGGCGACGTTGACCTGGGTGGTGTCCATAGTCATCTTGGCGCCCGGGGTGACGCAGTTCTGCTGGCCCGCGCAGTAGGTGAAGAACTGCGTGGGGTTGTCCGGGTTGCCCTGCCCCCCAACGGACTGGCGCAGCCCCTGGTCGGTGTTCTGGCCCGAGGCGGCGCCGGCGACGAAGAAATACGTGTTCCACACGCCGGGGACGCCCGTGTCGTAGGTCATGACCGCATGGAACACATTGGTGTCCTGCCCGTAGTGGCTGAAGAACCACTCGATCGAGACGCCGTAGCGGCCGGTCGAAATGAGGTCGACCTGGTAGTAGATGCCCTGCTGTGACGCGCCCAGCGTGTGGCCGTACGTCCAGAACGGCGCGAGCGCGTAGCCGGGCAGGGTGCTGGCCGGGAATGAGATAGGCGCGGCGTCGTTGTTCCGCGAGCCCGCACTCCACTGGTTCTGCGTCGCCGCGGTCACGCCCAGGGGCGTGTTTGTGAACCAGAAGTTGGCCGTGACCCACAGCGTCGACTGGACTTGGCCGAAGATCTCCCACCGAATCCCATACTGGGATGAGAGGTCGAGGACGGTGGCGTGCGACGAGTCGGACCAGCTGTTGAAATACGTGTTGGTGCCGCCGGGGTAGTCGCGGGTGGTCTGGGAGTTCGCGGCGAGCGGGCCCACGGGGAATGGAATCGGCCTCGCGAGGTACAGTTGCAGAGGCTGAGGAGTTGTGGTGCTGCCGACCGTCGTGGAGAGCCATCGGCCTGAGTGGATGCCGTTGGTATTGGTCATATTGGTTGTCAGTTGGACGCCGTTGCTCACTCGGCCGAAGAGGGTGCACAGGCCAGAACTGGCTATCCATGAAAATGCATAGCACGGAATGCTTTGCGCGGCGGCGATGTCACATTGGTTCGCGCAGCTGTCATAGGTCGGCTGTGTTGTGGCTCCAAAAGGGTTATTGCCCGGATTGGTGTAATCCGACTGGTACCCATGTCAGCACTAATAGATGAGTAGACGATAGCCGCAGGAATGGAAGACATACTGCACATTCGATGTCGTAATAACGACCCTGGATGGGATTGACCGAGAGTTGCCCACCTGGGAGATAGTTAGCTCCGGACATGCCGCTCAGAAACGCAGACTTCTTCTTCACCTTCGTATGTCGACATGAGGTTGTTGTTGCAGATGGGATCTTGAGGGTAGGCAAGTGGGAAGTTCGTGGAAGTCGCCTGAGAAAGATCCGTCGTCGAAGATGTAGAAACCGTACTGCTTGAATGTGCCACGGTCGTTGTTGTCGCCACTCCTCCCGAAGTACCTACGCTTGATGAAGACGTTGCGGCGATGGTAGACGTTGTTGTCGACGAAGCAGGACACACGAAAGTCGGGTCACTATAATCGGTCATCTGGGGATATCCAGCATAAAGCATCCGTGCGCTATTGTAGGTAACATTGCCCCGAGTAGCACAAGTCAGAGTCGAGTAAGGGAAACAGTTGTTGACTGATCCTTGACTCACGCTTGTGACCATGAATGTCACTCCGAGACAACTGTTGGCCCGAAGTGCATTGGCATACTGGCACTGGTTGATGCAATCTGTCAGGTCGAATGTCAGCAGCGGTTGTGACGTTGAACCCGTAAAGGCCGTAGCACATTCTATCTCGAAGTTCGCACTGTTGCCGAGGAAATTGTAGGAATAGCAAGCGGGAGAATTTCCTGGGCACGCCGATGCTGATCCAGTTGGAGCAGTCCCGCAACTCGAAGGCACATATGATGTTGTAGATGTGCTTCCGGAGGACGACGGAGCAAGCGACGATGAAGGTGTTGACACTGGCGCCTTTGTGGTAGTGGTAGTAGTCGTGGTTGTGAAGATTGGATCGTTGATGGATGGGTATCCAGCATAAATCAGGCGAGCACTGTCGACGTTCGCATTGGACATCGTCCCGGTTATACTGGACAGCAGCAGACAGTTGGGATTGGATCCACTTGACGAACCAAGATAGCCAACGCCCACACATCCATATGGCAGCGCAACATTGTAGTTGGTGCAGTAGCCGATGCAATTCTTGAGCGAAGTGGCCGTCGTGGAGTTGGCGGTCATAACATTTCCCTGCAACCCTGTCGCACACTCGACCTCGTAGCAGTAGCCGTCGCTGTTAACATTTAGTGCTTGGTGGTTGTACGTGGGACAAAGGTTGGTCGTCGTTGGCGTAGCCGAGCAATACGAGGCTGTGGTTGTGGATACAAGAGCGACAGTGGTGCTTGAGCTGCTACTGTGCGAGGAAGCAGCCAGCGAGGTACTCGGGGGCGACGAACTTGGATGTGAAGTGGATTGACTAGTAGTGGCAGGTCCTGAAGAGCCTGGCTGCGACGTGGAGAGTAGGCTAGTGCCAACCGAGGTGGGTGACGAAGTCGGCGACTGTGAAATGGGTGAAGAGCTGGGAGGAATTGAGCTGGTGGAAGAGCTGGCACGACTTGAGCTAGGTGAAGGGCTCGGAGGATTCGAGCTGGAAGACGAGCTGAGAGGATTCACGCGGGAAGAAGTGCTGGGAGAAATTGAGCTAGTAGAAGAGCCGGGAGGACTCGAGCTGGCTGGAGAAGTGAAAGAACTCCCTGGGATGGTCATTGTGCTGGACTGCGGTTGGCTAGTCGAGGGCGTGGTTGGTCCTGACGAGCTCGCAGGGTTAATACTGGGGCTCGTCTGGCTGCTCACCGTTGCTGCCGTTGACATTATAGACGACTGGCTAACAACGGAGCTAGTGGTCGGCAGAGCTTGCTGCGTACTTGAAGTGGATTGAAGGTAAACAGAAGTACTCTGACTGGTTAGTAGAACTGAAGATGAACTGATGGTAGTGTCCATATCATTTGCCGTGGTGGGCGTTGCAGGGATGACGGTCGACGACTCGGTCGTGCTTGTTGTGCTGCTAGAAATTCCAGTGTCGGAAAAGACAATATCGGGAGAATATGGCTCGTTGACAACAATGGCTGTTTGCGCAAATGAGTCGGCTCCTCTATTAACAGTGCCAATATCGTATTTAAGATGGCACGGGTCGGTATCGGCAAGCTGAAGGCTCTTTAGTTCACGCAGGAAGTACAGCACGGTAGGAACTTACAATATCAAAGGCGACCGCAACACAAGGCCCCTGGGATCCTGGGACGTACGAGTTGCACGCATCAATGCACTCGGCGATATCAGAGGCCGCGACCACATCAAGATCAAACCCCGGGAGGTCGGTGTCGCACAAAATCAGATAACCATTATTAACTGTGCCGTCGAACGGCGAGCGGTCATAGCAGTTCGGAGTTCCGGTCGTTGTCGGAGCTGGATATGTAGAAATCGTTGTCGATGAAGTTGCCGGGCTCGAGGAAGATCCAGGTCCTGATGACGCGCTTGTTACATCGGTCGTTGAGAGAGAAGACATTGATGTGCCTGGGGTAGAAGCTGATGATTCCGAGACCGAGAGAGTGGTGGACGTGGAAATAGCACTGCCAGACACTGACGCTGAAGTGGTCGACAGAGACTCCGTCGACGTTGTTATGACCGAGGTGCTGATTTTGCTTGTCTGGGGTAAAGTTGTCATCGAAGAACTCGTCGATGGATGGGACCTCGTTGCAGGAATGACCGCGATTTGTACAACAATACATCCTTGTGGCGGTACGCCGTTGAAAACGACAAGAAGATTCGAGCCGGAGACACAGAAGATAGCCTGTCCACCAACGAATTCGTCGTTCGTCCAGACAAGGACGCCGCTCTGTGTTATGGAGAAGAGCGTAGAAACCCGAGGCACCCTCCTCAGGACCGGTGAGTCTGGCGAAACCGCGAATGGCTGCGAGGGAACGTCTCCAGAGGTTGACACATAATCGCTCCCGCTCATCAGCTGCCCAGCGGTTGAGATAGCAAACACGTCGGCCTGCTGTATATTACTAGTGACTGTTCCATCGGCGTCGAGGTATTCGGGGAAACCACCAAAGGAGAATGTGAGATAAACTGGTTCTCCAGGGGTAATACTAAAGCGCAGGTCAGTCTTGGAGCGCCATAGCCTGGAGGTGAACGTACGTAGGTGTCGTCGAAGCGGCGCTGCTGGTGCTTGAGCTCGTGTATGTCGCAGGACAATAGCTGACCCCGATTGAGATGGTCGTGCCATGACAGGAGACATGTGAGAAAAGGCGCCAGGCAAGGGCAATGCCACTGAGAAGCCTCCAGTTCATCTCGTATGTCTTCCCCTGTTTGGTCGATCGGATACTTTACCTCCAAGCACAAGGACTGGTATCGTGCTGGTGAGAAAAGTATCAAGACCATCGTGAAGAACTTCCAGACGCTCGGTGGTCCGTGTGAGGCCTCCGGCGCGACTGGAATGATCAACACGAGGGAGTCGGAATGTGCCAGAGATAAGCCTCTCGCGTCGGATCATCTCCTTTTCTCTGAAGCAGATCCCGCAGGTTGGAGGCCATCCGAAAAACATTCTGAAGGTGAAACCTGGGGCTAGGAGCTGTGTCCTTCTAGCCCATCAAGGGAGGACCAAGTTGACCACCTGCGGAGAGATATGGGTTCCAGGTCTTGGACGTGGACATCTCTATACGTCCCTGCCCATGAGACCTGTGCCGTGCTGTGCCATTGTCGTATCAGCTTTCCTGTATCGAACTGTGATGAAGGCAGAATGAAAAACTAAAGCGGCAACCCTTAGACCCTGTGTGGGGGGTTTGAGGAAAGTTGTCGCTAATACTTTTGGTGAGATGGTTGACGCCATGAAGTCCACATCCTTCGAAACACTTCTCAACCTCTCCATTTCTTGGGCAGTCTTCTTCGTCTCACGAACTCGTAGTAGTATGAACTGTGAATAACTTTACATGCTGAAGTACTTCGTATTTACCTAAATGCCGGACATCTTGAATCCGATCTGGCTCGGTATAAAATATGATGAGATACCAGGCTGCTGGTCTCAAACAAACACAGATCGCCCCCCCTAGAATCCTGCTAAAGTTCCCGAACAACAATCCAAATCCACAAGACCTGAACTATCCCAACTATCATGGGCCAACAGCGCATAATCCCGACATAGCTCCGGTCATCGAACAGCCCTGATCCCCTTGCAGATACATTCCCATCGACTTTTGAACACATAAAATCCTACCTCAAGAAAAGTCGTCAACCAATAGCCCAGAACTCTCGTTACGTATCTTGTTGCGTGCCAGAAAAACATCACAGTCCCATTCCTCAAAATCCGACCAGCACCCGCACATAACACCGTGCGCGATCATTCCAATATTTCCAACAGAGATCCAAGCTCTTAAAGCTTAGACACGCCAAAGCAACGCTTGAAGAAAGCAAAAAGATCAACGCGTTTGACGTCCTCAGCCGTCACCCAGATCATTCTTCCACCTGATCGCATCATCTTCAGCCGGCTTGTCCTTCCGATCCTCGCGAATTGGAGAAATTGTCATCGTCGAAGCTTGTTCAGACGCTGACATCGGATCAGGAGAGTAGATCCACTTGCCTGCGACCGTTGACGATGGTGAAAGTACGGACGCTGTGCGTGACGCCGACGGGATCACCCTGCTTAAACTCAGTCTCGGGCGGGATTTGCCATTTGAACCTGTTGCGATTGAGGCGCCAGACACAGGATCAACGCCAGTTACAATGCCGGAGCCCTCCAGGACATCTGCCTCGGCGGCGGCGGAGAAGCCGAAGGACACAGGTGAGTCCGCCTGAGGAGTCGCGAGACCCGACATCCGCGAGCTCATCGTCATGGTCCTCCCTGGCGCAGCGGGTGAGTGCAGAATCGGGTGACGAGAAGTCGAGGAGGAAGTTGAGTCTGCGTGTGCAAATACACTGTTTGCCGGTGTATATGTTCCGACCGTAGAACGATGTTTGAGACGAGTGGAGGAGGAAAACCAGGTGCGGAAAGCAGACCAGCGCGTCATGGGGGCTTCCTGGATAGGAGTTATGGGAGAGGGAGAAACTGCAGCGTCCTTCTCGGATTCCCCCAGAATCAGTCGGTGTCCCCTGTTGATGTTTCCCACGCCTTGGATTACACGTCCAGGCGGCCGTCTCACCAATCCACGGATCTCGCCCTCCGCCATGTCCGGTGTCACGGCCCCTGGCCCCACGTCTCTCTTCATAGCCTCGACGAGCGTCCAGCTGGATCTGAAGATGCCGCCTGTCGTGTGCTCTCCGGGGATGCGGTCTTGAGGGCTGTTCAGATAGGTGTACAGCCACAGGGCATAGGTGCCAATTGCCCATAGCGCGAGCAGCAACGAAGTAATGAATAGGAAGAGAAATGAGAATCCCCAATTGTGCCATCTCGAGTACCGACATGTCGCGTTGTCCAGGACATAGGAGAAAGGATAGGTTTGATTGTCGTACAGCCAGAAGGTGAAGTCGGTAAGTTGCGAGACAGAAGATAACGCCCCAGGAGCAGGTGGCGAAGATTCAGAGAAAGTGTTCAGGTATGTTGTCAAGGTGGACAGGGCGACAGGTGAGTAGGAGGTGGTGATGTTGAGCGTTGGAGCGGAAACTGTGTGCTTCTGCCCATTTATGGTAATGTTGCTTTCGGAATGGTTGTTTCCGTTGAGGCCATATAGGCTCACATATTGGACAGTATGCCAGAACGTGGTACAGTTGGCTGGGACGTACTTCCAATCGACTTTGCCGTGACTCGAGTTCCCGCTGCCTGTTCCGTCGTCATTGTCCCGTCGACTGGGACGCGTGTCAGGGAATGAACTTTCGCTATGACTGTAGCCGCCACCATCATCTTGGTTGTCATCATCGTCATCGTCATCGTCATCAAGAAAACCCTGCTGAACACAGGCATCTCCCACCGTAATATATATCGGCCCAGGCTGTCCAATACGTTCTGCATCGTTAATGGCAAACTGAACCACTTGATAATTTGACCACTGAATGGACTCGTTTTCATAATCTGGCATGACCGCGGTGATGTCGCTGCTGTACCCCGACATAGCTGTGATTAGACTGGAGAAGCTGAGGACAAACAGAGAGCTCAACACGATCCAAACAATGATCAACCTCGCGCGCCAGCCCCGGTTCGTCAACAAATCCGCGGCCAAGCGCCCTGTCCTGATCAAGCTTGGAGGCACAAAGGCGAGGGATTCGAATGTGTTGTAAGAGACGGGGGCCTCGCGCATAGCCAAGGCCAGGTACTGAGACGAGACCTTGAAGGTGACGATGGCAAGGAAAGCTTGGCCCCCACGCCCAACGGTTATATCCCACACGATATCGATGAATTTCGCCGTTGAGAAGGCCATCTTTCCCCAAGAGACGGTGATGTAGAAGAATCCAGAAGGATCCCAGAGACTAATGGATGGCTTGTCGTAGGGCGTGAACAGCCCGTTGAAGTTGCAGTGGGTGAAGGCATGTGACTGCCAGTAATCGGCCTCGAAGGCGTACCATTTTGGAATCTTGATGACGAGGGCGAAGAAGATGATCGGGAGAGAGAAAGCCAGAAGTACAATGATATGTTTGAGGACGGAAAGAATCGCTGGATGATGTCGTCGTGAAGGCGCAGTCCCGACGTGATAGTGGTTGTAACTGTCAGCCAGTGTCGCGCTGGTTGAACCGGTGCTTGACCGCTCCTGTGTGCGCACGACATTCGATTGATTCTTTGGAGTGCCCCATCTCCTCAAGTTGCTCCAGGACCTAGGAGCCGTATAGTGCGCACCATGGGAGATTTCTGGGGCACCATCCAAAGGAGATTGCGTGGAAGCGAACATGCTATCGCGTAGACTAGTGTTCGGGTGGTCCGTCAAGGGCCGTCTGTCGAGTGTTCATTCCTAGAAACTCAGTGGTCGGAGAAAGAGGGTGCCGGAGTCGGGTTTATAGCAGACAGAGAGCTTCAGAGTCTGTCCATCGGAGGTTGAACTTGGAAAGCCAAACGGTAAACAAGACTGACGGTAGTTTTTACAGGGCTGACATGCAGAGGCGAGGGCGAGAAAGACGTATCAGATCGGTGGGATGAATCTGGACCCCCGAGCGAAATTATCAATCAGTACCGCACCATGCAGGGTCTTGCAGGGCTTGAATTTCCGGCGTTGAATATGCGGAGGCAGCTCAAAACGTCTATGAGAGGACACGAGAAGAGTCGTCGAAAGGCATCGAGGGCAAGAGGAAAACCGTTCAGTAAGCTCGGGGGGCAGGGAGGGCGGGAAGCCCTCCACCCGAAAAGGCAGTTCGAGAGCAGCTCAAGGATGGGTATATCCTAGGACAGTTAGAAATGTTTGTAACGCAGAAACATCATTTGCTCGCAGAAGAACCTGGCTGCATTGCAATCCGGGCATTGGCCGGTGAGATATTTTTGAATCCTCGCGTCCAAGCCTCGCCCCATTGTCCGCGGACATGGTGCTCGAATGACGAGTCTGGATTGTGGTGATCCAAGTCCGAAGGTTGCAGGACATGCGAGATAAAATGGACTCTCCCCTGATACCGAAGATCGAAGGAAGAGAAGATATAGAGAGCGCAGAGATGCGCAAGAAGTGTGGTGCCAGCACCGAGTGCCTGGTCGCAACATATACCCTGCCATCACCGCAACGCCGAGCGGCATCGGCACTACTTTCAGCCGGCTCTGATGCTATTTTTCCGCCATCATGCACTCACCATTCATGCCAGTGTCTATCGCAGTCAACGACAACCTGTTGGGGATACGAGGATAATGAGACATCAAGCCTGATCGAGCAATTATTGCAGACTCTGTTTCTTATCTGTTGTCTTTTTCCATAAGATCCCGTTATCAGGACAGCTGTGTCACCCATGCCACATCCATGCATGTAGCGTTTACCATGCTGCCCTGATGTGCTTGATTGTCTCCTCTGACTCGCGGCGCCATGTAAGTCATGCTGATGCTGATCCTCGTGTTCATGCCCATATCCCTTTGCACTTACTTCCAGACGCCACGCTATGGGGGTCGTCAAAACATACAATCGCAATCAAAGTAGCCTCACACGGAAGCCAAATGCCCCTTTCCTCAAGTCACGACATCAGAAGTGACGGTTCAGTCCCTGTCTCGCTACTTTTCTTCCTCGTCTTCGGCGGCTTCTTCCAGTTCCCGCTCCAGCTCGCGTGCCAATTCATCATCGGAATCTTCTTCTTCCTCTTCTTCACGTTCTTGCTCCTCTTCCACCTCCCGTTGCTCTCGCCTGATTTGTTCATCGGGTGCCGCGTCTGACTCGAGTTCGCTGTCAATGTTGGCGACCCTCTTGAGAGCGCTCCCCGTACCGTTCCTCTTTGTTGTTGACGATTTGTCCACCTCACCCGTCAACGTATCATTATTCCCGTCTTCTCCTCTTCTTCTCTTGGCTCCGCGCCGTTCCCGCAAGCTCAGGGCTGAGCTGACGGAATCCGTGTCACTCTCGCTCTCAGCGTCGCTACCCATGAACTCCTTCAGCTCGGCCTCGATATCCGCCCACTCGTCTTGATTGATCGTGATTGGGCTGCCATCATCGACCAAGTCCTCGTATGTTGCTGCTGAGGTATTGTCATCTTTAATGGTATCCAACTTCAGCCTCTTCCGTGCGGGCTGATCATCTTCGGTGTCTAAACCGGTAGTCTCCCCTTCGGATGAACTGAGAAGGAGATCATTTGGTACAATACTTGACTTCTCCAGGGTGTCACCAAGCTCGCTTGGCATCTCCTGCTTCTGCCTCCCGACGCCTTCGAGCAGGTACGGTCTTTCGTCCAGTCTGCGCCATCGTTGCATAGACTCGATCAGCCATGAAGTACTGACGACCTTGATACCACGTTTCACAGCTTGTTTGACCTTTGCTGTACCTGGCCGCGCCGCAATGACATGAGTGACGTCTCTGGTGACCTTGTCCGTGATGGAGGCGCCAAAGGTCTTAGCCCAAGTGCTGATATCGGCATTTTGGATGTCGGTGCCCAGTGGTAACACGCCGCTGAACACGATCCTGACCCCCGACAAGACCTTCAGCTTCATGGCCGGCATAACCCTCTTGATGTCAGGCACAAACATGAGTTCCACAGACTGCCCGTCACTCTCGTCCTGAGAAGGCAGAGGCGCCTTACGCTTGCCCGTCAGTTCTGCGACTCGACCGCCCTTGCCTCCCAGCCGCTTTCGGTCGTACTCGGCAAAAAAGGCGCTATGTACAGCAGTCAGAGTTGCCTCGAGGTGAATCAACTCTTCATCGTCATTTTTCAGGATGCTGTGGCGAGCTTTGTGTTTCGCTGAACCCGCAACGTTTGACTCGGTGGAATCCGAGTCGTCACTAGAGTCTGAGTCTGTAGATTGCGACGCCACTACCTCGCCATTGGCAGCTGCTTCAGCTTCATCTTTCTCATCCTGCTGGAGTTGCATCTTGAGTAGCGGTTTGCTCTCGAGTTGTAACGCAATGATTTCTTCTTGGCCTTTCGTCTGCAGTTCTCGTACTGCAGGATCGTCTCCGCCACTCATAGCCATTAGCTGTTCGAGTGCTGAAGTACCATTCTGTATAGTCGATGTCCCGTCCTCAGCAAGGCCGTTAGATTCCTGCTCCGCGCTCTCGCCGTTCTCGCCGTGCTCACCATTCTCTGTGATTTTTTCCGCGGGTTTGCTGGGCTCTACTTGCGGCGTTGTTTGAATTTCCTGTTTTTTGGGCAAGAAACTGGAGTTGATGTCGCCGATACCGACAAAGAAGTCAAAGGGAGTGACACGGATCAAGTTGGCACTCCATTTCCAAACATCCCCCCTGTCATCGATTATGACCACCATTTTGGTATCCACGGGGAACAGTCTCTCCAAGTTCTTGGCGATCATACTGCCACTTTCGTCTCGACTGAGGATGCGATCGCCAAAGTATCTGCGATCCGGGTCAACAATATTGGCGATCTGCTGAGCATATTGGCGCGTTCCCATGGTGTAAATGTGGAGTTCGTAGAGTTGTGATATATGATCCAGGAACTCGGCGAGCCCAGGTCGAAGTTTGATATAATACCAGCAACCTCTCATGCCCGGGCCGTCGTCAATCAATTGAAAAGCACGGACATCTTTCACAGCTTCGTAATTAGGATTGTCTTTGTCTTTCTGCCATTCTGCTATCGTGGGATCTACGGCAGCATGAATGATTGTTTGATCGAGGTCGACCACCAACGAGAGTTTGCGTGAGGAGAGTAGACGACGTTTCGCTTCTTCGTCTATCCGGCTTGCTTCTTCTTTGCTGATGGTGAGGTGGGGTGTATCGTGGGCCATGCGAATAGGAGCGCGATCTGCATCAGTGGTTTCACTTCCTGCCTGCACGCTTGGCCACCGTCAGCACACGCTTTCCAAGTTCAGCGACCGCCAGAGACTCACGTTGTCATATCTTTTCCACAGTTAGTGCACATACCAAGGAACTGCACCGTGTGGGGGCACTCCTCTTCTATTTCACAAACGTCGACACTGCGCACCAGTTAGCAACTGCTCCCATAATGTCTCGTGGTGCACGCACGGATGGGTTAAGACGTCCCCTTCCCACACCCTCCATGCCTTGATTGTCCCTTCGAGGGTACTTGGGAAGTGGGTAACAAACTTCCGGTTCACTTCTTTTTCTTCCTCATCGTACCGGCTGCCTTCTTTTACTTTGGTAGTGTAGGAGTAGAGAAATAGGTCATCGTTGCGGGCGACAAATTCGCCGACCCGCTTCTCGACTTTTGTGACGGTAAGAGGGTAGTGAAGACTTTTGGGTAGTCGTAATAGCATTCCGAGCGCGGTACAGGCGACTGTGACATTGATCGGAGCATGTAGGTGACTTTCTCGTCGAAGTCGAGATACGAGCAAGGGAGCCCAGCGGGGTTTCTTCTGGTACCGCAGCGGCGGTCGGAGTAGGTCGAAGCGACGAGAGCCTCGCTTTGATAGCCCGGTGTGTAGCGGTAGCGAACTCTCAGAGAGGACCGAATATGTGAATATTGGCGTCCTTGCAACAATGAAGGGTGAAATATGCAAAAAGTGTCGGCACAGACTCTGTCGGTTGCTCTGTGGGAACTTGTGCGCAGCCAAATACCTATGTAAGGGCGTCAATACGAGGGAGCACACGCAGGGTATGTCGCAAATGGTCCAATAACGGGAAGGGTTTGATCTTCGCGAATTAGAGGTTTGGGGGATGGAGAAAGTGAGAATGGGGGGTGCCTAAGCAGTTTATGGTGCTGATGGCTCTGAGGGATCAATGGATGGGTTCGACGAGCTCCAACGCAGCTCGATTGCGGCTTCGTTACTGTAACTAACGGGTAGGGAATTCCACTGTCCGGTCCGGAAAGCTGTCTTTTATAACACGCACTCCACGCTAACCGCTGCCAATCAGCCCTCAGCAATGCACCAAGGCGCTCGGCTTGAGCCCCGCTAAATGCCGTCAGGGGACAAAGACCACCATAGCTGATCATCCGATGGTCACGAGACTCCACCCGTCCCGCTACATCACCAGATTGGAGGGTCTACGCAGTAGGGGAAGGACAGCTGGGGTTCATCCATTGAACTATTGAGCTATATGAGACCGCTTTTGATAAGAGCGCCAGAACCTGCGCAGCTGTTACAAGCAGGGCTGGACGACAGGTGCTTGATGTACACAATTAAGTTGGTCGGTGCGAGAAAGAAAACATGCATCCCAATCCCACCTTCGGATAGATACAGACATTCTCAGAATCCGCTGCCCTCCCCAAGGTTCCGGTGGCAATCTGGTGTACTGTCCCAATATTCAACAAAAGGGTTTTACTTGCTTCTGGCCAAAGCAACCGCATCGTTGCCCAAGTCATAAACGCTATACCATCTCCTCAAGAAGCTGAAAAGGATGTTAGCATCAAACTGTTTGGTAAATGGGACAAACATGGCTTACCTATCACCAAGAATAGCAAGAGGACCCGTGGGAGCCGGGAAGTCCATGCCCATGAAGCTGCTGATGCAAGAACCTTGGACCTCAAGAATGTAGTCATAAGCTGTGATGGAGAAGTTGTACCCGCTCAGAGTGAAGGTGATGTCTGGGAGCGAGTCGCGCTTACTGCAGTCGACAGTGTACTGGCCATTGAAGCCCTTCGTGGCGCCAATTTCCTTGTTGAGCAGTTCTGCGAGGGTGCTTGGGAGAGCAATCAGCGAGGTGCCGGTATCGAGAATGACTCCGGTGTTGTCAAGGTCTGCCGAATCATCGCCAAGGGTGATGGAGTCGAGGTTGACCTCCCAGTAAGCCTTCCGTCGGAGTGGGATCTTGATCATCTTGCCAGTGTAATGGTCGGGGTCTATACCGCCGAAGGTGGCCTCAGACTCGGTGCCATCCTCCGTGTTACCCAGGTAGAACGCAAAGACAGGCTCGTCAAGCAGGCCCTGGTCTATCATCTTGTAAAAGGGGGGAGGGATGTGGTTGACCGCGATGGTATCATAAGCCAGACCCAAGATGCCATCGAAACGGCCAAAGGCAAAAGCCAAACCAGGTTCGCTGGTCACCTCTCCGAACAATTGATCTTTGACCGTGAGGTCTCCGATACGCAGGACGTCCTGAGAGATGAAGCCAGCCACCTCTCCGGATCCATAGCGAATTCCGAACTCAGATCCGTTCTTCTTGTAGGTAGACGAGGCCGACGAGTCATATTTCTGATGGAGGTAGCAGGCGATGGAACCGCACTCGGTGCTGGGGACCCAGAGGTTGGAGCTGCCAGTGTCGAGGACGACCTTGAATTCCTGCGGCGGTGTTCCGAGCGCAATGGTACTGAAGTCTGCATCTCATTAGATTCCAGCTGTGGACGTGTGAACAGCAGTATTCCTTACATTGCGCATTCAGGAAGTTCTCGACCGGAACATCGTGGGGACCACCATCAGGATGGATTGAAGTGTCACGGAAAATGTCCTCACTTGGGCCACCGATGGGCTTCTGAGTGTATTTGTGGCGAAGAGCACGCATATGGTCGCCAATGTTGGCAGCGCTCTGTGATGGATGTTAGAGAGGATGGGTTAGAAGATAGAATCAGAGATCTAACTGACCAGCTGCTCCGACAAAGGCACCTTCTGAAGCTTCATACGATGCATGCCCGCATCGGCGGCACCCAGCAGCGCAGCTGCTGCGATGACAAGACTGTTCTTCATTGTCACGACCACCAATTGCTAATACACGAAAAGGAAGGAAGACAATGGATGGATGATGAGATGCAACGGTGATGAGGAAGAGAGAAGAGAAGCAAGTGGTCGGTTGGGATGGGGAGGATGGATGGAGGGATGGCTGGACTGTTTCGCACCAACAGGTCCCGTGAGTTGCAAGCTGTCAGACCCCAATAGTGCTCTCGACGGGGCAGTGATGACGCCCACAGCGCCTCCCGTCACCAGGCACCAGGGAAACTTGTAACCCTCCCAATCGCCCAGCTAAAACATGCTCCACTCGCCGTTGCTCCGCGATACCCGCCCGGCCAGGTCACAGGGTGCAAACACGGCAAACAATATTACCAGTCTGAAGTACTACTTGCGAGGTTGGATGGCAATAGATACATTCGCTGCCGTTGTTAGACCTCACTATCTGCATCGCTACTCGAGTCACTCTCACTACTGCTATCTTCATCATCGCCACTGCTGGATGTTTCGTCCCCAGGCTCCGTCCTGCTTGATAGCACGGTGTGGCGTTGAGATCCCGGGGGAGTCTCTTCGCTCTCGCTCTCACTCCCACTGTCACTGTCGCTATCACTAGAGCTCGAGGTAGAACTCGAGGTGGAACTCGAGGTGGAACTCGAAGTATCATAGTCGACAACCATAGTCCTGTTCTTTCTCTTCTTGACCCTTTGTTCAACCCCGTTAGTCGCGACGAGGCCATCAGTGTCAACGCCAAGCGCCCACATCAATATCCTTGGGCGCGACTGCTTCTGAATCCAAGATTGGTATCCTAGGTCTGCGGCGGTGTCTCCTGTAGCAGCAAAATCCGAAGAGGCTGAACTTGCCAAATCGTCCTTGAAGCGTCGAAGATATCCACCATCGTCTTCTCCTGCAATGTTGCCATTCCTGTCGCTCCCTGGTTGAGTATCTTCGCCTTTTTCTAATGACGCCATGCACTGCGCCTTCAATCTGTCACGGGATCCAGCACCTTGTAATCCGTAGATATACCTTCCCAGAGCAAGATTGAATTCCCGAGGAATATCCCTTTCCGAGAAGATGTGTTTCAATATCCACGTCTCTCGATTCTTGTTGAATTTCCATTTGGACCTTGCTGTGTGATATTGATGGAGATATTCCAGCGCAGTATTAGACTTGGGTAAAAGTGGCAGAACTGGTTTCGGTCGAACTTTCTTCGATTTCTTCACATTTGTCGAGGATCGCTGCTCCTTAGATTCATCCAGAACGGGTGACAGGCTTCTTGTCGACGCAGAAGGCTTTACGTCAGCAGAGAAGGATACCTGTTTCTTGACTTTCTTGTCTGGCCGGTCCTTCGTGGCTTTGGTGGCCTCAGGTGATGAGGCCGGATTGCGTGCTGGTGACTCGAGGACCTGTTTGGATTTGGAAAGCGTCTTCTGCTTCTTCCTCGGAGGGGTTTCTGATAAAGACGATTGGGTATTCGTCAAAGAGCTCCCACCAGTTTGGTGGATTGTTGAAGCAAGACCGTTGCTCGTTGGTGGACCTGAGTCTTCATTTGCATACTTCAGTTTCAGTCCGAGTCTCTTCCAAGCTGGAATTCCAGGCCCAGACATGTTGATTCTTTACGTGGTGAAATCGGAGCTAGAGTTATCCGAAGTATCTTTCAGCCGAAACGCTGATCAAATTCCTGGTTCGGTCCATTCAAAGAGGTCGTCGATTTCACAGGGAAGCTGAAGTCTCATCTTCGAGACCAATAAATGAATTTTATTCCACAGAGGACTTCTTTCTCAGTGCCACAAGTGGCGGTGCAAATCTTTTGTGGGCCCTTTTGCAGTGGCTAGTGGAGAAGCCGGTCGCAGTAGGCATCGCGACACTTGCGCGTTTGGAAACCCCATGCTTTGAACAGGCCTCGAGTTGCGAACATCATCCGTCGTCAAAAGTCCAACATAAGTACTCACCACCTACTTCTCTCGATCGAGCTTTATTCCTTGGGTGACGCTCAGCTGTGCTTTACTACATAATTGGTTCATTGTACCTCGGTCGAAGGTGGTCAAGATGTCAGGTCTGTAAATGTTTGACGTTGGGTCATTGTAGCTGTGTCGGACACACCGAGCTGACACTCTTCACATCAGGCTCCGCAGGTTATGATCGACATATCACCATCTTCTCAGATCAAGGGCGATTATATCAAGTCGGTACGTTTCCGCCATGGTTTGAACATCCTTGAAGTCCAAGTTGCGACGCAATCCCTGCCTTCAATAAATGGACAAACCCTCCGACTCCCTACTCCAGCCACTATGATTGAGACCGATCTCACTTATACTTACATCTACACTCAGAATATGCGTTCAAAGCAATCACTGCAGCCAACATCACATCGGTGGGAGTCAGGGGAAAGACATGCGCCGTTGTGCTGTCACAGAAGAAAGTGCCGGTCCGAAACAATCCTGTCCAATTCAAGCCTGAAGTTATTCTAGCTGCTTACTCTGGCCGCAGGACAAATTGATTGATCCCTCTTCGGTCTCCCATGTCTTCAAGATCTCTCCCTCGGTCGGATGCGTCATGACCGGCTCAATAGCCGATGCTCGAGCCTCAGTCGATCGAGCCCGAGGCGAAGCTGCGGAATTCAGATACAGGAATGGATATGAAATGCCTTGTGATGTGCTTGCAAAACGATTGGCGAATATCAACCAAGTCTATACCCAACGGGTGCGTCAAAAAAAACTTCACAAGGAGATGCATGAACCCGGCTAATTGACTGTTGCAGGCGTACATGCGACCATTGGGTGTAGCGACGACGTTGGTCTCGGTTGACGACGAATATGGCCCCCAACTTTACAAGTGTGATCCGGCAGGCTATTATGTCGGGTACAAGGCGACGGCGTCTGGACCTAAGCAACAAGAGGCGCTCAATCATCTGGAGAAGAAGCTGAAGAACAAGGACTATGCTCCCGGCAGCTGGGAAGAAGTGGTCGAGCTAGGCATCAGCACTCTCAGCACCGTGTTGAGCGTTGACTTCAAGAAGGGCGAATTGGAGATTGGCATCGTGGGTGGGCCAAAGCCTGATGGATCTGAAGGCACGGATAATGAGTTCAGGACGTTAACGGAAGACGAGGTCGAGGAACGTCTCCAGGCTATTGCGGAGCGAGATTGAACATACGTCGTTCATCGCCGAACCAGAGGGCACCGTGTAGGTTATTCTTTGAGGATGGGGAATGACGACAAGGTCGGCAACCACGCTGGACAGGGGTCAGGATGCGTTCAGCTTGTCCTGTCCACACGGAAATTAGACTATGGAGTGAATCTGGGGACTATTGGTCGGGTCACGTTCAGCAGCTTCTTGGAGCTGATATGAGATGATGTGTGTGGCACGTCATGGTTGGCGTAGAGGCCTTTGTCGAGTCTTTTACTGCTCAAAGTTCGACGGGACTCACTCCTGGAACGGATCATTGTGGAGCCGATTCTTGACTTGAGTGACTGCCACTAGAGTATCAGGCGAGTTCTCAGGTCCACGGGATGGACGAACCTTGTCCCAGCCTCATTACCGCGTCTATGCGTTGGACTTGGGAGCCGTCAGGGCAGTCAGCACAGCCGGTCTCAGAGAGTTGTGGCGTGCGCGTGTGGCACTGGTGAGGCTGGAATAGAGGTGAGGAATGGAAAAACAGTTGATCCAGGAGGTGTGTATTCAGGCGTGGTTGACGTGCGTCGTGCATCTCGTATTGCTGAGATGGGGGGTGTGTGTGTGTGTGAGACTTCCGAGCGCAGGAAGTTCAAGCCGTCGACTCAATGCCCATAGCATCGTGCCCATTTCTCGTTTCTCACGCCGTCAGAATCTCTGCCCATGGCGCCAGAGAACGGTGCGCGAAAAAGACCCCTGCATGTTTGCAGAAGCGAGGTGCTGGTGGATGATGAAAATAGAGAAGTGGGCCAGTAGACGGGCGTGGTTGGAGGTGGAAGAGTTTTCAGCTTGCAGCATGCAGCGACCGTTTCGCAACGCCATGTGCGTGCCCTGAGCGTGTTCCTGCCGCAAAAGGGCAGCCTCTTTTCTGGTAGCAGCAGCAGGGGCATCGCTCCATGGGCCATGGACGCCATTTCTGCTCAGCTGCCTGGATTGGGCCATGGTGGGGAAGCTTAACCGTTGACCTGAGTGCCCCCGTTGGGTCAAGACCCAATGCTTAGGGACGGGCGCCCTCCCACGGACTAGCCCAGGCCAGGCCCTGTAGCATGATTGGCGGGGCCCAGGGGCATCCAAACTCGCCTGTGTGCAACCCGGTCTATCCATCATCCATCTAACTGCGTACCGCTTCTCCCCTCTCCACTCATACAAACATTTTGCTTAGGGCCAGGTCTCCACCATCACGGCGATTCCTCAGTGCCCTAACGTGTCGTTGCGCATGGTCATTTTCAACGCCTCGTCTACGATTTCCATGTTGCCCGCACCCAGGTCTCCATAGACCCAGTCATGATCAATGATCCAGAACTCACTCGACCCCGTGGCTTGCAAGCCGCCTGCTGATCAATACAGCACACGGTCGGTGTCTACAGCAGAGCCTCGACTGATCCACCGCCATAGCTGCATCATTCCGACATGCCCTGCGACTGAGGCAGTGCCCAATAGTCGTCGTGCATCAATCCAAGCGCTGTAGTCGCCGTTTACAGCCGTGTCGACCGTTTTGGTGCTTGTCTCTACTCTCCTCTACCTCATTGAACCTGCCCCGGCTTAGTGCTGTGATACTTGCCTCCAGCTTCACCGTCGCTAACATCTTCTTCTGTTGGATTTCTCATACAGCTGGGAGGCCTGCTCCATTTTCCCATGACGCTACGGCCCGGTCCCCTATCTTCATGACCGCTTCTATCCTCCTGACTGGTTGACCGCTGGTGAAGCCACGAGATTGAGTCCACAAACCCTCCTCTACGCCCGTCTCCGTCCCTCGGGGGCAGTGTCCCTCTTGCATCTTGATCCCAAGCTGTAGATGACATCGGTGGACAGCCGTCGTCCTTAAGAAGAATGCTTTCCTCGCCGCGATCAAACTTGCTTTCCTCTCCTCAGGCTTCATCCATCCGACAACTTGACCAGAAGGCTGAGCCAACGGTCCGAGACCTCATCCTCCTTGCTGTGAAGATTCCTGACTTGACTGCGAAGCACCATCACAACCCCGACGCGAAGAGAAAAGGACTGAAACCTGCGCCGTCCGTCGAGCCACTGCTTGTCGACCACCAAACCTCACTTGATTTGGCCAGCTCGCCTTTCGCAATGGCTGATGGACGTGCGTCTGACCGTAATTGCTCGCCTTACACATGCGAGAACCGCCCCTCACGGAGACCACTCTGGCTAACTGGTCCTGCAGTCAACGAAGCTCGCGCCATGCGCGTCATGGAGATCATGAACGACTTCCGAACGTTGCAAATCCACATCAACTCGCTCATCACGCGCAGCGAGGCCAACCCTCCAGACCAGGAGTCATACTACCTCGATGGCTACGTGGTGCTCAGACAGTGTGCCGCTGAATCGCAGGCGGTTCTCGCTGGGCACTTCAATCCGGGCAACCTTGGGCTCCAGTCCGGCAGCATCCCGGAGACTGAGGTGCAGAAGGCGTCTCTGCAACGGTGGGACGAGTTTTTGCAGGCACAAGGGAGAGCATGTGCTGACACACATGGGCCAGGATCATCCTCGATGCCTCAACGAGACGGTTTCAAGCCCACAAGATCTATCTACGAGGATCCGCTGCGATGCGCTGGGTGCAGTCGCGCGCTCAACTGCTGCGCGGCGAGAAACCAGGCGCGAAACACGCCAACGGCCTGCGAGCAATTGACCAGAGACTTCGCCAGGTACGTTGTATTCTGGTATCTGCAAAGTTCAACATGCGATCGGCGCATTTCCCCCACACACCGTGCCACCGTTGTTCCCCTCAGCTTCGCTAGTGAAGCCATGTGGTTTAAAAGAACCGGAGGGGGAAATGATCGGCAACACACGGAGCCCTCCCCAGCGATGTGGCCCCCCAACATGCCTGAAAGAGAAAAGAAAAGGGGGCAAGAAGAAGACAGCTGATTTTCCCTTTGGTTTTAGGAACTCAGCGAAATCACGGATGACCATGTCCATCGAGACCTTCGCAACGCAGATCGACGAAAGGGCTACTGGCTTGACGAGGACCCGGTCCTGGAACGCATGCTGGGCTGGATTCGGATGCAGAGGTGAACGGGGGTCAACTCAGTTGCTAGCCTCTGGTTTTCTCGGGCTATCCAGAAGTCTTCCTCGGCCTGCGTTTCTGTTTCCACCTGAGTCTCCCGAGTGCCTTGAAACCTAATACTCTCCTCTAATACTTGCGTCATTGTCGAACAATGGCTTTCTACTTTCTGAACGCCGGGCGTGACCTCACCAGGCAGTGCTAGCACTGCAATGTGCGGGATAATCAGGGGGGTTGTGGAAAAGAATTGGTGGCGGCTGGACTGCCAGGTGGGCGAGCCGGGATCAGCGAGTCTGGCACTCGCGTCGGTGGCTGTGGCCCAGACTCAAAAGCAAGATTAATACTTTTCATTTTTGGTCTCGTTGGTCTCTGGGATAGAGGGCGAGGGATCCGAGTGGTCACTGGGTACCCTGTACCGTTGCACTCTTTTGTTTACCTACGATGGCTGCATGACGCTACAGACGGATTATGGGATTACGAGAAAAGATTTCCAGGGATATAGAGGACTCACAGAACACAAGGCAGGGCATACCTTAGTCGGGAATGTGCCGTCACTTGGAGCCAGGCAAGAACAGCCGAACCCGGAGTCTTTGTTCCAATGGAATGTTTCATGGCAAGGTTGTTCTGCAGATGTTTCTCCTTCTGCTTCTGATCACTTTTTCGGGGCTTAACTCGCGGGGAAGCTGTCATGGTTGTACATAAGACTCGGCGAAGCCGATCCCTGCCCAACTGGCCGTTTAGTGGTCGGACACGGCATGGGAGTGGACGCAGTAGGGACCTGCTAGATAGCTGCTAGTGCAGTAGGGATCCTTTCGGATGACCTCTACGCGTCCGAACGACTCAATGGGTTCCGTGAGATGGACGGAGCACGGCTTCCCTCCTGCTCTCAAGCTCTGGTTGTTGAGGATGGCGTAGGGCTGTGTAGTGATCGGAGTGGTCACCTGTCGTCGGGACGAGTTATGCCCACTTGTATGTGCATTGGGTGATTGGATAGTTATGCTGACCCAAAGTTGCCAGGTAAGGTAGGAAGCCTACAGGAGGACCCAGAGATTCAGGTGGTAGATGGTATGTGGTCCTACTACTGCGTAGCTGATTGGGGACAGGCCGGGGAGCCCAATCGGGGCCAGTGGATCAGTTGGCGGGCAGCACCAGCGCCTAAACCAGCAACGAGGCATGCCCGTTTCGGCAACTCGGCCACCAGCTTGTTGCCCGTTATTTCTCGTTCCATTCCTCGCGTGCTTCGCTTGTCCCAAGCTCCCAAGCTCCAAGCTCCCCATCCCCCCAAGAGTTTTTTTTTTGGCCCCCGACATGCCGAGTCTTCCAGATGCCAGATGCCAGATGCCAGGCACCTCAGTTCCAAGCGAGATGCATCTCAACGTTTCCCACGCGCTCTCCCTTCACCTTTCGCGCTACCCGACTCGCCGAGTACTTCGTGCAGTATAAGGGCGCAAGCAAGGGATCCGCCATCTATCCGCAGGAACCGTCGTCACCACCATCACACTGCTCTGATTCAGCTCTACAAGGTTTCGAAACGACGCCCGAACCAAGATACCCGTGACTCGGGAACAGTGGGCGGACGCACTCACTCGTTACCCGCATGGGCTGTACGAGCAGAAGTCCCTCGGTGGAGATGGCATGTGGGTGTGTTTCCGGATGCGGACGCCCATGCGGGTGCTCCTCGTATTCTCTCCCACCATTATTGTCAGTCTGCGGCCGCTCTTCGTTGTGTGGCCATGTGATGAGAAGGAAAACACCAGACACCTTGCTCGGCCCCTGCATCATGGACCGCGTGGGCTTGCATGGATCGCATGGAATGCATGACTGTGCAGGGGATCACGGCCTTCAGCATATCCCCAGATCGTGTCCCAATGCTCCCTACCACAACTGCTAACAACCTTTCTGCAGGCTTTGTTTTGTCGCTGCCATTGGAGCACATCTCGACGCGTTTCAACTCCTTGCGATGCCAAGATACTTGCATCGTCCCCTAACCCGTTCACATTGATAATGACAGCAAGAGCAGTAAAGGATGAATTACAGCATGGTCGCGTTCCATTCCTCTAGACAGGCTGTGATCACTGACCCAGGTGTTGCTCCTTAGGAAGCTGTACCGAGCAGAATTCTGGCTACTCTCGACATCGCTCGAAATTGTATCCTCCATCCACTGTCGTAACTCGCCCTTGTCTCTGGGTATCTGGTGTTTTCTCCGGGTTGGTCTGTCACGTCACCATTTGTGGATTGAGAACATCCGAGGCACAGGATCTCAATGGCAGGGCAGAGCCACCTCCTTTTCTCCCGCCGCGATCTATGTATCTCGCCAAGCCGACCTCGCTAGTTCAATTACCTCACGATTTACGCCGCCGCGTCAAAGATCACAAGACCTTGGTTTCCTCTTTGAACGGGGCTGAGTGAATCCACCTACCCAAGAGATGGAGAAGCGCAGGCAATATCGACAACAGCCAAGCAGTCTCTGGGAGGCCTGGGAGCTGCCACTCTACGTTGCTGAAACTATTTCTGTCTCTACCAACAGAAAGGACCGGTTAGCGACGGTACGGAGCCCTCTATACCCTCTTTTTCTTCTCTCTCCGGATCCTCTCCTCCACAACATCTAACCCAGAAAGCTTCTTCACCACTACATCCAGCCAGCCTACAGGCAAGGCTGTTGTTCCGAACCATGCAAACGTCGCTCCCTGTCCCCTCCAGATCCGATGCGGGGCCCCCTTCCCGCCTCGCTTGGATAAATCGCTCACCACTTTGTTCGCCCAGATGTCGGCATCCATGAGACTGACTTGTGGACCATGACCAAGGAACTTTTCCACAATGTCCTTGCCGGACGAGTAAGGACTCTTCTCCGGCAGGCTGGAACTCATCTCGTGATTAGCGTTGTCGAAGAAATTCGACCTCACGCCTCCGGTCCGTAAATCAATGACCTTGATCCCAAATGCATGCATTTCAAGCCGCAATGTCTCGCTAAAACTGGCGAGGGCAGCTTTTGAAGCCGAATATGGTCCCACGAAAGGCAGGTTTAGGACCGAACCACAGGAGCTATTGTTAACAATCATCTTCTGCTCCGTTGTCGAACTGCGAAGCAGAGGGAAAAACAACTGTATCATCCGGACTGCGCTGAATACGTTGAGCTCGAACTGTCTTTGAATCTCGGCGATCGAAGCATCAAGGACGGGCATGTTGAATCCAGCGCCGGCGTTGTTGACCAACACGTCCAGTGAGCCGCCTGTCAGAGATGACACTTGGTCCACGCAAGATCTGATGGACTCTTCGGAGAGGACATCTAAGGGTAGAGTTTCGATGCCCATGATTTGCAGGGCTGACATTTTCGAGAGTGTGCGTGCCGTCGCAAAGACACGATCGCCACGTTTGTGAAAGGCCCGTGCGAGGGCAGCACCGAGACCACCATCAGAACATCCCGTTATGAGGACAGTGCGTTTCCTAGGAGCCATGACGTGTTTTGTTCAAATGTTTGACAATGATGCCTCTGACAGAGTTTCGCGGATGGGTTGTTGTAGCGGAGGAAACGGAGAGCCTGAAGCCTGCGTCGACTCACAATATACGAATTGCCCCCGAGGAAGAAGGCAGGACGGGGAAGGCCCGTGGCCCTCGACTTATATCTGTTCTGGTGGTAAGTTACACAGTATAACCAGACTTTCTGAAGAGCAAATAAAAGCGCATCTTGATCCATAATCTGCCCCTGACTTCATCGCCCCAGGGAGTATCAACTACCGCGCCGTCAGCAAGAAGAACATTTCATGACGTTCTATAGGACTTCTGTGACCTGTAATCGGCCGCATAATCCGGTTGTGTTGGGTTTCAGGAATTTGTGTTGATTCCATAACAGATTCGGAGTACTTATCGCCCCGGGTATTACATCTGACTGACGGCGGCTGGCCTAAGAGGGCTCTTGCGTCTAAGCCCGGACGAACCTCCGTCCATACATTTTGTAGATTACTCAACTCACAGTTTGGATGGTTTTCGTTTTGTCTGAGACGAAGTACTTGCATCCTAAACAGGGAAGAGCACGGCGTCATTCTTCTTGGATAATAATAATAACGACCTCTGCCGGCAATTCGAATGGATTCGTAATTACATCAACAGGCTCTCGCTTAGGGGACGATATATCTCGTATTCTGTTTATAGGCGACGGGACATCCATGTTCCTGCAGTAGGTTCTCTCAACAGGTTGATCCTCCCCGTCGGTTGGCGACGGGGCGTGCCCATAACCTTCGACAGCAGGTTAACGGTGTCCACGATGCAGCATGAGCTTCGCAGGTCTTCCTTACCCTCAAGCTACAATTATTGAAATATCAACTCCTTTGAGTCGCAGCCTTACAATGCACACACCTGCTTGTATCCCATTCGGCCCCACGAGGCTCATTCCCCAGGCCGAGTCTTCGGCTCCTTGGGCCTCCAAGCGAGCGCCTAGCCGGTCTTTCGGGCTGCCCGATGCACAGGCTGGAGAGGCCACCAGCGCGGCTCTCTCTACCTGTAAGCCTCAATGCTCTCCAGATCGGGTTCCCGATGCCGTAGAGAGGTCGCTCACGAAATTCACACTCATGATTTGAGTCAACATCTCTTCGTTTTAGCGATTGCACGATGCTTAACTACATGGTGTTCTTCCTGGATTGATCCGCCTTAAGTGTGCACTGACGATAGTCGAAGCCTAGGTCATGCTTTGCTATGTACGATGACCAGTCGATCTCCTTCTTTGGCACCCGTCCTACATTCTGAGGACGCCGTCCTCTCCGCTTGACGAGACTCCTGCAAGTCTGTGATAAGGCTCTCTCGACCCATGGGTAGGCAATGGCTTAGCAGTATGTAACACAAGGAATATTCGCCTAGAATGTAATCCAACAAGTTACTTCTGGGATGACTTGGTCTCTTTCGAGAGAGGGAAAAAACCTACCACGTGATCTGCGCTTCTGGTGCAAAACTGATGTGCCCGAGATTGCGTCTGCGTCAATCACCACCATCACCTCAGAGAAAACCATGACGGTACAAGAGGAGGCTGCTTTCTTCAGAACACTCCGAGGCTTTCCAAATTTGGACTTTGGTTGTATGGCTCGGCAAGACGGCTCGAAAACTCACGTCCAGTGAGGATTGAGAAAGCCTGCAACAAAAGGATCGGTGACATATCGCCCATATCGCACGCTGGCAATGTATTGTGTGGCTGCTCGGAATGCGTACCATTGACGGAACTTGCTGTCGCTCCAGCAGCAGCATCATTTCAGCCTCCATATCTAGCCCATCCACCGACGCGAAGAGACCTACGGCTCCATTTGCAGACCACTATGCACAGGCGATGAAGAGCCGGTTCGACTCACGTGAGCTAATTGAATCTCAATCGTTTCAGACAGCCTGCAGATCTGTGAGGCCATTTTGAAGGTCCTCTCCACTTCTTCCTTCCACGACTCGCAGCAAGACAGAAGCAAACAAACAGTTCATCGAGCGATCAAGGACATACGGTACGCTACACCATGCTCTTCAATTACTCCATCCTGTACTGCCTTTGCCGGAGCCCTTGAAACGGTTGCCAAAGACGAACACTTCGCCCCTTAGCCGAGCCCGACTGAAATCCAAGGGCAGAAACTCGGAAGCTCAGAAGCAATCACCTCGACTGTCCTGAGCAATTGCCAATCGGGCAGATATAATGCGGGAGAAGCTGTCGATGAGACTCTGGACTCTATAGTAGTTCATAAAACTTACGTGAGCGCCTTTACTCCTCTCACATTCGGCTAAGGCACAAGCACTTTTGTAGACGCCTTGAGATGGGCACATTTGCCTGTGCAAGGATGTCACGGCAAAGGCTGAACCCCCATTACCGCTTCAACACATACAACCGAGACTTAATTTCTTTCTCCAACCACGAATTTCCTGTCAGACATCACACAATCAACAACGGCAGAACCTCCGCAGCAACTTCTCCAACACTATTGCCGACACATCGGCATTCGGCAAGATGATATGTTTTGGATAGGGCTTTTTATATGGAAGCCTCTCCCTCTTGACAGTCCTCGAGTCCAACTCTGAGTTTGTTTGAATACCAGAGCAGTGTAGAAACCAATACGAGGAACATCATGGGCTCCATCGGCGAAACAACCACCACCCTTCCGCCGGTGCCAGCGGTGGGCAAGCAAGATGAAAGCCACGAGGGCTCAATCCCCCGGACCGCGGATGTTGCCAATGGACACTCCCATGCCCTCGAATCAATCACGATACCAATGCACAATGTCCCAGCTTTTACGCCTAGTAAGAGACTTCGCGTCGTGACGATAGGTGCTGGCTACTCGGGCATGATCTTCGCCCACAAGCTACAATATACTTACGCCAAAGAGTTTGCTACGCTCGTCGACCACACCATCTTCGAGAGTAAATCCAACGCCGGCGGCACCTGGATCGCAAACAGCTATCCCGGCGTGCAATGCGACGTGCCGAGCCATATCTATGTCTTTCCCTTCGCCCCGAATCCGGAGTGGTCGCATTTCTACTCGACCGGGCCCGAGATCAAGGAGTATTTCCAGAAGACGGTCGCGGAGTGGAAGCTGGATCGAGACGTCCAATTCAACACCACCGTCGAGCATGCCGAATGGAACGAGGACAAAGCCCAATGGAAGCTCGAGGTGAGGCACAAGGACACGGGTCACCGGACAGAATGGGCCGACGTTCTGATCTCCGCCAGAGGTATTCTCAGCCATTGGAAGTGGCCGAACATTGCAGGGCTGCATTCGTTCAAAGGTCTCAAGGTGCACAGCGCTGGCTGGAATCATGAATATGACTACCGCAACAAAAGAATCGGCCTGATCGGCAACGGAAGCAGTGCCATCCAGATTCTGCCGGAAATGGCCAAGCTGGAGGGCACCAAAGTGACCTGCTTCCAACGGGCGCCAACCTGGGTTGTGTCCCGACACACCCCAGCGAAGCTGGTCGGTAGTGACGACCCCAGCTACAATCCAGAATACCGCGAGGTGGACAAGGAGCGGTTCCGTAATCCGGAGGAGTTGAAGAAATACCGCAAGCTGATCATTGGGAATGTCAACCGTGGGTTCCGGATCTTTGGCAAGGGCTCAAAGCAGCAGGAGGAGATCAAGGCCTTCGCCACCAAGCAGATGGCGGACAAGCTCAACAACGACCCCCGACTGTGCAAGATGCTTATCCCGGACTTTGAGGTCGGGTGTCGCAGGATCACCCCGGGCGCCGGCTACCTCGAGTCCTTCACACGTGACAATGTGTACCTGACCCAGAGCCACATTGACTACGTCGACGAAGGGGGCATCAAGACCAAAGACGGCCAATACTACGAGCTGGACGTGATAATCTGCGCGACGGGCTTTGACGTCTCCAACCGGCCGCCGTTTCCCGTCATTGGGCGCAACGGAACCGACCTGGGAGAGAAGTGGAAAGACGAGCCTGAATCATACCTGGTAAGTTCCAAAAAAAAAGGGGGGGTTCGTACAGGATATATCCTGACATGGGAGGACCCCTTCCTGGACGAATGACAAATATCTGTTTACTGATATTTGAATGCATGCAGTCCATGGCCTGTCCCGAGATGCCCAACTACTTCATGTTCATGGGCCCCAACGCCACCATCGGCCACGGCTCGCTCATCTATAGCCTGGACTGGACGGCCGAGTGGATGATCCAGTGGCTGCGGAAGATGGCGCGCGAGGACATTGCGTCGATCGCGCCCAAGCAGCAGGTCGTGGACGAGCTGGTGCGGTACGGCGACGAGATCATGAAGACGCTCACCTGGACGGGAAACTGTGAGTTAGGCCTTCATATCTTCCCCCCCGTCCTCCTCCTCCTCCTCCTCCCTCCTTTACCTATCGCGTTCCTCCCCTTTTTCTTTCTTTCCTTTCTTTTCTTTCTTTTCTTACTTTCTTCCCATAAACGCCGTTCCATTTTTATTTCACACCACGCCGAACCAAACCAAACCACGTATGCATCCTCTATATGCACACGCCCTCAGCCTCAAACCTAACCTAACTTAACCTAACCTGACGTAACCAAAATCTAACGGACGACTCCTCCAGGCCGATCATGGTACAAGAACAACCGGGTCGACGGCCGCGTGACGGCGACGTTCGCCGGCAGCGCCATGCTCTTCCACGACATGGTCGCCCAGATCCGGCCCGAGGACTTCGACATCCGCTACCGCGCCCCCAACCGCTTCCGCTTCATGGGCAACGGCTTCACCTCCTACGAGCTTGAGGACGGCGCCGATCTGTCGTGGTATGTCGAGCAGTGAGAAGGGGTATTTATTTATTTATACTTATATATGTATATTCATACGTATATATATATATATGTGTGTGTGTGTGTGTGTTTATGTGCATACTAGATAGATATACTAGATATTATATATATATCTATCGTCTAACTGTACATATACACATGTATGTATATTGCAAGGTGCATGTAACAGACGACATCTCCTCTAGTTATGACATTATATTATATTATACACATCCACCTCCAAACCGGATCTACACAGGTGGATAGTGCACAGAGAATGGATGCATCTTAGTGAGGCTGCAGATATTCCGTATGCAGCGTAGCACTCGTACGATGAAGGCATGTACATAATCAGTGCCCCCTGATTCATTGCCGACCGCGCGGTATCTGATGACATACTGTAGCGGGTACAGAGTAAGGGTGATATATGCCGTTCATATGTAGGTCACATGAGTCTCGTGAGAAAGGGAAAGAGAAAGAGAATTTATCGAGCGTCTCAATGTTTGCCTGCTATCCATCTGGATCCTACGTACCGTGTAAATATCTCACAATTCCATCTTTATGACTAGATATAGCACAACTCCTTTTGGACACGGTGAGGACACTCCTTCCAAATCAGAGATTTCCCCTGGATGAGAACGGAACAGCAAGATAGCGTGGGATGAATGGAAGCTCCGCAGAAATTCTAGATATTTAATGACCCAGTCGGAAGGGTACAGGGGCTCCACTTCCCTAAGCTCACAAGCTGGACTTGGGCCACGGCAAATTGCTGTCCATCGGCGGTCCTCATTATGTTGTCGAAAGCGGCGAGTCAAAATCTCAAGACTTGTTGTCGTAGGAGGAACATGCCTGAGTTGTAATCCCGCTATGTCATCCAGACTGGCGCTGAGACATCCACTGAAGCACGAGATGTCGATACGCATCTCGTAGACCTCGTAGGTAGTGGTAGGAACCAAGGTGGCGATCACGCTCAAGGGCCACTCACTTTCCGGGAGCGAAACAGTGGGCGTTGGCCGCAACAAGCCAAAGTTGTAATGTCAGGTTAATTATTCTGGGATCTCATTCAGACGTCGCATTTTTGCACCTACCATGTGCTGCACCCGGTCGATTGCATCCTCGTCCATCAAACCAACCTTCAGCCTCAATGTAGTATCACAGCTCATCAGCCCTCCACAGGACTCTCATTTTGCCAGCCGCTGATGTGGTTTCAAAACTCCCCTGTCACCGCCCCCCCCCTTTCTCCACAGCCAGAGCGCTTCGACTGCAAGCGCTTTGGCACTGGCATGTCCTGACTGGCGGTTGGCTTCAGCCATCATGGCCTCTATCGGCCTCTCTCTCTCGATGACGGACCAGAGCGCTTCCTGAAGTTCACTGCCTCGAGGGCCGAAATCTCCTCTTCCCAGCCTGTACAGGATCCTACCTAGCGTTTGGTAAGCCATGCATCGCTGATTAGGCAAGGTTGACCGGCCAAGCATAGCAAGTTCTGGTATGGTATACCCGGCGCTGCTAGGCGAATCACCGTGATGGTGGAGCCCTTCTTTCACGTCGACCTCTAAGCTCTCCGTTGGCGGTATCAGACGACCGTTGAATCCGAACCGAAGGGCAGAAGCCGGGTACGATTCGTTTGCAGGGTTATACAGCGATGCTTGGTCCTCCTCTTCAGTCGGATCTTGGAGCCAGCTCAACGAGGAAGGATCGTGGGGAGTATCCGGAAAGTAATGTGTTTTGAGGTCGGTCAGGAAGGACGCACCGTCAGAGTCTAGGGGCACGTAGTCGTCGGCCGAACGAGGAGGAATGGGGAAATGGGTCGACGGCGGTGGAGGTGCGTTATCGACTGATATTTCAGGCTCCGCATTGTCCTCGTTCACAGCCATTTCGGCAACGGCGTCCTTGTCAGGACTCTGACTGTCATCTTCCCTTTCCATGTCGCCCTCCGGCCAGAGCTTTTGGCCTGCTTGATCCTCCTCAATATTCGCCCGTTTGAGTAGGCGTTCTAGGAAAGCAGGATTCAGATTGCGTGTCAGCTCGGCTCGGGCCTCCTCGATGTCCTCTATTGACATTTCGGCTATCCGCCTCTTGTTTTCCTCACTGATGTCAGCCTTCTGCTGCTGATCCATGTCGAGCCCGTACTTCTTGCCCATATGGTGTCTGATTGCTTGATCGGAAGGTTCGACTGTGGCAGGAATCGAGGGACGGGAGGGGGCTTTTCTGGCCTGCTGTCTTTGTTTGAAAGCAGACACGTTGCGGCGTTGTCTATGCTCTGGGAAGCCGGCTTTGGAGGGTTTCAGGGAGGGGGCGGAAGGAACCGAGTCAGAATCGTGCTCTTGGATCTCCTTGATGCTGAAGCCAGCAGGCGGGGGTGGAGATGCTTCATCGTCGATCGGCCTGATTGTAAAGTCATCGGCGTCAAGGTCTAGTTCAAAACGTTGGCCTGGGATAGCCATGGTTGCTGCCACTCTCGCTGTTGTCGATGTCGCAGCCGCGCAGGCGGAGCTGTTATGAGTTAGCACTAGAAGAGTTGAGCACCCCAGATGCGGTCTAGCCGAGAGTTTGCGGTGAAATTGGTGGTCCGACCAATGGCGGGACCTTGCCTCTGTGCTGGAAATGTAGTGCAGTTCTGTGGGGTGTGTCGTGTGTTACCCGCGTGTTCTCAAGGCATAGAGCCCGAGCAGACTTGCGAACGTTGACGGGTGATATGATGCAAGATTTGAGCGGCCTGCTGCAGTCACACTGCCTAGCATTAGACCATCATGGAAGCGGAGTGAAATAGCCGAACTTGGCGCAAGCCACTAGCAGCAAACTTTGTAACAGGGGTCTAGGATCTGGCAGCCACCAGGTGGGTCTCATTGGCAGTATCCGATCTTGGGGGTTCTGTTTTCCGAGAGGATCATTATGGGTGTCTTCTCCCCCGTAGAAAAGACCCTGCAGTGGGAGGGGCGGCACCAATGAGTAGAGTAAGGTCGATGGAGGGAGGTGATGTGGTTATACTTGATTCTGATAGCAGTGACTGTAGGCATCTAGTGCCAGCAGCAATTTATGAAAACCGAAAAAGGGAGAGCCTACAGAGTACTAGGTAGCCAGGCAGACTCCGGGTTTACAGTAGTAGGTGGCCTCGAAACTGGGCGGTCACAGCACAACTAGCACCCTGCCTGACAAGCTCCCATTCTCCCCTGCGCTCACCCAACGGCCCTTGCGTGTCCGTGCCTGTCGCAGTCTTTCGCCCTGTCATTTGGACCCCATTTTATTTTGACTTCCTGTCTGCCAGTAGGATTTTTTGTAAGCTTGTTACTTTGCTTTGCTTGCGTTATCCAGGAACGGGGGACCCAGCCTCTCTCCACCATCCCACCACCATCTGTGACCGACCTACCTAGTCGACGATCTTCCCATCGGCCTTGGACTTGTCACCATCCACTGCAGCTATTTTTCCCATTGCCCTTTTCGCTGTCCTGTCTGGCTCTGGCGTCCCGTCCGTCCTCTGGTCATTGCACTGGTCCAGTCCGGTCTGGTCTGGTCTTCCTCTTGCACGCCTCACCAGACCTTTCACTCTCCGCCATGTGCTGCATTCTCTCTTCTTTGCTTCCCCCTCCGTGTGTGTCTCTGGCTGCTCGTACTTCCACTTCCGCCTCGTGTTGGCACAGTCCAGTCGAGCCCCCCGGTGTTCTCTTCCTGATGCACCTGGGTGATTTTACGTTTTCCTATCCACTCTTCCCATCCCCGTCGCAGCTGTGGTCTGGGTTCTTGTTGCCTTCCATTCATCTCGCGACCCATCATCGCCCCCTCTCCATCCCATCGTTTGACCCTGTGTCAAGAGCCCTGTGAGCTGTTGTTCTTGGGGTTCGTACATATATCTCCCTATCTTCCCACTTCTGAGCCTTTGCCCTCCTCGACCTTTTCTTTTCTCTCTCCTTCTTTACCTTCCTGCACGTCGGTCCGAGTGATTTTTGGGGCCGGGCATGCTACATTACCATCTCTCTAGTTTTGATGTTCCCCAGTCTGCTCCATCCGCGCGTTCACCACTGCAAATCCTCGCCCGCTAAGCCAGCCGCCTTCACCACACAGTTTCTGCATTCCCGTCCGTGTTTTCACAACCTTCTGAGGTCGTGCAATTCAATTCAGATCCGCCACCACCCAACTCCGTACCGCGAGTGTCTCCCTTGTATAACATCCTAGTCATCAATCCCCAATTATTCGCCCTCTTTGCCGATCACCCTCTCCAGTTTCATCAATCTCATACTTTCTCCATCGACATTGTCGGCTTTTTCTGTCGCCTGCTTCACCTACACACGTACTAGCAACATCGCAAATTTGTCTTGATGGCTCCGGTGTGAGCCTGCGACTTCGACTGCGCAGCACCTAAGCTCAAAATGGATGTGCATGAAACCAGAAGTTCATCCAACGACTTGTCCAGCGCGCCACCCAGCGATGTTGAGGGCACTCCCGGACCTCCAAATTATCGTCCTGCACATCGCGACTTGGGCCTAGCAGGTAATCTTGGTGTTGCAAACAGTTTCAGCGCGCGACCGACCCAACCGACTACCGGTGCAATTGCCAGTCCCTCACCAGCCACAGCTGCAGGTGCACGCCAAGACAACGCCGCAGCTGCGCCGCCTGCCAGGAGACCTCGCAAAAAGCGCGATCCCAACACGCCAGAAGAGAAGAAACCACGGGCTGTTCGCAAGCCTCGAGGGACAGCCGCCATGGCGACGGGCGGACGCAAGAAGGCAAAATTAGAGGTACTCGAACCGGGCACCAACCTTCTCATGCCTCGTCCCCAAAGTGCAGGCCTACAGACATCCACCCTGGTGCAGCCCGTGTTGTTCTCGCCCCCAGGAGCGGCCGACAGCGGCCGAGATGAAGCCGCCAAATTTACCGGATCTGGCCTCACGATGCATAATCAACCGATGCGCTCCCGCACACCCCCCCAGCGGATCTATGAATATCAACCACGTGAGCGTGAATACGAGACCAAACCACAAGCCCCACCTCCACCGACTTCCCTTCCTATTCAATCCTCTCCTCCTCGCTCAATGAGCATGTACGATCCCATCAGATCTGTTCAGCGACCAGTTGACACCAACCCGCCTGCTCCACCCTCCGTCCGACCCACTGTCACTCCTCCACGAAGGACCGACAATCCAAGCACATCTCCAACCATCTCCAGCATCATCGATCATCCTCCGCAACCCGACATCTCGACCACTACGACCGTGGTGAAGCAGCAGATAAAAATAGAACCTCCTCATAATCAGACTAATGGCCGAATAGTCGGATCGCCTAGACTCAACGGCCATTCGTCAGCGATGGATATAGACCACATCCCCCAGGATCAACTGCAGCCCAAAAAGCCCGCCTCGTCGCGAAAAGCGGCGTCGGAAGCGTCCACTCGTCCCACTTCACCGAAGCCTGCTCGGGCAAAGGAACAGCCACCTCCACCTCCAATGGGTTCTGGACTTTTGTCAGCCAGTCTGTTCGGTGGTGACTCAAGTAGCGACATGGCAAAAGATTCGGAAAAAGGTCCCAACATTGTCCTACATATCGACTTGAAGAACCCTAGTAATCGGGTCATCAACTTTGCTCGGATGGCTGAGGAAAAATACGGGTTTGCGGCTCTATACCCTCGTCAAGCCGCTCAAAAGGAACGGCTGGCTAAGATCGCCGCCGCCGGGACTGCGCTCGAACGGTCAGCGTCAGGCAGCAAGTTTGGAGGCACGTCAGCCGGAGACAGCGGAGATGAAGACCTCAGCGTCGACATTGAGCGTGATTCAGACAACGACGGGGACGTTGCCATGTCCGGAGTCAACGGTGGACAAGAACCAGCCAACAGCGGGACTGATGGGCCAGAGCCAAAACGTCGACGGCGGAGAAAGGTAGAGGAATACGATCAGGACGACCCCTTTGTGGACGACAGCGAATTACTTTGGGAAGCGCAAGCGGCCGCCAGCAAGGATGGATTCTTCGTCTACTGTGGACCGCTTGTACCCGAGGGAGAAAAACCAGCTGTCGAGAGGTATGTATTCCTGCTGCTCAAAATCATTCCCCCCTCATACACTGACGGACGTTGATGTAGGGCGGATGGCACCATCAAGCGAGGCCGTGGCCGAGGTCGGGGCGGCGGTCCTGGTTCGCGCGGTGGAAGAGCAGCTGCTGGCGCTTCTGAAAGAGCCTCTGGGAGAGGTGGAGGGCCTGGATCCCGGGGCGGGGGGATCACACGAAAGCCTCGAATCACGAAGGACGACCGAGCGCAGATGGAAAGAGAAAAGCTCCAACGAGAGAAGATGGCACCGCTGGTCGCCAAGCCGACCGCATATCCCGTTTGATCAGCTGGGCGACAAAGACAGAGATGTTAGGGATTTGCCAATCAGCGACTGGATGTGTCATGAAATAGATGTATTCATTGTGTAAGGGCCGGGTAGAGGTCAACGGGACTGTGCTTCACCAAGCCAGGGGTCGGAAAAGCGCCGAGATGTTTTTGCTCTCTTCTAATACCGAGTTGTGTATTCTAGTATTTACCCCATGAGCGGTGAAGGACGTCAAGCACACGGAACACGGGCTCCTTAAAAGGGGGTTACCTTTTCTCTTTTAAGGTTTCCTTTTCCTTTGAGAAAACTATGCTTGGTCCTGAGTACTGTAACTTCATATTGGGTACTCGGTACGCAGTGGCTTGCAGCGTGGTGGCTTGAACTTAGCGCTACAGCGTGTTGTACAAAAACGTCATAGCGCACCTTCATGGCAAAGGGTCACTCAAAGGGTCAGCAGGGGCATTCATGGAAAAGCGCAAATTCCCATGGTCAAAACACTAAAGTGAGACTGACCACCCGTTCCCAAGACCGACATGATCAACAGCACTGATAGTCGTGGTGGCGCCCAGCAATCCCCAATCCCAGGGCTTAACACACCTGCCGAAAGGGCTTCTGGTTTTTGTTCCCATGCCGCCCTTGCCGATCCTCATGGGTGCCAGTCCTGACTTGGGCATCATTGAGCCAACCAACGGACTCGTATGGGGATTACGGGCCAGTGAGAAGGGCAGCCCAGGCGGCGCCCAGTAGCAGAACGCCCCCCATAACGGCCTCCCAGCCAAGGTTCTCCCCTCCCTCTGTCCCCAAATGGCTCACTAAACAACCATCCCGGCAATCTCCCAACCCTCGCCTCTCCCACTAATCAGAGCCCGGCGGCGACAGCGGTTAAGAGCTTGCGATTCAGATTTCACCATCGCCCAGGTGTGGGCTTATGGGCGGACCTCCACCCGTGCATGATTCCCGACATTTTTCTGGTGCGCCCACAGAGGTCCGTGTCCGCCGCGATGGGCGGTTCACCTCAGAGTGGGTTCTTCCAGTGGCTTTCTAGCTACTGTACAGCAACCCGCCGAGTAACTCGTAATGCACTCCTCTTCCTTCTCTCCTTCCCAGGCTCAAGCCCTTTGTAGCACCTGATCTCTCGCTTGCGTCTGCGGCTGGTGACTGGGGGGACTGGCCATCCACGGCACCGCGCTCCGTCTATCCCATCTAAGTAATTGTCCCAAGACCTAACAGCCCACGGCTCTGGAGAACACGTCGACGCTTTCTCATCTCCCGTCTTCTTGCTCGTCTCGCGCCTCAGTCCGCCTCCTCTCCCTCTTCCATCTCATCGCACTCTGGGTCTGATAATCCTGCGGCAAGCATGTTGTGCAAGCCGCCACTCACACAGCTGCCGTCTTTCCTTGCCTTCCCAGGCTAACCGTGCTTCGTCTCTCCACCGGCCTTGTTATCAACCAACCTTTTCCCCCCTCCATACGAACACATACACTCACTCGCCGTGGCAATCCAGACCCCGTGGGAGCAGGGCGGAAAAGAGAAAAGAGAAAGATCATCATGGACGGGTTCTCAAGCTTCTTTGGCCAGCCCTATCCAGTCCAAGATCCACAAGACCCCATGGACGGCTACACGCAGGATGATGGGATGAGTGGCCTGGATCCCAGTGGCATGGAAGCTTCGGCCTTGGGCCAGGCGCAGACCCTTGGGCAGATCATCCTCCAAAATAACGACGAGTTGATGCGCCGGAGAAATACGATCCAGTCCCAGTATCGACAAGGCTCGCACGACCACGGTCGCAGAGCCTCGATGCTCGAGTTTTCTTCCGCCATAGACAGTGACTTGGCCAACTTCCAATTCGATCCGAACCCGAACGAAGCCGGCCTGCCCATGGACCCCTCCCCTATCATGCCCATGCCGAAATCCCTTGATCCACGAAGAGTCCGTTCTCGGGAGGACTTGTCTCTGAACACCCGCTTCTCTCAAATGAATGCCAACTTTGACCAAATGCCGGCCGTCAACAACTTCTCTCCGGTGGGCGTGTCGAGCACCTCCGTCCCTGTCGAACCATCTACCGCTTATATCGCACCGAATATCGACATGGCCATAGAATACGACGCCCTAACGGGAGGCGCAAGTGCTCGAGCCATGCAATCAGCGCCAATGCAAGAGGCCATGTTCGCCGCCTCGCCAATTGAACAAAGCTTTTCCATCCCTTACCAACCCGTCAGTCATGATCCCGGTGGAGGCTCGATGAGTCCGCCCGGTCCAAATCCTATGGTAGCAATATCCCAGGGCATGTCCTCACTGCGCGAGCCTTATCCAGGCTCTTCTCAGCAACTTCGAAGACCGAACCCCATTGGCCCCATTGCACCAGGCTCTCTCTCCACAATGGCTTCACCAATACATATCCAGGACCCGAGCAGAAGACACTCTGTAGATGTTCAGATGGGATTTCCCGTGAAAGGTAATGTCATCTTAGAAGAGCAACTCTGGTGGCCGCATACTGACGCGATCTGATAGATGTTAATACCACCCTAAGGGCTATGAACCCTCCGTCTCTGCCACATATGCAGCCCGTGGGTGGGATCCAGCATTCTAAATACGTCAACGCATATTCTTCTAGTGGGTTTGATATGCTGGGGGTCCTCGTGAGTAGTTCCCCAAATGGTGTTGCACATTTCGTTGACCCGTACCACAGATGCGAGTTGCAACGAGACCGCGACCCGAAATCAATATTGGGCCTGTTGACTTGTCCTGTGCCTTTGTTGTTTGCGACATCGAGAGATTTGATCTTCCAATCGTTTATTGTTCGGAAATGTTTGAACGCCTGACAGGATATACAAGACACGAAGTCCTCGGTCGAAATTGCCGCTTCCTCCAGGCGCCTAATGGAAATGTGCAGTCGGGAGTGAAACGGAAATACGTCGACGACAACTCGGTCCTCTATCTCAAGAACCAAATCTCCAAGAGAGAGGAAGCACAGTTGAGCCTGATCAATTATCGAAAAGGCGGCCAACCATTCATGAACCTCCTGACCATGATCCCGATTCAGTTTGACTCCGAAGACTACAAATTTTATGTTGGGTTCCAGGTCGATCTTGTCGAGCAACCAGGCTCTGTTTCCGGGAAGAATCCAGGTACGGCATCATCCCAGAAACAGCAAACGATATGAGCAAAGGATGACTAATTTCCCGTTAGATGGTACTTATGAGATCAACTACAACCGAAGCTCGTTGCCGGCATACAATCTTCCCGCTCGTCCTGATCCAAGTCAAGCACTGCAAGACATGGGCCAGACTATCTCTCCCGACGAAGTGTCCAGGCTTTTGGCCGCCCTTGGTAGTGGTGAGTCGGACGTGCCGAGACGGCTGTGGGACAAGGTCCTCCTGGAAAACAACGATGATGTTGTGCATGTCCTGTCACTCAAGGGACTGTTCCTCTACGTATCTCCTGCGAGCCGAAGAGTCCTAGAATACGATCCCAGTGAACTTGTCGGCGTAGGCATATCCTCGCTCTGCCATCCGAGTGACATAGTACCAGTGACCAGAGAATTGAAGGATATGCCGCCGGGAGAGTCGGTGAGCGTGGTCTACCGGATTCGCAGGAAGTTCAGCGGATACACCTGGTTCGAGGCGCACGGCTCTCTCTACGTTGAGCAGGGGAAGGGCAGGAAATTTATTATCCTCGCGGGACGAGAGCGGCCAGTCTATGCCCTGGATCGGACCGAGCTCGCGATTGATGGCAATCTGGGCGAGAGTGAGCTATGGTCCAAGATTTCGACGTCGGGGATGTTCTTGCATGTGTCTTCTACCTCCCGAATCATGCTCGACCGACTCCCTGAAGACCTTGTCGGGACGAGTTTGCAGGCTTTGATGCGACCGGAATCCAAAAAGGAATTCCTACGTCTGCTTGAAGTCGCACGAACAGGCGAGAAAGTGATGTTCAGGCATGACCTTCAGAATCGAAGAGGTCAGGTCCTTCACGCACAAACGACCATCTACCCTGGTGACGCTCGGCTTGGTTTCAAGCCCACCTTCCTGCTTGCGCAAACTCGCCTACTGAAGATGACGCGTTCTGCACTCTTGAGCCAGAAGTCCATCACATCATCGAGAACTGACCGAGCATCGGCAGGATCTGGAACCCCGACATCACGTCCGTCAGGTAGACCGTCCGCCAGCCCCATGGACGGGGCTGTCAGTACCTTTGCGGAACATCCCGGCTCTCTACTCGGCAACCACACCCTAAGTCTAGGCAACCAAGACGAGGCCCTGGCCTCGGAAGACAACATCTTCGATGAGCTGAAAACAACCCGAAGTTCCAGTTGGCAGTTTGAACTCAGGCAGATGGAGCGTCAAAATCGGTTATTGGCTGAGGAGCTGCAAGGATTACTGAGTCGCAAAAAGAAACGCAAGAGGAGAAAGGGGCTCGGCCAGGTTGAGAAGGACTGCGCCAACTGTCACACTCGAGTCACACCGGAATGGAGACGGGGACCAAGTGGCAACCGTGACCTGTGTAACAGTTGTGGACTGCGGTGGGCCAAACAGGTACGTGACTTCACCTTACCACGCGCACGAATGGTGTGATCAGAGAGGCGGTACAGCTAACGTACTCTGTGGATGAAGAATGGACGAGTATCTCCTCGTAAGCCTTCGAACCACAGTGACAAGGGCTCAAGATCCCCAGCCCAGATTAGAGCGGCCAACAAGACCGACGCCAAGAATGGCGAAATGTCTGAGACAATGAACGGCGGCCCTGCCCAATTGGTAAGGACCACAACAGGAACAGTCGAGCAACAAGAGAATACGAGTGAGTGGAGAGGGCAGATGCCGCCAAAGATTGAGGAAGGCGAAGAACCTCCGCATCCGAGCATCCTGCCGACGTGATGATGGACAGAACCCCTTGGTATCGGAGAAATCCACTTGGACTTGCCCCTATCACATTCAATGGAGGAAAGTCCGTCGATATCGTCGAAGCCAGCCCTGGAACCCGCAGTCGGGCCCAATTGAGGCAAAGCGTCGCCGACTCTTGCGCCGAACTGGGACCATATAAAGGGTATATGACCCGTTGTTCATCCACGGATCTTCACTCCTCAAGAACGCAATTCCCGTGGAACAGAGAGCCCCCGTAGCAAGGAATCCTATTCGATCTGTCCGACACGGATCCAACTACAACTCAACCCGAGGCTGGCAAGCTGAACTCATTGCTTATGAGATGAGACTGGTTAAAACCTGCCAGAGGAGCCGCCCATCACATGTGCCTTGTCACCTACAGTCCGAAAACAACCTTGTCACTATCACGCCCGCTTCACGTCAGGAAGGATTACATACGCCGAATATGAGATGTCACGACCATGAGTTTAGAGCTTGGACCCGCCCGATACGAAGTTTCATGATGCTAAGATTTGGATGGATACTAGGCGCTGGATTGTTGTATTATGGTATGGTTGGGGTGGCCTTTCTTTGTCTGTTTTTTCCTCTTCTAGGATTCGTTGGAAAAGCCTTGCTTGCCGGGAACAGCCACAACAAGGCTGCTGGGCTCTGACCGGGATCGGCACAGCGACGGGGTTGACACCCTTCACGAAGAGTCCGAACCGGAGTCCTGTTCGACCAAGCTAGGAAGTGTGAAGGCGCGTTTCGGGACTGCCATCCAGGCTCTCCTTCACTTGGAACTGGCACACACGCTGTTTATCGGAATCAATACGTCAACGAGGTACAGCACGGCATGACACGAACACGAACACGAACACGACACGAGTGTTTTCAATCCTTTTTCTTCTTGTTGTTGTCATCACGCATCATATGATACGATCCACGAACGTACGCCATGCTACTGCTGCTATGCTGCTATGTTACTATGGTGCCGGCTATGTATAAATCACATCTCTCCCCACTTCCCCCGAAATCCTTTTCCTTCAGCGTCGAAGCGATAGGGATAGAAGCGGCACGGGGGGCCTAGGTACGAAAATTTAAGGATGACTTGACTGGGCCCAAATAAATAGGCAGCAGAAGAGACTTATATAACCAAGAACAAGACGACGACCTATCTTATCTCATCTCATTGCATGGCAAGACATACTCGATCACTTTCTTTTCTTGCGACTCCGTGTGGGCCCCTGCCCGTGCGCATGTGTAGATCCCCCTTCATGGGTGCTTGTATGCTCTGTCCGTATGTAGCACAAGAAAACGAGTCCGTGGCGGCTTCGTTCTCTTTCACGCGGGTTCTTGTACCCTGCGTGAGCTGGTCGGGAAGAGCCCGCGGGTTCTGAAGACCATATCAAACGTCTATATGCCCGTATGTACCTCACCCGTCCCACCCCACGACCCAATGATGCGAAGTCTATCTTGTAGAGTCTCCGGAGCTTGGGGTGGGCCCGGATCTCGATCCGAGTTCTAAGCATCACATAAAGAGCGGGATCCGGACACGGAGGGCTGGTTGGGTCAAGGCGGTCAACCCCCTGGCGTCGGAGGGCCGACGACCCAGGACGAGGACGGCTTGAGGTGAGGAGAAGAAGAAATGGGACAGAAAAGAATAGCATACAATATTGTCAATGACGAGATGAATATGAAAATTGCATCAAGGAACGGTCCCGGTTGGGCTGTTGGGTCTCCCCTGCAGTCCTTACCATCTCTACGCTCGATGCCAGATTGGCTGGTGCGACACCTTGTCTTTGGTGTTTGCTGGCGGCGGCGGATCTGAGTCCAGAACCCAGAACGTACTCTACGCTCGATGCCAGATTGGCTGGTGCGACACCTTGTCTTTGGTGTTTGCTGGCGGCGGCGGATCTGAGTCCAGAACCCAGAACGAGTCCCGACGCCGCAGCTGTACTTGCTCCTCTGAGGCCCGGGTGACGATCGCGCTGACCTTGTTCGAATCGGGGCCTGGGACGGTATTTGACAACGAGAATATCGTGCCAGGTCGGGCCATGTCCCCTGGAGAACGATGGGCTTGTTGTAATTCGACTGGCGCTGTGTAGCGAAAGAGAAGAGGAAGCGTCGATTCCTTCCATACCGCCATGTAGTTGCGATGCGTGGAAAAGATCGTCAGGAACAGGCCTGCCAGCCCGAGCACGACGAGGGCCATGGGGTAGCTGATCCACTGCCATCTGACTACTATGACCGCTTCGCTGTGCAGAGTGGTGCCGGTGGCCACGGTATCTTGCAGCTGCTGGAAACGACCTGTCAGTGCCTGCCCGACACTGGTCACAACGTCGCTGAAATTCCCATTGCCGTCGATCGCCTGCTGACCTGCAGAGCTCCAGGGCCCGGAGATTTGGTCGAAGCTGGTCGAAGAGAAATTGAAGATGTCTCCTTGCTGCGAGGGATCTGGGTACCAGTAGCCGCCATAGCTGTACGTGGTGTTTCCCTCGAGCGCTATTCGAAGGGCTTGGATGAGCAAGTACGCTCGACCTTGAGAGTCGTCGTTGCCGGAATCATAGGCGAAATAATTCGTGCCATTCACGTCCGCGTTCCAGCCTGTCAAAATGCGGCCATCGGGTTGACTTTGACTGATAATAATGGTTCCGTAGTCTGTGGCTGCCGCATTGGAGATGGTCGTGCCACTGCGAACGACAGTGTCCATAGTCCGCACACAGGGTGTAAATGCACACTCCGTGGCTCCTTGGACGACCAGTTGGTCGAAAGAGGACGTTGTGTTGATGTCGAGATAGCCCATGGCAAATAGAGGGGAAGAGATACCAGCATATGATTTGTTGTCCCAGCTCTTGCCCCAGTGACTGTTCGGCGTCGGGTCAATGTTCAGGGGCCATACCACGCGGCGAGGGTACGTGACGAACCATTCCACCATGCTCCCCGCCGATGACAAGTCAAGATTCACGGAGACGTTGATGAGATTGCCATGTGGGAAGGAATAGGTTGGCGTCCAGGTGGTGGATGACGACGTCCGATTGCTTAGCGAGAAGTCCTCGAAGAGCGAGGTTATGTTGATGTTGTATGCATCTCCCCCAAGTTTGACATGACTAGTCATGTCAGTGCACTTGGTGCACATTGCAAGAGTGTTGTACACTGGCCATGTGCAATTTCCACTTGGGCAGATGGGATTGGGGATTGCCCCAGCGGCCCCTCCAAATGCTCCGATCAATGCATTCAGTGACAGACCTGAACCACCCAGGTCTCCAATCACTGATTCATTGTATGAAGTCGGGGTCCGAATCGAGGCAGGTTCGGAGGAGACAGGGCTGTCGCGAACAACGGTATTCAAGACCTGCTGAAGAAAAGGTTCGAAGCCGAGAGCCAGGACGGTGGCCAATGCGGCGACCAGTGCTCGAAGACTGCCTCGACGGCTCAGGATGAGGAGAAGTGAACCGTAAGGGCCACGGCTGGCCTCTTCGAAGGCGTCAACGGTGTTGAGTGGTCGCGGTTTTCCAATGAACCACAGCCACTTCTCCTGACGTATGGCAGCTGCCAATACTGCTAGCAGAGCAGCCTTTGCAAAACCTGCCAAAAGGGAAACTATTGCGTTGATCTAAGAAAGGGTGTTAGGATTGGCCGAACTTATGCCAGACACTCAACACGTAGATCTTACGGTTAATCCATCTGGTAGATCTGGAACAGGGCGGTTGTCGTATACAAAAAGAATGGCGGCAATGGCAGCCAGGATGCAGATACATAGCAGGGCTGCTGACAATTCCCATACCCAGTTGTCCAAGCTCATCCGGGTCCACCATGAAGGATAGGTGGAGAGATCTTTTGGGTATGTTAAGAGAGCTGTCTGTCGGCTCCGCGTGCTGGAGGGACTGCTGGTGTATTCTTGCGTTTCCATGTCGTTGGCTGGTCGCAAAGAGGTCTTGGATTTCCCCGGACAAGGGCGCCATCTGGCGATATATATCGACGGGCGTAAGTCCTAAGGTTGGCAAATAGAGGCAACAAGCACCATCTGCGCGTCCAGGCTTGGGGGCCCATTGTGCAGAGCACGTCCATCAAGCAACATCAGCCACAATTTTGCGAGTCTCTCATGTAGGGGGCATTTTGGCAAAGTTGGGGGCGATTTGGGCCATATGGGCGGTCTTCGAGGTCGTCGGACACATGTCGAGGCATGAAGGGCCTTGAACTGTGCATAAATGGCCAAAAGATAGACTGAGAATGAAGCTTGATAAGCGCTGGACAGGCAGCGATGGAAACAGAGTCTGGAGGTGGCTATATTTGTCCCGCCCGTGCGGCCGCCCAGGCGCAGGAGGGCCTGATCAACATAAACGCATGAGGCTCTGGGGGCCAGCGACTTCGGGACCCCGGCCGGGAGGGAGGGAGGTCCTGGAGAGAGCGGAATGCGCCGACGAGGGGAATTGGAGGACACGAGGGATCGCCTTGTGGCGAGGGTGGCGTACGATGGCTTGTTGATGGCTGGAGAAGGTGTAAGGCGAGACGGTGAGAAGGAACAAGAATGATCGACAGTGGTTGCTCGCACCTTTGCTGCCCAACTGGCTGCCTTGTGCTGTTAGGGGACTTCTTAGCCAGCTTCTGGTGCTTCTTGGTGCCGGCTGGCGGTGGTGGGGGTGCCGAGGGGCTCTGACTAGGCCGGGTAGCCCAGAGCTAGGCGTGGTGGCTTCCCTATTCCCGGGCCTATTGGTTCCTGCCCCTAGTCCCACACCCCCTTTGGCCTCTTTCCTAACGGTTGTTCCGGCCAGTCGGTGTTTCAATCATGGCCTTGGTGAGCTCTTTGTCAACTCCCCTGCTTCGTCCCTCCCTGCTTCCCCGGCAAGCTTTGGTTCCCCTCTCGAAAGTTTTTGTCCCTTTGTCCCTCTGCCATGTAACTCTACCATCTCGCTTGAAGCTTCACTTTCTGCCTCGTTGATGCGAACGTGGTGGGAGATCCCCGATGGACAGACTATCATTTCATCATGTCGACTGACTCGATGCCTGATCACCGTCCCTTTGGTACCCAATCGACCGAGTCTTGTGCCTGGGAGTCTCTGGGGGGCCCTCTAGTGCCGTCCCGCAATTGGACGCCAACGCCCAGGGTACGTACGTCCGGAAGACCCCAGTGTACCTACAGTATGTGTGTGTGGGCATGTGGGTGCGTGAGTGGGTGCCGGCCTTCAACACCCCCCCTCCCCCCCCCGGTCGTGAATCCAGCCTTCCCGAACCTCGTCTCTCTCACACTTCCTGCTTCAACATTTCCATCCAGACATTTCTATCCTCACATTCTCAATCACACGACCCAAGACCTTTGTCACTTCCGAGAGACACCGTGCCTGACGCCTCCTATATCATCCAGTGCAACCTTGTTGATCACCATTGCTGCCAAATTCGTCCATATCAACACCCTACGGTCCATCCTCGCAGCTGCCTCCTGCACCCTTTGCGCCCGATCATCCCATTGCTCCTAGTAGCACCTGCCTGCATTCCTCGACCTCTCCGGTCCAGCATTCAATTACTTTCCACTTCAGTTCCGACTATCGCAGTCTCTCGACCTTCTCGTCCCGATTTCTTGCGATAATTCTGCGCATCTCCTCCCTTGACCTCCTGACCTCCGTGGCAGTGTGTACGGGCGGCGCTCTCCTTCCCCCCTTACAACACGGATACAGAAAGCCTCGCAGGACAGATCCAAATCGCAGGGATCGAGACACCAATAGACCTCGGAATCCTCTCCAGTCCGTGTCCGTGCGCAATCTCTTGGGCATAATAAAGGCTGCTCCCACCTTCTCCTGGATTTGGTCGCTCGCAGGATCGCAATTGCCTCAGCCAGAGCCTCAGCCATTCACACCCAGTTCGAAGTTGTCTTGCGCTCTAAGAGGGGGACCCTTCCAATAAGCCTCTCCATTTGGTCATTCCACCATGGCGGACAAGATTTCTATCACCATATGCGGCGATGGAGGTTGCGGTATGTAGTCCCACCGGCGCTTGCAGCACATTCCGCTGATGTTGTCCCTTCTCTTTGCAGGTAAATCGTCCATTACATTGCGCCTTGTCAGATCGCAGTGGACTTCCGAGTACGTTGCTCTCCCCGTCCGCGTGACCAGAAGAGTCCTGCTAACCCGAACAGATATGATCCCACTATCGAGGACTCGTACTCGGTGACTCGAACGGTGGACGGATTGAATTACTATCTCTCTCTCACGGACACAGCGGGCCAAGAAGAGTATCGAAGTCTGTGGGCGGCCTCAAATCTCCAGTCCGACGCTTTTCTCCTGGTTTATGATATCACCAATGCTGCCTCTCTGGATGGTCTTTCGTGGTTCCTTGACATGATTGACATTGAAGCCGAGAACCGATTGGAAGAGAATGCTCGGTTGCTCCGCGAGAAGGGAGCCAAGGTCCGCGGCAGGAGGGAAGATGGATGGAAGTTTCCTCCGATCAAGATCGTCGCCGGCAACAAATGCGATCTCAAAGATGCTAGAGTCGTCAGCAGCAAAGTCGGCTGGGAATGGGCCAAGAGCAGAAACTGTGGTTTCATGGAGACCAGTGCTCGAGAGATGGTAAATATCGAGGAGACTTTTGCCTGTAAGTCAACGCTGCTCTGTCGCCCATCAAAGTCCCTCCTGCTCATGCAAGTCAACAGTGATCGTACGCAGAGTGGTTGAGGCAAGAAGACAACATGGCACGGGTGCCGGCTCCCTCCCCCACCAAGTACCATTTGCCTCCAAGGGTCATACTCCCAACGTTAGCGGTGCTGGAGCTTCGTCTTACCAGATGCCGTCGTCCATGCAACCAAATCGACAACCATCCATCCCTAACCCCTTGCCGCCCACGGAGAAATCTGGCTTCGATGATGACAACAGTCATGTCCCTTGGTGGAAGAAAGTATTCTGCTGCCGCGGTTGACTGTGACATTCAAACCAAAGCCCATAGACAACCTTGGGGCTTGTACAACATGGCGGCCACATCATCTACATGGCTTTAATCTTGGTGTTGTAATATTATGTTACGAGATGATACCTCACCACGCCTTTGACAGTTGAACTCTTTCACCGTGAAGAGAGTTTACCACATGTGTCAACCTTCAGCAGCTGGTACGGGCGAAGACACTACCACTAGTCGCCAATGAGCTTTGTCGGCTGAGCTCGGCCTGCCACCAACCTGACCCGACGTCCGTTCTCATTCCCTTGTTAGGAAGGCACGCTATATGTTCACAAACACTGGTTTTCAAAGACATCCATACGAGCCCTAGGATCTCGCCTGCAGACATGAAGCAAACCACCAGTGATCGGAGGTGAATAGAACAGCGGACATGGAGAAAGAGGGGACGACAGGGCTTGGTCCCAACACGCCGCCGGCGAGCAGAAGTCGACAGCCAATGTCGTATTGAAAATGTGATGTATTCTTGGGGGGCGAAGATATAGAGTGTATCAGGCAAGACGCGTGGGAGTGGCCGCGAGGCCGGGAAAAAGCGAGGTTTGAAGATGTCGAGCGATGTACACTTTTGCTATGTATTATGCATGCTGTTTTCATATTGTGCTGTATATTTAGAAGACTTGGCCAACGACGGAGTGTTCCAACGCTCTTCGAGAGGTCGACCAGGCTGCAGGACGGCAAGAGATGGATCCAGAGATAGATAGTCTTATATACTGATTGTACCAGAACTACCGAGTATTTTCAACGGTACGTACAGCATGTACCCCCAATCCACCTTTCTCGACCTGTCCATCCAGCCGGCGGAATGCGCATTCTCAGAGTGATGATAAACTGCCAGTCTTCTTCGTTTCTCCCTCCTTTCCTAGTTCTGCGACTACGGCGGATGATATAGCAGATGAGAGGTTGTAGGGAGGGAGCCAGATGAGTTGACAGGGGGGATTCCTCATTGTTTTGATGGGCGTCTATCTACCTCAGTTGCCGTATCTTGAATTCATTCTTCTACTACTAATACGGCATTTATCCATGTATCCGTCTGTCGATCCATCCATCTATCCATCTGACATGACCGAAACTGAAATGTCCTCCCCGTTTTCGCGACCCACTTATCTGATCTGCTCTGCTCCATCGCCCGCCTTTCCTGACACCTGCGTTTGCGTGACTGTCGCATCTCACGCCTGACTGACTGCCTGACTAAGAGAGTGCATAGCACGATCGACAGAGCCGGGACACATCAGGGGGGGAAGCGCGAGACGGGGACCTATTGTGGTACAGCGTAGCATAGCATGGCATAGCATAGCATAGCATGGCCACGATGATGAGGATAATCACCGGCTCCCTCCTCGCCGTCAGGATTATTATCATCACCATCATCATCCCCGCATGTGTCGCTTCGCTCTGACCGACCCTCCACTTCATCCTCGGGTGTTTCGTGCCTGTCCTTGATCGTACCTCACGGTTCGTATAGTCATCACGGGGGATCGAGGCGCGTCGGTCGGTGCATTGAGGGGGAAGGGGAAGAGGGGCTCTGTCAGTTGGCCACGGTCTTGGGCGTGGGCTCAAGGTGGCGCGGCAAAGTGGCTATATCCTCCTCTGCCTTCGTGCACGGCAGCGGCATTGAACCCGCCAGCAGCACTTTTGCCCTGCTGCTGTGCCGCCGTATCCTCCTCCACCCTTGTCAAGGTCGAGGTTGAGGTCGAGTGTGCATTGCTGGCCAGCACCGGCGCCGTCTCATCACCACCTCTGCGCGACAACAGCATGGTGAACCTCTTGGACTGCATCATCGGCAGGCCCTGCCTCGCGCTGATGCGGAAGATGCACTGCAGCTTGGCGAGGTCGACCCCTGCGTCGTGACCGCGGCCGTGGTACCCGGAGGAGGAGGAGGAGGAGGAGGAGGTAACATGCACCAGGATGTCGCTGCCGCTGCGGCCCTCGGTGACGGTGCCGTGCTGGCGCACCTTGACCAGGTTCTCGACCAGGAAGGACGCCGTGCGTGTGTCCCACAGGCCGTCGCGGGCGTGGCGGAGCTGTGGGTGTGCGAACAGCGCCACGCCGCGGGCGAGCGTGCGCGGGTCCGTCTGCTTCAGGCACAGGAAATACACCGACGCGACGAGCTGGGTCGAGAGCGTGTAGGTGGTCCCGGTAGGTTGCGTGCCAGACGAGGCGGTGGTGGACGGAGGTGGAGGTGAGAATCGGGACGTGGACGTGGACGTGGGTGACTTCTCCGTCGTTGTTGTTGCCGCCGCCGCATGGGACAGGAGCGCGGTGATGCATGAGAGCGCGCTTTCCAGGTCCTCCTCGGCGTCGCTGATCGGCGTCGCAGTTCCCGAAGTAAATGCTCGTCGAGGATACCCTGAGAGCGAGTCCGCTGCTGCAGCCAGCTGTCGTGCCATCTCGTACGCCGTCGTCATTGGGAATGGGATGTGCTCCTTGACCAGATACAAGAACATGTACAGGTTGACGCGCAGACGCATGATCCGTTGCGTGCGTTGTTGGCGGTGGTCCTCTCGCTGCGTATGCGCCGAACTGTTGGAAATAGTCAAGTCCTCGCGCGAGCTGAAGTTGCGTAGCGTGGCCTCGTACTTGTGTAGCTGTGCCACAAGCACCAGTCTCTCGACAAAGGACTGCGAGGGGAGATGCTCCATCTTCGCTCCTCGGAAGTGGACATAGTCGACCAGGTGGTGCAGGGTGCAGTTCTGGAGTTTAGCCAGCACGGCTTCGGCGTGGGTCAGGTCGAGGAAGGTCTTAGGGACGATGTCGACGACGCCAGTCCTCTCATCGTCGGTAGCCAGGTGCAGGACGGGCGCACGGCGGTCGTCGAAACAGCTGGCCTGGAGATCCAATTGGTGCAGCAGGGTGGTGAGGTGTGGAACCAAGGGGTCGTGGGGGTCGAACGATCCGTCGCGCTGACACCTTTCCAGCAGATGCAAGCCCTGGTCCAGGTGCCAGATCGCCTGCTGCGATTCGCCCAGCAGGGACTCGAAGGCGTAGAAGATGACGCTGCAGACGAGCGCCACGGCCGGAGACGCATCCACGCGCGACAGATACTTCCTCAGCTGCCGGTGGCATCTGGTGATCATGCCCACAGTCCTGTGATTGCGGCTCAGCATTACTCGCGGTGGGGTGTTGTCGTCTGCATCTGGCGTATCTGTCACGGTCATCGACTCACTATGGTAGTGGTCAATTCCCACTACTTCCCCACACAGGTAGTCCTTGTGAAGCGCACTAAGCGCGACCAACGCGTTGCGGACAACGGACTGCTGGCTCGCGCGCTGCAGGACCAGCTGCGTCCACAGCGCCGGATCCGCGCAGCGGGACAGGTCCCACGCGGCCTGGCAGCAGAAGTAGTGGAGCAGCTGGCGGTCGGCCTGGCTGCCGGGGACTTTGAAGGGGATGCTGTATGTCGAGATCGAAGCCGGCTCCAGCGGCAGATGCTGCTGCTGCTGGCGCCGAACTGCTGAGTCCAACCTTGAACCGGGATCGGGACCGAGATCGAGATAGCCTTCGCATGTTCGCCCGGTGTGCAGACACCGCCGACACTCGGGCTTCTCCTCGTCACACTTTACTCGTCGAGCTCTTTTCTCCCATCGTAGATTGTCAGAAAAACGTGGCCCCTTGCATCCTCCTCCTCACCAGCGAATCCTACAGTTCGCCAAACTGGAAAAGGGGGTGGAGTCACTCTCACTCACTTGCACGTAATGCACCCCGACCTCACCTTGGGCGTGCTCTTGCGAGATCTCCTCTTTGGGGGGGAGGAGGCCCCTTTTGTCTTCTCGAGTATCGTCTCCATTGCTGCCGGACCCGAATTATCAAGGAGGAGGCGAGGACTCCGGGATCCTCTGGGGGGAAGTATACCACATGTTCTCAGGCGAGGGGAGGCGCGCAACCTCGATCTCGATAGGGGAAGAAGAAAAAGCCGCGGTCATTGGTGGCGTTGGGGCAGGAGGCCTGAAGGACGATGGAAGACAGACGGAAGAAATGAAAGGCGTGGACACAAACTCACTCTGGACCAATAGCGCTACGCCCTGGCAACCTTAAATATACGAACATCGACGCCTTTCCCAGTCGGGCTCTACACAGGACTGGTCAGCGGTGATTGGGCGAAAGAGACGACTGGACGTGACCAGGCAGAAGGAGATGTGAAATAGGTCCTAGGTAGGCTGCTTCTGCATTCATCGTCCAGCCTGAGCAGTGCGTCACGTGCCTAATCCCCACCTAAATTCTGAATAGCGGAGTCCCATATCTTGTCCGGGGGCCCCTCTTCCAGGAACTCAGGTATAGTTGCCCAGTAGCCGTTGAGATGTTTAGGCCGGGGTCACTGCCTGGAGAGGGTTCTATCTACCTTTGGTCATCGCACAGAGGCACCAGAAAGCCATTTTCGGGCCCCCCCTCCCCCTAATCCAGCGGCTAAACCTGTCTCTCGGTAGACGTTTGGTGCAGGACAGCCAGAGCAGGAGGGTCAGAGAGTCAATAAAATGAGGACTGTTTCTTCTGGAAGTGGTCACTACAACCTTTATCTGGTAGAATGACACCGTTGTCAACTAACTTGCCAACGGACAGTGGGTTGTCATAGCATTCAGCTAAGCCATTTTGAATTTACATGAAAGCAGCCGAAATACCAGAGTCGATCTTAGCAAGTAAAAACCTACAGTCATTCATTCTAAATCGCGGGCTAGTCTGGATATGACTGAATTCTCCGAGTTCTTATGGCATGTCCTGTTTGAGCTCCACGGACATAATCCACAGGCAGTCAGTCAACTGGGGTACACACCAGTTGTGCCAATACACCATTCACTTATATAAACTTCGACCTTAGCTGGCGAATTAGTCGTACGTCGTCCTCTGCAGGCGCTGCTCCAATGATGCTTTCCGCCAAACCAAGAAACTCTCGTTCCCAGTTGGGCACCTGCGGGTTATTGCGCATACTCGGTACTCTTGTCAAAACCCAAATCAACCCGGTGAACACGAAACTCGGCGCAGCAACAACAACGTAGTAGAGAAATCTGGGCGTGATATTATTCCCCAGCTTCATAACCAACTGGAACCCTTCCCTGGCAGCCCCAGTTCTCAGCCCTGCTTCTGCCCATGTCAATCCCGATTTCTTTTTGGAAGCGGCAACAATCGCGCTCAGAATACCCACGACCAGGACGGCATGTGTGCGTAGCCAGCTTTGCATATCAGGCTCGTGGACACACGGAATTCCTGCGGCGGAGAAGATAGATCGCCATTCGGGTGATGAGACAATGGTGATTTGTCCGAAGCTCATGAACTGGTGCACCAGTGCCCCCTCGTAGAAAGATGCCATGATCGCCGGAAAGCCCATGATGCAGCGTTCCTTCCCCAGGACGTCGAAGTACTTGTCCAACGATGCGAAAGTATTGAACATGAAGAGAATCTCGCTTCTGCGGGGACATGCTTTGAGGGTAGCGTACAATTGATCGTCAAATTGGTGTTCCGTAATGGTTAGGAGGATTAGGTCCCAGGGCTGTGAGGTATCGAGAGATCCGACGGCTTTCACAGGAGTCTTTGAGATTTCCGTCGATTTTGCCGACTTCTTTGCTAGGACGCCTCCGTTTTCCTGGAGAGTCGCAAGACGTTGACCACGCCCGACGATTGTGACTTCGTGTCCGGCCTTGACGAGATGCAGTGCAAAGGCACAGCCTACGGGTCCAGCGCCAATGATGGCAACCCTTTTCTTTTCCGTGGCCATGGTGATTGAACGTAAAGCCAGTTGCGGAAGACCGGGGGCCTTCTGTGGATTGCCGGACTTCACGGGTGGTGCGTACCAACTTTCGATTGAGAGTAAAGTGCTGCGTTATCCAATCTACTGGACGTAAGGGTTATAGTAAAGAATGGTCCTTTAGCTGGGAGATATTATGGATGGAAGGTGTATCTGTTCGTCTCGGAATTGTCTGAGTTGAAGCCTCGAAGCCTCGAACAGCTTCGTCTGAGAAGCAAGCAGCCTCCAGGCAGCAATCAATCGATGCTGCAAGCGCACCAATAATAACTTGATGCAGATCACTAGATTCGGTGGAGGTGTGGTTCCCCGGAACATGATTCCAACCCATCACGTGACATTGGGAGAGGTTAGACTGCCCCTTTACTATCGGTCGTAACAGGAACCCAAGCATGAGAGACGCAAGGTGCGGAGGGAGAGAGTAGACGACAATGGAGCCGGAAAACCAACGAGACATTGGAAGAGACATAGGGGGGCTATGTCAGGGGACTCTCGAGGGCCAGGGACACAAGGTACGTCGTGCGAGGCCATCTTCCCCCAGGAAGACCGACTCGCTTGGCCAGGAAGGGCGAAGGTGTCGAGATTCCGGCGAGGAAACGAGATATACCAATACCGTAAACGTGCCAGGCTTGGACAAAGTGCAATCCTGCTAGACCGACACCTTTCATGTACTGACTGACTTCTGCCCAAGGTGAAATAGACCAATAAAAACTACCTCCTAATGCACTCCCCAGACCAAGATCGCTCGCCACGACGGAGTAAGCCTAGTCGGCTCCTTGCTTGGATTGCTTGAATGCTCGAATGCCAGTATGAGATCATGACAACATATATATGCCCTTTTCCGTTGGCCGTAGAATGAATATTAAGACAGAGTGTATGGATGACATCAATCGCTTTCTTTTCCACTAGAACATGACCCTGTGCTCTCGTGCCGGTGTCTGTATCTCAAGGCATTCCAACAGCGTTCTGCCTCTCTCTGCAAAACCCCTTGACTCGAGTGCTTTATAATCCAGCCTGCTCCCAAAAAAAAATACAATCGTGAAATGTAGGAGTAGGGGTCGGTGAACATCCTCTGCTGCGGTTGGTACGATCAGATACTAGAGCCAGTGGTCAGTGGTTTCATTCAATGCCTCACATGTCTCGTCACATGTGTATCATGACACCGAGAGGAGTACTCACTAGATTTCGATCGGACTGATCTGGTCAAAGGGAAACAACCAGTTACTCCCAGCTTCAACTTTCTCCAGCCTAAGCGAAAACGACCGTCAGCACTTGCCCAAATGATAGATAACCCACCCTCGGCGGGACGAATCACTTACCAGTCGTAAGGCCAGACCACAAGATGCCCCTGGACACAGCCCAACAGCTCTTCCGCCTCTTCGATGCTCAAGATGTCATCGCTCGCGCTGAAGTCCCGTCTACTAGACCTAGTGGTAGCTCTTCTGCGTCGGCGACCACTTCCACCAATGTTGGCGGCGGACTGGGCAGCATTCTGATTTATCGCGTCCGAATACCCCACAAAGGCGCCGTTGGCGGTTGATGGACTGCCATTAGCTGTTGCTTTCTCCTTGTCCACCGCCGTTGAGCTCAGACTGCTGAGGGGTCGCTCCGTGCTGAAGTCATCGTCTTCACCGGTGCCGCTGCCTTCGTCGATCATGGTCTGTCCTTCGGGGACCGTCTGTAGCCCGGCCTTTTCCTCCGTCAACGTTTCTTGTCGGTGCAGGGTGGGCATCCCGTGTCTGTCAGCCTGCGCTTGATTGATCTCCGCGGCCCAGCGCCGGAGTTTCTCCTTTTCGGCGGCCTCATGAGAATGGCTCGACTTGTCTCCGAGGACGCTCTTGATTTTGTCCTTCATATCGGCCGTGGTCTTTTCAATATCGGTGGGAACGTGAGTCACAGCTTTAATCTGGGCTGCCGGATGTCGAGACCCGGCGCCTGGTGGACCGCTCTTAGAAACAGATCCAGCTCGAGAAGGGTCCGAGACCTTGTCCTCCTTAGGGAGGTCATTTCCTTGCAATTGGTTGAATCGCTGTTCGTATGCCACATACTGATGATATTCGTCCCAGTTGCGCACTTGATTATCCGGCATGCACCGGAACACACTGCGGTATATCTTGGTGTTGTTCTCTGCGACTGCGTGCCAAGTGTCGTAGAGGAAGGCGTCGTGGATGGGATCCGTCATCGAATCCCGGTCGACCAGCGGCCGTCGCAGCTCATCCATCAGCGGGTGACGAGGGCGAACCGAGTCTTTGGAACCGACTTTGGTAAGTGTAGGACCTCCTATGTCAGAGTCGTCTCCCACGGGGAGAGGAGGTAGCTGCGACAACATTGGCAGGCCCAGCTGCATGGTGTCCATTCGGTTCAAGCCGGGTTTGGGAGGGAGTGGAGGGTTTGGTGTCTCCATTTTGACCACATACGATGGCAGCCGAAGTTGCTCACCATGTTTTCGTGGATCTTCCAAAGCGGCCTTGCCCTCGGGATCAATGCTGGAGAACAGGACCTCCTTGTTCCCCTTGACGAGCGTACTGTCTCGTCCATCTCCCAGCCCTTTGGCGGCGATCTCGGCCATCCTGTCAAATCCGTGCCCTTCCACATCTTGTCTGTGGTGGGGGTCGCCAGTAACGCGCGGGTCTTGAGTCACGCCGGCTCTCTTCGATTTGAGGTTAGGGTTGCCCTGTTGTTCCCAATCGACATCATGGTTGAAGCTCCTGAACTCCTCGGTGCGTTGAAGCAATTCTTCATGCAGTTCCGTATCTTGCCCATGTAGAGGACTAAGCACATCATCCGCTTCTGAGAGAGGACTTCCGAAAGCGTCCTCCGGGGATTCTGATCGAACTGACTTTCCCGAGGAGTGCATTTTGTTGTGTTCGACTTCCATCACTTGTGCGTCTTCCATGATTTTGTCAACGTCCAGGCCGAGATGTTCGCGCATCAGACGCATGCGCAGCGTGTGCGGGAACCGACCAACCTGATAAGGCTTGCCGTTCATCCACGACCAGACCATATCTGTGTCACGCACAATAGCCGCACATTCGGAATCACGATTGCCGAGCAATGACCGTTCGTTGATGTTCGCGGATCCGATCAATGCGACTCTGTCATCCACCACCATACATTTGGCGTGGATGTAGAGTTGTTCAGTCACAAGCGTCTTCCGAGGGCCAATTCGTCCCCACTGCCGAAGGCTGTAGAACTGGATATACTCCTCAGGATCAACGCCGACAGCCTTCAATCGGCCGAATATGGAAGATTCTCCGCGGCAAATACTGCGGTATTGATACTGCATGATCAACCGCACGCTGGTCCCACCTTCTTCCTCGACCGTATTCTGGAAACCAGGAATCAATGGAATGATGATCACAGCTTTCCAAGCCTCCCCGTTCTTACTGGCGCGAGTGATGCGTTCCACAAGAGCGTCACCGATCTTGTTGTGTACCGTGGCACCTTCCGTCTCGCAGCTGGAGATGAAAAATTGGTTTTCAATATAGACGAAGTGCTCGGATTCTTCAATCAGCTTGATGTAGGCGTTCATGATGCTGTGCTCCGTCTTGTCGGGAGTACCCATTGACCAAGGACCGGCAGAGCGACAAATCTGGACTTCACATGTTCCGTCGAGACCGAGGGCTTCCAGATCGGCTGGGTTAAAGTCCGGAGGAGGCAGTAAAAATGGTGTAGGGCGTGTCGGTTTGCGTTGTCGCAAAATATAATTCCACCTTTGGACAAAATGTCGGGTCAGGTCGCGAGCTGGTTGTCCAACCACCTGCATTGAAATGTCATGCCACGGCATTCTGGCTACCCTGGAACGGTCGTACATCTCTTCGTATGGTTTGTTAAGCGCATAGAAGTCTTGTATCCGTGGATTGGAGTAGTCCTTTCCCGGCCACAGTTGGCAATGGTCCGCATCCTTGGGCTCATCACTTGGCTCGAAGCCGGTGGGTTTGTCATCGACGAGCGTGTGTTGGGGAGTATCCCACCTGCCAAAGCACAAGTCAATCCCTCCAACAAAAGCTACGGTGTGGTCAACAATGCAGATCTTTTCATGGTGCGCCCAGAAGAATGTGTTTTGTCGAAACTGATTGGGTGATCTCTGGACAAACACATTCGGGTGTAGATCCAGGAGGGAGAATTTGGTGTACTGGGAATCTATTGGAATAGCCGCGTCAATATTGCGATAAACGATGACGAAGATTTTGACCCCCTCTTCAGCTTTCCTCTTTAGCAATCGATCAAGACGCCATTTCTGACTGATCGCAGGAGGCCGCCTCATGTATAGCTCGGGGCTCAGCCACCAGTCGTGGATATAAATAACATCTTTGGCTTGGTTCAGAGCGCGAGACACTACCCACATGTGGTCCCTGCCGTCGACAAGCCACTGGGCGAAGCAATTCGGCCTCACTGGGGCGAAGCTGTCGAATCTGTTGATTTTTGCCCAGGGTGATCCCGCAACCATTTCTCTTATGGACTCCTCGAATTGTTGCAACTGACGTTCGTTGTTAGAGATGAGTTTCAACTTTCTTTCGGAGTTCACCAATTTGAGACGATGGTGTTGAGGATGTTTGGCAGATTCCTTGGCTGCCTCTGCCAGCTCCTTTGCACTCCTCTGATCGCTCGACCGTAACCTTCGGGACTGTATTTTGAAGTCTGAATCAAACAAAAACACATCATAAATATGCATTTGCTCCGCCGAGTCCACGCAGACGACATAACTGTGTCTGACCAGGAACCACTTGGGGGTATGTCGCTTCTTGAACTCGAGAGCGTTCAATGCTCTGAAATCGAGGCCTTTGGCCGAGCGGATAAGCAAAAGGCCTTCTTTGCCATGTTCGCTTCCTTCAGCAGCAAGACGTACACCGAGAGCCGATATCTCCAGGAATCTACACAGGCGATTGCTCTCGGGGCGGAACAGCAAAAACTGTATCATCTGCTGCAAATATTTCTCCAGGGTCTTACGCTGGCGCTCGGCAAACATCTCGCGACGCGTGCTCCCAGGAGTTACGGGATCGTGGAGCCCTGCCACGCTTGATTTCCGTCGTTTTGGCGTGGTTCCTGGTCGATTCTGGCCTCGAGGAGTTTGCCGTTCGGTGTCAGTTGCTGTGCCTGGATCGGTATCGTCGCCAGCGTCAGCCTCTTCGTCATCGCCTTCATCGGCGAACATGAGAGATTTCAGATATGGGAACACCTCCAGTGGGAACTTGGGCAGTTTCTTCCGCCCTTCGCCTCTTGATCTAAGTCTCCCAGTGTTATAGGCGGCTTTGTATTTGATATGCATTTTGGAGAAATCTCCAAGAGATCGTTTGATCACCCACTTCATCCGGTTAGCCCCGTTGCCATATTCGCATTCGATCTTGAAGATCAGATGTCGTAGGACCTTGTCCTCGTCGGACTCCTTGATGGTCTTCTCATCTTTACTTTTGTGCTGATCGACCTCACTGTCCGTTACTTGCACTTTGAGTTGTTCCAAAAGGACCGGTACCCTCCTATGGTTGTGTTCGTCGCGCTGGAACATACTGGCAAGCATCAAAGCCGCAGGAGCCCCGGCAGCCAATTCAGCGAGAAGGGCAGCCGATCTTTGAACTTCGGGAGTGGGCGGTTTTTTCCTGCCCTGACCTAGCGTTTTGATACTGTTCTTGAGTTGCCTCCATTTCGCAGCGCTCAATGTGGAACTTCGCTCAGCTAGGATCTTTCGGCGAGATGGAGTCTTCGGTGTTTGCGCTTCATTTGGGCCAGCTTCTCGGGAGGAAGTGATATTGGCAAAATTCAACAGGGTCAGTGGTCTTCTTAGTCCTTCTGGTGTAGTTTCACCGGGCTTTCTTTGACCGCCGTAGCTTAAACCTCGGAGAGGATGACGAGGTGTCCAACCACTGCTGTTGTTGGAGAGTTGCTTGCGCCCTTCATCCTCAGAGACACCCTGGGGGCAATTGACCATGTCGGTATCCGTGGCCCTTCTGACCAGTGCACGAGGCCGTTCCATATCCGTATCAGAGTTGATAGGAGCACTTGCGAAGCCTGGTGGCATGAGGCTGTGGGGAGATGATGGCGCAGTTTCAATGTCGTCAAAACGTTGTATTTTCCGCCGGCGTTTTCGGGTTGCCCACTGGGACACGCTGTTCTCTGCGGCGCTGCTCTCTTCCGCATCGGCGTCGGCATCAGCACCACTATCCTCCTCCAAGGTCGCAGTGAGCCCAGTCTCATTGCGGCCAGATTGGGCAGAAAGTTGGTTGTCGCCATCCTTGCCTTCTACGGAACGTCCACCAGCGGACAGCCCGCTGGGAGACCGAGAATGACTGAACGAATATCCCGGGGGTATAGCCAGTGCCCTTAATCGGGCATACAGGGAGTGGGGTTTGTCCTGTTCTGCACCATCGGCTCGGCTAGCTGGAGGTGTGGTGTGGCCATTACTATGCGGACTGATCTCTTGGGTATCTCGAGAAAACTGCACACTCTTCCTGCCTGCTGTGGGTGTCCCGTTGCTTTGCAACACATTCTCCAGCTCGGCAGGTTCTCTTCTGCTGGCCGACGGTTCGCTTGTCGCGCTTTGGGCGAGGTTTGTCCCAGAACCGTACGTCTTTTTCAGGGCACTTGATGTCCTCGACGTCGTGGAAAATGGAGTAAGCTTGTCAGGCGAGGCATCTCGAGGAGTTGTGCCCGAAGGAGTCAATGCGGCCGGCGAGTGGGTTAAGCGGCTGTGAGACAGGATTGCAGGACCTGGTTCTCCGTTGGCTTTGAAGGCGGGCTGAAATGCCGCCTGCAATTGTGTACTCTCCCCATGAGGCCTTCCTCGATCAGCTGCTGTCCCGAGATCCACGGGGTTTTGGGTCATCTCAGCTGCTTCAGCCATGACACTGGGCGCAGATGACGGAGGCGAGCAGACAGCGTGGTGACTGAAGCACCACAATACCTCCTCTTCCGCCACCAGAAGTTGTTATCAGACGCAATTTGCCATCATTTCCTTTCTATACATCTCTTTGATCTGACGGTTTCAATCACGGGGACTCGAGGACAAGCACAGGAGCAGTCGTGCCAATATCGCGGACTCGTATTGGATACAGGGGAGGACGGGCGGGTAAATTCGATGTGCTAGCGGGAAACTGTTGCTAAAGCTGGGCCTCTGTTGATGCTTCTCATGTGCACAAACGGGTGCTGGAGTTTAAAACCTGCAAGTTGTCGACGCTGGTTCTGGAATATAGTGAGTGATCACCTTCTAGATGCCTTCTAAGCATCACGTTCGCCATGCGCAGATGGAGCGGCCAGTTGTGGAGAACGTCAACATCAGGAAACTGCCAAGGCGGGCCTCCTTTCCATTCCTCCCCGCATCCAAAACTGTGAAATTGCCAATGCTTGTGGGTTCCCGTGGATGGGAGAGGCCTTCTACGCTCCCAAAACCCAGATGGATAGTCAGAGATGATCCTCACTACGGGTCAGAAAAGCATGCTATTGAGTTATCATCGTCGGTACTAGCCAAGACGGAGACTCCATCCCAAGATTCCAATAGGACAAACGCTCACGAAGAGGAAATATCTCCCGCGTAATGCTGCCACCAAACCCCCATGCAGGCTGCCACTACTAAGTCACACATCTTTAAGCCCTCATCATTGATGATGAGCTTGCCCAGCTTAGCACTGTGACCTTTGAAGCCTCCTCCAGCCTTCTCCCGTCCAAGATCAAGGCTCAGCCGAAACTGGTCACCTGGCTTGTCCAACTGTGTTGACTCCTCCATGGAACCGTCCCCATCACTGATCGAGAGCTGCTTTCGAGCTCTATGCGTCAAGGTTTGGAAGCTTCGCCTCCACTGTTCTTTATTGGAGGACACTTCCGGGCGTGTGATGGACGAGTCATGAGATAGGTTTGACAAATGGCTGGCCTGCTTCTTGTTCGGATCCTTCAACCGAAGTGATGCCCACGGCAGGTTGAAGCGTAGTTCTGCAACATCTGCACTGACACCTGGCATGGATGGATTCGCACCTGGTAGAAAATGCCGACATCGTAGGCTCTTCCCGTCCAGGCCATTGCCGAATGCGCACATCCCTTGCCACGGCGAGATGAAAGCGTACGCCTGCTTCGATCTTCGGCTGGTCGACTGGGCAGCGTTTGAAAAGGACTCCGTCGAATTGCCTCTTCTCCGTATCAATAGCGATCCATCGTCACTGGACATTTGCATATATGCAACCTTTCTGCGGAACCCGGTACCTCCACCAGCTTCTAATTGCACGAACTTGTTATAACCCGGCGAGGTTAGCTCAATGTCAACCTTCCGCAGAAGTGCTTCCGTGGTTTGCTGGATTATGCTACCAACGTTCCATTGACTACCAGAAGCAGGGTCTCTCCGAATCAGCGTGATGCGCAACATTCCAGATTGCGGGTTGCCGGCCATGGAGCTTGGAGACAGAAGACTAGAATGCTGCGGATTACGGTCGGTGCCGGCACTGATTGGCTGGTCTTGACCAGTATATGACATATTGTATCCATGAGTATCAGACAAACGTGTAGTTTGAAGTGGTTTCCTGGTCAAGTTGAACTGTGTCTGTGCATTTTCGACGGGGTTCGGGGATGCATTCTCATCGCAATCGTGCATCTTTGAAGGCATTGGGCGGGTGCCGACAGGTTTGCCAGAAGTGAGAGACACATTCAGATTGTCCCTGGTACTCAGCCTGAGATGAGTCCCACGGGCAGCATATCGCTCTGCTTGAGTCGCGGTCTTCGACTCCGGTGAGGGAGGCTGATAATGAGGGTAGCTTTTCGGCGGGGTTGGAGGTCTGAGGGCAGCTGGGTAATTCACGTAAGGCGACGGAGGGAGAGGCTTTCTCTGTATCCGCGAGACATCGTGACTGCGATCCTCTGTGGCGCGCGCGGCTTCCAATGATTTTCTCAGCGCCTCGTCTTCCGGCCTCTCGACATGGAGGAAATATAGGCTGGACTGGACCGCCTCGATACTAATCGAGGCCTTGGTCGCTGGCTTCAAGGGCGTGAGGAATACATCTACAAGATCTCAATGTATGTCCTTCTCTTATACAATTCTATCTTCCTCTCACCTTTGCTGCCTGGAACTCGAACAATGTAAAGCACAAGCGGTTCATGGACTTCATGGGTGGGATTCCTCGGGTAGCGCGGTGGATTCGCAAGCAAGTGATTCAGTGAGGATATAGATTGGGCTTCGACAGGCGCATTCATGTGTGACTGGACACTGTAGATCGGTGATCTTCGGGTTGCGAGGAGAAAGTTGTGCCGATGAGTGCAAGAAGCGTCAAGCTGAACCGGAGGAATGTTGATGCCTTGGGTATCATTTGTTTGTCAACCTGCCATGGATGGAAAAGGGCATTTAGATTTACGAGGAAGACAGTTTTACCATGTTGATTGATGCCTGCACGAAAAACTGCGCATCGGTACGGCGATTGAGATAGACAGATGATACACAAATACGAGCCTTGGTGCCTTGGAGCCTGGGATTCCCCTCGTATGTCAAAATAAACCTGAGGCTGCGCAATGTTTTGCTGATGACGCGAGCGCTGCCGGAGAAACAAGGCGGGATCTGGGGCTAGTGAGGCTCACTACAGTACTAGGCCCGCTATGGCGCTCAGCCCGCTTCAGCCACAGTCGTGCTATTGCAGATACGGCAGGTCAGCTCATTCAGCTCTCTTGATCCAAGCAAAGGACCTCTAGAATTGACTCCGTGTTATGTATTTTTGCCCTTCTGTTTATTCCTTCAGCCACATCGTAATCAGTACTATCTGCGAACAAGTGTTGCCCGAAATTGTGAAGCATGAGGGTGGGGTGCCGTCAAAAGTGGACGAAACGGACGTTCTTCGAATTCCCACACATCCCCCTTTTGTTTGATTATTTACGAGGCTCAGAATATGACCTATTCTCCACCTGGAGCATCTGTGTTGCTAATTTCAACATCAACCACGCTCAGGCCTAACAATTGATAGCGCGGGAAAGTACCAGAGATTTGGTATCAGAGAGATGGGCCAACAAGTTTGCCGTCCATTCTGGATCGTTTGTAGAGATGGACACGCCGATGCAGGACGTACATTTCCAGTGTCTGCAGTGAGTTATTCTCTTCTCGGGACGATGCGAATCAACAGTTCCCCTCAGAGCATAGTCCGCCCGCTCTGTAGACTGTTGGCTATGTCCAGCCAAGCGAGAATCAAGTACTAACTGCAATAAACCTCGAGACAGTGTGCCAAAATAGTGCCCATGGTGTTGAGACTGCAACCCACCTGTTCTTGTCAGCGGCGAAACCACATACAGAGATAGACTTGTATTGCAACATGAATTCTCTCGATTCACGTATCGAGTGCGGGTGAATGATGACCTCGGGACAGAGGTAGTCTGTTCAATCCAACGGCGTCCTTCATGTGATTTTCCTTGCCCGTCCACGGTGGTCAGAGCACATACACTTACACGAGCTCTGTTGTACCTCACTCTCGCCAAGCAGCGCTCACCACCAGACCCACCTCGGAAATCACAAGCATACAAATATATTGTAAGCGCAGAATCCCTTTCAACATTCGACCGGTGACATGGTGCAAGCACTAAGTCTCGTCCGCAGTCTTGAATCATCCATCTCCCTAACTCGCAGCCGGAAGTGAATAGTCAAGAATCATCGAAACGTAGGAGCTCTACCTGGTAACTCCCTAATTCGGCTGAGATGGTGACTTCGATTATGATCATAGCGGTTCCTCAAGAATGCGCAGGAGCTCTGACATATGATAACAAGATATAGGTGGGAGCAACGACGCCCTTGAATCCAACCGAATGTGAAAACAAAAAAAATTCCTTCGCGGGGTTTTCTCACAGACAATGTGAGTTTTTTGCCCTTTGATAGGACGGGAAGGAAAGTTGGGTTGGTAATTCAATTTCCATAGGTTCGTGCAATCAAAAACAGTCTTTTTTTTTGGTTAAATTGAGGGTTTGACAAGTGGTTATTTCATTTCAACCTACATCGATGTTGGTTGTGTGGTACTCACTCAGTGTGAGGAGGTACTTGGCGGCTCACCTTCAGCGCAGGCCCAGCGAAGCAGTGGATGCCGCATCCTGTGTGACTTTCCCCTTTCAGCCTTTTGCAGTTCCAGTCGGGCATTGGCAAGTAAGGGCGTGGTATGTACTGTATGTATGTATATCAGTCAGTGCTTGCTTATCTCACGAGACGCTCGCTCACCGTAGGTATGCTTGCTTCGTCAATACTCTTTTCGCGTTGAGGCCGGCGTTCGGCTCTCTCTCTCTCTCTCTCTCTCTCTCTCTCTCTCTCTCTCTCTCCCCCCCGAGTCAGCACTTCGCTCCTACTATTCCTTTGGCGTGTATGGCCATTCCGGCATCTCTCAGGTCTCCAAGAACACATTTCTCGTGCAAGCAGGTAGAAAGTTGACTTAGCCTGAGGTCGGGAATTGTCCGCGACGCTCTGCATGACGTCGAGCTAAGGACGCCACCCTGAAGATCCTCCACCAAATCAGGTCTCCACCACCAGCTTGTCTCTGCCAGTTAGAAAGCGCTATTCGATGCCAAGCTCCTGGGCCAGCGTCACTTTGGTTGCCAGACTCGCAAGGGTCTCTGATTATCTCCACGTTTCTCGTTGCACCAACTGCCCGCTGATCGATATGCCGAACCGTCGTAGCGTGGGCATTACAGCCAACAAGCGTCATTGCTGGAAATTCGGTCTAGGATGGGCAGGTGCGGACACGAAGAGAGGGAGAGCGAGATAAGGAGCTGCGAGGGCCGGTGCCCATTGTCTCTCTGCGCACCATGAACATCTGTCGCTCTGATTTGGACATATACGTCCTGGCCCTGCCCTTTGCTTGTTTCAAAGTCGAAATTCCCTACCGTGGGATGCAAGAGTGAAGTCCCCGACATAAGATTTATCCTGGTCACCTAAGCAATATTGTTTGCTCTTGCTAGGCTGGATCACCGAACAGATTCCAGAGCCCAGATATTTGACAATTGGACTGTTCCGTAGCCATTGATCTCTCATTCATTTGATCGTGCACAGGTCCTATTCCGTTGGATTCTCTGGCACAATGGGCACAAGCAATGAATCCAGCCCAACCCGCCACGGCGGCTCCATTGCAATCCTCGACCCCGAAAAACAAACCCCGACTGAACACGATAATGGCGCAAACATTGTCACCGCCTCCAACAAAGCCCTCGACTCCCAGGCTCCCGTCGATCACGCAGCCGAACGGCATCTAGTCCGAAAACTCGACTTTTACATCGTCCCGCCAACCATGCTACTCTACCTTGTCTCCTTTTTGGACAGAGTCAATATTGGCAACGCGCGGTTGTACCACATGGAAGAGGATCTGGGACTTCACGGCTCGCAGTATCAAACAGCTGTGAGCCTGTTGTTCGTGACATACATTCTCTGTGAGACGCCGAGCAACCTCGTCATCAAGAGATTGAGGCCAAGTCGATGGATTGCGTTCATTACCTTTGCGTAGGTACTATCCCTTTACATTCAGGTCTAGAGGATGTCACGGGAATCGAAGCAGGATGGGAAGACCTGTCTCCGAAGAAGCGGCAAAAGGGGTCTGAAACGAGATAATTTCCCATCGTCAACTTGGCTAACAAAGGAGACACTAACGTTTTCGGTTTCTCTGCCAGATGGGGGGTTGTCGCTACTTTGACGGGCATTGTTCAGAATTACGGAGGGTTGATTGCTTGCCGCTTGATCATGGGCGCTCTCGAGGCAGGACTCTTCCCAGGTAACGAGTGGCGGCATCATGCTGGCTGTATGAAGAAGTGAACTGACCTCTACAAGGTATGACGATATATCTTACCATGTTCTATACCAAAAAGGAAATTGCACTCAGGGTCGGCTATCTTTTTGTCTCAGCCGCCCTGTCTGGAAGTGTGGGTGGCCTCCTGGCCTACGGCATCGGCTTCATGGACGGGGTGGCAGGCCAGTCAGGATGGAGATGGATCATGATCATAGAGGGCCTTCCTAGCGTTGTGTTGGGTGTCGCAGTCTATTTCTGGCTCGCCGATGCACCAGAGACGGCGTATTATCTTTCTGAAAAGGAGAGAGAGCTGATGGTTCTGCGAAAGCGGCGCCAAATCGGCCATACGACGTCAGGCGATTTGCTCCACAAAGAAGACGTGATGAAAGCCCTCAAGGACTGGAAAGTGTGGATGTTTGCCTGTGGTCAATTCGGCGTCGATACCATGCTATATGGGTATTCGACCTATCTGCCCACCATTATCAAAGGGCTGGGGGATTGGTCAACAGCCGAGACACAGGCCCTCACGGTGCCTTGCTACGCGCTCGGGGCAATCACCTACTTGATCGTCGCCTGGACATCGGATAAATTCCAGCATCGAGCGCTCGCCGTGGTTCCTTTCTGTGTGGTGAGCGTTATTGGCTACGCCATTCTGATCGCCGACGTGAGTCCGGGAGCCCATTATTTCGGCTGTTTTATGGTGGCAATAGGGCTCTACGTCTCGGTGGGCATTCCTCTTGCGTGGTTGCCATCCAGTAAGTATAGGTCTTCTTTCACCTCAACCATCCAGCAGCTGAGTCTCTCTGATAGATCAACCTCGGTATGGCAAACGGACCACTGCGAGCGGCATCCAGCTTACCGTAAGTCATTTTCTACCTCGAAAGAGGATAGAAGCATTGTCTCAGGACTCCGGTATTGTCGACAAAGCTAACTCGAAACATGTAGATTGGAAACGCATCTGGTATCCTGGCACCCTTTGTAAGTTTTGGACATCTGATTCTTCCCTTCAAAGTCGACCTCTGACCCATTTCCAGCTCTACAAAACCAACGAGGCGCCCCGCTATGTCCGCGGTCACGCCGTGTCTCTCTCAATGGTTGCTATGGGGGGCGTGATATATGCCTTGATGGGAGCCTATTTCTTTGGCCGAAATAAGAGTCGCCGAGCCGGGCAAGAAGATTCGAAGATGGCTGGGAAAGCGGAGGAAGAAATTCCGGAAATGGGCGACGAAAACCCACGGTACATGTTTACGTACTGATGGCTAGGCCCGGGTGGCCGACTGGCCATGCTGGATATGGCCAGCTGGCAAATAGCTGAGGCCGAAATGTTTGCTGCTCGCTCTGGCGACAGCTTGTGTAGTCCGTCCGTCGTCACTCTGATTCTCAAGGACCGCGCGGTCTTGACTACCATGAGGTTCACGCTTGGAATGGTATACTCTTGACAACTCCGAATTCACCTGGTTGCCTTCCCGTGTACACCGTGATTGTCGAGCCGGTTCGAGCCGGTTTTCCGTTCTGCGAATGCCGGCATCCCTGTCAATTGCCACCGCTATTTCGGTCCATGAATTCGTTTGCATATGGCGAGCGGCGGCCTGTCAGGCAATGATCAATCCATGTTATTGTCATGGAAAGCAACTTCAATCGTTTGAAAGCGGGCAGTGGTGACCCAGTTTTGCAAGTCGGCTATATTCGCCGACTGACGTGTCACGAAGCCCATCGAAGTTGTGATGAATGGCTAGGCACCATTGGCTGCTTCCGCCATCTGAGCAACACACTCCACTGGTTACAGTGTTTGCACACAAAGCATGATTTTTTGAGTCACAGGCGCCCGAGCTATTTCGTGCTTACCTGTGCGGCCTGGTTTGCCAGCTAGAGATCTGCCCGATATCTGGCAACCAGACATTGCGCCAACACAGAAGAGGGAGGATCTTTCCCCAGTATGGTCCCACGAATCACAAAAACGAGAGTCATGGGGCGTGTGTGTGGTAATCAGAGTGCTCTCGATGGGTACCACAGTGTGTCCGTCTCTGTTTCGCTGTGATTCAATAATCGCAACGAGTCCCCACCAACCAAGGCTCACTTTCCACACCGTTCTCAGGCATATGCAAGACACGAGCATTTCACAGCACTGGGCACAGCTGGGTATTCGTGAAGGTGGAGGCCATTGGGCGGAGGGTCCAGAATGATCAGGGTTAGTCGGCTTCGCGCGGTTAGGAATTTTCGTGGGCGATTACGATCTCGATTGACAATCCTTTGAGTAGTTGTCGAGGCAAAGGGAGACCAAACGACCCCAAAGGTGGCGATGTCTCTCCTTGCCCAAGCCAAGATCCCTGTCGGCTCGTCGACTACAACCTCCCGTGATTCGTGGTTGCTGCGATGGATCCCCGTCGAGGGAGTTGGGGCGGTGCTAAGGTATTGGCTGTGAGGCACTTTTAGGCGGCAGGACTGGGCCATTCTATTTGAATGCCTCGACTCGTGATTTGACCAACGAAAAGAGGGAGGATGGGTCGACACGAGGTACAGGCTGCAGGAGGATGGCGGATGGCGGGTTGTGGGCAGGACAACCAAGGCGATTGAGGATGCCAGCTTGCAGGGCGCAATCGTCCCCAGTCCTTGAGATCTCGTAGGGCAGAGAGAGCGGCCTCGCTCATGTCTAGCCGCAGTTTGTGCAGGAGACGAAGGCAAAAGCAGGAGGGAGAAGGGGGCGGGCTAACGAGGGCGAGAACAATGGACTGTCGTTGAACAACAAAGAGACGGTTGTCCGGGTCGAGGGAGTGATTGATTTTAGAACCTCGAACGCAACGAGAACGACCTCATCATGATCATCATCAGATCAGCCGTGGGGTCAAATCATACTGTGATTTCTTGTTCTTAATATCCTTTGACTCTTGTCCCAGTCCCAACCTCGTCACCTCGACTCCCCCCAACGGAAGGGCCCTTATTTTTATCAGTCATTACCTTTCATCGCCCTCCGCTCATACGGAGACACACTCACTCACTCACACATCCTCACCGTACGGGTTTCCGGAGGGGTGGTTGTTGCGGCAGTGGACTTGCACACGTCGTCGTTGTTGTATTCCTCAATCACCAGTTGGACGAAATATCACGAGCTTAGGCACCTGATCACCCGACGCCGCTCAACGAACCAATCCGTGCCTACTTAATACTTTGCCGCCTTTCATCACTGCTCGTCGAGGAACACCTTGGACCTCAGCCAGCCATTGTCCTTCTCGCCATTCGACTGTCTATCTCTCAGCAGAGTACGTACCGAGTACCTACCTCGTACCTGTCAGCAACCACCCAAAACCCCCAGAAATTCCACCATCTTGTCTTGCCTTGGGCACACCTCCTATTCGACCCCCTGGTTCAGCCTAAACAAGAAGTGGGAAGGAAGGGGGAGACTCTGACTGTTTGAGGATCGCTGCCGTGAGCAGAAAGGCAGCAGATCAGTCAGCACAGGGAGCCACACCCTGCCGAATCTCGAGGACGCCCAGGGTGCGACAGGTGCGCTCGCTTGGCTGAGCACTCTGGCCAGGCAGTGCGGCGAAGGAAGGAATCGGCGACATTCCAAAGTTATTTGCCCCCCTCCCCCCCACCACCACCCACCCAACACCCCTGGGCTTTAACTGGGCTGGCTGCCACTGGCTGCTACTGATCCAGTGCACTCTCACCCATCCAACGAAAAGCCCTCAGCCAAACTTGCATCAGCCGTCCCTCGAGCCCCTCGCAATTATTGCCGAAAAACACAAGACAAGCTCTAGCCCTCAATCTTCCGAGACCACCAAGTGCATTATTATTCTCAAAGACACCCCCGGCTCGCATCGTCAACCCGAGACCGTCTCCCCGTCGCCCGCTAAACCAAAGCTATCCCGAAACCATCTCCCCCCCAAGGGAACGCGTCCCCATTTCCCACCTGCACTTGTTCCAAACATCAGCAACTCTTCATCACAAATTAATTCACACCTCCATATTCTCTCAACTACACCTTGGAGTATCTGTGAATCAGTCGGGACTCTTGTGAAACGTCCTTTTGCGACGCGACAATGTCGCCTGTCGTCTATCCCTACACCGTCACAAACAGCTACAAAGGGTATGTTATCGTCAATGTCCCAGGACTCCTGGGACAGTGAACCCTTCGGTGATAATGGGCTAACGTGGATTTCTTGTGCTCAGGGGCCTTTTCATGCGTACGTACAACCGCAATGTGCGGCGTGCCTGGGATGGTGAAGACTATCGTCCCCCGAAGCGCCTTTGCCTAAACGACACATGGAACGCGCCTTCAGCCGCAGCTTCCAACGAGAACACAAACCACCCTCTTGACCTTGAAGATAGCCTTGAACGCGCCATTCGAGAAACAAGTGTCGCGGCTCTGTCTTCCTCACCTTCCCGGAAGAACAGCACCATCTTTTCCGCAGAGTCTCACGAAGATGACCTGGGCTCCAACACCATCACCCCACCCTCATCGCCACCGCCTGGCTTGCAGTTGACACCACCTAATGTCAAGGCTAGGAAGCCTACGTTCTCGTTTCTCGACAAGTCCAAGAAGGAGAAGAAGGAGCTCAAAAACGCGAAGCGGAAACGCGACGAGCAGGCGAGCGGACCGAGTGGGCCTGGCAGTACGCGTCACGACTCAGAACCGCTATCAGAGATCTTCAACTCTAGCACACGCGCTCAAAGCTCGCAGCCTTCGCACAACGAGACACTCCCCCCACCAGCTCCAGAAAGGACGCCCGTGGCGCGTCCAACAATACAAGTCCCGAAGCCGGCGCCACCAAAACAGAAACTCGTCCAAACAATACTCGATTTGGGCCAGCCGCTTGTCCCCGCCACATGTCCGCAATGTCAGATGTCTTATACACCTTCATTGCCAGAAGATACGCAGCTGCACAACATGTACCATAATCGGGATAGCTCCGGAATCGAATTGGGAAAGGCATTCCTTAAGTCGGCAATGCGGTGGTGCTATCAAGTCTCACATATTCCGGGCAGCGTTGTTGTGGTTGATCGAAAGATGGCACTTCCCAGTCGACGAGTGGTCCAAAAGGTGCTGGGCATTGTCAACAAGGAGCTCGGGAGCGTGGACATCAAAGAGGAGGAGTTGTGGAGCCAGCGCATTCCAGATGGAGAGAAAGACGAGGAATCGGGTGGCCGCAAGTGTGACAGATTCAAGGCATTCCTGCACATTATCGACGACAAGTGTGTCGGCATTTGCCTGGCGGAGCGAATCACCAAGGCCCATCGGGTCCTACCGTGCGAAACCACCGCGAGTGAGACGATATCACTGAATGCTCCTTTCAACCCTACTGGGCCGGCGTCACCTGCAGCGACCGAGGCGAATGCGGAGGAGAACAACCAGATGGCGCCCAAACCGCAAATTCCGACCCCCATTGCGAGTCCCACCTCGTCAACGCGTCCGTCGAGCATCAGCATTTCCGAGGAGACATATCCGGCGGTAGTGGGTGTCAGTCGTATTTGGACGAGCAAGGCTTTCCGCCACAAGGGGATCGCAAACAATCTTCTAGAGTGTGTTATGAATCAATTTATCTACGGCATGGAAATTGAGCCAGCGCAAGTGGCGTTCAGTCAGCCTACAGAGAGCGGCGCAGGACTGGCGAGAGCATGGTTTGGTGAAGACGATGGTTGGGCTGTTTACAGGGAAGAATAAATTCGAAATTTGTGTTAAATATGACGGCCGGGGACTTGTGTTTGCTGTGAGAGGATGCATTGCATTGTCATGGGACGGGGTTACGGCAAAATGAGGGCGGACCAGACAGCGTTGGATTTCAATCATGGATTCCAGGTGGGTTGGTATATGGAAATGGTCTCTCTGGATGTGACAGGGGTCTCTAGGTGGTGTACATCAGGGTGATTGCGTGGTAGCATCAACGAGAGACAGGCCATGCTTGAGGAGAAGTGGCTGACGGGGTCAGTTCGCAGTTCGAGGAGACTGTGCCTGGTACTATGACAGTACTCCAGGTTACAGGCTCCAAGATCAACAGCCAGAAGTGCGAAGGTGAACCAGTCTCTGTTTCGACATGTATGAGTATGCTATGTAAATTGCTGGAGTGAATGCCAATAGCCGTGGATGAGGCATTTACAACCACCCTCGCGGATTCAAAAGTTTCCCTCTCTCGAGTATTGACGGGGTAGTCGGTGTCCAAGACACCAGCTCCTCCGGCTTCGCTCCTTCCTAGCTTCACCTTGTCCCATGAGGAGACCAAGGAAGACACTTTGCCCAGTTTGAGCTACACCAGCGACGCCCGTTGTACGCGTCCCGTAGGTCTTTCTCGAAGACGATGCTGGATTGCTATTGGCTGGCAAATTCCTGGGTGATGGAGCGTCATCAGCCCAACTTCACACCATCCTTGTGCAGGACTATCTCAGCGCAGCCACCGCATGACTCCAACAACTTTGACCTCGAAGGACAATACGGACAACCCAACGTTGGATTCAGCCCGATGGAGTAGCCTGCTTTGACGCAGTAAGGCTGCAACGGTGTTTGGTCAGTTGCACAAAGCGAAGTGTGGGGGGATTTTCGGCCAGGTTGCATACACACGAGTAGCTAGCTACTCAGGTCGAGCAGCTCCGCCCGGCCTCAGCCTCACCGGTCACCGTGAGCCCCAGGACTGTTTCATCCCGGTCTGGAAAATTTCGCATGGTGTGGATTCTCAGGTCGCGACTGACCTGACCCCAGGCCCGATCGCTCTGCGGTCTCCATCATGTGGGAACGGATTCTCAACTTCTGACAAACATGGCCGAACCAGAAAGACCAAGGGTGGTTTGAAAGAAATGGCTCGTATTGGCACGACAAGTTCCTTCTGATCTGTCGAGGACGTGTGTGCCTTACCAGCTGCCCAGGGATCTCCGCGTCTGCCGTCCGTTCCGTGTGGAACTTCGCAGGAGTCGTTGACACTTTCTGACAATCTCAGGCAAAGAGGGCATTCTTGACAACCGCGTTGGTGTGATTAAACTGCATTTCACAAGTTCACCAGTCTTGATTCGTCACACGGCACCCCAGGGCATGGAAGAGCAACCTATCAGGCACCGTGCGTATGATTTCAAGAGATGGGACTGGTCAACAGATGTTGGCACCGGGCAGGACCCTCAGCCAGTGAGGCTCAAGTCTTTGCAGGCAGTGGCTCACTGGTAGGCCCAACATCTCCTCTCGACGTGAATGTGCCTTGGCTAATCCGCTTCGACGGAACCGGGCTATCACTTCAGGTGGGTGCATTTTCCTAAACCATGGACCGGGATTTCATAAAGCCTGCTTCGACACATGGGGTGATTCTATATCACGAACTCTGCCGGCCCTGCAGAAACTCATAGGCGGGTTAACAGGGATTTTGCGTTCGACTCGTCCAATCTACTACCCCATAAAAACAGGCAGCAGGAGCTCTGACCACGCTGAGCCTGATCTGGTCTACGAAAAGTCGCCTTATGACTCCATGGGAGCCTCATTCAGGCCCCCGGTCCATGTGTGTGGCGACCTAGTCTGGGCGTTCAAGGAAAAGGGTTCAAAAGCAATAGTGCTTTACTGCGTAGAAGGATCCCCCTGAACACCATTTGAGGCTCCGCTTCAGCCGCTTGAGCCTTGTGTGTCATCGGAAGAAAGGTATGTGAGGGTGATATCTATCACAAATAGCGACCCTTGCGACGGCTGAAACACCTTTGTTGAGGCCCGCTATCGAAGGAGGCTCTATGAGCCCTCCAAATCACTATCCAGTCTGGAGGGCATCGTTATGTGAGCTAGCAGCGAGTATTTTAAATCGTTAAAGACATTTTTCGAGGCTTCGGGACCGGGTTTCCGGGTAGTCGGTGTTGCGACAAGAGCTCGACGTAAACCTACGGATCACCACACTGCTCACGATTGGACCCGACGACCACATGACGAGGTCACCAGCAATCGTTCCAACCTCACTGAACGAGCATCCCTGCCGATCTATCTCCGGTTGATGCAGAGGCTCCTTTCATATCACACAATAGTACGGAGTGAGGACCGGTCGAGATCCACACATCCCCTATACGGCTTTTGCCAGAGGTTAGCCAGAACGGACCTGGTTCCATGCCCGCGGCCGGGCTCAATATCCACAATTACCCATGTGAGTATGGTGGACGATAGAACGTGATACTCCAAATATCGGTGGCAACTCCCAGCAAGTGAGCAAGATTGAGAAGTCCGCAGGACTACCTACTTTAAAATGGCGGTGGCAAACACATTTCTCTACATTTGCAATCACAACGATGTCGCCCCCTCCCTATTCTCGCCACTGGGTGCACCCGCCGGAACCGCTCTCATCGTCTGGCGCAAAGTACGTCTACTGTTGCAATACCTGATTCTGTCTGAGGCAAACACAAACTCGATACCGGTAGACTACTTCAAAAGGTCGGCCAATATATACCCATCCGAGGATTTGGCCATATACCCGGACGCATGGGACGGTTAGCCTGCCTTCCGCTGGAGGACGAGTGCAGTTTTTGTGCCACTTTCGGTTACACACGCGCTATAGCGAAACTCTCTTACTTTGTTTCGGCGCTACGACCTTAGCTTTTCCTTTCCATCAGGACAGTTTCGCGGCAATCCAGTCGACAGTTGTCCGGGCCACCGGTGTTCTACTAGTCCAAGCACCACCAGTGCCGATATTCGATTACAAAGATGTCTCGGGGGTAGACGATGACAAGTCATGATAGCTCGTGCCTGATGTCTCCCATGTCCGTGACCTCAGAGGAAGGATCGTGCTGCTTCTGGAGTGAACGAGAGGAAACGTCGTTCGACGTCCTCACCGACACGGAACGGTGCTAACGACCACAGCTTTGCAAGGTGAAAAGTTGTGGCAGTTTTAGCCTACCCAAGGCCCGATAATAGCGCCTCTACCTCCGCGATGTAGTCGCAGCGTACCTAGTCATCAGAGACATGCTGTACGTTAAGTGATGGTCGACTGTGTCCCTGGCTGATGGAGCTAACGATCACTCGGGTAAATATGGTACGTTCAACGCCCCAGCACACTCCCTGGGCCACAGCGGAGTTCCATCCTCTAACCGAGAATCTCGCGTGCAAAGCCGCACAACCCTCCCAACCCAGTCTTATTCAAACCGTTAGCTAGTCATAGGTGGGAATGGGGGTTTGAGGCTCATATTGTGAGATGAGCACATTATCACCAACATGTACAACCGTAAGACGCATTCTGGGCGTTGGCCATGCGGCATTCTATTTCATAACATTCCTCAGACGTTGGATGCACTGCGTAGAAGCAGACATCATGGCATCGAGTCCTCATCAGTGAGTCAAACTAGTCTAACCCGAATTTCGAAAACTACGGCGTTTTATTGGTTGCTGGAACAAAGGCAGCTAGACTATTTTTGGAAACTGTCTGTAAACGGCATAGCTCAACATATCTGGCTCAACTACGCAGCACATATGTCTGAGCCCGGCATACCCATATTCGGTACTAAATTACATGTAAAAGGTATCCCAGAGTGCGCGCAACAGCGTATGTGTCTGACCGGAGGCAAAAGTGGCAAAGTATGGGCTTAACGGCCTCAAGACGAGGTGCTCCAGCTGTCATGGCCTTGCGCTGCGGATCTGGACTGTAGATTTCTTCGACCCCATCTCAATCCGTACCGATTCTTGTCAGGAGCAGCATAAGTAGATCTCAGGCACGCGACGGGGAGAGCGTGGACAAGTATGTATGCCCTGGCTCTCCACTCCTCTTTAACATACGAGCCTGCACCATCGCCAACTCGGTTAAATACCAGGCTTGGGAATACAACAATAGAACGGATTAAGTTGCAAGGCGGGTGAGTCATCTGCCACCGTCGGTAGGGAGACGCTGCAGCTACTTGTGTCAGCTTTTGATAGGTACCGTACGAGCAGATTCATAAGAGTCTGTATAGTCTCGTGATGTTGCTCTGTCATCCGAACCGAGGCATCAGTGCCCCGTGTATAGATATCCTGTGACCGGAAGATATTGTGAAAATCACCAAGGTACTCCCTGTTCTTGTCCGCACAGGCTAGTAGATGGTACAAGGCGCCAAATATTGTACTTGGGTCGGGCTCGGTGTGGGGCGGGGTTGCTTCAAGATCAAAGCATACACGGTCCGATAAGCGTGTGCTGGGAGATCTCAAGGACTCCCAGCGTGCTGCCACAATGCAGGACCAGTAAAATATAGGCTGGGGATAATGTGGGCGGTGGAGCCCAAGGGTCAAGGCCATGCGACAGGCAGACGCTGTCATCATGGACTGCTGAGAGAACCGCGGCGAGGCGAGCAGCAGCAGAACGGACTGCAATGTTGACATTGTCGGGAGGGACAGCAACTCATAGGCATCGAAGCATTGGTGAATAGACTGAACGATATCTTCCACGAGCGCAGTCGCACTGGGGCCGGCAAGGTGAGCCGATACAAGACAGACCGACCGTAGCAGGAGCGGAGAAGTGTAGGGCTCCTGGTCGAGGTCTCTTTCCTGGACAAGTGGCCAGTGAGGTGCAATCGCGGAGAAATATCTTTTGCGGCACCCAGTCAGACAATGTTGGCGAGAGGTCTTTTCTGCTGGACAAGAACCATACCTGTCAAGCAGAGTGGCTACTACCGCCGAAGCTGCTGAGGGGAGGTCGACTTTCCACGGCATCCGACTCCCAGCCTGCCCTTCGTGAATGGTCCGATGCGAGGTCGACTGCTGATCTTGGTCAAAAACGCATTCTGAGCCCCTTGAGACGCAGGTTCGACATGGAGGACCGCCTTCGCAACTTTACTATATTGTTAGTGGGGGTCTAGCCAAACAACATCGATATATATGTCCCAGGACTAACCGTCGCTTGGATGCCCGACATTGTTGACAGGCTCGGCCTGTCCTCAGGCGCTTCATCGCCCTTTCTGCCTCAACCAAGATGCACGCCAGGACCAACGCCAGAGGAATGTGAAAATCATGGGCGATGATGAGAGTATGGACGAAGTCTAAAGACTACGTTGAAAAGTCGGACGCGCGGGGTGCGAGTCAAAGTGGAATAGGCTCGATGATTACAGGCACGGCATTGCCCCAGGCCTATTAATTAGCGAGCCCCTAACAGATGGCCCACCCTGCCCTTGAGCCTAGTAGCCACTGGAGCTTACCTGGACACCGTACAAGAAGCGTGCCCATCAGCTGACCTTGAAGCACCTGCCCTCTAACGACCTCTATCATCACTATCCATGCGTTCTTCTCATCCCTGACCAATTCCATCAACGATTCTCACCATCGTCTCCTGTTCTCGAGTCCATGGCCAACCATATTTGCGACAACTGCCGCAGGCACGTCCATTCTGCTCACTTTGGAACACGTGTACTAACTGCCCACTGCAGACTCAGGTTGAAATGTCAATTCGAACACCCTCCGTACTTTACTTTCTGCTGCACTCGATGTCGGCAGTACAATCTCTCCTGCGGGTTCGAGGGCATTCCCTGGCCAGCACGGGCTCAGCGGACCTTCATGTCCTCCACACCCAAAGGGTTTTCTCGAAAGGTCTACTGGGGCCCTTCGAGCAACGCTGGGGGCCACCCTATGGACCTGCACTCGCCAAAGGAGCCACCTCCCGAGCCCGCCATGTTCCAGGCCCAGCACCCCCCCAGGTCTCCAAGCTTGACGACAGCCGATGAGGCAGCGACGCTAGACCTCAGTCCAAATGTCAAGGCACATCTCTACCTCGTCTTCTTCGAACACATACAGCCGGTGTTCCCTGTAGTTACTCAGGCAAGTCTACGACACTTCCCCGCCACGACGCTGTTGGAAAGTGTGATACTCGGTATAGCAGCACGCCATCATCTTGCCATAGCCTCTTGGAGGGACTACGTTCACATACAGAAAGTCATTGCCCATGAGCTCAAGGCCCTCTTCAGCACACGTCAGCGATATCAGCCCAAGGTTCAAACAGTTCAAGCGCTCCTGCTCGTATTGACAAAGTTTGAACTCGTTACACATGGTCACGGTGACATCATGTCCACGGGCCTCAGACTTGGACTTCTTTGCAAGATGGCCAGAGATTTAGGCCTGGACAAGAAATCCTCGGCAGTGACCGTTGATGGTGAACTTCTCAGTGTCGTGTTATGGAAGGCCTGTCTATTTGAAGATGCAATCATGTCCGCCATGATGGGGCAGCCTCTCAATATTGTCATTCTCCCCGAGGAAATCACGGAGCTACCGAGTAATTCCAGCACCTCAGGGGCCACATTTTTTGATGGTGCTGTCGAGGCTTCTCACTGTCTTCGATCGCTGCTCAGAGCAGTCTATACAAGCCGACCAGTCGATGCGGACACCTTCCAGAAGTGCGAACAGGTTCTCAAGCAAATACATCGCTATGGGATAGACCTCAATTTGCGACAACAACACCACTCCGAGAGCGAGCATCAAGCCCTTTGTATGCTCCACCATAATAACAGACTGCTTTTTGTACTCGGACTTGCCTCCTTGACAAACACGTCAACCCACTCCAAACAACTTTCGCTCATCCTGGCACAGGAGGCAGCTTCGACCATTCCGGAAGCATGCCAGACGCTCATGTGGTTCAATGTTGAATTTTATCTTCAGATGGCTTCTCGACTACATCAGTTACTATATTGCGCTTCAAGAGCTTTGATGCTCGTTGTCGATGTTCTCCTTGAGGCCCAAAGGACATCCAATTCTTCAAAGGACTTTATCCAAGAGCTCGAAAACGCTGTCGCGTCAGCCACCTCACTGAAGGATTTTTTACTCAAAGATACCTCATGGGGAGCGCACTGGTCGCAAGGTCATACACTTGCAGCCGTCCTTGCCCGACTGCACCAGACAGACTGTCAGCATCGGCGCATTCCCGTTGAGCTGTCGAACGTTATGCGTCTTGGAACACTTGACCAGAGCGAAATTAGCGACACCAGGAACGTGGACGCTCTGCGAAATGCCGACGAAGTTTTCTACAGCGACGAATTTCTCAGTAACGTCCTATTCAACTCTACAGACTGGGATTACGTCTTGATGCGGTATGAGGAGAGCTACCCTCAGCCCATATGGTGATCTGGATTTTATACTTTGGAATACTTCTTTTTGTGCTACCGCGCCAGTGAAAATATGGTACAGGGCCGATCCACGTCAACACGAGCTTCATCCTCAAGAGGTCTTTGTGTCCTCCGTATGGATTGTCACGACTTCTTTTGTGTCCTCGCTGAGCTCAGCTGTTGTGATCACGCCGTCTCTTTCATACTCGACATGGCCACGGCACTGATAGGTGCTAAATTCTTTTACCGACACACCCTAGCGCATTGTCAGTAAAATCGATTCGATGGTAATTGTGCGTCCAGACCCACATTCAAAAACAGCTCATCAAGTTGCTCGAGAGAACGGCCTTTGGTCTCTGGGAGGAAAAACAGAGCCCAGACGAAACCAAGCAAGCATGTAACCCCAAAAATGAATCCAACCTGAACCCTGTATTAGAAAAATTTAACACCAAGACATCGAGTTCAGCGTACCTTTGCGCCGAGATCGGCAGCTGTTGGGTTGATCAAATAAGGCAAAACCACTGCTATGAGCAAGGTGCCAGCCCACGAGACCGCGGACCCCAATGCCTGTGTACGGGAGCGCATCACATTGGAGCCGATCTCTGATGCGACGATCCAGGCGACCGGGCCCCAAGACCATGTGAAGAAGAAAGCATACAAACAACTAAAAGCCACCAGGCATCTTGCCGCAGCGACACTGTTGGGTGCAACGGTTCCAACGATCGCGAAGGTGAACATGCATACGGTCTCAGCAGCGGCACCCCAGAGGAGAATAGTCCTCCTCCCAAGAAAGTGAACCGATGGAAACATCACGATGATGCCAGCTAGCTGACAGACTTGGGAGATGATACTGACAACAAATGCGTTGGAGATGCCAGAGACCGAGTAGAAGTATGTCCCGTATCTATGTCGATGTCAGCGTCCGAACAGCTCCTGATGCATTGCTAGTCATGGTTGAATTACACGTTGATGAAACTGATGCCGGACAAAACTTGCCACAAGAGTAGGCCACAGGCGATGTGCGTGCGGCGTCTATCACTGCCTCGGAACGCATCCAAGAAAGAGCTGGAACCCTCAAGCTCCTTCTCGAGCCTGATGTGTTTGGCGATGTCGTCAACATCGGCGTGGATTTGATGCTCTGGATATTTCTTTCCGCGGAGCCTGCGGATGGACTTGGCACTTTCTTCCACCCTACCAACCGAGAGCAGCCAACCTGATACGTGGTCAGCCAAAACCTTCCGGCCGGCAAATCCAATGGTACTTACGTGGGCTCTCCGGAAAGAAGGAGGCAAACACAACCAGGATGGTAGGAAAGATGAGCTGTGTGATCAGTGGAATTCTGTATGCCCATCTTGTCGACATCTTGTATGTCCCTTGGTTGATGCAGGATCCTATGAGCTGACCAATGTTGATGCCAGTCTGGTACAAGGCGATCATCATGCCTCGCATTTGTGTTGGGGCAACCTCAGCTTGATAAATGGGAACGAAACTGTAACACAATCAGATGTTAGCGATCCCGCAGGCATGATACCAGAGCCACTTTCGGTCAAGACATCGCAGCCACTCCCGACCAGGATGGGACAAGTCTCACTTTGAAGCATAACCAATGCCAGCTATTATCATTGGTTAATTGATTTATGCAAGTGGTCGGAGAAACTCTCACCTCCAGCGAAAACGCGACCAAGGAGTAAGCCCCATACATGGGGAACCGAGATCTGGAAAATTACACCGACAATGGCGATCAACCCCATCCATATCAGACCAACTCTTCGACCATACTTTGTGCCAATTGGCCCTGCCGAGATGGAAGCAAGTATGGCCCCAACAAGCAACACAGCATTCAGCGAGGTCTGAATCCGAGTTCGGATGTTGTATGAGTCCGTTTTTCCGTCGAAGTATCCGTAGTCTTTCAGAAAACTTTTGGTTGTCAGCACCGCAAGACCCTACAGATTACGGGACACCGACCTTTCCATGGCCTGGAAGCCACCAAGTTCGCCGCTGTCGATGCCGAAGAGGAGAGAGCCGCACATCACGAAGCTGCATATCAAAATGGTTCTGATTTTGCTCCCCGTAGGGGCCGCCATCGCATCTGTGGTGCTCATTATCAAGTTCAGGTAAGAAGTCGGCGTCTTTTGCTGATTTCCTGTTGCACGCCCAACGCCAAAGTCTGAGGATCTCGGAGCTTTTACACAGCAACTCGTGGGAGCGAGCATCGAGAAGAATCGTGAGTATTTAGACGTTCTGACTGCGGCTTGTCGGCGACGAGCCGCCAAGAAATTTGACCAATACCATCCCCTTCCCCGGTTTTACCCCGTCCCAACTGAGTGGCCATGCCCTTTATGACAAGCCTGGGTGATTGCTTGACTACTTTGGGTTCTAACCCCATAACCATGCGGTCGATCGCCGACCAACCGCAAAGGACTCACCAATGGTAGCCACTTGCTCAGAACCGAGTTGTTTTGCCGAATGCAAGGCGCCGGTGGAACTGGGTTTGGGTAACACCGTCGTCCTTGATGCGGTCTGCTGGCGACGAGCCGCAACCCGTGCAGAGTCTGGTGGCGGCCCACCATTGCAAGGACAGCATACTTTAGAGTGCATGTCCTCCAGTAGTAAGTCGCCCTGCCAACAAGAAAGGAAAGGTATCTTTTGTGAGTCTCCCTATCCTACCTTATCAGAGTAAAGTCTGAGGCAGTCCCCTTATTCCTCTTTTCCAACACATGAGGCACCATTGACGGGGGATGCGAGCCATGGAGAACATATCACTTGACAATTTTCGAGAGAACTTCAGCTTGCAGGCCGAGAACGTTCATATCAATGGTTTTATATCAAAGCAGGGTGTGGCCAATTTTCTGGGCATTCCCTACGCCCAATTTCCTGCTCGATTCCGAACAGCCAGGCGGGTTGAGCTTGGTCTCCTCCGTGGACAGCTGGATGCATTACGATATGGGCCTCGCTGCCCGCAAAAGACCGACAACATCCACCCCATGATGCACCACATGTTTGAGAAACTATCGATGTCGCAGAGGTGCGATGAGACCACTTGCTTACACCTCAATATATATGCTCCACCAGAGTCCGTGGGTGTTGCAAAGCGCTCATCTTTACCGGCCTTTGTCTACATCCACGGAGGGGGGTTCAACAATGGAGACAACACGACAGAATTCGGTGCGTTCCAGTGGCCTGAGCCCTCGCTCAGCAAGTCCATGTACTTATTCAGCATTCAGATGGCAATCACCTCGTGAGAAGGTCAATGGATCTCGGAATGCCAATCATCATCGTGACGCTCAATTACCGTCTGAACATTTTTGGCTTTTTGGGCTCGAAAGAGCTTATAGAAGAAGCCAAATCCCTTGGTGAAACTCCGGTTCTGAATCAAGGTCTAAATGACCAGCGTCTTGGCCTTGAATGGATCCAAAGGTCGATTCATTTTTTTGGTGGAGATCCGTCAAGGGTCACTCTATCCGGCGAGTCAGCCGGCGCCGCATCCGTCTTCTGCCATCTAAGAGGCGGCCACGCGCTCTTTCAACAAGCTCTAATCCAATCAAGTCCTAGGCCTCGTCTGAGGACGCTTGGGGAAGCACAGGCTGCTTTCGATCAGCTTTCCATATCGGCAGGCATAGCAAGCCATGCGACAGGCAGTGAAAAACTGGCTGGCTTGCGAGCTTTGTCGCCAGATCGGCTTCTTGAGTTGTTTGACGGCAGCGTCTCGATGCCCATTGAGGATTCTAATTGGTTTGAGCAGCAACTGAAGCAAGGGGGTAACGGGTCGTCAGCTTCTTGGTTTGACTTGCCCAAATGGTGTTCGAGAATCATCATGGGCTACACAAAAGACGAAGCAGCGCTTTTTCTGACACCTTTTCAGAACCTGCCGGATGCAGCGCTGGTCGACTATGTGCGAAAGCTTGTGCCGGACATTGGAGATGACGCCCTGTTCTCCAATGGCAAAAGTGCTTTGCAGACACTCACTGAATGGGCGACTGAGGAGACGTTCGTCAAGCCAACCATGGATATGCTCTCGGAGGCGGCTAAGCAGGGCACCACGGTCTACGCCTATGAGATCTTCGTCGTTGACCCTTTTCCAGGCCCACTCCATGGGTACTCGTGGCACTCGTTTGGCGTGCCGTTGACGTTCTATGAACCTCCGGCACGAGTCTACGCCCAGATCGCGGCGACGCAAGACAAGATGTCTAGAGCACACATTAAGTTCTTCCACGACCTTGAGCCGTGGGAAGCGTTCAGTGCTGGAAGGCGAAAGATGCGCTGGAATGGGGAGCAGACGCAATTGGTGGACACGTCAGTGGCGGAGAGGAGAGAGGAAGACGACAAGGTGCTGAACCTGACATGCAGAACGTCTAAAGGAACAGGACAGGAGATTATTGCGGCGGCGTTGAAGATGCAGACATCCTAGTTCTCGTCGTGGCATGCCGTCGATGCCCAAGCATTCGCCGGTCAACCTCTTCATAGAGCTGAATTGCTACTTATATTAGCCCAAGCGCTAGCTTACTTCAATGACATGATTCTCGCACATCAGCACTACGGAACAAGTTCATGTCTCCGACCATTTTTGTATTCCCCGGTCTTCGCTACTCGTCGTCCAACGATTTGCGTGATCTCACCCCCCAAGCTCCGAGCAGTAGACGTCCGTGCCAGTTCTACTCTTCCCCGTTGGTGTTCAGGGTTCGTGAACTGTTTTAGAAAGATTCTCCTTCATGAGCGCCGTTGCTCTGTATAGATCAACTTGGAAATAGTTTCTCATTCTTGCCCTCGACGGCATGTACACAAAAACTCAAGGCGATGTCATGGCCTCGACGGGAACCCGCTCGCTGCCTCTTCTGTTTTGGTGTTGGGGGGGTTTCTTTCTCTCGACCGACATTCCAGTTATTCTCCAAAGGGCAGGAAACGATCCCAAGCAAGAATCCAGCGAGCAAGGACACTGACTCCTCTCGCGGACCCGATCTGCAAGAGCACCGACATCGAAAGGTGTGGTGGGAGCCAGAAGTGGACAGACAGGCTTGGTCTGCAAGGCTGAACGTGAATAGGGACCACACCAACGGCTTAAATGTGGGAGGTACTGTAGACACCGCCGACACTGCATCATCTTTTCCTCCTCGTGGAACACTTGATTGTTCCAGACATTTGAGAACACATACGAGCATGCTACAGCTCGTCCGTCGTAGGCTTCTCCCTTCGCGACCTTTTCTTGTGTCCCTCCGGGGACTGTCCTCACGTAGAGAAGCTTATATGGGGGAGGCGAGGACGATGCCCTTTTCCAGAGCGCCGCAGTGCCCTTTCAAAGGTATGTAGCACTTGGGGCGAGCTTGGAGAGGACCAGTGGCCACACTCCTTCCTGTATGTAGTACAGGGTTGCACGCTCCATGGTACATTGCAACACTTACAAGATTGTGGCTAGTCAGATAGTCAGTCTGTTTGCTGCATCCACTCAATACAATTACGGTGTCTTCGTGGGATGTGATTTCGTAGACCTGTCGAAATTGTGTCAAAATGTACAGTAACTATTTTTTTCTGAAAACCCGAATTTTAATTCAACTGAAAACACACACACACACACGCACCACCAACCACCAAATGAAACCACCATATCTTCCCACTCCAGGTCTGTCTGCCCCATCCATGATCCCAAGCACGTGAGAACTCACAGTGCATTGACCAGGTGTCAACATAATACTATTTTCTTCCTCTGGGCTAGAGACTCCGATGTCCAGCACCGTCGGATGCATCCTGACCAGCCGTGCATGAAAATGGTCCGGCATTCCCGGGGTTATCATTGACCCATAGCTAATCAACGCCTCACCACACACGCTCTGTGCCGAGACGAGTGGGACAAAAACATGTGCTAGAACTTCGTTGGTATGGAGACTGAGACTAGGTGTTAAACAACATTTACCCAAAGAACTATAATGGACCGTGTCGATTTGGAGAAGACGCATGCAGACTCTCGAGCAAAAGGACGTTGGCTTTTCCTCACCCAGTCTACCGCATGGGGTCTACCAGGTCACCCAAGAGTTCTCTCTTCTCATGCAGGTCGAAGCCCAAGGATGATCCCATGGCCCGGAGTAAGCGGCCGAGCATGCTACCACTTCCACAGTCTCCGGTGCGGCGCCGGACTCCCGGCCATATCCCATGAACCTCCCAGCACGGGAAGGAACAATACATCTCGACTCCGACCCGGCTTGTGCCAGAGATCCGAGCCCTCCCAATTGGCCCAAGATGCACCCCGGGGCAAAAGGACACATGTGGACAGCGCGACAGTCAGGCAAGCTTGTCTCGGTGAAAGTCAACAGGAGACGGCAGAGCATTGATCAAGCGAGACGTCTAGTAGAGGTACAATTCGGCCCAAAGCTCCTAGAGCGCGCGAGTGCGTCACAGACGGGGGAAGAAAGAACAAAGACATCGATTTTTGTTGCTCATAAAGTTGACTGCTCGTCCAGGACAGGCGTGCCGTGTGCCTGCCGGGTGCCTATCGCCCCTGCTCAAATGCATCTGGCAAACAAAAGCGGTGCTTCTGTATTTTCTGATTTTGTACAGTCCGTTTCCCGCCCAGGCCACCACCCCATGGTGGAGTTTGCATCAAGCTGGAGACTATGCAATAAGCATTTTCCGCGGGTCTTCTATGTATTCCTACCACAAATGTTAGAACAGAATAGTAAACGACTGGAATTGATCGAGCCTTACCTTGATCTTCACCAAGAATGTGACGGCCTCTCTTCCATCCAGCAGTCGATGATCGTAGGTGAGTGCAAGGTACATCATCTAGACAGTTTTAGTGCTTGGTACTCGTCAAGCAACGGCAAACTCACCGGTCTGATTTCTATTTTGCCATTGACGACCACCGCTCGCTCCTTGATGGCATGCAGCCCGAGAACCGCGGTTTGAGGCAGATTGATGATGGGTGTTCCCATCATCGAACCGAAGACGCCTCCGTTGCTGATGGTGAAAGTGCCACCAGCCATGTCTTCGATGGTGAGCTTTCCGTCGCGAGCCTGTGCTCCGGAGTCAGTAGGAGATCTAAACACGGGGATGCTGACCACTTCACCTTCTTGCCTAGATCTGCGATGGCTTTCTCTATCTCAACCATCTCCAAACTCTCCGCATTTCGAACCACGGGGGTCACCAAGCCTTTAGGTGTGGCCACCGCAACGCTGATGTCCACAAAATCTCGGTATACGATGGTGTCACCACCACCAGGACCCTCGATGGATGCGTTGACAGTAGGCACGTCTCTCATGGCTAGAATGCTAGCCTTGGCAAATGCGCTCATGAAGCCCAGTTTCACTCCAGTATTCTTCAAGACCTCATCCTTATACTTCTTCCGGAACTCCATGATGTTGGACATATCCACCTCATTGAACGTAGTTAATGAAGCTGCCGTGTTCTGCGACTGCTTGAGGCGCTCCGCAATCCTCAGACGCATGCGATTCATTTTGACCTGGGCCGAGTTAGCGCCTGTGACGTACATCGTGCCATATCCAAACGTACCCTGTTCTCGTTTCTCGTGCCTTTACCGAATGGCGACTCAATTCCAGCTTTCGAGTCGTCCGATTTCTTCTCTTCTTTGGGTGGCGCGGACTTCTTCTCTTCCTTGGGAGGAGCAGGCTTGTCCTCCTTCTTGGGAGGAGATGGAGGCGGCTCTTCTTTCTTTGGCTCTTCCTTCTTTGGCTCTTCCTTCTTTGGTTCAGGATCCGAGCTTGTTGGTTGCTCTTTCGAAGCGGGTTCCTTGGGCTCTTCCTTTGCTTCTTTGGCACCTCCGCCGCCTCCGCCACCGGGTTCAAGCTTTGCTATTTCCTGTCCGACAGTCACAGTGTCTCCCTCATTGACGAGGAACTCTTTTATCGTGCCAGCTTCCGGAGCATTGACAGAGACGTCAATCTTGTCTGTCTCGATCGACGCAATCTCCTCGTCTTGCTCGACGTAATCACCCACTTGTTTCGAGAAACTGCTGAGGGTACCTTCGGAAATGGACTCCGCCATCTGCGGCACCTTGACAACTGTTTCATAGCGAGTGGGAGAGGTACTGAATTGCTGATACCTCGAGAGGGAGGTGTACGTTGGCACGGTGGACGATCGCAAGCTCGAAAGGCAGAGTGGCCGAGACGCCGCGTGCGACCTGAAAGTAGTGAGGGTGCGAGTGCGTAGAGACTGACCGCATCTTGGGAGTGCAAGCACAGGACCCAAAGCTGACGTCCGTCGAAGCCGCAGAGAAGCCATATTAGAACGTGGTCTAGCGACCGTGGTCCAAAGAACTCAAAGAGGTCAATCGATGCTCCAGAGAGCGAAGGAGCTCAAGGCTGTAGCATGCAAGGCGGATACACCGCCACTTTGTACAAAAGAGAATGAGAGGAAAGCAGAGAAAAGAAGCACTTCCTGACAAGTATGTTGTCACCTCAGAAGAAAAGAGGCGGAGGGATCGACCTTTTGATTTCGTATGTAGACTGGGAAGGGAAAGCTCTTTGAGAGCTCTAATTGGGCTGCGGTGGGCATAGGTACGCACCGACTGACGTCCAGGGTGGAAAAGTCGCGCAGGCGCAGTCGGCTAGATGCTCCACCCTGGAACTGCACCCCAACAGAGAGAGCACAGAGAGCAGCGGGAACCGGCAAAGAGCTTCGGCGCCAAGCCTGCGTAGGGTGCAACTTGCATCTCCAATCGACTCACCTCAATTACACACTCAACGAAGCCTGTCAATAAGACGTCGAGCTGTCGACATAAACACAGAAGCGACAGGTTGGACATTTAGGGGAGCAGCCGGCTGTGCGCGACCTGGCTGTGGCAGTTGACTTTTTCTTATTGATTGAGCGAGTGTCGGGGACAGATCCCAGGACCATCCAGCATGACTTCTATCAGTCCTCACGTCAAGGCTGTCCGGTGAGTACATGAAGAAGGACACAGAGTCACACACCGTTGGCCAGCTTGGCTCACTCAACGGTCACAGGCACCTCTACCGGCGGTCGCTGAAGCTTGCACTTGACTGGGCCGTGCAACGAAACCTGTGGCGCGGTCAAGCAGTCTACATCCGGTCACTTTTTGATGCGAACAGAAACATCACAGACCCAAGGCAACAAAGAGTACGTGGACATTCTCCAAGATGAATCTAGCACTTGGGGGTACAGAGCACCTAGCTGACCCGTGGGGGGAACCAGATCCTCTTCAACGAGACAGAAAAGCTGCTACAGAAATGGAAGCATCCCGACCCCTACAGACCACCCACTGCTCCAGGAGGTGAGATTCCCCCGTAGGACCTGCTCATTGTCGTTTCACTGATCTGGTGTGATTGCAGGCTCAAAATATGAACGAAATTTGCCCGCCCCAGACCTGCCGCCACCATCAAGAGAGTTTGTCAAGAGGTTATGAGGTGGTCTAAGCTAGTCATGGATAGAAGGAGAACTTGTACATACTGTCGCAAAGAGCGGAAGAAATGCTCATTTCACCGCAAGGACTGACGTGCGAAAAGAGCTCAAGAGAGCGTAACGCCCCCAAGTCCTCGAATCCTTGTTTGAATCCATCTCTCGAACATTGACGCGCTGGGAATGTATTACAATTGAGAGGAGCCGCCATTGCTGGCCGTGGACTGCTCGTGGTCCTGATTCTTGTGAATTGATTCCCATATCGCCTTCTTCGTGATTGCGCACGTTGTCCAGACGCGTTTGCATCCAATGTTGTTTACTTTGCCCAAGTGAAATTGCGCGTCGGCCAATATTCTGACCACGATTCCTCAAGCAATCTACTCACTACTCGCTATTCATACGCTAAACAGAATGGAAAGAGGAAGTTTTTATGAATTGCCTTCAGTTTGGATCATTCGATTTGCTGTCTAATGATCGCCATTGGCAAAACCATTTGCTTTGCCCTTTGCATGTCTCATGCCCCGTCTTGCATTCCTATCCGTGTTCGTGATGATAGTAGGTATGCCATGAGCATAATGTACACAACCCTGCCGTCCGATGATAGAGCACAAACTCTGAAAACAAGGCCTGTGAAACCTGGCCAGCCCAACCCCTGAAACCCCACGTTGTGATCGCATTTGTCGTGAAACTCCCATTCAAAATCCAAGTTCAGAAAGAATTTGCACTGTGAGCTTACAGCTCCTGGCTGGGGTTCTTGCCCTTGGTGGTCTTCTTTGGCAGCAAGTCTGTGGCAGTCAGTATCATGCGCAAGTGTGATATCTTGGGTAGACGTACTTTGGTGAATGTTGGGCAAAACACCACCTTGGGCGATTGTGACGTGACCAAGCAGCTTGTTCAACTCCTCATCGTTTCGGATGGCCAATTGAAGATGACGCGGGATGATACGGGTCTTCTTGTTGTCACGGGCAGCGTTGCCGGCAAGTTCAAGGATTTCAGCCGCAAGGTACTCAAGCACGGCGGCGAGGTAGACGGGAGCACCGGCACCGACACGCTGAGCATAGTTGCCCTTTCGCAGGAGACGGTGGACACGGCCGACAGGGAATGCAAGACCCGCCTTGGAGGATCGGCTGCGTTAGAGTTAGCATCATATTTCAGAGGCAATTGGAGTGATGAGGCAGCACGTCGAATCTGAAGTGATACGACAGGCTTGGAGAGATAACTTACGATTGAGCGCTCTTGGAGCCAGAGGCTTTGCCACCAGATTTTCCGCCAGTCATTTTGATAGAGTGGATGGTATTGAAAGTTGGGTTTGGGTTGTGAAATGAAGTGACGGAATGCTGAAGCAAATGCGAGATGGAAACTTGCGTTGACGATGGATGAAAAGAGAGAAGGAAGCGATGATGGAAGGTGGGAGGGAAGGGCAATTATAAAGGAGTGAGGATAGGCGGCGATGCGGGTGGTGGGCAGAAGAGTCGCGCCTCCAGATCAACCTTGGAGAACTTGTGATGAAAGCTGCAGCGGGAGAGGAGCGCTTTGGATCACGGAGCCGGGGTTTGACCAATCGTGGCGCGAGGACGGGAATGATCAAAAATGACTTTTCTGATGAGTTTGACAATACGCACCAGCATTACATCGCGTTACCATATCTTTCCGCCAAGCACCGTGATCCTGCGATCTGACTGGTTCAAAAATCAACAAAATCGACACAATAACAATACGCCCGGCAAATCGCGCAATCTGTTACCTGGATCAACCCCCCAGGGAGAGATGCCTGCGTCTGCCACTTCGCATCAACCCGCGCCCTCCCTCTCGCACTTGCGCCTGGTATAAGAGTCGCCGTCACCCACCTTTCACACTTCCATCTTTCCTTCCTTCTTCATCCATCCATCACTTCTCACGCTCATCCGGTTTCATCCATCAATTTCATCCCACTTACTACTTCTTTCATCTATTGTCGCTTTTTGCGCATTCAAATCAATCATCAAAAATGGCCCCAAAAGCTGCTGAGAAGAAACCCACCACTGGCGGTAAGGCCCCTGCTGGAAAGGCTCCCGCTGCCGAGAAGAAGGAAGCTGGCAAGAAGACCGCCGCCGCTCCTTCTGGCGACAAGAAGAAGCGAGGCAAGACCCGAAAGGAGACCTACTCCTCGTACATTTACAAAGGTACGATTCCACAATCACCGCGTCAATTGCGGCGTTTGCCTCCAGACACTGACGCGTCTTTTAGTCCTCAAGCAAGTCCACCCTGACACTGGTATCTCCAACCGCGCCATGTCCATCTTGAACTCTTTCGTCAACGGTAAGCCAAAACGCGTCTTCAATTGAACAATGTGTCATCTAACATTTTGTCGCAGACATCTTCGAGCGTGTCGCCACTGAAGCCTCCAAGCTTGCTGCCTACAACAAGAAGTCCACAATCTCCTCCCGAGAGATCCAGACGTCCGTCAGACTGATCCTGCCTGGTGAACTTGCCAAGCATGCCGTGTCTGAGGGCACCAAGGCCGTCACCAAATACTCCTCCCAAAGCAAGTAATTGGTGTTTCACATTCATGGGGATGATTGGTTCTTGGTTGGCTTTTGCGTGTCTTTTCTGCAAATGGGGTTGTGGGCACAAACGGAACAACGGTGTTGAAATGGGTTTTTGTCAACACATTACGATGCGTCATGGGAATCGGGGATTATTGACAATGTGATGAGCTGTCCACGGTCATGCTTGCTCATCAACAGCAATCATGCTTTATGAGTCTCTACAGAGAGAAGCTTTCGCGCTATGTACAATATTCACCACGCTGAAGCATGAGGTCTCAGGTATCCAGCTTGCCTGGTTTGTGAGACATCCGAATTGAAAGCATGAAATCAAACCAATACAGTCTTTTGTGTCTGCTGTGGTTGTGTGTAAAGTCTGCACGATTGGAGCTTTAGATTTCCAATGTTTTGGTACGCGTTCTATGGAATTGCGCGCTAAGGGCGCCACGTATTTGACATGATCCACGTGAACATAAAAAGGAATAGGAACTGTTGGCCACAGCGTCTCGCAGAAGAATGACGGTAGAGAGAGAGTTGAGAGGAAGAGCGTTCGTTCGCGCGCGCGCGGTGAACCAAGTAAAAACAATTGATCTTGTTGGAGGACCAACCGCCGCATGTGGGCAGACATGCTTTCCTCCTCCCCGAGCACGACCAAGAATAATGGAAACCAATTCACATTCCGACCAGCAAACACCGACGGCGGCGAGATTGAGGGAAACACTTCGCTCTCGTATAGTTGTTGCCCATTTCCTCTGGTCCATGATCCGGACTACTTACTCCACAGCGCCCGAAACCCGTCCATTAGCCGTACTAGTAGTTGCTGTAGTCTCATCATGCGTAGCATCATCGTACTCATCATCACCCAGACAGACGCGACTTTCTGCGGTCAAAGGGCCTTGACTGTGTCTTCCCTTGCCACGGGAGCGTCAATTTTGACAGGCTCACTTGACGCAGAGGTATCGAGACCAACATGGATCGTATCGCTTTGTCCTTCTCCTTCCGCCTTGTGGTCGACTTTGATGACGTCTTCATCTCCCTCGCCCTCGGGTCTGGCTTGTTCGTCCTCCTTCCCTGTGACAGTCACCGTCTCATCATCCTCCTCGTCCTCGTCATCAAATGTCTGCACCTCGTCCACTGCCTCCTTCCTCTCCTTCGTTTCCCCTGGCACAGGGGGCTCTTTGTCAAAGACCGACACGATCGCCTTACCTTTGACCTCCCTTATCCTCCTCTTCCAGTCTTCCCAATCTTGCTCGTCCTTGATGAGGAAGCCAATAAGCATAGATGGATCCATCTCACTTATCCTCAACCCACGAAGACGGCGCGTGTGGCATGTGGAGATCTCTTCCTCGGTGTATTCGTTGGGGTCAGCGTGATGCTGCAGGGCAGGGCGGGTTTCGTGCGGGTCGAGGTAGAAAAAGAGATCTCCTTGACAGCCAATGAAGTAGTGGGAGGAGGAGGGTCGGCCACCTGCGATACCAATTGACTGAGGGTATGTGAGGCTACTTTTGAGTGCTTCATGATAGACGGGTGTAATTCGATCTAGTCCTAGCCTTATTCCCAGAAGTATCAACGTTGGTTTAATGGTGAGATCCGTAGCAGAGGCGCGTGCAATGTTGCGGAACTTGTCTTCGTATACTTCGCTCGCGGACGGTGTCACGTATACTCGTAGTCCTGCGGCAGCACATTCGGCAGAAAGCTCTTTGATGCACGAAGCTGTGGCAGAAGGGCCGAACCATTGGCCGGGATGTGTGCCGCACGCTGATGCGCCGTGTTGAACGAAGCGGTGAATGGAAAAGGGGGCAAGGGGTGTGTCGGCGAAGAGGGAAAGGATGGAGGCTTCACTTTGCGTTTGGGTGAAGGGAGGCGAGTCGGGGCGGGGATCGCTCGAGGGAGATGATGCGTGAGGTCGTCGCCAATCCCGGCCTAGATGGAGCATGACCAGGGCGTTGGCCAAAAGAGATTGTCCCGATCGTATCATGCATCCCCAGCCGGTGTCGCTACTGAAGCCATCTCTCTCGGTAAAATTGCGTAGGCGAACGGAGAAGGATAAGGATACAGCAGAACCGGGCTCTTGTGATCGAGGGATGGGCGTAAAGTTGGAACGATAGGTCATCCATATCCGAGATTCGAAGTCGTCAAGAAAGGTGATGGGCCATCCTCGATCGGAAGGGTCATTCGACAATGACGGCAGGTTGTTTCCTCCCGTCACATGCTGGGCATCGTCAAAACTGCTTGTGTTCTGCGACTGGGACTCATGAGACTGCTGCTGTGGTGGTTGATCTGTTGTGGACGACAGAGCACTGGCATCAGAAGGGTCATGAGAGTCTGAGGGGGACTCGACTTCAACCACGTCATCGTGGTCCGTCGTGGTTACTGGCTTAGGCGGCGCAGCCTGGTATTCCTTCCCCAGCAGCCATATGGAGGTCCCAGACATATCATCATATTTTGGGGGAGGGTCGTAGAATAAGCGCACAAAGCGCTTAACGTCGACGCCATTCATGGCGCCTTGGGTCTGGAAAGGGATAGGGATGCTCTGAAGACCAGAGGATATCGCATATAGGAGAGCACCAAACGGCGTGAACGCCTGGGCAGGGAATCGGCTCGTTGGAGGCAGCAGGATCAGAGAGTCATCGTCCTCCTGCTTGAACTCAGGGAGTATCGGTGACGAGTCTAGTGATGCGGACGAGTGCCAGGTTGCAAACAGATCTCGGAGGGATTCCAGGTTGCCGACGTCTAGGTAGGCAGGGAACTTGAGCAAGTAACGGTTTCTTGGACAGTTCTAACGATAGTATATGGGTATACGGCAAGCTTGCTGAGGTAGTGGCGCGGCTGGAGGTGGTGCAAGGTGACTTTCACCGCAGTCAGGGTGCAGGCATAAGTGGAAGCCCATCGGACGTAGCCTTGCTAAGACTGATCACCAGGCTTGCTCTGGAGCTCTGGGGGGCGGATTCGCCTATTCGACCGCTTTAGGGCCCACCAGGACGGGCAGGTGAAGCGCGACTGGTGGAATTTGCGGGCACGTTGTGCCTACGAGCGTCATTCAGGCTAGGACAGAACCCCCAATTCTTCTCTTAAGCATCAAAACATGACTCTTCTCCTGCAGGCATGATTCACAGGGACACTTGCTGAATAGCTTGCCAGTATCAAATCCTCTGTATTTCCTACCTTGTTGGCCCTATAATGTTCACTTCTTAGCAACGATCATTACCTGAAGCTCGCTGTCAGAGAGGGGCAACTTGCCTCATCTTCTGTGCACCCCACCCACCATGGGTCCTCGTCAACGAGCACAAGCCCGGAAGAAACACAATGGGACACAGCAGAATCACTCACAATCGCCATGGCGCCAGGGCCAGTCAAGTTCTTCCAGCAAAGGTACCGCGACCGCACGCCTTGCTCTTTGCTCTGTGCGTCCTGACAAGATGACCTAGGGCCTACTGCCTTCCACCGTGGTCTTGTTCAAGACTGGCAAGATTTCTCAGACTCCAATTCTCCTCATCCTCTCAACAACGTGTTAAGCATGGCTCAAACGGCCCGGAACACCGAGCGCCATGCTATGTCCTGGGCTTCTACACGCCTCAGGGAACAGAGAATCACATTCGTCAGTGCGGGAGATCTGAAGCAAGATGACCTAGCCACAGTCGCGAAAGACAATGAACAAACCCCGAGGGAAACAACGGGAGCTGAAGAAAGCTCGGACAAGCAAGCACAAAAGAAGGAGACTGGACCAACTGCGTCGGGCAATGAACAACCCGCTAATCACAAGGAGACCACGGTTGAGTTGAGTGGACGTGAGCCCCGTACAAGGAAAGACTCGGTTTCGTCGCAGTCCTCCGAAGAGATCATTTTTGCCGGCCGACGCAATCCTCCAGCAAAGACTGTTAAAAACGCGTCCCTCTCCAGCTCCAAGCCTACAGCTCCTCCTGAACCCAGGCCTGTTGACGCAAAGCCCCCAGCGCAAAGTTCTCCCGCACCAGTTGGTGTCGCCACCCGCGACTCCAGCTCATCTGGTTTGGACAAGTTCAACAACATTTTGCCCCCGCCTCAGGACAAAACCTTCGACCGACGTGGTCGCCTCCGAGGTCGACAAGAGAGCTCTCAGAAACGAGAAGAGGAAGAAGCCATCATCAATGATTACATTGCAAACTTAGCGGTCGACGATGACAGCGACGACGACGAACTCCCTGAAGGCAAGCACTCGGTCAAGACTGGAAGGAGAACTGAGCATTTCCGGTTCTTCGATGGCGCCGCTGAGCACAAGGTCCACCTGCGACCCCAAAAACCAAGTAAAGTTGCCAAAAGATCTACCGGCGTTAAGGAAGCGATCGATTGGAACTCAAGTGATCTGCAAGATTTCGATGATTTCAGCACGACGGACGAGGAAATCATTGAGGTCAGCCATGTTCTGCGACATCGCACCCGTCCAAGCGGTCCACAGTATCTCGTCAGCCCACTTGGCAAAGACTCCAGTGATCCTCGCTGGGTTCCCCACGGAAAGTTGAACTCGGCCTCTGCTGTCGAGGAGATTCGCATCTTCGAGGAAATTCGGGCGATGAAAATCCAAGAGCTCACAGAAGACTCGGGAGATTCTGAGTCCTCGGACACTGACGAGCTGTTGGATGATCTCAATGACGATATAGAATCCGAGAATGAGGAAAATGAACGCATACTCGATCATACCGCGCGGATGACAGATGAGCAGATCGCTCGAGCGTTGGCGAAGCAGGAAGAGCTGGGTATGGGTGGTGACGAGCTGCTCTTGTTCGATGGGCATTTTGAGGAAGATGATGACGATGATGATGATGACGACGACGACGACGACGACGGCGATGACGACGGGTTCACCCCGTTTTCTTCGAAGAGGCATATTTCCAGCCGCGTCAAGTCGAAGAAAAATAGACGCGGGCGTGATACTTTCCCATCTGCAGCAGCCTTCGCCGACGCTCTTGACCAGGACCCATATGGTGCGTTCGACATCATGGATTTTGATCGACCCAGTCTCCGACCTAAGAAGAAAGGACGCAAGTCGGACTTGCCTTTCGACCTCGGTGTCGAGGATGAGGAACTTGCCGAGCGCCTGCGCAGTACCTGGAATAAAGACCGAGAAAAGAAGGCTTCCCGCAAGCGCGAGAAACTACTGGAGCGTGAGGCCGCTCTCCTCGAGGCGTCCGAACGCAGTCACCCTGTCGCTATCAAAGCAGAAATTCGACAGTTTCTCATTGAGGAAGTCACCACGTTGAAGTTGGCCCCGATGGATTCAGCAACTCGTGCTTCCGTCCATCGGCTTGCTAAGTCGCTCAAACTACAGTCGAAGTCGGAGGGCAAGGATGGTCATGGCATCGGGCGATACCCTGTGTTGAGCAAGGGCCCGCACACTCCGAGATACACGATTGACACAGTCTGGGAGATCGACGCCTTGATGAGCCTGAGAAAGTTCTTCCCGAAGCAACGACTTAGTTCCTACAAGTCTCGCGCTACTCCCACATCTGGCTCTGCGAGGACGAGAAGAGGCGGTGGCGGAGCAGCGTCTGGAGCTACGTACATGAATGGTGATGTTGTCGGAGCTTCTGCCCCAGAGCTCGGTGCAGACAACAAAGGTCGGGCGATGCTAGAGAAAATGGGCTGGGTAGAAGGCGTCGGGCTAGGTGCTATTGGAAACAAAGGCAGCCTGGAGGCTATCAAGCACGTCGTCAAGACCACCAGGGCTGGATTGGGTTAAAACACCACGGCAGGTTGTCGATGATGGTTGGACTACCAGTCTAAACCTGTGTTGACAGATACTGACGGTTCCGGGATTTGTTCACAACAAGTGCATGTGCACAGCATCCTGCAAGAATTTCTGCCTGCGGCTTAGCTCTGAGGGAGATAGAATCTGTCGCGGCTGGTCGAGGAGACTTTGCTGGATTACGAGTACGACGGTCTGCTGTAACAGTTACAAACACCAGCCAATAGAGCAGCTGCGAATACGGTGGCCTGCCACTTTCGGAAGATGCCCACACTTTGACCTGAACTTTACAGTAGATTTCTAGACATTTGAAGCTTCAGCTAATGTGTGGCAGGGTATAAAGCAAGCCGTTTTATCTCATCTGAGCAACATGTCCTCCTCCGTATCCGCCATCCATGATGAACATTGTAATCGCCGGAGCTGGCATCGCTGGCCTGGCCTCAGCCCTGGCTCTCACAAAATGGCTTCCCGAAAAGCCACATATTACCATTGTTGAAATTCGCCCAGAGCCCTCCACCATCGGCGGCGCTGTTGGGCTGACCCCGAACGCCCTACGCTGTCTGCACCACCTTGGAGCGCTATCACAGATTCGAGCAAGAAGTTTGGGAGCGGACATAGATAAGATCGAGCTGTTCACAATCTACACCGGCGCGAAACTCGGTGAGATTGCCTTCACGGATGACAACGGGCCCGGAGTTGGCGACCCTGCCTTCAAGGGACTCAGAATTCAACGCGCAGACTTAGTTCGGTCACTTACAGAGACCGTCAGCGCCCTTGACAACGTCACGCTGGAGTATGGCTGCAAACCAGTCCAGGTCGTTGAGACGGACAATGAGGTGACAGTTCAGCTGGATGAGGGTCGAACATTGAGCGCGAATTTACTTCTTGGGTGTGACGGAATACACTCCTTCGTTAGATCCAGCCTCGTTGATGCAGACAGGAAACCGCTGTACACGGGCATCGCTGCAGTGTTTGGGTTTGCAGACTTGGAGGAAGGAGCCAAAGTCCCCTGGAAAGACACAGGATTGTGTCAGTCACAACGCGGCAGTCTCATGACCAGCTACTACGAGCCCACGAGAAAGAAACAGTATGTGGCAGCCATCACCGAGACGGCGGATGTTGCGTCAAGAGAGGGTTGGTTGGCTCGTGGTGCAGAACAGAAGAGGATTGAGCACGACGTAACAAGTCAATTTGGCAGCGGTGCCATCGAATTTCTCGGTCCTCTCATCTCAGCGACCAATCACTGGACTCTCTACCCCGTCTATAAACTCGCACCACGGGGCAATTGGTGCTCGAAACGCACGATGCTGTTAGGAGATGCCGCACATGCGATGCCCCCGCAAGGTGAAAGTACGGCATATGCCTTGGAAGATGCCATCTTGTTTGCTCGAGCCATGCGATCCAAGTCTGATGGCGGGCTGGACGAAGCCTTCCGCACATATCAAAATGTCAGGCGGGCAAACATCGACAAAGCCTACGACGAGGCCGCCTTCGGCTGGGAAACACAAAAAGACTGTGGCTGGTTCACGTTCTTGCTGAGAAGTTGGATGACCAGCCTCTATTTGTGGTGGACCGCTTCTGGAAGGCAAAGGAGATATTGTGAAGACGTCGCCACCATGGTCTTGGATTAATGTGTTATTCGGTCGTCCTGGGATATCCCTGGGGGGTTAAACACGAAGGAGCAGGCCGGTCGTGAAGTCAACTGCTTGAAGCTTGTGCTCTGAAATTCCTCGCCTGGTTTGCTTAGATCGATATCTTATCACAGATCTCACTCCAGCTGCCAGATTATCAGCAAACCTATCGCTAAGACCATGGACAAGATCGAGTTTCAGGATAGATTTGACCGTGGCTCCAAGGGATTGGTGGATCTGGCTGAGTGGGAATTCTTCGCCTTTAGCCAGATCTCGCCTCTCGAAATACGTCCGGAGTCTCAGCCTCGGCGAGCGGAATGCACAAAGTACATGGGTCGCTGTGTTTCAGGACAGGGATTCTTTGCACCTGGAGATTTAAGGACAAATCAGCAATGCTCCTTTTCCCTACACGATCCCACCACCCCAATCTCTTTTACCCCGATGACCCTGGCCGACGACATGGTGTACCATGGTCTTGACGTGGACTTTGCAGAGAAACGTGGTGCCACAACGCCTTTGTTTGAGATAAACGCGACATTATATTTCGGCTCAATATTCCGACCCTAGTTGTTGCGTGTATGTATTCCCTCACCCTGTTAGTCTTCTTCGAGGTAACTCCGGGGATGGGACGATATATATATATATATATATTGTCCTCGCCTTCCATCCTGCTCTGAGATTCTCCAAGCTGAAAACAGCCTGCCGTTCTTTACTCTCGTCGATCGAGGTCCATTCGTTTTTTTTTTGCTGTGCGACTTCACTCCTTGTCCTTTCTGTTTCGTCTATCACAGAAGCTTGGATCCTTCACTTTTGGCTGTACCAGGAATCAAAATGCGTCAATCAATCATCATTTTCTCCCTCCTCCCGTGTCTCTCCCTGGCTTGCCCAGCAGCCAGCTCTACTGCCACGCAGGGCCCGTGGGAACAGTGTGTGTATTGAGTACAGACATAACTTTCGATGATCCAACATACTCACTTTCATCAGGTGGCGGTATCAATTGGACCGGGGGCGTGACCTGCACATCAGGCTGGACCTGCGTAGAGCAGAACCCTTACTATTCCCAATGCCTGCAAGCTACCAGCCTTCCTTCTTCATCTCAGTCTGCGACGTCTTCACCACCGGTCGCCCCACCCGCCTCACCTAGTCCGTCTCCGTCCAGCAGCCCGACAAGTGCTAGCAACCCAGCAACCTCCACGAGCCCAGCGTCCAGTAGCGGAGGCCCGACGTACAAGGCGTCGTTCACCCACTACGGATCTGGCGACAGCTTCGGCTCCCCGAACTGCAACACCAACACGGCGGCGTGCTTCTTCTACACCTCGCCAGGCTTCAGCGCGGCTGTGTCTCAAAACCTCTATGGCGCTGGACCGGGTCAAGGCCAGGGCCCCGCGTGCGGGACGTGCTGGAAGCTGGTCGGCGAGACCGACTCGTCGGGTAACACCCTCAGCAATGCAGGAACGAGCATCGTGGTCATGATCAACAACCTCTGCCCGGCCGACGGGAACCCGCTGTGCGCCCAGAACGGTCTCTCGGGTACCAACCAGTATGGCGCCAACGTCAACTTTGACCTCTGCAGCGACAGCGGCGCTTCGGAGGCATTCTTCGGAAATAGTGGCGTGGGCCTTGCTGTCGGTACGGCCACACAGATTGATTGTTCTGAGTGGACGGGCACTGTCGTCCATTAAAGGAGGGAGATTTGAAGGGGATTATCGCACTCCCTGCCCTGCGAATGTGCTGCCGACTTCGTTCTATTTTACGGCCTTTTTTTTCTCCCGCTCGATCGGTCAGGCTCCGAGCATTCTATCTCCCCTTCTTTTCTCTTCTGGAACGAGAGCCGATGAAGGATATCAGACCTCGAGGGCCGTTTCCCCCCTTTCTACATTGCATTTGATCTTCTTGTACATGAACTTGGAATAACTTTGGACGTTGAATGAAACCCATGTGTGCGATCCTATCTTTTACGCGACGCCGCACAACTCTCGGAGATGTGTGTCCGTTTCTATAGAAACACATTGGACTTCCCGTGTCAACTCCCGTCTTCTCTCTCCTTTCTTTCTGTCCACGGTCAGTCGGCTAATAAGCCAGTGGTTTCTACGGAGTGCTTGCGTGCGTGCGTGGGCCAGGCCGGGGGATAGGTAGTACAAGTAAGTAATGCACGACTACCTATGTAAGTGACTGGTTTGGTGAAATGACATGCTCGATCGGTATGTACAAGATATATATAAGTATATAGTGATATATAACTATTTCCCTTCCCCTTTTCCGTTTCCTTCTTTCGCAGATTGTACTTCTTTGTTGGAAGTGCGTACCAGTAATTGTAGGCAATCGCTTGTTTGCTTGCTATCTTGGGCAATTTTCTTCCAGACTCAATGCAACTAACCAGCTCGATCAAATTGATGGACTGACTGTGACTGGCCTGGGAAAGGAAGGATGTATATGCTCGGGCCGAGTGGGTTGGGCGTCGGAATCGTGTGGTATATTAATTAATTACCTTTTGTTGTTTTTCTTGGGACAAGGTCAAAGGAAATAAATAAAAATCGCTCGGTCCTCACACGTCGAGAATTAATCAAAGCATTGACAGGGGGACCATCCGCAGAATCCTGGATTCTATATTCATCATGTCTCCTCCTGGCTTCTTGCTTCTTGCCCCCAGAACATCACCCCTGCCCTTCTCCGTTGTCCTGAGTTATTACTCGCCAACCATATACACATGCTGTACATCTGTCGTGCGTCGTGTGCACGTGCACACCTCATGTAGCCTCGTACTGCAGGCGGGCCTCCTTCGAAAAGTCCGGCCAGTCATCCGTTCCGTTCTACTCAAGCCGCTCGGCTCTTGTGGGAGATCGAGCATTTTCCCTCGTGGTGAACAATGGTTGGTATGCCGCCCTCCTGTGTGCCTACTCTGCACCGAGCTTCACGGTTGGCCGATTCAAACAGTCGCACCCGTGGGCGAGATATACTCGATATATGTATGTATGTATGTATGTATGCATGTGCTCGTCAATCCCACCAGCACAACCAGATCAGATCTGCATCATGGTTCCCTTTCATCCCCCCCTCCGTCCTGTCCTCCACGGCGCAACAGATAGATTCACATGGACACGATGACATTGTTGGATCATACTCCCGAGTCTTTCTCTCAAAAGTCGTCGTGTTATACATTTCGCCAGAACATGTCACACTAAGGTGGCAGAGGCGGTCGTAAGCTCAGGCACGGCTCCGGCGCTCGCTTAGTGTCCTTTCTGCACTCAGTGGGCCACCCGACCTGGCGCTCTCTGCTCCGGGACGTCCAAGACCGCTTTGCCCGCCAGTGGTGATCGAGGGAAATCGACCAGGGTCACTGCACGCAGGCCTCTGTTGGATTTCGACTACCCTGGCAGGGAAACATGTGTACACGCAATCTTCTCTCTGTCAGTTGCGTAGCGAGCAGCAGCAGACTTTGTTTGTCTTGCTCCCGGGGTAGAAGTTCAAGGCATGGAGGAAAGGAGCAAGCAGGGACCTCCGCGTGACACTGGTCGGAGAAGAGGATGGAAGGGTGGGAAGGAAAGGCTGAGACAGGCAGGTGTCTTGGACGAGAAGGGCCGAGTACTTCAAGCTCAGCACGCACCGGCGGAGGCCTGCAGTAGCGAGCTTGAGGCTGGTGAGGTGGCAGGCGTGCTTGAGTTCCTCCGAGTTCCTCGACAGTACCTGTATCTTTTCTCCTACCCCCAATGGCATGTTCCAGAATGGAAAGGAGGGATAACAACATAATTGGTAATTACCTAACTGGTGGCACCGGTGGTAGATAGGTAGGTGATAGCAGTTATAGCTCATCCAGATTACACGTCTCGAGCAGATCCTGCGTCAATTTCCCTTTCCTGCTGTACCCTTCGACATATCGATCACCCCACTCGCCCACCGTGTTGTCGTACGTCGTCTGGGGCTTCAGCTCGCAAAGATGGCACATGTTGGCTTTGAGGCCTTTCATGAGGCCCAGTCGGGGATATTCCTGTGTGGACGCCAACGAAATCAGTAAGTGCGACGTGCTTGCTTACTTGCCCCGAGGATCTTCTAGGGACCCTCGTGTCACGATTCCTGATAGCCTCTCTGAGGCTGCTTGGATAGTAGTGGTGCATACCTTGACCACCGGGTTGTACTCGTCCCAGCTCAGAAGCCCGCCGGGCACCCTGTCCGGGCCCTGGAAGTCTGCCCAGATCCCATAACTGCACGCCTGGACCTCGGGCTCTTTCTCGAACACGATCGAACCAATGGTATGCAGGGCGATCGCATCCCAGACCAGCTGCAGCCTGTGCTTGTCCCAGTCCGGGGCCTCCTTCCTCAGAAAATTCCTCGCCGCGTTGGCTCCGTCGACCTCGAATCTCTTGTCCTTGGAAATGATCTCAGAGTGCGGCGGGTGGCCGATGGGGAAACCCAGGTCGTGCATGATGGCGGCGACGGCGTGGGCCTCACGATCTCGTTCGGGGAGGACTTTGTCGGCGATGATGAACCCAAGAAGAAAGGAGCGGATGATGTGGTTGTACGTGTCGTCGGTCGAGTACTGGCGCACATAATCTAGAGCTTTAGTGATGAGCGGCGTGTCGGGCACAGTCACTCCTGCGACCACCTTCGTGGGCAGGGGCTCGGTAGACGATGCCATGGACGGGGAGGGAGAGGGACGAAACAGCTATACTATTAAAAACGACACGGTAAATTCCCTTGTCGAACGGCTCAAAGGACAGGAGCAGATGGCCGTCTGGAAGCGCAGAAGTCTTGCTGTGTACCTGAAGAGATAGATTGCTCCCAATAAGACGCGAGCCTGCCTCGGAGTTCCTCGTACGATTCTGCCCCTCCACTGAGGGGCCATGATCTCCTCTGGGAAGGAAAATAGCAAGAAGGGAATCCTGGACGTGTTCGATTCTGACAGGTACAAGAAGGACCGGGCAACTGGGTCACTGGGAAGAAACGACTTGCTCGGTTGGATAGTAGCTCTCGGAACGGATCTCAAGCTGCTGCGGCAAGGCGGGTCAAACCAGCAGTGCCCCGCGCTGGCTAGAGGGCCGCCATTCAGAGGGAGGCTGATCCGATGTTCTGGGCGCTGGACGGTGCCGTGGCTGGTCAAAGCTTTGGAAACAAATTTAGAGAACTGGCGAGGCCCATTGGCACAGATGCGAAGTCTGGTGGGACGCCGGTGAGAAACCTAATCCATAAGCCAGCCCCATCGCGCAGGTAAAACACATCCGCTCTTCGCCGTCGAGGGAGCGGCGTGACGAGTCAGCTCTGCACGGAACCCACACCATGGAGTCATGAGAGGAGGTCGTCGTGTTGGCGGGCGTGGGAGCAAATTTGGGAGGCAGATCCAGGCTTTTCGATAAAATTACCGAAAAATGCCCTCTTTTGTTATCGTCAATGTCTTGTTTTTTCTTGCCCGCTCCAGCTGCTTAGCTCTTGTTGATGGATTCTTCTCGTGACCCTGGTCGAGCAGAGAGAAGTGCACCACCCTCGAACCCGGGCGGTAGTGACGAAGAAGAACAACGAGAAGAAGCCCAACACACGAACATTGTCGATGTACGCGTTTGCTGCCGCCAGAGCCCTTCCTCGGTAATAACAGAGAATGTCCAGGTTGATGATGATGTCGACTCCGCTTTCGAGGATGGCGATAATGTCTCGTGAGTGAGCACAAATGCTCGGATCAGGAATAGTGGCTGAGACGAGGCTTTGACAGGGATACGACCTCCATTTCATCCTCGATATATCGAGGTCGAATGATAAACGGCAGAAGGTTGATATTGATATGCCCCTCACCGATGGATTCTGAGTCCATGAAACGTCTCACTTCGCTAACACCCACAGATATTCGTCTCTGCGAGATGACTATTGGTCTGCTTCTTGCCAGCCGCCTAAGTAGACCAAGGCTCATGAAGTCGACAGGGGTCCGTCTGATGAAAAACAATTCGAAACGCTCAACGAGGGGTAAGTGTATGCCGGAGAGCGCACAGTGATGGTGCTAAGAGAGATGTTCTAGCCATGTGCTCTATCTCGTCTTGGACAGCGAGCAACCAAACCCACTCTTTCGATCACCGATAAAGTCACCATTGGTACGAACCTTCTCCCAGGATTGTTGTCTCCAAGAGAGCATACCTTCTGACTCCCGTTCGCTAGTATGTCCTCGATATAGGGACAGGACCTGGCACTTGGGCCGTGTGAGTTCACCTTCTCTTTCACTTAAATGCTCGCCTTCTGACCGAACGAAGTGATGTTGCCGATCAATTTCCTGCCGGTAGGTCGACATAGAATCAGGCTCTGTGGTTGGATCACACTAAGCAAATGCAGCAACCGTGTACGGTGTTGACCTTTCTCCACCGCCGTCGAACTGGGTGCCCCCGAACTGTTTTCTCCAGGTGAGCCCCCAGGGCCACTTTGGCGACAAAACGCACGCTAACAGAGTGCATGTAGGTAGACGACGTCCTTGAAGAATGGACGTGGAGGCATGAATTCGATCTGATCCACATGCGGCTGATGCTGGGCGCCTTCACCGACACAGAGTGGGCGACGGTATATAAAAAGTGCTTCGACAACCTGAGGCCAGGAGGATACATTGAGCAGGTCGAGTTGGACGTGCGGGTGATGTCTGACGACGGCTCTCTCGCTCCCGACTCGCTGTTAGCGGGATGGGGGCAGACCTTCCTCGACTGCGCCCAACGGGCTGGTCGTCCCTTGGACACGCAGTTGACCATGAAGGCCAAGATCGAAGCCGCCGGGTTTGTCGACGTCCAAGAGCATCTGTACAAATGCCCCATCGGCGCCTGGCCCAAGAACCCTCTCCTCAAGGACGCCGGCAGGATCAACTTGAAGCATTGGAGTTCAGGCCTGGAAGGGTGGGCGATGTTCTTGTTGACGAGATGGGGGGCCCCCGAACCGTGGACTGCGGATGAAGCCAGAGTGTATGTCGCCCAAGTGAGGGAGGAACTGAAGAGGCGACGGCTGCATATATGGCACTACACGTGAGTCTCAGACCAGACCAGAACAGACCAGACCATACTGACCAAGCGGTGACAGTCGACGTGTTTGGGGGAGAAAACCATGACGACGACGACACATATTTGTGACTTTACAACTTCAGTTGCATTTGGCGTACGGCTAGCGATTTATCAATTCTCTACCAGTGGTCGGTCACATTTGGCGTTGGTGTGCAAACGCTCTTACTAGCATCAGACTTGAAGTTCCAGCTTTCAAAGATCGACTTGGCCCTTGTGATGGCCCTTGTTTGTGTTTTTATAAGTAGGTCCTCATTCCCGGTAGAATGAGGACCTTAAGGCCAACGAAGTTGTCTTGAGCATGAACGGTAAAAACTCGGCCAAGGCTATGAATACCAACGGTACAATCACGATACTTTCGTATGCTTCACTTTCTCAGGACCTTTCAGTCTTTCTTGTCTCCCTCGCGGTCCTCAGAACCCGCCACGTCACCGAACTGGCGTCCTCCTAGGCTGCCCTCTCTCCCCTCTATAAAACCCTGTGCCGACCGCGCAAAGTGCAACGAAAATCAAGTTGGACACCACACTGCCATTTCACTACAAGATTGCTAGCACACACTCGAAAGTTTCCCAAGCACAACTCCTACAACCCAAACAAACTCTCACAACAGAGTCCACCATGTTTCCGCTTATCCTCTTGTTCACCATGGTGACCTCGATCGTCCTCACGGCGGTCGGCGGGATGCCCAAGTTCAGCCATCTAATCGGCTGATCCAATCACCCACGTCTCAGAACAGGCACTCAGCTGAAGTCGGCAGGATTTAATCACATCGCTTCGAGTGCCGAAGGATGGAAGGAGGAATGGGGAGGGAGATTTGGAGGATCTTGGAATTTGAGATGAATCATTCGGGATAAGGAACTCTTTCATGGAGCACGGAAGCTTGGACCGACCGACCTACGGAGATCATAAGAAAGATTATGAGCGTGACAGCGGGCAGTGAAAGGATGTACTCTATTCAGGTTTGAGGGTGAGCTTGGTACCTGGATAACGGTGGTCAGCAGGTGGTGTGTTGGTGGTGCGAAGAATAATAGGTTCAACCGTCTTTACTTGTTTGCCAAGTTCCAGCACCAACTTGTCAGTATCACTCCTCAAAGTCATATAGATAGTATCCAGGAATCAACCTAGGCCTAATCAGTAGACAGTCGCAATTACTGCACCACCGACGGCGCAAAACTTTCCCTTTTCATTGATCCTCGCGTCCAACAAGTAAGCAGGTACTACCTACTGTGTGTCGCTACCCAGGAGGTCATGTTCAGATCTGATGGCCTCCTTCCTACCTTTATTAGCAATACTTACTTATTATAAACTGGGTGGGTCAGTTGCTCGCCGACTCAAACTGTGCGTGCGGCGCCTGGCCGACTGACTGAGTGAGAACTAACTCATCTGGCACTTCTTGATTTATTTTGAGTCCGTTTCAGTATGGAATATTCCTGAACGAATGGATGACGCATGGCAGGCAGTCAGTCCAATGCTTGTTTGACACGCACGACCTGGCCGGTTCCGAGGAGGGAGGTTCGAACAAAAAAGCGTCCCTTCTGCAAACTTGAGTCTGAGTATAGACAGACTATCCACCGTGGTTCTTGTGATAAACCTTATTTCCCAAGTTGGCACGGTCGGGTCTGTCTGTTAGCCAGAGTGGATCCGACAGGGCGCGGGGAAAGAGAGCGCTAAGCCCGATTCTGTCAAATTCGTGACGCTTTTATGTACTGGAATCTGGATAGTAATACCGAAATTGTTACGCGAGACGGACGGAATGGAATAGGTATCGACTAGACAGTGGATTTTCTACGTATAGCTATTCAACAGGCATAGACAGGCTTGCTGAAAGGACAGGACGTAGCTCGAAAGAGCTATGAACAGACGCGCGACGCGTGATGGAGTGGCAGCGCAGCCGCACCACCACGCGCGAGCTGGTCTGGTTCAGCACCGTGACAGGTTAGGGATAACGCGAGGAAACAGATCTATATTATGAAGAATAGATTCCCATAGAAATTTGGTGATGTTAGCTTCTACCAAGTATCAACCGAACTGACGGTTGTACGAAACTTGCGCTCGAACTTGCGGTCCGGAGTCATTCCCGATAGAAGATGTGGTAACCCCCGTAACGAATCCATTCAAGCGTCTCGTACGATTCGCGAATTGAGTCTTCTCGGACGAGAGTTCTGCCTGCCTAGGGCTTTCTATTCGATCCCATTGCTCCTGACGTTGCTCCGCCTGTAGTTGAGTCCTCTTTACCTCCTCGATAGTCGCAAATGCCTTATTCGAGTCGATCTCAACTCTCGTGCCTTGTTATAGGTCGTACGGGTAAAGTCTTGTCCCTCTCCCAGCCGGCTTCGATATATTGAGGTTAAAGGACCTTTGCTCTCGCTGTCGAGTAGTATTTAATGAACTCATCGGCAAAAAGCCCCGCTTGGCCCAGTAAGCCCAGGGCGGCTGTGGCCTCCCACGGTCAACCTGCATAGTGTCCAACTCATAAGCCACCACGGCACGATATGTCGCTCTCACAAGCCCCCATAGCCACTGCCTGTTTAGCCCTAGTATCGCATACTTCACACAACTCACTTATACCTATCGGTCTTCATAGGTTCTGGGGCAACCGCTATACTTGGGAATCCTATTGTGTTTCGAGTTCTTATGCCCACATACGCCAGATATCTTCCCATATAAATCATATATAGTGAGTGTACACTCGTTTAAATAGATATTTTCAGCTACTATAGCTATAATCAGGAACACTTATAGTAACTGTTAGTCGAAATACGCTCTTAGGGTTTACTAGTAATAAGAGAGCCTATGGGCCGCAGTAAGCTCGCTGGGCAGCCCCGTCAAGAATGTTTCTATGGGCCGCGGGCCTTTTTGCCGATGAGGGCTCCAGATCTTAGTCTTGGAGAGGATCCGATCTCCTTCGCTTGATCCGAAGAAATTCTTCTGCTCAAGGTATGAGCAGATTTAGCGGCGACGATAAAGGAAGAAGATAGTGTTTCTTGAGTGCTTGTCGTTCAGCATCAGACGCCGGACCGCGAACGGCAGAATCAATGAGTCTACCTGGATCCTGTGGCAAGAGAAGCGTGAGATGTGCCGTATCAGGAACACACTGACCTTGCTCACGCTGGGACCAACTGTTCAATATCGTCCATGCCCTGTTGTGTTGAGTGGGCGACCAGTGCAACCCAATGTGATGTGACCCTCTTCTACCGTATAGCGCAGAGGATTTTCGTTCCTGCCGAAGCCTGTTTTATCCACGCTAGTTTCACATAAGTACTTCCATTCGTGCGTGCAAAAAAGGTAATTTTTTCCGTCCCCGAGTTCCCCACAAGGACCCCAGGAAGGCGGGGAAACGATTCATTCATGTTAACTAAGTCTCCTATCAAACCCCAGGCTCGTTCTTAAAACGGTTTGGGAGGCATAGCGGAAAAATTCCCTATTTCGGTATTCCCTAAATGAAGCATCAGCGACCTCGTGGCGGAAGGATGCATTTCACGACTGTCGGATCTTTTGCCATGGAAAACAATACTATGCTGATAATGGGACGAGCATTATTACGTAGACTTATAGCATATACTCCTCAAACAAACCCTCATGCGTCGCAATTAAGGACACCATTCCCTGTGCCAGTCCGCATTGCTGAGTCGGTCCATTGGGAATTGATAGCCCTACCAGCAATTAGTTCGCCCAAGTGCATAAAAGAGAAGACCTACCCGCTAACCTGCCACTCCCACTCTCTCAGTCCGGGTCGACTTCCTCCCTCATTGAAGTAATAGCTGCGGCTTGTCCACTGAGAACGCCTCAAAAATGCCTCCCGCCCGCGCATTCATTGCAGACATCTATTCCGACGCTGGCGCTGGACAGCAAGCGGTTCGTCCTCCATCAATGGGTGCTTTTCCAGCCATGGATCACTAATGACACTGATTGATGCGATTCTTTTGATATAGGTCCTGGAAGCTATTCGCGGCGTCGACAAGCACGTCGTGTCTGACGAGCCATGGGCAAGTGTCTACTATTGGTATATTTCGGAAGATCCCAATGATGGCACGGTTTATGGTCTTGAAGAGTAGGCGGAGTCTTTATTATCTGCTTTCTCATCGCCAAAAGGATATCCAAGATTTGACATTGTTCCACCAACAGGTACGAGACAGAAAAACATCACCTGGAAGGCCACAATACTAGCAAACCCTTCTTGCACCTCGTCGACACGGTTGGCAAATCCTCTTCCAAGGAGAACAAGTTGAAGCTTGAGTACCTCGAACCCGTCCTTGGGTTTACCGAACGCAGTGGTCCTACCAAGGCCGGCGTCGTGCGAGTCGAGCGAATCACGACTACATCGTCTCAGATGGACGCGGTGCTGGATCAATTGAAGCCATTCGCACTTCATGTTGAGCAAAGTACGTCCCTGCAAATATTTCACCCTGATGACCCATGCCGGCTAACCAAAATGGACTTGGGCGAATTCAGATGAGCCAGGAACACAATCATTCTTCGTTTACAAAAGTCGCGAATCGCCCGATCAAATTGTGATCTTCGAAAGGTTTGAGACCAAGGCTGGTCTGGAAGCGCATCTTCAGTCGGAAGTACGTAAAAAGTTAGACGATCAACTGGCGTCTGTGATCAAAGGGAAAACAGCGGATTGCTTCAAGGAGGCGGGTATCGGATTCATGAAACGCCATTAGGCCCAGAGGATTCTCATACTTCGTGTCTGGGACACCAAAGGTCAATATCACTAGAATGATTTAGTGCTACAAAGTGACAGAAAACCTATTGCAATGTTTATCCTGTCGATCACGAACTCGATGTAAAAGGTAAATCGATAATTTCTCCGCATGCTCTATAGAAAGCCACAGATCGGACAGTCTGTTCTTTATGATATCCGACGAAAAGAAGACGCATGGTGTATACTTGTGTCGTCCTGTCAAGCGTTTGGAGTTGCTGTTTCTTGCCCAACATCGAGGTTTCCTTTGATTCCAGGCACCGGCTCAGACGAAGCAAAAGGACGTCATGAATGACTGAAAGTGCCCGGGCGGACCACCTGCACGCTGGAAAAACGTGTGGCAAATCACTATCATGATGAGCAAAAGTCGCCATTCTTCCCGGCCACGGCTATCTTCTGGACAAAAGCTGAAAAGAAACCATCCACGAGGTCAAGGGGCTTGATGCAGACGCCATTACGCGGTCGCCACCCCGGGGGTGGAAATGTCTTCTGTATACACCTTGACAATGGGCCCACCAAGAATCAGAGGCACAAATCGATGACCTGCTTCTTGCAGTAATGTTTCCGCGCTCTTATTCGCGGCGTGATCTGTACATTCCTGCCTCAACTAGGGAATCTCTTGGCTTGAATGTAGTCTCTAAATGCAGCAATCGAGTCCTTGGTGAACTTCGATACCGCAATAACAATGCTGGCCCTATCCTATATAACTTCTGCTCGGCCTGGGATTAATTTCCCAAAGGCCGAACACGAATCAAGAAAACTTCCATTCATCACTGGATCAAAGAGACCATTTTAGTTGACTTTGCAGAAAACGATATCCTTCTTTCATCATGGCCTCTACCGCAGTCAATGGGACCTCCAACGGGCTATCAAACGGCTTCCACCAGGATCTCAAGGTCGGCTACATTGGCTTGGGCCACGCTGGATGGCCGATCGCTACGAATCTCCCACGCAGGGGTTTCTCTCTGGTCGTCAGCGACGCGAATTTTGAGCGCGCAAAGGAATTTGCGGACCAGTTTCACTGCAAGGCAGTTCCTCCAGGGAGTGGTGAGGGATTCCAAGATGTGGACGTGCTGATCACGATGCTCCCTAATGGTAATATCGTCAGAGACGTCTTACTGGGGAGCACAGGAATCGCTGCGTCTTTGAAGAAGGGTACGTGTGTCTTGTTCGCTTTGAGCCACATATGAAAGCTTCCGTGGCACAGAATTTGAGATCCCATTCAAAGGAGTCGCAGGAACTGACATGTTTATTTCTTCAGGTTGCATCGTGATAGATATGTCTTCCGCAGATCCATTTAACTCCATTAAGCTGGCCAAAGATCTTGAAGTCTTTGGCTTGGATTTCATCGACTCGCCTATCACCCAGCGAAAACTCCACGACACCGACGTCGGAAAGATCACCATCATGATTGGGGCCAAGGATAACGACGTCGTGACCAGGGTGAAGCCGGTACTCGAGGCCGTCGCGAAGTACCACTTCGTCATGGGTGGAATTGGCTCGGGCCACGCAATGAAAACGATGAATAACTACATTATGGCCTCGTCTATCTGCGCGTTGGCTGATTCGTTCGTCGTCGGCACCAAGTTCGGCCTGGACCCGGCCACCATGTTGGATGTGCTTAATGTGGGAACAGGCCGAGTCTTCGCATCGGAAAACACCATGAGGGACGAAGGCCTCACCAGGAGATATCAGTCGGGATTCCAACTTGCGCTGCTGGTCAAAGACCTCGGGATCAACAAGAACCTCGCGGAACAGATGGGTTTCTCCACGCCTTTGCCGGCCCTGGTGCATGAGAGGCTGGGAAAAGCGCTAAAGGAAGTCGAGCCTGACGCCTGCCACGCCAAATGTCTGCGTGCTTGGGAGAAATGGGCAGACGTGACGTTGAAACAGAGCCCTATTCCCACGACACCGGCAATTCCGGAGGACTGAGCTGCAAATAGATCTCTTCAGCTTGGTATCAAGAAGTTAGAACAAATAGCTATCCTCCATGAACTCTAGAAATACAAGGCGTTTCTGAAAACCACGGTATGTGCAGCATGGAAGCTCTAGAGACACCCAAGTGACCGGCATCTCACCCCAACCGGTGACTCAGTCGTCAATGAATGGGCCTAGGCATTCCGGACCTGACTGGACCCAGTAAGAGACTTAATAGATTGCTTGCTGTGCACCGTCATGCACCGCCCCGTGGTATCCTCACGGCTTGTCCCTATCCCCTGTATCCCGCTTGGTGTAGTGATCTCGGCTGGAGCATCCATCAGAAAATGGGCGGCAATTCAAATCTCCTGGGGGTGTGGGTATCAGCTCACGGGTGACGGACTTATTGTCATCCGCTTCTTCTCCCCCAGACCCCAGAGTGGCGTGAGTGAAACGCGGGTTGAATGCACGGGTTGAATGCACCTTCGACTGGTCAGGCTTCCTTTATCACGGAAGATTTGCCCAAAAGCAACAGGGATTCCGGGTTTGCAGCTCCCGCATTCTCCAAAAGGTAGATTTTCCCTCAGGCCCACTGATTGACTTCTCACATACCATGGACTCCTAGTCTTCTCACAGCCTCCTAGGTCTAGAAGGCGTGGATGATGGACAGATATAAAGCGATTCAAGAACCACTTGCTTGGACACCGAAGTACTATGGTACAGAAGCTCCCTGCGCCCCCAACATACTCCATAATCTGGCCTTATTCTTTCCAGCATGATGCCTTTAGAGGAGCGAGCCCTGCAACAGGGCAAATCAGTTGACAACGCAGAGTCGGAAATCGCACACAGCATTATGATCGAAGATACCCGCCAGATACCCGACCTCACAGAGACCGAGAGGAAGAAATTGCTCCGCAAGATGGACCTCCGCCTGGTCCCAATGGTGACATTGCTATACCTGCTCTCTTTCCTGGACCGTGGTAATATAGGCAATGCTCGACTTGGGGGTTTGGAAGACGACCTTGGCTTGGTGGGCAATCAATACAACATGTGGGTGAACTGACTGCCCTTTTACACACAACGAAGCTAACAAACAATTCTCTTGTTGAGCAGAGCCCTCACCATCTTTTTCTTTCCATATTGCTTGTTCGAGGCACCATCAAACCTGCTGCTGATGAGATTCCGACCATCCATCTGGCTTCCTTCGATCATGATTGCCTGGGGTATGTAGGCTCTAAACCGACGAGTCACGTCTATCTCCTAAGACTCACTTCTCGTACAGGCACTGTCATGACTCTGATGGGCACTGTGCAAAACTACGAAGGGCTCCTCGCCACCCGATTTTTCCTGGGGATGACCGAGTCTGGACTCTGTAAGCAATGTGCTCTGCACAATTCCCCCACGATTCAAATGCTGATCTTTGAAAACAACAGTTCCAGGGGTAGCATATTACCTCACGATGTGGTAAGCCCTCGACGCATGGGACAAGCGACCCAAAGGATCTTGACCTCTGCTGAACCAGAGACTGAGGAATATCTAGGTATACACGTCACGAGGTGCAATTTCGGATGGGCCTGTTTTTCGCCGGAGCGAGCCTCGCTGGCGGGTTCTCGGGCTTACTCGCCTATGCCATCCTCAAGATGGATGGCGTAGCTGGTCAGGCCGGCTGGAGATGGATTTTCATCCTAGAAGGCATCTTGACCGTCATCGTGGCTGTGGCCGCTTTCTGGTTCATCCACGACTTCCCGGAGACGGCCAAGTTCCTGACACAGAGGGAGAGAGTCTATCTCGTCCATCGATTGAGGCACGACCTTGGTGGCCAAGGCCATGACGGGGAGGCTGTCGGCCTTGAGACATCTTTTCGATGGAAATATGTTGCAATGGCCTTCACCGATTGGCAGGTGAGTCGGGTCGGATATTGGCACACAGGCTCCAGTTCACTAACCACTTTCTGCAGACGTATATGATGGTGTTGCTCTACTGGGCGGCGGTGAGTTCTTTTATCTCTTGGACGTCTTCATTTTCAGGCCTGCGCTGACTCTGATGCACGACAGTGTTGTCCTCTTTATGGCGTCTCATTGTTCCTGCCAACTATCGTCAAGTCAATGGGCTACAAGTCAACCGAGGCGCAGCTGCTCACCATTCCCATCTATGCTGCCGCCTGCATCAGCTGTCTCCTGGTGGGATATCTCTCGGACCGACTGAAGAAACGAGCGCCGTTTGTGTTCGGTTGTTACGTGGCCATGCTTACTGGGTACATTATGTGTGCTGCTCCCAAGCACTTTACTCCCGGACTCACGTACGCTGGAATCATGATCGCTGCGTGTGGCCTCTACAGTGGTGAGTGAAGCCGGCATACCTTGTCACTGGACTGTGTCTACTAGCGCACCGCCCTCCATGACTTGACCCCTGCACATATCCGTCCTTTTCTCCTTTTCAAACTCTGACTGGGAGCACGCAGTCATACCGGGACTTCTTGCGTGGTTCTCCAACAACTTGGCCCCGGTGCACAAGCGATCTGTGGCCATGGCGTTGCAAATCGGATTAGGGACCCTCGCTGGTGCTGCAGCGTCCAATTTCTATGTGGCATCGGACGCACCCACGTATCGAACAGGGCATACCATTGAACTCGCGTTTGTCAGTATGGGCTTGGTGTTGGTGGTTACTTACTACATCAGCTGCTCTCTTGCCAACAAGAAGAGGGCCAAAATGTCGCTGGAGGCTTATACGAATCAACAGCTGGCAGAATTAGGGGACAAGAGTCCAGCGGCCAGGTATGTTTTGTAGACGAAGAGAAACAACAGTGGCTTTTAGGAGGGAGCTAGGAAGGGACGCAGGCAAGGATCTATCCTACTGCATCAGCTATCTCCTGCTTACCCATAGGGTGATCAGAAGTCTCTGGTGCGTGAGATCAGGGCAACGAGGACAGTCACGGTCATCATCATCATAAATTCCTGTGCACGGAGTATACTCGGTTATCACCATACTTGGTGACACCACCTGGAGCAGACAACTATGTGTGACATTTACATCAATGCGCTGGAATACGTAGAGAACCAGACAGCCTCCTTACAGCAAATGAAGATCTGCTATCGTGGTGATATTAGGTTGGTTAGTTGGCTCAGTCGCAACAGTTCGATTTAAATTACCAGTTAATAAAACAACCAGTAATATAGCTGAACCAGGCGGAGCACGAATCTTGCTCGACGTGCCTCAGCACCTACATTACCTCCTCATTCAGCTCTATTATTGTTGGCCCCTCCAGACCCTGTTTCGTGCCTGGTGTCGGTAATCTCGGCTCTGGGAGAAAGCCTGGTCACTAATGTGATGACTCGGAAAATTCTCCTGTTTCGAGGAGCTTGGACGACGGGTCTCGGCCAGAACCCATTCGTGGTTTGGCCTGGGTACCAAGAGGCTTGCTACCCCATGCCTTGACTCGATTTTCTAATACTGTAGCTCTCTCCGCGATTCCGATATGGGGTCATCCTCGATTGAGAATAGGTGAGTGCCGCTAACCCCGGCCTTCGGAAACTGGCTTTCTTTCCGAGCTGAGTGGTAGAGAACCCCCCTGGTGCGACATTTTCCCAGAAAGCCGAACGACGTAATAATTTCCTACTGAGCAAGAATTCGCCTCCGTTGCTAGACGCTGCTGCTCCTCATCTCTGGAGCATGCCAGCGTGGCAGGACAACAGTGCTCGCGACCTTGATCCTAATCTAGCATTGAGACCACAACTCTCTGGCGATGGGAAAGAAAAGATCTCGGAAAGCATGGTACGTGTTCCACATCTTCCCAGCCGCCCAAGTCATGCGTGTTCACTCGTCGTGTTAGCGACACGTGCAGAAGGAGGCACATCAAATGTGAGTCAAGCGGACATTGGCTCCTCCATTGACCGAAAGCGGCTGCTCAAGATCGAATGCTAGGTGATGAACAGTCTCCTGTCTGTCGACGATGCGAAGAATCCAATCGAGAATGTCTAGGAGCTTCCCTGTTCTCGCAATGGAGGAGGGACCGTCGGTCGATAGCAGGTGACAAAGTCCACTCCAATACGCAGCATTGGCTACGGGTCCCGAAGAAATGTCAGCATCGATGTCCCCACGGCCAGCTTGTTTCGCTAATGAGGTTGATAGTGACTTTTGTGGCCGAGAATATTGATTCAACTTCTCCCGAAATACCAACGACCGACGAGGAGGTGACCGGAGCATCAGCTCAGACCCAAGACCAGACTCAAGACGAGAATGGTTGCTGGGTGGACGAAGAGTCTGAGAGCGAGAGACAGGGGACGTCTCCGCCTCAGTCGGGCTTTTCGGTGGATGTCGACCTGGCCAGAGTCTCTCCGGGCCTGACTTCGCTTGCAGCCTTGATTAGTGCCAGCACGTTCAGCCCTGCCGCTGGGTTGAAGCAGTTGGCAAATGACCCAAGACCGTTTCTGTCCGCTTTGCCCACATCTGGTTCTCCTGAGTTGGACATCCTGCCCGAAGTCACATCATCTGCAAGTGTTGTAGCCATCGAGGCTCCCCGCCTGAAGGATCGCGTGGAAGCCTTGCTCTTCCGGCACTACGTGGAGAATTTGGCCCCCTGGGTGAGTTTTGGTCTCTGTCCTGCACTATCTGCCTTTCGCAACTGTTCCTCCTCGTGCTTCTTCTAATACCTCCGGCTTGTAGTTCGACGTAACGGACCCGCAGCAACACTTTCAAATTCATGTTCCCGAACGAGCGCTCGAGAGTAACGTCCTCCTAGATGCTATCCTTGCTCTTTCTGCCTTGAATATCGGTCGGCTGCCCCGAACCGAACTCACGCAGTATGTCGATGTCGACCCCGTCCTCTCCGAAGTGTACCACACGCGGTGCATAGGGAAGCTGATCTCTTTGATGAACGACAAAGAGACCGCGTTCGACGAGGACGTCCTTTCCGCAGCAGTTATTTTGCGCAAGTTCGAAGAGATGAACGGCAAGTTCCATCTATGTCTAGCAAAAAAAGCTTTCAAAATATCTGCCATAAATTGATCCATATTGACACGTTTCTGGGTTGATATAGTTCACATCAGCGGACAGGATTGTGGACACCATCTGCTCGGCGTCGCTGCACTCTTCAATTCTCGAAGTTGTGCCATGACGGGCGGACTCGCTGAGGCAGCCTTCTGGCAATTCGTCCGTCAGGATGCGTACATGGCCCTTTTCACCCGCCAACCCCCTCGAATCGATTTCACCAAACAAGACTTCATCTTCTCCTTATCCGAGGCGTCCGATTCCGTGTGGTCGAACCGGGTTGTCTTCTCCACGGTCATGGTCATATCCTACTGCTTTTCCGGGACGGCAAAATCCGTCGACATGTGGCAGGCTTTAACTGACCAAGTCGACATGTGGGATGCACAGAAACCCGCGTCATTCAGACCGATTTTTGCTGGACAACCCGCGGTGGCCGAAGGAAGGTATTGGCCTGAAATCTTGTTCTACACGCCGTGGCATGGTACGTACCTGCAATTTTCCGGGCGATGCCACTTGTGCAAGAACTGACTCGCCAGCCACAGCCACGGGAATGCAATACTACCACCTTGCGAAGCTTTTGCTGTGCCTGTATAGTCCTTACGTACCGCCTCCAGGTGTGGGATTCGAGTACGCGCAGGCTCATCGAACAATGAGGGTGAGTTTACTTCTCTGTTGGAAGTTATCCAGTCTCCAGGACCCAGCAAGATCGGCACCGATCGGAGAGGTTGGGGACCGATCGACTTTGGACCTTAATAGAATCTAATCTTCAATTCTGTCCTTAGGATACTGTTCTCTTCCACACAAGAGCGCTTTGCGGGATTGCCCAATCGAGCCACTTCGCCACCACCAGATTCTTCATGTGCCCCATCATGCAACTGTGTAAGTGTCTCCTAGATATCTCCGCCCACTGTGAGTTCGAACTAGCTAATCAAAGAGGCCCGTTTTCTTTCCAGGCGGCGGCTGGTTCACCGACCCGGACGAGCAACGCGCCATCCTAGACCTGCTTCATCATGCCGAAAACGCAAACGGGTGGCCGACAAAACGCACCACCAAGTCATTGATGAGGCATTGGCTTATAGAAATGCCACCCTAGCCTGGGTCTCGAGTGTCTTCCGGCGTTGTCGCATCGACAGTCCAAATCGTGCCGTCGAGTTCCTGAACTTGTAATATGATACAATTACCATTTGAGTTGGATATGACTGGATACTGCAGGTGAAGTGGGCTTACAGTTTCAAAAAAAATGGGGGTCGATATCAAAATCTTTAGGGAGGATAGCAAAAATGTATCTTGAAATGCATTGGAAAAGGCAATCGGGTGTCAGCTGTAGACTCCCAAGGCCGGAGGCGTGAAAGGTCTCAGTGAAGGGTCTCTTACATTGACATCTAGTCTCAATACTGCATCTGCACAAGTGTTTCGTCAACGCTGTCTCGATCACTGCGTTGACGCTTCTTTAAGACCCTGATACGTTTCGGGCGCGCATCTGCTTGTGTCGACTTGCACATAGCGAGCTTATAAACACTGCTACTACTCGAGAACGATTGATTCGTTGCTCGAGCCAGGCACCTTTTTAAGTGGCACTTCTCCGAGCCCTCGGATCACACACGATTGATTGTCGCTGAACAAGTGAGTTGGAAGGTATATAAACTGATTAATTGACTGGACAAGTCACCACTATCCACGTGGCAGCAGGGCTATCAAGGGCTTGCCATAATACATGCAACAGATTCATTCCGCGTCCGATCCTCCCACAGATCCAATCAATAAATATACGTAAACTCATCGTTCTTGCGGTCCGTGAGATCCAAAAAGGCATTCTCACCCAGCCTCTGTCCAATCTCACTCTCGTCCATGGCAACGTACCGGTCCTCCATGGAATGGTCCTTGATCTTGGCTGCCTTGCCGTTCTTGACCCGCTTCCGGGACTGCAGCTTGTTCAGGAAGATCAGGGTGCCCAACTGGATGAAGATCACCGCCACCATCGTGACGAAGATGGCCAGAACCTTGCGCAGGCCGGGGTGATAGGCCGGGGCGTCTTTCTTGTTGAAGAGGAGCGGGCCGATGATGTTGCCGGCGCTCGAACCAGCGTTGTACAGGGACATGATGACGGATTTCTTGGTGCTGCCGGCGGTGTTGCCAACAATCCATGAGACGATGAGCGGGTTGCCGCCAAACAGGAAAGCCAGGAGATAATACGCCACCAAGAGCCCGGCAGTGGAACCCGAGTTACGCGGAAGGACGTAGAGGACGACCAGACCAGCAATGACGGGCAGCATGAGCCCTGCGAGGACAAAAGACTTGAGCTTGGCCTTTTGGGCAGCGTACGAAGCGAGCAAAATGACAATGAACTGCATCGCGCCAAACGGCATGTTGAGCAGTGAGGTCTTGTATTTGTCGAAGCCCACACCTTGGAGGATGAGTGGGCCGAAAGTGTTGGTGACCGAGGCGCCCACGTTGAGCAGGAGAGCAAGCCCAATCCAGAGATATGTCTTGGGCTCCAGGGCCAGTTCGATAATGTGGTCCCATTTGTACTCGCGATTGCCCGTGCCGGTCTGGTTTGCGCGAAGCCGTTCAATGGCCTGAGCCTTTTCGGGTTCTGTCAGAAACCGTGCCGAAGGAATGTCGTTGTCGAGGAAATACCAAACGATCGGGGCCGTGACAATCGTGACAAGGCCGACAAAAAGGAAAATGATCTGCCACTCTGCCAGAACATTTGAAGGAATATGGCCTAGTCCGTAGGAGAGTGCGGAGGCAGCAATTGTCGCGATTCCGTTGGTGCCGTACCACGCCGCAACACGGAGTGGCTGCTCGGCTCGACGATACCACTGGCTCGTGATGACGCTGAAGAGTGGCAAACAGCCGGCTTCAAACAGTCCAAGGAAGAAACGAGCCGCCAGGAGCGAGCTGTAGTCATGGCAAGCGGCCATCGACGCTTGCGCAATACCCCATCCGAGGCACAGCGCCGGCATGAGAATGCGGTGGGGAACTCGGACAATCAGAAAGGACGAGAACGGCTGCCAAGCCAGTTGGGCAATGGGGGCAATAGATCCCAGAAAGGAATATTGGTCGCCGGTGAGGTGGGTGTCCTGGGTGAGGCCGAAGAGAGCGCCGTAACCAAGAACAGACTTGTCGAGAATCTGGAGAAAGTAGACCCAGACGAGGATGACAAGGATGACTTTGTCGGTCTTGCGCCGGATGCGTTTGTTCTGGGCACCCCTCGTTAACACCAACGCAGAGAAGTCTGCAAGACGGTTCGAGGACTTACATCTTCATCGGTCAGCTCCACTCGTTGGTCTCCCACAATAGCAAGCGCTCGGTCGGCGTGCTTCAGGGACGCTCTCTGCTGCGTCATGTCTTTGGACAGGCGGCCTGACTCGACATCTTCGGCGTGAGCCTCACGGACGGTTTTGTCGTCAAAGGTGGCCATCGTGAAGTCGACACTTTCGCAATATGTTTCTGAATGTCGCTGATGTATTCCACGATAGCCTCGAAGTGACTGACTGGGTGAGAGAACGAACAAGGAGGGGAGCAACAGGAAGATATTTATGCACCCAGAAAGAATGTCCCCCTCGCCAAAACGAGGTTGAGAAGTTTTGGAGGTTGGATCTCGAAGAAGATATCACCGGTGTGGGGTCTGGGCGCGCATCATTCAACCTTCGTTCTGCGTTTTAGCAAAGGCCGAGAAAAGCGCGGAGTGCAGTAGCCAGAACTGCGGTCTGGGGTTGAGTGTCACTAGAGGGTAGGATGGGCCGCCATTGGAGGCACTTGCAGCCACTGCAGCGTTGGATGACATCTGATGCGCAACCCCGCAACAGTGATCGGCAATTGAACAAGCCCGGGAATGGTTAAAGGATGCCTGTCGGCAACGGGGATGTTGGCGGGGGACGGGCATGACCGGTTCAAGTTCCCGTGGCACCCAGCGTGGTGATGGCCATGCACTCATGGGTGACAGCACACCTGCCCGACTTCTGCCGTGGGGGTGGCGCCCAGTGGCTCCCCCCCACGACCCTCCCCACGCCTGCAGCTGGGCACGAAATTTTGCTTGTGGATGGGCTAGTGACGCCTAGGGAGAGACAGTCTAGGCATAGAAGAGTCGAGATCCTCCCAAGCGCCACTGACGGCCGAACAAGGCAGTCGGACTCCATCGATCTCGAAGATGAACAGAACAGTTCTGCAGTTGTGACCTTTTACATTCCATCTACTTGTCTGAACCGGAAACAGTGAATCTCATCGTCTTTTCAACCATCATTTCACTGAATCAACTCTCAGTGTTCGACAGCCCACCCCTCTGATCCTCCATCAATCAAGGTGAGCCCGGCTCTTTGAGACGTCTAGGTAGGTGTATGCAATTCGAGGAGTGGGAGGAGAGATGATTGTCTGGGACAAGGATATCAGCAAAGTTCTGATCTGGCTGCCTCGAGGACATTGTCATCCGGGGACCTGGAAACTTGACTTACCGCCAATTGGGTGCAAACGTGAGCTCACTCCATCTATTCAATTTCCACATGTCGATAGGGGTTGTCGGTCTTCACGGATATGCGGACCGGTTTGTTGGATGTCGTCGAAGACTTTTGCTGCTGTTGACCAGGTTTGGCGCCGTGATGCACTCTCCACCACTTCTCTTGGTCGATCCTATTTCCCAAAGCTCAAAGCTCTCTGTCTCCTAGACTCTCTACCGTGACAGAGATACCTCGCAGCAACTGGTCTCTCTGCAGCGACAACCAGTCCGAGACGAGAATCCCTCCGAAGCTTATCAATATCAGCGACCCCAGGACGGACATGCAGATCTTGTCATCGTCAGACAAAGGCATGACTGTGTTAACTGGTTGAGTTCGGCTGACTGGATTGTTCGTTTCTGATACCGAGAAGGAATCAAGACGTGATTGTCTTGTCTGAATGGCGGCTTCCGTGGCTATCACGAAGTGCGGAGCTTGTGTTATATCCTGCAGGACCTGGGAATAATGGTGTCCACAAAATAATCAAGGGGATCCTTTTCCAAAGACCGTGCGTGATGATGGATGGCGAGTCTGTTATCGGGGGCGACCATCGGAGGGGCATGGCATGCTTTAAATACCTCGCCATGGACGGTAGACAGGACACAAGGTTTGTACCAAAGAAGGAGCTGAGTCAAATGCCAGTCATTCTGCGGCAGAGCAAGCGAGTCCGGTCCCTCTGGATTGGTCGCCGTAGCTGTCACCGCTGAGGACCTGCGAGGTTCTAGCTGGGGACCTCTCCACTACTCTTCGGGCATAGGAGAGTCTGACGCAGCCGGTGCCTCACGAGTGCTCTGCGGGCGAGTATCCTTTCCACGCAGAGCAATCTCGTGTTCACGCTGGCGCTGCAACTCTTTTATGAAGGAGCGACCTACTCTGAAAAGCTGTCAGTATGCGAGATGGGGGAACAAGGGAGGGAATGGGAACACACGTGTAGTAGAGGAAGCCGCCAAGGGTGCCGCCTAGAGCCACCAGCCAGAGCGCGCTTTGCCATAAGATTGGTCTGAGATGTTGATGATGTACATCTAAATTTATGCTGAATTTAAAAAATGAATTGCCAACAATGACTCTTTCGGGAGACGACATATTCAAAATTTAAATCGCAAATTTAGATATGGAAAGAAAAGAGAACAGAAACATGCGAGCTGCGAGCTATTTGAATGGGCTCGAAGAACGCTCCCAGGCAGGAGCCAGTGCCATCTGCCACCTGTCGCTGGATGACCTACTATGAAGAAGGAGCACATCAGGTGACGAAATCGAGGACCTGGTAACCGGATCAAATTGGCAAGGGCGACCACAGAAGGAGCATCGAGTAAGTAGGGACAACTGAGGACAACCGATAGACGATGTCCCCCCATAGTAACTTGACCGTGTGTATAGGCACGGATGAAGGAGGTCCGCTGTAGTAACACGGTCATGGGTATCGTTGATGAAAGGAGTTCCCTGTAGTTCTAACCATCAGTGATCTTCTTGCTTTCGACTCTCTTCTTCCACTCATCCCAGTCGAACACGCCGTGCCCATATGTCCACGACCCCACCTCCCTGTCTGGGACCACCACACCTTCCTTGTCCTTGAAGAACACCAAACCACCAGGTACATCCCTCAGAGGATTACCTTCCCCCTCACCGGACCTGCCAACAGGTCCGATGTCAAAGCCGCAAGCCTGGTAGAATCTCTCCTTCCCGTCTGCGGCGATGACGCTGCACGCGATACCTTCCTTTTGTGCTTGCCACAGACACGTCATGACGAGGGCACGGCCCTGGCCCTGGTTCTGGTATTTAGGGTCGACGGCCAGGCATTCGAGGTACCAGGACTCGGAGCGTGGACCTGTCCAGATGTGGTCGAGGTAGTTGTATGAGCGTTCAATAATGTTCTCGTCCGTCGGTGATGCCGCGTGGTTCGGTGAGAGCCATGAAAGAATTCCCACAGCCAGTCGTGCTATGGGTTGAAATAAACGTCCTTTGAGCCTCCGAGTTAGCATCGTCCTCTATTATTAAGAAGGTTGAGTGATGACCGGGGGCAGCATGAGATACGCCCTGTCGTCGACGATACCATGGTCCTCAATACTTGTGTATCCTGAGAAGCGGTGAATCATAGGTCCCTTCCGGGATCGTGCGGGAAATTGAAGCGAAATGATGGAAAAAAACATCTTGAAGAAGCACTTACTTGGGTCCCACCAAGCGTATCCCCAGCCAGCCTTGTAATTCTCCTTCCAGCTAGGAGCTATCCGGCTCCAATGAGCGACCCCAGTCACGACTTCTCCCCATCCATCTTCAGCCGTCACTGTGGCCACAAGGAAAACATGGCTGGGATCCCACCAGTCGACGACGAACCGTCGATACCAATACTTGTCGACATCGCCGGGATACGACTTTCGATAGGGGTGGATCAGGCGGCCAAAGAGCACATCATCGTCGAAAGCAAGAGAGCACACACGTGCTGCAGCGGAAAGGTCCGAGAACCGTGCTCTCCGGATGTCAAAGGCCCCTTGGGCAAGGAGTGACGACGGAGACAATGGACGCGAAAGGGGAGCCATGATCACCGGGTTTCTTGTCAGTGGCAGGGCTAATGGTTTGATCGTGCGGCGAACAACGGGCCCATGTGGCTGCTGAGTTGAGCTCCCCACAACTCGCGTGTAAGCTCTGGGTTCTGGAGGTTCTCCGCGACTGAGCACTGTTGGGTTGGAGTGTTTTGGGCTCTGGATGCTGCTGACGGTGGACCACAAACGACCAAGGGTTGATATGCAGCTTCCGACAGGTGTTGTTTTGATTGGACCCTCTTCGAATCCTTCGACTCTGCTTTGCGAACTTCTCGAGTGGTTCCGAGCGAATGTTTAAATGTCAGCACGATCACAAATTGCCAGACAAAGAAAACCGATGTGCTCGTGAAGCTCTGTTGGTGCGACCACTACAGCAGCTAGCTGCGTTGTCTGCCGGGAAGACTCCGCCCAAGACTGAAATGAGGATCTCCTGGGTTAGGATGGGAGAACGGCCTTTGGGGTGGTGAGATTGAGTCGACTTCGGCGGAATTGGAAGCCAAACCTCGTCGTCGACGGCGACTTCTGGGGACCAGGCTTCGATATATTCCAAGCCCCTTGAACTAAGCCTTGTGTGCTGAGTGAGCAAAAAGCTAGAAATGATACGTTGGAGATGTTTCCCGTTGGGCAAGGTATCGTATCGTGGTCTTTGTGGTTCGTGGGGTCCGGGTCACAGGAGGTACCTGGTATGATGGCTAGTTGCATTGGCACGGTTGGATCCCGGTGATGGTGCGACGGGCAACCCCATGTAGGCACCATTCGCTCGCGTGATGATGATTTATTTTAGGCGATCCAGCCGCCGCAGGCAGCTACAGTAGCTATGCCGGACCCTATGTGTACCGAGTACAGGCAAGGGCTTCTGGATCCCTGGGGGTTCGGCTTTCAGGCCTTTGACCCCTTCCATTCATCCCTTGTCCTGATAGCCTGGCGTTTCTACCGTACTTCAAACTTTCAAGCCATCAAGCTAGTAGTTCGGGCTGCTGGTTGACGGCCTTTCCCTCTTTTGTTTTCATGGGAATGGCCCTTGAGTGCCAGTCTGTTTGGTGCCCCACTCTTCTTTCTCTCGTCCATCACGCTCTTGGTGTCTTTCAACATTTTCCGGTGTGCGTGTTCTCACGGTGGCGCGTGTGCAGGTCGGCTGAGCCCGGTCACATTTGACTCTGCTCCTGTGACAGTCTCGGCACGGCATTGGCGCGCCGAGTGGGATGCGCCCAGCACCACTTCGGGTCAAAGGCGAGGTGCATAGAGCCTTCCTTAGCGACCTTCATCTCATTGTATTTTTCACACTTCAGTCCCTTCTCTTGGCACATATCGCAGGTCGGCGCAGCCCTGTCACACGCGTCGTTCGTCGTATGACGAGCTGCGCGTGGGAGTTCGCTTGGCTCTGAAGCGGTTTCCGAAACGGTTTCCCAATCGGAAGATTCTTCGACCTTCGGGGATATGCTTGACGATTCCGGCATCTGAGCTCCCATGAGGGTAAGTAAACGAGGGGGACCCGGAGTTGTAATGCGTCACAACATGACAAGGTTCGTACCGTAGGAGATGCTGTTGTACTGTAGATACAATTACATACATACAGTGCAAAGTGGATGAATATCAGTGTACTCGGTACTGCTGCGTATGTAGCATGGTGGGCCTTTGGCGAATCCAGTCAAGCCGTGGAATGGAAAATGGTGGATCAACCTCTCGCTGGGTAGAGTCTGTGTGCCCCAATCGTTTATAGGAAAGTTTAGCGAGTCACACGGCGATAACTTGCAGGTCGCTCAGCTTTAGCTTTCTAGAGAGATCAATTCATTCAGTTGGTTCCACAGGAAAGGGGCAAGTATCACCACCTACTATACATGGAGGTAGGAGGAAGAGATCTGGTGGATTAAGAGGTCGGTATTCCACGCGAGCACCAACCAGTATTGCAACGCCTGAAAGCCTCTGCGGGCCCCGAAGCCATCTCCCCAAAGAAACTACGGGTAACACTCTTGCCGCGGGCAACGCATGCGCCCGTCAGAAACAAGTCTGTACCATGGTGGAGCAGCAAAATGCAAGTGCTGTGGACGCCAGCGCCATTTCGGTTAAGGTCGGGTCTGCCTTGTTTAATCGTGCCTCGTTCCTGTTTGAGATTACCGAACTTCGGGGGACTGGGAAAGGCGATGGGGGCGCGAGCTAGGCACGAACTGGGCAATAAGTTCGGAGGTACTCGTTCCTGCATACTCCCGTACGGTACGAGTCGATGATTGCGTAACAAGAAGACACCTGCAGGCTTTTGTTGTTTGTCTCTTCGAGGGCAACGTCCCAGACCAAAGAGTAGTGAATAGCCTTGTGCATTCGAAGTAACACAGACTACCACCGTGGTCTCATTCCTTTCCCGAGTTTTCCACAGTTAGGGTGATAAATATATTCAATCAGTCGTGGCTATATACCCATGTGATTTCCGAGCTTGCCATACCCCCATATGTCCTCCTTTTAAACCTAGGGTCACTGCCCTTTTTGGGAATTCCGTAGCATATCCTCCCTCCTGCGCCCCCATCCTTCCAGGACCTGCCTGATGCCCACCTATAGTAACCATCCCCAGTACCTGTCTGGCTGTATATCGCACATAACTGTACACTTGCCGGGGCCCCAGCCTCAGGCTCTCCCCTGGTCCATTTCGTATTGGACGTTCCATTGCACGTCTTTACGGATGATGTGATCTCGGCTGCCCCCGCTGTCGATCGAATCGTGCTCTCGCATCATGGTGACCTTGTTGACACCGGCGTCGGCTTCGGGTACGGGCGGGTATTGCTCGGCGTCGTGGTAGGACCGGCGCGCCTTGGACTTGGCTGCGCTATTGTTGCCCGTGATGGAGCCAAGCTCGAAAGCATTCACGATCCGCCCCAGCCGTCCAGACCCGGCACCAGAACCGCGTCCAGAACCGCGCCCAGAGCCCCGACCCGACCCGTACGCCTGCGTGACGGATGGGTCGAGCTGGATACCAAAGCCACTGCTGAAGCTCCGGACGAACGACTTGAGGTTGGGGATCGTGGCTGCGATGAGCGACCAGCACAGCTGCACCTCTTGGATGACGATCACGGGCACAATCGCGATGCCTGGGTTGTTTGAGTTGGTATAGTCGGCCACGTAGTGGAGGTGGAGGATGGAAAGCATCGCCACACTGAGTCAAATTGTCAGCACAGCACGGCAGCGCCTTGGAGTCGAATCGGATAGAGACTCACGGTAAACGAAACGCAAAGGCGCCCACAACCTGGCATTTCATCGACAAAGCCAGGTGTACAGGCCAAACCACGAAGACCGTGATCAGCACCAAAATGCATTCTGTAGCCACGTCAAACGCGGTGATCAACTGCCAGCGAAGGAACTGGAAAACCCCCATTAGCGCGTCTTAGCATAGCACTTGAGTTTCGATTCGCCCACCTGATCTGCGCATTGTGCGCCGTCTCCTTGGATGAATCCTGGAATGGAGCAATTGACCGACACGGCGACAATGGACAAGATTCCCCAGAGGCCCATCCCGCACAAGACAGAAAGACTGGTCCAGTATAGCACTTTTGACCGCAAATCTTTGGCTGTCCGTGGGCCGACCAAGTTGAACAGCCTCATCATCAAACATAGTGTGGAGGCCTTTGCTATAGTGGCGGATATGATGAACAGAACCTGGGCAGCAAATGTTGCCTGCGTGCAGTCAGTAACAAAGTATTGGGGATTGACGAGGGCCGGCATACTCGGCTGGCTTTTGAAAGCTCATCCCCCCGTAGAAGCTCTTGTGTCTTTCCCAATCCATGATCCAATCCAACTATCACTGAGATCACTTCTCCGACCTGAATTGCCTGCGTCGCCTGTCAGTGTCCGGCCTGCGATGCCATCCGGGATCTCTCCTCACGGTTGCAGCCAGGGCCAGATAATCGTCCAGTCCAAACATCTTCCATCTCAGATGCCCTCTCAACGCCAATGTGACGACCGAATAGATGAGACATAACAGTGTTGCAATCCATACCGACCCAGCGTGGTCGTCGGGCGTGATCGGGGAGAAGCGATGAGTCGCCATGATATCCCCCCTTTTCTTTTGGTCGACGAGCTATAGATACTGAAGAGGGCAGCGAAGAAGAGGATTGAATCGCGATGGAAGCGTTCTTTTGAGTAATAGAAACACGGATAGTGGTCGACGAAGTGCAACAAGGCTGGACTACGTGCCTTCCTCCACCATAGCGCAAAGGGTCGAAGGATAGTACAAAAGTACGTTAGAGAACGTCAAGGTGATGTGTCATGGAATATCAATTGGGAGTTGAGGTGGGATTTGCAACTGTATAAACTTCAGAGAATCATGCTTTGGAGCGGGATCGAATGTACCATGTCCCCAGAGCGATCCACCGCCACCCCTGGTGACCACGTCGGAAGAAGTATCACTTGGCCGGTTTTATTGACACATCTTCCTGCCACAAACTGTTTCGGAGGGGAACTGAAATGTACGGATCAGGCCGTGCTCTGAAAAACTCTGATAAGTCTAGGAACGTGGGAGACTGAGATGGAGTTCTGGGTGGGAAGCATGACCGGGAAAAGCGCGATAAGCAAAGGCCTGCCAGGGACACCGGTGGCGCATATGGCAGCGGAACTGACATTGATTGAAATGCTGATCATTTCTTGGAAGGATGCAGCTTCTGATACTCGCAAGGAGAGTTTGCAGGGCTGGCAGACGAAACAAACCTCAGCCAATGTTAGAATGGATGGGTGGTGCCACGCATTTGGTTGAGAGTGGCCATACGCATGCTGGTCTTCTATTGTCCTTTTTGAGGTCCCAAGAGGGCCAAGTGATAGGCGTGTGCCCGACACTGGGAAAGCTTTGTTCTTGCTTGGTACCGAATAGAGAGTCGTGGTAATGCTTGCTGGCGAAGTGCCGTGGTCGTCAAGTGGCTAACAAAGATACTGCATCGACAACCGAAGCAGCTAGCCTCTCGCTTGCCGGCGGGCCACCACCATCCACTAACCAGTCCAAGGCAAGGGGCTTTAGTGTTCGGGAGGAAGAGGAGGAGGGATACCCTGGCGAGATGCTTCCCCGGGTGTCCTACTGCAGATCGGTCCTCTAGGTAATAGAGCACAGACGCGGTTCGTGTCCTTCTCTGCTCCTTAGATTTGCTCCCGAACTCTGGGAAAACTCTCAGTATCCAAATTCTTTCCGGTTCGTCCACTTTGTTCCGATCTGTCATGGTGTCAGGGGAGAGTTCGACAATACGCAAAATCAGTTTTGTTGGTTATTCCAGCACAAACAACCCAAGTAGCAGCTGGCACCACTTACTAATACGCAGAATCTTGGATGTGAAATTGGCCTGTTTGTCTTTGTTCGCTTACCGGGCTGAATTAGGGCTGACTGGCAGGGGGGGTTTTCCTGTGAGCTCGTATCAGTGACATGGCCATTGCTCGCCTGAACCCCTCAACAAAATCAATCCCCCTGGATGGGTCTGGAGACACGGAGAGAATAAGGGATCTGGCCTAGTCTAGGGTCTGCCGAGACTGAACTTCGGGAAGCAGCATGCAGCTGGTTGAGCAAGTAGCAGCAAACAGCCATGTTGATCACCTCCCCAAATATTCTCCGTCCATGCAGGTGGTACACCGGAATGATAGGTTCCTGTGTCTCTCTCGGTAGCGTCGAGGGGTGTTTACCCGTAGACAAAAAGACTACCGGACATGGCGAAGTTAATGGATCCACACCAGCAGTTTTGATCGCCTTGTCTTGCCCACGCAGCAAGTGGAACGTGCAACTTGAGGTCAGCCATTGACGGGGACGGTGGGAAAAAGCTTCCCCCGGCCGATCGAAGCCTCTTTCTTGCCTTCACGTCAAGGCAGCTAGCTCAGCATCATCCGCTAGGCATCTGTATGTGGCGATCGGGCACTGTGCTTCCAACCCCCTCAAAATGCCCCAGCGACTGGTGACAGGCAGGAAAATTGAATTCTTTTCCGTTGGCAGTGCCCTTGGCTGATGTGACCAGGGAACCGTGGAGATGAAGCTCCAACAATCGAGCACACGAGAATGTGGATGGCGACATTGCCGACTTCTCGCTTACCTCGACAACGCTTACATGGCTCGACACCACTCTTCAACCCTCTCGGCCAACAACCCTGCACCTCCTCTTGATCAATGGGTGACCCCTTAGCCCGACATAATTAGATGGGTGTCTTCCAGCACGTCAGCGAGACAGATGGTGTGTCCTGAGTTTGACGTTTTCAGAGCTTGCTTCATGTGGGACCCTGCGTGCAGTCTCGTTGCACACTTTCTCACCCTTCGAACCTGTCACACATCCTCTTGCCATTGGGCATCCTCGACCCAGGTCCGCAGCCACCTCTACAAGCGTCTTCTTATTCCTCTCCGACATGAACGACTCTAGAGCTATTGACTTTGGGCGCCCTGTGGCGTGCTTAAGCTCACAACCCAACAGCCGGTGTCCACCCTCCTGATACTGTCAGGGCCTTATGCCCTGGACTGCCTTGAGAAAATACCCGACGAGACAAGACACACGGTCGATCCTGAGGCATGGCCTAACTGGCGAAACCCCTATCAAACAATGTTCCCTTGTTGGTAATTGGCCTTGAGGCCCGTCACCAGTGCGAAATCTGCATGACCCGATAAGCCACTTTCGTACTGAGGCCGTCTAGCTTGCATTGGGACATGCATAAGCACACTGGCACGCGAACTGACAAGAGTGAGTACCGACTCCTTGCCTCTACCCTGGCCGAGGATGGTCAAGATCAGCACTCACAACCACATGGGCCTCGTTCCTTGCTTGACACATGGCAAGCCCTTCCCCTCCACTTCTACCGCCTCCTCCGCGATCTTCTTCTTTTATCTCTTCAACTTCGAATACAACCTGACTTGTGTAAGCGGTCAGACTTTTCCCCTGCGATCTGATATCCTAACAGCGCTTCTTTTGTTGTTGTTCCACACGAGTCCCTCGACCTCGTCATCTCGCGCAAGCTGGTACCACTATCACGATGGCAGACAACAAGGAGAATGCGATCGTCACATCCCAGGTTGACCTGGAGTCAACAGCTGCGGATTTGTCGCCCGAAAAGAAAGGAACCAACGATGACCAGAGAGATATGTTTCGCATGGGCAAACACCAAGAGCTCAGGGTAGGAGACACTCCGTATCCCCCAACAATTGCCGTCATGGTTAACGAGCCTAGCGAAATTTTCGATTTGTCTCCATTTTCGGCTTCTCCATGATTCTCATGGCCAGCTGGGAAACCATGTTAGGGTCAGTGAGAAGCTCGAGAGACCTTGTTGTGCCAGTGGATCCAGACTGACACTTGGACAGCACATCTATCATCGGCTTGATCAACGGCGGTACCGCCGGAATGATCTGGTTGTTCCTGGTGGCCTGGATTTGCTTCTTGGCTGTCAACACTTCAATGGCCGAAATGGGATCCATGTATGACGATGACATCCAAAGGAATACCATGATTTTGCTGATACCTTGCCTAGGGCTCCGACATCTGGCGGTCAATATCATTGGGTCAGCGAATTTGCGCCACGGAAGTACCAAAAGTTCATGAGTTTTATTGTTGGTGAGTGAACTCCAGGCTTCATGTTCTACTCTTTCTAACAAACCTCTCAGGGTGGCTCTGCGTGCTCGGCTGGCAGACAGGCGCGGCAACACAGGTGAGAGGAACTTCCCGACAATCCCCGGATATCTCTTTGCTGGCACATGCGCTAATTCCACACATAGCATTTCTCGCCGGAACTCAAATTCAAGGCCTTGTGATCTTGAACTATCCGGACTACACACCTGAGAGGTGGCATGGAACGTTGTTAACGTTCGCCGTGGCCTCATTCTCCGTCTTCTTCAACACGTTTCTCGTCAAAAAATTGCCGTTGGTGGAAGGTATTGTGCTTATCGTCCACGTGTTTGGCTTCTTCGGCGTCCTCATAACCCTCTGGGTCCTCGGGCCCATCGCAAATGCGAGCGACGTCTTCACCACTTTCAACAATTACGGCGGTTGGAGCAGCGATGGGCTGTCAGCAATCGTCGGCATTCTAGCAGTAATGATCCCGTTGCTCGGCGCAGACGGCGCCGTCCATATGTCCGAAGAACTTCGCGACGCATCAAAAGTGCTTCCCCAAAGCATGATCTGGACTACGATCCTGAACGGCTCCATGGGTTGGATCATCCTCATCACCTTCTGCTTCACTCTGGGAAATCTTGACGATGTGATCGACTCACCCACGGGACAGCCCTACATTGCCGTCTTTTACAATGCCACGCAGTCATACGCTGGCGCATCGGTTCTCTCAGCTCTGGTCATCTTCATGGCCATTTTCTGCAACTTGTCGATCACAGCCACTGCTTCGAGGCAGTTGTGGTCCTTTGCCCGCGATCAGGGCATTCCGGGTGCTTCTTGGTTCGCATACGTATGGCCTTCCCCCCTTTTCCTTGGTCGGATGAACTGAGCTGACTGTGTTATACAGGTGCGACCAGGCTGGGACGTCCCACTGAACAGTATCGTGGTCTCCTTTGTGGTTTCCTGTCTGCTTTCCCTGATTAACATCGGCTCCACAATCGCGCTCAACAACATTACCTCGCTGTCGCTGGTCGCCATCTTGTCGTCATACATTGTCTCCATCGGCTGCCTTTTCTGGAGGCGATTGACTTATCAGCCCCTGCTCCCGGCCAAATTCACCTTCAGCAGACCGGTTGGACTGTTTTTGAACGGTTTCAGTCTCATCTTCCTGGTCTTCGCTTTCCTCTTCGCGTTCTTCCCCGGCAACCCGGATCCAACTGTGGAGCAGATGAACTGGGCCAGCTTGATCTACGGGGGCGTCATGGTTTTTGCAGTTCTTCACTATTACGTCCAAGCCAGGCATGTCTATGACGGCCCTGTAGAATATGTGCGCAAGCTGGTGTAAATTATGGATCTTTTTGCTTGCCCTGCAGGTCAAGGGCAGGATATGGTCGTTGAGAGGTGGTATATTGCTGGAGTGGATGTCGCCAGAGTATCACCTGCAGCGCGTGGTCTGCTTCTCAGCCAATTGTAGCACTGGAGATAGTGCCATATGTATGAAAATAGTGTGGACAAGTCGGAATTGAATAACAAGCACATGTCAGGGCGTTAGATACCCTTTACCACGTGTTGACCAGAGTGGAAGTTTCCGTAGACTGGTCTAATCTCAGTCTCACGTGAGGCACGTATACATACATACTGTAGATTCGGAGTCGACTCGCCTGACTTCCGAACTTCGCTCATGCTCAACCCCAGAACCCTGAACACGGGGGGACGAACATGGGGAAGTGGGAAATGTGACCCAAGCCCATGAGCCCCTACCAACCCAATCAGATGATTTTTCGTCCCGTGTGCATTTCAGCTCCTTCGTAACATTTTCTTGATCCATCGGTGATAGAGCTTTCCATCCCGCTTTTAGTCCCTGTATCGCGGTGTTCTACCAATGTTCAGTCCCGTGATGCTTCGTCTCGGTCTCGGTCTGGTGATGACTGGATTGTAAAAGCTAGTTTGGGCAACCATGAAGCCCTTTCCAAGCTTGATCTCAAGAGCACACGGTCCAGGCTCTAGATGACCCTCACATCCATCGTGAAGGCGCCTTGCCTCACTCGTATTCGACTCCGCCATTCCAGGCTGGAATGGCCCTACGAGTGGTGCCAGGATGTAACGCCCGAGGATGGAGATGCAACTATTGGTGACTTGTCAATTTCTCCGGACAGGGACTTTTGATGCACCGAGCGACGTGCTGTCTCGCGGGTGGCATTGGATGATATGGAAAAAGTTACTCCGTCGTCCAACACGAGCACGGTAGGGGACAAATCTAGACTTTGGGTTGACGGTGCGGCTGAGCAAGGAAAATGAAGGAAAAGAAGACGGCTATAAAGGGTGTGGTAGGACTGTGCTGTAACTTGGAACATCTTGACATTTGCCTCGCCCTTTGCTTCCCATCCTGCCGTCTTGAGCATCACCTCACCCTCACCTGTGTCACCACTCTTTCCTCCAAATATCCCCCAATCCCCAATCGCTCGCATCCTGAACACCACCTAACTCCCTCTATCGCCATCCGGGCAAAAGGTATGGCTCCCCACGCAACTGAAAACGGCACCGATGCCACGTCCTCATCGGGTGGCCTCGACTTCACCACCTTCTCCAACGTGATTGACGGCAAGCTCACGTCCACCGAAAAGACTCGCCATGGAATCAACCCCGCCACCGGGAACCCGAACCCCGAGGTGCCCGTCTCGACGCCTGAGGATGTGGACGAGGCCGTAGCAGCGGGCAAGAGGGCGTTCAAGACATGGGCCAAGACACCGTACGCGGAGAGGCAGAAGGCAATGCTTGCATTTGCGGACGCCCTGGAGAAAGAGAGAGACGGATTTGCGAAGATGTTGACGCAGGAGCAAGGGAAGCCAGTAAGTTGAGGACAGGAAGAGCTGCAGCCTTGACTGCTGACGTGTTTGCAACTCGAAGCTTCATTTTGCCTACTTTGAGATGGACTTCACACTTCAGATCATCCGAACCATGGCAAACCTAGAGCTTCCTACCGAAGAGATTGTCGACGAAGCCGATCGGAAGATCATTGTTCGGTACACTCCGCTCGGGGTGACCGTGGGCATTGTCCCATGGAACTATCCTGTCTTGCTGTGCTGCTCCAAAATTGCCCCATGCGTCGTCACGGGCAACCCCATCATCATCAAGCCGTCCCCGTTCACCCCCTATGGCGGACTGAAGTTGGTGGAATTGGCGCAGAGATTCTTCCCACCGGGTGTCGTCCAAGCCGTCAGCGGAGACGACAACCTTGGCCCGTGGTTGACGGCTCATCCTGGTCCTGCAAAGATTAGCTTTACAGGCTCCAGCGCCACTGGTAAGAAAGTCATGGAGTCAGCGAGCAAGACGCTCAAGCGTGTTACATTGGAGCTGTACGCGACCCTTCCCAACATCTCTGATTTTGGCTCCAGCTAATTAGTGGAACAGTGGTGGGAATGATCCTGCCGTCATCTGTGACGACGTGAACGTTGACGAAGTTGCTCCAAAGGTGAGTGTTTGACCTTCCCGCGGGGTGTGATAATAACCAAAGTATTTCAGATTGCGACCCTCGCTTTTCTGAACTCTGGCCAGGTAAGATGACTTTTGTCTCGCACTCCCTTAACAGGGGCTGAGTGGCTGACCCACCAAGATCTGTCTGGCTCTCAAACGTATCTTTGTGCACGAGAAGATCTTTGACCAATTCCGAGACAAGATGGTCGAATACACCAAGACTTTGAAACTCGGCGAAGGCTTCGAGAAGGATGTCTTCCTTGGCCCAATCCAAAATTCTATGCAGTACGAGCGGGTCAAGGGCTTCTTCAATGATATTGAGAAGGAACAGTACAACGTTGCGATTGGCGGCAAAAACCCTGATGGGCCGGGATATTTCATCACGCCGACAATCATCGACCGTCCAAAGGAGGACTCGAGGCTGGTTGTCGAAGAACCATTCGGTGAGTCATGGGTGCATTGCAGGATGACCCAGCCCTGAGGCTGACAAACTGGTCGTAATAGGCCCCATCGTACCTCTCTTGAGCTTCAGCACCGACGAAGAAGCCATCGAAAAGGCCAATAACACCACGTACGGGCTTGGTGCTTCCGTGTGGTCGGGCAACATCGAACGAGCTTCAAAGATTGCCCAGGAGCTTGAAGCCGGCAATGTGTGGGTGAATACTCATTTCGAGCTTGATGCAAGAGCACCGTTTGGTGGCCACAAGGAGAGTGGCATCGGGACCGAGTTTGGTGTCGGTGGGTTGAAGTCGTACTGCAACTCGCAGACCTTGTACTTGAAGAAGTGATGGTCAGCCAAAGGATACCTGGTGAGAACATTGGATGGTGGTTCGCATGGTGCTGGCTGTGTCAATGGTTTATATCCAAGCAGGTACTCAAGTGCACTGCTCTTCATTCGGACATTCCCTTGGTTGTTAAACGATCATGGATGCCCACAGTGTCTCCTGAGAGCCCCACAACTCGGAGGATTTGGGCCGAGGGCTGCTGCCGGCTAGTCATGAACCAGCGAGGTTAAGCACGAGTACGTTGCTAGCCCCTTTGCGGGGAAGGCCGCAGCAAAAGTAATTATTACCTACAGCCCCGGGAAGACCCAACCTAGGCCGCCCCCCAAGCACCAGTAACCACTACCGGGGCAAGGGCGGGGGATTCCCCCCCAGTGCACCCAAGGATCGTGCTTCGGGGCGTCTCTCTTAATCTCCAACGAATAAAAAACATCCTTGCGGATTGGTCCCTTCCTTCACAACCAGTCACCAATCCATCAATTTTTTTTTGTCTGTACCATCACCATCACTCCGGCCACTTGCGCTTTGGGCCCGCGTCGTCAAGTTCAGCGTAGACTTGCGATCAAGAACATGCCGCAGCCGATGTGTCGATGACATCGGTTTGACGGCCGTGGCAAGATTGATGTTTCGGCGCGATTCAGCAGACGACGCTCGCGCACACCCACCGCTTGTTCCTGTTCGCGCTTGGGCCTTTCCACCAGCGACGATCTGGGCAAGATTGGACACAACATGTCCGAAAATAAGCGACCGCGCCTCGATTACCCTGCCCTCGCTCCCAGCATCAACGACCAACCTGTGACCGACCCGTCTGCTTCATCTGATCATAGACGCCGCTCGAGCTCGGGAAAGACAGAGGGGAAACGCCGTTTCGAGTGCACATACGCTGGGTGTGGTCGAGATTATTCACGGGCAGAGCACCTCTATCGCCATCAACTCAACCGTACGATTCCCGCGTCTGGCTTCTTGTTGAGGTCTTCTGTGAGCTAACCTGGGCCTAGATAACCCCAAAGAGATCTATAAATGTGACTATCCGGGCTGTCTACGCACATTTGTGCGCCAGGATCTCTGCCTCCGCCACCGCGAGAGGCACGAGGTGAGGGGGCCGATGCCTAAAGCTCATGACCCTCACCGAGAGCCTCTGTCTCCGCGCTCATCGTTCAGCGAAGAGCCTGTGATGAGCCCGACTTCCCCTCCCTTGAATATCTTTGCGACACCGAAGCCAACCTCAGATACTCTCCCGTCACCCCTGCTGAAGCGATCGTCCTTCTCCGGCGAGCCAGCACTGAAGCCGACGGATCTACAAGCTATCATTCAACAGAATGTTCCCGAAACGAACGGGACGAGCGACCAGGCGACATCCCAAGCTTTCCATTCGACGGCGCCGCTACGACATGGTCTCCACGCTATTCTTCATCATCCTGTACCGACCGCTAACTTTGCCCCAACGGATCTGTCCTCAGATTCGTCCTTGACCGCCCGCGGACCGCAGAGTATACCAGACAACGTCTTCGATAATCTTGATCCCTCGATCTTAAGCAAAACACGGACGCAATCAAGCGGCTCCAGGATTCCCACCGCGGCTGATCCACAAATGTCGGATCGGTCGTCGGTCACATACAACATGCCTAGCTTGGGAGACCAGACGTTTAACGATTCACCCGTCTCGGTGCGAGATGAATTTGCCACCTGGCTCTTTGATGACGCCGGCGGCTTCCACGGTGCTCCGTTCTCTATGGGTGCGCAAGGGGGCATTGGCTTCGCTCACGGGGCCGAGATATTTGGTAGTGCCATGTATTCCAACTACTTTGCTGACCCTGCCCTGGACAACTCTTATCCCGGTCTCAGTCAGCAGCGGCCAGATGAAGCAGCGAGCAAGGTGCCTGAGCCCTCCGTTGATAGCACCATTCTGTCCCACGCCAAGCGCGCGTCGTTGATCAGCTTGATAGAGCGCTTCCGCGAAATCGACAATCCATTGGTCCGACAGCTCAGAGAAGAGATCTTCCAGGGCAACCCCGACGCGGAGGAGCATGTTCTCAGCATTCGTTCCATGCAGCATTATATTGGCTCTTACTGGTATCACTTCCACGGTCAGATGCCCATCCTACATCAACCCACTTTTTCCGCCGACGACACCCACGACTACCTCCTCCTCGCGGTCATGGCCATCGGTGCCGCGTTTCTCAACAAGGCTCATGGACGAGCGGTGACCGACGCGGCTGCTCGATTCGCCACCTTCATCGCCTGGCATTTGCGTTTTCAAGTTTTCATGCACGGTGACTTCCATCCTCCGGCAAAGTTGTGGATCTTTCAAACGCTCTTGTTGCTCGAGGTCTACGAGAAGATGAATGCGACGAGAATGCTGCATGAGCGCTCCCACATTCATTATGCCACCACCATAACCCTCATGCGGCGAGGAACAGCTCTGATCGAGACGCCGAACCAGGATTCCTCTCGGGCGCCTTGTTCTCCCGAAGAATGGTGGGGTCGCTGGGTCACCGCCGAAGCCACTCGTCGTGCCGCCTATGCGGCCTTCTATCTGGACGCACTTCACGCGGCCATGTTCGGCCACGCCGCGATGATGGTGGCTCATGAAATCCGACTCCCTCTCCCCTGCGACGACGCCCTGTGGTCCGCCACTTCCGCCGCTGAAGTTGGACGCGTTGAGGCTAGTTTGCACGCCAACGGGATCAAGCCAACCACGTTTTTGGACGGGCTGAGAAAGACTCTGACCGGCCGGAAAGTCCGGACGAACAACTTTGGCAGAATGATTCTCATGGCTGGTCTCCTGTCTGTCTCGTGGCACATGAATCAACGTGACCTCCAGGTGTCCAGCCTCGGGGTGTCTCAGACAATGGGCATCCCAGATGGATGGAGGACACCGGTGACGAAAGCGTTTGACTTCTGGAAGAAGGACTTTGATGAGAGCCTCGAACACATGCGGAAGGCGACACTCCCCTGGCAGAAGAACGACAGTGTATCCGGCCAAGAGGACATGGCGCAGACGGCCGAAATACTTCACCACCTGAGCCATATGGCCATGCACGCCGACGTCATGGACTGCCAGGTGTTTGCAGGCATCAAGCGACTCTTCGGCAGGGTTGTGACCAATGCCGATTACGAGAGAGTCAAATGCAAGCTCTTCGACTGGGCAAAGGGCCCGAGTGCACGGGTTGCCGTCTACCATGCTCTGCAGTTGCTCAGATCCGTGATTCTACCGGGGAAAGGCAGTTCGAGAAAGTTGTACAACGCCCGCGACGACTATCTCATGATGCGACCGTGGATCCTGTACTTTGCCGCGCTGGTGGTCTGGTCGTATGGGTTTGCGCTCGATGGGGTGCTCCGACCGTTTCCAAGTCTTTTGCAACCTGATTCCTCACCGGGCGCAGCTTCGGCTCGGTCCCACGGCTCCAACCAGTCGATGCTGAATATGGCCCACGATGGCGCCGAGTTCCAGGTGGAAGCGGTGGTGAAGGACGCTCACACTTTCCTGCAGACGGTAGGAGCGGTGAAATCACCACAGCAGCTCGAGTCGATCAAGGATGGTCGCAATAATGTCGTGGGTGTTTTGGCGATCCTGGAGACAGCCTTTCGCGATTCGAGGTGGGAATTGTTGCACGAGGCGGCTGATCTTCTTCGCAACGCTATTGTCTTGCTTCGCGGTGCGAGCCGTCCGTGACGCAGAGAGAGGGAATCCTGCCTTCAGGTAGATGTTGGCTTGCATGCTTGCATGTTGTACAGTTAACCTTTTCGTGAGCACAGACCTCGATGTGATTTACAGCCCTCGTGTCTCTGCGAGGTTGTCGGCAGCCGAGATTTTGTTTGTGTCGTGAAATATATATACGTCTTTGCTTCCAGCGCCAGAGCACATGGTATCCGCATGCTGTGCAATTGGGAGTGCTCGACATGGTGTCAAAAAGACGGCCATTGTTCTTGATATATGCACCTCTGCGATCAAGTGTGAGAAGACTTGCTGTTTTGTCGATGTCCTGAGGAACTCTCGGTATATCGAAAGAAGACTCGGCTGCCATCTGACGACGGTTATGCAGAGTATATACATATATATATATACACACACATGTGCTTTTGAGGATGTCTCTTCAGACGTCCCAAGCCAAGAACACCCACCTCGCCATTTCTGCCACGAATGCAGGGAGCCGAGGACTCTCAACCTGCAAACTACATCTGTGAGTGTGAGAAAGGCAGAGGCCCGAACTACGTGTCACGGACACTCTTTTTATCCCACGAGCCAGTGACTCAGTACCTGTGAGGAGCGAGAGACACAAACCCCACGCAGAGACAGACAGCCAGATGGGCCGTTCTGCATTGTTCTGTCATACCTACCCAGCTGTGGGGGATCATCCCGCCCACCACTTTCGTTCGCCTTCGCTCTCCGGACGATATGTGGCCGAGGAAGAATCCACCGTTTGTGGGTTGACGGCGACTGAACGGCGTCATCTCATTAGTCGCCCCAGAGTGCTATTTGGGTTATAGCCGATGAGGAGTTGGGGTGATTATCCAAACTCATCGTCGGGATCTGGTACAATCCTGTCTCGCCTGTAAACGAGTCCTCACCGGGTGTCACATAACTAATTACCAACTTACTCTTCCAAGCCCTTTGTTGTTACTGTCCAAGCAATATCTCCCTCAGAGCACCACCCCCCTCGAGATGGCCACCAGCCAACTGAACTCCCTCCAAGGCACCACCAATGGCCAACGTCTCGAAGTCCCTGGCGCGCCGACCCTGGCCAAGATCAAGAGCGTCGAGTACTTCCGCGTCAAGCCGCGGTGGCTGTTCGTCAAGATCTGCGACGATCAGGGGTTCCATGGCTGGGGAGAGGCGACGCTCGAAGGCCATACCAAGGCCGTCGAGGGTGCGTTGGACGAGATCATCGACCGCATTGTCGGGTATGAGGCAGAGTAAGTCAGATACCCTTTGTGTTGCTTCTCCTGCCGTTGGGTTCCGCCGTGCTTTCTGTGGGTTACGCGGATTGCTGAAGAGTCGATGTAATGGGGTTGTTGTAGTGACATCGAACACATCTGGCAGACGGTGTGGCGGCTGGGATTCTACCGTGGAGGCCCTGTTTTCATGTCTGCATTGTCGGGTATCGATATTGCCTTGTGGGATTTGAAAGGTGAGAAACCCCCTCTGAAGGGCTTGACAAAGACATGTGCAAAGAGGGCTCTAACCGTGCGCTCCAGGCCGTAGACTGAACGTCCCCATCTACCAACTCCTAGGCGGCAAGGTGCGCAACAAGGTCCAAGTGTACGCGTGGATCGGTGGCGATACGTTCCAGGACATCGAAGGGGCAGCCAAGGCACGCATCGCTCAGGGCCTGAAATGCATCAAGATGAACGCCACGGGCCCGGTCAACTGGCTCGACTCGCCTGCGGTGCTGGACGCCACGATCGAACGCCTCAAGATCGTGAAGAACCTGGGCCTCGACGCCGGGCTGGACTTCCACGGCCGGCTGCACAAGCCCATGGCCAAGCAGCTCGCACGGGCGCTGGAGCCGTACCGGCCGCTCTTCATCGAGGAGCCGCTGCTGGTCGAGCACGCCGAGGGGCTGAAGCAGCTGGCCGAGGGCACGAGCATCCCGATCGCATTCGGCGAGCGGCTGTACTCGCGGTGGGACGTGAAGCGGTTTCTGGTGGACGGCAGCGTCGACGTGCTGCAGCCGGACATCGCTCACGCGGGGGGCATCTCCGAGACGCGCCGCATCGCTGCGCTGGCCGAGACGTACGACGTGGCGATCGCGCCGCACTGTCCGCTGGGCCCCGTCGCCCTGGCCGCCAGCATGCAGGTGGCGCTCTGCACACCCAACTTTGTCATCCAGGAGATGTCGCTGGGCATGCACTACAACGTCGAAGCCGGTGAGGAGGACCTCAACACCTACCTGGTCGACCCGGCCGTGTTCGCCATCCGGGACGGCTACGTCGACGCCCTGAGGGGTCCGGGGTTGGGCATCGAGATCGACGAGGCGGTCGTGCGTCGGATTTCCCAGGACACGGGACACTGGCAGTGCAAGGAATTTTACGGGCCGGATGGGTCGATTCGGGAGTGGTAGGGGGGGGAAAGGGTGGGAGGTGAAGAACGATATATGATTCCGACTTCCGCTTCTCCTGGCCACCCATTGTCTGCATGGCGATGGCGCGCGGCGAAGAGTGCGAGTGGAAAGGGAGAGGGGAACGGAAACGGAAAGCAAAAGCATGTTTTTCTTCCATTTGCACGGTAGAAAGCAACAAGGCGTCTGACAATCATCAACCAAGACACGAGGGAATACAGTCGCGCCCGTCAGAATGGTCCACCCTATGTATGTTTCTTTTCTTCATCTTGTTCCCTGCGGACATTCCCCCCCTTCATTTCCGGGAGGCTGGCTGCTCTGAGCTAAGCATCATCATATGCTGTTTGTATGCAAGCGAGCGAGGGGAGAAGGAATGGATTTCCCACGGCTCCGATCGGATCTTCTTGAACCTACATATTCATCGTGCCCATACCTCGTCCGAACCTCTGTAGAGCATACATACATATACTCAGGACTATGAACAGGGGGAGCGCGCGGCAAGCTAAGTAGCCGCTGACATGTCGTGCTGTTGTCGTGCTGTTGTAGTGTTGTATAGAGTCAGTTGACATGATCCCTTTCCCCCTGTCCCCTCTCTGGCTCATGGGTCATGGGCATATGATATGTAGTTAGAAAGCACAGGCAGACAGGGCCCCCACGCAAAATGTCGAAGGGTCATCACCTCCATGCCTGCATGCATACATACATACATACATACATACTATATATATCCCTCACCCCCCAAATGAGTCTCACAACGTCCACTAGAAAGCCGGGGAGCCTACGGGCTCAAGCGTCGGGATCCAACGCCGCACGACTCCGTCACCACCACTCACCACCACCTTCGTCCGTCGGGAGAATCACGACCGAGAGGGAGAATAGATCGGTCAACAAACCTGGAAGGAAGGAAGGATTGAGGGGGGCGGGGGACGGGGGGGTGGGCACCTACTGTCGATGGACGAGTGACAGGACAGGACAGAAGACCTTTGCAGGCACCTCTGGAGACTCTGTACCTCCCTTCCTAGCTCCCGTGGTAGACCCAGTTATGTAGCTCTCGGGGTGATATATACACGAGATATACTGTATAAGTTGTGCTTTGCTTTGGAGTCCCTAGCGCCCACCCCCGCGGGGTAGCGGGCGATCCATCCTCTCTATCTCTACCTGGGGCACGGGGCGGGTGAGGAGGATCAGGGTCAGGGTTGTTGCATACAGTATTGCACATCATCTCGAGGACAACAACACCGAACCCGGGACTCGGACGGTTCTCAAAACACAGGTTGCTCGCCACGACGAAGGCCGCCGAGCAGAACGAATCGAGGACCACATCACATCCAGCGTCATCGTCATCGTCGTCGTCATGGCTCTCACTTTCCCCGGCATGTTCTCGCTCGAGAACAGGACGGCCGTCGTCACAGGTCAGTCAGTCCGTGCGGATTCTGCGATGGCAGACAGGCTTACTCTACCTCCCCCCACCCCGAACCGAATACTGTAATGAATGTATCATATCGATATCATACTGACCAAAGCACCGCAGGAGCCACGAGAGGCATTGGCGCAGCGATAGCGATTGCGCTGGCGGAAGCAGGGGCAGATATCGTTCTGGTTCAGGTACGCAGTGGAAATGAATGAATGTTTCTCTCTTTCCCCCGACTCCCCTTCTTGAGCCCGGTGAGAGTGTCGACTGAACCCCCCCCCTCCCCCCCCTCCCTTTCTCTCTGACACCACAAGTATCAAAATAGAGAGACGCCTCCAACACGACCACGAAACAAGCCATCGAGGCCCTCTCGCGCAAAGCGACCATCTACACGGCCGACCTGTCCTCGCAAGCCGACGTGTCGGGACTGGCCCACCGGGTGCTCGACCCCGGCGCCGGCCACGACGTGTCCATCCTGGTGACCTGCGCAGGCATCCAGCGGCGGCACCCGGCGCACCAGTTCCCGCTGGCCGACTGGGACGAGGTGCTTCAGGTCAACCTGCGCGCCGTGTTCACGCTGTGTCGCGACTTCGGGGCGTACATGCTCAGTCGCCAGCCGACACCGCAGCAGGGCCAGCGCGGCTCCATCATCAACATCGCCAGCCTGGTCAGCTTCTCGGGTGGACTGACCGTGCCAGCCTACGCCAGCGCCAAGGGCGGCGTCGCGCAGCTGACCAAGGCCCTGAGCAACGAATGGGCGGGCCGTGGTGTCAATGTGAATGCCATCGCGCCGGGCTACGTCGCCACCGACATGAACGAGGCGCTCATCAACGACGAGACCCGCGCCCGCCAGATCCTCGAGCGGATTCCCATGGGCCGCTGGGGAAGTCCGGACGACTTCAAGGGTCCCGTGGTATGGTTGGCCAGCCCGGCGAGTGCGTATGTGTCGGGTCACGTATTGGTGGTTGACGGCGGGTGGATGGGGAGGTAAAGGGGAGGTGGTGGTGGTGGTCACGACAGAGGGAGGAGAAATAAGGCACTTCTTAGCTGTGCCCTCGGGATGTGAGGAGCTGCTCTGCCAGCGGAATGTGGGGGTCTGCTTGTCACGAGGATGGAAGGAGTGGATGTAGCGTGTGAGCGATGTTGAGCATTCTCGGAACGACACACACAGACAGACGTGGACATCTACATACCTTCGTCCCCGTAACAACGAGAACCTGTCATGGCCCCCGGAGTTCCTTGACCCTCTTTGCCCGCAACATGCTACATTCTTGAACAAGAGCACAAAGAATCAATGCTCCGCCTCGTCCGAAGTGTTTCCGCCTCAAGATGGACCGGGCTTCATGCGAGAGTTGACGGCTACCAACAAGGTATGCAGCACCTCCAGAATCGGGATGGGGACCCCTAACTCCCTCCCCTTCCGCACCGGCGTCCCCAAGATCACGTCCACCTCCATGGGTCTTCCCATCTTGGCGTCCGTCTGCATGCTGCTGCCGATGGGCTGCATCTCCAGGATCTTGACGATGAGCTCGTCGATCAACTCGTATCTGAGCGGCACGTCGCACTTTCTCGCCACGTCAATGACTTCGCGCATCAGATTCCGCGTCATGGGCATGGCGTCGGGCGACGACTTCAGCCACGAGTGGGTGTCGAGCATGGTGAGCGTCGTCAGCGAATTCCACGCCACGTTCCAGACAACTTTCTCCCAACGCTGGATCTGGACGTTGTCCTCGACGGAGAACGGGGTTTGGCCTTCGCGCAGCAACGACGCGAACTCGTCCAGGCGGGCTCGTTCAACGGCTTGATCAAGTGCCTCGTTTCGAAAGATTCCGATCTGCGTGTTTTCTGATTTCCAGTGGCTCACGACGCCGGGGGTATCTTGGCGGGCACCCACCCACGTCTTGCCAATGCCATCAGTCAAACAAGGCAGAACAGCCGGAGAGGGTGTGTGTTATCCATACCACGCAGCTCAGAATTGGGCACTTGGGGAACGCTTCCCGGAACGGGTCTTCGTTTCCAACACCGTTCTGAATGATCACGATGCAAGTCTTGCTTTCGTCGACGGCGGGAGCGAGATTCTTGGTGCTTGAGGCTTGGTCAATGGCCTTGTGTGTACACACAATGTAATCGTAGGTTTCCCCGGCTTCGACCGGTGTTCTGACAACTGTAGCCACGGAGCTTGTCAGCTGCTGGAGACAAGAAAAGCGAAAATCTCGCTCACCTTTGGCCGGATGCACGACGTGATCGCCATGGTTCAAGCTTTTGATGTGCAGTCCCTGCAATATCAACGAGTGTCAGCCTTCACCTCTATGGTTTGGTGTCGACGCGACAGACATCATTCTTAACAGCCTCGTAGTTGGAACGTGCCACAACGGTTAAACGAACACGTTTCGTGCGTTCCAAGATGAAGGCGTAGAACGACCCGATCCTGCCCGGTCAGCAACAGACTTCCCCGAACGTCGAGGTTCAAGACCTACGCTCCAAGCCCATAAAGCATGACATTGATGTCTCGGGCCATGTCGAAGTCGTTGAAGCTGTTCTTCTCGACGTGGATGTTCAGCTCTCGTATTCAGTCAGAGCTGTGCAAAGCTCGAGAGGAGGGTCTTCTACCCTGTATATTCGGTGTTTCTCTGGTGGTGTCGATAATTGACTAAATTCGTCCTGGTCTCAAGAGTGCCGAGACTGACGCCCTTCAAAGACAACACGAATCAGCTCATCACTTTTTGTTGCTGAAGACTGTGTTTTCTGGTAGACGTGGGGGTCATGCAGGGGTATATATATATACACACACATGCTTCCGGCGTCAGACAAATCATTGACAAGTTTTCTTTGAGGCAGAGAAGCGTGTTGAACCGCCAGTAAGCGGCCGCCATATCCGCCCATCATCTTAGAGGAGGCGAACAGGTGCTCACCTCACCCTGTCCCAGAAACAATGGTTTTTGGTGGATGGAGACCACCATCAGTCGAACAATGAACAGTCTTCCTTTCTAACCCGAGAGAGGTCGCGATGGACATGCAGATAATCCCACGCCTCCCACAGCAAGCTCGGCTTCGGGGTAAGCCTCACCAGCCACAGGTGGGGGATGATGGCCACCGAGAATCTTCGTGTCATCTTACCGTTGCGTGGTGGAGTGCCCAACTAGTACCGAGCCCTCGGTTCAATGCTTCAAGCCCGTGTGACTGATATCCGACCTGCCCAAGATGGGCGGATTGGAATAATACTGCTTGAAAATAAATTTCCATGTGAAATGAAGAAGCTAAAGAGTTCGGAAGTGGCTCAGCACAACGACAGGCACTCGTGCTGGGTCGTTCTGTACGGCAAAGTCTACGACATCACAGGTGCGTACCTCAGCGGCTGCCTCAGACCACGAAACCAACACAATTGCGGCAGACTTTCTCGACGGACACCCGGGCGGGTCACAGGTCCTTCTGAGAAGCGCAGGTCAGGATGCCACGGCTGAGTACGAGAGCGTGCACAGTCCGGACCTGGTGGAAGAGACCCTTCCCTCGACTTCATTTCGCGGCTTTGTCGACTCGGACACCATCCCCAAGACACAGTCGGCATCAAACCGCAGACCACAACAGCAGAAGCCACAGGCGCGATTCCCACCCTTGAGGACCATGATCAGCGTGAATGACTTCGAGGCGGTCGCAAAGCAATACCTCAGTCCGGCCGGATGGGCCTACTATTCATCCGGGGCAGACGACGAACGCAGCCGGTATGAAGCAGCTCGTGCATTTCGCAAACTGACACTGCGTCCCCGGGTCCTTCGCAACGTGGATCAGGTTGATACGAGAACCACCATTCTCGGCAAGAACACCAGCCTGCCGATCTACGTTTCGCCCTCGGGACTGGGGAGGTACGCCCATCCCGATGCAGAGTGCGCCTTTGCCTCGGGGGCAGGAAAAGAAGGACTCATCCAAGTGATCCCCACGAGCCCCAGCATGCCCATCGAGAAGATCATCAACGCCCGAATCAGCAAGGATCAGCCGGTGTTCTTTCAGCTGTACTTCAATCGAGACTACCAGAAGGCCGAAGCCCTGATCCGCCGAGTTGAGAATCTGGGAGTGAGCGCGATATGGTTGACGGTGGACTCGCCTGTTCTTGGAAAACGAGAGCGGGACGATCGATTGAAAGCTCAAGTCAGTATCGGACGCCGGAACGTCACTGGTACAGCTAACATGGGTGCAGATCAGTGATGAAGACGAATATGTCATGCTCGAGGAACAGAAACCCGGCGTGGCTAAACTGGCTGCCGGCGGCCTGCTCAATCCGAGGTTGACCTGGGATGATATTGCATGGATCCGCCAGGTTACCAGATTGCCTGTTGTTCTCAAAGGGATCCAGAGCGTGGAGGACGCCGTCCTTGCGTATGAAAATGGCGTGGAAGGCATTGTGTTGTCTAATCACGGAGGCCGATCCCAGGACACGTGAGTAATTTCACCGTTATTCAGGCTTCGGGGACCTAATTGTCGCATTTAGGGCTCAAGCACCAATGGTCACCCTGCTAGAGATCCGACGATATGCGCCACATCTACTCAATGGCCGCATGGAGGTGTTCTTGGATGGCGAGATTCGTCGCGGCACGGACATTCTGAAGGCGCTTGCTTTGGGGGTGCGTGCGGTCGGGCTGGGGCGGCCGTTCCTGTTCAGCCTGACCGGTGGTTATGGGGAAGCTGGCTTCAGGAGAATGGTCCAGATCCTGCGAGAGGAGCTCGAGGGCAACATGGCACTCGCCGGGGCCACTCGGATCAGTGAGCTTGTTCCCGAGATGGTTAACACCCAGAGGCTGTCCAAGGAAGTTATTGGCACCATTAAGCTGTGAGCCATTGATGGCGCAGTGGCGGTGAGCATCCCTGTATCCTCGAAGCGACGCCTCCTTTTCAGCCACTAACCAAGACAGATGAGGGAGGGGGTTGAGCCAGATGGCCACAACCGCAGCGGAGATGAGGAGTATGAGGTACAGGGCGTGGAGACAATGTGGCTTCGGCATCGACGGCGGAGACGGATGACGGTGAGGCCACAAGCATAGAATGAGTTGTTCAGTAGCACATGTGCTCTCGATGGCAAAGGGTCTGTTACTCCCCGGATCTTTAGGTGGATACATGTAGAAGACCAAGGGAGCGGACTCGCCAAGGCGGATGGGGCAACCACGCGCTGGGCATGTTCAGGTGTAAGGTGTAAGTAAAACTTTAGGCGACCGCGAGCCCCGAGTCTATGTACCTAGAAGAGGCCTAGGGTTTAGTGGCGGGGCGGCGACCATAGGCACTGGGCAATAATGGGCATTGGGGAAAGCGAGGATGGAGTCACTAGGCCTTGGGGAACTAACTCTTTGTTCTCTGTCACACCTGCGTCGCGAGCACATTTTCTGGTCTAGGCAAAAGCTGGGACTTGTGTGGGATTGCTCTCTGTGTCTCTTCTCTCGTCTCGTTTCTTAACTTCCCCGCCCTCTTGGATTCATTATTATTATTATTATTCCTTCACCAATTCGAACTTCTAAAATTGGTGGGTTTTCCAGACCGTCTCAGACACGAGGTTGCGTTCCCGACCCATCCATCATCCCCCATCCACACATCCACCACCATCCACCATCCACCCATCCATCATCCATCATCGTCATCATCAACTATCCATCCATCCTCCTCATCCTCTCTCCCCTCTCCACCTTCCCCGGCAGCTGTTTATCACCTTCCTCTCCTCTCTCTCTCTCCCTCTCCCTGCACAGGTCTGTATGCCACCACCAATTGCTTCCCTGTTCTGATCCGGATCGTCTGAACATCAAACTCCGCCTGACCAGCTCATCCCAAGCCCACAGAATTCCGAGGCATCAACTACACCGAGTCAGGTTTTGTCAACCTCGTCTCATCTCGCACTATTCCCGGTCGGTGTGGTCATCGATGGGTCTTTTATGACACAATCTTCAGGAACACGAAACTACCTGCAGCCACATTTGATCGTCGTGCTGCGACGACTTCCCCCAGACGTTGTGTAATGTGTAATGTCCATGGTCCTGAAACCCGGCATTGAGATATCGACCGATCTTCGCCCAGCTATCCTCCTCCCTATTGGCTCAGGCGCAACCCCAGTTCGTGGTTGCTGATGACGGCCTCGACCATGGACCAGCCTCAACAGTGGCCGGAGCGGTTTCAATGCCCGTCGTGTTCCAAGTCGTTTGTGCGAAAGGCTCATATGTTCCGTCACCAGCAGCAACGTCTGTAGCTATCGCTCCCCCGAAAATGGCCTGCTTTGCGGGTGACTGACCTCGCTTCTGCAGATGTCGCACAGAGACCCTTTACCTGTAATTTCTGTTCCAAGCGCTTTAAGCGAAGGTAACGCCCATCTCCCCACCCTAAAGCCAAGAGGGTCCCTTTTAACCTGGACTCAGTGATGTCCTTCGAGCTCATCAGTTTCGATGCAAGGAACGAGGATCGGCCCCGGTTCCTGAAGGCCAATCGAAAGGCCGAAAGAGATTTTCATGCCTTTCCTGCGTAAAGCTGAGGACGAAGTGTGACCAAGAAACTCCCTGTACTCGGTGCCAGGAACTGGGCAAGGAATGTATCCGAAGTAAGTGGTTCTGAGCCGCCTCGAACTCGACACCTTCCTGACCTGGTGTGTAGCGGCATCCAGTCCTCAAACGACAGGAGAGCCTCCCAGGCCCAGCAGTCGAGACGCCATCCCCATCCATCATCTGCTAAACGCTCCCGTTGGCGACGATCTGGTCCCCCGGTTCCCGATTCGGGACACGCCTCCAGGCGCCGAAGGTGACGAGGACGATGCGCCCATGACTGAAGCAGAGGACTCCTCCGAAGCCTCGCATTGGAGCGAGGACTTTGAACACCCGGATTTGTTCGCCAGTGCAGGCCTGGCCGATTTGGATGGGGTCAATTTTGACTCTTTCTTCGGAGGCTTCGAGAACTTGACCTTTGGTTCGTATCCCCTGACCGCTGAGATATCACAAATCACGAGCGGGACGGGCATCGTATCGGCCTCGGCCATGGCGCTCGAACCTCGCGCCTATGAGATCAGGCAAGTGTTGCTGGATGCGGCCACCAAGTTTGCAGTCGACTACCCGAACAGTCCTCAGCTTGCGACTTTGGACGCAAACATCGAACTCCTCACCCATGTGGAGATCGACCACTGCCTCGATCTATTTTTCAACAATTACTATCGCCACTGCCCAATCGTTCATCGTCCGACCTTCCAACCGGCCATTGCCCCTATACCTCTTGTGTTGGGATGTGTCGCTTTGGGGGCCATGTACTCGGAGCCGGCAAAAGTTGCTTGGATGAAGAGTCTTCTGGATCTCATGGAATCATACGTCTTCTCACTGCCAGAGGTGAGGGATGAGTTCTTTGGAACTTTGGGGGTTTTGGAAGCCCCCGATGAGGATGCCGTGGAATACCACTTTCAATCACTCCAGGGGGCCTACCTTTTTGTCGTCGTCCAATACTTCTCGGGAAATCTAGCAGGCCGTCGAAGAGCGAGAAGGCTGAGGTTTCCATCAGTCTTAAATGTCGGTCCGCCTCGTCCACTCACCTATTCATGACTAACATGACCGCAGCTCGCGAGATATTTCGGTTTGCCAGCAGTGCAGCACCCAAATATCAAAGCAGAAACTGATGACCTCGCTCTTCAGCGCTGGTTGCGGACTGAGGCCCGCATTCGGTGGGTGCCTTTCTTGCCGTGTTGCGCGGATGGCCTCTTTTTCTGACAGTTCCTTTCTAGGACGATGAATGTGCTTCTCGCGCTGGACTCAGCCATGGGAATCTTCAACAATGTCCCTCCTCGCGTCAACTACTGTGAAGTAGATCTCCAACTGCCATGCCATCCTGAGTATTTCCACATGACGGGCTATGCGGACATGTTACAACGAGGCTCACTCCCTCGTCCTCGGATGAAGTTAATCGAAGCTTTCCAGAAATTATTCGTCCACCCCAGCCAGCTCAAGGCGGCGTACCAGGACGAAAAATTGTGTTGTTGGGATATGCTTTACCTTGTTCACGGTATGGACTCTGGCGAACCCTTCTTGTAGAGGAGCGAGGCTTATTCGACATTACTAATGCATGCAACAGTTTTGTATACCCACTGCTGGCAGCATCTCTATGGGAACCCGCTCAATCGGATATCGGCCACTTCACTGGCTTCAGAACCGAGTCTGGTATACGAACCAATGAAGATTGCCTTGACAAACTGGAAGACCCTGTGGGATGACGTCCGTGCGAGGCTGTCTCGTGCAAACGTTGGCGCCATGGGCTTTGAAACTTCTGCCGATAGTTATTGGACACTTGTCAAAATGATCGTGCTAAAATTCGAAGACAAGAAAAGCACCAACAGCGCCTCTAGTAGCATCAATGGGGCTGCTACTAACTCCTCAAGCGGCCTTTGCCGCAGAGGGGCAGGAGGTAACAGTGACGATGGGACGAGCGAGTCGAGCACAAACGGCCGGGGCGCAAGAGGAGCCAGTCCGAGCTTGGACTTTATGCCGCTTGAGGCGGATTGCGACAGTCAAGGCGCACACCTGAGGAAGATCCTGCAGAAGTGGTTGTCGACGTAAAGGGCGCAGCTACTCGTCTGCCGAGTTCTCGGGCAAGTGAGAAGACAGCGCACATGCCGTCTATCAGCTACTGTCTAACGACACTCTCTTGGAACGGCAAGAAAGGACTCATTGGTACAGCCCTTCCAGTGAGTGTCCAGCCAGATCCGCTTACGTGAACGGTCAACGGCTGCAGAAGACGATCCACTTCTAAAAGGCAAAGCTTGGTTTCGGATTGAATCAGGCGTTTCGACTGTCTCTTCCAATCTGCTCTCCGTTCACCTCCATCCACGGGCAGACAACGAAACACTCCCACTGAAATGATGGACTTCAACAAACTTTTATGAACAGTTGTGGGGTCCCACCGGGGAAAATATGTGCAGGCGCTGAAATAGGATGTTTTCGCTCTTCCGGAAACTGCATCTCCCGATGCCAGCTCAGGTACCTCAACGTATCGAGTAGGCGTGAGGGTCTCCTCCATTCAAAATGAAAGAGAAGCATCTGGAAATGGGTCGAGTCTACTCGGTCAGGAACGATAGCCTGAAGGCTTGTTCAGTCCCAGCACGAGGCTGAGGAAGACATCACGGCAGTTCGCCAGGACACCGTTGTCCACCGGAATTGTCCCGCATCCAAGGTACATTGACTGGGCATAGCGTTGTGAGTGGGAAAGTCCCTGGCGAAAAGGCCGGCCCTGGGGAAAATACCCACCCTCCACATCGTCGAATGTGGATCGAACCACACTTACCCAGACAATCCCCCAACTTCAACCACCGACCAGATTTGGAAATTGAGGGGCTTGCGGAGGAGCAGCTTCCGACCTGCTCGCTGGCAGCTTCCGAGGATGAGTCCAGCCGTTTGATGTCGTGGGGCGAGTCCGGTTGCCCATTTAAGTAGTCAAGGACCTTTGGCGTTAGCTTTGACCACGAGCTTCCTCAAAAGTCGATGTAACAGTTGTGGCCCTTTCCAATAGTATAGCCGCCTTTCCGGAGGAACAAATCATAGCCGGTTGTTCACAAGAATGTCGGACTCAGCCTCGTCAGCGCAGGGGTCTATCCCAGACCTCACAACTCGATATAGTGGCGTGCCTCGAAGACTCACCCAGGAGGCCATCGATGCCAAAGCCAGACTGTATTCCCAGAAGACACTTCCGGACAGTGTGCCCCGAAGCAGAGTTGCACTGCCACCGGACGTCAGTAGGGAGAGTTTCGATCGGGCTGTCGCAGAGTTGAAGAATGACCTTGGGGATGAGAATGTTCAGGTCAATGACGGGCCACTCGTCGACGGGTGGTATATGGAGCATCCGTACGAAATCAGTCCCCCTGTTGTCGTAGCTTGACCTCTTCTAACATGGCTGATAACAGAAACACCCACGACGCATATCACATCGCCGACCAAGAAGAGCTGATATGTAGTGCCATGGTGTATCCTTGCAGCACAGCTGAAGTCCAAACCGTGGTGAGATGGGCGAACAAGCACAAGATCCCCATCTATCCGATCTCTATGGGCCGGAATATTGGATATGGAGGAGCAGCTCCCCGTATTCCCGGGTCTGTTGTTGTTGATCTCGGTCGGAGAATGAACAAGATCCTCAATGTGGATGCGGACAACGCATCTTGTGTGGTGGAGCCCGGGGTTTCGTATTTTGCGCTGTACGAGGAGATTCAGCGAAGGGGATTGCCGCTGTGGATTGACTGTCCCGATCTTGGGGGCGGTAGCGTCCTTGGAAATGCCATCGACCGCGGTGTTGGGTAAGTTTCACGTTCCACGGGCTATGAGAAGTACGAGGCTAACCCAGACGGACGGCAGTTATACTCCTTACGGCGACCACTTTGCCAACCACTGTGGCATGGAGCTGGTGCTGCCGACAGGGGAGCTGCTCCGGACTGGCATGGGCGCGATGCCAGGCAAGGACGGTGCCGACAACCCGACGTGGCAGTCCTTTCAAGCAGCCTACGGACCCTACGTCGACGGCATCTTCAGCCAGAGCAATTACGGCATCGTCACCAAGATGGGCTTTTGGTTGATGCCCGAGGTCGGCCACCAGTCGTACATGATCACCTTCCCTCGCGAGGAAGACTTTGAGCAGATCGTCGAGATCATCCGGCCACTGGCACAGAAGCGAATTCTGGGGAACATCCCCCAACTGAGGCACGTCATCCAAGAACTGGCCGTGATGGGCAAGCCCCGGTCGTTTTGGTATAACGGCAGAGGCAGGATGCCGCGGGACGTGATACGGGAGAAGGCCTCCCAGCTGGCCTGCGGCGACTGCTCGTGGGTCTTCTACGGCACGCAGTACGGCGACCCGACCTCGATCGCGGCCCAGCTCAAGATCATCAAGGCCGAGTTCGGGAAGATCCCGGGCAGCCGGTTCATGTTACCTACCGACGTGCCGGCGGACCACTATCTCCACTCGCGCGTCCAGGTGTGCAGCGGTGTGCCGGTGCTCAAGGAACTCGACTGGCTTAATTGGGTGCCCAACGCGGCGCACCTGTTCTTCTCGCCCATCTCACCTACCAAGGGCAAAGACGCGAGCTTGATCCACCGCACCATCACGCAGCTGCACGAGAAATGGGGGTTCGACGTGTTTCCGACCATGTGCGTGGCGGGCCGCGAGATGCACTACATCGCCAACATCGTCTACGACCGCGCCGACGCCGATGCCAAGCGCCGCGCCACGGGCCTAATGCGCGACATGATCCGCGCCGCCGCCCGCGAGGGCTACGGCGAGTACCGCACCCACCTCCTCTTCGCAGACCAGGTCGCCGAGACGTACAGCTGGGGCGGCGGCGCGTTGCGCAAGTTCAATGAGACCATCAAGGACGCTCTCGACCCGAATGGCATCCTGGCGCCGGGGCGTAATGGCATTTGGGGCAAGAGATTCCGGGGCAAGGGGTGGGAGATCTTGGACGGGGATCAGAGGAATTTGTTGAGCGAGGGCGTAAAGCCGAAGTTGTAGTAGATGGATCGATGTATAGGTAGATGGCGTGATAGCCAATAGTGCGGTGCAACGCATCGTTTGTTGTGAATCCTTTTTAGGTGAACTTCCGTATCTAAGGACCATGGGGAGGGAATGAAAAAGGGGAAACGTAATCCGATATAGCTGATCGACAAATAGGTAGGTAGGTAGGTCGGTGGGCAGACAGGCAAGGACTCGAAGAGAAAAGAGGAAGAGATCAGAGACGGCCCGAGTAGTGTAGATAGATAGATACTGTAGGTAGGTAGACAGGTAGATAGACACTGAGAAGTCCATTCCGCAACCCTCTCGCTCTCTCTCTCGTCCCCCTTTCTTCATCTCCGTCTTGGTTCTGGCCCCCACTCCTGTTACAATGCTCTCTATACCCGGCGGGACATTCACAACTCTCGAGTATCCAGTGACCAGTCAAGGCGACGGGAAGCGACAGACAGACAGACAGACAGACAGACAGACAGGGAAGTGGCTGACTGATTGAATGAGTACGAGACAGACATCCCGGTATAGAGAGGATGGGGGGATATCGGGATCAAAACATCCCAGCAGCGCGATATCGAGGTATCAAGGTTACCAAAGCATGAAGAACAACAAGGGGCCTGGCCTGACTACATAACATAACAATGTAAAGCTCACCAACCACCACCAGTAGAATGAAATAAGTAAACCCAATCAATCCCAAGCCTGGCTGGCTGGCTGGCCGCCCAGCTCAGCTCAGCTCAGCACAACGGCGAGATCTTGCCCGTGCGCAGCTCCTCGCCCACCAGCGCGGCCATCTCGGGCCAGCGCTTCCGCGTATCCGCTTCGGCGTCGTAGTCGTAGAGGACGTTGTTCTAAAGGGGGTTAGAATGTGTGTGTGTGTGTGTGTGTATGTAGGTGTGTATGTATATGTACATGTATGGGTCGAACATACCTTGATCAGAAGCGAGTCGCGGTCGATCTCGTCGCCCTCGCCCATGCGGTCCAGCGCCGTGTGCCACCGGTCGCGCAGGTCTTCGCCGTTGGTCTGGGCCCGGCGGACGCGCGGGAACCGGATCTTTTCGTAGACGCGGGTCTGTGTACATACATACGCCCGGACCGGACCGTTTCAGTCAGTAATGAACGGGCTAGCCATACAGGAAAAGGGGGTCAGGAGGGGGAAATCGTTAAAGGAGCTCATTGTATATCGCAACATCAGTGGGAGGGGGAGGAGGAGGAGGAGGAAACACTTGCCGCCAGTGGAATGTTGTCCTTCCCCGCCAGGAGCAGGCACTGTGCCAACACCGCCGCGCTCTCGGTGGCCTGGCTCGCGCCCTGGGCACTCGTCGGCAGATGCGGGTGGCAGCAGTCCCCGACCAGGGCGACGCGGTGGTGCTCGCTGACCCAGGTGGGGATGGGGTCGCGGTAGCAGATCTTCCAGTCGAGGCACTCGTCGGTCTTGCGGATGGCGGCGGCGATGCGCGGGTCCAGCGTGGTGACCAGCCGGCGCACCTCGTCCATGTCGCCCGGCTGCGACCACGACTCCTGGATGTCGGCCGTGTCCTTGTGCGTGATGATCCAGTTGAACTCGTCGCCGCCCCGCAGCGTGTTCTGCACCACGTGCATGTCCTTGCCGATCCAGATGTTGACGCACTCGTTCTCGACGAACTCGGCCGTCAGAGGGTCGCCCTTCAGCTTGTCGCCCTTGAAGAACGCCCGGAAGCACGCGTACCCGGACGACTTGGGCTTGTCGTCGAACCCGAGCACCAATTCCCGCGCGCGTGACTTGATTCCTGGATCCCCGGGGTCGCTAAGTTAGCTCACCAGTGGCACGGGCTGAATGGGACGGAACATCGGAGGAGAGAGGGGTGATTTAGTCTTACCGTCGACGGCGATGATGACGTCGGCGACATGCCGCTCTCCGTTCTTCAGCGTCACTGACGGCGTGATGTCGTCGTATTCTACCACCTAGACCACGCCATGTCAACAGACCTTTCTCGCTGCCCACAAAGGGTGGGACTGGCGACACTCACCTCGCTGCCCATATGCAGGGGAATACCCTTCTCCGCCACAGCGCCCAAGAAACCGTTATGATAGTCTCCTCGGTGGCCAATGTACCCGGCCATGTCCATCAGCGGCTGCTGGGCGAGCACTTTGCCGTCATGCCAGCGGCGGATCTGCATGAATTCCGACTTGTTCCCGATCTCGATCAGACGGTCTCGCAGAAACGGCGACCACCGGTCGAGCAGCTTGAACGCATTCTCGCCCAGACCCAGCGAATCTCCCAGTCGCTGGAACTCTCGGACCTTCTCGAACATGACCACCTCAAAGCCCGCGTGGTGCATGGCCAGCGCGGTGGCACATCCTCCCAGTCCTGCCCCGACGATGATGACTATTTGGGCCGAACGGGAAGTTCGAGTTAGAGCTATGGTTCCGACATGAAACGGACGCCGGGTGATCTGCCCCCGTTGTCCTCGATTTGTGGTACGTACCTTTTAAGGGAGGCTCAACTCCCAAAGAGCCCATGGCTGCGACGTTGCTGTTGCGTTCTTGTTGCTCTTTGGTTGACTTACTCGGAATACGCCTAGACGGAAAAGAGAGAGAATACAACACTCGTAAATCTGTGGTCCTGGGTTTGACAAACAATAAAGACCGGCACACCCGGTATGATATCGACGGAGCGAATAGATCGTTGCTCGTGGAATAACCCCATCACCTGAACGCAGCTGTAGCAGCGGAGGCAAAATTCACGTCGCATAAAACCCAACCACAGAAGACCCGCTACATTGACTGGAGCACATCTGATGGCCTGTGGCAAGCAGACAGGACGAGGGCAAAGGCTGGGCTCTCGGGATGGAGGACGGGAGCCTACTAGCCCCATGCCGAGGCTGGCCACAGAGTGCCACGCCCTGGAAGGAACTCTGTCCAGGTTGCTGTTGGGTAGAGGACCTGATAAGTGAGTGGTGGGAGTGATCTTGGGCGAATCGCTCCTGGCTGAGGCCCCGGTTCTCCGTACGAACTGGTCCCATGAGAGGAGAGAAGGGAGAGCTCCACTGAGAGACTGGCTAATTAGTTAAAAGCATGTTCGCATCCAGGAGGTGGAATGTCCCACCATGGGGGGGAGCCTCGAGGGGCCTTGGCCCGGGATGAACCCATCAGGGGGAGAAGCTCTGGGGTGCTGAACTGACTGGTTCTTGCACGGGGTATGCTTTGGGCGGTTTTTCCTAGGTATCTCCCCAGAAGCACAACCACTAACATCTTCGATGCTGCCCTCTTTTTCCCCAAGTCTCCTGCCGACTCCTTGTGGGGTTGGGGCCCTTTTTTTTGATACACCGGCAACGCGTGGGCGATGGAGAAAATCCACCCCTCATCTGAACCCTACACAGAGGGTGAGTGATGCACCGGCAGAGTAGAAAAGGCAATCTTGTCGACCATCACTCTCGCCCGTACCCTATCCGAGACACGGAATTAATTGCGAGGGGGGCGGGAGTTGTGGTGAGAACGGTAAGCCGAAGGGACGCGTGGGATACCACATAGAACCTCTGAACGACCCTCGGGTGATTCTGGTGTTCTTTGCTATCCAAAACATCCCTCATCGAACTTTGACAAGACCGTGTGCATTTCGAAATATAGCGTGTCGACCCGGAAAGAAATGGGATCCATCAACATGCCGGTCAAGACAGTGGGCTATATCGGTCTCGGCAAGGCTGGAGCCTCGATGGCGTCCAATCTGCCACGCGCGGGATTTCGTCTGGTCGTCCGTGACGCTGATCCAGAGAGGGAGCAGAAGTTTGCCCAGGAGAACCCCAACACGTCTGTGGCTGAAAAGGGCGCCGAGGGATTCAAGGACTGTGATGTGATCGTGACGATGCTGCCACAGGGCAAGGTGGTCCGGGAGGTGATTTTGGGCGAGGATGGGATCGCAAAGGGCCTGAAGCCTGGTATGTTTTTCTCTTCACACTCTCCCTGTCCTCATGTCATGGTTGTATTTTCTTGTACCTGAAGATGAGTTGACTTGCTTAGGAGCAATAATCGTGGACACGTCGTCGTCTTCGCCGTTCGACACCCAGAGCCTGGGCAAAGACCTCGAAGCACAGGGGTTCGTCCTGGTCGATTCTCCCGTCACACAGGCACACCTGCACGACACCGACACGGGAGACGCCACGCTGATGGTGGGCGCCAACTCGCAAGAAGCGGTGGACAAGGTTCTCCCGGTCCTGCAGGCGATGGCCAAGTACGTCTTCCACATGGGCAAGCTCGGGTCCGGCCACGTGATGAAGACGTTGAACAACTACATCAGCGCGGCGTCGATCGTGGCGCTCTCGGATGCGCTGGTGACGGGCCAGAAGTTCGGGCTGGATCCCGTGCAGATGATCGACGTGCTGAACGTCGGCACGGGGCGCAACTTCTCCACGACCGACAGCTACAAGACCGACGCGCTGCCCCGGCGCTACGCCTCGGGCTTCCAGCTGGCTCTGCTGATCAAAGACGTGGGCATCGCCAAGGAGGTGTTTGAGAACATGCACTTCGACACCGACATGCCCGAGCTGATCATCCGCTATTTCAAGGAGTCCATGGCCATGCTGGAGCCGACGGCCGACCACACAGAGCTGCTCAAGGGATGGGAGAAGCGGGCCGGGGTGGAATTGAAGACGGGCACACCTGACGGGTCTAGTGTGACGGCACTGAAGAAGTGACATGCTGTCGGTCGGGAGTCAGTTAATGTCCTGTGTCAATAACGAGGGCAGCACGGAGACCGCGTATGCTTCTCGTTTGGTTCTGTGTCCACACGACATGCCGCCATGACCAGGTAAGGCACACTTCAGGCGGAATGGGGCTATTAAGAACAGCCTATCTCGACATCTGTGAGGGGTGTCAAGGCTACCTTCAACGTTATGGCATGGGAATGCTTGCGGCGCGGTCACCATCTGCCCTTGGCGGAAGGTAGTGTGCAGTACAGCATCTCGTCTCAAGATCAGGAGTATATTAAGGTCATGGGGAATGTGGAATTGTGCACAGTTATAAAAAAAAGGACAGTGGGATCCCCCAAAAGAATGAATTGAAACCTCCTCCTTTCTTACACTTCGACACCTTTCGTACCTGCTACATGCTACCCACGAGCTCCTCCAAAAAAAATCAAAGCGCAAGACATCAGAAACAATGTCCATCGCACGCGTGTTGCTGACTCCGTGCTTCTCTGCTCAAATCCCAGGCCGAACAAACCGGGCGATGAGCCCACACGTTCATCTTCCCCAACTCCTCCATTGACACCATCAACTACCTTTGCCGACACGGGGCTTGCTCGAGATACGCAAGGAGTTGGTCGGTTTGGGGACGAATGTGTCTGTAAGAAACCATCCCCCTGCCCCTGGCGCCCCCACCATTGATAGACTGACAACAATCTCGCACCGCAAACGGTGGGTGGGGGAATACGGACGGTCACCGAAGGAGAACTTAGTTGTGGCTCAGCAGAGGTATTCGGTTTCCTTGGTGGTATAACCATTTCATAGCCTGGTGACCTCAATCATCGAGGCCACCACACGTCTCCACTCCGGCTCTAGAGTTATCTCGACACGCGGCATAGCATGTTTGATAAGACGCGTTCCATCCGAGCCAGGACCTGCTAGGGAAGGGAAAAGAACCAGGACCGAGTAAGGGTTGTTGCCGACAGAATGCAGGAGACGCATTGCATCTCTCCGTTGGACCTCCCATCGACGTTTTCCTCCAGCTCAGGGACTGATCGAACGGGCCGGTCACCAAGCAACCCCAGTAGAACTCGACTCCGGCTACCACACGAACCATTCTGCGACCAGGCCTGCATAGAACCAGCAATAATATATCTCAATTCCGGAGGGATATGAGCTCAGCTGTATATCATATCTTCACCACGCCGCCCGGGAACAAGGGGTACATTTCGTAGTCCCACAAGATGCGCGCGTGGACACCAAACGCCAGGAGCACAATGACAAGCAGTCGATACGCCAATCGAAACCAGTGGAGCCTCAAGATCCAGTAGCACACCAGTGCGGCCAGACAGATGGTGATGCCGCGGTTCAGCACCACCAGCGTCTCGCAGCTGGCGTCGGGCGCGGTAATCGGTCCAGGTGGTAGACTCTGGTAATCATTAAAGTGAGCAAGACGACTTTTACAGTGGGGGTATAAAAATCCCGGAGCATTTACCTTGGCTACCAAGACATTCCACTGATCCAACCGTCTTTCCGTCTCGTCGAGTTCCTTCCGGAACCGTTCTAATCCCTCCTTGGCCCAGCGACGATGGCTTTGCTGGATGGACCTATCCCACAGACCGAGACTGTCCCTACGACGAAGGGAGTCGATCCACAAGCCTGCCGGGGTTGCAATGTCGGTCAGGCGTTCTGATTCACAGGGGTAGCGGCGGACGACGTACCAGTACCATTTGGCGCCCGCGGCCGCCAGCGTCGCTTCGCGGAGCTTCTGGTAGCGGTCCTCCAAGGACTTTTTACGGGTGAGTAAGTCGTCGTACTGCCGGAAGAGGAGTTCTTTATCGTCGTCGGACGAAAAGGGGCGGAGCAGGGATCGCGAGCGTGACGTGGCACTCTCGGTCAGAGACCGCTTGAGACGCTGGAAGCTGTTCCCGTCTCGAGGACTCGATGGGCGACCCACTGCCGGAGCGGTCTGCACGCGGTCCAGCTTCTCGGTGGTGATGGCCACGAGGTTGGCGCCCGCCGCGGCAGCGGTTCCCAGCATGTGCCCTTCCATGCCCATGCCCAACCCCATGGCGCCCGCGATGCTGCCGGTAGTGACGGGGATGGCGTGGTCGCGGGTCGTCTTCTCGTGCAGGGGCAGACCACGGCGGGTCAACTCGGCGCGCACGACCTCAAGTTTCTGCTCGACCAGGTGGATGGTGCGGCCGGCGGCGACGCAGCCGATCACCGACGCTCCCCCCGTGGACGGGGCTAGCACGGCGCCGCTGACGATGCCTGCCTGGCCTGAGTAGGCCGTCCGGATCAGGACGACCTCCTTTTTCTGCAGCTCTTGATCATCGTAGTTGCGCACTTTGGCCCGGTAGTCGTCCGGGTCGAAGCGGATGAAATCTTGCACGCCCATGGTGCATCGTGGACGACGGTTTCAGCATGTGGTGGTGGCCGGTAGGGGCGAGCGTTCTGCGCCGCAGCAGCAACAACAACATCGAAGGCGATATTGGTTGCGAAACGTTGGGAAGAACGAGATATTAGGCGTAGGATCTCTTTCGTGAGATATGGAGGAGGAAGAGCGTCTGCATATATGACATAGCACTTTTATCTATCAGAAGGAAAAAGGGTCCAGGCGTAGACGTCGATCCTCGCTGAAGATGTGCAACGACCGGGACCCTGACGTGGCGTCATAGCAGCCTAATCGGGAAATCAGCGGGCCGGTCTGTCGGACACTAACTAGACTAGGAAGTATAACGGCGAAATCCCCGAGCATCATACTGAACAGCGACTGGATTGAACACAGATATATTTCCTGTCAGACAACTCAGCTTATCTTGGAGCGGGTTACTGTGCAACCTCCACGTGAATTTCCGTCGTCTCCTTCGCCCCGTCCACGAGGTGCGACATGAGCAACACAATGTCTCCCACAAAGCAGCGTCCACGGCCCGAATCCCGCGGTTCCTTTACTCATCGGCGTCGAAGATATATCTCGAATCCTTCAGTAACGAAAGGTACTCCTTGTACCTGACATACTGGTCACTCTTGTCGGCTTTTGCTTGCTCGAATGCTCTTCTATACACATCGTACGCCTCATGGAATAGCGGCTTCCGGTCCACCCACCCGGTGTGAGATCTGAGCTTGGTCGAGTCGACCCATTGAGGAAAGTTGAAGACCGAGTTGACGCCAAATTCCTTGTCATCCTTCGGTCCGGGGTCGGCGTAGTCCACTTGCACGCCGTGGCTCTTTTCCAGCGCTGTGGCTATGTCCGCCAGCGTCTCATAGGAGTGGGCAGAGATATTATAGACCTGTCCCGCCACCACCGGTCGCGGGGCTTCTGCGATTGCGAGGTACGCACTTCCAACGTCATCGACGTGCGTTCCGTGTAAGATCGCATTAGGCGTTGAGTACAGCGTGAAGCTGCTCCGCCCGGCGGCTTTGGCAGCTTCAGCCAACATGAAAAACACCGCATACCAACTGCCCCATCGGCCAAAGACCGTCGTCGGCCTCGTGATTACGGCGTCAAATGCTTCGGCGTGGTTAAACATGCTGAGTGCACACTCGGTGCGTTTCGCCAACAACGCTGGAGGATTGAGCGGGCTGTTTTCCGTGTGTGGCGCAAGGTCAGGGTCGCCGTGCCGTGCGGTTGTCCCGTAGTCTTTGCATCCGCTGCTGAAGATGACCAGCGGTTTGGGGCCGCCCTGGCGGCGAGATGACGAGCTGACCCCCAATATCATCGCCAGCACATCGTCAAAGTGCACTTTGTAGTTCTTGATGTCCTCGGAACAAGACACGATAACGTCGATGGGTGGCAGAGAATCGACAAACTCCAGGTAGTTGGCGGCAGATCCCACAATGGGGATGATTTCTTCACGGACCAAGTCCTGCGCGCTCCGTGGGCTTCGAAGCAGGCCGTACGTCGTCCAGCCTGCCTGGGAAAACGCACGACCGACGCTCTGGCCTATGACGCCGTTGGCTCCCGTCACGAGGACCGTCCTCGCACGCGGCATCTTTGGAGTGTCGGTGGAAGTATATATGTACTTATATCTTGTTAGGCAACTCCTGTGCCTCGACAGGATCTGAGGCGACGGCCGAACCCGTCTTTAAAAGCATTTCACGGTTGTCAGGAGTCACAACGGCAGTATCTCGAGTCCACCCCCCGTCCTGACTCTCTCACGGAACCTGACAAATCCATCTCCACCGGAAGCACTACGAATGTGGTACAACTTTATACCACAGCATCAGCCTCGGCCACCTGGGTGAGGTCCAGCAGATCCTGGTCGACGAGTGGAAGACGGGCAGCCGCCTCGTCCGCGACGGCGACAACGAGACCGTGGTCGACACCGTCTTTGAAGATATCCCAAGGACGTGGATGGTGCTCTTCGAGGGCGGGAATATGGGTAGGCTTATTACGAGGCTGATAACATCGTAGAATCAGTGAGCTCTGATCTATCCATCGGCCTGCTGTTGTTCTGCTGCTTGTCTCCTATGATCTTCTCTTCGTGAAATACAATTTTCTGGACATCTTCACGGCCCCTAAAGGGGCGTAGAACACGCTATTTATTATGGAGTGAGGTTTATCGTTTATTTCACGTCTTGTCCGCCCAGAAACCTCTCGCGTGCGGTCTCGTCAAACACGCGCTCGACCTGCTCCAAATCCTCGCTCATCACCGCCTCATATGCCTGTCGACACACATCATACCCGCTGTGGAACAGCGACTTCCTGTCCGTCCAACCCGTGTCCTTGCGCAACTTGTCGGAGCCGACCCACTGGGGAAACCTGAACAGCGACAGCACATACCGCCCAAACACCCCTTCGTCGCGGGGGGAAAAGTCTCGCAGCCGCATGTGAACGTCGAGGCTCCGTTCAGTCACCGGGATGATCTCGCTCAGCGGCTCGTAGCAGATCTAGGTGATCATCGCCAGCCTGCTTTGGTGGTGAGCAACATAGTCAGACAGGTCCTCGTCGCAAGTCACGATCACGTCGATGGCGGGCAGCTTCGATATGGACGTGGAAGCCTCTGCCGCGGTGCCAACGATGGGGATGATCTCTTCTCGCACGAGGTCCAGGACACTCCGGGTACTTCTGACGAGCCCGTACGTGGTCCATCCGTCGCGTGAAAAGGCCCATGCCACGGCGCTGCCCAGGAAGCCATTCGCACCTGTGATGAAGACTGTCTTGGACCGAATGGTGGGGCAGATAAAGTCGAAGCAGGTATTGAGGACTCATGCGAGCGTCCGTCGACCGAGCCAACACCAAAAGAGGACACGCATGGCTTTCATAAGTCAGTTTGTGCCGAATATTATCTTCGAAAGACAGGCTAGGTGACAGGTATTGTATATAGATACGTGGCTTAGAAATCACCCGTGCCCAGCAGCAATGTACGGCGCCCTGGGGACCGCATACACCGGAAGGAAGAGGTGCGTATGAAAGGGGCCTATGTGTGATGGAGAAGTTGATTTCCAACCATTTCACACTTCCACCGGTAATGATCATCATTGGAGGAGGCGACTGACTTCCGGTGGCAGACGGAAAGGGAAAATGATAAGAATCGCACCCTTTAAGCAGTTCAGCCTGCTGATGTCCCCTTCCACCCTTATTCTCTCATACTCTCCTTCTAGTCCAAGCTAGTGGATGTATGGCTGGATAACCTTGTGATAGGCTTTTGCGATGAGACAAGGCCGGACATATGACAGACACGTTTGTCTGTTGAGCTATTGGGAGCGAAAAGCGGGTATGCTCACGGACGGAACAGTCGGACGAATTAATTAGTTGATTAAATACTCGCTAAAAAAGGGAATGAGGAATGCTGAAAAAGATGCGACCACAGACATCTATCTCACCACCTTCAAGGGTTCTTCTGCTCACCCTCTCCTGGATACGTTCGGGACGCGCTCAACCCCGCAGAAGTCAAGAATGGTCTCTCCCTAGACATGGCCACCTCTGCAACCGGAGGAGAAAATGTGAAGCCAGTTGAGACATGACGTCCCCAGCCACTGAGCACCCAAAGTCGAGAGTTACTGGCGGACGATAATCCATAGACGCCTCGGTGCGAAGAATATCCCGCAGCAGTTTGACGAAAGGTCAGCTGGGTAGGATTCACAGGGCATGCTCTTGTCTGGATTGAAAATTGGTCTTGTCGCTGGAAAACCCAGTCTGATCATCATCATCATCATCATCATCATCATCATCATCAGCTGCTCACAGGCGTCATAACTGACTGGTCATGGTACAAGGGCCATAACATGCCAGGCTCCGCCTCACATGATAACGCATTTCTGCATTTGAGCATGCTCATAAGCAGCACCCCACTGGTCGATTCCAGCTGCGATCTCGTTTTGCCGCTGCTTCTCCTTCACATCGTCTTTGAAATTGGCCTTGAGGAACTTGACCATCGTTTTGTCGATGTTGCCTGGCAGATATAGTTAGATCGGAGATCCCCAACGAAGTCCCCGAGTAATGGGAAATCACTTACTTTCAGTCGCCTCCATGACAACCCCCTCTCGACATAGAGGGCAATGATCCTTTTCCTCCCTTTGCATGATAACCATACATCGGATGCAAAACAAGTGCCCACAACGTAATCGGATGGGTCTCCATGAGATGGTGAAACATATCGGGCACAGGTAATCGTTGAGCTGTGGGATGATGCTCAACACTTCTTCCGAGATGGTAAAGCACGTGGCCTTGGCCAAATCCTCTGCCATGAACGGAGAGGTCTTTGTGAGTGACTGTGCCACCGACCTTTTCGCGTGCAAAGACGTGCGCTTATCGAACTTTTTCATGATCTTGCTGAGCGCGGTGCGGTTGATTTCTTGGAATTTGAGCAGCCGCAAAAGGTTGACGTTGATCTGGAGGAAGCGAGACAGAGCGGCATTCGCCTCTTTTCCCAGCTTCAAGACATCATTCTTCTGCTGTGTGGCAAGAGACTGGTTGAAAAGTTGGTATTGCTGTTGGGCATGTGCCGCATCTCGAGCACCTGCATCGACCTCATGAGAGGAGAGGAAGACTTCGGCATCCGAGTAAAGTTCGAAGATCTTTCGCCATGCTTCGACCTCCTTTTTGGACCGTCTGGACCTACTCGCTCGTAGTGCGCGGAGTTCGCTGCCGAGTCGGGTGATTTCCTCCTGGAGGCGGGCGTGTTCGGCTTGTTGCAGGTCGTCTAGACATGCTAATTCCCGTCGGAGTGTCTGGAAGAACTCTGAATCGGCAGTCAAAGGCACTTCCACCGTGTTCCCCGGTTGCTGCTGCTGCTGCTCCTCCTCCTTATTGTCCAACGATTGTCCACTCTTGTCACAATCATTGGGAATTCTGGGTTGCTCGAGACTAACTCCATCCTGGTTCTGAGAGCTATCAATGCTGGACGACCGGGCAAGGCGTCGTAAGATCCTGCGGGTATCCGGGCTCAGCCATGCGTCCATGGGGGAGCCATCACGAGGGTCGACCACGATGGTCAGCTTGGGCGTGAAGCTGACCTTCTCACCATCCTTGACCGTGTACTGGAGCAAGCTATCAGTTACTCTTCCGTCCGCATCCGAACCTTTTGAGCCAACGTGCTTCCACAGCGCATCAAGGGTCTCTTTGTCCAGCCCGAGGCTCAGAAGTTCTTGTTGCACGCGTTTGATGCATTTCTTGAGCTTTTTGTAGGAGATCGCAGAGTTCACCCAGTCCGGAGGATATTCGCCGCGGGCGAGGGCAGCTTCGTAGTCCTGGCCGAACTTCATTTTGACGCATTCTCTAGGGATCGTGGGGAGTAGCCAGCGCACAAAGGAAGATCAAGGTCGTCGCGTGCTTGTTGTCCATATTGGGAGGTGCGCCTCGTTTCGTGGAGAGAGCGACATTAATATCTCTTTTACTTCCGCAACCCCAGACGGTGAAAATTGCCACGCGCCATATATGGGATTTGTCGGAAATAAGAACCGTGGTGCCATGGCAGATGACAGGACAGACTGCGCCCATGACATACAACCAGGAACCAAAGTCAACGTCAGAGTTTTCGTTGGTGAGGAACCCAATTGGTAGAGAAAGAGTCTCCACGTGACGGTGCAGCCCACGCTCGACCGTGTCAGGTAAAGCGCCATCTAAGCGGCGACGCCAGCGATTCTACAATGACTCGTTAAATGGCGCACGCATATCATGAGGCTCTAGATCCATTCCACATTGGTGCCTGCCCAAATTTCTCCGTCTTTGTTTCTCCGTCGTTACGAATTAGATTTGAGGGGTCGCGGGACGACGCTCCTCGGTTTGTGAATGGATTCAATTCCTTAAAATCACTCTCTTGAACCCGGGGAAGACATCCCCTTCTCCTGCAATGGGCCAACGCCAGTCCTCGGGCAACGCTGCCCAGGAGCCAGCCCCAGCCAAAGCTGACTATTACGACCTCCTCGGCGTCGAAAGAGCTGCCACCGACGATGAAATCAAGAAAGCATACCGGCGAAAGGCCCTCGAGTTACACCCCGACCGCAACTATGGCAATGTCGAAGAGACCACGAGACTGTTCGCCGAGATCCAGTCTGCCTACGAAGTCCTCTCCGACCCCCAAGAGCGAGCCTGGTATGACTCTCACCGAGATATCCTGCTGCGCGGAGACCAGGGGGCGGGCCCGACGCCGGACGAGTTCTTCTACAACATTCGCATGACAACCACCGAGGACGTGCTGAAATTGATGATGAAGTTTCATGGCCGATGGGAATATAGCGATGCTCCCAGTGGCTTCTATGGCGGACTCAATGACTTCTTCAAGCAGCTGGCGAAAGAGGAAGACATTGCCTGTCAATGGGAAGGTGAAGAATCACCGGACTATCCCGAGTTTGGATTGAAGGATGACGATTATGAGGACGTGGTTCGGCCATTCTACGCCGCGTGGAACGGATTTGCTACCAAGAAGAGCTATTCCTGGAAAGACCAATACCGGTTATCGGAAGCGCCAGACAGACGGATAAGACGCTTGATGGAGAAGGAAAACAAAAAGATCCGGGACGAGGCTGTTCAAGAATACAACGAAGCAGTACGCTCTCTGGTTGCGTTCGTCCGAAAACGAGACCCTCGCGTGCAAAACAACCAAAAGTCGGAAGCTGAACGGCAGAAAGCCCTACGAGAGGCCACTGCGGCGCAAGCGGCACGATCACGGGCAGCACAACAAGCCAAGTTTGAGTCTTCTGGCGCCGAGGCGATCGCTGAATGGGCCAAGTCAAGGTCAAAGGACGAATATGAAGGGGCCTTCTCCAGCGAGTCTGAGTTGGAGGAACACGAGTACGACTGTGTGGTCTGCGACAAGACTTTCAAAAGCGAGGCACAATTCAAGGCCCATGAGAAGAGTAAAAAGCATATCAAGTTGTTAAAACAACTGAAAAAGGAGATGCGTGCGGAGGGTTTGGAGTTGAATCTAGAGAACGGTCACACGGCACGAGACCACGACGATATGGCTGCTGTTGGAGACGAAGCTCACGACGAAGAGACTCGTTCTACACCGGACAAACCCCATCTTTCCACGGCTGAAGACGAGTCTGACGACGCAAAGATCCAACCGCAGAAAAATGGCACTGCTGAAGTAGGAGACGATCAAGATCCATCCGAGGCCTCGGAGGACGATGACTATGCTCCCAGATCTGAAGTGGAGAGACGACTGGGAGACGAGCCTATCGAGACAGTCTCGGCAGCTTTTGACGATGTCAGCCTCTCTGGGACTCCTTTGACGTCCGACCCCGAAGCAGCAGCACAGCCCAAGATTGGCAAAGCGAAGCAGAAAAGAGCACGGAGAGCTGCGCAGAAGGTGGCCGAGCAAACCGACAAGGCTGCAGCAGAGTTTCAGTGTGTCGTGTGCAAGGCCGAGTTTCCGTCCAAAACGCGACTGTTCAATCACATCAAGGAAAAAAACCATGCCGCCCTCGTGTCCCAGGTCAAGGGCAGCACCAAGGGCGGCAAGGGGAAGAAGAGATGACGCGAAGACGTGTTTCACGAATCATGGTATTGGGTGTTTGTGGTGAGCCCGTACGACGAATTGCATATAGATATACCCCGGGGTCTGGTTGCATAGCGACGGCGTCTGTGAGCGAGAGTGTGCCCACACACATACACACATATATTGAGATTGTCTTTTTCCTACAACTCCACATCTAGGTCTTTGGACTGGCCATATTCTTTTCTCGTCCGGGGGACCCTTGTACCTTCAGACCTATCCCGCCGACAGAGAGTGGCGGTGAGGAAAATGCGCACGTCGCCGAAACGAGGCATCGTTCCTTAATTTTGAGCCTCTTCACCCTCACAATTTCCCATCCATCCCCGTGTCCGTTTCTCGTGTACACACACACATATCGTCCACCGAAGCATGCCACGGTCGTGAAATCATCATCATCATCATCATCATCATCATCATCATCATCGGCGATATTATTCGTTCCCTTCAAGGTTGCCGCCGAAACAAGGCGATGACGCAGGGATCATCAGTCCCCCCTAAATCGTGTTCATCTCCAGGGACGACCCTTGCTGGCATATTGCGCGCCGCACATGGAAACAGAGCCACATTGCAACTTGGTTCATCAACACCCTTGAGCTCTGAATCGACCAAATACAACCATGGACACGCCCTGCGCCGACCCCGAGCTGCAGCTCGACGTCGACCTCATGGTGCTGGAGTACACGCTGTTCCAAGCGATCGAGGCTCACCTGAGCGTCCTGTCGCGAGGTGGCTTTCAGGATGAAGAAGCAGCACGGGGATTACAACGAGAGCTCGCCATGTTCGAATCCTTTCTTGAAGTCTTCAACCACAACCACCCCCTCTACGAGCAATCCCCCGAGTTCACGCTCAGACTCCAATTCCTGGAGTTTCTCGTTCTCCTTCTTTCGCTGTCGTGTGGCCGCTGCCACCGCTCTTCGGCCGCCGCCATTTCCGCAGACTGCTGCTGCTGCTGCCGCTGCTGCCTCAGCTCCACGGTGGACGCGTCGGTGATGCTGCTCGACAGGCGCAGCGCGATGGACGATCTCCGGACTCGTCGAAGGTGGCTCGCCCGACGCGAGAGGGGTTACCAGCAAGGAGGAAAGGGGTCCGTCACCGCGGCGGGTGAACTCGACCTTGACCATGCCCAGGCGGCTTGGGGTCTGGAGCAGCGGATATACAGCGCGTGGAGCCCGAGAGGTGCACACCACGCGTGTCCAGCCCCCCTGCATACGACCGGGCCGCCCTCACTCCTCCTCTCCCTGTCCCTGCTGCTGCCTCGCTTCATGGCCATGTCGGCCCGGTTCGTCGACGTCACGAAGCAAGGCCCGAGCGATCTCTGGATAGACGTCGCGTGCGAGTTCATGCTGCAGGCGGGTCTCGAATCGCTGCGTGTGCGACGCGACGATGGTGGTTCAGAGTGCCTCCCCAGCCTCGAGGACTGTTTTGCGTGGGGTTACAATGGGGACGTTCCTTCTCATTCTTTTTTGGAAGACAACGACGGCGATGACGACGAAAAACAAACGGAGATCGTGCTCAACAACCTCTTCCGCCTGCGACGACACGAGACGGGCGCCGATGTCGACATGGAGGACCCCGAGTGGACAGAGCTCCGTCTCGACACGGTCCAGGAATTCACCATCCCCGTCCCCCTCCCCGTCCGCCGCCGCCGATTCTCCTCCTCCCTCTCCCTCCGCGTGCGCGTGCCAACCCCACCGCCACCGCCTCGCGCACCTGACCGCCAAATACCCCGCGGCGAATTTCCAGCACCGCCTCGCCCGCCTGCTCCGGGACATGTGGGACCTGGCGTGCCGCGCCGACGTGCTGGGGAAGCCGGTGCTGGTGGAGATCGGGGAGGGACACGTGCAGAGTCGCGGCGTAATGGGCGGCGGGGCGGGGTCGGGGTTTGAGAGGTTTGTCCTCGCGGCCGGGTTTGGGTGTGGTTTGGGGTTGATTGATTTGATTGATTGATTGATTGATTGATTGATTGATTGATTGATTGAGATGGGACGGGGTGAAATTGGATACGGGAGAGGTTGAAGTTTTGGTGGGAGGGAGAGGTGCGTGACCTAGGCTTGGTGGGAGGGAGAGGTGCGTGACCTAGGCTTGGTGGAAGGTAGGGTGGTGGTGGTGGTGGTAGTGATAACGGTAGTTAGGCCTACATACTGTGGTAGCATGACTGACCGTCCGTTTACTGGTTAGTCCTGTCCTGAGACTGAGCTTGCTTGCTTGAAGTGAATGAGTGAATGAATGCATGAATGAATGAGATGTCTGAATATGACGTATGAAGTATGAAGTATGAGTATGAAGCATCAGCGAGAGAATATTAAATGAGAGCAGCGTCGAAACACACACACACACACACACACACACACACACACACCCATGCCGGGGCCGGGGAGGAGTGGCAGTGGGAGTGGGATTTTAACTGTCTCGCAATGTGGCATCGACTCGTCGACTCCTCCGGATGGGAAGGAAGGAAGGAATGAAACATCAGAGTCGACAAGACAAGACCATTGAGAATTCCCTCCCATGCAGCCCATCTCAGTCAGTATGGGGAGCTGGCTGGCTGGCTGGCTAGCTGGTGGAGATGACTGGATGACTGGATGAACAGCATTTCATCATCACTTCCAAGTGAATATACAGTACATACATACTGTCCATGGTGTATGTATATATGTGTATAGATGTCCTTGCCCCTCAATCCGTCCTCCGTCCTCCCCCCCCCGTCCTCCCTCGTCACTGACTCACTCACTACTCGCCCTCCTTCTTCCACGCCTCGGGCTCAAACCCATCCATCCACGCCGTGAACTCGTCCCCGCCGGCCACCCAGCCCTTGACGCCGCCCTTGAGGATGACACTCTGGAGTGTCGGGGTCGTGGTCGCGGTCGCGGTCGCTGCGGGGCCGGCCTGGTCGGCGATGTAAGCGGCCAGCCAGCCGGCGGCTCGGGTCCCGCGGCCGCCCGAGCTGCCGCAGTAGAAGATGGCCAGCGGGATGTGGGCCGCGGTGCACAGGGTGTACAGCGTCGCGAGCGACGGGTAGAGCGTCTGCGCGGGGAGGTTGAGGGAGTGGGTGATCGTGCCGCCCTGTTTGTGGTGGTGGAGATAATTAGTCAGTTCGTGAGAAGGAGGTGGTTGGTTGTTCGGGGGGAAAAGGGAGGGAGGGGGGCCATTGGAAGACAGTATAATAATAATACAATGATGGTGAGTGACGGGAATAGGGGTGGCATCCTGTTGTACATAGGAGGAGATGTTGGGGGCCGGAGAGATACACATAGATCCCTCTCGTTGTGCCTTCTTCTGTCCGTCCGTCGCTTCGATCCCTTCCTCCCCTTTGTTGACACAGGAGAGGTGCATATTGCGTGATCTGAGCGCCATCATTTCACAGGTCGGGGCTTAAGTCGAGGCCCCCCTGGTGGTTTCTCCCTCTGGTCGATCCAAGCAAGAATAATAATGGGAGTCCTTTATGTCCTGTCCATGTCGGCCAGCAGAAGGAACGGCTTCCGTCCACGGCGCCCATTCCATCCCCCCTTTCTGTTGTTTTGCTGAACCCGCGAACCCTCGCTTGGGGAAAAAGGTAAAAGAGGGATGAAGAATGAAGAAAGAAGAAGAGAGGTATCTCTCTCTCCGTAGTCATATGTAGAACCTACCGCATGATCGTTCCTCCTCAGATCGACGAGCAGGAAATCTCGCCCGCCACGCTGGCCCTGCCGGAAGCGGTCCAGCAGGTCCTCACGCGTGATGGCCTTGGGCGCTGTCTCTCGTGGGGCGGGGAAGTGGGCGTGCCACGGTTTCTCCTGTTCTTGCGAGACGGAGGCGGTATTCATCTTGTTCCGCTTCTGAACAGTAATAAGGAGGAGGTGGCGGTGGTGACAAGCGATGGCGGAGCTGGAGCTAGAGCGAGAATGTGCTCGGGCGCTTATGTGGTGCTTAAGCTGGTTAGACGGTGGTGGTGGTGGTAGTAGTAGTAGTAGTCTAAGGGGAAATTGGTTAAAAGGAGATCCCTTCAAGCCGGGGATGGATGGTAATAATGATGAGCTATTCGAAACGTGAGAGGGGGACGACAGTGTCTGGTGGTAGGATCTGGTTCGGCACGTCTGGACAGCCTTGAGGCACCGAGGGAAAAGGACGGTTCGGGCCGAACTGGGCATACGAGTGTGTACTACTAATACTGTACTCGGTACGGTAGCAGCCGTGGCCAAGGAGAAGACGACCTGGTTGGGCTTCTTGGTGGATCTGGTCGTGGCTGAGACCACGTTATTCAAGTAAGTACAAGTAATACTGTACCGAGGACGAAGCTGTGGATGAACAACGAGTGAGGGGGATGAGCTCACAAGCGCCGATGGACGTCGATGCGATAGGTCGTCGAGTTTGGGGGCGGCAATGGAACGAACGATGGAATAATGAGTCGAGAAACACGTCCGTACAGGAGGAAATCATGCCACCAAAGAAGCAACTTCAGCCAACATGACGAGGGCATGAATGACTTGTCTCAGCAAGGAGGGTATCTACCGAGTAATTACTGTATCTACGGGAGATTCGCCCGCCAAGATGCACCGTCGTCGCCGGTTCCTGGCAGCGACACCAGATTGATGAACACAGAATCGACCTACTCGGTACATAGCTAGCCTTGTGGTGTGTCCCCCTATCAAATGACACCGGTGTAAGCCTCACTAGCCCCTGCCTGCCCATCACCATATGTACATAGGGACACACCGATCACAAGATGGCCATCAGTGGTGTTGCCCCTGTGGCGTTGACGAGGCCTGTTTCGCACCACGCACCGGACCCAATGCTTAGCCCCAAAAGCAAAAGATTGAAGGACACCTGCAGATTAGGCAGTATTGGCAGTCAAAGCAGACACTCAATATGGACTTAGTTCCTCGGGCTATGACTCCTGCTCTACCCATACCTCGTACTGCGTGTGCCATAATGGAATGGGTGTCGACAGGCCACCCAACGCGATCCAGCATGAAGATACAGCGAGCGACACCCCTGACGAGACCAAGCCACGTCTTATCCGCCTGATATATTATGGCAGGACAGAGCCACTCGATCTCGCGCCGGGAAGTCACTGACGTACGTCTTGAATGTTCCTCGGACTGCGGCGACAAGCATCGAACGTAATTCCCTGACGACCGTGCCTCAACCTCTCCCATTTACCTGAATCACCATCACCATCACCATGCGGTCCTACTCAGCAGCCCTCCTCCTCGGCCTCGCCGCACTGACGCCGGTCACACCCGTCCAGGCCGACTCGACCGTCTTCTCGCAGTTCTTCGGTGCGACGACGGCGAACCCCCCGAGTGCGACCGATAGCTTGTACTTGTTCACCATCTGCACGAACGCGGTCCACGGCCTGCCGGTGCTGACGGACCTCTCCCACAGCGAGTCGATCCAGCTGGAGCAGGTGGCCGTCGACGCCGTCTGCCAGGGCTGTACGGGTCTGGGCCAGACGCGGATCGACTCATGCTGCGCGCTGGCCACGTCGTCGGCCTGCTTCGACCAGTTTGCCGCAGAGAACAATGCGGCCCAGTCCACGCCCGCGTCTGCCAGTGCCTCGACCACCGGCTTGACGGCCGGCGACTCCAGTCCCACGGCCGGCACCTCCCCCAATGGCGCCGTCATGGTCCAGGTAAGAAAGACACTGACCGCTCTTCATTAACCTCTGACCCAATGCTGACTGACCCTCTTTGCAGAACAAGGATCTCGTGGCCGGTTCCTTCTTCGGAGCCGTCGTTGGCGTTGTCGGGTGGTTGTTGTAGGAGGCGCAGGACCCGGTGAATTGAATGACGTGTACCGCGCACGAGAGCATCCACCACGATATGCTGGAAGAGAGTCCACACCGACCTCATCGACAGGAGCGTGGCGTGCCGTAAGACTCTTCAGACAAGGCCGCAGTGGAACGCAGTCATTCGCAGGAGAAGAAGTCGATGACGTGCGCACCGCCGCACGTGCATTGTTGTGTAAGGAATGTACGAGATACCCAAGATCCAGATAGGCGTTGTAAAGCCCCCAAGTGTATACCATATCGATCCCTAGGGGTTAGCCGGGAGATGACCGTTTTTATCCCAGGATTCGACCAGGACGCCAGCATGTCGCGTGCTGTCCGGACTTTGTTCCTAGCCGTATCTAGTCTGCTGCTTTCGCCCAATTCTAATCCTCGGGGTACTCTTCCCTCACGTTACTCACAAATCTCCCCGTCTCACGGTCAAACCGCTTGAACCACTTGCCGATCTCAAAGGGGAAAGCGCTGATACGGTCCTCCGTCGCCTCCGCCGCAGACAGCAGCACCACGTTTTCCTCGGCCACATACCGCGTCGACGCGTCCTCCACAAGCACATTGTAGAAGGGCTGATGTCTCCCGTTGGGCAAGCGATCGACTTGGTTCAAGGTGATCCACTGCTCCTGCATGCGACAATAGGGGTCCCACCCGTAAATCACGCCCAGATAACCACGACGGCGGTGGGTAAAGACCTGTCCTATCCCGTACTTGACCGAGGAGTTGCGCGGATCCGATCGATATTTGGGAGGCCGGGGCTCGTGATCCGACTCCTTCAGCCGAGAAATCAGATCTCGGTAGGCACGGGAGTCTGGCAGCGTGTACGTGAGGGGGAGGACATGGGTTTCGAACAGATGGATGTCCAGGTCAAAATATTCCAGAAAGTGCTGTGTGAGGACCGCGAGATGTTGGCGCAAGTGGGCGGGGTGCCAGACTGGATGGGATGCGAGGACCACGAGCGCGAACAGCGATGCATAGGCGGCCAAGTTGGCCTGAATCGGATACAACGGAGAGTCAGGATCGTGAGACGGTGAAGATAAGATGTTGTGTGCGTTCCGCACGGCCAGGTCCCGGGCAGACGCCGGCGACAGGTATGCGGCAGTCTGGGTGGCTGTGGCGCCCGGAGTAATGAATTTGACCTGTGCCTCCAACGTCGACCGGAAGATCGGTTCCGAATTGTGGAACGGATCCATGTAGAGGTGTGTCAAGTCGGACGGTTCTTCACTCGCAGACGCTGGGAGAGGTTGGCCGTCGAGGTCGAATCCAGGCGGGGGCTGCACGACGGCATGGACGTGGAAAGGGTAGCTACAAGCGTCAGCACGCAGGTTGAAGTGACGAGCCACATAGCAGAAGATGACGGCCGAGATCAGTGGTACCGAGTTTCTGTTAGTGCTGAACAAAGACACCCCGAGGAACATATGGTCTAGGCTGTGGTAGTGCCGACCATCCTGGATACCTACCCATTTGTTCTGCAGCAGATGTTCTGCGACAACGCTCGCTCTGTTCCGTGGCGACAGTTCGTCGATATGGGGGTGGGCCTCCCGCACAGAAACCACGTAGGAATCAAGCCGAGCAACAATCTGACTCGAGATTCAGTTGAGATTGCAGCAAGGACGTGGTTAGGTGAACAACTCACATCCGACATGTCCCCCTCGGGTCGTTCTGCGAGGATAAACATATCGAAAGCAGACAACGCCCGTTCAACGGCGTTCTCGCCGTGCCCGGCTGCTCTAATGGCCGTCCATTCCTCGACCGCCAACAGTCTTTGCACACAGCCGAGGGCAGCATGACTCCAGTATCTGGAGACAGGTCAGACGCATGGTAGGAAAACGCGGGCTCGGAGACACAACTGACGCCTGGGCAAGATTGTTCGGGGACGAGGGGGCGTTCCAGAACATGTTGAACAGTTCGTCCTTGGCGTCGTAGCCCGCCTCCAGGATGATTTTCATCGAGTCCAGTCGTCCGATCTCCTCGGAGATGATTCTGTCCAGGGCTTGTCGAGTGGTCCGGGACGTCCTGTGGCGTCTCATAAACATGTCCTTCCACCCTAAGAATGAGCCGTCTCGGATTTTGTCCGCATGGCCATGTCGTCGATCCCACCACCTGAATGAGTCCTGGCAGTATTTCTTCCACAGGAGGGGTTCCTGGGCGGCATCTGCGAGGCGGCGGCAGGTTTGTGCCAGAGCGACATTGCCGTCAAACGGCAAGTATGAGAATATGGCCTGGATGACCTCGTTGGGGAGCTGGGTGATTGGCGAGTTCATCGCCACCAATGTCCGTCGAGGTCAGGGTGCATGCACGATGCCTTCGCAATCAGGACGTGACTGTCTGATGAATCAGTTCGGTACGGGGGGTGGATTGATGTGCTGGGCGTGTTGAATGTAGTCGAGTGTCTTGTGTTGTTTGTTAGCCGAAGTTCTGAAGTTCTGAAGTTCCGCTTACAACATAGAAACGTCATGACGGCCAATGCGGAGTCCAGCCAATCAAGGAACAGCCACCGGTTATGTAATACGGCGCCCGCAGTTTATTCTAATAGAGTATTATCTAGAGAGAGAACACGGCGGACGGATGGAACGAGACACATACCACATGTTCGGCCCCTTGAAATCCTACCCCAATGCCTGCTTCAATGTACCCTTGTCGGCATGGATCCTGACCATCTGCGCCAGGAAAGGCCCCCAGTCCTCCCGTGCTCGCTCCACCTTGACCTTGTCGACCTCCAGGCCCGAAGAGTCATCCAGTGCAGTCAGGGAGAGCAATGAATACTCCAATGAGTTGGTTGCTGCTGATTCTAGCTGAGCCTGGAGCTCTGGAAGAACCCTCGCGATCCAGCTATCTCCTTCGTCCACAGTACCCAGCATCCGCGGAAGTCGTTCGAGACCATCCATTCGCCACACCACACCCCCAACAGGCACGTATGCGACAAAATGAAGGCCGCTTTCCTCCTCGCCGGTCTCGTCGTGCGTCTTGCGTTTCTTGCGTGGCCGCTTGGCCTTTGCAGCTCTCTTCTTCTTCTCGGCTGCAGCCATGGCCCCCTTGAGATGAAAGTCGACACTCATCTTGTCGAATTCGGTGGCGAAGGAGTTGTGAATGTCTCTGACATGGTCGAAGCGGTCGAGAGCAAGGCCTCGTTCCATAGGTGTTAGATTCATTGTGCGGGCTCGGAAGTCGGTCAGCGGTTGGCCTAGGCTGATCGTCGCGTGGTTATTGACGATATTCATGAGAGCAACCGTGGCACAGGAGTTGTCCAAGGTTTGATTCGCGAACCAGACTCCTGCCGGAGGCTCTGTAAGATGATTTTCAGTTTCCGGTGCAACCCACCGTGACAGAAAGATTAGGCCGTAAATGCTCTGCCTTTGTGCTGATTAGCACAAATTCCATGCACGAATGGTCTTGCTTACGGCGAATACTCGAAGACACTGTCGAGTGGCACAACTTCGTTTACCTGGACGTTGGGAACACCCCATTCTCGCAACAACGTGCTGAATACAACCTGGATCAAGGATCAGTGGGTCACGACTCGGCAAATGCTCGAAAGATATTACCGGATCATTTTCTATCTCCGCCCACCCTCTCCACGAAGCCAGTTGACTTGTAACGAGAGCGCCGTCATCGGTAGTCGTTGAGATGGTGCCTATGGGGGTCGAGGCTGCTCCCGAACTCTCCTGAGCTGTGTCCCCTTCCGAGGATGACATGCTCAAGAGAGTCGAATCCGTGTTGTAGACCAGGATCACAGCTCAGCCTGACAGACACAGGCAGCAATATATATGCAGAAGAGAATATTCTGGCCCTTCAGTTGTATAGGAGGAGGACCGACAGTAAGGGCCGGTCAGAAAGGTGTCTGGTGTGCCGAATGAGAGGAATCTCCATCTGGACGCGCCGTGACTTTCTCCCGATTTCACCCCAGGCTCACTGAGATGCGGTAGGAGGGCTCCCTCATGTCTGAGGGCCCACCAAATGAATCAAATCTCCGGAGGTGTTGTTGATATACGTGGGAAGTCGAAGGTGTCGTGGTCCGAGGATTCTGTCCACGTGCGGCGGTTGTGGTGCGCAAGGCTGCATGACGTCAATGGTGTCGCCAAGCATCTTTTTGGGACTCAGCCTTGTGCTTAGTTACTGGTCTTTGAATGCACGACGCGTGCAAACGCGATAGACATTTCAATCCACTGCTCAACTTGCAGCAAAGAGGACTAATTTAACCTGCCCGGCATCTTCCAGCAGCCCGCAGTGACTGGGCTCTACCTGCCGAAAAGAAATAACAGACATCAGACGAGTTTCGTCGTCCTAAAAGCTCCCTCTCCCTCAAGATACCCTCGCTTTACGCCCCCAGATCCCTTTCTCTCGAAACTGCGAACCAGCGATTTAGGGTCCACGGACAGGGTCAATTTTGCAAGAACCAGAGACTTTGGATCCGACACAAGAGAGGGTGCTACATAGCCGCATGGTGCAATGAATGAAACTCCGCGACTGCGGTCGGCTTTTCCTACCACTCCACGAACAGACCCTCGACGCCGAACATTCAACAACAACAATGGACGCCCACCTCTGGGCACCCCCCCTTCTCCCTTTCAGAGACCGTCGCCGATAACCCGACCTGTGAAAGCACCTCCTGAGACGGCGGGTGCTTCCACGCCACTTGTACCGACAGAGATCGTTGATGTTCCATCCCAAAGATTCTACATTTTTGCGTTTTACGTTGCCCTGACAGCTTGGAGATTGTACAACTCCTTCAAAGTGGAAAATGATCTGGATTCGACGTGGCTTTTCCTCAAATGGGTGGGGATCGATGCCGCCTTCTTCGTGGCACTACCGGCATTTAAAATACCCTGGCTGGAGTTCTCATTTCCCACAACGTTCACATTATGGTTGCTGCACGCCATTGCAAATGCTTTCCTCATGTACAAGATTCCAATACCCCTATTGACGTGGTTGGGAGCACTGGTCAAGGTGGCGTACGATCGGGAACTATCCATCTCAGAACACCGAGTGAAACCAGCCGACATTCTACACAACTCCTCGATCATATTGGGGAAACAGATCATACACATCCTTCCAGAGGGCTCTGCCATTCTGAATCCCGACAAGAAGTCATTTTGCATTGATGCGTCTAGACCTTCCGTGGAACTGCCGATCCAGATCAACCAGACGACGCCCATCTCCATTGAGCTTCAACGCTATGACCTTGAGACGGACGAGGTTGAGACGATCACCATCACGAGCAAACAAGCTAGGCAGTTGAAAAAACATGCAGACATCGGTCACCACAAGTCTGATACAAATACGCCTCGGACCCTGCACTACCCGGTCTCGAAGGCGGGTCTCTACCAGCTACATCGCGTGATAGACGCGACAAAGCTGGAAGTGCGGAAGCGAAGCTTCGACACGGCAGTTGTGCAGTGTCCATTCGCGAGCATCTCGGCTCAGTCAGTGGACAGATGCACGGGGGAGTTGAGCAACGTCGCTTTGCAAGTTACGGGTGTTCCACCATTCAAAGTCAAATACAGCAAGACCGTCAATCACAAGCAATTTAGCTCCATTGTTCAGAATGTGCAGCCCCACGTGGATCTCGACAAGGTCTCTGATGAGGAGACTTCCGGTGCCGTCCTCGATCCAAGTCGGCCACACGTGGGATGGACGAAATCGGCAACAGAATCATTTGAAATCAATGAATCTCTGCACCAAAATGGAAGTCATTCTTACACCGTCGAAGAAGTGGAAGATGGTCTCGGGAACAAGGTGATCTACGATTCGAGCAAATCAAAGGACCTCCATGCTCCCCGGGTGCAGAGTTTAACTGTCCACAACAGACCCCGAGTCACACTGGGGGGTCTCAATTCGGATCGCGTTCTTCGAGTCCGCGAGGGAAGCTCTGTTCATCTTCCTGTTGGAATCCAAAACGTGGACACATTGCATTCGTCGGACTGGCCGCTGAATGTGAAATACAGCTTTGTCTCCGATGACGAGGGGGGAACTGTTCAGTCCGAAGACCATGTGCATGAGATGGCGGATCGTCGCTCCATGCCGCTGATCAAGAAGCCAGGGAGATATAGCTTGGAGTCCGTCGACAGCCAGTATTGTCATGGGGAGGTTGTTGAGCCTTCGTCATGCCTTCTCCTCAACCCTCCAAAACCCGGTCTCAGTATGGAGTCAGAAGACATTTTTGACAGATGTGCTGGTAATTCAATTGGCATGCTTGTCAACCTTGACTTTACCGGGACCCCGCCTTTCACAGTGAGATACACGATGAGCCACCGAGGGATGGCTTTTCCCAAGGTGCAAAAATTCGACGGCATGCGGGGTCAGATGGAATTGTTTGAAGTAGCAGCTGGCTCCTACATCTACACGATCCATGAGATCGAAGATCAAGTTTACGGCAGCGTGTCACTGAAAGACCAAAATCTTGTCCTCAAGCAAGACATGAAACCGCCCGCGTTCGCGATGTTTCACGGAGACAATCGTGATATAAAGGCGTGTCTCGGCTCACCCGTGTCAATACCAGTCACACTAACAGGCCAAGGACCCTGGGACTTGGATTACGAACTGGTACATGGCGGCAAAAGAAAGAAGCACCATATCCACTCCGAGGAGGAGCTATGCATGATCGAGCTTGCCCCATTGGCCGAAGGAGGGAGCTATTCTGTTGTGTTGACAGGAGCCCAGGACAAGTCACGATGTCGCACGACGCTGCAAGAGGAACGGAAGATCGAGGTCAGACAGGAGCAACCCCGAGCCGCATTCGGCGACATCGACGGCAAACGATCGATCTCGGCGCTGGATGGCAAGTCGGTCAAACTACCCTTGCGACTTAAGGGCTTCGCGCCATGGGCCGTCAGGCTGCAGAATCTTGACGACGGGTCTGACTCATTTGAGCAGATACTCAGAGACGCAAACGCCGAGATCTCGGTCGACCGCCCCGGTACTTACGAGATCGTCTCTGTTCACGACAGCTGCCCAGGCGTGGTAGATTCGAAAGCGAACAAATTCCAAGTGAGCTGGCTTCCTCGACCAACGTTATCGATCAGAGATGCAGCCATCAGCAAGGAAGGATCGGGTCGCTTCCGTAAACCCGCAGTTTGTCAGGGCGACGAGTCAGTTCTGGCCCTTGGGCTGACTGGCAGCCCCCCCTTTCACCTTAAATACCAACAGAGATTCGAGCCGCTCAAAGGGCCCGCTGCCATTAGCAATAAACCCGTTACCTTTGCGGGTAGTAGTGCGCAGATCAATCTGGATACCAGCAAAGCTGGGGAATACTCTTATGCTTTTAGCGAACTTGGCGATGCCCGCTATTCTTCCGACAAGAAGGGATTCAGCCCAATTGTTCTTTGGCAGCAAATCTATCCTCTCCCGTCAGCGAAGTTCAGCCAGGCAGGAAAGACTTATGGCTATTGCAAACACGACCCGACTTTCACAAACAGCGCAGAGGCCGAGACTGAAAACATACCAATCACCTTCACAGGCACGCCTCCTTTCAGCGTTGAAATTGCCATCATTCACCATGGCGTCTCAACCCGCCCTGAGATCATTCGCCAAAAGGACATCCCCGCGCACAGCTACTCATGGCCACTGTCGCGAGCCACCCTCGACCTAGGCACACATACCGTTTCTATTCGCTCTGTCAAGGACGCGCTCGGTTGTGAATCAATCCTCGACTCGGATCCATCCGCCGTGCGTATCCATGTCTCATCGCCACCGGCCATCATCCCCCTCGAGTCTCAAGAACACTACTGTGTGGGCGAGCACGTCTCGTTCTCCCTGAGCGGCCAGGCCCCCTTCGATGTCTTCTATACCTTCCAGAATCGTGAACGAAAAGCCCGTGTCTCTGGCAATGAATTCAGACGGCTTGCCGAGTCACCAGGAGAATTTGTTATTACAGGCGTCAGTGATTCAGCAATGGGCAATAATAAATGCCGAGCAAGAAAGGATATCAAAAAAGTCATTCACCCGTATCCAACGGTGGAGATTGGCAAGGGAAAGACAGTGGTTAGCGACATCCATGAAGGAGGCGAGGTGGACATACTGTTCACGTTTACCGGGACACCACCTTTTGAGTTCACGTAAGTATTCGTCACAGTTTTCTTTATCTCTTCCCGGACGCTGTGACCCCCCAAACAAACAATCTGAACATACACTGACGCGTGATAATGCGAACCAGATATACCCGCACCGAAAATCTCCGAAAAGGCACGGGTAAACCACGCGTTCTCGAGACGCGCCATGACACGTCAGACGAATTTAGCAAGATGATCCGTGCCAGCGACGAAGGCATCTATGAAGTTGTGAGCATCAAGGATCGTTTCTGCTCATACACCAAGCCCAGTCACAAGGTCGCGGGCAATGGCGGCCAGAAGAAGTTGTTGACCTACTGAAATCCGATCGCCCCGATCCACCGCCTTGACATTCCTCTTCCGCTTCTCCCCCACAGTCTGGGGGACGAGAACTTCTTTACTTCGATGAAGCCACGTTTGGATCGCTGAATGGCTGCAGCCGAAGAAGGGGAGTCAGTCAGTTCCCCGATCTTTCTCCTGGATGGAAAACCATGCTTGGGAAGTCGATAAAGGAATCCATCCCCACGCGTCCCAGCCACCCACGACATACATACGTAGTGCGAAGGGCGTGTACATAGGACTTCGACGCCTCTAGGATTCCATACGTACTGCGGCTTGCTTGATCGATCGATCGATAGGCTGGCATGCATCGACCCCCAACAAGCTAGATATCTCACACATTTTGAGAGTGGAGGTGGCGCCGGGATTCGCCCCTTGTTGTCCTTGCCTGTATTATCGTCCACCACCACCACCACCACCACCAGCTCCTCCTCCTCCTCCTCCTGCGTCCTCATCCGACACTCCTCTTCACCTCTCTACTTTTCCCATGTAGCGATGTTCTCAGAGAGAGAGAGAGAGCACTCCAAGGGCGAGAACACGCTAGTTCATGTTTATTTTCTTGCAACGACAAAAAAAAAAAGCAAACACCTACAGCACACATGTACCAACAATTACAACCGGAGGGAGGAGCTTGGCTTGGGACATGGTTGGCCATTAGCATAACCCGGGGATATGTTTGAGTTGGTTGGGTTGTGTCGATCCGTTCGTTCATTGTTGACGGGGTCTACGTAGGTAGGGAGGGCAGAGAATGAAAACTTCTAGAATCAGACTGGAACGCGGATTTTCCTTCGAGAGGGAAGCTTTTTTCTCCAGAGGAAGAGGGCAACTTTTCTTATTGAGCGGATTCAACCTCGAGTGAAGTGCGCAGGGAAAAAAGACCTGGTCGAACACGACAACCCTTGCGTGTCACCTCATCTGGTCTGGGCCGAGCTGCCCTGATAACTTGTCTAGCCGTTTCCATCCTACCAGAACCACAACTGCCACATTTCTTTCATCGCAGGCGCATTTGACTTCGTTCGGCCCTTTCGCCTGGTCTTCCGCTGACTGCGGGATCCATTGGCAGTTTTCGTTCGGTCTTTTTCTGTTTCATTGGTATGTATTTGCTGGTGGCAAACTATATCACAAACATGTCGGATGTTGGGGCTATCCGCCTTCCTCCTATTATTTTTTTCGGTTCTTTTCTTGATTTTTTGGGTGTGATTGTGAAAAAGAGCGTGGTTCTGAGATCTGCTTGCATCTATCAAGCGGTGCTTTCCCCCTTCTCTGATACCAGGGAAGCGTAGATAAAATAGAGACCGCTTTTCAAGTGAAGGGGATTCGATGACAGAAAATTGTCGTCAAAGTAATGAACATTGATGTCGGGTCCCAGTGATGAGCCGCACTGGGTGACATGGAAGTTGCCAGGGAGAGGTGATCGGGGGCCGATCAAGATCGGAGCGGTGTTTTAGTGTGGGGGGTAGTAATGTAGGGAAGTAGCATGGGATGTTGATATTCTTAGGGAGACCGTGGTGCTTCCTGGATCTGAGTGTCGTTTCTGGAGAGTAAAAACAGGGTGTCCAGCTGTTCCTCGAGAGAAGTGTTGTTTGAATATGCGCCAGGCGTATTGGATGTTTAGGTCGTTCCGTAAAGACTGATGTCGAAGTGGATAGATTTAGACAGGATGAGTATCGAGTTTCGTAATAGTGATTTGGGGGAGTCGTGTGGTTTGGTATGTCCGAGATCTGAACCAGAGAAAATGCAAATAGCCAAGCAACGCCGTGCAGATCTACAATCCGTGTAGGACCTGCACTGACCTTCACCGAAACTTTTGCGCCAGTTGTCTCCGTGACCCCAAAGAGAACGTGGCTCTTTCAAGACATGCAATGTCATAAGCCATAAATCCCCGGCCGAGGCTTGCTCGGCAGAAGAGCTCTGAGCCTTTCGTCCATCCATGGCAATCCATCCAGAAAACACCCATCCCAAGAAAGAAGTAGGAACTGTACCAACACTGTTGTACAGATCTGATAGCAAGGAAAACCACATGAGTCAGCCATTATTGAAAACTCCCAGCTTGCGCATGTCGCATGTCATTGACCTTCGTGCCATGGAAAGGAAGATAACGCCGAAAAGGAGGAAATTGAGAAGAGAAACCGAGTTAGATCAAATGCAAATCTCAAAGCTAGTGAGCGATTTGACCCACGGGGGCTGCTGTCGGCTGCTGCGGATGACCTCCGCGGCCACGACCACCTTGACCTCGGCCTCGCCCGCGGTAACCACCCCGTCCTTGGTTATTGTATTGTTGGCCATATCCGTTCGACTGATTCTGTGGTCTCCGAACTTGTTGGTATTGACCGTTGGTATGAGTAGCATTGTTGTTTGCGGTGGAGTTTGCGGCAGCATTGACATTGGACGGGTTCGTCTTTGGAGGCTGCGCTGGAGGAGGCATTGCACGTGGAATCGTTTCAGGGTTGTCATATACATACAGACTCTTGTCGATAGAGGGGGGAATTGGTTGGATCTCCGTGCCCAGCTCTTGCTCGATCTTGTACAAATTGAAACGGTCATCCCAATTGATCAAGTTGATAGCAAGACCACGGTGGCCGAATCGCCCAGAACGACCAATACGATGCAGGTAGGTTTCGGCATTCTTGGGGAAATCGAAGTTGATGACCACATTGACAGCTTGTATATCGATACCACGGGTGAGGAGATCCGAACACACCAAATTCCGACAGACACCGGCACGGAAGTCATGGAAGACCTTGTTGCGATTCTGCTGCAACATCTTGGCGTGCGAGTAGAAGCACGAATATCCCAGTTCTGTGATCTTCTTGGCAAGAAGCTCAACCCGGTTCGTCGAGTTGCAGAAGATGATCGACTGGTTGATCTGGAGCTTTGAGAATAACGTGTTGAGGCAGTGAACTTTCTGCTTCTCCTCGACAAAGGCGTAGTATTGGGTTATACCACGTAAAGTCAGCTCGTCCATGAGATTGATTTCGTACGGGTTTCGCATGTGTTTGTCTTTGAACGACTTGACTATCATGGGGAAAGTCGCACTGAAGAGCATGACCTGTCGGTCTTTCGGGTGGAAGGAAAGAAGCTGCTCAATGACGACTGTAAACTCTGGGGAGAGCAGCTTGTCGGCTTCATCCATGACAAATATCGGGCATTCGGACAAGTCTGCAACACCTTTGCTTGCGAGGTCGAGGATTCTCCCGGGGGTGCCGACGATGATGTGCACCGTTTCTCCTAATCTAATAATGTCGTCCTTGAGACCGGTACCACCCGTGGTAACCATGACATTGATGCCCAAGTGCTTTCCGAGGGTCTTGCAGACCTGGGACGTTTGTAAAGCAAGTTCTCGAGTGGGGACAAGGATCAGCGCTTGGGTCTTTGGGTTTTTGGGGTTGATTCGTTCGAGAGTAGGAATGACAAAGGCTGCCGTCTTGCCGGTTCCATTCTTTGCTCGGGCCAGGATATCTCGGCCGGTGAGGGCAACGGGTATGGTTTCTTCTTGGATTGGGGAGGGTTTCTCGAATCCGGCCTCGAATATGCCCATCATCAATTCACGCTTGATGTAGAAATCTTCAAAGTCCAGGCCCTTTGTCGCCGTCACATCTTCAGTCTGTTGCCTGGTATCTTTGGCAGGGAGGTTGAGTGAGTCTTTCCAGTTCGACTCGTCTGCGCCATCGTTCAAAGAGGCTTTATTGAGCTGTGCTGCCAAAGCGTCCGTCATTTTTGAAAGAGGGATGAAAGATCGGGTATTGGGGGAGGAATGAGGTGCTGTGAGTTGCTGGCAGCAGATCGAATCGACGACGACAACCCCTTCCAAATCACGACAGATTCAGCTGTATCGGGAGAGAAGGCTTTGGAGAGGATAGAAAGAAGATCGAGGGCACAGGTAGGATCGTCGCGGGGTGTCACTTGATTGTGGCGGGTTTGAATCTGTCGCTCTTTACGTGCAACGGAGTTGCAACTTGTGTGGAAAGGCTTTTGAGGTTTCCCTGAGAGGATAGAGTCGTCTAGTGGTGGCTATGCCCCGTGCAAGTAGAGTAGTTGAGGTGTAGTTGGGTTCTGGTGCTCGAGTCTGGAGTAAAGTACAGTAGGAGGAGGGCAGGTTCTTTGTGCCTTGTCCGCGACTGCAGATCACAGCCCAGCGCCAAGACCAAGACATAAACCAAATCTTGCCGTTTTAGCGAGCATGCTTTGTTCCAATGACTTTGACTGCCATCAATACTGGCTCTATTTAACTGCTGAGTACTACTTGGCAACAATGAGGATTCTTGGCCCAGTGACAGGTAGCAGCACCTGACCGTACATCTATCCCATCTTCCACCCTGAGTGCGCGGAGCACCATACTGAGGTAAACCCCCAAAGGTTCGACTCCCCTCGCACTCTCAGTCAGTTACATAGACAAGTGCAACTTGATGGACATGCTCCGGGTCCCCTCGGCCCCTTGCAAGAACAACTGGTCTGGGTAAGCTATTTGCTACACGTCAAATTATCAACTTCACTGCGCACCTTCCTCTCACACACGGCAAGACACATCCACAATTCCTCGTCTTTGAGGTGTTGGGTGTGGAACCTTGGTCGGAGTCCAGGGTCCCAAGATGGCTTTGTACTGGGAGAAAAGTCACCGTACGGGACAGATCTGGCTCCCACATGGGATGAAGGTAGCGCATCGCGAGTAGTGGCCGTGAGAGTTGCGCCTGATTCCAGCGGTCACGGTCGTGATGTAGGTCCATGCTAGGAGCAAGACGAGTTATCGATCGCGCAGCTGAGTATCGCCAGCGGGTTTAAGCAAGGGTCCTGTGTGGATAATGTGGTTTTGCCGCAGAATGTATCGTCATATGAAAGAGGAAAAGTTGCGGAGCCTCAAGCAGCCGGCTATATAGTCGCTCAGGATGTCTCGTTGAGATTCACCGGGCGATGACTTCTCCAAGAGACGAATGGCAGCCATGAGGACGAGACGGCAGTCGCACAATCCATCGTCGGAGTTTTGCCAGGAGACACCTAGGCCTCGTCTGTGCAGCTTGAATGGGCAACCGCCTTCAGGCACAGGCCATCCAGCCTCACGACTCCAACTCAGAATCGGAGGAAGCCGAGTTGATAACATTCGGTGAAGGGGAGAGGGTTACACAGAGTCAGGTGAGTCCAGGAGGTTTCGGACGTGGGCCAAGATCCATTGTGACCCGCATAACGGCCCTTGCGTGTTCACTTGCTTACAGCGCATCATTTTGAAGCAATTCCAGCGGGCAGTCGTGGCGCTTCACGCATGGCAGTCAGCCGATTCGAGCGTGCCTTCAGCAGCACAGGTCGGTACAATTTTCTGTGTTTGTCACACGTCGACTGCGACTCGATGGCAACCTCGAAGCTGACAAAAGGTAATTTTGCGTCCAGGACTGCAGGGGTTCAACTCGACTAGATAATCGTCTCGGCACTCCGCGGTGCTCATTCACAACGGCTATGAACAAGATCCGACAATCACGTCCGAGGAAGGACGAGCCTCGTTTGGCCCCTCTCTGGGGGAGCGATCCTGTAGATGTTAGCATAAGTGCACGAGGTGCGACGTTGCTCAACTTACTCAATAATGCAGATATCCGGAGCCCTCTGGATATCCGACTTATTACCAGGGCTAATAAGAAGGAACTGCGAGCCACTGCTTTGGCGTGCTCCATCTATCAGTAGCTGGACGCTGGTGGTCCTGTTGACCGCATCCATGAATACGTCAAACTCGTCGAGACATCGGATCGGGACACCCATTGCGTCCCAAATCGAGAGCAACAGACAGATCTGGGTGAATGACTTCTCGCCGCCAGACAGAGTCTTTGCGCTGCGCCCGGTCCCGTTGCGTCTCGTGATATCAGGTTCGACGGTGGTGTCCACATGCTTCCTTTTATGATCAACAATGAGCCTTCCACGGAACCCTCTCTCGCTGAGCTTAAGGATGAAGCTACCCCTGGCTCGCGCAGTAATATGGCCCCGGAATTCCATCCACCTCTTTCGCCGGTCTGCCAGTGTCATTGTGAATTGCGCTTGTAGAGATTCCAATGAAGCCAGTTCCTTCTGGGCGGCCTCGTATGCCTTCGCACATTTCGATGCCTCGGCGGCAATGGCGTTTCGATCACCAACCAGGTCTTGATATTTGTCGTAATCTGCCTTGAGCCTTTCGTGCTTTTTCTTAAGCACTTCGGCGGTCTCGCCTTCGGCGAGGCTGACCCGCTCGCATATTAGCCTGGCCTCTTTTGTGGACTCTGCAATGATTTTATCCCAGTTTTGCCCTGCCCTTTCTAGGTGAGCACGGTCAGCTCTGGCGGTCGTGATCGCAGTCGTGTCTCTATTCTTGAGAGCCAACGCTGTGGCACGTTCCTTCTCCGCCCTCTGCACAGTTGTCCGCTCCCTAACGACGACAGCGCGAGCTTCTCTGAGGCGCTCATCGAGTTCTTTGCAGCTCTCGGTTGCTTCGCGCAGTTTGCGCGATAGCTCGTCAAGAGCACGGACTGAGTCTCCGAAAGAGCTCGCGTGGATACTCTTTTGATCCTCAGCCTCGCGCAATGCCTCGTGCAAGGCCTCCAACGTGCCACCTTCGGCGCTGTCGTCCTCGGTAGCCTCCTGCAACCGATGGACGACGTCTTCCGCTCTCTGTACGGCGATCTCGAGTTCTCGCTTTGTGGCCCCATGTCGCACGACAGCCTGTCTTGCTCTGGCAAGGCGGTCCTGAGCACTGCGGTATTCCTGATCTGCACGAAGACGTTGTTTTTTGCAGTCAGCAAGTACTTGTTGCTGTTGCTGAATCGCTTCGTCGCTGTTTGTCCTCATCCTCGGAGGGCCAATATATTCGTGCACTGGGTCTTGCGCTGACTTGCCTTTTCGATAAAACAAGGAAGCTCCTTTGGTTTTGTCGCCTGGTTGGAAGCAATAGCATCGTCTAACATTGCGCAACGGCCGCCCCGAAAAGAGGATTTTTGAGGCTTCGGTCATGTCTGGAATGAGGATGGTCTGCTCAATCTGGTGAGCTATAATGAGCTGTTTCTTGACCGCCTCGTTGTCGATTTCCAGCACACTTAAGATGGTGTCGAACTGCGGATCGGGCAGGTGTGGCTCGATGTTCAGCGGAAGTTTGTTTGCGATGACGATAGGCAGAACACACCGGGTCTGTCGCATGATGCTAGTCAATAGATGTTCGTCCTCCTTGTTGCTCACTATGAATGCCGCAAGTGATTTACCGAACGTTTTTTCCAAAATTGACGACCACTCCGGTTTCAACAATTTGATATGTTTTCCGAGGGGCCCCACGGGAGGGTCCCGAAACCCCTTTTCCGCGTGCAAAGCTCGCAGGAGTTCGTGTATTTTGGGATGAAAAGCAAGGTCTTGGGAGTCGCGGTTCTCCATCAGGCGCTTGAGGTTGTTGTCCAAGTCGACGACTCTCTGGTCCTCATTCCTCTTTGCTTCTCGAGCTTCGTGCTCAAGTCTTGCCATTGCCTCAATGTCTGCAGCGAGTAGTCCTCTTCCGTCCAAGTGTACCTGTAACTCGTCTTGGGCCTTTTCAAGTGCTTCTTTGGCCTCCTCAAGCTCTCTGATGCGGCGAGCAGCTCCTCCCCCATCGAGCTCGGCCAACCTTTGCTCTTCCTTTTTTATATCTGCTTTCGTCTGTTTGATGGTTCTATCAACATTGGCCATGGCGCCACGGATTTGTCGTTGATCTGCCGCCACTTCTGAATGGTTCTTCTTCAGATTGTCGTGTTGTGCCTTCAGCTCTTTCTGTTCCCCTTCCAGGCGTTCAACGTTTGATTTCGCCGCCTCATGCCTCTCCTGCGCGGCGGCTAAAGCTCCAGCGGCTTCATCATAAGCAGCATCGTGCGCTGCCATCCGCGCCTCATAAGCAGCGATCTTGGCGTCCGCCTCTGCAAGCGTTGCGACATATTCGTCTCGCAAGGCCTCCTTTTCCGCGACCTGAGCCCAAGCCAGCTTTTCGCGATACGTTCGCACCTTGTCATTCATAGCCTCATATCTGTTGGATAGTGTAAGCTTATTTGCCGCGCTGCTCGCTTTCCCCTTTAAGACCTTCAGGTCAGGGGCTCTGTCGGCGATTTTTGCACTAATATTATCGAGCTGTTCTTCGATGACTCGGTAGTCCTGGTCAAGCTGTTCAAGTTGAACGCCCATCAGAAAATATTTGTACTTCTCGGCCGGACTCGAGGTGGCAATGAACTGGCGCGCCTGGTCCTGCGAGAGGATAGCCATGGGGTTTTCGATCTGCAACATCATATGATCACAGATTTCTTCCAGGTCAGACTTCCGGGTGGAAACGATACGGCCTTTGTCCGATTTCAACTTGAATCCACTAACACCACTGCGTGAGATATGGCGTTCGACTTGAATTGTCTTCCCATACACGTCGGGCATGTATGCATTCTCACCCTGGTTCTTGAGCCTGCAGATGATGGTGGCGTTGTCTGTTCCTTCCCTGATGAAATCCTGCAGGCGGGCACCTCGATTAGTCGCTGCAGCTTTCCCTCCTAGACACAGGACGATGGCCGTAAGGATGGCACTCTTTCCACTCCCATTTTTGCCGCAGATGAAATTGATGCACGGGCCAAACTCGCAACTCATATCTTCATGTGACATGAAGTTTTTCAGGTGTACCCCCTCTAAAATGCCGTAATCTGCGGGCTTGTTGTGATCATCATCTCTGCTTCTGGCCTCGATGGCTGCAAGAACAGCCTCGTCATCCCCGTCCTCGTCCTCATCCTCATCTCCTTCTTCACCCTCCTCTTCTTCTTCTTCGTCGTCGTCATCGTCGTCGTCGTCGTCTTTGTCGTAGTCTTCTTGGTAGGAACCGAAATCTGACGGTGGGGTACTGGCCTCGGCGCCATCGAGTCGATCGCTCGAAGTCCCACGAGGAAAAGATGACTCGTCACTTGTTGTCCGTCTCCTCTTGCCCTATATTCGTGTTAGCATTGTCAAGCCTGGGGTTCCAAAGGCAATAGTATACAGAGGTATTGGTGTCGCCGTCATCGACGCCATAATCTGGAGCTGGGCGTTTGAGGCGCGCCATTACAGCGCTGTTCTTGACGCCAGACTTGCTCGTTGGAAAGTCATGGAGTTGTGATGGTGAAATGAGAAGGGAGTGAGGGTGTTGCTGCCTTGCCAAGCGCCAACTCGCGCCCGCGCGTTTACATAACCTGATTCGGGCTTGAATGGCCGGCAAAACTTCGGCTCTGAAGTCACGACCCCCGATCTCGCAGGAAAGCCTACATTTGTACCTCTTACACAAACTTGCAACTCATTTTCACCCGTTGTGCTCAACGATAGCTTTGGTCCACAGGCTCGGGGCCAGCTCTAACAGCGGTCTCTTCATGGAGAATGGCAACAATCTCAGCTACAGAGGGGGACAAGCCGAAATCCAAGGTATGCAGGACTCCATGCGCTCGTAAAGTCTCGCGGAAAATAGTTCTCTAATACACATAGCCAACAGCCGAGTGCGCTGCGCTCGATAATAGCTGGCTCGACAGCTGGGGCAGTCGAGATCGCTATAACATATCCGTTTGACCTCCTCAAGACAAGATCGCAGCTCAATCGCCGATTGCCAGACTCCAAAAAGGTGCCATGGCCTCCCTTCCCCTCGAAAGAATGGTACACCGGGTGCACGACTGCGATCGTGGGAAACTCGGTCAAGGCGGGCGTTCGATTCCTCGCTTTTGACACATACAAACATCTGCTCTCAGACGACGATGGTCAAATATCTGGGCCTAGGACCGTGGCCGCGGGGTTCGGTGCCGGTGTGACAGAATCATTACTGGCAGTCACCCCGTCAGAGTCAATAAAGACGCAGCTGGTAGACGACCGGAAAAGGGCGCACCCAAGGATGCGTGGCTTCATCCACGGCTCTATGGTCATCGCTCGAGAGAAGGGATTGAGAGGCTTTTTCCAAGGATTCGTGCCGACAACAGCACGACAGGCCGCCAACAGCGCCGTGCGGTTCAGTACCTACACGAGCCTCAAGCAATTTGCCGAAGGCTACGTTGCACCGGGGGAGAAGCTTGGATCTTTGACAACTTTCGCCTTAGGAGGCATCGCTGGCATCGTGACCGTTTACACCACCATGCCTCTCGACACGGTCAAAACCCGAATGCAGAGTTTAGAGGCGAGGCAGGTATACAAGAACACTTTCCACTGCGCAGCGTCCATCTACAAGAATGAAGGCATATTAACCTTTTGGTCTGGTGCACTGCCACGACTGGGCCGTCTCACTCTCAGTGGTGGTATTGTCTTTACGATGCGAGTCTCCCCCAGGCGGATCATTTCTTGGAAGGCATTCTGACTATATTCTATCCAGGTACGAGAAGACAATGCAGCTGCTAGACCTGGCGGATCCCGACCGAAAGTACATCTAATGAATATGAGGGATCTGGGCTCTTGCTTAACCCCAAAAGCTGCTGAGATTAGGACGCGCTATGCAGAATTCAAGGAGGCTATTATTGTTGTTTTTTTGGAAAATAGGAAGCTAAAACACAAGTCTTTGGAGCAGACCCATTTCCCCTCGAGAATGTAGAACCCTGCAGATACAGACTTGCCGTGAGGCTTTGCATGCTTGTTACCAATGATACCCCATATATACATCTACTAACACAAGCGGGCTCTTTCGCTGGTGTCATTTCTTGGTTTTGATCTCCCTCACAAGGCCCTCTCCCAACCTCGCCATCTCTGCCAGCACCCCACCCCTGTTGAACATACACATGTCCTTCCCTTCTTCCGCCTCTCCCTCGGTCTTGACGGGCACACTCGACCAGCCCAGTCTCACCCTCCACTCCTTTCGCCCCAAGACAGCCGGCTTCCACAGGCCCGCAATGACCTGTCCGCCATGGCGATCGTAGAAGAATAGGGCCGCTGACCCGAACGCGTGGTTGAGATCGCGCAGATACAGCTCGACGGGGTCGTAGCCGATCGAGTCGACGTCCAGGCTCTCGGCGATCTGGAGGTTCTTGAAGTCTGCCGCTTCCCCCACGGGCCCAGACTTGGCTGCATTCGATCGTTTGGCCTTGAATCCACCGCCGCGGACGACGGACGGTTTCAGGTGGATCAGGAAATCATAATCCCCCAGCGGGCTCTCAAAGAGTTCCCTCCACTCGGCCTCCATCATGCCTGGGCTTTTTCTCTCGATGATTTCGACCGCTGCCCCCGCCAGTGCGGTCAGTCGACCGGCAACGACCCGCGGAGGGTGACTATTGACAGTCCACACGGTCCCGCTCGTGTCAATGTTTGTGCCCACAAACCACACCACGTTGGTCATCTGAGGATCCAACTTCCTCCATGCCTCGAATCGGTTCTGGATCTCAGCAATTTGTGCGGCGGCCATCGAGTCCTGGGAGACACTCAGGTCGATTGTTAGCGGTGAGTATGCCCAATCCCATCTTGAGAGGAAGTGGAGGCAACGCAGAAACGCTGTTGTCGCAGACCCGGGGGCACTCCAAGGGGCGGGGTGCAGGAAGATATGTGCAGCGATGAGTTCAAGAATTTCCTCAGGAATATGTTCGTGAAGGAGCAGGTGGGATGACACCCATTTCTTCAGCAGGCGGATTGTGCTTGACAAAGGCGGAAATCGGGTGATCAGGTTGCGAATCGTGGTCGTATGGATCGGCTTTGCCTGGAAGTCACGTTTGTATGTCGCCAGAGCGACCGCGAGGGAGTCTCTCAGAGCTCCATGCAGGGACTTATCCGCCAGGGCAGCCTGAATGAGGTGAGCTTCCCGATCATGGTAAATGCGAGCGCGGAAGCAGGTTGGACTGATGCCAGGAGCTGGAGAAGGATAAATGATGTCAAGGAACGAGGTATTGAAGTAGCCTGTGGTAGCCGATTCTGTGTTCTCAATCCCCACACGGGCGGTGAGACCTGGGTCATTTGAGCTCAGCAGCTCGGAAAGTTTGAGAAGGAACGCAATTTTAGTATGCTGGATGGCTGGCAGGGAGTCTGGCCATCTTGTGGAAGAGTCAAACTGAATGGTGATATCGATGGGAGACGACGTCGACGGGAGCAATGGATGGAGCGTAGAGCTCGAGCGTAGCGCAGGGTCTGCGGGAGAGATTGAACGGATCGGCAGTGGAAGGCCTTCGAGATTGTGCAGAGTAGACGTCAAGGTCTGGAACGTCGAGTTGATGACACGGAAGGCGTCCTTGGGCGAAAAGCCTGATGTGAAGTTGCTGTCACCGAGGACACTGGATTCTAGATTTCGAGTCCTTGTTTCAAGCGCGCTCGGCGGCAATTTGAAATGCAAGGCTGCAAGGTGTGCGATGATTTGCAACGTCGCCGGCCGGTCTCCTGCCCACACTAGACTTTCAGATATACTGCCATCCTTAAATCGGCGCAGCTCTGCCTTTTCGCCCCAGAACTCCCGGAATTCGGTGGCTTCTTCTTGTTCATCAGCGGATGGGCCGTGGTCCACAAGACGGTTGACGGTTTCTGGATTGGTGAGCAACGCAACTTGCAGCTCAAAATCCTCTTTGCAAAGAGATGAGTCCTTGTTCAGCGGCCAGCACGATTTTTGAGGCAGCTTGAAGTCGATCAAAGTCACTCTATCGCCCAATCCTTTTTGCAGGACCTTGTACATTCTTTGCACAAATTGTCGCTGATCTGCAGGAGTCCTGATTCGGTCACCAGATACCCTAATCGAGAATATCTCGTCGTACTGCATCAAAGGTATTGCGACATTCAGCACAAAGGTTGCGTCAAAGCCATCCTGGTTGCGGGAATTGAGCGCTGCCAAAGAGACTTGCGCGTGGTGACGCAGGGATTCGTACGACCAAGGAGACATCTTATAGAGGATATTGACACCCGTCTTCCTGTCGTAGAGAACTGGGATATCTGAGCGCGGGAGATGGAAGCTGGCACCATTGAGGAGCATCGGTTCTCGCAGATCTCTCCCACCCAGGATCTGGAGCATGGCCTTGAAAAACTGAATGCCACTGTACTGTTTGGAGAACAGTGGGTGGCCACGATGACCACCTGTGCGTGTTAACAGTGCACATACTATGGTCCACTCCAAAAAGCCGAACCCTCCTAAGCGAGCGGAACTGGAAAAGCCTCGTTGTCGAAGCCAGATTTGGCCCACCCGGCATGCTTCGTCGAAAGACGGACTCCTTATTGATCGGATGAGTTGGTCGATGGCCGAAATGGATGCCGCGTACCGAATGGCACTGTTATAGAATGGAGATGATTCGCGCCCTTGTTCTTTGCTGCCCGGTATTTCTTGCCTAAGGCAATTTTTCGAAGGTACGGTCTTTGCTATGGGTATCGAAGGGTGATTGAAACCCACAGCAATCTGGAACTTGAACTTTGATAGTCCTGTGTCCTTAGCCACGAGGTCAATAACCGGCAAGAGATCGACGTCGTGCTTATGTGCAAAGGAGATACTGAAGTCAACGTCTTCATCGCTCTTGATTGCTGAAGCAATACAAGCAAGGTAGAATGCAGCCTTGTGGCATGCCCTGTTGTTGAGATAGTCTTTCTCCTGTAAGACGCCCTCGGGTATAATAGCTGTTAGCTCTATAGCGTTTTCATCCTTCAGACTTAAACCCCATGGCAGAGCGCCACCAACCAGCACTTGCTTCGGAGCAACGAACCCGAACTTGTAGTTCGTATCTTTCGACGGCTGTGGGTGCGGAAATGGAATCTTTATTCCTTGTTTGCGAAGCAGCTTTACAGCATCCGTCGCACTGATGGGTGAAACGTCTTTGGTGTCTTTGATGACTGATATCAGCTTCTGTGAAAGAGTGATCCATTTAGATCGCAGTTTGTCATAATTTGGCGTGACCTCGGCATTCAGATCAGCTACTTGGAGTCCGAGAATAGATGATTTGTTGATGCCCCCGGTCGGCAGCACAGCAGGCTTTAACACGGATGTAGTACTGGACTTGAGGGCTGATTTCTGTGGCTGTCTCTTTGAAGTTGGGCCATTTCTTGGGAGATCGTCTGGAGCATCACCGTCGTCGCCGGCGTTGGAAGAAGCTTCAGACAGATCAACATCGTCGTCTTGCGAATCGTGGCTGAGCTTGCGCCTCTTCGTTGAATATCGTCCGTCCGACATGTGCTCGATAGACATGCCGGATCGCTTGTCAGACGTGTCGTCTTCAAAGAGCCCAAAGAATAATCAAGGGGTAGTGAGAGGGTGTGTTTGCTGGATATCACCACCACACAGTTTGCAAACACAAGCTGGATTGGCTCGTATTATGGCCATAGGCAAAAGATTTCGAGAAGTCCATGCTCAAGTCAGGCCCAAAACATTTTTGATGCCAAGGTTTAGGGGACTCCACTCGCTTCGGCCCACTAGCCCCGTCGAGGCAGTTAGGAGATGCCGCCCTATTTCCTCGCGCGACCCCAAAGCGTCTAGCGCCTTGGCGCGAATACATTTACAGAGTGTTTCTTCGCTATGTACTTTGGTGTTCGACCTAGTACTGTAATAAATGTTGGGTTTGGACTGATATGCACAAACACCTCAGACGAATGTCCCAGCGGTCTTCGTGATTTCAGCGCCTTCAGTTCGGCTGATTCGACAACAGCAGCACCTTCGGATCAATGGTGTCAACTCAGTCCTGAAACCATTTGATTCAAAACAGCAAGGCTGACCTTGTAATATACTCCGAAGGACGAAATTCTGTCACACTTCATCGTTTGAGGGTGTCAGCCCAGGTCTCTCAGTGCACATGCCTTTCAGGGTCAGAGAGTTCGTTGCGTGATGGTGCAGGGTGTATGTGGAGGATCTCCAGCTGCTCCTTACACAATTTATGTCTGCTGTGAGGCCATCAATGCGCATGTCGGCCCTGAAAGATCCCGCTTTCTTGCATTATTTCTACGCAGCATTCCTGCATCAGCACGAGGTGTTGGAAAAATATATTTCTCCGTTTTTGATGCTCTTCGAACGAGCGTGAGATCAATTATCATGAAGGGATCTCACCTACTCTCTTGCTGATTTGTTGTCCCCTACAGGAGGTCAGAATTGAGCTGTACTTAGCAGTCCGAGATGAGTAACCGGAATGAATTACCCCAAGGATTATTATGCACGCATTGGCAACATACACAAATCACTACTCGGTAGACAGATAAGGATTCATAAAGGTCGACAAAAACTCATGTCAACCGCAAAAATCTCGCCGTAAAAAGCACAAAAAAAAGTTGGATGAAGAGAGTGGGATTCGAACCCACGCGGGTTGCCCCATCAGGAAACGTAGTGTCAAGACTGTAGCCTTAACCTGACGCCATAACCAACTCGGCCATCTCTCCGAATTAACCATTGAATCTTTGCATTCGACAGGTCAATTGTTGAAGGTATTTTTCGTTATTGAATACATAAACAAAAGATTCAGTTATAGTTAGTGGGCGCGCTAGCACCCATCTATGGTAGTGATAGACATGCGTTGACTAGGTAAGGTGCCAAGAGTACAACCCATCTTACCTGGGATAGATTTTGCCGCCGCTTGCTTTTAGAGCCCTTTTGCCCCGAAGTATGTTTTACAATGAGAAACATTTTTCCGACATCTGGAACTTGGATGCAATATTTGTTGGAAATAAACACCAGAAGCCCCATAGCTTCGTCTACGATACCCCGCTGCATCAGGCCTGTTAATGAAAGGCCAGAAGCCTTGCCTTGACCTTTGTTGTCGCAATTCTATCAAAAAGGAAACTAGTCATAAGACCTCCGAGGTCGGAAAGAAAAAAACTCTCTACCACTCAGTGACTCCTAATTCGAGCTGCCTCCCTCCCAGACAGATTTCGAGGACGAAATCCTGTACACAAAATTTCAGTGACTGAGAAACCCGTCATGCTTGCCGCGGTCGGGCAACCGGTGCCCAACACCGCTCATGCCGTCAGCGTCTCTTTGCCGTCATGGGCAGCCACTGTGGGTTACGAAGAAGGGCAAGATTGGGTAGTGTCTAAAATGGAGACCGGATATCCCAGGTTCTTCATTCACCTAACCATCCAAGAACTCCAGAGGGAAATCTTAAAGCTCTATGGCAGGGTTGGGGAGAGTGTCATGCTCTTTCCGTCCCTCGCTACAGCCAAAAGGTGTCAGAAATTCTTCTATGACAAGGTCCCTGACCTGGGAACGGAATCGGTGAGAATTTTACAATTGGAACCACTCGTCGAAAAACATAAGAGCCACGAGACTGCCTTCTCTGGGCTGGCATGTGTTTTCTTTCCCAAGGACTATTTTAGTGTCGCGAAGCAAGTATGGCAGCACACCGGAGATGGGATATCCAGCCGGCGTGGAGAGTTCTGCTTAAAAGCATTAAAAGACGGTATACTCCAACCAGAGGCGGCCCAGACGAAGGAGACAACAGACGACATGCTCTTTACCAAAGGATTTACCAAAGGCCCTCGACGATATCAACGACCAGCGTCTCGAAATGGAGTGGTCAACGACGGCACTGTCCCCCTCGAACCAGCCACAAACGGCTCTCTAAATGAGGGCGAAGACAAAGACTTTCCTCAATTCGTAGAGGAGCGGTTCGGCCGCAATCTCAGCGTCAAACTCGCCCAGCAGGCGAAGCTCGCGATTCGTCGCAGGATCAGTGGGTGTCTCACAGACGATGTAGACTTGGATCAAGCATTGGCCGAATCTCCGAACGACTGTAACAGCAGACAAACTGGGCTTTCGCAGGACGACGTCTACCTCTACCCCTGTGGAATGTCGTCGATCTTCAACACGCACCGGATCCTCCTGGCCAACGCCGAGGCAAAGGGACAAAAGCCCAGAAAGAGCATCTGTTTCGGCTTCCCTTACATTGACACCCTCAAGATTCTAGAGAAGTGGGGTCCAGGGTGTCTCTTCTATGGACTCGGGAGTTCAGCCTGTCTGGCCGATCTCGAGCGGCGTTTGGAGTCCGGGGAGCGGTACCTGGCTTTGTTCACCGAGTTTCCGAGCAATCCGCTCCTCAACTCGCCAGACCTCCAACGCATCCGCACGTTGGCGGACAAATATGACTTCGCAGTTGTCGTGGACGAAACTGTCGGCAACTTCACCAACATTGATGTCCTCAGCCGCGCAGACGTGGTGGTTAGCAGCCTGACCAAGCTGTTTAGCGGTGACAGTAACGTCATGGGCGGCAGTGCCGTGCTGAATCCCCAGAGCAAATGGTACGCCGAACTCAAACAAACAATGGCGCGCGAGTATGAGGACAATTACTGGGCGGAAGATGCGGTATTTATGGAACGCAACTCGCGGGACTTCATCTCCCGGAGCGAGCGCATGAACACGAACGCTGAGGCGATCACGACCATCCTGCAAAACAGCTCGTTGGTCAAGCAGGTCTACTATCCGAAATGCAGCCCCAGCCGGCCCAACTACGAGGCCTGTCGCACACCCACTGGTGGGTACGGCGGCTTACTCTCTGTGACATTCCGCCACCCCAAGCAGGCGATCGCATTCTTTGACGCTCTCGAAGTCCAGAAAGGTCCCAGCCTGGGCACGAATTTCACGCTGGCGTGTCCCTACACGATCCTTGCACACTACACCGAACTGGACTGGACAGCACAATGGGGAGTGGAGGCGGATCTTGTTCGATTGAGCGTTGGCTTGGAGGAGCCTGCAGAGCTGACGGCCAAGGTTGAACGAGCATTGAAAGCAGCAGAGGATGTGGAGGTATAGGAAGGAACGAGTCCATTTTCCCTTTGCTGGCAGGGTACGAATCTCAAGGGGTTAGTTATATAGTTATATGGGGCCATGGCTGTTCAACTCAGCCATCTGCCTCAAGTTTGGGGCAATGAAAAGCAAAAGGATTGGGACGATTCAAATCTGACGAGGTCATTCGAGTAGAATGCTTTATAGCCACCATAGGAGACCATGGATGACACCTACAAACATATACATATATAGGTAGATGTCGGGGGTTTACCTGGCGAGTGGCTGGCACTCAGAGGCCAGCGAAGAAGTATATGTGTATCGCCCCGCACTGCGGAATTTCCGTTTCCGTCTCCGGACTAATAATAATAATAATTATTATCATTCGCCTTCGTGCTGTGTTCTTCCCCGCGAATACATAATGAATGAACGTCATACGATTCATTCACGCTACTTTGCTCACGATTTCACGTTTGATTTATCCATCACCCTACTTGTTTTCTTTGGTTCTTCTCGAACGAGTCCTCAGGTTCTTTTGGTTGTCTGTCTGATATTACTCGACTTCTGGTCACCCAAGTGTGGTACCACCATTTCTTCTCGTCTTCCTCGTCGTGTTGAAAACCCCAGATCCACCCCGTCAAATCACCCTCTTGTTGCATGCGCCTTGCGTCTCTCTCAAGCCTCTCTCTCTGTGCGGGCACTGCGATCCTGATCCTAATCCTGATCCCGCTAGCCGTTGTGGTCCAGATTGTCGAATTCTCCAGCTCCAGCCTCACTCGCCACCACCACCATTATTCCTTCCTCTCCTCGCAGACCCCTCCGACCAGCATGGCGTGGCGGTGCTCCGGGCGGTCCAACGCCGAACTCATCCAGAACCTGTTCAACGCGGGCATTATCCAGGCCCCTCGGGTGCGCGACTCCATGAAATCCGTCGACCGCGCCCACTACTGCCCGTCCTCCCCGCAGGCCGCATACGAGGACTCGCCGCAGCCGATCGGGTACTCGGCCACCATCTCGGCGCCGCACATGCACGCCGCCGCGTGCGAGTCGCTGTTGCCGTTTATGCCGGAGAATAAGGGGGCCAAGGTGCTGGACATCGGGTCGGGGAGCGGGTACTTGACACACGTGCTGGCGAACCTCGTCTGCGGGTCTGACGGCAAGGGAGACGGCAAGGTCGTGGGCATCGACCACATCAAGGGCCTCGTGGACATGGCGCGGGAAAACATGCAGCGGAGCCAGGAGGGCCGGTACCTGCTCGAGTCCGGCAAGGTCGAGCTCATCACCGGCGACGGCCGCATGGGATACCCGGAAGGCGGACCCTACGACGCCATCCACGTCGGTGCCGCGGCGAGTGAGCTGCATCAGACCCTCATTGACCAGTTAAACAAGCCCGGGCGGATGTTCATCCCCGTGGAAGACGTGGACGGCTGGGGCTCTCAGTGGATCTGGGTCGTGGACAAGGACAAGGACGGCAAGGTCACCAAGAAAAAGGACATGGGCGTCCGATATGTGCCGTTGACCGACGCCCCAACCTGACAATCACAGAAACTGCTCGACTGGTGGCACAATTTGTGGCGGCGTAGGTAGGTAGGTAGGTTTGATAGGCGACTCGCGAGCTCCGATGCGTGTGAGGGCCAGTTCTGTATAACAAAAGAAACATCATCACTGAAATGGGGCGGATAGAACACAGCGGAATGTCCCCGACTGGCAGGGTAGGGGTTTGGTAGGGTGGCTTAATGCTCTGTCCGCGATTCAAGCGTACATAATACGAGATTGGCACGTCGAAATCATCAGTTTCCCATGCCATACACTGTTTTCTCTATTCTCGGCCTTTCCAAAGCCGAGCTTGGGCTTAATGACCGTGCAGACACATCTCGACCCGGTTTCAGTTCATCCATCAGCAAGGGCTCTGTTTACTTGGCCTCCACCATCGGCTCTTCCGCCACATAGTGCAGATACGCACCGAGAAGCTTTGTTCCCTCGATGTAGTTCCTCCGGTCCAGCTTCTCGTTGATGCTGTGGGCGGCATCCGTGGAACTGCCCATGGGTAGCAAGAGGACGTTCTTGCCCGTGGCCTGCTCGAAGGTGATGGTCACAGGAATCGAGCCTCCTTCCCGGGTCATGTCAGGCTCGACGCCAAAGACCTCCTTGACCGCCTTGGCCGCGGCGGTGAAGTTCCAGTGCTTGGGAGAGGCGACCCACCATTTGCCGTCGTGCTGGCAGTACACGTCGAGGGTGTTTTTCGAGTTGAGCTTGGCGAACTCGTCGCGGATGTACTTGTAGACGAGCTCGTTGACCTTGGAGGATTCCATGTCTGGGACGGTGCGGATGGAGAATTTGCCAATGACTTTGGCCGGGATGACCGTCTTGGCTCCGGGCGCCGAGAAGGCACCTTCGACGCCGTGGATGGAGAGGGACGGGTATCGCCAGCGGGCCATCAGGGTGTTTTCCTTGTCGGAGAAGATGGAAGTCTCGGAGCCCAGGGATTCGTACAGATTGTCCATGGTGTAGGCGATGGGTCCGTAGAGGGCTTTTTCTTCCTCGGTCAGCGGAGCGACCATTTCGTTGATGCCAGGGATCAGGATCTTCCCGTGGCTATCCACGAGTTTGCTTAGAATGTGTGTCAGGTCGGTCATGGGCTCTTGGGCCGTGCCGCCAAACACTCCCGAATGGAGATCCTGTCCTGGTCCGGAGATGGAGATGGAGTAATAATTGCATCCTCGTAGACCGTAAGTGAGGCAGGGCTTTTCTGTCCCCAGCCAGTAGTTGTCCGAGATGCAGACGGCATCGGCGTCTTTGAAGAACTTTTTGGCTTCGGCGTTGATGAAGTCGTCGAGGCCTTCGGAGCCGTACTCTTCCATCCCCTCGAAGCAGCACAGCAGATTGACGGGGAAGTCGACACCGGCCTTCTGGTGGGCCTCGATGGCGTTCAGCCAGCCCAAGACGGGACCTTTGTCGTCCGTGCTGCCACGGCCGTACATGCGTCCCTTGTCATCGATGGTCAACTCGAAGGGCTTGGTGGCCCATCCGTCCTCAACAAGGGCGGGTTGAACATCATAGTGTCCGTAAACCAAAATGGTGCGCTTGTTCTTGTCATTTCCGTAGCGGGCGATAATGACCGGAGGAAGGTCGAGATGTTCTTTGCCTGGTTGTTTCCCTAGCGGGCGTTGTTGCACCTCTGCCCCCAGAGATTCGAGTTCGGAAGCCAGGAATTGTCCCATCTATTGCTCTTTCAGTCGCTTCCTGCCAAAGCTATTTCTTGCGATCACCTACTCGGACGACATCCTTTCTTCTTTCCTCATCTGCCGACACGGAAGGGATAGCTACGGCCTTTCGCAGTCCTGGTGGGAGGGAGGGTCAGTACCCCGCGGTCATTGGTGTCGCATTGGTTCCTTACGATCAATGAAAGATTCGGCGAGCTCATCCACTCTGTCGCTTGTTAGCATGCTGTGAAGAGGAAGAATCTTGCCGCCTACTTCTTGAAATAAGGCTCTAGTTGTGGTGCCATTCTGCCGTCAGAGATGTGACCGTAGTAATCGCGAGTACTGGAGGGAAGTGTCAATGGACGCAGGAGCGGGAAACGTGAGCAAGCTGCAGTGCGTGGTAAAGACGCAGTCTTGAGTAATCTATGAAGACCTGTCGAGGAGTAACGACCTGTGCGAAATGTGTGGAGCATGTGTTGGCAGGCTGATTGCCTCTTGACTGCACGGGATGTGGTTTTGGAGGGTGTGATTGATAGATTTGGGAGATCTCCGCATTTTGCGAAAACATGGTTGGAAAAATTGTACAAGATTGTAATGTAAACCCCCTGACAATAGTGCTCTCTAGTTTGAAGTAGGAAAAGAAGAAGAAAACACCTGCACACAGGTCCTGCTTTTCCCTCGTATCCATACATAGCTCTAAGCATCCCTATACCAGCGTTCCTTTCTGATCTGTCTATCCTCGCGTGCCTCTCTTCTTTTCTTGCCCCAGTTAGACTTCACAATCTCAGTCACCATTTTCTGCTCCTTGCCCTTTTCTGGGGCCAGCCCTTCGACGACCAAGTGTGTAAAGACTGGAGAGCAGTCAAACTTCTTCGATAAACGACTGACGCTCCATTGCGTGGGATCTGTCCTCCGCAATTGCCTCATTTCCTCCAAGTCATTCTCCGCCAGGTGGTATCGTTTCTCTGCCTGCCCCGAGATGGCGGGTAGCTGCTGAGCCAGTTGTAATTGTGTTCGTTGAGTTTCAGGGTCTGGTAACACTTTTCTGCGGTCATTTTTCGGCAGGAAGATATTGGGCGTATGGTAGACATTGGGCATGCTCGGAGGAGGATTGTAGATGATGTGGTCATGAGGCTCGGTCTTGGAGGGGAGGAAGTCCGGATCTGGCTTGATGTTAAGCCTGGATCTTGTTCGTCTGTAGGAAGATTGATGCCGGCGGAACGAAGGTCGGAGGATCTGGGCGCAGAGCTTGTAGAACCGCGACGACGCCGTCGGTGGCCCCGGGAAAAGGGTCATCGACTGCATATTGGCAGAGAGAAGTGATCTCTGTATTGGCCAACGTCCGAACGGAGAAGGTATTGACCCTCTTCTAGCTGATCCCCTCGAAAGCCTGGTCTCGATGCTTCTGATTGAGAATTGACTTTTCCTTGCTGGACAGGTCAAGGCTACCGTCGCTGAGGCATGCTGCCGACCGGCGCACTCGTTCTCCGGAGACTGTAGGAATATCGAGCGGCACGTCTCCCGGACCTCGACGACGACGTCTGTGCTAGTGGGAGATGCCGGCAAGATCAACTGTGCCGTGTGTATGTAGCTCACGGGCGCGCAGTCAAAGTTGGCCAGTGACACTCTAGCAAAAAGAAAGCCTCGGTTGGTGGCTTGGCAGGCTCGAATTAGCTCATCGGTTGTTCCACTTGTCACAAGACGAGGGCAATGCTGGTGATGCTGGGTGATGCGGCCCTGAAACTGCAGGTGCTGCCAAAAGCGGGAGCCTAAATGTTTGAGGGGGCCAGCTGGGTGGGCACTTCGGTGGGTTCCACAAGGCTTTATTGGGCTCTTCTGGGCTGGTCTAGGCGAGGAACGCTTGTGATGTTAGAGGCTTGCGAGCCCAATTGGACACAACAAGTCGTGAACTTCCCGGTGTGCCACTGATGTGCTCCCATGCTCCGAAACATGCACCAATTGTGCCAGTCTTTGTCCAAGGAACACTTCCTCCCTCCCCTGGTAGTGCAGTGCATACCGACTACTACGTACTGCCGTCTCCTCCCAGGTTTCCGTTTTCACCAACAAAAGTAGATCGATCGACCATCCTCACTCTCACATCCTCATCCTCTCAACCCACATACATACTTTGGTTGCACAGGGCATCCGTGGTAATATCCCGAACTCTTCCTCCTGTTGTCCCGAGAACAACCCTTTGTCGATCAAGTGAATCTGCATTCCACTCTGTACATCATTAATCCCTCCAGTCTCGGCGGCTCTCCATTCTTCCATCTACAAGTCTGTGTGCCGCAACTGCAACTGCAACTGCGTGAGAGCTGGCGCAAGTGGCTTTACCACTGCCCAAAATCTGCTCTCATTTGGGTCTATTTTAAGAGTCACTGTCTGGGTTCTTGTCTACAACATGTTGTGCTCCGGGCGCTTTGTTTGAACGCACGTCACATCTTTCGACGGCCATCATCTCTATCCTGATCTAGTATCCTCGGTCAACCCCGACTTGGAATACTAAATATCCCTATCGCTTAAATCTCTAACGTAACAGTCGGTCGTCATGTCGTCGAAAGAGCCATCCGTCAATGACAAAGTCAGTGCCAGCACCGAATCCAGGGACTCGGCCGCTCCTTTGCTGAGAGACTCCTCCGCTGTACCCTCCGAACCGCAGACCTCGACATCGACCGTCGGAGAAACCTCAACAAAGCCACGGAAGAGAGACTTTTGGAAGTTGGGCAAGAAGCCGGAAGAAGACAAACAACATGCGAAGGGGAACGCTGCCGTTGCCTCGATATCCTCTTCCTCGACTGCCAGCCCCTCCGTTGGGTTGAATCCGGCTTCACCCATTAGATCCCCGGACTGGGTCAGTGGCTCGGTATCACCGCATAGAGCCTCGATGGCTCATCATCCCTACGGGATCCCAGGATCCCCGGGGTACGGGGTCAGTAACTCGTCGCCCAGGCCGCACTCACCCGCGTCTTCCATGATCTTTGAGCGAAACGTCCAGGAAGAAATCGCTCTTCCGGAGACATCCCCACACTTGCCTTCTCACGTCCTCATCGAAAACCACATTGCGCCCGCTCTGGATGCGTCCGCGGAGGCCATCACGAACGAAAAGCTGGACCCGGACACGGTGGAGATTGTCACTCACGCAACGCATCAGCCAGCTGCCGTGACGATTTCTGGTCTTGGAGCCGAGCATTCTCTGGCTTCCTCAATGCAGGACGAGTTTCCTCCTTCTTTGGCGCATCGGCAAGACGCGGACACTGGGTCAAATTACGGCTCCTTGGATTCGACCGATGTGCGACGCCTGAGTTTCATCTCCTTCGCTGATGTTGTTCACGGCGAACAGGAGCTGGGAGACGTGCGCCGTGATTCGACCCATCTGTCGGGACATCCATCGCTCGTCCCGGCTCGCTCACCATCTCCCATTCGGTCGCCCACTTCCTCGGCGGCATTTGGAACATCACCACCCACAAGCGTGACAGCGTCTGTGAAGGGATTCGAGACATCCCCCAACCGAGCCCCAAAAGGTGCTGGTAGCCCGATACCGGGACAGAGCTCGCCACTGGCTGCTGGAAATGAGATCAACGTTGAGACGATGCGCCAGGCTCTCCGCAGGACTGGAAGCGGCGATTTGAGTCACTTCCGCAGCCCGCCCGTCAGCGCCGTGGGCAACGATGATGGAACGTACGATCGACCCTTCAGATGAGTGCGTATATGCGACAATGAGACGACGAGCGAACAAGCATGAAGTGACATGATCTACGCGGGCGCATATCATGGTGGAAGTTATACATGTCGAGAAGGAGTGTGTGGATATCTGCGACAGGTAATTTGTTTTTTTTAACACGCTGACCTTCTCCAGAGAAGGCGTCTTTTCATTTCGTTAGGACACTAGATACCACCATTTGCTGAATGATTATGAATTCCTGCCGCCTGCCAGAGAGATAATCTCCTCGAGTTTCGAATTCCTTTTACATTTCAGAAGTCAATTTTGTTCTATTACCTCTTAAGAGTTGGCAGTATGCATTATCACCTAGGTACTGAGAAGGGGGGAGGGGGAGGTCCGGTGAGCTGTGCCTGAGATGCCGGTCGGCCATCATGATCATCATATGGACCGAGCTTACTCCAGCGAGTAACCCACGGGCTAGTCTGAAATTGTCCTCGGCACGATCAGACTGACAGCGATACTTGGACACCGGGCATGACAATCAGAGAACATTTCTCCGGGAATACGCATTCCCAAAGACGGCTTCACCAGGTTGTATTTGGAGTCTGGAAGTCTGCAGTGCCATGACTCGCAACACTGAACTGAATGTCATCACATGCAACTTCCTCGACGTTATGGGCACCCTCTCTCAAACCAAAACTCCAAGTATACTGCAGACCATGATCAGATATGACTTTGCTTTGTACCCTCGAGGACTGGTTTGAGGTTTGAAAGAGCTGTTTCAGCTGGCCCCCACAGTGTCTGGCACATCGTCTGGAGTCTCACGAAGACCCTCGGTGGTTCTGCAACACACAGTCAGCCGGATTCCGCTAGAGATACAGGGGCAACAGCAAGCATACGCTTCGTCGTCCACAAAGCTTCCAACATGAGCAAGATCCCAGTGTTGGTTGATTACATGTTCGACCCCGTCTGCGAAGTCTCCATTCCATACCACGTTATGTGGATGATCCCCCTCTTCCTCTTGAGTCGTCACGAAAGTGGCTTTGGGTGCTTGATCGAAGCTATCCCTGCTGGACCCTGACTGGTGAGGGTTATCCGTCCGCTCACGATATGGCAGAGACCCTTGCGTGCTATCGTGCCAGATACGTCCAATGGTGACGGTGGTGGCGGTGCTTGCCCTTGATGAGGAGACGATGTATTCTGCGGGTTCTGGAGACATGGCACGTGACTGCTTGGGCTTCTTTGCGGCACGTGGATATTGCTCCGAGTTTGAAGGACTTGCTGGACGTTTCTGGCTTTCCTCAGACGTCTTGTGGACTTGAGATTCTAGTGTCTTGGCCCCGACGACCTTCTCTTGTGAGGTGCTTGGATTCATGATGGCCGGGCTTACTTGGAAGGGATTTGCGGGGATGTAGAACGCGTGCGTGTATACGAGGCCAGATGAAGATGAAATACTTGTGACAACAAAGAGCACACTGCTGAGGACTCCTACTTACGAGGGAACGCATTGATCCGGGACCCGATTACTTATGTTCTTCTGCGGAAGAAAGGACCAGCCCCGTTCGCCTGACCTATTCTTTCCTCCTCGTCGCAACAACTTTCTTGGTGTCCAACATCTTGTCTAAAACGCTGGCGCAGGCAAATATCTCAGGTGGTCGAAAAGACCACTTTACCCAGGACCCACAGCCTCCTAGATGACTGGAGCATTTTCCATTTTGTGGCGTTGGTTAGCTACAGTACCAATGCGGAACGCCCCGAGTCTTGTCCAATGCAAACCCCCCTTTCATCTGGTTCCTCAGGCTAGGCACAACGGCCCCCCCCCCCCTCCTCCTCCAAACAAAGTGTCAAGGGCAGAGATATCTCAAGTTACATATACTTCTAAGCCTCAAAACTCCGCTGTCACAGTACTGAATTTACTTGTCATTTGTTTTAATTAGAATGAACAATCAATCCCCCTTTGGTGCGCGCCCTTGTCTCTCCCTTGTATGTAGAGGGAGGGATGTGTTGTTCCTGTCCTTCTGACAGCAATGAACGATCCCCTCGTTTCCACCGGGACCTTTTGAGAAACACAGACAAGAACAAAAATATTTCGAAATCAGCAGAGTACGAATGTAATACCTCCCGAGACTACGCAATTACAAAGGCATCTACCATAACTCTACTAGGTAGGTAGGTACTTTGTGGGTACTATGATATGCTGAAATATTCCTCCATACTGATACCTCTAAAATACAAAATACATTATAGGTAATTCCTCAAGGAATAATTTTACTTGCTGTCAGCGGGTCATACAGGCCGGAGAGAGCTGAAAGCAAGCAAGGAAATAAACAAGCAAAGTGTCTAGGTGCAAGCTGCGCCGTACATGCGATGATTCGCGGCCCTGCTTGCATACGGGGATTTTCTAAAACGGTTTGCACCAATCCGTACCTTGCCCAAGGTTCACGGGCGCCGTCAGTGGCGTTTTGTGCGCTCTCACAATCTGACGGTCAACCCTTCGACGCGTGCGGGCACTTTCCCTTTACTAGGCACTTTATCACAGGACAACTGATGGCGCACTTTGCATCGTATTCGTCTGCCTCGACGACCGGTCCCCCACTTCTTGGTCAGGACCTTGAAACCAGAGAAAGTGCACGGGAACAGGGGGCAGGGGTGTTGGTCAGATCGAAGGCTCAAAATCTGTTTTGTTGACTCCCGCCGTTGAATGTGCCCGACATCGAATCGCTACAGCCGTCCATGACTTTCTTCGGTCCGGGCTGCCGACCAACTCTCCAATCAATCAACAGAAAGAGGCAGGCAGACGAGTGTACCGTGGGTGCCCGACACATTCGAGATTGACGCTGGGGGGTCTTCCGATGGGAGTGATAGCCCGGAATGGTCAGGCTGAGCAAGACATGCTCTCCGATTCCCGCGATTTTCCGTCCACCAAGAGGATCATGCCCCGGTAGAGTCTGCATTGCTGCATCCCATGACCCCCCGGCACTGTTGCAGCACTGCAGCTCTTTGAGTGCAGTACGTCCCAGCTGTATAATTGTGTGCCTCGAACCTCCACAAGCCACACAACAACTCGCTTACCAAGTCTACCCACACAGCAAACTATAGACGGTATCAAAGAACCCTTCGGTCTCTTCGCCGTGTCTTTCTTTCTGCGCTTCTTCGAGCTCCTCCTCCGGTGGCGTCAGGTCATCACCCGCCAATACGGCCACTAGCAGCAAGGCTCCAAATATGGTCATGAGCACGCACATCGCCAGCCACGCGAAGACCCGGGCAAAAGAGACCTCGGCCAGCTGTCTTGACACGCTAGGGATCGCGGTGTAGACGTGGCCGATTTGGTCCTCGTCAAAGGAGTCGTGGTACATGTCCCAGGCGGCAAGGTATGCCTGACGCATCAGAAGCTCGACGTAGCCGTTGATGTTGTCGAACGTGGGCAAGAGCGTCGAGTTCATGACGGCGACCATGGTCATCAGATCGGGCAGCAGCCACACGGCTTCCTGGGCCCACGGGTTCTCCACGAAGACAACCTCATCCAGCGGCGTTTGGTCCTCGACCACGCGGTTGGAGACATACTTGGCCTGCGGGCTGACCGTGACTCCGGCCGTGAAGTTGACTCGGCCGATGAAGTAGCAGTTCCCGTTTGTCGAGTCCCCCCAATTCAGGAGATAGCGACCCAAGTGGTCTACGCTTCCGAAAATCGTGGGGTCGAGGGCAGAACAGGGGGGATCCTGGTTCGCCACGCGCTTGACCATCATCCCCACGGTCTGCATCTTGCTGAAGATTGTGGGTGCTGGCTTGCTATACCAGTCCTGCGACTTGTTCCGTAACACATAGTCATCAAAAACCACGGTTGTTCCCGGGCGATAGTATGACGACGGGGGGTCATCGACGATACTGAGATCGCTCGAGTCCGCCACATACACCCATTCTGCACGCGGGACCTCATAATCCGCCTTGTACCACTCGAGGCTGTGGATTCGGATGCAAGGGATCGTGGCGTTGAGGAGGGTTGAGTTGGGGCCGACGGTGTCATGGCTCTGCACCACATGCCGACACCCATTACCTGTCAACGACGTTCCGTTTGGCGACAGAGTCGTCTGGTCACCCCACACCAAGCTCGCATAGCCGGCTGCGGTACGTAAGTATGGCTTGCGGTCAAGGCCAGGCGGGTTAAAGGGATAGTTGTACCACTTCCACCCCCCAAAATCAGCTGTACTGTCGACGGCGGCCACAGACACTCTCGCGTCGGGCTCGGATACTGGCGTCGACGTCCAATTCACTGCGCCGGTGATGATGGGGGCGATGAAGGTCTGCACGGCGGTGATCAGCAGGGCAACGGAGATGACCCATTGACGAGGGTTCTTGGGCATGCCGGAGCGGGGGTGCAGCCAGGGCGGTAGTTTCCATCGTACCATCCAGCTGACCTCTTTGGCTTTTGAGGGAGTGGTGGTCTTTGGATCTGGGCTCGGGGCGGCGGTGGACAGCAAGTAATGACCACAGGCCCACACGGTCAGCGTTGACCATGCTCCCACCAGAAGCTTGACCACTACCAAGACGGCTGAGATTATTGTCGTGACATCTGCGACGCGCAGGATCAACTTGCCGTCGACGTACGTGGCATGGCTGGCCGAGTCGTCGTCGAGGGCTTCGTACCCGTTGATGGCGAGAGCAATGCTCAGAGCAAGGGCGGTGCACACGGCCAGATGGGAGAGCAGAATGGTCCAGGCCTTGACCTTGGGCGGCAATCTGGATTTGGAATTGGGATCAGATACGCCGTTGGTATTGACTGTTTGTTGGCTGGTTGGCTTGTTGTCGTCAATGCTGGGCTGCAAGGGCGTCTTCTCTGGTATCCCCATTGACACAGGGCTGAATTTTTGCACAGCCATTTGGTGAGTTGGGGACTGACGATGCACGCAGTATCATAATCTTTAGTGAGAAGAACCTGTAACCAGGTGTAACCAGGGACCGACGAGGCGACAGCACCACAAAATGAAGGCTCCCACACAAGCCAACACAGCGCGACTCGCTTCCCTCTGCACTGCACATGGGGTCCTATTATCAACATCCTCAATCGTGGAGGGTGGGATGAGTGGGGGATCCATGCCTGGACTCTGTGCGGTGCGGCTGAATGCTTTCGATGCAGAGACAGACCGAAACGAGATGTGAAGCCTTCACTAACGGACTAGTGAGGCCTTGCTTGGCCGTTTTGGACGGGGAATCCGGGCTGTCCCGGCACAAGAGGAAGGCTATCGAGTCGTAGAGGCGGCGGTGGGCATTACAACCCGGCCTAGGTAGTATCTAAGTGATACAGTAACTGTGCTCGCCACACACTGGTGAGTTGGCACTGTTAGTCTCGCTCTTCGGGTGGACTTGTCGGCAAAAGGACATGAAATCGATGGGTGTACGTAAAGAACCAGCCTATTCGGTCGAGGTGCCCCGACCTAATGGGTGGCTTCGCTTCAGCGAGCGACGAGTCGACGACGCACCACTCGCTTATGAGCCTGACTAGCCTAAGGCTCCCACGCCGTCGTTGTTGTTGCGAAAGAAGTCCGGTTGCTGCGAGCCGATCTCCCCAAAAGAGGCTCTGTGGGATCTGGAGTGATGTCTGTGAGTAAACCAAATGATTTGCAGAAGATAAAAACAAAGGGAGTGCACTGACCCGGGGGTCGTGTGGTCAAGAAGGCCATCCATGACCAGCCAGGCTAAGGAGTAAGTACAAGTCCACCGGATATGACAGGATACAAGAGTGAACCCCACAACAACACAACAGGTTATTGAAGGGCATGAACCATCCTGCCTCCGTCATGCCTGAGGGATAGGGATGTCGTCGCCATGTTTCGATTGAACAGCAACACCAAGGACCAGTGACGACGAGCACGTGAGTGAGTGAGCAACTGGGCCGCCTAACCTGCCTGACCGGGTTAGGGCAATACGAATTCCTCGTAATTTCTTTCGTATCACCCAAAGCGTACTCGGTATTACGCGTCTATTATTCCCAGTTCCCTCGCCAAGGATCAAATACTGACACAGGTACGGACGGTACGGGACCTGGGATCTCCAAACCTGTATATAATGTAGTACACCACCACCGCCACCACCAACGGCACATCTGCTGATACTGGACCCCTTCATCACTGTGACTCTCGAGAATTCAGAGGTACTCGCTCCAGGTAAAAAAGGAAAGGAGGAAGAAGAAGATCAATCAAGACTGAGCCCCTCAAACAGCATATATCGATCGACCTACTTCAGCAAGTTTAGAGAGAGATATACCTCGTCCACACCATCACAACCATCGATCAATCAATCAATCAACCGACCAACTGACCTCAATTCAAACAAGGATGGCCCTCCCATCACCTCTAGAAGCATTCTCGTCACCCAAGACGCTGCTCACCGAAACCCTCTTGAATCCTCTCCTCACAGGCCCCCTCCTGGTGTATGCACTACGCAACCCATCGATTCTGCACAACCTGCCGTGGCCACCAGCGACCATCGCCACCTTGAGGGTGTTCCCCTTCCAGCTGCCCCTGGGCATCCCCAACAGCATCCGGCTGAAGGTCACGCCGCCACTGACGACGCTGAAGTGGCTCGTCGCGCTGGGCCTGGTCGCCCACGTCAATCGTTTCCTCAGCCGCCTGGCCCTGAACTACTGGCACGTCCGGAAGCAAGGGGAGCCGTGGGCCTTTGGGGACGAGGGTGCCGAGACCATCTTGATCACCGGCGGCTGTTCGGGCTTCGGGAGGGAGATGGTCAAGATGTTCGCGGCGCGCACGAGGGCGAACATCGTCGTGCTGGATGTCCAGGACTTGCCGGATGATTTGAAGGATAGTGAGCAAGCACTCCCCCCTCCAAAAACCCATTATTACAATACGATGTGGCTATCCCAGGCCCCGTTTACCTGCTAACTCGGTCAACTCTATACAGTTCAGCGCCTCTCCTACTACAAAGCCGACCTGACCTCCCCATCATCCATCACCGAGGCGGTGGACGCCATATGCCGCGCCTCCACCCCGACGGTGCTGATCAACAACGCGGGCATCGCGCAGGCGCACACGATCCTGGACACCGACGACGCCTGGCTCGACAAGATCTTCCGCGTCAACCTGCTGAGCCACTTCACGCTGATCCGCCTGCTGCTGCCGCGCATGATGGCCCAGCGCAAGGGGCACATTGTGTCTATTGCCAGTGTAAGCCATCATTCTCCTTCCCCCTTCTGCCGCTTCCCTTTCTTTTGCACGTTCCTGCCTGCCTGCCATGGAAGAATCTCCTGTTTCCACAAAAAAAAGATGGCAAAAAAGTGCAATAATGTGTCCACTCACACGGTACTTTGATGATAGATGGCCAGTTACACCGGCTGCGCCAGCCTGGGCGACTACTGCGCGACCAAGGCCGGCGTGCTAGGCCTGCACGAGTCGCTGGTGGCCGAGCTGGGCACGCGGTACCGCGACCGGGGCGGCCACTGCATCCAGGCCTCGATCGTGCACCCGATGTGGGCGCGCACGCCCCTGGTGGGCTCGTGGGAGAAGCAGCTGGCCGCGTCGCGCGCCGCCGTGCTCGAGCCCGCCGACGTCGCGGCCCCCGTGGTCGCCCAGGTCCTGCGTGGCCGTGCCGGCAGCGTCTTCGTCCCCGAGAAGTTCTGGGTCGGCACGCTCCTGCGCGCCCTGCCCGACTGGGTTGGGGTTCGGTCGAGGATGGACACTGCTGCGGCCACGGCCACGGCGTCGTAGGGTTGCTGACTCGTGGGAGGGGTTTGAGTTCGAATGATTGAATGATCGAATGATCGGTTGGTTGGTTGGTTGAGTGTCAATGTTGACGCTGTATGATGCCTCACAAAATTTGCTTGGTGGGAAGGGAGTGAGCCAGAGAAAGGGTGCTCGCTCAAATCAAGGGAAGAAAAACACAGCATGGTACGACTACACGTGCATACACACGTCCTTGCATATGTACATGGACGGCACGGCACGGTATCGAAGAGCGACAAATTGAACAAATATACGATTTCTCGAGAGTAAATATGTATATATATATATACTAGTCACAGGGATCCTGCAAAAAGGGAATCTTCCTTCTCTTGCCAACATTCCTTCGGCCCTCGTTCGTCGTTCGGCTTGTCGTTCGTCGTCACATAATAGATAACACCCAGATTTCGACTTTTATTTCCGCACTTTTGGGCCCCTCTGTTCAGCTCTCTGAACCAACCCATCTCCCCCACCTTCGGGGTCATATGGATGATAGATAGCAGTAGGTTAGATGGATAGATAGATAGATAGATAGAAATTGGACCCAAACACATCCCGACATCCGAGCGTCAAATCAAAACAGGTAATCAACAAAAATGCAGGCCGAGAGCCATCCAGATTTAATGGAACTGCGTCTCCGTCACACCCTTGCCCATGGCGCTGGTGCTGCTGACACCGCCAGTCACCATCTTGAGCATGTTGTCGATGTAGTTGGCACCGCTCCACTTCTGGTGGGTGACGACGTCGACTTTGTTCTCCATCTCGGGCTCCTGGATGAGTTCGCCGTAGGCCCGCATGCCGCGCTTGGCGAAGGCTTTGGCGAAGGTGTCGGAAATGAGCGCGGTCGAGTGGAGGCCGGCCAGGGTAATGAATTGCCAGCAATAACCCAGCTCGGCGAGGCGCTGGATGTACGTCTCTTGCTCCGACGAGGACATGGCGCGTTTCCAGTTGAAGGACGGCGAGAGGTTGTATGCAAGTCTGGTGGGTGATAAATGTTAGTCGTCTTCTGCTCGTTTCTACCTGGGAAAGGGGGATTCAAGGACTTACTTCTGCTCGGGCCAGACGGCGTGCACGCCCTCGGCGAACTCCTGAGCCTGGGCGTAATCGGGCAGCTTGCTCTCCATCCAGATCATATCTGCATATGGCGCATAGGCGATCGCCCTGTTGACCGCGCATTGGCACCCTCCCTGGTACCTGTAAAACCCTTCTCTTGTCCGGGGGGCATCCCAGTCCCAGTAGATGTCAACGCCGGTCAATCCCTTGGCGATGGCGCGGCATTCACTGTTGGATTTGCCCTTGGAGGCGGCCTTGTATTTCTCAATAAGGGCTGCCTTGTCCACGTGAACCCCGGCGTTGATGGCGTCGACCACAGCCTCGTCGAACAACTTGATGCCCGCTTGCTCGATCCAGCTGTCTTCGATGGCTTGAAGTTCATCACCGTTCTTGCCGGCTTGTTCGGCCGCGACCATGAGATCGTTGAGCGGCTGAAGGTTGGCGTTAGTGGATCCGAGAATGAAGGCGTGGTCGCGGTAGTCAATGGTCGTGGTAATCAGGGTCGCCGCCTCTGAGTCGGTCCGAGCCACAGCAAGCAAGTCGACGCCCATAATGTCGGCCTGGGCGCGGATGGCGACGAGACGGTTGATGTGCTCGGAGATGGGGACGAGCACTTTGCCCGCCATGTGGCCGCACTTCTTGGTGCCTGGAGCCTGGTCCTCAATGTGGATGCCCGCGGCACCTTTTTCGACAAACAGCTTAGTGAGCTTCATGACGGCCGTGAGACCTCCGTGGCCGGTGTCTGCGTCAGCAATGATGGGCCGCAGATAATCCACGTTGGCCACCTGGCCTCGCTTGTCTTTGGGGGTGGTCAGGCGCTCTTCCCGCTGCTTGCGGTCGTGGAACAGCTGGGCCATGAACAGATGCTGGACCTTGTTGGGCACGGTGTTCATGGGATAGTCGGCCAGATCGGGAGAAGGCTCGTCCGTCGAGGATGCGGTGGACGAGCATTGCCAGCCAGAGACGTAGACAGTGTCCAGGTACTTGTTCATCTGGGTCAGCATGGTGGGCTCGAGGCAGCCATAGGTGGCGGAAGCGGTCTTGGTCTGTATACGCCAGGTTAGTCGCCGCTCTCGACACGCAGGGGACTCGTCAGTATTGCCTACCGCAAACCGGTGCTCAATCAGCTTCCACAACTTCTTGGATAGGTCGTTGCTGGGGTACTGGATCTTGATGGTGCCTCGCTTTTGCACAATCTGCTCGGCTGTGAAGGGTCGTTTGGTGTACCGCCATCTGGAGTCGGCCCACCACTTCTTGACGGCCTCTACTTCTTGCAGGTAGAGCTGCTCTTCTTGGTCGAGAGAAGACATTTTGAACGTGTCAACAACCTTTTGGAGGGCAGACGTCATACAGCAAGAGCTGGCAAGCTGTCAGTCGTAGCTGTCGTGGTGATTGGTGATGCTCCCACGACAATGGGTACCAAAGTCCACAAGCCTAGATGGAATGGAGAGGAAGGGTGTATAGATTGGAACCCAAGTCTTGAGGTCGAGGATCGGAGGAGGAAGAGGGCGACGCAGGCGCATTAAGTACCAAAAGCACGAGCCAGGCCAAAGGGAAGCTTGGGGGTCAAGGATCGGAAGTGGTTCGACTGCTGCATCGAGCGTCGAGCATTGCCTCAGCCATTAGAGAGCATGGGTCCCGATGACAGAAGGCAAAAAACAAAAACCTGGAGTTCCAGGCGTTGCAGGCGAAGGTTTTGCCGCTTGCGGCCGGAGCCCAGGACGAAAAGAGATTGGCTGCAGGCAGGAAAAGCGCGGAGTGAGCCTGTCGATGGTTGGTGTCATGGGGGGAGTGGTGTCGGTGCAGGATCGGCCTTTTGTGGGGGAGAGGCGCTGATTGGCATGTGGCCATGACGTTGGAGGGAAGAAACTCCGTTCACCCGCCATTTGTCGACAGAGTGCCCGGATTGGAGGGGGAAGCATGCATCATCTTTCTGTCTCTTCTCTCTTCTCTTCTCTGCTCTCAGTGTGTGTGCACTGCTTCTGCTGTTGCTCTTTGTTGCTGTCCCATTCCTCTGTGCTCTGTAATGTGGTGGGGGGAATGGAATGCCATGACGCAGTGGGCCTCTTTGCCCCTGGTGCCTCGGCAGCAAGTCAGAATTGCAGGCACAGGACCCAGACTGATGTCACGTGATGGCCACCGCTGCAGGCCCGGCAATTGCCAGACCATTCATGGCCTGTCGCTCCTGCGAGAAACAGTCGGACGCCTCAGTCAGGGCCCAAGCGCAGCACGCCGATTGGTCATGGCGTCTCTCCAGTCTCTCCAAATGGTCTGGAATCTTGCATTTGCTTGTATGCACTGCTGGCAGTTGCTGCTCATACTCTTTCAGAATGCTTTCAGCTCGGTGAGTGCCGTGACACTGGCTCCTCCATTCCCGTAGCTGCAACACACTAGAGGCTATGTATACCAAGAATCCCTCCACTGGGGATATTTCACCTGGTGACCCTGCCTGACAATCCTCCACCTGGACGACGCCGGCCAACAAGGATAATCGAAGGAACACACAAGTGCCACGAATGCAATCTTTCTCCAGGCCTGATGCTCTCATGCTCGCTAACCATCCATAAACATATCTCGCCTCTTTCGCGTGATCCCTCTAAGTCTATTCCCAAGAATAGATGATGCATCGGGAAACGTTTCCACCGACTCGCTTGCCAGAAATGCCACGAAACAAAACAAACAAATGACCCGCCGGCATCAGCACTGAGACCTTTGTGCCTCTTTCATGGCGATTCATGGCTCGATGTGACGACAGCTTCGTCCGACGATTCCTGTCTCGATTCATCTGATCCTTCTTCAATGGTCCCCTCGCCTGCTCCCAGCTTGATTTCAGTTGCCCTCGCGAACGTTTCGTACGGGGTGAGGGTGCCGAGAGCGCGCTTCATGTGCATCGGGATGAAGGACAGTCCATACACGTAGCTGGCATTGACCCAACCAAACCTGAACGTCGTCAGCAATGGGGCGGAACCCAACAAAAGGAGATCAGAAAGAATACTCACCCCTCTCGGGGCACGCCCTTGAAGTCGGCACCCTGGTTGCCATACTCAGCCTCGACCTTGTGCGGATCTAGCTCACGAGTCACGTTGTACTTCTCCACCACCACTCCGTTGAAGTCGACAAATGCCTTGGTAACCATGTACAGCCACTTGTACGCCAGCCGCTGTGCTTCCTCAATATATCCATATTTGATGAACCCTCCCCAGGCCAGCATCTGCTGAGGAGCCCATCCAAACGGATAGTCCCACTGACGGTTAGGGCGATCGAGTCCTACTTCCCCACGAGACTCCTCAGTGCCTGACACGAGCCCACCAAAACAATCAAACTTTGGCAGGGCATTGAGCACCAGCGCAGCTGCTTGTTTAGGTGACGCGCATCCTGCCCACATCGCCCAGAAGGTCGTTGCCGTCTCGTAAGTTGTACGCTTCTTATGGACCGTGTCATAGTCAAAGTACATGCCCTTGGCTTCGTTCCACATATACTTATCAATGCGAGCCTTGCGCAACCGTGCTCGTCGATCCCATGTTGCCGATGTCTCGAACCCTTCTTTTCGGTTGGCCTCCGTCTGGAACTCAGCGGGAATGCTCAAGCGATCTTTGAAATAATGGCGAATGCACCACGAAATATCAATTTCGTACTTGTACAACAGCGAATTCAGATCGATCGTGGCTAGGTTCGCCGCACAGCCTTCCAACCGGTATGAGGTGTCATGGCCAGATTCGCGGACGGCACGGTCATGCAAAAAGTATTCGTCCAGCTCGGGCTCGTGCACCTTTTCACTGTTATACGCCTCGACAAACTCGGAGAACGTCATGCCGTGCTTTTGGGCATACGGTGTCAAAATGTGCACAAAGTGAGATGCCTCGGTCTCCGGTGGTACACCAAGACCATCGGGCCGGTATCGTGACAAACCAGTCCCCGGATCGTAACGAGGTGTCGCCATCCACACATTGTAGTATTCCTTGATGGCTGCTCGGATGGCTAAGCGTAAGAAGTCCAGAGCTCCCGATTCGTGCTTGATCTTGTCATAGACCTTCAGCGCCATATCGGTCAGGAAGGGCGGTTGTGATCGAGTGAGATAGTAAGAACGGTTGGCGTTCAAGATCTTGCCATAATGTCTGACACAGAAGGCAAAGTTCAGCACCATGGACTTAGCCAGGTCGACCCGTCCATTCTCAAGCAGACCCAGGGACTCCATGTAGCTATCCCAGCCGTATAGCTCATTGAAACGTCCTCCAGGCACGACAAATGGTTCGCCCTTGAGCGTCTCTTGTCCATCCACCATCTCTTTCCTCATAGCTAGGGCCAGAATGCCAGGAGCGCTATTGAGCCCCCGCACGTACTCTGCAGTGATGGGACCTTCGGGCAGGTAGAGGACGTCCAGCCGCATTTCCGGGCGGTCTTTGGCAACTTGGGTGTAGTATTCGAACTGCTCCGGGCAGCCCGAGGGAATATAGATGCGAGGCCTAGGATCGGCCGTCCAGTCCTTGGGATCGCGACCCGCCCTTTCGATTGTGTCGCCGTCCAGGCACCGGGTCAAATTGTTCCAAAACTCATCCCGGATGCGGCGCGACAGGCGGTCGACGGGGTTCTCACTCAATCGAGAGCGGTGTATCTTGACCACCTTCTTGCCCAAATCTTTGGCCAAAGTCAACTCTTGTAGGAGGTTGCTGATCATGTAATTTCCACGAACTTCAGCTGATCGGTAGCCTGCAGAAGCCAAGGTGCCCAAGTTGATGTGCTGTGTGGGGGGTCAACCTCTGTCACTGTCCAGGGGCGGCTGGGGGCCTACCTTGGGACCGTTATCTTCGATCGTGATCTGTTGGTTCTTGTCCACATCTTCGCGTTCCAAGAGATCCTGCAAGGTGCGGTCAACGTCCACCAGCAACTCCTGGTGTTGTTCATGGTGTTCATCTGCAACGACCCGGTGTCAGCCATCTTCCTTTTCTATGACAACAAGTGACTTTGAGTGGAATGTGTCATACCGTGACTTGTCCTCCGAGCGGGATAGTTGCCCTTGAAAGCCTCCAGAGCATTTTCGCGAGTGGTTTTGATGTACTGACAACAACGGGTCAGCAGGAGTCATGAGAAAGGGGAACAGGTCACTGACTGAAGTGACGGCTCTGTTTCGGGAGCCCAATAGTTGACGTCTTACGGCTTCCTCGTCGTAGTAAACCGACGGTGAGGAATACGGATCCCGGCGCTCGAGAGATGAACTCCGTCGACGGTGGTGCACCGCATTTGGCAAGCTCATGACCAGCGACGTCTAGTTTCTTTGTGCCTTTAGAATTGAGGATTTTTTTTTTCTTCAGAGAGGAGTGTGCAATTGGCTGTTAAATTTGTGAGGACTGTGGAAAATGCAGCCGGACGGTGTGTGTGCACCCTCGGTTGATTATCAAGGGTATTTCCCAGGACAGAAATCAAACGGTGCAGACTGCGAGGACCACAGGGACGGAGATTAGAGGCTTTGGGCGATGATGACAGGGGTGATGATGTCGACTTGTTCAGCGCACGGACCCGCTGAAATCTCCAAATCCGACAGGCTGAGGGTGGTAGGCGGTAGGCGGTAGGCAGGTTGGTGGCTGCACCCGGGGTTAAGGATGAGTATTGGGGGACAGCTTTTTAGGTCGGTCAAACCGGCGTGCCGAGTCAATTTCTTTCAGAGCACACGACCAGCAAAGAAGTGTAAGAATAACGAAAGTGTCGAGGATAGGGTCAGCTGGACGAAGCGAGAGGCACAAGGTGTGGGAGGAGAGAAAGAGACGCGAATGAGGGATTTGTCGTGGTGGTTGGTGATCAACAGCGTTGAATGGGCGACAATGGGATAGTGTTTTTTTTGTCTTGTTGTTCTCTCAGCTGTTGGGCTCCTGCCGGTGAGCAAGTGGCCAAAGGTGAAAAGAAAGAACGCAGTCAATAGTAGTAGCAGCCAGTGTCCGTCGAAACTACCTGCGGTCGGTGTGCGAAGTCACAGGTCAGGTGGACAGACGTGGGCACGATTATTTTTATGGCTGGCGGGCTCGCTAAATAGCTCCTTCTGTCTGGTTTGATGGATGGATAGGATTCTCTTTGTCTTTCCTGTCTCTGCCATCCTCAGCCAGAGTCTCAGAGCAGATTGGTCTGCACGAGGACGTTAGTCAGGGTTGCCTCGAAAATTTTCACTCATAGCGGGCGATCGATGCAAGAATTGCTTTTGGTCCAGACTGCACACCTCCAATGCCCTGCGGATGTGCTATCTGCATTTTGCTAGCGACCGTGGAGTTGGACCAGGGGGGTTGTGGGGGTTTGGAGGTGCGATAGTAGAATTGGGATATCGAACCGCTGCTGTTATCATGTACGAGACACTGGCGACGGGCTCGACGGAAGACTAGGGGCCTCTCGGAGTCCGTGCCAGGCGCCTGCAAATGTGTTCAATGTGCCCAGTGTGCACTGTATTTTCCAAGGGTGTCCACAGGACTTTGCAGTGTGACTTATCCAGGCTCATCGTCCTTGCTGCAGCTAATTTCACTGACCCCCAAATTCTGTGGCATGTCTGGCCGTGGGCGGCACAGGGTCTTATGTCACACACACACAGACACATACACACACGGGATCGACACCGACTCGTATTATTGTGCACAGTCAGAGTGAACCCCAGTGTCTCGTATCCCCTTAATTCGTCTTGCGACGTGCAGACTGCCTCGGTCGTCTTACGACCTTAATTTTGATCCTCCGTGCTTCCTTCAGCCTCAGCCTTGTTGTACTTTTTACACAGCGTAGACTCGGCGTCGGCCCCTCTCCATAGCTCTGTGCCTAAAGTAAAAGTACATGTTCCCCAGCCCGAGCTACCCCCCCTCGGCGCCCCCTCCATCGCTTGCTTAGCCCTTCGTGTAACCACATTTCCCTTGGTTGGGGGCGAACCAATCGCTCCCCAGTGGCCGCTGTACCTTTCCATCCGCATTCCACAGCGGCTTTGGCCATCCGCACTGCAGCAGCATCCGGCCCCGACCGTGTACCTGCAGGGACATCCAAGCACTAGTCACTAGCATTGCTCACCAACCACCTTGACGGACAATGCTAACACAACAACTATCCGTCTAGGATCTGCATCCGGGGTACGGACCAGGCTGGCAACCCCTGCTCCCCCACAGGTACAGAGTACGCAGTAGTTCGCCACCTGGCACACGACCATTCTGTGTAGCCAGATACTTTTTACTACTCTGGTGCATAGTTCTCCGCCATGCGGTGTGTTGGCGTGTCGGTACCCGGAAGATCCTCGCTGCCATGTCCCACCGACACGACTGGGTATGGCCACCTACCCAACGCCTCTGCAGAGCATGCCTCCGTCCTGTCTAGACTGCTATGTCTGTTAAATCCATGCAAGACTCACGCCGGTCCTGCTCGGAAGGACATACCCGCCCACACCAACCGCACCAACTGCGTGCTGTGCCCTTGGCTTCCCGCTCCAGATATTTACCACTCTCCCTCTCATCGTCCCACTCCCACACCCCCGCCCCAACCTTGACACGCTTCTTTACCTTCTTCTTGACCACCCCTCCTATCCCCTCAATCTCTTGCTGGAGATACCCTGGCTTGTTACTGCCATAGGCCGAATCTGGTGTGCCTAGTCGGTTGAAGCTGTTCCTGTCCACCTCAGCCGGATCATGCGCCTTGCCTTGAGAGCAGTCAATCTCCACCCAGCATACGGCTTTGCCACTGGTCTCTAGGCAATCTTCCCCACGGCCGCATTTTTGGGCTTGGTTTCCCAATCCCAACCCGGTACCTAAACCGTCGCCAATATGCGTCGAGTACCGAGACCGCCAGGTCCACACCCTCTTGTAAGTGGTGTCGGCCACCCGCAGACTCTGGCCGCAGGGGGTACACAAAAAAACTCCACGCGTCTCGCAGGTGCAGGGACCTCGAAGAAACGCCGAAGAAGTAAAGGCACGGTGCGAGCTGATGGTTGACTCGTAGTTCTGCACGCCCGGGGTGTTGCCCGATGCGGATGAGCTTGAAGCTGACCGTTCAGATCGCATCGAACTGGCACTGGACAGGGGAGGACTATCGCTGGTATCGTCGGCAGAGCCAATGTCTTGCAAATGTGCTTCGATTGGGGCATCGAGACAGGTCTTACAAAGTCGGCGAAAGCGATCCTTCAGCCGAATAGTGCTGGGAGATTTAGCGGCACAATTACGACATACGACCGTTCCGCATCGGCGACACGGAGCCACCAAATCTCGAGCACAAGAGCTGATTTTGCTCGAAACGCCCATTGATGCATAGAGTCCCCCAGAATGCTGAGGAGGCCAGCCCCCTTCGATAGCTTCTGCTGTCGCCTGCATCTGTGAGATTGCCGAAACTTGCAGCGAACTTGTGCTCGCGCGAGAGTCCACAGTATCCGTTCTTCCTCTTTGTTCCAGGAGCACTTCTGCTAGAACTGGTCTTCCATCATGGATGCAACGCAGGGACTGAGACTTGAGTTGATGTGCATACTGTGCGAGGCTCAGGTGGACATTTCGACAAGTGGCCGCAAGAGCGTGCAGATCATTGAGATCTAGATGAGAGGACAAGGAGAGGGCAATACTAATAAAATCCAGTAGGTTAGTGGATGTAGAGGAGGTTCATATGGTCATATCTCTGTGCCTACGGATAACAAGTCAACGCGGCAGCCAGTTTGTTGGGTGCCGTCGACAGTACTTGTCCATTGCTCGCTCCACTGGGTCCTCCATTGACAGCTGATTTCAGCTGATCTTGGTGGGACGATGCTCCCGTGTCAGGGCGCGATCGACCGCTCGCTGAGCAGTCGTCGTCGTCAAGATCAAAGAACACTGCCATGTCGCCATTTGAATCTGGAGAAAAAGGACGGACAATGCAGAAACCCCGCAAATTAAACGAAAGACAACCAGTAAAAGGGAATATCAGAATTGAAGGAGTTGGGGTGAATGAAGCCAGAGGCACAAGAGACCTTGTGACGCAGCAGACGAGACACGATGATGATGATGTTGATGATGTTGAAACTGCGGAGAGAGAGGGGGGCTGCAGCAGTTGAATGAATGGTACGGAATACGAGGTACGGAGTAAACACGAGTCATAAGGGGGCGCCAAGAGTGAGGCAGGACGTGGCGGTGCGTCACGACTTGGTGAGGTTCAGCCAGCTACGAACTAGGGCTTATTGGCCACGTAGATATAGGCCTGGTTCTGGTTAATAGCATGCGAGACATGTTTATGTTTCCGCACCTGCCGTAATTAAAAACAAAGAGCTGGATACTTCAGGAGCATGTATCCGGCCTGATTGTAACTGCAACCAGATAAATATCTCGAGGAGCTTCCCATGGATCATTGAGCACACGATTCCAACGACATTGACAAGCACATTTTCGCCATTTGCGACCTGAGACTCGAGCTAGCTGTTGATGACATTTGGTTGAAGGCTGAACCGAGGCATCTTCAGACAATAGGCTGCATGAGGCATGCAACGTCTCAGCTGCCCAAATCCGAAGACAAGACCTTTTTTATCTTACTTGTCGTCAAGATCTGATCCTATTTGGGTTTCTTCCTAAGCGACGACGAGTTCACATATCTCTGGAAAGCCGTGCAAATAGTCCAAGATGACTTCAGTTCAACTCCCCCCTTTCACTAGCACACCAGTTGAGCAGATCCCTTCAATCGTCTCTCGCCTTCGAAAGACATTCTTTTCCCAGAAAACGCGCCCGGCCGAGTTCCGACTCAAGCAGCTACGCAAGCTCTATTGGGCCATCGCCGACCATGAGAGAGAGCTCCAGGAGGCAGTCTCTCGGGATTTGGGCAAAGGCACTTTCGAAGCGTTCACAGCGGAGATCAACTGGACCCAAAATGACATCGTCTTCACGACTCAAAATCTAGAGAAATGGATGAAGGACGAGAAGCCCGCCGACATCGCCTTCTCGAATCGCCTGGTCAACCCCAGAATTCGAAAGGATCCCTTAGGTGTGGTCCTTGTGATCGGGTAAGCAATATCGACCCGCCTCGCACATCGCGCGCGCAGCTAACACAACTTCGAGTGCCTTCAACTTCCCCGTCAACTTGTCCTTTGGTCCCATGATTGGAGCCATCGCGGCAGGAAATACAGTCGTTTTGAAGCCTTCGGAGCAGTCGCCGCACAGTGCCGCAGTCATGCAAAAAATCATGGAAACGGCGCTTGATCCCGACTGCTATGTTTGCGTCCAGGGTGCTATCCCTGAAACCTCAGCATTGCTGGAGGAGAAGTGGGACAAAATATTCTTCACCGGCTCTTCCCGCACGGCCAAAATCATCGCTCAGGCAGCAGCGAAGACACTGACTCCAGTTGCTCTCGAGTTGGGTGGACGGAATCCTGCAATCGTGACCAAGAAGGCCGACACGCGCTTGGCAGCTCGACGGCTGCTGTGGTCCAAGACCATGAACGCAGGCCAAGTATGCATCAGCCAGAACTACATCCTGGCTGATAGGGAAGTTGTCCCTACTCTGATTGCAGAGTTGAAAACGGCTATGAGGGAATTCTTCCCGGAAGGTGCAAAGAAGAGTGCCGACTACTCCAGGATTGTCAATATCAACTCATTCAATCGCATCAAGAAAATGCTCGACAACACTTCAGGCAGAATTGTCATTGGTGGAACCATGGATGCAGACCAGCTCTTCATTGAGCCCACCGTGATCCAGGTCTCAGATCCCAAGGACTCGCTGCTAGTGGAAGAGTCTTTTGGGCCCCTGATCCCGATCTTGCCCGTCGACAACCTGGATCAAGCTATCAGCATTGCCAACGAGCTCCATGAGACCCCGTTGGGGGTGTATGCCTTTGGATCCAAGGCCGAGACCGACAGAGTCTTAGCAGGCACACGCTCTGGCGGTGCGAGCATCAACGATGGCTTCTTCCACGGCATCATACCGAACTTACCTTTCGGTGGAGTGGGCGACTCGGGCACTGGAGCATACCGGGGCAAGGCTTCATTCGACTGCTTCACGCATCAACGGTCCATCACTTATACCCCAGGCTGGATGGAAAGCTTGTTGGCTGTGAGATACCCTCCCTTTGCTGGAACTGGCAAGCTGGCACAGTTCAACAAAATGGGACTTCTCAAGCCTGACTTTGATCGAGACGGCAATCGAAAGATAGGGGTCGTGTGGTACTTGCTCACGCTGGGAGCAGGGAGCATAACGGGAGGTGCGTTCAGAGCAGCCTTGTTAGCGGGGATCTGCGTAGCCTTGAAGGCTTTCATGGATGGGAAAACACTGACATTCAAATAAGGGCGGAAGTCGTGAGATAATCCCCCTCCTGCGGGACGGATCGGATAATCATGGCGAGATAGCAATATACGGACTTCCAGGTAGACAGATCTGACTGCGTCTCATATGCATGACGCAGTAATCTTTACGAGAAGGCCCGTTGTCAGCCGGGACGGTTCGTTGACGAGTCTGATCCTGCGGGGAGGAGTTGATCAGGCTGGTGCTGGGCAGGTTGGCGAGGCTGGCGTTATCGATACTGCCTAGACTTGGCACCGCCACCCGAGCCACCACAGCGAGATAATGGAACCCAAGCGAACTTAGACTTGCTCCCTCCCAGGGTCCAAAGTGCGCGTCATCCAGAGAATCAGGGCCGCCCCAACGAGGTTACCGAGCTGCTTCGTCCATCCCGCATGGATTTCCCATACCACGATCATCATCTCCTGCTTGGGATTGGATGGTTTTTTTGCAGCCACCAACTTTCACCACCCCCTGCAACCTGTCCGAGTATCTCGTTGGCATTATTCTCCTAGGCAAAGGCCCTCGAACCTCCCCCCATCCAAAATTCGGCCTCTTATTCTTATCCGTTTCACCGCAAGACAGTCGCTCCTTGAAAATCTAGTCCTTCCCAGACCTCACCGGCCGTCACAAGTGCGCACGCGAGTTCTTTCCGGGGAGCCTGCGAGAGAGAGAAGAGATTCCCAAGGCTCATATCATGACCTCTACCTCGAATACACCTTTTGCTACACCTGCAACCTCTAATCCCAACACCCGACCGAGCACTCCTAACTCGTCTACCCCTCCCACGGGAGGCATTGCCCCTGCCGATAACGATCTGCGAGATGATAGCTCCAAGCTTCGAACATTCCTGGGCCTGTTGAAGAAGTACGTCCCTGCCATAAACAAAATATTGCCAGCTGTCGGTTGGGAGGAGTGTCCTTGCACGTTCAAGAATGTTGGGCTGACTCGACCGGGCACGGAACAGGTTTATCGGTGTCTCAGATATCGCAAATGTTCGGTTTTCATTGCCGTCACAATTAATAGAGCCTATACCAAATCTAGGTATGTGCAGCAGCAAGCACTATCAAGGGGCAGAGGTGTTGATAGCATGCAGAATACTGGCACTACTTGGATAGACCGGAGACGTTCGTCAGGTAAGAGTGCTTTGCTGCAGATGCGCTTTATCTTCCAGGCATGTCCTGACGGGGTGCTACAGTATAGGAAGATCAGATGAGCCTCTCGGTCGGATGTTGGAAGTGCTACGCTTCTGGTTCACCAAAGATCTGGTTTGTGAAGAGTCCTTCTCTGTCTTGTTGGTGGGTGAAGCTAAAGGAGTGTACAGAAATACGTGAAAGGCAAGCCTTGCAAACCCTATAATTCGACGCTGGGGGAATTCTTCAGGGTACGTCTCAAGTCGTCTCATGTTCTCCTTGTACCCTACACGGGGATCCTCCAACTAATATGACCTCTTGCTAACGCAACGCCCTCTTCGCATAGTGCCACTGGGAAGTCAACGCGGACGCCCCGCCTATATCTAACCCTTCCAAAGCACCGCCTCAGCCTTCCGTCGACCCCACAGAGCCGCAGGTCAATGGCGACACTGGCGAGAAGCCAGTTCGAATATCATTTCTCACCGAACAGACTTCACACCACCCTCCCGTCTCAGCCTATTGGTACGAATGCCCTTCTCGTGGCATCATTGCCAGAGGTTATGACCAAATCTCTGCCAAGTTCACGGGCACATCCGTTCGCGTGATCCCCGGTGCCTTCAACCGGGGCATCTTCATCACTCTTACACAGCGGGACAACGAAGAATACCAACTCGTCCACCCGGCCGCTTCCCTAGGCGGTCTACTTCGGGGTTCCCTGTACATCTCTGTCGCGGACACATGCTCAATAACCTGTCCGCAGACGAGGCTGAAATGCCTCTTAACATATGTGGAGGAATCCTGGTTTGGCAAGGCGCAGAACCGAGTCCACGGTCTCATTTTCCGTTACGATCCGTCTGACGACAAATATACGCGCGTCAAGGACGTTCCTGAGAAGGATATTCTGGCGAAGCTCGAAGGATGCTGGCAAGAGCAAATCTTTTACACGATTCCGAACACCGCAGCGGTCAAGGAAACTCCAAACATTGAACCGACTTCCGACAAGCAACTTCTCATTGACCTACAACCTTTGTTCCCGGTGCCTAAGTCGTGTCCCCCAGCCCACGAGCAACTGCCGCACGAATCTCGCACGTTCTGGGCCGAGGTCACCACCGCAATCAACGAAAAGCGCTACTCGGATGCGACCAGGATGAAACAGGACTTGGAACAAGCCCAGAGAGACAAAGCTGCAAAGAGGAAAGACTTGAATGTCGAGTTCAAGCCGAGATTTTTCACGTCCTCTACCGAGGCCAACGGAAAGCCCGAGTTGACCGAATACGGGAAGGAGACGCTCGCTGGCCTGGAGAAGAAAGAATATGGCATCAACTTTGTGCCGGAGCCAGGGATTGACGCTGACACGTAGGTCGTGAAAGCGAGGAGCTGCGATGATGTACTCTGGACCAGATTGGAGAGCAGGGAGAGATGGAGGAGAAGGGGTATAGGTTCAACGATTAGCTCACCGGAGACATACCTTTGAGAGTGCACATATAGGGTAAGGAGTCACAGTTGGATCACAAACATGCTGCACATCGAGGCCCCCCATGGATGGGTGGCTGACGAAAAACATCGGGCGAGGCCCAGACGGGGTTGGCCCCGTACAGTGCCTATGGCGGGTCAAGACACCAGCGGAGTGGTCCTCCCAGGTTCGAGGAAAGACGCATGCAATACATAATAATGCGTGAAGTCAGGGTATTGGGGCGAACCTGGATCTGGGATTGGGAGCTGAAGAGGGGGCGCATTTTTAAATGAATGAATAGATCTTTATCTGCTTGCACAGAGATATTTTGCATATACGACGAGCATGGTAGCATTTAGGGCGCCGCACGGTCTTGTTGTTCAGCTTTCTTACTGACTGACTGACTGACTGACTTACGTGTTCGACTCTATGCCCCTGGTGCCTGCTGCAGAGGGAGACGAGCATATCTGCAAAGAAAACAGCTCGAATGAAAGGAGCAGGAAATAATGTACTGTACTGTATGTGGTCCGTAGCCTCGCCTACACATGATGCACCTCAAACCCCAGCCCTATTCACGCGCGCTCAGGTGGAGGAGTGATGGCGAGCATCACAGGACAATCAGTGGGTGATACGATGGAGGTCTCTCTGTCATGAGCAAGATGTTGTTTTTGTGAACGGGCCCCAGCTCCGAGTCAGGTCCAGTAAGGTATGTATGTTTGTATATATGTCTGTATGTACGTAGCAGACCCAGAGACAGATTCCTAGGAGAGGGAGATGGTGACTTCTGAGATCAACGACAGACAGGGGCGTGGGGAGTTCCTCACTCAACCAGAACATTCTTGAATCGGACGTGCGTGCCCCTCGACAAAGAGGCCTTCCTGTTCAAGTTGAGCGAGGCCAGGACATGCGAAATGCATGTTTCGCTATTCCTCATCCCCTCAATCTGGCGTGTTGTCGATTATGTTATGGCTTGTGGCCATCACATCGGCAGCTCCCAATATGCCCATGGTGGTCTTTGCAGCGATTCCGTCTTGATCTCAACAGTGCGTCGACGGCAGCACGTCCAGCTCCATCAATTGGGATCCTTCGCGCTCCGCTGATATTAAGCTGCCCGGGGACAATTGCAGAGGACCTCTGCATAGTGGACAAATACGAACAAGGCTTTTTCTGCTGACAACCACGGTGGAGAGGTGGAGGAATTCTCCCCCCAATTGGAAGATTGTTGAGTTTGTGGTAGTTTGGGAGGAATCAATAGGAGTGAAAGTGTAAAGGGACAGAGAGGTAACTGCAACGCCTGGGGCAAAGAGAACATACACCCTACCGTACCTACCTTTTATCTTCGCGTTGCCGTTGATAACTTCCGACCATTGGTTCCCTAGCTTCGAGAAGCCTCTCTGTTTGTCTGGCGGCCTGATGACTGATCGGGCCACAGTAGTTGAGGATGAGCTGCCTGATCTGTCGTATTCAGTATAGTGTGTCACAAGCCAATGAGTCTCGACTTCCGTCTCCTACAATGCCTTTGTGGTTCTTGAGGATCGTCCAAGCAGCTCCTCGGTGTTTTTGATGTTGTTGCTGTGCCATCACGCAAAGTGGCCTGTTCGAGACCCTTGGGCGCACATGAAAGCAAATCCGAATACGATGCATGCCCGAGTCTTACTCCCTATGTATGTATCCCGTACCCTCCTTGATGCGTGTCTCAATGCTGCCGTGCCGTGTGGGAGAAACGCCGGTGCCTGCACATGCATGTAGATTGTCAGGGTCTCGGCTTTCTTCCTGCTGGCACTGACCACATGCTCGTTGTGTCGCTCGAAAGGGGAAAGGGGGGCAGCTTCTAGAATCATGCATAGAGCGATTCTCAAACGTTTCTTCACATCCAAGCTATTCGTATGTAGGCCGCTCGAACACGGGACGGAACTCAAACAGATCCCCTGACGATGAAACCGTCGCCAGCAAGGCTTGATAGGTTGTCAGGTACCTCCGTACTCGTCCCTGCGCGGTGCCCTGGTCAGGGGCTTGCATCTAGCCAGCGTCGGTACTAACAACGTAGGTGCCCAACGCTCTTCCCCTTGCAGTAATGGGATATCCCACGACAATTGGCGGATCAGAACGGGAGGCTTCGAGAGCGTGTTTCTGAACGTGGTCGCGTGTGTCGGGGCAGATGGAGCATGCAGATCTGCCGCGGAACTACAGATTGTGGACTGACGTGGCGCCCCTTCTCAACTACGAAGGGGCATTCGCGACGAGGTTTTCTCGCTGGATTGTCCGAACCTGTCGCTAAGGCTCAGAGGTTGGCGCAATGCTGAAACAATGGCGTCAAAAAAGGGGCTTCCCGTCGGAGAACGGAAGCACGTGATTATCTTGTGCCGTTTCCGGAATTACGAGGATCAATAAGGTTGAGTAGAGTCCTGCGAGAGTCATGGATTACTTGTCAGTTGAGCTCGTGGGAATTGGGGTTTCTGTGCCAGAGTTGACCTGTTGTGCAGTTGGATGCAGGAAAAAGGGGTGATGAGCGTTGTCGACAGGACAATGGAGGATGCGAGGTTCCCGAAAGACTGCAACTGCGCTTCCTTCTTTTCGAAAGAGCAAAGTGGGAAAATGCCGACAAGATACATCCTTGTACTCTGTGATGAGGGTTCTGGTCGGCGACTGATCATGGTACAAGTGGCAGGAGTATCATTCATCTACGCATCATCTCGCGAGAGACCAGGGCTGATCGGCGAGTGGATCGTTGCCCATCTTCGGCCAGCAGACGGCAGAGCTGAGGTAATTGTCATTGTGACGATGGAAGAGACCATTTGTGTGAGAATCGGTGGAAATTGCAGACTTGGTGGAGAGGGACGGGGAAGACTCGCAAATCTTTGTAAACTTCGTCGCGTTGTCCCGCATTTCTACCGGTGTAGCATCCACCACCTGGAGTCCTGGTAATTGTCATGGGATGTGATGAGCATGAGCATGCGTTGTCATATGGTCCATCCACCTTCAGCCGCACTCAACATCTGCATTCCTTCCATCCCTCAAAAGACTCGTCGAAGGATTTGCCGTTGCCTCTTGAGTAATCAACAAAGAGGTTGACAGACGGGTGATTGACGCCACAGTTTTGCCAGCCACAGATACCGGAAGGTGGCCGGGATCACGGCGCAAGCCACAGCGGGCTATTACGCTTCATCGTGGCGAGTGTCGCGAAAGTACCTACCAACCTCGTTAAGAGTGGCTGATGGGGCAAATCCTTCCCGCACTGACGGCTTCGCACCAGGCACGTAAGCTACGGACAAGGAACAAAAGTGTGGTAAGAAAGAGGACACCGATTTAACGGTGATCTGCATGAAGCTGGAGTTTCTCAGCATCTTGTGACGGAAAAAAGGTGGAGGAGTTCTACCATTACTGGTACAGAGTAACAAAGACTGATAGCCACAGGAAGGTTGGATTATTGTCAAGAGCAAGGGAATCGGGGGCCGCTCGTTCCTGCAGTAGATATTCTGAGCTGGACATGGCGTTCGCGAACACCCTGGATACCTTCTTGTTGATTGCACAATCGTTCGGCGATGCGAAGTGTTCTGCGCGTCACTACTCCTGATCTTCATAGGGGACCCATTCGCCGAACGAGCAGCCACTTGGTGATACTCGGCGAAGGTCCTCGGGCAATATCAAACTCTGGCGAAGTTTCCTTCTCCTGGGTGTCTCCTGGGTGTCTCCTGGCCTGTGTCGCCTGCCAGTGAGTTCTGTTCTGGCGATGACAGATTTGATGCAAAAATGGCTATCCATTCAGAATGTGTATGATGGCAGCAACCAAGACTTACGGAGGCGTCGCTCAACCCTCCCTCCCCAGGATGTCCCCTGCGCGCCCTTAGTGCGACAGAGTGACGGCATCAACGGGGTGGAGCAACTCGTAGAATAACACTCGTCCCGGGCTAGGGGATCGGAAGACGGAGAATTCAGCGTGCGATCGGGTTACGAAGTGGTCGTTCCACCAAACATAAGCCGAGCTCACGATGCCAGGTACGGAGATGATCATCCTCTAAAAGGACAGATGTGGCCAACGATGGGGAGCGTGTTCCTCTTTCTCGGCGTTTAAATGGGGTGTGGTTTGTTGGAGCATGGATTGGAGGGGAGGGAGGGTGCATTACTACCACGACTTGGTGGACAGGACCGTCAAGTACTACTACTGAGGAAACTCGCTTCTGATGTCTGGTGTTTTAGTGCTCAGGTAAGGCAGACTCGTCTAAACAACAGCCACGCTAGTCTAATATGGGTTAGCGGATTACTTTTAGAGCATCAGGGGTGGATCCCGGTGGGCGAGGCTTGGCCGGTATCTGGTTGGCTACTGTTTCAAGCTAGTCCCGTAATAGTATAAGCATGGTCTTTGAATAGTAGCAACCGTCTTAGTTTTCGGGTTAGTGTGATCGGCCTGCGCCGCACTCGCGATAGAAACCGCTAAGCGTGTGGTTTTTGGTGCTATTCAAGGATGACGGAGACCTCGTCGGGCCCAATCAGCAGCCGTCCCCGCTCAGTGGCCTCAGGTACCACTTCACACACGCTCTCTGCTGTGCATCTCTCGCACGAACATTAACCAGCATCTGACGGCCCATCTCACCACTTACTGCACCCGCCTGGAGCTAACACCTTACGGATGACAGGTTTATGAGGCTTTGACTGGCGGGTGGACTCAATACTAGCGGCCGTCCTGCCGTTGCTCGATCCACCCACTCGGTCCCTACACCCCCCTCTCTCCAAAAGTTCCCTCGCGGCCTCGTGGAAATGGGAAGCTCCCTACCCCGAAAACGACCCCTACACCAACACCCTCCCTGCTCACTTCCATCCTAGTCAGCATCCCATCCACTTGCTTTGGTTGCGCTGTCCAATCGCTTCCCCGGCGTCCCTTGATCAGACGCTCTATATTTTGACTGGGACCGGCCACGCTTGGCCCAAAAGCCTCGTGCAGAGGACACAGCCGCTCCGCTCTCGGCCGTTCTATTGGAGCAGGAGGCTCTATACCTCGCTTGCCTCTCTTACACCCGCCTCTTCCAAAAGCTATGGTAGCTAATTTCACCCTGGCTCCTGCGTCCAAATTCATTTCCATGCTTTCCACTTTGGAACCACTTTCTGCTCGTTCTTTCTAGCATTCCCTTAGGTGCCTGGTCTCCATTCTTGGGGACAAGAATAACATCCGGCCTATCTGGTCCTACACCTGGGACCTGCCCTTCGCCCCGCCACGTGCCTCCGGCCTCCAATACACAACTCAGCCCTGCCGATAGGTCCTGGAAACTCTCTAATCCTCCTAGCCTCTCCCCTTCTTTCCACCATCAAGTCGTCATTTCCCTCATCACACCTACCCTCCCGCTCCAGAAACCCATGCCAACGTCTCCATTTCCTCAAACAAGCTTAATCTTTGCTTGAGGCTCAGAAGGGGGCGGAGGCTTCCAAGCATTTCAAGGGACTCCACCGTGAAACATTTGGCGCAGGCCTCTTGGTCACTTCGTATACTCTTATATCTTCTATACAATATCCTTTTCCTTCATCATGGCCCCAAAACAGCGTTCCCAAACTCCTCGACAACCTGGCGTCGCCAACTCCTCCGAGTCAATCCTTCATCCACAGCAGGCTACGACTACGACACTCTTTTCCGACCAACCAACCAAAGATCGCCGCCACCGACAGAGAGACAGCCCGCGACCCATATCTTCCGCTCAGTCGCCTTCTCAGGACACGATCGCTTTCAGCCGATCCCCTATAGTATCCGACTCGCCTGCCTCACCGGTCGAAGGGACTGCCCAAGGATTGTCTTCTCGTCGTGAAAGCTCTTCCACCATGAGGACATCATCCGTTTCTCTCGACATGGTGCCGACGTGCACGCCCACCGGTCGCATCAGCAAGGCGAAGAAAGGCAAACGTGTGCATGCTTGCGAGTTTCCTGGTTGTGGCAAGGTAAGTCTGCCCCGTCAGGCGTCATGACCCCCAAAAATCCACGCCCTAGCAGTCGGGGCCCAACGGCGGCAACCTGGCTAACGATGGTCATCAGGTCTTCACCCGGGCAGAGCACAGAAGGTAAGTCTGACTACTGGGCCGGTCGTAAACCTCCTTCCTCCTCTAACAAGTAACAGGAGACATGAATTGAATCACAATCCTGAAGCACTCTTCCCTTGCACTCGCCCTGGATGTCGAAAGGCATTTCACCGGATGGATCTTCTCCAACGCCATCAGGAGAGACAGTAAGTCGCGATTGCATGTCGACCGGGACGGGAGAAGCTGACGTTCCTGAGCAGTGATCTGGAAACCGCAGCTGAGTCCAATGCCTCTGCCCACATGGGCCAGTTGGGACAGGTCTCGGTCACTTCAGAACCTTCGGCGGTGATGCCTGCTCCTGTTATGACCAGTCCCCAAGCCGATCGAAGTGCTCCCAGGTCCTCTTCTGGAGGACTCTCGATCGGTTCTTTGGTTCATCCCCAGCAAGACTACCGTTACGGCATGGGGACGCCAGCCTTTAACGGCTTCTCGCGACAGCCCATGCATTACGTCCCTGGCTACAACTCAGCGGACGATTCTATTTTCTATACCCCTGAGAGCAGTCAATCTCCGGTTTCTGAGTATTATGGCCGGTACGCCCACCGTCAGAGCATTTCTTCTTCTTCCTCCGTAGCTGCCTTCGATCCCAGCGCGGCCTCCCCCCTGATCAACGGAACAATGCCAGGCCCCTGGGTGCCTTCGTCGGGACCTCCCAGCATTCTGCCCTCGACCATGCTTGATGATGGGACTTATCTTCCTGTATGTGCCCCTTTTCATTGGGTTGGTGCGTATACTGAAGCTGATCAGTCTCCTGCAGACTCTACCATACCAATACCCCTCTCCGACCTGGATGGAATCGAATGGTCTGTCATACGACGAGAACTATCAAATGCCTCTGGACTTCAGTCGGGAAATGCCTCAACCAGTATATCCGACACTATAAGGTGGGATTGCCTGGAGCTCTACTGGCAGTACTTCCATCCGGCATACCCTCTCATCCACCGACCCAGCTTTTTGCCCACCAAACCGAGTCCTCTCCTGGCCAGTGCCATGCTTGCAATAGGATCACAATACGACACCCGACCGGACGCGAAACTGTACTCCCTGACCTTGTTGGAGATTGCCACGAAACTTTTGAGGAGACGAGACAACATCACCAGTCGATCACGGCTGGCAGACTTGCAGACTGTCTTCCTTCTCGAGATTCTGAGCAAATACTGTGCGAGGCGGGTGGAGGTGGAGATGTCTGCGAGATTTCGATCACTGTTTGCGAGCCTCGATCAGGCAAGACGGATCCTTGCAACGGAGCCCTTGGCAGTCTTGAGGACTCTTCCCAAAGAGCGGACGACCGACGACATCCAGAGAGCCCATAAATTCTGGCTGGAGCACGAGACCCGGCGACGGATTTTGCAGGCGTGTACCGTGCTGGATCTTCAGCAAGTGGTCTTGTTCGAACAGCCAGCCACGATCGTGCATCATGAGCGGCCCAGGAGAGCAGGCCCCAACGGGCTTCGATTGACCGTCTCTTTGCCCTGTTCGGAGGAACTCTGGGAGACCAGTCCGATCGAAGAGTGGATTGGGATGGCCTCCGGCTCTTCTATGTCCCCTTTGTCCAGCAAGACTAGGCCTTCCCGTTCGGATCAAGCGTTCTCTTCGTCTCTGGACTACTTCCAGATCCAAGTGAGCTTGGCCGCTAACCAGGGGGTTTCTCTTGATCAGCTCCTGCCCCGGCAGGATCACACAGGTGAATCTATATCTCGGCTCATCTTCAACCGCCACGCTCGGGACATGGCCAAGCACGCTCCGATCCGGCAGCTGCTGGTGGTCAGCGGCGAATCGTGGATCATTGGGAAGAAGCTCGAGAACGAGGCCGAATTTCAAGACGCTAAACGAAACCTGCGAGCCTGGGTCGACTCGAACCGGGAGAGCCGGGTGGCACTCTGGCACGCCACGCAACTGATCCGTAGCCGGGCCAAGTTCTCGACTTCGGATGCTACCAACACCGACCTCTTTGTTTCTTTCCACGACACTCACATGCTCCATGAGCCGTGGGTGTTCTACCTGGCCGCCCTCATCTGCTGGGCTTACGGCTTTTCTGCATCGACCACGGCCGAGAACAGCGGCCAGGGCTCCGGGGCTGGTTCGGCCACCAGCGAGCCCACTTCGAATCCTTCAAGGAGTTCCAGCTTGTCTTCGGCGCATCCAGCTCTCCTGGACGCGCATGAAGCGGCATACAGCATGCGCGAGTATTTACAAAACACCAACGTCAAAACAGTCGACGACTTGTTACGCTTAGATCCGCAGGTGTTTGGACGGATGCACGGTCTTCTCGAAATCGTTCGCCTCCACAAGGTTTCCCTCTTTCTGGGAGGACTCATGAATGAAGCCGAACGGGTATTGTATCGACTCGTGGAGGGACGCAGTCGACTGTCACACTTCTAGAGAGCGCAGACGGGGGAAGGGTTTATTTCTGGATGTTTCCTATTCTCCTATCTATCCTACACCTTTTCTGGTTGGTTCACTGTCACGACCATGATGTCTTACGACCTTTACGAGGATTGAATCTGTTTTTATTTGTCTTTGATACTACATTTTGGGGATTCCATTGTCTGGGCGACGAGGGACTTGGGACGGGGGAAGAGGGTCATGTGGGAAATTTGGGCGTTCATGGCGGCCTTGATGCACAGTCAATACAGTGATCTTTTTTGGTGTTCGTGTGGCGTACTTGGGCGTACCTACCAGGAGAGATTTTGCATATCATTGCATATTATTCGCAAGGAGCGAAGGGAAGGGAAAAGATCCACAGGAGCATCATCACAGCACAGCAAGTTCATTCTGTTCAGGATTGTCATTCCAGCAAGCGAAGAAATGTTTGTAAAAATTGATCAGATCGACGGGTGTCCCGCCCAGCATATACGGAGTATCTGCGTTGCGAGCCAGTCACTCACTATCAAGCATGCAAATTTGGGTTACCACTTTGATGGAGTTAGCAGGCCGTGATTTACGGAGTCTGTGATTGTCCTTCAATTTCCAACCCCGATTCTCTGTCATTACGAGACCTACAAGCTTCAACTCGGGACGTCGTCCTCGTCCTCGTCCTCGTCCTCGTACCCTTGGCGGTCGGAAATCAGACGCCGACGACCAAGGATGATACGAGTTGTAGTAAGGACCGATAGACGCGAACGAGCGAGCGAACGAAGAGCCAGCATCGGAGAATGGCCTGTGTTGGGGGAGGGGAGCAGGGCAATCACCAAGGCCCCGGACCACTTCCTAGCAGCCGATCAACCGCCAACGAGAACAAACAGGAAGTGGCTGGCCTGCTACTAAATTTGGGATGGAACGGTGGATACGAGGGAGAGAGAGAGAGAGATTTTGAGGGGCTGAGCCTCGTCTCAGCCCATCAGCCACCCATGCATCTGGCTGAAAAGGGCCATTTAGCAGTGATTGATCATTCTTCGAGAAGCTTGAGGGGGTTTGATTGTACAATGCATGCATGCATGCATGTCTTGTGTCCATGTCATGTTGTCATCGTCCTCATTGCCTCTTCTGCTGACGCTGACCATAGTGGGAGAGGGTGCTGTCGTCCTTTCACTGGGTGTAGAGCCGCCACCCCTGGCCCATGACGCCCAACGCACTGCGCCCCTCTTGACGACAGAGCATGCACAGCAGGACGAAGGAAGAAATAGTGGTAGGAAGCAGGTAAGTAAGCGCAGCAGGATATTGAAATCCGAAACACCACCATGGAGGGATCTGCTTCCTCCCCAGTGACAACGACAGGCAAGACACGACACTCAAGCGCTCGTTTCTTTCTGGCTGTGCCGTGCTGTGCTATGCTGTGCGACCGACACAGTAGCAGTGCCTCTCGTTCCCTTCTTCCCCCTCCCTCGTTTAGAGCGGGCTCATCCATCCTCCCGGCCCAACCTGCATTTCGGCCAGCGGGGGGAGGGAAGGGAGGGACTGGACTAAGACTAACGAACGGCTGAATGTAATCAACCGCGATCAATCACACCACCCCAACCAACCACTCCGACGTCGATGCTAGGCCACTCTCCCCCGAATCTGAAACGTACGAGAGAGCAAGACACCGGCCGCCGGGGTCGCACAGGGCAGACAGACTACTACTACTACTGTTTGTACTTCTATACGACGCGAACCTAGGGATCTTTCTTCCCATTTATCGACTCCACTTGTTGACTAGCGACGAGACCGAGGGGTGGTTTGTAACGCGTATGATATTTATTCTTACAGATGGGAAACAGCTCGGGTAATTAACGCACGTAAGAGGCAGCGTGCGGCAGGCGAGAGAGAGAGAGCGCGAGGAATCTCGGTATCTCGCTACAAGTACGATACTCGGGACGGAGTACAGTATGTCATCTCGCAACGAGTGGCTCCAGGACATGCTCCGGCACACCGCACGATACCTAACTAAGGCAATCACAATGATGCGAAGTCCCCGAAGCACCTAGGTACAGTATGTACAGTACGAGGTACCTTTGGCGCAAATCCCCCCCCGTCCCCCGACAATCATTACGCCACGGGGGGTTTCGGATCATCAACGCGTGCCGCTGTGGGGTCACTCGGGGCTGGCGCTTTCGAAGCGACAAGGGGAAGAAACAGGGCAACTGGCAATGGGGGATGGGATGGTTCCTGCATCATCATAATCTCAGGGCTGGTTGCGTGTTTTTCTCCCCTTCCCTGTCCCAGTATTCTGTTCGTTGACAGGAGGATTGTGACGAGTGACGACTTCTCAAACTCGGCTAATCATCCGGCAGGAAGGAGGACAAACAGGCAGGCATGTCAGCGAGCTTGGAAGAGCAGGTAGGGAAAAGGAGGATTCATTCTTCGTGGCGCGCCGGATATCTTGCTCCTCGTATGTTTCTAACTTGGCTGAGCTGGATGAGCAATTCGCAGCGGGATTCCTTGGGTCCTCGATCATGTTTCCTCGGTCTCTGTCAACGGCGTCGCCACGACCAGGCTCTCCCAGGCGTCGCTGGGTCACGGCACGAGAACACGAAAGGCTACGTATGCACCTGATCAGGCTCTCTTTTTCTTGTTCCACGTGGAGATGCAGATCAAGGCCCATGAAAAGAGATCCTGGAACACCGGGCAGTGAGTGGTACTGTTGGCTGCCAGTTTTGAGAGGAGGCGGTACCAGAAGCCTCGAAACTGCAAGTGGTCGCGGAAGATCACAGACAAGGTGGTCCAAGGCGTTCCTTTGCAGCGTTGAGAACAAGAGGCACGCCTGCCCATCTTAAACTCTTCTCGGCCGTCACAACTAGGATGTACACCAAACATCAGTTGGCGAAAGAAGTCTATCCGCGGGCCGGTTGTATGCATCTCCTGCTCATTGTCCGAGTCACCGGCCCATGATATCGAACCTCTTCAGCCACGCACTCGATCGATGTCTCTGACGCGCGACGAGTGCCTTTTTCACCCCCGTTGCGACTTTTCTGATTTCTTGATGACCACCGTACAGGCACTGGCGGCACGACGTCCTTTTTCTTCTCTCCTCCACGCTTGTCACAGACTTCCCGACCGAAGCATGCAACCACGACAAAGATCTTGACTTCATCCAGCGGGAGGTCATTCGTTGTCGACCCGGACTATCCTGCCTTTGCTGGCGAACGACAATTGAGGCCTGGGGGAGTGCGTAACCGTAGAAGGCCTGTATGCTTCGCTTGCATTGTGAGGCTTGGGGCTTGGGTCTTGACTGGGTACACTGAAATTGCATTTCCACCCGGCCGTTGTGTGGGTACAGGGGAAAAGTTTGGAGCACGGCTGCTCCTCCAGTTGAAATAATGCTTGGGTTGATTTGCTGGTTGCCCTTCATCTACGGATATCTCCCTTTGGTCGTACAGGAACAGCCGCTGGGTAAGGCCGCCTCCTAATATAACGAGGCTGAACAATCACAGTCACAGTTCGGCCGAACCGACCATTATTCAGGGACGCCTCAAGCACCAGTTAGTACCACATCCCTGTCACGGCCGAACTCTAGCTCGGTGGGTTTGCAGATCTGGGCGGAACGCCTTAGCGACATCGCACCTCTCAGAGATCGGTCTTTCGTGACCCGTATTCAATCTCGATGGATACACATGCCAATCAGCCTTTGGGCCAGGGGTTGATGGAGCCTCTCGCACCACAACGTTGGGTATGCGGTGGCCACTCAGATCCACAGCCTTCTCCAGCTGTGTATTGTGAAAGGCGCCAAACTTTCGGGATAGAGCTGCGGGTGAAACAGACTAAGGGGTAGAACGGTAGGGTGCCTGAGTGACACAAACGGGTTCGTGATGATGCCATGCTCGTCCATATGTCCTGTCTCAAAAAACGCCCTCTTCATTACCGTGTTCTGGTTGTTGCCCATCACTTGAGCCTGGCGACTACCCCGCCGCAGTGCATCCTCCATCGCGACCAGCCGACGGGCTTCGCTCAGAGATATATTACCTTGCTTCTTGGAGGGCAAGGAGCGTTGTGCTCGTCGCAATGCCGGCCTCAGCCTTCTGCGCCCTCGTCTTTTTCATACCTCGCCTGGCCTCGGCGACGTGCTATTGGCAAAACAGCACATTGGCTCCAGATGATCCATACTCGATAGCCCCCGACGACACGGCGTGCTTTCCAGACCAAGAGAACTCGGCTTGTTGTGGGACCGGATTGACGTGTCTCTCGGACGGAGTGTGTTACATCGAGCAGAGTGGAAATGGTTATTATTACCGGGGGACATGTACAGATCGCACCTGGGACAGTCAGCAATGTCCGGGATGGTGCTTTGCTCAGAGTAGGTGGCAGAGTCCTTCTTGACCCCCAAAGGCTTCGTTGGTGACATGGAATGCTGAGTCCGGGTGACTCGCAGATGCCAATACGTCAATACCTTTACTCAAATGTGACACCGCACAAGACTGGGTAAGTCTCCCTTTGGCTGATCTGGTGGAACTTGAAGGAAATAGTATCAGCAGTCCATCAACAGCCCAGCATTAACGGATGCCGATAGTACTGTTGTCCCGGAGATTCCGAGTGTAGTTGTGACACGGGCAAGAACGCCGTCAAGCTTGGGGATACTCAACCGAGTACAGTTACCGTCATTGGAAGCACCAGCTGGCCGGGGATTTCATCTACGACGTCCCCGTTTGTCCAGACAAGCCCTCTCGTGACGGATGGCACCACCAGCAGTGAATCGGGCGAACCCACTCAGAACACCAGTGCCAGCACGAGCACGAGCACGAGCACCAGTACCAGGACAAGTTCGACTCCCTCCACCAGCAAATCAGCAGCAGCGGCAGCAGCATCCGCCACATCAAACACCCCAGCGCCATCCAAGAGTGACGGCTCGAGCAACACGGGGCTTGCAGCAGGGCTGGGAGCTGGCTTAGGGGCAGCAGCCGTGATCATAGGCGTCCTGGTCTTCTTCTTGATTCGCAAAAGACGTCAAGGCAGTGGAGGCGGGAATGGTGGTCCCCTCGACCAACACCAGATGATGCAGAAGCCTTTCTCCGAAGCCTCCCTCCCTGCATCTCCCTATCCGGACAGCCAAGGACACATGGTGGCGGAAGCACCAGGACCCCAGGACGGCCGGCCTGAGTTGGCAGGCGCTGGGGAATACGACAGAGTTGAGATGCCCGTCGGACAGGACGGAGACGGGGCCCACCGCCGAAAGAGTACACAGAGGGCTGAACTTGGTCCATGACAAGACGTCAAGGGCCGCGTGGCAAGGACAAGGCAAGCCATTGACAGGAAGGTATATAATGGGAGAGGAGGAGAGGGGTAGGAAATCAATCACAGAAAAGATCTCTGCCATGGATTGTCCCTGTCACATGCTGGAACCCAGGAAGCAGCCGGCAAGCGAGGGAAGGCTGTGGCAAAGCAGGGGAGGCGAATGGGGAGGAGGATGGATAGTGAATGGATAGACGTCCATGCAGATGGTCATCAATCACATCATGGGCTTTCTTGTCAGTGCTGGGGATGACATGGTTACTCCTCCTCCATCCAGGTCTAGATCTTCGTGTACGCAGCATACTTGCCTTTGTACTGTATATACTGTATGTACAGTATGTATGTATGTACCGAGACCGCCGGCAGGACGGAAGGGGCCAAATACAAACATACATACATGATCGGATACATAACACCTACCGATTACACCCTCAGGGAAACAACAATATTCTACCGCACGGGATCCTCCTCGATTCCTCCTCGCCTCATGCATGGAAGGTTCTTCTTCGCTCTGCCGTACTCCGTACATAACCTCTTAACCAACTACGTAATTAGCTCGGTCACTACTGATATAGGCGATTACCTGTCTGGGATTTCCCTTTTCCGGCCACCTTCTTGGTCTTGTCTTGTCTTGTCTTGTTTTATTCCTCTCTTCAACATCATCACCACCACCATCACCACCACTCTGATGATCACATGTTGTCATTATGTAATTGACGGGGGCCGGCTTTCCTTTTTTCGCTATTCCTCTGTCCTCAACAGCTGGCTCGAGGAGTAATCGACCCATCTCGATGCACCGGAGGGGGGCAACATCGTCGGCATGCTGCATAATGTCGCATGCTGTGTCAGCAATAGACCAGACAATTCATTGGGTCGCCTATGGCCATGGCAAAGGCCCGTCGACGCCATTGGAGTCCGTCGAACGCAACTTATCAAACCATCCGCCCTCCTAACCCACCCCGCTACTGACTCGAAGGAGAAATCATGCCCGTCGACGGGAGCATAGCGGCTCCTTCTTCTCGGCACGGCGTCGTAGAAGGTCGTGAAAGGTTCAGGAGGATGGATGGAATGAATGATTTGCTAAGTTTCGCGTAAGGATCAAGGCCCCTTCACTCTCTTCTACTTGGTCCTTTCCTCGCTTTATAAGGACGCGCGAAGTTTCCGACTTCTCGCTTTTCGTTCCTTGTCCTCCCTTGGTTTTCCCTTCGGATCTGCTGCGCCTCTTTCTCTTTCCCCGCCCGCCATCCCCGTACACTGCTTTGCCCGAAAGCGTGTAAAGAAAAAGAAGAGAGACGGAAAAAGCCCTCATCATTACGGATCAATTACATCTACGGTGGCGGAATCGCGAGGTCACCTGAACTCCCTTTCCCACAGAGCCTCCCCAGCCAGTGGTTTCGGCCCTCGATCTTCCGACCCAGCGTCAGTATAGGGATTCTTGTATAGAATAGCCAAAAATCCCGCTTCGACGAGAGTTATTGCTCAGATACAAAAGGGACCCCAACCCCGAGATGGCGTCTCCTACCACATCAGAAGATACCCTCTCGCCAGTCTCGACCCGGTCCTCGACCAAGTCCAACATGAAGATCGCCATGCCGCCGCCACCGTCAGCATTCGTGCACCCCAGTCCTGCATACATCATCGCGTCGACGCCCTCGCCAGCCCAAAACCCCGCCGACGCTTCCTGGCATCCTCAGGGCCACCACCACAGCCACATCCACATCGCGACGCCGCACCCCTTGGCCGCCGCCACCAACTTCTTGGACAAGCACGTCCCGCTGTTCGCCAAACACCACGCCGAGTTCTCTGCCCAGCACGAGATCCGCGCCGCCAAGAGAGAAGCCCGTCACAGTCTGGTCGAGTCGCCCATCCCGGAGATCGACGCCGAGTCCATCATGTCGGCCAATGGGGGCGCCGTCGGGGCTGCCATCCACAGCGCCACAGCCATGGGCACGGCCGCCGCCTTGAGCGAGGAGTCTCACCACGCCCTCGACCCGGCAGCCTGGAACGAGGTGCTGGCCAAGCGTGAGGCCGCCCGGTTGAGGTCGGGCTCCAACATGACCCGCAACAGCGAGCGATTCTCCCACGAGATCGGCAGCGACTCCGAGTCCAAGAACTCGAGCTCGCCAGCCATCACGCCTTAGGATGAGGCCGTTCGACCACGATGGCACTCGTGAGGGAGAAAATCTGTTGAATCTGCTTTTCCTTTTCATTGAGCGTATTTTGTTTGCGGCGGCATCGTTATGTTTTCCGGATGCGTGGAAGCCTCGTCTGCGGAATGCGCGTTGCTTCCCAGACTCGTAAGTCTGAATGAACCATGCCTATTCCCTTAGCGACAGTATTTCCTACTTTTCCAACGCTTTCAACCGCTTCTTCGATCCATCGACCGACCCGGAACCAATCTTCCCGTCGACCAACCAATGGACCAAAGACGGGGCGGGTGCTCTTTCTCAAGTCATTCATCCACTGAATCGACCCGTACCAGAGGCCCTTCTGCAAAAACACAAGACTTTTTACAGAGAGACACAACAAAGTGATACAGCAGCAATCTCACTGTCCAGGCTGTCACGCGCACTTCCAGCCTGGACACCCTTTATTTTCCCCTCATCAAGGGGGCCGACGAACGGCGTTTTTGGGCTGAAGCTAGTGGTCGGCATGGCACTTTGATATGATGGTACGACCGGGGAGTTGTGCCGTATGTGTACTTCCAGTACATGTACAAGGAACGATTTTCCGTTTGAGAAAGACAACGATGCTCGAGGTGTCAGCGCGTGCGTGGCTTGTCTATCTACCTATCTATCCATCCATCAACCCGCTCATCAATTCTCTTCGAAGCGACTATTCGACCGGCTTTTACACGTTACGTCCTATTCAACTGGCGCGATCAGGAGGAGGAGGAGGAGGGGATGAAGAAGGAAACACAGCTGAGCTCAATGCGCCAGGGTGTTCACGTGGCGAACACAGGATGTCATTTCAGGACTCTCCATGGGCTGCTCTTTACCCGCCCGCCCCTCTTTCCTCCCTTGAAATCGGAGTTTCCTTCATGCGTTCATTCGTCGACGACGACGACAATGAATGGGCCGGAACACGCCTGAAGGTGTCGAGTAACAGCAAAGACATGCACGGTCCACACACCTCGATCTCGATCTACGTCCCCGGTCTATGTACATACATACATACCGTACATCTCTCGACATTCCCCAACCATAGCAGATGCGGAAGGAAGGACAGACAGATGGACGGACGGACGAGGCTGGAACGAACATGTCTTGTGACTTCTACGCACGCGCCCAAGGGGATGGATGGTATGGATGAGTGATGGGTGAACGAATGCACGCACGGCCCAAAGCCAGACGCGATATTGCTATTATATGTCTATGTCGACGACCAGTTTACGTAGATAGCCCTACTTACATACAATACAATACAATACAATACAATACAATAAGAGAAAGAGAAAAAAAGAGTTATGATGAAATTAGATATGAAGATGAACGAAACACAGTAAGTAACATAGTCACACAGTCATCAGCATACATTTCCCTGAAAATGGCATGCGTAGGCTACATACACTGGAGTGTATATATATATATATGCTCCCCGAACCTCATCTCAACCGTACGTATTATGAGGAATCTCTTCATTTACTGCAGTGCACGCAGGTCGGGTATGTGTTATTGTTACACACTGCAATGGGCTCACTATCCCAAACAAAATACATCCACTCTCTGGGACCGGCATAAAAAGCACAGAACACGACTGCAGCAAGAGTATCATAACCTCATCCAATTCATTCACGTACATCCTTCATCATATGTTCCAGCTACAACGCTGTCAAGCTCTCAGGAGGATTTCCGACTTTCACGCCTCCGTCTCCACCACTCGATAGCCTTCTTGAACCTTCCGCGCAATGTCCTCGTTCTTGTGCTGCAGTAACGACAGCGCGTATGCGGTGTCGTCCCATTGACGTTTGTTCACGCACCGGTTCAGCCGAGCCGCGAGCTTTTCCGCGAGGTTTTTGGCGTGTTTGTCCTATTTGGCACATTAGTCAGTTGCGAGCAAGATAAAAAGAGACGCTCCATCTGTCGCTGAAATCGGGTCGAATGGAGCGATGGAATAGGTGTAGACGAACCTTCTCAATAAACCCACACAAAAACTTCAAAATCCTCTTGACCGCCTCCTCTTCCAGGACTCCGCCCTCTAGAGGCCCCTCTTGAGTGAGGACGCTGAACATGTCGACAAACTGGTTGTACACGGCATTGTCTTTGGTGGCCAATTCAGTGAAGAACATACGTGCCAGATCTGCGATCTTCTTGTCTCCATCTTCGAGACACTTGGCCATCTCACCCAATTGACCCTTCACCTTGACCTGTCCTGCCAAGATGAGGAAGGTCAACGTCATCAGACAGGTTCGTTTCACACTCTCGTCGGCGTCGTTCAGCCGTCGGTAGAGGAAGTCGGTGTTTTCGTCAATAAGATGGTTGAAGCACACCGCCATGTCACCCAGCGCAATCACGGCATTGGAGCGCACGATAGGGTCGGTGGACCGTTCCAGGATGGTGATCAGGAGCGGCAGATTCTTCTCACAATACTCACTACTTACGCACATGAGCTTGGCCAGACAGAGTGTCGCCTGGGCTTGAAGGTTTCGATCCTTGTAAGCTGCATTGTTGGCACAAATTTCCGTCACCAAGGGACCGAAATTCGCCAGCAACGAATGTGGGCCGTACAGGAGTTCCCGTTCCCGAATGTGGGCAATCGCCTCAGTGAAGTCATCTTCGGTCGTGCCGCCGATCAAGTCGAGCTCGTCCTTTTCTTCCTCTTTCTGCTTCTCTGCGAGGACTTCTTCTGCGGCAGTCCTCTTCCGCTGTGCTGGCGTAGGTGCGGCTGACTTGTCGGGGGAAGAGTTGGCCATTGGCTTGTTCTTTTCTTGGTCCTGTTTCCGTCGCTTAAAGTCAAGTTCACATAACTCGAGATGCACGATTTGCTTGATGGCGATGTGCCCGACAGCGAACAACAGCTGTGAGAGTGCAATTGAGGGCTTCTCTGGCTTAGGTTCTGCCGGTTCGGGATCGTGCGGTTCGGCCTCGGGGTTGGTGACCTGCTCTTCCCCGTCAATGTCCATTGCATCGGGTTCCGGAGAGGGCGTCCTCGATAGCGACGATAGGTCTTTTGTCTGCTGAAAGACCAGGCGCGTCTTCTGCCTGAGCACCTCAGAGCATAGAACATCAGGGTGATCTGAAAGAACGTAAATGGCGCTGATGGCCTGTTCCGCCATGCCATACCAGTCTTTGCTTGCCGAGGTGGTCAGCAGGATTGATGCGAGCATACGCAGAACCTCATGATTGTTGGACATCTTCGAGAGGCCCCCAGAAGCAGTCCTTTCTTGCACCTTCTTTGCAGTTGGTATCATGCGTCGGAGAGCGACGCAGGTGAACTTGGCGAGCACGAAATCTGTTCGGCCTAACTGTCCGAGACCGACTCGCAACATTGTGTCAATTTCCTTGACCACGACCTCTGGACTTGCAAGAGCAATCATTCCGAGCACGATAATGGCACCTCTCCTTTGCGACTTGGAGATGTCCTTGTTGACGCCGTACACCTGCCACAATTTGGCAATCACTAACTCGGAAATGTGACCGGCCTTAAACATTGTGCTCAGCAGCTGTTCCAGCGAGGTCAATTCTGCAGGTGTGGCACCGAATGTCAAGCTGATCATATTTCGAGCGACGAAATTGGCCGCATCGTTCGTGCTAAACATGTCGGGAGCATCGAAGAAGAGATTTTTGTAGTTGTCGATGAGATGGTTCTGGACTCCCTTGCCCTCGTCGCTGTTTCCTTTGGTCCAGATCAACCGCAACATCCGACGGATGCCTTTTCGCGCTGTCTCAACCTTGAACGCGTCAATCGTAACAAAGAAGTCCATCACATCGATAACCTCCGTCTTGTTGGGTGACGACAACAACTGAACTGCGATTTCCGAGGCGTCATGAATGGTCTCGATGAATCTGAGAGCCTCGACATAGTATTTTCGGGTTAATTGGAGTTTGCCTATGACCTCAGACGTCGCGGCCTCCTCTTGTGCCTTCTTCACTGCGGCGATCTTCTCTTCCTCGGTCAGCTCCTGCGGCTCGGCTTCTGCCTGAGTAGCATCGTCAAGGAGGTCTTTGTCAACCTGTTCTTCGCCTGCAGCTGTCCGCGCCACTCCGGGAGAGTCGGGTGGAGGTTTCAGAGCGTCTAATTGTGATTCCACTGCCTCGAGTCTTTCCGTCCACTCCTTGTGTGAAAGCTGTCCTCCATGCATGAGGCTGAATGGGTGTGAAGAAACCAACTTTCTCAACAGCTTGATAGCGTTCCGCCTAACGTTACTGCTTTTGTCCTGGAGACTCTGCATGGCCAGTTCGGCAGCATTCTGTCGCCTCTTAGGAAACTTCTGCTCCAGGTCACATATCTTGGTGAGGACTTGCATCGCCCGGACTCGGCAGAATGGTGCTGTGTCAAGAAATCGTTGTTCCAGGGTGTCAAAGAAAGCATTGATCTGTATCTTGGTGGTTTCGGTTTTCTCTTCTTGTCTGCTTAGATCTGCAAGCAGGTTTCCGCAGACCTCAATCACCGCACAACGTAAGGTGTGTGCCTCGCTGTCCAGGAATTTGGCAAGAAGGCCCATCTCTTTAATCACAAGTCTCGGTTCAAGTTCCGATAATTTGATGATGAAGGCAGAAACCGACTTTGGTCCTTTATTATCGTTTTGACTGAACTCCTTTGCGGCCAACTCCCGGAGAATCTCGGCCGACAATTGAGGGTAGTCGTATTGTTCGGACAGGATGTGGAGAAACTCGGCCATGGGTTCTGACAGATGTTCAAAGTAAGTGAGGTTCTGGACGATCGAAGTCTGAGCCCCAAGAGCATGACCGTGATGCTTCACTGCGACACAGAGCACTTTGAAGCAAAACATGCGCACGGCTGTAATCTTGACCCTGGCTTCGCTCTCCATGATCAGGTAGATGGATCTCGTAAACAAGTTGATGAATGTGTCGCGATCAGACGTTGTCTGGAAGATGCGATTCAGCTTAAGCTTCATTACCCGACACATAACATCCATTGCACTCTGGATCTGGCTGGAAGAGTCCCAGGTATTATCTTTGGCAGCAGACTTTGATTTGGCTCCTTTCCCACCTCTTCTTGCTGGCGCCGCGCTCGACTTCTCCTGCGCTTTGGCTTCGACGGCGGATATGGACCATTGAAGAAGGAATGCGTACATTTCCAACAGGCGTTTATGCTGTGGCAGAGTATCTTGTTCGTCATTTTCGATGTCGTGATTTGCAATGTCTGCGGTGGTCGATAGTCCGGAAACGATGAGAGCGAGAATCTTACCCAGAGCTTGAGTAGATAGCACGGATGAATGTCTGGGTACACGAATAATATTAGCAAAAGGAGGTCGCGGGGGACGTCAGTGATGGAGAACGTACTTTAACAAAAACTGCAAGGTATCAAATGTCGAGCTTCTGGACAATGCTTCCGGGTTTTCTGTAATCAAGTCTATCACTGAGTCCAACACACTGTCCACCAACCCCGATGAAAGGCTGTCGGGGTCATTTTCGCAGTCGATCAATTCTGGACTCGCTTCGAGGGTGGGAATGGTCGTCACGTCGCTCAAGTAGAGCTTCAGAGACTCGTTAATGTCGAAATCAACTTGATCCTCCATGTTTGCTGTGATCAATGATCGGGAGGTCAGGATGTGGTTGTCAAAACTGGCGCATGTGTTTTGTTGACGTTGGTGGGCGGCAGGAAATGTTGTGAAACATTCACAGACGCATTGCAGCAGTGTCCACCACTTTTCGATGATCAGTGTTGCTAACTCGTCACTGTCATAACAACAAGATCAGAATCAAAGTCTAGATGCGACCACGTTTGCGACCATCCGATGGTTGCTGGCTTCGCGGTTAGATTTATTGACGGATTTCCTAATCAGTGTTGGCGCCATACGCCCCACATACAAACACGAGCACCATGAAATTGGCGAAGACTGCCAGAGGCGTCCTTAAAAGCCTACGGCGAAAACAGACCAACCTACAGTCAATCAAGACCTCACAGGCTCTGTCGTCGCGTTATCATGTCTTGCTAAGCGACTCCGGGGTGGGAGACACGCCTGAGAAGGAAGCTGAATCCCAGTCTGCGTTCGCGTCAACGCGTCATCGGAAGAAGGCACGGCGGCCCGCAGCAGGGATCCCTGGGAAAGAAGTGAGAGAGCGTCTCGAGCAGGGCAACATGGGGCAAACCTCAATTGCCATTCACGAGGATGCACACGAGCGGTTTTGTGGCGGTGAAGGCGAGGTGGACAACATGGTGCAGTGCCAGGCCGAAGAGGATGACTTTCTTCACGATTCTTTGTTAGAAGAGTCCGATGAGAGTGATGACGACGACGACGACGTCGACGAGAGTGTGGTCGATGATATGCGCAGACTCGAGGAAAGCTTCAGAGGCATATCCCAGAAATACAGACTCATCAATCGCATTGGCGAAGGTATTCAGTCCGTCTCCGTCTCGTTGTTGTCTCTGCTAACCCCCCATTGCAGGTACCTTTTCAACCGTATACAAGGCCGAACAACTGGTCCAGGCGCACGAGCTGGATCAGGAAAATGAAGACCCTACGAACGAGTCCTCGTCGGACGCCCCCCCTTCCAAGAGGCGGAAAACAAGCGTCCCGTCTGGTGCGGTTAACAGACCACGGAGGAAAGGACTGATTGTCGCCTTGAAGAAGATCTATGTGACGTCTTCACCTCACCGCATCATGAATGAGCTGGAACTTTTACACGAATTACGCCACTCACCATACATCTGTCCCCTGCTGACGGCTTTCCGTCATCACGACCAAGTCGTTGCGGTGCTCCCATACTTTAGGCACCTCGATTTTCGTTTGTACTATCGAGAGTTCCTCATCAACGACATGCGACATTACTTTCGCTGTCTGCTCAACGGTCTGGCTCATGTGCACAAGGCGGGAATCTTACACCGCGACATCAAACCCACCAATTTCCTCTATGACCACACAAAGAGGCAGGGTGTCCTGGTCGACTTTGGGCTGGCTGAGAGGCAAGGGACTGACTGGCAACCATGCCTCTGTACTGAGTCCAGGGAAAGAAGAAGAGATAAGTTTATCAACTCTTATGCAGTCCAGGTCCTGCAGTCCTCTCCCGAGCAGATGTCGACAGGGTATCCTAAGAATGATAGCCGGCCGTCTCGAAGGGCAAACAGAGCAGGGACCCGAGGTTTTCGAGCACCCGAAGTCTTGTTGAAATGCACCTCCCAGACCACCAAAATCGACATCTGGTCAACCGGTGTGATCCTCCTGACCCTCCTGGCTCGCCGATTTCCCTTCTTCAACAGCGCCGACGACGTTGATGCCATGATTGAAATGGCTTCGATATTTGGCCGGAAGAAGATGCAATCTGTTGCCGCAATGCATGGCCAGCTCTTTGAAACCAATATTGAGACCATTGGCGAACGTGGTTTTACTTTTGAAAAGATCATCATCTGGGCGAGTTGCCGCGAGAAAGAGCAAGACACCCTTCGACCAGGAGAGGCTCAAGCAGTGGCGTTCCTGCACGGCCTTCTCGAACTCGACGCTGGGAAACGATGGTCGGCAAGGGAGGCATTGCAACACGAGTTCCTCACCTCGCCTGTTGAGGACGAGGAGGAACGAGCGGAGAGAGAAGCGCAAGAAGCATATGAAGAAGAAATGAGAGCAGCACGTCGGTGACTTCGTGAACAGGCGTAACCTCTGGTATCTGCGCTGGAATGTCTTTGTTGTTGATGCATTCGAGAGCTAGCAAATGGGTCGGAGCTTTGTGTTACTAGCATCTTATACCCCCACGGCACGGCACGGGCTTCGCTTCATTTGTGGTGTTACTGGCATGGACAGAGCGTGCCCTTTTGGAGTCTGCAAAGAAGATGTGCAAAGCGACAAAGGTTTTTAGTGTTTAGAGGTACATGACGACATCGCATAAAATGCTATTCTTCGGTATAGAGTCTGAGGATTGGATTGTTTTAGAGGTAGTTTATCACGTCGTCCGTCCATTGGGGTCTCTTGTTCTCTGTATTTAATTCGACAATTCACTCGAAGGAGCATGTCACATGTGGATGTTTATTCAAGGGCACAGTACTAACAATATCAGAGACATAATGCACTACAGCACTGTGACTGACTTGTCTTCGAAGCCGTCGGTGCAAGAAGGCGTCACAGGTGAGATCACGGTTGGTGATATTTCCTCTGTGAGGTACTTTATCATCTTAGAATAGAGATCTGTCCCCAGCTCACCCGACGATCTTGCTGAGAACTGTATGACAGATGGCACTTTTCCAACTGCCGGGTTAAAGCGGGCAGATGCGAATGCAAGTGCTTTGCTTTAGCTGCCGTAACACCTATTCTAAACTTATGCGCTGGTTTGTCTGTCGACTTCAAAAGCAAGATTCACAGAATTAGAAGGACTGAGTATATTGGCATGTTTGTTACGTGATTTGGTATATCATTACATACAAACTCTTGAGATTCTGGTTCGCGATTGTATGACTTGTTGCTACATGGAACACACCTGCATTTACTGAGTGTGTCCATAAATCCCCCAATACAAACGAAAATATCTAGGTATTATGGCAGAGAAATTTACTCACTGGACTCGGCAAGTCTGGTAGGAAATCCAACTCTGAGATACATGGGAATATGGCCCAAAAAGACAACCTGAGTTCCAAAAAAACTTCGAAAAAAATACTCCCCGACAGGGAATCGAACCCTGGTCTCCCGCGCTCGTTATTGTGAAATGACAAGCGGAAACTGAACTGAATGTTAGATGACATATCAACTATTTGATGACATGATTGACTTACTCATGACCACTAGACCATCGAGGAATACATGTAATTGTTGGGAGAAATCGCGGTTAATCAAAATATAAAAGACAGTTAAATCTGCGGAACCGCGAGCCAGCATCCTTTCCAATCAAAAGACTTGCGCAATACCCACATATCTACCTACCTGTAAGTAATTCACTTACCAGGCATTCAACTCTGGAGAGGTATTAACTACAAAGTATTAGTTGCCGGGTCTCAATAAACGATGAAATTGATTTATTGTATCCTGCCTGTCCTTCACCTGTCTATCTTCATGAGAAGCCCCGTATCTACAAATCCGAGCTGCATACCGCGATCTTCGCGACTGGTGAGCTTATCTTAGTGAGTTCTTGAGCCACGCCTGATATCGAGTCTTCCAGGTAGCGTGCTATTGGTTTGCGCAGCATTGGCATGCTTGAAGAACTCTTGTTTATGGATGAGCATAATGGGTCTGAAGCGCAAATACTTTTGTGTGTATTCTCCGGGATGGAACTCAGCAGGATCTTTTCTAATGCATTCACATAGGTACTAGTTCAAACCTACCACGAAAGCGACGTAAGGTCTTCCATGCCGATGGGAGATCTTTCGCGACAGAACTGGGCCTGCGACACTCACTGGCCCCAACGAGTATGACGAGAATATCAAATTCCTCCACGCTCTCGTGCTCGACTGCCTCATACACAGACTGATCGAAAACGGCCAAGATTCACGTTTGATAAACGCACGACGTGATCTTCGGGAGTAACTACCCTACAGTGCTCGAACTTTGCAATCCCTCGATAACCCTCTTCTCGTCTTGGTCGACCGTGTGACACACCTCCTTAGCCTCGGAAGCTCGACTCTCGAGCCCGCCCCTGCAGAGCCACCGGTAGCGGTATTCTATGTACGAACATACACCCTGGCTGTTGCACAGCCCAGCAAAGTAATCGATATTTTGTCGAAGGTCAAGATAACATTCAAGAACAAGATATTCGCTTGGAAAAGAACCATCTAACCTCTCTCAAAGGATGTATCGGTCCATCTTCGCTATGACGGCGTTGCCCATAAAACGAATGCATGGGGACGGCATGTTCATGACCACAGACCCACAAGAGGATCTTCTCTTGGGCGAATTTTGCACGTTATATCCGACCTGTATCCTAATGTTGTCGCAAATTGCCTAGTACAGGAGACTCCTCATATGGAACTGCCAGTATCGGCCCGCGACCAGCCCATTGACACGAGGAAGCAATTACTAACATGTGTCCTAGAGCAAGGGGCTCTCAATTTCAGCATCGGTGGGGTTGTATCTTCGATTTCAAATCTTCATCTCAAAAAGTTGTTTCAGAGTCTGGGCACAAAGTCCTTTGCTACCGCGGCAGAGATAACTGAGGAAATTTCTCCCACTTCCCAACTGGCGGTACAGCGCTATGCACAAGAGTCTGCAGTCAAAAACTATGAGCAGATAGTGGTGTCGAACTACTCGGGTTGCAGATGCCACCGCATTGGCCGAAGTATTGACTGATCAGGCTACATCCATGGGCCTGAAGAATGGTCGAATCAAGCTTCTGATTGTGGTCCGACTCCGAGTCTTCCAGGTATTACTGGCGATGGTGCAGCAGTTTGTAAAATGGTCGGCCGCAACAGCTGCTGCTCGGAAGCTTGAAAAGCACTTTTCGATTCAGTGAGGTGACTTGCTGTGGCTACTAGACCAATTTCTATTCCAAAAGTACTCCGATGGTGGCAGGATCAACTGCCCGGACTCTTCAGCATTTCCTGATACTATCTGTATGGCCCGAACTGTCCGGATTTTGCAAAGCATCCAAATTCTCCCAACACCCGTTTGCAGAATACCTACATACAGTTGCAACGCGTGCTAGCGATGGGACATACGGTACTATGCAAGCAGTAGTGTCTCTCAAAGTTGTCTTGAGGTCGTACGTATGGATGTCGTCAAAGAGTCATCCGTCAAGATACCAAACAGAAGTACTGGACAGCAGCGAAGATTTACAACATTCATCATTGATGCAACCTGCCCCAATGGTCCCAGACAAGGTTGAACCACATGTAGTCAGGGCTTGTCGCGCAAGGATGAGCTCTGGGTTCGCTCATCGACGACATTAACCTATGCACACGGAGCGTGTGGAAGTCGACGCAAAGCGCTTCTGTATGATATGAATATCAATCGACCCAAAATGTTCATTGTCGTGTAATCTCACATTGAGTGGTTCATATTGAGCTCTCGCATTTAATGCTGACGGAAGAGGCTATGTTGGATACCGTTCTGCAATTAGGCGGTTCATATGCAAATAGCAAATCAATGTTCATCTCTTCGTCTCTGGCCATGAAGCATTCCATGATGACAAAAGGTATGACTCCTATCTAGGCACTACACCACGGGCATTGGGCCACTGCATGCCTGGAACAGTCCACCGTACTTGATGTATCCCAAGTTCCATGATGTGTTACCGAACTCGGAAAATTGGCCCGAACTGTACCAGGCTGAACCTTCTCGGGTTTGGCGGACTTGGGTGAGAAAATGCCTGCAGCTCCTCAGACGTCGAGACTGCCAGGCCAATTGACGAGCTGGGACATGGATCCTGTGACCCGACAAGTCCTGGCTGCCGGACGTAGGCAGGACCTTAGTCCCGACATCTGATTTGGCCCGGAACAGGTGTCCTGGGCTAAACCAAAGTCTAGGGCTGTCTCCCCAGAGGGTGAGTCGGAAGGTGAGATAAAGGTGAGCGAAAGTGAGTCGTGAGCAGGTGGTTTTAAAAGCGGCGCCGAGCTGATTTACCGTTGCTTGAGCTGCCAAGGACGAGGCTGAGGGTTTGTCAAATCCAACGGATTTTCCCGTCGCCGACATCATCATCATGATTGATTGCAGATGCTTCTTCTTCTCTCAAGGGTTTTGGAGGAGATGCTTGTCATGACTGCCACATCTCCAACCAATTTCCTAACAACTTTGACGCGACCGAGATCGAGAACTTGGTGTCGTATCATCGTCCTCAGTCGATCTACACTACAGCAACGGGCTCCTCGTATCTTCTTCTTCTCAGGTTCGACTCCTGCATATAGACCATATTCTGCATGTTGTCGTCGTTTCCATACTGTCCCGTCGTCCGAAAAGGCCCCAGCGTCAACCACTTCAACATCCACAAGGACCATATCAACGTCCACCGCAGCTTCCTCAAGCCCACAGAAGACGATGTCTCGACGGCGAGAACCAAAGCGATTCGCGCCACTGAATCCCAATGCCGAGAGCGGACACGACCTCCCGCAGCTAAAAGGCATCATCTTTGACATGGACGGGACGTTGTGGTGCGTATTGACTCAACACGCTGAGCGAGTCTACATCTGTGCTTGGCAACAGTGACGCTAATCGAATATATCTGCCACCAGTCTTCCTCAGAACTACATGTTCCGGGAGATGCGCGAGGCCTTGGGAATACCCAGATCGGTCGACATCCTGGACCACATCCGCTCGCTCTCCAACGAACCGGACATCGGGCCCGAGCCAGGGTCAGGACCACATCCTCACTCGACAATCAATCCCTTTCAGCTCCCTGCCGAGGAAATGCTGTCCCCTTTCAGCGACAAAATCCCTGATCCGCCCCCTTCCTCACCACAAGCTCGCGCAGTGGCCAAAATCCAAGCTATCGAGCGGAATGCTATGTCGTCACAACGTCCGCAGCCCGGTCTCCAGGCACTCATGGACTACCTCACTCAACGGGGCGTGAGGAAGGCACTCTGCACGAGGAATTTCCCTGCCCCGGTGCATCACTTGCTGAGCAATCACCTACCTGAAGTGGTGTTCGAGCCGATCATCACCAGGGAGACCGAGGGCGTGGAACCCAAGCCGAGCCCGGAAGGGTTGTGGATGATTGCTCGGGCTTGGGGCTTGGATCGAGAGATTGAGGCTGGAAAGATCCGAGAGTCAGTCGAGTCAGGTGGCGACGTTGACCCCTTGGAATTGGCCAGGAGGTATCTGGGATCCGGCTTGATTATGGTCGGAGATAGCATAGACGACATGGCTGCAGGCTGGAGAGCTGGGGCGGCGACGGTGCTGTTGGTGCAGGACGAGAACCAGGAGTTAGCAAAGCACCAGTACACGGGCCTCAGCATCAGACGACTCGATGACCTTATAGACATTCTAGAGAACGGATTTGCAGAGAGCGCACAGACATAGACTAGACCCAGAGAGTGGTGAATTATTTCCTGTGGGAATGGAAATATCCACGACGTTTGAGACTTGCACTGGCCGTTATGCACGTTACAAATGGCGGTCCGAGGATATCTGATGCACTCGGAAAGGTGATGTGGTGGCGATAGTCTGTGAACCTGGAGAGAAAATCCGCAGTGTTTTAAGCGACGTCGCACAACGCCCAATGCTTTGGGCACCATTTCACCTACAAGACGTGACTTCCCCGCTGCTCCGATCATATCCTCTAGAGACCCGGGTTTGGTGTGTGAGAACTTCAGCGGCAGCAGTCCGGGCACGTGGGAGAGCATTCTCGTGCAGTGTTGCCAAGCTGTAGCACAGCGTCCAGCACCGGCAGCACAACCCATTCGGGTCACCCGTACTTATAAGGTGCATAAGTAGTGATGGGCAGCACAGTGCATTCGATTGGCAGGGCGGTGGCTGATGTGTTGGCAAGCCGGAGAGGTGTCGCTCGTCCACGCCCCATTGCGCGACGAATCGAAAGGCGGCATGGAAGTTACTGCAAGCCTGAAACTGTTTGTCACAAGCGGTCGCCCGAACAACCGAAAAGATTGTTTTCCTGGAGCCTCTAACATGATCGGAATCAAGCCATGGGCGTTGGGGGTGGAGCCGACGGCGGTAAAGGCCCGTAACCTTTAGTTAGAAGCGTCGCTGGCCCATCCATTATTTGGCCATTTGTCCAGCCAACCGGTTTCTCGGGGATCCCATTCGCTTCTTGTTTCTTTTTCCTCCTTCTCGGAGCGTCGTGTTATACCGTGGTGCTCTTCCAATTTTGGCGACCAGAATCCAGGCGGTCAAGGTCTCAGCAGAGGAGGGATAGGGAATGGATCGCGGCATCAACAGGTGACTTTGCAGCTATGCATGCATCGGTAATGACCAATGGCTAGCTGAGAGAGCGACCACGCTGCCGACGGAAGGCTCTTACCCACAGATATTGTGTGCGTTGTGCGGGAGAGAAACCTGATATTCCTGGTACTCTGTAGATCTGTGCGTGGGTGCACTGGGGGCACCCAGGGGGCCTGTTCTCTCTCAGCACTGAGATGGCGCCTTGGGATCTACCACTGCTGCGATAATAAGCATAACTGAAAGCAGGGGAGAGAGAGCTGCTGGGTTGGCCATATCCTTTTTTGATACTCCGGTGGGAACAAAATACGGAGTCCTGGACCAGTGAACAAGACCCAGGTGTTCGTTCCCGGGGAATTTTTATCAGGTGGAGCAGCGGAAGTGAGCGTGAAGGAAAGGCCCATGCCTTGAACGGTGAGCCAATAATGGTGGCGAGAGGATCGGTGGCGTGTGCTTTCAACCCTGACTGGCCCGGGGGCGGGCCTGTTGGACGCTGTTTTCTTTAGCGGCACACCTGGGAATAAAAGGTCCGAAGACTGACTGGGGGCTAATAGGCTCGTGATGCCAGGCTCTCTAGGCTCTTGGTTACCCTCCGCCTTCCCCCCATCCATCCATCTCACCTGCAACTAAGTACGTAGTGCGCACCCGCTGGCTGCGCGGCATCCCTCTCTGGACAGCTTTCAGCCCAAGTCCACCGCTTTTGCTTCAACCTTTTCTTCGTCGTCGTGCTTTGCTCTTCCAGCGAATGTTGTCTTGCCAAACAGAGATGATACCTATAAGCGTTACCAGCTTCGTTTCGATTCATGTTAATTGATATGTGAAACTGTCTCATTGAGATCTGGCCCTCCTGTCACTGTTACCTGCGCCCGCCGCACCACAACCTCAACCAGCCTCACAATTATTCGCCTGCGACCAACAACCACTAACACTTGTTTGTGCCTTCACCGGCTGGCGATCCCTTGCCGGTCAATCCAAGCCCATATTCTCCGTCGTCGAAACTGCTATCGAGAACAACCCACGAGGCAACCTCAAATCCCCCGTTTGCTTAAACGACCCCGTTCGAAAATCCTCGCAACGAAACCTCCTCCACCAACCATGACCGATCCAAGGTTGCCTACGAGACCATAGCCAGTCCATCACAAGGGCACATGCGCATCGGCCCTTGCGTATGTGCTCCATGATCCAGCACACTTAAGGTCTCTTCGAGATGGGCTTTTCGAGTCGACGCCTACCTCTGCCTTCGGCCACAGACTCTCTGATAGGATCCGCCGACGAAGCTGGTCACGGTACGGACCTTGGGACCGATCTCTCGCGACGAAGTGAAAAGACCTCCGAGACGATTCCTGACGACGGAAGCCCGATTACCATCACGCCAGCCCCTAAGCGCACAATTGGAAAACTTGCAAAGTCCGGTCAACAGTCTCAAACCTCGCTCCTTATTGAATTGTTTGAAGGGGGCAAAACATCTGATCCTGGACAGAGACAACCCAGCTTACGAGTACGCTACACACCATCCCACTCCCGGAAGAATAAAGACAAGGGAGAGCGTCACATTCTGGTCACCGAGTCTCCAACGGCAAGGCGGCCTTCCTTCAGCCACCGCATTTCTCTGGGAGGAAACGAGACTCTTGCGCCAAACGTCATTGACGGCAGTATCAGCTCCTTGGATACCGGCGACGACTTCAGGCCTACCGTTCCCGTCGAGATTGAAGTCCTGCAGGACGACGACAGCGACAGGTCCGTCTTGAGTCCGCCTGCCGAAACCAGGTCCATCATCCCAGAGTCAGATATTTCGTCTATGCCAGCAGAGAGTTCTCTGGGACCCAATCCACCCATCAACATGTCGCCTGCCGGCCAGAGTGTCAGTATCACCCGAGGCATGTCTTCCGAGGGAGCCTCGTTGAAACCACCGGTCATTCCGGCCGAACGCAATTTGAGCAATGAGCGTATCACCCAAAAAGTCATCGAAAAGCTGAGCAATAAACCGCGAGTGTCGAGCAGTGGGAAGCGTCAACACAGTAGCCACAGTGGAAGTCGAAGCAGCGTGAGCAGAGAAGCGGAGTCTATGCACGCCGAGCCGCGAATTCGGGTCACAAAGAACGTGGATGATGATTCAATGCATAGCATCACCGGCTCCAGTATGGTCAGTGGCTCTCAACTATCTGCAGACCCGCGTGCGACAGACCAACGATCGGCTCGCTCAGGAACATCCAACGTCTCAGTCACGAATAATCCCAAACTACTTCAATCGGTCGAAGATGCCATCCGGAGGCTGATATTGCCCGAGCTCAACGAATTGCGCCGGAACCAGAAGCATTCCCATCGATCACGACACGAAAAATATAGCAATCCTTCGGATGTGTCCTCAAGTACCCTATCGCGCGAGGACAGGACGCACCGCAGATCCTCCGGGAGCAAATCAAAGCGCCGAGTGAGTCGAGAGTCGGAATCAGGTTTGCTTTCAGATTCTGCTCGCCGTCATAGACGTCACAAGACCGTCGACTACGACTCACCGTCGGAGCACAGCTACGAGCCGTCCGAGTCTGTCGACAGTCTGGGCGACGAGAAAAAGTCACGTAGGCACTCGAAAAACCGTCATGGTCGTGACGTTGCGGCTGGAGCTCTCGGAGCTGCAGCCTTGACTGCCGCCGCTCTCAAGTCGCACGATTCGGGATCGAGCCTGGAATATTCGGAACATCGCAGACGGAGGAGGAGCAAAAGCCGTAGCAGCCGCAGTGCAAGCTACACAGAAAAGGACGACGCCTTCCAGAAGCATCAAGTACCGCCTATGCCATTCGTCAGTGAGATTGGTACCGATCTCACTCGAAGCTCGCTCAAATCTTCCAATGACGGACGCGCCGAGACGCCAACCCGCCGTGAGGTGCGTGAAGTGATACGCGGATCTCCTTTCGAACTATCCTCGCCAGCCTCTCAAACGACGCCCACCTCTAATGCGCTCGACTTGAAACGTGGACTTGGTACCCACCATGGTAACTTCTCGGAACACGATTTGTCGGCCCACGACCTGTCCTCCAAGAAAGAAGTGTTCGATGAGGCCACTTTTGACAAGTCGTCTGACGCAGAAGAGCTGGATTTTGCTACGCACGGATTCGCGGCTCTGACAGATCCAGAAAGGGCTCGTCAATATGAGAGGAACCTTCACCAGCAACATCCCATTAGGCGGGGCCTCAGCCCAATACAGAGCGTTGCCAGCTATGCGACTACAGAGCCCAATCGCAACTCCTTGATGCAACCTCGCAGCTCAGACTCTTTGCGTTCGCCGGGTAAACACACTCGTATGGATGACCAAGTCTCCGTCTCCTCTCTATCATCAGCGCCCAGCACCGACCTGGCCCGCTCAAGGCGACCCCATGGAATGAGCTTGGAGAGCCGGAGCGAGATCATGGCTCAACATGTGAAATCGCTTGAAAGCACACCTCGCCAATTGGATCAACGCGCTCTAGACGAACACCAACTCGAAGACGAGAGCTACCATGATTCGCCGTATATCGACAAAGTCACTGCAGGCCAACATGTGGTCGCCAAGGGCATTGGCGCAACCGCGCAGTATGTGAATGAAGGGTCAGGTATCGAGTCTGCAGTGGCCTCGCTAGTCGAACCGTCTCTCCTTTCTGGTGATTACGCATACTCGCCCCGCCATAGTCAGGCAGACTCGCTGGGCGCCCGTGAGATTGCCAGTTCTCCATTATCACACCGCGACTACATGTCGAGGCACAGTGGCAGTCCGCTGAAACGACAACTTTCAAACCACAGCGGGAGCGCGCACAAAATTGCTCCGGAATCGGCGGCTGTGATGTTGTCACCCCAACAGAGTCCTGCTCGCTCACTCGAACATGTAGAGCAATTTTCTACAAAATCAGCCCAGCCCGCGCCCCTTGCTACCAGTAATGTACCCAGCGGCCCTGTGGAGCGCTCGCCAGAGTCAGATATCACCACTAATCCATCTATCATCCGAGGTCCAATTGGCGGCCTTGCACAGGGCAACACTGAGCACTGGCCTTATGATCCAACACCTCCACACTCTCGAGCCAACTTGGTGCTTCCACCAGTGAGTCGTGATATTGGTTCGGCCGGGGCAGATCTCATCCCCGAAGCTTTGTCCATCAACCGTGACCACGACCTAGATGCCAAACGTGACCTCTATGTGCAGCCGCAGACTTTGTCGACTCCCCTTGGGGCCAAGGACGAGGGCTACGAAACTGGAGCGAACGTGCCGTCGCCAGGTTTGTATTCTCAAGAGCGGGGGGTTCGAGACGACAGCTTTACGCCAGAACCATCAATCGACAATGCCCCGATCACAGACGACCCCTTCACCACGCAGCGAGATCCGTACATAAGTGGACTTTCGCATGGCATGTCGCCTATGTATGATAGTGCGACGGGTCGCGGCCGCGATAACATCCATTCCAAAGATATTGTGGCGCTCATGGATCATCTCACAATGCGGGACGCCCAACGGAACGCAAGAGACACAGAAATCCTCGTGACGCTGGTCCGCAGTGCCGCAGAAATGCGCAACTCCTTCGAAGACATGAAAAAGTTCATTGCAGAACAGGACGATCTTATCATGGACACTGCCGATAAACAACATGAAAAAACGCAAAAGGTCATTGGGGGCCCGCGACCACAACCCGTATCTGCTCCTCGCCCGACGATGTCGGCAACCTCGGAGGAGGACATGCCATTGAAACGCCGCAATGTTTTCCAACGAGCGCTCAGAGGACTTGGAGCTAAGAACTCACAAGAGCTGCAGAATATCGAGGCGATGTTGATGCGACTTTTGGACGAAGTTGAGGCCCTCAGGGCCTCACAGCCTCCTGCAGTCGCAAGAGATCAGCCTAGATCCACGAGTTTGACCTCTGCAGACAACGCTCGCGCTCCTACAGACACAGGATATGAGCCCGAAGGCCAAGCAGGGACCTCATCAACCGGAGATCGATCTGGATTCTTTTCGAACAACTCCTCTCGCCAGGCGGATTATCGCAGCTACAATATACATCGAGACTCGGGTAACCGAGTGAGCACGGTGCTGGAGGGTGACGAAGAATACGACGACTATGGGAACCACCTAAGCGGCGCCCCAGGTGGGAATGCACAAGCGGTCAGCCACACGCCGCTGGACACGCCTCCGAGGAACGATCCAATCCGACAAGCCAGGGGAGGTTCCGCTCCTTTGAATACTCCACCTCGAACGCAGGAGCCAAACACGGGATCGCTGAGCCATGAAAACACGCCTCACCTCTCCCAGGGAGAGGCCTCCGGACGGAAGCACAAGTCTTTTGCATCTTCCTTTATTCCAAAGATGGTCTCTCGGTGGTCCAAGACCACTGCATCTTCCGCTGATAATTTCCGCGCAAGCCAACAACGAGTTAGACCCTACTCAGAGCACTCTCGGTCAGGATCCAACCTTGGAGATTATGAGTTCGAGCATGATCCTCAGGGCCACGACCGCATTCGGTCCAGTACTTCATTCCAGCGGGATCAGTACGACGATGTAGAGAACCGACCACCCTCTCCTCTAGTCCCAAGTCAGTTGACGGACAACCCGAAATATCAAGCTCACAGAAACAGCATCAATCTTCAACACCCTCAGCCCAGACAAGGACCAACAGGTCGCTTCCAGTCTCGGTTAGAATCTGAAGCCCAGTTTTATAATAACGAACAGATCTCGCCTACCTCGCAGACTTCATCTCAGTGGGAGACCCACTCGGGCCTGCAGCCGAACCATCACACGACCATTACCTATGGAGGACACCTCAGTCCGATCTCTGACTCGCCCTACTCTGCTGAGCCAGGACAGATGCATGACAACAGGAGCATTCGGTCGGGAAGCTCTCATGGCCCACCCCGGCCGCCAAAGATCCCCAATGACGAGCCTCTGGTGCCGCAACGTCCACCCAAGGTTATGATGAGTCCCTCGTCCTCGAACCGACAGCAGACCTACGTCGATCACGTTGCTGCAGCAAGGGCGGGAAGTCCAGCATTTGACAAGGTACGTACAAAACATCCACGTCTCAGTGTCGGAAATACTAACAAGCTTCCAGTCTCCAGTCGCGGCACTAAGATCGCCACAGAGTCAGACGCGCAAGCCCTCTGGGCCGAGACCTCTAGCTGGATCTGGCGGATCGAAGGGTGATTTGAATACCGTTAAAAGAACGAGATTCAGAGGCAGCCCAAACCAGATCGATAGCGAAGACGAAGCCATCGCGGCATATTGAGTGTTATATTGGGTCTTTAATGGTGGAGAGATTTCTTGAGTGCGGAATATGAGCGGTTGACACGAACGCATTCGAAGGCGTACAGGAGTGGGTTTTTGTTCCCGTGCCAATGCCAACAGCGCAACGAGAATTGTTGCCCTTTGGCTGATGGGCATTGCAAATGTTTCTGGTACAAGCGAGCTACCTAGATGGAGGAGTTGGAAACACGAGCTCGACAGTTCAGCGAAGTTGATGACTTCAACGCTGGACGTTCGCTACCGGGATGACAGGCTTCAACGGCAATGATGGGGGCTACCACTGAGCTGAGTGAGGTATGAGAGCATACACCTATTTGTTCGCGTCGGGCTGTGCCTTAGCGAAGCAAAAGAAAAAATACGTAATGTCGATATAAGGAAATCAAAAAAAGGGGAGTTGGACCTTTTTTCGCCTCGTATTTTTCTTCGTGTCTCACTCAACTTTCGGCTTGTGAATTTTATGCCCTTTACTGTAAGAATTGGTTGTTGTTGTTGTCGCCGCTGCGATCCTGCAATCGTTTGCACAAGTAACATGAGACTCCCGGCTATTCACCAACGCGTCACGTTGATGATGCCCGGCAAACCCGTCTTCGATGCGAGGCTGCGGGGATTCAGGGGTGGGGGGGGGGAAAATTACTCCGACCAGTTCGAGACTGAGTGAGTGAGTGCTCCAACACTTGTGTAGAAAATGTGAAGTAACTGTATATTATTATTATCCTAAGTACATACATACAATACCTTCGTTCGTCACTCCAGACGTATTTGAAACGAATTCTTACTTCTCATGGGCCGAAGGCGCTGATGGGGATGTGGGTGGTAGGGACACGCGCCTCGTCTTCGCAATGATTTAAAACGATAGATAGGGAGAGGCCCCTCAGCTACATACACACTCATGCTGAATGCCGTCAAGATAAAATTTCTCGTGGGGCACACAAATGTATGTGAATATAAGTGAGGACGGATTGAGAACTGGAATCGAGAGCTCAAGCTATTATCCTCTGAATCAACGTGGCACTAGCCCCTGGACAGTTATGTATGTACCATTTCAAGAATGTATACTCGACATATCGTCGAGTAGAGAGAGCTCCCAAGTCGTCCTCGAGATTGCCCAGCACCGGAGCCCCCTTCGCAGTTTTTCTTCATAGCTGGCTGTTACATCTCCTCAAGCACAGTCGAGACATGCTCGATCACTTCGTCTGATTGTGTGACCCGTTGACTTTCCCCTGTCGGTTCCCCTCCTTCGCCCTCATGCGATAAGCCTCTGCTGCAGGGTGCGAGGGTTGACGAAGCACGAAACCTCGTCAAGTGCACTTTTCGGTCTTGTCATGAACGTGCCAGGCGCACTTATTTACCTTCGCGATCTCTTCCAAGCTTTGTTGCCCAGCGAGAGCCTGCACGAGGATCACTGCGAAAACGCCCCCTTGACTTACTTTGTTCGCCAAGGTCTTAACACCCTCATGACTGTCGTCAAACAAACCATAAGTACGGACCAACGGTGCAAGCTTTGAGACGATGAGGAGTTCCATTTTCTCTATATTATGATCGGGATGAGATTCGGCCTCTTCAAAACACGCCAACAGCCACGAGTGATCAGAGGGAATCGCCACGAGCAAGTCAATGAGATGGTTGGCCCAGTCCTCCATGTTGAGGTGCATGGCGAGGTCGTAAGCGCGGAAGATCGTGCAAGCTGCATCGGAAGCTTCTCCCTTGCCAAATTGCGTCACCTCGTGTGTGTCGTAGGCTAACTCTTGAAAATATACCCACTTCGCTAGCATCTCCCCGGATTCTGGAAAGAACAGCGGGAATGAGAGTCGTTTTATCGCTGTAGCTGTTGAGGTCATATTTTTGAGCTTCTCCTGGAAGTACGGGATTTGGAGAAGGGCTTCTTTGTGGAATAACTTTTCATGTTTCCCGAACTGGAGCACGACGGCTGGAGAAGCAAAGGAGAAGCTGAGCCGTTAGCAGGATTCGGTACCAAACAGGTCCAATTCGCCCTGTCACCTACCATGTCTTCCGCCCCAAAGCCTGTGGTCTTGCAGCAGGTCGAGGCCCTTGCACAGATGATAGCTTCGCATGTCCGAAGAGCTTCTTTTGCACTGCTTTCCAGGCTTCGTGGGCTGATGCGCGAGTGCTCAGATTAAGCGTGGCAGCCAATCCGTCATAGTCGACCTGAATATTGGTCAGATTAGCTTGAAAACACGCACGGGCTGTCGAAAGCAGGTGAGCTGGTGATGGTGTAGGTAGGCGAGGGGCTCACCTCGACATTGTCGGGCTTCAGATTGCTGAGGAAGGCGATCAAGACATCTTGCTCATGAGAGGTTAGACTCGACAAATCCTTGTTCCCAGCACCTTCAGGCATGGCGACAAGGTTGATGGGGAGGTAAATTGGTGTGATAGTTTGAGATCTGCCAATATTGCAGGAGTTGTGTCCAGAAGAGGGGGTGTCGGGTGCTGTCGAGGTTGGTGAGTCTCTCAATGAGGTGAGTTAGAATTGAGCTCATGGTTCATTCGCTTACCACTCTGATCTGTTGCTCATTCACTTACAGTCGAGTCCTTGGCGAACTATAGGTCCTTTTCACGTCTCACTTGAGCCTCTCCTACGAGTCACCACTGCAGATGAGCAGATGATGGATAAGCTGACGAAATCGGAATGGTTTGTCTGAAATGTCTGATTGAGCAAAGTGTCAGACGATTTCGATCCAGCATTGGAGATCCCTGCAGAATAGAAGGCCTGCTTCATGAAACTCGGATCTCAAGACGAACCGATGGGACAAAGGACAGTAGCATTGAAGTCATGGCTGTCTTGAATCCCGTCATATCGGGTGTGGACCATAACGCCACCTCTGAGCCTCAGATACAGTCCATCTCTTTCCGGCCTCGATCAGTGCCCAGGTCTCTGCCGTTGCAACGTGCAAGACGTAACCCTGAGAGGCTACTCAAGCTGGCTGTTTGCTTGTTCGCGCTTGACAATACTAAGAAGTCAAACTAGGAGGGGGGTAGGCTCTCGCGCCCTCGGTGCTCAACAACACAATGACAGCATCTATCGACATGCCTGGGGGGAAAGAATCCGTGGAACTGGCTTTCCTGATTGCAGCAAGTGTAGCAGCTCCACAAGGCCCAGCATTAATACCGTGGGCTTGCAGATACTGTACGGACTCATGGCATTCTAAATCTGTGACTGTGATGCTGATGTCGACCGCTTTAGAAAGGACCGGCCAGGAGATAGGTGAGACAGTCCCACAGTTCATACCATTCATGATCGTTGCCGATGTCTCGATTGTACTCCATGCGTTGGACCTGAGGTTTTCATGCAGACATGCAGCGGTCTCGGGCTCCACTGTCACAACGCCAATTTGTTTGCCGCCAGACTTGCAGAAGGCGGCAACGGAGTGGCCCAGAGAGCCAACGCCAATAGGAGTGACAATGAGGGTCGCCTTCAACCTTTGTGCTCTGAGTTGCTGTTCAATTTCGAACAGAAGTGTTGAGTAGCCTTCAACGATCCAGGCCGGGATTTGTTCGTATCCCTCGAACGCATTGTCTTGGATAAGAAGGCCATTAGGCGCCTTCTGTGATTCCTGGAAGGCTTTTGAAACGGCATCATCGTAGTTTCCCAAGACAACCGTGACTTCAGCACCTTCACTTTCGATCTTCTGACAGGTCTCACGGTCGGCAAACTTGGACATGAAGATCCGAACTGGAATATCCAGTATCTTGCCCATTCGTGCAACAGCCCGGCCGTGATTTCCTTCGGTGGCCGCGAACAGTATTGTTTCCGATTTCCTTGCTGCATCCGAGATGTCTTCAAGGCTCGAGTCAAGAGCAAGACCATGCTTCTCTGCAATCGCACGAAAAGTGCCCCATGAAGCACCCAGGATCTTGAAGGACGGCAATCCAAGCCGGCTGCTTTCGTCCTTGACGAAGATTGCTTTGACCTCTAGCTCCTTTGCGAGGTCACCTAGAGGCACGAGCGGGGTCTCTTTATACCCAGGGAGGCGTTTATGGAAGGTCTGAGCCAGAGTTACATCTGTATCGTACGTGTGCGTCCATGTTCTAGCCTGTGGATTCGCGTAGATGAATGAGTCGGACATGGTGTTTCTGGTCGGATCAACTTACGTCGCCTTCGATTGACAGCTCAAGGGATACTCTGGAGGTTATCTTGGAGTGTTGCTACTATCAGAGAGCTACAAGTGGTCCTCCCATGTTGCGGTGTTCTGAGGTTTTTGAGGCCAGAGCTTGGGTGTTGTGGTAGGGCGTGAGATATTGCTTCGGTGGTGTCCGTTTCTGCCAGCCCTCCCCATGTCTTCTTTCAATGAAATGCAGGCACAGGCGTTACATTCCACCTGCAAGTTAATAATTATTGCACAGGACTTGGTCAGTCATTTATGTAGTGTATTCGATTCCACGAAGGCATCATGCATTGGGTGCAGGACAGAATCCCGGCCTCGGAACCGCAAAAACATTGATGCGTGTCCACCAATGACGTCTGTACGGAACTGCGTGTCCCAAGGCCACAGCGATGACAATCACAAGGGGATAAGTCTTCTTCAGCTATCCCAGCCACCCGGCTCAAGAGGTCGACTGCCAGCTGGCTTGCCTCTATTGGTCGCCTCATTGCAAAGGCTACACATCCTGCCAGCAAATCCAGAAGATGTGACCCCTGCAGCACTCAGCACCGCGTGCTCGCCCACCCGCTCGTCAGTCCACAACAGTGGATGTCGCTTGCGCATCCCAGTGATTGGTTCTCGACATCACCTCGCGGCCCAAGCGCACTAAGTCTTTGGTGTTGGGTCATCTGAAGTGGTTGTCGTGGATTTAGTAAAAGATGCCTGTCATGCCAGGGGACGAGGCAAAGAGAAGGAAAACTCATCGACACAAACATGGTGACACTGGAATGTCAAAATCTCGCAAGCGGTCCGAGGATGACAGTGCGACGTCAAAATCGCCCGCCACAAATAATAACCCTGCCGATAACGACGCCCTCAGACAAGCCAGACTCGCGTATCTAGCCAAATCCCCGGAAGAACGACGAAAAGACATGAAATACGAGTATGTGAAACGGACGAAGACGTCGCAAGCAGACGAAGAGAAGGAGAAGCGTCCCAAGGCTACGCGAGTGCAACTTTCTAGGCGGGAGGATCGAAAGCCTGAGCGGCGCTCCACCACGCGGACAGACAGCAGCCGAAGAGGTGCGGCGCAAGACGATAGTGAAGACGAATACGTTTATACTCGGAACGAAAGCACAGGCACCACGAAAATGGACACATCTCGTGCCCAGAGAACGAAATCCCAGAGTCAGACTTCCAGAAAGACAGAGGCGACGCGGAAAGCACCAGAACGGCGGCACACAGAGCCGGCGAGAAGGAAGGAAATATATATCTTTGACGAGTAGGTTTTCATCTTTTGCATAGTGCTTCAAACTGATCGTATGTTTGCAGAGCGTCTTGCGCAGAGGACGAGTCGCAGTCGCAGCCGCTACCACGTCGAACGTCGGCTCTGGTCGAGAAACCACAAAAGCCCGAAATAAAGAGAAGTGCTACAATGGCAAAACCCAGGGCCGAAGTGAGCATCGCCAAATCTTCCGAGGCTGCCGTAACGCCCAAGAAAGGGTCAGGCCTGTTGAGCGGACTTCTGCCAGCTAAACCTGCACAGCAAAGGAAGGTCTCCTGTCTGACGTGTGGTGACGATGAGATCCCGATAACGCAATCTGCTTTACTGCCCTGCAAGCACCGCATGTGCAATACATGTCTCAAGCGGATCTTCAAGATGTCCGTCACAGATCCTGCGCACATGCCACCCCGGTGCTGCACGGATCAGCACATTGCACTCAGACATGTCGAGAAACTGTTCGATGACAAATTCAAGGTGACTTGGAACCGCAAGTTTCAAGAGTACCAAACCAAGAATCGCGTGTATTGTCCCGGTCGGAAGTGCGGCGCCTGGATCAAACCGCACTATATCACTATTGAGAATGGGCGAAAAGTGGGACGCTGCAAACAATGCAAATTAAAGGTCTGCCCGATATGTTCTCAGAAGATGCATACGACGCGCGAATGCCCCAAGGATCCGGAAACAAAAGCTTTCATCGAGACGGCCAAGGAGAAGGGTTGGCAGAGGTGCTACAGCTGTCACGCCATGGTCGAACTGAAGGAAGGTTGCAATCATATGACATGCCGCTGCACGGCTGAGTTCTGTATGGTGTGCGGCCTGAAATGGAAATCCTGTGACTGCCCCTGGTTCAACTACGAAGCTGTCGAAGCGCACTTGGGCGATCCTGTTCGATATCAACAAGAATTGGACAGACGTAGGGACCAGGTCAACCGCGACGAAGCGCTCGCTCGACGCATGCAACAAATGGGTTTAGGCGGTGATGATGCTGACGGCCCGGCTGCGCGCATGTTGGGACTGGGGAATGGAGCGAACCACCACATGAACCAGAATTTCATCCAGCAAGCGCGTGAAGCCCTGACGGCAAATTATGCACAGGCGGGGCAGGCCGCGATGGATTTGTTGAACGGCATCGTCAGGGGTCGAGAAAACCCCTTGCCCGGCATGCCCTTGGAGATGGAGCAAATGTTGGGAATGCTCGGCCAAGGAGGCAACATGCTCGATCCAGCAGAGGGAGGAAACCCAGCACGAAGGACAGGGCGACGAACGACAAATAGACGAAGACACGCTGGGCTCGACGAGGCAGGAGGGGTCCCCGGCCGTATGGCAAGAGGAGAAGAAAGACGGATTCAAGAGTGGGCAAACGACAGGGCTTGATCTGGTAGGAACTGGTATATGCGAAGGTAAACGACTAGATACGACTGGGTTCACGAACATGGTGTTCGATATGGACGGGCAGACCGGGAGACGGGTGGGCGTTTCGTGGTGGTAATGTTTTGGCTTCTGGATACCCACAGGGAGCAGATTATGGTGTTGGAATGTCGACGGGTCAACAAACCATATGAAGGATGTTCAGGATCTATCGTGAGGGTGGTGTATATGGATGACGGGCCCGATGCTCCAGGGGCCCGTACAGGCAAACATACTATGTGACGGATGTAACTAGGTACTTAACGAGATGCAATGACTCTCAGATTCAATGACAGATTATGGTTTTCATGCAAAGACGACAACTTTTTATTTATTTATTCGTGACTGACCCGCGTCTTGTATTCCGTCGCCCTCGGGCAGGGTCTAACACATCTTTTACGTGGAGACATCCATCTTTCACCCCTTTTACTGGTCATTGAACAAACTCTCCAGCTCCCTGGCCACCGCATCGCCGACCTCGACGGTCGAGTTTTCGCCCCCAACGTCTTTGGTAACGATGCCCTTCTCGATGACGACCTTCACGGCCTGCTCCACGAGCAGGCTCTCTCGGGCCATGTTCAAACTGTACAACAGCATCATGGCGACGCTCAGGATGGCCGCGACCGGGTTAATGACTCCCTTTCCTGCGATGTCCGGCGCAGAGCCGTGGATCGGTTCGTAGATGCCGTTGCACAGCCCTTTCCCGTCCGGAATGCCGCTGAGACTGGCGCTGGGGAGCAGACCTAGACTGCCCGGGATGACCGAGGCCTCGTCGGAGATGATGTCGCCGAACAAGTTGGACGTGACGATCACACCGTTCAGAGCCCGGGGGTTCTTCACCATGATCATGGCGGCGGAGTCGATTAGATGGTGTTCGAATTGGAGCTGGGGGAATTCCTTCTGCATGGTCTCGGTGACTACTCGGCGCCAGAGACGGGACGTCGCGAGCACGTTGGCCTTGTCGAGACTCCAGACCTTGGACGGCGGGTTCTTGGCCAGGGCGAGGTGGGCAGCTAGACGGGTGATGCGCTCGATCTCTTTCCTCGAGTACGGTTCGCGGTCCTCGGCCCATTCGTCCTCGCCGTCCTCGGGTTTGCCCTCGATGCGCTCGCCGAAGTAGATGCCGCCGGTCAGCTCGCGGACGATCATGAAGTCGGTGCCCTGGCAGACCTCTTCTTTGAGCGGGGACCGCGACGCGAGGCTGGGAGAGGCGAAGAAACAGGGTCGGAGGTTGCCAAAGGTGCCCATCTCCTTGCGCAGTTTGAGGAGACCTTGCTCTGGCCGCACCTTGCCCACGCCGTATTTGGGACCGCCGATGGCACCGAGGAGAACGGCGTGGGCGGATTTGGCAGCACTGAGGGCCTCGTCCGTCAACGGGGTGCCGTGGGCGTCAATCGAGCACTGGTGAAGGTGAAGACAACGGAGGTCAGTAACAGAGACGACTTCATGCAACGCAGGTCATTGAGATTTTGGACAGAGATTTGATCACTCACCCCTCCCAGCAGGTGGTCTTGGAAGTTGAACTTGACATCCTTCGAGCACTTCTCTACCACCTTGAGGATCTGTGCATACAGACACCCATCAGTCAGTGATTGCCGTCACCTCTCTTCGGACTCAACCGCAAACTTGAACTTGAGGATACTGAGAGCCTCACGGGCCTGTACAGACCTTTACAGCCTCCTTGGTCACCTAGAGTAATCCAACCGTCAGCGACGATGCCCTCCCACCTGTGGGCGCCAACACGACGTACCTCCGGACCTGCATAGTCCCCAGCAAAGACGACGATGTTGTAGGTAGGCATGTTGTCTGTTTAGAGTTCTCGACGCCGGCAAGGTGTAGGTGTGTAATGTGTGCTATAGGATCCAAGACGCTTTCCAAAATGCTTCAGCGAATACTTCTGAGTGTGCTAAGGCCATATGAAAGAACCAGGCTGGAAAAAGCGACGGTCAATGCCGATATCGGGAGCATCACGAGCACCACCCCGCGGTGTCACGTGTGCACCTTTATTTATTTGTCTGACATTTTCATTTTTCTCTGTACCCCTGTGAAAAAGTGTGCGCCATCGAGTTATAAGTTAGCTCAGAAGCCATCGTGCCATCCATCCATACACTCGATCTGTTCCAGCCTCGGTCCCTGAGATAATGTCGATGACGGACTTCATCAGATCGCCTACCATTGATCCCACTTCAGGCACCATGCATTCTGTCCCGGCGCTTACTGGTTGGCCGTCTCGAAAATCTACTGTCAGAGGTGGGATATTACGTCCAACAGACATGATCCTCGTCGGGGATCTTGATCCGGCGTCGTGCTCAGTTAGGCAGCATCTTTCTGCCCAGGCACATATCAATGCTCAAACCGCCACATGTCCAAGCTTGCATCGAGGTAGGCGTCTTCAGCGACAATGGCGTACTTTGTGTCCAACAGTTCGGACTCACTATTCGGTCCCGCGTATGAGGGCCCGTTCAGGCACTTTGACTTCACAGTCCTTTTCGAGGATACCATCCTTACCATTGTTCCCGCTACCCTCTTCCTCATTTCTGCGACTGCTAGAGCAGCATGGTTGACGAGCAAACCGAACAAGGTCACCACCTCCTTGAGCCGGTTGACCAAGCTTGTGAGACGCTTGTTCGCAGAGCTGGACCAGCAGACGAGCTCACGTTACCTAGGTTCTTCTATCTGCATTTGTCACGGTGCAATTGACGGTGCTTCTCGCCCGAGCAACAAACTCAGAAGCAGCAACGAAGGCGTCTGTCGCCGCGGCTGCCCTTGACTTTGCAGCCTCTTGCGTGCTCTTCGTTCTGTCTTGCTTCGAGCACTCTCGTTCGGTGACACCGTCCACCATCATCGGGCTTTATCTGGTCGTTTCGTGTCTTTTCGGTGCGGTACAGTTGCGGACGTTCTATCTGCTTCGTGGATATGCTGCTAAAAGCATTGCCAATCTATTGTCCCTGTCGTTGGCGATAAAGCTGGGAGTGCTGGTCACCGAAGCTGTCGAGAAGCGAAGTATCCTCCTGGAACCATATCGAGATCTCCCGCCGGAGGCCACTAGTGGTGTCTACAACAAATCAGTCTTCTGGTGGCTGAACCCGTTATTGAGGCAGGGGTTTGGCAAGACCCTGAAACTGGACGATCTCTATCACCTGGATGAGCAACTTGCCTCTACCAATGTCTCCGCCCGGTTCGGACGGGCGTGGGCAGATACCAAAGAACACCACCGGTTCACCCTCTTTTTCGTGTCGGCCAACGTCCTGAGATGGCCGCTTCTGGTCTCGGCTTGTCCTCGCCTTCTCCTCGCCGGGGTCAAATTTGCACAGCCGTTCCTGGTCCAGGAAACTATTCAATATGTCGGGAACCGTCACAACCAGACCGCGGCCGTCGGGTGGGGACTGGCAGGGGCATACTTCCTGGTCTATCTCGCGCAAGCTATTCTCACGGCCGCATCTCGTCATCTTCTGAATCGTTGCGTCACTGAAATACGAGGAGGGCTGATTTCCCTACTTTACCAAAAGACGCTTGATCTCAGTGTCGTCACGGTCGATCCGTCGGCGTCTTTGACTTTGATGTCATCTGATATACAGAGAATTGTTGATCCCCTCACGTTATTCCATATGACCTGGGGCAGCATGGTCGAATTATGCATCGCCATGTATTTGCTGTATCGAAACCTGGGCACTGCATGTTACGCCCCAGCGATTGTGTATGCACTCTCGGTGCTGGGCGCGGCCTGGGTGGTCAAAGTCATCGGTCAATATCAAAAGCGGTGGCTGACCGCAGTCCAGACTCGTGTCTCTTTCACTTCGGCCTTGCTCCATTCTATGAGGAATGTCAAACTCCTCGGCATGTCCTCAATTGTCAAGGATCGCACGCAGGGACTTCGACAGTGGGAGATTCACGAATGCAAGCGGTATCGTATTATCAACAATGTCCAGATATTCGTCCAAAACTCACACATTGTCTTTGCACCCTTTGCAACATTCCTTCTATACTACATCAAGTCTAGGAACACCGGAGAAGCCCTCGATATAGCGACCGCCTTCGGCATTTTGACTATATTCAGATTGGTTGAACTACCCATGAACAACCTGTTGTACAGCTGTCCTCAATTGGCGAGTTCCCTTTCATGCTTTGAACGGATTCAGAAATATCTCCTCTCGAACTCTCGCCACGATGACCGGCTCTCTCTGGCCCATCCCGATGATTCGGACGGTTCCTGGTCCGGGTTTGCGGTGGGTGCAGAGTCTGTCGAGATGCAACGTTTGAGACAAGCGAGAAGGAGCACTTCGGAGGCCTTGGTCTTGAAAAATTGCTCTTTCGGTTGGAGCGAACAGAGTGCTCCCGTCGTGCAGGATGTCGATCTGTCCGTGCGCGCTGGCTGGATTACCATGATCATCGGTCCCGTGGGCTGCGGAAAGTCCACTTTGCTCAAGGGCGTTCTGAGCGAAACCCCGGTGTCTCGTGGATTTGTTTATATTTCGAGTCAATCTGTCGCCTTTGCTGATCAGGAGCCCTGGATTCAAAATGGCACGGTTAGGGACACCATTCGCGGTCCGGACTCAAGAGATATTCCTTACGAAGGAGATGCCTGGTATCACGAAGTCATCGACTGCTGTGGACTGAGAGAAGATGTCTCCATGTTTGCAATGGGCGACAAAACCATGATCGGTTCCAAAGGAATTTCTCTGAGCGGCGGACAAAGACAACGACTTGCTCTTGCTAGAGCTGTCTATTCCAAGGCGCCCATCCTTGTGCTGGACGATGTCTTCTCTGGCCTCGACAACGATACGGAGGAGCTGATATTCAAGAAGCTTTTCAGTCGCTCCGGACCCCTAAGGCGGCACAATACAACGGTCATCTTGGTTACTCACGCTGTACATCGACTCCCATACGCAGATTGCATCGTGAGCCTCGACGCAAATGGCCGAGTTTGCGAACAGGGTAGCTATCTCGCTCTGGTAAATCAGGGTGGCTATGTCCACAGCCTCGACGTTCGATTCAGAGAAGAGCACGACGACCCCGCAAAGGAAGAAGAAATCAAGACATCGGCTGATGTCGAAACAGTATTCAAAGTATCCACAGGATCCCAGACAGTCGAAGAGGAGAATGAAATTGCTCAAGATCTGCTGCGAAGGACCGGCGAGTGGTCAACATACAAGCTCTGGTTTCGCTCTTGCGGATACATCTCGAGTCTGCTGTCCGTTGTGTGGGCGTTTCTCTTCGTCATTGCCAGTCAGGCACCCGGTGTATTGGTCAAAGTCTTCCCGGGCGACACTCCTTCTCAAGCGACCACATTCATCGTCATCTTCGGGATATCATGCATTATTGCCGCTGTCTCAATCGTGTTGCTGGTCATTCAGATCCTTCTTGATATGCAGCCCAAAAGCTCCAGCAACCTCCATCTTCGCCTGCTAGAAGCAGTCCTGAACGCGCCACTGTCCTTCTTCACCCGCACCGATATTGGAGCGGCCACGAGCAGATTCGGCCAGGACATGGCTCTTGTCGACTCCGACTTGCCATTTTCATACGCGGATTTCGTACTATCTCTTGTGTCCTGCGTTGCCGGACTGGGACTCATGGCCGCCTCCGGCGCGGGATACTTTGCTGCCACCATTCCCGTTGTCCTCGCCGCCCTCTATGGAATCCAAAAATACTATCTGCGAACCAGTCGCCAAATGCGTCTTTTAGATTTGGAGGAGAAGGCCCCGCTTTACACATTGTTCGGTGAGACCGTCGCCGGACTGGTAAGTGTGCGTGCCTTTGGATGGGCAGATAAATTCGCCCAGCGGAACTTGGAGCTCCTGGATCGAAGTCAGCGGCCGTTTTACCTCATGTACTGTATTCAACAATGGCTCGGGGTTGTCCTGGATCTATTGGTGACTGCTCTTGTAACGATCTTGATGGTGATTATCGTGGCGAAGCGGCAGTCCATCGAGCCGGGACTTGTCGGGTTGGGTCTATTGAGCACCGTCAACCTGAGCAGCAACTTGACAAACTTGGTGCGGACCTGGACTCAGTTAGAGACCAGTATTGGAGCCATCAGCCGTCTCCGAAATTTTGTCACGGAGGTAGAATCGGAGCACCAAGCGTGGGAAGTCGAGTCGGTGCCGAACCAGTGGCCCGAGCACGGGCAGGTGAGTTTCACCGGATTTGGAGCCAGCTACTCCCCAGACTCTATGCTGGTTCTGCGGGACATCGACCTGGACGTGCGACGTGGTGAGAAATTGGGTATTTGTGGTAGGTCCGGAAGTGGCAAGAGTTCCATGCTGGCCAGTCTGTTTCATCTTCTCGAATTTCGCAGTGGCCGGATTCAGATCGATGGGATCGACATCTCTCGTGTTCCACGCGAGACACTCCGTGGCAAGCTCAATGTGATCCCACAAGAGCCTTGGTGGGTGACCACCGAGTCCGTGCGGTTCAACATGGATCCATGGACGGCCGCGAATGGCGACTCCGACGATCCCTTGGGACGCGGCGAGCGCGACGCAATGTTCATATCCACGCTAACCAAGTGTCAAGTCTGGCACGTCATCCAAGAGAAGGGGGGTCTGGACGCCACAATGACGCCGGACTTCTTGAGCCACGGCCAACGGCAGCTTTTCTGCCTGGCCAGGGCGATGGTGCGTCAGAGCAAAGTCGTGGTGCTGGATGAAGTCAGTGCGAGCGTCGACGTGAAGACCGACCAGCTCATGCAACAGATCATCCGCGAGAGATTCCGCGACTGCACCGTCATTGCGGTGGCGCACCGGCTGAACACCATTGACGATTCGGATCGCGTCGCGGTCCTGAGTCAGGGGAGGGTGGTGGAGGTGGGTGAGCCGAGAGCATTGCTGAGGGCGGAGGAAAGTTGGTTCAAGGATCTATACGAATCATGAGATCGAGGTGTGCTGGCAGTAGGAGGAAGACGGGTCAGTCTCTAGCTGGGAGTCCTCATAAGATCAATCGGAAGGAAGCTAGATTCGGGATACGGGAACCATATGCAAGAAACGGGGGGGGATTGATATTCAGCTATTTCGTTACAATCACAGTGACTGTCGCCATGGCCCTGACCAGGACCGTGGTTGTAGCATTCCGAATACTCATCGAGGAACTCCGTATATGCAGTAGTATCACCTTCGATATTCGCCATGATAAAGCAAGCAATAGACCGAGACCGAACCGAAAGGATGTGTGCAGTGAGAGAGATCCTAGACCTGGACCTAATTCGTGGAACGAGTGGGACAAGGAGAGGGAGGGGAATGGGGAGAACAGCCCACAAGCAGTATCTGCTGCCTACCTCCCTATGCCGCGCACAGAGTGATACAGGGGGTAATTAATTACTCTGTTGATTACCAATGCCTCTCCTGTCGATGTTGGTGTGTGCATGGACTGGACGCGGAGCGAGAGGAAGTCGCAGCGCTGATGGCAGAGCCGAGTCCAGGAGGCAAGGCGGGAAAGCCGCCGACTGCACGGGCAAGTATGAAAACATTTAAGCGAGGCATGGACCAGGATCAGGGAGGGGAAGGATTCTATGTATTAGTGCTATCGCGTTCGTGTCTCTCTGCCACTGGTGCAAAGGATCAAATGGAGCTATGAGATGGTGCAGAGGGTGCGTTCGCTTGGGCCTCCGGCAGCTGTGCAGTTGTGTATCCAACCAGGGTCCAAAGTCGTGGTGTTGTAGTATGCAACCACGCTGCCAACAGTCATAAAGACGTCTGTGGTGCTGGGTGTTCCGCTCCACCACTTGTTCCCGTCGGCCCACAGCTTGAGTTGTAGATTGCCGCCCTCTTTCGGGACGTTGTGAGTATTCTTGTGGACGAGCTTGCCGTCGACATAGTACGCGACCCCAAGGACCGGGTGGCTATCAAATCGATATTCGCGAAATACTCCGGGGTTGAATTCGGGATCGCTCAAGGATTTCGCCAGCGTCGCACCAGGGACCGGAGAGCCATCTGGTGCTTGAGAGGGGTGCGAAGTAAAGCTGACCGTGTTGTTCACCAGCGAAGTGCCTTTAGTAATAAGTTCAATGTCAATCTCTGATCGATCATCCTGTGTAGCAGGGTTTAGCGTCCCGTTCTCGGGTTCGTAAAGTCAGGCATAAGGATGCTCACACGATACCAGAAGAATCCCGCACAGGCGCCGCCATGGGAGCCTTCGACTTTAAACACCGCTCGATAGGTTCCATAGCGCATATCAATCTCTCGACTTTGGATACCAGCAATGCTGACGGTCGCGTAAGCATCTAAGTCTGCTTGGCTGAAACCACGCTGTCTCATGACGAGGTGCTTTCCCTTGATCTGGACGTTAGTCCAGTCATATTTGGCGTTCAAGCGGATGGTTGGATTGTCGGCGCGCTGCTAATAATCGTAGATCATCCAGTCTCGGTTGAACTTGGCAGCACCTCGACTGTTGAGAAGTGAGTCCATGTCGGGATATTGGGAGAAATTTTCATAGAGTCGGTGCGTGTAAACAGTGTCCTGCTCTTTCAGTAGCCACCCGCAGGGGCAGTCGACACTGAGAGATCGAGCGAGCTGGAGCAATGTAAGGCTGCAGATGAAAAACAGATGCATGTTTACGGGATGTCGGGCGGTACACGGCCTGTGCTGGTGTCTGGAAGTGTGAAAGAAAACATGTCGACGCTACCAGACGTGTCATTCAGACGCTCTGTGCGCTGTACTGTCGGGAGGCGCGACCTAGTCTCAGTCCACTGACTTCAACTTTTGGTCCGAGGAAGGCGTGCATCGTGGTGGCTCCCCGCGGCTAGTTCAATAGGGTCTGTATCTCGTATCCGAGACCTTCTTGGACTTCGTCGTTTTGGCGGGGGTGGGAGGTAGACTGCTGTCGTGTGGGCGGAACGCCATGATCCGTCCATCCTCGCCTGCCGTGAAAATGGTACCATTCTGAGCAAGATATTAACATGACACCACACAGAAATCGACAGTGTAACATGACTCACGGTCTCGTCTGCAAATATTGATCGAACAACCTCTGCCCCATGTGCATTTTCGAGGACGATTCGCTGGTCAAAATTGAGGCCCATCCCCCGGTTCACACGGATCAGGTCCACACGAGAATTACTGCCCAAGGAGTCAGGTTAGGAAAAGATGGCAGTTGTGGAGCGAGGTGATACGGACCTGTGCGAGCCACAAGCTACAACATAATCCATGCCGCTATGCAGGATGTCAATCACATATTCGCAGGGGATAATTGGTCTGAGGTCCCCCAACTGATCTGGTGCTGGCTGATCTGGCTCAACATCTGCGTCATCGACCGTGAGAGAATGCAAGGCGAGATTCTGGTCCGAACTCAAAGCGTATAGGTCTCTCGGTCCCAAGAAGCCTGCCTTGTGAATTGGACCATGATTGACGGCCTGAAGCAAACTGTCTTGTTCTTCTTGGATGCGGGTGTCGAACACGCAAACTACACCGTCATCACCTCCGCTAAGAAGCAGATTATCCCTGGAGGGGTGGAAACCCAACGCTGTGATCTCATCGTTGACCTCAGTGGTCTGCCATCTTAACTTCGCTTGTCTTCGATCCCTACCAGGTTGAGTCAGTGGCTGATGTACTTGGGTAAGAGGAGACTGTCGGATGTGACACAGGGCAGATGCAGACCTACCAGATGGATACTATCGCCTCGCTGCCAAGAGCCACGTCGTTCAGCCTGGAGGCGAGAGAATTGACCGGTATGGCTTGCAGCAAACATGGTCCGTCAGCTTAGGTACCATAAGAGAAGTATCCTGTCGATGGCCTACCTGACTTGAAGTGGGCAACGGCAGACTGAGTTCGAATGTCAAAAACTGCCACAGCTCCATCGTTTCCAGCACAAATGATAGTCGATCCCTGGTCCTCAACCACCAACGAAGAGAGTCCACGGGGCACGCCTTGAATCCCCACGGGGATGGAACCAGCCAGGTCGTCTCGATTGAGAAGGAGGAGTTCATCTGCAGAGGTGATAGCGGCAAGTCCACGGCCCGTGACGGGGGCTATTGCAAAAATGTAAACGTCCTCATGCTTGGACGGCGCACAGCTGGCCAGCTCTCGACAGGTTTGGAGCATGTCGAGCCGGAGAAGGATGCGCACTAGGTCAGGCTAGTCGGGGATCAAGCAGCAAAAGGGGCCCTTCCACCCTTCACACAAATGCTGGGAACGACTGGCGGTGTGCAGGACGGGGGGGTTTTGGGAAGGGAAGAAGAGCAAAGAACATTGAGTTCAAGGATGTCGGTAGTGGTGGTCGGCGACGAATCATGGGGAACGAGCAATAGTAGGTGATAGTGGTGGCGGCTTGATTTTCCCACAGTGATCAGCGCAGTTACGGTTCGGAGATGTACGGAGGGGTAGAGGCATGGAATGGCATGGCATGGCGCAGGCGCGAGAAATAGGCCTGGTGGCCACTACTAGGCTAACCACCGGCCCCCTCGTCATGCCCCTCTCCCACTGCGACCCTCCTGTATGAAGGAGTGGTTGGAAGCCCCTCTCTTCAGTCAAGATCGTCGATTGAAGTCACACAGAGGGCGTTGGCAGACCATGCAGCGGACAGAAAGGAGTTGCAAAAGTCACAGACAGTCAGTCAGCCAGCCTCAGCAGCTGCATAACATGGCTGTGTATCCTTTCGCGAGTCAGTGGGTGGGCACGTTTCATGCAAGGCAAAAAGCATTTCCTCGCAGATCTGCTCGCAAGTAACTAAGCGAGCAAACAATGTTGGGGCGACCCTAGAGGCTACCTAACCGCTAGAGAGGCCGAGGATGAAGTGACTTAATAGGGCACCGGGGCCACTCTCCGGAGCACTCTGTGTTGGGAGGCACTGGGAGGGCATTCTTTCGGTCATCGGCCATGGGCACGGGACCTTCCTACCACCAGGGGTGCCAGCTATAGCAGTGCCTATTCGCTACCCGGTTAGTTAAAGGCGCTTCGGCTCGCTCTGGAATCAAGCATCCCCCTCCCCATGCCCATGCCAGGCCCCGGCGGTGCCGGCATTGAACCACTACTGGGTCCCAAGAGTCTGGAATGCCCCAGTCAGTAACTCCCTCAGTAGTAGTTGGGTCCTTAATGGCCCACCCTGACGGGCATTTGGCATTTGATGTGGCACCGAGCTGTACATATGCAAACAATCACTGCTGCGGGGGTTAATAGTCGTTGACATGTCACAGGATGGAAACATTTTCTGCACGAACATGGGTCGCTTTCTGCTATCCTTGGCCTCTTGAATAGATCTCTTCTTTGGGCGACTTGCACCTCAATGCCCTGGCCTGGGGCTGGCACGCTGGCTAGCGCGCGCAACGACCCGCAGCCCAACTTTGTTGTTGGCTGACTCTGGGAAACTCTTTCACCACACCCTCCCTAGCTCCCTCATCCCAGTTTCGGAGCCTTCAGCCGTCTCTTCCATGAAGAATCTGCACGCGGGCTGGGATTTCCCTCCCCAGCTGTCCCAATCTGTCTGACTGTCGTGCATCAATCACTCCACTACTCTGTTGTCCGCTGTTCGAGCTTCTCCACCCTAATGCCGACGTCGACCCTTCTTTGTGGGTGGCTCGTAGCCCTTCATCTGACGAAACCGATTCGGCCCTCGTTCGTGTGAACTGGTGGGATTTTGCCATGTCGCCCCTCCCTCTCTTTCCCACCCCTCCTGGGTGCATTGTAGAGGCTCTGACCCGCAGCTTCGTCAAACCCGACCTCCAAGGTCGAATGCTCAGTGGCTAGTCTAGGACGCAAGAGGAGAGTCCACACGCTTCGCATCTGGCTCCTACGGGCGGGAGGCTGCGCTGATCGCCTAACCAGAAGCCATCGACGGAAAACGGAACATAAGAAAGACTGCCCGAAGACTTCTTCGCTCCATTTATCTATCCGTCAGTCATTTCGCTGCAAGGCACTGCTTTCTGTACCCCAGACATTCCAGACGCACATTGGCCGCAGACAGCAAAAACACAATCCTTGATGTATGGTGCCACGATCCCTCTTTTCCGGGTTGGTTGATTCGAGGTCGGTCGCTTTTCTGGGGCGCGGTGGTGTAACTCTTCCCTCTCCCGCATCCCAGGCGGGCCATCTTCAGACCCGGGTCCCTCAGTGTCACGAACTTTATAAAGTCAAAGCGGTGGGTGGCCGTTTTCGGGTCCGGGCCGGCCGCCTTCGTCGAGGTATATTGTGGTAAAGGATGAATGAAGGTCAATCGCAAGCATCCAAATTCTTCGTCCCTCCAAACTTCGAAGTCCACTTACGCCCCTCCGCAACGCCATCGATGCCTCCGGAACTTCCTCCTTGGAGGACCAGAGTGCAACGATATGGCCGAGAATATGGTGCCTATAGACTGTAAGCACTTCAAAATCTTCCCTCGTATAAATGGCTAACTCAAGTTTAACCTCAGTGGCCAATACTTGTTTCCCCACGACGAGGCGGAGAAGAGAAGGATGGATATGGTGCACACAATGCTCAAGGTCCTCAGACCCAAGCCTCGACGGATCACCGAAGTCCCGCACGAAATTCTCCAGATGCAGACAGACGGGTGGGATGATCGACCTCGCCGGCCCCGTGTCCTCGACTTGGGTTGCGGCACCGGCGTCTGGATCATAGACATGTCGCACGTCTTCAAGGACGCCGAGTTCAGAGGCGTCGACATACAATTCCAAGGCCCTCCGAACCCCAGTGACTCAGTCGACTACACCGTCCCCTGGGATTACGAGGGACCATGGGCTCTGGGAGAAGCGTCATGGGACCTGATCCACCTTCAGATGGGCTTGGGCAGTGTCTCAAACTGGGAGGCACTCTTTCAGAAGATTTTCGCCCATCTTGTGCCCGGCGGTTACTTTGAATGGGTCGAGTTTGACTTTGAGCCTCGCTGTGACGACGGCACGCTGCAGCATGGAAAGCTGACAGAGTGGTGGGAACTCTACATCAAGGCCACGTACGAGGCAGCCGGTCGTCGTCTTCACTGGGATCCGACGGTAGTCGAGACGCTGAAGCGTGTGGGGTTCAGGGATATCCAACACGTTGTGTTCCAGATCCCGTTGAATACATGGGGCAAGAACGAGGACTACATGCACCGCATGTCAGAGTGGTGGCAGCTCATGATGGGAGCAGATTGGAACGGCGGTGGTGCCTACGGGCTCGAAGCCATCAGTCTTGCGCCTCTATGCAAGTTCTCCAATTGGCCTCCCGATCACGTCAAACGCCTTTGCAACGAGGCGCTGGCCCAGGCTGCTGATACCAATGTCCACGTCTACAACCAAATTCATATCATCACAGCCAGAGCACCTCACCGTAACGAACAATAACCCGCAGCCGCTACGCTCTGGAAGGATCTCCGAGCTTTTCTTCTCCTGTGCGTGACGTGTCTGACTTTTGGACAAACAGTACCAGCAAGAATCGTTAGCATGCCTGGAGCATTTGAGGGAGCATCAAGAGGATCATGCGGTGGGGAACACATGCCATATATTTCTACAACTTACGCACCGTTTGGTTTACCCCTGTCATCTACAGAGCGCACATAATCCTGGCAACAATTTTCCCAGCTGGATACCTTTGATCTATAGCGTGCCAAACAATAATAATATGATCTCTGGACTATGAAACTGTGTGAACGCGCGCCTATCTTCTCTACTCCTGCCATCTTCATCAGGTCCTCCGTTTCATCGAGAAGAAGGTGTGATTCGTATGATGGGGGCCGTTGCAAGCGGCGGGAAGGACAAGGACGCACACCAGCCAACCTCCAGCGAGGGAGACTGCTACACGATCTGGCGCGAAGGATCTTCGCAGAGGATCCGATCTTCTCTCGAAAGGCCATGGCTAAATCTACCAATTGCAAACTATAACAACCACAAGTAAGATTCTTCTCATCACCTCAATCTCTCACCCAGTCATTTATTTCATTGAGGCGATCGGTGCTGTTTTCTGTGAGACTGGGACGCATGAGGTCAGTTAGGCATTCTATGCTGGTACACGGAACCGACATATCACTGACAGCTGGATAATAAGACACGTTATGGTGGAGGACAAGTAGAGAGAGATAGAGAGCACTTTACGAGGTAGAGTTGAGTCAATCAGGACGTGGAACGGGATGGCTGATCCTTTCGACATCACGTCAATTCCAACTTTTGGAGGCAGTTTTACATTTGCCTGCAAGGATCTAGGGGGTTTACGCGCTTCGTTCTGTGTACAACCCACCGGCAAGCCTGAGGAGCAATAGCAGCAGCATCAGCAGCAGTCGTAGCAACAATATCCTCCGCTTGGTAACGAGGTGGTTGAAGAAAGCTTGCGCACACACTCTCTGCTAGTGGAGAACCAGGAGCAGAGGCACATCTCTGCGATTGACTGATGGATTTGGATTGGACTTGATTGATTGATCAATATTCTTTTTCTTCCCCCCATGGCGTTGGGTCGTAAGCCCAGGCAATGCAGTAAACGAAACCACGCCCTCGCTCTACTTGTTGTCGTCATTGCTGTTCGAGTGGTCACTGTCTCATGCTGGCTGTAGCTCGAGCAATCTAATTCTCCCCTTCTCTCTCTCCTTTGCAGTTTCTTTCATGTCAGGGATCTTTTTCAATGACCACAAATCCACCCCGACGACAACCCCACCACCCTCATGTGTTTCTCTCCCGCACCGCGAATCTAGACGCGTGAACACCCTCCGTTTCGCAAGAAAACCCGTCACGGTCATGGCCCGCTCGATTGAGAGAACCCAACAGTCGTCATCCTTTAAGCAAATGTGGAAGGTCTCTTGGAGGTGAAGAGCTTCTTGGTTCGGTTGCTGCGGTGGGGGAGCGGGAATTTGAGGTTGCGGGTGATCAGCTGCTTGATGTATGGTCGCTTGACATCGTTGGGGTTTTGGATTTCGACGACTTTGAGGATCTGCGGCGTGCATGGTTAGCAATCAAGTCTTTTTTCCCCCATGCACTTCGAGATCAAAGGAGAAATGCCAAGGTCTCGGGGAGATTTTTTTTGGACTATTCTAATCTCTCAAGAGCAACAGAATCAACGACCAGGGATTAAGGAGAAAAAACGTACATGGATGCTCCTGAATCGGGCACGATGTCTGGCAGCCATGTCCTGGTACAGGGCCTCGACGGCGTCGGTGCGGCTCATCTCGCGGTACTCCTTGTACATGTTGTGGGTGCCAGATCGCGAGTCGTATCGGATCCAGATGCCGAAGTTCTTGACCTTCAGGGGCCGCTTCTCGTGGATGACGTTGAGGGAGACGACTTCGCCAGTGGATTTCTTGAGCTTGCGCAGCTTGGACAAAAAGTACCAGAAGCGCGATTTGGCTACCACGGTGTTGGGTGCGAAAATGCGCATGCGGTACAGCTTCGGCGTCGGGTTCGTGTCGGTGGGCAATGACCGCCCGATGACCTGGTATTCCTGAAGACGACCTGTTGGGCGGACAAGTCAGTTTCTGCTCTACTCTTCAACAGCCGGGTGCCTTGAGCATGAGTGCTGAGTGCAGTTGAAATTCAAATCCCAGGATGGATGATGATTTCCTTCTCTTTCGATTTTCTGCATCTGAAACTCCATGCATGCTGTTCCGTTCATGGATACGTCTCTTCACAGGCTTTCATATCGTGGTTCTGTAAATTCCTTTGCAGAGACTTCCAATTGAAAATTCCTCGTGGACGCTCTTCGACTCGGCAAAAGTGGCTCGCAGGGGAAGGGATTGTGTTGCAGAGACTTACCCATCTGCGCTGAGTTAGCAGTGAAATCTCCAGAGACGGATTCTAACATACCTTGACTGTAGTTGATCGACGTCAAAACGTGGCTCGTCGTCGGTGTGCTTTGATCGCTGAGAGATTCCAGCAGCGAGGCTTCGGATTTCAAGTTTCGAACTAGGGTTTCGTGTGCCAAGAGTTGCGCATTTCCTTGGCATTTATTCCCAGCTGGCCCGTCATTGGTCGGTCGGACTTTCTTCGTTATTTGGGGGGAACCTTCCAACAAACTTCCCCCTCAATACAAATCGTTCGCCCTTTGCCTTTCAATTCACCACAATATTATGGTCTAATGGGGAGCGTCTTTGCGGATTTCCACGAAGCCCAGCGGGTAGGCTATGGCCCACTCCTGGCCTCGTGTCTGGCTCCAGTCGACACACCGCGTGACCCTCATCGTCTCGACTCATTCGCCCAGATATCAAACTATCATACGGTCTCAGCGGATGTACGCTACCAAATCATTCAAGCCCGCACTGCGGCCAAACTGCCCAAAGCTGAAGCTAACGCTTGGGTTGATATCTTTGTTGCCCTGTGGAAATGCGTGAGGGAACTCGTCGCGCTACGGCAAGGCACGGGCACCGGTGACTGGTCCAAGGCATTTGATGCGTACAAGGAGTTGTGCAATCATTTGGTGAGAGGATACACCAATTTTGGATTTCAAGCCTGGACGGTTCCGTGTCTCAGTGTTGCCGGAAAGTATCTCCGCATGATAGGAATGAGAGCAGACAGTGAGACTAAAGCCAAAGAGGGAAATGGAGACGTCTTTGCGAGTGGCTTCTCAGACGACATCATGGGCGACACAAACAAGAACGAGAAACTAGAGCAGGCCGCCTGGACCATCAATCGAATGTTCACGATATGCTTGAGTGACCGAGCCGAGGAGAGTGAATCACGTCGATGGGGCATCTACAGCACCACCAACTTGCTTTTCAAGACGTACTTCAAACTCAACTCGGTCTCGCTTACCAAAAATGTCATTCGTGCTCTAGAAGCTGCAGCAGATGACATCCCGAACCTGGCGCGATTTCCGAAATCTCACCAATGCACTTTCAAGTACTACCGCGGAGTTATTGAGTTCCTGCAAGAGAACTACGTTGACGCGGAACAGAACTTGATGGAGGCACTTCAACTGTGTCACAAGGACTCCATGAAGAACCAAGAGCAGATCCTGACTTATCTCGTCCCGGCACACATCGTCAACCACCATCAACTGCCTACAAACGCCCTGCTGGCTCCTTATCCAACTCTGGTAAAGATCTTCACCCCATTATTCGCTGCCATTCGCGCCGGCTCGCTCGCCGCCTTCGATAACGCTCTTTCTGAAGCTGAATCCGAACTAGTCAGACGCCGTGTCTATCTCACTCTTGAGCGCACCCGCGGTCTCTGCTTGCGCAACCTGTTCCGAAAAGTCTGCCTGGCAGCTGGATGGGAGGAAACCAAGGATGCAACGACTGGCGAAGTCACGGGCAAAATCCGTCGAACCAGAATTCGCATCGAAGAATTCGAGGCTGGCATGCGTGTGAGTTATAAGGGTGCCACGGATGTGTTGGTCGATAGGGACGAGGTTGAGTGTTTCTTGGCCAATATGATTTACAAGGTGCGTTGCGTTGTCTATTTTGTGTTCGTTTGTCAACATCTTTTTGCCTCAATCTTTTTCTCGACGAGCAGGGTTGTTCCTTGCAAAACACGGCTCTAAGCCGTTGTTGCCTTGGTGATTGCCAGATGACTGGTGCGACATGATGCGTGTGGACTCAACTCCCAAAAGTTCTCCTCCAATCTATGACCTAGAAAAGCAAATGCTGACTGAAATGTCTGGTTCTTTGCCCGCTACAGAACATGATGAAAGGCTATATTGCTCGCGATCGAGGCATCGTTGTACTCAGTAAGGCTGGCGCCTTTCCTGGTACCGGTGTTTGAACCCGAAGAACACATGGCAGTGCAACATTGACTCGCGGGCTGAAGTCGACGCTCGTATGTTTGACTGACAATTCACACGACCACTTCCTTTCCGCCCTGATGCTATTGGATGGCTGGATCATGTCGATGTAACACCACTGTCAACTACCGTGCCGACTTCAACGTACGCAGTACATTTATAGCAAACAATCTCATTTCAAAGACTCCCGTCTCGATCGAAACACGGCAAGCATGTAGCCGGAAATGCAGGCAGAGGGCCACATACCCACACACAATTTAGTTCGCAGCCTCTTGGCCAAGGTGAACGCCGATTGGGTCATCCGATGTCAAGAATGAGTGGTGCTCGATGTTCCTCAGGTATCAAGCCATCTCTTCGGCAAGGGAAATCGAATGCAGCCCGACAGGTAGAGATGCTCGCGCTAGCTGCTTTCGGTCTCAACAGCTGGTGGAACTGGCTCAAGTAGAAGTGTGCTCGGTTGACAGTTGCTGAGCACTATGTTTGAGTACCCACACCTCCATCTTCTCGGGGAAGCACTACGGCTCACAGTGGGTTCGAAAGAGACGGACCCTAGGAACGAGAAGAGGCAACGGGTTGATCGGCACATGGAAGCATGTCACGTCACGCAGATGGGAAGGTCTCATCACGGAGGCTGAAGGTGGGAAGTGAGCGAGAGGAGATGTGGATGTGATCAGGCAAAGTGTCGACCGAAGACATGTGCTGGAGCGCCATATACGTTTCGACCCACCTTTTGCTTCTCAAAGCAAGGTCCAAATGCCCCATTATCACCGCACACAAACACAACGCAAGCCCGAGTATGGATACAAAGAATCCCTGCAGGCCAGTCCTACTATGAGCCTTCAGGGTCCACGCTCCGAGGAACTCAAGTCCCCCTTGACCCCCTTGCCTACCTCTCGTTGCCTGGAGCTAAGCACCCGCGGCTTGCATTAGCGAAGGACCTGGGCCTAGGAAACTGGAGGGGTGGCTCTTTTGCCGGGACCAGGACTCAGAACAGCTCAGCCGGTTGGTTTTTTTTTGCTATCAAGTGTCCAATAGTATCTGCGGGAGGCACTGCTACGGGGCACGAAAGCAACGCAACCTGACTGACTGAAAAAGAAGGCAAAAGGGGGGGTGTTGAGGCGGATCGCTGTGCCCGGCATTTTTATACTGCTTTGAGCACAATGAGGTTAAGACGTGCTCGATGATGCGGGCTCCAATTCACAGTCAGGATTCGGGGTCTCTACAGGCTGGTGAAAACCATCATTTTCATTGCGTTAATTTCTCCCTAGACGAAGCATTCCCTCATATGCGTCCCAGGCAAGGGTTGAGTTCTTAAAAGATGACAGCAGATAAAAAGACTGAGCAATTTCTCCACCACTCTCGACGTTGTTGTCTCCGGTCTTCTTTTTCTCTTATAGATAGACCCCGAAATGGTAGTACAGTCTTACATTTCCGCCCTTCTGGAAATGATATCGACCTCGTCCCTTTTCCGATGTAGGACAGGACAGTCAATCAGTGTTGGTTTTTTGGGGGTTGGATAATGATACAAAGAGTAGCAGAAGCAGGCAGCCGACAGGGGACAATATCCAATAAAACTCCGAGACGCTGGGATAATCCACAGCAAACTGGTACAATGGTGTGGTGGGATCAGATATCTCCCACGTAGCTGGCAATTTAGGTGGAGAGGGCATGATACAAACGGTGAGCACATCACCAGTCACTCTCTAGCGAGTGAACGGCGACGCAAAGGGTGAGCGAACTGTCTTGAGGTCGTCCTACGTCGTCAGGTTAGTCCATGCGCGTTATGCAGCTAAGAAGGGCCGACAAACCATATGGTTGCACATAGCAACGAAAAGATCGAAGAACAGGGTGCCGCCTTGCTCCATTTCGACCTTCATGGTGCCGCTTTTCTTGAAGTTGTTGCGGCTGCGGATGATCAAGGTGAGGTATTGGGCACGAAGCTTTGAGTCAGAGTCGGGCGTGTGGCTGTAAGCGAAGCGTGCCGAGGCGAGGATTGTTGAAATCTGCATGCCCTGTCGCAGACCTTGTTTGCGAAGGGCAAGGCGTTTGAGTTCTTCGAGGCCATACAGTTCGGCTGAACAACTGCGGGGAGGAGTCATTAGTATCGCCGGACAAGCAGAACGCTGGTGGGCAAGACGTACTAGATGACTGTATCCCTCATCAGGTTCTGTTTGGCTGCGTGATGATATATGGTCACATTGGACCCATTTGCCTCATCTTCCAATTCCCAAGTATCTTTTTTCTTGTTATGCAACAGCTTCGGATAGTAGTCTCCCTTGTAGAGGTATTCCAGAACAGCAGACAGGATCTCTGGTTGTTCATCAGGCAAGTTGATCCTTCTGGCGTTGGACTCAAAGAACTGGCCCTTGCAGGCAGCCTCGAAGAAAGGGGAGCGCGAGAGGACTTCTTCGTGGCCGGCGAAGAGCCTCTGCTCGGGACCGACGCAGATGGTGATGATGGCCGAAGTGAGGGTACTGTTGCAGGATGCCAGTCAGTAGAGCCCGACAGGGGGAGGATATCTGTCACTTACCTGCCAACTGGAGGGCTTGTATGATGGGTGCTGGGTTCCCTTCTCTGAGACCTCATCGACTCGGAGCGCTGGAGGCCCCGGGTGACGGATTGCTCTCGGAACGAAGACTTTGGCTTTGTGGATTTGCCTGTTCCATATCGAGAGGAGAAGCTGTTTGATGGTTGTGGTCTCCTACTGCTGAACATTGTTGTCTGATGCAGTTGCGCAACGAGCCTCCTGCAGTTTGTATGATGGAGTTATGTGTAAAACGACAGTCAGGAGCAGCAGGTGTGGTCAAATTGAGAACGGCAAGAAAGCGATGGAAGACAACATGGACGCATGAAAATACAGTGGGCAAAGGAACGAGGACAAAACTTCCTGTGGTTGATGGAATGAGGCAGGGTAAGGAAGAAAGGTTGAGGAGAACATTCTGACAGCAGGAGAAAGAGCTGATTTTGATGGCCGGACATGGCGGCCAGGTTGCTCCCCCTTCCAAGGGCAGGCTGCTGGGAAGCTTATCAATGCTACGAGTTTCCCAGGCCGCATCCAGCCTAGATGAAGTTGTCGGAAGCCTGACACGTTCCCGCGTTCCAGGTGGAGCCCACTTTACACGAACGGAGAGCGTAGGCATGTGACTGGTATGCAAGCTCTTTAGGGCCTCGTGGGTCCCCTGGGCGCCCCGAACATGGGGTGTGACTGGCCTAGTGACTGGCTCGATGTGACTCGAACTCGGCTGGCAGCTTTCGCCCCACGGTGTCCCATGCCTGGTCTGAGTTCCAAGGATACCCGGGGGACCATGGTCTAGTTCTGTAGCAAACTGCATGTTGCTAGTGAGGCACGGAGGGTCGCCTTCTCGCCACCCGAACCTTTGTCCCCGGACCAAAGAGTGACCAGTCAAATCCCTCAGAATCGGCCGATCAACTGGGTACAGTCATAATGGGAAGCGCTTTTCAGCCGGTGTCACCGAATCACAGATCGTCACAGGAAAGCAAAAGAGAAAAGACCGGATTCGAAGGCTACAAGGAGAGAGCAAAACGGAGTTCCACCGGGGATACTAGCATATTGAGAAAAAAAGATGGTGTACTCGTACAGACGGACCATGTCCATCAGCGGAGTGAGGCAAAAAACATGAAACATCTAGGCGTCGTCCCTGATATGCAGCTCAGTAGCCCAAAACAGAAAAGAACAAAGTCTTCGGCCCTGCATCGTCCACGGTGCCACTGGTGCTTTGATTGCCATTTGTTGATCACTTGTAAGTGTCCTGCATTAGTGCCCTCGAGGCCTGACCTCATCCGTGTTCCCAGATCACACAAGTAGAAGCAAAGAGAGCAGAGTTGGATCTGATTAATCTATCAAGGTGACATCACTAACATGTTGTAAATGCAGCTGTAAGACGACCACCTGGATATCATGGAACAAAAGTCCCTTCGGCCATATTCAGGAAGAGAGCTTTACGACCATCTCCATGTGTCCTAACCCCTTGGCCTGCTCATCAAAGTTTCCTCACCTATGCACAATGTCCCAATGCACGGCTCTGGGTCGTGCAGTTCATGATCCTTTGCTGATGCAGATGTGAGTATAAGTGAAGCTCCCGTCGCAGAGCACAAAAGTGAACCATTGCAGTTTGTTCCCACTGAAACATCACTCACAAAATAACTATCTTTGCGTCTTTTGGATGGCTCTCGACTGGACAATAGGGACATTTGAACTTGGCGCCTTTGCTGAGCTTCTGCAACGATTCTTGTGCAATGACATGACAACACGGCAGCATCATCGGTGGATTCTGATCCGTGGTCTGCTCCTTCGATACAGGACACACGAAGATCGAATGAAATTGATAGGACGGAGGGAGAGGTGTCTCCACAGGAAGTTCGTTTTGTGATGTCCATTCTGTCCTTTTCTGTTTCTGAATCGTCTGCAATTTGAGAAGTATAGGTAGGGCGATTGCTCCCGCAGTAGCTGCTATGTACAACGGTGAATCTGCGGATAGCTCGAGGAGTGAGCAGAATTCTCGAGTGAAAGAGGTCGCAACTTCCTCCCACGTGGTAGTATTATTGAATCTGAGACTGTAGGGTGATTCTTCCAAATTCGAGCAAAAAGGTATGGCGCCCATCAGCTGCTGTATCTCGACGAGATACCGACCACGGAAAGATTGGAATTCTCTTTGCGCGTATTGAAGAGCACGTATCGGTGCTTCGAAATCGCCTTGGTCCCCGTCTCGACGGTCAAGGAACAGGTTGACAAATTGTAATCTGCAGAGTTCAAACTCCAGATTACTACCACGAGCTTCCAGCGCTACGGCATTGCTCCTAGCCCAGTCGATAGCAGGCTGTAAGTTGTGGTGGTCCTTGAGTTCGCTCAAAATGTGGTACATGTTCGAAAACTTTTCGTGCATGTTCTCTTCCGTCTTGTCCAGCCCGAGGGGGTGATCCATTGACACGTCCAACCTCAAATGGGCTGCTGTCTCCTGTTGGGCCTGCTGTCTCTCAAGCGCCTCAGAATGAAGGGTCGACGCCACATCGAATAGCCCTTCTCGAAGCAAATGCAAGTAGATTGCTCGGTTGATCAACGCAGGATGTGAGGACAGGGCGTCAATCTCGCTGCTCGGCACTTTGTCCTTGAAAACCTTGTCCAATGCTCTTGTATATTTGTTGTGCAGTCCATGTGTGTCCTTCAACCCTGAGAAGATGCCGTCGAATGACGTCTTGACTGGGTTCTGTAGTTTTGCCAGAGTAATCTGTCTTGATGTGGGATCTTCGGCGATGGCGTTCCTTGCCCTTTGAAGGGTTTTAATGATGTCGTCCACATGACTAGTCGTCCTCGACAACCTGCTGTTGTTCCACACCTTTTCGTGTTCTTTCTGAATATTGTCCATGGCGGGCCACCGTCATTGGTTGTGTCTGCGTCTGTGGGCTATAACCTGTGCGTGACTTGCATCATCGTCGCCAGTTCGTCCTCGGAGTAGTGTTGGGAGCTTGCTAACAGAAGATCTCGGTCGGTGGGGGATATAAGTGGTGACCGCAGTTCGAAACAGTGCTGTGTTTGAGGAGATGCAGGTGACGGTGCCATATGAACAGGCTTCGACACGAAGTGGGCAGGTTCCCGTGAGATGGACGGAGTAATAGCTGGCTGATAAGCGGGTGTGGCGGGCAAAGCGGGTTGCGCTTGGAGTGGCAACGTCAGCTGCCAACCAACCAGCGCGTTGAAACTATGACCTTGCTCTGAAGGGCACCAGCACAACCACCCTAACTCACCGTTTATTTGCAGAATCATGACACTCACGCGAGATGAAAGACCCTAAAGATCGTATGTTTGGCTAGTGTTACCAGCACCGTGCCTTACACAGTGCACACCGCAGACTATAATGTCATTCGTGGGATCGGGGTTCTTGACCCCATACCATCATCCCACTTCCTTCACCGGGTCGCCCAAGGACAAGTCTGCTAGACCGAGTCCAAAAGACGAATACAAGACCCAAAAGCCAAATGCCGTCGACACCTCCAGTCCGGCCTCCAGCGGTGCCGCCCAGGGGCGAGCAGCCCAGAATCGAAAGCGCCTCGTTTTCGCCGATCCCGTCGCTTTTCGCTACCTGGAAGAAGATCCGGCGACTGATGCTATAGAACGATGGCGACGTCTCGAGGGGTATGAGATGTACGTGGTTGAGCAATGGGCCTGTTCGAGAAGCCATCCCACTTTCATCATTTGCACCTACACAGGCGACCCATCACACACAATATTAGTGAACGTCCTTGCTGTGCCCAGTGACGAGAGCACCTGGTCTCAGAGGTTGCAGGTCTATTTCCAAGCAGTCTCTCAATATCACGCGAAAGAAAAAGACACGCCCCTGGGCGCACTCATGGTCACCAACCTCAGTGGGTTTCCATCAGCCCTTACTGTGATCCCTGTTCCAGATGGCGATGTCAGGAAGCATCGCGACGATTTCATTGTCAACGAGGACCTCAAGCGCATGGGGTGCTCAGGGAGAGCGGGGATCAACTTGCAGCCGCCTCAATCCAGTACCGTCGCCAAATTCCACCACCTCTACCGGACGAGTGAGGCGGTGCCATTATATCAATCTGTCATGGAACTTGTAAGGACATGCCAGATCGCCTTGGTCATGTACGACAAGCTCCAGCCAACATATGCCGATGGCTTGCTTTGCGATGTAACTGAGCGAGCCATCAACGACTGGTGGACAGATATAGGGACCTATTTCTACAATGTCGAACCCAGCGACGGCATTCTTGGACCGACCACGGTGGCAGCTCTTCTTGGGCTTCTTATTGGAGCCTACAATCGTCTCAAAGCCTTCGGATCTCCGGTTGGAAAGGACGTCCTGGATACCGTGTCAATGAAAAGGGCCATCGGCCATTTCCAGAAAGGCCAAAAAATGGAAAAGACCCGGCGACTCGACCGAGAGACTCTCGACCGTCTTCACAGGGCTACAGCCAAGAATGCCAGCGGTGAAGGCTGGACGGTACCAAAGGCAGTCAAGTCCACCGTTGCTGAGCTTAGTGGCAAAGGAGGGGAGATGGTCATGGGCATAGTGGGAGGCCGTGACAAGGCAGGCATTTCGGAAGCTGAAACCATGGACATTGAACGTTTTGCTCAGCTGGTTACTGGCCCTAAGATGAAGTGGCTCTGGCAAGGAAAGCCCATCAAGTCGGGTGACCCGTTCGCCTGGCCGACTGGTGATCTTGATCTCAAAGGCAGAGTGTTCAGCACCGACGACCAGGGCAATTTCCTCTGGACAGGCAATCAGCATGACTCCACTTCAGACGGAAATGTCCTTGAACGGACAGATACGATGTACACGAATCAGTCGGACTCCAAATCCGGCAAGCACCGTTTGCGAGGAGCTGTCGGGGGCCTGAGGAGCTCTAATCATCGTTATCAGAAAGATTTTGACGAGGGCCAGGATTGGGTCGAAACCGCTGTGACCAGGTCCAATCTTCGAGACCACACACTCAGGACGGCGACCGGGATTCCGCAGCCATCTGAACCTCGTGCTTTTGACTTGGCCTTGGTCAACACTGATCCAGTTTCGCCTCACGCCGTGCAGCGCCAGCCCCTCCGCCGAACCCAGACGACTACCGAGAAGAGAATACCATCACATCGGGAGCAATTGCGCCCCGCCTTACCAGGCGACTCGCCCAGGAAGAAGAAGGTCGATGCCGAGTTGGCCGACCTACGCAATGAGTTCAAAGCAGATATCTATCGCAACTTCTCCGCTGCTATGCCATATAAAGGTCTCACTAGTCGAGTCCTTCGACGGACCCAGAGCAGTGTCCAACTGATCGGCCATACCATCGACAGCCCCCGACAGAATCGGATTAACCGGCGTCTTTCCTTCAGCGTGGTAGAAAGCGCCGTTCTGGACACGGGCAAGAACGTTATGGAGGAAGGCATTGTGAAAGGCAAGATCGAGGGAGACCTGACCAATGCACTTGCTGAGCGCGACGCCCTGGTGGCCTCTCTCCAAAAGAAGGCCAAACGTATCCAGCGCATTGAGCAAGGTCTGATCCCATACACCGAAAGCCGAGTAGTCCACGTGGAGAGCCTGGATCGAATGGCTCATCAACATCTCGAAGAACTCAATGAACTGTACTATCATCGACTGGAGGAGTACCAGACTCTACAGGCTACCTCGTCCGATCTCGTGTCGCAGGAGAAAACGGCCTTGACAGAAAATTTCCGACGCATGGAAATGCTGGGCGCGAAGATGGACTATGAATTGGACAGCCTGCAGAGTCGACTGCAGGAGGTGGAGGATGGAGTGGACGACTTCGAGAGGAACGTGGTGCTGATCGAGGCGCGGGCTCGGGAGTTGAATGGTGAAAATGAAGGGACTCCGGCAAGTCCGTCATGGATGGCGCGAATGCTGAACTTTTTGGGAACGAACAAATGATGGAACAATATTGCTTGTTGATGGAGAAGGGATGCTATGCTTTCTGCCGATTAGCGAGGCGTTTGGGTATAAAAACTCGCCGAATCTGGGTCAAGTGGTAGTCTCAAATTGTAAAGAATCGAGACTTGATGCACTCTTTCCACTGTGCCATCTCTCCGGTCTTGGGCCAGACCACAAACCAAGCAGAACTGTTCTGTGCCAGTTCATCCCTAGAATCTGGCCGAAATAGTGTACACAAGTTTTCCAACCTTGCAACTCCACCATGGAATCTGGATCTAACATGTCCCTTCCATGATGGATGCGACGACAAGGATATAGATCCCCATCCAAAGCCTTGTTCCATATGCCCCTGGATTATGTTCATCGACACGGTGTCAGAGAATGATATCTTTTCCACGATTACATTCCGAACATGCCACCGCCTCCACCGCCGCCTCCTTGTCTCATGGCCGCCTCGCCCTGCATCTTTTCCGACACTTTCATGTTGACTTCGAAGAATTTTGCCACACAGCGATCGAGGCAGACACTCTCAGCCTTGTTGAGGTCGGCTTCGCGGTAGTCGGCTGGTATGCATTTCTTGAGGCAGGACTGGGTTAATCTGGAAGGGGTCAATGCACTATCCATCAAGGCGAGGTGACCGGGAATCCCCCCTCCAAGACGGGCGAAAGAGTAGATCATCCGTAACTGCCACAAAGCTGCGTGCGTACCTGTTGAACATGTCTGAGACCATCTCGACTTCGTTTTCTGCCGCAGCGATCTTTTCTGCGGACGACGGCTGGGGGCGGCCGCCACCAAAGAGAAAGGACATGGTGGTGAGTGGTGACTCGTCTGGGAAGACTTCTTCTCGTCAAGCAAAGAGCTAGGGTATGTTCTAGAGAAACGCGCCGTCGATAATGTCAATTGTTTATGAGACGTAGTCTGAAAGGTTGTCGCAGCTTGGAGACGAGACGCACACGACGAAGTTTCCCCGAAGCTTAAGCGAACTCACTTTAATTTTCCGCATGGATTCCTGCGACTTACAGCTACGGCCAGACTTTTTCTCCAGGCTTCAGGTCGGTCCCCTGTTCATGCAGCTTCATGTACGGAAGGTCGACGTGGCGAGCATGGCGTTCGACCCGTTGGCCGGCGCAAGGAAGGTATGTTGTCTGTTCCAGCCACTCTCCCTCCACCACTTTCCCACCTGCGTGACGAGACATCAAGAAGAACCGCTGCGAGTGATGCTGGCTTTGGCTAGTCTGTGATCAAACTTCTCCGACAAATGTCTGATTATGATCTAAATGGGAAATACCTGCTCTACAAGTTATCGTTCGAGACAGGTGAATGCTGACACTCTGCGTTCAGCGTCCCTGAAGCTCCCATTGGGAGTCCGCGCTCGACTCAATTCCTCTACCACGACTCTCGTTTACAGAAACTTCCATGCGCCCGGCGAGCATGTTTTGCGACGGGGGTTTCGAAGTCAAGCTCCCGCGACACGTTGAAAGCTGGGAGTGCACATGCGACTAAAGAGGTGCAAGAGCGCCTTGAAGAACTACAATGTTCCACAGTACCGCTCTACCCGCGCTATCAACGTACTCCTGAAGCACAGAGCATCCGATCACTGCAAGGGGAAGTGGACGTCGATGCCGATGCCGATAAGGATGGTAGTATGGTTTCTGGCGACTGGATAGAAGGCAAGACTTGACAATTGAGGCGACGAAAAGACGCAGAGAGTTCTGACGGAAACATCAGTGTCCGGGAGGGTTTCTTCCATCCGGCTGAGCGGCTCGAAGTTGGCATTCGTGGATATCGTCGAGGATCAGACGAAACTACAGGCTGTGCTGTCTCACTCGGCATCCGAAGGCACGGGGGTGACCTTGGCCGACTTCAAGCACCTTTGCCGGCTGCTCAGAAGAGGTGACTATGTTTGTAAGTCTTCCGGACCAGATCCCATGAGAACTCCAGCTAACTTTTCAAACGCAGCATTGAAGGGAAATCGACCATATAAGGCCAAAAACGGTCAGCTCTCCATTCGGGCTGCTACCATGCCCGTCATTCTATCGCCTTGCCTCCGACGATTCCCAGTTGAGGATCGAGGCTTTGCAACGACTGAACTTGCAGAGTCCAATTTTCAACCCCGACATGTGGAAATGCAGACGGATCCCGAAATTTTAGAGACCATCAAAGCCCGGGCCACCCTCATCCGGACGATGAGACGTTTCTTCGAGTCGCGACATTTTATCGAAGTGAGCACTCCTATCCTGTCTGCCGCCGCGGGCGGCGCCACTGCGAAACCATTCGAGACCAAGGCGACAGAATTTCCTCACCGGAAACTCAGCCTGCGCATCGCCCCGGAACTATGGCTGAAAAGGCTCATTGTTGGCGGCATGGACAAGATCTTCGAGATTGGACCTTCGTTTCGGAATGAAGGTCTCGACAAAACACACAATCCCGAATTCACCACATGCGAATTCTACGCCGTTGGCCATGATCTACGCCGACTAATGGATATGACGAAGCAGCTCGTCACTGGCATTGGCTTGGCTATCAAAGCTCTCCCATACCAGTATACGAACGCACCCTCGTACCTGTTCGATTCTGTGGACGCTTCATACGAAGAACTTGACTTCATCCCTTCTCTCAATTCTGCCCTGGGAGTTGACCTTCCCAACCTCTCCTCGCCCTCCGCCCACTCCGAGCTCCTCGAACTTTTCCATTCGCACGGCCTACCCCTCCCCAGCAACCCCACGGTCCCTCGACTCGTGGACAAGCTTTCCTCATTGCACCTCGAATCACGGTCTGTGCACAGACCGCTCTGGATCACAAACATTCCCGAGTGCCTGTCCCCTCTGGCGAAATCATACATCCACCCCACAGCACCCAATGATCAACCAGTTGCGGCACGAGCAGAGTTGTTCATCGCCGGGAAAGAGGTCGTGAATTGCTATGAGGAAGAGAATTCGCCCTTCGAGCAAAGGAGAAAGTTCCTTGAGCAACAAAAATACGGCACGCTCCAATCCCGCCCACAGCCCAACTCGAACAAGAGCGGAACAAAGGCTGCGAAGTCAGATGTGGAAGGCGACGAGGAGGTGATGAAGGTTGACGAAGACTACCTTCAGGCCCTGGAATGGGGACTTCCGCCCACGGGTGGATGGGGCTGCGGTGTCGATAGACTGGTCATGCTTTTCACGGGGAAAGAGAGGATCGGAGACGTTCTCAGTTTCGGCAACCTCAGGGCCGTCACAAGGGGCGCGGAGGCAGACAGCCACCCAAGAGACGAAGACGGCAAAGTTCAATAGCTAAGCTGTAACCCGTGAGGGGACGTGTTTTTTCATCCCTCCTTCTGAAGCGCTCGCTCCTTGATGGGTTGAACTGGACGACATCGAGATCGTTTGGTCTCCGAGATGAGAAAAGATCGACCGAGAAGAAGAAGATGAGTGTATCTTGTACAAAATAAACAGCTCATTCTCCAGGATATCTCCCAAGAAAAAGCCCTGCATCTATCTGTCAATGTATAGCCCGTGCCCTCGTCAAATGGATCGACAAAATAAACAGTCGTTCTTGGGCAAGAGAGAAGAGCGATTGAGTGAGTGAATAAGTGAGAGAGGGATCGAGGGAGTTGGTGGGATTGTCGTCTCAGTAGTAGTAGTAGTAGTAGCAGTAGAGAAGGAGGCAGGCAAGCAAGCCAGCCAGCAATCCCCCAGGAATACGTAAAGATTGATACCATGTTAATTGTCGACATCCAACCCCCCAACCCAATTCTTCCCCCCGCCCACCCCCTTTTGCCAGCACAGCCTCGCAACTCTTGTTGTTTGTTATCCACCCTGTGTTTGGTCGGGGTCATTGCAGCGCGCCAGCTTCCTCAGTCCAGGCCCCGATTCCCAGAAAAGAACTCAGGCGTCATTCAGCTAGCTTCGTTAAGTTCGTAAATCCGTCAGCCTGCCTGGTCGTGTGATTGATTGATTGTGCCTCAGATTTCCAGAGGGGTCGGGTTGGGTGTTTTTAATTTGTGTGCCCCGATAGATAGATGGATCAGCCCTCGAAAACGAGTGATTGATTGAAGATTGAATGAATAGCGAGCAAAACAGGGAGGAGGAGGGAAAAATAAGTTGAAAAGCCGGACACGCATGGGCCAGGCAGGACTTTGTGCTCTGTTGGAAAAAATTGTCGTGTCAGATTTGTGTGGACGGCACACCTCCCGGAGGCCTCTCCCAACCCACCAGCCAGCCAGCCAGCCAGTTTGGCGGAAATTGCGCGTGTCGAGCCGTTGAAAGCAGCGGGCAGCTCGAGATTCGGGGAGAAGAGGGACGAAAAAACATGTCGCCACGTTTCTCACCGCGGGCGGATTGTTGGTGATAGTGGGCGCTTCGGTGTCAAACGCTCCCTGGAACCGTGAGCATCTTCTGCTCCCGTTTTCCCAGGTCGTCGTTGTTCAGGGTTCATTCAAGCTCCCCAAAGCAAGCCACCTGTGCGTCAAAGCTCTCTCTCTCTCTCTCTTTTTTCTTCTTCTTTTGTTCTGATCTCTCCCTTCCTTTTTCTTACTCCGAGTAGAAGGAGTGTCACGACCCGTCTCGCCGCCGTTTTTGACTGCCTCGACTTTCCGGACGCAAGGGAGCGCCGCTGTGTCGAAGCGGACCTTGGCCAGTTGTCATCCGCTCCATCTTGAACCGATAGATCTGGCGCTCGATCTTGACCAGTTCTGGCGCCGTGACGATGTAGAGCCCGTCGTACCGAAAGCCCGTGACGGGTCGCCACGGGACGATCTTCGCCAGCCGGAAGGACCGGAACACCCGGACAGGGCGACCGGTCGTGTATGAGGTGAAGAGCGATTCAGTCGCCGCGGTCGGACCCTCGCCCCTGGAGTTCTTGGTAACACGCTCGACCCGCTGGGTCACTGGGTCCTTGATATTGGTGGGTTTTGTATCGCGCCCTTCGGGCGGGAGAGCGGTGCCGTAGTAGTATATCGTCTCTCCTTCGTCGACGTCGGCGTAGAAGTGTTGTTTGGTTTCGTCGTGGTACCCCATCACAACGCTGCGTGCCCCTTTGCTCTTGGTGCCCGAAATTCCCGCTATGGGCGGTGCGTGAGCCCCGTCGCGCATCATCTCGGCGCGCAAACACCAGGTCTGGCCGTTGATAAGGTGGCCGTGGCCGAAATCATTCGCCTCCCGTTTCCACTCCCAATCCGGGTCGGGATATAGCGGGCGATGGAGGGTGCGTGCCCGAAGGCCGCGACGTGCGAGGACTCCAAGATCGCCAAACTCCCACTTACGATGCAGGTAAGTTAAGTCCTCGACGATATGCTCGGGGACACCCTTCTCGATCCGGATTGGCATGTAGTCGTCTGAAAGAAATCTTTTCAAATGCTCGAGGACTCGAGACTCGTCGAGAATCTGTTGTGTCATTGAGTGATTTTGCATCAATCGGATCCATTCCTGAATCTTGGTAAAGGTGTGCCGAATCGCCATTGACATACGTCCGCGTGTGCGAACCTGGTCCAGGAGCCTGATAATCGGAATCGTCTCTTGTACTGTCAGGAAAGGCTCTTCTTCCTCAGGAAGGTCCGGTGGTAAGCTGCTTTCTGTTAACATGTGCAGTGAGCGATGCAGATGGATTTGGCTCACTCTTCAGCGCGTTTTCGTCTTTGATCCCAAATCCATTTCTCACGCTCCAGTACCAGCGTCCGACAGTCCACTAAATCGTCTTTCTTTTTGGGACAGTCAAAACCGACCGGACACCTGCAACCTTGGAAAATTCTAGCTCGTTCGTCTGGAGCTGGCGAACTCGACCCTGAACCTGGGGGGGGAGAGCTGCGTCGCCTGGAACCACCTCGTGTTCCGCTTGAAGTCGATTTTGCACGTTTCTTGGGCCGTGAAGTCGTTCCGGAGGCGTCATCGGTATCGGATTGGACTTCATCTTGGAGCTCTGTGGAGTCCTCTCGCTTGAGGCCGATCGGCTCGGACGATCTCCTTGCTGACGAGTTACTCCTCTGATTTTGGAGTTGGTCTCTGGCGTAGAAGCGATGCCGGTTCATGTGATCACCCTGATCGTGACTGGCATTACTACTGAGGGCTGCCTGCCTTGTGACCTCTTCGCTGAGTTCGCACCGCCTACGATCAAAGATTTCAGCGAGGAACTGCATTGGAGAGTAATACTTCGGTGTAGACATGTCAGAATCTGTACGGACGACGTTCTTGCCATTCTCATCCGCCGGAGCATTGTCTGGGCTTTCCTGTTTGAAGATCTGGTTATCATGGCTTTCTTCACGGCTTGAACCGTGTCGCTGAGAATGCCTTTGAGGTGTTTCTCGATCAATGAAACGACCAGATGAACGCGGCCGATTAGGAACCAGGCCAACGCCAGGCACCTCCGTCATGCGATCATCGCCGAGGTGGCGAGAGTCGAGACGCAAAGTCGGAGAGGCCATCTTCAGTGATACAACGGCCAAGTGAACCAGATATCAGCATTAGGCTGGAACTGGGTCAATGGGAGATGCCAATGATGAACAAGAGGTCAATGACGGATTGAGATACTGAGGTGCAAAACTGCACGTGGGAATATGAAATGAAGGCACTGAAACTTAAGATTGAGGCAGACAACGGTGAACACATTCGAAATATGAGAATAAATAATGGGATGGGTGTGCCTGTTAGAAGGTTTTCAATTCCAGTCTCGAAATAGAGGAGAGGCACAAAGGTCTGAATACGGATAAGAACCAAAGGCGGTTGTAGACATGTGAGAGAAGAGATGTTGCATAGGAAAGATGAGTCGGTACAGGATAAGAACCAAGGCAGCTGTAGAGATGTGAGAGAAGAGATATCGCATAGGAAAAAGGAGTCGGTACAGGATAAGCAGACTGAGGAGGGGCAAAGTAGAGGAAGTGAAGAGGAAGCAACAGGTGAAACGAAGAGGGGTATAAAACTGAGGTGAAAGTAACAGTGTGGTGAGAAGTGGCGACGGCGTGTTATAGAAGGGCTTGTGTAAGAGATCTAACATCAGACCAAATGTGTGGCTAGAAAAGGACAACAGTCAAATGGAAAGAACCCTTGGTTAGTCGTTGAGGTTGAGAATTGAGAGAACTGTGCTCGGTGCCGACTATGGTTGAAGTAGGTTCATGAGGGAAAGAGTAGTTGTTGGTATTTCCATGAGAAGGACTGGGCCTGAGGATCGAAATAACGTGCATTCCGGTCATCGATCCATCGTATCATTGCACTGGTCCCCAACACCATTCTGCGACCAGATGGTCACTTCAGCACAGAGCTGAGCATTCTGTATAGGAGAAGTCCCTGTTGGGTTTAGTGCCTTGGCGATGGCCGAGCTTGACGAAACGTCACGAACTGAACTTGTCGCGACACTGATTTCAAGCTGTTGAATCTTAGAGCATCCGTATCAATGAGATGTGCTCAAGTATGGCGGCACTTTCCTCCTATAAAGGTGCTTCGGGTTCGGTATGCGGGCCTTGCGTACAGGAGATCGCAGGTACCATACACCAACCTTCACCCACTATCGATCCCTAAGCGGCATTTTGGCGTGGAATCAGTTCCAGCCTTTCTCTTGCCGCCCGTGGTCTTCGGTGGACTGCTGGTGACATTGTGGACGTACAAGTGCTTCATGATGGTTGTCTTCCAGAACAAAATCATCTATATGCCTTCAGTCCCGCCATTTTCCCGGTCCGAGAAAGTCGGCGACTATGTGTTGCAATGTAAGCCTGTGGGATGGGTGGAACATGACCTCAAGGCAGCAGATGGAACCGCGATCAAGATTTTGGAGGGATCGGTTGGAGCGTCTGCCGAGTCCGAGGTAGATGATCACATTGTTGTTCTGTATTTCCAGGGGTAAGTAGCCCGCTCACTGCACTTCCACGCATCTGAAATTCGGACAGGAACGCATCGTCGTTACCACCTCGGCTCCCTTACCTTTCAAGCGTCTTGAAAAGCTTGTTGCAGCAGGAAACTCGGAAAAAGTACACCATTGTGGCTTTGTCTTATCGAGGTTTTTGGAAATCAAAGGGTAGCCCATCCCAGTCCGGGATTGAGCTGGATGCTGAGGCGGCACTGGAGTGGGTTCGAAATCGCTACAACCACGATAGAACTAAATTCGTGGTCTGGGGACAGTCCATCGGTGCAGGGGTTGCAACTGTGAGCCTGGCGAATCTGTTGAGACACGGTAATGCAAACTTGCGCCGGTTCTCGGGGCTCCTACTCGAGACACCCTTCGTGGATTTGAGAGCGATCCTCATCGCCCTTTATCCACAAAAGTTTCTCCCTTATCGATATCTGGCCCCCTTTCTGCGGTCGACGTGGGACAGCAAGACTGCTCTTCACCAGATCGGAAGGAGTAAATCAAAGATGAGGGTATTGATCTTGGAAGCAGGTAATGATGAGATCGTGCCTTCGGGACAAGCGGCAATCTTGGAGCAGGTCTGTCGCAAGGAAGACCTGGAGGTGGATCGGAAAACAGTTGCCGGAGCCTTGCACACCGAGGTAATGGTCAAAGCTCAGGGCCGCAACCACATCGTGAGGTTTCTTCAATCCTTCTAGGCAGGCAGTAGATCTCCAACTCCTGCCCCAGTGCTCGGCTGAGATGGTTGGAAAACGCAGCACAATTGGTATAAACGGGGGTCATCTTCTGCTGCACCGCCAACTTGTCTCTCGTCAGGGACGGCCGCCAGTAGGGAATCAAACCAGGGCGAAGTCTTATGGATCATGCCTCGTCTCTCGTCGTTGTCACTCTTTCGTGCATCCCATCGAGGATCTAGAAGTGGATCATGCTGAGCACCTTTCTTGAGGACATAGACCTGGATGCGAGGCAATTCAAGCCCATCTAAAGCTTGTCTCAGCTCACGTATGCGCATCACTTCCCACGGCGGCGATCGACGATGGCGACTGTACACATAAATAATCCGTTGCAAAGACAAAGTCGGGGCCACTGCGTGCAGATTGACAGTGGCACTGGTATCGACCCTGGCCCCTCGCAATCTTGTCATCAGGCGCGGAGACAAGTAAATCGTCTGCACGGCAGTGTTTTCGACAAGCCAGCGTAAAAGTGCTTCGTATGCTTCGGCCGAGATGGCATCATGCTGGCCACTGTAGATGTGCGACCTGGTGATGCGCTGCAAGTGACGGCGCGGGACAGACGCAAATTCGATATCCAGGCCGAAGGCTAGATTGAGCTTTGCACCGTCGCCCCCCAACGAGTGTGAGAGATAGGGAGGGATGCGTAAGGGGGCGATATTGAGCACGGCCCGAGAATAGAAGACGGTGGCAGCTTCTTCAGAGACCGCTTTATTGACCAGGAGAAGGCCTGGGATGCCAGCTGGTTTCTCAGCGTCTGACCATGCCTGGTCGCAGAATGCCTGTACTTTGAGTTGCTGTACCGGGAGAGTGAGGTTGTAGATTATTTCTCGGATCTCCAAGGGCAGGCTGAGAAAGGTGGTCATGTTGTGAAAGACATTTGTGACTATGGGGAGGTGATGGCAGGGAGTAGAAACTGGGATAAATCCCCGTAATGTGTCATAGTATAATTTATTCTTGTTACTGCAGCCCCGCCAATGCCACCCTATACGTATGTATATACAGTAGTTTCTCTGCTCCAGCACAAACAATCCTCACTAATACCGAACACCATGGCCAAAAAGAGGATCCCCATATGCTCCTCCACCATACCGTACACCGATTGATTTGGTTTTGGCCAAGTTGTACCTAGAGAGGTTGAACTCCAACATGGCGACGTCCTCGTCATGTCGGCTGATCGGACCACTGATGGGACGAGGGAGCACGCCATGCAGGGAGAGCGAGTCAAGTGCTCCAGGGTCATCAGGCGTCGGTAGATCTGGAGACTCTGGGCCTAAGCCTCACGGCTAAGCATCCGCATCATCTGCAATGGGAATAGAATCAGGCACCAATTGAAGGAATACCTGTGACTCAGGCAAAATGGGGGAGAATTGGTCCAATGTGAAGGGCCAAAACTCGAGGAATACCTGCAAATTCCACCAGTCAGATGGTCAATGGGGGCGAATGCCTGGAGGGCAGCAGATCAACCATCTGCACGATGACGGGGATGAGATAGCAGATAGCAGATAGACAGCTTGACAGGTTTCTTTGTTTCTTGGAACAATCCACCCTTCAATCCACTTCTTGACTAGTCACACCAAGGAAGCGGGAAGCTTGAAGGCTGCGACCATATCGCGGGGGTGGACAAATTGTGGCACAGTCAAGCGGTGAACAAACCGGGAGCTTGCATCTTCTCGGTGTTGAATCACACACATCCCACACCCTGAACTTCTTTCTGGTCTCCCTTCCACTGATCACGGACGCCCTCCTCCTCGCACGAGCAAAGCCACCCGATCGCCTCTTCTTGAAGCGGAGAGTGACTTGAACACCTGCTGCTTGATCTATTGCGCCATCCACGATCCGAAAGCCTCGTCCTCCCCTCGCCGCTCCTCCGTCTCTACCTTACCTGTCGAGTGTCTTCACCATTGTGCGAATGGGCAGACTGACCATGAGAGCGACTCCAACCGGAAACTCAGACCATAAGATCGCCGCTGTGACTGTCCGCAGCCTCAACCCTCCTTCGTCGCAATAATGGAACCCAACCAGTCTGCGGGTTCCGCCCCTGGGTTTTGGAGATACCTGATTAATCCAGACAAGAGCGCAACCCTCCAGTTCGACCAGCTGTGTCGGGGGATTGCCAAAGTCATAGTGAGTCTACACCAGTGTCCGTCGACCTCAACCTGCTTACCGGGGGGGAAACAGGCGACCCTGGAACCCGGACTCGACAACGAACTGACTCCCTCACGTCTCGCCGCATTCTATCGAGCCGTCGGCGGCAACTATGACTCCCTCTTTCTCAAATCCTCCGATCACGCACTCTCCTTCATGTACCAGACCCTCGGGTGCTTTCACTCGCTACAGCCGACGCCCAGTCCCTTCGAAATGCCCCGAATCCCATGCCTGACGCCGGGTGGATTTGCCCGTTGGCAAACGATCCAGCTTCTCCTCTGCCCTGAGGAAAATGTATCCTTCATTCAGAAAGCGGTTCAGCTGTGGAATGTCCCCATGCCCAACGGCGGAATCTACCCAAAATACATCCCCAAGGACGTTTTTCCCAGCAGACCAGACGAAGAGATGGAGAAATGGCACAAGATGGTGACGGGCAAACTGAACCAGCAAAACTACAATCTGCGGCGCATCAAGAACTCGCCTTATCAATCCCCGCATCTTGAAGCCTATGATCGACGAGACGGCTATTTCTCTGGCGCCCAGACAGGGCGTCCAAGGAGGCCGTCACGCAGCAGTTCTCGCGACGATCCAGACCATCTGACCGATCTCTACCGCAGACGGAGCAGTGTACCAGACTTCCCTTCGCCGTCGGGAGAGAGAGGGTCTCCCTGGGACCCTCGAAATCAGAATGAGGCACGGAAGACCCGCAGCCACTCCGCTCAAAGATCATCACCAAAGCCTTCGTCGCGCCAGCGGTCGCATACAACGACTGTGCCTCCGGGTCACCACAAGACCTCGTCAAATAGCCCCTCAAACCGGAGACAGGGGAATACTCCTTCAGAGCAGCCCGGGCGACGTCCCTCGTCCGGGTACAACAACCCGTCCTACCGCTCTCCCGCGAGGAGTCCCTCCACTGTGGACGAAGACACGGGTAGCGAGGGAAGTTCGGAGGCTTCACAGATGGGTCGGCATCATCGAAGGTCTGACGAAGATCGGAAGGGCCGTCGTTCCTCCTTATGGGTGCCCTCCTTTATGAAGTCGTCACACAAACGTCGTCATTCATCCGACGCAGGGTACCGCGCACCGGGTCCTGCATCCAAATCTCCGCAACCCTTACGACCCGAGTACTACCCACCTCGTGCAATCAAGCCCCCGCCTCAGCCACCTCAGCAGCCTTATGGGGGAGGGCGCCCACCGCAGTGGCGTGAGACAGTCTGGGACAACGAGACTCCCAGCTCGACTCCCGCTACACCCATTCCTGAAAACGCGCAGGCACAGTTCGACCCCCGGGCCCCCTCAATACGTTACCCAGACCAGACCAATTTCGAACCACTGACGCGAGAAAGTAGCAGCGGAAGTGACAACAGGCATCGCTCCTCGGATTGGGAGCGAGGGAACGGACACAGGCGACCGCTGCAGCCGACTCCAAGAATCGCCACCGTGACAGGCGTGCAAGGGAGAAAATACCCTACCACCGACCCAATGAGTCCCATTGAGCGGCAAAGGGCGCCGAATGTCCGTGGCAACTTTACTGCAACGGCATGAACCCTCGACTGAGTGAAATCGCATGCTGGGACAGCCCAACAATTGGATACTCACCGGAGACGGCAAATCCACGACATGACAAACACGAACTCCTGCTTGGATCTACGAGGATCAGATGCACACGAAGCAACGAGACGAAGACGGAATGATATGGCGAATGACAAAGCCTGCTGGGGGTAGGGTGTTCTCGGCGTGGTGACGACTCTTGTCTGTTTGGTGGTCTTGACGAAGAGCATTCAAACATCTCTTTTTCGTCACCGCGTACAATCGCCCGACGAGAGGACACGATTGAGTCTTTTTTCTTTTCTTTCTTTTTCTTCCTCATTTCGGGAATATAAACTTTGGGGGTGACTACCACAGCACACGCGCGGGACGGGGTGGGAAGCATCGCAGCTGGACATCAGTTACATATCGGATGGTTGATTGGTTGGTTGGTTGGTTAGCTTGCTCCTTGCTCGTTACTCTTTGCTCCCTCGAAAGAACAGGGCACCAGGTCTTTAAAACTCGGCTCACGCCTGTTTTTGAAATAAATTCAATTCAATTTCTCACCAAGACCAAGACCAAGATTCCCAGATTCCCAGATTCTGTTCTGCATGTAGATCCCGTAAATATGCAAGTATCAGCCAGGATGGATGGATATCTTGAGCTTCTACTACCACATAGCGAGACAGCTTCCGCACTGCATGGGCACGGAGGAGGATGATGCTTGCAAGATTCAGCATCTTAAAATGGCATGGAATATAATAAGCCATGTGGATCCTTCTTTGATGGTATGTTCTGTCGACTGGGGACGGAGACGGAGGGAAACATATACATAAGAAAAGCATCACTTGAACCTCCTCTTCGGAGGCGGGCTCAATCAATCACTCAATCAATCACATAAAACCCTCTTGAGTCTTGACTTCTTTTTACGATGCGCTGCTTCTCTGAGCAGGGATCTCCACGCTTTTTCTTGTGCTCCACGGTAGACCAGCTTCGAGGATCAGTCCGCCGCAGTGCTCGGTAGTATCTACCCCATCAGTAAACGTAGTACGTCTGGCCCAAGGGCACCACCTCGGCGGGGGCGGCGGTACAGTGCACGCCGTCGGCCTCGACCTTGTAGGACTCTGGGTCGACCTTCATCTTGGGCGTGGCGTCGTTGAACTTCATGTCCTTCTTGCCGACGGTGCGGCAGTTCTTGACCGCCTCGACGCGCTTGGACAGATTGTACGACGCCACGACGCCCGAGGTCAGCGCGTGTTGCGACACGAACGTGATGCTCCGCGAGGGGACGTGCGCCGCGAACATGGGCCGCATGAGCACGGGCTGCACGGTGGGGATGGAGGCGTTGGGGTCGCCCTGGTGAGGCAAGCAACGGGTTAGACGGCCGGCGGACAAGGCTGTGCGGACCGAAAAAGGGGATGATGGGGCGGGAGGGGGTGTACGTTACCATTTGCGCATAGTTGATCATTCCTCCCTTGACCACCAAACTCGGTTTTGTCCCAAACATACTCGGCTTCCAAAGCACCAGGTCTGCCACTTTGCCCACCTCGACACTGCCCACCAAGTGACTCATCCCCTGCGCAATCGCCGGGTTGATCGTATACTTGCTCACATACCTCTTGACCCGGAAGTTGTCGGCATCCGTACCCTCGTCTTCCTTCAGCGTCCCACGCTGTTGTTTGTTCTTGTGCGCTGTGTTCCACGTCCGAAGGATCACTTCACCGCAGCGACCCATGGCCTGCGAATCAGAGGACATCATGGAAATGGCACCGAGGTCGTGGAGGACGTCTTCCGCCGCGATGGTTTCTGCGCGAATGCGGGATTCGGCAAAGGCGACATCTTCCGGGATGTTTTTGGACAGGTGGTGACAGACCATCAACATGTCGAGATGCTCATCCAGCGTATTCCTCGTGAATGGCCGTGTGGGATTTGTCGACGAAGGGAGCACGTTAGCGTGTTCAACCACGGAAATGATATCGGGCGCGTGTCCGCCGCCAGCACCCTCGGTATGGTAGGTGTGGATGGTGCGACCCTTGAAAGCGGCGATTGAAGATTCCACGAAGCCAGATTCATTGAGCGTGTCGGTGTGGATGAGGCATTGCACGTCGTATTCATCGCACACTGATAGACAGGTATCAATCGCGGCAGGAGTGGTGCCCCAATCCTCATGTAATTTGAGGCCACAGGCGCCAGCCTCGCATTGCTCGCGGAGGGCAACCGGGGAGCTGTCATTCCCTTTACCCGTAATACCGTAATTGATGGGAAGGGAGTCGATCGCCTGAAGCATCTGTTTCATGTGCCATTTCCCGGGCGTGCAAGTCGTTGCGTTGGTACCTGTACTGGGTCCAGTGCCGCCTCCTAGGTAAGTTGTTATGCCGGCCGCGACGGATTCATAGACCTGCTGAGGACAGATGAGGTGGATGTGGGAGTCGATACCTCCTGCGGTGAGGATGCTGTGCTCGCCTGCGATGACATCCGTGCCGTTGCCGACTATCATGTTGGGATGGACACCATCCATGACGTCTGGATTGCCGGCTTTACCAATACCCACGATGATACCGTCCTTGATCCCAACATCGGCCTTGTAGATGCCGGACCAGTCGACAATAAGGGCATTCGTAATAACCGTGTCGAGCACATCGGCATCCTTCCGATCAGATGCTTGTCCCATCCCTTCTCGAAGAGTTTTGCCGCCACCGAACTTGCATTCTTCACCATAGACTGTTAAGTCCTTTTCGACTTTGATCCAGAGATCAGTCGTTCCCAACCGGACGAGATCACCAGTCGTGGGGCCGAACATGCCGGCGTAGTCTGCACGGGTCATAGATGCGACGTCTATATGGGCCAAGTCACCGGCGGGTTCAGGGGTATGAGCGAATCCAGCTTGCTGGAGCTTTTGGACGATTTCTTCCGCACGAGATACATCGACAGGGCCTGAAGCGAGGTTGTTTCCCCCATGGATCGCCTTGTTGCCAGCAATCTCGACCAGATTGACTGTTTTGGTGTCTCCAGGCTCGAAACGGACCGAAGTACCGGCCGGGATGTCCAGACGGAAACCATATGCTCTGCCTCTGTCAAATTCAAGTTGCGGATTTGTCTCAATAAAGTGGTAATGGGAGCCGATCTGGAGAAGATAGTCAGCCTGGGACATCGTCTTGACAGAGTCGGGGTTCGTCAATACTTGTATTGGTCTATCGCCCTTGCTGGTGACTTTCAACTGGATTCTCTTCCGCCCTTCGTTCAACGTGATCTTGCCTTCCTTGACAGGAATGACCGCACCTGGCATTTTCTTTGCGTCATACTCACTTTCGTCTGGCAAAGGAAATGCGTCTTTCGATGGCACGGGTAGGAAACTTCCATATAGAGCCTTTTCGAGGTCCCCATCGTCGGAACTGATTGGGTGATGGACGGTGACCAGGTATGTGCCAGTCTTGAAGGTACCCTCCACTTGCAACTCGGTCAAGGTGGAGATAACAGAGGGCAGGACATGTCGTCGACCAAGCATGGTCTTTCCAATGGACATTAGGTCGGCCACCGTGTGGTTGCCATCGCGAATCAGCTAGAACACCCAATCATCAGCAGACATGCACGCGGTTTCTGAGCCATTGACGGTACTTCTTGCAAATTGCTGGCAATAAGAGCCTACAGAGCAGATCAGTCAATCGATTCCGAGGTCGTCTTTGCAGAAAGTCTCCTACGCAAGCCTCCGAATGGTTCAACCTAACCCCTCTAGCAAGTCTTCTTTGGGCTAGAAAGCCTAGCTGAGATATAACGAGCTTATCTAGCTGTTTCCGGAGTCCAAGAAGTCAGTGATATGGATGGCGCTTCCACGCTCCGAGAACATTCGTACCTCTTTCGGAACGAGCTGCATGTTGGACACTGCCTCTTATAGAGGCACTCGCAGGTTAGAACTTCAGCTTTTGAAGAATTTCATCCTGGTCCGATCGAGGAGGCGACGTCTGTTATCTATGTCCGTTCGGCCTATCATGGTCGAGGGGCGATGCGGGGCAAAGGAAGAGCTTGAAGTGGCATGAGGGCAGATCTGGATAAGAAAAGACGCCCACACGCCCCAGTTCATGCCACTAGGAAGGCGTCGAGTGGTTCCTATGCGAGGCCTCAATGGCAGCAAGCTTCGTAACCGCATGCGTGGGGGCTAGTGAGGCGTTGGTGCGGAGAAGAGATTCAAGACAGGAACTTTGTTTTGCTTTGGTGCGTCATCCATTGAGAAAAGCTATAGCAGAAGGCAGCTTTAGAAGACATGTCAACATCGACGGCGTTGAAAACCTAGTTACTCGGCCCTTTGCATGGCGCTCAACACTATTTCTGCACTGCGCCGAACAGGAACCGCCTTTCATTATGAACATTCCATGACAAGAGAACAACAACCTCATGGCAGCGAGAGTTGAGTCGTTGAATTCAAAGATACCCCAGACCGAAAATCGGAAACCCGTAACGAATGATCATGTGCACACACCCACAGACACAGCCGTCATCACCCACCAGGATCGTTGGAGTGCATTCATTTCTTAGACTTTTTGGACTTCTCGACCTTGGTTGAAGCGGGAGCAGCAGCTTCCCTCCGGCTCTTCTTCGACTTCCTATCCTTCTCTGGAGACTTCGCTTCGACCTTGGGAGTTGCTTTGCTGGGGGTAGGCTCGGCCTCTTTAGTCTTGCGTCTCTTGGATTTGGGGGGTGTGGGCTCCGGAGCTGGCGCTGGAATCTCTTCTTCGTCCTCTTCCTCCTCAACTGGCTCTTCTTCCGTTTCTGCTTCGGCGTCTAGACCGGCAACGTGCTCTGGAGCTTTACCCATCTCCACCAGACGCGCTGCAGTTTCATCGTCAGGAACAGGTTGACCAGCTTTATAAGCTGCCATCTTGACGCGGTAGGCGGCTAGGTTCTTCTGATACTTGTCATCCCAGATCTGTGTGGAGGTTAGCGAATGCTAGCAACGACGAACAAGAGACGTACGCTCTTCTCAGCAGGACTCATCTCGGTCCATCTGCGAGTTCCCTCATCCGCGACTTCTTTTGGCTTCGCTGAGTCACCCAACTCTTTCGCAATAGTGGCACGAGCACTTTGCATGTAGAGGAAGTATGGGGTAAGCGCACGCTTGGGGGCATTAGGGTCATGCGGCGTCCTCTTGCGCTTCTTCTTCCCATCGACCTCTGGTTCTGGTGCAGCAGCTGGAGCAGCATCGGCAGGACGAGCGCTCAAGAGACCAGATTCGGTAAGGATGCTGGTGAGGTTGGCGTCAATGGGGTTCAGGCCATGTTTGCCAGGTGTGAGGACCGTGTTGGCATGTTGAATGTAGGCACGTGAGAGGTCTTGGACAGAGGACTGGAGTGTTGCAAGAGCAACAATGACCTGGTGGTATGTGTGAGTAAATGCCACTCTATCATTTTGCACCTCGCGAACAAGCTCCCCGAGGGTCGCCAAATCTTCAGTGAGAACGTCGATGCATTTGATGGCGGCACGGTTCAGTACATGCCCGAACTCAATATGTGCGGCACTGGGGTTAACGTGACTCAGGCTTGAAGACATGGGGGAAGGCAATAAACCATAGAACTAAGGACGGGTGCTACGCAAGTGGATAGTGGTGCATGCAACGGTGAGGTGAAAGGCACTTGGGGAGGGGACGGTGAGGTCAGTGTTGTGGCTGAATGCAAGTTGGGGCAGAGCCTCGTCGCGGGGTGGAGGGTTGGTGCCGGGTTGGTCGTGACGCGTGTTGTGGGTGGTGAGGCAGAGGGAAGAACAAGAAGATGGAATATCTATGCCCAAAGAAAAATTTGTCTCACGTACCGAATCTCGAGTTCGCTGAAAATCAGCAATATTGACCTGGGTCGTCGCCGACTCGGGGTCGTGTGTCTTCTTTGCCATAGCGTCTTGCAGGTAGATAACTTGGAGCTATGCTAGAGTGCAAGTGATGGACAATGTAGGCGCCTATAAGCGACAGCAATGGGAAGTTGTAAGGCTGCGCTTTAACTAAAGGATGGGGTGGCGGAAGGTGAAGCCAGAAAGCGATGGCCGTCTGGATGAAAGCGAGAGGTGGAAGATGCAGAAGGAAAACGGGGGGGAGGGGGAAGGCAGCGGGGGGCGGCTTGTTTAAGTGGGCGAGCGAGGTGCTTGGGCAGCCGCTGGATCAACCCTGAGGAAGAGGAGCGAGAGGGAAAAAAACCAGCAGCTGCGGGAGGGAATGATCACGGCCACCTGGCAGCTCCCCCCTCTTTTTTCTCTAAACCCCCCCCGTGCCCCCCTCCCTTCTGCTCGGCCTCTAAGGATGCCGGGATGGTCTCTGTAGGCTGCTTGTTTCGGTGTCCTGCAAGCTCCACTGTCACGCCGCTAAAGGTGCCTTCCTCAGGTCTAATTGGCTCCTAACGGGGACTGCCTCGCTGAAGTTCCTGCACTGTCCCGGCTCTAGGCTTGTAGGCTTCAGTATCATTCGCCCCCGAGGGCAGAGGTCACTTTTTCTTGCTGCAACACATGGGCTTGTTTACCCCCAAACCCTGCTTCTCCTGCAAGCTAAAACAGCCTAGCCTAGGCTCACTCGCTGGGACTTGTACTCTGCATTTAGAACCTAGCCCTCAGTCACTGCCGAACGGGGGCATTGTTTTCTCCTCAGAGTCGACTTTGACGACTTGGAACGCTCTCCAAAGTCACCGTGCTCCTTCTTCCCCCGTCTGCCCATTTGGGTGCCAGTCTGACAGATGCAAATCGTTTGCTTATTATGCTTCTCGCGTCCTTTACCGTCCGCCTTCTTGAGGAGGAGGTCTGCGAGGACAGAGCTGCCCAGGACGCATGCTCCCCCGTTGCTCAAAAGAGACTGGCTGGTCGAGGTCAGGAAAATCGCCACGAGCAACAAATTCAGCACTGCTGTCGGGAGCACAATGACGGGCGTCCGGGGAGGGCTGGTGGACAACACCGAGCAAGCTTGAAGGGGCAGCTGTGAAGCAGCTTCTCACTGGGAAGCTCCGGGATGTCTGGAAGCGGGCAGCACAGCAACTGCCACTCAGACCACCCTTCACGGCCTTGGACTCGCAATTTTGATCATCAGCGCCCCATCAGGCTGCATAAGCGCCTCTGGGCGGCCACCTACGTTTGGATTTTGGAGCCTGTCTGACTGACTTGGTTCAGGCTGAAAGGGCCCAGCCCACCGCCTAGTCGACTTTTCTTAATTTCAGTTGACGGCAACAGTGGTGACGGTCGCGAAGATTGTTGCTCTGGACCCCCAGGAGTCCCCGTCACTCCCGACAAATCAGCGCCTCACCCGCCTGGCAGCATCTTCGTTGGCTGTCCCGTTTGGGCGTCCCAGGCACATCACTCCATCCAACGACCCGCCCAAGCCGGATCATGTCCGCCATGTCCAGCGAGGCCCCTGTCATGCCTGTTGTTTCGTGGCTGCTACCATCCGTGAAGCTCGACCCTCGGAAGCTTCCACAGGCGCCCTTGTCCTTCTCCTGGCCTTTTATGGCGCCGCCATCAACTAGCTGGTGGTACGCTCCCAATCTCGGCCCGACTTGACTGACAAAAGGCCCTTTGGTCGCGTCCCTTCTTCTTCAGCGCCTCACTTAATGGCCACACGTCTTTACCTAATAATTCTTTCTGATGTGCTCCCACCACTCCTGGCCCCCGGGCATCTGTGGAGGTCATCATAGGCTTGCTTGCTCAACATGCACGTACTGAACTCCGTACCTCGTACTTGGGACTGAGTGCGTGCACGCATGGTAATAGTTAGAAGCCCTCTGGGTTGTGCTCTGTCGCCTGGACCTCAGCAATTGCCCGCCAGCCACTGGAGACTTTGCGCTCTCCAAGTTCTTCTACATACACTCTTCGTTGGGCGCAGTGGTGCCTTTCTCTGTAGCACGTTACCTTGCTCCATAGTGCCCCCCTCCTTCGATGGTACCTGCATTGGGGTGACCAACTCCCTGTAGCTCTGGCTCAACGAGGTGTCTTCGGTCCAACTGGATGTCATTCCAAATAATAACCTCAATTCCGTTTTGACGATAACGCAGAACCGCACCCTCATACAGCATCTTGCCCCCTGTGTTAAGCCCCCCCAGCCCTGCCTTCTTGCACTGAAGCCCACCAGAAGCGCTCACAGACATCCTATTTTCAACCTTCAGTGTCTCGTCCACCGTGTTATGCACATTACTCCTCATACAACAATTGTCGACTTGCAAGCATGTATTACCAATACCACTAATCTTACAGACTGGGTTGACAGACTGTGCTGATTTATTTTACCATGATCGAAATATTCCATTCACGACGCGGAGACGTCTTGTTGTTCATATCTACTGCCCATCCTGTATAGACGGATAGACATGGGCGCTGTGGTGAGGACATTCCCTCCCCAAACTCCGCTGTGCCGTTGGCATCATTGGCGGATTCGAGGTCCAAGACGGCTAGCCCGTGGGTAAGGATGTCATGCAAGGCTAGTGTTGATTGTAGCCTACCTAGTCAGAACCCCGCTCGAGGCTGAGTTTTCAGACCAGCCCACTGACATACTGTACCTCTTCATACTCCAGGTCAGCCACCTATCATAACCATTCCATCTAGATTCTCATGCGAATATTGACCTAACGCGGTTCTCGCGCGGCGGCCGTTGAAATTTGACTGATTCCCGAAAGGAAGCAAGAACCGTGTGAACCCCCTCAATGGTGAAGACAGGATGAGACTTCACTGCTTGCTTCGTGAGTCGCCGCGTGAGCTTTCAGTTCATGGGTGCCGACTCCTGAAAAGTGGTCCTGGTCGAGGACGAATCCTGGCTCAACCAAAAGTCATGGATATTTGCTGCTTGAGAAGCCTGTTATTATCACCTGAAGAAGATTCGTTGAGTGTTGGCGGTGCTGGAAAGAGATCGATCAGCTATGCCGCCACCCTCGCCCCTACCTGGTTATACACGACATCTTGCTCGAGAAGAAGCCATTCTTCGCTGGTGCTCACCAACCACTGAGCCGTCTGGCACTTGAGGGTGTCTGACAAGTCGACCTCACTAGAAGCAGAGGGCAGGGAGGAGGGACAGGTGAAAAATAGCGAGGACGCTATAGGCGACAGCATCTGTGCCCTCCTTCCTCCCCCCTCCCCGGAGCCTAACTAGATGTTCGCCTGGTGGCCTGTCTGGCTCGGTAAGTTCACGTTGCCCTCTTCACGCGCTGGGAGCAGCATTGCCAGGGGGACTTCAAGAAGAAACAAAAAAAAAGTAACACGTCGGTTTGCGAAATATAGGAAGTAATTGGGATGTTCCGTTTCTCCTGTTCACAAAGCTATCCATCCCTTTTTTTGGACCCTGTCATCATACCGGCATAGTGTGTCAATGAGTCTCATCGTTGGAGGACACGACGTTGGTTACGGCAGACAAGGCATATCTGGCAGTAATGCCAAAAGCCTCCATATTGACAGTCTACAGGTACTTATTCGTTTTTTTTTGGTACCACTGAATATTCTCGCGATTGACTCAAAGTCTCGTGGGTTCCTATATATGTACAAAGTCTAGGGGTACACCTTTTTATAGGATGACACCCTTGTTTATTCTTCTCCCGGTGTCAACTCTTTTCTGCCTCCCGTCTATTTATCTCCCTCCCACTCTTCCCTTCCTCCTTATGCTCTTTTTTTCACTCCTCAACACTGTCGCCGAGATTTATCTCTACAGGCGTGAGGGATGGAGAGATGCTTCCACCACCACCCAATGTCTAAAATTTAAACACCTGATCCTTGCTGTAGCCCAGCTCCTTGAGGATGCCGGTCAACTCGCCCTGATCTTGCGGAGACGTCTTCGCTCCACTGATGGCCTTATACAAACCCGGAGGTCCACACACGAAGACCTTGATGTTCTCGCTCTTCGGATCCGGGATGACCTCCTTCAGCAATTCCTTGGTGATGAAGCCCTTGCCGTACGGCCAGCTGTCGGGCGGGTTGTCCAGGGTGAAGAAGCAGCGGAACCTCTGAGGGAACTCGTTCTCCAGCTGCGACAGCTCCTGCTTGAGCAGGATGTCCTCCTCCTTGATATTGCCGAAGATGAGTGAGACTTTGGTCTTGTCCTCGGGGTTCTTGAAGATGGCGCGGATCAATTGGTACATGGGCGTAATGCCCGTGCCACCGGCGATAAGCGTGATGTGGTCATGTTTGTTTGGCGCCCAGGGGTATTTGGGGATGGGCCCTTTGAACGACAGCGTTTCACCGGGTTTCATCTTGTGGATGTGTTCCGACATTGGTCCATTGGGGTAAACTTTTACCAAGAGTTCGAGATAGCCTTTCTCGTCTGTGGGAGCAAGTGAGCTGGAGAAGACGGTTGGTTGGTCGGATGGAATGGGAATGGTTACCTTCATCATTGATGGGCGTGTAGGGCCTGATTACAGGCTTTTCCTGATCGGCTGGTTTGAATTTTGTGATGATGGCAGCTGTGCAACAGATCAATGACCATGGCCAACCGCATAGACTTCCATGTTCCTTTCAACTTACACGCCACATTCAATCCGCTCACATGCTCCTTTTCCGGCAGCTCGAACTTGAACCGCTTGGTATTGTGGTTGTAGGGGATGATCTCGGCGAGCTTCAGGTCGACGAACCCCTGCTCGCCACCAGTGAAGGTCTTCCCGGGCACAGGGCCCTGCTTGTCCATCTCCTGCGCATCCTCGGAGGGCTTGGGGGCGGCGGCAGTCTTGCTGTTGGATCCGAGGAAGTTGTACCCAATGACGCCTGCACCCACGGCAACGGCGCCCACGATCCACGGTGTCGACGAGGAGGAAGGCTTCTGAGCGTCGGTCGCGTATGTGCGGAAGTTCTGTGCGGGGAGGTAGGTACGTGTGAGCTCATTTGTAAGCTGGAGGATAAAGCATCATGTCCATTGAGGGAGCAGCGGGTTGTCAAAGGATACGTACCTGGCGAAGAGGCCCGCAGGACCTCAGAACTGACCTGGCGAGCATGGTGGAAGAAGTTAGGTATAGGAGGAAGTGATAAGAACGAGGAGCAAGGGAAGATAAAAAAAAGTGTCGATCGGGAGACGTTGAGGGAAATGGAGATGGCGTCAACAATGGGAATTTGAGCACCGAGCTGGAGATGGAGGACAGTTACGCGTAGCCAATTGACGGGATCTCGGCCTTTACAGCATCGGAATCTGTTAAGGCCGAGCGAGCTATTCGGTCGTGTAGAGAAGCAATCTATCCATATGCAGAATACTTTACTATTAGACATGCTCGTTATCATGACCGAGGCCATCCATTATACCAATTCCTTCCTCCGATAGACCTTCCACCTCACAGCTCATATTCCTCAACGTCGTGTCCGATGTGGCCCACGCTTCTCAACGGTATTGCATCCCAGTCTGAGCTATCACTGTGTGCTAGGCACCTTTTAGCAGCCTCATATGCCCAGGCTCTCTCTTTCCTCAGTCTTAGCCTCTCTTTTGTATCGAGTGGCCGGTCTTGCGACGACCGATCTTGGACGGTCTGATCAGACAAGACCGGTTGGTCTCCTGGTTGACTGTCGAAGAACGAAAGGAACAGGCGCTCATCATTCCCGTCGTCCTCCACTGTATCCCCATCGAGGCTCTCCCGTTGTAGGTGGAATCCTCCATGGGTCTGGGGATCACCATTGGGGTTTAGCCCACCGGCTGCACGGTCTTGATCTGAACCTGCATCCCTGAGCTTAGCAGTCTTCTCGGGTGATCTCAGAATTTGCATTTCCTCGCATGAACTCATGTGCTTATCAGGGTTCGTATCTTGGAATTCTGTTTTCTGGGTATCGTCATTGTCTCGTTTCCTTTTCCCACTCGCGCTCTTGAGACCCTCCCTTTCCCTCAAATTTTCAACGACTTCTCTCGTCTCTTGGTCAAAGTAGAACGTCTGCTCTGAACAGAGGTCTCCGAAAAGCGCCTGCATGCTGAGCTCCTCGGCCCAGGTCTCCGGGCAGACTGTGCAGGGGCAGATATCCCTAGGTCGGAACATCTTAACAAACCCACGAAGCTCGTTATAGGAAGAATGACGAGAATAAGGAAAACGGATGGTATCGTTTGTCTCGATCTGAGGTCTTGAATCCTGATTGGAGTGCATGTGCTCCAGGAGCGAAGCATCTGTCTTCGCGTATCTGTTCGCCAGGAAGGGCAAAAAATCCTTCAACTGTATCTGACCATTCTGGTCAAGTCCCAACTCATCTGGTGCCTCAAGGGCGAGAGACAAGTCTCCTGTGGTGCCGAAGTGGCCAAGTGCTCGAAATACATTCAACTTCGACGTGGCGTCGTCCACGGAAGATGCAAAAAGGCCCATAAGCTGCTGGACGGATGCTTGATCCTCCACCTTCAATTCAGACGTGGGATAAAGGTCTCTCGCACCTCCTCCGGCTCCAAGTTCTCTAATTTCGGTTCCATCGCGGAGCCTTGATATTATGGGCGTTATCCACTTGATGTTCTTCCTTTGTTTGATCTCAGAGTGACACTTCAATCCGGGTTCGCAGCTATGAATTCTCGCATTGTTGTCTAGAGTGAGGCAACCGGGAAGCAGACTGTTGCCGACTGTGAAACCGGTCAGTGCAGCACTGTCACTCCCGTCAAGATTTTCGACCCCGTTGCCAAATATCCGGAGTTGATATCCGTCCACATGGACACGGGATTGCAAAATGTTGGACAGAGCGACCCAAACGTTTTCGTAGCCCAGAGTCCACGCCCGGAAGTAGAATATCGTGCTTGGAGGGCATTGCACCACTTTCTCAAGAAGCTCTTTCAGCCCTTCAGCTTTTGTTGGGAAGTCGCTGTATGGTTCAGCGCGAGTGGCAAAGGTGGTATCGAGATAGAGACAGTCAAGCCATTTTAGGCCACAAGTATAGGGCAGTAGGATGGGGTTTTGTACAATCGAATTCACCCACCACGTTTCAGCTCTGATGTCCCCCGTGTAAAGGATGGCCTTGCTATCGCCTTCTATCAAGAACATGACGGCACCGGGACAATGATTCGCATCCAGCAATGTCACCCGAATGGTGAGTTTCGGACCAAGCTCGAGTGCCGTCACCGTGTTCATCGGTATTGGTCTGAGGATCGTCTTTAGGTGCCGATAGTGTTGCTTGCGGGCTTCAAGGATGCCCTTGGCAAAGTTGATGCGATGGGGATACTTTTCCATGTGAAGCAGGATACGCTTGGTGGTAGCCGAGCAGTATACAAAGGGCATTTTGACCGACTCCAACCCAAGAAGGTGATCACTATGGACATGGCTAAGAAAATACGCCGCAGGTGGCGGCCGTCCTGGATGATGTCTGAAGTAGTCAATTCTTATACTGGGAAACTCCCTGACGAGGCCGTTGAAGGTCGACATTATGGTCAGAGCCGCCTATACCACTCGCGGCGCCAAATGCACCGACTGCAAGGCTGTAGGATCTGGCTCTTACCCCACAAGCTCCGGCCAGCTCCCAAGGAAACGGGAACATTCGTGGGGTGATGTTGCGAAAAGGCGACCAGTCAAGAGGCTGCCCGGAACAAATCCTGGCCAACAGCAACCATGACCTGCAGGGATTTCTCGAGCGAGGTAGGGGGGACTGTCGTATCGGAAACGCAGGCCAAAAGAGGACTGGCAGTAGGCGGGCCAGGCAGAGGTAATGGCGCAAAAGCTTGCCGCCTATTTGTCCACTTGACGAAGGCTGCTGCACCCAGGCTTCAGGGTCACGCACGGGGCTGACCTGGCCACCTGACAAACAGGAAAATCGCGAAAGGCGAAAAGCGGGTAGGGTCGTGATAGAGGACGTGACTGTGGTTCGAGGGTTCGAGGTGCGGCGGGCCAAATCCAGCTGGTTGGATCGATGGTGATGTGGCAGACCCAGTTCGACTTGGACTGTCACTCAAGGGAATGAAAGAGGAGAGGGAGCAGCAAACAGGAGGGAAACGATTGTGCCAACGCAGCGATTGCTGGCAGTCCAGCCCCAATTCAACGTCGATTCGCGATTCACTTTCTCATTCTCTCTTCTTCCTTGGTTGCTCTTCACGAGTCCACTCTTTCTGTCAGGTGTCGGTGTCGAATATATAGGCAGCGCCGGTGACACTGTGCAAGTCGAAACATCCCAGCTGGCAACGGTTTGTGTCAGTTGACGCCTGAACCTTTCGATATTGGCGGTATTAATTCAGTAAGCAGCGTCAGCGGCGGGGTCTAGGGAGCCTGTTCGCCTCCCCCTTCTCCAGTCTGGTGGTACCTGAAGCTAAAAGACGAGATCCTTGCCGGCCCCTTCCCAGGGAACAAGACCACCGACTCAGCGGTCTAGCGGACTCCTTCGAATTCCATCGGGAGCTGTCAAAACCTCAACGATTCCCCCTCACTATAATACGACCTTTACCTGCACTTCCCGCCCGCAATACCTCCCTAGCAGCCAACTCCTTCCTCCTCCCTCCTGTCTACCACCTCCCGCCAAATCCTATGACCTCTGACCTGCCTCCTCTTCCCCTGCAGACACCAATCAATTTCCTGCTCTCGGTCGAGCCATCTGCACACGCCATTGTACAGAGCTCCGAAGATCCTGAGCCCCAGCGCCGGCCAAACGTCGGTAGCCGATCATTTGCCATTCACCGAACCTCTCTTTTGCCTGTGACAGGGGTGCTACCATAATACTGGTCTGGGCGCAATCGTTGAGGTCAGCAAGAGACTGAGGAAAATTGAGAAGAACAGGTGGACTTCCCCCAATCACTCTGGGTAGACTGTAGCCCATCATGAGAAAACCGTCCATTCCAGATTTGATCTACCAGAGGACGTTCCCCAAACCGAAGCAGGGCGATCCAGTCTCCTTCTACGCTCATATTCAACGTCATATTGTGGGCGAAGTCCGGATCGAAGTACAGAACTTCTACGGGGCTCTTGACACGCTGGAAGCACAGTACCCTGGCCTCGACTACACGTTCCCTCCTCACCGCCGTCGACTGGCAAGATACGCGTGGCATAGACGTCTTTTCCGCGTCTTCGACGAACTAGGGCTGACCAACGACGAAATTCTGAATCTGTGCCAATGGGAAGGAACAAGAGCGGCCAAGGAAAGATACGAGCGTGAAGCAGGAGTCGAGGTCAGGACTACCACAGCCGATGATGTCGTCGCAGCGCTGCCCGGAAATGGTCCCAGAGCCGTGTTCGAAGATTCGTCTCAGCCAGCCTCCATCGACCGAGCATCTTCTAGTAGCGAGACACTGGTAGCAACCCCAGAAGAAAAAGAAGAATGCAAGGCCAAAGATGTGGACACTCCCTCGCCAGCACCAGAAGAGGACTTCATCGATTTGCTCCGCGATGCTATGCAATCTCGCCTACGAGGAGATCCTTCGGCCATCAATCAAGCATGGGAACAATGGCTCAAAGACACCTTGGAGCGGCACGACGAGATTGACATTGACCTGATCATGAACGCCATTCGAAACCTGGAGCCCGAGACACTGAGAGCTATTCAGCATGCCGGTGAGGATAGCGAAACCTTGTCACGATCCCCAACGCCCCAATCCCATGCAGATGCGTACCACGAAGCCAATCATCTTGACCGCGTAGAGACCGACAGCTCCCACGTGTCTGCTGAAAATGCATCCCTGTCAATGTTTGCGCGGAGATCACAAACAGAGGCAGCCAGGTGAAGGAGGCCATACTTCTTCCACTTTTCTCGTCATCATTCTCGGAGTTTACCAAAGGTATATGCTGGAGCTCGATGTCATTGGGGCCGGTTTTCATTTTTCCTTTCTGCGTGGTTGTTCAAAAGTACGGCTGAATATGCTTTTGATACTTAGATTTTTGTGGCAGACACGGAAGGTTTTTCATATCATTAGAGCGAGGCGTTGTTGAGGGATTGTGACTATTGGGCTGGCCTCCTATGTCGCCGGCGTTCTTGACCAACATCACTTTGTCACTGATTATGCAGGGTTTACGTGCTTAGCTGGAAGTCGAACTTGTTGAGCAAGCATGGGAACAAGGGTTGTTTGTGGTAATCATCCAGCAAGACGAGCTAAGGGCAACACACACAACATAATACGGCTATGAAATTAATTTATGGGCAAGGGCGGATCATCGAAGCTGAACAGGCAGAGTTTGACAACGCAAAAGCAAAGCAAAGCAAAGCAAAGTAAAGCGGGTATTGATTTTTGGCTTCTACAAAGAATCATACATATATCATGACACAATTTCCATCTTGTCCACCTTGGGGAAGCCCATATGGTCGGTCCCCTGACAAACCAACTGATCCGGCACGCAGCATCCCTAGCCGGCAGTGTTCCTCTTGACCACGCCCCTAGCGAACTCGCCAAAGGTCAGGCCGGTCTCCAGATCGACGGGCTCGTCCAGATTGGGCTGCGTGAAGACGGCCAGAGTATTGCGGGCGGTGCTCTTGCTCTTTCTGGGATCGACGCCCCGGACGAAGTGCGGGACGGCCTTGAAGCGGCCGCGCGTGATCATCTCCAGCGCTTCGCCGGTCTGGAAGGCCAGCGCGTCACGCGGGATGCCGACCTTGTGGATCTCGCCCGCCCGCGAGAGGATGTACAGGCCCGACTGCGGGTCCGGGGACGAGGGGAGCTCCGTGTACGAGGACGAGGATGGGGGCGAGGAGGACTCGTCGAGGAACATGGCTGAGGTCAAGCCCGTCAGGCACCCGTGGTCGAGGTGCGTGGTGCACCAGGAGTCGTCGATCTCTGGCCCATCGTCGCTCTCTCCCTTCTTATCCTCTTCATTTGCTGCGGCGGGGGAGACGTGCCCATTTGTGACATCGCCATTCCCGTTCACGTTCTCCTGCAGCGTGGGGAAATAATGCAGCAGCCGCGCCTTCGTCGTCTCGCTCCCCCGGACAACTTTTTCCAGATACCCGGCTTCGTAGCCGTCGATCTCGTGCTCGGCGAAGCTGTCGCACGCTCTCGCGACCAGCACGGCCGTGTCGATGATCAAGCGGATCAGCTCTTCGGCATCGCTCTTGAAGTGCGGAATGTCCCCCTCCTCAGGCCACACGTTGGGCGCGGTGTACTCCTCGAAGCCCGGGAACCTGTCGGCGTCTGCGGACTGCAGGGAGGGGGACTTGTAGAAGGCGCAGTTAATGTAGTAGCTGCCCTTGGCCGTATCGACCACGCCCGGCCGCAGGGTTTCGACGCCGTGGCTCCAGCCGACGAGATACTTGGCGCTGGGCTTGGTCAATTTCTGCAGGGTCGCCGGAGGGAGGTGGGCAAGCCGCGAGGAGTTGGAGAGGACCTTTTGCCGGAGAGGTGCGAAGCTGGACGGGAGGTCGGTCACGATAAGGATGCCCAGGCTGTCCGGGCCAAACGCATCGAGGAGGGTGCTGAAGGGGACCGTGTTGGACTGCAGGTCCTGCAGGGAAACAGCGACGGGTACGGCTTGCTTGTATTTCATGGTGAATGGTGAATGGTGAGAGGTGAGAGGTGAGAGTTGGAAAGCGGTGTTTGTTGCGCAGTATATCGAGCGCGGAGAGGCGAGGTGCTCAAGGATCTGCCTGCGCTGTGAGCATCATGTCCTTCTCTTGCGCCACGAGAGATCCATCGCCTCTGGTCTCCCACAAACCTGCAAACTCCCAATCGACTGACTGTTCTTTTTCTGATGGTCACGAAGAATGCAACGTTGTCTATCAGTCTTACCCCACAGTCAGAGTGGAGGCCACCACCCAGCACGGCGAGTGCGTTAGCTTATTCATGGAGGAACATGCATCGGCGAGCTCCGAGCAGAGATCGTCGCGCCGAGGCTAGTGAAGCTTGAACTTGACTGAGGCTCCTTTGGGGGATAGGTAGATGTAACCACACGACGATATGGATGTCGCCAAAAGCCAAAGCATTGTAGACCACGACAAGTAACTGGAGAATGATGTATTTTCATTCTTCATTACCACGCCTATCACTCTTTCTTTCGTAAGTACCTATGTACAGACTTTGTCCAATTGAACCGCTCGCTTACTTCTTCAAGCCAAAAGCATCGAGCAGCTTCGGAAGGTAGGGGGTTCCCCAGCCGGTCACCGCATCCCACCCAGTCGTGGCAGGGAATCCAGTCGTATTACAGCCAGCGGACGTGCCGTTCGTGACATCAGTGAAGAGGGTATGGCCCCATTTGTACAACCAAGGATTGAGGAAACCCATGGGAGGGCGTCCCTCAGAGATCAACGCATCGTTCAGCAGCGTGAATACAGACGCGCAGATGGGTGAAGAACCAGAGGTGCCAACTAGGTTGAGTGTGCTACCATTCCATGTGATCGGGAACACCTGTCCAATGCAGGCAATATCAGGGTAGGCGCGTCCTAGATGGAAAAACAGAGTGTTAACAGCTTGAATCCGTACAATATGTAATCTTCAAATACCCAGAACTTACCTGATTTGTTATAGAGTCCATCGTAGAGCCCTCCGAGGCTGTCGACATATGCATTCACAGTCTCGGCCTGGTAGGCGGGCATGTCAAAATAGTTGCTGAAGCCCGCTCCACTCGTGAAGATACCTCCGTCACTCAGCAGCCTCCAGGCCGCCGATTCAGGATAGCCAGTTGTCGCTCCAACCGTGGTCACATAGGGGCAGTCAGTGGGAAACGACGGAAGGAACATGGCGGTGGTGTTGTCCACGTTGCTGAAACACTGCCCATCTGACCCGACCCCGAAATCACCACTGGAAAAGAACAACGACACGCCTCGTGCTCCTAGTTGCGCGAATTGGTTGCAGACCGCTTGGGCATAAGAACGACTGACAGTTTGCTCGTCATCGCCGTAAGAGGTGGAAATGACTTGGGGAACCTCGTCATCCGGCAGCCCTGCCATATAATTGGCCCACACCAGAAAAGGCTCGTCGCTGTTGGTAGGCGTCACCAAGTCGGGCACAAAGGACGGATCTCTCCCACCGGTGTGATATGCGGTCAAGGGCGTCGGGTAGCCAATGCCAAGCATGTAATCCGCATCCAAGTCTGCTTCTCTATCCAGATCCTCTGCGGCGACGTTGGTGCCATTGTCCAGGACACCACCGGCAATGGAAATAGCCTCAAACTGGTACGCATACGCAGCTGCGTCAGGTCGGTACTTGGACAAAAAGATGTGAATGTCCGAGCGGTTGGTGGCCTCACTCAAGTAATTTGTGTGGCCCATTTTGTTCTGTCCGGCCGCCTTGACCTCATAGTCAATGGTGCCGTAAAGGGTGCGCAAGCAGTCTGGAGTCACCGAGGTGAAATTACATGCAGCATAAACGGTGGAGTTCGCGGGCAAAGGAACCGCATCGGGGGGCGAGTAAGTGTCTGCAGCTTCGAGCACATGAGAGCTACGCTTGTTGACCAAAGAGCGCTTCCCGATCTCGCTTCTCTTCTTTTTGCCCTCAAGTCGAGCCCACGAATTTGTTGGCTGGATCGTGCTGATATGTTTGTGAACATAGTGGGGCAGGGAATACCCTTCCGTGCGCACGAGTGTCGATCCGTCAGGATGTTCCCAGACCGAGTAGTCCGTGTTCAGCATGTCCTCAATCGTGGAGACGGGCAGGGAGACTGTAATCCAATCCCTGGCCGGGCTGTAGGTGAGTTGCTCAACGTTAACGTCATATTCCTGTAGCCATTCGTGGATGGCCGCCGAGGTCTCATCTGAGGGTTTCACAAGGTCATGGACTTCTTCAGCTGACAAGTGCTGGCCATAACGGGCATGTGATGGATCGGAGACTACCCAAGGGTCAGCTCGGTCGACCAAGGTCTCCAACACAATACCTCGTACCTTCATAAAGATGGCGTTCAAGTTCGTCAAAGCGACTTTGCGAGAGACCAATGGTTAAGCGAATGAGATGTTCACCCGGCGCAGGGCCCAGGTTCGTCCAGGCCTTAGGAGCGGGATGGAAGTCTTTGACGACAAGGTCAGATCGACGAGTAACGGGACCAGCTGCAACAAGGGAAGCTTGAAAGCAGCTCAGAAGAGACAATGCCGAAGTAAGCATGGTGGATGCTTGCAAAGGAGCCATGCTCGGAAAACCTGGCTGGGGGCGCCGCAAGCGACCAAGCGACACGATCGACCGACGAGAACGACCGACGGGGTACAAGATAGAGCGAGAGGAATACTTGAGTTTCCTCAAAACCAACAGCGGCACCGACTCACCTAAATACCTGAGCTTTGGCACAAACGAAGCAAGGTGCGAAGGCCGCTCCTTCTGCATCCTGCCCGTGCACGCAGCAATAGCAACGTCATGTAGCATTGAGCTGATGTCCTATCCTGCCTCTTTGGACGTAGCTCCGAGAGATAAACAAGCATTGAGGTGGCATCGCGGACGCAAGCATCCACCCGTAGGTGTCGCTAGCCCCTGCATTGGGGCGAAGGGAGGATAAAGAATTGGACGGTAGCTCTCAGGACCGAGGTACGAGTAGGGCTGCGAGGCCAGGATTGGACGAGTGCTTGAACAGCTTCTAGATTAAGCATAGACATGGAGGGAGTCGTTGGTGGGATCGACATTGTGGCGGATACGAGCCCCGGGGAGGAGAACGAATCGGTGGGGAGATAAGCTCTGGCGAGGTGGATAGAAGTGGCATTGGAACCTTCTGTGGACGCGTGATGGACATCTAATGGAAGCAGATGTGGTAGATTTCTCATTGAAGTGTTACCATTGATCCCTGGCTGTCATTGGCAGGAGACGGGAGATGTGCGCAATCTTAGCGAATTTGGCGACGATACGAGCTACTTCAGGGAATAAAGCCGCCACCAACGGATGGCTGGCTGAGGACTTGCTGGTTACACGACCAGAGGTCAGAGTTGTAATCTCGTATGGCACGGCGCCGGGATGACGCTGCAAATTGTAGTGAGGGACAGTGACAGGACAAAGATGAAATACAGGGAGATCAGATGAAAGTGAGGTGGAGGTGGAGGTGAGGGCGCAGGCAAAAGTGCAAGCGGGAAGATCAACGCCTGGGGGTTGATCAGGGAATTACGAGTCCAGTCCTCGTGAGCATCGGTTGCCCTCGGCTGCTCCCGGACCAAGCCCGCTAACGTTCTACGGGCGTCCCTCCTGTTGTGCCTATGAAAACATGCTGACAGGGACTTTTGGTACGCCCATTAATAGGCTCACTAGGCTTAGCACTAGGTAGGTACCCAGTAAAAGTAGATCCCCGTACTTCGTTCTCCGTACCCTTCCTCCCCCCTCCAGCCTCGACTTTTCTCGCTACCTGCCTAATATGTAGGTACACCATTCCTCCTCCTTCCTTCCTCCTTACCATTTTTACAACTTCAACACCCTTAGCCCGCTCAAACGGTGACTTAATCAGCCAGCATTCCACCCGACTTCGATGCCCAAGACCAACTTTCCAGGTAAACAAGAGATCCCTCCGCTTGTGCCTGTCACGAGATAGCCCACCATGCGACAAGGTCTTGGGCTCAAAAACCACTCACCATACTTCGTACTCAAAATGACTCAAAGCATCAATTCCTTTTGCAAGGGATTAGGCGTCTGTCTGCCTTGTCTTGGCTGCTTGCACCAATCATCGTCTTCCCCAGGACTTGTTCTTAGGCTACAACGGTGTCTGCTTTCCAGTCCTTTCTTCAGGCTTTTGTCCTTCTGGAGCCTTTCCTCGTGCCTCATTGCTTCGTCCGCTGCCTGCGGCTGCGAGTATACATGTAAGTTGGCCTCGCCGGCGCCGGGCGTGAAATAACAGCATCATCCTCATTCTCTTCTGTTCTTGTGTCTCTCACTCAAACCACCCGACATATCGAATCACACCGTACCCACCTCAGCCTTGTCTCATCATCTGCATGCATCTGGCGCCATGTGCAATCTCTTAGTTCCTTTGTGTCCTTTCGTGCTCCACTCTATCACCCCCTCCAGCTGTTCTCTCCCGCAGGATGCCATCTCAAATCCTTCGTCGGATGCAAAGATCCTGTTCTCCTACCTATCGAAACGGCCATACAAGTCTTCTCGCAAGCAGGAAAACCAGACACAATCCCCATCGAAGCCCTTAGCCTTACCTTCCCTCAAGCTCTACAAGCGCACAACTTGGCATACATGCCCGTGCTTCTTCAACGGCATCGCCATTCTGCATCCCCTACCTGGCCCCAGTCGACCAATTTTCGGGAGTGCACACAAATACTGTGTGAGATGTTCCTCAGCGGCCAAGCTCTTGCGGCCGGCACGACGTGGTGGACCTGTGGATCAATACACAAGGAATGACCCATACTGGAATCGCTGTGTCTTTCTCGGTGCAAGTGGAGTCTTCGAACCAAGCACTGCCGATGACACCAATAGTGCAGATAACGGAAATTCAGCCAATGTGCAAGGTCAACCCTTCCAAAGCCACTGTCGAAGAGAGTCGGCGGAAATCCCAGACCGTCACGAATGGTACTACAACGACGAGCCCAGTACACGACCCCGAACCGACGAGGATGACGTGAAGGGCCGGGGAGAGGAAAAGAAGGATCCCCAGGAATCAGGCTCGTCAAAAAAGAAAGGCCGTTACGCAACCGACCTGGACTCATACTTGCAGGAGACTTACGGGCCAAAAAGGAAAACCAAACACCCGTGAACAGTATCATCAAATGCTGGAGGATACAGAATGAAGGGGCTGTAACGGATATGTACATGTAATAATACAGAATGGACATGGATGCATGCAACGGGAATATTGGGGTGACGTTCCACGTGACCTCTGGCTCCCTTTCAGAGGTTATTGACCATCATTGTTCCCATAAAATCTAAGTCGTCCATGTTGCTCATTCCTATGCGAACATGTTGGTCAACCATGTCAGAGCCTGAAAAAGTATTGCTCCCACTGCGACAAGTCGGGCTAGCTGTATTGACAACTCGCAGACACCCGCGCCCACGAGGCGTTTCCTTCCTCCATCTTCGTCGTCCACGGTAAAACAGACTGGTCCTCCCTCCCTACCCAGGAACCCATTTCAGAGCTCGCGCTCCACACAGCCACCGTCTGCTGTCCCCTGCTCCTCCTCCTCCTTCGCCGCTACGCCGCGGTTCCAACGGCCAACTCCGACGGTCAGGGATGACATCCAGACGAACTTTGACGAGGCGCCCGAGTCGGCGATACCTTCGTCCAAGACCGGCGTAATTGGTCGTCAGGGAGATATCCTCGACCTCGACGACGACGAAGTCTACCCGACGCCGTCGCCGCTGTACAGTCGAGGTCACCAGAGTGATAGATCACCGCTACAGCATCGACTCCGAAAGTCTGCTCCGGTCGCGAAACGGCGGAAAGTGACTCGCCCTGGCGCCAGCGTCGTTGAGCCCATTGCCATTTCCTCTTCTCCAGAAGATGATGACGACCTTGAAGAAGTCAACCTCCAGGTCGACGCGGGCTCCCCCACGTCGCACTCCGATCTGGACGACGACCTCAATCGGCAGACTGGGCGCGCGGCGTCCGTCAATGAATCGAGCAGAATCGCCCGCTTCCGGCCCGTCGCTCAAGGGCTGAGTCCACCCAGCCCCGTCCCGAGGACCGTCTTCAAATCTGTCCCAGACGACTACGAACACGCATCAATGGGAAACGGACCTGTCTTACCAGACATATTCTCGCCCTCGCGTCGCAAAAGCAAGCGGGACTATCTTCCCGGTGGCAGCGCGTCCCTCGTCCGAAGCTGGGTGCTGGACATCGCGACGCAGGAATCTCATGCGGAATCACTTGCTGAGGAAACGCTCCAGATAGCAGAGATCGAGAGGGACGTGAGTGGACGCCTTGTCGTCGTCTCCGACGAGAAGGGCCGCCGGTGGCTACTCCCAGAGCAAGAGCGGCAGCAGCGGCAGCATGAGAGACCCGGCACAAGTTCCAGCTTCGACGGTTTTGATCTCCACCCCGGGTCGCGAATTCTCATCAAAGGCAAAGCTACGAGGTGGTCCCTCGACCTCGAGTCTCAGGGCCTGGGGACGGTCGTCGTTGCTGCCTACTGGGAGCCGGTCTCTCCAGGTTGAAGAGCATTCAAACATGCTGTCTGGCTCGCTGTTGAGCGAGAATTTACATCCCACACATCGAGAAGCGGTCTCGTAACAGAGCATGGGATTATTCTGCTTATGTTACGGCATTTGACTCTCAAAAGGTGTTTGTAAACCAAGCATTTCTGAACGACGTCTGTCTCACCCCGGTCGAAATGTCAAATACTTCCGTGCGACCCCACGATGGTAAACGAATCGAAGTCTCGTCGAGCGTGATTGAATGACACAATGCTATATCACATACATGATCGGTAATGAATGGTTCTCTCATTCTGTTATCTTTCCATCATACAGACCCTACTCGAAAGGGGTTCAACGAGCATTGGGTGCACATTCTGGGAAAATCCAAGTTCGGACATATTAGGGCTTCGAAAAGAAATAGGTCACGAATGATCCGTTGTCACTTGCAATTTGGGGCTTTCATCCTGGTCAGACAAGCAATCGTGCACACACATCACCAACTTCTGACGGATGCCTCATCCGACTTTTACCCTTTACTTGGTGGCCATGGCGCACTTCCCAAGGTCCATCTTGACGGGCTCCGCGCCAGGCGAGATATCGAAGCTGAAAACGTCCATGGGCAGGCCGATCGTCGTGCAAGCGTTCGGAATATCCACAATCCCTGCCACGTGCCCTTCAATCGGAATACAACTCAGCATCAGGTAGATCTGATAGTCACTGTACCCGTATCGCCTGAGGTACTCGATCACCCGCAGACAAGATTGACGGTAGGCGACCGTAGCATCCATATAATGCTGCTTGCCGTGTTCGTCGACGCTGAAGCCTTCGAAATAGATCATCCGGCCAGGCCCGAACTGTGGCTGAACGGGGCCAGGAATGTAAATGGGAGACTTCCCGCCGACCATGCCGAGTTTACGCTGGCCGTCTTTGATCACATCGAACTTAATGGTGATGATGCCGGCAATCTCAATGGCACCGCAAAACGAAATTTCACCGTCGCCCTCTGAGATCATAAGGAAACATGAGTTAGCGACGTCGAAGGTGTCGTGGGAGATGGCGGAGTGAGAAGGAACCTACGAGAGAAGTGCAGGTCTCCCACGGAGAATTTGGCACCCTTGACATGCACGGGCAAATACACCTTACTTCCCCGTGACAGATTCTTGATGTCACAATTCCCGCCGTGCTCGGGACGTCCGGGGATCGTCCTGGCACCCTCCTTGCCGACTCGGGCTTTCGTGTCTTCGTCGGCCGTGCCGGCGTGCACGCTCCTGGGCTCTGGAGGCTGTGCCACAACACGCTTGAGGGATGTAGTCGAGATGAGCTCGGCCTCACGCTTGTTCCATTCTGCGAGGATCTCGTGGGATGGTGCGCAACCTAGAATACCTGGATGGATAAGTCCCGCAAAGCGAACGCCGGGGATATGTCGCGAGGAGCAGAAGATGCCCTCGAAGTCCCAGATAGCCTTGGCACTACCATAGCGGGGGTTGTCAGACAGCGCACAGCCGTGCGGAAAGTCAGAGGAAATCCTTACGCCTCAGGATAGATCTCATCCAGAAATCCGCCACCATTGTCCTTGTGGAACACGCCGGTGAAGCCCCACGGATGGTCTTGGAATGGCTGAACGTCTTGAATCTCCACCAGGAGCACGTCTCCAGGCTCTGCGGTTTCGATCTCGAAGGGGCCAGAAAGGTAGTGGACCTGGGTCAGGTCGACATTCACAACATCATCAGCGTCGTCGGTGTTCTTGATCTGTCCACCAGTCCAGTCCAAACATTCGATCTTCACAGTCTCCCCGTTCTTGATGGTTCCGCAAAAGGGCACTGGGAGTTGAAATTTAGTGATGGACACGAGAGACATTGACATTAACGTACCATCAGGGTGCCATCTGTTCTGGAGCGCATGTCAGTCGCTGGGCTTGTCCCCTGCTGTTTCAGTGCTCACATGTAGATATGGTTGGTCTTTGGCCGGCTTGTCCAGATCAACCTTCAATGCAGTCCTAATTGGGCCGGGCATAGTGGCGAAGAACAAGAATCTAGCGGGGAGCGATTGGCGATGCCTTGGACAGGATGATGTTTCAGTAGTCGACTCGTGAATTGCACTTGAGGCTGGCTGAAAGAGGAGTTGCAGAATCTCGTTGGGAGTCTCGTCTCATATCAAAGAATTGTTTACTGCTTTGCGGGGCATGAGCGATGATGAGCATTGGGATTACCCCTCACGCGAGTGATAGGCACTTGTCCGTTGGCTTGCATTTGGTCTCCGTCATCAAGGTGGTGAAAATGGATGAAATAACGTTACAGCTTGGGTGGGACTCGATAAGAAGCATCAAGACCCAATAATGGCTGCACCACGGCGTCTTGGTTATACCAGGAAAGGCAGCTATGCTGGACGAACGGACGTTGGTCTCCCCCGCGTGTCTGGACATACAGCAAGTTACGTATGCGATACCCGGAAGGCCATGGCTCAACCACTGTCGAACCACCAAAGTATGTGTCGTGTTTTATCGCAGGTGTGCGGGCTTCTCCTTTTCTGCGCGAGAGCACGTGACTGTCGAGCCTGGACAGCGGCGCGTCCTGGCAGGTGGCTGATGGTGGTTGTCCGTGGGATAAGGAGGAACGCCTGAATGGCACATGCCAGCCCTAGATGCTGGAAGGGTTGCTGCAAAGAGGCGGAGGTGGCTGACAGCCGTCTCAACCATTCGTGCCAGTTTCCTGTTGCACCGGCGTCGACGCTCCAGTACTGGTCTTGGTGTTGGTCGCGGAATCCTTCTTCGGTAGACTTGTATCAATCTCGATGGTGACCTGGGTTGTTTAGCACTGATATACTCACCCTTGGACCATAAGTAGTGAAAGCAAATCTTACTGGGCCGTCATTGACAAGGCTAACTTGCATCATGGCTTGGAAGACACCATCTTTGACTCTATCCGAGCCGTGCTGGTCACGAACGCGACTCACGAAATAGTCATACAGTTCTTTGGCAATTTCTGGCTTAGCAGCCTCATGAAAATCGGGCTTGGTACCCTTCCTCGTGTTGGCCATGAGCGTGAATTGCGACACACACAAGATCTCTCCCTCGATATCCTGGACGCTCTTTTTCCAGTTGAAGTCATTCTCGTCCGGCCACAATCTCATCTTTACAACTTTGGACGCCATGGTTTCGACGTCCTTCTTTGTGTCATGGGGGCCAATCGCAGCAAAGACCAGAATTCCTTTACCGATGGTCGAGACAGTCTGACCATTCACGGTGACGGAGCTCGATAGGACTCGCTGCAGTATTGCTTTCATCTCGCCGAATTGGAATCGTACCCGCCTCGAGACTTACTGAAGCGCAGAGGACGCGAGATACTTGGACGTCACGTCGGAATTCCTGGATCACCTGTGCCGCCAACTGCGTGAGACCTGGTGTCGGTTGCGGGCAGGAACGATAGAGGCCCGGGCGTCCTCCTGGTGAAGAAAGGGACGCTACAGGTGACAGGCGCGTAAAATAGTGAGTGATGAAGAGAGAGCCACAAGAGCAAAGTGCTGAGGAATTGGTGGTCGACATGGACCACGCCAAGACCACAGTTCACCCTAAAGCGGTCCTTCACGTGATTCCCGACCTCCATTCAACCCTTGCATGCCGCAATAGACACAGCGCGCGGCTGCCAGTACCGCAGGCAGGTCCAACTACAAGACACGTCCATGCGCCCTCCGTCCCCTTCATAGAGCCTCCCTTCGATCCTGGCATCCTCGCCGCATCTCCCACCACCTTCGTGAATGTCGTCATATCACCATGGCGTCGCGGAAAACACAACAAGAAATCGACAAGACCTTTAAAAAGGTCGACGAGGGTATCCAGGCGTTCGAAGCCATCTATGAGAAGATCTACTCATCCCAGAATGCCGCGCAGAAAGACAAACTGGAAGACAATCTCAAGAAAGAGATCAAGAAACTGCAAAGATCCCGCGACCAGATCAAGACATGGGCTGCGGGCAACGAGATCAAAGACAAGTCTGCACTGCTGGAACAGCGCAAGCGAATAGAAAAAGTGAGGCTTCCCCGTGGCACACTGTCTCGGGATGTGAACTGACAACGATGCAGTGTATGGAGATATTCAAAGCGGTGGAGAAGGAGATGAAAACCAAGGCATTCTCGAAGGAAGGGTTGTCGCAGAACGTCAAGCAGGATCCCAAAGAGAAGGAGAGAGAAGAGCTCTGTGACTTTCTATCAGATCAGTTGGACGAGATCAACAGAATCCTGACGGAAGAATTGGAGCCCGAGGCCGGTAATCTACAAGCCGCACTGAAAAAGAAGCAGAAAGATAACTCCAAGGCCGATCGACTCGCGGAGATCGAGACCATGACCGAGACATACAAATGGCATGAATCACGCCTACAACTTCTCCTACGATCACTACAGAACGGCAACGTTGAGAATGACCTAGTGGCATCGATCAAGTCCGACATTGAAGAGGTGGTCAGGGAAGTGCGAGATCCGGATTTCGATCCCGAAGCCTACGAAGGCATCTACGACGATTGTAATCTGGACAGCGAAGAGGCGCAGTTTGGACTGAACAACGATATCGACCGAATATCATCTCAAGATGCGCAGTCCATTCAGGAAGACGTCGAGGTGGATACAAACGCACTCAAGAAAACGAAATCAGAAACACACACGGCCGCACGACGACCTTCTACCCAACTCAAGTCTCCTCTGCCGGCCCTAGCTACGCTGAATACCATGCCACCGCCGCCGTCAATACCCAAAGACTCGACGATGAAACCTGCACCAATCCCAAATCGGCCCCCAGGCGAGACCTTGAAATATGCCTCAGCAGCGGCCGCAGCAGCAGCAAGCGACAAAAGTGGAGTGGGTATTGCACCTCTTCCTCCACCAGTTGGAACAAACGCCGTACCTACATCACATCCATTGCCTACCCCAGTCAAGACGTCCGCAACGAACTCGCCAGCCTCAATGCCAGCACAACCGGTGGAGAAGACTGCCTCGCCAGCACCTGCCGCGGTAAGTATGGATGGCTCAACGTCGCAGGAGCAATCCAATCATTCCAAGTCTCCCACTTTAAGTTCCACCAGCGCCCGGGCTCCAAGTATTCCGAGCAGCATTCCTCCGACGCCCGCCATGGAGAAATCAGAGGCTGTCCACGAGCCAGTGATTGCAGACGAACTACCCACCACGAATGGTGACGTGCACGACGACCCAGCCGCGGTCGAATCGATATACCACTTGCCTCCAGGACTCCAAGATCTCCTCGACTCGTTCGAGACCACCAAGAGTCGGGCTGCTCAGCCGCCTTCACAACTAGCCAGACTGCTGCAAGCTTCTCAAGAGACTTGCCCAGAACCGTCCGACAGTGATCGGCCCCAATACTACCGACCAACGTTCAAGTACAACACTCCGGCGCATTATCCGCAGGATGTTCTGCCTATCTTTGATGATCCGGCACTGTACGAGAACCAGCGGCTGGAGACAGACACCCTGTTCTACATATTCTACTATCGGCAGAATACCTATCAACAGTGGTTGGCGGCCCGTGCACTCAAGAACCAGAGTTGGCGGTTCCACAAACAGTATCAAACGTGGTTCCAACGTCACGAAGAGCCCAAGCAAATCACGGAGGAGTTTGAGCAAGGCACATACCGCTTTTTCGACTATGAGAGCACATGGTACGTCTCATGCTTCCCCCCCTTGGCACTTGACCGCTTCCCGTTCTAACTTCGTGCAGGATGAACAGGCGGAAGGCAGATTTCAAGTTTGTCTATAAGTTCCTTGAAGACGATCTGTAGGATAGCTCATTCAGTCAGCGGAGTGCTGCCGTCGGCCCGCTGCATGCATTACAACTTGCCCGCTTTGGGGGAGGGGTTTTGATCACCTCTCCAAGAAAGCAACAAAGCTCGAATTCTGCAACTTTGCAACCCTTGTTCTCAGATATGCTTCAGGTGCCACGCCCGCCAACACGGGGCCTGGCCTTGCCTCGCTTGGGAACATGGGGTCCACTCAAGGCGCTCTGCGGAAATGTGTGCTACTCGTGTTTTCGATTGTTTGTCCATGTGGCAGGCGGCAGCCTAGCTTCACCACCGCCTCACTTTCGGTGTTACAGAAATTTGCCTTGCCGGCGACTGGATCAAGAGACAAACATGAGGCCCCGTCGCGACTCACTTGAGGCTGTGATAAAAGGCATCCAAAACTAGGCCATATCGCGTTAGAATCCGCAGCTCGCACGAATAGGAACCTGGGCCTTCTCTCCCTCAGCCTCCTTGTCCCGACCCGCTTTAGTCCTGAATCCATGCCGCTACTTACCAAGGTACAGAGCCGCCCTGGTCCGCGAAAGGCAACCATGCACGCCATGATGTTCGAGGGAGCAGATCTCTGACGGACACTGCCGAGTCTGAAACCGTCCCGGAAAACATTCGTGCCTTGACAGGGCGGACGAACCAAGAGAATCACACACCGACTACCCGGGTGTGTCTCCCACGTCGTCCCGGGTTGGAGACCATCCATGGGGCTGTCATAACATAGTGGATTCGTGGCCATCTTCCTTTCTTCCCGTGCCCTCGCTTAACGATGCCACTGTGCCCGCGGTTGATTTGGCCGTTACCTTCCCAACTCGGTCTGGCGTCCAAGGAATTCCAGTATCGAGGCAGTGTTACCATAATCCCCTTGTTCTGCCCGATGATGCTTGAGTGTGCTTCACAAATAAGAGCAGCAAACTGCAGGTCCAAATCTCGACAGGGGTGCGAGCAAGCGAATGGCCGTATTGTCGCAACACACACAGGTAAGGAACGCTCGTCAGAGGGATGAGCCCTAGAGGTTAGCCTCACATTGGGGAAATATAGTCTTGATTGGACCTCCACTGACCAACAGCCCACTTGTGACATTGCTCTCCGTGCTGGGAAGTCTATCGACACAGCGACTTGGTCGCTTCTGCCCGCTAGGCTTGTACGAGAGCGTCAGGTGCTTCCCTTCAGAGCATTTGGTCTTTTCACCCGGGAGGACACCCGCGCTAAATTCCTGCATTGTCCTCTCTGTCGAGTGGTTCAATACCAATGGTCTATTGGCCTTGGAAGTCTATCGGCAGCCGGTGGTTCATGGATGGCCGAGTCAGTCTCCTAACCCTGTCAGTCATCCCTTTGTGTCCTGTCTCGATATCGTTAACTATCCGGTACAGCCTCCCTTCCCAGCATAGCTCGAGTTTGCCTTGTCTCTCGAAGGACATCGGCTGGCGGATACTTGAGAGAGTCCCTCTCCCCTGACTATCTGACGCTCTAAGCTCTGAATATCAGCGTAAGGCTGAAAGTCGAACCCGTCTATTTACGTCCATCTCATGAACAACCACCTGTTCCTTTCTCGAAGCCGGGTGCTGCTGCTCCTTCTCGTCTGATCAATCTGCGTGTCCGAGGAATTGTTGCACCATCATGGCAAGCTACAGCCATCGCGACTCCTTGAGGGATCCTTATGGTCCGAATGGGTATTTTCCTTCGCACCAACTCTCGATGAGCATGCCAGAGGCTTCATCTGGCCTGCTGATCACGATGCCGACGACGACCGCGTTATGTGAACCCGACAGTCCAACGTACAGCAACAGTTTCTGTACTCCTCGCACGATTGCACCCAATCCAGGTTACATGCTCGCGCCTCCCATTCATGGATACCACTCAGAAGAAGCGTACGCCGTCACTGGCCACTCGGCCAGTGCAAGGGGTCGAAGCTGGAGCGGAGCGAGCACAGTCAGCGTGGACTACAGTGTTGCCAGCCAGGAGTCAAAGCCTAGGTCACCCTACTCTTTCATCGAACCCGGTGGTCAGTATCGGGTGATAGACAACAGCCGAGGCCATCATACTGGGGGCCGGGCATTGCACTCCCACCAAGAATCATCTCGGGTTCAGGAGAATCAAGAGCTTGTGCCAAAACAAGAAGGCGAGGGGAGCATCAAGTAAGTACTCCGTCCATTTCATATCGCTGAAAAGCCCAGATCCCGTGAATGCGCTATTGGGGATTAGGAAATCATCCTTTCTGAGAAGTCTTTTTTCTAATATTGGTACAGGACTCTTGCTGACCACCGGACGTACTGTCCGCATGAAGACTGCTTGGGTGAAGACGGAAGCCCCAAGAGGTTTTTCAGCCGCAAAGCGGATGTGACCAGGCACTACAGGTCTCGACACGACATCAAGTACATTGATTGTCCCAAGAGAAACTGCGAGAGAAAGGGCAGTCAAGGCTTCACGAGGCGAGACCACCTGACAGAACACCTTAGAGGATTCCACATGGAAAAAATCGCAAAGAGACAGATGGCTAATACCAAGTTCAAGCGAGGCGAGAAGCAGGCGAGCGAGGACAGCAACGGGTCCAACAGCTCGTCTGACGGTCTCAGTCCGCCCGACCATGGCGACGAGAGCTTTCGCTTCGGCTCTGGCAAGCAAAGCATGGCACAACACATTGACCAAGGTATCAAACAGGAGCCTCTGCCATCGTCTGATGAAGAAGGCGAGGATATCTTCCCACTACCCGCGTATGAAGACTATCTTTCTGAGAAGCCGACGTGGTCCAACCAGAGCAAGGCCCCGGTCGCACAGGATCATCATCCACTGCCCATGAGACAAAGCAACATGCCATCTCAACACGCTGCGGGAAGTGGAACAGCTCGAACAAACCCTCACGGCCTGACTTTCCAACCCAAATTCGCGACATCTCGAATGATATCCGCCTCGTCGGCATACACGACGCACCACCACCCGCATCAACACCAACACCAAGTTTACAGCAGCAGGAGCAGCAGCAGGAGCAGCATGATGACGCCTCTCTACGCCACCACCTCAGGGATGGATGCGATCTATGCTCCTTCGTCAATGACCCAGCCCTATAGTGACCTTCCAAGCCAGCCAATCGTTCGTTACCGACACGAGAGTTACCAACTCGGGTCTCTCGACGACTCCGATTTCGTACCCATCCAAGAGTGAATGAAAATCACACCCGGTGGTGGCAGAATGCAGTGGATGGAAGGGGCCCTGCCTGCCTGCCTGCCTGCCTCGATGGCTGTGGTTCGCACACGGCCTGCTCGGTGGGAAGGAGACACGACGTTTGATGAATCATGACAATGATATTTGTAATGGTTGTTTGTTGATTTTGGGGTTCCTTGGGCTGCTGGCTGGGTCGGGATCCGCTGTTGGAAAGTCTCATTGTACCAAAGGGTTGTGGTATCATTCTCTTCTTCGATTCTTATTGTGTTTTTGTTTTTGGCATTGATGACAACACTACTACACCCCATTATGATGGGGTACGAGGACATGAACGATAGATACCCGAATTACCACGAGTCTAGTTAAAACCCCTACGGGGAGTTCCTACGTTATCTACTATATGGTTGTAAACTCTTGGTTGACATATGTATTTCGGTCCCTCCCCCACTTCCTTTAGGGATTGAGGCAGGCCTCGTATTTCTCTCGTGAGTGTGAATGTGCTCCTCGTCGATGGCATATCGGTCACACATAGAAATCAACTATTCACGATTCTCTTTCGAGTTGTCCCCTCTTCTCTGCTTCTCCGTTGTCCCAGATAGATACCTTTCTTTGTAGATTTGTTCCTCTGCTTTCTCCTTCCTCCTCTTCTCCGTTGCCTTTCTCCCTCGCCCTCTCTTTTCCTGCGTCTATCTGTCTGTCAGCCTCCCGACGACCTGATCTTCCTCCCTCCTGTGGATGGTCCGCCCCGGGGCTAGGCCCTTTCGTAGTACTTCAACACTTGAACTTCCCTCTCTTACTGAGTTTCCTTTACTCAACCCACCCCTCTACCTACCTACCTAACACCCCCAAAGGCAACCCGCTGCTTGTTTTTTCCTCTCTTTTTTTCCCCTTCTTTCTTTCTTTCTTTGTCTCTTTACAAACGCTCAGCCCTCTCAAAGTCCTTATACCCAGCGTCCTTGACGAATGTGTACAGCCAGGGTCCCTGGTCCTGCTGCTCGGCCAGCTTGACGTACTCGACCGCCGCGGCGGAGCCGGACACGGCGGTGCCCACTGGCTTGCCCTCTGGGGTGCGTTCGTCGGCGTAGTAGAACCTATATTTTGGCCCGGGGGAGTGAGAAGGAAGAAGTAAGAGTAATAGGAGAAGAAGAAACCACACACACAGAGAGAGAGAGCGAGAGAGAAAGAGGAAAAGAAACTTACTTGAACCCCTCATCGGCGTAGATCTTGTTCTCGACCAGATAGCGGATCGCATACGCGGTGGCCGTCTTGCCCAGCCCGAAGTTCAGCATGCCCTTGAGCGTCTTGACGTTCAGCATGTTGCCCGTGAAGATGAACGTCTTGGAGGAGGAAGACGCCGCGGTAGCGGGCAGCTTCCGAAACGCCTTCACGGACTCTTGCAGCGCCACCAGTGCCGCCGTCGCGTTCACCGATTGTGACGCGTGGTAGCCCTGGATGGACTCCGGGGTGAAGAGGGACAAGGGATCGGCCGGGTCAGGGCTGAAGAGGGCGGCTGTGAGGGTGGTGTTTGGTCAGTCTTTTGTCAGTGTCGATGAATTCGAGCTGTTTAGAGGGTCCTCGGGAAGAGAGAGAGGATCTTGGGAAAAACGGCGTGGAGCGAGGGTGTAAGGTTGTCGCTCCTTGGGAGCATTGAGGAGCGAGCGAGCAACCAGACAAGCAAACAACAAGGCAAACCAGATTGGACAACTCATCACGCTTTGTCTTGTCTTAACGCCCTGGACATGTAAACAGGACATTATAACCTCCTCTTGCCGTGATGCAAAAGTCAAGAGTGTCTGCTCCCGTCCACTCCCTGGCTGGGACCTGACTTGATGACAATGCCTCCACTAGGTACCTCCTCTCTCTCAAACAGCTCTAAGTGACCAGCTCCTCTCCCTCACTCAGACGGGGACGGCATCAACTTTCCTCCTCCCACAACACACGGAAAATCATAGTCACAAAGTTCAAGGGAAGAAGAAAAAAGAAGAGGAAAAGACACAGGAACCACACACAAAACGTACCATTATACACGACCACGCCCACCTCGCCGCCCAACTCCTTGCGGACCCTCTCAAACACAGCCGGCACCGTCTCCGGCTTGGCCAGGTCGACGGGGATATGCAGGTCCGGGGGAACGCCCGTAGTAGTGGTCTTGGGCGGCGTGCGAGACGCGCTGGCCACTTTGTAGCCCTTGGCCGCGAAGGCCTGGGCCAGGGCGGCGCCGATGTTCGATCCGGCGCCGAGGATGAGGATGATCTTGGGCATGGAGGGGGAGGCCATGGTGTGTGTGTGATGCTGGAAGTTGACTTTGAAGGGTGTTTAGCTGGGTGAGTTGTTTGGCCTGTAGCTATTGGCTTAGCTAGCTAGGGGTGCTGCTTCGGGATGCTTGTACAGGAGTCGAAAGCTGGACGGTATCAAGGGAAAGGGCACAAAGGGGTAATTCAGCAAGAGCAGCAAGCAAGCAGGCAAGCAAGCAAGCAACTCGAGAGGAGAGGGAAGCAGATGGACATTGAGGGTCGTCGCGATTCATGAATCCCGTCTTTATATATCACTCTTCCTCCCTTCCAACGACGACGGGCACCTATCCAAGCATTTTCATGTTTTGTTTGCCGGCCGAGATCTCCTTGGGCCAATGGTTCCCAAGCTGGACAATGAGTTAATTAGTTAGATGTTGCCGTAACCCCGCAGAGACTCAGAGCCAGTATAGCAAAATCCCAGGTATCGATTTCAAATCAAAGTGTCTCGCCCTCGAATTCCCAATACACCGATGTATGCCGTGGCCGACCAAGGCTGTGACTGTCAATGCCGGCTCAGCCAACTCCGGGCTTACGCAAGGGACTCGGACGAATGTTCATACGCCTCCAGACTAAAAGACGGCCAAAAGTCTCCGTGGGGAAGGCTGCTTCTTTTTCCAAGCCCTCATGAGTGATAGAGCCGTCGATGGAGCGCGTATTCAGCTGTTGAGATTACGCAGCAATCAGCGAGAGGGATGGACAAGCATGGAACTCAATCTCTGTTCTATTCTACGGGGCCTGCTGCCCGGTTCATGATTCTGTCTGATCATCTATGATCCATTCATCTTGCTCGTGTCAGTCTTCTCGAGTCTCTCCACCAGTTCGTGCCTGGAGAAGTGTTTTTGAGCTTGTGCATGCGCCCCCATTCTGCTCAGATGGTGCAAGCAATCAGTCTGGGCTGAGTCTGTACCCTTGAGTCTCGGACACATCTACCAGCCAGATCCACCAGCAGCACCGCCCCAAGCAGACTCTCCAGTTTCAGTGGCTTCCCAGGCAGCGGGTGCAGAGCCAGGATTCGGCGTATTGTCCCATCCATCACCGAAGTCATGAGCATTGTTCTCCTTTCCAGTGTCAAACTGGCCAGCATTCCCTCCAGATTGCGATTGACCTTGGGGGCATCGTGCACGGCCATGACCCTTCTCGTTGCTGTTACGGGTGGGTTAGAAAGAGAGACACCTGTAGGCTCGGCAAGGGCAACTTACCAAGTGCTGCATGTGACCTGGGACCAGTCGCGCGGAGGACGTGGTCCAGCTTCGCCTTGCTTGGGACATTCCTGCAGCGCCACGTTAATCGAATGGACCTGGACGAGTATGTTGAAGGGACGACCTACGCGCGCCATATGACCTTCTTCATTGCAAATATTGCAAGTTATCTTACGAGGCTGGTCGCAATCTCGAGCAATGTGGTCCTCAGAATCACAGTTGCGACATGTTCTCTTTGCCCGAGTCGGGCAGTCCTTCGCTATGTGGTCTTCATCGCCGCAATTACGGCAAGCTCGCTTTTCTTTGTTGGGGCAGTCCTGAGGGCATCATATCAGTTTGTGCACGAGTACAGGGACAGAAGTGACAGGACATACCTTGGCTAGATGCTCCTCGGACTCGCAAATCTTGCAGGTACGACTACCGCCCTGCTGACGTTCTTGGCCACAGTCACGAACACGGTGACCCTCCTCCCCACACAAGTAGCAAGTCACAGTGGGCTGAACGCTCGCAATTCGTTCTTCGGGGCAACGCTTGGCGATATGGCCAATCTTCCCACAGTTGCTGCACTTGTCCACACCACGGTCGAGAGGAATACCGGCATCAGCAAGACGAGTCAGATTGTCCTCGGGAGAAGCAGGCCATTTGTCGACGAGGGTAGGGCGTTGCGGCTTGTCCGAAGTGAAATAACTGACCGCGTATTTCTTGCCGATGTGTCCTTGCAAGTTGACGTTCGTCCAAGTGTCACCATGATCCTTTTCCTGCACAAGTGGTCAGCCTCAAGACGATCTCCATTCTTGTCAAAATCTCAGCATACCATGGCAATCAGGTAGATGTTGAAACCGCGCTTGCGGAACTCGTTCTCGAGCATGGGGTAGGTGTACTCCGGGGCGGCCTTGGAGAGTATTTGAAGAGCCTCCTTAAAGTCGCCGATGTCACGGTCGAGACTGGCTTGTTTGAGCAGGTCCCATGCTTCGTCCTCGGACTTTTCAGCAACACGGGCGTTGTCGACGAATTTGGCGTTGGTACAGTCCAAAGCTTGGTGGCCCTCCTGTTGGCAGTTCTTGCACTTGCCGACACGAGAAGGGCAGTCGGCACTCATGTGGCCCTCTTGACCGCAGCTGCGACATTCCCCCTTGAACTTGCGAGGATTTGGGCAGGCAGCCTTGGTCTGAGCACAAGGTAAGCGAGGTCAGCGGCGCTCACGCCAGGACAGAGTACACCTACATGACCTTCTTCTCCCTGAGGATTGTTAGCGAATGTAGAGCAAGTTGGGCTATTGCTACTTACACAGTTGAAGCAAGCCCCCATCTTCCGCTCGCCATCACCGTTCATTCCATCGCCATTGGTAAGAACTCCAAAGGCATCATCAAAGGCAAGAGGCATGGCGACAGCACCGCTGTCATCGTTCCACACTGGTTCGACTGTCATGGTCAGCCAGGGCGCTCACTTGAGATTGAGAGAGGAGGTCAAACTCGGAGAGGGGTTTTCTTCTATCATCCACAGGTCAGGGCACTTGTAGCAGGGCTTAGTTGCTCTCAAGATCCTCTTGCGAAACTTGTACATGTTTGCTGAGAGTGTCCCAGGGTCTGAAGATGACTTTGCAACACGATCCAGGATGGAAGAAAGGGAGGAGAGACTGAATGACTTACGTGAAGTGCCTTGGGCATCAGCATTATTCCAACTCATGATGAAAGCTGTGTGATGCAGCAGATGCAGAAGGTGGATGAGTGAAAGAAAGATGAAAAAGAAAAGAATGAATGTGAGAGAAGATGAAAACAAGTAGTGGCAGGAGGAGGGAGGCGCGGAAATGCCAAGGTGAAGCGTGTTCAGGAAGAGGAAGCAAAATGCTGCTTCGTGTCTCGACGGAATAGCAAACAACCGCGACAGAGAACAATGCGGCTCCGTGATGAAGTGCACAGACTTACAACGCCAGCAACGCTGCAGCCTGTGCTGTTTGAGACTTGATTCAGTCAGTTTACTGCTGATGATATAGGAGAGAGCCTCCTTTGTCTTCTTCTTCCTCCTCCTCCTCCTCCTCCTCCTCCTCCTCGCCAGTGGATGCCAGGGAGGAGATTCGTCCACCCTCTGTCAGCCATTGTCTCTTTGTTCATGCCTGCAAGCTGGTAGCAATCTGCAGGCCGGCGACTGCCAACGTCTGTGCATGCCCGACACACAGGCTCTTCAATTGGAGGGAGGGAGAGAGGGCGTAGACCTCCATCCACACATCAGAAGTGATGCACAGCTCTGGCATTGATTGGGAGCAAGTTCAGACTCTCATTGTTCAGGCTCACGCTCCACATCTCCAGTACACCATCGACATGCTGACAATCAATTCAACACAGGACAGGGGGAGTTGACTCTACGATATCAAGAGGACATTGCTGTCCAACATGGAGTTTGGCTTGTCAGGGGCAGCCGATACACCTCGGATTTCTTAGCCGATGATGTGGAGAATGAAGCCATTCAAACGGGTGAGATTCTGCTACCATTGCTGGCACGCACAGCACTCAACTCACCACCTTCATTCCAGGAAATCTATGGTTCTTTGATCTCGGGCCCCGACATCATCAGACAAGGAATATGCGAGGAAAAGAGATGCTAGAGCTCTGGGAACATCGCCTCGCGGTCTTGGAGTCTTGCTAGCTGAATACCCCAGGAATGGACTTCTGCTGCCGTCGAGATACCCCGTCGAGGATGAGCCAAAAGAGTCTGCTCTCGCCGAAGCAGACCGCTATTACAAGAGCAGAAACTCCCGCTATAGTTTAGGTCGAAACTCCGTCTTCGCCATGTCTCTCAGGTCCCTCCGCAAAATCTTACCCACCGCGTTCCGGGGAATTTGAGCGAGATAGACCACACCACCTCTCAGTTGTTTGTACGGTGCCACCCTGCTCTTGACAAACTCCTTGATCTCTTCCTCCGAAATCTTGTTCTTATCGGCCACGACGTAGGCACGTGGGACTTCGGTTCCATCCCCAGGCACGCCGATGACCGCTGCATCTTCAATCAAGGGATGCGAGATCAAGAGGCCCTCGATCTCAGCTGGCGCAACTTGAATACCCTTGTACTTGATCAACTCCTTCTTCCTATCCGTCACATACCACAGCCCATTGCTCCGTTGCTGAAGAATGTCTCCTGTGCAGTACCAGCCGTCGACAAAGGCTGCTTTCGTGGCTTCGGGATTTCTGTAGTAGCCCTTCGTCACCATGGGGCCTTTCACCCACAGTTCGCCCGGTTGTCCTTCAGGCACGTCGTTCCCGTCATCATCGATAAGTCGGAACATTGTATTTGGGTGCATCACTCCCACGCTGCCAGTGTTATCTGACATCCCCCGAGGAAGTGTGCAAACCGACCCGGTGGACTCGCTCATGCCGTAGGTCCCCCCCATCTGGATCCCTGTTCGCTGACCCGCCGCGTTACACAGATCCGCATCCATCGGGGCCGCACCGCCCAGGCCGCTTTCCAAAGAGTCAAAATGGTCCGTGACGTCGGGAGATTTGGCGATCCGAGCCCAGATGGCCGGAACGGTGAAAAAGGCCGTGATCTTGTGCTGCTTGTTGTACTGGATGAATCTCTTCCACTCGTACTTATGCATCCAGTAGCACTCCCCGCCCGCATATAGAGGGGAGACGAAGTACCCGGCCACCCCGGCAATATGGGCGGCCGGGAGATGGGCTATTGTTCGGAGTGGCGTTGGCGTCAGCTCTCCCGTCTGGATTCGCGGCAACGCCCATTCTCGCGCGACCTGGGACGAGATGACGATCTGAGACACCATCATCTTGTGTGAGAGCATCACCGCTGTGCGAGGGTTAGCTTGGGGAGGGGAGGGGACATTTCTCTGCTGGGCGAGACCAACCTTTGGGGACACCAGTGGTGCCCGACGAATAGAGCAAGTTGATGATGCTGTCCTCGAGCTCCTGCGGATCGGTGATGCGTTTCCACGTGAGGCGCTTATCCGTCCAGCAGTCCACCTTGCCGTCGGCCGATTTGAAACTCCACGCCCGGTAGGTCGAGTCCAGGATGAGCACGCGATCGGGCCCCAGGCCGCACTGCTTCGCGGCGTCGAGGGCGACGGTGGCGAGGTCGGGACTGCATATGACCAGCTTCGCCTCGCCCTGTTTGATCTGCCTGGCCAGTTCCGAGGCGGTGAAGGCGTGGCTCGCACACGAAAAGATGCCCCCGGCGGCGATGGTGCCGTAAAACGCAATGGGCAGCAAGATCTGCCGCGTGGAAAAGCCCACCACCACATCCTGGGAGTGTCCCCGGGCTCCAATGCCGAAGTGGTGGCGGAGGCTGTGGGCGAAGTTCTCGGTCAAGACCCTGGCGTGGGCTTTGTCGATGTAATTTGCCGTGTTGGCGGCGTCGATGTGCACCTTTAGGTCGTCCTTTGACAGGGCATATTCGTTGGGATCTTTTTGGCAGTTTCCCGGAGGTTAGCATCGATGGTCCCGTCGGTTATATATACACCATCATCATCACTATCACACCGACGATGACCACAAGGATTGAAAAAGAAAGGGTCTGTCTTGCACGAACCGAAAAGAATCGACAGGAGATCAAGGCTCGGGAATGAATAGTATCGGGGAGCATAGTATATCTTGGGCGGCATGCTTGCAGGGCGTGTTGTCGTTGTCGTTGTCGTTGTCGTCGTTGCAGCGGCGGCGAGGTCAGGAGGGAAAGGCAATTTATTTAGTCTTACGCCGACGATCTCTGTACAGTCGAAGCAAGAAGCATGGGACAGAAAGTGTGTTTTTGTGAGAAGGGGGGTTGTGTATGTGTGTGTCCCAAGACGAGACAGGTTCAATGGGAACTGAACTGAACAATGAGACTCGGTCGGGATCTATCTACCTCTCCACCCTTTCTTCCTATCCATCTGGTAGACACTTACCTCCTATCTGCACTGCTGTACCTCGTACCTCATCCGACCCATCCAGTTAGCCTCGCCTAGACGGAGTGGTTATACCGAGGTCACGGCCGAGGCTATCGCTGGCCATCAAGGGTGGGAAAACTGTATGAACAGGACTTGCCGGCGGCACCAGCGGCAACCCAAGGCAAACAAAAAGAAGCGGGGTCGGCTGAGCGTTGTTCACTTGCAGTAATATGGTACTACCGTGTAGTATTGTGTGTGCAGCTTCGCGAAGGGCCGGTAATTACCTCGTAGTTTGCACGTCCTACCGACGACGTTTCGTTTACCCATCCGGTTCGTTCGCCCAGATATTTATTCCCTCCTGACAACACTTATATATACGAGATACACACCCACCCACGTAACCGGTGGGATCACGGCACCCGGAGCTCTCGCTGACGCACAGGTCCCGGTCCTCCCTATGTACTCAAGCACGCCGTATGTTACATATTCCCAGCTTCATGAGACTCTGTTCGATCGGTGTGCACTGGAAGTTCTACAGACCACCTCACCTCCACTCCACTCCCTATGATGGTGGTGGTTGTGACCAAAATGGAAGATCCCACCAAAAGAACTTGGTGTCTTCCGACGAGATTTTTTCCCTCCCAACCTTTCGGGAGGAAACACTGTGCCCACGGCAGATATATGTACATCCATGTGGCCGGGAGCGTGCAATACTAACTGAGGTGTAAAACTTCGACAGGGGCTGGATAGGAGCGTAGGTGGAAATGCCTCGTCCCCTGGGGTTTGTGCATGGACATGTTCGTGAACCAAAAGAAAGGATCACGGTATCTATGGAGCAAAGCACCTCCCTCGTATAGAGAAGGGGTATCACATATACCTACGTATTTAATATAGGCTTCAAGGCTGAGCCTGTAAGCGAACACTCAGGGGGGATGATTAGTCATTGACATAAGGTCACCGATGACCCTTTGACAGCATTGAAATCTCGGTCTCGCGTCAAGTAAGATTTCGAGGACTATTCAGGTCCAACTATCTCCGCCAAAGAGACCTCCCAAGAATCCACTCTTCTTGGCTTTGGCCGCCTTCTTCTTCGCAATACCCGCTCGCTGGCTCATCTTCTCCTCGCGAATCGTCGGTCTGTAGTTGACGGCGGTTCGTCGACTGCCAGAGCCTTTCCTGACAAACTCCTTCTCATCACGGGCTCGGCCTCGCTCAGTCTTGCCTGTTACCACCCCGGTCGCGGAGACATTCTCATCCCGTCCAGCCATGCTCCCCAAGCTGGAGTTCGTCGTCGCACGGCGCAGCAGGCTGGGGACCTTGTTGAACGACCCGGTGACCGAGCTGTTCGTGCTGAAGAATGCCATCTTGGTACTGCCAGAGGACCCGGAAGATGACGATGCTTGACGGAGCATGCTCAGCCGGTTGACAACATTTGTCCTCGCTGCAGTCCGCCGTTCCGAGAACGGGGCTCGACTTTCGCTGCGAGGTAAAGCGGGCTTTTTGAATGGCCCCTCGGCGTTGTCATGCTCACCATCCGCAACTATAAAATCACCAAGATCGTCTGCTTCCTCGGCATTCTCATCCGCTGTGGCAGAGTGAAGATGTCGATCGAGATCCACGTATGCCTCGGGCTCATCCTCCGAATCGGAAAGACCAAGATCGATGGTTCCCGCTTGGGAATCAGGCTCCTCGATGAGGAATGACACAGATTCTCGAATCTCCGCTAGAGTGCCCGGCCGTCGGTTGTGAGAACCACTGCTGTAACGGCTCGATCGCCCAGTCGTATTCAGCTTTGATACTGCCGTGACTGCGAGTGGCTGGGCACCGCCTATGGCTGGAGCCTGTGTCGTCCGTTCCTTGGCGCCACTATCTTCGTTCATCTGCGAGTTCTGGCTGTCTTTCACCTGAGAATCGTCCTCGCCAGGGGTCTCCGAGGGAGCAAAGTCATCCTCGCCATCATCGCTGTCTGGCCGATCCTCAATGCTTCGTAGAAATGCTTCCTTTTTCTTGTCTTCCGCAATCTTGCCAACAGCTTCGTCTTTGAGCAGTTCTCGACGCATTTTGGCAAACTCCCTTCTTTTGGCCTCCCTTCTTCGAACGGCGGCATCTTCCTCATCCGAAAGATCGAGGTCGTCGTGACCACGCTTCCGACGCAGTGCGCCCGTCGTGATGTCTTTCAGCAACTTCGAGACGGCTGCTTCATCTTGTTGACGCTCACGATCTGCGAAGAGCTTCGCCAGTTTCGCTGCCTCGCCGACGCCGACTTCCGTGTCCTCATCAATCATTCTGCGGTCATCTTCGTTCTCTTCCTCATTCACCTCATCGTCACTGGCTCCCCCGAGGCCAGCGTACTCATCTTCAGATTCTTCCGCAGCTTCGTCAATGGCCTCTCGTGCCCGTGACTTTGTTTTGTCGAAATCTTCGCTAGGCCTCTGTTTAGCCGCTCTTTGCATAATATCAAAAGCCGACAGATCCTTCGCCTCGCTCAACTCCTCATCCGACTCATCGAGAGTCACATGCCCACGCCTGAGTCTCGCTTTTCTTTGCATAATGGGGCTATTTTGCACATCATTTGGAAATATGGCGGTATCTACTGTCGAGTGTGGTGCTGGCTGTCGAGGAGTGTCAGTAGCAAAGCGATTTCCCAAGAACGGACTCAGTTCGTATCCTGCATCTTGAGTAGGTTCGAAATATGCCTGTGATGGAGTAAAATCCACGCCATGCAGACCGGAACGGTTCGCTGGGGATTGTGTCATTGCTTGAGACCCAGAAAATGATAGGCTGATGTCCAGTGGTTGCGTCTGAGAAGCTGGCTGACTGTCGGTGATCATGTCGACCGAATCTAGACGGTAAAGTTTTGGCACCATTGCAAGGTTAGGCGACGGAAGTTCCGCAGTCATGGTGAGACTATCTTGTTCTTGCGTGTTCGCTTCAGCCTGACTCTGCGAATCTGCCATTGTAGCGGCAAACGCCTGCGTCAGCCCGATCGGAAGGTCGTCGGACATCTGCAGACCCGGAATCTGCTTTCTCGCCGAGCGAGATATAGATAACGGGGTCTTTGCAGGTGCAGGAAGCTGTGGAGAACGCAGCGTTGCAGGTAAGACGTCTTCATCCTCGTCGTCGCTGACTATACGGGTAGTTCGGCTTTTTCGTGGCATGGGACCAGCTTGCAAACCGCCTTCTTCGACTCCAATGTCGAAATGCTCGTTTTCTTCAACATCGGCATCCTCGGATGAGTTCTCTTCTTCAGCTTGATTGTCGAGGAGCTTGCCCTCCATACTTTCACGTTCTGCACCATCCTCTATGCCTTGATCCTCTTCCTCATCTTCCACCACTTCCTCATCGTCATCATCAGCCTCCAGATCACTCCCATCCTCGTCTCCAGAATCGACATCCAGGTCGCCGTCCTCGTCTTCAGCAAAATCCTCGTCGTCACTTTCGTCGTCATCGTCCAGGTTGTCCTTGTTGTAAGTACCGTCCTTTTTGGCAAGAGCCTTCTCGCGTTTCTGAATTTCGACAGCTTCTTGTCGCGCTCGCTCCAATAAATCCTCTACCTCCTGTTGTTCGCGCTCTCTCTCCTCTGCTGTCTGCACTACTACTCCCTTTGCTTTCAGTTCTTCAATTCTCTGGTTTCTTTCTTGCCGTGCCTGCGCCCGAGCTGCCCTTCGTAACGATGCTTCCATTTCGGCTGCGTTTATGGAATGCTTGAGATCGTCACCTATCAGATTTGCAAGCGAACGCAGAGCGAGGTGCGACGGAGCCTCCTTGGCTTTTCGCGAGGGCAAGTGCTCGAACGCCGCATATTTGCGCATGTCGCCACGGGACATGACCACTTCGAGATCAGAATCAGAATCAGAACTATCAGCGTCCGACACAGTCGCTGCGGTCAACAGGATCTTAGACCGGGTTGACTTTTCTGACGGCTTGACGGTAGGTTTCAGTGTCTGCTCGTCCATAGCGCCCGTGCCGAGGACCGTCAATTGATGGGCATGCAGTTCTTGTCCAACGGATTCCATAGAAGGTGCTCTTTCTTTACCCTTGTTAGATGCTTCAATGGGGACCTCCTTGTGGTAGTGGATGGCATCTTCCGAAACCGGGCTCGTGGGAGGTGTCTCGTGGACACTATTCCCTTCATTATCCGATGCGGCTCTGGAGCTGCTGGTAGGGCAGTGCTCGTTGTCTTGCTTGGGGGGGTGTTTGGCGGCTGAAAAGTTAAACCGAGCCAACAAACTGTCCTTGGTTATTTTCTTTTTCGTCCGCGCTTGATGTGCCAGTTGCATGTTCCGACTTATCCTCTGTGTCTCGCGGTTCATTTCTTCAATGGCCTTCTTGCTAGCCTTGCGTGTTGGACGTGCGTGCTTTGACAGCTTCTTCCCTCCCTCAGAGGCATCGCTCTCCTCCTCCGTGTCATCTGCCGGGCTCGAACCACGGATTCTGCGATGCTCTGCTTCTTGAGACTTCAGCATCTCATCACGGGCAGCCTGCTTGGCTCTTTCTTCAGCTTCTTTTTCAAGCCGTTGTTGTCTGTGCTTCTCAACGAGAGCAAGGAATTTCGACTTTTTCTCTTTGGGAGAGGGAAAGAATAGAGGAGAAGGTGATCGTTGTGCAGGCGTGCCTGTCGGGTTCGTATTGGGGGTGCGTCTCCCTGCGAAGATGCTATCTTCTTCTGAGTCGTTTAAATCCTCATCGCCCTGGTCAGAATCTAGGCCGGAGACAGGCTGAAGTCTGGCATGCTCCTTGTCGTGCTGGGAATAAGCTGTCGGGCTGGATGTGCTGTTGCTTGCAACACGGGTCCGCTGTGGTGCTGAGATGTCCTCATCATCCGAATCCTCCGAGGTATTTGCCAGCTCATCCTTGTCCGGTTCAAGGGCATCACGAGGAGCAGCAACCTGCTGTAAAGGTTGAACACGGGCGGGAGTCGCGGTATCAGATTCCGAATCGTCGAACTGGGCAAGCAGAGCCCGAACTTTTCGCGTTGGGGTCAATATGTTTGAGGTTACGCTTGTGGGTGAGCCGGGGGCGGAGGGCGAACTTGTTGCTGAAGACATCTCGATCGTACACAGTGCGAAAGGTCTGTAGCTTAAGTGTCTAACATGGTGCAATATCAATACCTCGTCGAATTTGGACGAGTACTCAGAAGATTATACGGAGTACAGTACGAGGTATGTACATCACATTGGCGAGGAATGCTTTAGTTAGCGAGTGCGCGTCGCGTCCGAACCCGGAAGAACGCGTGACGTCAACAGTCGGGGCGGGCTAGTGAGGCCTCACGGGCCCCGACGGGACATGTACTGGACGTGTACGAGGTACTGGACAGTACATGCGACCCGTATCAGTCCATGCCCAAAACTTATTTACACATACCCCGTGCAAGGCGAGAACCTCGACCCTAGGAGGACATTTAAAACTTATCGAAACTTCACAGCGCTTCGCTCGGGATCCACTGGTGCGCAGAGGGGTCCATCTCGTGGCATTTCTGAAGATCATGTCTGATATTGAAGCACTACGGACAGAATGGAGGACATTATATTCCAAGACTCTCCCCCAGATGGCGAAAGTGAGAGATGCTGCTCAGCCTGTATGGCCCGTGACCCTTGACCACTGCTTTGCCCGCATCATCCTCGACAGCGTAATAGGCAACGGTCAACAACAATGGGACGTGGTGATCCAGAAACCAGCGATAAGAAACATGAACGAGCAACAATTACGTGATGCAATAGCACTAGGAGAGAAGATTCGAGCTGGAGAAATCGACCTTTCTGGCTTGGACGAGACGAGTTTACGATGCAGAGGCAAGAACGAACGGAAATATGCTGAAACAACTGCTAGTGAAGCGAGTCCTCAGCAGGGGTTGGCTAATGCAGGTCGAAAACGGACCATAGGAGAGCTTGACCATGCTGCCCAATCGACAGCAACAAAGAGCAGGAAGACGGAGAAACGCCAATCAGTGCTCACCTTTGGACAGGCTGAGACTTCAACAACCGGAGTCAGCACCTCGGACCTCGCGAAAGGGAACCGAAACTCAGCAAAGGCAAATCAAGCCGATGAGCAAGAGTTGAATCGGACCCTAGCTCGTATCCATGCCCATCCATCACTGACGACGTATCGAAAGAAGCTCTATACAACTCTTCTTTCTGTCCCACGTGGGCGCTACACGACCTACGCCGCGATCTCAGCATATCTCAAGTCTTCAGCCCGAGCGGTTGGCAACGGGATGCGCAACAACCCGTTTGCTCCTGCCGTGCCATGTCACCGCGTTTTAGCAGCAGATGGGAGTATTGGAGGATTTCAAGGTGACTGGGGCAGGGATGGGAAACATGCGTCCAAAAAGGTTGAACTACTTCGGAGCGAGGGAGTTCGATTCGATGGTCGCGGCAAGGTCCTCGGCGAGCCATTCCGGGAGTTTCAACAGTTGGAGCATTTTGAGGACGGCATTCCGCCCTAGGTCCTTCAACAGTGGACACGGGTAACAGATCTGAGTGGCACTACAGGAACAGAATGAATCAACCCCCAGTATCCAGGAGCGGCCTCCTGGTGCGTTGTTAGGCCATGGCAGGAGCCACCCATTCAGCTACATATCTCTCAGTCAGACAGCTCTATCACGCCCTTACACCTTACCACGCCACTTACACCAGACATAGATATCCACCTGTTAGCCTCACAGCTTGGTGCTCGTGTGAGAGTGTCGATCTCCCGGGGACTCCGGAACAGTGAAGACCTACAGGGAGACACAAACATCTCCTTCAAAGCTTGCCTTGTACTGTTCATTTTCCACGCTATCCGAGCGTCAGGTGCGGCTCACCAAACATGGCCTCCAAGTTGCTGCGGAATTTCGGTATCTTGACTAGGGAGGAGCTACTTTTAGCAGCAATTGCACGGCTAAAGCGATACCCCTTCAGTACGGACGACGTCTTTTCAAAACTGCCTGATGAGATCCTGGTTTGGATTCTGTCCCTGATCATCACAAGACGTGTCTATCTATACCAGGAAGGCTGCTCAAACATCCTCCGCAGCACTGCGTCCCTTAGACGAGTGTGTCGTCGATTTCGAACCCTGGTTGATGAATTGGTGTTCAAGACTCCCATCCAGGAGATCTTCCTGGTAGGTCCTATTTCGGGCGACTTCGCGCAGATGACGACCATATATCAACATTACCGGAATAGTCTTTAGGCAAGGCTGTCCAGAATGAACCTCGGTGCCATGCCATCGAAGGCAGTCGTGCACTTCCAACCATGCCTTGAAGTGAGTGAGTCACCGAACTGGTTTTCGTTTCGAAGCAACGACCCGGCCGTGCAGTTGGAGGACGCTGTCGCAGCGCAGAGAGCCATCACATCGCACTATGCTGCAGCGCTTGTCCTGTCCCGGATCATGGACCAGGTCATCAACAGACGGTATTGGGGACGCTGTCCAGCCACTTTCATATTAGTGTTTCATGAGGTCGACATGACATGGTTTCGAGGAGACCAATACTTTGAGGAGAGGCACCGCCATCCGGAGTTCATGCCTTTCGTGAGTTCCCCTCAAATGCTCCTGACTTTACTCATTCTGTTCTTGAAGGCATCCAATATTGATCCGCACTGACAGACGCTTGCAGTGGGATTCACAAGGCATGCAGTTGATCCTGAAGGAGTGGCGATGGATTTTTCGACGCCCCGGTAAGGATTCTCCTCGGCGCATCCAGGTTATCCTCCCGAATATTGCTTGGGCGACAACTTCCAGCACCTTCAGTGAGCAAGAAGCTGGCAATATGTGCGTTCACGATGTCAACCAGGCTTGGGTACCAGCCGATGATCCGGCAGATGGAACGGACCAGCCTTCAAATCGGTTTGAAAACGGAATTCTGATTCGCATACCAGGGTTCCCGCGTCCCGTCAGCTTCCCTGGAAATTCGCTTTATGCAAGGTGGCTGGGGATGTCGGCTACCGATACTTCAAAGATCTTCTGCTTCACCGTTCGTGGGTTAGCGGTAGGGACGGAAAACCCAGGCGGAATAGCTGTTCTGGAGCGGGTTTACCAGCCGGCCTTGGATTCTATTGAGTATTCGGACGACCCAGGTATTCACACAACAAACGCCGAAAGGGCGCGTCGGCACCACGCGGTATCACTGAGAAAATCAGTGAGAAACTTTTGAGGGTATGCGAGAACCCACGCGAGCGAAGACGGCAAGACAGTATCGGCGATGCTGCCTTTGGCTCTGCTGGCGCGATTCCATTTCCTCAAAAAACTCGTTGCTCATGTTGTGCCTAGCTGGACTGGCATCACGTTTGACGACCACACACCGAAGCCTTCTTCCTATATCACACAGGGCAACCCATGGCAAGAACTGCCAACTTGGAACATACAATTTTATTCTGGTGCGGACTTCAGGTCCACGCGCTGCTCAATCAAATCCATGTTTGAGAGCTTCCTCATTTTGTGCGTTCCTCCAGAGACACAAAATATCATAATTTGCCGTTATAGAGAAGCCGCAGCCTCTACTGCACCAATTCCCTTGAACGCCGCCTTGTTTGTCACGACGATCTCGACTGGATATTTCCATTCCATAAACTGTTTCCACCCTGTGGTCTCTCGATTAGCCTCCTCCCCGGAAAGAGTCTTGCGCAACAGGGGGATTCCCAGTGCGTTACCGGATACAATATCACATACCCCAGTACGCAAATTTCCTCCCAAAATATTTCCCGACGTAGGGGACAATCACCATAGACAATAACAACTCTAGCTGTTGCAAGCTCTCTTTCCACTCTCGCTCTGCGTCTGACTCTGAGTATTCTTCCTCTTCGCTCACGGTGACCTCGTCGGAGTCCGGTTCGGACGGTAAGGAATCCACGTCGTTGTTGTCGTCGGTGCTGGAGGGAGGTTCAATGAAGGATGCAGCTGTACCATCTGTTTCGGACATGTCGGCGACGGATTGTGATAGGGTTTGTCGCCTTCAGCCAAGGACGAGCCGCTCGAAGAGAAGAAGCTTAGGACGAAATCATGGCAGCAGCCCACGACCGATGGGATGAATTAATAGACTGGAATGGCTGCGTTGACTGCGCGATCAGTGAAGTGGATGGGCGAATGAAAGTCGGCGAGGCTACTATGGACCGACACTGTTTTGTCTGACAAAATCAGATCTGTATGTCAAATAGTGGCAGATTTGTCAGACCGTAGAAATTAAGTGACGGCACGTGCCATGCGTCACTACAAAGTCTTTGGCCTTTATTTGACTCATTATCATGCTGCGTATTATTTGAACAAAAATCCCCGAACTCGCACTTCTGATTTCCACACATCTTCTTGAATCTTCTCCCACAATTCGGGTCAAGACAAAGGAGGATTGAGCACCCGTATATCTTCGTCTTATCTGCAACATACTCAAAGCAACACGAATCATGGCTGAAGTTGTGCGTAACGCCACACAAATCCCCACCTTGCACGCAGATGCCTCCTCAGTCGGGGAACTCAATCTGAAACCTCATGCACCTCGCCCCACAAACAGGAAGAATTCAGACGTGACTGACACATCGTCTACTCTCTTACAGGAACACCCTCAACCAGCCCCCTTACGAAAACCTCGCAAATCGGTCGCATTCAGCGGCGACAGTACCATCATGGATGAAAATGGCGAGATCTCAGAGGCTCCCTTGTCCGGCGCCGAGGACAAGGTCACGGCAGAGAAACACTCATCACGTATGGATGTTCCGGGAACCTCAAGGAGCACATCAATACTGACACCTTATGAATGTACAGCGCCCGACGACCAAGCTGTCGATGAGATGACGGATATGTTCGCCGGCCTCAACAAGAAAAAGAAGAAAGCGACCAAGTCGAAAACAGAGGACAAGGAGGATGGCGAGGCTGCCGCTCCCGGCACCGGTGCTGAGGGCGACTTCGACGCCTCCGTCCTGAAGAAAAAGAAAAAGAAGACGACCAAGCCCAAGACCGAGGGAGATGACTTCGCCGAAAAACTCGCCCGCGCCGGCCTTGCAGATGCAACGACTGAAGAGAAGGAGGAAGCTGCATCACAGGATCAATCAGGGGATATGACCCAGGGAACTGGGATCTGGGCCCACGATGCCACATCCCCGATCTCGTACGAGCTTCTCCTGAAACGATTCTTCTACCTTGTGAACGAACACAACCCGGACATCCTGTCCTCCGGCAGCAAATCATACAAGATTCCACCCCCTCAATGTCTCCGGGAAGGCAACAAGAAGACCATTTTCGCCAACATCGCTGAGATCTGCAAGCGGATGAACCGAAACGACGAGCACGTCACCCAGTTCCTGTTCGCCGAACTGGGTACCAGCGGTTCCGTGGACGGGTCTAAGAGATTGGTCATCAAGGGCCGATTCCAACAGAAGCAGATCGAGAACGTCCTGAGACGATATATTGTCGAGTACGTGACGTGCAAGACATGCCGATCCCCCAACACCGAGTTGAGCAAGGGTGAGAACCGGCTGTACTTTGTTACGTGTAAGTCATGTGGCAGCAGACGGTCGGTCACGGCTATCAAGAGCGGTTTCACAGCCCAAGTCGGCAAGAGAAAGAGGCTCAATGGATAAGCCTGAAGTTTCGAGGTCGGGTTGTGGCGGGCGGATGCAGTCGTTTGCCGCCAGGGAGGGGTTGGGTATGGCATGGCGTAGAGAAAAAGATACAATCCCATGTGAAGATTAGGCATGAGCACGCCCAAGAATGGAAAACCAACTTGATGTGGAGCACACAGGAGGTTACAGCCGTATCGCTTACGAAGATAACGTAGGACCGCTACTATCATTAGAAATGTCATTGTCCCCGTTTCATACCTCCCGATGGGAATTTCCACTGATAAACGCAGAAAAGGCTGCTGCGTTTCGTGTCTGCATGAAGACCGTCCCAGGACCCGAGAACTTACATATCAGGCCCTCGCCCGAGCTGATTCCGGAGATGATCCCGCCGGAGGCGACGCGTTCGAGGACGTACTTGCAGTTCCAGGCAACGAGGTGGCCGTTATCGATAATGTATTTTTCGCCATCAACCAGCTATATCAAAGTGCGGGTTAGTCTGTTGGAATGCCTTTCTGAGGGGAATTCTCGAAGCTTGAGTACAGCCGGCGGATAGAGGGGATGGGGACTTACATCTTTCCTCAGTATCGCTCCGAAGGTGGACATCCACAGTATGCCAATGCCGGACATCTTGTAGACAAATAGACCCTCGCCGGAGAACATGGCTTTGCTGATCGACTGGCTCTTGTACTCTTTCACCACCCCTTGCGTGCACGCCAGAAACGCATCGCGCCCAACGCTCCACGTCTCGTTCCCCGTGAGCCGCAGGATCGAGATATCCCCCAGTGTACTCGGCGCGAATAACACCTCGCCTGGCCCGGTGAACGTCGAATGCGCCATTTCTCCACCTATCAGTAATTTCTTGACACTGAACTTAACGTTGCCTTTCAACATGACCGAAGGGCTCATCGCGATCATCACCCCCGGTTTTGCCGTCACCGGGCACCCCATAGCCAATTGTATTGTCAATATAGAATTTGAGTCGCGGTGTGAGATGCGGTAAGATCCTCCGTTGAAAGTCCCTACGTCGTCCTGTGTCGTAGCTTGCACGCCCACGAATTGACCTCCCTGAGGAACCCCAACGAGGGTAGGCCCCTCAGGCGCTTTCATTACATTCGCCATTTCCTTTGTAAGTTTCTGTAGGTGAGGGGATCCGACTTTTTCTTCATTTTCGTCGAAGGAGCTGGTCGGACCATTATATGAGGGTTGTCGGTGGTGGATCGAGGCATGGTCGAACGTGGTTTTGTAGGCGGGAGCTGAGGCAGGGACCGTAGAATAGTTGAATGGTCGTTGAGCGGTAGGTTGCTGAATGGGAGGAGGCGACGGAGTCTGGGCTGCTAGATGGGATGAGGGAGGGGGAGGATATGAGGCATTCTGCATTGACGGCGACGGCCCTGACGGCGGTGGAGGGAAGAAACTGGGCGGCGGGGACTGTTGGCTAGGTGGAGGAGGAAATGAAGCTACATGAAGTCAGCCTCGCAAACGACTTGGGATGCAGATGTTCTTCAATGTCGTACGAGGTCCATTGGAAGGTGGTGCTGGAAGCCGGTTAGCGATTCTTCAGGCTTGAAGCACAGTGAATGATTTCATACGAGGAAAATAGGCTCCTTGCGGCTGTCCTGAACCGGGAAGAGGATAGGACATGACGATAGTGGTCGCAGGGGAGTTACAAAGGGGAGAATGGCCGCTCAATGAGAACAATAATACAGCAGAGAAACTCGAAACCAGACTGCGGACAAGACGTGAAGCTCAACTTTTGCGTGACAACCAACGAGGTCGAATAGACGGTGTAAGTCTGTTCATCAGAGTTGGAAGTCTTTGGTCAATGGCACGGCGACTTGAGATCCCGACAATGTATTTATATAAAGAACATGATCAGCGCAGAAGGACACGAGGTGAGCAGTTAGCCGCCATTGTCCATTCATCGGGCGGCTTCTCCATCTCACCGGCGAGGAGACGCTTGGTTGATCGTGGTGTTGCAAAGAGGACGCCATGTGGTTGGTTGGAGGATGTTTCGGTTGGGCGCCTAGAGAGCGAGGGGCATTGGCGAGTCGGGAGCCGAAGCCAGAGGCAGGCAATTGCCCCGCAATCGCTATCGGGAGACCTTCTTGTTATAATAAATAATACTTGGTACTTAGAAAGAACTGACCATGATCCTAGGTACCTAATTAGCAGCTTAACCGCTCACCCTGGTGTCGCACCGAGGCTTGTTTGGGGAACCCTGAACCTCCTACCAGCTCGTCAGATAGGCTTGCCAGGTATTTCTGCAGCTTCTCACAAGAGGCCAGGAATCCGCACTGCGTTTCTCTTGACAGTGGTCACCACAATATGTGTGTCATCCAGAACGCCAGATCATGCTGTTGCTGGACACAAATGACTAGTCAGGTGTCACGAGCTGGCTGTCAAAGCAGTCGATATTCCGTCAACTGAGGTGCGTGCATATAAAAAAGGAGGAGAGATACGTGTCTGATCAGTGAGAGCTGAAACTCAAAGTAACCTTCGAAGTGGCGTCTCGTTGTTGCTTGACTCTACAAGGGGATGGGAAAGTTGTCAGCCAGATGGAATTTGACGCGAAATTGGATCCATATTATACTCGGCGCTCATGCTACCAGGCTGTCTCTCGAAGCCCCGAAGGCCCTATGGTTCGAGAGGGCAGGGCTAGCAGGCTAAGCAATAGGCACAACGTGCACGCTAAAACCCCACAATTGTTGATTCAGGGGGGCGTCCATCCCCCCTAGAGCCTCCTGGCATAACTTAGTTAATCAGGCTCTCCGGGATGAGGCTCCTGACCACTAAAGGCACTCCATCACTTCCTAATGCGGCCATGGTTGTTGCTAACAAGCTTCCATCGGGCGATGTTTGATGTGCAGTGACGCACTCGGCAAATGTCCAGGGCGTACGACCGGATACTCGCCTCGAGGGACTGACTCTGCATCCGCTGCTTTCCCTAAAATCCTTCCTGGGCCATTTATCTTACCTGCTTTTGTTCCACTGCTCCGATGTTCCCGGCCTGCTATCGGCGCAGGGACATTTATCATTATCACCCTGCCGTGGGCATCTTTGAAAACGCAGGGTCCAATACTCTCTTGCCGATCGCCGCCCTCAAACCCAGCCTTGAACTATTCCGCCACACCCCCCTTTACGCGAACCCCAGGAACACAAACAACAGTCTGAATGCGCCTCAGGATAGTGTCGGGGAGAGAACACAGGCTTGGATCCAAGTCGGTGTCATTATGTTGGGCTTAGAGAAGATTATACGGCGTGCTCGGATAAGAATCCCCGTCCTCTGACGGTCACCTCGACCGGCCACGACAACATACAGAGATGGTTCAGCTTCAGCAAGAACCGGCTTTCAGCCGACTCGAGGTCCATTGGAATGGAGGCCTCATCGCCGCGTCCATTGCAGTGTCCCTTTTGGGCGCCTTCACCTCAACCCAGATGATGTGTCAAGCACGAACTTCGCGGTACTTCTCAGGCGTCTTGGTTTGGACTATACTGGGGAGTTTGACCTTTGGCTTCTGTTCCATTTGGTGCCTCCACTTCATCGCGATGTTGGCCTGCGAACTTCCTCTTCCGATCGGCTTGAACGTTCCCTTGACGGTCCTCAGCGCGGGCCTGGCGGTTATATTCACATTCCTGGCCCTGGCGGCCGACCTTATGCGCGATCGTTATTTGCGCCTTCTCAAAAAACGCAAAATGAGGGCTGTCAGACGGGGAAGAAAAAAGGAAGCAGCAAGGCAGGATCTCAATGACAGCTCAGATGCTCTTCTGGGAACACGGGTCTCGGGCGAAGGTGAAGAGGCGCAGGAGCATGCCAACGGCTCTGCCGACCACAGTCCTCCCAGCCGTGACAGCGGTGCAAGTATGACGCTGGGGCTCTTAGAGGATCATTTCGCTGGCGGGGAGCCTATTACTAGCACCACCATAAGATCATCGCGGTCCCCTGTGGGAACCGTTCGACAAGCTTTCTCCGCGCAGAATGAGTTGCCCCTGGAAGACGATTCTACTCGCGACACTGAAAGCTACCAAAGGAGTTCGGAAGAAGGGGAGCGTTCTCGACGGTCCTCGTCAACGAATCACTCGGACGGGAGCAGCCTCGGTCTCCCTGGTTTCATGAGCTTCAAGTTCAGGAAAAGGACAACCACCACAACGAATGTCCTCTTCGGGATCGGTGAACTGCTGTACCATGGAGCAACTCTGATCAACTTTTGTAAGGGTTTCATATGGAGCTTGGCAATTACCACTATGCACTACGTGGGTATATTGGCCTTGGAAATCCCCAGAGGCCACGTTACGCTACAGCCATTGATCGTCCTTCTTTCGGCGATGAGCAGTTGGATGGTGTGCACCTTAGGATGTATCTTGATGCCCCAGATCGAGGTCAACCTAAGCCAGCAGCTCATTTTCTCTGTGGTAGCGGCAGCAGGGGTTGCCGCCATGCATTTTACCGGGATGTGGGCGACTACCTTCTGGTCCCAAGCCGCACCAACCACAGAACGTGGCTATCCCCCAGACCTGGCAGTTGCTGTCACCAGCATCGCCATTCTGACTTGCTTGCTTGCGAATGGTCTTCTCGCCCACTCGGCGACGGTGGCTCGAAATAAGCTGGCTGAAATCGTCCACACTCGAAGAAAACTCTGGGCCGCCATCGCTCAAAAAGAGAACGCGGAAGCCGCTGCCGCCGTTAGGAGCGAGTTTATAGCGAGCGCCAGTCATGAAATCCGGACGCCCTTGCACCAGCTCCAGGGTTACAGTGACTTGCTATCGCGCACGGAGCTCAGTGAAGACGCTCGTCTGCTCCTCCTCGCCATACAGCAGGCAACGAGATCACTCTCCATGATCACGGCTAACGTCCTTGACTGGTCTCGGTTGGAGAAAGGAGAGGCTGTCTGTCGGCCAACGAGCATTGACCTCCGAAAAGTGTGCGAGTCGATCCTGGCGATATTACCAAACAAGGACGAGGACTTTGGGACTGAATTGATGATTGTCGTATCCCCTCACGTACCATCCTCACTTTTCTTGGATGAGACCTATCTTCAACGGATCCTGATGAACTTGCTGACAAACGCTCTGAAATTTACGCAATTTGGCTATGTACTTCTCTTGGTGGAAGTCAAGGACCTGGACTTAGCTATCACTGTCCGAGATTCCGGATTTGGCATACCAGAGTCGTTTTTGCCACATCTTTTTGAACCATTCAAGCAGGCCCAGACGCGAGGCGCTGAGCGAGGGACTGGCCTCGGCCTGGCCATCATCAGGCAGCTATTACAGAAAATGGAAGGGGCAATTGCTGTGGAGAGCAAATCCCATCAGGCGGAGAATGTGGGAGCAGAGAAATGCGGCAGCACGTTCACTGTCACGATCCCAATCGATCCCGCGCCCAACACACCCGTCGCTCGGAACCCTCTCGGTCCCAATCGGCGGATCGCGTTGCTGCAAGACTGCAATGATCGATTTGCGGAGGGACTGCAACTCGCTTGGAACGCTTTTGATTTCGAATTGGTCCGAGCAGATCCCGATGATGAGATATCAGAGTCTTTCGGCTTTGTCTGGACAGACCTGATGTTTCTGACCAGCAACCCCAAACTCCTAAGCCGAATACTTGACCTGCGACATCACCTTGTCATCGTGTCATACGACTCTCAATCATTGCTTGACGAGTCGTTGGGCTCGGTCCCTCCACCGCACGTCATCCCGGTCAGAAGACCATTTGTATGGCATCGTATGGTCGAGAGTATAGTTTCGGCGGCTCGTACTGGTCGGTCATCGATAGATCGATCTGTCAGGTTCGCCCCTGTTGTCGACGTGGTGGACGACAACCAACCCTCGCGGGCAACGCATGAGACCAAGACGCTGAGAGGCGCAACCGTGCTCTTGGTCGAAGACAACAAAATCAACCAAAAGCTCGGGGTGAAGATGTTGAACACGCTTGGCTACAAGGTTATCGTGGCAGATGATGGACAAGAAGCCATAGATAAGCTTGTCGAGCATGACCATGATATCGACATCATCCTGATGGACCAGTCGATGCCGCGGATGGATGGCATAACGGCCACGAAGAGGATTCGAGAGATGGAGAGCCAGGAACTACTGGGACCCCTTAGTCGCACCAGGCGACCCATCATCATGGTCACCGCTGTCGTTGGGCCGGATGCCCAAGCACTTTGTATGTCGGCAGGGACAGACGCATTCCTTCCGAAGCCACTGGCCATGTCGAAGCTCGAGCACACGTTGAAGAAGTTCCTCGGCTGAGTATATTGGACTTGGGCATGAAGCTATCTCCCCATGGGATATCCTGCCAAGCCCCATTGTCACCAGGCTTCCCCCCTGGCCCTTGAGCGGATCAAGTCTTCTCGACGCGAGGAGGACAGAGAACTCATCCCCATGAGCTCGTGTGGAACGAGTGGAGAGAGGTGACCGCTTTCCGGCGTCCTGCAAGCATCGCAGATATTTTTTCTGCTTCAGTCACGGACGGGGCGCTCAGAAGATGGCCGAATCTGGCTTTTACCTAGAGAGCAAACTATCGAAACAGAAACCAATGTCAGAGGGCGCAGCAAATATAGTGCAAGGGAAAACCTGGCAGCAGAGAGTTTAGACGGCAAAGATAGCGGACTTCAGCATTGTGTTTCAGGGTCAGCTGGTCAACGGCAATAGGAGGCCGACAGATATTTAGAATATAGAAGCCTGAGAGCGACCGGGTTTATGAGCCCACTCCGCCTTTGGAAAGATTCCCATTACGAAATCAGAAATCAAAAAGCCCTTTGTACCACACTTTGAAACTTGCCATAGGTGCCATGTGATGCATTTGCACGGACGTCTGAGCACGAAAATTCTTCGTGATCTGATCGAGGTTGTTTCTGTTAGCAATGGAATATGCCAGCCTCGCCAGGAACTGTACTTAGGGGAAATGGAATGATAAGGCAGGATGGAATGTCACTTAACGACTTAGTCTGTGCTACGTGTACGGGTAATCTTGCGCTTAGGGGATATCAACCCACAGGGCTAGTGAGGCATATCCTCGGCGGTGTCGATGGGATGTGCAACCCCACGTATGCGGGCATGCTCTCAAACCCATGCTCGTGCCTAGTGCCTCGATCAGGGAGTTTCACCGCCCCTGGAGACATAAGCGGGAAATTATGAGAAGAATCGGTGAGGGCAGTTCAGTAGATATTAGCGAGTCTCCGAAAAGAACGGGAGCGGAAGAGGCGGGGGGGCGAAAATAGGGCCAGGGTCGAGGGATGGTGGCGGTGCGGGTGGGATGAAAGATGGAGATTATGATGACGGCGATGGTGAGTGAGGGAGAGAGAGAGAGAGTGTGTGTGTGTGTGGCTTCCAACAAAACTTCTGACGGGCCACATTATAAAACCATCCTCCCTCCTTTGCCACCCCTTCCAGTTCACCACCCACATTCTTTTGGTTCCTTTCTTTATTCTCTCCGTCGTGTCTTTACGGTAAGAGGCAGAACAAAAATAAGACAGATCCTGTACATACATACAGACGGCAAAAGTGCTTCGTATTTGTTTCTTTGGAGTCGATTCTTTCGCAACCAGTGGGCACGATCCTTTTCATCGTTCCAGGATATACCAACCACTCAACAGTGTGTGCTTTGACCACGTTTTCGGGTCACGCCCTCCTTACATTGCACGGTCCAAACCCTCACCCGCTTAGACCACCGAAGAAGATAACCCTGCCAAAATGCACCCCAAAGCCCCCGAGAAGTCTTCCCCTTCGACCACCACCACTGCTACCAACGGTCACACGAACGGCCACACGAACGGCACTTCATCCTCCCGCGAGTCCTCAGACAGCAAGTACGATATGAATTCGCCCTCGACCATCCGTCAAAAGTTCCTCCCTGACCCTTCCGACTTGGGCGTCGTCCTCGTTGGCTTTTCTGGCGGCCAATGCAAGGAAGGTGTGGACGCTGCTCCAACGGCATTGGTCAACGCGGGATTGCTCAGCCAAATTCGGGATGAGTTGGGATACAAGCTCCATGGGGATAGTGAGGTGCGCAACTTCAACGAGATCCGCCCTGCGTCCGATGAACCATACAGAGGAATGAAGAACCCCCGCTCCGTCAGCGCCGTCACGGAGCAACTTGCTGGTCAGGTCTACGAACAAGCTCGCCATGGAAGAATGGTCTTGACTCTGGGAGGCGACCACTCCATAGCGATCGGCACCATCGCGGGCACGGCCAAGGCCATCCGTGAACGGTACAACGGACGTAAAGAGATCGCGGTCATCTGGGTCGACGCTCACGCCGACATCAACACACCCGAGACGTCCGACTCAGGAAATATCCACGGCATGCCGGTCGCGTTCGTCACGGGCCTTGCGCATTCCGAGGACAAGAATATCTTTGGCTGGTTGCAAGAAGATCAAATGCTCTCGACCACCAAGCTTGTCTACATCGGACTGCGGGATGTGGACAGAGGCGAAAAGAAAATCCTGCGAGACCACAGAATCAAGGCCTTCTCCATGCACGACATCGATCGCCATGGAATTGGAAGAGTAGTAGAAATGGCCCTCGCCCATATTGGGACTGACACTCCTATTCATCTGTCTTTCGATGTGGATGCCTTGGACCCCATGTGGGCACCCAGCACAGGAACGCCGGTTAGAGGAGGCTTGACGCTGAGGGAAGGAGATTACATTGCCGAATGTGTCCATGAAACCGGGCAATTGGTGGCCATGGATCTGGTCGAGGTCAACCCTGCTTTGGACGTGGCCGGGGCGACTGAGACGGTGAGGGCCGGTGTGAGTCTAGTGAGATGTGCACTGGGCGATACGCTGCTATGAGGCTGCGAAGACCGACCCTCGAAAAGCGATGCCCCCACTACCCGATGGCATGCAGTATGGATAGTGCATACCTATCTCTCCTTTGAGTCCTGATATGATTTCGAGGACTACACACGACGACGACCTCCAATATGAGACCTTTGTACAGGACAGGACAACGGAAAAGGAAAGGATGGGAGGGAGGCTTCAACATGGACGAAAGGGGGACACTAAAAAGCCTTCGGAATTATTACATAAGGGCACCCAAAGGGATACACACGAAATTCTTACCTAAATACCTTTACCCCGTTGATATACCTGATATACCCCTTTCTTGGAGACCTGTATCGAGTACGAGGTACTTTGTAATATATGTACTAACGTGATATACACTCCGAGCACACATACGTACCTTATACCCCTACCCATACCCAAACACAAACACAAACACAAATGCATACATAAATATATAGTTATATGTACGTATACAAAACCATAGAAGAATTACATTCCGTCTGGACCTGGGCCGCTTGAAAACAAAACCCCTCTACCACCGTAGGAGGTGAACCGCCTCAAAGATGGATGGATAGCCGGGGGGCAAGATTCGGCCTACTTATTACACTAACCACATCACCATCACATCACATTATGTCCCATCACGTCTGTCGTGTGTCATGCATGTCATCGGGGGGATAGCGGAATCATCATGACATTATCGGCAATAAGCCGATGATGAAAAGAAAACACTATAGACTCCATAGGGCAATGTGTAAATACATGGTCCATACGCATAGTTATGGTCAGTCTTGTTGATTGTTGGGCCGTGGGCCTTTTGTGTTCCACCCGCTGGTTATGCTCCGGCAGCAGGAGTCAATGCAATCAGATAGAATCTATTGCTCTGCCTGACCACCACTGCTTTGCTTTGCTCCCCTCTTGCCCCGTCGTGTGATCTTTGAGAGACAGACGGACAGAGCTTCGGCTGTGATAGAGCAGTGTTCTCCTACATCGTTAACCACGTTGCCTCCACCGAGTCCAGTCGTGTCGTGTCGTGTCGTGTCGTGTCGGGAGGAACAACATTAGTCGACACCTTTCAGCGCGCCAGCCTACGACACCGTCCTCCTCGGCTCGAAGCAGAGGTCGAGGGGCCCGAGCCCGAGGGTAAAGTGGTCGTGGGTCCCCGTCAAGAGGGACTCTCCAGTTTCTCCGTCCGCCAGCCTGACGTCGTACTTGCGGATGATGTTCGCGGTCAACAGACGGATCTCCATGTAGGCCAGGTTCTTGCCGATGCAGTTGTAGGGGCCGGCGGAGAAGGGGTGGAATGCGTCCTTGTGGCGGATGAGTTCGGGGCGGGAGAAATGACGCTCAGGAATGAATTCTAGTGGCTGGGGGTAGAGGTCGGGGTCTGTTTTGGAAGGGGTCAGACTGATTGGTATATCAAACACGAAGAAGTAATCAGAGTAAGGCAGGTCGAAGGCCCAAAGAAAGTTTCGAAGAAGGGGGCAAGGGGGTCGCAACCAGAAATTTCAGACTCACCTCTCCCCATCACATACTGGGGCATCTGGATCACCGTGTTTCCCGGGATATACACGCCCGCAATTTCCACTCCTTCTTTTGGTGTCTCTCTGAACACTCCACTGGGCACAGCAGGGTTCAGTCGCAGTGCCTCATTGATCGCTCCGTTCAAGAGCGGTGCGTCCTTGATTTTGAGGGCGTCAATTTTCTCCTCAGGCTTCGCCAAGCCATCAAGCTCCTCTCTCAATCGGTCAATGAGACCTTTCTCCGTAGCGATATAGTAGAACAAATGCACCAGGGTGGCTGCCGTCGTGTCCGAACCAGCAACGATAATGAGCCGGCTGTCGCCCTCCAACATGGGTTTCTGAGCCTTCTGCGTTGCCGGGTCTGATTTGTTGTAATGTTCGATCAACGTATGCGAAATGTCAGGATTCTCTAGCTTGCCCTGCATCTTCATTCGCTGTTCAAGCTGTTCAGCGCAGTAATTAAGGAACCGCCAGTGATCTGTGGTTGCGCCGGGAATGGTGAGCAGAGTACGGAAGAGCCAGCACGGCAGCCAGAAGCCGAGAACGTCCATGCCGTCATTGAGCAACTTGATGGCCCAGTGCATCTCTCCAGATTCTAGACACTGATATGAAGCACCGAAGGCGAGATCGCCCATGACATCGAAGGAGTATAGGTTGAACCATTTCGACACATTCATCGGGCCGCCTGCATGTGGAGCGTCAGTTGTATCCAGGTGAAAAGGTTATCAAATGCAAAGCCATTAGGAAATAAAGTACCTTTTGACTCCTCCACCTTCTGGAGAAACAAGTCATTATACTTCTGCACCCGATTCTCGTAGCCCCGAAGTGCCTTGTCACTGAATGCTGGACTCCAGATTCTTCGCCGTCGATCATGCTGCGCTCGATCCCGGCACGTATGCATGGAAATTCGTGGGGAGTCCGCATCATACCATTCGCTTTTAGTGCATCTGGATTTAACGCCAGATATGACCTCCACACCATCCGGGTGGGTGACAGAGATACCATAGGGGTCGAGCCGAACGAATTTGCCATACTTCTGGTGCATGGCGAGCAGGTGTTTGTGTAGATTCCTCTTGCCTGCAACTCGGAAGACCAGATCGAATCTTGACAGCCGCGCCCAGTACGGACCAGGTATCTTATTCAACGGATTGAAGAAGAGACGGTAAACGACGAGACTGGTGTAGAGGCCAGCCAGATACAGTGATGCGTATTTGGCGGTAAAAGCAACGGCCTCTCTAGTGGGAATATTGCCATAATGTGATCTAGCAACAGTCGTGACAATGCACCCAAGAAGGAATGCTTGAAGGTATCGTGTAGGGTATAGGTAATGTTCACCAAGTCTGAAGAAGAAAAGGTGAGATGCCACGCCTGCCGAGGCAACGATCAAGGGCAAGTAAGTCACCGACATTGTGCAAGCAGGCCTTAACAGCCAGAAGAAATGGAAGAAAATTATGAGATGAAGTATATTAGCAAAGGTGGACTGCCGTACTTTAAGAAGGATTCATTTTGTGATGCCTCGAACTGGACATGTAGCCTCAGGCAAACACTCTCGGTTCGACGTCCCTCCGATCGTGTCGATTGCTTCCAGCATGGGAGTCCTAATCATGTATTGAGATCAATCTGATTGGAGATTGTTTGAAGCGGAATATCCCTGCACGGAGAGTGAAGCTCCCAGCATCTCTGGTTTTGGACGCAACGGGAGCAGCACTTCCGAGACAAGTGGACTCCCTGCCGCAAAAGTGCAGACTTGGCCTCCAGATTCCGTGCCGAAACGCGGGGAGGCGTGAAGCTTACCCGAACCTTGGTGATGTCGAGGTACTCGAGTCAAGCTGACTCGACCACATCGACAGAGACTTCGTTCAACATGCACGCTGTCATTGTAACCGCAAAGACTCTCGTGACTGTAGTATACTCGAAGCTGTGCAGACACGAGTCATGTAAGCATGAAGTCGGGATGGCGATCTCCGGCCCTTGACGTACTGCGTATTCTCACCATGACCCATTGGTAATAAGATCAAGACGCCTGTGTGTCAGCAAGTTGCCCCTTGCTGAGTTAAAAGGTGGGCGAGCCTGGTCAGAAGGAGCCGAGCAATACTTGAGCGTGGCCGTGCCTCTTGTTAAGAATAGGTGCTGGCTTGAGGCAAGCGCAAAAAGCGGCCGCGTGTTTATTGGGGTTGCAGAGACAGCATTTTCGTTTATGGCGGGCCTTAAGTCACTAGCAATCCGCAAATGGAGAACGACAAAACTAGGACGGGGCCTTGGTCTGGAGCGCAAAGGATTCCGTTATCTTCAATGGGTTGGTCGCTGTCTCCTTGGGTATCTTGGGCACTCCTTCGATATCTCCCCTTCGCCGATTAGATGGACGACCAATTATTCTGGCGCCTTCGAAATCATCAACGGCCACCCAAGATCAATTGGCGAAGCGTCTTCTCAGCCTCGGGAGCACGCATGTCGCCCTTTCGTGGATGTCTCATCATTTGTCCCATGAGGAACTGCAACTTTCCGACTTTACCCTTGTCGACAATGTCTTTGACATGCTGAGGAAACTTGCCGATTATTTCTCGTGCAATTGCTTGATAAGTATCGGCTGACATCTCTGTGAATCCCAATCTTTCTTGGCTGATGATATGTGAGACGGGTCGTTTGTCGCCACTATAAATGAGTCTGAGGATCTGTTTGGCCGAGCTCCCTGTAATCTGATTGTCTTTCAAGCGGTAGATAATTTCAGCCATCGACCTGGAGGAAACGAGATTGTCACTCCATTGTTTTTCCTCCGTGGAAAGTAGAGCACCCAGTTCATGCAATACCCAATTTCCAACGGTTTTTCCGTGATCTTTTGGCGTCGTTGTAAATCGGCTCCTGGACACCAACTCATCGACAACGTCTTGAAAATAAATCAACCGCTCGCCGTCATCAAGCGAGACCAGGGTCATCGCATCAGTGAAACTAAGGCCGTACTGTTGGACTAGGATCACCACCAAATCGCTCGCTGTGGGGGGGAGGGTCTTCTCAATCCAAGAAATTAGGTCGCTGCTGATGTAGAGTGGAGGAATGTCCGCATCGGGCATATACCGGTAATCTATCTCACCCTCTTTTCCTCGGAGTCTCTTTGTTTCGTTGGGGCTCGTCATAGACCAACCTCGAGTCTCGCCTTGCACCACGCCACCGGACTCGAGGATCCGGATTTGGCGGTCTCTTTCCGCCTTGATTGCATCTTCAATGCCTTTGAAGGTGCTCAGGTTTTTGATCTCTGTACGTTGGCCAAGACCGGTCACGCCGCTGTAGGCAAATGGCCCGTCTGGGGCGCCTCGACGACGAACGGAGACGTTGACATCGGCTCGAAGGCCGCCTTGTTCCATGCCGGTGGTGACGGCGTCAACAGCGTAGAGAATTGACTGAATCTTTTTGACGTAGATGGCTGCATCTCGCGGAGAATGCAGGTCGGGCAACGATATTATCTCGATCAAAGCTTGACCACACCGATTGAAGTCTATCAGCGCCGTGTTGCTATCATCCTCCTGGGTTCTAGCGGTGTCCTGTTCCAATTGCACCTGTTTGATGTTCACCGCGACAGTGCGATTTTCCGCCAGTCCATCTTCGGCGGTCAACACGACACGACCGTTCTTCGCGAAGGGATGGTAGTACTGCGTGATCTGGTAGCCCGCCGGCTGATCGTGGTAGAAATAATGCTTGCGATCGAAATTGCTGACAGGCTCGATCGTACACTCAAGCGCAGTAGCCGCTCGCAGGGCGGGCAGAATGACCGCTGGCTGTAAGACTGGGAGGCTACCAGGCAACGCGATATCGAAGGGGGCGATTTGACTGTTTGGAATGGTAGTCGGCGCAGTTATTCCAGCTGTCCATCATCAGAACCGATACCCTAGACAGAGATGGAAAATCCTTACGTGAGAACAACTTGCGAGAAGCATTGAGCTGAGCATGGATTTCAATGCCCACAGTTAATTCCCAGTTCTCCAGTATATCCGGGCTGTCAGTCGCTGCCGGAGTGGATGGAAGTGTCCGAACTGCCTTTGCAGCATCTTTCAACTGCTTGCGGAGGGGACCGTGGTCCTGCTGCGACGACGGAGGCTGAGAATGGAAGCCGTGGGAGAGAGCTTGAGGGTGCCATCGGATTGGATTCGGAGATGTGAAGTTAAGGTAACGGCTGGCAGTCAGTGGCCGAACTGCAAGCCGCTGTCGAGTCCATCTCGACCATCTTTGGTGCATAGGCTTTCGGAGCACACCAATACGAGCAATACAGAAGTCGTCAGCAATGGTCTAGCAGCACGAAATGGATCATTGCTAATATCTGTCAGATGCAACAACCACAGCGATGCCACCAGTGCTTCTTTGCTCCGCCGTACCTCCTCCGATGACGGAGAAATGATTTTTCCGGAAACCAAAAAATTCCGAGGCCATGAAGTCAACCGACTTGTTTCGTTCGTCATTATTCTTTTGGAATTGTATTGTTGCACGAGCACAGGTGTCTGCCCCCATGATTCTTTTCCTCCCGGCTACATTAGGATGGCAATGTAAGAATGTTTGACAAGCAGGGACTATCTCTCAAACGGCGAGAGTTGCTAGCCTTGCCGTCTGCAGCTTGAACTTGGGGCAAACACTTCCATTCCCTCCTTTATATTCCAAAACAAACAGTCATAACAGGTCGACATTTCCAGAATCCGCTCGTATTCGCACACTCAAAATGACCTTATGAGATCTAGACCATGAGTCTCAATTATTTTCGGTCCTTGGGGGGCTGTCAGCCGCCCCAAAACGCTTGGGGCCGGCTAGCAGCGAAACCCTCAATGCTAGCTGTTAATACTGCTCTGGGCCTGTTTCTGGGCGTGGGCCTGCTGTATATTGCAAAGTCTTATCTGCCTTCGAGCAAGACCTTCAAGGAGGAGGCCGCAGCGGCGGCTGACAATGATCACCCTGTGCTCAAGAACCATTCAAGTGTCCGGTCATATAAAACAAAGCACGCCGAATACCCCTCGATAAGGACCTTCTATCACCCTCATGCTCATGCCGAGAAACTCCAGGCTATCGCAGATCTACCTTTACTAGTTTTCATACACGGGTTAGGTGGTTCTCTACCTCAATTTGCGCCGCTGCTGGGGAGCCTGGTCAATATAGCGCCATGCTTTGGCATTGATTTACCCGGCCATGGCATGTCCTCCTTCTCCCCCAAGGACTATGACGCCTATACCATTGAAGCTTTCTGTGACCTTTGGCAGACGGCCATTCAAGGTATTTGCGAACAGCACGGGCACAAGAAAGTGGTGTTCATCTGCCACAGTATGGGTTGCTCTATCGCCGCAATCTTAGCGACGTCGCCATCATTCCCGTTGCGTATAGAAGGATTTGTTGGCATATGCCCCAAAGCTACGCCGCCCTCACCGTCCGAGACGGCATCGGCGAGGCGATTCCTAGCGCTCCCTGATGTGGCGCTCAATATATTGAGGGTCTTAGACCGCAGAGGCGGCGTCAAATCCAGAAGTGTGGAGAGGATGGCAGGCAAGGCTGCCGGGATAGACCTTCGCCGCCTCCAGTTGGCATTTAACAAGGGCTTCAAAACACCAGTGTGGAAGCGCTCTGCGTTGGGCTGCCTGCCGCAATACGACCCTTCAGGAAGGGCCATGGGTGGCTTGCCCGGAAAAGACACCTGGGAAAGAATCCATGTACCTCTGTTCCTCATTGCAGGAGAGGCAGACGCTGTGACCAAGCCAGCGGAGGTTACAAAGATTGTTTCTTTCCTGAAGAAGCTCGCGGTTGGGGAGGAGATCAATGGAAGCCCTGGAAGCAAACCGCTTCCTACCGACGGCCCTGCTCCAGAGCAAGAGACATCGGACGCCTCAGCTGTCGACCAAAGCAGCCCGACTGCGGATGAACGCAAGTTCGGCACCCTGCCATCAACAAGCGAGATGTCCAGCCACAACTCAAAGATTGTCAAAACTGCGATCCTGCCATCCCCTGCGGCCCACGCGCTGATGTACGACCACTCCACCTACCGCACGGTTGCCGGCCTGATCGAAGACTTCCTCGCACGCTATGTGTCTCCCGAACTCTCACTGGGGTGGCAACTCCAGCAACTCACCACGTCGGGAAAATGGGACGTGAAGAACCTGGAGAAGTGGAAGAAGGTCCTGCCCGTCTCTGGACCCATCGGCCACCCGCCAGAATCGGGCATCTTCCGCGCCATGAAGACGCTGAGAGAGCAGGACGAAATCCACACGCCGTCAGTGTTCGTCAAGAAGTGGAGTGACCAGATCTTCGCCGTCATCGATATCTCCCACGACTCCCCCGTCTACGAGACCCAGGCCCTCGAGCGCGGCGGCATCCAATACCACAAGTTCCCGACCGTGAGCAAGGTGCCGCCCACGGTCGTCGAGGTCGCCGATTTCATCGCCCTGGTCGACCGCCTGCGCCTCGAGGAGCCGCACACCGTCCAGGGGAAGACCATCGGCGTCCACTGCCACTACGGCTACAACCGCACGGGCTTCTTCATCTGCTGCTACCTGATCGAGAAATTGGGCTACCGGCCACAAGACGCGATCGAGGAGTTTGCCGCCCAGAAACCGCCGGGCATCAAACACGACCACTTCATCGATACATTGTTTATGCGCTATCACGTGGGCTTGAAGAAAGCGCCCACATTCATCGACTCCAGGAACGGTTCGGTATCCGGGGTGGAGTCCGTGCAGTCCATAGATTCATAGAACAGGGGACATCTGGGGGCCGGCGGCTCTTTGCTTGAATCCCTCGAGGAGTGGAGTTCGCACTTCCTTTCTGGGGTTCCATTTCTCTCTGTACGGCTATTCTACTAGGACCTTCAGTTCAGTGCGTTCTTTGGTCGACAAACCATTTGCCATTTCGAAGAAGCACTGAGCACTTCGCCTTCCTTCAACAATCAAGCGAGTCCTACATGGAAGAATTTCGGACATCTGCTCTGTGTTCATGAGGTTTCTCTTTCGCCATTCAAAGCTATTCCTGTGTTGGCCCTGACTCATCGATCCCAGCCCCGCCTTGATGGCTGTCAAAAAGACGAAACCCGCGAGCAAGAGGATTCTAGCACCTTCACGTAAAGTGCCACGTCGACAGTAGGGTATGTCTTTCCCTGAGGCTGCTTGACAGTAGGCGAATGATCCGCCTCATGAGAGATAGGATCAGCTTTCGAACAATATGAACCGAGACTCGTGTCCCATCATTTCCAATTGCCTTGGTGGCGCTCAATTCATCTCAAATCCGCGTCACAACAGCTTCAGATCTGCGAAGCTCTTGACAATCGTTTCGTCAATCGGACTTATCCAATGGTGCTGAAAGTTCTCCAACCCGCCTGTGCTCTCAATGGCCTGCCTTAGCCTCGAACCGATGAATTCGCGCACATTGAGGGTATAGATCGGGTCGTGGTTACTTAAGATTCTCTTCCGTCCATCCTCTGGCGTTGCGTCAGGCCATTCAGGAACATCTCCACCATTTCCATGGCGATTATGGAACAGGTAATCACCCTCGGATTCATCCACGGCTTCTTGACCCAGTTCGGTGCAAATGTCCGTCCAAATGGTGAACAGCGTCTCGAGGTTTTCGAACATGATCGTCGGGAAATCCGGAGGAACGGTACAAGCAAGTAAGTTTGTGAGGGCAAGGACCTGAAGCTTTTTGCGCAAGATGTCACCTACGGCGTCGATGTGAAGGAGCCATTCTGTCAGAAGCCATTTGTGTGGCGGTGAAGGGGAAGCCGGCGATGACGCTGATGTAGAGACGGTGGACGTAATGTTGGTGGCGATGACGGCTTGAATAAATTGGTCTGGCGACAGAAGGGCTATGCGTGCCAGGAGACTGAAAAGGCTCGTCTCCCCCGGGCCAATGATGTCTGGTGGTTTGCGGCTCGGGCGAAGATCTTGATGATACTCGTACGCTTCCTTCAGGAGCTTCATGAGGGATGCCAGATAGTTGGTGCTTAGCATCGATTCCAACAGATGTGTAAGCGCCTGTTGAGGATTTACACTGGCCGAGGACTCGATCGAAATTGTGGCAACGAGGTTTTCTAGTACATGAGGTGCCAATGACGCATCCCGTGCTCGACTAGTTGATAGAGCTGGTAAGATAGCTTCCATTGATGTGAGGAGCGGCGTCAGAAATTGAGGGGACAGAACCGTAGTGGGAGACAATATCGTGTACGATTCTGTGAGCTCAAATATCTGCCGCAGGAGTTCACTGCCCGTGTCCAACAGTGGAAGGAGACATTGGGATAGTGATAATAGATCCGAAGAGGCGTGTTCCGTTGGAGTCTGCTGTACAATGGCGGCCCACAGTTCGAGTGCTTCCTCAAGGAGATACACGGATGCTTCGGATTGTGGCTGAACAGAATCATGAATCAATGGTAGAATGGGCCCATGATACGACAGGCTCTTCTGTCCAAGACTGTTGACGATTGCGGTGATCAGAGTCAGTATTGCTTGTTTCATCAAGTGCTCTTCGCCGGATTCAGACCACAATGGCGGGAGCATCGACATTATGCCCTGCGCGTATGGTTCTATGTGGCCTTCCAGCCTCGTGACCGCCACTCTAACTGTCTCGAGTAATGCCATCTTTGTCTCTGATAGTTCTGTCTCGCTGATAAGGGATATGACACCTTCTAGCAGAGGTGTGGCATAGGGCCTGAAATCGGAGTGACTGAATTCAAAGGGTTCCAACACGAGACGCAACTGCCGCCCTGCCGTCACGCGCACAACATGGTCATTGAGGGGCTCCCGGTTGGAAATCAAATGAGTGAATATTTGATACACCGCGATTCTATCGAGTGTCACTGGTTTGATTGGGACCCATTGGCCTAATAATATTGCTGTCCGCCGTCGAAGGAGGTTGTAGTTTGGTTGATTCATCTGGACTTCTGGCACCAAAGTCCCACAGAGGAAAGTATTGAAATCAAGGACATCTTCGAGACAGGCGGCAGCTATGCCAATGGCTGAGTAGAGGCTGTCTTTGAGGAGCACATCCGTGTTTGAAGTGGTAGCGTATTGATAGAACACTTGGAGCAATCGCGGAATTAGCAGCTCTTTGAAGTTGATGACGAGGTCAAGGAATAATTTTTCCGAACATGAGCGGATGGAAAATTCCCAGGCATCTGCAATTTCTTCCTCGCGGCGTTCCCACTCGTCTGGTTCCTGCTCCCAGTCTCGGAGGTCTGAGGGGCGCAGAATGAAGTATTGGGTCACTAAAAGCTCCATCAGTCGAAAGACGAAGTCTTGCGTGAGCACTGTGTTTTTGACATAGTCGACAGCGTCTTTTCTGTCTTTCTTGTCCTGTGGAGTGACATATCTGAACGTTTGCATCGGGTTGAAAACCATCTTCAGACAGGCACGGAATAGTAATAGAGCTTTCAAGCAAAGCTTCTCATTCGGTGACTGTTCGACATCATCTCCACCGCGGTATACTTTCCAATCGAAGTTGCCCTGCAAGGCTGACTGCCTGACCTCGCTCTGGCTGATCATTGACCAAGAGCGGTTCAAAAGCTCCATACAACCGAGAAGAACGAAGGAGGCGGGGTGATTTCGAGCCATGTCGAGATACAACTTCGCCAGTTGAAGCAAATGCTTCAACAACATGGTTCGAGATTCGGCTGGAAGGTCTTGAGTGTATGCTGTCCAAAATGCCTGTTGGTGCGTCTGCAGGAGTTCCCAAAACTCCTTGACGGCTTCTTCTCTATGAGGATTTTCAAAGCCAACGACAAGGAGTCGCCGGAGCGTTTTCAGCGCTGAATGACTGCTCACTGCGCTAGCAAGGTCGGCTTGATCAGCAGTTGACTGCCACCGGGCGACCAAACCGACGTAGAGGCGGCCGAGGACCTGCAAAAGCTCCAATGACACATTTTGAAGGCTCTTCTTGGTGCGCTGTAGACGTCCCGATGCCAGCTCCTTGATTATTTGCAGGGTAATGGTCAAGATGTTCGAGATATAGAGGTCTGCACTCACATCCTCACTGGCCGCTCGGATGTGATGTATAACGACGTCGACAACATCCGGCCAATCATGGGGAAACTCGTACCGGACAATCTTTGCTAGCATCAGGGCATTCTGGAGTGCAAGGGTAGAGACGGGCTCGCGCACGCCCGTTTCAATAGATCTCGATCTGATCTGATCCTTCTCAGCCTTACTGATAGGATTTACCGACGTTTTGCGCCAGTGTTTGTCGATGCCATTCTTGAGTTGAATAATGGCTTGGAAGCGGACATCCTGGCTGAGCGAGAAATCGGCATAGACATCTTGAAGGAGGGCATAATAGCCGGGAGACTTCTCCCAGTTTCCAATCTGTTGCGTAGCTACTTTCAAGCCCTGAGGCGTGGGATGTGAGGCATTTTTGAGTGTAGATATGACGGCGTTCCTGGTCAACGGGTTGGTTTCGCCCTCCGCCTCAATAGTGAAAGAGGGCATATCTGTTGGGTATGGGTTCAGATGACGGCAACAACCACCATCCTGGTGTTGGAGAGAAGAAATGTTTTGTAAGAGGAGAGATTAGGCAGTGCCAGCAGTGGCAAACAGACTCTTTCTTCTCAACTTGAGACCTAGACTGACGGAGAAGGCTCTGATGAAACACGTTAAAGGAGCCCCAGCCTTTCGCTGTGGATTAACACGACCGCAGCGACGAACAGGGCCTAAAGAATCTTAAAACAGCAAGAGACTGCGGCACCTGCGGTTCTCTGCGAGCCGGCGAACTCTCTTCCATGTCTGGTGCGGCCAATCTCTCACCGAAGCCAGCCTCGGCTGCTCATTAATTATCGCCCTCGTCGTCCTCGATAATCTTCTCTCCCTCGTTCTTCTGCCTCTTTTCCTTTTTCCTGTGCGTTTTCAGATGACTGCACCATGTCATCCAGTAGCTTTGCCGCTGCTCAGGAACGCATCCTTGCACGGCAGACAGCCAGACAACAAGAGGCCCTCACCCTCACTCAACAGCCGGAGACTACTGGTGGCCGCTCCTCCTGGACGCGACTTACTCAATCCCTACGACCCAAGTTATCTTCGTTCTGGATAACTTTGCTAGATTCGGAGGGCACACGGCCAGCGTTTCGAGTCGGACAGGTGGATGCAGAACTTCTCGATGAAGAATTGCTGGGGCTATTGAAGACACAAGTCGCAGATGCTTTGAAGTACCTCGGGCCACATCTGCAGGATGACTGGTCGCAAGAAATTCTGCTTGCTCTCCGGGCAGCACTGTTCAAGCTATCTATATGGGACAATGACGCTTCCTATGGCGCAGCTCTGCAGAATCTCCGATACGTCGACGCCAGGAAATCTGGACTGTCCCTTCCGAAACCGACGAGATGGCAAAAGAGTCTGTACGGGCTGCTGACGGTCTTCGGGCGTTATGGATGGGACAAGTGGGAGGATTGGCTGATTGATCAAGAGCGAGGATATACAACTCCTTCAGAGGCCGTCCAGACGCTGATGAGATTTACCTCCTTCATCTCTACAACACATTCTATCGCGGCTTTTTGTTCCTTCCTGGTGTTCCTCGTCAATGGACGCTACCGGACTCTTACAGATCGTTTGCTGAGATTAAGACTGATGTCGCCATCCAATCAAGTGAGCCGGGAAGTCTCATTCGAGTACCTCAATCGTCAATTGGTCTGGCATGCCTTTACCGAATTCTTATTATTTCTCCTGCCGTTGGTCGGCATCAGTCGATGGCGAAGATGGCTCGCCAGGATGTGGAAGAAGACAAAAGACGCCATGAAATCGCAAACAGAATCCGAAGATGACGATGGTGACAAAACAAAAAGCGGGCCACTGGCCTTCTTGCCAGAAAGGACTTGTGCCATATGTTATCAGGATCAAAATCCGACATCGACATCCGAAGCTGAGATCCTAGGAGCAAATGCCGCTGCCGGGGGAGGCGTCATTGGCTCGGCCACTACCGACGTGGTAAATCCCTACGAGACAATTCCTTGTGGCTGTATCTACTGCTTTGTCTGCATAGCGACCAAGATCGAAGCGGAAGAGGGCGGTGGCTGGACATGTCTGCGTTGCGGAGAAATCGTATACAAATGTCAGCCCTGGAACGGCGATATCGTTTCGGTTGGAAAAAAGACCAGCAATAAAGTCGCCAAATCGGTCGGGTTTTCCGTCGCCAACGATGACTCAAGCGAGACTTACCGAGACGGACCCTCTGAGGATTCGCAGGAAATTATTGACTCAACTTTGGCCGAGAGCCAGTGGACCATGGCGGATCAGGAGTCCTCTAGCAGTTAGTGAATCAAACTACAAGGATAAGGCAACGCACTGCGCCTGTGGAGCTGTCTTGGCTTATACTCTGGTCTTTGACCGCCAGCGACATGGTGTCATGCTTCGAAAGCAATGACGTGCAAATGGACTACACGTTACCGATGTACAAGACGACGAACCGCCGGCTGAGCGTGTATTTCGAGACAGATGGTCGGAGTGCATCACAGCAGTTCTCATTGGGCGAGCACCTAAAGCACGCACCCTGCTAAATCAACAAGATTTGCCCGGAGCTGGTCCGCCCAGTCGACTCAAGTATATGACCTTCCGTTGGCGATCAAACTCTCGTATGTTTCTTTATCATGGCCTGGAATGACTCGGCCCTTGGTCGTCCTCTCCAAGTGCTTCAGCCGCTGAGTGCTTTGGAACCATGATGGATGGTCTCTCGCAAGCCATCCTTGAGGAATTCCGTCGCGCCACTGGAGTGATAGTTCAGTACTGAGCACATTGACGGGTGGAAGATACTCACATTTTCAATTACGTGGCAGTGGTCACTGATGAAGAAGAACGTACCACTTTCTGGCATGTTGATTTGCATTCCAATCAGTCCTACAACCAGTCAGCAACTCCCTGGTTTTCAACCATGCAGCTCAGCTCTCACCGTCAGTATGGCCTGGTAAGTGATGCAGGGTGATGCCTTGGCAGAAATCAAAGGTTCGTTCGTCGAAAGTCTTCCAATTCCTGCGAATCGTTAGATCACAAAACAACTACACCTGAAGCGAATGCAACATACAAGCTCAACTTGAGGTAATGTTCCAGGTAGACGCCCACATCTGCACCCGTCGCAACAGACCAGAAAGCCGACCTGAGTTCTCTGTCGTGGACCCAAATTTCAACGTCCTTTCTGTCAAGGAATTCGTCCAAGCCGCCCGCATGGTCGAGATGTAAATGACCGATGATGATTTTCTTGATATCCTCGAGCTTGTTTCCCGTGGCCTCGACCGCAGCCTTCAGCTCATGTTCAGGGTCATAACGCACCCGAGAAAACACGTCAGACACCACAGGGCCCCAGATCTCGGGGTAATCCTTGCCACAACCCGTCTCCCACAGGATGAGACCCTCGTGCGGGTGTTCGATAAGGATACAGAACACAGGCAGCTCCCTCCGTTTGTTGACAAAGGACTTATTCTCGGTGCTCTTCAGGCTAGTGTTGCCGCCACGAACCACGAAAGCTTCATCACACTCGAGCCAGCCTACCTCGAGGATGTGAAATTTGGTCCCTTTTGGGCAGACATTGGACACATGGTTGGGCACGGCGCCCCGATCGATTTGGCCTTGGATAGCAGACATTGTTGAAGAGAAGCGATGATGACCCACGGATTGGGAAAGAGAGGGCAGTTCTGGGAGGGACAGATTGCTGGGAACTGAAATATACCAGGGAGGGGTTCAAACAGCTATCGAGCTCGCCCCGCATCTCACAATGCTGGACTCACTCCACCCTGCGGAGTGCGGACGAAGATGAGGCAAGAGTAGCCATTTCTGGCATCTTTCGAGGAGGAGTGAAAGCGGAGACGTCGAGACAGGGGCATTTTCCGAGACTGCAGCAGCATCTCGAGCTCGCTAGCTTGACGCCAGGGTGGCCTTGGAAGGCCTCGGATTCTCGCACCAACGGGAAGATTGCTGCCAGAGAACGAGAGGGGAAATGATGGATTTGTCGAGGAAACCGCGTATCTGGAAGGCAGTGACGTTACCAGACCACGCCGGACACAACCGCACTCCACGGCGAAGCACCGCAACGCCTCCAATTGGGTCCTTTTAGAGGGGCTGGTGGGCATAGAATGGGGGCAGATCTGTCTGTCTTGATTCTCCTCCGGATGGGGAAGCATCCGATGCACCTAAAGATTACCCCAACCACGGCCATGTGGGCTAATTGACATGTACCTCGTAATGTATCTGGTTCTACGAGGTACCCATCCAGCTTTCTCCAAACTAGCGAAATCGCCCAAATGCTGACCTCGTGTTGATCTGTCTGTTTTGAGCACCGAGCCTGCATAATTAGCTTCGCCTTTTCTTTCATGTAATGGTGTTTGATTGCTGCTTCCGTATTTTTGCCGATATTTATCCTTGTCCTCTTCAAGAACCTTCTATCTTGCGCTCCGCGCCGTCATTGTCTTGTTTACTTTCTGTTGCCACTCCCTTAGTCGTCGCATGCGAAAAGGACGGGTGAAGTGACTGCACCATAGGAGGGACCTGTGTTCAAGGCTGCCAGGGAAGGCGTTGGTGACAAACTCAAAGTGTCCCGAAGCTGCGTGGTGGGCCTCTTCGAGGGTGGCAACAATGGTGAGATGAGGCTCATTGAGGATGAGTTTGCCATGGCCTTAGAAGTCAAGGCAAGCGAGACGAGATCACAGTAGGAGAGAGTGGTCAAGATCAGCAGGGACAGTTCGTAGGGGGAGGTCTCTGAGGCGAGAGATAAGGTCAATGGCTTCACTTCGAGGCTCATCATCTACCGTTTGTGGGATGTTGAAAGGCGGGATTGCGACAATCACGAGAAAGAGGAAGGATAGCCAAGTAGATTTCTATGAACCCGAAATTTGAAAAATACCGTTCATTACGTTTCAGTTTCACCTGACAATGTTCTCTAACAGACTAGAAGAGAATGGCTCAATCATCATGTCGTTTGCCGTTCGTTGCTGTCTCGCCCCGAGCTGGGTGTTCTGAAGACAATCCAGTGCCAGGAGACACCTGGTGCCACCAGACTTCACCCAAAGGTGCCAAGCTTGTCTCCTTCAGTGATAGGGCTATGTTCTGCTGTGGAAAGAAAATGGATATTTCATATATCAGGAAGTCACTCCGTTCACCAGTGGGAATTGAAAGTGGCGTACACAGTAGGTAGGTGAAGCGAGAGGGCTGGAAGTGACGTGAACTAGCCTCAAAGTGACTAGCGCATATCTGGCTGGCGCCGTGAGGTTAAGGCGAATGACCAGCCGATCGAGTTTGAATGAATCACCAACACATCACAGTCACATCTACTACTACCACTCTCGATATAACCACCCTTTCTCTCTCGATTGCGACTCAACCATCTTGCTCTCACACCAATCATCTACACCAGTTCTGCACACACAAAAGAGACATGAAACGCCGTGCATCTCGCTTGACTTTCCCAACTAGACCCACCTTCCTCTAACCACCCTCCTTCTCTCTCGAGACATGGAGAGTCTGCCTCTCTCGAAAGTGCACATGCCGGGCGATCAGGAAGTCCCGTCATGGGACTTTGACCCTGCCATCAGACTCCTGAATAACCTTGCCTTCACCGACAGAGCATCTGCAGTGAGCCACGGGCTTGTCATCTACAGCAACAAAGATGGAGGGACCGATGATACCTGCGGAGGATCACTTGGGGACTTTTCTACTCTGTGGGATTTCCTAGGGCGTCCCCATGCCGCTGATGAACAGCAAGCTGAGGAGCTGGTCAAATATGAGATCAACGATGAGCCCGTGGCAGAGGTCGACCTGAACCAGCTCAGCAAAGGTGTTCGGTGGCGGGACGAGGTGGATGGCGCTGATCTTGAAGACAACGTGGAACCTCCAAATAACAAAGCCACTGCTGCGTACATTCGCAACCAGAAGCGTGCTGCTAGAAGAGCCAGAGCCAAGGAGAGAGCTGAAAAGCTTGTCACCCAGGAGAAGCCCGTTTCCGACACCACAGACTGGGAATCTGGAGAAGAACTCGAGGCTCTGCGCCGGTCCCCGGACCGCAGAGCTGTTATTGACAGCATTCTCGGTCGTAGTCGACCCGGCCTTCGCGATAACAGCTCCCCTCCGACCTCTCCCTCACCCCCCAAAGCTGACATCAAAACTCCCAAACGCGAAGCACCAATTTCCAATCCCTTTGTGTGGCCTACCACACCTGTCACTACGCCGTCAAAGCACACAGTCATCACCCCTCGCGACGGACTGACCGTCAGAGCCAGGAAACAAACATTAATTACCGAATTGATGCGCCGACATCCTGAAGAGCAAACCTATCTGACGAATGCCGGGCTCCTCGAACCTGCGTTTACCCCGCTGAATACATCTGACATCGGCATTCACGTCTTCGTTGACATTTCGAACATATCGATCGGGTTCCATGATTGCTTGAAACTAGCACGTGGTATGTCCCGTGACATCCGCCTCAAGCGTGTTCCTCTCTCGTTCCACAACCTCTCTCTTATTCTCGAACGCGGTCGCCCATGCGCCAAACGTGTCCTAGTTGGATCCGACAAATATGCGGCAATTCAACAGGCCAAGTCGATCGGCTACGAAACCAACATTCTCGAACGCGTGCACAAAGCCAAGGAGCTGACGCCGCGTCAAAAGAAATACCAGGCTCGATCTGGCGGCGAGACAAGTGGTTCTGAAACGAACATAGGTCTGCCCCAGCACTCGGGTCCGGAGAAATGGGTCGAACAGGCCGTGGACGAAATTCTACACCTGAAGATCCTCGAGTCGATTATTGACACCCAAAAACCCAGCACCATTGTTCTTGCCACTGGCGACGCTGCCGAGGCCGAGTACTCGGGCGGGTTTCTGCGCATGGTTGAACGTGCCTTGGAAAAGCAATGGAGAGTCGAGCTGATCAGCTTCAGGTTGAACACCAGCAATTTGTACAAGAGACGAGAGTTCCGCATGAGATGGGGCCCCCTGTTTAAAAGCATTGAGATAGATCCATTTGTGGAGTTTTTGATCGATGAAGAGGAGAGCGATGGTTAGATGCCATGGACCAACCCCCTTGGATCAATCACCAGACCCCCGCCCGGGTTCACGCCAATCTTTGGTGTGGCGCCACCAATGTCGGATGCTCAGATCCTGACGTATGCCAGAAAGGCCATGAAGGATGTCAAAAGACAGATTGAGGAGTTGGAACAGGCAAGACTATATTATGAACTTGTTCTCAGTGGCAGAGTGTGGTGGCATTGACAATCTGATCGACGCTATCGCCGCCTTGGTCCGTGTGATGTGCAGTCAATGTAACTGCGAAATTGCAGGCTGACCTTTCCATCCAATATATGTCGAACTGGCGATTAGCACATTGAGGTAGCTGTTTTTAGGATAAGAAATGCCAGATGAATGATACCGAACTCTACGGACTGTGCCGTTTTTGGGGTCCGTAGAAGGACCTGCCCATGTTTCGGGTTGTGTCGAGGTGGGTAAACAATCACGGAGTTCAGATTAAGTGTCTCCCAGCCTGGAACACGAGATGGAAGGCCTGACAAGGCTGATCAAGCCATTATCCGCGTGGTCCATGATCCACTGGACGGAGTAATACCGATGGTCGATTCAAAATACCAATTCGGCACTACCTTGTACCAGCCAGATATGATGCGTCGAGTACGAGTACCAAGCACATAGACAGTCACTGTGCCCCAGCAAAGTGTTTGCCATTATTGGCTAGATCCGAACTGGTCGCCACTCCTCGTCGATGCTCTCGGATGCTCGCTGTTCCCATAAGTCCGAAATGTTGTCCCTCTCTTCCCAGTCCCCTAGCTGTTCGCGCCCCTCGTACATACCGCCCCCGTACCGGTCGAGTTCGTCCGCCGACCTTCCAATGATACTTCGGGCTCTTTCGCACCTGGCGTTCGCTGCCAATCGGGCCCAGCTTTTGCTTCGAAGCCTTCGAAAGCGCGAGGACCCAATAACGTACGTTATGACTCGAATCTTGGACCTAGGACCGAGCATTTCTAAGCTTGGGGCTCGCGAGCGAGGACGACACTGTGAGTGCTTCGAACAGCCGTCACCGCTTGATTCGTCGGCTTTTGTACATCATTATCAATTTCTTCGCTGCGAACCGAAGCCAAACTCTTCGACATGGCTCGGCTGAATTTGACTGTTTGATTGTGCCGGCCTCAAAGGACATGAGTACATAACCGCTGGTGAGTCTTCTCTTGTCATGGATACAATCAGTGGACATCTAATCCCTGTGACCCTTTTCTCCTGTCCCTGTTGAATGATGGTTGCCTCGCAGGATACCTACCGGCCTTCGCCAGAAACAGCTTTGCCTCACGGCGGCAGCCCTACAGCAAGGTCCAACAGCTCAAGCACGATGGAATCGACGATGGACAAAGACCTCGAGAAAGCGCCAGAAATCATGGCCGATCCTCCTTCCAGTCACGAATCAAACGGGCAGAGCGAGGACAAGGCTGAGGCAGCTGGTGGTGACGCTGTCCCGGTGACTCAGGCTGTGAATCCAATGGACCCGTCGCAGTTTCCTGAGGGAGGAATCAAGGCATGGACCGTCGTGTTTGGGGCTGCATGCGGTATCTTTGTCAGTTTCGGCTGGATCAACTGTGAGTTCGATGGCTCCCAGGGAGACTTGCTCCGGCCCAGCTCTAACCTCAGTCCTCAACCAGGCATCGGTGTCTTTCAGGAATACTACGAATCGCATCAACTCAAGGACTACTCGTCCCAGGAAATCGCCTGGATTCCGTCTCTCGAGGCATTCATGATGTTCGTCGGTGGTCTCTGGGTCGGCAGAGTATATGGTACGGCTGAGCGTCCTGCCTCTCTCATATCTCCACTTGCTGCGATCAGCATGGATCTGACAGTTTTTGACAACAGACAACTATGGCCCTCGCATTCTCCTTATCATCGGCACAATCCTGCACGTTTTTGGTCTGATGATGGCCTCCATCTCGCACAAATATTATCAATTCCTGCTCTCCCAAGGCGTGTGTTCCGCATTGGGTGCGTCGATGATCTTTTACCCGTCGATGGCCTGCGTCGTCACATGGTTCTTCCGACGCCGCTCTCTCGCATTGGGCGTTGCGGCCACCGGATCGAGTATTGGCGGTGTCATCTTCCCCGTCATGGTTGAGAAATTGATCCCCCAGGTGGGATTTGGCTGGACGATGCGGATCTGTGCCTTCTTGGTTCTGGGGCTGATGATTTTGGGGAATATGACTCTCGTCAGTCGCATTCCGCCCATGGCGAGGCCAGTGAAGCCGATGGATTTTGTGCGGCCATTCATGGAGGGAAACTTTGCCTTACTGGCATTTGGGAGTTTCTTGTGTTTTTTGGGTATGTGTCATCCCATTCGAGTCTCGCTTGGGATTGCTTCTCCCTGCAGACCCCCTAGTGGCTAACTGAAAACCATGCGATCAGGCCTCTTTCTCCCCTTCACCTTCATCATTCTCTCTGCCCGAGCGCAGGGCGTTCCGGACTCCCTCGCCAAGTATTTGGTCGCAATCCTGAACGCCGCCAGCACATTCGGACGGACCATCCCTCCGTTCTTCGCCGATCGGCTCGGCCGCTTTACGGTTTTCCTTTCCGTCACTCTCCTCTCGGCCCTCATCACCCTCTGCCTCTGGGTTCCTGCTTCCGGCACCGCCGCCACGGTCGTTTTCTGTCTCATCTTCGGATTCAGCTCCGGGGCCGCAGCCAGTATCCTACCGAGTTGCGTGGCGCAGATCAGCCATATTAGTCAGATCGGCGTGCGGACGGGATGTTTGTTCAGTGTGGTGGCAGTGGCGGTGTTGATTGGATCCCCTATTGGCGGGCAGCTGATTGTCAACGATGGATACAAGAGCATGCGAGGATTCAGCGGTGCGATGCTGGCAGCAGGCTTTGTGGTCTATGCCCTGCTTTGGCTCAGGCTAGGTGGGTTAAAGGGTCAGAAGGTATAATTTTCACGCATACTAGGAAAAGTAGCCATATGTAAGCAACGTTCAGGGTTGGATGTCGGAGATCTTCACTTGGCCCTTTCTCGTGGCCTATTTTCCCTCAGATTTTCGGCCACAGGGCTGAATCGACCTCGATGGAGAAGTCTATAAAGCGGCGTTATGGTGGCACGAGATAATACTTGAACTCGAGTGGAACTTCGGGGCGCGCGATAGTACCGAATAGAAGCCGATGGAATGACGTAAACAGCTGAACAGACACTTCTCCGACGGCTGCCACCACGAGGGATCTCAGGCATCGGTTCGGTGTCGACAACATGATGGTGCAGATGATTGTTCATCTGCGGCAGAATCTCCAAGGTGCAGAGTGAGGGTTCTGAAGCATACCGACGGGTGAAAGGACGTGTCTCTTGACAAGACATCCCCGGCATACCGGTTCAATCGACTTCTGCCTTGTGCATCTGTGAGCATGCTGCGGCGTAATTGCATGGCTCTCTTTAATCGAACTCTGAAATGACGAAGGGTACAGTGGGTGCCGCAGCCGACAGGTTACACTCGGTCCAACAGAGAGTCAAAAAGAATAGTTGATGGCCGACAAACCATCACCAGGACGATCAATGGCGCTACAAATGTACAGGCGAAAGCGACCCCGGCGAGAATCCAGTGACGGGTACTCCGTCGAGGAAATCTCTGCCGATGACATGGGCTATGACGGGGACATCGAAGTGCTTCTTCCCGACCAATACGAGGAGCCTGATTCGGATTTCGAAGACGACCACGTGCTGAGGAGGCTGTGGCCCGATACAGACGATGAGCTGGCCAGCAAACTACGGAGACTATCCTGCGATCCTCAACGCCGACGAGGCGGTGGTGAGCGAGGCCGGAAACGCATGTCACGGGAAATGGAGGGGGATGGGGACGGGGACGAGGACGAGGAAGACGCTGATATCCCGCTCAAACACACCGAGATCGAAGTATCGGAGCTGGTTGACGGACACATTGAGCAACCTCCACCGAAGAGAAGGAAGAACAGAGCCAGCAAGCCGCCACTGGGACAGCGGATTGCGAGGAGGCAGGCTGCAGAGGCCTGGTCGGACAGCTCCGACCTATCCGAAGAGGTGATGCTCGAGTCATCGACAGGGACTCCTGAGGGCACAAACACGCCGTCGACGCCGATGAAGAATGGGGGGGTTGAAGATGATGCCATGGACCTTGGGTGAGGGGAATACGATAGACATTGTTATATACGGTATGGGGAGGGCAATGGGTAGCTATTAATGTAGGGAGGGACTTGCGCAATAGGCAATAATTAGGGCACTTTCGGCACTCGGGGGCCGGATTGGGGAATTCCACGAGCATTTGGCGGGGGCTGATAGGCGCCCGGGTGGTTCCTGACTAGAGAGCCACAGCGCATGGATGGCATTGGTGTCATTGGTGTCAATGGTGGCTTTAGTGGCTTTGGTGGCTAGTGGGCGTCATTCCTCCACTCCCTGCAGTGTCCCTCCATATTCCTCCGCTACCTCCACCCAGCCAGCCAGCCAGCCCGCCAGCCAGCCGAGGAGGGCTTCCGATCTTCTGTCTCACCACTCACTCACTTCTGGACTGCAGCTTGCGATAGAAGCTTCCACTGGTGTCGCTGCCGCGGGTCTCGTTCCGAATCTTACATCATTGTGCCTTCTGGGGCCTCACAAGTGGACTAACTTTAGCTGCACTTCACTACTTGCTCCCTTGGCTTCTCCTCCCAACACCATGACAGGGACGAGAGCTTGTCGCTGCCGACCCGACTCCCAATGGCTTCTTGATTTCTCCTCCCCCCCCCATCAACCACCCCCTTAGTGTCCCTCGTTTCATCCTCGTCTTCACATCTGTCCATCACTCTTGCATCTCATTCTCATCCCCCACGATGACCGGTAGACGCTCTTCGGCTCGCATCGCCGCGCAGCACCCGAGCTCCCAGAGTTCGCAGACCTCTTCTCCCCCGCATCCAAAGTCGTCGCCGGCTGGCAGGAAGCGCAAGAATGAGGCGTCTGGCTCTTCACCGAGCGCAAAGCGAGGGAAGAAGGATGCGCACCTCGAGCAGAAGACGCTGGATGAGTCCCTGCCGCAGAAGTATGTCCTCTCTTCATCTCACCCGTCGCATCCATGCTGACACTTGCTACCCAGTGGAGCCCATGAACAACCTGCACCGGAGAAGGCCGACCAAGAAATGACCGAGCCAGAGCCAGCAAAGCCTGAAGAACCGCAGGCCGGAAAAGTCAATGGTGACGCAACCGAGGCGAAGGAGCAGGAACAGGACGGGCACTCCAAAGAGGAGGAGAGTGCCGACAAGGAAAAGGAGCCTGAGACCGAAAGCGCCAAACCTGAAGCCTCAGAGCCCAAAGCGGAAGAGGCTGAAGAGGCCAAAGATGCAGAGCCTGTAGCCGCAGAGGCCCAGGAGGAAACAAAACCCGCCGAGACGAATGGCGACGCTGTTGAGCCCGGTGCACGCGAAGACGACGTCCCCTCCAGCATCCTCGAAAAGGGCGTCATCTACTTCTTCTTCCGTGCTCGGGTCAACGTGGACCACCCCGAGGATGTCAAAGATGTTGCGCGCTCTTACATGGTCATGCGCCCAATTCCTCTGGACGCGAAACTCGGAGATGGCCCCATCGGCGACGAAGGAAATTGTCGCCTTCTCGCTCTCCCCAAGAAGGTACTTCCCAAGAGCGGTAAGGACAGATTCATCACCTTTGTCGAGAAGTGCAAGACCAGCTTTGCGGAGCTCAAAGAATCCTTCCTGGCCGGGGCAGAGTACGAGACCAAGACCGCTGGCACTAGACACACACCTCCCGCCACCCCACTTGCCGAGGGAGTCTACGCAATCACGACCACGGGGCGCGAATCACATCTGGCCTACATCATCAATATTCCGGCCGAAATTGGGGAGATGCAGAAAGACTTTGGCCTCAAGCAGCGTGGAAGTTTCGTGACCAGTGTCAAGAACCCTCAGCAGCCCCCTCTGGGCAACCAGAATGTGCCCAAGGGACCTGAGTACCCCCAAGAGATTATTGATGAATTCCGAAATCTCCGGTGGAAGCCACTGGAGCCGAAATACTTGGATTATGACAATGCGCAATTTCTGATGATTGGAGAGGACTATGACAAGGCTACGGAACAGCGGCCTAAGGATGAGCGGGAAAGCAATGCTGCGCCTGAGGAGGAAATGGAGAAGTTGGAGGGCGAAGATGAGATCCGGATCAAACATTTGAAAGGTGAGTGCGAATCCATCGAATGTGCATGTGCCATACGGAGTGCAGCTAACACTTCTAGGCGACGATGCTGTCTTTACGGATCTTGGAGTCACGTCAAAAGAACTCCCCCAGGTGTCGACTACTTGGTAGCTGTCGGTTTATGACGACAGGCTAAGAGGGCTGGGTGGCGGATTTATGTTTGTATCATGCTCAACATGCCATGCACTGTTCCGACTGGGAGGTATTTGTGAAAGCAAAAAATGAAACTCTGTAGCTTAGTCGGCGCACCGATTCATGCCCGCAAAAACTATGGAGTCGTTATGTTTCATGTCAATGCTTCTGAGAGATCAATAAAAAAATAATCATTTACATCCAGGTGTCCTTGAGACTGTCGACCCGATGAAAGTTGCAGACTCGAAAGATGATGATCATGACTAACTAATAAGTACCGACTTTTCGTTTTTCTTCTTCTTCCTCTTGCACGATCCTGCGTTTGCTTTGCTCAGCATCTCCTTCTCCTCCTCTGGATATTTCCTTGCTAAGTCCCCTCGCGTGCCTCGATCTGCTCGACCTGTTCCCGAATCTGCCGCAGAGCCCACCCGAGATGCCCGACGTTGGGGGACATGCGCGCGTCGAGGGTCCGCACGAGCGCCAGGCCGCCCCGGAGGTGGATGTGCATGGACCGCGTCGACCCGTGCATGCCCTCGATGTAGACGAACAGGATGCTGGCGAAGGCGGCCAGCTCGACGCTCGCGACCGAGCTGTCCAGCCGGGCGTTGAGCTGCCGGATCGCCAGGAGGTACTGCGCCAGGCAGTACTCGGCGGCGGAGTCGAGGTCGGCGTTGTGGAGGGGGTGGGGTTGGCCTGGATAACGATGGTCCCACGACGTTGACGACGATGACGACAACGGACTCGCTGGACTCGGCGGGTGGTAATTGGTCCGGCTCATGACGCTGATCGACAAGGCGGCGTGGAAGATGCTGGGCTCGGCGTGGGCGTAGCGCAGCACGACGCCCTCCCACCAGGGACTCTCGAAGTACAGGGCAAAATCGCGCGCGCACACGCGCCGGAAGTAGTCAAAGTTGCTCGCCTCGCAGGCATTCATGTTGTACAGGTGGCTGGGGAGGAGGAGGCGATCCGGGGACAGGACGGGGAGGCTGCTCGACGATTGTTGTTGTTGGTGTTGCCACAAGGCCGCCGTCGTCGTTGTTGTCGTCGTCGTCGTACGCTGCTGGTGGTAAATCACCTCACCCAACCCCACCGCTCCAGGAGGAGGAGGGGCACTGTGCGACGAAGATGACCAGGAGGGTGGTGGTAGTGCGATGGTGGCAGGGGTAAGGAAATCGCATTTCCGCCCTGTGCTGCTGCATTGCAGACACGCGGGTCTGGCTTCGTTGCATTTCTTGTGCCGGAGTCTAATATATATGAAACGGAATCAAATAAGTGTGATGAAACATCCTACCCGGGACTGTTTACGAAAAAGAAGTCATGCAAGGTGAAACCCGAGCAACGGAAAGCGGCACCAGGGGATGTATATATCATATGTATGATGATATGTATGATAAGACATGGCATGATATGACATCTCAAGTATTTGCATAGCTCGTGTTTGTGTATGTGTGGGTCAATGGCAAAGGGGAAGGAAGATGGAGGCCCCTGGTGAAGGAAACCAAAGAGAGCAAAAAAGCGTACATGCACGGACTTACTTGCAGGTCCGACACCCGCTCTTGACCTTGTGCTGCCCCCTGGCGCCGATGCGAGGTTTCTTCTGGCGGGCGGCGACCAGAATCATCATCTGCGTACCGTGATGCCCCGTTCCTCCTTCTGTGGGTGTGGGAACTATATGACTTGATGCCGGATCTGCCGACATTGCTGGCTGGCTAGCTGGGTGTGCCGGGGTGCGTGAGTTTGACTTTGCCTGGCGATGGCGAGACAGACCATCATCACCTCGCAGAGCGGCCCGTGGGCATTCTGACCGTGCTCGTGTCTTTTTTTTTTCGATGGACTGTATGGAGGGAAGGGGAAGAATGAATACTGTACTGCAATAGTACACACAGGAGTTCCGTATCTCACTGTTCAGGCCTGGTGGATCCGGGGAACCGATATATGAGGATTCGGATTGGTTCGTGCGTAATTTGAGGCCGGACGCCTTTCCTGATTTGGTCCTAGTTCTTTGGCGCAACACCCATATCAGTATATAGAAGCACACAGGAGGTGGATGTGCATTTGAAGGGTGGAATAGCTCTTGGGCGCCCTGGAGTATCCCAGCTTCTCTATAAATACCAGGTCATCACTCTGAATACTTCTCCATTCTTCTTCATCGGCAGCTTCTTCACCTCCATCTTTTTTTCGAAACATGGCTACTACTACTTTTGCATCCAGTGCGTCCTTGCCTGATGAGAACGCCCCCGAAACCATCGAGGCTCGCCGCAGAGAAATGCAAGCTTGGGAGCAGGCCGCGGGCGAGATTCTCGGTCCTTGTCCGCCGGACTTGAAGGAATCGACTATCGACATCGCCCTGTCCGACCATTTCGTGAGCCACAACATCGTCGTCCGGCCTGTCTCGACAGCCAATGGAGAAGGCCACAGCCAGAGCGCCATCAAAAAGTGTCCTCTCATCGTGTACATCCACGGCGGAAGCTTTGCCTTTGGCACGCCACACCAGGTGCTTTCTCCCGCGCGCGCATTTGCCTCGCATTTCGGGGCTATCGTCGCCTGTCCGTCCTACAAGCTCGCCCCGGAGAACCCCTTCCCAGCACCGATGCAGAGTGTCTGGGAGGTGGTGGCGTGGCTGTCTGACCCGCAGAACCTCAACACCGGACTCCTCGCGCACGAAGGCATCGAGTTCGATCCGTCCCTCGGTTTCGTGCTGGCGGGCTGCAGTGCAGGCGCAACCATCTCGGCCGTGGTAGCGGGCATCGCAGCGGCGGCACGCGCAGGGCAGACCGAGCTGGTGCAGGGACTCCCGGGGGGCCTCGTCTCTCCCATCACCGGACTCTTCATCTCGCTGCCTCACCTCGTCCATCGAGACATGGTTCCGGCGAAGTACGCGTCCGCATTCCGGTCTCGCGAGGAGCATGCCAACGCGCCCATCATCAACGCCGCGTCGCTGGCCCACTCGATCAAGCGCCTCCAGACCGACTTCCACTCACCGTGGTTTTCGCCGCTCAACCTGGACCTTCATGCCATCAAAGAACATCACCCCAACCGAGTCTACGTGCACGCTGGTGAGCTGGATATCCTTCGTGATGATGCGGTCATCTATGAACGGGTATTGAGAGAGGATGGCATCGCCGAGACCAAGATCGACGTGCTGGCCGGCTATGCCCACGTCGGCTGGCTCTCCATTCCGTTTCCTGAGGCCCACACGCCAGAGATCAAGGAAATGACAATGAACGGCATGGCCTGGGTTCTTGGCCAGGAGTGGGACAGAGATAGGCCACTTCCATACTGATTGATCGAGTAATTAGGATTCTCAATGTCACTGGCGTCGTCGGAGACAAGTGTTGATGCAAGACCTCCCCCCCTTTTTTTTCACTGTCACCCACTGTTGGGTGACTGTCATTCAAGAGCGATGGTGACTAATCTGCAACTACGTATTCCCAACCAAGAATCTAGGAACTGCTTCCTTGAGCAGGACAAAGCTCAACCCAATTTCCCGCAACAATTTCCTTTCAATCTCCCGCTGCGTTGAACCCAAGCATTCCTTGTGAACGGGGGGACACCAGCTTCCCCCGAGTTTGCAGCCTGGAGAGTTCAACGGTGACTCCGTTCCGGTGTCTCCCCCCGCCACACAATTGCGACATCGTCCAACCCGAAGGTGGTGAACACCTTTCAGATCGATCAGAGGACAACTTGCCTTTCGATCCCGTCATATGTCTATTATTTCTGCACAAATTCTTTCAACTCTTCTCCGTAACATGTACTTGACACGTACTCTACAAGCGGATGATGTGCCAACGCCGGTCATTGATTCAGCATCTCTCTTTCCATTCTGGTCTGAGCTACACAAGCCTTAGGTGAGTGACCAGGATGTGTGAGAACGCCCAGGGCGATAGGCATTGTCCCCGAGGTGGGTATGTGGCTGAAACCGACCCAATCCCGCGAGCTTTACCTCGTACACGTTACCACTGAGTAAAGAGTACATTACCCCATCCAAGAGAAGCACCGCCCCTTGGGATTCAAAAGGACAAGGTACTCGGTATGTGGTCGACGTACGAGGTACATACCTAATCTCTCGAGGGCGTGGAGCACCTGGGGTATTTCTCCCCTTCATGTGCCGCCTGCAAACGCAAGCGCTTATTTCTTCTGCCAAAAGGCGCTTATGCAACCTTGGGCGTCAACTAATGCATACAGGACTCCAACATGGTATCATGCGACCTATTTGCGTCTTAGGTCAACCCCCCTTGTAGGGCCGATTGATGGCGATGCAACGACCCCAATAGCTCGCAATCGGGCAGTGGAAAGGGGTACTACAAGGTACCTGTACCTCAGTACGTCCTATCTACTCGGTACTGAAGTGCTTTGACGTCCTCAAACGCTGCGCACACTCTGGGCCACAGTTGTGGAAAGAAGCCTCAGACACGGCACAATGTGCGAGTCCATCAGTCTCGCACGGACGGTCGAAACATTCACCGAGGGATTGGCCTCTTCTCTGGCCCAGAATGTGGTTGGTATGCTACACCTTTGCGACATTAGTGGCTACACTCTGGAATAGTATCCTGTCGCTCCCGGCTCCAGGGTGGGGGCCAGGTTTGGTCACAGAGCACTCACTTCATGGATGGGCGAAATCGTGTTTCTACTTTCTTCAACTCTTCAATTTCCACATTGGCAGGTTCCCATGTACTTCGACCTACACTGGGCAAACTTCTAACTACGAGAAGTCGTCGGTCATGGTGAGAAGACCGGTAAGTCCTGCTGTTTTCCAGTATCGCCGCCAACTGAAGAACTTAACGACGGTTGTTTAGCTTAGGGCAGATCGCTCTCCTGCTGGCTCGCCTGGTCCCGAGAGGACTCCAGTCCAGTCTTCGCGCAGTGACAATCTCCAAAGCAGTTCAAGACCAGTTACGCGCTATTCAACTCGGAGTGCATCAAAGGCTGTTGTTCTTCCTGGGACGTCGGATTTCGACCCAGATGTGGCGATTCCTTCAATTGAAAGAGACCATAATGAGGCCTCAAGCGACCTCTCTCGCAAGAGCACACCCGTGCGCGTCAAAACCCCCTCCTTTTCTATCACGACGCCCGCTACAGAGGAAAATGCGACCCCTGCCCCTTCGTGTTCCGCCCGCCGTGGAACACGTCGAACCCCATCCTCTACAGCAGCCAGTCTCACTGAATGTATGAGATGGATGGAGCTTTCTGGAACGCCATCAAGAGCCCCAGCATCGTCCAGTCAAATTGACCCTCTTTCTGAAGCTCGCCAGCGCTGTTTCCGATCTTCCCGCGCGATTTCTTACGTCAATGGTCAACGTTATGCTCGGAACTCTGTGGACGATGTCGCCTACGGCGTCGAAAATATCAGATTGGGCACACAAAATACACCGCCTGCGACTCCCACTCCGCACACTTACCTTGATCCACGGTCCCCAAGCCCCAACACGCCCCATGAGGCGGCGACTCGCAGCCCACGATCTGCTTCCCGTCGTCGGTCAGGCTCTCATGTTGATCTGACTCATAAAGTTGCAGAGGAAGAACCCCCACCGTCGCAGTTCCACGCGCCAGAGTTTCAGCGAGAGTTTGGCCACGCACGTAACCTTGTGAATCATTTGGTCAATGTTCTTGCAAGCTCATCACTGCACAACGAAACTCAGTCTGGTATAGGCGCCCTCTACCAGCAGGCTGTCGCGCTGAGTCGCTTCCAGAAGCCCTCGACTCGTACCGTGGGCTTGGTAGGAGACCAGGGGGTCGGTACGTGGGCCCGAGGGTGGTTGTTTGATGGCTCTGTCTCTTACCGTACGCAGGGAAAAGCAGTGTCCTGAATTCACTCTTAGACTTCAAAAGCTTCGCTCGATCGGTTAGTTGCTGTTTCCCCCCTTTGCCCTAGTCACACTATAGCTGATTCCAGGGTCGATAACAGGGTAACAATGGGTCGGCGTGTACTTGCGTTGCAACTGAATATCATTACCACGAACATGCCGATTTCGCCATCGAGGTCGAATATTTCACTTTGGATGAGCTTCAGGACCAATTGACTGAGCTGCTACAAGCATACCGACACTATCACCTCCCTGAATCAAATGAAAAGCAGAGCGATCTGGAAGAGAAAGCCAAGGTCGCTGAAGACACATTCAGGGCTGCCTTTCGCAGCCATCGCACGTATAATGAGGAATTCCTTCTCGACAATCCCGAGGCAACGGTGCTCCAGACATTACTGACGTGGGCCAGGAATTCGGGCTTGCCTCTAAGAGACACGCCAGGCGCGGGCCCAGAGATAGAATTCTTCAACGAAGCAGAACAATGTTCTGATCGCTTGGTCGAGATTACCTCGGAGCCAAACTCTTCGAATGAAGCCTCCGCCTGGCCGTTCATTCGGAAGATAAAGTACGTGACCGCAACGAAGACAAGTCTTTGTGCCTATGGAATCCAGCTGATTGTAACAGAGTCTACCTGAATGCCTATATCCTGAGCAAGGGCCTTATTCTTGTTGACCTCCCAGGTAAGTACTATGCTACACTTGATACAAAGCTTGTCTAAACATCATCAGGCCTCCGAGACCTCAACTCAGCTTGGCTCAGGATCACCGAGAGATACCTGCTTGAATGCGACGAGATTTTCGCCATCTGTCCCATCGGGCGCGCTACCACCGATGCCAGTGTCAGGGAAGTATTCGAGCTTGCAAGGCAGGCGTCCTTGTCCAGAGTTGGGATCATTTGCACAAAGTCCGAGGTAAGTGCTGCTGAATGCTCCGGGCTAGTTTGTCAGCCTATTGGACATTACAGACTCCTTGAGGCTCTCCTGCTAACTTTAACCGCAGGAGATACAAGCAGACGAAGCTCAGCGAGAGTTTGGTGCAGAGGCTGGAACATACATAAAGAAGCTGAGGGACAGAAGAGAGGAGATGCAGGAATCACTGGAGGAAATTGAGCGCAGAATAAGTGACCTCATCATTGATACTGATACTGAAGCCGAGGGTGATAAAGAAGAGCGCCGGAAGCTTGCGCGACTCCAGAGAGCTGCTAGTAAGTCGAGGTGAGTGTGTGTGTAAATCCGTGGTAAATCAGTCTGACACTGATGATTCCTCCCCCCAGGAAATCGCTCGAACAAGTACAGTTTGAGTGAGTGGTTCTACCCCCAGAGTCCTGCAGACCAATGACTGTGGACTCTCAGATTGAAGACTTTCCTCATCACTACGCGCAATCAGAAAGTCACAGCCGAGATTCGAGCAGTCTACGAGAGTCGCATGCCCCAGGGAAACCTGCCAGTGTTTTGCGTCAGCAACCGCGAGTACTGGGAGCATCGAAAGAAACCAGCAGGGGAGGCCATGCCCTTCCTTCATCTCTCTGGCATCCTGGAAGTCCGAAAGCATTGCCTTTCCGTTGTTGCCGAGAGCCAGCTCCGGACGGCGGTCGATTACATGGTCAATGCCATTCCAGGGCTACTGGGTTCTGTCGAGCTCTGGGTTCAGTCCGGCGTGCGAGACCTAAGCTCCGGAGGAAAGCAAGCTGTTCGAGACACCATAGAAAGGATCGAAAAGGCGTTATACAACGTGAGTTCCCCTGTGAGAGACTCCTAAGGACTTTGAACTGGTCTAATTCAAGCTTCGCCCCAAGTTGAACTTGTCAAAATCTCCTGTCAATGCCAGTGCGCGGACAATGGAACGGGAATTCAAGACACGGATAGCTCGTATCATGAGTTCGTAACTCTTACCTGGAGGCTGTCGCTCAGCTGATGCTTTGGTAGAACAACACTCCAAAACTTGGTGCAAAGCTGCAGAGAACGCCACAATAGAATGGCGAGGAGTAAGTGCTCTCTCATATGGTATACGAACTGTATTACGTTCAAACTAATACGAGCAATGGCAGTGGAGTTCTGGTAAGGGAAAATTCCCTCCCCTCGCCTTTAGCCGTCTCTATCTCTGCGAACATTGACCTTCTTGCCAGGCACTTTCTCTGCCTTTTGTCGGAAATACGGAGATCACCACACAACCACAATAGGAACCCGCCACTGGAACGAGGAAGCGATCGAGGCGATGGTCACTCAGCTGGCAACCCCATGGCAAACCTTGCGGCAAAATCTTCGAGACCTGCAGTTCCATCTGCTGGAAACAATCAACGATTGCTTCAATCGCTCCATAGCTATATGTACGACAAGAGCCACTCATACCCCTGCCTAAGCCGACAATGGATCTGACCAAGTGCTGACGAGCGTTCCCAGCTATTGAAGCCGAAACCACGGCAGACTCACTGCCGACGTTGACCAAGAACATAGAGCACAGACATGCCCTTCTCGTTGCTAAGGTAGAGAAGCTAGAAGACGATTTCGAGCGTGGTTTATCGTAAGAGAGAGACCCAAATCTTCCCTATGGCCAGTTACCTCAAAGGCTAATCCGCAATACAGTATTCTTCAGACGGATGCGTTTTCCGGGATTCACAGCTCGTTCATCGGCCAGCACATGAAACCTTCATACGACAAGACCATCCTTCTAAGCGGTCAGTGCAATCCCCCCTTTCCTCTTGGCCCAAATAGCTGTTGAAATATGGTGGTGGAATGGTGTTTATTGAGTTAAAGAGAATCTGACACCGCTTCAGGCACCGGGAGCGACATTCAACGCAAGAGAATCATTCAAGAGGCGTTTAGCGACGACCAGCTGTTCGTGTGCCATCGCCAGCAACTCCAAGACAGATTCTGCGCCCTGGCGCGTGACTTGCAAGACGAGATCCAGGATGCCATTGCCAGGCACCTCGCCGATGTCCAGAGCGACTTGGATATGCTGAAGAACACCCACGTGGCCCTGGAGAGCGAACAGCATTGCGAGTTCCGCCGACGGGTGGAAGACACGGTGCAGAATATCAGACAGGAGATGGAGGAGATTCACGCTGTCGTTGCTCCTTCTGAGCCCCTGGCAGTTACCTGAGAGGGACGTGTCGTCGAACATGTACGAACAAATCTTGTGAAAGTTCCAGGCGTTTTGTTTTGTTTTGTTTTGTTTCGTGTTACATTTCGTTCGGTGGTTCGCTGCACGGGCACCAGAGCATGTTCGCTGGCAAAAGGCCAGGAGGAGAAAGGACGCATACCTCTCCAACACATACCTAGATCCATCCGCAATATGACTTTGTGTGAAGACTTCCAGGAAACCCCTTTGTTTTCCCGCCAATGGACGGCGGCCGACTTGTAACTATGATGAATATTCAAACTCGATCGACCCCCTGAATCTCTCAGCCGCATCACGTGCCATTCACCCATCCATCCTTGTTCCTTATTGTCGTTAACAGCACTCACCCACTCCAAACTGCACTCACAACCATGTCTTCTTCTTCTTCTTCTTCTTCTTCTCCTTTCCCGTCTCAAACTCGTTTCCCTCGAGAGGCCTCTTGAGCGACCTACTCGGCCCCCATGGGCACGGGTCCACCATCGATTCCGAGCTCAGAATACGGACATGAAAGAAGTCGCGAGAGGGTGGTCTCGAATACATACAGATCTAGGTTTCTATCTACGACAGAACAAGAACTGTCCGCAGCCAGCCCTTGATCTCTGTCGGGCCTCTTCTTTTGTTTTCCTTTTCTCCGACTATGAAATGGCAGCGCCATCTGACATTGAGGGACGACCGTGCCACCACCAGCAGGAGAGCTCGATGCAATAGATGGTCCACGACGCAGTGGGACATTCTTCTGAGAGCCACAGTCGCCCAGGAACACACAAAAACCAGATCCAGACGATCCTGAAACGTGGCCCTGTCCTTCCATCGAAGCCACGGGTGCGTGCCGTGTACGTGGCGTGAAAAAAGCCGAGATGCGGCTTGTTCACCGACCCCATGTTCAAGTTCCTGCCTGATGCACCACTGCCCCCGAGTTCATTCATTTGGGGATTATGGACACCACCACGTGCTTGCTACCGCACCATCTACCTGCAGTGGCGGCGGCGGTCGACGAGCGCCCAGGATAGTGTGACTGCGGTGATGAACAGGGTGTCTGCTTCCAGACCTACTCGTTCAGGATCCTCAAAAAGGCGATGGCGTGTGCCCGGCGCGCAACCAAGTGACTATGCGGGAGTGGAGCCTGGACTCCGTCGACAGGGTCAATGTCACCGGCGTCAACGCCTTTGGCAACGTGTTTCATCCGGAATGGTGGGTTTCGGGGCGGGCTCAGGGGATATGGACAAGCGGGTTGAGGTGTGAAGAAGGGTTGATAATAGGGAAACAAGCCTCCTAGGAGAAGAGCTGGCAAGAACAGGGACGAGCACGGTAGAGGGTTGCCGACGGCGGGAACTGGCTAGGAAAATAGCTGGTGAAGAGAAGAGCTAGTGATGAGAAGTGCTGTGGAGGAGAGGAGCTAGGCCGGTAAGAAGTTGGCAATAAGGGTCGATTGCCGGGCGAGGGACAAGCACATGGAGGCATCGCGGGCTGGAAGACGTCCAAGGAATGACAGAGACAGCGTGATCAATATGGGAGGCGAGGACCTCCCTGCGACGAAACCAGACAACTTCGTGGGAACGCAGGCTAAGGACAAACAGAAAGAAACCCTTAGATTTCATGACACTGACGTTGAGAGTGATTGCAACTACTCCAAACGGCGGGCGTCGTCTGCCTACCCATCACTTCACTTTCAATGTTCGCATGTTTGTTTCTATAACTAGTAATAGTAGTAAAGTTTATGATATGGAGGGGTTTTGTAGACACGAAGGATGATGGACCACTGCACCCACGGTGGAAAGGATGGGAAAAAATGCCGTGGTGAGTAACGTGTCAGCAGAGGGTTTGATCTTCTTTGCACCAAAATAGGCAACATTATCCTGGGTGATGTCTCTCCGGGGTCTCCCCCGGAGAGGGGATAAAGGCCAGAGTGTTGGCAAAGGTGTGTGTGGTGGTATGTTGTGTGTGTGTGGGCTGTGTGCTTGTATGTAAAACATACATACACTTTCTTTCGGAGTCTGGGAGGAGGGGGAAGTCTTGGGGGCTTGGGAACAGAGGGTGACAATGATGATGATGCTGCTGATGACGATGAAGAGGGAGGCAAGGGGGAGGCAAGGGGAGAGGGAGAAAGAAGCAAGGAAAGGAAAGGGCACGTAAGTATGTTTGGAATCAGCAAACCAGAAAATAGGAGATTTGGCCAGCCCAACAAAACGCCACGCTTGTTTGCTGGCAATTCTTGCTTTGAGACCTTTGTTTTGTTTTTGGTCTTCTTTTGTAATGCTTTCTCTCGTTAATCCTCATTACTTTGCTGCTTTTCATGAGGGAACATGCATGACATGGGTATGAGTGATCTCCAGGCGTCAGGCTCATGGGACGACAATGTTACCTGCCACCATGTGCCACCCTCGACACACCGACTGAACCGAACGAGATTCATGAAATGAGCTCTTCATCATCAGGCATTGCGTGTCTAGATCTATTCATCCGGCACTGTTTCGCACGTACAAAGTTAGCAACCAAGCCCACAACGACAGAAGGGGGGTCCAAGGAGTCGACATATGTACGAAAGAAACTCACCCTCAATTGACCCTTCCTTGATCTCGTCACTGATATCCTTGGGACTCCTGCCGTCGACCTGGCAGCCGACGCTGAAGGCCGTCCCCAGAATTTCCAAGACCGTACCCTTCAGCTCCCGCGCGAGCGACTTGTTGGCTCCACGCATGGTCCGGGCGATGTCGAAGATCTCATCCAGCGGGATCGACTTGGAGTGCTTGATGTTCTTTTCCTTCTTGCGGTCCCGAGGAGGCTCCTTCAGGGCTCTGATGACGAGGGACGAGGCCGAGGGCACGACACTGACGGCAGCTTGTCGGTTTTGGATGGTCAGCTTGACCGTGACGCGGAGACCTTTCTGCACAACACAACCAAGGTCTGTTAGTCTAGCCCCTCTCCATACTCCGCCACAGCTTCTTGTAGAGATAAGACGCACCCAGTCACCGGTTGCTTTCGCAATATCTTCTCCGACCTTCTTGGGTGAGAGACCGAGGGGACCGATCTTGGGAGCGAGGGTTGCAGAGGACCCGACCTCACCGCCAGTGGCGCGGAGGTGGCTGTAGAGAACCCATGTCAGTTGCCTCGCGAATTTGGATGTCGTCGAAGGGTTCACACATACATGATCTTCACCTCATTGGGATCTAACTTGGGAGCTGAAAGAGTGAACACACAACGTTAGCCGCCGAGCTGATGATGCTGCTCAAGAAGACGATACTTACGCATGGCGAGTGCGAAAGGTAGTCAGTCTCTCTTGAGGTGATGGAGGTGAGCTGGTAGGATAGAAAACTCAGGGAGAAGCAGGTCGCGAAATTGAACAAAGACTAGCAACTTTTTTCGGTCGTTGCCAAGACTTCGACTTGTGGGTGAAATTATTCTCAATGCGGAAAGGTCAATATGGTTCGCGCAGATGCCGCTTGGCAGGTATATATAGTGTACGCAGTACGAGGTACGAGGTACTTCTTCTATCAAGGGACGTCTGTGTGAACTCATTTCATGTCATGCCAAGTTTCTACCGGTATTTAATCGCCCAACTGCGTTGCTTGTAAAACAGCTGCGACCGACCCATTGAACAGGTTCCTGGGGAGAAACGTCCCAACATGCGTGGTACACATCGTACAGATGGAATCCCACATGCCCGTCTGTCTGCACTGCACGCCTCTAGCTGGACCCAGATACCGCCAGTCTGAATCGCATTAGTGTAAGTCAAAAGGCTGCACGAAAGGGGAAAAACTTACTTCATCAAATGGTCCATGAATGTTTGCAATGAAACATCATCGGTGAAAATCGTCTGGGCACTCTGCGAGACACCACCGTAACCACCGGTCGCATGGGTGGTCGACGGATTCAATTTTGATAGGAGGAAACGTGCTTGTGAACCGCCAGCGTCGCAAATGATAAATCGCGGTAGAGGGAATCGGTCCTGTACGAGTTCCCGTGCGTCTTCCTTTGGTGCGTCGAGAACAGCTCGGAAATTCTCATAGCCTTCCTGCTCGTGATAGCCGGCTTTGCGCCATTCGGCCATCGTTTCGCCATGGAAAATGAGGATCTGGAAGAAAGTATCGAGGAGGAGGATGGTCTGTGGTTGAATGGAGGCGGAGTCGAGCAAGACCGGTTGACCACCTTCGTGGTCAAGACCGTAGGAGTCCAGCGTGGGTTGAATCATGATCAGCGAATCTCCCACATATTCATGATTGAGCACGTGTCGATAAAATGCAGTCTCGTCGGGTGAGTTGTTGAATACCTGAAGGAATTGCGATCTGCGCAGGTGGAACATGAATTGAGGATAGAGGGTGAAGTTCTTGTCGAGTCGAAAGGATGTTGGATCATCTTTGCGATAGTCTGCGAAGCGGGAGCAGAGCCGGATGAGCATTCGGTCCACCCACCTGAGGACATCTGGTCCATCATCGACCTCTGCTTTGAATACCGCGATTCTTGCCATGAGCACGGCAGCGGCTTCCTGGTCGAAAGATTGTGCCAGCGCTTGGTCACCAGTCGGGCCGCTCAAGTTACGAGCAACAGTGGTCACACGTAGGTGATACTGGCCAGAGGAATGTTGATAATATGTCAGGAATTGCATCATACCTCGCTGTGGGCCTTGCTGCATGGGTGCCGGACCACCCTGATTCGCAACCTCAAAGTAGATGCCGTAGCTGGAAGTGGGATCGATGCCGCACATTTTCCAGAGGCAAGTGTTCCCAATACCACATTCTGTCTCGCCGACGGAGCTGGATTTCTTATTTTGGGAAACAGCGTGGCCGATGAGACCGGTTACCTTGAGTTCTTTCGTCGTAACGACCTCGAGGGATGCATTGAATCCCATCAGGAGGTTGTCGCTCTCATCTTTGTCAAAGACTCGTACGAAAGACTGCTTGAATTGCGACGAGGTGAAACTGTCTGTCAAGACCATATGTCCTCCAGTCGAATTCGCCAATCCTTTCATTTCGAGCAAGCCCACTTGGTCCAGACAACCAACGTAGAGATCGATGATGTGTCCGTTGTGGGCAGTGCGTTTCGCGAGACCGTCGTAGAATTTGATAGCCTTCTTGAAGTACTTGACGTTGTCGCGATCAATATCGTGGTGCGATCGAATAGGCTCACGCAGTTCTGGAGCAACGACCATTCCAGGACCCTCAGTGGCCGGACCGCCCGCGAAGAGCATGATTCTGGCTCCAGCGTTTTGGAATGACGTCTCCAGCAAACCGACTGCAATACTCATGGCGACACCAGTACAGCGAAGTGGCCTGCGGTCATTCGCGACAGGCCAAGGGTCTTTTTGCAGCTGCTCGATGGCGTTGGTAATTTGGAACTCAGCTTGCTGGACGGGGAGGAGGAACCGAGCAGCAGGGCCCATCGGTGGGGGTGGTCGTCCTTGCACTGGTGGCACATTAGGTCTGAGGCCGGGTGCAGCTAGACCCAACATCTCCTGAACCTGCTTTGCGGCATAGTCCTTGCTGCCCCTAAAGACATATGACTTCTGGCACTCGGTATAGCCAATCTCATGCACGGCAACGTTTGTTCCGAATGTGACGAGGCCCACCAGCGCATTCACGGGGAGTAATGACAAACTCATGACCAGGGTTTCCTTCAGTGCCTGCAAGCCGTCTTCCTCGATTGCAGTATCAACCACGTACACGAAGATGGGCGGGGCGGGAGCAGGTCGAGCAAGTTTGTATTCGACAGTAGTGTTCGCGGGGTGCATCTCTGGGGGGATGTTCTCGGCACTGATATCTCCATAGTGACGAGGCAGTGGATTGCGCTGCAGACAGAAGGGACAGATCCATAGTTTAGCTCGGACATCGACGTTAGCGAAGGGGTTGAGGACCGCCCGACATGGCGCTTTGCAGGTAACCGGTTCATAGGGAAGTGGTGGTTTGCCCAGTTCCTATCTCACCGTCAGCACGAGAAACTCCATCAAGATTCGGGGAACTCACTTTGAGCGGCGTGAGCAAACAGCTCACGGGGACCACCAGTCGGTTTGCTTCCTGAAAAATAGCTGTTAGTTGACTTCAGGACTGCCGCTGAAACTCCTTTAATACCATCCGCGTCGATGGAATAACATTCCAACTGAGTCTGACGCCATCCCTGTCCTCAACCTCCCCCCAGTTGTCTTTGATCGCGTCGTACTGAGCCTGGTCCATTGTCGTAGGTGTGTTTAGTCTGTCACAAACACATGCTGATGGAACTGGATCCGGGTGAGCGAATGACTAGGAGATTGGACCGCAGGCTCGTCGGTTTGGGCTTGAAAAGAGTTGGAGAAAGCCACCTATTTGTTCCAGCTGAATACTAAAGTGGCGCAAGGAATACACTGGCGGATCAGAGTGGTGACGGTCTACCACAAAAGTGAGCCACTCTGGCAAGTTCGGGGTGAAGCGACAGTGGACTTACTGTGTACTAACAAGCTGTGGAAATCGATAAACTGGCCAAGTCCCCACACTGCGAAGTCTCGCCGTACCTTCCTTTTTTTTTCTCTGATCGCTGTCAGGCTGCGGACAATTGTCTGCCACTGAATTGAGCACCGCACCCAAACCCCATAGGGAGCCACCTATACCTTTCCAACTGGGACACAAATACTAGACACGCGACAGTCCTCACCGGGCGAATCTTGACACCGACGCAGCATAGGCGGGGTACAGCATGATTCCCACTCGTCGTTGAGAAATCCAGCAAATTGAACTCCTGTCTAAGTGGCCAACATGGCGTCCCCTTCAATGCTCACAAAGGCAAGCCTTGGTCTTCTGTCGTTTTGTTCCAACGTCTCTGACCTTCGAGTATAGTTTGAGAGCAAGAGCAGTCGCGCAAAGGGCTTAGCTTTCCACCCAAAACGACCCTGGATCCTCGTCAGCTTGCACAGCAGCACCATCCAGTACGGCTTGTTCACACACCATCTCGTGCGGGCACCAGAACTAACCGATCTACAGACTATGGGATTATCGCATGGGAACCCTGATTGACCGCTTTGAAGAACATGATGGACCAGTCCGTGGGATTGACTTTCACAAGACACAACCACTCTTTGTCTCAGGGGGAGACGACTACAAGATCAAAGTGTGGTCCTACCAGACGAGGCGGTGTCTCTTCACCCTGAATGGTCATCTAGACTATGTGCGAACAGTCTTCTTCCACCATGAATTGCCTTGGATCTTGTCTGCCTCGGACGACCAGACGATCAGGATTTGGAACTGGCAGAACCGGTCCCTGAGTACGTATAACTCCGAATGTTCTTCGATTCTTTCTCACAGCTGCAATAGTCTGCACAATGACGGGCCACAATCACTATGCCATGTGTGCTCAGTTCCACCCCAAGGAAGACCTCATTGTCTCCGCCTCTCTTGATCAATCCGTGCGGGTATGGGATATTTCAGGACTACGGAAAAAGCACTCGGCGCCAACATCAATGAGTTTCGAGGATCAGATGGCTCGGGCAAACCAACAACAGGCTGATATGTTTGGCAATACCGACGCTGTCGTCAAATTTGTTCTCGAAGGGCACGATCGAGGCGTCAATTGGGTGGCTTTCCACCCAACCCTTCCCTTGATCGTCTCCGCAGGTGATGACCGGCTCGTGAAGCTGTGGAGAATGAGTGAGACCAAGGCGTGGGAGGTTGACACCTGTCGAGGACACTTCCAGAACGTCTCTGCATGTTTGTTCCATCCACACCAAGATCTGATTCTGTCCGTGGGCGAGGACAAAACTATTCGTGTCTGGGACCTCAACAAGAGAACTTCTGTCCAGTCCTTCAAGCGGGAGAATGATCGTTTTTGGGTCATTGCCGCCCACCCTGAAATCAATCTCTTTGCCGCAGGCCATGACAACGGTGTCATGGTCTTCAAACTCGAACGAGAGCGGCCAGCATCCTCAGTGTACCAGAATCAGCTGTTCTATATCACAAAGGACAAGCATGTCCGATCCTACGACTTCACCAAAAATGTCGAGACCGCATCGCTCCTGTCACTTAGGAAGTTTGGCAGCAATTGGGTGCCTCCTCGTACACTCTCTTACAATCCGGCAGAGCGGTCAATCCTGGTCACCTCACCCACTGATAATGGCACTTACGAGTTGATCGCACTTCCGCGAGATACTACGGGAGCCACTGATCCTACTGACATCAAGCGTGGATCAGGCAACGCGGCGGTTTTCGTGGCCCGCAATCGCTTTGCTGTTTTCAGCACTTCCACCCAGTTAGTCGAAATCAAGGACCTCAGCAATTCGACGACGAAATCCTTCAAAGCACCTGCCGGCACGACCGATATCACATATGGCGGCACTGGCTGTCTTCTTCTCATCTCTCCCACAAACGTTGTCCTCTATGATATTCAGCAGAAGAAGCAGCTGGCAGAAATGAGCGTTGCTGGCGTCAAATATGTTGCCTGGTCCAACGATGGTCTGTACGCTGCTCTGCTCAGCAAGCACAATGTCACCATCGTAAATAAATCCTTGGAACAAGTCAGTACCCTGCACGAGACGATCAGAATCAAGAGTGCCGCCTGGGACGATTCTGGCGTCCTGCTCTACTCGACACTCAACCACATCAAATACACCCTGCTCAATGGCGACAACGGCATTGTGAGGACACTTGACCAGACGGTATATCTCGTCAAAGTGAAAGGTCGTAATGTCTATTGCCTCGATAGATCCTCCAAGCCTCGAGTCCTCACGATTGACCCGACAGAATACCGATTCAAACTGGCGCTTGTGAAGCGTAATTATGATGAAATGCTTCAAATCATCAAGACCTCGCCTCTGGTGGGACAGAGCATCATCTCTTACCTACAGAAGAAGGGCTATCCCGAGATTGCCTTACAATTTGTGCAAGATCCCCAAACGAGATTCGAACTCGCCATCGAATGCGGTAACCTGGAAGTTGCAACAGAAATGGCCAAAGAGTTGGACAGGCCTAAAATTTGGACGCGCCTGGGCGCCGAAGCTTTGGTGCACGGCAACCATCAAACTGTGGAAATGACCTACCAGAAACTTCGAAATTTCGACAAACTCTCCTTCTTATACCTCTGCACCGGTGACGAGGAGAAGCTCACGAGAATGGCCAAAATCGCCGAGCATCGGGGTGATTTTGTGTCCAGATTCCAAAACGCGTTGTATCTCGGCGATGTGGAGAGCCGGATACAATTGTTCAAAGAGATTGATCAATATCCCTTGGCTTATCTTACAGCAAAGTCTCACGGGTTGACGGAAGAATGCCAATCAATACTCGAGCTCTGCGGGTTGACGGAAGATCAAATCTCGATGCCGGAGTCCGGAGAAGGTCTCGCTCCTCCCAGGGTCATTGTTCCTACATACAAAGCAAACTGGCCAGTGAAGGAGGCATCCCACTCCTCATTCGAGAGAGCACTCCTCGGCGAGGTCGGAGTGGCGGTTGAAGACGAAACAAGCCCGGATCTCCTCACGGACGACGTGCCAGTGGGTACAGACGGTGATGGACCCGCAGCAGATGAGGAGGCGGATGCCGGCGAAGGTTGGGACATGGGCGACGACATCGGGCTCGAGGCCGCTGGGAACGACTCTGACTTTGTCAATGTGGACAACCCCGATGCACCTGCGGAAGCTGCCGGACCGGGCAGCTCAGAAGCAGATATGTGGTCCAGAAATTCTCCGCTGGCAGCAGACCACGTTGCAGCAGGCTCCTTCGACAGTGCTATGCAGCTGCTGAACCGCCAAGTGGGGGCAGTGCATTTCGCGCCACTCAAGCCACGGTTTCTGGAGATTTACCAGGCATCTAAGACGTATCTGCCTGCCAATGCTGGCTTGCCTCCTATTGTGAACTACGTTCGCCGCACCACCGACGAGACGGACAACAGAAAGCTCCTGCCTGTCATACCCAGAAACCTAGAGACTCTGACGAACGCCGACCTTCAGGAAGGATACACGGCCATGAGGACAAACAAGCTGGAGCAAGGTGTTGTCACGTTCCGGAGCTTGCTCCAGTCACTTCTCGTCAATGTTGTCAGTTCACAGGCACAGGTCGATGAAGCCAAAGCACTCATAACGAAAGCGATGGAATACACGCTTGCAATGAGCATCGAGCTTGAAAGACGCCGACTTGCAGCTGCGGGTGGCGATTCGGAGGCCCAGCTCAAGCGACAGCTTGAGCTTTCGGCTTACTTCACCATGCCCAAACTTGAAGTGGCTCATCGGCAACTGGCTCTTATGGCCGCTATGAAGTTGGCCTTCTCGAATAAGCAGTACTCGAGTGCATTGTCGTTTGCAAATCGAATCCTCGCCAATGGGGGCGCGGCCAAATTGGTTGAGCAGGTCAGTATATGGACAGGAACTTTCTGGCTTGGTTCGCTAACTTCCTTTGCAGGCGAAGAAAATCAAACAACAGGCTGAGCGTTCCGGGTCGAGCGACAAGGTCGAAATTGAGTACGACCAATTCGCCGATTTTGACGTTTGCGCGGCCTCTTTCACCCCTATCTACTCGGGAGCCCAAAGCGTGTCATGTCCATTCGATGGGGCCAAGTATCAGAACCAGTTCAAGGGTCAAGTGTGCAAGATCTGTGAAGTTTGCGCGATTGGTGCCGCGGCCAGTGGTCTGCGGTTATGGGTAAAGGGACTGTGAGAGTAGGAAACGAGGAGGTGACGACTGACCAAGAATTTGACGACTCCTGAATGGGACTTGGAGACCAGTGCAAGCATTCCCGGTGTAGAACATGCCCCTGTCCCTGTGCGAGCCATAGATCTTTGACACAAAGCGGACTGCCGCAACTGAAGCTCAGCTGCAGTCGCTACTGTATCTGCTCATGTGCTACTGTACTCGGTTCGGCGCAACAATAATCCGGACACCCACCCGCCCTCTATTCCGGTCCAATAGGAAACCAGCGACATCGGCGTCCTACCGTCTCTATCGTTATCTCAGACGATTGTATTACTCCTTCTCCTATATTTCCAATCATCTCCCGCAGCTCTCTCTCTCTCTCTTCTTACCACTTCATCTACCTGCCAGTGTTTCCGATCGATACCCCTCAAACACCTTGTCAATATGGACGCCCTAGAATTGCCTGCTTCTCAGAGCTCGCTGCTCTAACACGTGTGTTGGCCGTTTCTCCCTCACGGCTCCTTTCATACCATAGTCCTGTGGTGGACGCCCCGTATCTCGACATGGGGAAAGGGAAGAAGTCAGCAGAGAGACCACAACCACCTTCACTTGTGGTGACGTTGCAAAACGCGACGAAGCTGGAACAGGCGAGTATTGGACAACAGCATTCGCCAGGGGCATCTCTGACAGGAGCTTTAGCGAACCCTCGTGCCGGTGCTGGATGGACTCTCTGTAGCTGATGATGCCGGCATCATAGCAGTTGACCAGACCGGGCCGCATGGCATTGGTGAAAGCATTCGTGCCATAGGGTTGGCCGCAGCACCGGGCATTACCGGTCCATCAGGGGTGTTCAAGTCCAGACCCGAGGACGACATGGTCGAGGTCATCTCCACGCCCGACCGCGGCCTCGCCCTCTTTTCGACCCGCAAGATCAAAGCCGGGACGCTGGTGTTGGCCGAACACCCCCTCATCTCACTGGACAAGCACGAGGAGAACGACTCCAGCGCGATCGAGCGCGAATTCTCCACACTCTCGCGGGCGGCACAAAAGACGTATCTGCGCCTCTTCGACGCCCAGAAGTCGCGCATGTCCCGCGTCGTCTCGATCTACTACAGCAACTGCTACAACTGCGAGGGCTTCCGACCCGGCGGCCAGGGCGGCTCGGCGATCGGCGCCTTGTCGAGCCGCATCAACCACAGCTGTGTGCCCAACGTGCAATTTTCCTACGACGAGGCCAGCGACGAGATGAGGTTCTACGCTATCCGGGACATCCCGCGAGGGAAGGAGATTTGCAGCAACTACGACAAGTCGGTCTTCGAAGTCGCGGCCCAGCGGCGGAGAAAGCAGCAGATGTACTACGGCTTCGTGTGTCGCTGTGAGGCGTGTGAGGCGAAGAACGAGTTCTGGGCCAAGAGCGACGAGCGGCGGCGGGGGATGTACGAGGCCATCCGAGCCGTGCAGTGGTGCGAGAAGAAGTTGGCGGGCGGGAAGGACGCGGTGGTGGCCGAGAAAAGTCAAGCTGGAGAGGCTGACCTTATCGAACAAGCGTTGACTTCCTTGGGGAGATTAGAACGGCTGTTGTCGAAGGAAAGCCTCGTGGGCGTGCCTCTCGCGAACACATACCGGAGCATGGCGAGGTGGACGGAGAGGAAAGGCCAGAACGCCCGCGACGAGGTTGCGGGTTGGAGGGCCAAGGAGCTTGAGGCGTGTGTCATTGCGTTTGGAAGAGATGGTCAGCGGACCAAGGACGTTGAGACCAAGTTGGCAGCACACCGAGCCGCGAGGAGGAGGACGTGATGGATATATGGTCTCAACGTGCATTCTGTTTGGGAGATATAGACTAGACTAGACTAGACTAGACTTAGAATAGAATAGAATAGGACAAGGAGCAATCCAGAGTCAGTCACGTTGTAGAGCAAAACCACTCACTACACAGATACTCCTGAGGAGTTTCTTTCTTTCCTCGCCCTCCTAAGCTGTCCTCGGTCGTTCTATACTCTGCGCCAGAAAGCCTGGCTAGCTCTTCTGCTCTTTCAGCTTGTACAGCGCCTCCTCCAACTCGACGAGCAACTCCAGACACAGCGGATCGCCGGACGGGACGAGCTGGGTGAACAAGGTGCCGGCCACGCCGGCCTTGCGGTCCACCCACCAGAACAAGTTCGGCAGGCCGCCCCAGTTGACGGTGCCGCTCCGCCGCCGCCCGGGGACATCCTCGAGGTTCACCGCCCCGGCCAGCGAGTGGTCGGCCGGTCCGGCGGAGGCGTCGCTGGCGGACGACTTCCACAGGCGGTCGCCGCCGCTGACGCGCACGAGGGCGTTGAAGGCGTCGGCGCTGGCCTTGCCGAGCTGCGGGCGGAACATCTCGTCCACGCTGGCCGTCTGCTGGAACAAGGGCGCCCCGCCCCGCAGCAGGCAGGCCAGCAGCTTGATGTAGTCGTCCGCGGTGCTGTACAGGCCGGCGCCGCCGAGCGCGTCACGCGGCTCTGGGGGCCACAGCGGCGTGGCGGGCTTCGCGTCGAGTGCCTTTGGGGCCGTGGCCGGGTCGGTGCGCTGGGCCGTTTCGTGCAGCGCCGGCACGGCGTCCGGCTGGAAGTGTTTGGTCGGGTAGAAGGTCGTCGACCTCGCCTGGAGAGGCCCCCAGATGTGTTCTTGCATGTACGCGTCGAGATTTTGTTTCGTCAGGGCCTCGACCTGCAAGTTGAAGGTAGGCACACAGTAAGTATAGAGATATACATAGTTATATAGAGAGAGATATATGTATACAGTGGGGCGAGTCGTGTAGAGACGTACCACTTGTCCAGCCCAGTCGAGGCCTTCACCATACATCCAGGATTCCCCTGGCTGGAAGATCAAGGGGTGTAATGCGCGGTCCTGGAACACATCGGATCATCAGAATCATCGTCCCCCACCTCTGGACCAAAACAGAGAGAGATGAGCAGTCTCACAATCTTGCCACTGAACATGGTAGCTGTGTGGCCCGTCGCCGCCGCCCATTTCACGAGCAGGGGATTACCCAGGACGTAGCAGAAGCCCGAGGTATGGGACATGAGATGTCTGAAAAAGGGGGGGGCACACAGGTTAGCCATGTCATGTCCATCCGGGTCACGTCAGTTCTGGACGGCGAGTAAAATCTGGGAGTTGTTCCCCCCAAAAATACTAAAAAAAAAAATTAAAAAAAAAATAGAAATAAGAAAAGAAACCCCAGACCGTAGAGTAATCTTCCCCTTGATGTCTTCGAAGATGGGCTTTCCCGAAGGCTTCACCTTGTCCAAATCCACGCCGCCACCGGGCGTGGCAATGGCCTTGAGGTCCAGCTCGACCGTCGGGTCATCTCCCTCGAAGCCAACGATGACTTTCAGGTCCTTCAGCACCGGGAGCACGTCGCGCACGTCGTCGTCCAGACCGATGAGGCCCTTCTCGACGATCTGCATCACCGCGACCGAAGTCACCAGCTTGGTCTGGCTGGCGATCCATGTCAGGGTGTCTGGCGTCAACGGGTCCGATCGGTCGACAGTCCGACTACCAGACGAACCGCGGTAAAGGGTATTTCCTTTGAAAAACAGTTGTCAATGGTCGACCATGCATGTGCACGCACCCCCAGGCAGAGCGCGGCTGGCGGGCGGAGGAGGAGAAGGAGGAGGAGGTATCAGCAATGATGGCCACAGGGGTGCTGTCTTGCTCACCGGCACTATCGACAGCGATGAAGGTGGCGCCGTGGACACAACCCGTCGAAGAATCTGTGTATTTTCGGAGAATCTCGTCGAGCTCAGCCATTGTCGTGATCGTTGTCGGGATGATAGGGAATATGAGAGACTTCAACTCCCGAGATGCTTTAGATTGTTATAATATGTGTTCCGAGCATACCCCCAGCGTCAAGGCCACCGGTACCGGTACCGGTGCCCGGATGCCGGGTTCCCTTCAATTCTTACCACTGCACCAGTTTCGTCAGTTCCCGGTTGTGGGTTGCCGGTGGAATGTCACACCCGGCTCACTGTCCTACAAACAAGCACAGAACCTCGGCGGATGAAACCAATAAAATGATATGAAGCTGGGTTAGGAATCGCGGTGAGAAAAGTCAAAGAAGGGTCAAGAAGAGGGAGGAGCAGCAAGGTAGGTCTGGTTTAGGGCGGCGATATAATGTAATCAATCGGGAGCGCCCAAGTGCCCAGATTTATCTCAGACAAATCAGACCCTTGACGCCCTTTTGCGCTAGCCTAAAACAGGCGCTATGTCTGCCGCCCTAAGACACTCTTGAATGTTCGATATTTCTATTCCTCTCAGAGCAACTCAGGTAAGAGCAACTCGTATCTTGAAGTGAGTTCGAGTGTAGGGCGACATTGTCTGTAATAACCTGCCTTCATGACGAATTACCTCCTGCGAATTCTAAGGTGGAATGCAAACACAAACACAAATCTTCTGTATCAAATGCCAAAACCAGGGGAGCGTCCTATTAGTACAATGGTATTTCCCTTCCCCTCGCTTTCCCTCGCTCGCAAAACCTTGCTGGTTCCCAACACAATCATTTTGCTTCGTTCAAAAACCTGCCGCCCTGGTCGAGGGCTCCGTAGATATATTACACGCTTCTCCGTACACAGACACAGCAACAGTCACAGTGACATACAGCCCTTCGCTCATACACAAACACAAGCCCCAACCGTCACTGCCTTCCACAGTCCATCACTCATTCGCCCGCTCTTCAACAACAATGACAACAGCCTCGGCGATCTTACACTTATACAAAATGGGATGACGCGCCTGGATTCCTAGTAAAACAAAAAGGGGTAGAAAAGGGGCTCTGTGCAAAATATCGATGTGGCAATGCCCCCGCTCAGCTCGCCGGCTTCCTTTCGTCAATCGCTGGGAGTCTGTTTGCTTCAATTCAGTCGTGTCGCTCGTCCCTGTCATGTTCCGAGATTTCTGCCTGAATGTATATGCTCTTCGTGCTTTCGTGCTCCAGTCGTCATGCGGCCTGGATGGAAGTGGCCTGAACGTTGCGATCTATTTCTTTCTCGCGAACCGTTTGTTGAGCAGGGTCAGAACCTTGGAGACATCAAACTGCACATATTCCAGATCGAGGTCGTCCTGACCATCTTTCTGCATCTCGAGTAGATCGTCTAGTTTCAGGTCAAGTTCGAGGAGGCCGCGGGCACGCCCTGCAACCATGTTAGTCTCAAATCCACTAGTCGTGGGCCCGAGGACATGCGGCTCACCTTTGTAATGCAGACTGATAACAAAAGTACCTGCAAGGGGACTTCGGAACATGAAGAAGATATTACCTCTCCGGTTCTCGGGGACATTGCTTCTCGTAATCACCCCGTCCTTCTCCAATTGGGCGTGGGTGAATTTGTACGGGCCGAGCTCTCGCACCTTCTCCGTCTTGCCTCTTCTCGCGCCTTCAGACTGGCTTCGCACATTGTGCAGGTAATTCTTGTACGTGTCGAGCTGGGACAAAAGATATGCGTTGTGGTCGCGAATCGTCTTGTAGACGTCCTCCAGCTTGGCCGTCTCCTCCAGCACCTTCTCCTTGAGCGAGCCGAGGTGGGCCAGCTCCTGCTCAACCTCGTCCCGGAGTGCCGCATAATCGTCGGCACGATCTATCGCACCCCACTCGGACAGTTGCGTGAGAAGCTCCATACACCGGATGCCTTTCCGCACCATGACAGCGTCATTCTTAAGGGTCCCTGCCGCTTCAGCTACCCGGTCAAGGCGAAGAGGCCGCCGCATGACAACTGCATTCTGCGGCAGGCTTCGCATGATTTGCACAAAGGTGCTCTTTGCCTCCATAAAGTGGATCTCTTCGGGAGTGATGTCGAGGGCGTGAGTGAGATCGTCGAAAGTTGTCTCCCACTTGCTGTAGAGAGGCAAGTTGATTGCCCTGTTCTCTTTTCTGGGCAATTGCGGGGGTGCTGGGCCAAGTTCTTGCAGCAGGATCCCCAGGTGAGAAGAGGGATCCTTGGCCAGCTCGGTGCTGTGCTTCTCGAGCAAAGCATGAGTAGCATAGACTTCGTTCAAACTGATCTGAAGCTCGAGATCACGCTTGGAGAGCGCCACATAGTTGTCCATCTCTAAACTTTCGTAGAAGTCTTGAACTTCGCACAGATCCAACATGAACTTGTTGCAGCGATCCTTATTCCGTTGGATGAACGGTTGCAGTTTGGCCATGTACGGTTCTTTGGCGTAGGACGGCTTGTTCGCCAGGTTCTGCAGCATCTTGGCAATGTAGGTCAGGGTCCTTTTGGGCTTCTCATCGGGCACTCTCTCAATCAGCATGTAAGATTTTGGAGTGACAATGGCAGGGTTGATAAAGCGTAAGAAGAAAAAGCCACCAATCAAGGTGCAGATCGCCTGGTCCTGGGCGTCTGGGTACTTGCGCCGAGATAAGTTCCGAATCTGCTTGCAGATCCAACGAATCCCGTACGGGGTGTCCTCCAGGCAATCAATAATGGCAGACAAGAATCCTTCGGCGATTTCAGTCAGCATCTTGAGGCGTGGCGTAATGATGGCTTGCACTTGTGCGTTCTCCGCAGCGAATTCGGCAGTCACAGACCGGGGTAGGTCATCCGGGAGAGCACCGGTATCTTCCTCGATTTGCTTGACCATGGCTTCGTAGACTTTCAACGGGTTGATCTCGAGATCCACGTCGCTCAGTTCGGTCAGCGAGTTGATCTTTTCGGCCAGGACTTCTTTGAGGAAACTCTGCCCGGGACCTCGCCGTGTGTAGGTGGTCATCATGCGGGAAACCGGAGTGTTCTGACGGAGTAAGGAAGAGTATTCAGGTGTTGTCTCGAACTGATGGGTCAAAACTGATTGAAACATGGTCAGCAGGAGATGCTCTTCTCGGCTCTCGTATTGGTTTCCATATATCGTAAACATGACGGTCTGTAAGAGGGAATCGATTTCGGCCATGGTGACCAGACGACATAGATGAGCGATATGCCTGGGTTCCGACTGAAGCATGAAGAATAGGTTGCCGTATTTCTGGGTCTTGTCGTCGTTTGGAAACGAGCCTTCTTGCAGTTCGGCGGCCTCATCAAGGTGGCTGGCAACCTCATTTTGCTGGGTGTGATATTAGCACAAACGTTCATTTCCTGAGTCTTTGTAGCACCAGCCTACCTCTTCCAATGCCATGCGATTTTGGATCAACAAGGCGATTCTTGAGTCCAGGTAACGGACGTCTTTCTCAAGGACGAAATTCTTCTTGGACTGATTTGAAATCTTGACCTTCAAATCTCTGAGCGAGCGTTGTGCTCGAGCGAGTTCATCGCTGATCTCCAAATCTTTGTCTTTTGCGCTCATACTCGCATAGAGAGCGGTCATGCTGACCCGTTTGCTTTGCCGCAACGAGCGAGCGCCATCGTGGCTCGAGAAGGTGTTGGTACGGGTAACAGGTTCGAAGGAGGAGTTGGTCGAGGTCGAGCCTCGTGAAGCCGGTTGGAGCATTGTCGCGACCGCCATGTCGGCGGCGCCCGGCCTGGATCGACGCGACTTTGAGCGGTCTTTTGCGCTGGAGACACGCCTGGGCACGTCGGAACGGAGTGAAGAGCTCATCTACTCTTTATGGACCGGCCAACTGGATCCCACAGCAGGATATCAGCTCTATATGTAAACTCGGGGGTTGTATGATAGATATTGTGACGTCGGGCGTGTTTCAGAACGGGCCGCAGGTCATCTGGGATCGGTGATGCATAAGCGTTTCCTCCGGGACGCAGACGCAGGCGGGTTGGAAATATCGGACTTGGAAAGGTAGATTGCAGTATTATTTGTGTTGAAGTTTTAACTGGGGTGGGAAACGTCCCATGCGACCGGCGCGAGAGTAATGTAAATAATGTCTTCTCCCTTCTTCTTTTTCTGTCAAGATGCAGATGTCGAACGAACACAAGTAAAAAAGCTCCACCCGACAGAGATTACAGATATCCTGAAAAGTGAAACGCGGTAAGGTGAGGCCGTTGTGAACAAACTGGCGGGAGGGGCGGGAGTTCAAGACAGGCGCTGAAGAGAAAGTCTGGTGGATTTGAGGTGTGTGCAGGCGCACTGTGACTGGCGGCACAGATGGAGGATTGCGGCTCGAAGTATGCGACTGCAAAGGGTGACAACGGAGACCGTGTGGATTGAGGGAAGCGTGGAAGACGCTGGTTGGCGATTGGGGTGAAGATAAGAGAAGTGGCAGCGGGCGAACAGCAAGGCAAGGAGTAGTGTTGGACAGAGGTCTGTCAGGAACCAGGAACAGCCGTCTGGGCGAATGAAAGGATGGGAGAACGGTAGCTGGATGGCCAGAAATGAAAGGGGGGGAGAGGTTCGGGAGACGAGGAAGCGAGGAGGGTGTCAGGGCGTCAGGACGTGTCAATGGAGGATTAAATTTTTGGAACGGTGAGGTGTGGATGTGTGGATAGACGAGGGATAATAGGGACTGTCGAGGAAGGAGAGGCAGAAGGGTGAGAAGGGGGCGTTCGGCTCTGGATTGGATGGTCGCGGCGGGTTTTCTTTTCGAGGAGCAGTTAGGTGGTCGGAGCCTGGAAATCGAAGAGCGACGCCTGAGCAATAATCCCTGCCCTGGGGTGCATACCGGTGGGCTCAAACCATGATCTGGCAATAAACTTTTGGCAGCAAACAAGGAGAGGATAGATGGGAGGGCGGAGAACTTGTCTCTCATGCAGCTTTGACAGTCCTCTGTAGTAGGGGGGGTGGAGGCAGTGGGTTCCTACCTGTGCCAGGTACTCGAACTCTCTTCTAGGCGTCACTAGCTACCCAGGAAACCTACCTCGCTCTGGTTAGGCTACCCGCTGGCTTGGCGGGGTTGCCTCTGACCTCCTGGCATTCCTTCCTCGTCTGTGCGTTTCAGGGGTAAATCAGAAAGTCAACTGACTCCGGAAGAACGGGCAGGGATGGGTGAGTCCAACCGCCAACGACGCCCACTGCCAGAATCCTTTCCCTTTGACTTTCCGAGTCAGTTTCCAGACCCCGGGCAGCCTTCTATACGAGGATTACTAAGTTACGGGACGGGTGAGATGTTCTCTCGCAGAACAGACATCAATCAAGTCGTCGCACGGTGGATGGGCGATCAGATGCAGATCTACCTGCAGTGTATGTACGCCCTCAGTCTGAGCCTTGCCGATCAATGTCCCACTGCCGATCTATTTGCTCTCCCCTTGATTCTCATACGCAAGAGTCTCGGTCTGCAAGAATGTGCTCACAGTGCCCTGGCAAATTTAGACATTCCATTCTGGCCGGCATGGTAATTTCTTGGTACCCTTTCCCGGAAATGCTCATCAAATGTCAAAAAAAAGTCGTGGATGCGAGGAGGGAGGCTGCAGCAGCCTCAATGTCAGGCTTACCCACCCAATAATGGAAAGAACGGAGACGGCGTGCCCGACCTCGGTCAGCCTACTCAGGCTATGTACTCGGTACTTGGTAGGTGTGGGAATTCTCACGACGAAAGTTGACTGGGATTGTCCTAGAGCGATATTGGCGATCAATGTCGTCACCTTTGGAGAGCTTTCCCCCCTGGGCGCCCGCGATGCCCGAGTCTTTCGCCCTGGTTCGGCCCCAGTGCGAAGCTTGACTTTCCACGCATGATGCACGACCGTACATCACCAGTAAGGCTACAATTTTTTGATTTCCCTTGTTTTAACGGGATACGGTACCACATTGGGAAGCAATTCCATAACTCCCCGAAGAGGGACGCAGTCTCAGATGGGTTCAATACTTAGGTCCACCGTGCCTCAGAAACAAGATCGGAAACATCACTTCGAGTTTCAAGGAGAAATGTTGATCTCGAGGCAAGCAGGGCCTTTTGAGGACCCTAGGACGAGGCGGAGGAATTACGTTAATCCGGAGTAGAGCCTGTACCCCCCAATCCCATCCCGTTCTTATCACGTGGCACTTTTTTCAGCCCTGCCAAAGCTTGTCTTTCGCCAAAGCTTCCCTCTCCGTATGCGGCATGTGTCCGGCTGCAGAAGACAGTCCCATAAAATTTAGTCCTGTCGACGTTCATTAGCACCAAGTCCCGGCGACGGTACATATCTTGATTTGCCTTGCTGTTAGTGATTGGATCCTTCGATCTTGTCTGTCAGTTGTAGAATGAGGTGATATCGTGCTGTAAGAACAATACCATGTAGAGTGTGAGGCTTGTACGAGTTGGAGTTGAGAAGAGTTAGATTCGCTGTGCTGTAATCACACAAGGAAGAACGGTATGGAGGTCTCTATCTATCCAGACGGTGTAAAAGAGTCTAGTGACTGACTGACGGCTCTTTCAGTATTTTGTCCTACGGCCCATCAGGCAAACCATAATCGTCCTTCATCCGTGGAGATGATGGGTTCCATCAAGACAGAGTGAGTCTTCCTCGCCAGTCAAGGCTCCATGGGGCTAATGAGCATTGATATCACGTTTTCCCCAGTCCGCGCCTGCATTTTGATATGGACGGGCTTGTCCTCAACAGTGAGGACATCACGCTATGCACGAACCAACTCCTGGAGAAGCACGTGTGACCTTCCCTGCTCCCATCGATTTGAACCCAGATGATGGGCATCCTGGATTCAACCAACGGTGAGGTTTTTCACAGCTGGCCCAAGCTGCCTGTCCCCCCCACGAACACTTCGCCCGTGAATGGCCGGAGCAGATGAGTCTGCAGTTCCCAAACGTGCTAGCCACTGGCTGGCGCGGTGCAGGTTCATCAAACCTCACCCGTGCACATATCGCTTCTCCCGGGGATAGAATCGAACTAGCACTTGCCTCCAATTCCAAGAGCCATACCTACCATGGGAAACTTCAAAGCCAGAATTGAAACACTTGCTTGCGTTCATTCCGCCCGACAGACGAGTCCTCGGAGACGACCCGCAAGTGAGAAAGGGTCGAGAGAAGCCTGCCCCGGATATATATGCCGTCGCCCTACAGTTGTTGAATACGTCACCATAGTTGTGGGCGTACAAGGGTGCCAAAACCTTACTCGGCACTCCTGAACGCGCTGGGAATGCAGTAGCTCGTAACTAGGATTCATTTCTTGATGTGGCTGGCATGCCGGGTTCGCTGGGGCCTAACACACCCAAAAGAGATGAACCCAGCAAAAAGAAATGAGTCCTGGCACCGCTGGTCTGCACAGGTTCTAGACCAGCCAGCCGCAGATGGAGCGTTTAAATGGATGAGAGGTGGAGCATATGCAGGGGTAACATACATGTACAAGTCAGAAAAGCGCTTACCTTGGGGTACCAAAAGTTTTAGATAGATTTGCTTGATCATGTTCAATCTCGCAGATCTCTCTGTACTCGGTAGTGCAGGTTCAGGTTCAGGTTCAGGTTTATTGACACGATCGAACAAAGAAACACTCGTCGTAGGGGCCATGATTGGGCGGCTCTTGCAGCGAGACTGCAGCAGCATCCAGCGGCGGCAAAGCAACCTACCAATACACCCAGGCCACAACAGCGGCAGCACAAGCGGGAATGCATGCAGAGAGGAGTTAGATTAAGATGAAAGCCCTCCCTCCATCACCACCACCACCATGCTGTGTAAGGTTTAATAGAAGCAGTGGCATGCATGTCTCGCTTGGTGGGGTATTGTTATTTGACATTGGCGCGGCGTATCTCGTACAGCCTGGAACACTCTGGAGACTCCTCTCCTGCCTGCATGACATGTACCGAACTCGTCCTCTGCCCAGATTGTATACTGTAGGCTAGGACTGCCAATATCACCGCCCTCAGTGGTTGACGGATAGCTTTTCCACGTTCTCGACCAGGGTCCGTTCTCCACCCGACACCCCCAAGGGTGCCTCCCACTTTGCCTTCACGTTACACAAAACGCAGCTCGAGACCTTGTCGACTTGCATTAAGACGAAGCGAAAGCTCCATGACTACGGAAGTCATCCCTTGACGATGGTTCCGAAATCTAAGAAAGCATCCGTGCCGCTCTCACGCCGATGCATGTACATGGCAGTTTTTGTCAGCCGCCTCACCATCTCGCTAAACAAATCAGTGGCAGGGATGATGTTTTGCTCCTCATTCAAACTTGTTCCGTAAATTGTCGTATTTGCTCTCAGGATATTCCAGGCAGTTCTTGACGTCTTCCAGTCGACTCGGCCCACCGCTCTGCCTGAGAAAGGTCTCGATCAGACTGCCCTGTCCGGCGGGCCTGTCGGCCGAACTCTCCCACCACATGCCACCACCGAGCCCATAATCTTGAACAAAGTTCGCCTTCTGAGCGACCACGTTAGGCGTGTCGTAGCTTATCATGGTGTTTGAGGAAGGGGAGTAACTCCAGCTGGCACCAACTTCACGATCGTGGTACTCGGTGCTGTCGGGCTTGGGGAGTGCTTTGAAGTCCCAGACACCCTGCTCCCAGCTTCCTTCGCCTACCCCGTTGAACGAATGTCCGGGTCCGGACGTTGAGAGGAAGGTTCGGCCATACAATGGCATTCCCAGCACAATCTTGGATGGATGTACTCCGTGCTTGGTGTAGTGTTCGATGGCGGCCACGGTGCTGAACGGTGTACACTGAGGGTGGGATCGGGAAGGGAATAGATTTGCTTGATGTCCCGCACGCTGGTCCCAGGATCCGGCATAGTCATATGCCATCAGGTTCCAAAAGTCGAGCAGGCGGTCCATCTCGGCGATCTTCAGTTTCTCAAAGTTGGACGGTCCAGCAGGGCACGCGACGGTCAAGTAGAACCTCGTATGCTGCCGCTTAGCAGCTGCCGCGTCGACTGCGTGGCGGGTCTCCTGGAGCAGTTTGACATAGTCTTCCGCCTCGCTTTCATTCTTGGGATACTCCCAGTCAATGTCGATGCCGTCGAATCCGAGGTCCTCTAGCAGTTTGACGGCTGTCTCTGCAAAGTGCCTCCTGCCACCGGGTGTGCTGGCCGGCTGGGCGAAGTTTGAGGAGTAGGTCCAGCCTCCGATACTCAACAGGACTTTGAGGTTGCGGTTTCTCTTTTTCAGGAGGAAGAGCTGCTTCACGCACCCGTACACATTTGTCCCCGTGTCATTCCAGCTGTCACCATCGTAATGTTTGTCAGTGTCAGACCAAGGATCCGTCAAATAGACCTCGCCGCTATCGGGCTTGACGTTGGCAAAGGCATAGAGAACGTGAGTGAGATTCTCGGCTGGGAGATCCTGAGGATGGTGATTGCGTGCGTACGGTGCCCAATTCACGTAGTAGACAACTGAGCGGATACCGTGTCCGCCGCCCATAGTGTGGTAAGCTTGGCTGTGGTCAAGTTGAGGGATGAACTGGGTAAGGGACGGATATGGGCACAGAAGGACAAATAAAAGGAAGGAAACAAAGAAAAGCATGCCCTTCTCACAAGGCAGAGTTTATATAGGTGGTCACGTCACATTCTGGCCCCAAGAACGTGGCGGAGGACGGTTGGTGATATGGAAGCTGGACATTCAGCTGCTGTTTCAAACTGTCTGCCTGTTCAATGCTGACGCTGGACGATGACGAACGTTGAAGTGGCGTAAACATGTGGCTGTGCCTAATGGCACGTGACGTAGATCACGTGATTCGTGGCTGGTGTCCCCTCCGGCAAATCATTGAGGCGACGTCCTTCCTCGGCATCAAGGCTATCACGCTCCCCCTGCTTCGTGGACCTCAGTCTTCCCGGTATATTACCTTGTGCAGCTCCCTGTGAGGTTTCTGTCCCATCTTTCCTGCATTGCTCTGCTCTCGTTCTTCTACAGAGATGCCCCTCGAGGTCTTATTCTTCGGCGCAGGCGCCATCGGGGCATTCTATGCGTCCCGAGTGGCTCGCAATGCCAACACCAACGTCTCGGTCGTCTGTCGCTCGAACTACTCAGCCGTCAAGGCCAATGGCTTCCAAATAACGTCCTCGCAGTATGGGGACTATACGTGGACGCCAACCCGAACATTCAATTCTCCCGAGTCAGCCCGCAAAAGCGGTGTCAAGTGGGACTTCGTTGTGGTCAGCACCAAGGCCCTGCCCAACGTCTCGGACGATTCAAAACTCCTCGAGGGGCTGGTCAGCCCTGGCGCGGCTGTGGTGTTGATCCAGAACGGCCTGGGCGTGGAGCAGCCCTACACCGAACGATTCACTCGATCGACCATCCTAAGTGCCGTGACGATTGCGTCCTGTGCACAGCCCTCAAATGGCCACATCAAACACAACCGTTGGACACGGATAAACGTGGGGCCGTACTTCTCAGAATCGAGTCCGTCCGCTGAAGTCAAGGCCACCGCGACGGCGCAGAACCAGACCTTTGTCGACCTGCTCCTGAAGGGGGGTGTCAAGGACGCCATCGCCGATACGCACGAGAAACTGCAGCTCGTCCGCTGGCACAAGATCGCCATCAACGCGTCCATGAACCCCTCGGCGGTGCTGTCGGGCGGGTCGACCAACGAAGCCATGTCCAACGATCCGGAGCTGTCGCGGCACCTGAAGGGCGTGATGGACGAGGTGCTGACCACGGCGCCCAAGGTCGTCGGCAAGCCGCTCCCCGCGAGCTTCGCCACCGCCGAGCAGATCCTCCGGTCGACGCGGAGGAACACCAGCGGCAGCAAGCCGAGCATGCTCCTCGACTGGGAAGGCGGCAAGCTCATGGAGCTGGAGGTCATCCTGGGAAATCCCATCCGGCTCGCGCGCGAGAAGGGCTACGAGATGCCCCGCATGCAGAGTCTGTATGCGCTGTTGAAGATGGCCGAGAAGAACCGCGAGGCTCAGAAGCAGAGTGCCAAAGCAGGGAGCAAGCTCTGATCTATCGGGTTTGCCACTATCTCGGACTTTGGACGTTGGTCGATGCTGGCTATGCTAGCCTTGTCATGATATAAATAATATCGATGATGGCGGTTTCAGCGAGTGATAATATGATCAGACCGCCAACCGATTGAGATGTATGACAAAAATTTACATCAGAAGGGAGAGGCGAATATACAATGGCGTTCTTATGTGTCGAACGAATCATAAACGTATAGTGACCTGTCCATGTCCAGCCTATTCAATGGGTACATGTCTTGATGGCCTCTTCTCCTATCTTTCCTCCCTGAGTCAAAACACACCTCTGCCACCCTCGGGTCGTTTATTTCTCTCGAGTTGTGTCCGCTCCTTCGCCGCCACATCCCTCCTTTCGACACCCTTTCATATCCTCTCCCCATCCCCTCTCGCCTCCTCTCCTTCTGGTGAGAGTTTGGCTCAACCACGTCTCCCTTCCGTCCTTCCACGAACACTTCTTCCCCCCCACCTACACCTTACTCGTCAACCCGTCGACCTTGCTGCCCGTAGGGCCCTTCCTGAACCTCTCCTTTATGCCGTCCCCCAATTCGGGCACCCAGTCGCACCGGACGTCGCAGAACTGCTCCTTGTGGGGCGCCCACTGGGTGACGACGCCGTCCAGCACGCCCGCGGGGAGGGAGACGATGTCTTTGTTCAGCGGCGTCGTCGAGTACACCTTGGAGCCACAGATCTTGCAGAACGCCCGCGACAGCGGCTGGCCGGACTGCGTCGCCCGGTCTTCGTACGTCGTGATGCTCTCGGCGCCGGTGTGCAGGGTGTATTGCTGTCGAATAATGGTGTGGTCAGCGGAGGTGTAGTGCGTATAATGACTCGAGAAGTTATAGTAGAAGGAGGCTGGATGGTGCGGTGGAAGGGAGCTCACCTTCTTGGGAAAGATGCTTGCACAGTGCAAAGTGCTTCCGCCATGTCGTCTGAAGGCACAGAGAGTCAGATTCGTGTTCCTTGTCGTACCCTGAATCACTGTGGCACGGATGATGCCCTTGATGAGATTGAATGCAACGTTCGTCCTTTACATCTTCATTCGTCCGCCCACTGCTGAACCTCACACCGTGCATCTTGCTCGAACCGAGAATCATACCAAGACATGCACTTCCCTCTCCGAAATCTTGGACTGCGGCAAAAAGAGCAACGAAGAAGTATTATTCCCCGGCACCGCGTCCGCAACAGCACCACCAATGTGGTCGACAATCAGACAAACACAGAGATATCACACTTTTGTATGCCTCGGTCTGGGGCTAGGGGTCATGGACGGATGATCAAGCAGGGAAGAGGAAGTTTCCTCCGAAATAAAAATACGCAGGACTGCCCACGCACCTGCAGTTCTCGCAGTGACACACCACATTGTAGATTGGCTCGCCCACGACGGTGAACGTCACGGCCCCGCAAAGACAGCGCCCGTGGTCGACCTTGTCGGTCGGGGACTTGTCCTCTGACATTGCGGCCTAGAGGGTACAGTGACGAAGAGGAGAGGGAGGAAGAAAGACAAGAAAGCCCAGTGTGGGGAGTTATTACTTCAAGGTGAGGGGAGCAAGAAGAATGCAAATAGATCCAAAGTCACAATGATGGACAACAACACACAGAATGAGCTAGCTGTGTTTGTTGTATTAACCGGCGACGAGCTCGGCTCTACCAAACAGGGTAACCGGGGATGAATATGGTTCACAAACAGCCTCGTGTGGCTCCAATTTCCTTACGCTAACAACAGAGACTGGACAATTTCACCTGCTTCAAGCCACAGTATCTAGAGTGCACAGAGAATATAATCGACCTAATAACTTGAAGTCGAGGCCATGAGAAGCAGCACCGCACAGGAGGTCTCCTTACATCAGTCTCAACCATCGTGGTGAGTAGGGCGACAATAGTCAGGGGATCCTGACAAGGAGAATGCCGTCGTGACTAGTTCAACCGATTCTTGAATGATTCGTTCCAGCCTTGTACCAGCCTGATCCCATCGGATGGGATTGTGCCCAACGCTTTGAGACTCGTCGGAAGGGCTTATACAGACCAAGGGGCACCGGCTCCGCGCTGCGCTGCAGGTCGGTCGGTACTTCGAGGGGCACCCTGGAAGAATGATGACCTTCGGATGCGTCTAGCTGTAGTATCCATGACCTGGAAACTTCATGTCTCCAACATGGTGAGCTGGGGACAGTAGTTGTACAGATCCCGAGCTGAAGATGTCTGGTCCCTAGGAGAACGGGCCTCTGCGCTTTCGGCGGAGAATCCTTGTGGGCTTAAATTCTTGCCGATTCAATGCTTGCCTCGTCACGATGCTGTTTTTGATGACACCTTCTTTGCGGTGTCTGGCGTACTTTTGACTGCTTCTGTCGCTGTGAACCAAGAGCTGGCCACCAAAGTCGCGCCTACAACCCATGCAGGCAACCAAATACACAAAACACCAACGGGAACCCCCCAGCTGCCCCAGATATTCCAACCTAGAGCGAGCCGTTGTAGCCACTGGACAAAAATGTCATCTTGGCCCAAGACGAAGGTGCCATATGCGCTCAATCCTATTGCCAGTCCCATTGGACTCATAATGACAAGTACCAGATACTGAAGAGATGACAGTACGGCACGGGAGGGAGTCCTATCCACAAAGACCAGCGGTATACAAACAATACCAAGAAACATGCTGAGACTGAAATTCAATGTCGCCAACACTGTCAAGAAGAGGCCAAGTAGCAAAAGGCTGAGTGACTTGATTAGGACGTATTGCTCATTCGTGGGCGCGGAAAAGGCAGGTAACGTGGTGTTGTTTGGCATTTCGGCAAGTGCTGATGCTAGAACTATTGGAAGCACAAGGAGAGCAACCGTTATGAGGAAAAATGTAGAGGGCATGGATCGGAGGCTCAGAGTGGTCAGGAGATATAGTGGGATGAGAGACGATAGATGAATCGCTGTCAGAAGGGCGATTGGGAGGACGAGTTGTCTGTCGACTGGCTTGAATTCGATTGTTGACAGAGCTCCTTTGGGCAATGGAATTTGTGGGTTCGAAACGCTCGTCTGCTTTGTTGACCCATTCTCCAGCTTGTTAACTGTCGCCTCTGCTTCTTTGTTGGCAACTTGGTAGCCACTCAATACCCATAGGTAGATTGCCATAATCGTATAAGCGGCAGCCATGATCATCGCACCTGGAAGATATGTTCCGATGCTGACGAAGCGATTTGACTGCATCAATAGGTAAAAGAAGAAGCTCTGATGTAGTTTCTCAAGCAGGTTATTAAGACTTCGACACATGCTTTCGATCGTTCTCCCAAACGCCATTTCATCCTGCCAGCCCTCGTTCGTCGCTGTCAAGGTGATAGCGTCAATGTGATACGTCATAAAGGTAGAATGGGGACCAGTCGCGTGGCCGAGGGCTTGGGTTGACATGCCGCGGACGAGTGTTTGGAGGCGAACGGGATACGAACTGTACTGCTCATGCTTGCTGTAGGTGTGTTGGAATTGGATCGACGTGCCAATCCCCATTTGACCAGAAGCAATAGACACGGCGGTATTGAATAGATCGAGGTTCGGCAGAGCGCCGTTAATGCCGTCGTACGCAATATGAAGATTCTCGAATCGATGCTCAAATGGATAATCGATGCAAACAGCAGCCTGAAGTGCACCAGACTTCAACGACAGATCTTGCACCCTGTATGGGTCATGGGTGGAATGGTACGCATCGATCCATGCTTGCGGTCCTGCGGTGCTGTCCGGGGTGACCAGGAATATAATGTCTTTCGACCACAGCGACCATCGTTTGAAATAACGCGACAGGGAGATGAGGAGCGGCACACCATTCACGTTCGGGACGCCGTCAATGTTTCTGAGCGGTGCGACAAGTACGATTGCTTCGGTTCCGTCGCCACGAGGTGCGTGCAGAACGGCATAGACATTCTCTCCCTCGTAGACGCGACCGGACGACGTGTAAGAATATCGTTGCTTCGCAGTCTTCAAGCCGGCGTTCCGGAAGAGTTCTTCCAACTTTTCACTTGTCCCATCCTCCAGGGGTCTCTGCTCCGCTTCCCCCAGGGTCTCGTTGCCCGCGACATTTTCTAGGACCGTTGCCAATTCGAATCGATATGCGCGGAAAACGTTCTGCTCGCTACCGCCGAAATAAGTGTGCACCTGGCCAGGAAGGAGCGCGTTTTCCGAGATGTACGTCTGTCGAGAGTACTCCTGCAAAGGCAAAGGCAGAAGCCATGAGATGCCAATGAGCATGCAAAGCAGGGACAAATACGGCGGGATTCGCAGCAGTCGGGGGTCGTCCTTGCGGAGGCTTGAAGCGAGGTTGCCTGAAGAGCCGTTTCTTAGCCATGTCTCACGATTTCTTGACACCTCGTGGCGTACTTACGTATCAGGCCCATTATGACCTTGCTCAGCTCTTCAATGGCTTCACCGCAAGGCCTTCGTATACACACGTCGAGGTTGAGGTGAACGTATTGAAAGAGGAATCTGGTCTTTATTCGAACATGCCGAAGATTAACCGCTCCATGGATTCCTCGAGTCCTGTACGTATACGGGCTCGACAGGATGTTGTGCGGTGACATGTAATATTTGTCTTCATTAAACCATCTGCCAATATGGCTACTAGTACATCGAGCAACCTGTCTCCAGACATGACGCTTCATTTATCCAATGCGCAGTTCTTCCAAAAGTCCACGGTACTGCATGCTCTGACACAATTTTCAAAAGGAACAAACGGTCCAAAGGGCCGGTAGATGGTTATGGTCCAAGTCTCTGCCCATCACTGCTGGTGCCCATCCAACCAAGTCCAATAGGACTCATATGACCTTCCGGTCCGCTAGTTGCACTCGTGGGCAGAACGCCATAGCGCCCATAGGTTTTTTGGTCGACAGACACATAGTGTGGCAACCGTCCGAGTAGATTGAGTTTGCCTTCGATCCAGCGAAGGACTTTCTCCGGAGGCGCGAGGAAACGAATATAGCCCAAGCCCCCTATTGAAAAGTTGTTAGACTCAGACGCATCGACGTAGGAAACAAGAGTCCGATGGAAGGATATTGACACGTACACAGATATCCCGTTATACACCCACTGAGGTGTCCCAGGAAGGAAGCACTGGGAATCAGTATGGATGTCACGACCAGTATCACCAATGGTGATATCCAAGTTGGGATCTTCTGGCCGCCAATCCTGTTATCCACGTGTCAGCAGCTTGTAGAGAACCCAGAGACCTCCCTCCAGGTCAAGAGGGTCCAACAAGATGACCTACTCCAGATATGGATTTGCCCGATAGGTTTTGATTGCCTCGGCCGCAAGGAGGAGGAATACCCATATACTGGTCGCCCATGTTAGCCTGTCTCCTTTGTCGAGTCGCATGGCATTCCATACCTTGCTCCAAGGACTGGTGTGTTGTCTCTGAGGATGACACCGTCGAACAACAAATACAACACGGCAGGTATTTGCCCCAACGCTGCGAAATGGATTAGCAGCCGTTCTTCGCATCGAAACCGAGCCATCCGAGAGACGTACGGCCCATAAACAAGGCAAGGCTATTCAACGTGCCAAATTCAGCCTCGAACCTTTCCAGCAACGGCATCAGGCAGATGGTATTGATCAGCATGTGCCAGAACCCCGTGTGTATTAAGACAAATGTGTTCAGCCTATACATGCTTCCCAAATTGATTTCCTTGGGTTCTAATGAGCCCCATTTTATCACACTCCAGACGGTCTGCAGTTCGAGCAGCCAAAAGGCTACTATTGCGACGAGGATCAGGCGGGTAAAAAGGGGCAGACGTAGGATGTAGGAGCGTATACGCGACGGCTGAATTAATCGGGTTGGGAGAGGGAGGCTGTTGGTCGTTATTCGAGGCGCCGCTCGAGGTGCTGCCATTCTGGGGCCCGACAAAGGAGGATAGTGGTCGACAGCGGCACCAGCGGGCGCTTCAATGCTTTGTCAGAGGTTGTAGGAGGTTGGAAGGGGGGCACATTGAGATGGGACGAGTTTGATCTCTTCAACGTGGAGAGGCGCAGTCCGAGCTGCTGTACGCCATGATCTGATGGGCACAATTGTAAGACTGGAAATGCAGTGTCTCGTGCCTTTGATTTTTGGAGTTGTCGGAGCCGGTTGGCAGACTGCGGAGAAATTGCAGGTCGATCCTGCTGAAATTAGCTGCCACGATGAGGGAATCTTTCCACTTCGTCAAGCTTAGCGAGCCTTTGTCTCCCGTTCGTCTCGGACGCTCATTTACAATACCTTTTATTTTCAGTATTGGACAGCACTGGCTCGCGGAGGAATACAAGAGGAGGGTCTCTTGATGTCTTACGCCCGACTGTATTGCCTCCTCGCTCAAGATGAGGACACAGACGACATGTGGACCTCCGACGTAACAATTGAACTGCTCCCAGCTATTGTTGGTCGTGTCCTTTGTATGCCGGCACTAACAGGATCAATTGTGATACTGAGCACGCATATACCGGTCGCAGGTATCCTACAAGAATTACCCGTGGATGCAGGGAGTGACACTGCGTCTGTACTCATTCGTCAACACGGCCGCTACTGCCCATCCTCTCAGACACATGTTCTTTCCGTGACCAGGCTGGGGAGCTTTTCCTGTGACTTGAATGGACATGAATTCTTCACGAAATGTCTCTCGTCAAGTCCGACGACAGAAATGATACCATGCCAGGGTCCCGATCCAATGTCTCGCTTCATATCCCGTACCTGTTTCGACTCTTCGGAACTGGATATTTTGTGAAGGTTTAATGCTGGATTTGACCATGGCAAGGAGTTAACGATTCTGGCTTCGCTTACTCGGCCCATTTTTGTTTCCTTCCTCATGATATGAGTCGAATCTATGTCCTAGCACTTGCCAAGATGACATCCTCAACATAACATGAAGCATTTACAGAGCTCGCGGAAAAGTGTCTCTTACCTGGCCGTCCCAATTCTCAGGCGTCGTCAAGTTGTCCTATTCTCCCAGTCACCACCAGAAATTGAGACTAAACCAAGTGCTTGGAGGCAGCCTCCGACTTGATTTGTGGCCTTGCAAGATGCAGAACTTATATCGCCATTTCCCCATTCAGGTTTCCATTCCGTGAATTTCGATCCGGTTGCCATACGGTGGCATGTTTCTACACGTCACATCTTAAGGCGTCGACCCTAGAAAGCACAATGGGCTGTGGAGAGTCGTAAGTGCATTGTGGACAAGGCTGTCTGTTTCTATTCATTATTTCCGAACCTGGAATTTTGGGAGACAACACCTCATCTGAAACCGCTTACCCGCCTCGCAAATGCACGTTTTGAGGTGGAGAATGCTTGGATGTGTTAGCTGCGCGATAGGAGATGGCGCACACGAGGCCGCATGACACTCGACGGGCATTTGATGGCTGTCAGCCACCTGGCAACCATTACCCCAAACTGAGGAGTGCATTCATTCACTTTGCAACTTACAGCCCGTAAAGCCATTTGTGTGCGTTGTCCCCTGGTGGGCCAGTACTAATCTGAAGCAGGAAATACGAAGTTCGAGAGCCTAATGCCCGATCTCTATGCAGGTTACAGGCCCTGCAGCCTCAGCACGGAATTCCACCAATCAGTCTTCCACCGTCAAGGATATCCTGCTTTACCGGACCAGGAAATAAGAAGGTGCTTAAGACTGAAAATCAATACAAGTTTCCTTCACCACGACCACTCTCAGTCATTCCAGGGCTTCTTGTTCTTGCGTACTTTCATTACGACAATCATTCGCGCAACAACATTATCTGGCAAGAGGACCGACGAAAGAATTGAAAGTCGTCGAGGTGTAAAAGGGTCCTTTACATCTTGGGTCCCTCACATCTTGAGCATAACATAGTACCCAAAGTGAGACTGTGGTCCCCAAGCTCGTCCTATATAATGGAGAGCAAAGCCCGATTCGCGAAGCAGTACGATCCTGCAAATCCACGCCGAGCTAAGAATCTCGATGAGCTCGCTTGGGCACCTTTACAAGCGGCCGTGACAAGCTACCACGAACTCGGTCACTCTCGATCCCAGATAATCCAATTGCTGGAAGATCGGCATGGTTTCTCAGTCTCGTAAGTCATGCTTTTTCAAAGAGCGCTCCTTCTCCCGATTTCCTTTCATTCACAAGTTCTACTGGTGACTGACTCTTTTGCTCTACGACCTCGTAGGCCTGCACAATTGAACAAACAGATGGCTCAATGGAAACGACGCTTGAAAAAGAAAGATAAAGTGTCGAGCAGGACTGACTTGGTCCCTGCTTCTATACCATCGAACCATGATTCGCTTGAGCACGGTGTGGAGTATCATCACGGAGAAGGGAGACACCAGGTTGCCGATAATCCCCCTCTAGGGCTTGAACCGATTTCGGGCTTCGCGGCTTCTCAACCAGAACCTGTCGACACTTTCCCAAGGAGCTCCTCATCGGCTAGCCATCTGTATCCAAAAGCCAATTCAAGGCACGAGAGTCAACGCCCTGGTGCGACCGCGCATCTTAGTTCTTCTACCCCAGAGAAATCATCATCGCCATCGTCGGCTTCACACGAGGGGTCAATTACCGGTAACGATCCTTCTCCTATTCCTGACGTCTCCATCGAATGGCCTAAAGATAGACAGGACTTGCCGTCGTTGTTCGAGCTCATTGAGAAGGTTACTGAATATCAACCTGGCCCTGATGCAACCATCATATGGACGAATTATGAACCCCCGATCCTGCCGCCCACTGCCTGTGGGACCCATGATATTGACTCTCAATGGCACACAACCCTGGAGTTCTGGCTGAGAATGGGTAATATTGCAGATGCTCTTACTGCAGCAGGGTGCCTCTCTAGTGCTTTTGACCTGCACCATATCTGTTTTGTGCAGATCTTCACCCACGTCAAGAAGTGTGGCCAACAGATCCCGCTGTCCAGCGACCTTCATGTTAGTCCAGAAACTCAGCAGGATGCTCCAACTCGGAACCTTTTCTGTGCCGCTGCCCTAAAAAGTCCTGTTCTGCAGCTGCTCGTCAAAGCTGCCATCGGCATTGCCCGATCTTCATATCCTGAACAGGCCGAACTGACCCGTTCCGTGCTGGATGCGACGCTCTGTATTACAAACGAAGTGGAGTCTTTGACGACGATAAGGTTCCTGACGGCGTTGTTTAACTGTTACAGACAAATATGCAAACTTGGCTGGTGGTTCGCAGACACTCGACTCTTTGAACAAATCACTGCTGTTGGACCTCACCGTAACTCGATCGAACCTAACCATGACTCCTGGAAGCTAAAATCCCTGAGGGTGATCCACCCGACAATTCAAAATCGCGAGTACTTGGTGTTCATCAGTTGGATGTCCTGTCACTCGCAATCTTCTTCTGAACATATCGATCATCTTCCATCCGTTTTCGGGTTACCAACACCCTGTACAGCATTGGTAGCAGATTTGCACAGCGCCCGTTCTCCGTATGTTTGCGATCCAGGTTTGTGTTCCCCTATCGAGAACGCTGTTATCACTTTTCTGGACCAGAGCTATGCTATAATTTCCGAAGCTTCCCCAGTTCTGGAGAGGTACACGAAATTTCTTCCGCACGCCACTGAACAATTGGAGAATGCGCAATTCATATTGTTCTGGTTTCTTACCTGGAAAAGAGGACTGTTGGATGTCAACACGAACCAGGCACAGTGTGACACTGACTTTCGACCGACCGTTTTTCCGGAGACCGCTTATCACCCTTCCAATTTGGAGGCATGCTATGTCCTGTGCCGATTGATCTCTAAGCTGTTTAGAGAGGAATTTGCAGGAGAACCATGGTGGGGCCTGATGGATCCGGCTTGGGCTCCAATCTTGCTATCATTGTACGCCTTGTCGGCCATCGATAAAATTCGGCAATCGCCATACGTGTTCCTACATCAGTATCTGAGCCGAGTCCTCAACCCGCAATTTTATGTCGGCTACACAACAAACGACTACAAACAGGTGCATTCAACGATCCTCGCTCCTCCGTTCGTTGTCTCGAAGGTCAAAGCTACACTCAATTTGCATGAGCTGAATCAGTCCGGAGACGACATCGATGAACTTGACGTATCTCACCTCCAAAGCCGTATGGAGATGCCGTCGACAGCAGCTGTGCGGTTTGAGTTGGCCGATGCGGAAAGCAAGACCAATAAGGCCTCCCACGTGGATCCGACTGGTATCAACAACGGACGTCCTAAGAGAAGCGATCTGATGCTGCCGCCGCCGCGGCCAATATCGCCACCGACTGGTTCCGTCATAACCAGTTCCTCGGGCTTATCCGACGACACCAAATCGTTCCGCAGGCTTGCCCGCAGAATCAACATGCCAGGTGGTGCCCTGGCGTGGCCTCCGCCGGACCACAGGCGCGACCAAAATCCTCTTTTGCCGAGTCCGAGAGATATCTTAGAGGACGTCATTGGTATGCCTCGCGAGCCACCTGCATGGGGAATGTTTTTCGGCTTGAAGGATCAATTTTCAACAATATGGGACTAGAGGGGAGTTCAAGAAGGGGCCGGATGGAGACAACCAAAACAAAACATGAATCGGAAGAGTGTGTCAGATTTCCTTTTCCTAGAGTTTGGGAAGGTCTATGCAAAATATGAATAAAGTCTTGAGGGTTTGATTATTAGTTTGGGCCACTGGGCCTGGACCTGGACGAAGCAGGGTCCGTCCGTCCGGCTGGCCGTGTGTGTATGTATGTGTGGGTGTCTTCCACCGCCGCTATGGACAATAATAGCCCAGCAAAGCTAGCTGAGGCTGTATAAAACACTAGCTGCGATAATTCTATGGATTCGGGGGGGGGGTTGGGGGTATCACTTTGGGAATGTTGGAAAAAACGTGAACCGGGGACGAGCAACGTCTGTTGAAGAACAACGTTGGTTGGGGGTATCGTGCGTTTTTGAAAAGCCAGATTAACAACACAACATTAATGGACTTGCAAGCAAGCAAGCCTCCTCCGTGTCGTTTCTTCTTCTTCACTTCCTCTTCCTCCTCATTAGTTAGGATCTCTCCAAAAATTCGGGGGGCGTGGGTCGTTAAATTCATCGGTATAGGTGGGTATCGTTTCTTCCGCGCAAGGCTATGCTCAGTGGGAAGGAGCCGTCCAGCAGGTTTAATGATCGTAAGAAGCTGGTATAATGCAAAATGAAAAGGAAAAAACCAGAAGGGTATCGTGGGTCGGAATGCGGTGTGGTGACGTGATGGATTCGAGCATCCTCCCATTCTTTCGAGATTCTGGCGGTTGGTGTGGGATGGGGGGTTGGTCGACGATGCCGTGCAGGGCTTCGATGGACTCAATCAAGACCGGGAAAACAATATACAGCACGAATTCAACCCTCAGAATCTGGGTGCCGCGCCCTTGTTCTCCCTCCTCATGGCCCAGCCCTTGAGTGACAGCACGACGATCTCATACGCCATGATGAACGCCGTCAATCCACACGTGACGGTGAGCACAAACATAGCCATGAGACCCGTTCTCTCCATGTAGTGGACGATGTCTCGGGCACTGGCCATGAAGATGATTCCACCACTGATCAAGCAGAAGGCGGCGATCAGTTCAGTGGGAGGGCGGGTAGGGTAGACCGACTTGGGTGGGGAGAGGAACATGATCAGGTACGTGAACATACGAGCAACGCCGAAGCCGACCAGCAGCGTGCCCCATTGTGAGTGGACATTGGTAGACACCATCGAGTCCTGGTGGTGAGAAGACATCATGACGCCGAGGAGGATGATGACCAAGCCAGGCATAGGGTTGAGAGAGGTGGTGTACTGTTTCGGTGTCTCACGTAGCTCCAGTGCTTCACTGGGGTGGACGTCTGTTCGGGCAGGCATGTTGTCGACAACCGTGTTCAGACAACGGCGGACGATGCTGGACTCGACAAGCATACCGCACTAGGGACAATAATTTAGCCGAGCTGCCTCAAGGCCAACAAAGCAGAGACAAGAGCAACTCACCATTCCGCCGCCAAAGAACATGATGGCGATCGAGACATGTTCAAAGTCCTGGGCCGTCCACTCGCCGCCCCAAGCCGCCAGATGCTCCAAGAAGACATTGGTGGCACCGTACAGCCAAATGACAAAGGATTCCGTGAATTCAGCCGAGGGGATTTTCGACTTCCATTGGCCGACTTCGCTGCGGTTCGGCTTAAGATTCCAAGCCCAGCCCAGATCGGCAAAGCAACCCATCCATCGTCCCAGGGTGAGCAGGCCGTACCAGAAGAAAATTCCTCCCTTGATAAAGTGGGCTAGACCCGTGAAGACGTTGTTGGCTCTCTGTCCAACCTTGATCAGTCCTCATGGTGCTCTCAGGTGGTTAACTGCGCCCTCCTGATGAAGGGAGCGCAGTTGGGGGAAATACTCACGAAAATGCCACAGTACGTGATGAAACCAGTCACCAAGGCGATGAAACCAAGGACTAGAATCAATCTGTCCACCACATTGTACACGATCTTGGCCACGCGCAGCATCTGAGATGAAAGCAGGTGCGGAATGCGCGCGGACAGGTATCTGTCGATGAAGCTGATGTGCAACCAGCGGGATCGCTCGCTGGGCTGCTGCGGTAACTGCAGGTCTTCGTCGTCTTCCGAGTCTGGGAGGGGTTCAGGTTTCTCAAAATCATCAAAGGTATCCCGTCGGCCCACAACCGTCGGAGAAGCATCACGGCTGTGCAGGGTCGAGGAAGTATCGGTGCCCTGGCCGCTGTCGCCAGACCAACGGTAAGGATTATAGGGCGGCCGCCTGTTATGCTGGGCCATGTTCTCCACGGAAACCGGGAGAAATGCCTCCCTCTCGCCCACCGGAGCTGCGGATTGCTTGCCTCTCCGCGAGTAGGCGAACAACAGGCTCGCAATGACCTGGGCGGTCATCATCCAGGTCGCGATCCAGCCAATCCTGTGGTGGGCATTGTGCACGTACAGATCGGGGGTGTTGATGTTGTACACAATCCCGAACAGCAGTCCCACGCCGTTAACAATCAGGAAAAGAAATTGGACGGGAAGGGCGAATTTCGACCGAGCAATGCTGAACATGGCGCCTTTTCTGGGTCAGCAACAGTTCTGGCACCACTGAATTCCTACCGACTCACCGATTGGAAGAATGAAAAACCATGCCAATACCATCATGACCACGTGCGCCATGATCATACCCTGGTGCTGGCCCAGGCCGGCATAGCTGGGCATATCATATGGATCAATCTCCCCGCCGTCATTGTGAGGGGCTTCCGGCTTCTTCATGTCCATGTCATGGTGCTCCTCATCGTGACCATGGGCCAGTGCGAGTGAGGCCAGTTGGAGCAGCGCTGCTGCAACGGTCCACCTCGACAGACCCATTCGGCTCACCCTTTGTGTCTGGATGTTCTTCAATGCTCCTTCTATTACACCGACGCCCACCTGACTCGACAGCTTGGTTCGTTCCCAACAAGTGAGGGCGGGGTCAGAGATCAACGGGGAGTGGTAGGACAGAATGCGACGGAGGCGGAAGAGAGTGTGTGGCAGCAGTGAGGGAGAGGACAGTGAGGATCGTCGATACGAGGAACAAGAGAAGGGGGGAGGTCAAGAGCTCAGTATAGAGAGAGATAGAGAGAGAGAGAGAGAGAGAGAGCGAACACAGACTTCCACATGCAGCGGTCACGGGCGATTATTAAAGAGGTGAAGGCGGTCTTGGAGACCGGAGCGAGTCATCAGGCGAGAGCGAGCGCACAGGCATCGCGCAAGGGACAGGCGACGAATAGGTCAGCAGAGCAAAAGCTTTTGCAGGGCCATGGGGAGCATGGGATGGCATCGCACTGTTGGCATCAGTAGGGACGCATCGTGGGGACTGGTGGCCGGATTTCTCGGATGCGCCAAAGAGTGGTTCTTGGGCTCTTATCGCCGGTCGGAGGAAAATCGAACGAGGCGTCAAGAAAAAGTGACAAGGCCCGCAGGTGCAGTAGCTCCAAAATAAGGGCCCTGGACGCCCTTGACCTCAGTGGCGCCCCCCATTGGCGGCTGCCCGGAACGGCCAACAAGAGCCCACTACAACCCAACGAGGGGTCACCGAGGGGTCTTGTTAGGTGGCCAAGGACCGACCGACCGACCGACCGACAGGCCTTAGGGACCTTGGGGGAGCTACCTACCTACCTACGCTGCGTATTCCCGTTATTCAATTTTCTCAGGCAAGGATCTGTCTGGAAGCTACATACGCAGTACGCAGCCCCAAGTACGGACGAGGTACGTCAGATCACCCGCAAAAAGTATTCGCTTACCCAGCAAGCCCAGCTTCCTGCGAAGAAGCGCTTATGGGGCAAATGATCCATCGACATGTTGGTCCAAGCTCTCCTCGTCGCTTTGTCGTTTTCTCTATTACTTCCCTCGAGCGCCATACTCAATGTGGTACTGTCGAAGGGAGCAGCTCAAATTCCCTCAATCTGCTGGGCCTAGTAGCGCAAGCATGGGAGCCCCACCGGGAAGGATACTTCCTGCTAGCCTCCGCTGCCCTACGTCGCGGTCGACTCTCGTCGACTGCTGACAAAAAAGAGCGACGAGATCGGACCCTATTCCAGAGCCGCGATCCATCTTTCTTTTCTTGTCCAGCTTCCCGAGTCAGATTCTTGTTTGGGTTCTCGTCATGACTCTTTTTCGCGCCCAGTGTCTATATTTGCTCCTCCACGACCTTTTTTTTTGGCCATCAATCCTAGTGATGTCATGATGTCATGATCTCGTAGGCGACTAGAGTTTGGAGAAGAATGAAGTGTCCTTCCGTGCCATTCCGCTGGCCCCAGACGCACTTTTCAATCATAATAATAATGGATCCGGTGATAGGTGGTATTGGATTTCTGCGTCAGGCACGGGACTCGTTCGATTCGCGCGGGTGTGCAAAAGGTACTGGTGGATGGAGACGGGGAATGCCGAGTTGCCAACCGGGCGACTGGGCAGAGCGTGTGGTGTGAGAAGTGGTCTATGACTGGCCTGGAGGGATCGAGATCGTGAGATCAAGATGCTCGTCTTTCTCTCAAACGGTAAATAGTATTAGTGGGCGGGCGGCGGAGGAGGAGGAGGAGGAGCGGTGACTCAGCGCACAGCTTGCTCAGGCACCAGCGGGCCACTGTGGACGAAGCTGACAAGTCTCGTACAGCGTTAACTTGAGAAAATCCAGTGGCTGGAGAAACGACACATTCCAACCTTGGAGCACTCCGTACTGTAAGAGAAAATGCAGAGAATACGAGTTTTCTGGAGATGCATCAAGCAGCATATGGTGGACAGTTTGGGATTCATTGTGCCGCTGCTTTTGACAGTTCAGGCAGCCCAACCTGAGCCGGGCCCTTTTTGGGTAACTCTGCTTTATCCCCGTCTCCGTCTCCGTCTCCATCTCCATCTCCATCTACTATCCATCACGCAATTGCATACGCCTTTCCATTGGGATCAGGCTGACAGCCCTGTTCGTGTCACTTCTGTAGACTTCCATGGGCCCTGTCATTTGCTTCTCGCCCCTTTCCTCCTCTCCTCTCCTCCCTCACCAATCACGTTCGTCACGCCACTCCCGACCGGGTCATTACCACATGCCGGTCATCGGCCACATCGGCGACAGCTTTAACCTGACACAGACAATACCGTTTTCTCTCCTAGGAAAACATTCCTAATCCATGGAATTCTGGTTTGATAATCCAACAAACCTGAAACGACCGAGCCAGGTAGTGGCCTTCTTGGGGCTTGAGAATACCTGTCTACACTCCTACGTCGGACCGAACTCGAACACCGACCCAACCTTGTCACCGCCGGGTCTATTCGCCCAAGTCGCCCAAGAAATGGCCGAGTGAAGAAAAAAGTTTGAGTTCGTGTCCTCCCAGTCATCGAATCAAGACCATGATCCGCTTCGTCGCTACTGCAACAGGCGCCAGATGAATAGCTTCCAGCTTCGTTTCATGCAAAACTCCACCTCTTCAAGTAATGGAAATGGCGACTTGTTGTTTTTCGGCCGACTCGTCTGTCCGAGGCTCCGAGCCTTGTATGGGCTTTCATTGCCGTAAAATCCGCTAGCTCGCTCGTCCCTTGGCATTGGGTCAGAAGATGCGTCTTGGGAGACAATCGATGCGTCCTCCGGAACCCCCGCGCTATCGTACCACCACCGTTTCCTGCAGTCGCCAGAGCTGCAAATGGTCACAAGGACGCGAGCTTGTCGATCCCGCATTGGTTCCCGCTTCGGCGCTACGGCTGACCGCCCTGCACAAAACTTTTATGCACATCATGGATCGATGATCCTGTCGCGTATGCTCCATTGAAATTCCGTGGTATTCAGCGGCGGTCGTAAAGGAAGCCGTTTGCAGGCACCCCAGCAGGTTCGGTTCACAACGGGTTGATGATTAATAGACGGGAGGGAAACGGTATGCACAACCTCTATCCATTCCTTGCCTTATCGTGCCACAAAAACGCGCGAATGCAGGTATTTCTGTCGAATCAGCAGAAAAGCATTCCAAACATATCACGACATTTTACGCATCTCCCGCCCTGGGGGAACGTATTCGTTTATGATGCGACACACTAGGCAACAGGAAAACAGTCTGCGGGGTTATCGTCTCATGAATATACAAGTATACAATGTGAATGCCTCATCCTCTACGGTAGGTCCCTAGGCACCAACGTTCGTAACACATTCTCCTCTCCTCGAGATATGGGAAAACGTGGGATTTGGGTGATAATCCCCGGACCATGTACTAATAGCCTCGTTATGTACTTTGACATGGACCAGCCGACTTGTGTACTGCGTACCGACTAGCCGAAACAGGTCAAGAAGGTCGTCGCGTGCTATTACTTACTGTGGGTATTCGATTCGACTAATAAAATACAGAGAGAGAGAGAGAGAGAGAGAGACACACACACAACCTATCAGATCGATGCAAGCAGGCAGCCAGCCAGAAACTCTGATAATGTTCCATTTCTTCTTCTTCCTCTCCACGTGGCTCTAAGAAGCCTACATACGCAGTCGAAGTAGTATGTCGGTAGTAGTAAGCAGCAGCCAACAATCCTTGTTCTATGGCTTATACTGTGCCATTTTCATGTCCTGTGCCACACTGTCGACGCCAACCAATTCCATCCATCCCAGTACCAAGTCAGTCCGTGAGGGAGACGAAACCGAGCACAAGCACAAGCCCAAGCCCAAGCACATACGTGCATATACAGTATACATGCATACCAACCACACGCAGCCCCGTTCCATTCCCCTATTTCTTCTGGGCCTTTCCTTTCTTCCTCCCTTCCTCTCTCGTCTTCAGATCTTCTCCAGACTGCGCAAGCTGTAGAAAAGGAGATAGGCCTCCTGGCGCAGGACGTCCTCGGTAGTGGTGGCGCTGACGATCTCGTCGTCGAAGCGGAACCACTTGTTGTCCTGGCGGCAGAAGGCGAAGTAGTGGCCGTTTTGCGCATGCTCGCCCTGGTGTACCACCACGCAATCGAGGTCGTACATGAACTCGCTCTCCTTTCTTGCACTCGCACTCGCACTCGTGCCCATGCCACTGCCACTGCCACTTGCTTTCGCCGAGGAAGAGGCGGAGGAGGCGCTCTTGGGGGTAGTCGTGTTGTTGGTGTTGGTGTTGGTGTCCTTGCCCTTCTCCTTTTTTTCAGCCTCGCCATTGCCGTCGGCGCCGGCATCTTTCTTCTCCTTCTTGATCACCACCGCCGCCTCGGGCCCTTTGGCCGGCGGCCGCGTCGTGTACGGCGCCATGTCCAGGTGCAAGCCGAAGTCGATCTTGCCCTCGTATTTCTCGGGCCCGAACACACCGCCGGCGTTCTGCTTCATGCCGAACCGCTTGACGTGCACGCACAGGATGGCGGGCAACTTTCGGATGCGCGTCTGCTTGGAGGCCGATCGCCGCGTGTTGCAGTTGTTGCACTTGTATTGGTCGGGCGACAGGGGCTCGGGCGCCGTGAATGCGCGCAGGCAGTCCTGGATGGTGGGGATGGTGATCTTGAGGTCCACGGCCTTGTCCTTGTGCGAGGCTTTGGTGCCGTCCCCGCCCTTCTTCGCGTCCTTGTCGTCCTTGCCTCCTTCATTGTCCTTGTTGGGGTTGGGGTTGGCGCCGGCGTCTTTGTCTTTCGAGGCGGATTCTTTGCTGGCATCCTTGACCCCTTTCTTCCTCTTCTTCATCTGTTTCTGGAAATCGAGCGAAATGCTCGAGAACTCGTCCTCTCGGCTTGACACCGTGTGGCAGGTGTCGCAGGTGATCTGGCTGTTGTAGCGCCCGTAGAAGACCTTGTGAAAGAAGCAGACGCACTGCTTGTCCAGCGTGGCGATCCCGTTGGCCTGGTTGGTGGCGTGGGATTTGTTTCCAGAAGCCGGGATGTACTGGGCCACTCCCTCGTGCAGGCGATCAACAATGCACATGAACCACTCTTGGGCATCTTGCTGGCCTTTGCCGGACATTTGCTGTTCGGCGTAGCATCAGTATCAGGATTTCCCGACCATTGAATAGAGAACAGTCAACATACCGGAATATTTTTCCACGAAGCGAACAACAGATTGACGGCGTGGGCAGGGAGAGGCTGGTCCACCATAGTAACATCTGAGAAGAGCTCCGTCATGCCACAAGCAACGCAAGTCTTCTGCTCCTTATTCTGGGAGCCTTCTGCAGATCCGTCATCCTCGTCGTCGTCGTCAGAGTCGTTCTTCTCCTTCTTGTCGGGCTCCTTGGAGATCGGACACGTGTGAATCGGGTGGCCCATGCCCAAGAAATAGCTTGCCAGCAGGGAATTGTGCACCATCATCTGCAGCACGGCGTTCATGTAGCACGTCTCGCCCAAGTTGAACAGCCCACGGACGCCGGTCCTGCCGCACGGCCGCTGAGAGGTGTTCGCCGTCAGGTACGAGTCGTCTTCCCCGTCGTTGGTCTCGGAGATCTTCCGCTTCACTCCGTTGACCTTGCTGCTGACGGCGCTGCTTTTACCGCCACCGCTGACTAATAACGCCGGATCGTAGACCAGGTCGTTGCAGTGCCCGCAGTAGACGGCCTTGTGGGAGACGGCGAACCCATGCTGCGTTTTGGAGAGGTGTTTGTTCAGCGCCGCGAAGCTGCCGGAGAAAGAGCACGAGACGCACGAGTACGTCGCAAAGTCTGGGTCGAGCTGGTGGTTGCTGCTGTCGCGGAAGGCGTTGATTTTGCTGGTGGCGTCGGCGTCGAGGTGCTCACAGCCAGCTGTGGGCATGTATTGCGTGAGAGCCATGATAGTTTGAATGAATTTCTGGGAAGGTGATAATAGAGAACCGGCAGAACAGGGACGAGGAGGATATATACAAGGGAAAGAAGACCGTTGGGGGTTTCGAGTTCAGGAGAAATCACACGAGGCGAAATGTTTTAATAGGAAACATCCACAACAAGATCGCTCGCGGTCGAGCAATCCTCCTCGATAGCCGTCAGCAGTGATTGAAACTTTTCTCCATTCATGAATAGAAGGACAATAGGAGCCGGGGCTATTGTGAATCGAGTTGAATGGCCAACAATCAAGTGACATTTTTGGAAGTGAAGTGATTATTTCCAGCACTAAAGAGGGAGTATACTTCCCCGTAGAATTACGGTGGGGCAAGTAATCCCCACATGTCGCAGCCCAGGTCTAGACCTTTGGGACGACAACCGACCGAAGGGTTACGCAAACTGGCAAAGGGCATTCGAGAGATCATGGATACCTAAAGGAATTCCATTAGAATTGGGTGGTTGGGGTCTATCAGAGGGATTGCTCGCGAGTGCTACAGACACCTTGGAAAATTCACAACCACCCCGGCTGTTGAATGCAAATGGTGCCGTTTGGCAAGCAGCGCCGCTGAGAAGACAGCGATGACCCATGATGAAACTGGAGTATTCATTTGAACACTCAGCCTCTCCCACGCGTTGTGAGACGGGCCGATGGTCAGGGAACAAACAGAGGCGTGACAAACGCATCAATGAGGATGCGAAAAGGGATCCGAAGCAGTGAATGGAAACAGCGTCGCCCGTGACTGCAGCACTCCTCGGGAATATCGCTGACGATGGCGTCCGTCTCCTCCCATGGCAAACAATATCTTTATTCATTGTCTGTGCCTAGGTCTCAAAGCCTTACCGACACCTCGCCAGAGTCAGACACCAGACGGCCACCCTCTTTCCGCCGTCGTCAGGAGCGCCCCTCGACTTTGTTGGATACCGCTCGGCTGCCATCTTCAATGATAACGAAAAACCTCCACGGGAATGTCGTTGAAGGCGATCTCGATATCATCACCGTCCCACATCGCCTCCTGGGCCTTTGATACCAAATCGATGAAGGTATCAGCCCAGCAGTAAGACTGCTCCGGCCCTTGTGGCGGCAAGCGGACACCGTTCTCATCGGTGTAGCCAACCGACATCATGAAGATAAATAGTTTCGCGCACGCGGTGACAATAGAGACGGCCTTGCCATGCGCCGCAACGGCTTTGTTTTGGTAATCCACATACAAGGCCAAGAGATCCACAGCTTGAACTGTCTGATCCTGGCCCAACTCTTCAGAGTCCCTCGTACCCCTCTCCAAACTGTCCAAAAGCCCTATCATCCGAGAATTGATCTTGTGGCCCAAGGCCCGAGTTAGTAGTGAGATATGACATATGTTCTCCATGAATGCCATGTATTTGTCGTGGTATTTTCCACTGTGGAGAATCTCGTAGTCATACAAAGTCACTGCAGTGAACGAGTTCGTAAGACGGTTTGTTTGTGGCAGGTGAAAGAGCTATGTACTCACTGTTTGGACTGAGCTCTTCCATCTTTTCGAGACACAACGTTCACAAAGCGGAGGCAACGATGGGGAGTGTGCGGCGGAGGGCGGCGTTCAGTCGTGTCAAGCTGTGAAGTCGCACGTGCGATCGACAGGACCTTTAGAGCTCAACGTCTTCCAGGGACGTGTACACGGGATTTTTCTTATGTGGTTCTGGTAAGGGTTAGCTGTTGTGAGGTAAAGTGTCGATGGCTAGGAGGACCTGCGGGTGCATGAAGATGCCTAGTAGGCCACTGGAGAGAAAAAATGTTGGAAGAGAAGCTGACTGTTCGAGATGCATGACAGAGAGGACAGTTAAATGAACAACACTGTCTTGACAGATTTTCATCCAAAAATCTGGTCTCCGTGGGAATCAAACATTAGTATCTCGGCGTTGTGAAAACGCCCTAATGAAAGAGCCCATGATGTCGTTAAACTGTCACTCGATAACATCGTCTCTTACTTGCTTCCCCTCGCTCTACCCCGTGGCAGACCACTTCCTCTCAAACCTCCACGGCTGCCAACACTGCCTCTGGCCCCTCTCGCCCCAGCAGCAGCGCCTCCCCGGCCGGCCGGCAGATTGCTGTGCTTGATCGTTGATGAAGTGCCGGGTGTTACTGATGGGGCCATGCTTTTACGGCGTGGAGTTGCCTTCAAGCTGGCGAAACTTGCATCTGCTGTAGTCATGAAGGTTGCATCCCCACTGCTCTCACCGAGCCGACCGTCGCCAGTGGTGGTGTTATTCTGGATTGTCGTCGACTGATCGTCGAAGTTTCCCTGGCCTCCCTGCTGACGCTTTTGCCAGCGTTTGATCGACTCAATGATGGGAGCCTGGAGGGGGAATGACCCGGTCAACCAGTGTCCCGGCAGCGACCACACAGCGACAACTTCAAGAGGGAGTGGGAGACGTGTAACGTACCTCTGGGAAATCAACAACAAAGGCATTCATGTTCAACCCGTACAAAAAGCTGGCGAAACTCTCCCCAAACCGACTGAGACTCTCGTGCATGAGTTGCAAATGCATCAAATTCGCCTCCAAGTCAGCCATTGAGTCACTTAATTCTGCGAACTGTGGCTCGAGTGAGTCGAGCAGCAGCCCAGGTCCTGTGAAAACCCCATTGTTTTGGTGGACAGAGGCGCGGAATGAAGAACGTGACGCAGGACGCAGAGGAGTCGTCGGCCTGGAAGTGGGTGAGCGCGATCTCGTCCGAACAGGCATTTGAGACGTCGTGTGAGGCAGCGACATTGTTTCAACTGAGAAAAATGTCTGAAGTGGGATTTATGCACAAGGGACAGTACTTGGAGCGAAGCTGATGTTGTAGAGACGTGTACGTGTCCACCAATCGCAATCCAACGGAATATCCGGAAAAACTCCTCCGCGCTTGATATGAGATTGTTCCGCGCAAGGCTGACTAGGTTGGGGAAAAGAAAGCAAGATACGAGGTACTGTACTCTGTGGGTGCACTCGGTACAAGTACACGCAGCTCTGCAGAATCCCCAGGAATAAATCAAGACGTTGGATGAAACTATTACATTGTGGCCAAGCTATGAAAACAGCTGCAGTCACTGAACACGACCCTCTAGATCAGCAAGGCCATTAGAGCCTTCGAAACCTGGCTGACCCAACTCTAGGTACATAACCCTTTGTTTCCTCCCGAGAGTATGCGCGTGAACCTTTGGAGAGAATCAACCTGGTCCCTACTTCCTGTCCTGTCAATGTCGGCCGTTCGCTGCTTGCCCAAACATCTCCCTGAGTAAGTAAGACAAGATATTCCCATCAGCTCAGATCCCGTCGAAATCACCGCCAGGGGCGTCGTCATCGTCCATTTCACCCTCCACTATCTCCTTTGCAAGCTCACGCTCGCGTTCACGTGCCTCTTGGGCATTCTTGAGCTCTAGTCTGTGTTGGTTCATGGGAAAACGCATGGCCTGTTACAAGGTTAGCACCAGCCTTGCCAGAATGTTAGGGTTGACATACCTTGACGCTCTCATCGTGTAATGCTAAGCAAGCTTGGATGCGCTCATGGAAAGCATCGCCAGGCTCTCTGGTAGCGTATACGTCTCCCACATCCTTGCTCTTCATGTAACCACGCTCATGATCCAGGCTGGCCTCAATGACCCCATCGCGAATTGCCTTTGCGACAATGTACTCTGCCGATTCCTCGCTGTCCAGACCAAGGCGTAAGCACATGTCGCGCAGAGAGATTCTTGCGTATGACAGAGACATCATGCGAATGCCGGTCCTAATCACATTCTGTCGCAACCTCAATATAAGCGTGTACGTATCATCTTTTCTAAAGGTGGCATTGTACCGCTGGACCAAGTTCTGGAAACCGATCACATCTCCAGAGCTGACGGCTTGCACAAGTTGAAGATATGGCTGCAATGCTTTTTCCAAGCTGGGCTGGCGGAAGATTGCACGGTCCGGAATGTCTCCCATCAAAAGTTCAACCACAATAAGCATTTTCGTCGAGGCCTGATAAAATCCACTGGCTTTGTAGGACGTTGGCGACTTCCGTGTCGCTCCAGTCAGGTGTTCGTGAGCTTCAGTATACGAAAGTTGGATTGCTCGGATGCGGCCAAGATAGTACAAATATCTGGCGATCTGATTGTTCGCAGCGGTGGGGGGGAATTTGGTATGGGATATCAATAGGTCGGCCTGTGTGACGTGAGAGGTGGAAAGATAATTTCGGAGAAGCAAAGTTGTGACCGCAGACTGTATATCCTGGTCTTTTCTCAGGGTTGCAGTTCGCAGAGCATCAAGGAGTGGCTTCCGGATCGAGATCACCGCAGCAGCAGGAGAGGGCGGCAAGGGTGCCATTTCTTCAAAGAAGAGCGCATAGTAGAAATACACCCGGGCCGACAGCGAATCCAATGTCCGACGGTTCAGGGTGCGAAGATGGTCCACCAGAGCACTCGAGAACTCCGCACCTGCGTTGATTGATTTCTTATCGTAGAGGTGGACCTGTACCAAGATCGATAGGTAGACGTCTATTTCAGGGAGGATCTCTTTGTGAGAGCTTTTTTGGTGCGCCGAATCCCTTTTGCCGTGCCATTCCTCAACTTGTCGGGATGGGAAAGATGGGTCGTCCTTGACGGCACTGAGAAGGGACATTGCAGTCGCGGTAGGTGTTGCATAGGTGTTCGTGACAACAGAAGCTATCACATAAGAGGACAGGTGCTTTCGCATAGAGGGTATGGAACGGAGGACCCTCAAGCTGAATCGAGGATCAAACTGGTTGACAGCGCGTTCCAGCAACGGAAGATTGGCTTTGATTTCTGTATCAATGTAAGTAACATATCTCCAACAATCGGAATACTTGTGCAACTCACCCTCGATTGCCTTTTCTTGAGGGTCAACTTCTTCTTCCCCTTCTTTTTTGCCCTCATCATCTATTGCCCCATTTGTAAGATCTGCGTCGGTAGCTTTCTGAGGTGCGCTCGGAGTGTTGGAGCCCTTTGCGGGCGGGACGACAACCGTCATCTCATCATCGCCATCCTTCTCTTTTCCTTGTTTGGACGTCTTTTTGGAATTCTTGGATTCATCCTTCATTTCGACGTCGTCCGAGCCGTTGATGCCGCCGTTGAGATGGGGTTTGTCGCCGCTCATATCTTCGGCAGGAGCTAGAGATATTGGTCTGGGAGACGAATCGAACGAGTGAAGAGGTAGGATCACGCTGGGTAGCCTTGGCTTATCTTTTGTTGTAGAGAGTTCTTCTGTATCGAAAGGGAGGATTTATATCAAGCCGCAGGGTCGGGGAACCAAGTTGGCATATGCCCGGAGTTTCGAGGTCTTGATCCGCCACCAATCACAAGTCCGTTGATGCAATCGACTTTCTAGGGCATAGGAATGCGATGTGAAATCGGGAAAAGGAGGTTAAGTTTGAGAGGAGAATGATCGGGATGAGGTCAGGGCTGGGTTGAAGCAACAGTAGTTTGGATGGAGATGGAGACGTTGATTTCTTACCTTTGGCCGGCGCTTGCTGTTCATAGCGCAGCCGCAGCGCAGCCAGGCACAACAGACAGACGCGTTCGCTTCTCTCTCCACACCACAAACTGATCGCCAACAAATCAACTAAGAACCCATGACGCAGTCGCAAGACGCCTCGACGGTGCAAATGCTGTGCTTACTCGTACTTTCTTGAGCACCCCCATTGCTGTTGACACTATGGCCGCCCTGTACAGATCATAACTGCGATATCGAGCGACAACCCAGGTGAGAAGACCAAAACCGGGACACGTGCTTCCACGTCTCGCAGCAATATGGCTCTCCTCGTGAACCATCTGGAACAGATTTCTCTATCTGCAAAGTCTATATCTGAGCTGGAGTATGCGTGAAACATGAACAGACCCATTCTTCGTCGCTGACCACGTCGCAGGTTTCCTCCACCTAAGATATTTACGAATGCTCTGCTCAACAATCAGGAAATTACAACCCTGATTCGCGACACGGAACCTCATGAGCGTGCACTCTTCTCAATCGATCCAAATGCTATCAGCAGAAATCGTCCACAGAATGGTTTTCGGTCTGCAGACAACAAAAATGGTTTACAAGGCCGGAAAAGTGGGGTTTCTTTCGCCCATCCCATGAAGCAATCGGCGGTCTCAGCGCTGCTGGGTAAAGAGATGCTCCAGGAGATCAGACAATCTAGCAGTGGGCGCTCTCGTGAAGGAGTGAACGTTGAAGTCCTCCTTCGCGGAGCAGAAAGACTCTGTGAGGTTTACACCGTGGCGGGTGCAACAGAAAGAATTCGAGCCCTTCGCAACCGTCACCGGGACGTCGCTAGCTCTATAGCTATGCTCGAGGACAAGGTCTCCAGACAACAGTCGCTTCTAGACCGCACAAATCAGGCATTGAACTCTCAAGAAGGGCGGGATGAGAATGATCTTGAGCAAGACCGGATCAACCACAATGCTATACTTGGCCTCGTGGATGAAGATTTCCAGGTAGAAGAGGAGGAAATCCGCGAGTTGGAGGCTAGAAAGAAAGCCTTGGAGGAGCGTGTCTCCGGCATGGAAAGAGACCTCGGCGGGCTTCTTAAGTGATGATGCACATCTCGAAGCCCGGCACTTCTTCATGAGCAGTCGAGTGTCTCGGCATTCTTTCAACTTGTGCTTCGGCCGCACAGCTGACAGAAGCAATGATAGACGCATAGGCACCTGCGGAACGTTAGGGACCGACAAATTGCAGCTTGCAGCAAAAATTCAGTGTGCCGTCGACATCCTCGTCATGGACCTGGCGATATATCAGCCTGGACACAGCCCGAAAACTTTCGCGAATTCTCGACAAGCCTGGCTTCCCAATACCAACTGCACTTTGACGAGTGTCAGCGGTCATCATGCAGCAGGCAGCAGAATGTCAAGACATTCAACGCTGTCACCCGCCTCCAGAGATGGGTGCATAAGACGAGCTTCTGCACCACCTCATCCGTCCATTGATCTTCCAGACAAGGATGTCCACAGTTCGCTACAATTTCGCCTCGCAGGGAACCAGCTGACAGGAGTTGGCGTTGCGTGGTATCCCGCGCCGCGCAAAAGCAAGAGGGACGTGCACTTTCGCTTGTGAGGAATCACCTACTCGCTTACGTGGAATCCGTCCTCCTTTTCAATATTTTCGAGGCTCTGACTCCACCCTGGTGCTCAAGTCAAGACGGATAGTTGGTAGCATGTGGCTACCAGAAGCTACTGAAGCCACACATCTTTGGTGGGGCACCTGGTTTCCCTTCTTGTCGACACTCAATTCTTGATGCGAGTAATCCGGAGGACTAGAAGCAGGGCGAACTTCCCTCCTTCGAGGAGTATTTCCACTGGAGAGGTTGAAAAGTGGACCGGTAATACAGGCAAACTACCTCTGGGGAAACAAGAATGCAGAAAATCGTGTACTTATGCGTGATAGAATCTGTATGCATGCTTCAGGGGGTGAGCGCCCTCTACGTAGGAGGTGAATGATGAAAAGGGCAAGGTGCCTTTTCTTGCATATCTGCTAGGTATTCAGGACCTAGGACGGGTATAGTATGGGTTGGAAGTTAGGAACTACGAGTGAGTAGTCGTAGTGACAAACTAGATTTCCCCATCTGTGGGCATCTGAGGGTCCCTGGCGCTCCGGTGCCAGTTAAGACCAGGAGACGCAGGTCGCCGGCCGTTGTCAGAGGCCAATGGCAAGGGAGCTTCTTCCTGCATAGCCGTCAGAGCGCAGCAGTCAAACTCGGACACCTGCAAACATGTGTACACTAGGCCTCGGGCTTGCCCCCAGCTAGTTAAGGAAATCATGCAGCTCCCGCAGAGGACCAGTAGCATGCCCCGACTTCTTCCCCTTAAGCACGCCCAGAGTTCAGGGCCGATGAGATGCAATTGGGCGTCGGGTCTGGGTCCGTGGTGGCAGCATCCACAGCAATGGGGGTCAGACTGTGAAGACTGAACCCCATGTCCCAATTGAAACACCAGCCCCGAAAAAGCCCAGCACTCGACGCCATCCATCAATCAAGCAGTCACTCACTCACTCGTTTCTGCTCAGTCCGTCTTCACAGTCGCTGTTCAAAACCTCTCCTGCGTCCGAAGTCCTTGTTCAACCAGGTTCAGGCAATCATTTAGCTGACAGGGACTGCACAGCTCTCTCTTTCACCTGTGGAACAGGGGTACTGACATTTTTCAGCCTCGAAGTTGCCCCCAACTCCTCAACTGCGGAGCGGAACCGATTGATCGTCACCCTGTCCGTCCATTATTGCGCCGCCGCATCCAGTCGCAAGAAAGTGCTCGCAGACGCTTCAATCGAGCTCAACGTATTGGACCTCTGAAGAGTGCGGCACCAGTACTTGGTCGTCGCTCCGTCGAGTCCTCAATTGCTACAGATTTGGAGCCGATTGTTGACAGACTAATCCGGGAATCAATTTCGCGTTCAACCAGGTTACCCCATGGATAACTGATTGCTCCATTGCGACTGCCCTTGCTCTCCCTACAGCGACCTTCTATCTCATTGCCTGCCAACTTCCTCCGTCGTCCTCTCACCGACATGGCGCAACTACGGAGCATGGGGTCGGGAACGGACGTCCTTTCCATGTCCGCCAAATCTACCAGAGCCACTCTCCCACACGCAGCAGCACCCGCTTCATACGTCTCAATTGCCGAAGCCGAGAAGTTGGTCTACGCAGAGCTTGATCGTCTTGTCAAGATTTCAAATAACGCTGTCTACTTGCTCAATGGGTTTTTGGATCAGATACTTTACGACATCCTGTCCAAATCGCAATCGACTGCATTGGGTGCGGTTCGGGCTGCAATCCCGTTGGTACTGAAACAGAGACTGGGACGTGCGGCGATAAAGGCTGCCGACGAGGAATTACAAGACTATCTGGAAGAAGACGAACTGGAGAATATACAAAACAACCCAGCTGTCCTTGACCCCAGAGCCGAGTTCGACGTTGATCTTGCCTGGAAGCTCACCAGGTTGCGCTGTATGGTTTATGCTAAACTTGGGGACATGGAGGAAGAAGACGAGGAGGATTACCTGGATGGCGACGACGTGAGGGAGCATTTGAGTCAAGTGAAAGAGGCGTTCAGATCCTCTGCTAGAATCTCCCCACCCTCGGCCATCTTCCTGTCCACTGTCCTCGAGTTTGTCGCTGAGCAAGCCCTGTGCATCGCGGCGCAGCATGCGAGAAAACGAATAATGTACCTCAAAGATGCGGGTCGGGAAGCCGTTCCAATCCAACAGCACTCGGATCCGGACAAGATCTTCTTGGAAGAGATAGATATGTCAGGTATAGGCAAAGAAGGGCCTCTGATCCGACTTTGGCGGTCATGGAAGGGCAACGTCCGGACTGGCGGCAGCTTATCCTCACGTCCTACAACACCCAACCTTATGTCGCCCATAAGTCCGGAAACTCCCATACAAGAATGGAAGTTTCCTTCGGCTCCGGTGATCCCACCAATACAGGAAGAGGGGAGCAGATCCGTGACGCCGGCAAACATTCCTCTACCCATGAACGAAAATGACGTGGATGAAATAGAGGTACCAGGATTAGCGCGTACCTCTGAAGAAGTGGAGACCACTGAGGAACGCCCTGGTCCTGGAAACCGAAGGCCGACGAGTATGTTAGTTATGCCTGGCCAGTTCCCTGGTTTGGCAAGCACCGATGAGCAGCCGCAGAGGCCGTCTCCGATCAGAAGGAGATCGAGGTCATTGCCTACTTCACCCAAAGCCTCTTCCGGGGCACAGTTGGCGACTCAATCAGAAATCTCGCCGTCCCTCCCTGTTCGTGGGTCTAAGGATGATATGAGCGCCTTGGAAGTAAGAGACGAGGAAATTCCACGCCCTCAGGAGGGAGCAAGGTCTGTTCTGCGTTCGAATGCGATTGGTGCCACTGTTGCTACTATCGCTGGCGCGTTGAATGCAGAAGCAGCCAAAGCTTTTCGGAGAGAACGGCCGAGCTACGAGCTGGCCTCAACAGCCTCCCATGAGTCTGGTGGCCAACAACAAGACACAGCAGAGGATTCCGAACGGACGCAAGGCTTAATGCCGACACCAGTTGCTGGCGTGGACGCTGCCGAGGCAGACTCCCGCGAAGGTATGGGCGATTCCGATCACGCGGCTCTGAGCTCCAGCGATGCAGAGGAGCTCGAGGCTGCAAATGATCACCTGAATCTCAGAGATTCTGGATTCAGTGTTGCTGGTCCCGCGCATGATGTTATTGAGGAGGAGGACGAGGAGGAGGACGAGGCTGCCACAGACGAAGCCGAACCACAGATCACTAATCACCAGAATTATGAACAAGTCCCGGGGGAAAGCGGAGCCGGGAATCGCAATACGAGGTATTCGAATTTGGGGTATGCGACGATCTTCCAGACGCCTGATACAAGTTCAGGCTACAGCAATCCAAATTCTACCCGATCCTTTGTGCAAGGCACCGCGCGCTCCAATGAGGCTGGTGCCAACTCCATCACCACAACACCAAGCACGACATCTGGGTGGCCAGCGGTAATTCCGAACAGGAGATCCTCATTGGATCGTCAGAAGCCCGAATACTCGCAAATGCCACCATCATACCACATGTCGGAACACGAGGAGGCAGCGGAGAACCCACAAGAGTTCCTCCCGCGGTACGGGACCTCAGCCTTAGCTACACAGAACAACCGTCCGATAAGCGGAAGCGCGAAGGACGGAAGGCCATCAACATCAGGTTCTGGGACAGGCCGACGGCAACACATTCGACTTCGCTCAGACAATGAGGAGGTATGGCCGCGGGAAGAATTAGACAGAGCGAAAAAGAGTCTTGATCTTTTGATTGACAGCAACGAAACGCTTCATTACACTCTGACGCCTGCGTCTGCCAATGTGGTATGTAGGCATTCATCTTTTGTCTTGTAAAGCGCTGACATACTTCACAGGGAGGAAAGGTAAAGGTGAAAAGCCAGACTCAAGAACTGGCAGATTTCTTCAGGACCACTGCGCCTCCAGGAGAAGAAGTCCGTCCCAAGTCGTCTCGTTCTGCGAAAGACGGTCTTCGAGCAAACCCGCCTCAGCCCCCGACACCTGGTCAGAAAGCTACTGCCTCGCCTGCTAAGCCTAAGAATCGTCTGGGCGAACCACGTGAAGCTCGGATGGTGCGAAACAATACCCGCGATCTCGCCGACTATGCGCGCTCAACCGGGCCAGAACATGAAGCACAGCTTCCCAAGTTGCTCAATGCACGACCTGCTACTGCGCAGACCACCAGGACAGAGTTGTCTTTTCGAGAGAAGGTCTTCGGAGTAGTCGATGAAAACCGTCCCAGCACAACATCTGGCAAGCCCTCGCGGTTGAAGTACCAGGCTAGAGATGCTAGAGGGCCTCGAACGGCGGAAAGCTCAGATTTGATTGACTTCATCAGAGAAGGCCCTCCACGAGCCCCTGGAGAGCATCGGATAGACCGGAGTGTGGCCCCGTTCCGAACGACAATGGATTCTGACGACTTGAATGCACTGGCGCCTCCGCCTGAGCTCGACACAAGAGGACGTAACTCTGATGGCAGCGCTCAAGAAAGTGCCGTGACGGTCAAATCAATGCCCTCATCAATGAACTCACGCACTGGCTTGCTCGAGTCGACGAATCGTGCAGCCGGGAAGTTCACGAATGGATTCGGAATTTCTGCAACTGCGATATCGAAGCAGCCCGTCATCCCGGAAACAGATGGAATGCCTAAGAGAACTCGGCCGAAAATCCGAGATCCCTACGCGATCGATTATTCTGACGAGGAAGACGAAGAAATGGAAGAGGAATACGAGCCGCCGAAACGCAGAACCGACGAAGAATCACTCGTTGATTTTCTTAGGAACACAGCACCTCCTCCTGGCATGACGACTCAGCCAATTCTTGCTGCGATGCCCAACCCTACTCAGCCGGACCCTGCAAGCATGTTGAGGCAGTCGACTAGCAGCTCCAAGCTGAAAGATCTCCTTCCTGGTGGCTCAGCTTCAGCGGCGAGAAATAATCCACATGCCAGCGGGAATAATACGACGCCCAACACGAGACCGGTCAATATTGCACGCGCAGAATCTCCTCACCTAACACAGGTGGGTTCACGAATGGACAAATACAGACCTACGACAACCACCCATGCCCCGCATGTAGACCGAAACAGACAGAAAATGCGCGTGCAACCGAGAGATCCGACCACAAGCTCGAATGGTGGCGGTACTGCAGATTTAGCTGCGTATCTGAAGAGCTCTGGACCACCGCCAGGAATGAACGACAAGCCGCCACAGAAAATAGGAGGTGCGGTCCAGAAGGACCAGGCAGGGTTCCTGAAATTTTTCCAAAGAAGGGGAAGTGTGAGGAAGTGAACAGGAAAGTGGACGACGATGTGACGAAGGCCCAGAGGAATCTATGTTGGGCACTGAGTGCCCGGGATGCGACAAAAGATAATGCCATTCGATGCCGCTAGGGAGCCATGTAGGTGGGAAGGCCAAAGGGTATGTCACAACTGGTCAGAAGAGTGGTTGTTTTTTTCTTCTGCTGGAGCTGGATAGTCAGATACCCAAGCGAATCTGTTCTGCCATGTAGATTAGCGTCAAAGGCACTCCGAGATTGTCAAATACAAGAAAATATCCCATCCCGTCATGTATATGGTATTACAGAGTATGGGAGGATTTTCATGTCACGTGCCATCCAAATTCAGGGGTTCAAAAAAGGGGCTGTTTCTTCACCGCCCACGTGATCCAAGTTTTGTCCATGGTTTCTGCCACTCCTGACATTGAATTTCAAGTTCTGGGGATCTGTCAATTTGAACAACTTGCTACATGCTTTCTTCTCCCCTCCTTAACATACCACATCTTCTCCGTACCTGAGCCGCAGCGCGGCCTTTTGTTTGTTTTCCTTTCCATCGACAACCGGAGCGGTTGTTCGTCCACAGGATGAAGCGTCTCGCAGTCCTCTTCCTCTCGCTCCTCCTATATCCTTTTCTTTCGTCGGCCCTCAAATTCGAACTGGTTGCACAACCGGGACACAGCGCCAAAAATGAACGGTGTATACGGAACTTTGTCACCAAGGATACCTTGGTTGTGGTCACGGCGATTGTGAGCGGGAGCAGAGGCGATGGGCAGATGGTCAACATGCACATCAAAGATGCCGTAGGGAACGATTACGGTAGACCCAAGGACGTTGCAGGGGAGAAGAGGATGGCATTCACAAGTCTGGCGGATACCGCGTTCGACGTGTGCTTTGAGAATACGTTGACGGGACGATGTGAGTGCCCCTGAACCCTACCGTCGAATGTATTATCAGGACTGACAGTTTGACTGAAGCCGCCGTTCCCAATCCCACTCGTCATGTTGAACTCGACATCGATATCGGGGCTGACGCGCGGGACTGGTCCGCTATCCAAGCAAACGAAAAGCTTAAACCCGTGGAAGCGGACCTGCGAAGAATAGAGGAGACGGTCAATGAGATCGTCCAAGAGATGGAATACCTCAGGATCAGAGAACAGAAGCTGCGGGACACCAACGAGAGCACGAATGAAAGGGTCAAATGGTTTGCCTTTGGGACGATGGGAATGTTGGTGGGTCTGGGAGCGTGGCAGGTCGTATATCTGAGGGCCTACTTCAGGTTTGTTTCTCCTATCAAGGCTCACATTTTGCGGCTCTGTTTGTGGTTCAGTGCTGACGAGAATTGCTTCCTAGGTCGAAGCATCTGATCTAAACGGTTCTTTTTCCAATGGATACGCCGCTCACGCCATGATACTGGATTCTGTCATGGAACTTCCACAGCTGAAGGGGGGTTTACAAAAGTTCGTAGACGACCTAAAGGGGCCGCGTCTGTATGGGCCATTGTACGGGTTTCCCAGAAGTACCATCTTGTAATAGGACGAAAGCAATACCTTTGGTTTACTCACGGCAAATCTAGTTTCGGAGAAGGGGGCAATTTGTCAAAGTAGCATAGTACCCTCCCTATGCGACACGGAGCGCCTCTGCAGCTTTTGCAGCGACATGTGGCATCCTGTCAGCCCCAGGTCGCCATAGGAGGTGAGAAGCAGTCGAGCATGAGTCCTCCGAAGTAGACAGAGAGGTGTGACAAGAAATGTCTCGCCGCCTTAAGCTCTTTGTTTGTGCACCTTCCCCTTGTTCTCCCGTCGTCTCGCCTCCTTATTTTCACTTCCTCACTGCTGCACTGCTCGATATCAGGCTTTCACCACCAACATGGAGGCGGGCAACAATATGCCGGCACCAGCCTCCGAAAAGACGGCTAACGCGAATCAAGGGAAAGCTGAAGCAAACGTCAACATGTCTTGGGTTGAAGATTCCGTATGCAATGGTGGTGTTGACGGATCCAAGTTAATATTATCAAAGACAGTTCTGAAGAACAGTAAGCTCTCCCAGTTGGCGCATTTGTGAGGAGTTCCCAAGAAATGACCAGTCAGCCTCGACACCACACCTACTCCTTAGCAAATATTGTCACGATCACTGTCGGTAAGGAGAAGGTGGAATATGGTGTCTACAAGAACGTCCTCGTTGCACAATGCCCCTTCTTCGACAAATGTCTCTGTATTGCTATGAAAGAAGTGAGAGAAAATGCAATAAGCCTTCCGAAAGATGACCCAAGCCTTTCGGTGTGATGGTCGAGTAGGTATACCGTTCCTTGGACCGATTACGGAGCAAGAAGCTTCTCCTCGTCGATGCCTACCCCTCGCCGACAAGTATTGTATGCTCGATCTGCAGAATGCCATTGTCGACAATGTCAGAGGTTCTCGCAGTGCAAGTATCAAAAATATCTTATTGGTATGGGATAAACTGCCAGAGAAATCACCACTTCGCAAATTGCTCCCCGATCAACTGTACTACAAGATATCAAAATCCCCGAGCAGATACAGGCGAGGCACCAACAGTACTATAGATGCATGTGTGGATGCATTGGAGGAGCTTATGGTACAAGAACGCCGGGTTAGCGACTGTAATGCTGCCGAAAAGCATGGATCATAATATCAACAACAGGAACAAGTTCCCTGATCCATTTTCACCAGTGGGATGCGTCTACCATGTTCATACAAATGGAAAGAAATGTATCTGGAGCATGACGCCACAATGGGAAGGGGTGATATCCACACATCGTGGGTGCCTCGACAGACATGCAGTATTCAGCAGTGTCGAAGCTGGGAGTATTTCAACGACCTGAACTGGTTGGCAGTGAACATCACTCCTATAACAGCGCCAAGAGCTGGAGGCGTGAAAAATAGCAGAGAAGTCTTCTCCTTCGAGCAGTAAGGACTCAGACCTTCTGCTCTTGGAAATCTTCTGGCAAACGTGCTGGCGAAGGAGGAAAGAAAAGCGAAAGCGGTGAAGTGGTTTTCTTCACCACAGAATCATTCATGTCGACCTTCACCGTCACACATCACTCATCAAACTCTCACACTCTTCTATCCCTTCCACCACAGGCAAAGCAGCTCAGTCGAAGACACACTTGCAATCCTCGTCTGTTGAACCATCTCACTCTCAAACTTTTCTCAGCATGGCATCAAAGCGCCCTCTTGTGGGCGAGCATGAGAATGCCAGAGTCGAGAAGAGAAGGTACGGGAAGAGGACAGACCCGCCCATGATCCAGGCACTTGAGAGAGAGATCTGAATTAACCATGAAGATACAGCTTTGCCGCGTGTGACGATATCGTCGCCGTCACCGTCGGCCGGGACAAGTTGCAACATCTCGTGCATGAGAGCGTACTCTGCAAATCACCATTCTTCGACAAGTGTCTCCACTCTGGGATGCGTGAGCAACTTCAGAAAGCCATCAACTTGCCCGAAGACGACCCAGAAGGCTTCGCCATCGTCGTCGAGTGGCTGTACTCGGGCACGGTCCCCCAGAAATGCGGGTGGAGGTGTTTGCTGCGCGCCTACAACGCCGCCCAAAAGTTCTGTATGCCAGACTTGCAAAACGCACTCGTCGACTTGTTCAGAACGGAGATGACACCTGCTTCGCTCAGTCCCAACTGGGTGTCGTATATCTGGGGGCACACAGCAGACGGATGCCAGCTCCGCAAGTTGGTTCTCGATATTTTTTACTACCACATATCGAAGGATCCAACTACATACAGGGACTACGGCGTCGGTGTTGAAGAGGGAGAGTACTACGCTGTTCAGATGGAGCGCTTGATGTGCAAGACACAGCTTGCAATGGCCTTATTCTGGCGTTTCGCCGACCGCTCCGATCGTCCATCCAAAGAGCCTGCTAAAATGAAGGGCTGTGTCTACCATGTCCATGAGGATGGAAACAAGTGTACTTGACATGCAGACCTGAACCGACGATATACCCATCTTCACCATGAGGAGGGCTTGAACCGGACCATGTAAATCACACCCCACGGTGACCTGTCGATGAGCACAGGCAAGAAAGACTTCGGACAGAAAGAGACAGATAAATGGCTGGGAGATTCGAGCTGCGGACTGGACTGTAAGGAGACCTGGTTTGGTGTGAAAGTTGGATTGGGCACATACATTGTTGGGTGAACACAGAGTCGAGTCCGAAGTGTGGTTACTATGTTTCAGTTCATTCTTGGGGTATAGGGATGAGATGGGATGGGTTGCTGTTTTGGTGACATGTTTTCCAGCACGAAAGAGAGGCCATTCAATGGTAATTAGTTGGTGCTCTCCTCCCTCCCTTCATCCACCATTTTCTCTCTCTCTCTCTCTCACACACATATACCTTCATAACCGTGACCCCACCACGACAGCAGCCTTATTGTTGTCCCCCCCTTTCTCGTTGGGGGCGGCCGTGAACTCCCTGACCATCTTCAACGCCGCACGCGCGTACGGGAACCTCTGTAGCGCCAACGCGGCCGCCGACTCGCCCTCGCCGCTGGCCTGACGCACGGCCCAGCGCGCGGCGATGCCCTGAATCATGACGCTGGTGCGGAACAGCGCGAAGGCGTCGGCCCACGCCATGTCGCCCCCGCTGTCCCCACGGGGATCCCAGCCGGCCACGTCCCGGTACCACGCCAGACACTGCTCTTTGGTCGGGAGGCCTGGTGGGCCCGCGTCGCCGCCCCGGAACGCCGGGTGCGAGTGCGTCTTGATCTCCGCGAAGTTCTGTGTCACCAGCCACGGCATCGTCATGTTGCTCAGGTCGGACAGCGGGTGGCCCACCGTTGCGATCTCCCAGCTACATCACCGCGAAAAAAGGGGGTGGGATCTCCGTTAGTTTGTGTACAACAAACAGAACGAATTAATTCCCGCTGAGGAGGGAGGGAGGGAAGGTGTATTTTGGGGGACCATAGTCTGTCTGTCCAGGAAGGAAGGACAGGGACGTTAGGAAGAGGGGAAAACAAACACACTCACTCGAGAATCCCAATAATGACCGGCTTCGTCTTGTGAAACACCAAGTTGTCGATCTTGTAGTCGCCGTGCGTGATGGCGCCGCGGTCCTGGGGCCGACGGCTCTCGTCCTCGAAGAAGGCCACCATCTCGTCCATGGCCGGGATGCGGCCGACGGGCTCGCGGGTCTCGACGTCGACCACCTGCGAGTACGACGCGTCGAGTTTCTTGAGGGTCCGGATCTGCCGCGCGTAGAACCCGCGCGGTTGGCCGAAGTTGGTCAGGCCGACCGACGCCGGGTCGACGCGGTGGAGGCGGGCGAGGGTCTGCACGGCTTCTTTCCACCTGGTTCGCCAGCAGCAGAAGAAGACAAAGAGTGGGGGGGGGGGGGCTTGAAAGAGGTGGTTCGTCATCTTCTCGCCTTCCCTAGGACCCTTGGCCTCTCTTAAACCGACCAAGCAGACGGGGAAAAGAGCATATGGACGGAAAAAAAAAGGGTGTGAGACAGAACGTACATGATACTCCTCTCCTCCGGCGACACACCCGGAATACACGCCTCCTGGAAGATCCGGCCGTCGAGGAACTCCATGACGTAAAAGGGCGTGCCGACCACGGAGCTGTCCTCGCACAGACAGTATGCTTTGGGAACCGGGATGTCGGTGGTGTTGAGCGCGCTGATGACGCGGTACTCGCGTTCGACCTGGTGCGCCGCCGTCGTGAGCAGTTTGCCCGGCGGCTTCTTGCGCAGCACGAAGTGCTGGCCGTGGCTGTCGGTCAGTTGGTAGGTCGGGTTGGATTGGCCATATTCGAACTGTGTGTGCACCGGGACATGTCAGTGATAGTCAGGGAGAGGGAGAGACACCGTTGTCGAATAGGTAGATAGAGTATAGACTATTATCTCTTCCTCCAGATTAGGAGAGCCGTGAAAAGGGTAAAAAGAAGGAGACGACGTTGGGGGAAACGATAATAACAACAACAACAGGAATACGCAACGAACGAACCTGTCGGATCTGGATCGGGACCTTGATCTCGGGGACGTGCACCTCGAGATAGCGCTCCAGAGACACCTTGTCGATCGGCTGTCTCATCATCATGAGGTGGGGGTTCCTTGACTCAGGGACAGTATAAGATGAACATGAGGGAGTAATAAACCCCTTGTCGGGCTGGATATTAGAAAACAAGAACAAGATGGATGGGTGGGAGAAATGGTGGTGATAGCACTACTACTCACCCACTCACTCACTATTACCCGAAGACTGGCGGAGGGTCGACCAACTTATGGATGTATCTCACACCCACCTCCTCGAATCAATTACTCACCGTTAGTTAGAAAACCAACACTCGGGATTCTGGGTGAAAAATACCTCGGATGTGAGGCTACCCAGGACCTTGACCAGGAGTGCCCCCCCAGACATCAAGTGGCTACAGTGTGATATTGCTCGCAATCTGCTGCGCAACATGGCCAGGCTAGGGCAACTGGATTATGTATGTACCGAGTACGAGAAGAGGTACAGTGCAGTCACCCCTTCGTCACCGAAGCACGGAACTAATACATTTACTCGGTATAAATGCTATGTATATATATGCGCATGCTCCCGTTCTCAAATACACCTGGGAGTGGGTATCCATATATCCAAACGAACGCTCAAGTGCTGTCATCGACCTTTCCTTTCATCCTATGTTATGTATATGTGTGTATGCATGTTATTGACGAGCTTTGAAACGGGTGCGAGATCGCCAGAGGGCTCCAGCTGGGAGGGTCCACTTGCCATCTGATGCTGGCTGTCGCTGCCGGTCAAAGTCGCGCCGGTCGTATTAGTCCCAATTCTCACTCACTGACTCACTCACTGTCAGGCGAGAGAGAAACACACGGTAAGGGGGGAGGGGGCTTCGTCAAATAAATTCATTTACACGCTGTCGTCGGCCGTCTTGAGATCCTCGGTCACCACGGGGGTCGTGGACTTTTCGCCCGCGTGGTCGTGGGTGACCACGGTGTGGGTGATGTGGTCGATTTCGATCTCACGCTGGTAGATGGCCACCTCGTCGGCGTCACCGAAGATGGCGGCGATCTCCTCCAGCGGCATGCCCTTGGTGTCCGGGAAGAAGAACAGCATGATGAACCCGCCGATGGTGCCGGGGATGATGAAGGCCAGGTAGAACTTCCATCCAATAGTCCTATTTTCCACCTGGTGAGTAAAAATGCATCCGTAGGAGAGAGTTCTTCTGGGCGTGGAGGAACTTACTTGAACGCAGTGGGTGCGGCTTGGAGCCAGATAATGTTCATGAGCGAAATCATCGACACGCCCAGGCAGACGCCCTTGGCTCGGATGTGGCTGGGGAACAGCTCGTTGAGGTAACTGAACTGGGTACCTATTTTACGGAAGCCCGTTAGAACAAGTTTGGCATCCCACGTGGATCCGACACGTACCGTCAAGGCAGAATCCGTAAAAGATCTGGAAGATGTAGAACATGGCCACCGCCGCCAGGAGAGCCGACTGGTTGTTTGATGGCACGAATTGGGCAACCAAAGCGGCCTCGATGATGAGGGTAACCATGCAGCCCAACACACCAAATGCCATGTACCGGTTGCGGGAGAAGCGGTCAACCAAGGCCATGGCCATGATGTTGATGCCCAGCGTGAGGGTGAGCCATCCTGCCGGGTAGAGGAGTTGTTTGACGGGGCTGAAGCCAAGGTTGGCATACAAGGTTGGTCCGTAGTCTTAGGGAGTGTCAGTCAACTCTCACCGGAAGAATTACACAAGATGTATACTTACTGTTGATGACCAACACGCCAGAGCACTGAATGATTCCTGTCGTTCCGATGGCGAGCAGGCATCGCTTGCGGTAGGATGGCTTCTTGATCATGTGCATCCACGAGTTGCCCAGAGTCTTGTCGATGGCGATTTGCTTTTGGATCTGGTAGTACTCTGCGTTGGCAAACTCGTTGTCGGGATCATTAGGATCCGAATGCAGTTTGAAGAGGATCTCCTTTGCTTCTTCGATGCGGCCTTGCATGACCAACCAACGAGGCTGGAGATTCCCGTCCTGTTAGCCGCGATTTTGTTTGCACACTAGGTGACGACGTACCGATTCTGGAACCCAGTAGATACCACAGAGAAGGAACAGAGGCCAAGCACACTGAAGAGCTAGCGGAGGCCGCCAAGTGTCGTCGCCTCCATCCCAGAAGAAGAAGCCAAATCCCACCCATCCTTGGATGGTATACCCGAGAATGAGAAAGACGGCATGGACGTCGACCAGGGCACCTCTCAGATCGACTGGCACGACTTCCGACATCCAAATCTACCAAGCATGAGTAAACAACAGCCACCAGGACAAAGGCGCAAGAGAACGAACCGGAACAGCGGCCAGGATCATGAATGCCGCGGCGCCTGCAAAGAATCGGAAGAGCAAGAACTCGCCAATATTGGTGCTCCCGGCCAGGAAAGCCCCCGAGACAATGGCAATGACTGCCGGCTGCATCAAACGGTCAGCTTGCACGAATACGACCGATCAACCACAGCTCAGCCTACCAGGACGATGGCCCATTTACGACCCCATCGGTCAGCCACATAGGGGAGCATCAAGGTCCCGATGGTGCCGCCCGTCTGGAACAGGCCGTTCATAGTACTGATCAGGTCGGTTCCATTGCTCCTGGTGGCGAGGTCGAAGTATGCAATGAAGGATGGTTGACCTGTTTGGTTGAGATTGTCAGTCTTGCACAGAAGTCGTCGTGGTCAGTTGGATGCTCCATACCCAGGGTGGTGCCGATGATCGAGGCTGTGTAACCATAGGTTAACGACCCCAGGCCGATGAAACACAGCAACAACACATTGTATGCGTTGATCTTTTGCTTCTTGACGCCCTCGAGATGCGGCATGTTGGGCAGCTTCTGGTACTGCTGCAATTGTTCGTTCCTTCGAAACACAAAGTCGTCTGGGTTGAGAGTGAGTTTGCCCGAGGTCTAGAGCTGTATATGAACCTGGGCGCTTCCCCAGGCGAAGGGCATGCCGGCCGAGCGGGTCCACTTGGTGCGTGCATAGCGCGTGCATGGTGCTCCCTTAGATGCATCCGCGGGTGCGGGCAGCTGTGGGGAGAACGGTGTCTTACTCTCCTTTTGCGAGTCAGATGAATCCACCACCCGTGGGTGCTCCATCGGTGGCGCGTCGTGAATCGAGCAAGTTGCATATTGTTATCAGCGTCAGGGCGTCCTGACACCCCTGCTGGTCGACCTCGCCCGGGCGCGACTCGCTGGGCTACAAAATTGGTTGGCTGCCGGGATTCATAAGCGGCAGCAGGGAAGGCGTTGGAGGATTGTAGCAATACACTCGGACTTGTTGAGACCCTGTGAGACCTTCCCAGCCCGGAAATATCGCGCTCCTCATGTCTGACCTCAAACTGCCGTCGTGGAAAGATCTCCCACCCGTCGAGGGTATGCCACATGGCTGCGCTTGGGGCTTGTTTGACAAGGATGGCGTCCGAGACGAGATCGGCACGTTGAACCTCCTTACACCCGAGACTGTGGTCAAGGCCCGAGAAGAGATCCAGTCCGGTAAGAGCGTTGTCCTCAAGTACGTCGAGGTCCCTGTTACTTGGTTCCCGTAGGGCTGAAGCCTGATGACCGGCGGTTGACTCGCATACCATACCATAGTTGGCCAATTGACCACGTTCATGAGCCGGGATTCGACCGCATCAAACCAACCATCAACATCACCGACTGGCGAGCGAAAGGGTCTCCTTGGTACTCGTACGACGATGAGATTAGCATCAACACCCAATCGGGGAGTCAATGGGATGGCCTCCGTAAGTATACAAGCGCGGAATGTACCGAATACTCATACGCTCTTGCTTGCCAGGACACTGGGGCCACAGCGGTACGGGGTTGTACTACAATCGCATCCACCACGACGAGCTCTTGAAAACGGATCGAATTGGGATTGACCGTAAGTCTCGACGCTTTGGATCTTCCAGCCTTGTAATTATCTTACGGTTGACCTTGTCCTAGACTGGAGCAAGCGCGGAGGTATCGTCGGAAGAGGCGTTCTCCTAGACTATGTCGCGTATGCAGCTCGCCACAACATCGCATATGATGCCATGACCCGGCACCGCATCACGCTGGACGTGTTGAAGGACATTGCCAAGGAAGAAAACGTGGACATACATCCCGGGGATATCCTGCTCGTCCGGTCGGGCTGGATCAAATGGTACAACGAACATAGCCCGGAAGAGCGTGTGGCCAAGGTCAAGAATGGATCCGAGTACGTGGGAGTGGATGGCTCCGAGGAGGTGGTGCAGTGGATTTGGAACTCTCACTTTGCAGCCGTCGGTGGTGATGCCATTGGCTTTGAGGCGTGGCCACCGCAGCTACCGTGGTGTAAGTCAACTCAGCAAGCCTCAAACTCGTTCACCTACACTGTCCACCAGTACTGACTCACCTGGGTCCTCCTGCTTAGGTCTACACGACTTTGTCCTTGCGCTCTGGGGAATGCCACTAGGGGAGCTGTGGGACCTGGAGGCGTTGGCGGCCGAATGTGAGAGTCAGCAAAGATGGAGCTTCTTTATCACCAGCGCTCCCCTGAACACTCCAGGCGGGATTGCGAGCCCTCCCAACGCGATAGCCGTCTTCTAGCAGGGGAATGTAGTTATTAGAAGCATTGCAAACCGGATCCAGCACGAGAAGCAGAACAGTAGAAGGGACCATCGTTTAGAGACTGTGTTGTGCTGTGTTGTGTTGTGTTGCGTTGTGGCTGATTTGGGGGACAAAAAGTGAAATTTGCGAGAGACCCATCGAAGCCTACTAGCCCTAACTGCTACATACTAGTAACTACGCAGTATAGCTATGGGCTAGCCGTCCGGGGTACTTTTACTAGACATGCCCCTATTTCCTCTCTAGGATTTGGCCTCCCGCGGCCCGTCCGGGCACCAAGAAAACCCAACTTCTCCAAAGTGGATTCCGCTTGAGACTTGGGACTTCCCCTCTGATTGTAAAGAAACTCAAAAATGTCGACAGAAGAGGGAGGGCTTGTCAGCATGGCTCGAGTCAGATGTTCTTTGTCCCAAGGTTTGAAGCCGTTGAAAGCTTGGAAGCTGAAGAGAGTGAGAGAGAGAGAGAGGCGCCAAGGGACGACATTACGGTACGGAGTATAGGACAGGACATGCCCTCGGTACCGAGGATGTGGTTAACAAGGTTTTATTGTTCGGACGAAGGGGGGAGGTCTTATGACCTTCGGATATCGTCGTCGCACCCGCACGGGGCTCCAGTCTCGTGGTGCCCTTGCCCAGTATGTCGACCGTATCAACGCCCAAGAGGCGTCTGGAACAACTCAGCAGCCAGATCGCACAGCCCCCCATCATCGATGAGGGCACCTACAAAGGAATGCCCCGGGTTGCCCGGCGGGCGGGAGATTCAGTAGGACCACGCGCCCAGGACAAAGTGATCATCATCACGGGCTGCAACTCCCCCCTGGGCATGGGCCGGGCAACGGCTCACCAGTACGCCAGGAATGGGGCCCGGGCAGTCTACATTTGTGACTACATGGACGACTACCTCAATCTCCACGTGGAGGAGATGGGCGAGCTCTACCCCAAGGTGGCCGTCCACGCCCGAAAGTTCGACGCGGGTGACGAGGAGGGTGTCAAGGCTGTCGTCGCCCATGCTCTGGAGACGTACGGCCGCCTCGATGTCTTCTTTGCCAACGCGGCAAACTCGGGGACCTGGAAGGAGGTCTGGAACATGGAGGTCGACGAGTTTGAGCGGACTATCAGGACGAACTTGACCAGGTAGGTCTATCTATACCACTACATCTGCTGCCGGACCGGTTCTCTGGGAAACCCTTCTTCAAAGGTCACTGGACTGACGCACAGCCAAACCCTGGACACAGTGTCTTCCTGGCCATCAAACACGCCGGCCCGGCAATGCAGGTGACCAGCAAAGACAAACCCTATTCCAGCGGCTCCATCATCGCGACCTCCTCCACGGCTGGTCTCCGCTCCAACGGCGGCAGCACCGACTACAGCGCCGCAAAGGCCGCCGTCGTCAGCCTCGTGCAGACGGCGTGTTTCCAGTACGCCGGGCGCAACATCAGATGCAACGCCATCGCCCCGGGCATGACGCACTCGGGCATGACGGAACCGGTCTTCTACGGTCCCGCCCGCGAAAGGGGCACGCTGCACAAAGTCGGTCAGCTGTGTCCGCTGCGGCGCGGCGCGGTGGCGGACGAGATCGCCCGCGTCGCCCTGTTCCTGGGCTCAGATGAAGCCAGCTATGTCAACGGCCAAGTCTGGGCCGTGGACGGGGGACTGAGCTCGGGCTTGCCTTACAAGTTGGGGAATATGGCATGAATTGTTGGATTGATCGATTGATTGACGTTCATAAACATGATATATAAAAAACGATGCTCCGTGCAATTGGTCACTAAAAGAAAAATGAAGACCCCCATCACGCTATATATATATATGCACCCTTTTCTTTCTTGCTGGAAAATAGCACTCCCGAGAGGAGACTTTCGTCTTCAAAGCTTCGGCCTTGAAGTGAACAGCGTCATGGCATCCCTCTTCGCCCACTCCTTCATGACCTTCCGTTGGATCTTGCCGCTGGGCAGTCGAGGGACTTCCGGGACGAACGCGACACCGCCCACCAGGCGCTTGTGCTTTGACACCCGAGCGTCCAGCCACTCCCGGATCTCCTTCTCGGTGACTTTGCCGCGAGACTCTTCCTTCAGCGCCACATACGCCCGGGGCCATTCACCGTCGTCAAAGGTGATGCCGATGACGCCCGCGTCGGCAATGTGGGGATGTTCTATCAGCGCCGCTTCGACCTCTGCGGGCGACACTTGGAGGGCTTGCACCTTGATCAATTCCTATCACACCCAAGTTAGCTGATGGCACAAGAGACGATGGGCACTCGTAGGCTGTACCTTCTTTCGATCGACGATCGCCATCCACCCGTCATTGCTCATGACTGCGACATCGCCGCTCTTGAGCCACCCTGTCACCGGATCGAACGTGTCGACCGTCGCTTGTGGGTTCTTCCAGTAGCCCAGGCAGACCTGTGGGCCGCGGACGTAGAGTTCTCCTGCTTCCCCTATACTTGCCTCCCTGCCATCATCCGTCATGATCTTCACCTCGGTGTTCGGCATGACGACGCCAACCGAGCCAGTCCGGGATTTCTCCCAGTACGGAATGCCCGACACGGCGCACGTTGTCTCGGTCATGCCCCATCCCTGCGTGATGCGGACGTTGAACTTCTTGGACACGTTGGCTTCGAGCTCTCTCGAGACGGGTGCCGCGCCACACAGGATCTCCTTGACGCTGCTCAGGTCGTAATTCGCCGTCTCGGGTCTCTTGTTCAACATGATCAGAATCGGAGGCACGGTCTGTAGCCGGGTGATCTTGTGGTCCTGGATGATGCGGAGGTACTCGATGAACTCGAATTTGCTGATGATGAGCATGGGAATGTGGTTGATCGTGGCCATGAGGATCGCATAACACTGTCCATAGGCGTGGTAGAGGGGCAGGAATCCTGCCCATTTCTCCGAAGGTTCGAAGTCGTAGAGAGATTTGATCTGCTTGACGTTCGAGACCACGTTGAAATGAGATACGCACACGCCCTTGGGCAATCCAGTGGTGCTGAGACAGCGTCAGCTCCACATGCAAACACATGTCATGGTCACACCACGTACCCAGATGAGAAGTTGATGGCAGCAATGGTGTTCACGGCCTCCCTCCCTGGGAGCTTCCTCCACTGCCACTGCTCTCCTTGCTCGGGAGTCCCCAGAATGACTCTCCAATCTGGAAGGCCGTCGACGGTTCCGGTCTCACGGTCGGAGAAGACATACAACTTCATCCCCGGCACAGCTGCTTTGGCGGCAGCAGCCTTCGCCGTCGGGATCAAGGAAGGATGCACCAGCATTATTTTCGGCTGCAAGACGGTGATTTGATATTCCAATTCTGGCCATCGACAATGAGCTTGCGATGTTCATCCATTTTGACCGGCCATGCCTTGTCCAGATGATCTGCCTACCTTTCGCAGTGAAGGTCGGGTTGGCTCCAGAGAAAGCAGCCCCGATGCCCACCACCCCAAAATACGATACTGGGACCATGATATGATTGGGCGTGAAGAGCAAGCATCTATCCTCGAACTGGACGCCCAACTGCTGGAGACCGTACCCAAGCCGCTTGGCCAAAGCCAGGGCACTCTTGGGAGAATTCCAGTGCGACGTGTCCGCGGCATTGATCCAGAGTGGCTTGTCGGATACCGGTTGATCGGGTGGGAACAGAAAATCCAGGACGCTGCATTTTTGCAAGGGCAGGGACTCGATCTTGGAAACGAAAGGCATCTTCGGCGTCGAAAAAGGAGAAGCAAAAAAAGCAAGGATCAACGTCTAAAACACGCCTTCCAGCACGAACACACTTTTGGGGAAATGAGCGTGAAAGGTCTATATCAAGAGGCCATGTTTTCCGGGGAGCTGGCTGGACCCGCCTGGCACGAGCTGTTGCCGTCGTGGACGCACCAATAGCCGAGAACAACATGGGTGGATAATAAGACGGCGATATGGATGCAGGGCACCAAGTACGAGGTACTCACCACACGACGTCGATTGCGTCGAAGTCGCGGACACTCAGCGGTGGCCCGTGCTGTGGAAACATCTCCGCAACTGAAGAATCCGTTTACCTCGGCCTTCCGTTCTGGACGACTCGCAGCACCGGTGGACTTAGCTATCTGTGGGCCTGGTGCGTTGGTTCAAAACGGCCAGCAACAGCCTCATGCCATGTGGACTCTGACTCTCACAACCACGAAGGCTCGTACGGGAAGACGGAATCCAACACCATGACCATCACCATACCAGATCATCCGTCCCTGGCTCGGATCCCTCCAGGATACAGGACAAAACTGAGCCCCAAGGCAGTCGATATCATTGCGAGAGTATACGATTGGGTGGAAAATGAATGCATCCCGGCCGATCACATTGTCAAGGCACAATTGGAACAAAATCGCTGGGCGTTGCCGCCATACATCAAGGAGTTGAGAAAGAAGGCCAAGGCAGAAGGACTGTTCAACCTGTTCCTGCCGAACCACTTCAAGGAGAGCCCGGGACTCACGATCCTGGAGTATTCCTGCTGCTGTGAGCTGCTTGGGCGAGTCTACTGGGCTCCTTTCGTGGGTAGCAAGACGCTCATGGGACCAAGAGAGGTGCTAACGGAGCGTCCAGACGCTCAATTGCCATGCTCCAGACACCGGCAACATTGAGCTCTTGGCCAAATACTGCACGGAAGAGCAGAAGAAGAAATGGATGCAGCCTCTTCTGGACGGAGAGTGCTTGTCAGCCTACTCGATGACGGAGCCGGATGTTGCTGCCTCGGATGCAACCAACATTTCGTGCCGGATTCGGCGTGAAGGCAACGAGTACGTGATCAACGGCCGGAAACTGTACGGGAACTGGATTGGAAATGAGGATGTCAAGTTCTACATCCTGATGGGATGCTCTGATCCAGACAATCCCGATCCTTGGAAGCGGCACTCGACAGTGATCGTGCCCAGGGACACTCCGGGATTGAAGGCGGTTCGATACATGACCATCATGGGCTATGACTGTGCTCCAGAGGGACATGGTGAGTATGTGTATGAGAACGTGAGGATCCCCGTGGAAAACATCATCCTGGGAGAGGGCCGGGCATTTGAAATCGCCCAGGGTCGACTGGGGCCAGGAAGGATACACCATTGGTGAGTCGGGCTTCCAGGGCATGGCTTCCCTTCCACTAATGTCATTGGAGCATGCGTCTGCTCGGTCAAGCTGAGCGCGCATACGAACATGCACTCATCAGAGCTACGGATGTGAGGAAGAAACCCCGCGGCAAGTTGATTGGTGAGTTCGACAGCAATATCGAGCGACTGGCCGACATGCGGATGGAGATCGACGCTCTTCGCCTAGTTGTCCTGAACGCCGCCGAGACCATGGATCTTATGGGCAATGTCGCCGGGAGATACGCCATTGCCCAAGCGAAGATCATGGTGCCGCTGGGTGTGACCAAAATCATCGACGAGTGCATGCAGATGTTCGCTGGCCAAGGGCTCACGCAGCACACGTTCCTCCCTGAAGCTGTAAGGCCACCCCTCCCCTCTTGTCTCGAATGGGCGATTCTCCCCGTCGCCCCCTCCAACCACCCTTAGGAGTGGTCTCGACTCGAGCTAACGGATTGATTGGTAGTGGACATACGCCAGGTTCGCTCGGATCGCCGACGGACCGGACGCTGCACACAAGCATCAAGTTGGACGAGATCAGCTGAAGACTGCGGCTGAGGTCAGGTCGAAACATCTCGGGTACAAGAAGAGGTACCATGAGTTGACGAAGGAGTGGGGAGTGCCTGCGACAGAGCGGTTTGAGTATGTTGCGCGTGTTGAGAAGTTGTGATCGTCATAGATGACAAACCAGGGTGTCATTGGATCTTCACTCGCCCTTATTATTAGACATTGAGGTGCTGAGCAGTGCAGCAGAGTGCTGTAAAGAGATGTTAAGTACCAAGTTGCTTGGGTATGGGGAGAGGCAGTCGACCACGGAATACGAGGTAGAGAAAGGACAATTATACAATGATTGAGATGCTACCCGTGGAAGGTGCTTTGTTGGAGAGCTTCCTCATAACGAGGGTGGTGCTGCCTAAGCACATCCATACTAGGTACCCTCACCAATAATCGTCTGGGTTTGGCACCTATAAGCCCACCTCACAAACTTACCTGGAAACCAGCAACCCAGCTCCCTATCAGCACCCCACTGGCACCCCGGTGCCCGAACAAGCTCCCCTGGGAGGTACCCAATAACTGCGTATCTCTGTCCTCCCGTATCAGTAAAGCGCTGGCCAGTTGAGGTTTCCTAAAACTTCCGCTAACAGCCTAATACCACTCTGACCGGTCTGCCTCATTCTGAAAAAGTCGAGCCGCAGCTTTCGCCCCGTCCAAAATTTCGCTTGGTTTCGTAGGGGTGTTTTGAAGACTCACATTGGGTTTAGACGGCGCCCGGACGAGGCCCAGGGGAGGTTGGAGGGGTGTGTCCGGGTGTCATGGGGGAGGTGACGGAAGGCCATGATGGCCATGATGGCATGTGCCGAGGCCAACAAGCCAAGCCCTGACCGCCCCGCGTGCTTCTTCCGACTTCTCCAGAATTCCCCCCGTGTGCTAAATCCTAGCTTCACTTAGTATCCCGTCGTCCGTACATCGTCCAGCATCACAAGAGCACATACACAGAGGATCCTTCTGGATAACCCTCAGTCAGCCATGGAGACCATGGCCCTGTCCACCGAGATGCTGCTGCCCATACAGCTGGCGACAGGGCCGCAGCCACCAGGTCGCAAACCCAAGCAGATCAGTGACAAACGACGCGACAAGAAACGAGTGGCCGACCGACATTGTCAACGCCAGGCTCGAGCCCGTACAAAGAACAAGATCGCCGAACTGGAGTCTCTGGTCGCCCATCTGACGAGTCAGTCCGGCAACGAAGTCTGTAGAGAGCTGAGGGAGCAGCTCGAGAGCGCGCGTACCGAGATCCGGTCACTCAAACGCAAGCTGGCGACGATATCTTCCCTGGCCCAGGTCAACGTGGACGAGGTGTCGGAGGAACAAACCGACGACGTTGCGGAGAAGGGTAGGTTGCCACCCAGCAGCCGCCGTGGTGACATTGCTTGAGCAGCTAACAACGGCTTGCCAGAACGCACCAACTTTTCGTCCCCTCTTGCTCCGCTCAACCCGTCCAAACCGTCTCCGGCGGTCATGGACGAGCTCCAGGCGGAAACCAACAGCGACGCTGGCCGCCAGCGACGCGCGCCTGTCTGTAACATCCACGGTGAGGCCGAATATGGCTTCCCTCTCGATGACAGTCTTAATTTAAACTTTTCGGATGCCTTGTTCGATGAGCAAACCTTCAATCCGATGGGGTTAGGTCCTTCACCACTTGAAATGGATGAAATGGCTGGCCCCCACAGCAGTCATACAGTCACCGCAACAGCCACCACTTCCATCCCTCTTTCGTTTCCGGAAAGTGGGTCCTCGTGCACGTGCGCGCACCACACCCAGCCTCACAAGCAGGCCAACATGTGGGCATTTGTGAGCGAGACGTTGATGGACTGGAAGACTCACAACTGGCCCAAAATCAGGAATAATCAGTCTGCCGACGATATTGCTGTCCGTGCCGTCATTGAAGGCTGGGATGAACCCAGCCTGAGCAATTTGAGCGCCTCGTGGCGCATCTTACGGGAGGTCGACCAGAAAGTATGGTCCCAGTCTCGCACGATCGATCGCCTGGCCGTTCTCTGCATCATGAATTTGCTGCTCCAGGTACGCCGCCGCCCCAAGAAGTGGCCAAGGAGCTGTCTGACTTCAGGATACAGTGCCACCTCAATCCCTCCCCAGAAAATCTCTTGAGACTGCCTGCGTGGTATAGAGCAAGGTAACATCTTATCTCCAATCCTTTCCCTCGTTCTCTGCTGGGTGTGACAGCACTGACCGGCACTAGGCCATCGCAAATGGCCCAGAAACATGCCTATGCCATTGATTTCTTCGTATGGTGGGTGACCACCCAATAACCCCTGAAAGTTCCCTCAAGACCATGGTCTGATTTCTTCCCCCCTAGGCCGGGCATCCGCGAGCGATTCGTCTATCATTATCACAAGTACTGCTCCAACCGGTTCTGGTCACTTCTAGCAGAGCATTTCCGCTTCGTCTGGCCGTACGATGTCCGTGATTCCTATGTACACAATCATTCGACGAATAAATACCAGCTGTCAGATTTATTCTACCGCCATCTCAACGACCTCACCTCGTTCACCTTCGTCGTAGACATGTTTGGCAACTACCCGGAATTCGACTCCGACATACCCAAATACTTGAAAATCCCCCAAAGCCTGACCGGCAAGGAAGAGGGCAATGACGCACGCACGAAGCGATACAATGAGATGCGTGGACACCAGAAATTAATTGGATTTGCGCCTATGCCTCCGGCCGGCCCTCAAGGTCAGTGGTTCGTACCACCACCGAACGACATGACGAAAAGCGTCGGCCCCGTGTTGTGGGCACCGCCGATGCAAGTCAACCAGTTTCTATAGCGCCAAAATGGTCGGGACATGGTACATCATATATGGGACATCTATAGGAAACTATTGTGTGGGAATTTCACCTCAAGCTGAAGGATCACTCGGCGTTTAGTGGTTGGCATTTGAAATGATGATCATGTATATCGCGAAGAGAATTTCGAGGTAGTTTCGAGGAGAAGTCTTCCTTGTGTTAAGTACAATCTTCAACCCTTTCACTAACGCGTCTTTGTGAATGACGATCCCCAGATTGTTTGCTATTTCTACACAGAAGAATGTTCTGGTGCTCGTCCGCTGACGTCGAACGGGATCCCGGTAATCCTGGCTTTGTCGCAGGTGGAACCTCTCAAGCAGCTCTGTTTTACACCTTCCACTTCACTTTTCCCTTCTTTCATTTATTTCATTCCTCTTTCGTCAAGGCTTATGTGGAAATGAAAGACCCAGGAACTCAGCTTCCATCACATTTTGGACCTGATCCTGCGTTCAATGCCTTGAATCCAGGAAATATCCACGGCCAGGCTCTGTATAGTTCGACAAACTAACGGTCTGGCCAACGTTGAATTCGCGAAGAGTACGTTGGATCCATTACGTGGCCTATTGTTCGAATGGTGAGAAATCATTAACGCCACGGTTTATAGGAGGTTCAAGATGCCAGACACCGAGGGCCAGAAGTGGTCGAAACAATGCGAAGACTTCCACGCAGATAGGTGAGCCATCCACTGCTCTGTTCACTTTTGCGAAAGCCGCTAAGCTTTTCAGCATATATACTCACCCGATCGTCAAGGTGTTTGCCGGATCGCTTGCACAGCCGTTCTACGTCCACACGAGCTGCTTGACAGAAAAGAGCCCTTTGTTCAAAGCTCGCATTCAGCGCTGATGACCGACGATGAACAACAACAAACAAAAGTCGCTTTTCCGGATGACCCATGTTGGGCATCTGGCATTCTGGTGGAGTGAACCTACAACACCAGGTCTCAGAAATCGAAGACTACCAGCAGGCAATGTCCGCGGTTCAAGCATGGACACTAGGCGCCAAATATCACGTCCCCGCTTTCCAGAATGCTCTGCTGGATGAACTCGCCAGATTTTGGGTGCACAATTCCATGCCGCCTCAATTCCTGTCGTGGGTGGTGAAGGATAGCAAGAACACGGTTCTGCCGCGCTCCGTCTTCGACCAACTGGCTTTCGATCTGATCCATTCCTCCACCGGTATAGAGCGAAGCAAACACCGAGTGAGGATGAGCTGGGCCCTGCGAACGCAGGTTGCTATGTGGAGCCACTCTGGGACGTGCTGGCTGACCCAGACATCGGTGTAAAGCTATTCTGGGCCACCAACAGGCTGGAAAAGGGTGACGCTGATCCAGCATTCCTTGTAAGACACCGTAATCACGTCCGTGAAGAAGCGGAGACCTGTTCAAAGGAAGAGCCGGCAAAAAAGATAGGTGACCCGACAAGGTCGCTTCTTGAGTAATATCTCAACGACACGGGCGAGGTCTGAAGGTCGCTCCAAATGCAAAGAGGCTGAACGGTATCAAGCTCGGCCAAGTGACTTTAACCAGTCCAGTTGGATACCTCTGCGGGTAAACCAGTCGTTGAGCTAGGGACAAATGTGCTGGGACGATGCATCAGGGGATAGACCAGGACATTCACACCTTGGACTATCTTGAGCTGTGAGGCATTAGTATACAATCAATTACAACAGCGTTGAATGTACTGCTGGCTTCTTGACAACCTTCTTTCAATATGAGGCGGGATTTTCTTTCTTGGTTTCTTTCACAGTGATCTTAGACCCTCAGTCCCCGCTGCAGATAACTCATCCCGACACTGCCTCATCTGAGGCAACTCGCTTCTCCGCCCAATATCTGCGGTGGACGTTGCCTCAGAATGACAATTAACGTTAAGAGCATGGCCAGTGGCAAAGACTCATCAATGCTCAAAGAGTCGCCGAGACATTAGATCGAGAGATATCAGGATGTCCACGACCATGACACGGCAACGAACGAGGTGACTAGGCTAACATAAGATTATGTGGCTTCGACTCGCCCCATTTGCTCCCGTGTTCCTTCTACGTCTTTCTTCCACGTGGGAGAATACGGGACGGTGATGTCCAAATTCTACCTGAGGCATCACAGTTGCTCGTTTCTTTGCCAGATTCGCGTCCTGTCCCTGCTTACTTTACGATAGTATCCGTGGATTGGATTATTGACAGTAAGTGCCCTGAGTGACGGATCTGAGAATGAACAACCAAGAAATGAATGCAATCCTTTGTCACAGGAACAAAGGAGCACTACGCGGTAAGGTACATCATCCACACCTCTGTCTTTCTGGTTCTATGCCAGATTATTCCCTTCTTTGTTCTCCCTTGAATTCACTGCTGCGTGCTAAATTTTAACTCGCGCTGTTCCCCTGAAATTCACATCATGGACCTGAACAAAGTCACGACATCAGCCTTCCGTCGCAAATACTTCTTGCTTTCGGATGCTGCTCGTCTAAGAGACGCCTCAATGACGGGTGTGGAAGAAGTTAAGTCGCAAAAGTCAGTTCCAGTACCTTTAGTTTCCCTTTTTCCTTCCACTGCGATGCTGACTCTTTTCCAGCTTTGCGGCTTCCCCTATCATCACCATATCAGTCGGCAAGGAGAAGGCGGTGTACAGAATACACAAGGCTGTGTTGATCAAAGAATCCTCGTTCTTCGAGAAAATGTTCGCTTCCGGCATGATCGAGTCGCAAACACACCAAGTTTCCCTGCCCGAAGACCAGCCTGAAGCCTTTGAACAATTTGTCTCCTGGGTTTATGCAGGCAATGATTCGCAGATGAAAGATGCTGAACCGACGATGATCATGACATGCTGGGCGCTGGCAGACAAGTTCGGCGTACCGTCGTGGCACAACTGGCTGATCAACAAGCTCATCGACCACTGGGATTTTCATGGGTTCAGCTTCGACCATGTCTCTTGGGTATCGGCCAATGCCAACCACGAAAGCGCCCTGTGCAGATTGGTGATCGACCAGTTTGTGTGGCATCTGGAAGAAAATCCGAACACGTACTTCAAGAACGAGACCTCGCCAGAAGTCAGTCAACTGCTATCAAGGCCCGACTTCCCCCACGCAATCTTCGCCTTCTCTGTCTTTTCGCCCAGGTTCGGAGGACGCTTCATCCGACCCGGACTTGACCCTTGCAAGTACCATGCCCATAAGGGAGGCGCCGTGTGCCCTGTTTCGCTCCTAAAGTTTCCGTGGTCACAAGCTCTCTGGGGCTAATTTGCATTGAGCCGTACCCAACGTCCACCAAGCAAATCGCAGAGCAGACCGAGACATGGCGAGTGGAGGGGCATTATCAAATGTGACCAGGGCACACGGAGAGGGGGGAGGTGTTCAGAGAATCGAATGGAAAATTTAGACGCAAGGAGACAAGTTCTTTGAGGGCTAGAGATCTTCCACTTGAAAGCACCACTGGGTGGAGGTTGTGGGTGCAGAAGATCGAATACAGGCAATGCGGACTCGCTCTTGGACGCTGTACAATACGTTGAATGCAGGATACTGCCGACCGTCTCGATATTGAAGGACGAGCAGGTTCAACAAACAATAGATCAAACAATGGAGTGGAGGCTGTAGATCTATGCACGTTGCAGATCACTACCACCCCCGAGGGTGAAGTACATGGTAGTCTCCATAATACTGAGACTAAGGGAGGTGTAAATTCGCGACGGTGAGGAAGTAAGTCCTTTATCCTTGATGTTTTACCAGACGGCAATATTCCTACGTCCGACGAGTTCTGGAACGAAACCTCCGAAACTTCTCAACATGACGATCGAACGGCCAGTGGAATGGAGCACGGTGAATGTCAGTCAGGGTTGGTATCATGATATTGTACATCTTGTCCACAAGGGACTCTGGTCGAGGGACTCTGGTCGAGGGACTCTGGTCGAGGGACTCTGGTCGAGGGACTCTGGTCGAGGGACTCTGGTCTATCAATTTTTCTGATCAGAGCTCTGCGCGGTATCAAAGGTGACCTTGCCATCGCGACTGACACTTGCCACCGACAGCCTCGGTGGAGCAGGCACGGTAGAATCTGATTTGGACAATTCAAGGTTTGTGGAGCGGATATTAGAGATAGCCTCCTGAACAGCCCCTGCAGGTGCATCCGCAATCTCGTTCACTTCCTGTGTTGTCAAGACATCATTTACCCTCGCAGCTCGGCTTTGGATGAGGAGCGTCGTGGGGCCGCTAAACTGGAGAAACAATCGGTCCCCCCAGATGGTCCGCCGGCTCCATGTGCGGATTCTGTACAGTATATTGGCAACAACTTTGTAAGTGCTGCTGGTCTTCAGGGTCTCGACAAATTTCGACGAAGGAAAGAAGTTGCCGAGCTGAAGAGGTATTTGGAATCGGGCACTGGATGACTTGAATCGAAAGGGCAGAGGTGCTGGAGACGGCGATGATGAGCTGTAGGCGAGTACGTTGGAAGGATGAACAAGATATGTCTCCCCTTCTGCAAGGTCAACAGAGTAGACTTGGCCCTGACCTGCGAGAGCTAGCAGTCCTCTTCCAGTGACATTGGAACTTCCCCAGTATGCGAGAGAAAATCTCGAATTTATGCTCGGCTTCACAGTGAGCGTGCTCCCGGTCCAAGCCAGGAGCGCTTTTCTCTGAGCCAGTTTCCAGTCCATCGTGCCATCCAGCTGCAGAATGGCAAATGTGGTCATCGGTGACCTCGTCGCAATCAGAGCATTGGCAGGGGACGTGGAAGTGATTTTTTGATACAAGAATGGTATCCCGATCAAGGCGCGACGGACGGGGTTAAGGATTCGCAAGGTCGACACAGTCCCATTGGGATCTCCAGCAAAGGCCACAAGGGTTCCCCGACGGGTATACAGCTCTTGAGAAGGAGACAGCGTAACGGAAAGGAGCGAGTACGGACTTCCAATGACTTCGAATGAGGCGTCTGAAAACAGTTAGTAGGCGCTCCCTCGCAGCAAGGTGTATATCTGACCCGGCGTTGCAGCGGACAACGATCTACTCGCCACGTTGATTCTGCTTGTGTCGGTCGCGGGCGTCGCTTGCACCGAAATGTACTTGTAGCCGCCGACTCTCCGTCCACCGACCAAATGCGCTGGATATGCCCATTTCCGAGGAAACTTGCTCAGCCGTCGTAGGCTCTGAGCGGCAATGGGGGGCATCCTGGCTCCAGGGATCCGGCAACCTGGCGCTGGAGACTGAGTTATTGGATTGTGAGTGCTTTAGAAGATGCGGTTTCAAGCTGCCAAGACGGGTAATGGAAGCTGCAAGCTCCAGTTCAAAATTAGACAAATATGCCAAGGCCGCGCTAGGGAAGAGTCGAACACCACACGAGGCTGACTGTCTTTAGCTTACCACCTTCCTTCATCTACGCCATTCAAGTCTCGTCAGATACGGCCAAATTCCATGCCTCCGCACTTCCGAACTTTCGAGGCTGTGCTTCCTGGTGGCCGCTTCCAACCGCGTGTGGAACGTGTGTGGCCTAGCGACGTCTACTAACCTTGAGTCGGAATGATAATACCCCACAACACGACCACTCTGGAAATGGAGATACAGCACTCAAAAGCGTGTGACTTTTAAAGTTTTTGCTATTCCATCGTCACTGATGCACCAAGACACGATGACCTCGGATGATCTCCTCAGATTAGTTGAGATACCCGGGCAGGATTGTCTATTTTCAGCTACGGGTCTTCTCTTCCATCGATGTTCCACACACGTGGGAAGCTACGACCCCAAGAAGCAAAGATGAGGTTACCGAAATGATGTCGCTATTCTACCGTGGATTAGGAATGGTTTACGACATACCTAAAGGGGCCTTCGAAACGGAGTATCCCCGGGAATCTATGCTTCGTCTTGGTTCAACTTCGCGGGTTACTACCAAAGATCCAGGTAGGTCGAGGACAGGAACCTGTGAGTCTCAACAATGATGAACGACGTTAGAGTTCTGAGCGCCTACTCTCCGACACAAGCCCATCATGGTTGTGTTCACCTTCGTGGCGTCATGCACAAGCGGCTCAGAATCTGAGACACCTTCCGGTAATCCTCTCTTATACGAACGATTCCGTGTGCCATGGCGGTGTTGGAGCCCTTGTCACAAGGTCATTATGCTATAAAAGGCCCGACTGTCACGATTGAAGCACGTCCTTTGCAACATCTATAGACCTTTACTTCTCGCGTTGCTACCAGAAGATCGCTGAAATAACAACAAACGATCAACATGCGTTGCACTCGACAGATCATTGGTTCAGCTTTTGGATGTTTGGCTTTCGTCCTCCCGGCCCAAGCTGCTCCTGTTATCGATGCTGCCCCGGCACATCCGTCTTCCACCCCCGTTCAGTTTGCTGTCGGCGCAAATGGACCAAACGCACCGGTCGTGTTCCCGCTGTCAAATGGGTTCCCAAACGTAACAAGAGGCACACCAGCTTTCCAAGAACTCACGGTGCAAGCCCATGGCTCTATATCGAACGCACCGCCTCCACCATCCCTGGCCGCTGATGACCTGCGCAGCTTCAAGGTTGTTCAGATCCAAGAGACTTTTGAAGTCTATTACTTCACTCAGTTGCTGCTCAACATCACCAACAACGTCCCCGGCTTCGAGATCAGCGACCCATCGTTGAAGCAAGACCTCATTGAGAAGTTGACGGTCATCCAGGGTCAAGAGCAGTGGCATGCCATCAATGCCGGCGGGGTTCTACAACACTTTAATGTTTCCCAGATTCAGCCTTGTGTCTTTAAGTCTCCGGCAACCGACCTCAAAAGCGCCCTCCACATTGCTGCGAACTTCACCGCTGTGGTCATCAGCACCCTTCAAGACGTCGCAGTCCGACTTGGGCAGAACGGGGACTCGGCAGTCATCCGTGGCATTGTTTCTGTGGCTGGCCAGGAAGGAGCACAGCAAGGCATTTACCGCACGCTACCTGATGACCTTGTCCCCTCCGAGCTCCCGTTCCTGACCCAGTCAACCCGTGAGTTTGCGTACTCGTCACTTCAGCAGAACTTCATTGTGCCTGGCACCTGTCCCAACGACAACACCATTGATGTACCCATTTTTGGCACTCTGAACGTCTTGACCACGAACATTCAAGCTGTCGACCAAGTTCTCAGCTTCAGCATCCAGGCAGATTCGACCGAAGGCCTCAGCCTTGTGTACCTCAATCAACAGAACCTGCCCATCGTTGAGACAATCGTCAGCCCGGCGACCAGCAACGGCGTGACCACTTTCTCAGCCAACTTCCCATTCAGCCAGAATTCAATGAATGGCCTGACGATTGCAGCTGTCGTCAATTCGACCGGACCGTTTGCGAATGCCAATGAGGTTGCGAACAAGACCCTCTTTGGTCCTGGTCTGATCTACCCTGACTAGTATAGCACAGCGTCACTGGGCAAAATGGGTCTTTTTCTTCTGAGATATGCTTCGATTTGGGGACATTTGACGGGTGTCTCTGCTACAGGCTGTACATAGTGAACGCAAGAGCTCTCGTGTTCGACTCAAAATGATTGCTGTTGAAGCTATTTACCATATACTGAGCATACCTTCTCGTGAGCACTTGTCATCAGCTAGGAGCAGGGAATGGCACCGAACACTGGGAAATTATGCTGGCCATCCCTTGTTTCCCAAGCAGTAAGCATTAATATGCGAAGCTCCTTTTCTCCCTCCCCTCGCCTTATCCGGATGAACAACGATCACAATGTCAGTCTTTGCCAACGGAAAGTGAACCGGCTGGTCACATGCATGACCACACTCGGTCGGGATTGTGTCGATGTCCCCTCCGATTATGTTTCTCATCCCAGCGGTGAAGGTCGTCGATGCTGACTGGTGCGAGCAGACATTGGTCTCTCCGCTCGAAGATGTCCTCCAGACTAAGATCGAGGTTCTTGTTCGGCATCCCGCGTCGCAATGCCGAATCCACATACTCCGCCCCTCGTAGGGTCCATACAATACATATGGTTGTGCAACAAGTAGAGTGCGGTTCCGACACTCCGCAGGGCCCCAGAGTTTCGCTTCGCGTGGGCATTCAACCGAAGATCAGCCTAAAAAAGACTCTGCTGGCTCCTTTTCTCCTCCCAACCACTGGCTCGACGTTACGGGATGGCGCATCCAGTTCGCCCATGACTCACATACGGGATGCGAAGTCGCCCAAGATCTGCTAAACCGACGTCGATCCCGCGGTACTTATTAGGGATCAGCCCTGCCCGGCAGGACCGTCCAGGACTAGCAACGCTGGGAGGCGCCTCTGAGGAGAGTTTCCCCTCACTTTCGGATTCTACGGTCGAGAGCGCCGTACCATTTGATATTATAACAGAGGGTCGCAGATCACCGCCACCGTCTGGGGCTGGACGGGGTGATGGTTGCATGACCAAAAGTTAAGAGACACATTTTCTTCCCGTTAAAGGTTTGTTTTCATTTTTAATCCCGATCTTTGCTCTCCTTTCCTTTACTTTGTCAGCGAGAGTCTTTTGATTTCGTGGGCCTCGCCGTTGACCCCAGGAGCAAATCTGTTTGATCTGTGTGGAGTAGTCGAGAGGGACGGAGAGATGTCCCAGCACCGGCAACAGACTAATCGTCCACCACGAGACGACGATGCATATCCATATCAGCAACTCACGGTCTTGGGTGCGTCTACCCATGTCTCCCTTAGATCACCCCTAACGCCACCGCTAACGACGTAGACAGCGCTATGCCGCCTCGCCGAGCCCATCGCCTTCTGCTCCATCACTGCCTACACCTTCGTGATGGTCGTCGACATTAAAGGCGAAGAAAATGCCTCGTTCTACGCTGGCCTCTTGATCTCGGCCTTTGCTATGGCTGAGGCCTGCACGGCCATGGTCTGGGGACACATCTCCGACCGCTACGGCAGGAAACCGATCGTGCTTCTGGGACTTGCGGGAGTGGCTTTGTCGAGTCTGATCTTTGGGTTTGCCAAGAGCTACTGGGTTGCTCTGCTGGCGAGAGTCGTCGGCGGGCTCTTGAACGGGAACGTGGCTGTCATGCAAACTATGGTGGCGGAAATGGTGAAGAGACCCGAGCACGAGCGTAAGTCTGCGGGAAGACAGAGTATCGGAAGGCTCCTCAAAGCTGATTTTGGTCCTAGCCACCGCATATGCCGTTCAGCCCTTCGTGTGGAGTCTCGGATCAATTGCTGGAGCAGCTCTGGGAGGCTTCACGGCGCAACCCGCCCGATTCTATCCTCACCTCTTCTCCCCCGACGGAATTTTCGGCGAGTATCCCTACCTCTTACCAAACCTGGTTGCCGTGGCGATCATTGTCGTCGCCATCATCCAGGGCTGCATTTTCCTCGAAGAAACGAATCCAGTGTCACGATCATCAGGCACACTATCTACAACCAGCAGTTCGGACACGGTCAATGAGACGACACCCCTGTGGCAACGACAGAGAAGGGAATCGGCGCTCAGTGCATTTTCGACAGGACCCGGCGGACTCGCTTACGTCGCGGAATCCATGCCCGTCACCATCGATCCAGCCTTTGACCTTCGGCGGCCTTCTGTGGCGTCCATCGGCTCACTCCAGTCGCTGGTGAAGGTCGGGCCACAAGTCGAAGCCGTCTTTGAGGACGAAGACGACGAACAAACCATCAAGCCAGACCAAATCAAGGCCTTCACCAAGCCCGTGATCATGTGGACCGTGGCTCTCGTGGTGATGTCGTATCACTCGATGGCCTTTGGGTCTGTTCTTCCTATCTACCTCCTCGACGACCCGCAACGACCTCCCCGCGAACTTGACTTGAAGGGAGGGCTCGGCATGACGCTGCACGAAGTCGGAACATACCTCGCCGCTAGTAGCATCATGTCCTTGTTTTTCCAAGCTGTCGTCTTCCCCATTTTTGTGGCAAAACTGGGTGTCTGGAAGGCCGTCCTGTCCGTCACGCTGCTGAGCCCGTTCATCCACACCGTGGTGCCGTTCGTCTCTCTTCTCCCGAAACCCGGGGCCGGGATCTACGCTGTGCTAGCGGTGCAGAGCTTCACGGGCGTCATCTCTTTCCCGACCTTTTTGATCCTGTTGAAGAACGCTACGCCGTCACCGCTGGTGCTGGGCAAGGTGAACGGGTTGGCCATGTCGGCCTGCTCGGCCGCCAGAACGGTGGGGCCCCCGCTCGTCGGGATCTTCTACAGCAGTCTGGGTTCGGCGGGGGCGTGGTGGAGCTGTGCCGTCGTCGCCATCATCGGCGTCGTCCAGTTTTACTTTTCGCCCCGGCCCCGGGATGACGACGAGACGATATTGCGGCGAGCGTCGACGGCGGCTGTTGACGTTCCGCCTATGGCTGATCTGGCGCGGAGCCGGGAAGAGTAATGGGTCTTGCTAGGGCATTGTCGCCCTCTGGGTTTTGTGGGAAAGTTTTGTGGATAGATAAACTTGCTGCGAGTGTGATGGTTCCCCGGCTAGTGTCTGTCTTTGTTCGCATGTATCCATCATTCCCAACCGCATCACGAGTTCCACGCTATCGATGTCATTACAGAGCACATCAATCGCTTCCAGATATATGACGGGATTGGATGCAACCCCTTAACCTTGCACGGCATCACTCCTGGTTTGCAGCCCAGGCGGGAGCAGTGCTCACAGCTAAGACCTACAAATGCCTCGGTTTCAGCGGTTGTGGAACAAGGAGCTCAGCAGCGTCGAGACTATTGGGTAAGGAGGTCACCAAGTGCCGAAATTCTGAGAGATCCTAGATACAAGGACGTGGTAGCGTCTTATTGGCTGCGTGAGTATTTCGATTGCTGTAGTGTGAACTGTACAAGACGTCCCAGTGCAATGTTGCTTATTATCCTTCAACCTTCTACCCTCACAAATATTTTGCGTTGCCACTACCACTAAGGAGTGGTTGCCCATTTTCTTTCTTGAGAACCTGACTGATTATAAACGTCTGTCCTATGGGGCGGGTGGTGCTTGAGTGAGCTCACCAATCTGGACCGGAGTCGGCGAACACGTTCCTTGCGGGCTCGAAACAATATATTGAAGCTCCAGCACTGCTCTGCCGTCATTTCGACAATTCCTCCGGCCTTGGTAGCCTGGACTACTATTCATAATGGCTGTCAAATCCTTCTCCTTCATCGTCCTTGGAGCCGGCGTCTTCGGTGCCTCTACAGCTTTGGCTCTTGTACAGAGCGATCCTTCAAAATCAATTGTGCTTATCGATAGGAAGATTCCCCATAGGCAGGGTGCCTCGTGGGACTGGACTAAAGTGATTCGAGCCGATTACACAGACATAGTTTATGCCAGGCTTGCTCTCGAAGCTAAAGATATATGGAGAAACAACCCTCTTTACAGTGAGAACTACCACGAAACTGGGTTAGTATGGGTCGATGAGTCTGGATTCAGCAAAGCCGTCACGCAGAACTACAGTGTCCTTGGAGCTGAGGAGAAATGGCAAATGGTGTCTGTCAAAGACCTGAAAGCAAGCTACGGCGGCATCTTTTCTGAAGCTGAATTTGGAAAATTCCAGAACATATACTTGAACGAGAGTAGCGGATGGGTTGAGGCTGGTAAAGCTCTTACAGCTGTGATTCAGGCAGCAGCATCGGCAGGTGTACAGCTTATCGAGTCGGAAGCCAGCAATTTGATGTTTGATGATGAGGGCCGTTGTGTTGGCGTCCAGAGCGTGGATGGTCAGGTCTTCTCAGCAGAAAAAATCATTCTGGCAACCGGTGCTGAAACGGCAAAAATGCTGGTAACAAGCGCCCCTGATGTTCCGCAACTACACGCGGTCGGTCGGCTGTCAGCAGCAGGCCTTGTGACTGGCGTTCTCGACCTCGATCCAGATGAAGCAATCCGCCACCAAGGGACCCCGGTTTTCTTACACGCTGGCGGAGAAGCCCAAGGTGATTTACAGGACGCTTTTATAGTAGCGATCTACTAAACAGAACAGGAGCCATCATACCGCCCGACGCAGAGAACCGTGTCAAGGTCACATGTGACATTAGTTTTGTGAACACAACAGCATTCTCTGGTCAAATGTCCATGTCGGTACCCCCACAAGACTCTGAAATTGTACAGCAGGCATTGTCAGAAGGGATGAAATCGGAACTACGGAGAGTATCCGTTGGTATTCTTGGTGAGAAAGGAAGCCAGAAAGGCTTTCGAGATTGCCGTATCTGTTGGTAAGTCTTCAACCCTGAGTTCTGAGTTGAACTCCTTCTCATCTTGCCTAGGGACGCAATAACCCCTTCCCAAGATTTCCTAATATCAGCTCATCCCGCTTGTGAACACCTTTATCTAGCAACCGGAGGCTCATTCCATGGATGGAAATTTCTACCTACGGTGGGCAAGTACATTGTCCAGATGCTTGAAGGAAGACTCGCTCCAGAACTGTCAAATCGGTGGGCATGGGACAGCCATTCTCTACACCCCGCGAATAGTAGGATGGCTCCTTCTCGCGAAATGGCCGGCTTGATGATCAACAAGTCTCCTGAAGAATGGGCCAACAGCTGAGAGAACTTTGGGGCGGAAAAGACCGAAAAAAGCCGTTCAAGGATACTCTCGACATCTTTTTGTGACACGCAGACGGACAGCACTTACTGATAAATTTGTTTCAGGAGGGTTGACCGTCTCGAGAATTTCATGCCGCAGAAACACGAAAGGGGGGGTGGATGTCAGGTCTCCTGTAGGCTGGTATCGAGTGAACAAGGCTGCCATTTCAGCCTGACATCTATAGCGCGGATGCTCCACCGGGGAGACTCATATGGCGGAGTATCTTTACGCCAAGCGCAGTCTGGGCTTGACGCCCACGACGCATTTCCTCGGCCATCAGCGGGCGATGGCGTCTTAAACCCGACAATCATGTCATAATTTCTGTCTTTTCTGCACGTATATGGTTCTCGACTCTTTTGGATACTCATCACGGGTGCTGGCGACTGGTCCAAGTAGGGGAGGAGGTAGAGTGGCGTTGACGCCTCAACATTTGCTACGTGGAAGATAGAATCGGATCACACCATGCTGTCACGTCCGCTCCTCCCCTGTGGGAAGCGCAAGCTTTACAACGCGTTTGGACCACCTGCAATCAAGTCCTCGTACAAGAGCGGGATTTGCCCTCCGCTCCATGTCCGTGCTTTTTCACAGTCCGCGTTCGTGAGACGGGAGGATGGCGCAAAGAAGGCCGTGCAAGCAACGAAGTTTGCCGAAGCACCTCCAAGCCGGACTGACAACACCGAAGTCACCAAACCAGAGTCCCTGCAACAAAATGAAACTCTCAAAGCCGAACCAGAGTCTTCCAAGAAAGGAGCTCTCCTCTCGGAAAAAGTAGTGTCCAACAGGGAACAACGCAAAGTTGATCTGGCTATCATGAGGGAAATGGTCCAGTATCTGTGGCCCAAGGGAGACTGGGGGACCAAGTTACGAGTCGGTACGGCACTGAGCCTTTTGGTTGGGGCCAAGATCCTCAACGTCAATGTTCCCTTCTATTTCAAAAATATTGTGGACTCCATGAATATCGATTTTCTGGCTGTGGGCGGCACTGCATGGACAGTGGCAGGCTCGATGATAGTGGCATATGGAGCGACTCGCATCGGCGCCACGTTGTTTCAGGAGCTACGAAATGCTGTCTTTGCCAGTGTGGCTCAGAAGGCCATCCGGAAGGTGGCATGCAACGTCTTTCAGCATCTTTTGCGATTGGACCTGAATTTTCACCTATCGAGACAGACCGGTGGATTAACAAGAGCCCTGGATCGCGGGACAAAGGGAATTAGCTTTCTGTTGACGTCCATGTTGTTCCACATTTTCCCGACTGTACTGGAGATTTCCTTGGTTTGTGGCATCTTAACGTATCAGTACGGAGCCCAGTTCGCCGCGATCACAGCAGCGACGATGGTCGCATATTCGGCCTTTACCATTACTACGACCTCATGGAGAACAAAATTCCGCAAGCAAGCCAACGCCGCTGACAACCAGGGAGCTACGGTGGCCGTTGATACGCTGATCAACTACGAGGCGGTCAAATACTTCAACAATGAGAAATTCGAGGTCAACAGATACGATGCCGCTTTGAAAAAGTACGAGGATGCCTCCATCAAGGTCACCACGTCGTTGGCATTTTTAAACACCGGCCAGAACGTGATCTTCTCCAGCGCCCTGGCAGCCATGATGTACATGGCGGCGAATGGGGTGGCGAGTGGCTCATTGACGGTGGGAGATTTAGTCATGGTCAATCAACTTGTCTTTCAGTTGTCAGTGCCGCTGAACTTCTTGGGTTCGGTCTATCGAGAACTTCGACAGTCCCTCCTCGATATGGAGACGTTGTTCAACTTGCAAAAAGTCAACGTGACCGTCAAAGAGGTTGCGAATCCGAGGCCGTTGGCTTTGACCAAAGGCGGCGAGATCAAGTTTGAAAATGTCACATTCGGCTACCACGCTGACCGTTTGATCCTCCGAAATCTGAGCATGACGATACCTGCGGGTAAGAAGGTCGCCATCGTCGGTCCCAGTGGATGCGGGAAATCGACTATTCTTCGACTGCTCTTCCGATTCTATGATGCTGACTCTGGGAAGATCCTCATTGACGGACAAAACATTAGGGACGTGAGCCTTGACAGCTTGCGACGGAGTATCGGTGTGGTCCCGCAAGATACACCGCTATTCAACAACACGATCGAGCACAACATCAGGTATGGCAATGTCGATGCATCCTTGGATGAAGTCAAGAGTGCGGCGAAGCGAGCGCACATCTACGATCTCATTGAGCGCCTGCCGGCTGGATGGAATACCATGGTCGGCGAACGGGGCATGATGATCTCGGGCGGGGAGAAGCAGCGGCTTGCTGTGGCGCGACTGATTCTCAAAGATCCCCCTCTTCTGTTCTTCGACGAAGCAACGTCGGCGCTCGATACTTATACAGAGCAGACGCTGTTACAGAATATCAACAGTATTTTGAAAGAAAAGGCCCGGACTAGCGTCTTTGTGGCGCATCGACTCCGCACCATCTTTGACAGCGACATCATCTTCGTCCTCAAGGAGGGCCAAGTGGTTGAACAAGGTACCCACGCCGAGCTGTTGGCGCGCCACGGGCTTTATGCCGATCTCTGGGCAGCCCAGGAGGTTTCAATCGGGCAAGATATGACTCTTGAACGATCGCTGGAAGAACAGCGTCAGATGGACGAAAAGGAGACCCGATCTTGACCGCACGAGAGCTCCATCTTGGTCACTCGAACGGAAGTTGGATTATTTGATCTCGGTTAGATTGACGACATTGTCTTGGACGAGTTTTGGGAGGGAGAGCGCGTCCCTCGGTCCCTCCACAAAGCCAGACGCGGGGGGCTACTCGGTCGACGCGTGAGTAGAGCAGAAAGGTCACCGTTCTTGCATGATGATCTAGGTAGGGCGTGCTAGAAAAAGGGGAACGGCGGCCTCTGGAAGAAAAGAAGTCGTCGTTAACCTTTTCTTCGAGAACACCAAGCGAGACGTGCTGATGCCCAAGACGACGAGGGTGGATGGACTATTGAGAGAGGAGCCCACTTGGACAAAACCCTCGCCGTCAATCAGGTTGCCAGGGGAGCGAGACGATGGACAGAGGCAAGGACAGGGGTCAACGAATTTCGTTTTTCGCACGTGGCGTCGAGACTTTGAGCACCAGATCCACTTCCTGAGAACGCTTGAACGCCCACTCACTCCATGCAGTCTAGCGAAAAGCCCCCGAGTGCCGATCCTTGGACGGTGCAGAGTTCGAACGGGCGTGGCTGCGTGGGAAGCCCGTGGGGGGACGAAGTGATAGACGGGAGGAAGTACCTCATTACAGTAGAATGCGACCATGTATATGTTATCACCATCTCATAGAAGGTACAGGGGCAGAAATCTCGCAGCTCGCTCAAACAGATTATGAATCAACCAGATAGAAAACAAGTCAGGACCATCCTCTGAGAAACTTGGTAGTCGATTTTACGAACCTGTTCTGGCGCTAATTAGAACTCGTGGTATTATGTCGGAGCAACGATGCTACCCACCTAGCCATTATTGCGCACCTACGCAGCACGAGGACCCCCCGGGCTCCAGGGGAGCCAGACTCGCTAAGACCGGGCGTGGAGCCTAGAGTAGCCACCGTCGACAGCTGATGCCAACGGGCCAAGCAGCCCTAACGTTTAACTAAAGCTGGAGAGATTGCACAATGCCACACTCACTCACTGCACCACCAGCTAGCTCCAGCTCCCCTTTCGCCCACGGACAGCAGGTGCGCAGTAGTAATTTTGCGGGCCACAATGCTGGCTGTGACGCTCATTGCACCAGACAGACACCTCTAGTCCTTCTTCTTCATACACACGTGTATACATACATACTCACTCTCTCCTTCAAGACCAACTACATACTTCTCCCAGTCCACTCCTTAAGCCGACGCATCTTTTTCTTTCCGTGTCCTTCATTTGCTGTGCAGTCCGCAATCGCCGAGAAAACCAGCTCCAATAACCTTCGGTTCTCCTGCATGCTTGGTTCCCCATCCGCTCGTTTCAGAATTCCCAAGAGCTTGCATTAGGCCGCCCTGCGTGTCCCGCACAGAACGATCCAGACGAACGAACGCAACTCAGGCGCAACTACTTGTACTCCTCACGATATCCCGCCCGCGCGCACACACACAACCCACGCACATACACACATCCCCCCTGCTCGATCGATCTCGCCGCGCGCACTGTGAGCGAGAAGTCCGAAACCTCCGAAGAAAACTGCTCATCTGACGTTGTCAGCCGAGTTCATTCGCCCAGCAGCAACCGGGCATTCATAGGACCTCATTATTGGGGGAGCCCGCTATCCGCGATTTTTGCCTTCACCTCGAAACCTTTCCCCGGGCCAGGAACCGAAGTATCCGGACCAGACCAAAAGAAAGGGCGTGTATATATATCTCAAAGGCGCAAACTATTCTTCACGGTCTTCTGGAAGCACGGACGTGCGCCAAGTAATTCGACCTCCGAGGGCCAGGCCCCAACAGACTTTGTGGAAATAGAAAGCAGGTGTAGCTGTATCAGAACAAGGCCGCCGCCGCGGATCAGCTTACACGAAGGCTCACTGCTACCCGAACGCCATTGTGCCCTCGAAAAGGATTGCAATCGCTCGACTTTTGCAGACGTGCTGGAGGAAGTGACCAAACGTTGAAGATGGGGCTCTTTGACAAGCTACAATCAAGTAAGGGCGCCACCTTCTCTACGTCTTGCTCCAAGTAAGGTAGAATGCTCAACTGACTTTTGTTGTCACAGAACTGGAGCTCTACCGCCTCGAGCAGAAATACGCTCGTCGCAAGAACCGCACGACCTTCACCACCGGCGCCGTCTACCAGGACGGCGAATACTTCTACACGGGCGCCGCCGACGCGAGAAGTCCGACCATGTCCACCAACTCGACCGGCAACTCCAACAACAGCTCTGGGAGCAACAAGAGGAGGACGCAGTTGTGGGTGCCACCCGAGCAACGGAGATGATTTGGGAGAATATAAAACGGCCCGGCCGCTTTCTGTGGCTGACCTTTCGTGTGTGTTCCTTCTTGGGCTTTTGACCTTGTGTGAATACTTTGCTGGTCTTGGGTTGAGCATAGCAACGGCGTTGTGTCTTGTGGTGGCCTTTCTCCGTCTCCGTGTCGACGTCCTTCCTGCCTTTTTCTATTTTGATTTTGATTTCAATGGGAGTATGTGACTTCGAACGTGCGGATTGGATGAGCGACGGAGGCGGCAGCAGCAGCACGTTTACGAACGGGATTAGGATGGGCGATGTGAAGAAGGAAGAAGAACGAGTCACCTGGAATTATTACTAGAAGGGGTAGAGAGCTCGGGTTAGCGATCAACCACCGTCGAGTGAAGATGTCATGTCTATTGTCACCAACGGAGGCAATCGACCACCCGGCGAGAGTCTGATGTGCACGTGCATGTGGCCCACACTGTGTGAGTGAGAACCGTCCTCTCGTCGCAGCCAGCGAGTACGCAGTACAACAATATACATAGAAAGAAAAGAAAGAAATCCAAATGAATAAATGATATACATACATTCCTTATCCGAAAAGCAAACACAAAAAACCCCTCCACCCTTACTTCCTTCCGTCCTTCCTTCCATTTATTTATTTATTTATCCCACTTCCATCTGACGTATGCATGCATCACGTTTGCTACAAGTGGACACGTGAACATGTGGACATGATGTGGACCACAGGATGGCATCCTACGGCGCTTAAAACCACGCGAGCGAGGGATCTACATATTACATATTATGACGATGACATCGACGGGAGTAAAATATGGAGTAATACATGACTGACGCGATCAGGATCAGGATCAGGATCCGGGGATCAGTCAATCAGTCAACATCTGGCACGCACTTTATTATTATGTATTATTTATTATTTACCCCCCCGACGAGGCTGGTGGTAGGTATGTAGTAATAGGTAGGAATGGATGTGCTTACCTGGGTATGTATGTATGTATATATGTATGTACGTACATAGGAGTAGACAGAGGCCGAGTGAGTTGGATGGAGGAAAAACCAACAACACCCTTTCTCTCTATCTCTCTCCCCTCCCCTCCTTTCCATTCCTTATATAGATTGATACATCCCAATCTTTCTCGCGAGCTCCCTTTTCTCCGAAATACATTATATACGTGAGATACGATTCGTTTCGTAGCGGGCACACGAAACAAAGGCAGAAAAAAGAAATAAAAAAGGAAACCGGGGAAAATAGATGGATGGGAAGAGGGATGTCGACGGGGCAATTTCCATGTTCGATCACGAAACTCTCAACGACGCCAGCCGCTGTGAGTGGCGCTCTTTCTGTGTCCTGACGGCCCAGCTCACCTCAGGTCACCTCAGTTCCTGCGATTAAACCCCCTCGAATGAATACCGTATTGTCGTACCAATGTCGAAGTCCGTTCCATTCCATTCCATTCTGCTAGTCAGTCACACACCATGCATGCATGCATGCATTCTTTTTCCCCCATCGCTGAACCAAAAGCGAGAAAGCGACAGAGAGAGAGAGGTCGAGCCCTAAAAGAAAGAGAGAAGAAATCTTCCCAAAGACCAGACCAGACCAGACCAGGCCAGACCAGGTCACCCAACAGACAAAACACTCTTGCCAGCATAATGAGACCTGGACTGCACACATCTGTGCGGTGCCGACCCAAGTCCTCATCGATCATCCAACTCTTTACTTCTTCTTCTCTCGGTCCTTACTCCCCCCCGCCCTGGCTATCCCGCTCGCAAACTTCCCAAAACCCCCGGCGAGACTGTGGCCTCTCTTGTGCGGCCCAACTCGATCTTCCCCGGTCCCCATTGTTCTAGCACCCGGGCCAGCGGCTCCCGCTCCCGTGATGGCCAACCCACTCCCTGCCTTCACCAGCCCCGACCCGGTGCCGGTACCGCCAACACCGCTCAAAGGTCGACCACTGTGGAGCTTGTGCCCGGTTCTGAATGCATCGCCATCTGTTACCCCGCCGATGCCGCCGTCCCGTAAGCTCGCACGACTTGTTCGGCCGGCTTCGTCGACGGCGCTCTGGATCGCAGAACTGGGAGTTTCGGCATCGAGGTCACCCCGGAGAAGCCGCTCGTTCCGGCGTCTGGCACGTTCCTGGGTCTGTTTGAACTTGTCGAGAAGTTCGGGCCATTTAATGTCGTTAGTGCCGATGGCGGCGGTGGCGTCACGCGTCCGCGAGAGGCGGGAGCTGACGGTGCTGTTTAAAGCCCCGCCCGTAGTTGGGGGCAGGGAGGACGAAGACATCCCGGCGCCCACTCTAAATGCGACATAGAGTCATGTTAGATACATATGAGAGGAAAGAAGAGCGCAGAAGGGGAAGTGTTGGAGGCACCACGCACGATGGTCTGGCTGAAGTCGGCATCGAGGCCGGTGTATGTAACAGCCCGATGGCAGAGACACTGTTGAGGCGGTTTTTCAGAGCGCCAAAGGCAGAGGACTGAGGAAGCAACATCAAAAGACCGTAGAGACATTTGTAAAGATAGGGATAGCGGTCGGGCTCGAGGAGTTGGAGCCGCAGATCTGTAGTTAATTAATGCTTCTCGCTCGACCAAGGGTGGTTGCCAACAAGCCGCGGCGGAGAACTCACATGTGAAGACTGGGCTTTCCAGTAGCTGCACCAGCTTGTCGATCTGGATGAGCATATTGACTGTCATTTCCAAATCCGCGAAGATCTGTAGTAGATTGTAAGCCTGTTCATACGCCTGGGCCAACAAACACAGCGAGAACGTGGCCACAGCATTGTGACACCAGGCGCGAAACAGTGCCACAAAGAACATCTGTCCCTCCTTGCTGTCCGGACTGCGAAGCCTTTTCCTCAGCTCCGCGAGTTCAGGTGCCGTGATGAGGTTGTTGTTGAGATTCTGGACCATGATGCTGGCGAACTCGATGTCTTCGTCCTTTTCGATGCAGTCCGCCAATGTCCTGTAAATGCGCTCAGGTTGGAGGTTGATGCACAATTGACGAATGATCAGGTTGCCACGGATCTCCAGGAGCTTCCGATCTGTCGAGAAGAGCTGGAGCAAAGCCACCATGAAGGATGTAAAGTATCCGTCTTCACTGTTCTTGGAGATCTGCGACAGGAGTTGCAGATCGCGCGTCACGACCGCTTCCGCCGGATCTGAGAGCGTCTTGAGCAGGGCCGGGAAGGTTCCGTCATTGAAGGCAAGGACTTTCTTGGGTGCCTTTCTGTGGAGCATGATCAGCCAGCTCAAGGCCGCCACGCGGGTCTCTTCGTGTTCGTTGAGGAATTGCAGCGTCAATGCATTCACTGCTGCCGCATAGTCGAGGTCGGCCATGGGTTGCGGTGATGGCGCGGCAGTAGACCTCGGGGTGACCTCTGGAGGCGACTGTTCTATCTCGGAGGAGCCTTCGGGAGAGGTCTCCGTTTTACTCTCTGTTTGAGAAGGCACACTCTTGGTTGTCCCGCCAGACTGTCTTTTCTCGGAACCTTCGCCATCTCGTGTCGTAATGCTGGTTAGGGTGCCAGATGCGTGAGTGCTCTGGTCTTCGGTTGACACCTCATCCTGAAAAGTGACGATGTAGTCCATCAACGACCTGTTGACCTTACTGGCCGTTGTTCTGACTTGCTCCGACTGCGCCGACAGTGCTGGCAGAACCCGAGACAACAGGCGAGGTACAAACTGCAGAATTTCCTCCGGGCTGATCTCGAAGAAGCTGTCAATCCACCGCAAGGCAACAATCCCGATCTCCTCTTCCTTTTGCTTTGACAAACCCTCAAGTCGTAATTGTGGTGCCGTCTCCTTGCTGGACGACACATCGACAAACTTGAGAAGGATGTCCAGAATTTGGGCGTAGTCCACCTGCACGTCTTGTCCCGGTATCCAATCACCGTCGTGCTCTCCGAGTTCGTTGAGTTCGTCTTGGGCGGTTCCAGACTCCGAATCTTCAATGGCAGTGTCATTTGATTGACTGCCGCGACCTGTGGCACTGCCTGTGTCGGAGCCAGAGCCAGGTTTGCGATTGCCGGCTCGACTGCGGCGGCTTTCGGCGATCCCACGCTTGATCTTTGCGATTTTCTTGATTTCGCTGAGGAAGCGTTCGAGGAGCCCCTGAGTTGCCACATACACGTCGCGATTCGGGTCTCCGAGGAATTTGAAGAGGCCCCCGAGGAAAGCTGGTAGATAGTGTACAAGTTCCAAGTCCGGAATGGTATCCAGAAGCGTCAACCATGACACCAGAAAGGTGCGGGTAAACGGATTGATGACGTGAATGCGCTCTTCAAGAAGAGGAATGAACTTTGCAAGGGAGAAGGTTGTGGGAAGATCGGCGCTGTCCCTGTCTGGCTCGAGTTCTTCGCCGTCTTCATTGAAGTTGAGGACTGAGACATAAGAGGCGGCCGACTCGGACACAATGTCCTTGATCAGACGATCGAGGAGCTCGGCTCCGTTCTTGACCGAGAGCTCTGAGTCGGCGGCGAGCTGTTCGGTACGGGGTTAGCAATGACGAGATCAAAGGGGCGACAAGCCATGCCTTGCATAATGCATCAAAGATGTCGTTGAAAAAGACCAGAATCTCTCCCTTGGCGACTTTGGCAATGTTGTACATGGCCTCGCAGGCATAATAGCGTACGCGGGCATCTTGATCGGTAAAGCACGCCAGAACAGGTGGAACAATATCAGACAGATAGCGGGCAACCTCATCCTGGAAACATCAGTGATCAGCACCTGTCCTCATGCAAGATGTGAAGACCTCCGACATACCGAGCCCAGGGCGATCGAAGCAGCGGCTAGACCAATGAGCCCTCCATTGCGGTGGTGTGGAATGTGCACGGCATATGCATAGTCGGAACACAACTGATCAATCGTCTTCCGGATCTTGTCGTACTCTTTAGCGGCACTAGCCTCTCTGATGAAACGCTCAAGCCTTGTGGGAGGAAAGTCAGCCATGGGCACAAAATCTGGCGATCCGTGGGAGGGTCATACTCGAGGGCCCCCTGCTTCCTTTTGTCGTAGAGCTTGTCAGCAAGGAGACGTTGGACGGCGGGATCCATCGTGGTCTGTCGATAAAGTGACGCGGGTGTTCAAGACCATTATCGGAGGTGCGGTATGCGTCTAAAACGGCGACAACGTTTGTGGGCTGGGAAGAGTCAATTTCTGTTTCTCATCACGAGACGACTGGAACACTCTGCCCAGTGTTTGATTGTCCTTGCAGAGAGATGTTGTTCAGGTGCAGTGAGAACGAACTTGAAGGATGATGGGACAAAACGCGTCGTTGTTGCAACTTGCAAGGTGCAGGGGTCCAGAGAGTCCAGGCGAAGTTCGCTCGCCGTCACCGTCACGAGTCACGACTCACTTTCCCTCTTTCCGCCACAGCGTCTCGATTGGTTGGGGCATGTCGATAATTAATTACTATCTTAGGGGACCGAGGACGTGCGACGTCACAGAACCACTCTTTACAGTTGGAAACGGTTAACGGTTTACGGTTTACATTTGTGCCATCCTTCTTCCATGGGCTGCTCTCATTATTGAGGCCTGTTTCTCGAGACAAGATCACCCAGCCGCCCAGATCAATGCCTCTGTCTATTTGGGCACAGATCTACCGCTAGCACCAAGTCTAGAGTACCCCATATACTTTATCCGCTAGGGCCCCGGGCGACTTGATTTGCTCCAACACAGTGCCTGCCGTGATCATGGCATTTCCCTTCACCTCCATCAACAAGGGAAATGGTGCTGCCTGACACGCCCCTATGATCCCACCAACCTGCTCCGCAGTCGCCTGCAACAATTTGCCCATATACCTTTAATGGCTGATATACTGGAAAACAGCACTCACTGCCTCCTCCGACGCCTCCTGTCGAAGCAAGAGGTCTTGGATCTTGCCGAGTGGCCCCTTCTCTCCGGAGTTGACAAAATGATTCCAAGAGCTGGTGTCGCCGTAAAGCATGGCTGGCGCCTTGATTTGTTGAGTGCCGTCCGGCTTGCACCGTTTGCATTTAAACGTGTCATGGGTATCGCTGTTGGTGTCCGGTTTAAATTGGAACAGCTCTCGAAGAGAGTCGAGGGTGAAATGTCGCTCGACATCTTCCGCTGAGTCCACCACCGTCGACGAAAGTGCCTGCTTGTGCGATTGGCGCTGGAAAATCTTTTCTTCGATCGTGCCTGTTCCCATGAACCTGTACACGAAGCAGTCCTTCTTTTGGCCATCTCGCCACACACGGGCAAGAGCCTGCTGGTCTGCGGCCGGATTCCAATCAGGGTCGAACAGAACAAGACGATTCGCCCCAATCAAGTTGATGCCACAGCCACCTGCCTTGCTGCTCAACAAAAACACGAATTCTTCGCCATTGGGATCGTTAAATTTATCCACGAGCTTCTGTCGTTTGTTAACGTTCATGGTGCCGTCCAGTCGAAGACATCCGTAGTTGCGCGCACGACAGAGCTTCTCAAAAACATCCAACGTCTGAGTGTAGTTGCTGATGAGCACAATCTTGTCGTTCGTGTCTTGACGGATTCGAGCAAGCATACGTTCGAGAACAGCAAATTTGCCAGAGTGCCACGATTTGACATCACGATCGCGACCCCGGGCTTCTTTGGGGACATAGTCCTCAGGCCAACACTTCTCGCTTCCGGGAAGATCTTTCTCAAGATCCAAAAGATCGGGGTGGTTGCACAATTTCTTGAGAATTCCGATTGCTTTGAGTGGCTGGCTACCCTTGCCTCTCAATAGACTCTTGATGTCGGGACTTTGGATGAAGTAATTGTAGAGATCCTTCTGGAACGGCGCAAGATTGCAGAACACCACATGTTCATACTTGACGGGCAAGTATTTGGATAGGATGTCGTTTGTTCTTCGGATGATGAATTTCTTGACCAGGGATCCCAGCTCGGCATTGGCTTCTTCACCCTTTTGCTTGTCCGCGTCTGATCCTGCAGCATCGCGGCCGCGCAGAATGGGAAGCTCAAACTTCTTCCGGAAGTCAGCCTTGGTCCCTAGGTAGCCCGGGTTCGCAAAGTCCAGCAAGGCATAATACTCAGTGAGGTCGTTCTGAATGGGTGTCCCTGATAGAATGACCCGTCGGTCGACATTCAATCCGGTCAACGCCATATATGTCTCGCTTTCGGCGTTCTTCAAGCGGTGTCCTTCATCACACAGCATCAACCCGATCTTGACATCTTTGAGCTCTTCGATATTCAACCTCAAAGATTCATACGATACGATCAACACGGGTCTCGCAATGCCTCTGCCGGTGGCCATTGCCCATTGTCTCAGTTGCATCGTGAGCTCTTCTTTCGTTGCCTTCCCATCAATGGCAAAGGGGTGGATGGCGCCCTCGCCGAGCCATTTGACAAGCTCATTTGCCCAGTTTTTGACCAGACTGGCGGGGCATGCAATGACACATTTCTGGATCGTGGACTTGCCGGCCTCTGATGATTGCTTGAGTAATGTCCACATGAGAGTGATACATTGTAGAGTCTTCCCCAAGCCCATTTCATCGGCCATAATACAGCCTTTGGCCTTCTCATCCACAAGTCCTGTGGTACACCTGTACAAAAACTTGACACCCTCTACCTGATGGGGCCGCAGCACTTTGGCCAACCTCGGATCGATGACTACCGGCACTTTGGGTCTCTCGCCTTCGACTTGCTTTTTGATTCCCAGTATTTCGGCCAGACTTTTGTGCATGAGAGGTGTATCGAGCTTCGGCTTCTCTTCGTCTTTCTTGGCTTCCACCTTCTCCTCGGGCTTCTCATCTATGGTTGGGTCGTATAGAACAATTGCGAATTCTCCACTGGGATCATGTAGAGGTTTATTGACAAAACCATTACCTCGCCGCATTCCCAGAGTGGGCGAGGGGCGTGACGGGTCGAAAGCATTCTTGTTGATCAAAGGAACGGAGAATCGAGCCCGAAATGTCGTCTCTTTGTCCTTGACCTTGAACACTGGAAAGCGATCTTTGAGAGCTGCAGAGTCTTCATCGAGTGTAAACCCGCCACTTGTATCTTCGCTCCCGCCGTCCACTTCGGCATAATTGACTTTTCTCCTCTTTCTGGCCGGCTCACCCTTGGACTTGCGGGAGTTGGCTGAGCCGGGACATTTGAAGGGCTTGATAAGACGGTCAAGGGCAGCTGGCGAGTTCGCGCTGAGTCTGCCAGCTTTTGCGGGTGGTATGTTTTCCTTCTCGAGGTGGAGCGAGATCGACTTGGTGCGTATCCTATGGGAAAAGTTAGCACAAACGTGGTTACTGGACAACACATACGTACATGGCTCAAGAGGCGGACTGTTGCAGTGCAATGGACATCGAGGCTTCACTGAGCTGGTCCTGTCGGGCATGTCATGATATCGACAATAATAGTGGCAGTAACAGCAACCCCCAATGACGCCTACACGCGTCGTGAAGCGACGCGTATTCACGTGCTTCATCGGCCATTGATTGGCACCCGCCCAGATAATCTTTGAGCCGAGATCGGTACCTCGCCACAAGGCTCAGCGCACACATTTTGCACGATATAGTCTGCCATCCAAAGCTCTGATCCCCTTAGTTTCACTCCAGATAATGCCTGTGCGTCAAGCATATTTGAGAAGCGTGGTATGTTTACGGGTCACGGTCAACACAACATGATATAATTCAAAGAATCTCGAGAACCCGACACCGACTGACAGGGGGCCTGTGTTTCTCTTCTCCTGTTTCGGCCTAGAAAGATGTCGGCAGACTTCTGGGCCAGCTATATCTCTGGAGCATTGGGGATATTGGTGGGTAATCGCCTTGATGTCCTGAAGGTCGCAGCGCAAGCAGGCACCAGCGGTGTCCTGGCGGACTCGACTCTACAGCCTGAGTCTGATCGACGTCTTCGGAGGGTGACAGGGTTGTTCAGAGGAGCCGCTGCTCCTGTCTTGGGCTATGGTGCATTGAACTCTATACTGTTCATGACCTTCAACCGCTCCTTGAAGCTGATGGACCCAAGCATATTCGACTACACAAAGCTCGCTGGTGTGGACTTGAGCAAGATCTGGGTGGCTGGCGCAATCGGAGGGCTCGCTACCTTTGTCGTCTCTGCGCCATCAGAGCTCATCAAATGCAGGGCCCAACTGATTGTGGATGGACAAGGATCTTCATATGGGGTGTTCAAGGAGATATGGAAGTCTGGTGGGCTTCGAGGGCTCTACTACGGAGGCACAATTACTGCTGTCCGAGATGCCGTGGGATACGGCTGGTATTTTTGGTCGTACGAGCTAACCAAGCGATTGCTACTTTCAAGACAAGCCGATCCTTTCGCTTCTCCTACTGCTACAGAAGTCCTAGTCAGTGGCGGCATTGCTGGAGTCGTCACCTGGGTTTCCATTTATCCCCTAGACATTATCAAGACCCGTCTTCAGACGCAGCCTTCCTCGACCGCAGAGTATCAAAGGCTTCTTCCTGGGGCCAGTGTGGCCGCTCACCAAGCAAAGACTACTCTGACCATCGCCCGGGAAATTTGGCAAACTTCGGGAGTGGGCGGCTTCTATCGTGGGGTTGGCATCTGTAGTTTGCGGGCATTCATCGTGAATGCTGTCCAGGTAGGCCGCCGAGTGTGGAGTCATTGTCCATCACCTGCTAACCTTTCGATAGTGGTATGCATACGAAAGGATCATGATCTTCCTAGGAAACCATCAATGACCGGTCCAAGATGTAGATCATGGAGGCGAAATGTGGTCGGGTCGGCCGAGGTTGCTCCTTTCCAAGAGTCGGGCTTGCACAGTATCGTACATGCGACTGGCATCTGCATGCGTCATTACCATTCGTCCATAAGAGACGACCACTGGGTATTGTATGCGGTATAGATCCGCACGGCACAGATCTCAATGCTCGACATCTTTCATGGCCTCGTTGACTAGATCATCTTCTGAAGGGCGAGAGCGACGGTTATCTGTCCCCAACCCTACAGCCGCATCTGCAATTTTCTGGCTGTGTGCCTCTTCCTTGAGCATTCGAACACTATCCAAACGTCAGATCTCTCTCTCCATGGCGTCGAATCATTGCAATTACCGTCTCTTGTGAATTTTCCCTCTTCTATGCTCGTTCAGGTTGTGGCTGTCTGAGAAATATTTGGCGCATTCGGTGCAATAAAAGGCACCCAGTCCAGGTAGATCCTCGGCGGCCTTGAGGCCTTTGTGTTGAGCAAGATGTCTGGGTGATTTCAGGTCTGCTTTGACTTGATCAAGATCGCTGTAACGGGAGGTTAGCAGGACGACATTTTTCTGCGACGGTTGAACGGACCGGGTGCGACGTTTCGTCTTGATGCGCCTGATACTGCCCATTTCGGTTCACCAGCACGATATCCGCAAGGCTTTCGGCTCGACTCTGTCCCTGGCGAGAATACTAAACATGGACATGCAAGGCTGTTTTTGCAGTGTCTGTGGGCCGCTGATTTTTGGATGGGCCCGGAACAACTTCTGCGGCAAAGAGGCTTGCCCAACACTGTGGGTGCCAAGCCTCCGCCAGCAAAAGCGCGGAATGCCGACTGGGCCGAGGGAGCGGCATCCGCCGGGGCTCCTTTCGGACTGGCTCATCCAACCAATCACTCGGACCCAAATCTTGGAACTGGCATTGGACCTTATGTTGCCTTCTCCTGGGTTCTCCGCACCAGCCCTCTACGAAAGCAGACTTGCCACGGCTTGCCTTGCTCTTCCGGTCACATCAAATGGAGCTGCATGGCCTGTCATCAAAGCAGTCAGCGGCGTTAGGGAGACCTCATTGTGTGCTCTTCATTACAGATCGGACTGTTCTTGCGGCCTAGGAAAGAAAATCCTGGTACCCCGAAAGAGGGGCGATGCGGGCATCTTGTTCGACGAGGTAATTACATCAGCCATGATTGGCTAGGCGACGGGTCTGCAGGCCAGAAGAAAAATTGCAGGCTTGAGGCATTTGCTCGGAGCATGGGGTAGCGGTGGAGCTCCCTTGGCTAGCACCTAGGTCGCAGGAGCTGCGGAATGCTTCAGGCTACTCATTGTTGTGCGGGAAGATCGGTCTGGTGGATGCCATGCTATATATCTAGGGCGAGGGTGTTGTTGGAATGTCGGGAACCTTTTTCAAGAAAAATATCTGCAGTCCATCGATCGTTGCGTAGATGAGGAGGAGAAGTGGTTGCTGCAGCCATTGACGTTTTCCGCAGTTGACGTCGTCCCAGGCTTATCGTGCTTTGGCCTCTTCGCCCGAGGCTGATTGGTGCTGCACCTTGCACACTGCGAGCTTGCGCCAACTCCTCCCATTCATCCACCTCTCCGGCCACACATCACAGCTTCTTCGATTCTTTTCCACCTCTCCACTCTCTCTTAATCCTGTGTCCAGCTCTGCACCGAGCTTGGAGTTCTGCACCGTCTGCTAGAGATCAAGTATTGTCGCCAACATGATGTCCGCGAGGCCTTTAGGCCGCCTGGCCTCCCGCGTGGTAAGTGATCTGCTTGCATCATACCATGGCTTGTTTTGTGATTCCGCAGCTTTCATAGCTGCTGCAAGGATTCAGCTATCACTTTGCTTCTTGGAGTTGTCTACGGCCTGTAGCTGACATGTGTGTCACATCTAGGGAGCCACAGTTGGTTCTGTTAGTCCTCAATCCTCCTCGATTCGGAAGCAACAACAGCTCACTGACAACTCAAACTAGCCCTTGCGGATGTCCAGAATGGGTTATGCTACGGTTTCGGATGATCCGCTCAGCAAAAATAAGTCTTACTTGCTATATCTGCTTTGCTCGACGACCCTAACAGCCGGATACAGGTTGAGATGACGAACTGGGAGAAAGGTCACTACATCAACTACAAGTGAGTCTCCACGCCCACTGATTCCATTGCTGTTTTTGTTGTCGTCTTTTTGGGTGCTCTGAGCCGACCGGCCGCTGGAGGTGGCTGACGGTAACGCTGACACTCATCATAGGAAGATGTCGGAAAACCTAGCGATTGTCCGCAGCAGACTCAACCGCCCTCTCACTTATGCAGAGAAGATTCTGTATTCACACTTGGACGACCCGCACGGGCAAGATATCGAACGTGGAGTCTCCTACCTCAAACTCAGACCCGACCGAGTCGCCTGTCAAGATGCCACCGCACAGATGGCCATCCTGCAATTCATGTCTGCCGGCATGCCCTCCGTCGCTACACCGACTACCGTCCACTGTGACCATCTCATCGAGGCCCAAGTTGGTGGAGATAAAGATTTGGAAAGAGCGAAAGACATCAACAAAGAAGTCTACGATTTCTTGTCCACTGCTTGTGCGAAGTACAACATCGGCTTCTGGCGTCCTGGCTCGGGCATTATCCATCAGATAATTTTGGAGAATTATGCATTTCCTGGTGGTTTGATGATTGGAACCGACTCTCACACTCCCAATGCTGGTGGTCTTGGTATGGCTGCCATTGGTGTCGGTGGAGCGGATGCGGTCGACGTGATGGCCAACCTACCTTGGGAATTGAAGGCACCTAAGGTGATTGGCGTCAAGCTGACTGGTGAAATGTCGGGATGGACTGCTCCAAAGGGTGAGAAAACTGAGCTCAAGTCGTTTGCGTCGTGCTGATCCTGGATATCAGATATCATCCTCAAGGTGGCAGGTATCTTGACAGTCAAAGGTGGTACTGGGTAAGTCTTCACGATATCTGAGCTCTTATTTCACCGAGATGGTCCTGACATACCTATAGGGCAATTGTCGAATATCATGGTGAGTGTACTTTGCGCTGCGGATTTGAGCATCTTGCAAGGCTGTGTACCCCTTTTCCCGGACATTCCTTCCTCTCGCTGCCACGAGGTATCTACCCGACGGAATTCATACGACACGATTCCGACACGGAGTTCACCCCGCGTCCAATGTGGCCGGAGTATTCGACATCGATGAAGTTGCTTCCCTGTCAAAAATAGCCGAAACTCACATGAACAACGGACTACCGTTATGCCCAAAGATCAACAAAACGCCCTACAGCCGATAGCCGCCACCGATTCAACAGGGAACAACCTCCCGTGTACCATATGTTCTTGATTCGCCTTTTCGTTTGATGTTTTCTCCCTCTTTTTGAAAGCAACATACTCTGTGGTACTGTGCTAATGCTTTTTGAAGGTCCGGGTACCAACAACCTTTCCTGCACCGGCATGGGCACCATTGTGAGTCTGAAAGGCTCGTCTTATCTTCTTAATGCTAATTGTGTATAGTGCAATATGGGCGCTGAGATTGGAGCAACCACTTCTCTCTTCCCGTTCAACGACCGCATGTACGATTACCTAGCCGCCACAAAGCGCAAGCACATCGGTGACTTCGCTCGCGCTTACGCCGCTGAGCTTCACGAGGATGAAGGTGCCGAGTACGACCAAATGATTGAAATCAACCTCTCCGAACTCGAGCCTCATATCAACGGTCCATTCACCCCGGATCTGGCCACTCCCATCTCCAAGTTCGCACAGGCGGTCAAGGAAAACAAATGGCCCGAGGAACTGAAAGTCGGACTGATCGGCTCCTGCACGAACTCTTCATATGGTAGGCTCTCTCGTCTTCTGAAAGACTCTTCACCGCGGAGATCTTACTATCCTCTCAAACTTATGTGGACGCTAACTGATGATTGCAGAGGACATGAGCCGCGCTGCATCAATTGCTCAGGATGCTATGGACCATGGCATCAAAGCCAAATCTCTGGTACCTTTCCCATTGTTTTCATTGACAACGATAGCGTTTGCTAACATAATCAAGTTCACCGTCACCCCCGGTTCCGAGCAGATTCGCGCCACCATCGAGAGAGATGGTCAGTTGAAGACTCTTGAGGAATTTGGCGGCGTCATTCTCGCAAATGCCTGCGGCCCGTGCATTGGTCAATGGGATCGAAGGGACGTCAAGAAAGGCGAACCCAACTCGATCATCTCCTCATACAACCGAAACTTCACTGGCCGCAACGATGCCAACCCTGCCACTCACTCCTTCGTCACGTCTCCAGATTTGGTCGTGGCCATGACCATTGCGGGAAATCTCAACTTCAACCCTCTCACCGACACCTTGAAGGACAAGGATGGAAACGACTTCAAGCTCAAGCCACCCACCGGTGAAGGCCTGCCTCGCAACGGCTACGACCCGGGCCGTGACACATACCAAGCCCCACCTGAGGAGCGGAGCCAGGTCGATGTGAAGGTGTCTCCGACGTCTGACCGTCTTCAAATCTTGCAACCTTTCGAGCCCTGGGACGGCAAGGACTTCATCGACCTTCCCATTCTGATCAAGACCAAGGGCAAGACCACCACCGATCACATCTCCATGGCTGGGCCCTGGCTCAAGTACCGTGGTCACCTCGACAACATCTCGAACAACATGCTGATCGGTGCCATCAACGCTGCGAACGGCGAAGCTAACAAGGTCAAGAACTTCAAGACAGGTGAATGGGATGCGGTTCCTGCCACTGCTCGCCAGTACAAGAAGGAAGGAATCAAGTGGGTGGTGATCGGAGATTGGAATTATGGAGAAGGCTCCTCTCGAGAGCATGCTGCCCTTGAACCCCGCCACCTTGGAGGTATCGCCATCATCACGCGAAGCTTCGCCCGTATCCACGAAACCAACTTGAAGAAGCAAGGGATGCTGCCCTTGACGTTTGCCAATCCCGAGGACTACGACAAAATCAACCCTGATGATAAGGTCGACTTGTTGATCACCGACTTGGCCCCCGGCAAGCCTGTGACCATGAGAGTACACCCCAAGGATGGCAAGGCTTGGGACTGCGAGTTGCAGCACACCTTCAATGCGGGTCAGATTGAATGGTTCAAGAACGGTAGCGCCCTGAACACCATGGCCAAGATGCACGGTTCCCGCTAAACCAAAAAAAGTGGGGGGGATGGATTGAGGTCGTCTCGGGTCAAGACGCAACTATTGTACAGATGCGAATCGAATGCCGATGCAGTCGGCACAGACAAGGGGGAGGGTTCAAGAAAACCCCTAAGATAATGCGAGACTGGGGACGGATTTGTGAGGAAGTAGGGTTGAGATATGGAACTGTGTTGTGTCTCTCAAGAGAAGCAATGGCGGCAGATTGGAGGAGCATGATGTTATGTACTTTTTTCGTAGCGGAAATACCAGTGCACAGCAGTTTTTCAAAAGTCACAAGAATCATTCATTCTATTGCTCGTCTAACTGCAGCAATGGGCAGCCAGCAGCCCCCGGGTACATGACATGATGTCTTGTTATGATGTGCTCTCTGCATAGCTGAATGCATCGTTGCCATCCGTGTGAACCTCGGCATATGGGAAACAGCCGATTGACGACTCAGTCGCGCGGACAGGGATGATGGCGATATTATGTGCGCTGTACCTTCTGTCACACTGGCTTTGGCCATTGAATATAAGAATGTAAATCCCCGTGTGCACTCTCTCTCTCGGTTCTTAGCTAGTCCACCTCTCTGAGACTCACGATCTCGGTCTTTGCCGTTCTGTGTGCGCGTGCACGAATGAAAGAGACGGGCATCGCTCGGTGTGGGATGGCGTGAACCACATCATATTACTCCGTATATTCCCCAGAAATAGACACTCACTGGTCACCATTACTTTGTGATTATTCCCTCCTAGCACTTCGCCCTAAACAGTCCAGCCAGCCATCGATCGCTCTTCTCGGCAATCTCCAGTCTCATTAATTACAATCTACAATCGACTGTGGTTGACTGCTCTCTACCGAACAGAAAACGCCAAATTCTCAAACCCCTCGAAAGTCTCTCCCACCCCCCTCCCAACAAAAAGCAGGTATTAGTTAGTTAGGTATATGCGCAGACTGCCTACCACCACCAGGTTGAGACTCTTGCAGCAGCAGCACAACAACAGCACCATCAATCCTACCACCACCACCACCACCACCACCATCACCACCTTTCAACGAGGCTCCAGACGCGTCATGGCACAGAGTCTACCGCACCTCCCGGACTGGGAGCAGCTCAGCACGAACGTCGTGCGCATCTTGGGCGGGAATCCTAGCAAGGTAAGTCGATGCACTCGCGGGAGCTAGTTTGCTTCATGTCATAGTCCTATTATGTTCATGGAGTTGTTGTTTTTTTCTATGTTTCTCCATTTCATCCCACTTTCTCGAGTGAGGCTGGCCAAAGGAAGCTACCGAGAAGGAGAAGGAGAAGAAAAACTTGTCTGCGATATACATCCAACCCCCAACCCCCCTTCGCCGATGGCCATGCTGACCCTCCCGTCCGTGGCACAACAGTTCACGCTTCAAGGCACCAATACGTATCTGCTCGGCACGGGCCCGCGGCGCATTCTGATCGACACGGGGGCGGGCGAGAAGAAATGGATCGACACGTTACGCACCGTGTTGACCGCCTCGTCGCCAGCAGGCGGCAAACCCCTCTCCGTGTCCACCTGCATCCTGACGCACTGGCACCACGACCACCTCGGCGGGGTGCGGGACCTGGAAAAGCTCTGCGAGGGCGAGGTCACGGTGTACAAGAACCAGCCGACGTGGAACCCGGACGGCCTGATCGACCCGGAGCGCGTGCACGACATCGAGGACGGCCAGACCTTCTCGATCCCCGTGTCAGGGGCGGAGGAGGGGGACGCCACTCCCTTTGAGATCCAGGCCATCCACACCCCCGGCCACGCCAAGGACCACATGGTGTTCCAGATCACGTCGTCGCCCGACCCGAGCGAGGTGGGCGCGCTTTTCACGGCCGACAACGTGCTGGGCCACGGCACGGCCGTGTTTGAGAACCTGCACCAGTACCTGCAGAGCCTGGACCTGATGAAGCGGCGGGTGGTGGACGCGGTGGCCGCGCAACAGCAACAAGGACGCGGTGGCTCCAGCGGCAGCAAGAGAGCCTACCCGGGCCACGGGGCGGTGATCGGCGACGCGGTGGCCAAGATCGACGAGTACATCGCGCACCGACGCATGCGGGAGGAGGAGGCGCTGAACGTGCTGCGGTACGGCACGACGACGGCGCCGAACAGCGCGGAGCCCGTGGTGCACGACAGCATCACGCGGGTGGGCGACAGTGGCGACGAAGGCGACGAGGAGGAGGACCACGTGGTCGGCGGCGGCGAGAAGGTCCCCGGCAAAGAATGGGAGAGCCTCGAGATGGTCAAGGTCATCTACCGCCACTACCCGGAGAACCTGTGGCAGCCGGCCGAGAGCGGGCTGCTGATGGTGCTGGACAAGCTGCGCCGCGACGGCAAGGTCGTCCGCACGCCGGCGGGCCGGTGGCGCGTCAGTGAGAAGGCGACTCTCTGAGATGAGATGAGATGAGATGAGATGAGCTGGTGATCCCCCATGAGAGTACAGCCTCTTCTTTACCGGCTGGCACTTACCTCTTCACCCTGGGCTGGTTGGTTGGTTAAAAGAGAATATATATATATGTATTTGAGCAAGGGTGTAGAGGTGGAGATGTAAGCTCCAGCAGCGTAGCAGCAGCAAGACTAGTTGAATGACGACCGATGATTGATTGATTGATGAAAGAAGCCACCAACCAGCTCCGCATGGACTGGACGTGGGAGGAGAAAGGAGGAACAACAGTTGTAGAAAGAGGAGGTTCAACTCTCAATCTCACTCACTAGATCTAATTTGATGCTTTTTTGGGGGTTGGATGGATCAAATACATACATACATACATATCACATGCCTCTTTTCTGGTCTTTTTCCTGTTCTGCCGCAGAGGGGAACATAATCATACCTACCACCTCGTCCGGTCTCGTCCGGTCTGGCTGGCTTGATCGAGTCCCATCCAGTCTATAATATCAATCCTTTCTTCTCCAGAAATTCCATCAGCCCCTTGCCCACGCCCTCGGGACTCGGTTTGGCCGCACACACATCCGGGTCGAACCCGTACTTGCTCCGCAGGTGGTCGCGTGTCGTGGGACCGATGGTCACGATCACGTACCGCGGCGGCTGCGTCTGCGAGGGAGCGGCGGCGGCATCGACATCATGGCCCTCGACGTTCTCCGCCCACCTCGTCTTCGCGCGTTCCGTCAATGCGTGACCTTGGTCGATGTAGTCGAGCGATCGCAGCATCGATTCGCAGCCCTGGGGACTGAACACCACGACGACGACCACTTTCGCCCCGTGTTCCCGGGACGAGGCGATTCTGCGTCGAAAGTCGTCTTGGAACGACTCCATCACCACCGTGGTGTACACCTCGACCTCGTCCACCTGGATCCTCTCCCCGGGCGCCAACTTACCTTCCTTGTCCGTCAAGGTCTTGGGTATGATGTCTCGCCTCTGCTCGCCAACGAGAAACAGTAACGGCTTCTTTTGTAGTCTCACGTCGTCTTTGTCTACCCTTTCCCCCCGCGCCGGTCCCATGACCGGCGTGAAGGGCAGTCTCGGCGCGTCGTAAAAGGTGTAGAGGCGCCGCGAGTGCAGGGCGTTGTAGTGCCAGAGGATATACTGTGCCAGTGTGTCCCCGTTGCCCGTGTGTTCGCCCAGCACGGAGGGGCGTAGGCGGGAGAATGGTGACTGCTTTGATGCTGACGATTCGGTGACCAGGGTGTTCAATGCCCGCGAAGTGGCGGGCCCGACGGTGTAGAGGGGGAAGGCAAAGTCATCGTCGAAGAGGTTCCCCGAAGGGTTTCCGCCGTCATGGTCTATGGCGGTGGTCTTGTCAAGGGTCAACACATCCACATCTCCAGAGGGGCAATTCTTTCGTTCCCCCCCGTACGCAGGAGCCGGTGTTGGAGGGAACACACCGTACCGATGGCCCGCATCCGGATTTGAAGCACTCACGGATCCATGTTCTTCGACCCTGGCCCCCTGTTGCTGCTCAACTCGCTTGACCACGTCGGCCCAGGCCTCGACCGCCCGCTGGCTCGTGAAGATCATGCCACCGTATTGCTCGCTCAGCCTCCCCCTCTTCAGCAGGTCCTCCAGCCTAGCCAAGTTCTCGGTGTTTGCGCGGTGATCCAGAACAGGAACGAATTCGGGCAGCAAGACGGTCGAAACGGCACTATCCGCGTGCTTGGTGCTGCCACTGCCACTGCCACTGCCACCGGTGCCGGAGGATGGGGCCAAGTATTCCTCATAGGCGTCATGTGGTTGAGACCGCGTCTTGAGGAGGAGCACGGGGACGGTCTGTGAGGCGTTCATGGTGGTCGTGGGGGAGGCTGAGTCGGAAGACAAGCACGCCGAGCTCTTTCTCTCTGTGTTTTCGCTGTCCCTCTCTCTCTGAGACGCACTGACGCAGTGGGGGGAAGGGAGGTGAGGAGGGGTTTATTCACACAGGCCGGAGAGAGTGAGGCGAGGATGGAGACGGACCCGGAGACATAAGACAAGCCATGGTGGAAGGGGGATCCTGGCCAAAAGAGAGCAGTCATCAATTATTACTCAGTAATAGTGAATGGCGTCAATGTAAAACGGCTGCGGTGCCAGCAGCAACACATTTTTCCCTAGAGGTGGGGGGAGAGACGCTGACTCGGAAGGACGGTCCAGTAGATCCCCAAGTTTTAAGCTGCTAATAAAGGCGAAACACCTCCTCCTCGCCTGAAGCATTTCTGCAAGTATCAACCCACTTCCTCCACATGTAGTGGCTGGATGGAGCCTCGCGAGTCTATCTCAATTACCGTATCGTGCTAAACTAGAATCATGCTGGTGGACAGGATGCTTCTCGCTTCTCCTCTTCCAAAAGACGACGATCAAACGTCTACTCGACCTGACCCGTTTCCGCGCTGAGACCAGCCCAAGGGCTTCCTTACCCATCCCATTACTTGCTTGGTACACACGAAGCAGCCTGTCTCACTTCCTCAATGTTTGTTCTCTGGCCAGGTCAATTTTTATTATTGCTGCTGATTCAACAACTGTGCTAAGCTCTCGCAACACAAATTCCTGCCGGTCTAGCCCGTTCCCATCCCGTGAGCCTCGTGCGGGAACATGACCAGCTCTGTACGAGTCATGGCAGACACGTTATCAGACTGCAGGCAGCCTTGCGGTTCCGCCAGTTCTCCGATCAGTTATGGCTTCAGGAATGGCAAACAGATGTATCTCCCATGGGTCAATCGAGACGGGCACACCACCAGTGACCGGATTCGTCGTGCTGCAGGCATGTCAACGAAGAAAGCAGAAGGGTTAGTGACGTTGTCGTTGACTCCCAGGCATAAAATTCTTTTATTGGTGGGACAGGCTCAGAGGAAACCGACGGCTCATTGGTCCTGACCAACGTCCCAAACCTCGTACAGCCGGTTGACATTGACAGGTCGCACGACAGCCAGCAGCAGGTAGGTAGGCTGCCTTTCCACAGTGGGGCACGGTGATGGAACAATTCTTTTGAACAGTCTTTTCCCACTTCGGCAGAGCTTCAAGTAGTACATCCGAACGGGTAGACCAGTAGGAGACAACGGGAAATGTTTCCAGACAAAGTTTGCGAGCCACAGGGGTTGTCAATCGGGGCACGGATCGATCTAGGGGTCAGGTGATGGTCAACTGGGAAAGAAAATGGCGGTGGAAGAGGAGTTGAGGAGTTGGCCAAACGTCCCATGGGCGACCCTGATATCACCAGGGAAGAAAGCTGCCGTCATCCGGTCATGTATCTTGATCGCTACTCCGGAAGAGGGGCCCAGAAGCATCGATCTCGTCTTTTGTTTGTCTCGTCATGCATGTCTTAATTTAGTCTCCGAGGTAGCAAACATGCTGCGTATTGGATCAACACCCATTCTGTCCAATGTCCAAACAGCCTGGAAAAGAAGTCCTTCGCAAACCTTGGTTCAAGGTTTGATCGATGACCTGAGGCCGAGTGGGCTGTGACACGGCAGCTGTCATATTGGCCTTGAGAGAGGTCGGCCAACCAGGTGCGAGTGACAGTCACTACCGATGGAGGCGTTGGACCCCAGCCGTGGTCGGAAGTATATCGACCAACAACCCACGTACCTGGTGAGCCAACGCATGAAACCGGACAGGACGTGGTGCCCTGGGTGTTTGCTGCAGCCCGGCGTTTCAAAGGGCCTGTCTGACGGGTCCTATCATGGTGGCCAGGTTGCTGGGAATTGAAATTTTGGTACATGCACTTAGGACAATCAGGATTCCCAACAGGCCTGGAACACTCATGCCACCCCCCCTGCAACAAGGCGACGCATGGGGAAATATGCGGCATGACGGACGTCGTCCGGTTTGGCGTTGCCAGAGTTCCACACAATAACCAGCCACGAGGAGCCCTTGCTCAGAGGCGGCAGCACGCATACATGTCAAACTGGCTAACCACCCTTTTGCTGTGTGTGCAATGGGCACGGCCCATATTTGACTTCAGGCTTGACGAAGCCGTCGCGGGACGAATCCATCAGCCTTTTCCTGACGCGACGGAAGGTCCGAATTTGAAAATCATCTTGGCCAGATGCCCAACCTGAAAAAGGGCCCCAGCTTAATGGATTGCTGAATTGAACCGGAGGTGGGGATCAAGCCGCTGTTTGCTCTCTGCTCGCGCCTGAACTTTGGCCTCTCAGCTGCGGGAGTATATATGATGCACTCAAGCAACTTCACGCCCGTTCACGTCTGTGACACTCGCTCGCTGTGCTCACAGACTCGCTCGTACCATCTTGCACATATATTTCGGGCTTCCTTTTACCACCTCTTTTCCCTCACCACCAGAATGCCTCAGAGACAACCGGTAGGACCGAGGGCCCCCAAGGATGACTTCATGCGGGCTCTGGGCCTCAGCACCACTGATCCACGCCACGAGGGATACTACCGGGCTATGAGAGTATGTTCGCGAAACGGGGGCGTGGCGAAAAGAGTCCATACGCCTCGCATCAAGGGGCTGGCTGGCTGACCAGGGCGACCAGGACGAAGCCATTTCCGTGTATAGCAAACTGAACTCGGATCGGACAAGTCTGATAGACGAGAAACGAAACGACTCAACTACAACGCCTCCCTTCTTTTGGCACCACATACGCCCCGACCGTCGCCGGCAAGCAATCATCGACACCTGGCAACAAGCGAAACCCGGCACGATTCAACGAACGCTCTTCGATCAAGGCGCAACAACCGGCGAGCACGCTCCAAATTGGGTGACGCTGTGGCTGCTGTACAGTGTCTTTCGCTCGCGGGATATTCGCAACAACCGCAATCGTCGAGCTGGGGAAGGAGGTAGCGTTGGAGGTAAGGACGATCCTGCTCCCATGGGTGGACTTCATGCTGAGTCGTAGTGCACGGTACAGGTCAGAGCCCAGGCTCCAACGATTCGCAAATATTCGACCCGGCCCGAGACAAATATGTGCGCCGCTGACGAGGACGGGGTGGCGGGAAGACCTTGTAATTTTGTATGACTCCTTGTTTGATTCCATGGCAGGCTGCTGGGCAGATATTAATGGCGTTTAATCGTCGTCGTCTTCATCATCGTCGTTCTTCTTCGACTTGCTCTTGACCCCGTTTTTGCGCTCTTCTCTCAATGCCTTGACGACAGCTTCGTCGTGCTCGTCCTTGGTTTCGTCCCACTCCACGTCATATTCAGAAGCCACCGCTTTGATCTCCCTCCTGAGAGCGTTGCCCTCTTCGATCAGCGCCTCCCACTTTTGCGGGTCGAACCCCTTGAGCTCATACAAACGGCTCTGACGTCGACTGATCGTGAGGTTCATTGCCGAACGATAGGACACCTCGCGATTATGGTACAGAAACCACATGTAACCGCCGATGATACTCCCCATGCCGACGAGATAGGTCACAGGCTCCATCACATCCCATCCGAGGTCGGTTTCGAACGTCAAACGGTAGACCAAGTACCAATATCCTATCAAAATCCCACAACCGCCGAGGGCGATCCTCTGTCCGCTTTTGTGGGCGGCCACGTCACATTCGTGCTTGATAGCAGCCAGGTCCGCAATCCTCCTTGAGATTCTGCGAAGTCGTTGTCGCAGATAGAAGGTCCTGTCATTGAAAGACGGCACTGCCACTTTAATTGTTCTCGGGTTACCTTCGATCTCGACTTCAAATTCTTTCGCTCTGGCTGCGTCCCTGATGAAATCCCCGATCTCTGTCGAGGCACTCCATCTGACAAACTCGCCCGAGTCCTCACCCTTCCCTTCTCTGCCAGCCCCGCTGTAGCTCTGAACACCACCATCCCCGAGGGAACCCTTGCCTTGATCCTGTTCTTGCTCGTCCGACGTCTTGTTTTTGGGCATGATCTCATCACCTTCAGCCTCCATAGCACGGAAGGATACCGACGGTAAACGATCGTCCCCCTGTTCGGTTTTCACTCTGGGCAATTCCGCCTGGATCAACCTTTCGAGATAAGACAGCGGTTGTTGCGGGTGGACAAGGAGAGCAAGGGGCGCAACATTTTTTCGGTCGTCATTTTGATCGGATGTAGTCAACGGCAGGACAAGCTTCAGCAGTCGTGAAGGTGTGGTGAGTAGCTTCCCTGTGAACTAGTTTAGTGAGAGCACATGCGTGGACAGGGACCGCAGAGTACCTCGTACCTTTGGTCATGGCCCCTGCAGAGCGTTGCCTTCGCACAGGAGGCTCTTCCGCCCCTTCACGATGCCATGGTGCACGTTGTTGTTGCTTCTCTCCATCGTTGGCCAGAGCATTGTCGAACTCTGACAGGGCATCATCGACTCCCTGCTGATTGAGATCTTTGGCCTTCTGCTCGTGGGAAACGTTTCTGCAGCCGTACGGAGTGAAGGTCGACGTGCCCAAGGCCGGCAATGGACGGCAGCGGATATAGTGGCCTCGATTAAGAGCAGAGGGTCGAATAATGGGCGCGTGATGGGCATGGGTCAATGGTCTAACCGACCCGAGTCGCCCAAGAGTGAACATGACCCGCATTATCAGCTGCCTCTCTTGAAGGCTATAGGGCGTGTATTCTTTGGAGCAACGTCGACATGGTGATGGACCTCTATGGTACTCTCTAACTGTCTTGTATAGACTGCAACGCGTGAGATGTTTTTGTGAGAGAGAAATAGCATCTTCACGATTCCAAGGATTGTAGCTTGTTGATCGACCAGGGAAAACAGCAGCCGACGTCATGGCCCTTGTGAAGCTTCCGGGGCGGGCGTCAGCCACCGTGGCCACAGCCGGAACAGTTCTGGCCCAATCACCCGCCAGGGCTAGTGCGCTGCCCGGGCCACCAGCTTTAAGAGTCACCATTCTTGGGGATGGCTATTAAGATCTATTAATGACTCGGTACAAGCACTCATATTCCGTACCTACACTTTGGGTAGAGAAGCCTCCTGACTTGTATACGACATTGCTCTTCTCGACTCATACAGCCGCAGTTATTCTAATGCCCCGAACTGCTCGAAGGTTTCTTGACATAGTCCTTATACATCTCCTTCAGAGCAGCAGCCTCCGGACATCCAATTGCTAGCAGGATGGCTGATATAGTTTACTTCTCCCTACGAGATACATTGTCCACCATTTTTCCCCTTGTCGCCATTCTCTTTTCGGCAATCCAGCCGATATTGACATGAGAGTTTTAAAAAATTCTGGAGATCTCTAGTGAAGAAGATGGCGAAGACAACAGTGCTGGCAAGTTATATGAGTGGGCAGCTCAATGACTGAGCATGGCGGTGTGCTTGGTATCTTGCGTCCATTTCTTGAACTCCCAGCTCGCCAAAAATCAACCATCCAGCTTAGCGCCAAGTTCCTTCTACCATTATTACTTATGTATGTCTACTAATACGATCTGGTGCACCCCTGCTATCCTCCACAACAAGTCACATGACGGCCGGGTTAGGGCCACTAGGCGGTGCTGGCGTGCGCGGTCGGCTCTCTCCCGCCTTTCAATCCTCACCCCTCTCTCCTCTTCTTTCCTTTCCGCCGCTTGTGAAGAATCATGCCAGTGGGTTTTGCTACCCAGAATATCTCGGGCGGTCGACCGAGAACAGAGGGAACGAGGTATGACCCAGAAGACAGTTGGAGAAGAAAGAGAGTCATGATTTTGCTATGTCTAGATTCTAGCAAGAAGAGCATTCACACATCCTTCCGGGCGAGAAATACTTTGGTCAATGAGATGCTTCTCAAATGCTCACCACCTTCTTCTTCAAGACGCTATGCTTCAAGGGGCCCAAAAACGCACCAAGGCTCAGAGAACCACACAGTTGCCTGCAAAAAAAGTCTTTATCTAACCACGGCCAACCCGTCACAGAAAATGCGTAGTCGTGTCATCATGAGTCATGAAAAAGGAAAAATAAAGGAAAAGATTGTCCCCCTCCCCCAAAGAAAAGGTCATGGTTTCGTGAGTCGTAAGCTTCGTACAAAAAGCATTCTGAAACGAGCCGAGTCGAGTTCAGGACATTATCCAAGAGACGGGGCGGCATGGTGAACTCTTCAGCATCCGTCCCCTGAGGGGCCCTAGTAGCGTGGCATGGCTCGTCTGCTGTACTGGCCTGCATCCGAGGAGTACACAACCCGACGAGAGGGAGACGTGCGCATTGGGCTCGAGAGGCGAGACTCGCCCCAGTCGGGGCTGCTTCCTCCACTGCGGCTTCCAGCGCTGTCTGAGTCGCCATAACGGCACTCCATGCGAGACGTGTCCGCTCCGCTCCTGCGGTTGTGGCTGTGGCGACCAGAGCCGACGGGCACGGGATTGCCCTGGATCACTCCGCCGTGGGCAAATCCAGTCGGGTACATGCCATCGTTGGCAGAGAAGTTGCGGCAAATGTTGAAGGCGATCAATGCAGCATTTTCCTTTGCCGAGCTCTCCGAGGAGTGATACGTAGGAGTTTGGTATTCACGGTTGTTCACCCGGACCACGCATCGGTACCCCGACGGACTATAGGATATTTGGTAAGCAGGCTCGGGCCATCGCCGGCGCTGACATAGACCTGAGGAGGAGGTGTCAGTGTCTGAGACCAGAAGAGCGTGAGTGGCAAATGTCGAGGTATGACGGGGTTCTTTTTTTCAGGGAGTCCGAGAACCGAAGAGGAGGGAAAAGATCCAGGAGGGTTTCCACTGGCCGTGGGTTGGGACATATCTGCAAGGCTGGCCGACCCCTGAACAACCAATATAGCGTGGGAGGAGGGAACATCAAGCCGTCGGACACGACGAGGCACTCAAACCAGGAACACCATGTGCAGGCCAGGTATCGAAGCCAAACTGAAAGAACGAGGTGTTGAATGAGACATACTGGCCAGATAGACTGTGTGTAGCATGTCTGCTCCAATTTGAGGTTGCTTTCAGCGTCTTGGGAGCCCAATGAACCGTGCATCCAATTGTTTGAACGAGACGAAGAGAGAAACAAAAATCCCACCAAACGGATGGAGCTGTTGACAACAAACAAGAACTGGTTCAACAACCCGTATCACCGCTCGCAAGAATGTCGCCTGGCTTGAAAGGCACGGGGGAATGTCGTAGGGCAAAATGTTGTCAGGTAGCAGCAAAAATTGATGGCATCGACATTGCCTGGCCTTTTTACGGGCGAACCGTGGCGGCATTCCCACATATTTCATGCTTTGGATAACAGGAGAAACCCTGCACTGACAGCAAAGCAAGCGCGAAGACAGCGGCACTGCGTGGGGCCTGCACAAAGATTCCACAGTGGCCAAACGGTCGTGAGTGAGCGGCTGGGTATTGGTCCAACGGCGGGAGGATAACATTTTTCATGCTCTTCTGCCATCGTAATGTGTTGATGTGTTGGCATGCTCTGCAGCCAGTTAACGGAACCTTGATGTCGGGCCCATTCTTAGCATGATTCCTCTTTGTCGAGGGCCGCTGCAGATCCAGATACCGGGCGTGATTGGCGACGAGCTGCCTTGACGATTCCCCGCGCCCTCCGTCGAATGAGAAAGTTGCCCATGTGCCGTCCTACTCGTGGCTTGTCGTGGCCTTTTTCGGCTCTGACTTGCTTCTCCGCTTGCATGCGTGACCGGTGAGGCTTGCAGAGGAAACATCGTTGGGAACCGACTTAGGTCCGGGGAGAAGATCTTTCTTTGGGGCCTCGACCAAAGATCTTCCATTGACGCAATCGGCGTTATGCAGAGACAGCTGGCAGGTGGGGAATGGTGCTCTAACGATGCAGGGCCTTAATCTCGGCTGGGTCGTCTGGCCGCTGTACTAAAAGCCACAAGAAAATCATGCTCGAAACTCTGGAGGAATGAGAATAGATATATCTCTTTGATAGGCAGGTTAGGCGCCGACAGAGGACGAGACATACTTGTAAGGGGAAATATGCCTCAGTGCTAAGGGAGTCGAAACTTTGACGTGCGCCATTATTAGATCAAATGTCTTTCACAAACAATCCACCTCGCCGCCATGGTCTCGCTCGTGTGGCCATGCAATTTCGTCGTTCTTTTTTTCCCACTCGAAATGGTGAACAGGTTTAGGCACATCGACGAAAGCGTGTGATGCTGTGGATCATAAGCCGCCTTCAACGCGTCGAGCTCCGATGCATGAATGCGTTGTCATCTCAAATGCAGGTTCCCAGGGTGCCCAGATACTTAAGGCACGGTTGTTGTCGGGCAAACTCGCACCTGACCTCGACCTGATGTCTCATCGTCGTCTTCAACAGTCGACGTGGAATTCGAGCCAGTGTGGCAACCCGTAACTCCCTAGCTTGAACGAGCGACAAATTGAAGAGCACTCGACGAATGCTTGAATGTTCGGCGACAGGGAACCAGAACGACAGTGATGCAGCAGGGGGTGGTCCAGTCGGTCCAGTCGATTCTATCTGGACGCTGCCGAGCAGCAGCCACAGTGTCTCCAGCAGGTCCAGGGAAGATTCTTCCACCATCTGCAAGTAAGGCAATTAATGCAATTGCACATGCATTTGACCAACCTAATTGATAATTGCATGAACGGGCGCAGTTCCCCCACTAGAGGCTTTCCAGTGCGAGCCTGCGTTTGGGTGATGGTAGCAATGCTAAATTTCCATGCCCAAGTAGTCGACGAAACGTCTGAGACTGCGGTGGGAATGCCACACCTTTCAGTGACCAATGGATCGAGAAGAACTGCGGGACGGTAGGAATAGGAAGAGGGAGGAGGGGGGAGAAATTCAAGAATGGTCCGAGTTTTGAGAAAGAGTTGATTGTCTCCACGATTTCGCCGCATGTGGCAGCCCGTGGCATAGAGTTTAACAACGACTTCTGAATCGGGCGTCAACACGACAGGAAATTTCCATGGATAATGCCTGCCGTTCAAGGTTTCCCTTGAGGCCCATGCATTGACTTCGGCATTGTCCGGTTGCGTTATTTCGTGCCTGGCACGTCCAGAGGCCTGGCCAACGACCACTCACGCATGGCCTTTGCTGCTTCATGGGGAATCACAAAGACGGGGTGAATCTCCCTGACGCCCGCACCTGCGGCAAATATCTTAGTAGCATCCCACTCGCTAGGGATTTTCGCCTCCGAGGATTGCCAGGTGAAGGCCGAGCCAAAGGGATCGTCACTGTCCGGAGTCCCATAGGAGTGGGAGTGTTCGACTATGCTGAGCCCGGATAGATTGTAACAAGTATGGTACGAGTCGGGCATCCTGTGGAGTGCCGTTAGCATACGCGAGGGGAACTCTGGAGTGACTTACTTTGATGGTTTGTCCCTGAGTCCGCCATCCTTCGCCTGACAACAGCATAGAATATACCGTGCCAGACCTTCGCTGCTGTACAAATTCTCACTCACGTCGCCTGTAATGTCACCGACCGAGTCTCGAGGACCGCCCACCGCTGCTTGTGCCAGAGGCCAACAGCCCCCCAGCCAGTGGCTATAACAACCATCCACCAATTTATTTGTGCGGCCGGCAAACCCACCTTCTGGTGCATATTGCCGGGAAGAGAGCCACCAAATCAGAGCATCGACGTCTAGAAACTTGCTAATTGTTTCTTGCGGTGGACCGTACAGACACAGACAAGCGAGCGCACAAAAGGCGTAGGACCCGTGCGCTTCGCCTCCAGGTGACGCTGCAATCCCCCCCTCATAGGTCTGGCAACGCGAGAGATACTCCCCGAGGCCATCCTTGAAAGTTTCCAAACCTGCATCACGAGCTGGAGAATCTGGCGGTAGTGAGAGTGGAAGGTTGAGCAGTGAAATGGCAACCAGGGCGCACAGAGCTCCTCGAGTATCTTCCTCGCCGCCTTCACATACCTGAAAGCCTCCATCCGCTTGTTTGAGCCGCCCCAGCCAGTGCCACATCTTTCCACGATCGACAAGTGAGTAGGCCTCTTCGCCGCCGACCAGCGCCAGGGACAGCAGCGCTGCATAGGTTCCAGCTTGGTGAGCATCTTGTCCGAAGCCACCACCAATGCCGCCATTGGGATTTTGCATGGAATAAATGGTTTTGACGACCCTGGTAGCACAGTTAGTCCACTGGTTCGTCCAAAAGCCATCCCATCAAGGGCTTGAGAGGAATAAAGAAAGCAGTGCAGAAAATGTGTTACCTTGACCGGAAGACGGAGACGTCTTCACCAAGCATGTAAAGGGCCACCAAGGCCCAGTAAACCATCCAAGGACGACTAGCATCAATGCCGACATAATGAGCAGGGAATTCCTCCAAACTCCGATGCAGGAATCCAATGTGCGCCTCCCTTTCTAAATAGGGCAATCCAAACTCATTGAAATCGAAGGGACTTCGGCTGGGGTCGTTGATGCCATCAAGGAGAGGCAAGCACTCGCTGACGGTTTCGTTCTGAACAGTAGATGTCTCTGTCTCCAATGTATCGAGTAGCAGGGGTGCTTGGCGGAAGTATGTGGGTATCTGATAGTCGGCATTGTCCATGTTGGGCGTCGTAGCGTGTGAGAAAGACTCCAAGTCGTAGAAAGTAAGAGGAATAGTCTCAGATGATGCGAGAGCTCAAGGTTTTCCTCTCAGTGTACATACTAAAATAGCGTCACGACGGAGATTTCTGCATGTTGGTATTTGTTCTCAAATTCCATGTGCGTTGGTTGCAATGCGGAGCACGTCAAGGCGACCACGACGTTGGCCTGACGGATCCTTTCCACGAATATCTACTCCGTGGAGTTGGAAGACCGATTGGTACAGGCAATAATGTGAGGGCAAGAATTTGTCTTGGTCCAAATCTCATTTCACCTCGTCTCACTTTGGTAATTGAGACTGGGCTGGGGATGTTGTGGTATGCCCACTACTGGATTGCGGGGTAGTTGTCACCGTCTCGAGCCACCACCAGTTGTACTGTAATAAGATACGGAGCCTCTGCTTGGCGCTTGCCCTTTAGCTAACATATGTATATCCAGTTTGCTTCGCTCCTAATTTCACATGGTGAAGAACGTCTATCGATTCAGAGTCCATACCCACTCTTGATATTTTAGATCAGTTTCCTCCCACTCCCGAATACTGACTGCATGTATGAACCCGTGCAGCAGGGGTATACCACATCGGCCTGACCCAGACCTCAACCAGCAGACGATTGCACGAGGTACTGTGGACACGGGTCGGTGACTGGCTCAGCCTGGTAAAGATGGTCGCACAACTTTCCCGCCAGCCGTTGCGTGGGTACACCGTCACACTCATGGGAGCCGTGCTGGGTGGAAGCAGCGACATCCTCCATGTCTCAACACATGAAACGTCGGTCTGTCACCAACAATTGCCCTTGAACGAAACCGAACATATTTACAGGAGCCTCCTGCAGTCTTGCTTGAATCACCAGCTGGAACTGTCGTTGCCATTAGAGGAGCAGCAATAGCCCGGTGGCTAGGGGCAGGCAGGCGGTCTCAGAGCCTTCACCGCTCTTCGAAAGGGAAGATTACCTTCGTGCATGAAGCTCAGCTTGCGATCCTTAATATACTGTTGTCTCAAGTCGCCATGAACCAGGGGTAATACGTGAACTGCACATGTGGCAAGATTCTAATGAAAGAACACAAGGCAAGAATAAATAATAATACCAAGCTCATCTGTAGTCCGCCCTTGGACAGAGAGGCGCAGCACAGATCTCGCTCTCACAGCCGAAGAGTTTGCACAGCAAAGACGATGGCAGGAATGGACTTGCTATGATAGGACTAGTAGTCAGCACCGTTGGCCGATTACTTACATTAGTGGTGAGCTTGTCTGTGGCATTGCGACATCTCTATGGCCGACCATGAATTCCTCGTATTGTTGCGGTCAGACCGGCTTGCCTTTTGTAGCAGGGGACTGCAGGGGGCCCGGCAGCGAGCGTTCCAGGCGCCTTAACCCTGAATCCGTGAATTAAATCAGCGCCACCACAGAAACAAGGGGTGGTAGAGACATGAAATATTGGTGCTGGCGTCGACATGCACGGCGAACATACCCTATAGGTGTTAGGGAAATAGATGTGAAAAGGCTTAGAGAGAATAGGACACGGAGAATCCAAATTGGGGTATTGCGATTGAGCTTTCTTACCCTGTCCCTGTGCCGTGTCTGTTGTTGCAGGCTTGAGAGAGGATGGCAAAACAGGGCGCAGCCACCAAAGGCCCCAGCATACAGTATGTGCGAGTTGTTGGAAATCCTTTGATAATGATGCTGTAATAATTCATTAGGGATTCTTTCAGTAAATAATGCCTCCATTCCCTGCCTCTTACCTCATGTCTTTCCTCTCCCTCTGTGTTGTGTCTTCTGCGTCGTTCCAGCCCCAAAGATCATAGGTGCTCCGTCTGTAGGTACAGTACCTTAGGCAAATCCACCGACGCCGCTTGTTCGACCCCCGGAAAAAGACGGGATTCCGAACTACTGCCGCCCAGAGCCCACACCCAGTGCCAACTACTGCTCGGTACCCAACTCCAAGTGCCTTGTACAAATCAGTGACCGCCAAAGTGAAAACGACGGCTGCTGGAAATCCACCTGACCACCCAAACTAAAGCACCCATTTTCTAGGGCTTGGGGCTCCTCAACAAAAGGTACGGAGGACGGAGCGCGACGTTCCTTGGGTATGCCTCTCCCATAGTCTATCCTACTCTCGTCTTCCACACATATGCCTCCTCGCCCAGTCTCTCATGATCGCTTGACTGACAAGACCAGTAGGACACAGACAGCATCCTCTTATCCCTCCTACACATTGTTAACCTTCACGAGCTGGTTGGCTTCACGGACAAATCCCAGCTCAGTTCCCGACTTTACCCTCCCCGAACTGCGTTAGGCAAAATGGGGCTGTGATTCCCACGACGCCATCTTCCCTCGGCCGGATCAGCCAGTCACGACACATCGGCAAGTCGGGCCCATTCTTATCCAGTCAAAACGACACTTATCGCTTGGTCGCAGCTGGGGCCTCATCCTGCAGGCGACCTTTGGGACCTTTGGCTCTCTTTGGGTGCTGACCACTCGCCAGTGGCCACAGCACCACCCAGCGATTCCACGAACCACTGGCATCGCACAAACACGAAATCCACCACCCACATCGCCCACTGCCACTCCCCTCCCACTTGCTCGTGCTCTCCCCGCCCGATTCGACGATCCGCAACACCCTGCATGCACTGCTCACCGCCTCTTCTTATCCTCTCCCGCCCTCGCACCTGACGCCCGCCTCTCAAGTCGAGCTCGTTTTGAGCGGTCACTTCCTGTAACTCTTGTCCTCAGTTTCCTCCCTCCTTACCTTTCCTCTCGACAGCTCTCTCTGCTCTTGCTTCACGAGGCCGGTGAGAAAGAGAGAGAGGGAAACAATCCACCAGTCTGTCCTCCAGATCCCGCATCTCTTATCCCACGAGGCTGACTGTCTGACACATTAGACATGGCGGCCAACGTCGCCCTGACCAGTGAAGACCTTGCCTATGACCTCGATTCAAGAAGCGCCTCGTTCTTCCGAAACCATGCCTGGCCTATACCAATGGATCATGTAGCAGCTACTCGCCCAGATCCAAGGAGGAACATTTCTCCCATCCAGACCAGCAACCATGGCCTGCGGCAGACCACCATGGCAGAACATCCCATGATGGACACCTGGAGGTTCCAACAACAACAACATCAGCAGCAGCAGCAGCAGCAACAACAACAGCACCATCAACCACCGCAGTCACAGCAGTCCAGTATCGACTATGCCAACGCCCAACAACCGTACGATTTGCATTACGATGCCCAGTTCCACGGCATGTCTTTACATCATCCCCAGATGACCATGATGCCGGTGTCGCAGACTCCGATGGCTTCGGGCCTGTCGATCGCAGGCCACTACCTTGCCCTCGAGACTGGTATTGAGGGCATGCCCCAGAACTGGGCCGACCTACAAAGCGAATTGATCAGCTATACGACGACGGATGTCGGATTGGCCGTTTCACCTTATCAGCAAATGACCAGCTCTCCGACGGGGTCCCACCTCGAAGTCCTCTCGCAACCCAGCTCTTGTGACGAACACGGATGGACCATGGTTGAGCCCAGAACGTCCTTCGAATCTTACGAGCGACAATTCTTCGTCGACCCCAACCAGACCGTGCACAATAGGACCTTGTCCGAATCCTCCTATTCGGACCTCGAACAACATAGCCATGGCGCCTTCATGTCGAATCTCGACATCGGTGCCTCTCAGGCAGTGTATTCGCCGACCAATTTATCAGACAGCGACTTTGAATATCCGGGACATAATCACCGCCTGTCAATAGATCACGGCTCGGCTCCGTCCATGAGCGTCAATCCGTCCGCCCTCGTGCGCCCGATCCCCATTCCCTCGGCCAAGACATCCGCACCGTCGATACGATCGCCCGGCTCCCAAGGTTCAGCCGGCTCTCCAGGCCGCAAGCCTTCCAGAAAGAGTCCCATTGCTGCAAAGTCGACCGACAAAGTCACGAAGAAGTCATCACCCGGTGGCAAAGAGGGGGAGAAGCGAGTTGGCCGAAGAAAAGGACCGCTCCGACCTGAACAACGGAAACAAGCCAGTGAGATCCGGAAGTTGAGAGCCTGCTTGCGGTGCAAATTCTTGAAGAAGACATGCGATAAAGGGGAACCTTGTGCTGGATGCCAACCGTCGCACGCTCGCCTGTGGCAAGTCCCTTGCACCCGCATCGACATCAAGGAAATTGGGTACTTTTTGAAGGACTGGAAGTTCGACTACGAGAGACATATCTCACTCGGCTTCTCGGTGGGTAATATCAAGGGCTTTTCCGATACCGAAAAGACGCTGTTCATCACTCACGGGTACGGACATATGCTCCCTGTCACCGCTCGAGAAGTGTACGTCAGGGATGAGACATGTCTGAAGATGGATTGGATCGAGGCCAACTCATTCGCACCCGATGGCTACGAGGTATCCACGGCCAAGCTCTCGGCTGGCATGGAAGGCATCTCGACAACAATGCTGAGTGATTACCTCGACCGACATATCGATGGCACTGGCACGTTTGAGAAGTTTGTGGATGACTACTTTGAGGGCACGCCCTTCCTCTCACAAATGCTCAAGACGGCATACCGATTCTACTTCAAGACCAATTCAAAGATCATCAAGAAGGCCTTGAAGTTGATGCTCGCGTACAACTTGACGCTGCACATTACCATGGTGGAAGGAGTGCCAAGCGAAGAGTCCTTTGTCGGCAAGATTGAAGAGCAGACGTCCAAGTTCTTTGGCAAGACGATGGCTCCGGTCATGATTAACTTCCAGATCAAGTGTGCCATGGCTGATATGTGGCGTGAATTGCACAAGGACGTTCTCGAAGAATTGTCCAGCCTGTATTCCAGCGTGTACAGCGGAGACAAGCTCAAGAACTGGCCGACCATCTTCATCCTTGCGTCAGTCCTGCTGGCTGTCTGGGAGTGCATGCAGTTTGACTGTCACTACCGCGTTCCCGACTCTGCGGCCGTGGAGAAGTTTTGCAACGACATGGAAACAACCCCCGTCGGCGTGGTGGTGGGCCTTTTCCAGGCCATCTCTCAAAAGCTCCCATCGTTCCTTGAATGGGACACTTCTAAGCACCACGCGCTCCTGGCGTCCAACATGGATGTGTGCAACACTATGAGCGAAGTGCGAGAACATGTTACGCGATATGGTGAGCAGATACCCCCTGGTCCTTTTGTGATTGATCCGCAGAACTAACCCGATTTGCAGAAAACTACTTACGGGGTCGGCCCAACGCACGGTTCGATCGCAAAGACTTTGATTCGTTGTCGAACAAGTTCCTTGCCAAACTTGTGATCCGGGCGAATTAGATATATGATGCATTTACGGCTTACGATGAGCAGTCCTGTCGTTGCAGATCTCACGAGATATTTGACGTCCCTCACGATATCATACGTTGCTTCTTGATTTGTTTTCACGTGTATCGGGTTGGACGACTGATGAACGACCACGGCGTTATGACGACGACGACGACGACGAACGCACTCATTAGCATGAATCTAGCCTTGAAGTTTTTTTTGGTCTCGATTATTTTTGCATATATATATTTTGTGTCGAAGGATCGGTCTATGGAAGGAGGACGAGGACGAGGAACCACGGCCTCGGGGAAAGGCCGGAGATTTCTTTTGGACGCATGAACAAGGATGGCGCCGTGCATTGCAATGAGCGTTCCCGAGCAGATCCTGCATCATCTTGACCAAGCACCATACCTGGACGGGGTTCATGGGCGGGAATGCATCGTTCGAGCAAGCTACATAGACCGCAAAGAGAAAAAAAAGAGGGAACAAAGAGGGGGGACCTCACGGCAAACTGTGGGGCAATTGTCACTGGCATGGAGGCGTGCACCTTCTATATGTAATGGGAGGGCAAGGACGGAGATGAGGGACAAGCCATGAGGTGTCGAATCGCTATCACCATCAGCCACTCGTCAATCGAGACGATGCAAGAGAACATTGTGTTTCTCTGAGTAGTAAGCAGAAAAGTCATTCAAATACTCAATATTTGATAGAGAGAGTCTCCCTGTTCCTCCCGAAGTGTGATAGGCGAGCTCGGGAATGGATGGGCGATCCCGGTAGCCATGGAGCACGAGTTCTTGGGAATTGGGGCTACCGAGCAATTGGCACAGGCTGGGAAGGGCATTCCTGATGCAGTAGTGGCAGTTAATAGTGGAAGATTCCTGGCTTAGAGGCGCTGGGGGGTGGCTGCCACTGGTAGCATCGCCCTTCCTGCCCCGGAAGCTTGGTCCGGAACGACACTGACGTACGTCCTTAGACCCAATGCCACCGGTGCCACTGCTGGAAAAAGTATTGTCGACTGCTGAAAAACAGTTTTTTTCAATGTCACTGGTGGCACCAAGAAACTGGAAGCAAGGAAAGCGCCAGAAACATCCCCGTCACTATATTTCCCCGGAGGTGAGCCTCAGTTGACCCGACCGCCTCCCTCTCACATGCCTGCTGTTGTTCACTCTTGTGTCACTTTGCACTAATCCTCGACCGACGACTTCAACCTTCGTTACACTCCTCCTCGACCTGTATCTTTTGGCTCAAAGCATCTGAATCTCTCATTCAGCGAATAGTATTATTCAGACGTCGTTGGTGATCTTCGCAGCACGCTACTGGGCACCGATTCTCGTACCACTTGAACAGTGAGGTGAGGAACCGCGAACAATACTCGTTGGGACAAACCACACCTTCCTCGATTCATCCTGTTGCACCTGCATCTCCATTGCATTTTTACTGGCTTCTTCGAAAGCATTGGGCAGGAACTCTCCCTCCGAACATCGACTTATCAAGTCCACGCCCCTGCCTTCGCAATCAACCACTTCAACTTCTTTTCCACGTCTCCCCTCGGCAATCTTGAGAAACACAAATTCGCACACGGCTGCTAAGGGCGTTTCACTTCTCCTTCCACCCAAACCACCGCCCGCCCCCCCACCATCCCCTTCACCACCACCAACCTCCTACTTCGAGTCCGTATCCTGCGCTTTCGGCCATACCTCGCCATCTGACCATCTTCTGAATCCAGTCTGAGTCAGCTCTAAATATCTACCTGATTCAAATTCGTTCCAAACATGCCTGCTGCCACCGACAGCCCTCCCAAGGCGGAATCACGGCTTCTCCTGGTCTCGAATCGTCTGCCAATCACCATCAAGCGTTCTCCGGAAGGGAAATATGATTTCTCCATGTCGTCAGGGGGCCTTGTCACTGGTCTTAGTGGGTTGGCGAAGAGCACCACTTTTCAATGGTATGGCTGGCCAGGGTTGGAAGTCCCTGAAGATGAAGCTGGCGGTGTGGTCAAGCGTCTCAAGGACGAATTTAATGCTATCCCGGTCTTCGTCGACGACGAATTGGCCGACCGGCATTACAATGGCTTTTCAAGTACGACTCCCTGGGAAATTTATCATCACTTGTGCGACGTGCTGACAAGCTCTAGATTCCATTATGTGGCCGCTATTTCACTACCACCCCGGTGAAATCACGTTCGACGAGTCAGCTTGGAATGCTTACACCGAGGTCAACCGCCTCTTCGCTCGGGCCATTGCCAGAGAAGTCGAGGATGGTGATCTTGTCTGGGTCCATGACTACCACCTGATGCTGTTACCTCAGATGCTCCGGGAAGAGATTGGGTCTACCAAGTCCAATGTCAAGATCGGCTTCTTCTTACATACTCCCTTCCCATCGAGTGAGATCTACAGGATTTTGCCCGTTCGAAATGAAATCCTGTTGGGAGTTCTTCACTGCGATCTGATTGGCTTTCACACCTACGACTACGCTCGACACTTTCTCAGCAGCTGTTCGCGAATTTTGAACCTCAGCACTACACCCAATGGGGTTGAATTTGAGGGCAAGATTGTCACAGTTGGTGCTTTCCCGATAGGCATCGACCCGGAAAAATTCACCGAAGGATTGAAAAAGGAGAAGGTACAGAAACGAATTGCTGTGCTGGAGGAGAAGTTCAAGGGGGTAAAGTTGATTGTCGGCGTGGATCGTCTCGACTACATCAAAGGTGTTCCCCAGAAACTGCATGCTCTCGAGGTGTTCCTGACAGACCACCCCGAATGGATTGGCAAGGTGGTTTTGGTCCAGGTCGCCGTGCCCAGCAGACAAGACGTTGAAGAATATCAGAATCTTCGCGCTGTTGTCAACGAATTGGTGGGACGCATCAATGGCAAATTTGGTGAGTTTTTGCGAGCCTGCTGTCATTCGTCTACATCCTGGTTTGCTGACAAGTCCAGGCACTGTCGAGTTCATGCCCATCCACTTCATGCATAAGTCGGTCAACTTCGACGAGCTCATTGCCCTTTACGCCGTCTCAGATGTCTGTCTCGTTTCCTCAACACGAGACGGCATGAACCTGGTATCATTTGAGTACATAGCCTCTCAGGAACAGCGAAAAGGTGTTCTCATTCTTTCCGAATTCGCTGGTGCCGCACAGAGCTTGAATGGCAGTATCTTGGTCAACCCTTGGAACACTGAGGAGTTGGCAACCGGCATTCAGGAGGCTGTGACGATGAGCCCGGAGCATCGCGCCATTAATTATGCCAAGCTGCACAAATATGTCTTCAAGTACACCAGGTAAGTTTCATGGCGCCGCTTTTTCCACAGTCACCAGCACCCTGTCTGACGCATGTATCCAGTGCTTTCTGGGGCCAATCTTTCGTCGCCGAATTGACCAGAATATCCGCCCAAGGAGAGAAGAAGTTGAAGTTACGCCGCGCATCCTTGATCAAATCGCCGTCTCAGCAGCCGCCTTCGGAAAACAGAGATGGGGATTCGGAAACGAAACAAGCCGCTCAACCGCCCCAGCCATCGACGAAACCAGAGGTCGAAATCGATGGGCGAGAAGCTTCTCGAGATGTCGGTCTCACGGCCGCGGATGGAGTCTCGAAAGAAAAGTCAGCCACTCTATGAGCTCGAGGGATGGGCTCGGCGAATCCTGACGACGAAACGGCACGAGATTATGTGGCACAGTCCCTGACGTGGGCTTCTGTATTGGAACAGTTTCAATCATGGATGGGGTATTACTTTAGACGGGAGCTACAGCAACAAATCAATGCAGGGCAAGGCGCTTGGGGGCCATAGACAGGAAATCACTCGATGACAGCGGAAATACATGCCTTTAAAGGCCATACATAATCCTACGAGTCTCCTCGTGAGCTCGAGAACTAACTCGACATGCTCTTTGGCTGCCTGCGGAGAGGATTGATGGAGCGAACCTCAGGGTATCTTTTCTTCATGTTCCTCCTCCAGCTTGTTCTTCATACACGTACTGTAGGTTGTTGGACCTCAACGCCCGTGGCTGGACGGCAGTGTGGCTTATGAATAACCAGCTCGGCCTTCCATCCGCCCACTCACTCAGGTTATCTAATTTGTCTTCAATGTTTCTTTGTTCTCTATTTTACATCAGTGGGGTGGTGGTACTGTAGGTTTTCCATGTATATACAGCAAGTAGTAGATAGGTCCTAAGACGCTGCTGCTACCTCTCCTGGTCCACGGCAGCACTCTGATTCGCATTCGCCCGGTGTTTCTTGCTGGCGCTGCCGCTACTACTACCTTTGCCACCGTCCCTCCTCCCCTTCTGCCTCAGGGCCAGTTTCTTCACCTCGCCCTCCGTCCCGCGCCATCTGCCCGCTTCACTGCCCACGCTCCTCTCCCGACGCTGCTCGACGGGCACACCGAAGGGAGTAAGCACGTCGCGGACGACGTAGCGCACGCCCTTCTCCTTGACGACGCCGTTGCGGTCACGGGGCCGGTGGCGCTTGACCACGAGCTGGCCGCGGGCGTCGCGCGCCTGGCGCAGCGACGGTGGGAATGCGCCGAACCGCACCACGTCGCCTTCGCGCAGCAGGTTGTGCGCGTCGTGCACCAAGCTGTGCGTCGCCCGCGTGTAGTGCTTCTGGAACTGCGCGTGCCACACCTGGATGTGCCGCGTCACCCGCACCGTCTTCTGCATCGTCCCCGTCCGCGTCACCGTCCCCACCAGCGTCGGCGACGTCGAGAGGAACTCTGCGTCCGCATCCGGGATCTCGTGCGTGGCCGAAGGGTAGATCAGCGAGGGGTCCCAGGACGAGGGGGCCGTGGTTTTCGCTTTGGGGGATGAGGGAGCCGGGGGCGTATATGGTGGGTTCTGTGGTATGGAGGCAGATGAGGATTTTTTTACGTTGGGATCCGTCGGTGCTCGTGAGAGTACGCTCGGGGCAACATTCGCTCCGCCGGCGCTGGCTTTGTGCAGGATCGAGGCGTCAAGCCCTTCTGAGGACGTTGGCGGAAGGTCACTGACAGGCTGCGCTTGGTGTAGGAGACATGTCGAGGAGAATGCTCGGTGCTGTTGTTGCTGCTGCCGCACGGAGGTCCTGCGGGATCGCGACAGACTGCGAGTCGCCGCCCATCGACGAGCAATCAATTGCGGCGAGAGTGTGAGAGCTGACGGCCCTGTCGCCCGGCAGGCACAAGCACAAGCACGCCGAACGAGCGCCGTTGCAGCCGCAGAGGAGGAGGAGGAGTAGTAATTCATGTTGATTTGTGCGGTCGTGTTGCTCGTCTGGGTCCCGGGGACTACAGAACCGTGGTATTATTTCGCAGGCATGGAAGGAAGGGAGAGAAGAGACAGGGGGAGTTCGGGCCTGACGTGAGGAATTCGCAGACTCGTGTAGGCTGCAGTGAGCAATGCCCACAAAGTGTACAGTAAGTAGTATGGAAGAGAGTTTCCTCGATGGTGATGTTGATGTTGATGTTGGTGTTGGTGCTGCTGCTCTCTACCTGCTTCCAAAATTTTAGGGTGAATTGGGAGTCGGTGGAGCTAACCACCCACCAGCCCTACTTGGCCATCGTGCCAGCCTCATAAGGTTAATAGCCCTAGGATCCTAGGTCTAGCCAGCCCTTGAAGGCATAACAATTACTGGATTTTATCCCTCGATAGCTAATCCTACAGTGATTGCTTTTCAGCTCTCGACCGAGCCTTTTCCCATCGGGCCGTCTACCGCTGCTCTGCTGCCTTGAAAACGCCAGGCCTTTCGTTCCCGCACCGTTCCCGCACCGTTCCCGCACGGTGCTGTTGATGGCTGATGTCTATGCCGCCCAGACGTCCTTGCCGACGCCTTCTATCCAGTGACCCAGATCATTGACATTGCTGTCCCACTCCTTCAGTCGCTGCCTCATGCCCTCGATTTGGTTTCGTTCCAGCACTTTGGGCTGAACCCAGTTGATTCTCGCAATCTGAGCAACCTGGTCGATCTTTCCTCGCAAAAGTCCCAAGCTGAGCGCCTTCATGATCAGGTGCTCAATCTCATCGGGCTTGACGTTGGTCTCTTGGCTGATGGTCTTGAACGTCATGGCACGGTCGTGTGGTGGTCGCTTAAACACCAGTTCTGTCAACGCAGCCAAGTTGATCTTCTGCCAGAGGAACAGTCGATGCGACTCGAGGATGGGGTCCTTGCTGAGGTTATTGGACATGCGGTCGAATGTGGCCAGATCTCCCCGGTTGAAGGCGAAGAGGAGGTCCCGTAGCCATGACTGGGGATGCGGGGGTTTCAGGACGTCGAGGATAGGATGGAGGAGCAACTCCCCGAAGTTGTAGATCTGATCCGACACCAATGCGGCGATGGCCAGGTTGTATGCTCGGTGCTGTCGTTGCTCGGTGCTCAGCTCTGACTCGTCTATGCATGCAAGATACAATAACGAGTTGCGGTAGTAGGATGTGTGGTCGTTCGCAGCTTGGAAATAGTCGGCATTGATTCGGTAGAAGGCCGCGTGGACCACGTTTTCCACAAAATCGAACTGATCCAATGTCTTTTGCGCCTTATCTAGTTGCTCCTTTGCTTTTGCCGTCTCTCCTAGTCTCAAGTAGACGCTTGCCAGCTCGGTGATGGTGTAGACGTGCGCTTCTTCAGAGTCCGGTTTGGCGACCCGATCGGCGAGAGTCGTGAGGAACTGGCTTCGCTCAGTGTCATCTATCAACAGTGTTAGCTTCTGATCTCCCGGACTGAATCTCCAATAATCACCTTTGATTTGCGCCGAGGCGCTCAGTGCCAATTTGACGAGTTTGAGCTGGTTGATCTTGTCGGCGAAACTGATGATGAAAGTATTGTAGATGGGTAATCTCTGAGAAGTGCTCTCCGGGTTCGAAAAGTATTCCAGAAGCGAGTCCGTCAGTTGATGCCATAGCTTGCGTTCCCAGAGGTCTTCGAAAGTGAGAAAGAGGTGTTGAAGTTCGGTGGGTGCTTCATCCCGTTGTTCTGCGAGGAAATTGGAAATTGCCTCGGGATCGTTGCGTTTTGACATTTTGATACAGGAGTGGAAGGTAGAAGAGAAGGCTACAAGTCGAGGACACTTCCGGGGTGCGTGGAAGCGAGAAAAGACGAGGGTGGGAGATGCACTGTGTATTGCAAATGGCGGAGTGTGTAGACAAGTCGGAGCGGCGCTCGCAGGCAATCGACAGGCGCGTCAACGGTCTTCGAGGTCACGTGTTCAACCTAGTAGCCTCCTCCCAGTAACCTCATCACGTATTCCATCAGAACGTAGTAATGTCGGATTCTGCGCTCGTCTCATAAACCTATACAAGTATTCCTTACCCTAGAGGGTCCTCTTGCTGCCATGGAGCACACCGACCTCTCCAAGCCTTCGCTAGTCCTCCTCATTGCGTTGCCTTTGGCTTCGTGTCTAACAGCCGATTTGTCCGTCTTGCCCACTCTTTCAGAGTTCTCTCTGCGTATGCCAAAGGCATATCCTGTCGTGGGGTGAGCAAGTCCATCCTCAAAGGGAAGGCAACCAGCAAATATGTCAAATTTGCCACATCTGTTCGACGGCCATCCGGCTTTCGATGAATCTGATTGAGCACAATACACCGACATCTGGCCACGCACAAGACCTTCGTAGTGGTGGAGTTTCTTCCACATCTCTCCTGTTGAAAGTCCTTTGCTGCCTCTCGTCCCCATAGCAAGTAGGCGCCGACTGCGACAACACCTTCTGCTATATTCTCGAAAGAGAGTTCAATGAAGAATCTCGAGACGGCTGGTTTCTTCTCGGTGCGGCTCACGAACTAAGTCAGAAACCAGCAGACTGCGGTCTCATAATGTATGCTGGTTCTGCCGCAGCGTCTCGTCGGGTGCACCTGCTGTGAAGCTCCCTTTTTTTCGAGTGCTATCGGTTGTTCAGACTTATACGTCCATGCGAGCGTGTCCTCGCAGGTAAATTTGTCTCTGAGGCTGCGATCTTCTCTGCCAGTTATTTTGAGCAGTTCTGAGTTGTCTCTGCAATCGCCCATGTCGTCGAGTTTGAATTTCTCGGGCGCTTTTAAAGTAGCCATACTAGAAGGGCTAAAATAAAATCCGGCACAACTAGTCCTCCTCGTTGTTGGCAGGGCCTGGGAGCTTATCCCCCGGACGGGATTCCAGCCTCCCCTTGTCCGCGCACCTCATATGAAAAAGGGATACCCTGTGGCTTTTCTCACAGAGAGCCATATGAGGATACACCGGACTTGGGGAGCTCCGCCTTCCGCAAGACGTAGCAGGGCATAAAAGAAGTCCCGTGTTTCTCATCACTAGGTGCCATAGATGTCTCGTAGCCGGAAGAGAGCCAGAACTGTCCAATGGTGACACCAGTAGTCGAGGCAGCCGGCCAAGGTTAACTTTCTTTCCGAGAGGGATGGAAAAGTCAAGTGATGAATGTGCAGGCTTAATCCAGATATGGAGCCAGGTAGCGACTCAAATCAAACCAATGCAGCCCAGATTTCTCATCTGCCGTCTGCCAGAAAGTGTACAGAATTGATTTGAGCCGCGTCCGGTACTTTACCGAGAGATCTTTGAATAGGCCCAACTTTTCCAGAACATCTTGTCGTTTTGCTGGGTCTTGAACCTCGAAAGCTGCCACTAGAAAGGCAAAGTCCATTGACACGACCAACCTGTTGACCAGGCTGTAGATAGAGTCGAACTGCTCGAAAATCATGTCAGAAAGTACTTCAGAGCGGTCCACAAAAGTTCTATAAGGATGCCGGAGTCGATGAGCGATTAACAATAGGCTCTGACGGAATATTTGCACCTGGGAAAGCATATGTGCCACCTCCCCCTGGGAATATCGGCTCAGGAAGTCAGACGGATGCGTAGGTCGCCATGCAGAGATTTTGGCTTCGAGAGACAGCAACTGCATCAGCAGACTCTGACGGTCGTCTTTGTCGGCGTGGTGGAGCTTGTTGGACAGGACGCAGAGGTCGTAGCCGTAGGTAAGCAGCGGTACGGAAAGCCCTAGGTACCGGTTCATTAAGCCTTCAGGTCGGATTCGGAATCTAAAGGTGGGCACTTCATGCCGAAACAGACACCCCACGAGTTCAACTTGAAGAATACAAACCACGAACGCGAAATCGTCATGATCAATATCCGCACGGCAGTCGTTCAAAGATGCGAGCGCAGGGAGCGTGTATCTGCATACGCGGAAGGCGCTGCCACCGACCACGTGGATGTTGAAGGTCAAGACCGCCAGAGCGAGGCTTAAATAGAGGGATATATCTCCTGCACTGGTGATCTGAAAGGAACGAAAAGTGCCAAGGCCTGACGTGGCTTTGTGGTAGTAGTAGGTCTTGTTGAGCTGCAGTATGCCTGGAGCTGAGCTGTCCGCAGAGATGCCAGCGCATGCCAGGAAGGCGTCTTTCAGCAGAGGCGTGGCGGTGTATAGCCGCGAGATAATGGCACGGAAATGGTCATCTTGAAAAGTCGGGCCCAGCACAAATCGTCCAAAGAACCTGTCCTTGTCCAATAGAACGAGGAGAGATTGTTGCTCGGGGGGTGTCAGGCCGACGAAGGCAGACAGATCCTGTGGCATAGCCAGGAGCCGACACAAAGCAACGGCCTCAGCAACAGGGGCAATGGAAGCATCTGTGGGAGAGGCCTGGGAACTCAAAGCGATCGGGTCTTGGGTCAAATTTGCTGCTGTTGCTAGAAAGGCTTTCTGGGCTCGAGGTTTGCGACCAGGTCGATTCACCTGTCGGCGAGTTTCGCAAAGTCGGCCCAGTCGCTGGCATCTCTCACAAACCAACGAACCATTTGATCGGCGACAGCATTCCTTGGTTGCATGGCAGCGATCACACGCCCGTTGCTGTCCGTGCTTGTCTTTCATTTATGCGCTTCCCCGTACCCAACCCGGTATACACGTAGAGATAAAGCGTCTTGTCAGCGAAATAGGTGCCTCGGTAGTTTACCGGCAGACTTTCCTGTTGACGATATTGAACACTGTGGACGGAAGCTGTGATCGGAGGCGAAGCTCGAGCCGGAGAACTCAATCTCGTTCATATATTTTCTCTCGACTCAAGATAGCTCCCCCAAATGGAGACTGAGGCTGAGGGAACGATAAGACCCGTGATTGATTCGATAAGGCTGGCGTGGTAAGGGGTTGCTAATTAGTGAGGCTCTACACATAGCCAAGTTTTGCTGCAAGGTAGGTTAGCCGGCAGACATTGAATCCACCTGCGGTCTTACCAGCACAGTCTCCAAACATCCACTACTCTTTTGACGGGCACCACAACATGTAGCAGAGGTCATTTTCTCTTTGTCTTCAACCCGAGCTGTGTTATGGCCACCATCGCCCCTGCTCGTAGTGACTCCCCGGCAAATCCTGTTCAAAGGATAACCTCTCCGTCAATTGGCAGTCCGGGTGGGACACCTTCGTCCTCAGTTCGCCCCTCCTTCGATCTGCCCAGGAACAATGCATCCTCTTCTTCTCCCTCTTTACAACAGAATGCCACTCTGGCAAGTCCCGCTTCGACAACGCAACGGCGGAATCGTGCAGCCCTTCGAGACTACTACAACCTCAAATCCAAAGGCGCTTCTGCCGCAAGTCACGAGCACCGAGATATAAGCCGCACAGCGAGCATAACCTCTACGACCTCTGATTCCACGATAGCCACCACCTCCACTGCCATACCGGAGGCTCCAAGCTCATCCCTCGCGGCACACTTGGACGACCCGAGCTTTGACGCCGAATCCTTCGTCTCCGATCTCTTGAAAACTGCCAGTCTGCGTGACATTCTGAAAACCGAGAGTTCACTGGTCAGTGAAATCAGGACACTCGACGGCGAGAGGAAGGCATTGGTTTACGATAATTACAGTAAGCTGATCAAAGCGGTGGGGACGATCGCTGAGATGCAGAAAGGGATGCACAAGGAAAAGGAGCAAGACATTAGAGCGAGTGTGCTGGCCAGACAGAAGAGTGAGCAAAATCCCAGCCTTGATAGTGTGGCATTGTTGGGGGAAAAATTGGACCGGTTGTTAAAAGTTGTAAAAGAGTTTGGCCCAGGCACAACGGATGGTGAGCGGGCAGCGAAGTCGATGGAGGCGAGGCGGATGAGGACACAAAAAGAGAGCGTCAAATGGGCGCTGAATGCTCCTGTGCGGCTGCAACAAATGATTGATCGAGGAGAAAAGGAGGGTGCTGAGAGAGAGTATATCCATGTCGCAGAAGTGTTGGACAGGTGGAGCGGGGTCGATGGAGTCGAGGAGCTCCGAGCCAAATGTGAAAAGGTCATGGAGGATACAAAAGAGGAAACGAGTGCAAATGAGCAAGGCGACTCGGGTTGAGAAAGTTTTGCGAATATCGGCGGTCTATTTGACCCCGTCATCATCACTTCCCAGAACTTCTGCTGCTCCATGCAGAACCTTCCGAGGCATGCAGCACAGCTTAGCCTCGGACTCGAGACAGAGTATCGCTTATCACTGCTACGCTGGATACGTCATCGACGCAATTCGCACACGGGGAAAAAACATGGGTGGCCAGTCATGCACAGAGAGCGAAACATGTCGCCCGTGAAAGGCGGACACACACACAGAGTCCGGAGGAAAGAGGAGGCGAACATCGTCGACAATGTTCTAAACCAGGGAAAGGCCTGTTTGGTCCCGCCTCGGTCACCACACTCGGAACACTCATGGACTCTTCTTTTCTTGGCCCCGGTTGGACCGAAATGGAACGAAGACACCCGAAGCATGCGGCACGCTGGGAACTCGATTGCGAGCAGGATACGGGGTACCAAATGCCGAAGACAGGACGGAGCACAAGGAACAACAGCGTATGCACTTCACAACATCCGATCACATGTCCTACTCCCTGAGGAATAACAGGGATGTATCTATCTGTATTTTTATATCTATATATTACGCCTTCTACCTACCATTACAAACTTCCAACATGTATGCAAAGGGACCATTGAGAAAAGTTAACAAAACAGACAGATACAAAAACATACACGTATAGATATATATGTGTGCGTATCCAGATGGATAGAGCCAAACTACTGGACTAGATCTAGAACCGGGACGATCCAAAACCAAAACCAAGAACTCATCATTAAGATGGGTATGTTCTCATCTAAACCTGGGTATCTGAATTCCCACGCCTTGTGTGCTTTGAAGGGGTATCAATCGACAGAGATCGTCATTTCAAAGCCTGGAGAGGAAGGTGACAAGAAAAACACGAAACAAAACACGGGAGAAGAATTGAGTCTTCCGCAGCAAGCAGTCCACCATCGAACCATTCCAACCCGTCCAACCGAATACACATTGTCAAAATCTCAAGTGTCCCATGCATCCGTCGTCCTCAAAACTCTAGTAAGGACTGTTCACAATCTCGTCTCTCAAATGGCTCTGCCTCCCACTTCTCCTCGGGGTCATCCCGACCCCAGAGACCCTCGCTGCCGGACCCATAATACTCTCCCTGGTAGGCTTCTTGAAGCTCTTGCGACTCACCATATCGACTTCGTTAGGCAGTGCCAAGATAACATTCTTATCACTACCAAATTCGAAATTGTCTGCCATGACTTCCGCCGCGTAGCGCTTGATCTGATAAGGGTCTCTCTTACCCTCGAGGACCTTCCTCAGCGACCAGGTGACCAGGAAGGGTCCCGTGGAAGTGATGATGCTAGTCTCCTGGCTGTCCAGTCCGGTGTTGAAGTGGGCGCGCGTGAATGAGATAGGTTGGCCTGTTTCGTGCTGGAATTGTGCTGCATGGTTTGGATTCAGGCAGAGGCGGCGAGGTTGAGGCTTCGAGTCCTTTGCGAAGGCTTTCTCAAATCCTAGTTTGCCTTCATTTTTGCCCTCCTTCTGTAGGTTATCAATCAGGATGAGGTAGGTTCTGCAGGTTCCGAGGATCCAACGACCATCGGCGCTGACGTCGAGGCCGATAATTGACTCGCCCAGGGCCGGGATTTGGGTTTTGGCATTGATTCCGAGACGGTCGTACAGTCGGACATCGCCCTTGTTGGATGCTAACGCAATGTAACCCTTCTCGGTCGTGGCAGCTGCGGAAAAGTCGTTTTTAGAAAGGTATTGTTTGAGCTGTGCTTCGACCAACTTGTTGCCCGAGACACGGGGATCGATGCGGAAGAGGGCATTCTTGCTGTGACCAATAAATGATTGTGCTGCCGTCCGTTGAGAGAACTTCGTTTCCGGGGCAAAATTGCTTACAGCAATGTCGTCGTGGATTTTCCACTCATCGACAACCTTGCCATATTCGAGATCCATGCGATAGAGCGAATGGGGGTTGTTAGGGTCTTGCAACACCATGTTCTGGTCCTCTTGGTGCAGCATGACCTTGGTGGGGGAGAAGAGTTTGCCCTTGGGTGTCTCGACCTTAGATATGTTCGTGGTGAACTCGAGATGTTTGTTGGGCAAATGTTTGAAGACACCAATCTTAGAGCCGCGAATTACGAAGGATCGATCGTTCTTGGTTCCAACAGCGAGTTGGGAGTTGACGTTTCCATCTTGGTTGTCCAGTTCGACGTCCTCCTCAGATTCGTCCTCATCATAGTGCTCACTTCGTGGACGCTCTCCTTGCTCTTCCTCCTCATCTTCTTCTTCTTCGACTTCCTCTTCGGCTTCATTCGCATCATTCATAGTCATGTCATTGAAGGCTTCCAAGACGTATTCACGATCTTGGTCTTTCACTTTGGCCCACTTCGTCTCGTTCAATTGTTCCCACAACGCCTGCATGACACCCTCTTGAAAGTTCTCCAAGACGGCCTGATCCTTAAACCGTAGCAGCCAGGAATACGCGGAGCCATCATCAGTGTAGTGGTTGAAGATTGCAGACAGGTAGTCGAAATTGAATACCGGATTGATGTCAGGTACTATAGCTTGGCCGAGCCATTCCCTGCCATTGGAACTGGTGATTTGAAGCCAGTATTGCCAGCCACCAAGATCTGTCACAACAGCCACAACGGACGGATCTTGAAGAACGAAAGTTCCTGACGTGAAGTCAAAGAGATGTAGCTCCCCGATTTGCTTAGTGAGGACTTCTCCAGACCGCGGAGCCGATTTTGCGACGGGGGCCTCCGTCGGAGCGGAGTCTCTCGACTTCCCCTGGTTTGATTTGGTAGGTGTTCTGACATCCTTCGCCATTCTCTCTGCTGTTTCCTTGGAGGTGGGTTTGGGGTCGAGAGGCGCAGATACTGAACTCGCAGCCGGGATTGCGTCGTCCGAGTCGAAGTAGAATTCTTGTAGCTCAGCCTCTGTAGCCCTCTGAGCGGATCTCCGGTATTTTCTTTCGAATTGGCAGTCGATCGCAGCTAGAAGAAATGTCTGAATCTTTTCTTCCTGGACTGAAGCGTCGCATACAAACTCATAAAGGTCTCCAGGGTCGCCGCTCAAGTCACGCCAGGCTAAGACTGTTTCACCACCTGACCGCCTCTCTGATCGAAAATGAAGACTCTGATCAAGGAGAAAGGTCTTCTCATCCTTGTCTAGACCCTCGGCGCCTTCGTCCTCGTCGTCCTCAGCAAGTTCTTCTTCCCCCTCCTCGTACGCGCGCTGTACAACAAGCTGGTATTGATATTCCTGCCCAGTCCGTCGGATAGTAGCGACAGCGTCTTTGTAGATGAGTTCAGAGTAGCCTTTGGGGGACAGAGGACGGACGAGGTAGAGTTGGCCCTGGGGGATTTCTGTAATAACTTCCTTGGAGCTGTCCCCGAAGAGATATTTGCTGACTGTAGAGCACGTTTGTTAGCTTCCAGAGCGCCACGAGTGGATAGCAGGTAGAGATGTTTCTTACCGTTCTTGATCATAAACATGATGGCGGGGTCTGGCTGCTAAGCTGCAACAAATCGACCCTGCGCGACGGGGGCGGGATATGATGGCAGGACTGTGAGTGATTGAGTTGAGATATGATTTTGTTAAGTTCGGAGAGGGTAGGCGACTGCGTGCTGGAATACTCAGTCCATCGTCGTTGTTGTAGGGCACAAGGGATGCAAGAGAAAACAATTCGCAGGCAGACTTTAGTGTAGGCAGAGTGGTGTAGCGAGGTGTGTGCCCCCATGACGCAACAGTCCTAGGCAACTCTGAGCCCTCCTTCCCCCCAATTCAAGGCACGGGCAAGCTTTCGGCAGCCGGCGACCGCTAAGACTTAAGCTCAGCCCTGATAGGACTGAATCGCACAAGGCTGAAACATGTGCTCCAAACGTCACGCCAGGGCACATTACCATCTGCGACTTATCTCCAGGGTTGTTTCTTTGTTTCTTTTCAGTCGTCGACAATTCGCGCCGTGTACCACCACTCTCGCTTCTAGGCTTTTCAGGCTTTCAGGATTTGCCGTCTTGGGCTATCAATGTGCTTATGGCATCAAACGACAGTTCAAACCCAGACAGACGAGATTCCTCCTCCCAACGCAAGAATGCCCGCCCAACACTCGCCGACAACCCTCATCAACCCAATTCAGCCGCATATCTAGCATACCCAGTCAAGCACGTGGTGTCCAGCCTCTATCGTCGTATGACCGAGCCTCCCGAGATCCCTGTCAACAGACTCCTCGATGCTCCTACCCTTTCTACCTCGTCAAGTGGCTATACTGCCCCGAGAAGAACTGCGTCTCCCTTCCAACCTCCGCCCCTCACTCCTCTTGAGTTGAGGCACACATTGTCCCAGAGAGCCGCAACCTCGTTACTATTGACGCGCTCACTGGCCGAAGAAATCCGACTTCTCCTCCCTCCCCGGCTTCAACTCATTGATCACTGGACGCTGGCATATTCACTAGAGGCTCACGGTTCTTCATTGGCAACCTTGTACGAACACTGTGCCCACGTTTCGACATATACACAGCGCTCAGGCTATGTCCTAGTAGTAAGAGATGGATCGGCTTCATCAACAAATGGATCTGTTTTTGGTGCGTATCTGTCGGACGTGCCCAAACCATCTCTCCATTATTTTGGCACAGGCGAATGTTTCCTCTGGCGGGCAAGCATATTGCCCACGTTGCGGGACTTATCTACAAACCTGAGCCTTGGTAAAGAGCCTGCGTCGAATGACTTGCTGGAGTTGGCTGGGTTGCCGCCTCCCCCCAGCGCTGATACCACGAACCTGCAACGGTTTACCACAATCCGTGGGGAACGCCGCACACCCTCGACATCAACCACCTCGTTGCCGCAGCCTTCCAATACCAAAGCTCCATCCGCACACTCCCAGTCAGCTCTTGATCGCTCAGGAGCTTCAACACCCGACCGAATCAGGTTCAAAGCATTTCCTTACAGTGGTGTGAATGATTTCCTGATCTACTGTGAGTCGGGATATTTCTCCATCGGTGGCGGAGATGGGCATTACGGCCTGTGGTTGGACGATGAGTTGAATAGTGGCATCAGCGAATCATGTCCGACGTTTGGTAACGAACCACTAAGCGAAGAGGGGCGACGATTTGAGGTTCTCGGCGTAGAGGTGTGGTATGTTGGCGCATGAACCCAGAGCCGTCCGTGGCGAATCGGAGGCCAGTGCTCATCTTTCGTCCACTGACCACTTGAGCTCTGACGCCTGGTACCTCGAGTGCCATTGCAGCGAACGGTCCGACCAATCTGAAGCAGCGCCATCATAGTCCGTCCATCTCAAGTTCTGGGCAGGAAACTGTCACGAGGTCGGCTATGTTGAACCATTGAGAAGTGAGCAGAACTGTCGTACACCGAGCTTGCACTGTTGCACTGCAACAGTACAACGAGTCTTCTGTTTACGGTAAACATACTGCTGGGCGACGAATCTGGGGCCGATCGCCAGTATGTGGCTGGAGTGGCCCATGCTGAGTGAGCTCTCTCGACACGCGACATTGATCTTGAAGCATGACCTGCATGAATCTCTTCCAGGGTTGCCGTCTACAAGAAGTTAGCCATTGTGGAGTGCCGACGGGAATCACACGCCGATTACTTCAGCGAATCGTGCCCCCAAGGCTGGTGAGTTGGCTGTTGACTTAAATATCACGACCCAAGTGGCCTCGTCGTATCAGGACTGGTGTCAAGTGAGGCCATAGCTTGTCGGTATTGGGGAACAACGGTTCCAACCCGCGATTCCCCATGCATATATCCCGTCCGTGGAGCAGAGGGTTTGGATTAGGTCAGTGGGTTGCCTTGCTTTGGTAATTCACGATTGCATGCATGCCATGCCAACCCTATCGACAACATGTCCTGAAACGGACTATGTTATACGCATCTGTAGAGGCAGGGGACGTCTAGATCTCTGCTCCTCGCAACGCAGTTGGAATCGATCGTCGATTCACTCCTTCCGGGCTCGCTCCACGGCGGACGAATGTTTTACTCAAGGGCGGAGGCAAGGCTCCTAGGCTCCACCTTTTATTTCCACAAGCTATACAGATGCTACTCTTCAAACCGGAATGTAAAACATCCGCGAGAGTTTGATGGTGGAGATCGATCGTCGATCGGGTCGTGATCGGGCGCAACCGCAGGCCACAAACGGCGCGTGCGGTTGCTGCGTATTCGTACAACAGTACATGCCTCAGGTTGTAGTCTGTCGCATCAGATATCATGAACCCAACGGTTTTGGGGGGCCAGCCACAACGACGTCATACCTCGAGCTGCAAGTCCAAACAAGCCACGAACTTGATGCTCTATTCCATGTGCGGGCCCGAATGAAGCCCAACAACAGGACAGCAGTGCGAGCTAGGGTGCCAGGCCAATGGCTGCCGAGCTCACACCTGCCGCAAGAGGAAGCGCGGGAGTTATCCGCAAAATGGAAGGCTGGATCCCAGGAAATGAATTCCTGCGGGAGTGTTTCGAAGGTACGAGGTACGCGGGCCAACATTGTACCCTGTGGGCCAGCCATGACGCAGGTGGTACAAGAGGCCAGCAATGCTACTCAAAGGAGAAAACATAGTCAGCAACGCTTGCAGCAGAAAAACGGGGGAGAAGATGCACCGGGCCTAAAATACCACGTGGTTGTGATTGTTGACCGTGAGAGTCGCATGATATGACGGGTAGCTATCTACAAGTCACATCCGGCAACTAGGTCGGGAGTGCGGGGGAGGCAAAAGAGGGCTTGGACGGAGAGTGAGAATAAACGACGGGAGGCGTCAAGTCGAGCCGAGAAGGGAGATAATACTAACATTTTCCCTGAACGAGGGATGGTGGCCGAAGGGCTGGTTGGCGTCTTGCACCGTACGGTTGGCCATGTTCGGGGGAGGCAGAGCGGCAACAGATGAAACAGACAGGAAGAGCAAGAATATCTCAAAACGGGTCGTGGTGCGATCGATGATCTGAACAGCACCATGGGGGTTAGTCATGATCATTCAAGCAGCAGACACGATGCAAACACGGTCAGCAATGATTATCCGAGGCGCAACGGAGGCGGACCAAAGCACTGATCCAACGTTCCTCCGGCCAGGATCCCATGAGGAGGACACGAATGGAAGAGGCCTCTGGACAGAAGAGGACTTGGGTGTTCCTTCACTGGATATCTGCTGGTCAGTGACCAGCTGGGAGACTCTGATGGCTTCAACCTTTTGACAAAGATAACATCATTAAATCAAGAAGCAATGTGAATGCAGTAACCCCGGGGAGGCTGGTGGATGCCTAAAGGAAACAGATAATCAAAAGACACGATTATTCAATCAGGAAACATTAATTGTCAATACAAGAATACATAAATCTTACCGGAGAAACTCAGAGATACCACCATTACATACGGAGAATGTTACCGAAACTAATCACGAGAGGCATTATTGCCGCGCTCTTCTTTCCCCTTCCCCGAGTTTGCGTCTTTTTTCTCGATGCTTTTCGGCCATGTAATATTTCGGAGGAAATTCGCACATTTGCTATTGCGATCTGTGCGCCCTAACACCTAGCAGCAAGGACTGCTCTCCGTATACGGGTCACCACCTGTCTGGTATAGAAGTCCTAATGACGTATTCGGGCAATGGGCCCTCCTGCGGAAAGAAGCAAAGATTGCGAGCTGGGATTCCAAGCTGCGGTGTGGCCGACTCAGCGCAAGCCTTCAGACGATGAGGCTATTGGTTCCGCGCACACATAATCGCGTCCTTGCACCAAAGGGGAAGTCGTGGACAGCCCAGAAGGCGGCCTCGCTTCTTCGCTCTTTTTGTCGCGCCTAAGGTTACTGTGTTAGGCCGGGGGGGCACAGGTAGGTGGGTTGCCGAATCCCGGCAAGGGCAATCGTTTTTCTTGATGATTTTTCTTTTTCCAGCGGGCTTGGGGGGGTGTTTTAGTTCCGAAGGCCGGGATAAATGGTGGTTATGCTTGAGAGGGGGAGACAGTTAGAGGGTTAATAATGGGAGATGGGTTAACTAGTGTAAAGTACGGAGTAGTGAGGGCGTATGCAGCGAGATGTGCCAGTTGTTCATCGAGCACAGGGTCCAGGTAGTCGTACGAGGTCCCTGACCATAAGTCGTAGTGGGAAATTCCAGGGTTTCCCAGGGTTAGGTGCCTAGGTGCCTGCCTGCCTACCTACCTAGACTCGGTCGGTCGGCGCCCAGGAGCCCAGGAGCCCTAACTATGAGGTGTGCCCGGTGGCAGTAGAGAAAGCTACTCGTACCTAGCTCGTATGGCCCCGGCACACCCCACTCAAGAATGGCCATCGTAATCCCTATGCAGCGTCAACAAGTGTCAAAAAGGTCAGTCAGTCACGATCCACGCCAGCATCATGTCATCATCCAACCCAAACTATCTTCAACCCACCACCCCCCTTGCTAATCGTTAGCTTTGACCTGCGTCTCCACCCCATGGAACCCGTGCTCCATCCCTGTCGCTTGCACCTTTTCTGCTTTGTGTGCAGACGTGTGTGTTGTGTTGCTGCGTACGAGTACGGCACCGAGCAGACGTGCATCAAACTTTTTGCCCGCTCTCCATCCTTCCCTCGAGTGGACTCTTGTCTGGTTCGAACGAAAGTCGAACGGCTAACACACACACTCTCTCGCTCATACCCTGGTCCGAAATGCTCATCATGGTGGATCCCAGCTAACTCATGTCTTCTTAGTAACCCAGCCCTTTGCTCTGAGTACCTACTGGGTACTACACATGATATAAGGCCTCATGCCTCATGCCTCGATGGCCTCCCTCTCACCCTAAGCTTCTCGAAACCCACCTCTTCGGATACCATTGTTGACGATACTTCCATAAGCTGACAGGCCAAACTCGTTCATTGAAGTCCAAGACTGTCTCGTCTCGTCTTGTCTTCGTATAATATTCTGGCCGTGCCTCGGTCTCCCTCCTCATCGAGTCTCCCTTCCCATTTTGATATAGTATACCTGTCGACCGACCTTGTCGCTGAGGACATATCATCACCCGGTCTCAACAACCCTGAACATAGATCAGCAATGGGCGCTACCATCATGACCCCTCCCCTGGAACCCTCATCACCTATGGACGGCGGAATTCGCAAGCGAGTATGCAAGGCTTGCGACCGCTGCCGTCTAAAGAAGTCGAAGGTCAGTCAGTTGCTTCACGTCTCGTATACCCTGGCGTGCTGACTCATTACCAGTGCGACGGTGCCAGCCCCTGTAGTCGCTGTAAAGCAGACAATGCCATCTGTGTCTTCGGCGAGCGCAAGAAGTCCCACGACAAGGTCTATCCCAAAGGGTAAGTCAACTGGTCTCCTACCGAACAAACCAGCCTTCTGACACTTGGATGTCTAGTTACGTAGAGATGCTCGAGAGCCAACAAGCACAACTTGTAGCCGGCCTACAAGAGTTGTACAAGCGAACGCAGAACGGCCTAGGCTGGACCGGCGCACCTTTGAAGGAGTCGGCCAACGGTGTTCCTTTGACCCACGACATTCTGGAGAGGCTGGGAGCCTTGAAGCAAGATGGTCACACAGGCGATGTCTTCGAGGAGGATCTCAGTGTTCTGCAACAGAGGCTGATCGCCGATGGCGCTGGTTTCATGCAGCGACAACCGTCCCACGATTCACACTCGGACAGCAGCGCACCCTCGCCCATCTACGAGCCCGTTGCCCAGCGGCCCAATTTCACGAATCCATTCAACCTGAACCAGTTCCCCCCGACACCACCGAACCAAAGCCCATTCCCCCAGAACGCACGCGTCATCCCCACCAAATCCCACTCGTTTCCTCATACTCAATCGAACCTCAGCTGGAACACTCCAGTCTCGGAATTTGACGACAGCATGGATTTCATCAACCAATTCGAGTCGCCCGTAATGGAGTCCAGCATCGATATGAACTCGTTCCCGCCAACCATGTTTCAGGATCATATCGTGCCCGCCGCCATCAATCCCTGCCTGACTATGAAGGATTGGGCAGGTCAGGAAGATCTTCAGCGCTACTTCCACGCCAACATGATTTCATAACCGAGGGAGGTTTCTTTTCAGTACACACGACTGTTCACGATCATATCTATGTAATGCATCCCAAAAGCGGGCGCACGGGTTTGGTTTTTTTGTGGGGGTTACTGGAGGGTTCATGCGGATATCGCTTCCGGCGGACACGGCGGCACCAATGACGACCTCGATGGCAAACGTCTTTTCTGCTAGTGGAGTGGAATTGTTGTCTCCTCACAGCTGCTCTACGTCATCCAGTGGGCCTTGGGTGTACCATGGCACCAGATGGCAAGTTTTTGATGATACCATACCTGGATCGGGACTTGTTATTTTCTTGTGCAGATTACTGCTTTGGGCGGAATAGGGAGGGCATTTACCAAACGGCGAAAACGGGCGGTCACAGCACTCGTTTATGGGCAAGTGAGAGACCAGGATCGACGCAGGCTGGCATGCCTCGTTGGATACCTCACCAAGCGTATATATATATATATTAATGCATTGAGCCGAGAGCAATCTCTTTACGTGAGTATGAATAATGCAAGCACGGCTGTGGTTCTATTTAAGACTGCGCGAGCCTACTTCAACTTCTCTGAACTTGAATGATCTTTTCCCTTTGGCGTATGTGTCTCTCTTCTAGTTCTTTCTATGTGTTTGGAAAAAGGTCATAGAGACTTCCGTCGCAGCTACCCCGCAACAGCCTCGTAGCATGTCCTACTTCAGTTCTTTGTGTTTATATTCAGAGCTTCAGTGGTCAGTCTAGTGGATCGCCTTCCTAAAACCACCATTTGGCAGACAGTGTACCTCTCGGCACTTGTATGAATCCATCGCAAGCTCAATTCAGCCTATGGTATGCTGAGCCGGGTAAATGGGCAGTAGCAACCACATATGTTCCCCGCCTGTTTTATTGGACAGAATGTCACTGCACTGAAAAATTCCCATCATGACCTCAAAGCCCCATCAACTCTCATGCAAAGTATCTTGTTATCACCTCTTTTGTCGACGACTATAACTCCACCAGCTCAACGCTGACCCCGTCTCGCTTATACCACGTTTGAACCGCCGCTGTCGTCGGAAGCATGTCGTCAGAATCTGGCTTCGCTTTCCTCCCGCAGGGTGCCATCATCCAGGAGTTCAAAGTGGGCGGCCAAAACATCGTGCTTGGGTATCCGACCCCTGAACCATATGCCGATTCGCCTTTCTTTGGGGAGACCATTGGCCGCGTGGCCAACCGCATCAAGAACGCCGAGTTCACTCTCAATGGAAAGTCGTATAAGCTAGCTGCAAACGAAGGCCCAAACCATATACATGGAGGCACCAAGGGTTGGGGTAAGAAGCAGTTCAAGGGCCCTCAGCCCGTCAATCGCAATGGAAAGGAAGCAGTCCTCTTCACATATGTATCACCCGACGGGGAGGAAGGATATCCAGGCACGGTAGAGCTGAGAGTCTGGTACATAGCTTCGACAGAGGACGAAGGTGGGGTGGCCAAGACAGTGCTTGAAACGGAGTACGAGGCGGAATTGGTCGGAGACGAGTGTGATGAGACCGTCGTCAACGTCACAAACCACGGGTGAGGTTGATCCAGACTGAGATTCATGCCAATCCCTGCTAACAGTGCGCCTGGACAGCTATTTCAACCTAAGTGACGGGCCCACGATCGAGGGATCGGTGGTTACCCTTCATACTTCCAAGTATCTGGTCGTGGATAGCGCACTGATTCCGACCGGGGCTATTGAAGATTTCCCTGGTATAGAGGCAGACAAACCTTTCGTCCTGGGTGCGACAGAGCCCGATATTGACCATTGCTTTGTGGTCGACACGGACACCTCAGAACTTCCCCTCGATACTCGCCAGAGACAGCTCAAGCCACTGATTAGTGTATCACACCCCCAAACCAAACTGCACCTGGATGTCTTTAGCACGGAACCTTGCTTTCAGTTCTACACTGGGAAACATATCAAAGCCGCCGCAACAGAGCACACTCCAGAAAGGGGTGCCCGGGCGGGATTCTGCGTGGAAGCAAGCCGCTTCATCAATGCGGTCAACGTGCCAGAATGGAGAAACCAAGTGATCCTCAAGCGCGGGCAGACCTGGGGTGCAAAGACGGTGCACAAGGCGTGGAAGGCATAGGGATATCAGACGCAAGGCTGAACAAGGCTCCCTCTCACACACCTTCTCCCTCGCCGAGGTTTCTAATCATAGAAGGTCTGATATCACGTGTGGGCGTGTGATGACGGGAAAGGGCGTATACAGACTCTTCGAGAATCTGACTCGGTGAGCACTTGCGAACGAGGCAGCACTAGAACGTTTACTCTCTCTCTTTCAACCCCCTGACAAATTCATCTCATCACTATGACGGCATAATAACGGCCACTGCCAGACAAAAGGCGGATAGTTCCCGTCGCTGGTTGCATGGGCTAACTTGGCCACTTTCTTGGGTCCTGGAGAAAATCACGCGTGCCGACGTTCCAGAAGACCATGTCGAAATGTGGATTTGATCTTAGAGGGGAAGGAAAATGCCTCATACCCCAAGAAAAGCCATCGTGGGAGATGCGAAATCACGGAGCCGCTTGATTAACGACCCAAAAAATATGTCGACGAGTGATGACTTTGGGTCACTTTGCGGTGCGTCGGCCGTAAGCAAAAGCCGAGTCTGCTCGGAAATGCATCCGTGGCCCGATCTCTTCAGGACGCCAGCGCCAGGGTCGATGTGGTCCCTGATGTACGGAGTACGACAAGATCAACTTTCCTGAGACCTCGTGATTTGACCTCTCCGAATCTTGCTGGTCTCTGGCTTCTCTTCTCCGCCGAGTTCTGGCCGCAATGCTGTCATCGACCAATTCGGAATACAACCCTCTCTTCGTCCAAAAATGCCTCTTGGGTGTAATGAACTGTCACATTCGGAGCATTCATTGTCTACAATACAGCAGGCAAGAAGGGGCCAAACAGGCTACATACAGCTGGGGTGGGCTCTAGCAAGACCATTTTCTTTGTGGGAGTTGTCGATCGAGAAATCATACGTCCAATCAAGCGAGTACGCATCCACCAAGACGGTATGGCCACCAACGTGGGGATGGCGTCGGATATCTTTTCTCCCGAATCCGAAAACCCTGCTACTCTCGTGCAAAGACCGCGCCGTACTCCTTAGCAGAGAGCACGGCGACCTATGGCTTGCCTGGAGCCCTGCCGTCCACCAATTAGTGTTTGGCGACGCCGGTTCTGGACCTGAAAGCAGCTGTTTCATGCGCCCCTACCAACAGAGTCGGGGGCGAACATCACATCCAAGTGGCTGGGCATGATTGGGCACGTTCGAATCGAGTCTCTACTTGTGATTGACGGCGCGTGAAACGGACTGAAGAAAGGGCGAGACGGCGAGCGCAGAAGACCCGACGTTCGAATGGATGTTGGTGGGCATCCCAATGCGAGAGTCGAACCACTCCGACCCCAATCGCGATCCTCGGCCGCGACTTCTAGAAGAACTCTTAGGCAATTATTAGCAGTCAATTGTTGCTGATAAAGGCGGCGACCAATGCGCAAGGCAGACCAGAGTCTTACGCATTGCCCAGGCATCAGCCAAAGCATTCGGCCATGGCATGGGCCTTGTCGAGCGCATGTGGATAGATGCGATTGGGCGAGTACACATTCAAGACGGCTTGTGATACGAAGCGGTCACGGCGCCTTCTACAGGTACAGTATTCCAAGCTCTAGGTCCACGTATTCGCTCGGGCTTCCAAAGGCGGGACCCCTAACTCGTAGCTATGACACCGTCTTGGCCTGTCCAATTTGTAAAAGCATTCCCCGCAGAACGCCTCTTGGTGGTCCTCGCCCGCGCTCTTGGAGAATTGGGACAAGAGAACGGAGTACGACGATACTGCACCTGGATCGGCGTCAAGATTCAGTAGTTGATCCAGGGGAGGATGACATGCCGAGCACACAAACGAACTCTCTGCCCAGCCACCCCACGGGCTCGCCAACCTTTTGCATTCGTGGACAGACATCTATGTTTTTTAAAGAAATTTATCCCTTCTTCGATGATCTGGGCGGGTGGGAAGGTTCCGCTGAGCAGGTTGCTGAGAAAGACTTCAGCTCCTCAGGCCAGCCGACTAGGCACAGTTTGAGGGGGGGGGACAAGTATATCCCGGGTGGGCTAGTGGCTCGGGCATAACTCGCTGCATAACTCCTGTTCGGGACATAAGCCCCAGTGCGGCCCCAGTGAAATGACGAAATGTTGCTGTCATCGCCGTATTACGGTGACCGAGGGTTTATCCGGTATTGTGACGGGGTAATCGACATTTCATTTTCAAATTTCGTCGTCGTCGCATGATTCCCCATTTTGGATCTTCCCTTCCGTCTTCTTGTTCTCAGTCGCGCAAACCAATGCAGAAGACACCAGACTTCCAAACTCGGCCCACCAGAAATAGTGCTGGCTTTTTCGATATCAACCCGTGTGATCTGCGGTCACTGTTGCCTTCTCCACGGCAGGCCTCACAGGGAGTAGCCTTCTGGTCCCCGTCTTCATCACCGTGGGCGGCGCTACAAGAAACAAAACAAAGTTCCTAGCCTGGTTATAACAACTTCCAACCGACAAGCGCTTTGCCCTTTTCGAGCTCGACTGACAGGCTCCTTGATTGGCCTGTCGACGGTGCGGCCTGCCGCTGACTCAGAGTGCTCACCAAATCTCTGTCATGGTTTGGGTGAATCTAGTCCCGTTCCACCGCCGGCTTTGTCAACACCTTCGTATTCTCTGCACAGCGGCTCGCAGAGTCTCCTCGGCCAGGGATTAGTGCTGGACCTCCCTTCTCGCATCGGCCATACAGCTCAAGCCAGCACTCTCCACTCGCGAAACTCTGTACCTCTCGCCCGTGTCACCAATTAGGTCTGGCCCCCTGCAGGTCCAGGGCGTGAACAAGTGAACCCCAGCTTCCTTGGAGTATTCCTTGCTCAGGCAAGTGTGACTTCCCGTTCAAGAAATGGTTGGCATTCAGCGACATTCGAGACTTTGCGATGTAGGGTCTGTCTCCCCGCCCCCTTAACGAGCGCCATATAGCAGACGACCTGGATCTGCGATCTGCATGCCATCTTGTGACTCATCAGGCAGCATGCCAGCATATGCGACCCTTCAGTGGGCTCTCTCCGCACATGCAACCCAGTATCAGGGCCTATTTCCTGAGCGGGAATAGACATAGCAGGTCCCCTCTCTGCCAAGGTACCTCATACCGTTGATTGAATGGTCACGGGATTCCCAACATCGCTCCTGGAACACCTTAACGGATCTTCACCGCCTCTCTACCATTGGCTTCCGACAGCATTCAAGTAATCAGAAGCTGTCCAGTGATATGAACCGTGGGTTTTCTTCTTCTGGCATTCGAGACCCGTTTGAGGTAGTGAGCTCCCTTCATTTCTGATTGGCAGACATTTTTCCAACCTTTTTAGAAGTTCTTTCAGACACGAAATGTGCGGTGGCTCTCATGCGCCCGCTTGTAAATCGAAGGGCGGCTTTGTCACCACGGCGTACAATTCGCCCCGATCCTTTCCATTCTCGAGTGACGAGGTAGATGGTCTTACAAACGACTAGGGGCGTCCTTCTCAACAAAGTCTGAGTAAATCGGACTTCGCCCGAGGTTATCTGCGCCATCCCACACCTGATTTGGAATCCAATGATTTCCCACCAAGTTTCCAGCGCAAGAATCAGGAGCCAAAGGGAGCAATGCCAGACCTCGTTGCTCCCGAGGCGTGGATCTGCGTTTGACCACTCAATAACCAAGTACCGGTGCTCATTCAGCGCCCGGCCTCCACGAGCAAACGGAGAAAACCTGACGACGGCGAGTTAGACCCGACATCAAACAAGGCGCTTCCGCATCAGGAAATGGGCTAATCCCATCGAAGCCACCCACCGAGCAAGGAATATTACGAGGATCCTGTTTCATGTTTCCCTGATCGACTCTTGCTCCAGATGGCACCGATATCAACGTCCCAGAAAACCCAGCCCCTCACTCGTCATCCTTGGATCATCTTCGACCACTAATCCTGACCGGAGACCGGTCGAGATTTATCAGAGGGATCAATCTAGTTACTCATCCTGGTGCGCAAACTCAATCTGTGAACCTGATCTCATTTCTTGTCCCTGAATCGACCGATCCATCACGGGTCCAGGTCTACCTCCGATAGGGGACCATGACGAACAAGCGGCTAAGCAGCACCAGTTGCGCAGAAAGTCAAACAACTTAACCCTACCTCTTCGGGAAGTCCCACGCAGTTGTGCTCGAAGAGGAAGAAACCTCACTTGGATGCTCACCCAGGACTATTACAATAGCACCTTAGGAGGCTAGTGCCTGGGAGGGTGTATCATTAGCGATGCGCCTCGGCACGTCCTTCGTCCAAGAACAGATTACACTCAGGAGCCCGGCCTAATTATATGCTGATCGTCGATCTTATATTCCTTTGAGACTTCGGCAATCCGGACCATGTGCGGTTACAGCCGTACAAAGGCTTATCCACCGAACGTCACAGGCTGCTTGTTCTCTTCTATGGATTGCGTTGATCAACATCCAGCCTTCCACTCAGCTGAGACGTGGTAAGTTGTGGGTTCAAATTGGACTATCTGAGCTGAGCTCCTCTTAATCGGAACAACACCACTCCACGGCGGTCGAGATTCAAGCGACGGGAATCGGGATTCATCCTAAAAATCCTCCGTCCGATCATTCTGCCAGATTCTCGATTAGGAGTCAACAATGATGTCAGTCGACCTCGGTGTGGCGCCAGTAGAACATTCCTTTGAGTTTATCTACGAGCAATACGACCGTAATTCCCTGTGCTGGGTTTGCTGTTGGGATAGATTAGCCATGTCGACCTGTACGAAGACGGCTTTACTTTCCCCGGGCCATTCGGGTCGACCGAAAGACTTCCGCACTTCCTCGCTATGTTTAACATCGTTCCCAAAGTTGTTTGTTTGACCGGAAAACCTCACGGGCGACTAACCCACAGTCTAGTTAGTAGTGGCATGATAGATATTCCAGGGAGGCTCTACGACGTCCACGCCGTCTCGCAGTCAATTTCCATTCCCCTTCTTGCCGCTTCCCCCCACCCCCTTCCCGACAGTGATGTTCATGCTGTGATCTCCGCCAAGGCATCCTCTCGTATCCTAATTACCCCCCAGTGGTCATTGACCCACAAAAGGAAGAATTCCTGTGATTTCTCCCGGCCAAGCTTCCTTCCTTCAATGGATCATTCATCCATCTGCGACGTGGTGCTGGGTTTCTTGGGGTGTTTGGATGATTCCATAGTTGACTTGACTCTCGCCCGAGGCACGCACGCCGTGGAAATTCGTCAACAGGCAGGAGGCAGGCAGGCAGGCAGGAGACAGAACATACGTACGTACCAGCCTCGCCAAAGTAGCAGTGCAGACAGAATGCGAGAGAGAGAGAATGCCTATATTGCTGTCATTGTCATTGATTGTCAGGGATAGATATCTAGATAATGGAAAACATCCATCACGACACAACCGTCAGAGCGAGCGGGATTGATTGCTTGCTTGCTCCCTCTACAGGAAGATTGAAGGGTGGCGCACAGATGAACGAATGAAAAGATTTCTTGGGACCGAGAGATACTATACTACCTGGCTGAGAAGGGAGATGGATATAGATGATGATCCCCACAATGATAATACAGTACAGTATCGACAACGCATGCGCTCTTGTTTTCCCATTCGATCGCCTCAAAGAGCGGAATACCTCAGGTAGACGGACGGTTTTCCATGATAACAATACAATAACGATGTGGTAATTGTTTTTTATCAACCCCTCTCTCTCACTCACACACACTCTCTATGGCGACTCTGAACATCCCTCGAGGCTTGCCACTGTCTTGTCGACTGTACTGTAGGTAGGATCTGTGCGTGGTGTATCAGGTTCGAGGAAGCGTTACTCCGGTTCAAATGCGTCCATGAATGCAACTTTTGTCGTTACCACATTGCTGTTTCCTTTTCGCCTTTCGTTTGTGTGCAACTAGTCTCGGAAGGAGAGACACATCGCGTGTGAGTTACCTGTTCGCAATTATAAGTGGATAAACAAAGCCGTCACGACTTCGAAAGGGGCCGCTCGCGTCCTTTTTTCAGATCGTTGACATGCGGAGGTGACCATTATCGCCACAACATCTCGTCAGCGTCGTGGTCGCTGGCTTCGTCGTCCCCATCGCGCGTTCCTGTTGTCAGATGCCACACCCTCCACCTCAGCCTCTCGATCACCTCTCTTCTCAGCCAAGCCCCACCACGGTCCGAGAACCACTTATCTGCACCTTCATCCCCGTCAGTATCCCGTGCAGAGCTTCTCCCATATCGCTCAGTTGTTTGCTTTCTTTGATCACGCTCCTCATCCTCCCTCTCCCATCGATCAAACCAGGCAAACAACAGTCTCAACTGCCACAGTTTATCTTTGTCCATGTGTCTCTTTTCTACACCGACCCTTTGCTCTGCCTCATGTTCCGTAGGGAGAATTCCCTTCTCGAACTCCAGTCGAGAATCCACAACAGTGACTCTGCTCAATTCTGCCGCATCGAGAGGCGTGGGGCCTAGGACCAGCGCCCGTTCCGCAGGATCAAAGTCCTTCAGAGCCTCGATTTCAAAAATCCATTCGAATGCGTTTGGAATTCCCGTCTTCGCAAGGCTGGTCACGGCGCCAGCTCCGGATGTGGAGCTGATGGCGACCGTGCTGGTATAAGAAGGAACAGCATTAGGGTCAATACTCGGAATTCCCATCGCCCAAGCTTTGGCTTGGAAGTCCGCCGTGAAAAGGTTCTTCGGAGGCTCGTCGTACGCCGCGCGGCGTCGAAGGACAACATTCACGGCATTCTCGCTTTTGATCTTTTCTCTCAGCATTTTCCCTCCCGCTTCGAAATCGAGATGCCCATCCCAGAACCCCTCACCCTTGATATCGATGGATTTGATGGTGTCGAACTCTGGTATCAACCCTGGCAAGCGGGTTGTCTGCGTCTCACCATTTTTCAGATGGATGCGAGCGGTCATGCCCCCTGAGACCGAGCGACCGGCGTCACCATCTCTTGCGACGAGGCACCGTCCCTCAGCGGCAAGCACCCATAAATGACGCAGAGCTTGAAGGTGGCCACGATTGTCGAGAATGTCGTTAGGAAATATCGGGTAGAAGGCGATGCACAAGCTTGCGATTGCTAGATTTGAGGTTCCGAAGGTACGTGTGCCGCCAGCGAGGAACAACGCACCAAGCGCCATATGTGCCGCAAGGTGGCTTCCGAATGGCGTCTCGCCGTCTGTGCGTCCATGAAGAGCCCGCAGACGGCGCATGATGATCAAATCGCCGGAACCAGCCATGACGGTGGCTGAAGCCAGGGCAAGGGTGTCGAGGCAGTTGCGCACACTATTCAGAGTCACTCGCGAATCGTAATTGTGTGCGGGTAGCCGGCTCAGGCGGATGAATTGGTCCAGGTAAGAGACGAGGAGGTCGCGGACGTCCTGTCGTTGAGAGCCAGCGAACCTCAGCCCGATAGCGAAGCAGATACCGGCAACAATGTTGAAGAACGGCATGTCTTCGGTGCTGAGAAATTTCGTCGCCCTCAAATCAATCCTCGACTTGTAGGGATCGGGAAGCGCCACTCGAATGAAATCGTTCGTTGGCTCAATTGAATCCCACATAATCAGATGTCGAGCCAAAGTCCGGAGAAGGAAGATATCTGGTCGGACATAGTCGAATTGGTGCAATGTATCTGGAATATCGACATTCTTCGCGATAACCGCGTCATTGGTCTTCATAAAAATGAAAGCAATGGCCATAACAGCCCCCGCAGTTGCGCGGTCGAGGACGTGGACCATGTTCACATTCTTCGTGCCCACGGCGATGGTGAGAAGGCGTCCCACAACACCCATATCATGAAGACCATGGAGGCGTTTGCCCTGCCCAAGATTGATGAGGCCTAGAGAAAATCCGGCCGCAAGTCGATAACCCTCGTCGCGAAGGACGTGGTCGAATGCAACACCCTCTTCCGGATCATCGTTTTCAATCTCGGATAGCATGACTTCAGACATGCGGCGGTGTTGAGAATTGTAATACAGAAGCCCAATTCCCATAATTCCAGTGGTTTGGGTCAATGGGGACAGATTGAGCTCAGCTGCACCGGGCGGCAGCAGACGGGTGACGTGCACGGAGAGCAGGCGCGTTATCAGCGTGTCCATGGTCCCCAGAAAAGAGGCTGATAGCCCCAGCAAGAGTCCGACAGATGTCATCGTGTGCTTGGGCGTGAGATACTTGAATGCAACCCATTTGGCCAGCGTTTTCAGATGTCCATTGAGACCCAAAGCAAGCAAAAATCCAGCGTGACGGTTTGTCAAGTCGTGCGGCTTGTTGAACAGGATCCACGAGGTGTTGATCCCTTTGGCTTCGGTCGAAATCATGAGACCCATCGAGACGCCGTTGTGGAAGAAGGCCCAAGCCACTTTCTCTTCCGTGAACGAGATCTTGTCGGCGCTAAAAGTCATGGCTTGAGAATCCTCGCTGGCATTACGCGGTTTCAGGATACATTGCAGACTGAAAGCAGGTATGGGCACCCTCTCAGTGAGCAGGGGTACACGAGCACTGAAATGCATCATCCCTCGGCCTGCAGCCACGGACAAGGTCCTGCGGGTGACGTGATGCGCCAGATCTTTTTGTGCCTCTAACAAGTCCACGTCACTCCAGCCAACCTGGGGAATGCACTCAACCACCGGAGGCTTTGTCTGGTTGACAAGCTTGGAGGCTTCCATGAAACGACGGTCTTCATTGAATATCAATTTGCTGATAACATGTCGGTCGGCCTCAGAGGATGCGTCCCATCTCTGAAGTGTTTCCGCCTCGATTGCAGACGAGCAGACGGCGTGATAGTCCTTTAGAGCTTCGTGTGACGATGGTAGCAACTGTGCCTTGTAGGAGTTGTGAGCGAGATCGTCGGTTCGTGGAGTTGCAGCATTTCGTCCTAGGATAAGCTGATTGACTCGGTCCCCGATTCTGTCCGCCCTGTACCGGTTCGTTGCAATTGTTTGATGGAAGGCAGCAGCTACTCCATCAGGAAGTGTGCTCAAGATGCTCTCATTGAACCCTGACCTAAACAGAACTGCGATTGCTTTGTGGGGGTTGAGCTGATCCTTCGATTGATCGATGAAGGACAGTAAAGCCAGCGTTCGGGGTGTTAAATCCGCTGCCTGCAGCCACAATGGATGGTCATGATTGCTCGGCTGTGGCAAACCAGATACACGAGTCAACGTCAAGAATGGAGCAGGTGAGAATCCGGTAATCCACTTTTCAAAATGTTCGTAAATTGACGGCGGCGGAAATGGTTGGGATGGAATTCGCAGACCATCGAGTAATGAATCGTCGTACAAATAGTCGGTGACCACTTCAGATTCGTGTCCATAGTAGGTCTTGCTCCCAGACTTCCAGTCTCCCCATCCAAGCCAATGTCCCAGCTGAATAAGAACGAGCAACAGCCTGTTTCTTGTGTCCTTTCGACCGGGATTTGCCATCGTGTTAAGTTTGTCTTCCTCATAAAGGAGATGCAGACCTAGTAAAATGCTAGGTATAGCATTGCATCGTTGCTCTCGGTCCCTGTTAATCGAAGTTGGCAAATAACCCTCCGGTCCGAGGGCACTTTCCCCTATCGGAGTCTGAGTGTACTCTCTTGCCAGTGCTATACATGAAATCAAGAAGGCGTTCTTCTTATCGGAAGTACTTTCAGAGAAAGATGCCGAGCTCGCCGCTCGGGAGTGCTTTGATTTTGGGGTCACCACCGTTGCACCAAGGGGCTTCCGCGACATCCAGTCCCAAGCGGGCCCTTGCATTCCAGAGGTTTGGTATATTTCGTCATCTGCATGATGCATGAGTTCGTAATTCGTAAGGTCGATGGAACTCCCACTGCTGGAGCGAAGAGCCGCTTTGTTTCGACGGCGCGTGGGCGTCGACTGTGGAGGTTGACCGCTGATGAAAGGAACTCCCAGCGAGAAGAGCACTACCAGCAGTGCTGTCCATTCCGAGGTCACTGGTGGCGCTTTGCCTCTCAACCACCTTGAGACCTCCCAGAATGCAACGAGAAGGCTTTCCTGTTGGTTTGAACCCAGCACCATGTGACACACTTTGAGAACCTTTTGCACAAGAGGATCTCGAGGAGCAAGTCGGATTCTCAGTGCATGCCGGCGCATGTCTTGGTCTATCGCGTAGATCTGTGCTTGCATTCCTGAGTCGAGCAATGCTTGAATCTGTATATCTTTACCTGGTATAACCCTCCTGATTCCCGTATCTTTATCCTTTCTAGGGCTAGATGACGGAGAGCTCAGGAACGGATCGTAGACTGCGAATCGAGCGGGAAGTCCGATCTGGAAGGACGGAGACCAGGGCGACTCGAGTTGCAAGCCAACCATCTGTGACCGAGATTGTGTTAGGACGACCAATCGCTGGATAGATCTATCCACGACCGTGCAAGCGTCCTTTATGCCTGGTAGTCTGCGGATTTCAGCAACTTTGAGCTCAAACGAATGCTTCGAGACCGTCGATTTCCTTGTAGAGCCGTGGATGTGGCTTTTCACCAGAACTCTGACTATGGTCATCTCTTGGATGCTCTTGTCCAGCACGCAAAGATAGACGTCCCTCGTTCGCTTACCATCTTGCTCGAAGAAGCCACTCCTGGACAGCTGCAAAACCTTCGTTTCCAACGCTGGACTGGACTCGGGAGATGTATGCCGTCTGGGAAAGCTTTTTACTTTAAAAAACCCAACACTTTTGGGTAGATTGATTTCTGGACCGTCCAAAATATCATCTTCGAGGCGGGTAGATTGCCGCAACGGGTCAAATTCTTCTAGAAGTCCCCGAGCTGAAATGTCCATGAACGAGGTACCATTGCTGAAAATAGATGCATTGGTCGGAAAAGAGCTCCTTCGTCGAAAACCAAGGCTCTGCCGATCGTTGAAGCTTCCGATTGATTCGCCTCGCCTGCCTGCCCTATTCAGACTCTGTCGACCTGCATGGCCCACTGCGAGGTCGTTGGATGTATTTCGATCTGTTGCAGTACCCAAATCTGTACGTGCCAGCATCGAACTGACTCTGCGGGCTGACCTAGTTTGCACTCCGACATCGCCAAACTCGGGCCCTAATTGAGAAGCCAGGTCATTTGCTGGGAAGGATTTCTGCTCCTCTAGAGAAGAGAATGGCCCACCATCAGGATACGGAGGACGGGATCCTAAAAGGCTTTCCCTGAGGGTGGCAGGCTCTCGACTGTAGACGTTTGAACTCTTCCTCAAAGATGCGCGAGATTTGGTGCCGCCATCCTTCTTACTCCGTGGTTGTTGGGGCTCGGTTATAACGTTCCCACCGACATGCCAGAGTGTGAAGGTAGTATTTTTTTGGTTGAAGGTCAAAGCCATGCTGACAGGTTGATCGCAGCCGCTTTCAGCGCCGCATTCGTCCCCAGTAGTCACGAAGATCAATTTCTCTGAACGTGGAAGAGCATTGCATTCTTCGAGAGCTTCACCTTTCCGGTTGCGACTCCATACAACGAGGCCTAACTCTGACATTATTTCGCTCAATGCAAAGGTCCTGGGCATGCCACTGGAGTTGGAAGACATCATCCTAGGGTCTGAGTGGCGCTTCTCTGGCAAGACCAGCGACGGTCTTGAGCTGTTGCCACCGATAGAAGTCAGAGTCTCGTTGATGGTGCTCAGGTCATGGTGAACCTGTTCAACGTAGCCAACAGATTCCTCATCACCCAGTTTTCGCTGTAGAATGAAGCCAGATGAATAAGGAAACGCAGATTCAACCTCAAAGGAGAGAGGGAAAACATAGCTATCGCCGGAGAGAAGGAATATGTGAACCTGAGTCTTGAACACCACCACTAAGCCCCGCTCTGATAGCTTCTCGGCTGAGTGCCGCTGTTGACTGGCCTTGTCATGATTTCCTGGCTCACCAAATCGAGTGACAAAAGCATGGAGAATAGTCTCCCCTTCCACACTGAGGTTGAGCGCTCTTTCAATTGCACCATTCCTGGACCATACGACGGCGTGTTCTGTGAGGAGAACCTCCTCTTCCACGAAATTCGAAGCATCTTTGTCGTACACCCGCGAGAGTGTCCATTTATACAGTGAAGCGGGAGGATCAGAGGGAAGGATCGAGGCGGCAACAAGGTATGGCAGAGCGCTGGGCTCATGGAGGCCGAGCGACTGGATTGAAGTCATAGCTCTGGAGTGACGGGACCAGGTCGACAGACATGAGGCCCAGGCAGAATGGATTAGAGCTGACAAGCATATCTATTCCAGTGGTGCCATGTACCTTTGCTGTTATGATGGGTTTGGCCACATATTGTGCTGCGGTAAAAAAAGAGGTGAATGTACGGCGCTCGACGCGTGGCTGACGCGATTCGGAGAAATCCAAAAGTTGCGGTTCAACTTCGCATCAACTGCGCACCGTCCTGGCCACAAATTTATGACAACCACCTAATTTAATTATTCGTTTGCTCCTTCTGCTTCGAGGCGACAACAGAGTCTGGCAGAATGAATCGATCGGCCGTGAGACAGAAAGGGCGATGGCAGCTCAGGTAAGTCCAACTTCGCGATCAATGTAGCCTCGTCTAAGTTTACAATCCAGCTACGAACTCCCACACGAAGCATTCAGATCGCATGTCTACCCTCGGCAGTCGTCGAATGGCTCTACTGTCATAGTCTACGGGCATGAGCAAGGCTTGCGTCTTGTGTGGTACGCTGGCAAGGGATTCAAGCCACCAAAGAAAGACGTTCCGCCACCAAAGATAAACGGGACCTCGAGGAGCGAACCCGTGGTCATCGATGTCGACGACGAGGACGATGATGCGGCAGCGGAAGCAAAAGTCGAGACGGGCCCTGCTGAGTTCAAAGAATATGAGGACGAAGTCGACCCGTCCGTACCATTTCGAGATGTGATTCGGCATGTCGATATACCATTGGGAACGGCAGCCTTGAGAATTGCAGTGCCACATATTGTCAAGGATCTCGCTCAAGCTCCTCCAGAGTCATGGCCAGCCGTTTACCACGATCGTATCATCGTTGCAGCCGCTTGCACTGATCTTAGTGTTCGAGTCATATCTGCTCCTCTCGATCCACCCGCTCCAGAAGTGCACGACATTTCCAAGATGGACGTCCAGATTGTGAAGATAGAAGGCTCAAACTCCCATCAACAGCTCGTCTCAGACATCGCAATTACTCACACAGGAGTCACCTCGAGAGAACAAGAGGACGCCGACGAGCAGACTCAAGCAAAACCTCAGATGCGCTCACAATCTCAATCCAAGCGGGGGAATGCAGAGTCCGACTCCGAACGCTGGTCACTCCTTGTTGCGTCAGTGTCGTGCACTGGAGCGGGATTGTTACTAGTTCACCAACTTCCGCTACACAATAATCGACTTACAGCGAACACAGATTACCGTGTCCCCATCAGAAGGATGTACCTCCGTTCCTCGTGCATGAGTGCGAGGGTTTCGTTCAATACTTCTCCGTACCCTGCGGAACGACATTCAACCTTGCTCATTACGGTTCCTGCGGATTCCACTGTCAAGGTCTACCAGATTTTTCCGACACACACTCGAGAGCGTAGAGGATCTACTGCAACAGCTGATTCTGTCTCCAGCACACGGTCAATGAGGGTCCCAAGCAGTGATCGAGGGAAATTTCTGATCACATTGCTCCCGCCCTTCAGGCAGGAGAGTCCGCAAGTTGTCCAGCAGAGACGAAAAGAAGTCCTGGATGCAAGGTGGCTCATCGGCGGCCGTGCTGTCACAGCTTTGCTCGAAGATGGCGAATGGGGAATTTGGGACCTAGAGGCCGTGGGACCTACATCTTCCAGCTCTGGAGCCAATCTCCTTCGTGGACACGGAAACATCTCAGGCATTCAAGGTGGCTCGTTGACTCGGTTTGCAGTTCGATCACACATCTTGCCTTCTGTGGAGCTCAAACAGAAATCTTCCTATCCTGAGGCACAACCAGCGTCTGGTTCTTTGGCACCAATGACTCCATCGACCCGCAAGGTGCGATCCGAGGGTCTATTCCAAGGCTCGACATCAGCGAGTGACCCGTCACAATCTAACGGGAAACGGTGCTACGGATCCATCTACGTGGAAGAAAAGACTCCGAACCGTGTCGCACACGACGAGTCCGTGGTCATCAGCTACGCGGACGAAAATGTATACATTCATTCCATCCTCTCTTTCTGGAAGGGCGAATCCAAACCAGTCCGCCTTTCGCGTGCAAGCTTAGGAGGCCAAGAACCGTTATCTCTCAGTCTCCTCCCTGGCTCAGAACCTTCAAGCAACGTGTTCTCCGGGACTAGCATTTTCGACAATTCACACTATCCTCCAGACTTCCTCATACAGACATCTCACCGTCTCATCCTCTCACTAAACCCGCTTTCTTCAAATTCTAGTGTCTCCGATCCGTCTGCCCAGGCGATAGCTGCCCCATCAGACCAAACACTGCTCGCGTCCGGCGATCTGGATGTCGAGGGTATGGACCGCATTCTTGATGACATGGGTGATGTGGCAGCAACGAAGAAACCTATGAACCTTTTTACGAAGAGCGTAGGGTTCCGCATTGATGATGAAGATGGAGATGAGGATGTCGACATGATGAGCCCGACGCCAGCGAGAAGCAGGGGTATGAAGATCTTGAATGGAAAAAAGGCTCTTGAACGCGAGTCGGCTGCGTCCTCGAGGAGACTGTTCACATGAGCGCCCCTAGCAGCTCGTCACAGTTGAAAAGCCGCGAGCCTGCTCGTGTCTTACAAGCAGGGATTGGTTCTCTTATGTTGGCGAAACAGGACAGATGCTTTGTACGATACCCGAAATCTCGAAGTCCCAATGTTTCCTACGCGCCGTCGAAGTGACAGCTCAAGCCTCTCAATGTGTTGGAGTGGATTGGGCCGTCGATGGCATCTTTCTTCCTGAACTCTTGGTCAGCTTCCGCCAGAGTTACCTTCTATGGTCCCCTTTTGAATGCATTATCTGCTCTCTGTCTTTCCACGCCCGTCTCCTTCATCCTTTCCCTTGTCCCTCATGAGTTGCTGGGCCCAAACCTTCAGGACTGCCCACCCCCTTTCTCTTCCTCCGTCACCCCAATACCTCTCATCCATATCAACGCCTCTCATCGCGATGCAAGGTGGAGCCCAAGGCGAGATCAATACCTTGACTCAATCCCAGGCTCAGTATTCTTCGCGAAAGATCAAACCCCCTGCAAAAGACCTCCCCACCCGATTCTGTCGTCGTCACGCCTTGGCCTCGTCTTTCCAGCGTTGGCCCACGCCTCACCACGGCAGAGGGAGGGCGGCTTTTTGTTGTTCGAGCCGCCAACAATAATCCATTCCGCCCTTTTTAAAGGTAAGGATGGATTATTTCACTGGGAATCGCAATGTTCAACTGCCGTCTACGGTTCCCAGTTGGCTTGCGTTGGCGGCTCACATCGATCGCATCATATTGGGAATAATAAATATATATCATAATATAACATATATCTCAGAGATCGTGCACCTTACGTTTGACTGCATTGTTTCTTTTTTATCTCCCCTTGACTGGACATCTTGTGATATTTTTTCTTCTCTTCTTCTATTTAGTTTCCTCGTGCTTGGAGCCGGTTGATTACTTCCTTCCACACATGGTCATTCGCTCACCCTTTGTCCATGCACGCGTGCATGCATGTCATATTACTGCTGGCTGGCTGTTCGCCGGTATCGACATGATTCGTGGTACGCGCCTCGACTGACGTTTCGTGGGCTCCTTTCGGGCCGGCAATCCACCTAATCTTACCGATCTACCTATCTATCTATCTGTCCGTCTGGCGTTTGTCCTCGATCCATCGACGCTTCCCTCGCTATGCAAAATGAGTAAGTTATGTCGAAACCAAGCCCCACGCAAACAGCAGCAACGCAGTACGCACGCCCCGCTTGACCAAAAAAAACCCTCCCGTAGCCATTGCAAGTTGGCTGTGATGCGGGTCCTGGATCGATCCGCTTGACACAGCGCCCGGACATTAATGCCGCGTAGCGAGCCGACGACGACGGAGAAGCAAGAACATGTTCCGACAACTCAGATGTTCCGCCGATCCAAGGATAGCAGCCACCACGTCCGACCTGACAAATGCGTGTCACATCGACAGGCAGGTAGATAGATCCCTTTGCCGAGGAAGAGTGAGGCTCGGTTTGTGCTGTTCCCTCAATGGCCGTGACCGGTTCGAACTTGAAGGCAGACATCCTCCCATGCTGTGAAAAAAAAAAAGATCGACGGCGCAGAAATCAAGACCAACGTATCATCGGCCAAACAAATGTTCTCACGCAGAATATCCCAACGCCGCCAGCTCCTTCCTGACCCCTTCTTCACTCTGGATCTTCCTCATCTGCGTATCCTCCAGCTTCTCGCCCCCAGCAAAGCGCATCTTCAGATCCTCGATCGCCCTGATCTTCTTTAACAGGCCTCGGATCTTCTTGTCCTGAGGGTTGCCGCCTGGGGTCAGGGGCGACGTGACTTCCAATTCGGGAGGGATTTGTGACGCTTGAGGAACAGGCGGAGGTGTGGGCATGGGAATAGTCGTGTTGATACTCGTCGGCGCGTTCGTGCGAGGTGTCTTGCTCTGCGGAGTGGCATTGGGTGCTCCCTGTGCAGGCCCCTTAGGCGTGCCGTTTGCAAATGGGTGGTGACGATCAAAAGTTGAGCTGTTCGTATCACCACGTTGTCGTCGGCTGTTGCTCCTGCTCCGTTCCTTCTTCGGCCCACTGGGTGGCTCAAGACCAGGTGCAGGCACATAATTCCTACTTCGACTGCGCTGATGGCCACGACCATCCGGGCTCCGACTCGGACTCTTTCCCCTCCCACCTTGTTGTCGTTGCTCCGGTGCAAGGTTACTGGCCGGCCCTCCACCGTGGTGTTGCTCGCGGGCTGCAGCCGCTGCCGCTGCCTTCTTTGCTTCTCTCTTCTTTGCGTTCTTTTTAGCCGCCTTGGACAAGGGTTCTCCATCTGCCCCCTCCCCGGTGCCCGTCAAGCTCACGCCCCCTCCAGGAGCAGCGCCAGGAGGGAGCGGTGTCTTTTCTTCAGCGGGCTCGGCTCCTGGAACAATGCGTTGCCGAGGTTTTCCGAAACCATTGATGTTGCTTGAGAATGACGAAATGCCCTCGCGAACGAAGGCGGCACCACCTTCGTCTTCGCGCTTGAAGGCCAGAGGCGTCACCTGTCCACGAGCGCCTGGTGGTCTGTACGCACCAGCAGGTTTGCTGGGCGTCTTCCGAGCTGCCATATATTCCATCGCACTACTATGTGCGGTGGGAACATCGGCGAGCGGGTTAGCACCAAGAGGATGAGCATCGGCCGGTTGCGGCCGCCAACAAACGTGATAGAGCTCATTCAGATCCTCGTTATACATCAGAGAGCCACCAGCATGCCAGATCCGGATGCCATTGTCGACTCGCAGTCGGGGCGACGTGGTTGCGGTCAAGATATGAATGCCGTCAGGCGACCATTCGCACACGCTTGCATTACTCGCCTCGATGGTGCAAATCTTGGCGACGTCTTTCTCCAAGTCATAAATGTCCATCTGACCAGCAAGATTTCCGAAACCGGCCACAAGAACGAAACGCCCATGGGGTGAAAAGAGCACAGTATTGCGCGGTCCGAGGGGGAATGTGTGCACTGGCTGGGCTCGGGCGTTGAATATCACAGTCTTGGCCGGCATATAGCCGTACACAACAGCGAAGCTGTTTGACTTCGGTGACCAAGCAACGTCGTGGATGGGGCCCTCCTTGTCTACCGCACAAGTTAGCACTTGCAACTCGGAGCAAGAAACCAGTCAGTCACCCACCTAAATCTATCCGTGAGTCGAAGCCGCCATTGGCACTAAGGAGGTAGAGTGTGGTCTCCCCGTAGTAACTTTTGCCGGTCTTGTCGACTTCAGTTTGTGCCAGCACAATCAAGGAAGAGCCATGGTCATTCCACTTGAGCTGAACTTTGTCGCCTTTGAAGAAATTCTTCTGTGATATGGGCGTGTTGAGGTTGGGCACGTTGTACACTCGGACAGCAGCGGGTTGTCCCTATTGTTCCGGTCAGGTCCCAGTAGCATATAAAACATGCCCGCGACAAATCTTGGAGGTTACCTTTCTCTCTGGCACAAAGACTGCAATGGTGTGGCTCTTCCCGGGAGACACTGCAAAGTCCGTCACACCCTCGACCCGGATTTTATTCCAGACTGTCTTGAGGTCGTGGCTCTCATAGATTTGCACTTCGTTGGTAACCACTCTCGCACAAAAGGTCTCATCTTGCGTGTATTGCAGGTTCCACCCAGTCTGAGATTTTTGTACGAATCTGGCGACCGGTTCCTTGTCGACGCCTTCCGCCAGGGCCTTCTCGTCAATGACCAGCCACACCTTGAGATTCTTGACGGCGTCACCGTTGTCATCTTTGGAAGGCCGTTGCCACGTGATTATGTAGGTACCCTTGGGCGAGAAGCCCAGCTCGAAAACATTCTCGGCGGGAAGGGTGGAGATGATGACTCCTGTATCAGCGTCGATAATATTGACCCTTGTCTCCTGTCAGTCCACCTCACTTTGGATCTCGTACACGTTCTGGGTATCATACTTTTCAGGGGAGGCCCATGCAAAATACCGGCCGCAGGGGGAGTAGGAGCAGCACCGCAGATTTCCTTGGGGTCTGGCATGCGGACAGTTAGCAACATGACTGGGCGGCTGTTCGGGCGACGCGTTAGATCGAACCTTTCGAAACCCGAGAGCGACTCGTAAGTAGGTGCACCGTTGACGACGCCGATCCCCTTAAGAGTGCGGTCTGTCATATGCAGAAGTTAGCTAAACAAAAGGGCTCGGACATATTTTGCCGCGGCCGTGGCGGTCGCCCAGGATGACACCTACAGGCAAACTGGGTAAGAGCCATTTTCCGCGGATTCTCCAGCACAGTCGAGTATGCCCAGCAGTCAAGATGGATAGACTTTCGCGTACGAGGAGCGTGGGTGTGCAGGAAAAGACAGTCGAGCGCCCACAAGAGATTTGTGTCGGGTTATCAACAACAACAAAGCCCGGCGGCCTAGGAAGTGTGCGGGTGGTGGTGGCAGCGGCGTTTGTGGCGGTGAGATTGTCACAATTCGAGTCTTTTCCGTACTTGATAACTTAATATCAGCGATTGCAGAAGGGGACACACAAATTGGACAGGGTGACGAGAGGGGCGGTGGAGGGAAGAGTAGGAGGAGGGAAGAAGGGTGACCAAAAAAAATGTCCAGCGGAAGAATGACCCAGTTTCGTGAATGCCAGGCTAGCGGTAGAGCCTGGGCGCAGTCATGGAAAACTTCATCTTAACGGTGTTCATCCCCTAGCATGGTTTAGTCCGGGCCCTTAGAGGCCCAAATAAATGGCTGTGCGCTTACTTAAGACAGCTGCCTAGCCAGGGCCATGGCTCCAGTGCCCTGGACTAGCAACTAGCCTGGTTTTAGACCGCTGCTTTAAAGGGATGTTCAGCCTCGCCACCTTATGTGTTGCCTCATCGACAGGGCGAGCAACGAGCTGCTATGATTGATATACTCCCGCTGTTCACCTAAGGTTGACCAGTAGTGTTTCATCCAGGATGAGCTGCTATCGGTGAACTGACTCGAATATCTCTCCTGGACTTTGGTAACAGGTATCATTCCTTCTCCCCGAGTCCCTGGCGATCCCCGCCTAAAAAGAACGTAAACAAACCCAACGGCTCGTAAACAAGCCACCCGCCACCCACCACTGAGCAAGTCTCAAGGGCTTCCACTACAAACCCGGGCTATCGATATCGTACAGTTGCAGAACTCATTCGTTCGTATTCCACCAAGAACAATCTTGCCCCTGGAACCCTGTCGTCTTACCCTCTAGCTTGATCTGACCCTACTCGTACATCGGCAGGGGCAAAATTGAACGCCGCCGCCATGAGCTTATTCCTTTTCGAAAGGAAATCTGCCCAATGTCTGCCCGTCCCCTGGCTGCATCGACTGCTGCGCCTGTTCCAGATCTCTAAGTCGATCTCGCATGACTTCCTCTGCCATTTCAGTTCCCATCCCTGAAAATCGATGGGCTTGAGGATGAGTAGTGGGGTCGTCGATGGGAGGGGCTGGCTGCATCGTCGTGTCGAGAAAATTCTGGTCGTAACTCATCCCATCCATCATCTTAGGATCGGTACTTCCGGCAGCTGCACTTGGAGTAATGCCACTCATGGGCGTGCTCTGCCCAGAGCCAAACATCGGTAAAGTCCCGGTCCGTGGGGTGGAAGGTGCATTGACGTTGGTACTTTGTCGAGAAATAGAAGCACGAGTGTTGTAGGGAGTGGAGACGGGGCCGCTGACTGTGCTACCTGCCCCTTCACCAAATCCGACCAGACTTGCCTTGTCTTCGTCACTGAATCCTCCTGTGCTAGAGACCCCGTCATCAGGATCCTCTCATCTTGTCTGCATCGTAGTCGACGCTGCCACTCGCCCAGGTGGTTCGGCCACCCACGCTGCCTGTTGCACTGGCGCTCCCAACAGTGCTTCGTTCTTTGAATTGAGGCGCGTTGTCAAAGGCTTGTCCATAGAGAGCGCCGGAGCCCGGGGCAAGGTGTCCCAGCGGTGTCGGTCGAGAAGTCGCAACCCTCTCAAGGCCTGCAAGGCGGGAGATGCGGTCGGCTCGTTCGGCTTCAAGAGTATTCGCAGATGCGGCTGCTCCTCGGCCGCCATGACCCATTGCGCCGTCTTTGATGGCGACAACAGACAACGCCGAGAGAGAGGTGGTGGTGGAGTTGGGAGTGCCGGGACCCATTTCGCTGGGTGTGGCAGGATCTGAGGGAGGCGGAGGGACTGCATACGTACTCGATTAGTTTCACTAATGGCCATTTCTTCAAACAAAGGGACCGCGACGTACGGTTGATCAGAGTGGGGCCTCTGTTGGGCATGGTTGCGATGTGTCTTTCCTCTATAAGAACGAGATTGCGATACAGGAGCCAAAGCCGAGACGGGCCCCGTGGACTTGGACGGGGTGTGGCAAGCGAATGGAGTGGTTGCCGTCGAGATGGGAACAGAAAGAGGGATCACGCAACCATTATAGATTTGCAGCGTGGTCGAGGACGGCGTGGAAGGAAAGTACTGGGGAGTCGGAGGGGCCTCCTGCTGGAATAGGTACTACTGCGGGGGACAAGGTGACAGAAAAGGTGGCGTATAAGGACCTTGTGAAGGAGGGATAGCGTTCGGCACAGAAGTGAAGGTGAAAAGGAGAGCCTGAGTCAAGGGTTATGGTCGGAATTCGCAGGTTGCGCAGAGCACAAGGGAAACTGGACGTGGACTTGAGGTTCCCCAGAAACGCCATGCATGCACGTCGCAGGACTGGCAAGTTCCGGTTGGCTACGTCATGGGTGGGCGGAGCTTCACGTGACATGAGTGCCTCTTGCTAGGAGCAAGCCTCGAACGATGCCAGACATACAGTACCCCGGACACATCCCTTCGGGAGGGAGGGAGCTGAGCAAGAGACGACCTGCGTGCCAGGCATGGGAAAAACCAATGCTTATTGTAGCTATAACCGTATCATACAAGTGCTGTTCTTCGTCAATCAATATCATCTCTTCGTCACTGACCCGCCCCTGCTCTAGCAGCATCTACCTCGCGTTGCAGGGCAGCAAGGTCTGCCAAGATGTCTCTGGGGTCACTCTTGGGAAAGCCCAAATCACTTCCTCCAGCGTCTGACACGTCCAGATGCGCCATTGATGGCCTTGTAGTTTCCATGCTACTTCGGCTTGAGCCTCTTCCTCGCCTGGGCGGCGGTAGCGGAGGCGGGAGTCCCTGGCTCAACCGCTTCGAGTAGGAAGGACTGGAGTGTAACCCTGGCCTGAATTCCGTATCCGTTACGTTCTCGTTCTCTGGGATAGAAGCCACGTCGATTGAGGGACGACGGTCGCCAGTACTGTTGGCTCGCCGCGCTGGAGGTGGTGGAGGAGGCTTTGTTCCGGAGCTGGAAAAGGCTGGGCTTGGAGGTCCATCTGTTTCGCTGAAAACTGAATAGCGAGAGGAGCTGCTCCTTGCCAGGGCCGGTTTCTTCGGTGCTTGCTGGCTCTTCCGGCGAGTTAATGGAGGCGCAGGAGGCACCTTTTTCTGGGTATCAGAATATCCCGCACTCGCAAGGCGATCGCTGGTAGAACTGTCGTCAATCGGAGGCGACCTTAGACTCGGCGCTTCTGAGCTGGCATTGTAGCTGCCAGGCAGCGCCAGCGAGTTGATAAAGCTGTCGAATTTGGCTGTTGGACCTTGCTCCGTCCCCAGATCCTTGAGGGGCTTCCCGCGTCTGCTCTTGGGCGGAGGGGGTCTTTCTCCTTTTTCTGAGATAGTCCCAAGCTGCGCACGATATGTGTTCGCCTCATTGCCCTCTAGATCATCTGAAGTTCGGGGACTTTCATCCGGCGCAGGTTGTACAGTCTCGAATATCGAGTGCTGTGAGATTGATGCTGTGTCCGCACTGGAACCACTGTCACTTACAGGATTAGGGCCCGACTGGATGTTCTGTACCCCTGTCTCGCGGGATGAAGAAGAACCCCGATCTCCCGTCAGCAACATCCTCTTGAAGGCGTCCACGTCCATGGCCGATTTCGAGAGGTCCTTTCCCGCGGCAGCTGATTGACTGTTGACCGGCCGTCGTGGAATGCTTGCAAATCGCCCCAGGGTCTCTCTCACGGCATCTTCTCTTGAGGCCTTTGTCGCCATCGACCCAGGCGCGGTAATCTCATTGTTCGCCCTCGCATTCTCCAATGCCTGCTCGATGGCGGTATCATCCTCGTCGGAAGCTTCGGCCGCGAAAGGATCGCTCGCGAGCGCTTGGCTATAGTCTGTCGGTGCAGGTAAAGGAGAGTGCGGGCTGGGGAACGCAGAGAGGAACTCCTGTCGTGTAGACTCGGGCGAGGGTGGATATGAGACCGGCGAGATGGGGATGGCCGGAGGGGAAGCGAAGTTCACATGTTTCTGCGTCGGACCGTGGACTGCTTGGGGGCTTCAGCAGACGCCAGAGGAATCACCAGGGCGTCTTTGACACACACGTACCTCTGGTATCAAGAGAAAGAGCGCCAGGACTGGTGCCGCGAGGATCCGATGTGAGACTAGGAGTGGGAGTGCTGCTTCCGCCAGAACCTTTCAATGAACTACTCTTACGGAAGGGATTTGTGGACATGAGGTCTCAACAGCCATGTAACCCGCATGAGCGCTCATTGATCTGTGTTTGGGCCAGGAGAGGTTCTGGGCAGGTCAGAGAAAAGATGCCCTGCCAACGAGGATAATTTGGGTCTTGTCAGTTTCGACTGGCATCGGACGGGCCTGGATAAGCACAGACGCGGAACCCATGTGGCAGCCCGCCCGCAACTCGGGACTTTGTCGTTCCTCGTCCATGTCCATGTCGCGACAAACCCGGTCAGATTGTGGGCACAGCCACTTTCCATTCATGCATAATGATGGCTAGTTGCCCGGTTCATGCATTTTCTCACGGCCGGCTGTGGTCCACAAATACTTTCTCGTGAAGCCTGCTCCTCCATTCAGTAACTTACCAGGATCTGATGAGCTTGTCACGCTTAGAAGTGGACCGTCGATGCCAACTGAAAAAGTCCCATCGCCAGCGAGGATTTACATTATGATTATTCCAGCCGTCTAATGGCGGATCATATCTCTATCTATCAAAGTACTCAGTTTTTGGGCTTAGCTCATGCTTTCCATAGCTTGATAAAAAGCCCATATCCAGCTGTCCTGTTTCTGGAAGTCCTCTGTCGTGTATGTGTCGGTGTCTCATGTTTCATGGGGAGGAACGAAGTCCCCTAGTCGGTCATGGGAAAATAAACAGTCGTGCCCAGTATGTACAACTCTTCTTTCCAAGGAATGAATGTTCTCTGGTCGACATCTGCGAGAGCCCCCTCTGCTGGAGGGCGGGTCGGAGAATCGACAAGTTCGGTAGAGCAGTGCCAGACTGACGCGAACAGGTCCTCCAAACTCCAAACTCCAGGGCTGATGCAAAAATCAAAGTAAGAATGAATGCCAGCGGATTGTGCGGCAACCATTGGTGTTGGCGGATAGATCAAGTTCGAGAGTTAGTCTGCTGCCATCCATCATCCGTCCATTGCCAGGTTTTCGCACCCTTGACGGGATGAAGCAGCATCGGCCGAACGACAGTTCTGCCATACACATCCTCCCATTCTTGACCACCACTTTCGAGCGCCGTGATACCGAGAAGGCGTTGGAAGATGGGCATTGCCTGAGCAGAGCTGTAATACCAGGTCATGTTGGTCCAGGCATATTCGTTCCATTTGCTGAACGTGCTATTCCAATGGCCCCCAGCCTGGCCGAATGGTCCGCCGTTGAACGTTGACTGCAACGCTTGAGGAGTCCAGAATCGGTCGGCGAAAATGGGGTGTGGAAACGTGGTGGATTTCAGCCCATGGTGGAGACACATTGTTTGAGGGAACATCTCGGCGTCAATGTGATGCCCGTTCTCCGCATTTTCATAATTCATGATGTCCAGTACGCGCCGACTGACTCTGCCCTGGGCAATGAGCGTTGCTCTCCTCGGTGTGGACGTGCCCTGAGCATAACCCCAGAGATAATTGCGGAACCACCAACCGGTGCCGGTCACGTTAAAGCTTGGGAGAAACCCAATCCAGTCGGCATCTTCACCAACTCCCCATTCGAAGTTGTCTTCCTCCTCTTTGGGCGGCTTAGGCCCACGGGGTTTGACACCTTCGACGGATACCGGCCCCCACACATGGTGAGGATCTTCCTCCATGGTCGAATTGCGGAAATCGGTGTCAAAATCGCCATGGACTGAGGGGATATAGACCCTGCCCGCTCGTTCCCAGATGCCCTTTCGTGGCTGATTGCGTCCGAAATTTTCCACGGCCTCGAAGAAGTCCAAGTAGTGGCCGGTATACCGCACGTCGAACTCCCATTGGTAGAAGAAATCGAATTCGGGGTGGTTGCGTGCGAACCATTGGATGATCATCCAGGGCGACCGGCCAACAAAAGCATGCTCCGCCAGGTTGGAATACAAGCTCCGAATCTGAGCGTGGTTCCAGACCTCTGTCATGGATCGAAATTCAGGCGGGATGTGCTTCTCGATCGTCGCTCGCGGTTCATCCTCACCGACAAAGAGTGGGACATTTTCGTCCTTGACGTGAAGAAGGAGAAATACCTGATACTTGCCTCCGCTGGCCAGCGAGGCCTCTGCAATCATTGCCCGAATGTTCATCACAGCGTCGGCAGTCCACTTCGCGCCAGTCCAAACACGAATCAGAATCGCGGTGCGTTTTGCCTTGTTGACCGTGCCAGATTCCAGAGTGGAGACTGGTTTGAAGGAGGATGTGTCATGTTTGTGCCGAAGATTCGAATACTGGATTGAATTCGCGGGTCGCTCTTTAAGCGGCCGAAAACGGTGCTTGTTGGCGACGGCACAATCGTCCTGCAATTCACCCCAGTCAACCATGTCCCAGTCGACGTCGCTCCTCTCCTTCATCTCTTCAACGTCGGTGGCATCCCACTGATCGATGCCATAAGCCTGGAAGCGGCCAACACGATCAAAAGATACCCCCCCATCCAATCCGGATGCCTCGTAGGAGCCAAGGGTAGGTTCAACAGCACCTAAAGTTTTCATGTCAGACACCAGCCAAGGACGGAGAATCGTACACGCTCACCGTTTGCTTGCCCTGGATACGCCCAGACAGCGTCCTCATAACTCTCGTTCAATGGCACACCGCGTGGGCCGACGCAGGAGACAATGTGTTCCACGGGCTCTTGGAACGCGCGATAGCCGTCATAGCGAACGAGAAGAGGATTTGTCTTTTTGCAGTCAATTTCACCGGTTTCGCAGGCGCGCAGGTGCGACGTTCCACGCGTCAAACCGTCATGCCTAGTCAAATTAACGCGGTTAGGACATTGACAGAGACAATGATTGGCCGCCAAAGGGTGGTACGGTGACATACGTTGTGAAATCTTTCCAGATCCATTCTTCTTTCTTTGCATTCTCCATTGTCATCTCCATCAACTCATCTTCGGTCGGTGGAGGGGGCGGAACCTCCGTGACTTCGGGGGTTTCTATGACTTCGGGAACATCTGGTACTTCGGGGGCTGGGGGAATATCTGGAGCAGGTTCGGGCGGCGGCGGTGGAGGTGTTGCACTCATTATTTTGATGAGAATAATGAAGCCGACAAACGTGGCGATGATTTTCAACACCAGACGTAATCGGGGCATGCAAATCTGCCATCTTGAAGGCTTCTTCCAGAAGTCGTGTCTGCCGGGTGTCCAGCTTGGGGGAGGTGTCTCGGGCTCGACAGGCGAATCTTCAAGCAAGCCCATTTCGGAGCGGCTGCCAGTGATAGTAAGTCTTCTGGTCATAGGATTCTGGTTTTGACAGAGAGGGATGTTTGTTGATGAGACGGTAAAATGGTAACAGGCCTAAAAGAGCGACTGAAGGTGAGGAGGCGCGCAGCTGCTGGAGCGAGAGTCGATGTTGGCGGTCGTGGATGGAAGACGATGTGCAGGAGGAAATTGGGTTGATTGGAGGTGGACCAGCCAAGGACTGGAGGGGGTTATGCAGATTGGGCAATTGCCATCCACGGTGAAGGGACGAACGAGGGAACCGACCGGCGTGTAGGGGGGTTTTGGTGAACTGCCAGCGAGGGCAATGTACAGACGAAAAGGGAGGCACGGCCAACTCGACAAAGCGAATGAGTCGAGATAGAAGTACCTCGTACGGAGTACAGTGTACAGATACAGCGCAGGCGGGCAAACAGACAAGAGAAAACGAAGGGGCCCCGGGGGTGGGAATTCAGAGAAAAGATAGACAAGAGAGACAATACGGAGTATCCGTATGCCACTCCGGGGCAAAGTGGATATTGAAATTGAAGATGGCAGAGACAACTAAAAAAACTACCAGTGTTATCCTGGCCGCACCCGCCCTCTCCATCTGTCTTAGCACGCAACCTTGAGCCACCGTCAAAACCCCAAACAAGCCATGGCGGCTGAACCACCTACCAGTGGCGTTCAGGGCACAGAGACCATTGGCCCAGGGGCCGAGACGCGGGTGATGGGGCATTTGCACGCAACCAAGCACCCATATCCACCTCCTGATCTGTTTGTCCATGTATATTCCAACGGTATTTGCGTATCTAGGTACGCGAGCGAAGGCCTAGAGGAGAGCGGCAGGTGGGACGAGAGAGATGTCGAGGAGGTCGGGAGACAGGGCAGCAAGCTGGTGGCCGGGGCATCCCAGCATCAAGGTTGGCGCCATGCTCGAGTCAAGCTTTCTGAGATGGATGTCCGGGCTGGCGAGCCAGATCCATGTGCAACCAGCAAAAGGATGGCGCCGGACAGACGATATGCATCCAACGGCGGGTTCGCGAGTGAAAGCAGAGCAAAAACAAGAAAGCAATGGCGCCATCTAGTTCGTTATTCGATCGATGATGATTCGATGATGCGATGATTCAGGATACAACATCCGACGTCTTTCGTTACGGCTGTTGTGTTCTTGGGGAAAAGCTTGGTAGTTTGTACGCGCACGCATCGTTGCTTCTTCACTTGAATGGTTCCTTCCCTCACTCAACCCAACGCAAGCTGTTCTTGTTGAGGCATTGACGTCACTTGTTGTCGGTTGGGTTTCTGTGCGGATTCCATTCCCCACCAACGAAAAAACTCAACCCCCTAATGCGGGTCTGGCAGAAGAAGAAAGAGTCGACAGGTTGTCCTCTATCTGTGCTGGGAGTCTCACTTCCATGCTATTATTTCGCCTCTCTCTTCTCCAGCCTGTACCTATGTACAGTAATGTCCTCCGTACGAGGTACTCCGTGGGCTCCATACGGTAGCCATCTCGGTGGATGCCCTACCTATACTCGGTACCCCGTTCTGTACCGCCCGATTCCTACCGTGCCACACTCCTTCATCCTTCGAGGCGGAGGGGCCATAGGTCCCGCCCACCTATTACCCATTCCTCAGACATGGCCATCCACCAAAATCCCCATCTTACATGTTTGATCTGCGTCTATGGGTGGATTCCCAACCCGTTTCAGACCCCCATCAAGATCATACGCTGTCTGTCTGAAACCCTCTGTGCCTACCTCTCAATCCGGTAATATTGCTGCTCATACCTGCACGACCATGTCCGTCCGAGTCATCATTACCATACTCGTCGCGGCGGAGGCGATTCAGCCCAGCTATCTCATACGCACACGGCTCAGGTCGCCGACACATGCACATGTGAACGAGACTGTCGGTGGAAAGCAAAACTTCACCTCCGATAAGCCAAAGCAATACAGCCAATCATTCTCTGCCTTTTTGACATGTCAACTCTATCTTGCAGGACGCGGAGTCCGTCTCTAGCCAAGCTGTCGAGCTTGGTCTACCATTCATACTCCGGCCCGACCAACTTACAAAGCTCATCCTGCTCGGCCGCGTCGCTCTGCGCCTTGGGAACTGAATAGTCGATATTTTTACCCTCCGCTTTCTCCGCCGCCGCGTGTCCCACCAGCACATCCCTTACCTTGTCGAGATACCACTTGACCGCATGCTCTGTGGTTGGAAGGGAGGGCTTCGTCAGCTGCTGGATATATTTTCCGACTGAATTACGAGGATTCTGCTATACATACCTTCAATCGAGTGCAGCTTGCCCAATCCCAGGACCCCGGATTTAAACCCTTTCTGGGCATTGACGGCCAACTCGACGTCCTCAACCTCGACGAATCGCCAATATCCAATGTCATGCTCCATCCAATGGTCATATTCCGGGCTCGGTTTCTGCATACTCGACCTCCGGTAGGTTTCGCTTTGATACGAGGTTTCCAGGGCTCCTGTTGCGTTGAAGCGTGCAATGAAAAGAAGATTGTCACTGAAAATGACTGCACCGATGGGGTACAGCCAGGCTAGCCGGACAAGGTAGACCTGATGTCAGTGTCACCGTTCTTTCCCCACACGAATCTCAAGACGGACTTACTGATGTATGCTTCCGATAACCCTTCTCTCTTGGGGGGCAGGAAATGGCGTGATGCTCCTATACCCTGCCGGAGGTAGTACTGGTCCAGTGCAAAGTCCTTGGGCAAAGTCGTCGGGTGGCCAGTCTGGCAATGGTAACATTCCTGACACCATGTTACTGCAATTCACGGTATGGTGGTCTCAAAGAAGAGAGGCAAACCTGGAAACCATCCGCAAAGGTTTTCCAATTGAACTCGGTTCCAGCCACTGAACTGTTCCAGGTATGATCATACTCCCACCCGTCCTGAGGAAAGAGTGCAAACTCGTCCCCAATTTCCTTTCCTGTCTTCGTCGTCGGAGCTGGATCGAAGTCATCACCAAACTGCTCCTCGAAACTCACTGCAGGAGTCTCCCTTGCATCGAAATTCACAAAAATGAATCCCTGAGCTGTCACATGAGTGTGAATCTTGAACAACGAATGCTGCTTGGGATCAAAATCTGGAAGATTGCTGTATTCCCGGGCTTTATGTAGGTCTCCGTTGGGAAGGTACGACCAGCCGTGAAATCGACATGCAAGAACGGTGCTGGACCCGCTGGTCTTCTGAGTGACGGGATGGCCTCGATGTCGACAGATGTTGTGGAAGGCATTGATATTTCCCTCTTTGTCGCGGATGAGGAAGAAATTCCATCCAAACATCTTCGCAAGTACGTCAGCTTGGACATAATCTTTCCTGGGATGATGTCGAGCTCATACCTCGAGTGTCAGGTAATCTCCTGCTTTCTGAAAGCGTGCGGTGAAACTCGCGACGTGCCATAACTACGGTAAGAACAGATCAGTTATATCATCACCGAAACAGACGTTGGGGACCACGGTGAGAAACTCCTCTGGCCTCAAGCGAGGCTACGGTCGGGGACCACACAGGCCTTACCGTGGAGAACAGCGCCCGCCTCTCGAGCTGGAAGATTTTGTCGTCACGGTACCATCTATTGTGCCTCGCCTGTCAGCGCTCTGTGATGACAAGTTGCTGTCCTCTTTGACCAAATGAAAGGTCCAAACAAGGGGAGGCATATGCCGCGACGCGACCGTGATTGCATACCGAGATGGTGCCAAACTCAACGTCTTCCTCCCCAAGTCGACCGGGCGAAGATTCTTCTCGCGGCCCTTTTGCAGGTATCCGCCATTGGCGAGGAATTTGGTGCTGTCGACCGTCGTCATAATTCGGCTTCTGTGTAGAGTATACTAGTTTGTTGTATGTATTCCCTGCGCTTGGCCCGGTCTGCCCTTGAGGGACACCAGATACCGTCGGAGGATGCTCGTACACGGGTTTGAGGCGCAATGACAACTTAACAGCGCGTTGCTTCACACTCTTTCACTTCTGCAGAGGCACAGGTGAGACTGTCCAAATGCTAGACACAGGTGAACGTCGATTATCATTTATTTCATCATTATCATTCTTTTGAATTGTTTCTCTATCTTTCCCTCTCCTCGTCTTTGATAAGCCAATTTCTCTTATTCCTCATCATATAGACCAATACAAATCTATCGATCCATCCGTGTCCCCCTCATCGCCACGGAGAAGGCCGTCTGGGAGGGTAGGGAGGGTTCTTTTGCTGGATGCGGACAAGGCCAAGGTCTGTTTCTGGTGGCCCGGAACCAATCGCGCACGAGGGAATCGAATTCAAATGAGATGAACTGGGGAACACCAGAAGCCAGCCCAGATCCAGCCCCAGTCAACGTCCCTTGGAGCCGAGCATCTGATACACCCCTTGAGGTGTACGGGAAAGCCGAACAGAGAATGACTTTACACTCGGAATCTCTATCGTCTGCTTGTACTACTGACAACCTGATATGCCTGTCCCCACCATGGCTCTTGCCTTCCTGTTCCGGCCTTTTCCCAACGACACGACTAGCTCGAAGCACTCAAACAGCCACTGAAACTAGTCCATGTTCCCCCCTCCCTGGATGGTGTCGTCGTCAGCCCAGAATGGACCAGACCGATCGCGTCAACCGCATCTGTCGCCCTGGTGCGGGTTCGGACTTCAGCTTCGTCGCCTCTGCGGCTGGGGATGTTGGCGAGACGGGCGAAAGCGAGGTCGTCGACGGGCGGCCGGCCGCGGTGGCCGCGTTGGTCGTCGCCGTGATCAGGCTGTGCAGGAAGAGGCTGTCGCCGTTGCTCCGGGAGCTCGTGGTACGTGTGGCGGACGGGGGTCGCGATGTCGGCGCCGTCGAGGGAGTCAGGAGGAGCGAGCTGGAACTCGAGGACGAGGACGAAGACTCCTGGCGGGTATGGGTGCGGTAAGAACTTGTAGCACGATGGCTGTCTCTGGCTGGGGTGTCGACGGGCACCAAGCCACCCAGTCCTCTTGGCTGTGGCACCGTGAATGACTTGTGTTCGATCTTCTCTTCCTCGCTGCCGGGCTGCTGGGCGAGGAAGATGGAGGGCACCTCGGGCACCGGGGGCGGTGCATCCTCCACGTAACGCTCTGCGCTCTGCAGGCCTTCTGAGGACGGGGATAGCCGGTGTCTCCCAGTCTGCAGAGGTGCAAGGATTGTAAACGGAACTTCTAGATGGCCCCTGGGTGACGCCGAGTATTTTCTCTGGCGCAGCGCTCCCGACATTACCATGTCGGCTGGATTGGCCGTTGCCGTATACCTTGAGGTCATGGGCGCAGCACGTGAACGAGTTTGACGGCGGAGTCCATGACTTCGAGTCGGGGGGGAGTGCTGCGCAGTGACACTGTGACTGCCTGACGCGGGGTTGTCCTCGTCGGCACCGGTCATCCACGCGAAGGCGCTGTTGGACATGAGGTGGGTGGCGGCACCGGTCTGGGATGTCTCGCCGTCGGGTCCTGGAGTGGTGGCTGGGGGATCTAGACTGTTCAGCAATTGCTGGGATGTCACAGCAAGGTCGACGAAGGAGCGTGCAGGAGACGCACTGCTGGCCGGTGAGGGCACTAGGACCTCTCTCCACGGCTCCTGTCTTGGTTCCTGAAGAAGAACGCTGTCAGGGCAAAGCCCCGAGTCGATGCGCCGCCGAGCATCGAGCTGGGTGCTTGTCAAGAATGGCCCGATTGCCCTGGCCGCCTCTTCAGTCAATCCAACCGGCTCTTGATCGGCGTCCAGGGCTTCGAGCATCAACCGCCGGTTCGCGTCGACCATGTTCTGACGTCTCTCCGCGAGGAAGTCGAACCACGCACGGTCTGCCGCGACGTTGCCACACAGAGCCCCAAACTCCGCTCGGAACTTGTACTCAAGGCGGGCCAACTTGCTCTCACTGGTCAACTTCAGACCTTGGAGTTCCATTGTCATGTTGGCTTGCAGAGCCTGGAACTCGGATCGATGCCTCGAGCGCATTTTCTCTTGTCTCTCCTCGCGCTGTCTCTGGAATCGTTCCTGGAGCCGGCGTTCTCGCGCTTCCTTGTCCTGCTTGCCTCGGAGGTGCAGCTGAATCTCTAGGAACATGTCGTCTTCCAGCTCTTGCTGCGCAAGGGCAAACACTCCCTGCTCTGCATTGTGCCTCTCGCTGATCGCGTGTGTTCTCTTTGCAATATTGGATTCCATCTTTGCCAAGTTATCGCCATTCTCCTGCCCTTGTCGCCTTATCGCCTCATCACGGATTTGCACATGTTGTTGCTCGGCATGCGAATGCCTGTCATCCAAGCTTTTTTTCTGTGCTGGCAGGAGACCATTCCAGGCCGACTGAATCGCCTGACATGCGTCGTCGACAGAGAGTCGGAGGGTCTGTCGCAACTCTTGTGCCATTCGTTCTTCGTCCCTGCGTCTAGCCTCCTCCTGCCGAAGGCGCTGCTCTTCGAGTCTTGCAAGTTCAGCCTCTTCCCTACGCCGCTCTTCTTGTCCTTCTGCCTCAACCCGTTCCAGTTCCTCGACTCGGGCGATTATTTGATCGATTTCTTCAGCTTCGGCCTCCGCCATCCGCGCCACTGCTCCTCTGCGGCGTCTCAGCTCGGCCTGACGGTTGGCATCATCTATTTCGGTACAAGAGCAGGTCCGCCACTTTTCCCCGCAAGAATAGCAAAACTGCGCACCACACTTGCAGGTCATGTGTCGACAGCCTTGCGATCGCTGGCAAATGTTAGCCAAATTCCGTGATCCAATGAGTACAATGTTACCTCGACCATGGTCCGGCACTTGAAGCAACGTCGCCAACCCTGCAGTTCCGCCAGTACCATGGTTGCTTCTAGGCCGTAATCTTGAGGACAGTCTGCAGAATTCCGATGAGCCAAGCCGCGACATACACTGCAGATCTTGGTTGCACAGTGGGGACATTTCATGTTCGATATGCGGATACGTTGCAGCTTCAAAGGTGGTATCCATTTCAAGCATTTCGTGTTTGGGCAGTACCACCTTTCTTGAGGAGCAATCGCATATTCGGCAGCCTTCTCTTTGTACGCCTCCCTCTGTCTAGCATCGAGGGATAATAAAACCGTCTGCAGTGGAATCGCTGTCAGGCAGCACTTAGGCGGAAAGTTGGATTCGTTTTGAAGAGCAGTTGTGATCAGGGTGGTCAAGCATGGCTTGCAATATGAGTGATTGCAAGGAAGCTTCCTCGCCTCGTTCTCCGCAGTCTCTTCAAAACAGCTTGTGCATTCAACCTGCGATACTTTCTTCACCGGAGTCTTCTTCACACTGCCGGAAGGCTGCGACGATTCCTTGCCGGATTTGCTGGTGAGGTTTGTGATCAGGCTGATCGTAGACCCCAGAACGCCGCTGCCAATGTACCGTGGCCTTGGCCGATTTTTTTGAGAACGGCGTTCGGACTGCGTGCTTCGCGATTCGGATGCGTCATCGTGGTCAATCCGTTCAGAAACGACAGAATGGCGAGCTGATTCTGCGTGCGGAGGCGGATTGAAGGACAACGACCAGACAAGTATTTGTCTGAGCTTTTCTGGCAAGTTTGAGTCGTCTTCCACCAGTTGGAGCTCGAGTGGTATCTTCTGTCCAGCCCATTCATTGCTAGGTCGCAGATCTAAGTTGACGTCCTTAAATGCTTTCCACGTTTCTTTTGGGGTGTTCTCCATACTGCTGGAGGCTTTTTGGGCCTCGTGTGATATCGAAGCGTATAGATAGACTGTCAAGCCGGTCAAAACGAAGAAAATGAAACAGGGTAAGAACACGGAAGTCATTGAACATCATCAGTTGGCAGCTGCATTGCCCCTGTTACGTCGCGACATGGAAATGATGATGAGGCTTGTTGACTTGGGGGGAAATAGCGCACAAGGCTTGGGAGACAAACACATAATAACGGGGCATTCAGAAGGGTCAAACGGAGGCTTAAAAACACACCGGTTCGACACCCGAGGCAAATCAATCTCTGGGTCGCACGGCTTGGAGTGAGTCCACGAGTACGCCTGGTGATAGGATTAAGGCTCTTGGTGGAGGCATTGCCGGCAACCTCATGAAAGGCACTTAGCCTAACCATGTCATAGCGACCAACTATACAATGCGCGAAGGCGGAGTGCAGCACAGTGGAGGTGGAGCAGCGCCGTCCTCTGGTGGTGTCACATGCATTGCTGCGATGGGGGAGCTGGAGAGATCCGTGCCTTGTCGTCCGTAAGTCCAAGAGACGCCTTGAAGGCTATGTGACCAGTCTCAAAACGCCAGGTGGGTGCCAGGTAGGTCTGAAGCAGACATCTGCGCAGCTTCGAAGCGAGTATCGCCACGGCATGTGTCTTGGTCTCGAAGTGATTGGTCTAGCATACCCACGACAAGCCCTGGGCAGGGCCAAAACGGGAGGCGTTCTTGGGTGGTTTGGGTAGAAGAATAGAACCATGCCATCTCGGATTCTGGAAGGGCGGATTCTGGCCCCCACCGGGTTAGACTGGGCTGTGCAAGACTACCGCAGTTTGCCGACAGACAAGGCCAACTCTGACAGTGCCGTGAGGAACAACTATTCTCCGACCTTGTCGTTTTCAGATCTCATGACGGACGAGGATTGAGGATTGAGGATTGAGGGTTGAGGATTGGGACGTGTGGTGGTGGAAGGGGGCGTGCAACTACACCGACTCCAGGATGTCCGTGGAGGGTTCTGCTTCATTAGTTCAGCCTCTTACCCAAATACCAACAATCACAGGGTAGCAGATTCGGGAAATATGACGGTAGACAGTGGATTCAAACTGTGAAATGAATTCATTGACCCCTTGTGAGTCGTCCTGAGCCATGTTCTAGAATATTGACAACTAGGCAGGCCAGGTTGGCAACCAGTCGGTCTGATTCATAGAAGAGCAGCCCTTCCCAACCCTGGGATCGATCTGGTCATATGGCCACCTCACAGTGACGAGACTGCCATCTTCACGAGAAAAGGGCGGCTTGTGGTCCTGCTAATGTTTCCCAACTCCGCTTTCATACTTTTAGACTTTTAGTCCTCTTCTTCTTCGTCGCCCTCCACAGCAGTCTGCGCAATACGGTCCAGATCTCGTGCACCAGCTTGGGTTATTCTCCGTCCGCCCTTTCCGCTACCGCCTTCCTCCTCATCATCAATCTTCTCTAGAATGCCTAACTCCTCAAGAGCTTGCATGACTTTGCGATCGACGGCGCCGGATGCGTTGACGTGGTGCGAGGGCCGAGAGCCACGGTTCTTGGTGCTGCCGTGAACTTTTCGGAGACGGCCAACACCGACGGACTTTCGTAGGTAAACATGTCGAGCGACCGAGGCGGCTCTCACGTAGAACCAGTCGGCGGATTGGGGAGGAAGTTCGTTTGAGTGTGAGGTCTTGACCGTGTCAACCCAACCTGCAAAGAGAGTATTGTGAGCAATTTCTCCAGTGGGGTGCTTTGAGAGCGACAGATTCTTCTTTCCAACCGTCCGATCCCGGGCGGGAGGGGGAGAAAATGGTAAAGGGCTGGAGCGAAAGCCGTACCTGGCACTCGGAGTTTTCCTTGTCGCTTCAGAAATTCTGCATATGCCTCGATGAATTTTTGCGCCTGCATATCCGCATTGTCAGTCCATGCTCTCCTTGCTGAAATCCATGTCCAAAGGTGCCACGTCCGAATGTGAGATCTGCCTCCTCTTTCCCACCAGGGCTGATTGGATTTCCATCCGAGCATTTCGGAACGCACTCACATCGACATCTCGAACGGTAACGCCACCCATGATTGCAGTCGTCGAGACAGCACGTCTCAGCAATCACGATCGTGAATTGAGGGAAGGTGGTCGCTGTGGATTGGCGGAGAAATTGTCGTTTGGTATCGTCGTCAAAATCTTGAAGTTCGCATCTGCACTTGGCGCAGAAAAGTTGTGGGTTGAAAACCTGCCAAGAGTTACATGGATATCTTGGCGTGTTTACTGCGGGGTGCAGTGCCAAAGTGCCAAATGCACCCTACAGTATTCACACCCTACCATCCTACTCCGTACTTCTTGCTACAGATCACTATTATTTCAACTTCGGCCATCATTTACAATTTTTTCTGAACCGGGGTCAAATTACACAAATGGTTTCCACGCAAGCAGTGGCAACATACTCTCTCTGTCCGAACAAGAGGAACAAAACAAGAAGCTGGAAGAGCTGAGTGGAAGCAGAATCTCAGGCCTATGCAACCAAGATTCTGTCGTTTACTGCCACTTCTCCCCCGAGTGGCTGCAACCAATTTTTGTACAGGTATTGTGATTGCTTTCGCGAAGATGTGGGGAGGAGAATCTCCCTTGTTTCAATCCTTGGACGTTACTGAACCAGAGCTGCGGTGGCACAAGCAATAGCCCCGAGGTGCAGCAAAGCTCTCCTGCGAGGTGTATCGTCAGTAGAGGTGTCGACTCATATATGTGTCCACCACTTACATGAAATTCAATTTCGCCCACCAGCGGAGAAGGTCATGGGTCTCATACTTCTCGACTGTCCCCTTCTGGGCGTCTGCTTTGGAGTCTTCCTCCTCACCTCTCGTTGCAGCATCCGCTCGGCGATGTAGCTCGTCATTTGTCCGCTTCATGATTCCCAATGTAAAGGGCATGATGGATACTGAGAGAACCGTTGCAGCTAAGAGCAGACGCTGCTGGAGTTTTGCCTCCGTTGGCAGCTTCCTAGCTGTATATAGCCAATTTCCACTGGCAAGCAGAGCGAAGAACGGGCCCGCTTTCTTTCCAATGTTGTAGGCGACCTGCCATTGCCGAGCGAGATGCGGAAATTTCGTCGCCGGTCTCTGAGCAGAGGTGGATGTCGGAGAAGCTCTATTATCGGAGTTTGCTGGTGCTGGCAAAGCTGATGGAGGAGAAGGTAGCAGAAGTATGGGGACGGTCAGGAATGAGACGCCGAGGTTGGCGCCGAAGAACATGGCCGAAGACGTTATCCCGAGGGCAGTGCCCAGGATGATAGTGTTCGATTTCGACGACATGATGAGTGATGCTGCGATTGTCAACCTTGATCGATGGGCAGATGCCTGACGTTGCTGCTTGTGCTATATTGCCCTAATGATCACTAGCTCTTATACTGGGATCAAGCCTGCATTCGAGGAATCGAAGTGTTTATGATGCTCCAAGTCTGTTCTGAATAATGGACATGAGAAAATTGACTGTCTTTGGAAGCTTGGAACGAGTATCTGGGAAGTGGGAGCGTGGAGCTACCAGGCTGTACTCCGTATAGAGCGCGGCATGATGCGATGCCGATTGGGTCTTTTGCTGGCTGCCTATTCGCCTCAATACTCAGAACGCCTGGAAGTTCCTAGCGGCGCCCCTATCGTTTGGGTTCGAAAGGGGCACGAAGCAAGCGCCAGCAAGAGGCCACAGGCCAATAAGCTGCACTCTGGGCGACCCTTAGGCGACACGAGCTGCAAGGAGCACATGCGGGATAGCTATCACAGCTTCTACTGAGGCCAATTCCTGTGTAGTAGCTCGGACCAATCGCCTTGTTTCACGGGTTTGGTCTGGGTTAATTAGACCTTCACGAGATTGCACTGCCTCATCAGCCTCGTGAATGCGGCGAGCGCACCCCTACACCACACGCAGATACGAGGCCGAGATGCCGTGGACCAAATTGCCCTAGCCCAGTCCATTCTTTTACGAACAGCATGTGCCCCCGGAGTGAGGCTCCTCGGCCTCCATCTTCACGGGTTTACCACATGGATAGCTCTATTGCTTTGGCTCTCCCACTGAAGCCCCATCCGCAATGGACTCCTCTCTGTATCGCGATCTGAATCCAGAATTGAAGGAGGTCCGCCTATTCCAGTTTAAACCTGCTGCATCCTACGAGGATGAGCTCGTGGGTAACCTCACCACCGTGTCACTCTTGGACAATCCGCAAATTCAAACCCTGTCGTACATCTGTGGCCGTGTGGACAAGCTCAAGGGCATGAGATTGTCTGGCACTGAAGTATCGATCTACAAGAACCTGGACAGAGCCTTGTGACATGTGCGCCCCAAAGAAGTCACCCTGACACTCTGGGTGGACCAACTGTGTATTCATCAGGCGAATCTCGAGGAGCGCTCCCAGGAGTGCGGCATACGTCTGACATATACGACGTGGCTCTTGGAGTGCTCGTGTATATCGACTCCGGAAGTGACACCTTCCCGGAAGAACACAAGCACGTCTTGAACGTGGTCGAAACAATCAGCACCCTTGGTCGGCCGCACAGAGACGAACACTCCAGCGGATCCATGGATCTAAAGGGAACATGGAGTGCTCTCCTGAGGTTCTGCAAGAATAGCTACTGGTTCCGCATGTGGACGACACAAGAACTGAACCTGGCACAGAAGGCCACATTTTACTATGACCAACACGTGATACCTAGTGAAATTGTCGATGCATTCTATGTCTGGTACACAAATCATATGAAGTATGGTATGTGCTGTCGAGGGGACGATCACAGCACCCTCCTTGATTCCACCATTGACATTGCGAAGCGAGCGTTCGCTACGACGAGGGAGAATCAGACGGCCAAGCGGGAAGGGAACGTCCTCAGTTTGCTTGATCTGCTAGCCAGCGTGCGCCACAGACTCACAACCGTCCTTCATGACAAAGTATCTGCCCTAGCCGGTCTGGCGGCGATACCTCACGGTGTCCTGGACTACAAAGCCACGGCAGAGGTCGCGTTCGAACGGATCGTAGCGCACCTCATCGAATCAACGGGCACTCCCGATGTTTTCAACCACCTCAGTACCAACGTAGACCGACTTTTGGAAGCGTGTCATCTGCGCAATCATCTACCAGAAACGAACGCAATGACTACGACTGTCTGCCGGAGCTGGCACCCTGGAGTCCAGACTGGTCAATGTACTTCAAAAGCACAGAGATGAACTCCTTGGAGGAGCGGTTGGGGCTGCTGCCGCTATACAGTGCCTCGGGAACCGTGGCCGCTTCGGACAAACACAACGAGCCCTAAGCTTCTTGTGCCGGGCGTCCGCTGTGGCGTCATAGCACAAGTCGGCGAATGTGACGAACGGCCCCTAATCTTCCACGCCAACCTGATAGAGGCCTTGGGCAAATCGGCAGGTGTCGATATCGACGCCCCACGGCTTTCCAATGGCGATCTCACCAGTGCCAAGCTTCGTTTCATTGTGGCCTTGGCTGGCGGCATCGGTGTCACGTCGGATGGTGCATTCTTTCTGATGAAGAGCCGCGAAGACTACCTTCGCAACAAGTATCTGTTCACGTACTGGTGGCAGTTAGAAATGCGGGAGGCAGGGGAGTTTACTGTATACTGTCCACGGGATCTTGTTGACATCGTCAAGTATTACGATGAAAAGTACATGGAGAGTTTTGCCGCACGGTACGAGTATCTAGTTCGACGGAGTTGCATCCTTCAACGTTTTGTCGTCCTGGAGGACGGGAAATTCGGCTTCGCTCCTCCTATTGCGCTGGTCGGGGATCTGGTCTGTGTTCTGGCGGGAGGCCGGACACCTTTCGTCCTGGGCTCTGGGAAACGAGTGTGGACGTCGCGGGCGAGGCGTTTCAAGCCATGTACCAGCGTGCAGAGGAGCGAACCGACACCCGCAGAAGACGGTTGTTTTCAGCTAGTCGGTGATGCGTACGTTGAAGGCTTGATGGATAGTTCCATGTTGACGGATGCGACGAAGATGGAAGACTTCGTCTTGGTGTGAGTATTTTAGGATATTTCCCAAGACCTTTTCGTCTGGGTAATTGCGCACATGACGTCGGAAGGTTTTCCACAAGGCTGGGCGGTTTCTATAAGAAGAGGACGGAGACAAAGTTTTTCTAATGCGACCGCGAGTACTTGCCTGTTATAGGTATATACATGCGGTGATGAGGAAGACCATTGGCTGATTCCCAAGCGAGACTAACCCCTTCTGTCCATTATCGCGACCATGGGACGTATTTGGCACACAGCCGCAATGAGGCAGAAACGCAACAGGTTACAGCCCGGGGTGAACCACATCTATCCCTCTTGGCCGCACGAGAAGAATGTTGTATAGCCTGAAGGTCTATATCGAGAATATATATCAGTACTGCCACAGATCTTCAGCACTATCCACATCAACTCACAAGGCCGCAGAACACATCCACTATCGCAAGAACACCACCCTTGCACTCAGCCGACCATTGTCCAGGGTCCTACCAACGCAAAACAATCTCGCCAACCATATCTCTCACAATGGGTCTCTCCGCATTCGAGATTTTGGACATTCTCGAGCTCATTTTCTTTGTCCCTGCTCTGGTAGCCTCGGCATATGTCGTCTACAAGCAAGGCTACCGCAGCCGACTCGGATGGAGGCTGCTCGTCATGATATGTCTATTCCGATTGATCGGCGCCATCACTTCCCTCGTCGCCGTCAGGCATCCATCCAGCGGCTTGACCATCACTTACGATGTCATGAATAGCTTTGGTTTGTCGGCCATCATCTCCACAGCCTTAGCTCTCTTGGATCGCGTAGAGGGCGGGATGGCATCACACGGCCTGCACCATCAGATTTTCCAGCTCCTGCACGTCCCCACTCTTGTCGGTCTCATCCTCAGCGTGGTCGGGAGCGTCAACCTTTTCAGCGGCAGCCACTCCAATGTCTCGGCAGGCTTCAACGAACTCAAAGCGGCCGTCTGTCTGTTTTTGGTTGTGTTCGTCGCCGATTCCCTCATCTCGGGACATTGCTTCCTAAAGATCAGTCACGTCTTGGCCTGTGAACGTGGCCTCTTGTTCGCAGTCGCTTTGGCTCTGCCCTTCATGGCAGTCCGCATGATCTTCTCCCTCCTGTGCGTCTTCGCCAATGAACCTAAATGGTTCAGCACTTGGAGCCTGGAGTGGACCGCCATCCTTGTACACGGCATACTGGGCGTCCTCATGGAGGCCATCATTGTCGCGATCTTCATCGTGGCTGGCTTAACCACACCGCCTGCAGCCCTCCCACCCGCTCACGAAGGTAAAGTGACTTACGACTTGGGGGCCCGGAGTGTCTAAAGGGACATTTTCATGGGCCAGCTTGGACAGCTGCAACCAATCTGCGGAAAAGAGCGTTTTAAAGAAATCAGTTTGTCACTCTGAGCGTATTGTAAGGTGTTCAGGCACATATAAGGGCACTGGATCAGGCAAGGGTTTCTCCTCCTGTAAATAGTGGTTTTTCTGTAAAGGTCTTGCTGCACTGGAAAATATCGAAACACAATGCTTTTCCTGTACCATTGACCTCGGTCAAGTTCTCGTGAGTGATGCGACAAGAGCTTGTAAACATGAAGCAGGAGAGCCAGCCGAATGACGCCTTGAAGCGGGCATTTGGACCAGGTGGACGCCGATTGGCCAATCGTGCAGCCTGCGCCGAGTGCCGCAGAGGGACCAGATTTCCACCGCATCTGAGGACAAGTTGTCTGCTCAGCAACCACCACCTGGCTGGAGACTTCACAACTCTTAAAGAGCTCCTCCTCACCCCCTCTGAACAAATCGTGCGGATATCCTCCTCATTCTCGACACGGTATGGACGTCATCCTGTACCGATCAAGACAATAAAAAGCCTCGCACATTGTCGGCAAATCTCCCTCTCTGTGCACTCCCTCCGCACTATTCGTCCTCTCCACTCCACCGTCCGGATTCAACGCTTCTGTGTCGCTGCCTAGAAGTCTGGATTGAGAATTGCGTGCACGAGACCCGGGGGCAGTGATCCAAGATGTCGCAACAATACCCTCAGCAATACCCTCAGCAAGGTGTGCCTGGGCAGGAAGGTTATGGTCAGCAGCCACCGCAACCACCTGTGGCTCCAAATTATGATAACTTCGAAACCAATAACCCTCCGGGTGTGCAACCAGGGCCTGCTCCTGGCCCGGCTCATGCTGGTCGAAAGAAGCGTGCATATGCGGGACAAGCTTATGAGTTTGGTGCCGGAGCAAATGCTGCTCTAGGAGGACAACAACAGGCTGGCGGCGCATACTCTGGGTATTCCGTTCAACAAGATGCAGCGGGCTATCCGCAAGGAGGTTATCAACAGAATCCTGCGGCTGTGCAACCAGGTGCAACGCCTCTATATCCTGGTCAAGAGCCAGCACCTGCGTTGGGTGGCTACCAACCTCCCGCTCCGGCCTACCCTGCGCCTGGTGGTGTTGCGGGCGTGACCCAACAGTTTGGCGAGATGGACATCTCGCAAAAGCCGCCTATCGCCGCAGCACCGCAGCAGGCGCAACGTGCTCCAGTCTTGAACCAACTCTACCCGACAGATCTATCGAACCAGCCATTCAATGTCGCGGAGTTGGACTATCCACCTCCGCCAGTGATCCTCCCTCCCAATGTATGGACGTGCCCTTTCTCTTTTCGGTGCCAGAAGCTAAACATCTTGACAGACCAGCGTTACACCGTCGCCTTTCGCTAATTGCCCACCAAAGTTCGTCCGGTCAACGCTGAATGCTGTCCCCACCACCCATTCCCTGCTCAAAAAGTCGAAACTTCCATTCGCCCTTGTCATCCAGCCGTACACTTCTCTGCACGACATCGAGGATCCAGTCCCAGTAGTGCCCGACCAAGTGATTTCCCGTTGCAGGAGATGTCGCTCGTACATCAATCCGTTCGTCACTTTTCTAGACCACGGGCACCGATGGAGATGTAACATGTGCAACCTGACCAACGATGTGCCGCAAGCCTTTGACTGGGATGCGGCCGCACAAAAAAGCCTCGACAGGTGGCAGAGACCAGATCTGAATCACGCGGTGGTCGAGTTCATTGCGCCGCAGGAATACATGGTGCGGCCTCCACAGCCGCTTGTCTATCTGTTCTTGCTCGATGTGAGCTATGCGGCGGTGTCGAGCGGACTGCTGGCGACGACGGCAAGATGTATTCGAGAGAGCTTGGATCGGATACCGAATGCAGATCGACGCACACGTCTGGGCTTTATCGCGGTTGACTCCGGTCTGCACTTCTTCAACATCCCTCGGGATGGGACTGAGAACGCCCAAACAAGCATGCTCGTTGTTAGTGATCTTGAAGAGGCGTTCTTGCCCACACCGGCGGATTTGCTGGTGACGCTGACGGAATGCCGCGAAAATATCGAGAATTTCTTGGATAAGCTTCAAGAGATGTTCCAGAACACCCAGAACGGCGCATCTGCCATGGGATCTGCCCTTCGGGCCGGGCACAAGCTTATCGGACCAGTCGGTGGGAAAATGACGGTGGTCACTGCTTCGATCCCTAACATCGGCCATGGCAAGCTCGAAATGCGCGAGGACAAGAAGCTGCTTGGCACCTCCAAGGAAAGCAGCCTGCTACAGACAGGGAACAGTTTCTACAAGAGCTTCGCAGTCGAATGTTCTAAACAACAAATCTCAGTGGACATGTTCCTGTTCTCTTCACAGTACCAGGACGTGGCTTCCTTGAGCAATTTGCCCAGGTATACCGGTGGCCAAACATACTTCTATCCTGGCTGGAATGCTGCCCGAGAAGAGGATGCCATGAAGTTCGCCAAAGAATTCTCCGACTACCTGTCGGCAGAGATTGGTCTGGAGGCCGTTCTCCGTGTTCGAGCGACGACAGGACTGCGGATGAGCACATTCTATGGCAATTTCTTTAACCGCAGCTCGGATCTCTGCGCGTTCCCAGCATTCCCGCGTGATCAGAGCTACGTTGTGGAGGTCGCGATCGATGAGACCATCACAAAGCCGGTGGTGTGCATGCAGACCGCGGTCCTCCACACTACCTGTAATGGCGAACGACGAATCCGAGTCATGACTCTCGCGCTCCCCACCACCCAGCAACTGGCTGATGTCTATGCTTCGGCCGACCAGCAAGCCATCACGGAGTATTTCAGCCACAAGGCCGTCGAACGGGTCCTGAACAGTGGGCTTGACAGTGCCCGGGATATGATTCAGAACAAACTGGTCGAGCTTTTGGCCACATACAAGAAGGAGCTTGCAGGAGGCAGTATGGGTGGAGGGGGGCTTCAATTCCCTGCCAACCTTCGAGGCCTGCCTGTGCTTTTCCTTGCCTTGGTCAAGAACTTGGGCCTCAGGAGATCGTCACAAATACCCAGCGACATGCGATCAGCAGCTCTGTGTTTGCTGTCGACGTTGCCCCTCCCATTGCTGATTCAATATATCTATCCCAAAATGTTTTCTCTGCACGACATGCCAGACGATGCAGGGACGGTGGACGAGAAGACTGGCGAGATCATCCTCCCACCGCCGATTAATCTGTCATCAGAAAGGATCGTGCCGTATGGGTTGTATCTGATCGACGACGGCCAGACCCAATTCCTTTGGGTCGGACGAGATGCTGTTCCACAGCTGATCCTCGACGTCTTCGGGCTATCGGATAAGAGTCAACTCAAAGTGGGCAAGCAACGACTACCTGAGTTGGACAATGATTTCAGTGAGCGTGTAAGGGCAGTCATCTCCAAGAGCCGTGACCACAAATCCAAAGGGGTGGGCAGTATTGTGGTGCCACACCTCTACGTGGTGAAAGAGGATGGCGAGCCAGGACTGAGACTTTGGGCGCAAACGATGCTTGTGGAGGACCGAGCGGATCAAGGAATGAGCTTACAGCAGTGGATGGGCATGATGCGTGAGAAGGTACAGTCATGATTGAAGATTCACCTATGCTGGGCGTGGATTGCTAACTCCTTTGGTTACAGGTCATGCAGTAAACAAACACCCACGCCCCGAAGACTAGATGGACCTCTGGGCGACCACACAAACAGGAGGTCGCGGCCCTATGAGACCGAGCAGACAAGATTATGCTTTCTGATGGTGGAAGAGATAGAGAGACAAAGGTCAAATGACGCACGCAATACTCGTGGCCACACCATGTACACAATAAACTCGGGTTAGATAGGAAGGCTCGTCCCGCTTTGACCTATCAGGTAGTCAGTGAACAGGGTGATGGATGAGGCCACGGGGACGTGAGCTATTTCTAGCTTTTGGAGCAAGCTCGTTGAGAGATGAAACGCTGATCCGACAACGCTCAAACAGGGCAGCTGGGTGGCTGAAGCCTGTGACAGGATTGCCAACTCTGTCTGGGCCGTGGATGGAAGGGGTTAAGCGGGCTATTTGGGGGCCGTCCAGGGCCGTCTGGGGCCGCTACGTTCTGCTTAGCCCCGCCTAGTGAGCCAATGCCGGCGCCTATTCATCCAGACGTCCTTCAATTCGACCTGCGGCGTGAATGGGGATTCGATCCTTGGGTGTGAATGCCAGCTGCTTCACTCGCCCTCAATGTGATACACACCTTCGGTCACCTTGGGGCACCATCTCGTTACAGACAGTTTGTTCTCGTTTTTCTTTGTTTCCTCGCTTCGTCCATTCCCTCATTGTTGAGACTTCCTTGCACTGTCCGATCGCAACAAGGTGGCATCACAACCTCCCAATCTGCAGAACCCCGCCATCACAACCCTGAGCACACTCTCAGGTAACCGACAGATCCTTACCGCCCTGAAGCCATCAGACTTCAAAGCTTGAACCTCGCAGGCGAGAAGCTGCATCAAGCAACAGTTCCGTACGTCGCCCTCGCTCTGTTCGTTGTCGCATGCCGCAAGCAGCCCAAGGAATGTGGAATTGACATTCTGCCGCACTTAGCACACCCCACAACCCTCTCTTCCGTTGCTGCGCAGTCCATCCATCCAGTAGAGATATCTCTCCTTGCCAGTATCGACTTGTTACCTCCTTGAGCGCTGCCGACTGCCTCAACTTAAGTGCGAGACTCACATTCAGACACCCCAGCGTCCACTGTGAAACGGCGCAGACAAAGGCGGAGCCAGCTTCGGCTACTAGGGCCCAAAGCGCAAGCGAATCATCCTCTCTGCCAGTTTCGATTTACAAGGCCACAATCTCACGTCCATTCTCACTCCTTCGAGCTGAGCCAGTAAGGCGAAGACGAGAGCTACCTGCGTTCGAAGCACTGTTGTCTGTGTTACTTTGGATATCCCATAAGACTCAAGAGGCCGGGACACGTGCTCGATTGGCTTATCTGTTGATCCGACAAGGCCATACTGTGACTTGCTGGAAACATGGGACAACCACAGCAACAAACTGCGCCATCGGGAGGCTCCAGAAAGATCTCGTTCAACGTCTCTGATCAGTACGATATCCAGGATGTTATTGGGGAGGGCGCTTATGGCGTCGTCTGGTATGTTTACCGTGTTCATGAAATCTTCACACACACCGGCTGACTCCCCAAAGTTCTGCTCTGCACAAGCCATCTGGCCAAAAAGTGGCAATCAAGAAGATCACTCCGTTTGATCATTCCATGTTCTGCTTGCGCACGTTACGAGAAATGAAGCTGCTACGATACTTCAACCACGAGAACATCATCTCCATTCTGGACATTCAGAAGCCACGAAATTACGAGTCTTTCTCCGAGGTCTATCTCATTCAGGTGGGTTTCGCGCCAATAGCAGCAGGGAGCCAAGTTTTGACACTTCTCTTTACAGGAACTCATGGAAACCGACATGCACCGCGTCATTAGAACCCAAGATCTCTCTGACGATCACTGCCAGTATTTCATCTACCAGACTCTGCGCGCCCTCAAGGCCATGCACTCTGCGAACGTTCTCCACCGTGACCTGAAACCATCAAATCTGCTACTCAATGCCAACTGCGATCTGAAAGTTTGCGACTTTGGCCTGGCCAGGTCCGCAGCTTCAACCGACGACAACTCGGGATTCATGACTGAATATGTTGCGACAAGATGGTACCGTGCTCCAGAAATCATGCTCACATTCAAGGAATACACCAAAGCCATTGATGTGTGGAGTGTGGGGTGTATCCTTGCAGAGATGTTGAGCGGCAAACCCTTGTTCCCCGGCAAAGACTGTGTGTACCGCTCCTCTCGTGACTGTGGACTGTGCTGACTGGCCTCTAGATCATCATCAGCTCACCCTGATATTGGATGTCCTTGGAACTCCGACAATGGAAGATTACTACGGCATCAAGTCCCGACGTGCGAGAGAATACATTCGGTCGTTGCCCTTCAAAAAGAAGATTCCCCTGAAGGCGCTCTTTCCCAAGACGTCGGATCTGGCGTTGGATTTGTTGGAGAAATTGCTGGCATTCAACCCTGTCAAGCGCATTACCGTGGAAGAAGCCCTCAAGCATCCGTACCTCGAACCGTACCATGACCCTGACGATGAGCCGACCGCTGAACCCATCCCGGAAGAGTTCTTCGACTTTGATAGGAATAAGGATCAGCTCAGTAAGGAGGAATTGAAGGCGTTGATCTGGAATGAGATCATGCGATGAACTCGATGAGGTCCAATATTGTGTTGTCTACCACCTGCTTGGAGGAATGGCGGAAGCAACAAAGCAGAACCAGATTTTTCAAGCCTTGTGAAACAATGTGCAGAAAAGAGTGGGCGACCAGACGATCAAGGCAGATGCTAAATAGAGCCAAGGGCTGATGCGAGCGTCTAAACATAATGCAATGGCAGGTCCCGGCTTCTCTGGATGAACAGAAACTATGTGAGGAGGTCATGGCAATCTCAGCGTTGTCCTTTCATGTGTGCTTCTAGCAAGCATTCTCGTGTTTGTCATAGCTGGAAAGAAATGCATGGACCGAAATGAGCCGATAGAGATCAGATCGATGCAGAATCCAGACCACGAAGCTCCTTGCAACTTTCTTTACTTTCAGGATAACATTCTGTTCTTCCCCTTTTTATCCTCATCCGCCTGTTAACAGTGACAGCGGTCTCATAAACCTCGTAGACTGGTAGCATCGAAGCGAAACAGTTCAAAAAAATCGCGAATATAATTGGTCCGCAAGATCACTCGTATATGATTGGCTGTCTTTTATAGAGTCACGTGTCACTGGGCTTTTTCGCGTAGTTATATTCACGCCTAGGCTACTGACGCCTAACCTACCACCTAGAGTCTACCACTACGGGCACCTAGAGTCCATCACTAGAGCACCTAGGGCCTAGGTAGTCAGGTTAACTTTGCTTTTCCTCCCTACCAATACGGTATTTCATACATACAAACAGACCCGTGAGGACCCTTGGCAGGCAAGCTATGCTCCGTCATCATAATACATGGCGGGTCGTACTTTATTCCAAATGCAGATGCTCGTAATACTGCTTCTGGCCCAATTCGAACTGGATGTGCTATCAAGTGCCATCTCCTCTTCCTTGACTATGATGGAGAACTAAGTCTGGCAACTTTCCGTTTTGTCCCTCCCCTCTGTCGTTGCTGTGATACTACCTCTAAACAAGCCTGCGTTCAGAACACACCGGCTCTGCTCAGCAACTGCTCGTGCCGCATGCTCCCGCACCACACGTCCCGCAGCCCCATCGTCTCCCAATGGCGACCCGTGGGCTTTCGATCGACGGGGTCAGATTTCGAGATGCCCAAGGGCGTGAAGTGACTTTTCGCGGCATCAACGTCGCTGGAGACTGCAAACTCCCACGTCACCCAAGCCAACCCTCTCACGAATTCGACAACTTCTTCGACGCCAAAAATGTGTCCTTCGTGGGACGCCCTTTCACAGAGGAGGAGGCACATATACACTTCGCGAGAATTAAGAGATGGGGCTACAACCTCGTTCGGTACATATTCACTTGGGAAGCGCTGGAACATGCTGGACCGGGCCAATACGACGAGGAGTTTATAGACCATACCATCAAAATCCTGCGAATAGCAAAGTCCTACGGACTCTATGTCTTCATGGATCCTCATCAGGATGTCTGGTCCAGGTTTACCGGCGGGTCTGGCGCACCTCTTTGGACTCTGCATGCTTGTGGGCTGGACCCAGAGACCTTTGCAGTAAATCAAGCTGCTGTCGTTCACAATGCTTGGCCGGATCCCGCACAGTTTCCCAAGATGCTATGGCCGACAAACTACACCCGCCTGGCGACTGAGACGACGTTCACCTTGTTTTATGCTGGCCGGGACTTTGCACCGAACGCTATCATAGATGGCAAGAACATCCAGGACTACTTGACAGACCATTTCATTTCAGCGTGTACACATCTGGCCCAGAGAATCCATGATGCTGGCGGTCTGGAGGACGAATGCATTATTGGGTGGGAAACGATGAATGAGCCGCATCGAGGTTTGATCGGTTGGGAAGACCTTAACGCGCTGCCTGAAGACCTCAAGATGAGGAAGGGAACAATGCCAACCCCGTGGCAATCCATTCTCACAGGGGCGGGGCGTGCCACAGAAGTCGATGTCTACGACTTTAGCACCTTTGGGTCATACAAGAGTGGTCGGGAACTGGTGGATCCGGAGGGAACGTCGGCGTGGCTGTCGACAGATTTCGATGACACACAGTACGGATGGAAGAGAGACCCAGGCTGGAGACTGGGCGAGTGTCTATGGGCTCAGAACGGCGTCTGGGATCCAAGCCAAGACCAACTGTTGAAGCCTGAGTATTTCGCGTCCATACCCAAGTCTGGAGAGAAATTGGACTATCTCAAATACACCAACATCTATTACATGCATCATTTTCGGAAGTACAGAGATGCTATTCGGTCGGTACACAAGAACTGCTTGATTTTGGTGCAGTCGGCTGTTCTTGAGATACCTCCGAGCATCAAAGGCACTGTCGACGATGACACGAGACTGGTCTTTTCCACACATTACTACGATGGCATCACGCTGCTCCAGAAACACTGGAACAAATACTACAATGTTGACGTCTTTGGCATACTGCGCCACAAATACTCCAATCCTGTGTTTGCTGTTCGGCTCGGCGAGACCGCGATTAGGAACTGTCTAAGGGACCAGTTGAAGGCGATACGTGACGAAGGGGTGAGTTATCTCGGAGATCACCCAACACTTTTCACAGAGATTGGGATCCCCTTCGATATGGATGATAAGTACGCCTATAAATCCGGTGACTATTCAAGCCAAATCTCAGCCTTGGACGCAAACCATTTCGCCCTGGAAGGGTCTGGGGCTCAGGGGTTTACCTTATGGACTTACGTCGTTGAAGTAAGAAGCAAGCTCTCCTGCCATGTTCAACTGCTAACATCTTCAGAACAATCATCAATGGGGCGACTTATGGAATGGCGAAGATCTCTCCATTGTCTCAGTCGATGATCCTCTCCTTCCAAGCGCCTCAACATTGTCTGCCCTACCCTCTGCCAACCCCTCCACAGCATCTCTGGGCCAGCAATCATCAAGCACCACACTGTCTGACTCGACCACAATAAACCCATCCAACCTCAAAGACGCACTACTAACTCCTCGGATCGATCAAACCCCCCAAGCCACATCGAGCACGGCGGAGGGGACCGTGGGTTTCCGTGCCGCCGAGGCATGGGTTCGGCCCTCTCCGATTGCAACGGTCGGCGACGTCGTGAATTACGGCTTCGATCTGAAATCCGTGACCTTCACATTCTCCCTGACTTGCGACAGTGCAACCAAAGAATCCGTTCCGACCGAAATCTTCCTCCCCGAGTTCCATTTCCCGCCCGGTAAAACGCAGGTGGAGGTCAGTGGCGGGCGATGGAGGATCGACGCGGTGGATGTCGATGGTGAAGGCATGCAGGTTATGAAATGGTGGCACGGCGCCGGCGAACAGAGCATGACCGTGAAGGGCATGAAGAGGAAACCCGGGGCGTTCAACGAGGAGGATGATTCGGAAGCTGGGTATCTGGAAACAATGCGGGAGAGCTGCTCGGTGATGTGATGTGGTGTGATGCCGCGTCAAAGAAGCCAGCTTTGAGCTACTCGTGCACGAACTGAAATTCCTGCTTGGGGCCGGTTGGAAACAGGTGGCCATCTAATTGCTGTCTGTTCTACACATACTTGGCGCGACTGTTGCACCTGGATGGGCACCGGTATAGCCATATGATGACAGCCATTTTTATTCGATGCCGAAGACGAGGAGGAGGAAGTATACAATGAATTATAGTAGTACAGCGTTTAGCGCTCCGCCAACCCTACGAATTTTTCGTGGTCGCGGTCGCGGTCGCGTACACATATCATATAATGTTGGTTCCCGAAACAGCCCCAGCAATGAATGCCCTTTCAACGAGGCTGACGACGACCTCTGTGGTAGAGGACACGGAGGTTCAGAACTCTGTCGTCTACCACCGTCCAGACTCATTTCGGCGATCCATCCATCACGCGGGATTCGTATTTTGTCCCGGCTCCGGCTCCGGCACCCGCTGGTTCTGCAGCTCAGCTTCGAGAGCGCGAGATACTCGTTCGCCGTTCCTTTGTTCCTCCTTGTTGACATCACGATCACCGTTGTCATCATCATTATCATCATCATCGTAATCGTCCTCAGCAGTATCGTCACCGGCACCGTCGTCGTCCGCCTCGGCAGGCCTCCCGTTCTTTTCTCCATTTCCTTCTCCTGCCGCACTCTCCCTCAACTTACCACCCTTCCTCTTGGGGATGACCCTCAAAAAGGCCTTACCCCAGTCTTCCTCCTCCAGGTAGCGCAGCAGGATCTCCACGACGTGGTTCGTCGCCAGCACCTTGCGGGACGTCATCTCGAGGTACTCCCCGATGGGCAGCTTTGCCGTCTTGATCCCGCGAGCCATGGCGGTCTTGTAGCAGATGCCCTTGTGGCGGTTCTTGTCCACCAGTCCGCCGACGATGTACGTCGAGTAGGGCGACAGAGTGGTGAGGGTGTCGGGCGAGTCGGAGGTCAGGTAGATGACTTCGCCTTGAGGAGGTACTGGCGGGTCCGATGGCGAAGAGTGTTGAACCCCTGGTTCGGCGGACACGGAGGCATTTGGTGTTGCTGTTTCCTGGGGCTTGAGAAGGCCATTTCCATCGCCTTTTCCGTCCTCTTCAGATCGTAAAGAGTTATCTGCAGCTTTGAGATCTTGAGATGTTGCGTCCTTAGAAACTACCGGAGATTCAGTGCCAGCGGGTGGAGCAGCAGCAGCAACAGCGTGTTTCTCAAAGCATCCGACCAGCTTCCCACCACCTGGCCCTCTCATCAACTCTTCGGCCTTCTTCGCCGCCTCAACAAAGTCACCTTCCACGAAGGTCACATTCCTCCAATTGAGATAATGCTTGCTGAGCACCGTATCGAATCTCTCCTTCAGTAACCCACCCCAGGAGCTAATCACGAGGTGTGACTGATACCGCGTGCGAGAGTTGTCCGAGTATGACCGCGTCAGTTGCGAGCCAAGCGATATCCGTTCTTTTTCCATCATGAGCTCGTCGAAGCCGCAGTCTATGAGGATGGTCATGGGGACTTGGACGGGACGGCGGAACTTCATCTTCGGGGGTGGCTGCTGTGGCGGCATCGACGTCGTGGTCTTCGTTCCGTCAACTTCTCCTACCGTCCCTTTCCCGCCGACAAGGGACGGTTGTTGCAGTGTTTGGAGACGATTCTGTTCCTCCTCTTCTCGCGCTGCTCGTTTCCTCGCCCTCTTCTCCTGTATCTTCTGTTTTCGCTTCGCTTTGCGGTAATCTCGGGCCGCCTCCCATTCTTCTCGCTTCTTTAGTTTCTTCAGCTGGTTCTTAGAGAGAGGCTTCGAAGCGTCGCCGTCTTGCTGCTGCTGTGGCGCTTTGTGGCTGAGGTCTGGTTTGCTTTCAGAGTCTAGCTCTAGGTCGTCCGACTCATCTCGACCGTCGACTTCCTCTCGTGTGTCTGGAGGGTCTTGAAGATTAGCAGCACACTCCTCTGGCTTACTGTTTTGCATCGACCGAGCATCGGCGGAGCCAGTGACCGTGCCAGGCAGGTTTGACAACAGAGGAGGAGTATCTGCATCTTCAGTCAGGCCAGGGTCATTGTCCGAGTCAAGCTTCCGAAGCTTTGCAGGGCGCTCCTCTGCCTCCATAGCAAGCGTCGACGGTCCGATGTGGTCGGTCGGCGCAGTGCACATAAAACCTGCGAATATTTTTCTCCAAGTATAATATATGTTGCGCAGCACGTTGCCCGCTGCTTTAAGCTTCAATGTCCCAAATTGGGCAAACCTCCAACTTGAGCGTCGACCCTCCAACCCTCCAATTGACCTCATCTCAAACCTCCAAGCTACTTACTCTTCACCACCACCCGCGCTGTCTATGTAGGTCGCGATACACCCTCAGCAAGACCCAGCCAGCCTTGGAGGACCTATAGACAAAATGCCTCAAGACCTCCCGCCCACAGGCGGCTACGAAGCCGTCCAATACAGAGTACGTTGCGTCTCCGAGCTCTCTTTCTTCCCTCCATACACTGTTCCCTTTCCTGTCCCCAATTCCCCGATCCTCGTTCAGGAGCCACGGCGGCAGCAGTAACAGCGCAACTGACATTGTCCGTCTCTTTCTTTTTTTCCCTCCCGCAGCGTAACATCCCCACCCGCGGTCTCAAACCCGTCTGGTACCTCGTCGGCGTCGGGCTCGTCATGGCCTACGGCTGGCGCCAGGTGTTCGTCGGACAGCGCGAGAAGCACGAGATGGCCCGAGAGAAGATGTGGAGCCGGATACACCTGACGCCGCTGCTGCAGGCCGAGGAGGACCGAGACCAGGTCCGGAGATACTATGCGGATCTGGCCAGGGAGAAGGAGTTGCTGGGCAGCCAGAGCGGGGCATATAACAGTGATCGGTACGTCCCTCTTTCTGTCTCTCTCTCTCTCACACACAGCTTGTCTTCTGGATTGGTACAAATAAATGCGTCGAGGACGGAACTAGACTGGATCGGGTTTACATGGGGAGAAACCGGGAAGAGGAGAGCCAAGGATCCTACGACGTTGAAAGAGGGGGAAGAGGAGGATGCCAAAAAAAAAAGGGAACATGGCCTACGAACATGAGAAACGGCATGCTAACACACCTGCAACTGACAGATTCGTGAGACCGACGTTTACAGCCACGCCCAACAGAACGGTGGAATGAGCGCGGTACGGGGGCGCTACATACATACATCGCAGACTTGATCATCAGCATTCGCCATCCCTTGCCCGGCCGGCTCACATTGGCATATCCTCCATCCGAATCTTGTACTTCTGCAGACAGACGCTCGCAAGTCCCCCCTACTGAGCGACACAAAATACATCCCTGGAAATCCGAGAGTCAAGCAGGCACAGGAACCAAAGACTCCCGAGGGAGTAGAGGATGTGGAGGGAGAATGTTTACCAATCCGACGTGTACATAAATCAGATAAAAAAAAACTCATGATACAGAAGACAGCATTGGAACAGGGAAAGTATCGTTCCGGTACAGATGATCGACTTGTAGTAAAGAAGCTGCCTTTCACAGCCCACTACAGTCCTGTTGAGCTTCATGAGCCATCCCAATGGGCGCTTACAACTAACTCCTCCAGCCCCATTACGGTCGTGTGAAGGGCCCTTCTACCCCTGGAGCTAGCTGGCAAACATATCCGCCACTCCAACCAAATCTGCCCCCTCGTCCGCAGCACCGCGGCCGATCCGCTGCCCTGCGTCCTCGACGCCCTGCATGCTCAACATCTCTCTCTCTTTGTATTTCTCCAGGATCTTCGAGTGCTGCTGCCTCGTGTCGATCTTACCGAGCTCACTGACCCGGACGCCTCTCACGCCCTCGAGCAGTGCTAGGATGATGGCTCGGCGCCTCTTCGACCGCGTACCCACCGAGGCTTCCTTGAGGAGCAGGTTAGCTGCGTGGTCGACCTTGGCCTCGGTCATGCCGGGCAAGCTGAGGATCACCTCTCGGGGCGTCGAGCTGAACGGCGGACGCTCGTGGGCGGGCGTGGTTTCCGTGGCGGGGACATGTCTCGGCAGACCGTACGAAACCCAGATCGACGCGATCAGCTGGGCGTAGTGTGCCTGATGGTCGGCGAAGTAGCCGTCGTTCAGGCAAGTGATTGCCGTCTTGAGCATCGTGTTGGACACGAACTCGCGGAATTCGGCAGCTTCTGCACTGCTGATAGAGCGGGGGTTTGCAAACTCGGGAACAAGACGATGGGCAGCCACAAACATCTGGTAGGACGACTTCAAATCCTTGAATGCAAGTCCATGGTTCACGAGGACAACCAGCTTTTCCAGGATGCGAACATTTGACAGCACAAAGTCCCGCATCGTCTGCTGAGAGGGGTCCGTCAAGTAGCCGCGATTGACAATCGCTTTTTTGGAACTCGGTTCCTGCTCGCGCTTCGCTTCTAGCCAATGCGTCACCATATTGACGGCCCGATAGGTGGTTTGTCGCAGCACTGATTCGTCTCTCATCTCATCGTCAAGGTTCTCCTCATCATGCTTGTTCTGTTTCCGCTGGTCCATCCTCTCCCACTCGATAGAGAGCTTGGTGTCCATCTGCTCAAGGACGGATACCATGATTGGAGTGAGGAAATGCTTCCGACTGTCCGGCGGACATTCGTCGATCAACTTCGGCAGCATCTGAAGCATGACAGAGAAATGGTGCAGACTCAGCGGAGCTGCTGTATCAATGGCGGCTTGTGCGATCAGCTCGGGGAGCTGCGGCATGTCGTAGAAAGTTGACCCCAGCCTGCCCAGGGTGTGGAGGATACTGTAGCATTGTTCCAGGTAGCCTCGTATTGTCCCGCGCACTGATGATGCAAACCCCTCGAGCATTGACTTGGAAGCCTTGACCTGACTGTGAAACTCGCCCATGGAACCCGCCGAGATCCCAGCCTGCCAGTATCGATCTCGGAGAACTCGTCGGATGACGCCCTCCATCCCGGAGGGCACGTTCGGCCATGTTGAGGGATTGTGCAACTGGTGATTATAGCTTGTCAGGCGGAGGACGTACTCCAGCACCGTCGGGATCATGGGTGACCACAGCTCGCGTATCATATTGTGGATCTGAGAATCCTGTTCGAGTTTCTCGGTGGATATGCTCAGAAAGACACGAGTGACTCGAAGAGGTAATCTGGCATAGGCAGACGCCATTCCCTGCTGAATCTGCACCCCACGACTGTCGTACGGCACCGCGGCCCAATCTTCAATCTTATCCGCTTCTAAAGACGCCAGGTAAGGCCCAACCTGATCGAACCCCTGGAAATGGGCAAAGGCCTCCGAGCTGCTCAGAGCGGATTGATAGCTTTGGTCCGCCCACGCTGCAGCAATGGGACGGAGAAATTCCTCGAGCTTAGCTTGACGCTGGGCGGCATCGACTCCCGTCGCATGTTGGATGATTGAGAAGAGTATGGACTTCAGATCAACCTGCAGCCGCTGACTGGTACTCGTTGTATCTATCAGATCGGAGAACTTCGCTTGCAGCTGGTCGTAGAAAGTGACAAAATAGTCGGCATGCTGCAACGACAAGCGCCTCAACTCCATCGTAGCAAAGCCGTGCAGATCCTCGACAACATCCGCATAGGCGGAAGCCTGTTGCCCGACTATGATGAACGACGACAAAATGTGCTCCAGGACACTAAAGGCAAAGCCTGTGTCCTTGTGCAGAGCTCGGTTAGAAACTTCAACTATCGTCTTGATCTGGCGTTGCCTGATTTGAGGGTCTTTGAAGTGTCTGTTGTTCATCAGCTTCAGCATCCAAGCTTTGGTTTCTTCCCGCATTCTTTGTCGTAGCTGCTCTTCTTCTAGGCTTGTGCTTTCTCGGTGGAGCCCCTGCCATCGATCAAACCCTTTGAAAGCAGCGTCGAGCATGGCAAAGTAGGAATCAGCGCGTAATAGAGGCATCGACACGCGTTCGTACCTTGTAATGTCGAAGTGTTGTTCCTCTGCTTCGATGTCGTTGAAAAGGGCATCAACCCGACTCAAGACGGCATGAATCGCGTCCTCTAGTTGCGCGAAACAGATCCACTCGATAACAGCCGAGCAGAGCCTGCGATAGTTCCAGAAGAAACCCTGGCGTTCCGGAAAGAGTTCGATCTCTTCATTCATGATTACCACCACGGGGTCCTGGGTATCTTCGGGAAACTGATCGTATTGCATGAGTCGTTGTGAAGCGACCTCCAGAAGCGGGCCAATGCATTGAGATACGGCAGAAGTCATGCGCCAACTCGGCACCTCCAGCATCTTGACCCAGGAGTGAATGACGGAAATGGAGACGACCAGACTTTCATTTGCTGCCACCGTGGTCAAGAAGCGCAAAAAGGGAAATAAGTCGAGAGTGCCAACATCGGGAGGCTTGTACTGGCACATGTGATCCGCCAACATGGACATCAACTCTGACAGCTTTTTCGAAACGACATACTTGCTGCTGTCCAGCTCATTCACCGAAACAACAGACCAGCTGTAGAGTTGTCTTAGGGTTGCAATACTGTCTGGCTGAATCAGAGGGTGCACAAGAGCTTGCACCTCGAGCTCTTCTAGCCGCAGTCTTCCGTACAACGACAGTAGGCTATCGATCGCAGCCAAGATGAGGTCCGGGTCGGCCTGGGTGAGAAACCCACACGCTACTGCCAATGCCATTGAGTGAACAATAGCCGGCGTCATAACCCAATTGAAGACAGACCGTATAGTGGCAAGAGCTTTCAAGACGACCTCCTTAAGCCGTCCCTCTATGCTGGGACTTTGGATTGCTTCCTCGAGAAATTTCCTGATTCTGGTGAGCCAGCCGTCCTCTCCATATCGCATGTGGTGGGTGGTCTCGCCGATCCTGATGCCTCCCGCGAAGTTTGAGCTAGACGTAAAGATCTCGACAAGCGCTGAGTTCAAATCTCGCCCTCGGATGATGGCAACGCTGTCATCACGAACAAATACGTCTTCGGACAGATTTTCCAGTACCGTGAGAACAAAGTCCTTGCGGACAAGGTCCTGTTCCCAAAGATAGACCAATTGCTCATCCAAGCCGAACATGTCCAGTGCCCAATACCGCTTGGCCAATTCAATCCATAGCTCGGCTATTTTGTTGCGAATGAAAACAAGGTCCGTGTCCTGGATCGACCGGCCCAGCTCGTTGATACATTCTCGGAGTTGATTGGTTTGCTGCTCGGAGAGCTGGTGAACCTCGTGCCGGACGATATGGCTGAGAACGGAGAGCCCGAAGTGTTGTACCAGAGGTGGTTGCGATTTGTCGCTTGAGAGGGCGCAGCCATACTGAAGCGCTTCGTTGCTCAACTTCAGACTCTCTAGATACTCGGAAGCTTGTCTCCTAATGTCATTCTTGGTGGTGGGATTGTGGATGACTTGTAAGGCCTCTAGGATGTTGGAGATGTCATAAGACTGCCCAAGTGCTCCATTCGTGGTGCCATTGGCCGTGGCTGAGTCTGTCATCGCCAGCTATGTCGATCTATATAATGACCCTTTGTGACTTGCGTGGCATGCCGGTCTATGGTAGACCGGCTCAGAAAGTGGAGGGTGACAATATATAGAGCCGCTTCTGTGCTGGTTCGGTGTAATTCTTGGTGGAAACTTGTAATGATGGCAGAGATTGCAATACCAGATGTTTCTGTCGTTTTGATGTTTGCCTGGTTCACAGTGAAAGATTTGTCACCGCCGCCACCGCCCGTTGTCGTTCCTTTGTCTAGGAGAGCATCCAGACTTGACGTCCAAAATCCAACACGCTAATGTCTCACGAGTGCATCTGCTGGCTTGGCAGACGGCGTCAAGGAAAGACAAGTAGAAGGAGAGATATTGGTGGAGGAACAAAGAGCATGCGACACCCGCCACGGTGCAAGTGACGATTTGCGGATCAAACAAACTCCTTCCCAAACAAAAGGATCGTCTCGCCCAAAAGGGCAGGTTTAGCCGGGCTTGTATATACGTCGCTTGTCACCACTTGCCTTGACCTCAGATCGTTCTTACCATATGTGACACCTGGTTATAGGGCTATATGTACTCTCCATAGCCGACTGGAAGGGCCAAGGGGAGTCGACTCGTCTTCCTCTGCACCAGGCCTACACACTGCCACTCCCTGTCGCTACTGCTGCACCGCACCTCCGCCCATACCTTTGCCCATCTTCCGGGCCCTCCCTTCGCGTCTATTGTGGCTCGCTCCACCCCTGCCCCTGCCTTGCTCCTTTCGCTTTCTGGCAGCCTGAGTCGCTGCATCCCCACTGGGACCTGCAGTACTCCCTCCGCCACTGCGACCGCGTCCCCATGTGCGGTTCCCCCTGGTCTGTGCCTGATGTACCCGTCGACTTCCGCTCTCCCCTTCTCCCTCGCTACCCTCAGGAGTGTAGTCCTCCTGCCATCGTGTCGGAGCGAGCGCAGCTTGATTTCCTCTGAAAGTCTGTGTATCCGCGTATTTCTTTTCCAGGCGATCTTGCAACTTGGAGTCCTTCTTCAGCATGATGGCCCATCCCTCCAGCTGTTCATCACTCATTTCGGTCTCGCGTTTCAGATCTTGCCGGACCTTGGATATACGAGTCTTGATGTCGCGTGCAAATAGCTCCTGGTTGCCTTTCCACGCCCGGAATAATGCCTCTTCGTGAGGATTCTGCTCAGGACCTCTTTCCGGTTGCGGCCTGGTGTCAGTATCGAGGGTCGAATCTACTGTGCCACCCACGTCAGCGATGTCGTAAGTGTCGTCTCGCTCGTCGTCGTCCGAGTCAAACGCCGCCAACGCCGACAGTATTGCTGCTTTCCGCTGTATATGGTCATGTTCCGTTTCGGGGTGGTCAATTCTGACATCCTTCCGCCCTCTATGCAGCCGACCTGTCGATATCTGAAGCTTGTCCAGCTCGTCTCCATCGAATATGTTCTTTCGCTGTGGAAGTAATGGAGGTGTCGAACGTGGCGCAAGATCATGCGCTGGCCCAGCAATGCCAAGCTCAGGTTCTTCGAAGGCGTCTCGATTGCGAAGTCCCACCGGAAGAGAGTCAGGCTCTAGTAGCGCGGCCACCACGGCCTCTGTATCATCATGGAAATGGTCGAGCAGCTTGAGGATATACCCGTTTGAAATGTTTGGAAAGAGGTCGTGCACCTGTGATATCTGCGAGGCTTTATGAATGTGCATCTCTTCGTTCACACCAGCCTTTCCTTTGCCTTTTGCGCTTCTTCGTCTTCTCGGGCTGACTGGGGGATGTAAATGTTTGGTGTTCTGTCTATAGGTGTTGAGAGACTCTAGCAGCCCCTGACCTCGCTTGCTGGAAATCACAGAAGAGTCTGATGCGAGGTGCCTTAGGAAGGATGTACTGCACACCAGGCTCGAAGACAATGTTGGCTGATTGGGTCTTGCCTTCGTGAGTCGATCAGCTTCTGACTTCATGAAATAAAGGTGGTCGAGCAGGAGCGATCCGTGGGAAGAACCGTCAGACATAAGGCTGCGCAGGCAGTAGAAGATGTGCTCAGTCAGTATTCTTTGGGACGACGCAGTATCAGGCAATGTCTGCAACCGGCTGTAGGCCTCCATCAGCGTCTCCAGATAATCTGAGCCTGTCATAAGAACGAGACCCGTGTCCGCGGAGACCTTAACGAAAGCATTCATCTCACGGAGTCTAGCTGCAAGCACTCCAGAGTTGGGTTGCGCCAAAAGATCTGCCGAGACCGTCTTCTTCCAGCCCTCCACCACCGCCGTCATTTGGGATTGATCCCTCTTCCAGAACATCTTCAGCGTTGCCTTCCAGTCTGACACGCCCGCATACTGCATGCTTGCCTGGCACAGCAGTTCAATGAGAGTTGCTGCATCATAGTCGAGGGGTGAGTCTATGACCAGCAGGAGCCTTCTCAAGAGCAGATATGCGCGCTTCAGCAACAGTCTTTCCTTGTGCAAGCTCGATGATTGTGTCGCAGCCTCGGCTCGACTTGACTGGAAAAATGACGCGAGAAAAGAGACGCCACTGGCGTCCTGACCGACGCTGAATCTGGAGAAATCCTTGTCTGATAGTCTCAGGCGGAATTCCAGACTGAACAGCCACGAGTCAAGACATGCTTCCCACTCGGCAGGCGGCAGGCTGGCTTTGACGTTTGGGTCTGGGTAGAGGGCCAACGGCGGGAGGCTGCCCTGCTCCATTCCTAGCAGATGGCGACTGCTCAAAGCCCGTGTCTGGAAATACGTATCTCTCTGCCCGTTGGAGAATTGAGGCCTTGTCGGCAAAGTGGCTCAACACAGTTCAAACCAAGTCAACTTCATCATCAGTGACTGACTTTCTAAAGAAGTGGGTGACTAAATAAACCCTTGGAGAGCGTTCCGTAACAGGCTTAGTGTGCGGCCCAGCCCGTCGCCAAGATTTCAATCGCACTTTGCGGCCAACGTTATCGCTATCGAAAACCATCGCAGACAGATTCCTTCTCTCTTTCCCTTTCTCCAGCCTTTCATCACTTTACCGAACCCAGTCGTTCAGGTCTTGATTGGCGCAGACACTCTCTCAGCCCTCTGAACGCCGTCTCGCTTCACGAACTCACACCACAGTCCAGCCCTCACAAAGCGCACAAAATGTCGTTCCAAAAGCCCGAGAAGGATTTCGGCGAAGGCCCAGTGCGTTTCCCCCCCCACTCACTCACTCAACTCACCTTGCGCTCGCATCTCCGTCTCTGATATATATACCCCCCCTTCTCTCTGGTAGTTGGCCGTGAGGAAAACTGACATTGTTGAGCGCGACACCAGAAAATCCACAAGATCCGCATCACCCTCACCTCGCGCAAGGTGCAGTCCCTGGAGAAAGTGTGCTCGGAGCTGCTCGACCGCGCCAAGACCAAGAACCTCCGCGTCAAGGGCCCCGTGCGCCTCCCGACCAAGACACTCAAGGTCACCACGCGCAAGACGCCCTGCGGTGAGGGCTCCAAGACCTGGGACATGTACGAGATGCGCATCCACAAGAGGCTGATTGACCTGAACGCCCCGACCGAGGTCGTCAAGCAAATCATCATCAACATCGAGGCGGGTGTCGAGGTTGAAGTCACCATCGCGGCATAGAGGGTGGAAAGAGGGAAGATGGGGGGATTCATAATACGCACGCCTCTTATTTCTCGCTGGCGGCGACGGAAGGAAGGTCGTGACGGCGAGGAAGCGAAAAGGTTGCGGTGGTCATGCGCAAACCTGGCTTCGAGAGATGGCATAGGTTCTGTTCCAGCCGCTAGATCTATCTACCGGAGTAGAGAGAGCCTGTCTTCACGAGGCAAGAGACTTGTGTCAAGGAATCAAAAGCAAGAAGATCTCAAGAAAAGAATTCGCGTGTTGTGCCTTTCAGTCCGAGCTCTTGAACCGTCCATGTTGTGCCCCAACCTAGAGAACAGCTGTTCGCAGTGCCCCAGCCCTACGCTCGTTTTCTACATTGGTACCGAAGTGTCCGTCTGAATTTGTAGCACAAGCAGATCCATCTCCGACCCCAACCCCAACGCCCCAATCCCCGGGATCTCTCCGTAGAACGCGGCTCAGAAGTCGTAAATCCCCCATTCTCTCAACGGCGGCACCAGGGGAATCTTGCCGTCGAGGAACTTCCCTTCGGAGAATAAATGCCTAAAGCGATCCACAACGTCGGCGGTATACTCCTCCTTGGAGCCTTCACTGTCCTCGATCTTGTCCTCTCTGTTCAATGCCACCACATCGGGCGTGGCTCCGGCGTCCGGAAACCAGATCTTTTCCAGGCCTTGGCCGTCCGGGCGTCGATAGCAGGGTATGGAGTTGACGTATTCGACGCGCTGGCCGCGGTAGGAGATGACGCGACCCGAGACGTCCTTCTGCGTGGGCAGCAGCGGGAGCGTCTGGGTGTAGTGCACGGCGTGGGGAGGCCGGTTGATGAGTGGATGAGGAGTGGTCGAGGTGTTGATGATGGGTTTCGCGATTGGGGGAGGTTGGGACGCTGCGGGGGCTGCTTGAGGCGGCTGAGGCGCGGTAGATGGTGCAGAAGTGGTTTCGAAAGGATTCGCCCGAGACGCAGGACGTGAAGGTGCAGGGGTATTGGTGTCCATGTTCTCGTCCTTGGGCTGAACCTCTGCAGTCTTAGGAGCGAAAGGGTTCGCTGGAGTGGTAGCCTGCCCGAATGCCGGAGCCGCGCCCTGACCAAAGCCAGCTGAACTGGATGCGGCCTGGCCGAATGGTGAGGCCGTGGACGCAGGTGCTTGGCCGAAGCTAGAGGTAGGTTGCGGTGGCTGTCCGAATGCTGAAGCTGGTTGCCCAAATGCCGGTTTACCGAACGCTGATGGCTGGCCAAAGGTAGATGTGGGCTGCGATGGTTGTCCAAAGGCGGAAGAAGGCTGACTAGGCTGGCCGAAAGCTGAAGAAGGTTGACTGGGTTGTCCGAATGTCGAAGAGGGCTGGCTGGGTTGCCCAAAGGTCGACGTAGGCTGTGAGGGCTGTCCGAATGTAGAGCCCTGCGAAGAGGGTTGCCCGAACGCTGAGGGAGACTGACCGAAACCACTTGATGCGGACGCTGGCGCAAAGGGGTTCTTCTGGGGGTTCGACCCAAAGCCTGAAGACCCAAATGCCGGCTGACCAAATCCAGAAGACGGCTGAGACGGCTGGCCGAATGCAGAGCTGGTCTGCGGAGGTTGGCCAAATGCTGATGTTGGCTGTGATGGTTGCCCAAAGGTGGATGCTGGTTGCGAGGGTTGTCCAAAAGTCGACTGCCCGAACCCAGGGCTCCCGAAAGCCGGTTTTGCAAAGGGGCTTGATGATGATGCTCCTGCTCCAAATCCACCTCCACTTGCAGGCTTTCCGAAGGGACTGCCTGTTGAGCTTCCTGCCCCAAAGCCACTCTGCCCAAATGCTGGTTTTCCGAAGGGAGAAGTACCAAAACCGGAGGCTTGGGTGGACTGGCCAAATGACGATGCAGCGGGCTTCGCGAACGGGCTTGTTGTCGAGCCCTGGCCAAACCCGCTGCTGGTACCGCCACTGAATGGATTCGAACCAGCAGATTGCGACTCAAATTCCTTGATAAATTGATCCAGCGGCTTCGTCCCATCCATCCGTAGAAAGTCGTCTCTGTTGGGGTGCTTCTTCTCCGCGTCCAGGACAAATCTCTCGACATCGCGCGCGTTGTTCAGGATCTGGTCGATGCTTTGTTCGGCCTTATTCCACAGGGCGATGGCTTCCTGATCGGCCTCGTTTTCCTTCCCCTGGCTTGCAAACTCGTAGAACCTCACGCGCACCTCTTCGGGGCTGAATTCATTCTCTAACAAGAGCGAAGCTGGAGAATTCCTGCCCGGGCCATATGCGGAAAGAATCCACTTTGGCCGGCCCTTCCCAGCTGCAAGGTCATTTGGGATCTCGTCCTGGTTGAACTGCCACGCATCTCTCCGGGCTAAATGTGATGTCAGTAACCCACGCGGTTTGTTGGGCCAAGCTGTGGATAAAGGAGGCGAGTATCTCACCATTGCTGCCTCCGCCGCTTCCGCCAAATCTGTTACCCGAGAGAGCGCCAAATCTGTTCTGGTTTGCAAAGCCTCCTCCCGGATGCTCGTTCCGACAATTTGCTGTGAGAAAGAGCCCGTCAGTTTCGCCCAAAAAGCCGAGGTTGACAAGGATGTCAACTGTAATGACAGGATAGGAGACAAACCACCAAATTTGCAGTTTCCCTGCAAGAAGTATTTGCAGACGACCATTATAGCGTCTCTTTCGCCGTGAATAGGCGCTCCGGGGGAGTGGGCAGGGAGCGCAGAGGAATGGCGCAATTGCAGTGATCGAGTCGACTTAGTCAGACATTCCGACCTACGACTCCAATCTTCCAGGCGTGACCAGAACTTAAAGAAAGTAGTGAACTCAAGCTGCTGAGGTTTTGGCAGCGCAAATTCTCAGGACAGGGACTGATGTTCGCGTCGCGATATCCTTAGCCTTCTGTATTCTGGACTAGGCTCACTTGGTGGACGAGATAAAGAGGCGCAGAACCTGAACCTGGTTCTGGTTGTGATTGATTAAAGTAATCGGGTATGTGAAGCAAAATGGTCGTCGACATCCCCGTGAAAGTGATGCGCCCAGACGCGTCCAGAAATAGTTTAGCGTTCTTCAGCCTTGGACCTCAGCCTCGCTTCACCATGCCACATCCCGACATCAGGATACTTAATCGTCCTCTGTTGTATTGAGCAAGTCCCCGAGGCACACATTGCGCTACAATTATGCGAGGTACAAAGGAAAGCAAAGTCTACGAACAGAAAATCCGAGTAACGGGAGGCACACTTCAGTTTGCTGGTGATCAGTGCAAACAGCAACCACACTTCTTAAGTCACTTTCTATTCTTGCTATTTCGACTGCTGTGCAATTGCTGTCGCCCACTTTCTCGCATGTGAGGTCTTATATTGTCCTCTGGGCTGAAAATCTCCTGTGATCCTAGGAATCAATCATCCATCCATTGAGCTTGAGTCGAGACAGCGGTTAGCCCAGGTCAGCGATCAGCTTTGGCCACAAGTCTGGGATTCGAGGGTAGATCTGTTCGCAGGTGGCAAGAGTCTGGGGTGCTGGCAGCCAGAAAGGAAGGTCCTGAGCACGGAGATTCAAGACACACATTCCCAGAGGCAGTGCAAACGCTCACATCGAGGTGACATATAAGTGGGCCTTAGATAGCTCCAGACCCGGTGATGTACAGGCTCCAGCGCTAATCCCTCATATGCAACCTCATTTCTTCAATGCTTGGGTAAGGAAGACAGAGGATGCGTTTCTGAGGTTATCTCCAAGAATGGCGTATTCTCTTATGCATACGAGATTGTAGTGATCAACCGTTTCAGATCAGAACAGGGACAACAAATCCTCGTTTGTCTTCTTCCCGGCAGCATTGTCAAGTTGTTGTTTAGCAGGTGGGGGCTGTGACTGGGAAAGATCCATCGAAGCGAAGCCATTCAAGATGTCGCTGTCAGACATTCCCCCGAATGCAGACGCAGTCGATGGAACGGTTGAAGAGCCTCCATTGCCAAACACTCCAAGTAGGTCATCCATGTTGTTAGCCACGGCAGGTTGGCCAATCGTTGGTGAGGCCACTCTTTGTGGTGTCCCTGCAAGTCCTTCCAAGCCAGAGAGGCCGTCAGAGGGCTTTTCCGACGCCGATGCAGGTGCAGCACCATCGAAATCGATGTCGAGTAAATTTTCGATGTTGTTTTGTGCCTCGGGAGCCTTGCCTTGGACGGCCGCGGCGGCGGCTGCAGCGGCCAACGGGTTTTCGCGTGCATTCTGCATTTGTTCTTCAATTGCAGCGCGTTGTACCGCATCAGCTCCGTAGCGCCCTTGGCCAACAAATTGCTCTGGCGGTTTGTGATAGACTGACGCTAAAGTCGAAAGCTCGCCGAGCAATCTTTCAAGGAGTGTGGGTGGTAATGATTGGATTGTCGTGGTTATGGGGGGTTTTTCAGAAAGAACAATGTTCTTTGGAGCGTTTTGGTCGCTTGTGTTGGAAAGAAGTCGCCAGTACACATAAGCTCGGTCGCGAATGTCGGGGTTATCGCTTTCGGCAGTTGCAGCATTGAGTACCTTCTGGACGAGACCTTGGGCCGCTTGTGGTCGCTTCAGGAACAGTTTTACCACGGCGGTAAGGATTTGAAGCTGGGTCTGGATCATCGTTAGTGCCCTGTACCGTGAGGGAGTCCGTCAAACCTACTTGTGTAAACTCTTCGGCGAAGCCATCCACAAACCCACCAAGGATGTCGCCGGCATTGCTGATTTTTTCTGCATACTCACCGACGATCCAAATCAGAGACCCTCGTGCGTTCGGTTCGTCCAGCTCATCGATACATTTGCATAAAGTGGGGATGATTCCCTCATAGCCTGGGTATTTCCGGAAAATATCCTTGATCACGACAATCACCTCTTGCACCACATAGTTGACCTTTGTGTTGATAAGGTCCAGCAGAGCATTAACACAGCGTTCGCTGGCACTCTCAATCTTGATGGCAACTTGCCCAATGGCCTTGACGGCTCGGCGTACAAAATCCATGTCCACTTCCAAGGCATATTCTTTGAGTTCGGCCAGCAATTGGTCCACGTTCGATTCATTTGCTATACGCACCATTATTTCAAGTTTTTGAAACTTGACATACGGTGGATCGTTGTATTTGCAGAAAAAGACCCGGATCTCTTTGCTGAGAATGTCGGGTTGCTTCTGCAGAAGAAGGTCGATGTTGCGGAGGGCAACATACTGCACTTCCGGCGCCGAAGAAACCAGTGTGACCAGTGGAGGCGCCATCTTCTTCAAGTATGACTGTTGCGTTTCCAATGGAAGGTATCTCATGTGCAGGAAAACAGCCTTGACTGCTGCGACGACCACACTTGAGTTGACATGCTGAAATTGGGGGGCCACTCTTTCGCAGATGTGCTCGGCTTCTTTGACGTCCTGCGCCTTGTATTCTGCCAGTGTACTCAATATCGTGACACGGCCCCATTCCGTGCACTCATTCAGAGCCATGAGGAGCTTCTTCAACGTGTTGGGTGTGATATGCAGGGCGTTTGTCTCGGGTGCCGATTCGTTGATCTCTGCAAGGGCTTGGACGGAATTCGCTACCACCATCGGGTTCGGATCACCGATCATCTCCTGTAGTGTTTCCAGGAAGCCGTTCTCGAGGCACATAGTGGGATTGAGATCGAAGAGCTTTGCGACGCAGATGGCAGCGGTCTTTCGAACATAGGGCGATTCATCCCGGAGGGTTTTTCGCAGAGGTTCTTCCATATAGTCAATCATTTTGTCAACTCTTATACAACCCATCGTTCGGATCGCCAGAGCGCGGATAAGGGGATTGGGGTCTTCGGAGTCTTGTACAAAGGTGTTGACAGCGAGAATGCAGAGGTCAGGGTGTGATTTGGCATAGTTCCTGTGGTCAATGTCAGCATCATAAAGGTTGCGGTCGAGTCTCCGGGATACTGACATCAAATACAAGTAGACCAGTTTCTTCTGGTCAAGGTCTGAGGTCGCAATGTTTTTGAGGACGTCCGGAAAGAGTGCGGAGACGTCTTTGCCCAAGGTCATGGCCATGATTGTCTTTTGAATGGCCTCCTTCCTGCAGTCAAGATATGAGACTCTTGTCCAGGCCGCTCCAGATTAGGTTGGGCTTACCGTTCGTAGGCATATTGGGATCTAGGATTAATCAGTTAGTCCCATGCATTTCGAACACGGTGTAGAATCACATACACAAGACCAGCTCGCAATTCAAACGTCTCGCCTTTCTTGGGAGGCGCAAAGGCGTTCCTCACCCTGTTCATCGCCATCTTGTTGGGCTCGAGGGGGACACGGAATCTGGGCGAACTATCGTAGCAGGCCGGTCGAGGTTGAGAGGGGCTACCTTGCCATTTCAGAGGGTTGCTCAATCCATGAGTGTCTGCAAGATTCAGAATCTCTCAAGCAGGGCAGTAGTCTCAATCACAAAATGTTGACACCTGACACGGTCCGGGGCAGGTCGTGGAAAGGCAGCGTCAACGGATGATCTGGCGCCATTTACGGAGTCCAGGTCAACCTGAACCGCAGACTGGAAGTGCCAAGTGGCTTGGTGGATGGACTGCTGGGTCAGTCTTCTTTGGGACAATAACGATGCTGCCCTGAGCACGTATTAGTGGATACCATTAAGTCTCGTATCATTGGCCCTGAATCCATACTGCCATAGCAGCGACATGCCTGCAGTAGAACAGCTTAAACAGGGTTGTTCTCTGTCTCTACAAGATACGTTAGAGCAGACAAATTCATGTACCATCCGATATCCAGGTAAGGCTCGTTCGATTGAGGCAATTGGTGGATAATGAATTGCTGCCGGAGGCCCTTCAAAGGTATGCAGCCACCCAACATAGTCACTCTAGGGCATTAAGCTTTAGGCACACCCCAGGCAGCATAGAGACATCAAGATCAAGTACGCCGTCATCCGCATTTCCTCCCACGCATGTATACATATCCGATCCGTGGCTCGTTGGTCTCGAAGACCCCTTCTCCGCTGTCCAACTTTGGAAATCAGTCACTCTGCTTAGAGCGACCCTGGAGTCGAGAATTCTACCACAATGTCCCTCTCCTACGCCGTCAAGATCATCCCTTTCTTCGCGTCGCCACATCTGGCCTCGCTCCTCGACTTCTACAGGACCTATCTCCCAGACTTTACAATTCACCCGCATCCCACTGACGCTGCAGAGCCCACGTTCGCGTCCGTATGGGCGGGGCCTGGCGCCGCGGCGAACATCTACATCATCCAGGACGAGGAAAAGGTTCTCGGGAGCTGCATGATCATGATGAAATCGGTGCCTGCATTAGATGAGCTGTACGAAGGCCTTGTCGCCAAGGGATTGAAGCGATTGGACGTGATCGAGTGGACGGGGATGCCTGTGTCCGCCGACACAAGTGAACCGCAGACGGCTCTGGGACCCATCGAGGATAAGTCCTGGGGGTATCGCCAATTCGATCTCGTTGATCTGCACGGCAATATGATTGTTTTCTTTGCATTCTTGGAGGGGGAGTAGGGGCAGGAGGGAGTACTGAGATGGTTCAGCGTACTTTGGGGGGCAGGAAGACAGCCACTGGGGTTTTCAATCCAGGATATCAAATCAACGAACCTCATCCAAGTTTCATTGTGATCGTGCAGGGGGGGGCGGGGGGCTGGACGTTAACATGGCTGGCGGGAATGGCAGTGGTAACAGAATCACTGCCAGGGATGGGAGGTGTTAAAAATCAAGAAGTAGGTGAAGACGAGTGTAAAGAAGCGTGTTCTTCCAGGGAAGTGGCAGCTCTTGTTCATTCCGTGTCTACCCCAGTCACCTTTTCTTCAACGTACAGATGACGCCCTCCTGCTGCACGAACCAGTGGTTACAGATATGCCACTCCTTTTCCGGGTATGTCAACTCGACATGATACTGTCTGAGGAGCTCCGGTATAACTTTGTGGATTTCGATCCAGGATATATTGCGTCCGATACACTTGCGGCTCCCTGCCCCAAAGTTCAGCTCCCAGATGGTGTCCATCTCCTTCAGCTGGGTCTCTGGCGCCGTCAACCACCGATCTGGGTTGAACTTCTCCGGCTCTGGGCCGAAGACGGCTGAGCGGTTGGTAACCCAAGGATTAATACCCACGATGGTCCCGGCTGGAATGTGATAGCCCTGGACGGTGAGGCCTTCTGCGGGGACATGTCGTTCCATAAGCAAGCCGACCGACGGATGAAGACGCATGGATTCCTTAACCACGGCGCCTAGATAAGGAAGGGCCGTGGTGGCTTCTTTGAAGGTGATGGGTTGACTGAGCTTCCCCTGCCTGTCTGCGTTGTCGATTTCACTAACCAGACGATCCATACATTCGGGATGGCGGCAGAGGAAGTAGACAATGGCGCGGAGGGCGATAGCCGTCGTATCACTGCCAGCGAAAACGTTTGTCGACAGGTGGACCACGATGTCGCGGGTATTCATCTTGAGGGGGTCTGAGGACTTGACATATGCCCAGCGACTCAGCATGTCACGGCCCTCGACATCGGCGTTGATCAGCTCGCCGTCTCGCTTGATGCTCGCCCGTCCGTTGATTGCCTTGAGGGTGAAAACTAGCACTTGGTTCCAGGTCTCCATGGCAGGCATGAGCCGGGTGAAGAGAGGATTTCCCAGGAGAGCATGGTGCACTTCTGGGACTTGGCCACAGAGTGCTGCATACGCTAGCATGCCTTCAATTGCTTTCATCATACCCTGTTCCCACAAATTAGCTGGAACTCGGGGGTCAGTTGAACGAGACTTACATCAACGTCTTTGCCTTGGTCAAGAAAGCCAAGCTTACTTGCGAAGGTGACCTCTCCGACGACATCGAAGGCAAAGTATTGTAACCAGGCACCAAGGTCCACGGGTTCACGCTTCGAAGCAAATTCATTGAGGCGATACATGAACAGATTGACGCAGGAATCAATGGCGGCCTCTGACTGCAACAAGTTCGGCAAGCTATAGGCGGCCCCGATCTTGCGCTTCTCAATACGATGGTATTCCGGGTCACGGGTCGAGAAGAGGTTCATCTCTGGCTGTTTTTTCCACGAGATACATTGTATGGGATAAAAGGCTGTCTTGGTAAAGTTCTCCTTGATCCCGTAGATGACTGGTATCAATGTAGGGTCGGAAATGGACACGTGGTTGGGCCCAATGCGTACGACGGGCCCGTACTTTTCGTGCAGACTGATGGCGGTCAGGTGAGCGTGGCCTCTGTAGACATCATACAGCCTCCATAATTTAGTGTAGGCTGCCACTGGAGGTCCGGGGATGTTTCTGAGTCCTGGTCTGAACCTGCTGTATACCAGTGAGATCACCCACAGACCAACGACAACAAGGACCGGGTAGGTAGCACCGAGATGCTTGATAGATGAAACGAGACCTGTGGAAGTAATGATAGCCATATTTACAGGCAGATTGTGAAATCCTGTGAAATGAGAGACAGACGCAGAAGGGTTGACTACGACTCTCGCTCGCCGAGACTGCTTCTGGCGTCCTTTGTACATTTATTTCTGCTGTTGTTTGATCAACATGCACCCGGATAATGCACGGATGGTGGCATTCCGCAGGATGAATGACCACAAGTCTTCGCCGTGTCCGTTCATCGAATCCCAGTGTCGGTGATTGGCCATGGAAGAAGATCTATGTGCAAGGTTTGGAGCTTCTTGCTGGACCTCGACCACGCCGGGGGAGGCAGCCCCCAATGAAATCTGGGGCCCCTTCCCCCTTGACGAGTAGAGTGGTGCGAGTTATAATGTCGACGAGAAGCTGTCGAGAGAGGCACCACTTGGGGGGGTCCATCATTGTGGGTCTTCAAAGGGCATATACATGACCAGGGGTCCTCAGGAGAGGGCATCAATCAGTGGAAGCAAGCTCCGACAAATCTAATAGGGGGCCAAGGCACTGCCTCCCTTTGCCCCGCTCATTAGTTGCTGTGTGTGAGGCGCACACTGGTCCACTGTTCGTGTCATAGTAGTATATTTCTTGCTGGACAGCTCCAGCCAACCTGGGGTTTAAATAGTTCCGTAGTCCCGGATCCGAGGCAAAGGGTCACCGGATGTGGGATCCCCACACGGAGAAAGCAAGTTCATGCTCGTGTCAAAGTGATGCTCCATGCCTTTGGGAGCAATGGGGCATCATTTGCATTTCTTCTCATCAGGGATGGAACTCAGCTGAGAAGCATGTGGCAGTCAATGCCGAGGCTACCAGGGCCACCCTTGCTTGCCAGGAGGCTGTACAAGATAGGAAGAAATCTCTCCCCCGCCCTGCTTCTAGTTCGCAATAACACAATAGCTCTCAAACACCCCTGGTGCCAGCACAAAGGTGGCACCTGGAGGGATGCTATCCATGTCGACCCTCGTAGGCGGAGGTATATGCAGCTCTTTGGGCTATTTTGACGTCCATCTCCCTTAGTGCCACTCTGTCATAGCTTTCCGTTCCCTGTAAAGGCCCTTTGATTGTGGGCATTCCATGCTTCGTTGTTACAATGCAGTGACGGCAGAAATCCAAGAGTGGGAATGCACTGGTGTCGGGGACATGCCTCGATCTCTCGGTGAATGTCGCGGCACCCAGCGCCATAAAACACAGCACCAGGGTAAGTCCACTCAGGACCACATAAGCTATGACAGACGCAAGTCCCACAACAATCTGATTCCTGCTCACGGTGAAATACACCGGGCTGTTGCGTTCGAGGCCGTTGGGGAGAACGATGTTGTCGTAGTTCGTGAACAGAATGTTGCTCGGCAGCTCAGAGACAACCTGACGTTCAATGTAGCCTGTCTGGCAGAAGTAAATGGGAATTGCCAGCAGCGCCTGCAGAGAGTTGACTGCTCTTGATTGGAGGGCCGGACTGCGCGAAACGAGCTCGGCGATTGAATTTAACATCGAGGCAATCATTGCTGGGAACATGAATTTGCCAGCTCCGAGCCCCAAGATTTCCAGTGTCGTGGATGTTGTCAGGTCCGTGTCGTTTGCAAGACCCAGGAAGTTGTCCCATGCTTGCAATAGATCAGTTGACTTGAGGGGTGCCGTTGTCTCTGACATTTTGCTGAACTCGTGAGAGATGATAGTGCCGTTGAGTCTCGAGTACGCGATTCTCGCATGGCGGAGAGTCGAGGATAGACTCGTTGACCAAGTTGGTGTTGAATTCCATGCTGACTCCTTGTCACAGTTTCTGGCCAGGGTGTCGGCATAGCTGCAGCTTGAGTATCCTAAAGAGATCAGCAACAGTGCCGGCAAGTCTTCGAAGAAGGAGGCTTCCACTTACTAGCCTGTATCTGATTCGAGGCTACGTTTTTCGCGCACAGTCTGAAAGCACCAAGAGTAGACCCAACCGCCTCAGTGTAATAAGTCCGGCATTCTGTCCCGTTGTCAAATACCCAGCCAGCATCTCCTTCAGTGAAGCGGAGCACATAGCCTTGTTGATCTTCAACAAGCCAGGAGTCGGCTCTCGGATGTGCATCCGTCGTTATCTGTGCAGCTATCTCCTCCTGACCTGCAGCGAGGTAAATAGATCGCTCGCACGTTCGTCCACTACCCACACCGGCTGTGGCAGTGCAAGCTTTCCTGCGACTGGCGTCCGAGATGTCTACGGCGTGAGTCGGGTCATCCAGAAACTGGCTGAAAGAGGCTCCGAGTAGGATGTCCGTAAAGGGTGACAATGTGATGGCCACGCTGGTGTTCAAAGATCCCAACCCAAAACCGAGCGGTGCGACTGTCTGGCCCACCTTGTCAAACCTGAGCACGGTTCCCACCTCACCTGGAGGTTGTCAGTGGTGTCTAGGTGTTAGGAAGGGGCCGGAAAAGGGTTCACTCACTCATGATCAAGACTCCCAATATCGGCAATAGCACCACAGCAAGGAGCCTAAGGCCTCCCCAGAGTCTTGTCCTGGCACTGGACCGCGCCTCGGCAGTGAGTTTTATCAGTCCCAGAATCCCAGTTCCCTCTTGGAGGCACAAGTATTCGGTCAGCGGTATGCCGCCTTCGCGGACTGTCAGAAGCCACTGCAATAGCTCAAATGAAGAGGCCACGGTAATCGCAAGCAGGAACGCCGTCACTTCAGACAAGGCTCGGAGAACAAAAATCGCATTGCTCGGGGATGAGTTGATAAAGTCACTCTTCCACAAACTGGGTCTAATGGCGTACAGCGCTGTCAGAGCCAGCAGGATGACAGTGAAACATGCTGGAACCCATGCAATTGCGATTCCCCTCCTCTTCCTCGCATTTCGGCCAACACCAGCACCAATCGTGTCTGACGGCGCTGTTCCCGCACTGTGGGCTTGTAAACTTGAAGTATTTCCATGGCCCTCTTTTGATGAGCATTCGGATATGGCCAGGCTCACGACCCTGTCAACGCCTGGGCCGTCAGCTTTGTTGGACTGCGCATTGTCCTGGAAGGATAGATCTCGACCTGAGTGGTGAGACCTGGGTCGCTCAGATGCTGCCATGTTTCTTGAAGACCTCTACAGCAGTGCAGAGGCAGACGAGGCAATCATGAACATCGAGGTCCAAAGGTGGACAGTGTACAGAAGACATTGTGATCTTGGAGACGTGCCGTAAGGCTGAAATACTAGGTAGACGAACCCAAGACACGACGCGAAGCTCAGGGGATGACTGATTGTTGAATTCAATACGAGATTTAAGAGTGTTACCAGTCCAGCTTGTTCGACGGTGGAACCTTGTTGGCTCGTGTTCGCTAGATTTGAACCCCTTGAGGCTGGTGTGCTTGGAAATAGGGCTGTTCTCGACCGCTCTCGACGCGAAAGGACTCAGCCGCTTCTAGATAGCGTCTCACAAACTGCCAAAGTCAAACAATAGTTTCATCTGTCTGTTTGCTGGATTTATACGAGGCGATAGCACTTGCCCTCCAAGCAGTGGTCTGCCTGCCAAATACATAGTGGATGGTGTGGCCAGCTGTGATGGCTAGCAACAGTAGATTCAATACAAGTACTCCTACCACCAGTATATCCTTGCGCTTCCAGCCGTCCGCGCCGTGCCACGACTCACTAGCATTGATACTCACATTCTCATCTCGCCGTGAGTTTGCCGGTCCACAGAGATGTGCAGTACCTTCATATTTCCGCTGGTGCTGGGGTTTCTCGGGTCAGCATTCGCCATCACCCAGGCTCCCAAGCTTCCTTCCCTCCTCATTCGTCAAGAAGGGGACCTTGCATCCTGCGAGCTGGTCAATTCCATTGCCGCGGCATGCTCTGCGAGTACAAGTAACCTTTTCGATCAGGGTTTCAGCGTTGCGGCTTCCTGCCTCTGTTATTCGGGATCGGTGTATCAGCCTTCGATTTACGACGGGGCTATCGAAACATGCCTGGCGTATCTGTCCACCGCCTCACCACCACTGTACACTTCACTTGCTGGAAGTGGCCAGACAGGGAGTCCCTGTGCATCGGTCGGCGACGTTCGTACCAACACGGCGATCGACTCCAACCTCATTTCTTGCTCGTCTTGGTACAGCATGGAAGCCTCGTGCTCCGGCGACAATATTAACTCGTCGCCCCCACCATTCTCAATCCAAGCAAGCTGTCTGTGCTATACGAGCTCAGTATTCGCCCCTTCGGTCTTTGATGGCTACTGGGACGGTTGCCTGGACTACTACAAGACCGCATCCTCGGCCTACTACTACGAAACACTGTCCTCACCAGGGAAGGATCTCAACACGCCTTGTGCGAGGGTTGGCGATGTCAGGACGTCGACCGCGGACAGTTCGAGTTCTGCTGCTCCAGGCCAAACAATGTCAACCACCCCTACCACCACCGCCAGCACGAGTAGCAGCAGCGCACCTATTCAATCGGTCACAGGAGAGAGTGCAGCATGTGCTTTGCCTGTGCCTGGTGCATGGTGGCTTCTTTTGACAGTGATGCTACTTCTCTGATTTCTTTGACGGGAAGATTGATCGTGGTCAGCAACTGCTGGAAAGTGTAGATTAGTGTGCCAGAGTACTAGTTACCAAGTACTAGTAGTCCCAGTCTCGCATCATCCAAAAGCTCAAGTCACTACAATTTCTGGCCCTGGCGTCGGGTTAGGCTTGCGCGTCTTGACTTTCCCAGTAGCATAGCTGTCCGACTGAATTAAGGAGTCATGAATCGCAACCTGGACCAGGTCGTGTCCAATATTGAAGCGGGTCCAGACTCAGTTGAGACCGGCTCATTAAACTCCTGAATCTGGCCTGGGCCCAAAACAACTTGACGTAATTGTGAGCTTCCTAGGATCTGTAAAGCAGCCGGACAGGTACTACCTTACTGTATAGACGAGGTGTTGATTGTATCTGACGCGCGACGCTGTATGGAACAGGCACCAACACGTATCCAAGATATCTATATCAGAATTCAACAGTCCGGCTCAAGTTGTACTGTAATCAACCTGCGCATGGCTGCATCAATATTGGCAACCTACACGTTCAAACCCGCTTCAGAAGGTGTCGGGCTGGTTTCTAAATATCGGGAGTCAGCTCACTCTAATAATTAGTATGTACACCTGGTTGCACCACTGCCATGCCTCCAGAACAGTGTAAGGGGAGGGGTTGACGGACGAAATAGGAAAGTTGGACTGTTAACAGAAATGTAGCTAGTCTGCTTTGGTCGAAATTAGTGATGCGCTTTACGAGGCATTATCAGGTCTATTACTGACCGAATACCACTTCTTGGACAAACCCTCCCTCTTCTTTTACTCCGTACTACATATTATATACATACCATTTCTATCTGTTTTCTAGATATTCGTCCTATGACTTGCCCACCTCATGGATATCTGCCTCTCAATCCATCACTACATCCAAAAAAAAGGTAGGAACACTGTTCGCTCATGCGCCTACATCGGCCCAGTAAGCCAAGGGCGCCTGTGGGCTCCCACCGAGCCCCCTGGGCCAGCACGGCACGATATGCCGCCCTCACAAGCCCCCATAGCAACTACCTGTTTAGCCCTGGCATCGCATACTTCACACAACTCACTTATGCCCATCGGTCTTTATAGGTTCTGGGGTAACCGCTATACTTGGGGAATTCTATTATGTTTCGAGTTCTTATGCCTATATACGCTAGATATCTCCCTGTATAATTTATATATAGTGAGTGTGTACTCGTTTAAATATCCCCGTCGATCGTTATAGACCAGGAAGAGATCCGCGACCTAATAGTAGTGTCCCTTGAAAAGCTTCATGAAGACCATTTTCCGCCTTGGGCCCCTTGGTACATCGCATCTCGAGAAGGCCTTATAGAGGAACAAGGTCTTACAGGTGTACGTGACCTCCTGGAACCGTCCGATCTAGGGTTCGCAGTCGTCCCTGCATTTTCCAGTCGTCTTCAGGTCCATAGAGTCAAGTAATACCACAACCACCGACAGCTGAATAGCGATGGGGGTCTAGCCTATTCCGATAGTTCATCGGCCAGCCGGGAGTCAGCTACATTTGCGCGGGCTTCTGTCTCTGAGATGTGCGGCCCCGTGGGCAATAGGGATGGACAAAGGAGCGAACAAGCTGTCAGCATTCGGCTCGCTGAGACCTCGATGACAAGTTGAAAATAAACCGCAAAAATATAGATGTACATGAATTTGGCTAACCATCCAAGAGGTACCGGAGACCGGGTGATCCGTATTCCATTAGCTGAACTTTCCTTGGTGGACAAGACATATCAAACGCCAAAGGAATATTTCATGGACTTTTTCACTCGGACGACATCCGCAGCGATGTCACTGACTTCGTTCTTCTCCGCAGTGGCTGCGGGTTTCGGCCTTGCCAGACCATTGCCGCGTGGTTGCGTCTTTGGCCTCCTTAGGCGATGGAGTTTCAAGGCTCTGCCCATCTGTCCGGCGAGCCAGGGGATCTGGTCCGGGCGAAGCAACGAACCAAGCCTGAGTGGCTGCTTCTGCGCGCCGGTCAAGTCGAGTGGCTCTCCCGCCAGGCCCAGGACAAAGGCCATGGGCCCGATGATGTTGTAGCCGCCCATGCAGAGGTTTTGGCGTTTCCTCTCATCGGCAGTCAAGGGCACGACGTTGTGGTCTCGCGCATATTCCTTGGCCGGACTGCACGGATTCGAGTAGGGGTCTTTGTCCGGCCGCGACGGCCACGGGTACTCGATGCCGGCCGTGTCTGAGAGCTCGTGGATGGATCCGGTTTCCATGCGGCTCCCGAGATGGAACGGGACCGCGGCGGAAATCTCGTCAACGCACCGTTGGAGCGTCTCCTCAGCACTCGTCCTCCACCCCTCAGACTCAGAGAGCAGCACGTCGTTCTCCCTCGGCGTGGCCCGCACCGTTTGGTCCGCGCAGAGCGTCATCTTCAGGAGGAGGAGCCTGTAGCTGGTATACGCATGCCACACGCCGGCGATTTGCACGGACGGGTATACGTTACAAAAGGAGCCATACAGTCCCGCCTTTCTCACCGATTCTGGGATTTCGTCTGCTGCGAGTCGCAAGGGCGCGTAGAACGAATATTGCGCGTCGGCCCAGACCTGCAGGCGCTGGTCGATAGCAGCCGCCGTCCTCCTGAACGACGCTATGATGCTGAGGTCCCTTGCAGTGAGCACCTTCTGGCCCTTCGCGAATCCGGCTTGCAGAGTGGATCTATATTGCTCAAACACGGCCTGCAGGTTGGCGAGGTCGATGGCGATCTTGTCGAGGTCACTGGCTGGGTTATATGGCATGGGGCCGTCGTCTTCCCACACCGCCGGGTCAATGACAACGGGCTGGCGAGTCCGGATCGCCTCGGACACCATAGTGCTGCGCACCTCTTGCAATAACCGCTTGGAGGCCATGTCCCGGAAGCCCCTGCTCTTTCTGTACCTGACCACGGCATAGGCGCCTCTCTGGTGGCTTCCGTCGACCTTGGCCATCTTGCGGTAGGCAATCAGTGCATCCCGGAACTGCAGAGCAATAATGGCAATCAGGGTCGTGTCGGACTCACATCCCGCCGGGGTCATAAGGGTCTCCTTCAGGAGGTCGATGGCGCGGCCGTAGTACTGTCTCGACAGTGTCGAGTCTGGCGCCACGCCACGCCACATTGCGAGCATGGTCGCCGTCAGAGAAGCCGTGGCGGCCGATATCAGAGAGCCCTGGTCGGTCGGCTGGTGGTAATACGGGATCAAATGCTCGAACAATCCGCGCGAAGACTGCACGCCGCGCCCACCCATCATGTAGTTGTGGGAGAAGAAGCACAGCGAGACAAAGTTCTCGTCCTCTTCGAGACTGGGGACCACAGCTTTGGGGTATTCGTCGTCATCGTCGTTGCCCTGTGCGGCTTGGAAGAGTAGCATCACCGCCTCGGTCTCATCTCTGAACTGTATGCCTGGGGGATCTGGCACGCCGGGGCAGGGCACCCCCCTCTTCAAGCAGTTTTTGCAGACGGGTCGGCCTAGATCGCACTTGACGCGGCGCTTTTTGCAGGTTGTGCACCCGCGCGAGGGGCCGGCGTAGACCATCTTCACAGGGTCTCAAGATACTATTTGCGCTTGCGCCGACAAGGATAATGTCTTCAACATATGTAGCCAGCTCGGCATGTCCATCCAAGACTAAGAGCACCCGAAGGGCAGGTGAGGCTGTCGAGAAGCCAGTGTCTCTGTCGAAGCCATAGGGCTGGGAGTTGATGGAGAAGGAGTTGGTGCCAAAGACCCTTCGTGAGGAGAGTCGATTTAGCATGAAGCCCGATCGCCAATCCCATCCAGTCAGAGACATGCCAAATGCATCACTTTTCGCTTCAGCAGGAACCGGCTGAACTCAATCCTTGGGGGGCCTGACTTGGGCGCCTCAATCCCGAATACGAGTATGGTTCGGTCCCATTGCTTCTTCCCTCTTTCGAGCTGGCAGCAAACACTCTCCTCCTCCCATGATGCCAGGCTTTGTCGTCGGTGCAGAGGCGTCTCAGACAGTGTGGGTTTTCCAGTCGGGCGAGCGACGTGTGGTGACCGACTGGGATGATGTGATGTTTCGATTGAGAGCTATATAGATGAACTATTTCAAGGTTGTAAAACAGTAACGGTAGACTGGGAAAGTGCAATTCAGATCCTTCTGGGCACGACAAGACAGTCTCATAATAACATGCATGCCCTTCGCGCAACACTGGTTTCTTCCTAATACCGCAACGCAGGTCTTCCTCACTCGTCACTCGTCCACGCGGGCAACCACGCCCTTTGACTCAGCCGAGCTCTGACTGGCTTTGGCTTGGCCGATGGCGTCCCGGGCCAGAACATCCCCAAACCTGTCCACGGTCAAACCTGCCCGGCCGGGATGCTTGAAACCGGCCTCGACCTGCCTCTCGTAACTGACGAGCCTTAGCCTCTCGCCCTCCGCCGGGGTCAGCTTCAGGTACGTCTCGACGCCGATGGCGTGGACCGCCAGACAAAGCCACACCGACATGCCGAACGTGAGGTGGAACGAGGCCGTGACGAACTCGGGGCCGGGCCCGTGCACGTTGGCTTTGATGACCACCGGTGCGCTCGAGTTTGGCGCCGTACACTCCGGGTAGAGGTATGGGGTGGGATTACCCGGCCCAGGCGGAGCGCCGTACAAGGTGTACTGCTTCCAGATGTCGCCGCACGTCTGCACGTCGAACCAGTGGCCCTGCTGGTGCTGGGCGATAAAGGTGTTGGCGGCCATCTGGACCAGGCGCACCGAGACGATGCTCGCCGCGTAGACCCAGGTCCGGATCATCCATGCCCGGTGTTGGTCGATCTGCAGGCGTTTGATGTTGACGTATGCCAGCACCACCGAGACCGTGGTCATGGTTCCCAGCAGACCAAGGCCGGCTTGGGTAGACGGTGATCCGCCTCCTGCGATGGGAATCACCATGAAGGCGCCTGCGGTGCCGGTCAACAGCAAAAGGACAACGGTGTAGCCGTTCAATCGGTGGAAGAGCACGAATTTATGCCTGATCGCAGGAACGAATTGGAAGCAGACTAAGAAACCTGCCGGGAGGATACAAGCGAGATGGAGGATGATCCCGACCCGCTTGTAACCTGACTGATAGTGAATCGCATCTCCTGGAATGGTACTCTGTATATGATTAATCCAGCGTCAGTCTCAGTTCGGAACCTATGGAAGAAAGGCCTCTCTGGGTCCAGGCAGGGCAGGAGTATACCTTCAGAAAGATGCCGTCAATGTTCAAGTACTGGAGCCGGGCAAGCACAAACCCCATGAGGGCCCCGACGAGTATGACGAAGAGTATGAAGTTGTACCCCCTCTTGAAGCCGAATGGGTGGTATATGCGCCGCGCGAACTTGAGCCAGAGCTGGCCACCATTGACCCCGGGACTGTGCCCTGAGGAGTGGTGAACGTCAAGAGACATTGACATTGTGAATGAGGGTTCCGGTCAGCGAACTGATATGGACGAGGAAAGAAAGGAGGCAGTATGAAGTGCGCCAGGGTGAGTGATGTTCTGGGAGGGTGTTATACCACCCTTCAACTTATGTGCTGGGATTGAATGTGGCATCAAAGCATTCCATGTTGGTGGCATGGGCTCGACCTTTATAGACAAAAGCATCATCCAGGAGATCTGCCCTTCACAGATTCTCGCAAACTGGTCCAGAAACAGAATACTTGAGCCCCTGAGGCTTGGGTCTTGACTCGCATTGGTGAATGCTCTTTAGCCCTGGGTGGGCCATGGTCCTGGCGGCGCTACCGGTGGTTGCCTGCGGAAAGCCTGACCAACCTTCTGCGCCAGACGATAGGGCAAACGAATCAACGAGAATATCAGTAGAAACGAGCACCGCCTTTCGGGCTGGATCAGCGATGCTGGAGCATCGACACTAGGTCGATTGCACTCGAGTTTGCGAAGCGAGTCCCGATCCGGAAACGGGCTTCTGCTCAGATGGCGCCTAAGCTCCTTTTGGACGACTTTGCGAAACTATTCTCGATTGGGAAGTATCTTTGATTTCTGATGGTACTATGCCGATCAATTGCTTGCAGGATCCTACCTTGAGATAGAGTTGATGTGCGGCAAGCGATGAACTTGGGTCCGGTGTCGGAATCTGGACATGCGTAGGGACATTCAATTGATTCGAGTAGAAAGCGCACATCTCACTCGTCCCCTCGCTTCTAGAATAACCTATTTCACTATGCATTTAGAAACTCGTCAGCAAGTTGCCGGCGCTGGGACTTCCTATACCAACTTTGCTACCGCACAAAATTTGAATCCGTCCACTTTGGGGACTCGCATATCAGAGCCACCAAGCAATAGGCCCAGGCAGCTTTCGACCACCAGGTGGAAAACTCACCAACTGGAACCACGAACAGCTGATTTACCTGCTGAGGGGAACCCTTACACGGTGCTGTCCATGTCCCTTCCAGCTCGTTTTCAGGGCCGAAAAAATGACTGAATTGCTGAATGCAGAATATCTAGAAATTCTCCGGATCCCAATGCCCCGACTGGCGAACTTGCTCGGCGGCAGCAGATCGAGTCAGATCGGTTTGTATACATATTGTCGAGACTTATCTTGGCCGTGGCGAGGCGAGAACACGATACAAAGCACCACCCCTGTCAAACCCTTATCTTCGACCCCAGGGTAAAACATGAGTTGCGTGGCGGATAGACGGCTTCGTCGTAAAGGCGTGGCAGGATGAAAACACCTCACCAAGAACAAGCATCGAAGCTTAGGGGAGGGCAGAGCCAGAAGGATTCAGTACCGATGGGCATCAAGCTGCGGCATTCGACAACAGTCCAGCCTGGCAGCAAACAGCTGCAGTCTCAGTTGTTATGTCGAGCCTACTACCGCATCAATTCCTCAGCAGTCTCAACGAATCTGGGCCCCCAGCCCGCATGCAAAGTTAACTTCCAGTTTCTGCAAGATATGGAATGAAAGGATTGGCTTTGTTACAATGTTGGTCATGAGCACCTTCGCGCACACCTCGAGATGCAGGTCTTCATCGCCACGCCTGATCTCAAGTTCCAGATCTTTCGGTCGAGACGGTATTGGAAGTCGAGATCCTGAAAGCATTGACTGCGGAATGGGGAGGCGTCCATCGTAGGAGGCGACTCCACTATGCATTGCTATGTCGAAGGTGGCGAAAGCCCTCAAGTTGCGCGGAATGGCCAGCGATGGAGCCAGCTTGAGTTTATCAACCGGTGATATGTGAACCGGAGGGTTTCTGATTAGAGGCTGCATGCAATAAGCCTGTGACACCTTCTTGTGATTACAAACGCCGAAGTGGTATCTACGGCATCTGCTCACGGAAATGTGTTTTCAGCCTTCGGCCGATGACCGACAGCCAGCCCCTGAAGCTCTTGGTCTGGCGCATAGAACCCAAGGCTAACGAACCGGGCTATTAGGTGGAATTTGATTGGTCAGCCTGCTCCAAATCCCCCGGTCCCACTTCTCCATGCTTTGCCATAGACGACAGGCCAATCCGTATGGGGTAATGAAGGCCACGGGAGGTTGGATGGAGTTGTGCGGTCTAGACTTACTTACCGAACTTGACGACGGCTCGACGACGTCCAGGGAGGCATAAGAATCTCGAGTGTCGTCGCGAGGGGCCTCTACTCCCTCGTCGAGCACTCAGCCCTCAATCACCAACATAGAGCAACCGCGAAAATGAGTGACAGTCATGTCGTTTCAGAGATAGGAGTGCAGACAGACTTCCCGCCCGGAACCGTCTTGCTTTACGACCGTGAGTTGTTTTGCAAGCTGCCCAAGACCTCTTTGCAACAACAGCTGACTTACAATGCCTGCCATACACAGCGGCCAGGGCGTCGACAGAGATCGTCCTCCATCCCATTCCATCAGTTGATCCAAATGACCCCTTGGTTAGTCCTTACAAGCCTCGCACCCGTAGCAGCCGTGCTTACCTTTGTGGAAGAACTGGTCCAAATGGCGCAAGGCGCTGAACTTCACATTGGCCAACATCTTCGTCCTCTTCACTTTTGTCCTCCTCGACATCTCCTCAGTGGCGTACGGCTCATACACGGTAGACCTGAACATCACATACTCGACCTTCACAGTCGCATCCGCCGTCGGATTCACAGGCCTCGCCATTGGGTGTGTGCTTTTCATACCGTTTGTCCACAAATACGGCCGGCGTCCCATTTATCTTCTGAGCTGTGCTGTGCAGTTTGCCTCCGCAATATGGTACGCCAAGATGAATAGCGGCGGCGAAATGATTGCCGTGAGCTTGTTGTCCGGTCTGGGGGGTGCCCTCAGCGAAACCCTCGTCCAGGTCACCATTGCCGATCTGTTCTTTGTGCATCAACACGCGACCATGAGCGCTATCTTCTTGCTCGTGCAGGCTGCGGGATCCTTCTTAGGTCCGGTTGCCGCAGGCTACGTGGTTGTTTCGCAAGGCTGGCGATGGATATGGTGGTGGTGCGCCATCTTCCTGGGAGTCAACCTCTTCCTCGTCGGGGCCCTGTTCGAGGAATCCAAGTACATCCCTGAGCTAACCGGTCATCCACCGGCAGCAACGTACCTGACCGAGGTCACCGCGACTGACAAAGACAACAAGAACGACCTGGTGTTTGTAGAGAAAGGCGACAGGGACCTCCGTCACATCCATTTGAAGCCACGATCATACAGACAGCGAATGGCCCTGTTCACCAAGACAGAAGCATCGGTCACCCACCATTTCTACCAGCCATTTATCATTCTTTGCATGTTCCCAGCCGTCGCGTACACAGCCATAACATATGGATGCTTGATAGCATATTACGCTGTCATTGTCTCGGTGGTAGCTTCGACCATCATCTACCCACCGTACAACTTCAGCGCATCAAGCCTGGGTCTGATGTCTATTGCTCCCTTCGTGGGCTGCGCACTGGGCAGTATTGTAGGCGGACCGCTGAATGATCGACTGATCAGCTGGCTCGCGAGAAGGAACCGAGGAATATTTGAACCGGAGATGCGCCTCTACACGTCTTTACCAGCGGCAGTCCTCAACATCGGCGGCATTCTGATTGTGGGGCTGGGTCTTGCGCATGTGAGACTCTCCCCCTCAGCAATTGTTGGTGAATGATGCTGATATAAGAACTTTCAGGGCTTAGCGTGGCCAGCTCTCACTATCGGCTTCGCAATCTTTGGCTTTGGTCTTGTCATTATCGGAGATGCTGCTCTGGCGTACTTGACCGACTGTTATCAGGATGTGAGTTTGCAACTCCTTTGCCTTCGCAAGCGCCGTCGTCATGATTGACTGAGATGGCAGATCGTTGGCGATGCACTCGTCGCCGTCGTTTTCGTGCGGAATGGATTGTCTCTCGTCATCATGTTCTCTCTGAGCCCCTGGCGCTCTGCACTGGGGATTCAAAACCTCTTTGTATCGCTCGCCATGATCGCCCTTGCGATCTTCCTTCTTCCCATTCCACTGATGGTATGGGGGAAGAAGGCCAGAGTTAAGACTGCTGACAGATATCGCAATCTTTCAAACCGTTAGTCATCACGGCGAACTGTCGTGTGATAATGCTGCGGGAGTGGAAGCTACGTGACAAAGGACTGTCTCTTCATTCTAGATGCCGAAGCCAGGGCACCGAAATGAGAAGATCCTGAAGTCGTGGGAGCTCAAAGTGGAAACGAACATCAGCGAAATGGGGTGTTGTCTGATTCTTCTCGCCCCCAAAATCTGTAAACTTAAGGTTATTCTCCTCACAGACCTGACCATTCTGAATCTTAATCTTGTGGATCTCATGGATGTCGTCGAACAATAGATGCCAGCCTGCTGCTCCTTCTCCTCATTCTTAGAAGTGGGAGTCAGTTGTGGGCGTCTTGATTGCCTGGGGGAGAAAGAGACTGAAGTTGCGAGGACGATGGGCTTGCCATGGATTTTGTTGCTGGAGTCATTGTTGTGGCAGGTGTAGGTGCCGATTAAGTAGGTGTTTTGGTCGACAGCTTTGAGCTTGTGATCTGAGGCGAGGTATTGGCGGGCTCCAGTCTGGATACGGGAGATGGTCCATTCAGCTGGAGGGGTGGCCAGTTAGTGGACAGTATACATTTCGAGGGGGAGAGGAGGGGGATATCTCAGCGTGTGTTAGACTTCGCCAAAACAGCCATGTCACTAGGCTGAGCAGGTATCGATATCGAGGATATCGAGCGGCGAGTGTTACCAGGACGAAGAACATAATGCCTACGGACAGACAAGAATGTTGTTTGAATGAGTAGCCAGGTCGGTGTGACAGTCATGGTGATCAGGCCGGCGAACAGGACTGAGAGAGTTACTCCTGTCTACCGTGGCTTGTAGGTCTGCAAGTGTCGGAGTGTGCCAGCCTCGATACAGGGTCTTGAACAGGACATGAAGGACCTGCTCGAGTCAGGACGGGACATCAACCATGGATGAGTCGACAGTCTCAGATCCATACTAAAGCGCATGTCAGATAACTAAACAACAACAGGAAGAAATGCCCATGTACGCACCACTCTCCGTGGGATCGTCCCAGTGCGAGACGCTCTATAGCTTCATAGCAAGGGATTGTAGGGGTGTTGAAGCCACGATGAGGCGCTCGGCAACTGATGCCGGCAGCTGGTGGTCTGGCATGGGCATCTCGAACTCCGGATCGATGTAGTACCCCCCGTGCTTTTCGACCTCGTACTGTAGAAGCTGTTGGTGGTATTAGCACAGTGACGCTCTCTGGGATTTGGAAGCAATGCCTTTGACCCATAGCCCGTCCAAGTGAGCATTTTGCTATCTGCACCCACGTTTGCGAAGGTTGGCGGCTGTCTCCTATATACCATCGAGTAATATACGACGGGATAATTCATTCCATAGTCTTGGCAACCCCGTCAGTCACAGGTGGTCCAATGACACAAAATACGGAGAGACATGAACTCGTAGAAGCAATCATTTCCCTGTACCACGCCGGCTGGGTAGGCTGGGTAGGCTGGGTATCTTTCTCCGAAATTCTCCGTGCCTCGTAGAGGAAGTTTTGAATGAAAGAGCCAGGGTTTGGTTGCATTCTAAGTCTTCCAATATCGTGAGTTCGAGGGTGCTCCTGAGACCAGATAACGCCATTGTTCCACGACCTGTAACCAAGCTTTTCAGGCGATTCCAACGGCCGCATGCCCAACTTTGATCAGCCACATCATTAAGGTGCTCGTCCCGAGGCTTCAATATTGAGACAGCCAGTGCCTAGACTCGAAGGAAACCATCGGACCTGTGTCCAGAATAGAATGAACAAGAGCCGGCATTCTCATGCCTTTGACCGTGGCTGTCTTTGACAAAGGTATTTCTCTTGACGGTGACTGACTGGAACATGTTGAATCGAGCTCATCACATTGTCGTGATCGCTAACCCGAGTTCTCGGGTCCTATCATTTCGGGTTCATTGCCCGCACGCCTGGCGTTGAAAGGTGACTTTTTCAAGTTTCGATCATCGGGAAACGATGGTCGAATGACCAGGAGAATCCGGAAGGAGATCACGGATCTGCAATTCCGAGAAACCCAAGCAGGCGACTGGTCAACAGCCCCTTCAGGCCTCGATCAAGGCGATCATATGGAAGTCTTTTCCGGGATGGGTCATAGTGACGACAGGATCGATCTACCTTTCGTCACAAGAGAGACATCAACGTAACATCTGATCTTGCTGCACTGGGCCGTGCAGGTATAAGACTATACCCTGCACCTGGCAAAGTAACCGACATTTGGATTTTTTACATTCTGATGCACATCCCATGCATCATCAACCGGAACCATTAATCTGCGTGCCTGTATGGCAGGTTCTAACGGACGAGAACTGGCACCGTTTCCAGATGCTGACCAGTCCATTGAACAACATGATAAGCTGGGGAGCACACCGCAGTCGCCCTCGCGCAAGAAGGTGAGTCTTGCATGCCTCGCTTGCAGGAGGCGCCGCACTAAGGTATGTTCTTCTCATCCGCAGCCGCTCGACCAGACTGACTCTTGAAGTGCGACGGTGGCATACCTTGCGCCTCGTGCCTCTCCCGCAATACCGAGTGTACGAAGGATGAGAACGATGACGGCCGGCGCAAACTTGTGGTGAAGCGTAGGATAGAAACACTAGAAAAAGACCAGCATTTTCTGGATGATCTGCTCAAGGCACTCCGGGTCCTCGGACCTGACCAGTTGAATGACCTTGTCAGCATGATACGCACCAACGCCGGACGACAAGAAATCAAGACTTTCCTGAAAGACGCTTTTACCGACCCTGGAGCCGTTGATGAACAAAGCCGCCAGCACGAATACCGAAGACATCGTTATATGCTAGGTCGGATACAAGACATGATAAACCCTCCGTTGCAGCTCCCCGCAAAGCCCTGGACGACTGTTACAGACGACGATGACCTCGTCTCGCACCTCATGTCACTTTGGTTTACATGGGCGCATCCTTGGTGGCATTGGGTGGATGAGAAGCAATTCATCAAGGCGATGCAAGCTGGCGACACTTCTAGCTTGATCTGCACTCCCTACTTGGTGAACATGATACTGGCAGACGCATGCGTGAGTGTGGTTTCGTTGGCGGGATCTCGGCCATATCTCAACTGACTTGTGCACCATCAGTTACTGGATACACTGGGCGAAGACGGCGAAGAGCCTAACCTGGAGCTGCGGCAGCAGTTCTACAATGAGGCCAAGAAGGGGCTCGATGCTGAAGAAGGTCATATTTCTCTTGCATACTTGGCGGCGCTGGGCGTTCAGTGGACATAGTAAGTCGAACCCTTCTCGCTTCTGACCATGGCTGACAAGGTGCCTTCTGTACAGCCTTAACACAAACGGTCAAGACCAGCTAGGCAATGCAATACTCTACCAGCAAGTCTTCCTGACGAAAAGCCTGGGAAAGTGGCGGGCAAAGGTCGCGAAGGACCCCAAGATGACAGCACAGCAACTGAATGCGATTGACCTCTCCAGTGGGCGACTTGAATGGACGTTATACTGCCTCGGCTTGTTCGTCGGCCTGGCTCTGGAGGAAGTCCGACTGTTCGACAAACCACCCCGTCGGATACCAGTGGGCAACCCAGAGACGGGAAGCACCTGTGATGAGCACGCGGAATGGAAGCCATACCCACTTTCGCATACATCTGTGGACTGGCACCCTAATTGCCACTATCTCGCCTACATAGCGCTTGCGGAGGTGATTACTGAGGACGAGGCATTGTACGAGGAGTACAGAAGGTCTGACCCGCAAAAGATGGCGCACAAGTTCCAACGACTCTTCACAAAGGTGAAGGCTTGGGGGGAATCTATTCCACCATGCATGAGGGACCAAGATAGCTGCATGCCGCATGTTATTGCCCTGCAGTGAGTTCATCCCCCATGTCCGCTGCACGTGCTGTTTCATCCTGCTTGAGCGCAGGATGCCTCCTGTCGCATATGTGATACTAGGTTTTCGAACACTGACACTCCATTTGACAGCACACTCCACAGCTGGGTCATTATAACAATGGGCAAACAGACTGCCGCCCTAGAAGGCGGCACAGACAAGCCGTCACTAGTTTCAACGCCCCCCTCTTTCGAGAGTGACCGCTGGAAACACGTCTGCAGAACCGAAGCCGTCCGCATCAGCGAGCATCTGGACCGAATGCGCCAGAGCTGGGGTGCCGACCATTTCCCCGTCATAATCATTCAGCCCGCCACGGTCGCAGCCTTTGTGCTGCTCGAAGACCTCGACCGCCCTGACTGTCAGGCCGCCTTCTACAAGCTATGTATCGTGCTTCGCGCTGCGTGTCGGCGGTTCCGCGTGTGCAAGGGCGTTCTGCGCCTTTTGGCGAAGACGGCGAACGAAACCGGGGTTGCCGTCTCTGGCGGATGTGCTGAATTGCTTGCCGATGTGGATTATTCCAACATGATGGAGTTGGATGGCGTTATGAGGATCGATGATCTGGGTTTGGATTATTTGCTTGAGAAGTGGGATGACTTGGATCTTGAGGAGGCTTCTTGAGATGTCGGGCGCGCTCGTCAGGTCAAATCGTACGAAAGTCGCTGTGAGTGGCAATGCTACAAAGACCGGTGCCAGGTCCAGTGGCCGTCGTGCTGTGGGCATTCGTTGGGAAATCGCGCGTAAATTGGACTCGGTCCGAATAGAGAACCTCTGCTAGATGCATCTAAACCGACTTCGCATTCTTCAGCAATAACGGACGAGGTTGGCATTAGTGGCGTGGCTGGCCCTTGCGTTTGCATCCAGATACCCAATCAGTCATTGACAGTCTTTTATCGAGGCGATTGATTGAATCTTGGTAGCTCGACTTTGACAGTCTATCGATAATTCTTCCCACACACCAGTTTGACTTGCGTGGTTTCCGTCGCACATATGTTGTTATCCGGCTATTTCGTCTGGCCACAACATGTCGACTAATGTTAATTTCAGACCCGTGTGGAGAGGTCGGTACGCATGCAGAATCGCAGGATGACAGGCGACCGTTCAAGACAAGGGTGAGTGCAAAGCGAGTGCCAGGAGGGAGGTTGGAGGTGAGCGTAAATAAAAGCGGCGCGGTCGGGTTGAGCCGCGCACGTGAGCTGCCAAGCGAAGGGACACTTGACGCAGCGGAGCTTTGGAAGGTCGACCGCATTGAAGCTCCTCGCAGACTACGACTCTCAACTCCTCCAACCCCAACTCGTCTCGACGCTCGATTGCCTGCGAAGGCTCCATTCCGGTGCTGCATTGCAAGATGCACACCTGCCAACCCGCCACCCTCGCGCTGCGCGCAGCTCGGTCGTCCTTGAAACCCAAATCCTTCCGCCGCGGGTACAACTCAGACATCGCTATCACGCGGACAGGCAAGCCGATCATAAAGCAACCGGGAGGAAGGTCGTCGTTAGGAGGTTATACAGTTACCGTGTTCGGTGCCAATGGGTTCCTTGGAAGATACATCGTCCAGCGACTGGCGAAAAGAGGTTGTCAAGTTGTCGTTCCCTACAGAGATGACATGGCGAAGAGACATTTGAAACCCACTGGCGACCTGGGAAGAGTTTCGTTCATGGAATTCGACCTGAGAAACACGGAGTCGATTGAAGAGAGCGTACGACACTCCGATATTGTGTTCAACCTGATTGGCAAGAATTACCCGACCAAAAACTTCAGTCTGTGGGATGTCAATGTCGAGGGTGTGGAAAGAATAGCTGAAGCCGTGGCAAAATACGACATCGACAGGTTCATTCATGTTTCATCGTACAATGCCGACCCTGACTCGCCATCGGAGTTCTTCAGGACAAAGGTGAGAAGATACGGGGTCATGTAGAGAACAACGGCCACTAACACCTCTTGCAGGCTATGGGAGAGCAAGTTGCAAGGCAGCTCTTCCCCGAGACCACCATCGTTCGGCCAGCCCCTTGCTTCGGCTTCGAAGACACTCTCCTGCATCGTCTCGCCGGTGTCACCAATTTGATCACCGTGAACAACATGCAGGAACGTTTCAATCCGGTTCATGTAAGTTCACCTTCGTGCCCCCAGCAGCTGCCATATGTCTCTGACTCTACGATTCTAGTCCATCGACATCGGGATGGCACTGGAAAAGATCGGCTATGACGACACCACGGCGGGCGAGACCTTTGAACTCTACGGTCCCACCAACTACAGCATGCGTGAAATCGCCGAGCTCGTCGATAGGGAAATCCTCAAGGAACGCCGTCACATCGACGTGCCTAAAGCCCTCCTCAAACCCATCCTTTATTACCTCAACAAGGTCATTTGGTGGCCAATTATGACTGCGGACCAACTGGAACAAGAGTCGCTGGATCAGACCGTCGAAAAGGGGGCCAAAACATTTAAAGACCTCGGGATCGAGCCGGCAGAGTTGAGAGATCTGACGTACTTGTATCTGCAAGACTATCGCAGCAGCTCCTACTATGATTTGCCGCCTGCGACGGCAAGGGAGAAGAAGGAGGCAAAGAAATATCTGCATGTAATTGATGATCAGTAGATGAGCCAGAAGGGGTGATTTGTGCGAGCCGAGTGCGCAGGTGGTCGGGAATGGGTTGATTCAAGGGTTTCTAGTTGAACTGGGCCTCCTCGACACCTGAGAGATTGTACATACGTAGTCTAGAGAGTGAGATTCAAAAACATCGGATCAAATTCGGCAAGGGAAAACCCATCGTTGTCATCCTCAGTGCCACAATATGATGTGTTGCATAGAGCCAGAAAAGGTGGGAGTCTACGGACCCTTGCACTTCCTTGGCGAAGATGTCGTTTTATCCACCACAGCTCCCAAAAGTACAAACCTAGCCCAGTCCGGCGCTATCCCTCATACCGATGATACGCCAAACATCTTTCTAGCCAGGTGAATCTTTGGACGAGAAGATACCTCATAGATGACATCCCTTCTTCGCAAGCACTCAAGAAGAATCGAACGAACAACAACCAATGGTCAACACGAAATGAGCAAGCAGCAAGTTGAAAAAACTACTTTTACCCTCTCCGTCCCCTTCCTGCCTTGGAGGCCCAAAAAACAAAACGTCAGCGACAGGGTTCGAACCTGTGCCTCCGAAGAGATGTGATGGCCATTGAAGTTTTGCAAAACGCTGGTCCGTCCTCACAAGAAGAATTCGCAACGAGTTGGATAATTCAAGTCACACGCCTTAGACCACTCGGCCACGCTGACAATGATTTATACCACCTGGTCAATAACTTTGACCGAGAGAATCATAAGTAAATTGGAGGATGATAAATCATATCTGTTTTTAATTATGACGTCATATCTCGACGCCTTTCGGCTCCGCTCTCCCCTCCATCACCGGGGGAAGGACGACATACGAGAATACTAATGTACATATCGATGACTCCAGGAGGGTGGTGTGGAAATGGAATATTAACTCTTATCAGTGAAGATGGCCTCACAGCTAATGGTTATTCAGATCTACTTTAGTGCTAAAGGGCACTCTTTCTCGCTGAACTGTGCCAGTTGTTATTTCTGAGGTCGAGCTCAATGGGTATGCCGGCTCGGGCGTCAGTAGATCTCCCTTCTCAATGTCGATGACCGTCAAGCCCATTAGCCTTTCCGTGCACTGGCGACGACGCCCACCCACCTCCACACAACTGGATCGGATCCATACTTCTCCCTCACATAATCCAAGATGGCTCGCCGTGCGGGTCCTTTGGCCTGCTCGAGCCCATCCCTCGTGTCCGCGAACTTCTCCTTCCAGAATTTCTGAACCATCATGTCCAGCGAGAACGGCAACATGGCCTCCACATCTGCGACGGCCATCTTCGTGGTGTTCTCCACAACCTGGGCCTCGACGTCACGAAAGCCACACTTCTCCAGATGTGCCTGGACCTCTTCGACGCTATCCCAGCGTTCAGGTGTCTCAGAGAATGCGTGTCGAAGTTGTTCGTCCTGTGGAAATGACGGCAATGAGGGATCCGTCGCGATACCTGCACGGTAGTCTGCAAACCACGGGACGTCTTGCCAGGCACTGAGGCTCAGGGTGCCACCCGGCTGCAGAATGCGGTGACATTCCCTGATGCCGGCGAGGGGATTGGGCAGGATCTGTGGACCGAAGTTGAAGAAGATATGCGTGAACTGAGAGGAGGGAAATTTGGTATCCTGACAAGCTAGCTATTAGCGCCGGATAGACATGTTTGAAGGAGAGTCGCCGCAAACCATAGCATCAGCTTTTACGGCAGACACACTGTCCCAGCCCAAGGTCTCAATGCGCCGTGATACATTGGATATCATTGCATCGGAAATGTCTGCGCATGTGAGGTCAAGCCTAGACTTCTCTTCCGGGGAGAGCCGTGACATGATGTGGGTGGAAACGACACCGCTTCCGCATGCCTGGTCGAGGACAATAAGGCGGGAATCGCCCACGGGTGGAAAATTAGCTTGTCGAAGGAGTATTTCTGCGAACGGCCCCATGATCTGGTCGGCTTGAGAAAACATTTTGTCGAACTGGGTGGAGTCCATGTCGTGCCTTGAGCAACGAAATCAGAAGAACGTAAGTGTATATTCTGTGCACTATTTAGGGTATGCCCTGAGTATTGAAGGTCCAAGCAGCTGGCCCCTGTCGAAAAGTGCAAGAAAGAATGATGTCCTTGCGCAGCCTTCTTGATCTGAACGCCCTTTAAGCCGTCTGCTTCTTAAGGTACTCCCCGAAGGTAGAGCGGAAAGATATGGGAAAACTCTCCGACCTTATATTAGCACCACCACTTGAAGTCCAGGAACTCCAAATGTTTCCGGGAGCCTTTCAGCTTGAGGTAGAGGCCCAAACTCGTCCAATCGCGGCCTGTTGTCAGCATTTCAACTGGGGAATAGCAGCCAAGTTTGACTCAAGCTCTGGAATCGATTGCCAACCTCTGAACTGGCTCATTATGCCTACCCAGCAAGTGAAGGCTTTCAATCTCCGAAGATTCGGTTGTCATATCTTGTGTCTGCTCAGAGCGCAATTTTGATAACATTAGACTGGTTTCATGAAGCGCGCCATGATCTGTTGCTCACGGAGTTAGGACAATATGCTGCCGGTGCTCGTGAATGTTTTTATTTCACCTCTGCTTCCACAAGGCAAGAACGAAACCGCGACCCTTTGCGTCACGCGTTCGATAGGTCCATACAGCTAGGCAGACAGATAGGTCCACAACAACTTCCCACGTCTGTAACGGATGAGTGATGTCGAAATGCTCGTGTGGGGGGCCAATGGTAAATTAGCGACTAAGTCAGGCATCAATACTACCCAGAGAATTCAAGTTTAAAATACTAGTTTAAAATACTGTACACTTCGGGGAGCGATAGCATTGTCCAAGGACCGCCTGTAGAGGGACCAAACGAGAAAGTCGACCTCTGCTGTTAGAAAGAGAGTCCTTGTTTTCGATGTCGAGAAACCGAAGGTGCACACGATGAAATGCTCCTCCGTAGCCAAGATCTGGGGCGGAGTGCAATTCATATAAGATCACTCTATACACGTGATGAAGACGACGATTTCACCTGGTCATTCTTTTTATCCAGAATCATTTCAATAAGCCTCTGCTCTTAGGACGAAGTACCGATATGGTAAAGGCCCTGTTTTCGTGTGAAGAGGGTAATGCTATTTCAGAAAGCGCCGATCGAAGGCGAGGCAGTAGGTGCGAAGTGACTTGGCCAGAGCCTTCCCCTCCACAATCAACCGCGGAGAGACAATCCGATTTCTCGTCATTTGCTGTGTGAAGGGGGTGGGCGTCGGTCTGTAAAGGGCCCTGCCAATGGCCTCATCCAAGGCTGCCTTGAAGGCGATCAAGGCTTCCTTGGACGCCAGTCAATTCGCCAAAGCGGCGGAACAAGCTGAAGATTTACTCAAACAAGACGACAAGAATTACACCGCCTGCCTCTTTCTTGGATTCGCACGAGAGAAGCTTGGAGATGTGGGCGCTGCAGAGAAAGCTCTGCACAGGGCTGCCACCATCAAGCCCGACGATGTCCAAGCTTACAAGGGGCTCGTGAATCTGTACGAAAAACAGGGGAAAGCCAAATTGGACCAGTATCACGATGTCGCATTCAGGCTGGCAGAGATATACGCTAAGCAGGACGACAAAGGCCAATGTCAGAACGTTATTGACAAGTATGAGCTGTTTGCGAAGAAGCATGGCAGCCCATCACAGTACCGTCAGGCTCTCGAGCTCATTCTACCGACCTCGAGCCTTTACGCTACACTTGAAGGCCGTGTGTTACAACCGAGTCTGGCGTACCAACGCATTCTGGAGTCGGCTGAGGCCGAAGAGAAGGAGTGGATCAACACCCAGATCGGCGAAAGGAGAACCCGTCTCGGAGCAAAAATCGACCAGGTGACTCGACAGGTGAAGTTCGAGGCCATCAGCAGATTCCAGATCGAGGAAAAGTACGCTGCTCTCATCGACTGGACCCGGGATGATGATGCTCGTCACGATATCGAACAGAAACTGTTCCAGCGTATGTTTGACAATCTGCTTGTCCTGCCGCAGGAATCTAAGCCGGACCAACGGGACAAGGTTTTGAACATGGCAAATGGCATGGTCATCATCAAACACCCCTTTCTCTTGGCCTGGAAAGTCGCCCTAGAGTGGGTGGATGCCGAAGAGCTGCAAGACTGGGACGTCAATATCTTTCGCGAGTACATCGACTACTTTCCAGACGACGGCCTGAGCAAGGTCCTCCGTGGCTTTCTCGACAGCGACGCCTCGCCCTTTCCGCACCTCCCAATCGAAGAGAAAGAGGGAGAAGAAACGCCGCAGAGGCTGAGTGAAGCAGACCAACTCATTCTGATGAATGAGGGCCTGGAACAGTGTCCAGAATCGTTGCTCGGCCATCGCATCATGGCATATGTCTATCTCGGTCTGAAAGAGTGGGAGAGCAGCGTCGACATCGCCCGGAAAGCCCAGAAACTACACCTCGACGCTCAACGGCGCTATTCCATAGACCTTCAAAACAGCCTGGACGGCGTCAATCTCATTCTCGCAAACGCGTTGATCACATTCCAATCGCCGCGGCACCACCCCGAAGCCAAATCACTCTTCCAAGACATCCTCCGTCGAAAACCCAAGCTCACTGCGGCCTTGCTGGGTGTCGGGCTGATCTACGAAGACGACGAGGATTACGCGGAGGCAGTCAAGTTCTTCCACCAAGCAGCCGAACGCGATCCCGATAACGCCAGGATCAGGATCGAGCTCGCGTGGTGTCGTGCGCACAATGGACAACTTCGCGAAGGCCTACAAGAGCTCCAGGAGGTGCTCTCGACTATCGAATCAGAAAGGCAGCAGAACTTGGCCATGAAATCAGTCGTTCTCTACCGAATCGCGTACTGCAGCTGGCACATCAATACTGCTGCGGCCGCCCGCAAAGACAAGTCTGGACCCTATCAGTTTCTCATCGCATCCATCAAGGCGGACCCGAGTTACGCCCCCGCGTACACTCTCTTGGGAATCTACTTTCAAGACTACGGCAAAAGCAAAGCGCGAGCGCGGGTTGCATTGCAAAAGGCGTTTGAGCTCTCGACCTCAGAACTCGAAGCCGCCCACCGGCTCGCAAAGACCTTTGCGGACAACGCAGAATGGGACCTCGTTGAACTGGTCGCCCAACGCGTTGTTGCGTCGGGAAAAGCCAGGCCGGCTCCAGGTTCGAAGAAGAAAGCCCACAGTTGGCCATACACGGCACTGGGCGTGGTGCAGATGAACAAACAGCATTACACGCAAGCGATTGTTTCCTTCCAGCAGGCACTGCGGATCACACCGGACGATTACCACTCGTGGGTCGGACTCGGCGAGAGCTATCACAATGCTGGGCGCCATGTCGCTGCCACCCGGGCTTTTACCAAAGCTGCGAGTCTCGATCACGGTCTTTCGTCCGAAGAGACCTGGTTCGCCAAGTACATGCTGGCAAATGTTCAACGAGAGATGGGTTCCTTTGACGAGGCCATTGCTGCGTACAGAGAGATCCTTGTGCTGAAACCGACAGAGTTTGGAGTGCTTATCGCGTTGCTCCAGACGATTTCCGAGAATGCATGGGCAAAGGTTGCGCTGGGCATGTTTGGCGAGGCGGCAAAGCTTGCCTCCTCCGCGATCGAGTTGGCGAGCCGCATCGCCGAGCAGGGCACGGACGTGTTCAATTTGTGGAAATCTGTTGGCGATGCTTGCTCGGTTCTGGGGCACGTCAAACTATATGCGAGTTCGGCAGATGTTCAGGCGGCGTCCGATTTGCTCCAGATCTCTCTCCAAGACGAATTTAACACGCTCGCCGAAATTGACAAGGTCGATCTCGGATTCCTTACTGTTGCCGGCGACGCTTCAACTCCTACAGACAACGCGGACAAACATCTCGTGGCCGCGATTCTAGCTCAGAAACGTGCTATTCACGCTTCTTCATCCGATCACCTTGCCCAAGCAGTCTCCTGGTATAACCTAGGCTGGGCAGAACATCAAGCGTACATTTCCGGCAGCACGTCCCTCAGATTACAGGGCAAGAAACCTCGCAGATTGCTCAAAGCGTCAATGACATGCTTCAAACGAGCCATCGAGCTGGAAGCGGGCAACTCGGACTTCTGGAACGCACTGGGCGTGGCGACTATGACGCTCAGCCCTAGAGTGTCGCAGCATTCGTTCGTGAGGAGTCTTCATCTGAACGAGAACAATGCTTGGACGTGGACGAATCTCGGGGTGTTGTATCTCCTGAATAACGATATTGAGCTCGCCGGTGAAGCTTTCACGCGTGCACAGTCGGAGGATCCAGAATATTCCGAGGCCTGGATCGGCCAGGGATTTCTGGCGATGTTGTACGGAAGCCTCAATGAAGCGAGAGGCTTGTTTATGCATGCCTTCGAGATTGCGGACGCCCATGTGCTCCCTGCCAAACGTCACTTTGCGCTCTCCGCATTTGACCATTTGCTCAAGGATCCCTCTCGGTCTTCAGAAGTCACGGCTTTGTTGAGGCCGCTCTTCGCCTTGCGCCAGTTTCATGCCCTGGAGCCTGGTGACATGATCGCGAGTCATCTCATGGCCCTATTTGCTGAACGCGCAGGCGAGTACTCTACGAGCGTAGAGGTCTTGCAGCAAGTTTGTGACGCTGCGGAAGCCGAGTATGAAAAGTCCGAGTCGGACGAATACCTCGTCAAATTTGCTCTGGCGAAAGCCGACCTGGCTCGTACCCAGCTTGCGTGTGGCGAGTACGAAGAAGCAGTCTCAAATGCGGAGACCGCGCTCGATCTTTCTGGTGAACCCGGCGATCTCGGCGCAGCATATGCGGAAGCTCGCCGAAAATGGCGATTTTCAGGGCACCTGACGGCAGGTCTTGCGCACAGTCATCTGAAGCGGATAGAAAGCTCGATCAAAATGTTTGAAGTGGCGCTGCAGGAATCTGACCAGGACCCAGATGTGGTCTGCATGCTGGCCCAAGTCCTATGGGCAAAAGGCGGCTCCAAGGAGAAAGAAGCAGCGAGATCGCAGCTGTTCGATGTGATTGAGAACCATCCGGGACATGTTCAGGCGGTCACTTTGCTCGCAGTGATCGGCCTCTTAGACAACGACGAAGACGTGCTGGAAGCTGTAGAGGAGGATTTGAAAGCCTTGAGGCGTGGGGACGAGATCTCAGTGCTGGACAAGATTCACGTCAGCAAAGTCCTCGCAGGCATCGTTGGGTGTCGGCCTCGAAAAACCTCCACTGAACAAGTGGATGGAGTTGCGGTGGTAGCAGATGCGCTTAGCGGGATCATGCTTGCACCCGGGCAACCACAGGGCTGGCTTGAACTCGCGCAAGCCGTGGACGACGAGGATGACCGAGCTCACGCTGCAGAGATGGCGGTGCTCAACGCCGAGAGACAAATCCCGCCGGGTGGCAATCTCACTGCAGAGGATTTGGCAAAGGCGTACGAAGGGACTGGTAGGGCGGAGGATTTTCTTAGGGCGAAGATGCTTGCGCCGTGGAGGCCGGAGGTTGCTGCTGGAGCATTTTGAGGGTAGGCGAGAAATCCTTATGCATATGTTCTCAGGGTACGGCCCACGAACTGTTGGAGCGGATGATGTGTTTGTCCAGAGAGCAAGCGAACGCATTCTCTTAACCCATAGTTGTAGAGCTGGTGGATACCCTTGTGAATCAATAGCAAGTGAGAGAAGTTTAGCGAAAGGGGCGTTGTCCCTTCTTGATTCTCTCTTCTCATCCAGGCCCCCTCTTAGCCAACCCTGGCGGCATTTTCTTCTCTTACTAACGCGGTTAATCGTTGCTTTCTCTCCTCCTTCCACTTCTTATCCCAGGCCTCGACCTTTCCACCGAGCGCGACGCAGTTTTCGGGCGTGAGCATGACCATGCCTCTCCGCACGACCGTGCCAGGCCTCAGAAGCAGCTTGCACCCGATGAACATCCCTGGATCTTCCAGGGTCGCCGTGGGGCCGAGATTTCGCGCCGACGGCGGAAGGGAGGCCGACGCCGCCGTCGAGAGCCCGATCTTGGGGATCTTGACCAGCTCGAACGCGAGGACTTTGGTGCCGCGGGCGTCTTGCAGGAGGAGCTTGTGGGGGCCGAAGCTGAGTTTCTTGCTTGCCGACGACAGACCCGTCGACGAGGAGGTGTTGGCGCCCGTCACTGTAGCTGGTGCTGCGGTGCCGTTGACGACCTCGTCGTCATCACCCATGCCGTTCACTGTCCGGATGACTTCTCGCCCACGGACCTCCTCGCCGCGCTCGACCCGCTCAATGGCCTCGACCTGGCTCCACTTGCTACTGCCCACGTCGAGAACATCGAGGACTTGGGCAATCACTGTACCTTCGAGTCGTCGCTCCTTGACATTCACATCGCTAATGCCTGCGGGGAAAGCCTCTGCCGTCGTCCCCGGCGAGACGGTGGTTGTGATGTCGCTTGCGAGAATCCGGAAGTGCGCAGTCGAGATGAGCGCCGGGAGAGGGGGCGGGTTTGGGCCGCGCGACGTGAGGAATGTGTTGAGCCATTGCGGGTTTACGGCAATGTTGTGGCGTGTTTGAAGGGCCGAGGAGACTTGATTGTGTAGAGGATGCATAGTATGTGTTCAAACGGGGCTGCCGCTGGAGGAGGCGACACGAAGATGACCAAATCCCACATTAATATCGAGCATCGACGAGGGGCGAATACGCATGGAGGTTGTAGTTGAAACGAGATTCATGGGGAGTCAACTGGCGCTATATGCCTTCAGGCAATCAATTACATGAAAAAGGGGGAATTTGTTCGACAGTCAATGCAGTCAATGCAGTCAATGCGAGGCTGATAGAATGACAACGGCGACGCCAAGCCAAGAGTGGCTTCGGAAGAAAGTTGTTCCTGGATCTGAAGTTAACACCGTCTGGTACTATCAACAGACGTCTCTGAAGCAGTTCAGTCTGGTAATAACGATGTCGACCTTTGATCAAACACGTCGTGACGCAATATAACTATCGGGGCAGCACACAAGTTTGCCCTCTTTTTAACCTGCGTTGAGCAGTACGGAGTACACCATTACCAACAGTGTTCCAAGCGTCCACACCTAAAACTCGTACCATGATAATCGGCCACATGGAGATATACTGTTCTACAGATTATATGGCGGCCGGCGCGATCAACATCTGCCCGCCATCAGGATGGAGAAGCTGATTGTTCAAAAACAGGCCGCCCTTGCCCACCAGATACAGAATGGTTGCTGCCATGTCCGCATCACCGCCACCTCGGCCTAGTGACGATGGGAGAAAAGTCAGTCAGGAGCTCTTCGAGTGATAGCATGGCACGCCAGTTGTTGACCGTGTGGACCACGGGCTCGACTCACCTGCAGGATTGCTGATCTCAGAGCCCAATTCACTCTTCTGAGTTTCGTCACTTTCACCAGTCGTCATCTCGCTGGGGAAAATGCCCGGAGCGATCTGGTTCACCCGCACTTTCGTCTCAGCCAGCGTGCTGGCTAGCATGCGCGTAAGGTGTACGAATCCGCCCTTGCTGGCGCCATAGGCCCACTGTCCGTTGCTCGAGCCTTTCATGAGGCCACTGATACTGGTCACATTGACGATGCTGCTAGTGTAACCAGGGGTAACATCTCGGCCTTTGCTGAGGAGCGGAAGCTGCAGAGTCAATGTCAGTAATACACCTCTATGTTGTCAAGAAAGATTGGTTGCATGGGTGATGATGGAGCAGGCCTGGTCAAGCTTCTGCAAGTGAATTGACCTTTCTGCAAAGACTTTGGGAGGGCGAAAGACTCCAGAGAGCACTTACGAAAGCGGCCGACATGAAGAACTGAGCCGTGATGTTTGTCAAGAACGTCTCTTGCCAGTTGTCGACCTCGGACTTGAGCATATGCTGCGAGATGCTCTCTGCAGATTTCATGTCCGGTTTGCCGGCGACAGAGAATTTTGTGTGGTCGTCTCGAGCAATGCCGGCGTTATTGACCAGCAGGTGAATGCCATTTGACTCCTGTTTAGCCACCTCATCGGCGAGCCGAATGCATTCTTCCTTCTTGGTGATGTCTCCCGGCAATGCATGAATACTCCCGGGCCCCTTGCTGTACTGTTTGACCACGGCGTCGAGCGCCTCTTGCCGACGACCTGTAATGTAGACTTTGGCACCATTGGACTGCAGCGTCTGGGCTATCATCAGCCCAATCCCGGTGCCACCACCGGTCACGACCGCGACAATGTGCGAGACATCGAAGAGCTTGCTGGCCTGCAGGTCTTCATTGGGCAAATGGGACGTCTTAACGGCAGACATGGCGCGGAATTGAAAGACTTGGTAGGTGTGTCGTGGAGAGAAGGACTTTAGCAGGTGGGATGCTATGTTAGTTTTGCGAGGGAAGAGGGAGCGAACCATTGCTTTGCTCCAGCTATATAAGCTGGCCCCTCGATATTCAATAGTGTCATTGAGTTTTAATGCTTATGAGCGAAGGGCCATGGAGCTCATTGCTCGGAAGGCAGAATCGAAGATGCAATGATGACGTTTGGAAGACTTGCCTCATGGATACCGGATTATGCTCCGAAACCTATATAGTTGCATGCCACGGCGGCCCGGTCCTCGCACGTGGCCGTTGAAGATCTTGTCAGGGTCTGCAACGTTGGGGCTAATTGCGCAGGAACTCATCTCCGCTGTCGATAGGAGCGCTGAAACTGACATTTACCCCTGTTACCTCTGGTGACCAAGAACGCAGGCCACCTCACGCAATTATGCTGGCATCGGACCAAAGCCGAAGAGTTGCTGTTGTAGAACGGATGAAGAAGGTACACCTGTCTGCGTTACGAATACTTTCTAGGGTATGAAGGCAGCTTTGGGACTCCCTCAACTTCTGCCCCTTCCCACATTCTGTACTGGCGTCACCATCCATCGTATACGGCGTATAAACAAGAAGCAGCATCATTTCATCAATATCACAGGACTTGAAGAAACATCGCACACAGTACAGACAACATCACGGCACCAAACTTTTCGAACAAACCACCATCAACCAGTAGTCGACTTGCTCCGCTTTTTCCGTTGCCGGTGCTCAATCCAAACGGCAGTCCTTGGTATCCAAACGTGAGATTCTGCGGGATGGTCGTATTCAGGCACTTTCCATTCGCAATATCAAGTCCCATCAAGTCGTCTGGCACCTTGAAGAACATGTAACTCTCCTGGCTGAGGCCCTTGAAACCCTTGGTATTATATGGAAACTTGTCTCCAGGGTCTGTAGAGGAGGTGTTGCGGAGGAAAATGCATTGGACTTGGCCGGGGTACTGTGTCGCCATCTCGGGATAGTCGCGCATGACGTCCGAGTTGCTTGTGTCCGCAATGAGGATGAATTTTCGGTGCGGGAAAGTCTGAAAGATCTTGTCTAGGAGGAACTTTCTGATCGATAGAGTGGCAGAGACGTCGCTGAAGTTGAGGGGTCGGGTGTCGAAGCTACCGCCTGGGTCGACGGGTCAGAAACCATTTCATGGACGCGGAAACAATGTTTGCTTACCTGGATAAGTGTCGTAGATGAATTGCATGTAGTTGCGAGTGATTTGCTCTGGAGTGGTCGTGAGGTAGTGAAAATGCATGTTTGGCAGACTGACGGACCAGTTACGGTAGATGTCTGGCATGTTCATCCACGGTGTAAACGGACGAGCGAAAGAATTGAGTAACCCTTGCTCGGGCTCGTAAATCTTTGTCACACGAAGTATGTCATCGATGTCGGATATAACGGTGAGACCTTGGTCAGAGACGAGGTACGAAGTCGCGTTCCCCGTGTCAGTGCCCTGGGCGTAGACGTTCAACCTTTGTGGGGCAATGTCCCCCGTTCCTGGAGCCAAAGTGAATGAGTTGTTGTCGATTGGGATGAAAACGTCAAAGTCGCCCTCCGGGGTGGTTGGATTGGGCAGAGTCACAACCTGCTCTCCGCCGGCTGGAGTCACGCCACCCCCTCCTCCAGGCTGCCCGTTGCTTCCAAACTCGGGGCCGGGGAGGATATCCATTGTAACCGTTTGATTCCCCTGCTGGACAACGTAGATCTCTCTCGTGAGGTTGCGCGCCTGGGCCTGCTGTGATGGTGGAAGATCCTCGATGCTCGTGCCGATAAGGTAAAAGTTGGCGAGTCGGTCCACGGTGGCATTGGAAATATTTGGTTGTTTGAATACATTCCCGTGGATCCGTAGATTCCAACCAGACGAGGTCCAGTTGCCATACCCAGGGATGTTCAACACTTGTGTTGGAGTGGCAACCAGATCCGAGCTGCTCACTCCTACAGAGCTCATAACAGCACTGCCCGTGGGTAGGTTCTGCAGGTTGGGTAGCAGCCCATTGGAAACGTATGAGGGGATAGCCGTCCCCAGTTGGCTGAAAATCGAGTTCACGTATGAGTCTACGTCGGATTCCAGATCACTGACGACGTTTCGCCTTGCTCCTGCATACGACCCATACACGGCGAGGGTCCGCGTTGGTGCAGGTGTAATCAACGCTTCCTCTTCTGGGGACACTTGAGTCGGCACCGCATACGCTTGAAGCCAGAGAATACAAGTCGCCAGGAGGAGGAGTCGCAAAGCCATGCCTGCTGGGCTAGCGTCAACGGTGAAGGCTTGGTAAAGGCTTGGTTTTCGTTAGCGACAGGCACCACTCGGACAGAGGGTGTGTGCGCAAACAATGGGGCGTTTATGCTTGTGAGAATATGACGCTCGCACAGCTCATCCGGCACCGACCATCCGTCCCCTTTACCAGAATACCAATAACGAATAAAAGCATGCGATCTTAGACAACCAGGAGGAAAGAATGAAAGGAGTACCTCGACGGGTGTAGGATTGTAGGGCAGAAATGAGTGACGGACTCTTGGCTAGATCTGGCAGCTCGCGGAAGGAGCAGGAAGTGAAAATCAAGGAAAGTTGCCCCAAGCTAAGGCGCGCCATGTGGGAGCATCGTCGCTCATCTGGGGATCGGGGAAGTGTGTGTCTATCGCCGTCGAGCTTGAGTGGCGGGGAGCTTCGAAAAGCCCTAATCGGGAATTGAGAATTCGATGACGTCAATGGCCTGGAAGGGACTAGTCTCCGAACCTTAACACGAGGGACCGACGCACCAATCAGCTGCAATGTCATTCACTCCGTAACAGCCCCTTGACCTCCTACCACACACCCAACCAACCCCCCCCCAACGCTCGGGTTTAGACAGCGAGATAATTTCCAACCTGCCTCTATCTTCATGGTTCCAAGCTGGGCCGTGGTGGACTGTGGCATATCCAAGTATACCATGGACAACTGGAGCACACCAAGTGTCTTCTCACGTCTCACAGAGATCTCGTCAGGACAAGTATGTGCCTGGTCATGGTTGACCCAAGATCACCGCCTGGGCTTCAGCTGGTTGTCACTGTTGGGTGTTTACAACCCGGGTTTTGCATCTGGAGACTTGCCAACAAGCTTTAACGCACTAACCATTTGAAATCTCTGGGCCAAATATCAGCGTGTTTCCACGATTACACTGGAATCTGACCTGGACTATGGATTGGTAGCCAATGACCATCATTCCATCCAGTCCAGAATGGCCCTGTGGCCCACCTCCATTTGCTGGACAATGCCCCAGAGAAGCTCATCTCGGCCTCTTCCAAGGATGGGCTTCCTCATTCCACACGAAAACCCCTTGAATGCTTCGTTCCTACCGTTGCAGGCCCGTGCGGTAGGGTCGAGGAGGCAGCCCGAATGGAATGCAGCATTCTGATTGTGTTGTTGTGATCTCGCGTCTTCGAGGGCGTGTTACTCAAAAGCCAACCACATCTGCGATTCTTCTTGACCTTTTTGCAATCACCAGTCACTCGTTTGGTTTGGAGTTCTGCAGTCCTCCACTTCTTCTCAATCCTGTTTTCGGTTTTGGTGTTCACAGATTACGGCATATAAAAACAAGTCAACAGGGTGGCCCACCATGTGGCCATCATCGTCGCTCCTTTTATCCTCTCTGGCTCTGAGATTTGCAGCAGTCAACGCGCAGGCTCTGGCCACTGTCACCTATGGCCCCAGCGGGCCTTGTCCAGTGCCATCCGTGACCAGCGTCGTGGTTGTGCAGGCGGGATACTACAGCTCTTTCTTTCAGTCAGCCTCGCAAATTGTGAACCTTTTTGGCAACGGTGAAACGGTTACGATTGAGAATGCCCCGACGACGTACATCACGAACACATACATCACCACGACCATCATCTCCACGGTCACGAGCGTGGTCAGCCCTTCAACTACCTCAAGTACCTCAACTAGCCCAATAACTTCCACAACTCCGTCCGGTAGTGCGAGTGTTGGGCCGGTGACTACAAGTGCGGCTCCTGCCTCGTCGCTCTCAACGTCCATCTCCACAACCTCCACACCAACCTCGACCTCGACCTCTCCGGGGCCCTCAACAACTTCCACGACAGAATTCACTCCTATCCCGCCCCCTGCTACGACTCCCACCCCGCCACCAGTTCTGACTTCTACATCGGTTGACGCCGAAGGAAACACAATTTTAGTCCCGATTACACAGCCGCCACTGACTCTGGGTGAAGGTCTGCCCTCGGGAACCGTGACCGATCTTCCTGCATCGTCAGCCGTCATCATTGGCATTGCAGTCGGTGGTCTCGGCGGTTCGAAGGTGAAGAGACAAGATTCAGGCACGCAGGCGCAAGCCTCTCAGCTGCTTTCGGGGGATGATGGCGGCTCCAGCAACGCATGTGACGTTGCCGTGAGATATTTTCTCCAAGGTGGACAGCTGACGGATGGTACCGCTGTGGTCGGTCGTAACACTACCGACTACGCTGCTGTCATAACTCCTGATCCCGATTTCAACAATGTCACCACCGTGTTTGCGTTTGTTAATGGCATTTTGCAGTGGGACTCGCCTGACCAAGGCCTTGGTAGTTTTTATCACTGCGGTGATAATAAGGTGTGGGCGGGCTTCCCGTCTCCTCCACGGCCTGATTGCTACGATGTCACCCTGGGCGGCATCGCCGCCAGCGCTTGTCCGGTGCCGTATAGGGATCCAGACGTTAGTACCTCGTCAACGACTATTTCCTCGAGCACTTCAACCTCAACGGATGTGGCGTCCACCACCACCACCGAAGTGACCACGACCACGACCACTGATACCGAGAGTCCGACATCGCCCACCACAACTCCCGAACCGAGTTCCTCGAGCGACCAAAGCTCGACTGAGTCGTCAGCGATATCGTCCCCTTTTTCAAGTTCGGCACCAGTCGTTACAAGCTCCCTGGGCCAGACTACCGAGTCCACTGTGGTTTCAGCCTCCTCGAATGCCCCGCCCGCCACGACAACACCTGCGTCTACCGGCTCGCCGTCCTCAGCGCCGTTTGGGACGAGCTCTTCAATTGTTCCTCTACAGTCAAGCTCAACGAGCATAGCGCCTGTGCAATCGAGCTCTACAAGCATCCCTCCTGCACAGTCAAGCTCAACAAGCGCTGTGTCTGTACATTCCAGCTCGGCAACTGTTCCGCCCGTGCCGTCAAGTTCAACAAGCCCAGCACCGGCACAATCGAGCTCGACAAGTATGCTCCCTTCACAGCCAAGCTCGTCGGGCACTGTCGTTACCTCATCAAGCTCCACCAGTGTTCCTGTGCAATCCAGCACGACTGCTGGAGCCGCACCGACAACGGTCGTGACCAGTGTTTCCTCTGGCATTTCTTCAAGTGGAAGCACTGGCGGAGGCACGAGTGGATCAAGCTCTACATCGGCAGTCATTGGAAGCACAAGCATGAGCAGCTCAGCACCGCCTTCCTCTAGCGCATCTCCGAGTGCGAGCAATCCTGGCTCGACGACCCCAGCAGGTATAGTGTCTTCCTCTCTTTCCTCATCCACTGTCCTCCCCACTTCAAGCACTACATCCTTGTCCCCAAGCAGCAGCTCTATAATAGCAACCACGTCGTCCTCGGCGCCAGCAGCTGGGACCTCATCGACAAATGCCGCAACGACACCTGGCAATACTTCCTCCCTAGCCACTACGCCCTCTGTATCAAGCACAAGTTCTCTGGCGGCAAATTCCCAGTCGACAAGTCTGGTCTTGACGAGCCTTACGACGACGGTCAACTCTTTGCCAACGACGTCCTTAAGCCCCGGTTCCACGACAGATAACCAAGTGTCGACGAGCTCCTTAGGTGCTAGCTCCACGACGGGCAACGCAGGGTCGACGAGCTCTCCTGGTCCTAGCTCAACTACAAACAATCCAGTATCTACGAATTCATCGGGCCCTAGCTCCGCGACGACAAGCGCTCTCGTAACCACGTCTGTGGGAACAACAGGACAAGGGACAAGCCAAACTTCTGTTGTAGTGTCTTCTACAACTAGCGACGTCGCTTCATCCACTGCTCTCGGTAGCACGACTGGTGCTAGCTCTTCTCTAAGCTCTGGTACGTCTCAGCTTGTGGTTTCCACAAGTTCTTCTAGTCCTTCTTTGCTTTCTTCTGGTCCTTCCTCAACCTTGGAGACGTCGAGCAGCGCAACTGGTGGTGCGACCGCGGCCTCGTCGACTACAGACTCCGTGTCCAGTGTGGGCTTCTCTTCGACCTCGCTTGGATCGACTGGAACTTCACCTGCTACTGGTGTCAGCACCACGGCGCCTGGCATTACTTCGTCAGATCTTGGTACTTCGGTGTCTACTTCTTCGACGGCAACACCTACGACCATCGTTTCTTCAAGTGCAGCTTCGAGCATGAGCACCGCCAGTGCTACGGTGCAGAGCAGTCTCTCTGGCGGTACAACATCAGCCTCTGCTACGACCTCGAGCCTAGTAGTGTCAACGGGTGCAGGTACAATTGCTTCATCTGTGCCTTCAGGCTCATCCACCACGAGTAAAGCAGCATCCATGACCTCCAGTACAGCTGCTTCATCGGCGGCGTCAGTCTCCACAACCTCGAACATGGCAGTGTCAACGGGTGCTAGCACAGACGCCTCATCAGCACCGCCAGTCTCTTCGGTATCCTCGGCATCAACAAGCCCTGTGGGAGGGTCCTCCACGGCGGGTGGTATCACAAGCAACGCTGGGACATCCTCGACAACAACTGGCTTAGGGCCGTCTGTGTCAAGCAGCGTTCTTTCGTCGTTATCTGGCCCTACTACATCGTCAAGCTCGTCGACTTTGGGTTCATCATCTTCCACCGCTGCAACCTCGAATCCCACGGCACCTGGCACTTCGGTCACATCATCCTCAGGTACGTCACATATCAATTTAAGCCCATATCATCTTCCATTGTTTCTCTTGAACTCTCCTCCAGCTGGTATCTTGTTGAATGCGAGTATTCTTGATGCTCTCCAAGGCATTTCTCAAGATCCTTTTCTACAAGTTCTGTCGCAGTGAGGTATGGAATGCACGGAATTATATCTCTTCCCACGACCATATCTCCTGAGACATGTGGACTTCACACACATCTGCAGGGGTTTTCATCACAATCGTGTGGTCAATCCCGAGATATGCCGAACAAGTGTGAAGGAAAACAGTGTTCGACGTTGTACATGTGCTTCAATTTGGTCTTTGTCTTTCTAGAATTTGACTGACTTTGTCCGATAATCTAGCTTCCTCCTCCTCTGGGACGGCTGGCGGCGCTCCAGGTGCCACATCATCTACAGCATCGAGTTCGACAACCTTCACGAGCGGGACCACGACGAGTTCAGCAGGGCTGACTTCCACCACGGTCACAGGTCTGAGTACGACGCCGACTTCCTCCTCTACCCCTATACCCAGTACAAGTTCAGGAGGTCAGACGTCAAGCTCGATCAGCGCCACAGGCTTCGCCACGACCAATACGGTCAGTTCGAGCTCGTCCACAACGTCCAGTGCGGTTGGCACTACAACTTCGATTGCTAGCTCTGGGCCACCTACCTCAAGCTCTGCCAGTGCAGTCTCGACTGCGTCAACTGCAACTAGCGTCACAACAACGAGTGTGACGGGTTCGACGACCAGCAGTGCGTCAAGCTCTGCCGGTTCAGTCTCGACTGCGTCAACTACCACTAGCATCACCACGTCGACTGTGAGGAGTTCGACGGCCAGCAGCGCCTCAAGCTCTGCCAGTGCGAGTTCGACTGCGTCAACTACCACCAGCACCAGCGTTACCACATCGACGACTGCAACAGGCTCGACAGCCAGCACTACCACAAGCCCGGCTAGTACAGTCTCGACTGCGTCAACCGCCACCAGTGCTACCACGTCGACGACTGCAACAAGTTCGACGGCCAGCAGCTCCTCAAGCTCTGCTAGTGCGAGCGCGACTGGCTCAACCACTACCGGCGCCAACACATCGACTGCGACGGGCTCGACCACTTCATCGACCAGTAGTGCCACCAGCTCCACCACCGTTAGTTCGACGGCGTCAGGGACCTCTACGACGAGCTCGACAGGACAAATTAGTACTGCCACTCCTTCTTTCACAACTACCCTTGGCACATCTGTTTCCAGTGTATTGTCGATTTCCACAACTGCTTCAGGTTTGCTGACTTCGATTTCTATAGTATCCTCGTCAACGACATCGACCGCCCCGTCTACATCTGCTTCGGCAACTACTGCTGCGGCTGTCACGACGGCTTCATCGACGACACCGGTATCGACAACAACTACACTTACCACCTCGACGGCTCCGGTCACAACTACGACTGGTGCATCCACTACCAGTAGTAGTCCAAGCAGTGCAAACAGCTCAGGCGGTTCAAGTGGTTCAAGCAGTTCATCGCCCGGTTACCCCCCTGGTCCGAACTATTCGTCCTTGGCCTCTGTAGTTACCGTTAATTCAGTCGCCGCCGGAGCTGCAGGGACGTTATGCGCCGGAGACAACATCACTCCAGGGGCTAGCCAGCCAACACCTATAGCTACAGGCGCATATAACTATCAAAAGGTGGCACTAGCCGACTATCCAAATACGGTCTACGAGGTCGAATGCTGGATGAACGCCGGGAGTACCGGCGGTGCAATTACTACTGCACCGGGCAACTATTATTCTCTCGAGAGCTGTATCGACGCTTGCACGGTAGCTGGACCGAGTTCCTGTCTCGTTGCATACTGGAATTCGGTCGCCCATACGTGCAGCCTGTACAGCAAGGTCAATAGTGGTGGTGTCCCTTCTCTGGCTGGCGGGCAGACCCCGGCCAAGGTTGTCGGTGGTGGTATTCGGACCGCAAGGCTCCTTACGGGCCAACCAGTCCCAAATGTGGTGGACGCAACTTACCTCCTTGCTCCCGGAGCCGATCTGGGGCTCTGCAACAACGGCAATTACCAGTTGACCTTTATCGGTGTGTTCTATAACGGGGCCACGGGTACGGGCCCTCCCACGATCAACACGAACCGAGACAACATCTGGTATGTGTCTTGCGGTGCCTCATACCAGAATTCGCAGTCGGGGACGCAACTTGTCCCAGCCTACTCCCCGACGAACCCCGTTTTCGGCTTCACCTCAGCCCCGACAACGGCGGACGACTGTGCCCGCGTCTGTCAGTCGTATCACAGTTACTTTCTTTTGTTCGGCGCGGGCAACCCCGACTGCAACCTCTGGCAGTGGGTTCCCAACGCCAGCACCAAATGCCAGCTGTTTCCTAGTAATGCTGGCGTTGTCAATGGCCAAGGTCCACCGACCATGACGGATGGGAGTAGCAATAGCATCTTCGCCGCTGGCATCCTCCGGGGTAATTCCGGGACGGAATACTCGGGACAGGCACAGTACAAGAAACGATCTCTCCCTGCGGGCCTGGACTATCGGCGCCGCCATGCCAGGGACTCTCTGATCGACGACGGAAGTGTCCCGGATGTTATTCTTAAGTTCAACAAGCGGACTGGCAACTGGACCGAAGTGATGTGAGAGGGACGGTGTGAGGGCAGTTCATGATGAGGACACACCTGAGTTGTGGGAGAAAGGGGAGGTGTATGATGGGTTTTGTAAGGGCATTCTCCTGGGGAATCCAGCTACTTTTCGTTCTGTGAGAGGGGTTTTTTCGTCTGAAGGTTCCGGCTGAATGTCATGCATTCGTTAGAGCTTGATAGGGCATGCTCGTTCTAATATATCTTCTGATTGACTGCAGGAATGGGGATGTTTCCAAGGGTTGAGTACTTGTAGGTGTGTTCGCCTACAGAGAGAGAGGCTGACACAAGGCTGACACTGGGATCATTACCCGCCTATTTTGAAACGAATAGGCACTCGTCCTCGGTTAACCGAGATGAAGTTCCCGCATGGCATGCACCGTATCCGTGATCGTATTCGCGTCGGCCCAGGGGCATGTGTTGGCGACCACGTACCTGGTGGGTACCTCGTACAGCTAGACTAATCCGCGTCAATTTCCCTTCTGCTATTACATATTACATACCTACTATCAAGCGACTTCTGCGTACGAGTACCACGTATTTTCCAGGCAGCAGGGGAGCCCGGCTTTGTCCACGGCCTTGTCGCCATCTCCTTGTTTCTCTCGAGGACCTGTAACCATCATCACAGGTGGGGGAACGAAGCTAGAAAGCCCGCTCTGCACGACTGACTAGCCGATCCTGCTTTTCCAGGCAGCCGTGAATCCATGACTCTTCCAGTGGGTCGACCGGCCAGCTCGCTTCGTTACCCGTACCCATGGATCATCGCCGTGGTTCCCTTGGTCGAGCCAACTCAAACTAGAAAACTGTGGGCACCTCTATAGGGCGTTGACGGTGGGGGGGCGGGGAGCGTGATGAGGACTTTGGGCCCACCGTTCCATTCTTCATTTACAATTGTTATAATGTCGAACTGCCATTGTTGAAAAAGTACTAACCATCAGACCTGTTGCTGGAGGAGGAGAAGAAGAAGAAGAAGAAGAGGAAGAAGAAGAAGGGGAAGAAGGAAAAAGACATATGTCCCACACGGTGATTATCAGAGATTCACAATGAGCAACAACATCGAGGAGCCGGCGTCCGTCGTCGCCGATACGAAAGCGGGCAGTACTCAAGTCGTCGAAGAGACGACCATCACTATCAAGGAAGAAGAGGAGAAGAAGAAGAAGAAGAAGAACGAGTCCGAGAAGACATCCCGGCCTCCTCTCTCGAATTACTGGGTGCGTCGTCTTCTGCATCGATGGTCCGTCTGGGTCTTGCGTCGTACGTGTACTGACACAGGCCACGGGCAACACAGCGAATACTGTCTTTCCGCTCGAGACGCGATGGATTGGCTCTCTGCATCAGCTGTATATGTGCTGTTGGATCCGGCACGGTGAGTTATCATATCAATCAATCCATCAATCCATCAATCAGTCCCGATGTGATGTGGATGAAGTTCGTGGCACGGGCGGGTACTGATACATATATATATATATTCTCTGCCCGGCAGGCACTCCCACTTATGAACATCGTCTTTGGGGCCCTCGTCAAGGACTTCAATGGCTATTTCCTGCCGAATGCGACGGTGACGGAAGGGCAGTTCAAGGCAACTGTCAATCAGAACTCGTAGGTCCTGCGTTCACATCCAGCGAAGAAGCCATTATTGCTGACCGCTGCAGGCTCTATCTTGTCTATCTATTCATCGGCCGGTTCGTGCTGACATACATCTCGACGGTGAGTGAGCCTTGCCGAGACGACCACTTCTGTCTTATATCCCGATGTCGAGAGACCTCTGTTGCTGACTATGACAGTTCTGCTTCCGCGTCACTGGACTGCGGATCTCTGCCAGGCTGCGCCTTTCCTACCTCCAGTCCCTCTTCGCCCAGCCCATCAAGAAGCTCGACGAAGTGTCCGCCGGCACGGTCGCCAACACCATCACGGCGTCGTCCAACATCATCCAGATCAGCATCTCGGACAAGCTCCATTCGCTCTTCATGGCCGTGGCCCTGATCATCACCGCCTACATCATCGCCTTCCGGTACTCGCCGCTGCTCACGCTCGTGGCCAGCTCCTCGATGCTCTTCGTCGTCATCGTCTACAGCGTCACCACGCCGTTCCTGATCAAGCGGATGGCCCAGATCGAGAAGGCCAACGCCAAAGCCGCCTCGATCGCCGGCGAAGTCTTTGGGTCCATCCGCGCCGTCTTCGCCCTGGGGGCCGAGCAGTGCCTGACCAAGAAGTACGACGCCGCCGTCCAGGAGTCGCAGCGGTACGGCCTGGCCATGTCGCCGCTGTACGGCGCCCAGGTGGCGCCCGGCTTTTTTGCCATGTACGCCAGCTTTGCGCTGTCCTTCTGGTTCGGCCTCAAGCAGTTCCGCGAAGGGCATATTGCCAACATCGGCACCGTCGTCACGTAAGTTTCATCCCGTTCAATCTGATGCGTTGCTGCTAAAGGGTACGCCCCAGGGTCTTCTTTTCGGTTCTGATTGTGATGGCGCTTCTGGGAGTCCTCGCCACCCCCATCATTGCCATCACGAAAGCCATCGGCGCGTCGACCGAGTTCTTTGCCATGATCGACGCCCCCAAGATCTCGTACGAGGGCGTCACGGACCCTGACGTGTCGTCGCACGATGATGTCGAGTTCGACAACGTGGACTTCGCGTATCCCAGCCGCCCCAAGGTCCCGGTCCTGAAGGGGTTCAGCGCACGGTTCAGAAAAGGGAAGACGACGGCGCTGGTCGGCCCTTCCGGATCGGGAAAGAGCACGATTGTGGCGTTGCTGGAGCGCTGGTACGAGCTGGACAGGGACGACACCGACAAGGACGAGGCCACCACCTCTGCAGCACAGGAACCCGACACTCACCAGCAGGAGCCACTGCCCAAAAACCAGGGCATGATCGCGATCGGAGGCCGCGATATCCGGGACACAAACCTCAAGTGGTGGCGGTCACAGATCGGCCTGGTCCAACAAGAACCATTCCTGTTCAACGACACCATCTTCAAGAACGTCGCGTCCGGGCTGAACGGGACGGCGTGGGAAAAGGACGACGATGCCGCAAAGCAGAAGCGAGTCGAGAAGGCATGTCAGGAGGCCTTTGCGCACGAGTTTATTCGCCAACTCCCCGACGTGAGTCAACGTTGTCTCACCCCATGCATTGACTATTTGACTGACTGACTGACTGACTGACTGACTGACTTGGGATCAGGGCTATCAAACGCGCGTCGGCGAGAGCGGCATCAAGCTGAGCGGCGGGCAACGACAACGGCTGGCCATCGCACGCAGCATCATCCGCGAGCCGTCGATCCTGATCCTGGACGAGGCGACCAGCTCGATCGACGTGCGCGGCGAGCGCATCGTGCAGAAGGCCCTGGACCAGGTGTCGCGGAACCGCACGACCATCGTGATCGCCCACCGGCTCTCCACGGTCCGCAAGGCCGACAACATCGTCGTCATGCGCGACGGGCGCAAGGTGGAGGAGGGCACCCACGCCGACCTCCTCGTCGTCCCCGACGGCATCTACGCCGGTCTCGTGCACGCGCAGCAGCTCGAGGCCGAGACGGTGCCTCCGACAAACGAGGCCGTCGAAGCGTCGGAGCGTGAACAGCACGAGACACCAGACGACACGGGCGTCCCGGCCCAGCGAGACGAAGAGAGCAAGACGCAGTACAAGTACCGCGGCTTCATCATGTCCGTCGGCCGGATCTTGTATGAGCAGCAACAGTACTGGATCTTTTATGTTTTGATTGTGCTGGCGGCGATGGGAGCAGGCTGTAAGTTTTTGTCGTCGAAGACCATTCCCACCACAGGATAACACGGCAAGCTAACGAGCAGGGGACCTCTAAAAACAGCGGCGTTCTCACTGCAGAGCTGGATCTTTGCGCAGCTGATAGAAGTCTTCACCTTCACGGGCCAACGGCTGAAGGAACGAGGCGACTTCTGGTCCCTGATGTTCTTCATCCTCGCGCTGGGGATGGCGGTGGCGTATTTCATCCTGGGGTTCCTCTCGAACCATCTCTCCGTGGTAAGTCAGACAGACGGTCACCACGGACCCGGTTGATGGAATGCCCTGCTCACGACCACTTCTCACCACACAGCTCGTCTCGTCCGTGTACCGGCGCGAGCACTTTTCGAACCTCCTCCGCAACCCCGTCTCCTTCTTCGACGCCGAGGGCAACGCGTCGGGCTCGCTCATGGCCCGGCTGGCGACCGACTTCAAGCTGCTCAGCGAGCTGATCGGGCTGAACGGGGTGTTCCCGCTGATCTCGTTCTTCAACATGGCCGGCTGCGTCATCATCTCGTTCTACTTTGGCTGGAAGTTGACCCTGGTGACGTTTTTCTCGGCCATGCCCGTGGTCATCGTCGCCGCTTTTGTGCGCATCAAGTACGAGATCCAGTTCGAGGAGTGGAACGCCAAGGTCTTCGCCCACAGCTCGCAGTTTGCCACCGAGGCGGTCGGCGCCTTTCGCACCGTCACCTCCTTGACCATGGAGGACTCGATCATCCGGAAGTACGCGGATCTCCTGCAGGAGCAGATCCGCGACGCGACGCGACGGGCCACCCACGGTTGTCTGGTCTTTGCCCTCTCAGACAGCGTCGAACTGTGTGCCATGGCCTTGACTTTCTGGTGAGCTGCTCGCCTAGATCCGTGCTTCGTTCCTGGAGACCGCTTCGCTGACACAGACCCCCCTCTTTTTGCTGAAGGTACGGAGGACAACTCCTGGCCAGCCACGAGTACAACATCATCCAGTTCTTCCTCATCTACGCCGCCATCGTACAGGGCGCCCAGGGGGCGGGCCAATTCCTGAGTCTTTCCCCCAACGTGGCCCGGGCCACCGCGGCGGCGAATCGCATCCTGGCGTCGCGAAGCACCGAAAATGACGACGCCACCACCCACACGAACAGCGTGGTCGTACCACCACCGCCGCTGCCGTCGAATGAAAAGCGGACGGGCGCCAAGGTCGAGTTCAAGGACGTGGGCTTCCAGTATCCCACCCGCGACCGTCCCATCTACCGCCACCTGAACTTCACGATCGAGAGCGCGCAGTTTGTGGCCTTTGTGGGCCCCTCGGGCTGCGGCAAGACCACGGTGATCTCGCTGCTGGAGCGATTCTACGACCCGGTGGCGGGGACCATCACCTTCAACGACCGCGACCTCCGAGACACGGCGGTGGCGTCGTACAGACGCGCGCTGTCGCTGGTCGCGCAGGAACCCAAGCTGTTTGACGGCACGATCCGCGAGAACTTGGTGCTGGGCCTGGACAACGACGAAGTTAGTGACGACGCCATCGCACGGGCCTGCAGCGACGCCGAGATCCACGACTTCATCCTCTCGCTCCCGGACGGGTTCGACACGCCGCTGGGGATCAACACGCAGACGTCGCTCAGTGGGGGCCAGAAGCAGCGGCTGTGTCTGGCGCGGGCGCTGCTGCGGAATCCGTCCCTCCTCCTCCTCGACGAGGCCACGTCCAGCCTGGACTCGCAGTCGGAGAAGCTCGTGCAGGCGGCCATCGAGCGGCTGGTGGCGCAGCGCAGCATGACGGTGATCGCGGTGGCGCACCGGCTGGCGACGATCCAGAAGGCCGACGTCATCTTTGTCTTTGGCGAGAGCGAGGCCGGGAGAGGGTCCCGGATCCTCGAGCGCGGCACACACAGGGAGTTGCTGGGCCGGCGGGGGGCGTATTGGCAGATGGTGAGTATGATGAGAGTGCTTTTTCCCGTCTTGTCTTGTCCTGTCCTGTCCTGTCCTGCCCTTTCTCTCCTTGATGTTATGTCCCCGCCTCTTGTTCTGCATATGCTAATGCGGGTTGTTGTTCCCTCGGTTAGTGCCAGGAACAAGCCCTCGATCGGTAGGTGATCCGGGGGGGAGGGGAGGGGGGTTTAGCGAGAAGCGGGGGTTTTGTATGGGCATGCATATGTACATGCACCCCTTGGGCTTGGGGACAAGTCTTGACCATGATTCGATCGAGGTTGCGCCTAGACGTTGTGCTGTGCTGTGATGTGTTTGTGTGTTTGTTGTGTGGGTTGCGATGTCATGGGCGTGTTTCCGGCGGCGGCGCCAGAAAGATGCGGTGGGGGATTTTGTTGTTGTTGTTGCTGCTGGTCCTCCTCCTCTCAACACCACCACCACCACCAAACTCATTTGTATTGGGCAGTTACCTAGCTGCTTTCTCTCCTCATTCCCCATGCATGCACACATGCACGCGTGCATGCGGCTTTTTCCTTTATGCGGGGGAGGAGGGACGGAGGGCGGAGTGGAGTGCGGTGCGGTGCGGTGCAGTCCAGTGCAGTGGTGGAGCCGTGGAGACGTCGTGTCTGCCCCGGATGTTGACGCTGCATGTTGGTTACCAAGTCAGTTGGTCCGTCATGTTTGAAGAGTTGAGACGAAGAAATGGGGACGAGGTGAGGAACTGAGTGGCAGAGATGGAAACCCGACAGAAAGAGAGGGAACACCGACAGACACACACGTTGTGTCGTACTGTATCCAGGATGAGCATTGGCACACATACGACACACACAACTGGACACGATGTGATGTGACCATGACATGACATGATATGTACAATATGGGAGGAGACGACAAGAGGGAGGGGAGGCCTGGGAGAGATACTAACTGAACCATCTCCCCTTGATTTTACCATGCTATATGGGTCTACTGGTTACTGGGAATTACTCGACTCACTGACTGACTGAACCGTGAACCTCTCTCTCTTCCATACATATATACACGCTCCAAATAGAGAAGGAAAAAGGAAAAAGAAAAAGAAAAAACAGTCATCTATAGTGTCGTGCAGTCCCATGTCCTCCCAGAGTTCTGCTCACTATATCCACGCGTAGGGAATGTGTTGGCTGAGTGTATGTCTCTTCCCCTCCTCCTTCTCCTCCTTCTCGCACCACTTCTTCTACTCACGGCACCAACAATCCATCCATCCATCCATCCATCTCTTCTGTTACTCCCTCCTCCTTTCACAACCTCGTCTCTGATATAACTGCAGTGAAAAGGATCTGTACGTGGGGGACACAGACTGCCCACTGCCCACTGCCCAGACCCCCACGAGCTTCAACCCTCACAGACCGCGACCTGTCGTGGGGGTGTGTCTCTCCTTCGGTCGGTCACCCACTTCCAAAGACATCATAGCCATGGTCACGCCCCGATACATAATATGCAGTCATAATCTCAGCATTGAGTTGACCCGGATATACCTGACAGGGTTTGATAAGCCCTATCTCGTATTATTATCGTGGTCAGCCGCGGGCGGCCATGTCCTAGTGCCCCAGCCCAGCAGTGACCAGGACTTGCGCGCGCCCTCAGCTTACACACCACCATCGTCGGGCGAGCATGTCCAGGTTTCCGTTCCTGGTCCGCCAAGCAACAGAGCTGAAGTCGGAGAGTTCTTGCTTCAACGGGAGGGAAGGGATAAAGGTTTTGCCGGAAGGGTTGGTTGGGTGGGTGCGTGCACGACCGACGGTTTGGCTTATTCTCTTTCTCTTTCCATTGGGGCATGGGAATAGATCGTCCTCTGCTCTGTTGAGATGCTGAGATCCCCATCCCAGCGTGGGCAGGTGCAGGTGCCGGTGCAGACGCACGTTGTGCCGAAAGACGCACCGAGAATATCGCCGGGGCCACTTGAAGTCGGCTGGCTCTGCACCATGTGACGATTCCCTTGCTCGCGTCAAGGTCGAGGGCATGGCTTCTACACATCCATCTCTGGAAATGTGTGTTTGTGTGTGTGTGTATGATGAGGTATCGGATCGGAGCCGCTGGCGGATCATCCAAAGTAAGCCGGCGGCGGCGTCCTCGTCGCAGTGCGCTCGCCTGGCTGCCGCAGACGCAGCGGGACGAGCAACGCACTCAGGTTGTCCACGTCTTCGTCGTCATCCGACTCCAACCCCGACGGCACCTCCACCTCGGCCACGTCCACGACCACCTGGCTCTTCGCCGCGTCGTCCGCCTTCGACCCGTACGCCGTGACCGCGAGCGGGATGCTGCTGTGCAACGAGTACTTGGGCGCGCCGTGGAACGTCATGCTGAGGTCCAGCGTGTACGTCCGCGACAGGTACTTCCAGTCCAGTGACGGCTGGGACACGGCGTCGGGCACGGGGAGCTCGAGTTGTGACGTCGCCACGTACGGCTCCGCCGCGGGGCGGGTGGTGGTCTGTTGGTGCTGCTGCGCGCGCCGGGCGCTGTCGTACTGTGGGAGCGGCCGGAACAGGATGGTCGACTTCTGCGCCGACGCCGTGGTCTTTTTGTAGATGACCTCGCCCGCCCTCAGCCTTGTTGGGGAGGGGCGGCCCGGCACGATCGAGAAGCGCGTGTTGACCTCCCACTTGGCCTCGACCGAGCATTTCAGCGACTGGCGCCCGTCCATGGGCAGACTACCACTACCGCTATTCCTCTCGGCGGCGTCCATGGCCACGGTGAGCGGCACGCTGATATGGCGCTTGCCCGTCTGGGGATCCCGTCTGATGGCCACGTCGCCCTCGGACCAGGTAAGGGAGAGGCCGGGGACTTTCTGGAACCGACACCGCGACAGGATGTCGGGTTTGGCGCGGATAGTCAGGGGAGTCTCTCGCCCGGCCGAGACCTTCAGGCAAGGGTACAATGACGAGATCTGGATGTGCTGGTTCAGGAACCCGACCTGGCGCCCCGCGCGCCGGAAGTTGACCTCGATCCAGTACGACACCTCGCAGTCGCCGTGCTCGACCCGTGTGTCGTTCAGCGCCGTGCTCTGGGTGATGGTGGTGGTGCCCTTGACAAGACCGGTCAAGGGGAGAGGGCGGAAGATGCCGTCCTGCTGGCCCGGGATCATCGTGGGCAGTTCGAAGTAAAAGTCCAGACTCCGCACCTTGCGCGCGTCCGTCTCGCTGATCGCCGTGGGCTGGCGGAAATCTGAGGCGGCTTTGACGTCCGTCAGGGTGATGATGTCCTCGATGGCGTGCGTGTAGCCCACCGAGGATGTGATGACACCTCTCAGACAGAGCTGCACCGTGTCAAACATGTGGCGTCGGACGCAGTCGTCGAGGACACTGAGTCTGCCGTTGATTCGGGAGGGGCCCCTGTTCCTGTGTGCCGCATCGTCGACATTGTCCGGGAAAGGAGGCGCAGCCTTGCCTGGCGTCGGCTTCCCGACCTGCAAACGAGCGTAGATCATGGTTTTATTGTTGTTGTTGTCTTGACGTCCTCTTCTGGGGCGGGACAGACTTAAGAAAAGACCCGAGAAACGGCACCAAACTTACCAGTATATATATGACCTTTTTTCAATGCCCTTTCTATTCTCCTGAAGCGGGAAGGCGACCCACGAGCCAACACCGGAAGTTGACATGGGTGGGTGCGTGGGTCAGCTGCGCCATATCTTTTCTAGTTCTTTCGGACTTCGCATCTGGGTCTGGGAAATATCGGGCTAATCAGCATCCAGACCGGTAGGAGTAGGGGGGTTTGTTCGTTGATTGTCCATCCATGGTCGTCTGGCTTCTGGCTACTGACCCGACCGGGGCTTATCATCAACACGGAAAAAGAACGACCGTACCGAGTCACACATTGACTATACGGGGAGCTGAACCGAATCCCGAAGCCGCCATGTGCCACCCACACATACTCCACTCAGCACCACCACGCAGCAGCAGCAGGGGATCACCGCGGCTGGGGGGGTCTAGTCATTCAGTCGGTAGCCCGGGCCCACGAAGGAATGAATAAGACTTTTGCGCGAGAGAATCAGAAAACCGTGACCCTAGGACATTGGCAACTTGACAACTGGACAGTTCCTCTCTCACACTCTCTCGCGCGCGCGCAAGGCAAAGTCCCTGGCCTAGCTCACGAGCTAGCTACCTAGCTACCTAGGAGGTTACGCGAGGCCCGAGGGTCAGAGTCGCTCACACCCTGGTTCGTGAGTTTGACTATGTAAGAAAACACAGTTACAGTCGTGGCTGCACCACCTCGGATCAATCAATCAACCCTGGCCATCTCAAAAATCTCAGCCCTCTTCCACCTCAAAAGTGTCCTCGTTACGAAGGACCCTTACTTACTACGTATACAGAACAACCACATCAGCTTGCAGCCCAGCCCAACAGGACAAAAAAAGAATCCCCCGTCTGCATGGAGCAGCCAACGGTAATCATTTCCCGTATCCCGTCCGGGTGTACGTGGTCACAGGCCCCCTAGGGCCATCATTTCCCGGTCTTGGGAGTGGCCGAGCAAAGCCTCTTAGCCTTTTAGCTGGCTTGTTCCCAGAAATCTAAGCTCCCGACGAGATGATGGCGCTTTGCCTTGATTTCTTCTTTCTTGATTGGGCTTATTAACTACACACACGCACACAAGAAACGCGGTCAAACCACGTAGACCTGCCGCTCTCGCCTCCCCTGGACAACCCAAGTCAGCAGGACTGGTGGCGCACTTGTCCACCACTGGATGGTTCTTGGTGATAAATTTCCCGGGAGGGATCGAGAAGGAACGGTAGCAAGCATGCAAGCTGGTCGGGGCCTGGTTTAGGAATGAGAGCAGCAGCAGCAGCACAAAAGCACACTAGGAAGGTCAATCTGTTAGTCGCATCGGGTCGAGAACCACTAGGTCTTGGGCAATTGTCAATGACCATCCACCGCGGTGGGATGAACAGAAAAAGTCGCCAAAGGAAACACCCCTAGCTAGTGGGGGTTTTTTTCCCCGGTCCCTTCGGCGAAGCTGGACGGTTGGTGGCTCTTTGGTGGCTGCTGGGTGGGGGAAGATAATACTTCCTTGGGTTGGCAGGTGTTCAGTCTTATTTTCTCCACCGCTTCTTAACGAATGGGTAGGCCAGGTGAGGCTTCAACAATGGATTTATTCAGCTCCTTGCTCAGAGAACCTGGGGGAGGGCCATGCATTGCTGGTGCATTGCAGGTGCAGGTGCAGCTGCGAGTCGATAATGGGTACATAGCCACAGCAAGTTCGGTAGCTAGGGTTCTTACCCAGGGTTCACCAGCTCACCAGCCTCAAAACGCCGCCCTTCGCCTGGATATGGTGGCTACTCGCGGTTAGCAATACGAGGTACATAGCATGGTACTTGGGTTGCGGTCTAGGCCTCCGACATCGCACAGTAGATACCCGAGATATGCTCCAGGCTCGCCGGCGCCCGTCAAAGACGTCCAAGCGGCGTCTTCCACCGAACGCTCCCTAGCGAGCCAGCACGTCCATGTCCGAAACTCGCGCCTTGACTATTACTATTGTTACTATGTGTCCTTTTGTCGCATCGCGTCTGGAATCCTACTGCTGCCTGAGAGAAAGACGCCCAAAATCCCGAGGTCAGTGTGTTGTTCGACCTCGGACCGGGTGTGTGATCTTTGGGATCATCTTTTTTAGTGTGAACGATGATTTCCCCACTCGTAGGGAAGACCAGGGGGCCACGAGCTTATGGATTTCTTTCCTATTGTTACTGTTCCGAATAGTGGACACGTTCCACCCACTCACGAGGACCCCGCCAATTGCTCTGCTTTGCATTTCCTCTGTGTGTGTGTGGTGGCACAAGGTGAGGCCTGACCTGCGGCGTCGATACCTGCAAGGCTGCCGATCGAAGATTGGATGGGCGTTGGGTTGGACGCCTTTCAGGCCTCACTCCTGCGTAAACGATCCCACGGTCACATTTGATTCTTTATTTACTTGGTCCTGTCATAGGACGCCTTGTAAAAGGGACTGCGGGCTGGCACGAATAGATCCACAGGTGATACGGTTTCTGGCAGCCCTCTCCTCGAATGCTCTCGCGGCTGCGGCTGATGCGACGGCAGCGGCATGCACTTGCCATTGCTTTGGGGGGGGTGTTCCTTTTGATTGCGGCTGCTGGCCTGGTTGCTAACGGCCTTGATGACGAGACTAGGAAGAAATCCTGACATCCGCGCCGGCCTTCCATCTTAGATCCGAAATTGTCCTGCTTTATGCGCCATCTTGCCTGGTGGATGCCGGTTGTCGTTACCGTGTTTACTGATCTCATGTCCCCAAAGTGGATTGACGTCCTGAAGTCGTATCCGCAGCTGGAGTGGCATTCGGAACCGCATCCGTCGAACAAGCCCGTTTCGTATCGCAACCTAATCTTCGCAGCTGCTGGCGATGGCGTCCGGGGAAATACGAACAACAACAACCCTTCTCGGCACCGCCGACAAGCTCACAGCCACTTGATGTCAATGCAGTTGGTAGCGCCCGAACAGCTCTCTCTGTCTCAGCTCCAGAGCGTGGCATCCTCGTGTCGTCTCTGTCAGTCCCACAGGACCTTCAAAAGCTGACTGGTCCTGCAGACCGGTTGCTGTCGACAATGTGACGTCTCCATTTTCTATGAGAGATCATGGAGAGTGTCGGTTCTATTTTTGATCACTGCCGGCATCGAGAGGCAACGCCCTGCTTTGAGGCTAAGGAGGAATTGTCAACAGTTGGCCGACCTTCGTCGCGTCGAATCAACATCGACGGTAAGGACTTCTTAGCCACCATGGCGCAAAAGCCAGTTTTCGACACTAAAGTCGTCACAGAGACATTCAACAAAAGCTCCCCAAGACGATTTTCTCGAGTCCCACCAAACGCGTCGTTGATTCGTTGTTTCCCATCCACCAACCTAGAGGAGGCCTGGGCGTTTGGCTTTCCAATGCCCTTGCTGTTGTCAGACTTTGTAAACAACTGATGGCAAACCATGACAATGTTGTGGAGTGATCATGTGGCAAGAGACATCCTATAGAGGACACATGCCCTTGTGCGTGCATATACGACAAGTGTCCCTGGGGGATACCACTTCTGTCGCCCGTCAATAATGGGCGGACCATACGACGGGAGCGTGACGTCTAGTTGACAGTTCTTGGAGTAGCTTGATATGCATCCGGTGGTGTGAAAGGGGACGGCTGCTCAGATGCTTCGTTCCATATCAAGAAAAGCCATTCTGAGTTCATTGAGAATAGTCGAATACTCACAGTCCTCACAGCTTGCCTGCAGAAGCCGCGAGGCACCTTATGATCGTGTCCATGAGCACCCAATTCTCCTATTGGAGATCCTGGCACGATAAGCGGAGGCGGAAAGGTAGCCTCGTCGCTGAGCCTGTATGGGCATTTGATGTTTGGCTTTGGCACAATCAGAAGCAGTGTTTTGAATAACACTCTCCGGTAGGTGGGAGCCTTTGACACCACAAGTCAATTGAAGTTCTGAAAGGGACTTGGCAAAGCGAGGCATCTCGAACGTGGGTCTACCAGGGCTGCATCGAACTCAGGGTTCTTAACTTGACGAGGGACGTACCTTCGGGAAGACCACAGCCGTAACAAAAACCCATCAATCTGGCGCCAGACAAAAGTCGAGCGGCTGAGGGAGCGGCTATGTTGTTAGACCCCCAGAACATTACCAGCAGAGTCGCATATTCGCCAGTCTCTGCGTACGCCAAACGAGCAAAGTATCCGCGAGCCAGAGACTTTGTGAGTTTCGGGGTGGTACGGGAGCAAAACGACCGAGGCAGAACTCGCGCTAAATGGTTCGCACGTAAGGCCTTGTGATATCAAAGCATACGAACAAGGCTGACTGGCATTTCATGGTGATTTTACAAACCGGCAATTAGTCAGCCATGCCATGCCAAGATTCCCCCGCGTCGCTCCCCACCTTCCGCCCCCACCTTCTAACCCGGTTTGTCGCCCGGTCTGCGTTCCACTCTGCCAGGGCCATTTCTGGTCTAGCGCCGGACACTCGACCGCTGAGCCCAAGTAAGATTCGAGGGCTAGCAAGAGATCTTATTTCTTCCAATTTCAACCTCATGGCGGCGACATTCCCCATCGCCAGGCATCCGTCTTCAATGATTGTGCATCTCACCAAGCGAGCCTCGTAGCTCCTCCGGGCGTCGCCATGGCCGAGACCGAAGCCGCCGTGCCGCAGCTCGAACCCCGCCGAGCATGTCAAGAGTGCAACCGCAAAAAGACCAAATGTGACATGCGTCGGCCCGTTTGTGGCCTTTGCTTACGTACGGGCAACTCTTGCACCTTCCCGCTGAAAAGGAAGAAGCCCACCCGCAAACCCCAGCTCAAGACCCAGTCGCGGAAGATCAGTGACAGCCTGTCCAAGCTGGTCCAGGTGCTGGAAGCGGCGTCGCGAGCTGGCGAAAGCCCCGCCGAGCAGGACGGCCGACGGGGCATTCCCCAGACAGTGCTGCGAGACTCGCTCAAGGGACTCCTAGCTGAGATCGCCGAGACAGAGAACCACGCTGCCGACAATCAGGACCAGTCCGCCGACCAGAACAACCGAAATGACTCTGTGTCTGACGCCGATGAGAACGAGGATGAAGACCCTGACACCAACGAGCCAGAGCTGGAGCAAACGCCACCCGCCACTTCAACCGAGGACACCACGAAAATATCGACTCCGTCACTGCTCTCGACCCTACCACTAACGTCGACAGAAATCCCTTGTTCGGTGGCCCTCGACCTGATCTACATCTTCTTTGACAAGGTCCAGGCGTGGGCGCCCATCCTGCACCGACCGCGGTTTCTGGCGCGATTCGAAAAGGCTCTCCTGGTCGATGGCGATGTCATGAAGGGATTCTCTGTCGACGAGTCGCTGTTGTTCTACAGCATCTTCGCCATGAGCGCGAGATTTTCCAACCATCCAGTCTTTGCCGACACCCCGCCGAGCAAGCGAGGACACGAGTTCGCTCTACGTGCTCGAGATTGCTACGCCCAGGCCCGTTTGATTAGGGCCCCCACATTGACTTACCTCCAAGGCTGTATCCTTCTGGCCTACTACTTCTACACGTCAGGCCCAACGCACCAAGGCTGGATTCTCATCGGCGTCTGTGTCAGACTGGCATACGATCTGGGCCTCTCCGAAATCGACGACGACGACTGGAACCCGCTCACGCCCATGGACGCGGTGGAAAGGGAAGAATGCAGGCGATCCTGGTGGGCTGTGTGGGAACTGGACACGTTTGCATCCACCGTCTCCCGCCACCCGTATTCGATTGATCGCAAAAGAATGGCCGTCGCCCTCCCCATCTCGGACGAAGCGTGGTTTGCCGAGATGCAGGTGTCATCTGCACAGCTCAACATGCTCCCCGGTCAATCCTGGAGGTCCTTACAGGGGTGTAGCAACCAAGACGAGCGGGCGTGGTTCCTGGTCGCCAATCACTTCATGGCGACGGTCCATGACCGACTGCAGCAGAGACAAGACATAACCTCGGACGAAAAATTGACGCTAGAAAACGAGATATGCTGTTTCAAACTCGCGCTTCCTGCCTCGCTTCGGCTCGACGCCGAGACTTTGTCATTCACACCGACGACGTTTGCCCGGTGCAACTGGGTCATTGGGACTCATCTCATGCTGATGGCGGCGTCCTTCATGGTTTCTGGGATCGCCGCGGCCGAAAACGACGACCACAGCGTGTCCAGTGTGGGTACCAGCGCCTCGTCACCGCTCCGCCAGCGCGCCATCGACTTGTCACGGATCATCAGTCTCTGGGACTCCAGATACATTGCGATCGCCCACCCGTTTTTTACGTGCATGATGCTCCCACCTTACTACGTGGATGGCGACATTTTGAGAACCCAGCCTCTCATCGCCTCTAGTCACGACTTGGGGAAGCTGGTCCTGGCACACTTCAGCGAGAGATGGAAGTTGGGTTCCGTTGTCGCCGGTAAGACTCCTCCCCATTTTATGGCATTGTCCACACTCTGACCACTGTGACAGAACTGGCAAAGATCCTCGAGCGAGGAGGCACGCTCGACGCCCAAGAAAAACAGCTGGCCAAAAGATACGCCGTATTTTTCCGGATGCCACGTCTCAGCGGCAACAGCCCTCCGGATCTCAATCGGCGGGAGAGGAACAACTCGATGATCAGCGATAAGATTGCATACCCAGGCCCCGCAGAGGTGCAGCAGCAGCAGCAGCAGCAGCAACAGCAACCGCAACCGCAACCGCAGCCACCCCCGCCGGAGGAGTATCCAACGTCGCTCGACATGTCTGGCCACGCGAATATCGCCAATTACCAAGCGCCGATGTTCGATCCTCAAAACTTCCCGTCGCTCCAGCCTCCGTTTTTCGAAGGGAGTGGTGAGATCGAATTTGGCTTCTCGGACTTCTTTGGTGGCTACCAAGACTTGGATTTCATGACGGGCCCAACATAGCCCCTAGGCAACGATGGCGCCGCCGCGGCCGCCGCCGAGCTGCTCTGGCCGATCAATCGCCCCTACCCACAATGCAGGGTTCCCTTGCGCGTGCTAGTGCCTCGGATGTTGGCTTTCTTGTACAAATTAACCGGACGCCGCGTCCCACCCATCGTGGCGTCCAGCGAACACGGTGTCACGTGGGCGGTGATCGGTGGACTGCTGAGGCCGTCCATGACCGTGTCCGTCTTGTCCCACGATCGGAACTATCAAGCCCGCAGACCAAGCTGACGGACATATCTATTCCGATATAGTTGTCGTCAAACTATACGGCTGGGGGGAAAAGGGGGCCGCGGGGTGATCTGGGGGCGTGGTGATATATTACACCCTTGGACACTCTCTGGGAAATACAGCTTGTTCCTGTGTCGGCCATCTCGGTCTCGTTGGACGAACACACCGCAGCGTTCAAATTGTTTCCTTCTCATCAAGGCGGAATGGCACTCAAGCAAGTTCGAGTGGTCCGGTTGGCGCACGTGGTTTACCAGCACCCCGATCTGGAAAAATCCCTCTCGTTTCTGTCGGACTTTGGCTTTGTCGAGGAGCACCGGACGCCCGACCGCGTGTACCTGGGCGGTTATGGGATCCAGCCCTTCCTCTACGTCGCCGAACGATCCCCAGACGACCAGAAACACTTCGTCGGGGGCTACTGGGTGGTTGACCGCCTGGAAGATCTGGAAGCAGCCGCGGCCCGTCCGGGCGCCTCTCCGATCCAGGACAGCGATGCTCCCGGGGGTGGGAAAGTCGTCACGGTCGAGGACCCCAACGGCTTCAAGGTGGGCTTTGTCTACGGACAGATGCTGAAAGAAAAAGAAGGGCCCGCCCCTCCTCTCGAGACGACTGCGCCCGTCCCCAACGGTGCCCTCGACAAACCCAGAAAGGGCCGGTTTCGCCGATTCAAGACGGGGCCATCTCCTCTTCACAAGCTCGGACACTACGGGTTCATCGTCCCGGGGAGCAAATTCGAGAGCACGCTCGCCTGGTACCGGGATCTGATGAATTTGAAGCCTACCGACGCTGTCTTCAACCCGGCCACCGGCAAAGATCAGACGTGCTTTTTGCACATCGACCTGGGACCGGAATACACTGATCACCACGTGAGTCAATGTGGCGCGGCCATCGTGGTTTCTCTAGATTAACGAGATGTGTGTACAGAGTTTCTTCGCTGCCACCGGTCCCGAAGACCGCCCTCCGTTCATCCATCATTCGAGTTATGAAGTCGACGATTTCGACGTGCAGACCCTCGGCCACGACTGGCTCCGGTCCAAGGGCTGGACCAACTGCTGGGGCATCGGGCGCCACGTCTTGGGAAGTCAGATCTTTGACTACTGGTATGTGAACATTCTCCCCCTGCGGTCTCTCCTACCATGTGTGGCTTACAGTTTGCCCCGTTGATAGGTTCGATGGCTCAGGATTCATCGTGGAGCATTATTCGGACGGGGATCTCGTCAACGAAGACACGCCCTTTTCGAGAGAGCCCGCCGCGCCCGACACGTTACACGTCTGGGGGCCCAACATCCCTCTGGCGTTCCTGTCGGCCAAGATGGAGGACTCGGGCAAGGAGCTGCCGGTGCCCCCCGACGCGATGGAGGGGAAACCCGCCCAGTACAGGGCGCCCCCCGTGGTGGCAGCTTGAGATGCGGAGGAGGATGAAATGTGCATGCACTCCCAACGCTATGACTGACTGGCTAGACTGGCTGGGTTGGCTGACTTAGGCGTATGCGTGTAGGCAGAGCAGTTGTATCTTTTTGTACGAAATGTTCACCTGTGGAAGAATATCTCTCTCACACCATCTGTCTGTCTGTCTATGGATAATCTCTGTGTTGCACACAAAAGCCACCTTCCTCGACCTTGTGAAAGAGTCATCCCATCCTACGCACATGCACAACGGGCAGAGATAGATAGTGAGCCATAGTCCATCCTCTCTGTGCCATGTTCTTACATGCCTCGCACTCCAATTAGGCAACCACGGTATGTATTTTAGTATTAGATTCCTGCACCAGTCCGAGTCTAGCCCCAGACAAACTCTCTCCACCTCCCACACGCCGGTCGTCAATCCGGCCCTCCGTCTACAATGCCTATTACCTTCTGGGTGCCTACCTAAGCAATCCGGCTTATGTACCCCGGCAATGGACGGTGCAACACTGCACACCGCGTCGCGGCGTCGCTTCTTCCACCACCACCACTACCTAAGAGTCAGCATTGGGCCGGTCGGCCTACGGGCGCCTTCTTTCCCCCCCTTCTTCCCACTGTGGCCGTGAATGGTATCCTCCTGTCCATGGTTGGTCATCATCGTCAAATCATCAATCCCCCAGGCGGGGAAGATGGAGAGCGAGGGGAGTGGTGGTGGTGGCGTCTCAGTTCAGTTGTCATCATCGTAATGATCGTATCGAACAGGTATTTTCCGCAAGAAAAGGACTCGGCCGAGACCCCTTTTTTGCGGGGGTCTTGACTGTAATATGACAGGACTGACCGGGCTTCGTTCCCCTTGTATATTCCCTCTTGGAGGAAATTGTGTACATGGTCAATGTATGAGTGGCTTACGGCTCACTACCCCCCGTGGAGAAGAAGCTTACCTTTTCCCCCCGGGGATCGAGTCCACTTGCGGACTATCTCCGAATGATAGTTCATTTCCTAGACCGCATATACAATATGTCTATATATATATATATACACAAAGCTGGGGGTCTTGTGAGGTGACTCGTCACTGGAGAAGAAACCTCTTCCCCCACAAACCAAAATCCATGCCCTGCCCTGGCACACCTGGCAGGGAGGTGTATTACAGAGGGTATATGATATAGTGTTGTACATATATACGTATCCTCGGACGACCAAAATCCTCTCCCTTATACATTTCATCCCGTCGACAAGTTAGTTTGGAGTCCTTGAGAAAAACTCCAGCAACGGTTCTCTTCACACACACACACACACACACAAAATGGTACGCACACTCTCGAACACGTATACTCCAAATCAATCCAAGTCCATGTCCCCATCCATGCCTAACCATCCTCCTGCCTCTCTCTCTCGCCATCTCTAGGTCATCCAGCACGAAACGCCCGTCCTCGTCGTGGGCGCCGGGCCCGCCGGGCTGATCGCGGCTCTGCAGCTCGCCGAGAACGGAGTGTCATGCATGCTCGTCGAGCGCAATCTCGACACCACCAAGTGGCCCAAAATGGACATCACCAACTGCCGCAGCATGGAGCTGTTCCGTCGGCTCAAGATCGATCGGGGGTTAAGGGAAGTCGGTACGTTTTTGCTATCAGCATTCCATTGTTGGGTCAATCCTTTGTCTTGGGCTTCCCCTTTTTTTGGGTTTGATGAACCCTGGTGGTGGCCATGATGATGATGACGACGACGACGATGGTGAATGAATGGAGGAATGAATGGAGGATTCGCGGCTGACGAATTCGTGAATCCAGGAGTGCCGCAGGAATACTCCTTCGATGTCCACTTCAGCTCTGGCTTGTCTGATGGAGGCGAACGCATCGCCAAATGGGTAATTGATGACCTCCCTTATCCTGCCTTGACTGCCTCCTCCCCCTCTTCCTTCTCCTTTTCTCGTGACCAACACGGGACGAAACGACTAATTTCTCCCTCGTGCCCTGATCCCAGGATCTCCCCTCGCCCGACTGGTGGCGCGCCCACATCAAAGCAAACAACGACGGCTCCATGCCCCGCGAGCCCTACCAGCGGTGCTCGCAGGCCATCTTCGAGGCCTGGCTCAAGCCGCGCATCCAGGCCCAGCCCCTGATCGAGTCCCACTTTGGCTGGAAGTTCGAGACGCTGGCCGAGACCGACTCCGGCGTCGAGAGCGAGCTGACCGACACCGTCACCGGCGAAAAGCACCGGATCAAGGCCCAGTACGTCGTCGGGTGCGACGGCGCGGGGAGCCGGGTGCGGAAAGCGATCGGCGTCGAGCTGATCGGAGGTCCAGTGTGAGTTGTGCTTGTTATCATAATGTGCTTGTTGCTGCTTGGAACATACATGATTCTGACGTGCCAGTCCCGCCAAACTGTACCTCGTCCACTTCAAGTCGCGCGACCTGAGCCGCATCCAGCGACAGGGCCAGTTCTGGCACATCTTCTTCACCAGCGGCCACGCCATCATCTCGCAGGACGAAGTCGACACGTGGACGTGCCACACTCCGCTGCCGTTGGACTTCGACGTCTCGACGCTCGACCCGGAGCAGGTGGTGTACAACGTGCTGGGGGGTTCCCGGGAGCCGTGGCCCATCAAGATCGACCAGGTGCTCGTGACCAGCATGTGGCGGCCGAACATCTGCATCGCCGAGAAGTACATCTCGTCCCACGGCCGCGTGTTTCTGTCCGGGGACGCGGCGCACCAGAACATCCCCACCGGCGGCTACGGCATGAACACCGCCGTCGGGGACAGCTTCGACATCGGCTGGAAGCTGGCGGCCGTGCTGTCGGGCTACGGGGGTTCGGCACTGCTGCAGAGCTACGAAGACGAGCGCCGCCCCGTCGCGACCAGGAACATCGAGCGCTCCGGCGTGCACTGGTCGCAGCACTCGTTCTACCGGAACCTGGTGAGCCAGACCGGCGACATGGTGACGGCGCAGACGCCCGAGGGCGACGACCTGCGCCGCCGGATCGCCGAGCACGTGCTCGCCAACGACGGCGAGAACAAGGACCACGGGATCGAGCTGGGGTATCGATACAACGGGTCCCCCGTCATCGTCCGCGACGAGGACACGGAGGACGGGGACGAGGTCGAGCCGCCCTGGACGCCGCGGCACTACATCCCCTCGACATGGCCGGGGGCGCGCGCCCCGCACGTGTTCCTCGCGGACGGCGCGACCAGCGTGTTCGACCTGTTCGGGCGCGGCCGGGAATTCTCCCTCGTCGACTTCACCCGCGAGGCGCGCTACATCGCCGCCTTCGCGCCCGCGGCCCGGAGCCTGGGCGTGCCGCTGAGACCCATCCATCTGCCCGACGAGCCGCACGTGCGGGCGGTGTGGGGGCGCGACGCCGTGCTGGTCCGGCCCGACGACCACGTCGCGTGGCGTTGTTCTTCTTCTTCTTCTACCGACCCCGGGGAGAAGATCGACGTGGGACACGTCCTGGCCGTCGCGGTGGGTAAAGAGTCCGCCGGTGATGGTGGCGGGAACAGGACCAGGACGAGGCAAGATGATGATGATCTCGCGAAGGTCAAGCAGAATGGCTTCACCGGCACCATTGGCAATGTGGACCAGGACAAGGTCGAGGGTCTCGCGGCGTTTCAGCGTTGAGATGTGAATATGTATATATATATATACACCCCCTCGTATATACGTGTATATATCCATATATATAACTATACTATGTATCAATCCACTTCAAGGAGCAGCCCCTGAGCCCCGAGTCCCGCTTGGATACTTCCTCTGACTCCGGGAGGAAGTTGTTATGTGGAAATATGGACCAAACAGTATCATCAGGTTCAGACGTGCACATTCGAGAGTCATGTCTTTTGTGTCTGTCTGGCCATTTGATTGTCTGGTTGAGTCTGGGTTGATGTGATTTATATCGCCAATTCCATATGAAACCCCTCAAACCCAACCCTTCCTTCCTTCCATCCACAGGACAGATTCTGACCTTCCCCGGTATATCTAGATATCTAGATAGATAGATTGGTCTCAGCAAGGTTCCATATCACGTCCTCCATTTATTGACCCACTACACTACACAATCTTCTTCACCTTAATCCCTCTTGGATCCTTCAAAGGCACAAAGGCACAAAGGTTGACCAGGCTCGGTGAAAAAGGGGGGCGCAGGCAAACAAAGGGTTCATGTACCGTGACGGCAGCGGAATAAAGACGGGCAGGGCATTGTCGGCGATGCAAAGGCAATGGATGAATGAATGACTCCGATGTCAACTCCATAATCAATCAGCGAAAGGACCGAACTCAACTTGTCCAGCACCTCTAAACAGATGCTGCCACTGTGAGGAATTGAACAGTCCCTCTCTGGTGGATTTGGGCTACACCCTGTGCTCGACGGTGCCTATCCCCTTGTTGTTCCGCTTTGTTTCCTCCCAATATCCCGGGTTCAGACCCTGTTCGATGGCACTGATCTGCAGGGCGAGGACGGGCGAGAACTGCCGCCCCCAAATGAAGCTGCCGCTCATGTACCAGAAGCCCGGGAAGCCGGTGGGTCTCCACCACTGTGATAATGGTCAGCATTCAAAAAAAGCGCGGACAAGGAAGGAGGAGGAAGAGGACTCTCTTGGAAAGAGAGACGTAAACTTACTCCGATCCGCTCCTGCTCGTTGTCGAGGAACCCCAAGTCACCAACCTTCTCGGCGACCTTCTTGCCCATCAGCTCCTTGACGGTCAGGATGTTTCTCTGGTACCCAGTCGCCAGCACAACGAGGTCGGCCTGCACCTTCTTTCCATCGGCCAAGACAATCCCATCGGGGACGAATTCCTGGACACCGTCACCGCATTGGTGCACCTTGATTCTCCCATCCGCAATCATCTGACTGGCTCCCTGGTCGATGTAGAAGTGACCGGTCTTGACAAAGAGGTGATCGATAAAGCCATATCCCGCTGTCTTGGCCCGCTTCAGCCTCAGACCTGCCTCCTCGAGGGCACTAATCATCTCTTTGTCGTGCTCCTCCATCATGTGCGTTTGTCCGATGTTCAGTGTCCGGGCCACTGCGATAGGGAACGAGTTGGCTATGATGTCTGCCTCTTCGGTAGAGATGCCGGGCGTGTTCCAGAAGGATAGGTAGGCATCTTCCAGCGCGGTGGCCGAAATCGAGAAGATGGCATTGCGTTGGACGATCGATACCTCTTTCGCCCCCGAGTTGACAAAGTCCTGTGCAATGTCGTGGGCGCTCGTGCCGGCGCCGATGATGGTGACCCGTTTGTTGGGGAGGTCAGGGAGGAGGCGTGCGGCTTTGTGGTGCATCGAGTGATACGCCTCGCCCGTGAACGAGTCTCTGCCGGGAATTTCAGGTTCGATTGGGTGCCGGTCGAACACGCCGGTCGCCAGAACAAGATGCGTAGGATGGAAGATCTGCTTGCCGTCGTCATTCTCTGCCTCAACGGTGTATCGACGCGCCCTCTCGTCGTAGTCGATCTTGTTCACGGTCGTGCTGAGCAGATAGTCCAGTCCCATCACTTGTCCATAGTGTTCCATCCAGTTGGCGATCTTGTCCTGCTCGAGCCATCGCGGCCAGTTGGTCGGGAACTTGAGGAAGGGATAGTGGTCGGTATAGATCGGTGTGTGCGTCCTGACCGTTTCGTACCTGGCACGCCACGAGTCACCGAGTCGGGAGGTCTTGTCAACTAGCAACGCCTTGACGCCCATGTTCTTGAGATGTGCGGCGAGCATGAGACCTGATTGTCCTAGACAGGAATCAGTCTTTGAATGCTCAGGTCAACTTGACAACTTACCGGCACCGACGATCAAGACCTTGAGGTCATCCTTCTTTTCCCCGTTGACACCATTGGCGAGTCTGGTCTGTGTGTACGACTGTTGTAGTCTCTGCTTGTCCAGCTCGTCTTGGCTATTGAGTCTCTCCAGCTGGGTGAACACTGTCCACGCTTTCCAGTGAAACTTGTCCACGTTAATCAGTCGGACAAGACCGGTGCCCGAGCCATCACGAGTCCGGAAAGTAAATCCACCCTGGACCCAGATGAATCCCGCCATGTCTACCAAGCTCGCCTGGAGACCACCGGTTTTGATGGCGGTCAGCTGTCCGAATCCAGTGGTCGAGCTGGTGAGGTACTCTGCCACATCTTTGAGACCGTTCTTGGTCGCGATGTCCCATGAGAGGCCCGTAAAGTCCCGCCACCAGGAGTCATCAATAAAGAGGTCCGAGAGGTCAGTCGACAGACCGTTCTTGGGACGCTTCTCCAGAGCAGCGAGCCAGTTGGCGACAATGTCACCGGCATCGACGTCGTCGCGGTTGACGCCGTCGTGGAGCGTGAGAGGTGGTATGGAAGCAAGTGGATGGCCGTCCATGATTCAGAGGCGTGATGAGACCGAGCAATGTTTCTCCCCAAAGAATTATGCTGCCACGGATGCACCGGTAATATATATAGAGAGAATCAAGTAGGCGTTCCATCTTGGCCACACCACGGCGGCTATAAGGCAGCAACCAGCAACTAGCAACAATGGACGGCCAGCCGCACTCGGTGCGTTATACGATGATGGCGTACGAGCGGTGTCGAGGCCACCAACTCCAAGACTGAGACGCGACGATCGATACGAGCTGTCTGACCTTGGTGGACTGAAGCATTGGGACGAGACCAGTGGAAGGACAGCCATGCTGATCCAGAGCAGCCTGAGCAGCCCGAGAAGCCTCCATTCCCGGCGTGTGATTACACGCACGCCGTCCAGATCGAGAAGGTGTCGTGGCTGACTTGCCAGCTGAAAATGGGGATGTCAATAACGGTCACTGGCTTTATGGTGTTGTAACAGGACGCCTGAAGATGAGGGCACCCGACGACTCCTCTCGGCCCATTCAATTGATCTTCGCTCAATCAGGCTCCAACGCCAGTGAGCGAGCTCCCGCTTTGGAGGGGGAGGGTCGTGAAAGATGGACATGAGTCGCTTTTCCAAGGTCATCATCATCTCTTACCGTTATTTGTTCGGGATGCATCCTGGTTTCGTGGCGCCTGACTTGACCTGGGGACGAAACAGGAGCATTGGGCAGTGGACGTGACCGTCTGTTGCTGGTGCTTGGCTCAATCCACTGCCGCACTGATCACATTTTCTAGTGAGAGGTGGAAAGGAGATTGAAAGTAGTCGTGCAGCGACGATGTCTCGCCAAGAAATTAATAAATTACCGAATCTGTATTTATACACTCTTTCTTCTTCTTACCACACTCTCTCTCAGACCAACCCGCAACCACCAGCCAGCAGACGCACTTCAACAAGAGGACCTCATCCCTCCGTCCCTGGTCATCATGGCCCTCCCCAATCTCCGTCGTCTCTTTGTCGAGGCACGCACCGAGGCAGAAGAGAACGAGTACTCACGCAACGCTGTAAGCTCTCTCTCTTCCCTCTCTATCTCTGTATATTCCAGCATCCGTGAACCAATTTTTGAGCATTAGTTCTAACATGCCTAATCTAGTTTTACAACCTGGTCCTCTTCATCTCGTCTGTGGCCGTATTCAGTCTCGTTGCACAGCGCATGAGCGGCAATAAAGCTATCAGATAAAAGCCGCCGACGTTGGTGTCAGTATCCAACGAATCAACACGTGGTCTCGAAAGCTGTGCGAAGGTTCGCATGACGCCTTCAATCTGTCTCCTCACCGTCGCTACTCAAAAAATCATAGTTTTTCGCCCCTCGCACCAATCTCCTTGCGACGGGCCGCGGGCTCTGCGTCCCTTTCTCACCGCGACCCCCGTCCTCATCTGCGGCAGCACCCCAGCGTTCTGCTCCTTCTTGGACGGCTTCGATGTCGGCGGCCAACTCTCTGGCCTCTCTGATCTGGCTCGCCTTGTCTAGCGAGTACCGTCCAGTCATGCCGACATCGGCAAGCATCTCTTTCAGATGCTTAATCTTGGCTTTGGATGTTTCGTAGGGTTTCAGCTCTTTCCCCCACAGCTTGCGGATGCCGCATTTGACGAGCCAGCCTTGGAGACGCTTGATCTCGGCCTGCTCGGGGTCCCCATCGGCGTCAGCTTTGGGTTTGGTGGAGGATTTGCCGGTAGGCTTCTTGGGCTTTTGTCCGGCGGAGTCTTTGCTCTTCCTGCTCTTCTTCGGAGGAGGTGCTTCGTCCAAGAGGACTGACATCTCACTGTCCGAGCCATCTTCGGCGTTGGCGCCTGTGGTTTCTCCTTCATTGGAGGATTCTTCTGCGGCAGTGCCGTCTGCCTGTTCCTCCTGCTCGTCGTCTGGGTCAGAGTCCACCACCTTTGCTCTCTTGCTGTGGGGCCCCTTGGACTTGGTTGGGTGTTGTTTCGGAGGGGCTCTGCGTTGTTTGGGTTTCGGCTTCTCTTCCACTACTTCTGAGTCGAGCTCGCTCAGAGACGAAGACAGGTCGGAGGAAGCATCCTCGTCGTTTTTGGCGACAGCCTTGTGTCTCTTTTTGGGAGCGGTCTCTTTCTCCACGGACTTGCGCTTCGCAGAGGTCTTCTTGGGCTCTTTGGACTTGGCCTTTACGGGAGAGCTCTGTACCTCGGACTGGTTCGCCTAGCCGCAGTATTAGCTCCTTAGATGCGACACGGTACTCTAAGCGTCCCAATGTACCAGCTGGTCCTGTATGACATCTCTACTTCGCTGCGCCCACTCGGTGTGATTCTTGTAGAAACCTTTTGTCAGGCCCAGTTCCACTTCCGAAGCTGTGCGAATGTAGTTGTTCGAGAACTCGATTCCCTCTCTCTGCGCTTTCATTACCTCGCGTCGTAGACTTTTCTCGAGTTCGTTGTCCGGCGGCGCGGGTGTGGTCGAGGCCTCTGACAGGTCAGAGACGGACGAAGGCATATTGGATCTGGTCCGTAGAGAGGATATTGGATGGGACAGAAAGGACTGGGCCGTTGCGCGCGGAGTGTGTGGGATCAATGGAAAACGCGCTGGTCGCATCACGCCGATCAGCTCGAGACTCTCCCCGCAATATAAACAACATCAGCACGTGATTGTCCGCTCTAAGCCTATCAGGGCCAAGCCCCTTACAGAAGGTTAAGCGAGCCTGCATCGGATATATCGGTGTTTGCAGCGCCCGTTGAGGCTCCAACGTGATTTGCAATCATGTTCCAGCTGCTATTTGCTATTTGATGCTTGTAAGGACGTATGAGGGACGACTGCGGTGACCAGAGGAAGGTCGTGTGGTGTACAGGATCAGCGAACCGATGTCTTTCCCATTTCCAGGTGGCACAGCAACCGGCTCCAAGGATGCAGAGCGTGAAGACAAGCCGCAGCAAGTTGCGCCAGGAGTGGTGCTGGACAAGGATGGGAAACCGTGGGTTGATTTTCTGTCCAGGACTTGGCTCCGTCACTGACTACGAGATAGATGTCGAACCTGCACTTCCACCGCTGCATGGATGGCGATGATGAAGCAGAGCGGCAAAAAGACCAAATCTGTCGCTCCTGTTCCTCCTCCACGAGCCGAATGTCCCCCCGACGTCGAAGAACTCGGTCGTGCGACATGGACATTGCTGCACAGCATCGCGGCGACCTATCCCGAAGCCGCCCCTCCCGAAACCCAGTCAGTCATGAAGCAGTTCATTTCGACCTTCTCGATGCTCTACCCGTGCTGGGTCTGTGCGGACGATTTTCGAGACTGGATGAAAAAGCCCGGGAACGAGCCCCAGGTCAAAGGGCAAGATGACTTGGGGATGTGGATGTGTCAAGCGCATAATGCGGTGAACGTGAAGCTGGGGAAGCAAGAGTTCGATTGCAGTCTCTGGAAACAGAGATGGAAAGATGGGTGGAAGGATGGCCGATGCGATTGACCATGGTGTCGAGCTACCTGAAGAAGATACCGGAATGTACGATCATACAACGCACGACCGACGACGACGACTGATGTGGAAGAATAGATCGTGGACATGGGGCATCAGCGACGGCGCAACTCCTCTCACCATTGCTATTACATATTGTACACCAAAGGATGACCATGTACAACACCACCACCGGGGTGACGGCAAAGCAGATAAATAGAGACATATATACAACGATAGACCAAAGAGCTCAAGGGTATGTATGTGCGGCTGAAACCAAGGCGTGTATAATTATCAACGACGGAGCCATTTGTCCAACAAGGCATAATGTCATACTCAACACCACAGGGCGAAATTGCATTCCACTAACACATACATACCATCAAGGGGACGAATTTACTCATGTTACTTACGACTGGGCAAGACTTCAAGCAGCATTCCCTGTCCCTGTTATATCTATATCCACAGCTGAGCCCCAAACAAAAACACACCCGGATTTGCTCTGCCACGCGTACATTCTTCAGTCATATCATCATCATCATCATCATCATCCATCCCTTGGCCGAAACTTGGACTCTCGTCGTGGTGTTGGTCTGTGTCTCTTGATATCTTATCTTCCGCTGGTCGTTTCTTGTCCCCTCCCCCTGTCCTCGTCGACGTGCCACAAGAGTCCAGCCCCTTCTCGGCAGGGACCTAAAGAACTTGGCTACCAACATGCTCTAATTGAATGAGTTTGAAAACCCCTGTACTACTTTGTACCGGTACCGTCTCGTGCTATTATTGACTGAGGTTTTCTGGCAAGCGAGGACGAATTAATATCCTCTCTTCTTCTGCTTCTCTTGGAGGAACTGTGCCCGCCGAGCAACATGAGGAGCAAAGGACGACGGTGATCACTTCGCTCTCTCACTCTCTTTCTCTTTCTTCTCTACCATGCCCTTGGTCCGCCGCTCGTCTGTCCTAGCTCTGGTCCTTGGAATATTCATCTTCGCATTGCTCTTCCACAACACCCGCAACAACAACTCTTTCTTTTGGGAGCAACCATACCTTGCTAGCCAGGATGGACCACTGTACAACCCGTCCCTCTTTTTCCCCGGCACCCCCAAACCGGCCGGCGAGAATTACACCCGCGTGTTGGTCATGGCACGCCTCTCGACCGAAGACACGTCGTGGCTGGACCGAGACCTGCCCGACCTGCCCAAGAAGATATATACGGTCGACGCGCCCGACTTTGCCCCCAAAGGCGACGAGGCGATGGCGTACTTGACCTATATCATCGACCACTACGACTCCCTGCCGGACATCGTGTTGTTTTTCCACCACTCATCCAAGACAGACGGGCGCACCAACAACGTCGCCTTGGACAACGACACCGCCATCACGATCAAACTCCTCTCCGACGCCCACGTCATGCGCCAGGGCTACTTCAACACGCGCTGCCACTGGGACCCGGGGTGTCCGGACTGGCTGCACGTCGACCGGCCCCGACGGCAGTATGATCTGTTGCGCAAGCCGCAAGAACCGGCGCTGACGTCGTCGCTGTTCCACGACCTGTTTGGAGCCGGCGTGTCCATCCCGCGCTCCATCTCCCAGCCGTGTGGCGCCCAGTTCGCCGTCTCGGGCCAGCGCATCCGCCAGCGCCCCTTGCACGACTACATGCACTACCGCAACTGGCTGCTCCGGACCTCCTCCGCCTCCCTCAGTACACCCCTGCGGAACGACAACGACACCTTAGCTTCCGGCAGCGGCAGCAGCAGCATCCTAGAGTACGCGTGGCAGTACGTGTTCGCGGGGGTATTTGAATTCTGCCCGCCCACGCACCGCTGCTATTGCGACGGGTACGGGCTGTGCTTCGAGGGCGGCGCGCGGGGGCTGCGCGCGTGGCTGGACGCTCGCACCGAGAAGGCCGGGCTGGACGAGCACCTGCGCGCACTGTGGGCCGCCGGGGACCGGGGCGGCAGCGACGCCTTCCGGCGGCTCAAGAACCGCAGCGGCGAGCTGGGTCGGGAGCTGGACCGGGCCCGCGAGCGCGCGCTCCGGCGCGGGTTCGATCCACAGACCCGCGCGGCGGCGTGTGGCAGGGAGTGGCGGGAGGGTGATGGCTTCTAAGGAGGGGGGACTTGCTGATATCGCTTGCTGCCCTTCTCCCCATTGACCCCTATGTACAAACCTATATACAGTCCCCCTCCCCTCTCTGAAAAGGACCCGTCACCATCTCCGGTGACATCTCGACAAGGGAATATTGTCGATCGAACGACTCCCTCCCCTCTTCTCCTCCTTTTCTTCTTCCTCACGCAAAATGGGATCCTCGAGGAAATGTGGTTCGTGGAATTGAGACATAAACAAGGGGGAGGAAGGGCGGATCGTGAGCCTGAAAGGAAAGCTCGGGTTGGAAGAGGTGACTCCTCGCCAACAACGGCACTGGCATTGGCACTAGAGCCAGAGGGAAGGACGAAGAAAGAGAGGCGTTTTGCGGTGGAGAGGTCTGACTGACGAGGCAGGGTGACTCTCAGCTACAGTAGACAGGGCAGGGGAACATGACGGGGATGGCACATGAGATAACTCGTCACGCCTTCGTCGCGGATCTAATCGTACAAGATATCTCTGTTTCACTGCCACGATCTGATATATATTGGTAAAGCACGCATTGTTGCGTTTGGAAGCGACGAGGCTCTCCGAGCAACATGTTGCGTTCCAGCAGCATAACTGTATCAAGTCGGCACAAACTGCTTCTCTCGGGTATCACACAAACAATTCCCATCCCACGGACATCCAAGTGCAACGCCGAACGGTGTGATCAAGACCCATGACCGATGAAATGTCCCGGAATCCGCTCGTCCGTACCATAGACCTCGACCAAATCTCGCTCCCATGTCGCAATCCTGCAACAAATCATAGCCGATCCAGATCCGACCTTAGTAGTTCATGACCATCTCGCCTGACCCAGTCTTCGGATCATTGGCACCATCAAAGTTTCCTGGTGGAAAATCGTCGAGGCTCCGGTACGCCGGGGCTCCTCGGCTGCCACCTCCACCGGCAGGACCGCCGTTTCTGCCTCTATTGGGGCCTCCGCCTCCTTGGCCACCACCGCGTGGTTTCGGATTGGTGTTCATTGCTTGATTATTTCCCTTACCCCCAGACAAGTTGGGGTTGTTGCGGTTGTTGAAGTTGGCCTTGCTTTGTTGGTTGCGCTGTGCAAACCGCCCTCCCCGGGAACCATAGCCACCGTCATCTCTGTCGCTTCCCGGCGCCACGCGAGCATAGGAATCTCTGTTCCGCGAGTTGAAATCGTCCGCAGCATGTTTCCGCTTGTGTCCTGCTTCCACATCATTGGTAAAGTATCCCCTCCGGTTGCCTCCTGGCCAGCGCTGAGTTCGGGGGGCGTCGTCTTCAATCTTCAACATGACCTTGTCGGCGACCGTCGTTTCGAACATGAAAGCTTTGTCCGGAGGGACTGACTGCCAGGTCTGTATTCTCGCTGCATCGATCTGCCGGGACCCCTTTCGGACGGCAAGGACCACAAGAGGTGTGGGATCTTGCGTGTAAATTTGAGTGTCTGTGACTGGAGCCACACGGGCAGCCCAGATACGGTCTTCATATTTGGCCACGCCAGTAACCTGCCAAGTGACTTTCTTCCCGCGTCCGCCCACCTTCTTGAGAATATCATTCCGAGGGTAGTAGGGCGTGATGAGGATACTCGACGCAAAAAGGCGGACTTCACCGGAGTCAATCATGCCCGCAGCGATGTTAAACAATGTCAGGAGGCGGGCAGAGTCGGTTTGATTGATCATGTAGCCAAAGTAGCAGAATTGCTGATCGATCCTCAGGTGCTTGCGGACCGTCTTTGTCAGAGTGGGACCCCCGTTGGTGATGGCGTCGTTGTGGCGGGTGACGGCTCGCTGGACGACCTCGACTTCGGTCTCAGGATTCAAAGTCGTCTTCAGGTCACAGACGTGGACCACTTCCGCGGTGATCGGCTTCCGAGGTGGCGGCGGTTGGTCCACGGGATGCGACAGGAATGATTTGTTCAAGCGCTCAAAGTAGTCCCTAAATCCTTTGACGTGCTTGGGGCGATCCTCATAGATCCTGATTTCCTCCGCATTCTTGTAGCTGAAGATGAGTTCTTTGAGGAACTCCTGCTTGAATCCCATGGTACTCTCGAATTGCTGGCCCGAGGGGCCCACCTCCGGCTTGAGGACGACCAGGTCAAAGTCGAGTTTCCGTGAGTTCAAGATCCTGTTGACCAGATCCGCGAAATACGTCTCTCCCCTCCCGGTCAGCAAGACCGTGAGGACATCCTTGGTTTGGCTGCTCAGCTCCACGAGCTGGACCACCGTCTCGTTCCAATGACCTTCCCATGCGCGGGGTTCTTCGGCCTCCAGACCGTCTCCCGTGGCGGCCAGGATGCTGTTGTCATGCCACCATCCTCCGTATGCGAGCGTGTCGTATGTTTGTAGTAGGCCCACAGTAGGCAGTGCCCATATCTGGGGGTTTGGCAAGGGACTGTTGAATAGAGTGTTGTCGAAGTCGTAAACGTGAATAGACTTGATTGTGGGCACAGGAGGCAGTTCCTTGCTCTTGCACGACCAACGCCTGAGGCCATTCAGTGAATAAGTGGTCTTCATGGTGAGGCTCGAGAAGATTCGTACGGACAGGTTAGGCTGCCAGTGTCGAAACGGGCGCGGCAAAGGAGGCAATCGCTGTCATTGAGGTCGGAAGGCGAGGCAGAGGAAGAATCGACGTGCAGGTAGGCGCATCGGAGGTGGTGGTAGTGGTGTGAGACGAGTCCACAACGAGGACACTTGAGAGATTGACCCGCTGTATGGTGCGAGAACAAGAGAAAGAGTCAGAAAAGACGAAGAAATGAGACAAGGCAGCGAGTTGGTAGTTCAAGATGGTGGTTCAAGTCAAGTTGGTGGTTCGAAGGGCGAAGCCGACAAGGCGAAGAGGCACATTTGGGATCGGCAAACCTGCCTTGGAGGGCGTCACCACAAAAGGAGGAGAAAGGGAAAAAAACAACCACCAGTTCGTCTATATGTATATATATATATATATATGGCCACGATGGTGTACGCCTCTATCTCGATGCTATGGTGAAATACCCCCTTGTACGCCCAAGACTTCCGCTCAGATCCAACTATCTTCTTCCTGTACTGCGTATGTCCCTGCCATGTACCCTGAAGCCCACAAGAAACCCAGAGCCGCTGTATCACGTAAATTCTTGATGAACCACAACATGAATGAATGCATAACAGCAGCAGCAATAAACCCTCGAACCACACAACCTTCGAAGCAGGCTTTGCCCCCCTGAACGACAAAGGCAGAACTGTTCTCAACATGAATACTCGAGAGAGAGTCCGGATGCAGGTAGGATGCCTTTGAGCTGATGCGTAACAAGGAGTGGTGGATCCTCCTCCCATGGCCCAGACACAATCCATCGCAGCAGTAAATAAACAGCGAGAACAGCCCAATCCTGAGTGCCATCCCAGCTGGCAGTCGCCATCTCATAGACAATTCGCCATCTAGAGAACTCCCGGCCCAAAGATCCCATCTGTCGCCCTGATCCTCTCGCTGCGTGGCCGGAAAATCGCCAGGGTGAAGCCCATTACCATCCGTCAATGCGATAGGCATTCCAGGTCGGACGGAATCGACACACCCCTTTCTGCGCTCCCTGTTTTGCCCAGACAAATGTCAGCACTTACCACGTGGGATATGCCATGAACTTGAGGGAGCACACCATATATGATATTGGCCGCCTTACTCGACAGAGCCGATGGATTCGTTCTGATACGACCACCCCGTGCCCAAAGACCAGGAGATACACGATGAACGAAAGGGGAAGAACGCGGTCAGAAGAAAATTACAGGAAGAAATAAAATTCCGCACACCGTTGTTGTGCCTGATGCCCACGGCGGACGCCCTTGTCACCGCACCGCCAAGGTGCAGCAGTACCAGGGTCCAGTTTCAAGGTGATATATTTTTTTGAGACCGGATTCCCTCCAAGATTGACAACCTGATCTCGGGCCATCGAGCAGTGTCAAAACAGGTCCTCCCGTAACATAGGGTTGTCAATCGCCTATCTCCGCTTGGGACACTGCCTAGGGGGACCATCCACCCAATATTCCATTGCTGCTGGGCCCGGCAGTAATGGCGAGATAGGACAATGCAAAGGTAAGTTCGAAAGGTAAGTCTTCTTGTTTTGTTTTTGTTTTTTTTTGGGTCTATCTCTCGCCCCCCCCCCCTTTTTTTGGTGCGGCTGTGAATTGGAATCTGTTGTGTGTGTGTGTGTGGTGAGCAGACGGCAGAAAAGTTACAGAGGTGCGGCAGAGTGACAGAGAAAAACGCGAACCAGAAACAACACGGTACCGGAGGCGGCAGGATTGGATATCGTTGTTGGTTCAGGGTCTGCTGTGGATATGTACAGTACAACTAACTGTATTGTCAAGGGTCCAAACAGCGCCCTTCCTCCCACTCAAGTTCTCAAGTTCTCAGGTTTTCCGTGGAAACCGGCGCAATCATGTTTTTGGGAGATTGTTGTCTCTGTTATCTGCTCTCAAGTCGTGCCGGGGCGCCATCTTTGTCTCCTCACAGCGACGCCCTCGGGTTCGCATCCTTACGCTTGACCTCCTCCAAGAAGGGCATGACGGCCTCCAAGAACTTCTCGGGCTGGTCGATGTTGACGGCGTGTCCGGCGTTGGGGACGACGACTTTCCTTCCCCCGGGGATCTTGTTGGCCATGTACTCGCTCGCGGCCAGGAAGGGCGTGTCGTCGGCGCCGACGACCACCAGGCTGGGCACTTTGATGGTGGGCAGCGACTCAATGACCTTCGAGTCCCGCTGGGCCAGCATGCCGCGGGCGGCGAGAGCCAGGCCGGTGGCGTCGCGGTGTGTCACGGTGGCCCGCTCGGCGCTGAGGCCCTGCAGGACGGCGAGGCCCTTGCGCTCGAACTGGGCGCCCGTGGCGTGCGCCGTGCGGTTCCACTCGTCGCGCGCCGCGTCCTTCTTGAACCCGGGTCCCGTGTCGATGATGAGCAGCGCGCGCACCCGCGCCGGGTACACGCGGTAGAAAGCCAGCGACATGTATCCGCCGAGGGAGAGGCCGCCGACGATGGCGCGGGTGTCGCGCCCACACGCCGCGTCCAGGATCGCCGCCATGTCCGCCACTGTGTGCGCCTCGCTGTACGCCGCCGGGTCGGCCGGGTAGTCGGAGGCGCCGTGGCCGCGCATGTCCCACAGGATGAGCGTGAACGCCTGCGACAGCGGCCCGATCTGGCCCGCCCACATGGCCGACGTCGACGAGTAGCCGTGCGTCAGCAGCAAGGGGGGCCCGCTGCGGCCGTGCACTTCATAGTACAGCCGGACGCCGTCGCGGGTGAGATGGGGCATTTTGATGGTTTCCCTGGTTGATTGGATTGGATTGGATTGGACTGGCAGGACAATACACAATCAGCTACAGCGAGAGGGACACCGCGACGTCTCTCATGCTGGGGATTACAGTATGAGGTTGATATCGGTTCTATTATAGTGTATATATATATATATATACACATATACGAGGTTAAACTTCTGACCAACCCGACCCGTCTGGCGGGGGAACCGAGGCGATATTGCTTGCGAGCGTCAGAATGCGGGGAATGATGATCGGCCGCCAACGACGGGGATACTACTGTGCATACGAAATACGAAGGGCATCCGTTGAGTCTGGCTGGGGGGACTCGAGCTTGTTTTCGCCGCGGCGATATCGTATCACGACATCCGAGGAGAGGAGAGGAGAGGAGAAGAGAGAAGACGTCGACCATACAATACATATATATATAACAACCTGCAGGGGGCTTCGGTACGCTCGCTCTTCAATGGCTCAAGCATACATACATGCTCAGAATACAACAAGGTAAAGACTGAATGAATGGCTTGGTTATGCATGATTGACCCCAACCACATATGCCTGAATCTCCAGTATATACCAGTCCCAGTCCCAGTACCAGTACCTGTCACCAGCCTGTGCCTGTGCCAGCAGTCCAGAACATCCGGATATCCACCTCTGTTATGTAGCTCGCGCAAGGACATGTCGGACATGTATGTATGTATGCATCCACACCGCGGACATGACGTCAAGGGGAAGGAATGCACACCTTTTACCGCCCGACGAACGGTATTTCTCCTCTTCCGATAAAGACCTAATATACGTGTTTGTTGATCCCTTCACTTTCTTTCCTTTCCCTTTCCCTTCTCTTCCTGGTCACTAGTCACGGTAACAGTGGTGATAGCGGCGGTAGTGGTGGGAGTGGTGGTGGTGCGGTCTCGCTCCCTCCAGAACGTGCAGAATCCCTCGATACCTCTCTCGAAATACTGGCTGAGAGTGCCGGCGAGCGTGATGACCGGGGCACATGGATGCGTGCAAGGCTCAGTTCCGGCACCACCGAAAACCCCGGAGCTGCAGGAGGATTGGGGACCTCGGAGTAGCGATACCCAAAAGTCGCCGTGCGTAGGTGGTCTCGGTCCCTCTGTCTCACCAGAGGCGAAGGAGGATGTGCTGGTGGTGGTGGTGGGGCGTCGTCTTTCTCGGCTTGTTGCTGCTGCTGCTCCTCGTCCCCCTGGCTCAGCGGTGCTTGACCGGCCCACAGGACCTTGGCTCCATGGATGATCCACTCGAGCTTGCTGTCCGGGATGCCTAGCTTCTTCAGCTGAGCCTTGTTGCGCAGCCGGAAGATCGAGTAGCGTCCGGACGTCCAGATGATCAGAGCGGCGATGAAGATCAGCGTCATGAGCAGGCCCGTGGACAGCTGTACCGTATCCATCCAGACGCTAATCACCCGCGGGACGGGGAACGCATAGATGGTGTTGACGGTGGCAAAGTACGTCTGCCACATCCTCAAGATGTCCATGGGCGTCGGCGTCGGGACGGGGAGTCCTTTGCTCGCGGCCGACTCCAGCATATTGGAAAAGTACGTTCGGTATCCAAACGTGATGGAATACGTGTCGTTCGTCCAGATCCACGGAATGGCGTCCTCGTCCGGCACCACGGGCTTGCGGCTGATACCACACTCGATTCGTGTATAGCTGGCGTTGCGCACCGGCCCGACGAACCGCCACGTGTCTTCAGCGTCAAGCGTGGCGTCCGTCAGATCGGTGGCGTTGAGGTGCGACAGGTGCAGCACAGAGAAGCAGATGTCCATCGTGGCATTGTTGGTGTACATCCGATCGTCAATCGCCGGGTCGGATTCAATCAGGATGAAGAACAGTGCCTCCTCGAAAATGAAAGCCGGCTCGGTCTTGGACCATGAGGAAAAGTCAACCTGTACGCGATACTTGGACGAATCCAACCACTTGGGATCATAGGTCTTGCGATAGGTAGGGAACGCATCGATAGGATCGCGGAATGTATAGTTGCCGACGGCACTGACGTTGGGTAGATGTGTCTCTTCCGTAAAGTTGCACGTCAAAGTCCACGTCGGATCCCACTGGCTTGACTCGTAGATCCAGGGTGACGTGTAGGGGGGCAGGTATTCGAGCATGTGGTCGACCGGGAAATTCGCTTGGTCCAAGCTACGGATCGTCTGGTTCCACAGCACGTTCATCTCGAGGAGGTTCGCCTCATACCCGTCCCCCTTGATCGTCGGGAGGATCTCGAGGGAAGCTAGTTGGACGGTCTGGGTGCTCCTGAGCGACACTTTAGCGATGGGACCGGCAAACATACAGGCAAGTGTGACCGCCACCACCACGATCAGCTGGCTGAGAAGATGCCAGTATTCCCTTGAAAAGACCCGCTGTCGAAGCACCCTGAGGATATCCCACCCATCGCCGGGCCCGGACAGAATAATGAACTTGGTCAATGGCACCTCAGAATTGTGTCGGAGGATGTTGGTGCTTCCTCGCTGCCACCAATATTTGGAGAACGCCCATACTCCTAACGTCCCCAGTATAGAGATGATCACGTTGAGCCCCGCTTGCACACTGGTCAAACTCCACCGCGTCGAGAGGCTGATCCACGCAAAAGTCATTGCGAGAGCTTGTGTTGTGGCCTAGATAGAAAGAGTGGTTAGAGCAAAGAGAGCAGTGCCATCGACTTCAAAGGCTGCCATATTGTAACCCCAGTGTCCGTGTCAACAGGATCAATATATCTTGACCATGTGGCCATGGAAGTGTTCATGGGCTCTAAAGATGGCGACTCGGCACTGCCACCTTTAGTCATGTTGCACAGATGTTTCGAAGGCTGTGTTGGATTCGTGTCCCTGGGGGATCTTCTCCAGGAACGCCTCATCCGAGATGGAAACACACCACAAATTCTGGCAAGCCTACCGAGCAGTGACACAACTGGCAGCGCCCGCCCATACAACCGCTGAGTCTTCAGCTGGCACCTGAAGGCTTCTCATGGCAACGGCCTGGCGTGGAACGGGGCTCGAGCGCTAAGTGTTTGCCCGACGTGGCTGGGAAGGAATTGATTGACGGAGAAGCAGCCTGCTGGTCGCTCTCCTTCGTCGAACCCTTCATTCCTGCCTTGATTCCAGGCCGACGATGTCAGTCTGAAAGCCCGTCACCATCACTCTTGAGCAGGGGTACCTCTACCCGAAGCGTCCTGGGTCGGTCCGTCTTGATTCAAGCCATCCTCTGTGTGAAGCAACGATAAGGCCGGCAAAGGTAGGGCACCAATCAGAGCTACAGCGAGTGTGCTGATTGCCATGACCAACAAGCCTCTCTCGTATTCAGAGAATTTGGCGACCTATTAAATGAGCACACGTATCGCGGGAGACGTGAAGAGACAAGAGTCTGGTTGCCTTTTCTGCCAGGGCTTTGAAAGGGGTGTAGTGCGCGGGTTGTATGCAGGGATTCATGGAATCACCCCATGTGATACCTACAACCATTGCGCCGTGGCACAGTGCAGGGGAAACCTGATTGATATGTATAAGTCAAAGTCCACATGACAATATGGTTCGTGTCTGCCTTACCACCCAAGTATTTCCGGGATTGAGATTTCTACCGTCGAGCATCTGGTTTGTGCTCTTTTAGATTGTCGACTTCTTGTCAGTACTGATATCGCATTACAGATCACCAGAACCAAGTCACGCTTCGGAAAAGAGCCAACGAAAAAAGCACAGAAACAGCTTCAGCCTTATTCTCGCCATGCCAGAAGTAACCAAGGTTCAGCCATGGAAGTCAGTTTGGCCGGCGCCCAACACCACCGATAGCAAAGAGGGCGAGAAAGACCAAATCCCTCATTTCAAGCTCTCGGGGGCCAAGAGCGCCGAATTTGGATACGAGGAGGAAGTCAAGGTTGACGAACCGAAGCCTGAGAAGAAATGATCTGCTCCCATTGAGGTCGTGATGCCGGACAAGCTTACGGGGCCAGAATATTCGTGGTCTAAGCGCAGATTGGCGCCGATATTACACTCTTTTCTTGGAGATCTCAATATCCAACGTGGAACCAAGTCATTTTCGTATTCTCAGGATTATCACACGTAGAATATGAAGGCCCTTAGCTCGATACTGCTTCTTGGTGCTGCGTTTTCGTCGGTGTCTGGGTTGTGAAAGCTTGCGTGTGCCACACCTGCAACACAATGAGTGAGTTCGTCGAACCTATAGAGGCCATTCGAGATGTGTTGAACTCACCTCCGCCGCTCGGCAAAGAAGAATCGGTCTGTTGAAATACAATGACCTCGTCTTCTCGCAAGTCCTTAAAGTAATACCACTTGTGTCTCGGACTGTAGTAAACGCTTTCATTCTCGGTGAAATCCTGGCTATACACGACATCGACCACCACGCTTTCCGACGGTCGGTCCAAGGTACGCCAGTCACAAAGGGCCAGTGGCCAGTCATTGCCCGGCCCTTGGAGTGATTTCCAAACGCTGTGTCATGAGCCCGGTGCCCTCTACGAGAGTTCAAGTGCCCGACTTACTTGACGGTGATCAAACGCTGGTATTGGCCTGGAGCCATATTGAACGCTCCTTGTGCAGTTCGCGCAGCCGAATATATCGAATAGTCTGGCACTCAGTGAGCACCGTAATACTGCAGGAATGCCTCAAGATGCTGACCCATGTGCGCAATGGTGGAAGGCTGAACGTTTTTGAAGAACGGCTTGTTGGTGGCAGGGAATTCTGGGTCTCTCTTGCGGAGCTATCAAAGTCAATGGCAGGATACCAATGCGGATATCGAGCGTGTGTACTGACACTATGCTCCAGGATTCGGATCTGTGTTGCCTCGGGAAACTTGTGCCACAGCATTCGTTTGATGGCAGGATAGTAGATTTTGCCCACTTTTTTCTTGTCATCAAATTCAGCCGATGGCAAGCTGCATTCAATTTTTGAAGCTGAAAAGCCGTACTCTTCCAAATTCTGAGCATTCTCGAGCGGTCGGAAGTTGCGAATCAACACCTTTTTGGGTTCGTCCACCATGTTTGTCTCTGGAATCGCACCCCCAGCCTGGAACCTGAGCTCGTAAGGTTTTTCATGCTGATGCTTTGGATCCATGGTAAGATATTCAATCTCACTCCATACAGCACCCTCCAAAATACTATCGTCTTCTGGCTTTAGCTGACCCTGTTCATCCCTGGCCATGGGATGGGGAACCTGCGCCTCGGGCGAATTCGTCATTGCAGCCAGTCGATACTGGTGGTGAGTCTCCAAAGGACGGCTGCGGAACAGATTGAGCCTGAGAATGGTCTCGGTGGGCACCGGAGAGGGGGTTCCTCGTAGCACACTGCCATCTCTCTCCGTTCTAGCTGATCAGGCTGTGAGCACTGGGATGCCCTTGTAGTTGCAGCAACGTCCGTGGCCATTGGGATATTATTGGCTGCCCTTTCTCCACGTACGGTGTTATCTCCCCTCTTTCCTCCTTCACCCATGCCACTAGGCCGTGAAGGTGAAAGTCGCACGAAGGCGGTTGCCTTGTGAAACGTGGGGTGATGAACGGCATGGGTAGTCTCCTGTTTCGTCTCGTATGCGACGAACTACGCCCCGCCGCTGAGTAACCATGTCGACGAAAGAAGGCGCGCGTCCTGCGTGGTTGGGCAGCATTGTCTAGAGTGTAGCAGGCCTGATTTGTCTGCACAGGAGCTGGGCACGGAAGAATCGCAGCCTTGAGCTTGAGAAGGCCCATTCCATGCGCATTATATTTTCGCCACAGACGGACAAAGCCCGAATAAAGTTCCCCAGCGGACCCTGGTATACCAACACCAAGCTGTCGGAGTGTCCCAAAGTCCCCTCGCATGAGCCGCATTGACAAGGCGCTCACCTGCGAACCGAGTAGCAGTGTCTTGTGATATCTTCTCCGGTTCGCTGGAGCGGACGGCCTAGTCTCTAGCGGTGGGCAGGTCAACGCATCCTTCCATTTTGGAGTTCAGAGCATCCCGCTTGCCTGTCTGTTGGTTGTGCGGGCCAATCAGGTCCATAGAACATCCCCAATCTCCGTCTCGGGCACAATGTACGGTGACACCTTATCCCTGACATGAGTCCTTTGCTCGTATGCATAAGCCATGCCTATGAGTTTCGCATCATCGAATCTTGCCCCGAGGAAACTCAGCCCAAACCTGAACCTGTTAGCCACCACGTTTATCTGTAGAATGAAGAGAACGTACGGGATATTTGGAGCAGCTTCAATCAAGTTCCACGAATTCTTCGAAACTGGGGAGCCAATGGGATAAAAGCCCATTGGCACACTCACTATTGGGGCGCCGACAGTAGCAGCGAAGCTAGAAGAGAAATGTGTTGGCAGGATAACGGCGTCGAGGTTATAGCTCTTTAGTGTGCCGAGAAGACCCCCATCATCACCGTAGAACAAGTTCTGCTGATAGGCAGGCCAGAATTGGGGGGAGGTGTTGTTCCAGTTCTGGAGCGCAGCATCCCACACACCAGTGTCTCTATCCGGATAGTCTTCCAGAGGAAAGGACTGAGTGAAACGACGCAAATCCGCGAGGGAAGTGATGTTGTTTGGGTTGTATATCAGAGAGCTTAGATATTGTTGTAAGTTGACGACAAAGTCTGCTTCAAGAATGATTGTCGGCAACTGCGAGGTTTCGAATTCTGCAGCTGAGGTAAAGTTGGTATCTTCGACGATGGTGGCACCTGCTTCTCGTAAAACGTCCAGTGTTCATAGAATGAGTCGACTATTGGCTCAGTTGTGTTGGTGGAAAGGATTGATATGACGTTGCTCGGAATCCCAAGCCTGACGCCGGACAGTGCAGAGAGTTGACAAGCAGCAACAAAATCCGGAACACTGCCACCTGGAATGGATGAAGTATAGTTGTCCAGTGGATCGACCCCGGCGATTATTTGCAGAATTTGAGCACCATCTTTGACGGTTCTAGCCAAGGTCCCGACAGTGTCCTGGTGCTCGCTGATTGGGATGACCAGGTGCCTCGAAGTTAGCCCGACAGCTTCAAATGTCAGTCTGGTCCCACGCTCGCTGTCAAAACACACTTACTTGGTTTGATTCCAACAATGTTATTGAAATCAGCAGGATCTACAATGCTGCCATCTGTTTCGGTGCCCAAGCAGCCCAGAGCTAAGCCGAGTCTGTCTGACAGTCAGTGAGAGGAGCAGATTCCACTTGGCATACTTACGCGGATGATATGCCACTGCCGCTCGAGCTGCCCCACGGATCTTCTTTTGGAAAGTAGGGCCCGTACGACTGCCCTCCGTATGCTGACCAGCCATTGCTAGTGTTCAGGGATCGAAAGTTTGCCCACTGACTGAGATTCGTCTTGCCGAGCAGGATAGCTCCTGCGGCTCGAAGCTTTTGTGCGACCGTAGCATCTCTTGGAACTTTGGCTCCCACAAGAGCCCAAGAACCAGCTGCGTGAACGAGGTCAGCATCGACTCAGCCTTGCTGTTTTAACAATATTATGTTCATATACCTGTGGTGTTCATGCTGTCATTGGTGGCAATCTGATCCCAATCAGGAGGTCAGCAGCGTTCCCTGATGGATAAACGACACCGAATGGACACGTCTTGTTCTTCTTCTTGAAATGGGTTACCGACATTGTTCTTGATCAGGATGGGAAGCCCATGGAGAGGCCTATGGTAGTTAGTGAATCAAGGTCGGGAACTCAAGGATGGAGAAGTGGCTAACCCACGAGTCAAACCTCCCACGCGCTCGTCATCCAATTGGCTCGCAATAGCCAAGGCATCTGGGTTGATTTCCGTTACAGCATGTAGGGTGTCGTTGACTTCATGTATTCTCGCAACATAAGCCTAGACATGGGTCAGCAAGACGGCTTTGATATAGTACAGCTTTGGTGCGGTGTAGGATTTGCACATGCCTTGACAAGATCAACGCTTGTGAATCTCCTACTGGCAAGGCCTGCTTGCAGTTCGTCGATGGTAGCTTCCAGCAGCCCCGGATACCCTGCTCAAGTCAACCCACAGTACACAGAGACGAGATAGCTACTTGCCAGAAGGCGCTGGTCTGTGACGAATTACCCCAGCACTGACGACGCCGATGAGCAGCAAGGGCACGAGGAAAAGGACGAGAAAGCCTGCGTGTGGAAAGGTGCTTTTCCTTGTCATAGCGACTTGCGGATCTGGCGACGTCGAGGTTGGGAGAAGTTCGTATGACGCTTCTGCTGAGCGGTCTTGAGGTAGGATGTATTCAATGGACAGGGCTTTGAGCTTCTGTCGGAAGCGACCCCACAGAGATTGCAGCATCGCCTACCACTCACTCAACTCAGCAACCGGCCATCGAAACACCGACACCACCGGCGGATAATATAGCGGCTGCAGTAGTGACTCGAGGTTGCGTTCAGCATCCCAGCACTGCCCGGGTGGTTGTGGTGCCCTGCGAGCCTGCGCCCGGTGCCAAGGAACCACGTGTTCGGGCATTTTCGAGCTCGGTGCTTCCCTGCGGCTGAAGCTCAATCACATCTGCAGAGTGCGCGCCTTAGCCTTTTCACCCCAGGCTCCTCCTACCTTTTTTTGTGCGCAAGTCTGCAGCTTGAAGAAACCTAGCTTCCGCATTGGAAATTGGAGTCCATAGGATCTGCCGAAGAGACGCAATACACCATCCCAAGGCAGCAAGAAGACCACGAGCTCGAGGAACCTCATCGTGTCCCCGCGACTTTAAGGGCACGAAATATCACAACCGAGAGAGCTCGGCAGAGGCTTGTTAGTCGGAGCGGGTGACATCCACTATTAAGTGGAACGGGGGTATTCTCCTCCGTCCGCTGCCAGTCTCAGTGAGGAAGATGGTAAAGTTCAGTCTAACAACAACAGCACAGTGTCAGCACTGGTCCCAATCCTGCCCCAGGCCTCACCTATTACATATGTCAACCTGCTCGGAAATTCATCGGACCTACCACTATCTCGTGCGCACTCTACAGAGATGACCTCCACTGACTCAATATTGCTGCACTCGAGGATTGCTTCCATGTCCTCGACACAGATTGAGCTTGAATTCTACGCCAAAAGGGTGATGGGCATAATTTCAGGATCAGAACCTGCTGCTACACTCCCACGAAACACACACTGCATGGCTAATCGCGTCTTAGGGCAGCTTGTTCAATCACTCAATGACGACGGAGCCCGGCGATTCGGTACCGTCTGGAATCGATTAGAGAGTCCTGGCAAACCGGAACCCGTTTACTCGAGGTTCGTTCGTTTACCGCCGCAGAACATCCTACGCAACACATTATGACAGTACATGATGGTGGTGAACTCGAGGAGAGACGGGTTTTGATGGTGGCATGAACAAACACTGCAATTCTCGCGACGGAACGGGATACGCTCGCCTCCACGGTCGCCGCGCCTCGCCGGTGACGAAACTAGCCAGCATTGGAACATACTAGCGTCGAAGTCACCTAGAAGTATCATGTTCTGTGACAACGACCGTTGGTGTTCGAGAAAAGGCCGAAGCCTGTATGCAATATGAGACCTAGGCTGGATTTTGGCAGCATGTAAAACATGACCCATATGTACTATCCACAACTAGTGGCAGTAATGACAATGTCGTCCCTGTTCGTTTCCCCAGCGGCTCCAAACGCCCGTATGTACGTAGTCATTCCGCAAACCAGGACTTGAGAGGGCTGGTATCTCTTTCGTGTGTCAGCGGATATCCGTTCCCTCACCGTCAGACGGATTTTCCAAGATTATGTCCTAGAGGGCCAATGCCGCTTTCACCCCTTGGGTCCCCTCACTAAGACAGGGAGGAGAAACCAAATCTTGGTGAGGTGAACGCCTTGACCGTCATCTCTTCGAGCTCGTCGTTCCACCCGCGGGGAGGTGGTGCCTCGGAAGGGACGTCCTTCAGATCCAAACCATCGTGCCGCTCCAAGACCTCGGTCAACAGCTGCCTGAATATCCTCCACGCACGATAACAGGACAACGAACTCCCACTCATGCACCAGAGGTACGCCATGGCCTTGCGCAAATACGTCACCAGTTGTGGGACCTCGTCCTTGAAGTGTTGCGCCCCGAGGGCGAGCTCCAGCAGCAACACGGCCGCCGCTTGCGACACGAAATGGAGAAGGGCCCACCACGGAAGCAGCTGGTACGCTTCATGGGCTGTGGGATAGTCAGGCATCAATGACAGCATGGACATGGCGGCATGGATGCAGGCCCGTGCCGAGCTGCGGTTGAATTCTTTCGACTGGCTTGATTCGTCCTCGATAATCACCTCGCAAAGGCATGGACGGTGGAGGATCATCTCCAAACTGTGATAATACAACCCTAGTTCGATCTTGGCTCGAGGGTCCGTGTCCGTGGGATCATGACCCTGGAGAGACACCTCTTGTGGAGAGTTTTCGGCCCAGGTTCTCAACTCAGACTGCAGGTCACCAATCTTGCGCTGAGTCTCGAACCACGAATCATTGGACGTTCCGCTATACAGCTGCGTCGCTATCCTGTCACTGATGCGGCAGAGGTAGAGTCGTTGAGGCAAGTATGAAGTGGGCACATCACGTCCTACCGACGCAAAACTCTTCCAAGGGACAGCGCCACCCGTCATCTGAGATATGCTGCGGCTACTGTTCAGGTAGTCGAGCCAGATCTTCCGCGAGGCACCAGGCGAACGAAAATTGTCGGTTTGGCCAGAGAATTGCTCCGTCTCCTGCGGAACGGTATAGAAAAGATCGATGGGTATAGTCATATCCGCCGAGGATATGGATTTCGGCCGCCCCGTAATTTCAGCAATCAAGATCTCGAGGCTGTAGAGCGAATACCACGTCCGCGCTCGTCGTGCCTTGTCCAATCCGCTCACGGAGGGATCTGTGATGTTCATATGCAGGCCCAGAGCCGTTGCGTGTCGGGTCGCGTGGCCAAGCGTGTTCCAGGCTCTGTCCGATTGATTAGCAGACGCGACACTCCCAGAAGATGACAACGACGCACCGCGTAATGGATCCGTTGACAAGAAGGTAAAACGCCAAGAGACCGATGCCCTGGACACGCTCGATGTCGGGGTGGTCGAACATCACTCTGTGGTCAAGCCCGAGCGCCCGTGCCCTTGCATAATAGATGAGATGATCTCCATCACCGTCCCCTTCGGCTAGCTGGGTAATTTGCAACCACTTTGCCCCAATAGCCCACACGAGATTTGCTAGCGCTAGCCATCGCCGCTTTCCCCATGAGGAGGTTGTCGTCCCCTTGCCCGTAAAAGAGTATGCCCTCTGGAGAAATTCCTCGCGGAGGACAAAATGAAATGCGCCCTGCATGGAGTGGAAGAAGGCTTCCGATAAAATAACCAGAGATTCATCAGCCGGCCAGTGATACTGATCGACATAGTCTTCATCCACGGACAGCACGTTGATGTCATCCATGAAATAGATAAAGTCTGCCGTAGTCGCGAGATTTTCGTCCATTTCTGCCGTATGCCACGGACTGCGGTCGGGCGGCTTGCATCCCCGGACGATCTCAAACCCACGTTGGATCCAAGAGATCTCCGACATCTTTCCCACGAAGCCGGAAGCGCCTCCTCCAAAGTCTAGAGACACAATATGGTTTAGCTCTCCCTGTCTGCCAGGAGACCCCACGCTCGATCGGGCTTTAGCTTCACCGTAGGACTCGCCCACCCGTGGCCGACCTTGACTCGATGTGGACGATGGAAGTTGGGAGACAGAGGGTGCCGTCCGGCTCTGCGACTGGCTGCTCGCCGGTCTCCCGGGCTCGTCTTCTTCCTCGTCTTGTTCAGAGTGCTATCGACTTTGTTAGGCGTCAAGGGAGATCAGAGAGTGCGCTTGTGACGAATAGTTACCTTGGTCAGGAGCTGCAAGATGCGAGTATTCTCCTCTGGGCGAAAGTCTGGCCGCTCAGCTACTGAGCGAAGTGCAGCGACCAACTGAGCATTCTCTTCTTCCAGGAAGCTGATGCGATCGAGACTTTCGGCCAGATCCCTGTCCACCGTTAGCGACATACACTGGAAAAACACCGGTTCACGATTAATACTTTTTGTTGCGTTCGCGTTTGCGATCGCCATAGACGCAGGCTGCGCCGTCTTTGATACATTTGGAACATCGATCACCCCCAGAGCACTTTGTCCGCATCAAGCGACAGCGATCGCAGGCGTGCGACGTGCGCACGTTAGCCACGTTAGTCTTCCTCGGATGACGGGGCTTGGGAGGAGAACTTCCTGGCCGCCGCTGATGCTGTCCGTGCGACGAACCAACGGGACTGTCCATTGACTGCGACATGGTGCTCTTTTTTGCGGTGCTCCGGGTGCCATAAACGGCGCCAAGCCAAAACTCTCAAGCCCAGAGAAGCCTGTGCCAGATGAGCCCGTCAATATAGCAACATAGGAAGAAACGAAGATGAGAGAGGTAAATTCCGTAATGTTAAATCTCCTTATCATGCGGTGAGGAGAACGCTCATGCACTCATGTGAGTCGTCACGGGAGGAAAAGCTCGTTGGTTCGACAGGAACACTTGTTGTCTGTGGCAAGTCAAGTCGTAAGACTTGGAATTCGAGATGTGAAAACGGGTCAGTTTAGCGTCATCGAAGCAGGAGAAGATCGAAGCGGTCTCTCAGGCGAATAGAGCCGTTGTCGTGCAAAACCACCGTTCGCCATTACCTCTGCCGCCGGTGATCGTGAGCGGGAAAGGTTTCCGGCGATGGCAATTCTGATGTGCACATCAGCCCCCAGGAGGACAGGGATTGGAGCAGCTGAGTCCACATGGTCTGGAGATGGGATAGCATGGCAGGAATCAAGCCAATTGCGGCTATCTCGCAAAAAACTTCCGCCCTCTGTAGGCGAATAGCAAAATAGCGGAAGTGTTGGGCCCGTCCATTCTTTCTCAGTTCTGGGCCGATCCCTGTGGTCCTCGTTCCTCCCTTAAGACTCCCCAAGGGAGGGTGGCAGGGAAAGTCAATGCGAATAGACCTGATAAGCGCATCGTTTTCTTCCTTTGCCTTGCAGTCCTTCTTACCTGTCTTCACACATCCAGACACGTTATGCTTTCAGAACGGTGGCGAATTTCCTGCTATGAGAGGCCGTTGGTCGGACAATGTCCTGATCGCCGCTGTCATTGCAGGCTCGATCCCTAGCAGAGCATATCTAAAGATTCAGCAAGCGCCCTTGGATTGCAATTTCTCCGCTGAGCTGAAGAAATAAGCGGTCTGCCGACACAGTGATTCAACACAAGGAAGAGGTATGGCAAAGCAGAATCAGAAGATCCAGGGGGTGAAAGAAGCCCTCTATCGCCGATGAGCCTATGAGAAGTGGAAGAACTTCGCGGAGACCGATGAGACCAGGCGAAAGAAAAGGTGTCCAGCGAGCCAGGTCCAGCCACCAAAAGCGGGAAGAAGTGACGTAAAGGGGGGGTAGTGCTGGTGGTGCGCATGGCAGAATGGGGCCACTAGGCGACCCCCAAGCCCAGAGCTAGGCACCCCTGGGCCCCATCCTCAGGTGCGTGGACAGCAACGGCCTCTGCTCCAAGTGCCCACAAGACTCGCCGCTGACGCTCAACCACCCTTGTTGGGTGCCCCCCCTTCCTTTTACCCAGCTTCGTCGTCTGCCCCCGCCAGACGACTACTTAGCTGAGAAAAAGTGCGCTCAGCGTCCAATCAGCCCCTCCAACCCAGGTCAACAAAATTTATCTTCATAGCTCTTTTTACCCTCAGGCGTTGGTATTGAGTGTGTTAAACACAATTGACACGTCTTGAACCACGATTGATCACTTTTGTCACCCTCTCGTCCAATCGATCCTGCAGTCTCGGCCATCTACAAGTCTGATTGACGAGCTTCTTGAGTTTCCTTCGCAATGACGAAGGTCGACCACAAGGCTGTTCTCAGTGAGACATAGGAGCTCCTGTCCCAAGGAATGAAATACACTGACCTCGTCGCCAGTTGTCATCGATGGATGGGGCATCCCGTCCGAAAGCTCTCCTCCGGAGGGCGACGCCATTGCTGCCGCCGAGACCCCTTTCATGGACGAGTTCGCCAAAGATGGTTCCAAAACTGCTCAAGGCTACACTGAGCTTGAGGCTTCATCCCTCGCCGTGGGTCTCCCAGAAGGCTTGATGGGTAACTCTGAAGTCGGCCATCTCAACATCGGCGCAGGCAGAGTCGTCTGGCAAGATGTTGTGAGGATTGATCAGACCATCAAAAAGGGCGAAATGAACAAGATTACCAACATTCAAAAATGCTTCCAGCGGGCGGTCGACGGCAATGGCAGGCTTCACCTCCTGGGTCTCGTCAGCGACGGAGGCGTCCATAGTCACATCAACCATTTGTTCGCTCTCTTGCAAGTTGCCAAGGAGATGAAGGTCCCGAAAGTCTTCATTCACTTTTTTGGAGACGGTCGAGACACGGACCCCAAGAGTGCTGCGGGATACATGCAACAGTTGCTGGACAAGCTGAAGGAGCTGGGCATCGGTGAGCTGGCCACGGTGGTTGGTCGTTACTACATCATGGATCGAGACAAGAGGTGGGATCGTGTCGAGATTGGCATGAAGGGCATCGTGCTTGGTGAAGGTGAAGAATCATCCGATCCCGTTGCCACGATCAAGGCTCGATACGAGAAAGGGGAGAACGATGAGTTCCTCAAGCCCATCATCGTCGGCGGAGACGAGAGGAGGATCAAAGATAATGACACCCTTTTCTTCTTCAATTACCGATCCGACCGTGTCCGAGAAATCACTCAGCTTTTGGGCGATGTTGATCGATCGCCCAAGCCGGACTTCCCGTATCCCAAGGGGATTGAAATCACCACCATGACGCAGTACAAGACCGACTACAAATTTCCCATCGCATTCCCACCTCAGCACATGGGCAACGTTCTGGCCGAGTGGCTGGGCAAGAAAGGCTTGAAACAATGCCACGTCGCTGAAACCGAGAAGTATGCCCATGTGACGTTCTTCTTCAACGGAGGGGTGGAGAAACAATTCGAGGGCGAAGAGCGAGAATTGATTCCCAGTCCGAAAGTCGCCACATACGATCTCGACCCTCCCATGAGCGCTCAAAAGGTGGCAGACAAGCTCAATGAAAGGATAGCGGATCAAAAGTACGATTTCTTGATGAACAATTTTGCGCCCCCGGACATGGTTGGTCATACCGGAGTCTACGAGGCGGCGATCAAGGGAGTGGCCGCCACAGATGCCGCCATCGGTACGGTGTATGAGACGTGCAAGAAGGAAGGCTATATCCTCTTCGTGACAGCCGATCACGGCAATGCCGAAGAAATGTTGAATGAAGAAGGCAAACCCAAGACGTCACACACGACCAACAAGGTTCCCTTTGTCATGGCCAATGCGCCCGAAGGATGGAGCTTGAAGAAACAGGACGGCGTCCTCGGGGATGTCGCCCCCACGATTCTTGCAGCGATGGGACTCGACCAGCCGGAAGAAATGGGCGGCACAAGTTTGTTGGTCAAGAAGTAAGTGGACCTATGCATGGAAAAGAATGATTATCCTGGACAGTATCGTTCTCGCGTTCTCGCGACGCAGGTCTACCGACGCTGCAGTCGACGGTTGTTGCTGTTGTCATTGTTATCTGTCGTTGTCGTCGTTGTTGTTGTTGTTGTCGTTGTTGTCGTTGTTGTCGTTGTTGTCGTTGTTGTCGTTGTTGTCGTTGTTGTCGTTGTTGTCGTTGTTGTCGTTGTTGTCGTTGTTGTCGTTGTTGTCGTTGTTGTCGTTGTTGTCGCGAGCACTGTAGCACTAGAAGGCATGATGAGCTGATGAGACATGAAAACCCCAATAGACGAAAGGCAGACACATTGAATCCAGATGCAGGAGAATAGAATCCTCCCTTTCTGAAAAATGCAAGCGAAACCAAGTCCCTCCAGTACATACCTCGTACAAGGGCGTGGGAATCGCATCCTTCGGGTCCGGTCTCGTGGCCCGAAGGATCACATCCACACATCCGCCCTCTATTTCTGTCTAGAACTTAACAGGTTGTGTGGTATATCTCTCTCTATGGCGTGGAAGAGCCTATCTAAAGACTATCAGGAAAAAAAAAGATCTGCTCTTATTCGACAGCAAGTACCATATAACTATGTACGTAGGGCTCAGATAAAGTGGGCAAGCAATATATATGGGAAGAGTCGGCTATACAGCGGGCGATGGATATTTATTTGTTGCAGATACATACTCTGTCCCCGCGTAATACATCTTACCAGAAGTTATCATAGCTGCATCGTGGTGCCCACCAATGATACGGGCGAGAAACTTGGACGGAGGGTGGAAAAAAAAAGGTGTGGCAAAAAGGTTTCTAATCGACAGCCACTCCCATTACATACTGTACATAGCTTTGTATCCAGTCCGAAGACTCTTGAGTGTATGTACTGAAAGGGCGCGCCAACCACCGCTCCGCCACCTTTCATAACCACTGCAAACTTGGTCTCTTTCCAGTCTCAGTGTCTGGCCACTACCAACTTACCAACTGAAGGCGGGAAAGGGGTCTGTCTGGCTGACTTTTTGCCCGGTCATTTCAAGATCCTCCCCCTCCCCCCCAAAGACTCAAAGCCATATAATTCGCCCCGAGAAGCCTGAATTTAGGGGGAAAAAAGGGAGGAGAAGCAAAGGAAAGGAAAGAAAAGCAGCACTTGACGTTGGAAAGAGGGGAAAAAAAAGAAGAATCCTCCACGCCCAAAAAAGCTCGACGACGACAAAGTCAACAACCATGTCGCTGACAAGCTCGAGCCCCGTCACCTGTGCGCAATCCGCCTCGCTCGCCTCACACACCCTGTCCATCCTGCCGCTCTCGGCACGCAATGATGCCCTGACGGCCATCCACGCGGCTCTGGTCCAGCAAAAGGCGGAGATCCTCGCGGCCAACGCGCACGACATGGCGCTCGCCCAACAGGCTTCGTCCCAAGGGGAGTTGAGCCAGTCGGTGCTGAAGCGTCTCGACCTGGGCCGTAAGGGCAAGTACGACGACATGCTGAAGGGGATCTTGGACGTGCGCGACCTGCCGGACCCGATCGGCATGGTGGATCTGCGTACGAGGCTGGATCGTGGCCTAGAGTTGGAGAGGGTGTCGTGTCCCATCGGCGTCCTACTCATCATCTTCGAGGCGCGGCCCGAGGTCATCGCCAACATCGCCGCCCTAGCCATCAAGTCTGGGAATGCGGCCATCCTGAAGGGTGGCAAGGAGAGTACCGCGAGTTTCGAGGCCATTGCCACAGTCATCGGCCAGGCCCTGGCTAACACTCAGGTTCCTGCCGCGGCGATCCAGCTGGTCAAGACCCGGGATGTCATCGACGATCTGCTGGGCTTGGATCGGTACATCGATCTCGTCATCCCCAGAGGCGGCAATGAACTGGTCCGATACGTCAAGAGCCACACAAAGATCCCAGTCCTGGGCCACGCCGACGGCCTGTGTTCCGTGTACCTGCACAAGGACGCAGAGAAGGACGTGGCCATCAAGGTGGTGGTGGACGCCAAGTGCGATTACCCAGCGGCGTGTAACTCGGCAGAGACGCTTCTCGTGCACGAGGCGGTGTTGAAGACGGTGCTGCCCAGTGTGGTGGAAGAGCTCCAGAAGAGGGGCGTGAGGTTACGTTGCGACGAACAGAGCAAGAAAGCATTGACGGAAGTGCTGAGTCCTGCGAACGCAGCCTTGCTGCAAGACGCGACCGAGGCGGATTTCACAACGGAGTTTCTCGACCTGATCATGGCCGTCAAGACGGTCCCAGGGACGACTCCGTCTTCAAACGGTTTACCGAACGGCCACTCGTCCCCCAATGGCGGTGGTGATGCCCCATACAACGACGACGCAAATGATCCTTCTCTGCTCCGGGCCATCGCGCACATCAACACCCACTCATCGCACCACACCGACGCCATCATCACGCGCTCCGCCGCCGCGGCCGAGAAGTTCATGTCCGCGGTGGACTCGGCCGGCGTGTACTGGAACGCCTCCACGCGGTTCGCCGACGGGATGAGGTACGGCTTCGGCACCGAGGTGGGCATCAGCACGAACAAGATCCATTCGAGAGGCCCCGTGGGTCTGGAGGGCTTGACCATCTACAAGTACAAGATCAGGGGGACGGGCCAAGGGGCCGGGGAGTACGGCGAAGGCGAGGGACAGCGGAGGTTTCTGCATGAGAGGATTGAGATATGACAGGAGACATTTCGAGAATTGACCCTCACTGGATACCGGTATTTGACTGTAGCTACGTTTTGCATCACGGGCATTGTCACGCAACTAAAAAGTTCAGGACTGCAAAGCAAAACATGCGACAAGAACACAGAGAGGAGGGGAATCGAATCGGACATTTGGTTTCGTTTGATCAACGCATTGGAATTTTCGTCTTCGCGTGTCCCTTACTCTGGAAAAATTGACAGCGACCACGGCAGGCGGACCCCATTTATTTCTCTCTCTGTCTCACAAAGCCCGACGCGCCTCGCATGAGCAAGTTTCCTTTGGTCTCTGCTTCGAGAGGACGCTTTGACGAATCGGGACGATCGAGCAGCTTCGCTTGTTTCGCATTTCGTGTGTCTGGCTCCCAGGTTCCGTAGTAGAGTCACCACCCCATCTTCATCTGACCCCCTCGATCTGGTGCAATCGAGATATGGTGACATTCATTCCGTCTTTCACAACCCGCTGAAAACACCCGGAATTCCATTGAACCATCAACGACCACCATGACCATCACCACTACCACCAGTAGCAGAATGTCAACGTGCAGGCGACATCTACACCTTGAAACCCTTGGACCGTCTCCTGCCTCTGGCCTTCTCGAACTTCCGGCCCTTGCTCTCGACGTACGGCTTCTTGTGCTTGTGCGGGCCGAAGCCGAAATGCTTGACCGCCTCGCGGGCGTTCTTGGGACCCCGCAGGAGCACCACGTTGCTGCCGGTGGGGTGTCTCATGGCGAGCTGGTCGAGGGTCAGGCACTCACCGCCGGCCTTCTCGATGCGGGCGCGGGCAGTGGCGGTGAACCGCAGGGCGGCGATGTGGAGTTCGGGCACGGTGAGCAGGCGGTTGTCGTCGGTGACGGTGCCGATGACCGCGATGGTCTTGTCCTTGTACGCCTTTTGCGCCGTCTCGGTCGAGACCTTGCTGGCGATGCGGGAGATGGACATGGGCGGGCGATTGATGCGGGACATGAACAGGCGCTTGAGCACGACCTTGTTGAAGTTGGAATCGGTTCGGCCTGCGATGGGATGTGTCAATATTTCCCTCTCCGTTCATCCTCTTTCAGAAGCTCAGTGTCTTGGGGTAAAACATACGGGCAAGGAAGCGGTAGAGCTTCACCAAGAGCTTGAGGTAGACATTGTCGCTCTTGGGCGCCTTTCGGTGGCTCGCCTTGACGTGATGGCGATCGAGGTCGATACCTGGAAACAGCGTCAGTAAAACAATTCTCGCGAGAACCCGAACCTTGGACCTGCACGTACCCATGATCGCTGGCTGTGGTGGATGTTGTTGATTGACAAAGGGTCGGCGACGTCCTCAGAAGGTCAATCTGGAAATTTGGTCGACGTGAGAAACTAGCGGGTGCGAACGCTGTGCGGCGTGCCAAGATTTTCTGGAAGCTAAGCCATTTGCGGATTCAAAAATCTGGAAGTCACGTGGACTTCGAATGCCAATGCTAACAGCGTATGCCACCCATATGCCGAGTACCTCACGTGCTTACTGTACCTCTTACCTCTTCCCTTCCCTCCACTCTCAATCAACTAGACCTGCTTCTTCGAGGTAGCTGGCTTTGGCAAGCATCATCATGATGAAGGGGGCACCCGGGAAAGACAGTCTCGCAAATGAATTCTCCCAGACTACCAATACAAGGGCGACCAATTCAATGTTCAGTTTGATCTACTCTGGAAAATAATACTCTCAAGACTTCGAGTCCACCAAAGACTTCCGTGGTAAACTTGTGTGTCGATACTCCAGAAAGTGCCTCACTCCAGGTCTCTCTAATCCATTTTCCTCCGACCTTTGGACTCCATGAAATTTCGCCATGCCCCCATTTATGTGGAATGTACAGCGGCCCTTGCAAAAGCGGTGCAGCTCTTCTGTAAAGGGCAGAAATGCTTTGATCTCGATGTCCAGTGCTTCCCTCTACGCAGGCGGTGCCTTGGTCCTGGGCTTCGATTGGTTTCGAGACCTGTCGAGTGTCTTGGTGAATCGTGTGTCAAAAGCCGTATATCGCAGGCTGGCTTTGCTGATCTCAGATAGGGTCTCCATTCTCCTTTTCTGGGGCTAGACCAACCAAGAAATCCCTAGTAATCTCAAAGCTGAGCCAGCTGCTAGCCATGCTCGGGGCGACCTTGAGCAGATTAGGCATGATCCCCTTGTACAGTCCAAGAACGCCCTCCTGTGCGATAATGGTTCTAACGGCATCCCAGATCGATTTGTATTGGTACCCCATTCCGTTCATGGAGTTGATTTGAAAGCGCCGTCGGAGGACATCAAATGGATATGTGCAGGTCTGGGCGACCGCTCCCGAAATGGCACCGGCAGCAAGCTTTCGATACCAGACAGGATTCTTCTCACCCGGTTCCGTGAAGTATTGCCTGACTGATTCATAGACCATGAAGTTGAGGCCGACATAGGGTGCGACGCCAGCGACTGTGGGGATAATGCCCCGGTAAAGCCCCAGCACACCGCCCTCATTTTTGTACATCATAATCATAACCTGCCACATCCCTGGCAGCTTCCCTTCGTGTTTTCCAAGCGCGGCAAATGAAGCTGACTGGATGGACAAGCGCGTACGAACAATATCCAAAGGGTAGGTGAATGTGACAGAGGTGATGCCGGCAAGCCCACCGCAAATGAGTCGGCGAATGGGGTCAAGATCAGCACCAGGTGACGGTTCTGCGAAGCGTTTGTAGACGTTATAACTTCCGAATTGTACGGCTGAGTAGGGTATTATGCGTATGCAATTCGTGCCGTTCCCCCTCATGAAACCCCTCCAGCCCTCGTCAGTATACATCTTCTTGAGAGCTTTGACAATGGACATCTTGTATTCGTTGCGACCGGCGCTTTGTATCTGGTACAGAATCTTCAAGCGTTCGAGAGGAGAGACGACAGTGCGGGAGACGGCGCCTGCCACACCACCGGCGCAGAAAGCGGCTGTGAAGGGTGTTGAGAAAAACTCTCGCAAGGGGAGGAGGACATCGGACGCTGCCATGTCGGTCGGGTTCTATATGTGTTAGGACGTGGGGCCAGCCGATCTAATGGTTCAAAGGTCACTGACCTGCGGTATACTTGGTAGCTCTCGTAGGGAAGTCGAGCTCTCGCCTATGTTACCGTTGACAGTAGTAAGGTCCTTCTCTCCGAGACGCATGACTATGACGTGAGTTTTGCGAAGCTGATAGTGAAAACAGTGTCGACGGCGACGGTTGCAGGAGTGCAGGCGTCACAGCAAGTGGAATTCTGGTGTTGAAGGCGGCTGTGGCGTCCATGGAAAATTCTTCACGGGCTTCGATGTGTGGACGAGAACATTGTGCGTCTGTGAAGTGTCTTTTCCCCCCGAGCTTCAGACTAACGTCGTGTATAGAGATCAAGGCCGGTGCTTCAACACGAAGCAGACCCGTTGTATCATCCACCTGGGTTGATAGGGTCGAAGAACAGCGATATGCGGACGACGGATACGGGACAAGTCGGACAAGAGGATCGCGCGATTGAAAAGGGAAATTGATCGAGTGGAGGTGTCGAGGTGGGAGAGACTTGGTCGGCCAGGTGGATTCAAGAATGTCAAACGGTGAAATGAAGGAATAGAAGCAAGAAGTGTGTGTGGTAATAAAGCATGTGCCAGTTGACAGAGTGATAGAGTCGGTTTCTCCCCTGTACAGGTTCGCAGGCCAACGTGTGACCCCTTCCAAAGTGCCGTCTGAGCCTGACGGCCTCTGGGCCTCGTTCCGATGACTTAGCCGTGGCAGTGACTGGCTGGGCTGTGCCAAGCCCCATACTCTGTTTTCGGTTTAGCCCCGTTTCAGTCTAAAAATGAGGCAGAGGCTGTCAAACAACTTCCCGTCTTCCTTCCTCCAGTTCCATCCATTCAATCCTCCTCTGCCCTATCCATCATCTGTTGTATTCACTCTACCAACCAGAGATTGTATTAACAGTCATTTGGGACTAGAGTTCAGGCGCTTGGCGAAGGCTGCGAAACGACATCGACCACGACAGATCAGCTTGCCACCTGGCCCCTTTCACTTTGCCATTCCAGATTTGATCATGTCTCGATCTGGTACCACCCTCTATGTCACGGGTTTTGGTCATGGCACTCGTGCCCGTGACCTTGCCTATGAGTTTGAACACTATGGTCGTCTGGTCAGGTGTGACATTCCTGCTCCCAGAACTGCATCAAGCCGTCTGTAAGTCACGAAGATTATCTGCCACCGCCCACGAGATCTGACATCCGAGCAGCTTTGCCTTTGTCGAATACGAGAGCCGTCGCGATGCTGACGACGCCTATCATGAGATGCATAACAAGCGAATCGGTCGTGATGATGTCTTGAAGATCGAGGTACGGAAGGAAGAAAAACCTCGTTGAAGCTCTACACCTCACCGAAACATATTATCTGACCACCTGTTCTTCTAGTGGGCTCGTACCCCCCCATCTGCCACCTGGCGATATGAAGCCGGTCGTGGCCGTCGCGATCGAACTCCTCCTCGCCGTTCCGCTCGTTCTCCCTCCCCCCGACGCCGCGACTATTCCCCCCGCAAAGACGACCGCCGCCACCGTGACCGAGACCGGGAAAGAGACCGGGACCGAGATTACGACGACCGTCGCCGCTCTCGCAGCCCTGCAGATCGCGACCGTGATCGAGACCGAGACCGGGACATGAAAGATGACCGAGACCGCCGCGATGACGACCGCGATGGGGCTGCGAATGGCGATGACCGGAAAGGTATGATGGAGATCGACACCGACGCAGCCTGGGATTGAAATGCTGACACCCGCATCAGCTCTGGACTCCCCTCCCCCAGCTCATGATGAGCTCGATACCGCGGAATGAAAAGGCGGCGTGAGCCGCCATCCCCCACCTGGCACCGGATCCAGTGTGCTGTTACTGCGAACGAACAAGCGAGCTGCGATCTTGCGATTGGGCAAGACCACAAGGTGCTGAGTTTCCAAAGGGCAAGAATGTGCTAGGTTTTCCTCAGAATTTTTCGTCCTTGACATTGTTGCTATGATGATTCAATTGCAGAGCTTGCATGACCTGAGGGTCTCAGGCATAGCAGTGAGCGGTGGTAAAAATTGACTTGACATGGGATTAGATCGACTTCGAGCGAACGTTGCAGGTTCAATCCTGTACAGCAGCCAGCTTATCGGTCGTCAACCGTTATCTTCGGTAGCGTACGAAGTATTCGATCGGAGCGTCGATACGGACAATCGGACGATACCAATCTTGACAGCATGTACCGCCGTCCTCAATTTTTCATATTCCTATTCGAACGTTTCAGCAGCTCTAGTATCAGCCTCGTTCCCTTTCGTCCGCGACGATGCGCCGCATCCTCGGTCTCGCATTTCCTCGTCCCCGCCGCCGCCGTCGTAATCCCCCTTCCCGCAATCTCACCACCTCATATTCCCAGCGCAATTCCCACGTCCTATCCTGCCGCCTCACACGCACGATCCATGACCTACGAGCTCGTTATCCGGCGGCCAGCACTATAACGCCATCGGCACAATCCGCGTTCGTTCCCTCCACGCGCGCTATGCTTGACTTGTCCTAAGTTACGATATCGTGGTTCCTCTCCGTCTCCCCCACTCACAATGCGACACTCTACCCATTTTCCTATTATGTTTTCTCTCGATGGTGGGCTCGTCCCTGTCCTGATGATGCTCTTGATCTTGATCAATGTAGCAGGCGCTGCCCTCCAGTTGGGAAGGTAAGTCTTGTAATACTGTCATTGGCAACCTGTCCTCGCGGACGCAGATATATTCATCGAATACATGAACTCCCAATCGCATCTGATTTTTACAGAGTTGCTCTGTTACTTCCCCTCCTGTAATTGCAAATCCCTCGCTATCGCCCACGGGCTTCTGGTGGTGAATATTCCTGACATTGCACTCTTCGCCATACGATCCATCGTGACCTTCTTGGCTCCATAATGCTGTTGAATTCTGATCCAAATGTTCCTGGTCAAACATGGTCTCTATTACCCTCGAGAACTACGGCTTGTGCTCGCTCAACATCCAAGTCAGCAGATCTACTTTGGTCACCACTGCTACTGGCTTTAGAGAGCCGCCCTTGTTGCTTGGTTCGCGTTCTGTGACGATAGCCGCACTCTGCCACTGGAAGAACCTGTTCAATGCACTTAGAGGGGTGTCCATGGTGATCTCCACAAAATGCCTTCTTGTGCCCTTGCTCTTGGTCTTCGCGCCCATGTCGCTTGGGGACTTCTGCGGCTCCGAGTCCTCGTCCGCGGACGTGGTCATCAACTCAGAGAAGTCCGTGTGGTCGACGGTGACTTCGCTGATCTTGGAGAAGTCGAACATGACGTCGCTCACGGGGCTTTGGCCTGTGGCGCGCCCGTGGCTTATCCGTGACAACAGATTGCCCAGGGTGACGAGGCCGACTAATCTCTTGGAGCCCTTTGGCGCGAGGACGGGGAGTTGGTCGAAGCCCTTTTCGCGCATTACTTCGATGGCACTGGAGCAGGGACTGTCCGACGTGACTGTCTGGACGGGTTTGAGGCGCAGATGACGTACACGAGCGCCTTGGAACGTGTCGTCTTGCTTTATGCTCTGGGTTCTCGAGAGTTGCGGTGAGGAGGGTTCAGGCGGAGGGGTGGGAGGAAGAAGGTTGTTGGCGGCGAGCCAGTCGTCGTCGACGAATTTGCTCAGATACGAGCGGATGCTGTCCGGGAGGATTGCCACGATCACATCGTCTTTCCCGAGTTTGAGGTCTCTTGCGGCGGCGACCGTCGCCGCGATAGCAGACCCGGAACTTCCTCCGACTAACAGCCCTTCTTCAGCGATGAGGCGACGGGCGTAATGGAAAGAGTCCCGGTCGTCCGTCTTGTACCACTTGTCCACGACCTTCTGGTCAAGTACGTCCGGTATGAAGTCATAGCCAATCCCCTCAACTTTGTAGGGTTGGTTCGCGAATTCGTCGTTGAGGGTCGAAGGGAGAGCGAGGATTGAGCCCTGAGGATCTGCAGCGACAATCTTTATTGATTTATTGTGTTTATGTAGACCACGAGCGAGGCCTGTAATTGTGCCACCTGTGCCGGCGCCGGCGACGATACACGTTATAGTGCCGTTTGTCTGCTGCCATATCTCTTCCGCAGTTCCCAATTCATGGGCAAGGGGATTGTCCGGGTTCCCATACTGGTCCAATATATGGGCATTAGGCAGCTCTTTCTCCAGGCGTCTAGCAACTCCGATGTGTGATTCGGGGCTGTCGAAAGCGGCTTGTGTGGGCGTGCGGATGATGGTTGCGTTGAGAGCTTTGAGAACAGCGACTTTCTCTGCAGACATCTTTTCAGGGAGGGTGATGATGGTCTTGTAGCCCTTGAGCGCGGCGACGAGTGCCAATCCGATGCCACTAGAACCAGAGGTTTTGTATATCAGCCGCAAGCCATTCTCCTGGTTGGCTCCCGCTAATTGCTCTTACTTACGTATTGCCACTGGTAGGCTCGATCAGCGTGTCGCCCGGTTTTATTCTTCCCGACTTCTCAGCTTCTTCGATCATACGCAGGGCTATCCTGTCTTTGACACTCCCTCCAGCATTGAAGAACTCGCATTTGGCATATACGGTGGCTTCGATGCCGAGAGACTGCGGAATCTTGTTCAGACGGACGAGGGGTGTCTGCCCGATGAGTTCGAGTGAGGACTGGTGTGTGCCATGGGCATGTAGCCGCTTGCCTTCTGCGGAGGCCATGGTTGTGAGGTGGGTGAGATGACTGAAGATTGAAAGAAGCCGCGCTGTTCAGCGCAGGGACATGGATAGAAAGTGTGGTGAACTTTTCATAGAAATGAGGTGATGTATCGCCGGGTGCGGGAGCCAAGCCGACGGTAACCGCTGCGGGGTGAATTTTCAGGATCAAATCCTCCACATACAATGGCAACAAACACACGGCAAAGTCTCCCATCATCTACACCAAACTGTAGCTTTCAGAGGTATTCAAGCACGTCTTTCGCCGGATTGGATTAGTCAAGGCTACAAGACACTGTCTTGAAGCCTTTGAATCTTGGAGATTGAGCTGCGCATTGAGCTTCAGGCGGACGCCTTGCTCGTGTATGAGGAGGCCGGGTTGAGAGACTCTCCCTACCTGGCCTTCAGCTCCATAAGTACCTACAGAAGAGAAGTATCTCCACAGTCTGAGCTTGCTTATCGATAGTCTTCATCATCGAGCGGTTCAAACCATGGCACCCCCTTGCTTCACCAAGGTCTACCGCAAGAGCACGTACCCAGCAATTGATCCCTCAAGGCCTGAGTTATCGGCAAAGGACAAGACTGTGGTAGTGACGGGGGCAGGCGAAGGGAGCATTGGCGCTGCTGTGGCCTTAGCATTTGCAAAAGCAGGCGCCCGGAAAATCGCGTTGATCGGCAGAACAGAGGAGTCGCTTCAGAAGACCAAGACAGCAATTGATCAATTATTCCCAGACGCCACGGCCGTGGTCTACATTGCAGATGTCTCTAGAACGGAGAGCGTGGGCATAGCTGCACATCACATCCGAGCGGAATTAGGGGCCTGGGATGTCTTTGCAAATTGTGCAGGGTACATTCGCATGTCCACAATCGCTTTCGCATGGACATTAGCTGACATTGCCCATTAGGTACTTCCCAGACTTGACCACAATCACGGGGGCAGATGAAGATGACTGGTGGAAAGCATTCGAGATCAATGTGAAGTCCTCAGCTCATTTTGCAAAGCACTTTCTGCCCAAGTGCCGTCCGAATGCGACGTACATCAGCACCAATGCTGCGGCTTGTCACTTGGGGGCTACACGGCTTCCCAAAAGCTCGTCGTACGTTGCCTCGAAGTTAGCTTTGGCCAAGCTTGACGAGTATGTGGCGGAGGAGAATCCAAGACTCCGGGTATTTACAGTCCATCCCGGCGTGGTTTCTACCAAGATGAGTGAAAAAGCCTTCGGAAACCTTGATCACTCTCCGGCTGGTGATTTTTTCGACGCACCAGAACTCCCAGCGAATTTTATGGTCTGGCTCGCAAGTTCGGAAGCCGATTTCCTCAAGTCGGGAAGATTTCTGTGGGCTAATTGGGACGTCGAGGAGTTGATCGCCCGCAAAGCAGAGATTGAAGCGGACCAAGCGCTATTCAGGATCACCATTGGAGGGTGGCCGTTTCAGTAAAGATCCGTGCATAGCCATTGACAAAGGACGAATGGAGTTGCTCACGAGAACTGAAAGGCCTTGTCGACATAGTGCCCACCCTGCTTCCGAGTCTGAGGGTTTGCTCAACACATGTCTACCGTCTACACGGAGAGTGGGCACCTTGCTTCTGGATACAATACCCGAAGCACACTCGTGCGTCTGTATGGTTATATATATATGGAAAAATATCTGCTTGGGACTTTTGGGGGTCGTATAACCTTGGGCCAAGAGACCGGCGAAGCAACCTCCTCGGCTTGGTGGGAGATAGATGTTCCCAACATCAGGTAGAAATCCCTGGAAAATTGAGGCTCTTCAACAGCTAAGCGGCAGGGCCTTCAGGCTAGTGAGCCACATCTCTGGCGCTATCAAGTCAGGCGTTGTTTCGAGCTCAACCTCCTCAACCTTAGGCCCTCGGCTGTTTATCTGTCGTTCTGCACTTCGCACCTCTTCGGACACGGGATCTGGGGGCTGAGACAACTGCTTGTTGGCAATGGCTTCTGGCCGCTCGCTTAGCGAGGAATGAGTCTGGCCCCATTTTCACACCAGATGATTCGACGCACACACGGAGGGCGTGGCATGGCGTCTTGTTTTCTCTTGCATGTCTTCGTGTTTGTCCAGCCCTACCACTCCCAGCGACATCCATGCTAGGGCTTTTGTCTGGGCCTCAGTTAGCCAACCACTTCATGAAGGATAGTCACGGGTCACTGTGCCGCAGGCAATTCTAGGCTGCTCCGGCTCTCAGGGCTGAACGACACTTCAACCAACCGGTGAAAGTCGAACTGGCAATACGAGATTGGTCTGTGGCTGTGGCTTTTAGATGAATGGGGATCCTCCAAGATAAGTCTTGATGATGTGGTCGCAGCCGCATTGCCGTGTGGACTGCATTCATCAATACGAGGCTCTGGGTTCTCTTGCCTGCTGCCAGCTCCCACGGTCCTGAACTAGAGGGGAAACCCTTGGTCCGTGGTCTTGCTTGTAAGTGTCGGTGACTTCTTGTGCCACTGTCTGTACTGCTCAACTCCTACCACACACTTCGCTCAGGTTTTTCTCCCTTACAACCCATTTCACAAGGATGAGGCTCTCATTCCTCGCCTTCTCGGCTCTGCTGTCGGTGATTGTCGCTCAGGATACCACCACCACTGTTGCAGGCCTTACCAGTGCTGAAGGAACCTCTCCCACCAGCACAAGTACACAACCCATCACGGTAACGGTGGCCGTCGGAAATGGAGGGAATACCTTTGTCCCAGATGTGGTTCAGGTTTCGCCTGGAAACTATGTTGGTATGTCCTGTGTCCTCGAACAAGGCGATTCCACTGTATGTTCGTGGTCGCTAACGCTAGCGTTCAGAATTCGACTTTTATCCCTTGAATCACTCGGTCATCCGGGCGGCATACATGTACCCGTGTGTGCCTTATGAGTTGACGGGTAAGGGATATGGAATCGACGTCGTCTGATCGATGCTGTTGTTCTTTGCCTCGATGCACCTATCCCTTGGGTCAAACCGTGGGCTAACTATCGACTCACCCACAAAGGTCCGGATAGAGTTGGATTCTTCTCTGGCTTTTACCCTGTCGACGCCATCCTCGGCGACCCGCCCAAGTGGACTCTTTTGATCAACGACACCGATCCCGTCTTCTACTATTGCGGTGCCCCAGGCTCATGTATCGGCTACCAGATGGTCGGGGTCATCAACCCCAATGCCAGCCAATCTCTACAAGTTCAGAAACAATATGCCGCAAACTCCTCCTTTATGCTGGAGCCCGGTGAGAGTTGGCCCGCCGAGGAAGATCCTTTCGCGACCACTTCTACGTCGACATCCACGGCGACTGCGACGTACACCACGACATTCACTACGTCGACTGTGTCTCCGACGCCGACATCTGCTACCCCGACCGCGGTCGCGAGCGAATCCGGCCACTCAACGCTATCGACGGGGGCCATTGCAGGAATTGCTATAGGTAAGTCTGTCGATCCCAGCCTCTGACAACCTGCGAGACTGCTCGTGCTAAGCCTGATATCAGGAGGAGCAGCAGTCGTCATCGCAGCCGCGGTCTTGTTATTCTTCTGCGGTCGCCGGTCTAGACCCAAAGACGGCGGCGACCCACCGGCCGCGTCGACTCCTGCGATGGGCCCGATCGCCAGTCCGCCGGCGTACATTCCCCCTAACAGCTACGGCTACATGTCACCCACACAGAAACACATGTCGGTGACCTCGATGCCCACGACCGACGCCTTCGGCAACGCCGTTCCGAGCGGCGGCATGCTCCCTTATCCGCAAGCCTTCCCGCAAGGAGGCTATCCCGTGCACCAGCAGATGCCGCCGCCCCAGAACCTGATGGGGAACCCGGGCCAGCCGCAATCGCTGCACCCTCCGCAATGGCCGCCCTCCCCCTCCAACGACATTTTCGGCGCCGCCTCTCCAGCCGCGCCCGTACCGGGCTTATACCAGGTGCACGACGCCCAACACCACCAAGCACCACTGGCGGGCAGCGCCATCGCCACAGAGACCGCGTCCATGCGAGCAAGCAGTCCGAACTCCATCGCCGGTGGAGGGGGAGGAGGAGGAGGCATTGAAGCGTTCCTTCAGCGCCAGTCACGCATGAGTCCTCCGCCAGAGAACGAGGTGCAGCAGCAGCAGCAGCAGGCCGCTCCCCTTCCTCCTCCGATTTTGACGTCCGGTCCATATGAAATGTCCGCGACCGGGACCATGCACCGGTTTTCCTAGACCGGAAAAGAAGTAAGAAGACTGTGCCTGTGATCTAGCTATTCAGCTCCAACGAGCTGTCATCGCCATACCTATGTAACCCCGTCGTCTCCCATCATGAGTCTGTGGCCCCTTTAGTGGAGAACAGACAGGAAATAGTGAGAGCAAATTATCTTTGCGTCCCGTCAGGTGTTCCTGTTTGTTGAAGAGATTAATTTTGCATGGCTGGATTGATGGTCATGAGTCTGAACTGGGAGCCCCTTTCCCTGGCGGGGTGGGAGGCCTCTATCGTCGATCACTCTATGTCTCTAGATACCTCCATATTGCGGATCGGCATTCCAGGCATGTCTATCTCTATATAATTTCTCGTTTACCCTCGGTCTATGTATTCTCTCATCGCTTCCGCAAGTAATCGCCGCCCTTCAAAGCGCTCAGGACCCCGTAGACTCCGGCGATGGGCCAAATTCTCCACACGCCCTTTTCCACCGGCATGCGGGCGTCGCGCAACACCCGCCCCTCGCCGTCAACCTCGAACAAGTCCTTTGTCCGGACCTTGTCGTACACGCTCGGGATGTATCCCTCGGCGTGGTATTTCTTCCTCAGGGCGTCGTACCACCTCTTGTCGTAGATGGACCAGAATTCGTCGGCGGTGTAGAACGTCTGCGCGTACAGCCACTTCATCCCGCCTAGGGACTTGAGCTTGGCCTCGATCAGCCGGTTGATCGTGACGTGAAGGGTGTTGGACGGTGTTTCTCCCCAGACGCCGATGTTCAGCAGCGTGTTGTCGAAATCGTCATCATCGCCCTCGATGTTCCTCTGATTCGCGTCTGGGGTTGTTGTTGTTGTTGAGGTCGAGCTTGGATCGAAGTCCACCGCCGATGAAGGCTGGTTGCGGAGGTGGGGATTCATGCTCACGCTTGCCCCATGCTTTAAGGGACACAGCCAGCGCGGATATATGTGCGGCAATTCCCGGTCCAACCAGTGGGAGAATTCCGGAATGTTTTTGTTCGGGAGGGCCATGTCTTGGATGATGAAGCGCTGGTATAGACCCGAGCGGTGTAGCGCGTGGTACATGATGCGTGTGTGCATGAAGTAGTCTGCCAACCAGCGGACGGTACGTGTGAAGGGGACGTAGAAGTACGTGTATGCAAAGCGACCGGTCCAGAAGGCGCCACGGTCGTAGCGGAAGAGGTAGTCCGTCAAGGGGACGAGGTCGCGTGGAGTAGACGGTGAGCATGGAGATGGAGACATAGAGCTGGTGTTTTCGGTGCTATTCATTCTTTCTTCGGCGTGGAGATAAAACCACGGGTCCCAGGGCTTGGTGAATGTGAGAACTGGCAAGTCCTTGTTCTTCTCGCTTCGTTCAGCCAGTCGGCCCGCCATGATCACGCCCTTCTCAGGGGCGAACATGATCCCGTCGAGGAAATCCGCGTCCCCCTGCTTTGTTACCTGCCTGATCACTTCTTCTGCGTGTTCAATACCTCCGACCCGGATATACGACAATTCGACAAACCCTTTTGCCGGGATCAAACGCATCTCGAACAGGGTGATGATCCCCAGTGTGCCGAACGTTCCGGCCATGCCGTGGAACAAGTCTGCACGCTCCGTCTCTGAGGCCGTCACGACTTTGCCGTCAGCGAGAACCACCTCGAACCAGGTCACGCTCCTGTCAAAGAACCCGTACTTGAAGCTGCTACTCTCCCCTGCTGTGCCGGCAAAGCCACCTCCGACCGTGATGCCCGGGAACTCTGGCACGACAGGAGGTACCAAGCCGTACTGCAGGGTGGCGGCGACAAGACGATCCATGGGGACACTGGGTTCCACGAGACATGTACACTTCGACGGTGAGACCCGAATGACATGATCGAGCGTCGAGATGTCGACCGTGGCGTCCCGTGTGCGGTCGCTGAGGCGAGTCGAGTTGGTGTTGCCATGGAAGATACGAAAGGGGATTTGGCGGGCATGGAAGCTGGCGATCCTGTCGGATACCAGCGACACCGCCTCATTGTGCTGGCTGAGGAGTTGATCCGAGACACCTCCACGCTTCTGGCAGTCTCCCATGGCTGACAATCCCCTCAAAGGAAGTGGTTTATACCTCGAGCAGCCACTAGTGGTCTCCGTCCAGATCTTCAAACATAGTTCCCATCCGCGCACACTCTAAAGGCCGATCCGAGTGTGGATCACGGGCAGAGGCAGAGCTTTCAAAGACAAGTCAATGCCACTAAGACCCATGTGGAGAGGACTGAAAGGTTATATTAATACCGTAGACTGTGGTTATCGGATCAGACGGAGTTGCTCATTCTCAGGTTGTATATCCACTTGCACCCAGAGGCTGTATACTCTGCAGTATACGTTACTACGGAGGATCATTGAGTTTGGGACCCCACGTGACCCCCCCCCTGAGGCTGCGCTCACTCCCATATTGATCCTTCGATGGCCTTTTCCACTTGCCATAGACACGCACTCATGCTCAAAGCTTTGTTGGGGCATCCTTATAATCGACATCCCTGTGCGGCCAGTGTCCGCTATCCAGAGCAAACTGCACCAATGTGCCCTCACCGCCCCAATATTCTGTAGCGAACGCACGCATGACTTCCAGCCCATTGAGCAAGGCGCCGCTCGTCCAGAGCTTGCCGTCTCTGTGCCAACGCTTTTCGACCCAATTCGTTTCAGGATCGGCCGCTCGGAGATGCGGCAATATGAATCGAGGTGCCGCCACCGTCTTCTTCTTGAACAGCCCGGCCTCGAACGCCGCTTGCAACCCCGAGCAGATGGTGATGAACGCCGAGCAGTCCTCGTAGCTCTTGCGCACGAAGTCGAGCTCCGCCTTGTTCGGGGCATAGTTGTTCAGATGCGCTCCCATGAGGACGATGTCAAGGGGTGGACACGTCGAGAAGTCGTCCTGCACCACTGGTTAGGGGCCTGATCGGAAGGACGGAGAAAGCGGTCAGACTCACGGTCGGCTTAATCAAGAGGCCGCCGGTCAATTTGGCAATGTCGCCCGTCTCATTGACCCAGTGAAACTCAATATCGAGAGCCTGGGCTGCCATGCCTTTAGGGCCGAACTGCTCCACAGTCTGAACGAAGTGCTTTGACACCTCGTTCAACATGTCAATGGGAGCCACATCAAGGATCTCCGTCTCTCTGTTGCCTGGACTCAGTATATTTCTGGGAAGCTCTGGATGCAGATCACGTACGCGTTCATGAGGATCACTCCGGCGTGGATGGTGCGGTTGGGCTTGGACAGATCAAAAGGTGCCGCCATTTTGTTGGTTCCGAGACACTTCAAACTATGGTTGTTGCTGTCTTGCAAAATATCCCAATATCCAAGTCGGCATTACTCATTTTATAATGCAGTTGCAACAAGGCACCCTGCGTCCGAACCCCATGGCTGTCATGTAACTCAGGGAACGTTGGTTTGCAGCAAGATAACCCCCGCCACGGTCATCGGAGCATTCACTTCTGTACTGAGCATGTTTTCTTCAAGCCAATATCCTCTTTGGATGTTTGATGGATTCGCCGCCAGCCACCCAGAGCCTCCAGATTGGCTCTGCCTATTTTCGAAGACCTTCCCGACTCACCGAGCCTTGTGGAGGGATTATTCGAGGTCGTACACCGCCGGGCGCTACACCTGCGGAGCCTTGTTACATACCGAATGGGGAAAACAGGACCAAAGGAGCATGGCGTCGGAGGAATATTGACCCATGCTCCGCTCGTGCTTCGATCGAGGAGTCTGCGAAAGAGCAGTTAAGAACCCTCCCCTCATCCCTTGCTCGAAAACTCTCCTCATCCATGACATGATGAAGCAGAACCCGTTCGCAGCGTGCGCAGGGAGCAGAACTCGGCACCTGGCTTTCTCCAAAAGGCTCATCCTCGGTCCAACCGAGGATGAAAAAAGCTTCTGATCCGCGGCAACATTGACAAGAGAAATAGCTTGCTAAAGGGAATGAATTCCGTCCTCCGGACAAGCCTTGAAAGTCAGTCTTGACGGACACTGCGACTCTGCACATCGATTTGACAAAGTTCGTCTTCTCTTGGCCTCTAAATACTTTTCAACATCGGTACTCTACCTCGGCAACCTATCCCCTGATGAGCGCTATTTGCGAGCCACCCGGCATCGATGTCGACGGTACAAAGGAATGTATGTCCCCACGATGTTGGTCATGGCAAGAGATCGGCCACCCCTTTCAAATTGACCGCCAACAACTATACAATTCCCTACTGTCAAACGCCCTTCGCTCGTCAATATGCTCGCCGAACGTCAATGGGCAGAAATTGGATCGTTGCGGCTGAGACCTCGCTTCATCAATCGAAGCAACCAACATCAAAGAGAGTTAACCGAGGACTGAGCGCCTTCATCCCTGTCATACCTACAGAAAGGCGCCTTGTTACGAGTCCCTATTCTCAACGTGGCATGATCAACAGCCACTATCTACGGTCCCACGCCGTAAATGGTAGATGCTGGAGAGGGACGAAGTAGGAATTTGCGGGGGAAAGCAACTGGGGCGCCAGGCTAGTGAGGCTTGCGGGGCGAATGGACTCCCCGGGCTGGGGAACCAAGACCGCCACCCGCTTCGTACCCTTACTCTATTTCGTAAGTGATACGATATGTGCATGCTAGGTAGGTCCTACGCGCCTCAGCATGGGAGAGCTTGTTGGGCTTCGGACGTCGGCCAGCTTACGGTCGTCTACAAGAAGGTTAGTGTGGGCTAACTTGAGACACTATCCCGGCGCCTGCAGGATTGACGAGATCGATTCGCAAGTATTACTCAGGACTGCTGACTCGCTGGCAGGGGGCGTGGCCTTGAGAAATAGCGACCTACCAATTACAAGAAAGAGCTAATGTTTAGCACAGCACACATAATCGAAATCCCTCCAGATCAAAGCCGCCTCCCCCAGCATTCTAGGTAAATGGAGCCCCGTGTGTGCCAACCCCAGATTCCAGGCTTTGTTGACCCACCTCCTGACCGAGGTATCCGGTAGCTACCAAAGGGGTTTGAATGCAAGGCCTCGACCCAAGAAGCGGGGAGCCGTGGTATCTGAACAGCAGGGTATTTGATCCAGATGGTTCTTGCATGGTCGCCTGCCCTCTTCAGAGCATCTTCCGCTTCCTTCCCCTAAGAGCTCAGCCCCTGGAGTTTTCGAATTTGCATTGAGATAGCCAACATGAGCGTCGTACCACCAGAGAATACTGACAGGCTCGAGCACGAGAAGCAGCACGATGCTGAGCTCCGTCATGACAAAGAGATGCTGGAGCATCGAGAGCATGTTCACTCCGGAGATGAGAAACAACAGACCAAGGACGAGTTGACTGCCGCCAGCGGGTCTTCCTCCGAGCCCCCCAGCGAAACAGCACCGGAGTATCAAACCAAGACCGTATGGACGCTGAAGACATTCGTGGCCACCCTTGCTCTCAGCGGGCTCTACGTCGGCTCCCAGATTCCCCTTTACTTCGTCGGCGGTTCCCTTTCATTCATCGCAAAGGACATTGGTGGTTCCGAGGCATCCGCCTGGTTATCGGTGTCCTACGCACTTGCCCTTTCTGCGGTTGCTCCTTTCTGCGGCTATCTCCAGGATCTCCTGGGCCGCCGCCTCATCACCCTTGGTGGTGGTGTCTCACTGATGATGGGCTGTGTTATCCTCGGTACTGCCCACAAGTTTGGACAAGGGGTTGTCGGCATGAGTTTTGCTGGTGCTGGTGCGGCAATTGGCGAATTGACTGCTCTTGCTGGGTAAGGAGAGACACAAGAACCGTCAATTGAGCCGGGGGACTAACAAATGCTGTGTATAGGACCTCTGAGCTAGTACCCGTAAACAAACGAGGAATTTACCTTGCCCTCGTCACAGCCTTTGTGCTCCCGTTCACTCCATATCTGATGTACGCTCAGCTCCTGTCGACCTACCACACTTGGAGATGGGGCATGTGGATCTGCTTGTAAGTCTGCACGTACTTGTTCGGCGACGCCCAAACCCAGCCAGAACTGACAGGTACAAAGGATGTGGAACGGTCTCTGGTGGATTATCTTATTCGTGGTATACTTTCCAGAATCCCAGACGCGAGCCAAGGGCATGGCAGCCAAAGCCATTCTCAAGAGGATCGACTACGTTGGCGGAGTGCTGTCCATTATGGGCTTGACTCTTGTGTAAGCTTCCCTTTTATACTTTCCTATCACTCCATCTCTAACAGAAACACATAGGCTAGTCGCCCTACAAGCTGGAGGTTACTCTCACCCCTGGAAAAGCGCATTTGTTATTGCTCAATTGATCATCGGCGTGTTCCTGATCGCCGCCTTTGTGATTTGGGAATGGAAGATTTGCAAAGACCCTATGGTGCCTCACGAGATGTTTTCTGGACAAAGAATTGTTGGTATGGCGTATGGAATTGCCTTTATTGCAGGTAAGAAACCCTAAAGAACTCTCCTCGCCCTGGCTCAATTTCATGATAAATGGGTGCTGACACACTCGTTTTCTCCTTTAGGGATGAATTTCTACGCCATGCTTAATTTCTTCCCTCTGGTGTACAGCACAGTCTTTGACCCTGATCCGGTGCATGTCGGTCTGCGAGGCATTGCTCCCGGCCTGTCCACCACCTTCGGTGCGGTGATTGCAAATGCCGCGTTGTCCTGGTTCAAGGGACATAACCGAGAGATCCTCCTAGCCGGCTGTGTTATCATGAGTAAGTGTCCCTGACTCGTTCCATGTCGTGGCACCTCCCTTGTCCCTTACACACGACCCTCTTCCTCTCCCCTTCTTACACATGTCTGCGTGCGTCGTTACATCGACTAATCATTGTCTCTCCAGCGGCGTTTGGCGGCTCTATCGCGGCAATCACCCCGGACCGTGAGGGCCTCGCCATCGGTCTAGGAACTATCACCGGCTTCGGGGTCGGCTCTGTGCTGGTCCCGGCCGCCACCGTGGCCATCACAGTGACACCGGATACTTCGATCGCGACATGCGTCGCACTCTCGCTCACGATCCGCGCCGTCGGCGGCAGTATCGGCTACGCCATCTACTACAACATCTTCATCAACAAGCTCACGCCAAACCTCCCCAAGTACGTCGGGGAGTACGCCATCGCCGCAGGCCTCCCGCTCACCTCCGCCACGGAATTTGTTGAGACGTTCTTGACTGTGCCCGCCAACATCACCAGCGTCCCGGGCGTGAACGCGACCATCATCCAGGCTGGAACCATCGGGTCGCGTTGGGCGTATGCTGAGTCGCTGAAGTACGTGTGGCTGACCAGTATCTCGTTCGGTGGGTGCGCCATCATCGCGTGCCTGTTCATCGGCAACATCACGAAGTACATGACGAACCGAGTCGCCGCGAGGATCAGGGAATAGATGTGGCCCTTTGTCGTCTCGAAGCGCGCGAGGATGCGGATATCAGTGGGGAAGACTGGAACTATATCCATCGACCCATGCATGCACCTATTATGCATTCTCAGCGGCTTTCCTTTTGAGACCATGATCCCCGTCGACGATGGGAACAGGACGAGTCTTGGACTGGACTTGGACGAGCCTTCGACCTTGACCTTGATCTTGACCTAGATGCTTATGCTAGCCAAAATGAGACCGAGACCGGTATATACCTATATCTATATATCTCTATCTACATACAGCACACAAAATGTGGTCGATATAATACATATAATTACATATGTAATACGCCCGATCCACGCAACATGCGGTAATTATTTCCAGTGTCGCGGACCATTTTGTCCCGAATCGAGACGAGACGGCTTGATTCCTCGAGCGTGCAAATAGCCATCCATGTACTGTATGTCATGTATATTACATGCCTTGAGTATTCCAGCCGGAAACGCTGGCAGAACGAGCAGAAGGCACGGACGATAGGGGGGGCTTGCATCTAGAGTATGGGCTTTTTCCGTCCTTTATGTGTAGTATACAGCTCTATAAGTCTATCTCCAACAACTTTTTCTCCCGGCGGCAAGGAAGCAAGCAAGTAAACAAGATAGACAAAACATCATAACTCATCTCTGATCCGCTCGTCGCTTACGAGCTTCTGCTGGTCTTCGCCACCACCGGCTTCATCCAGATCCTCGGTGTCCATGACCGCCGAGTCCTGTTTCTCCTTTGCTGCCCGAATAACCTCGGCGATCTCCTCATCGTACAGGGTCCATTCAGGAACCTGCCTCCTCGCCCTGTCCAACTTGGGTTCCTTGGTGAGCGGGTTATTGCACAGATCAATCGTCTTGGCCTTGGCTAAGCTGGCGTCGTCGCACCATGTCTCACACCACAACCATTCCTGAGATAGGCTGTGGATGGGCAGGTTGTGTTGCATGTGATTCGGCAGATCCTGGTCCAGGTTTGAGAGACTGGCAGGATCCGCCGACAGCGCTTGGTACTGTTGCCTGAGACGATCACCTGCGGCGAGTTGCCGGAATCTCTTGAGGTCGACAACATAGAGAGCCGATATGTGGTAGGGTTTACCCCTGAGATATGTCTCCCAGTAGCCTTGTTTCCAAAACCGGAAGCCTTCCATTTCCGTGCGAGAGTCGCACATTGGGGTAAATCCGTAGGGCGCTCCTTTCAGGTCCACTTTGTTTAATTCCATCATGTCAGTGCGGACGATTTGGTCGGCATCCACGAAGATGACTTTGTCCAGATCCAGCGGAAAGAGCACGTCCAAAAACAAGATCTTGTATCCCCAGATTTCTCGCTGCTTCTCCTTCTGGCCTCGGAGCCAATGAGGCCATTTATACGTGACCATTTCGTAGTCGAAGCCGTAGTGTTTCGCAAGGACCGGCAGAGTGCTCTTAAAGGATGGTGACAGGAATTGCTCGATGAACCAGAACTTGACGCTATGTCTAGTGTGCTTCATGACGGATACCATCATGATATTCAGCATCCTCTCGTACAGGTGGCCCGACGCCACCGAGAAGATGTTGATGTCCGCGTTTGTCGAGGTTTTCTTGAACCCCAGCGAGGAAAGCGCCGAAGATGCGAAAGACGCTCCCTTGCTGAGGTAGTCCATAGCTCCCCCAAACGCGGAGGTCTCTAGAACATCTTCCTCTTCCATGCCGGGTTTTCGGGAAAGTCGAGGGAACAGAGTTAACCCTTGGAATGAAAGCAAAGCGACAGACGTGGTCTCATCGCCCGGTTGAGCCGAGTAACCATGTGGGCCAACACTGTCAATGTTGAAAATCTTTGAAGATCTTCCTGGCTTTAATGATATTTGCCAGTACCCAGGATTGGCTTTGAATTGGAAGTATCCCAAATTGGCCATAACGATGGTATCCGTAAAGTGCGGCTCATTCTCAGTCCCCAGCAACAATTGTACGCCACGAGGTGGTGGACCATTAGTCACGTCCCTTGCATGACCTTCGATGAGAATATGTTCAAGCTCATAGATAGCGTCAATATTCTCGCCCTCGGCCAAGTTGCTAAGCCTGATGTTGTCTAAATCGTGGATAGATTCTTTGGGAGCCACCAGCCATGACGGAGGTACAATCATTCCAAGGTTAAATAGTGTATCCTTGGGAATGCCGCTGAATGATGCTGTGGGAACCACTAGCGAACCCCGATCGTCAAAACTGGGCTCTGGGCTGATGACTTGTCGGAAAAAGCGTTTGACCGGCAGCTCAGTCAACCTGTCCTTCGGATTCAAGAAAATCTGCACGCTCACGCCACTAAGCTGTGACAGGCTCTTCAGAATCGGAACCCATTGCTGGACAAGCTCAGAGGCCGGGTCAATGGCAGCCACGATCTGAATGTTGACATCGTCGGAGTTCGATATATTGATGGATGTATGAGTGCCGTTCCAGATTTTGAATCGCTCCAGCCTGATCAAGGGCGCAGATTCCCTCAAACCCTCCGGCAGGTCAGACTTTAAAGATCGAGCAACGAGCGAGGTGATCTTTGCCAGGTCGAGAGCCCCAGCGAACCGGTCCTCCAGCGCAAGTCCAGTGATGGCCGTTGTAACCGGTGCTATCCTTTCTCTCCGTTCGAAGTCAAGCAAAGACTCGAAGTCGACAGAGGTGAAGCTCTGTTCGAGGGGTCCCAGGAGACGACCATTCAGCCATATGCCATTCTGGCCTTCTGAAAACGATAGCGCCCGGATCAAATCTGTCTGAGAATGCCAAAATTCAGCTGATGCATCTGTGTTTTCATCGCTCGAAGGATTCAGACCGCCGTTGAGCAGCTCCTCGAGCCGTCCGACAGCTAAGTCCTGTCCGTTCTCTTGCAAAAGGGCGTAAAGAGCGTGGGCAAAGGAGGAGGTCTGCGCCTCGGGGTTGGGATTGTGAATGATCAACAGCTCTATTTCAGGATTTCGCTGGTGGAATAGCAGTGCTTCCAGAAGCAAGGCCCGCCCGGCTTGGGATTCAAGGTCCACGACGATAAGAAGATGGGCGCGGTCGCTCAACAATGTCGCCTCTGTCCCGGGCAGCCGAGGAAGGCGAGCAAAATTATCAGCAAATTCGGTGGCTATTTGGCCGACGTCGACAATTTTGACGTCTTTGGGGTCATCAGGGAAGACCATCTCATTGCGCCGCTTGACAGCCTGGAAGAGGAAGAACTCGGGGATCCAAGAATCTTCCGCGATGGCCTCTTGAAACACTGCTTGCTGCACCAGCTGGAGATCTGAGTACAAACGCGCACTCAAAAGCTCAAACCAGTTGTCCGTCCTCCGTAAGACCACGCCGTTGACGAGGAAGGCGGGATCGGGTCCTTCTAGAGCTAAGCGGGCCAGATACTGATCCCGTGCCTGCAGTCGTAGATCCAGGCGTTCGTCCGTTAGAACATCTTGAAACGACAATGCCTCCTTTCCTTCTCTCCTGGCCCGACCCTTGATAGCAGTATTGAAACTTTTCTCTGGCCTCGGATCCAACTTTTTAGCGGATACAATGTCAGAAAAGAAATTCATCACAGCAGTCAGACCATAAGTGTCTGAAATATAATATGCCACTTTTGAATAAATGTTCGCTGTCTCCCCTTTCCCGATGGGGATCAGAGCAATTCTGATGGGAACTTGTCGCCGGACCAGACTCTGTAATGACGTGGCGGCCAGTTCAATGTCCTTGATGTTGCCCATATCTATGGGCACGATGAGGTTATGTATATCGCGAGATACTTGGGGAAGCTGCCCAGGATATGTCCTTTGGAACAAAGACCGCAGAGACGATGACCATCCAGCATAACGCTTATCTTGCTCCAGATCATTCAGCCACATCAAGATCCCCCCAGCTTCGGAATCGTCGCGCCAGTCAAACCGTTGAGGCGTTTCATTGGCCTGTGCTTCGGCGATTATTTCACTAGAGAGCAGGCTAATGGCTTCGGACGGTGTCAGCCCTAGGTTCTTGAGCTGGGCAATAATGCGCCTTTCTCTTCGCAAATGGTCGAGCAGGGAGTAGGCATTGATCTGACGGGGCTCGATCTGCACGCCGTTGATCCACAGGACATTGTATCCCGAGGGTAGAAACCGTTCTCGGTTTGCCCGATGTTCAAGGATGAAGTTTCTGCTGGCATTTGCCGCCGCGAGAAGGGACGAGTACCTGGGAAAATCGGACGTGACTTGCAGTAGGGTATCCAGAGGATTCGAGCTTGAGACGATGAAGCTGGCGGCATTGAGGCCCAAATTGGCAACTTCTGAAGTGGTCAGGGGCTTCAGGTCTGTGAGCTCATCTTCCTGGACATTCTCCAACGAGAGCTGCTCCGGCGTTGAGTCTCCCGACTTTTGGGCATCACGGTCGTCGATAACGATGTAGTCTGTGCGCTTCAAAACGAGCTCCACCCCATAGCCTGTGACATAAATCGGTCTGCGAGAGATCGACGCTGAAGGTCTGTAACGCACCCTGTACGTGGATCTCCCTTCCCGAGCAGTCTGGCTGACGACACTGTGAAACTGACCGAACAAAGGATGAGTGATGTCCGCATAGAGGATAGATGTCGGCCCATCAGCGGAGGCACCGAGGACCCGATCAAATGGGAGATCGTCCACCGTATCTGGAATGGAAATCGCCTGCTGAGCACGGTCCAAAGCAGGGGAGCAAAATTGCTGGCCATCCAAATAAACCCAGACGGGGCAGGCGGCGTCCTGCGCAGCCATCAGATGAGGTTGAACCGAAGTGGTGTAGTACTGGAAATGAGCCTCAACTCTGGGGGCCGCAGCATGCAGGGCGAGAGCGAATTTGAAGGACGAAAGGGACTCGGAAGTGGAAAGGTGTCCGTCATCTTGTAAGATATCGAGAAATCTATGATACAGCTCTTGTTCTGATTGCAAATCCGCAAAGACGCCCTCGGCGATGCGGTCGAGAAGAGGAAAGTAGGACGAGGAGTTCTCAAGTGCAGCCGTTTCTCTGGTCGAAGGTTAGTGCATGGTCGAAGCATCGATGAAGGGAGGGGTGGGCAGTGCGCACAGCAACTCAACCAGGTAAGGGCCGGCGGCGAACGAGGTCTGTAGAGCGACATTGACAGAAGGAGAGGCTCGTGCAGGGACAATCAACGAATCCCAAGACCAAAGAGGGAGCAGTAACCACGTCCAGGGTATCTTTGAAGTCCGCATTCTGACGAGGCTCTGTGGAAAGGAGTGTCATAGATGAGATCCCCTCGCTATGTTTTTGTTCAATGGTGCATCTCGAACGACATAGGAAAGCTAAGCCAGCACAACTGAAATCGAGCCTGTGGAAACCAAGGTGCAGAAAGCGAACGGTGATGGACTTGACGACAAGGTGGGTAGGTGGGTGGGTGGTGGAGAGGCCAGATTGTATAGAAAGGGGCCATGGAAATTAATTTCTATGGGGAAAAACTATCTGCGCGTTGTCGCGTCTTCTCCCCTTCCACGATCGGAGTTCATTGACGTTCCACAACCTCCCCTCCACCAAGACTCTCTCGTATGTTGCTCGACCGATTCACCGAAGCGGCGGCCAGATCCTGATCAAGTCAGTCCAGACCTCTCCTCCCTGCGACCTCCTCCCTTACCGTTCGTTTCCTTGCCTCAACCAAACAAGAATGACCGGATCACTCTCCTTCAGCGGCTTAGATACTGGTCGCGGAGAGCAGCCGCCCTCGACCAATTCTACAAGCAAGGGATAGCGCAGACCGGGCACAATCACAAGGGATATGTGGTCCTCTTCAAACGTCTCCTCGACGAGTACTTCCAGCGCCTGCACAGTTCATGACCGATGCATTCCGATGCCTCAGCTGAAGACTCGGTGACATTGCACGTTGGGTATCACTCAGACCGTTCCAAACGAGGGAGGAGCCACTACGACGCGACCGTCTCTGATCGCAGCTACATTGCTTGTCACCGCCTTCACATGACGACCATTCCCACGGGCAAACAGCATCATTACAGAGGGCAATGTCGCACCACTATTAATTTCTCGCTGAGTCCTCGTTCAGAAGCTCATCCATCCATCTTGACGAGCGACAACCCTGCCCTTGATCCCTTCGGAACAGAAACACCTCCGTCAAGCCCAGGGATTCGCACCTGGCACTCCCTGCGACGCACAAATCATTCCAAGATGTGCAAGACCGAAGCGTTCAAATCTCACACCTGCCCACATCACTGGATGAGCATCGTCAAACCATGTGGGCCCGAAGCGTCCTTCAAGAACCAGGCTCACCAATACACTCCGGCACGGAGCGCCTGGAAAAGACTGGTGCAACCAGAATACCTCTCTGCGCCGGCCAAGAGCTGTCCGAATTGCAATCTGAAGGGGGACTACGATGCAGACAAGACACGAATCATTCTCAGGAACCCCGGCGAGGCAGGCAATCTGGGCAATGGATACAACATGACCGATGGACGGGGGAGGGTGACCCCAGCGAACCATTACACGAGACATGGTCGGCCAATGTCATATGCTCCGACAGGGTTTCATACCAATGGCCAGTGGCAACAGGCTGGGTGCTGTACTGTGATGTGAGGCAGAGCGCATAGAGGTTTTGTCTCTGCGGCGAGCACAGGAGCGAGCTGGAGGGAAGGGTGTATATTCAGCTAGCCAGGAGCCATATCATTCTCTGAGCCTTCTCTCTCTCCTTTCTTCTCGTTGACCACTTCCCATATGTGCATATGGCATCATCATCCACGGAACCGTTTCCGCTGCGCAGTTATAAGTCGGACATGACCAACGCCTCCCTCTCCTCGTTGATCGATCACGCAATCGCCCCTCTCGATTGGATCAACCGTTGAACCCCTCCCTCGCATTCGGAGATGCCCTGTAGACACCACAGGATGTGCCTACGGTAGGCATTCGCTCGCTATAATACGTGAATGGAATGGGGCATGAGGTCAATCAACAGGCACGAGGACCATCACGGGAGCAGGACGACAGGGATGGTTTTTTTTTCTTCTCGTCTCTCCTCTTCTTCTCATCACTGTCTTGACTTGATCCTCGTGCCCTCTCCATTCTCAATTCCTGTTCACCATCCTGTAGAACAGAGTTCTTGAGAGAAAGGAAACCACGACATCTAGACTTGACCAGCACTCGCTGACCATGGCTCCCATAGCAGTTGAACCGTCTCACCCTCCTCCTTCGACAATGCCCTCGAAGTCCACGCCGCCGGTCGACCTGTCCATCTTCCCCGACGGGTTCAAGACCTCCGGCCAACACCCTCCGCTCTACGACCAGCTGTACCCGTACGCAGCGTTTCCCAAATCCATCTCCGGCCCCACGGTATGGTCGAACGAAGACTACGCCTCGCACCCGGAGACGTGGACGCACGTCTTCTCGGACGCTGAGATCAACGAACTCTCGTCCGCGGCCGACAACTTCATGGCCCAGGGCCTGCCCCTGACGGGGATCAATCCGTCGAACTTCCCGCTGCCCAGCATGGCCGCGGCATTGAAGTTGATGCGCAACGAACTCCTCAACGGCAAGGGCTTCATCCTGTACAAGGGCTTCCCCGTGAAGCAATGGGGCTCACACAAGGCTGCGGTGGCGTACATGGGACTGGGCACGTACATCGGGTACCCGGTGTCGCAGAACGGCCGGGGTCACATCCTGGGCCACGTCAAGGACCTGGGCGAGGACAGCACGCAGATCGACAAGGTGCGCATCTACCGCACCAACGCGCGACAGTTCTTCCACGCTGACGACTCGGACGTGGTCGGGCTGCTGTGCATCGCCCGTGCCGAGGAGGGCGGCGAGTCCGACGTGGCCTGCGTCCACCACGTCTGGAACATCCTGCAGGCCGAGCACCCCGACGTGGCCGAGCTGCTGACCCAGCCCGTGTGGTACTTTGACCGCAAGGGCGAGGTGTCCCAGGGGGAGGAACCCTACATCCGCACCAGCGTCTTCTACCTCGAGACGCCGGCCGAGGGCCACGAACAGCGCGTCTACTGCAAATGGGACCCGTACTACGTGCGCAGCCTGACGCGCTTCTCGGACAAGGGCATCATCCCGCCGCTGTCCCCGGCCCAGGTGCACGCGCTCGAGACGCTGGAGAACGTGTGCCAGCGCGTCAAGCTGCACATGATCCTCGAGGTCGGCGACATCCAGTTCCTCTCCAACTGCCACATCCTGCACGCCCGCACCGCCTACCGGGACTACCCCCCCGACAGCGGCATGCCGCGCCGCCACCTGATGCGGCTGTGGTTGAGCACGCCCGTCAGCGAGGGCGGATGGAGACTGCCGTTCCACGACGCCGACGAGCGGAAGAGAGGCGGCATTCAGGTGGATGACACGAGGCCGGTCGCGAGACTGGATGCAGATTGATTGAGTTCGGCTGTTTCCCCCGGGGTTGGGGAGGAGGGCTGTGCGTGCATATATATATACATACCTACATAGAGAGAGGATGAATTTGCAGGGGTGAATTCAATTCTGGAACGTTTTGGAAGAAACGTATAGACGAACATACACACGAACGATATTTCCTGGCTCATTCGACTCCCACACGCAGGTAGAGGGCTTGTCATCGAGCACTGACTCTGGATGGATGTACTGCTGGTACAAGTGGTACATATCAACACCATGCACCTCACCTACCTCGATCCTCGATCTGAGATTTCCCTCCCACTGGCTATTTTCTGCCAGAGCGAGCCCTGCATCCGTCTGTTGTATGACGAATGACTGGGCACAATACTGTATGTAGACGTGACTCGATATCCCCGGGGCCGACTTACTATTAGCACCATGGCACGCCGCCTGAGCGCGATCGGCAACCCCATTAGCATGAGATAATAATGATAATACCACACCGGTGGCCGAGGAGGGAAAATGCACCGTTTTCCCTTTCGGAATATGCCTGCTGTACATACATAATAGTACAGTATTATTAGCACTGAGTATTTCTCGAGAACAGCTAGCTACCTACCCCTGAGCCGGTTCCCGGTCAGCATAAAAGCACGGACGGCTTGGATCTCAAATGCAAGCATGGTTTTTTTGGTGTGCAGGGGGAGACACTTCCATCTGGACCACTGTGTTTTGACGCGACAGATCGAGATGGCGGCGTGACTGGAGACCGGGCGGGTCACAGGGAGCTCTTGAGTGGGTACAGAGAGCGTTGAGATGGCTGGCTTGAAAGGGAGGCAGGTGTCTGTGTGTGTGTGTGTGTGTGTGAACAGAAACCCTTTTGGGAGAATGGTAGGCAGGTAGTAAGTCGGTCTTGACCAAAAGCTCGGGATCAGGTCATCCCACCCTCGTGGACTCCGGCATGGCGGCTGATCGTCTTGAGGAGTAGTGAAGACCATTATTGGACCAAGCGCCGTAACAGTAATAATATTAATAGAGGAGAAAGAAGTCCGCCATCATGACATGCGGCACCGAGAGGGCGCCCAACCCCCCTAGCTCCAAGCCCTACCGAACGTTAAAGACGAAGTACGGCATGCGGATACGCCCTTCCGTGCTGTGGCTTCTCTGAGGGTACAGTAGGTAATCTGCCCGCGTCAAAACCCGGGCTCGGGGTTGAGCGCATGGTCGATCTTCATGTGTGCTCCACCTGCCCTTCGCAGGGGAAGAGCAGGCATCGGTGTCTCGCAGTTGTTGGATAGATAGAATGCGTGCCCACCCCGCCCATGCAACAGAGATATTCTAGGGCAGAGACCATCCTGGACGTTCGTGATGCATTCCTCCAGGAGGTGTGACCCGATCGGAGCAGGCTCTCAGATGAGTGAGCAAGCCCGATCGCCTCGTGGTCCCAGGCGTTGGGCCACGACTCGATTCGACGTTGCAAGCTTCCTGGATCTGGTAGCTTGACATGCGCGATGACAAAGACTGGTGAGGCGTCAGAGTAGGACCGAGGTCGCCATGCAGCTTGATTGGGTGTCTTCCTTTCCCTGGAACGCCAAATGCAGAACGCCTCGGGGGGGGAAACCAGAACGCGGGCGCCGCCGTAGACGATGATGGCAGGGGGCATTATCTCAACCGAGTAATTGCAGTCCGCGTCCCGCTATACTGAGTGTAGGCATCCCACGTCTCCTCCAACCAAAGAGGCTTCCCCATGTCCTCTCGGGGGTCGCCAGTGGTGCATCATGAGTCTTTGGGGGTTAATCAGTCCTCATAGGGCCAGGTCGCCTACTCCTACCCAAAACGCGCAAAGGGCCGTCCCCGTCTCATTGGACCTCTGGGACATCGGGCTCTGGCTGGACGAATGAACTGAGTTCGGGGTTCGCGCCTTGAGTGTTGGCTTTGCTTGGTTGGTCTGGGGTGGATTGGCACTGCTCTGTGTGCTCTCTCACCAGTGGCCTGTCCCTTGCAGCAGGGCCCCAATTCGACCACGACTCGCTTACTCGAAAACTCTCCTGGGGTCCCTCGTCTAGCACTGGGTTTTGGGGGGCATGGTGTGAGTGGTGGTGGCTGGGTTTCGACCCTGCATATTTTTCCGGGCGGATTATCTTCTTCCGGAGCTGACTTGGATAGCATCGCGATTCATCCACCGCGGCATCAAGCAACCATTGCTGTGTTACTCTCTTTTGGGAGGTAGTGACCGATCATGAGGTATCCCCTGCCCATCTTTCGCGTGCATACACAGGCAAGATGCTCTGACGCAACATGTCCACGCTCCCAAGACACTCGGCTGCGGACGAGGTGCTAAGATTAGCGGATATTCAGCGCGGGCCTCCCGGTCCCTCTCGTCTTCAACATGTCCATATATTGTTGCGAGTGTCCGGTCCAGTTGGAAAGCACCGTGGACAAACATGCTCGGGCTCCGAAAGGGATGGATCGTTCCAGCGACCGTGACCCGAGGCAGGTTCCCAGGACAAACCCATTGTTTCCCCCACCCCGACAGCGAGAAGATGAGGAACAGGAGTCACACCGACGACGGCAGTCTCTCCATGGACGGCCCGCGGCACAACAGCAACGACAACAACAACAACAACAGATACCACTCCATCGTCGCAGCAGCTCGGTGCGATCTAACCTCGAAGTTGCTCCACTGGGGACTCCCGGGGCGCACGAGTTGTCGACCTCGCCCTTTCCTCTGCCTGGAAACAGCTTCGTCCAACGTGCGATCCAATACTGTATGGTCGATCTCCCCCCCTCAGATGAGCAAGGCTAATGTTCGCCTTCGGTCCAGATGTCAAGCAGTACTCTCCGACGACGGTTCAGCGTCCTCATTTTGTGGGCGTTGGCCCGGATCTGACCCTGTTGCGTGATTACATTCCCTTCATCATGAACGATCGTATGACCTTCTCGGCAGTGGTTGCCATGGCCTCCTTCGGTGCCAACATAGCCGCCACTGGTAGTCGCGAGGCTCCCTCGGAATCTCTGAGGTTCTATCAGTCGGCTGTTTCATTGGTCCGCGGGAGGTTGGCCAATGAGTCGCAGCAGGCCAGTGATGCCCTCATCGTGACCCTAGCCAACCTGTGCGCGTTTGAGGTGAGCAGACGCTCTTCCGGAACTCGTCTTGTGTAATCAGCCTACTGATTCCGTGATGCTTAACCCTGTAGGCCTTGTCGGGAAACTATGAGGCGGTTGACATGCATACACTGGGTATCAAGCAAGTGGTCAGTCTTCGTGGTGGCGTGAGCCAATTAGGTACTTCTCCCGCTCAATCACTCGGTCATTTGCACGTACCACTCTGACCAGAGGCAGGTTTCGAGGGATTTCTGAAGACCGTGGCGACTGCGTAAGTGCTATTTTGGTTCTGACAGGACGTTGGGTCCAAAACACACATGACTAATCCATGACCGATGCTTCCTTTGTCTCTCCAGGTGGCAGAACTTTTATGCAGCTCGACACTCTGTCTCCCTGACCGATCCGCGCTTCTTTCCTGAGGATGGCATCTTCACCTACCCCGAACATCCCTTCGACCCCGAGTTGTGTGATGTGATTTCCCGGTTTCCCTCTGGACTGACCGACATCGCCTTGTCGGGCATGCTGAGTCATCAGATCATCAACCTGGTCGCCCATGTCAACAGCTGGGTCCAGGAGGTGAATGTCTCTCTCAAAGATTCGGACGTATACAGCCTGCATGATTTGTCCCAGAGTTCTCGCAACGTCACCCTGTGCGGCGAGTTCCTGCACAAGCGAGGATTGACCATGGCCGAGCAGCTCCTCGTTCTGGCACTGACCGCCTTCTGCTATTCCACCGACTCGACACGCGCCATGTTTTACCTGACCAATGCTTTCCTCCAGCTTCGTTGCAAGCACATGCGGACGCAGTATATTGAGGTGACGGAGAGAAACGAGGCATTTATCACATGGGTGTCGACCATGCTGCTTGCCACGTTCGAACCATCAGCGCAGCCTTGGTTTTTGGGCCTGTCAATCCTGCGAGCGCGACCGACCCTGCGAGACTGGCAGGCCAACGTCAGGATTTCCGAGAACTTTTTCTGGAACGATGGTCTCTCGCTGAGGTTAGCAGCGAAGCTCGGCCACCTCCGAGGAACAGAACGCCAGGGTCAGGGCTGATCCTGCAGAACTTGAGGATGTTCCCTTTGATGCAGATGATACCCGGTGACGCCATGAGAATGTGGAGATATCATCATCTCGATCACGCACAGATTCGACGGGGCCAGCTGACAGTCCAAGACCAGCCATCCGTCCAACATCACTCGCTCACCTTGGCAGTTCACAGAGAGTTGCCCAATGGGGTTCCATATAATTCGCCAGTCAATATCCTCATCTGGGAGGAGCATAACACCAAACTCTCTCATTCATCCAGATCCTCCACGTGGGGCCGATGCAGCGCTCACTCGCTCCACACAGACGCAACAGAACCGGCAGAAGGTCTTTGCTGGAGATAGCCACCGAAAATCAATCAACAGAACAAAGTGGCACTGTGCGAGGGGTTATCGAAGGCTGACACGGCTCTTTCTTGTGTTACTGTTGAGGCACGCGTTACGGCGGCGCGAGGTAAACAATTTTCCATTTCCGGCTAGGCGCAGCCAAGCCTTACATAATTCTGGCTTGGCATGTAATGGGGACGTCGTCGACACGTTCAAGCGCGTTCCATGTCTTGTTCTCTGTATGTATGAATCTACACTCGCTACATAGCTCTCTCGGTACATTTTCCTCAGGCAATAATTGGAACTGCCATCACGAGGCAACCCGACACTGAAGCTCCTAATATGGAATCACCATGTCTACATCGATAATGCCCACGTCCCGTACGGTAGACGGAGTCTTCGCATCGGTCTTCCCGCCTTCGGTCGTCAAGCCCCCCAAGAACCGTCGCCGTTTCGCGCCCAGGACCCTTGCAACCATCCCGGAGATCCAGACTTCCTTACACCAGCACCTGAGGGTCCTTCTCGGAATCGGTGACGAGACCTTCGTCTATGGCCAGGAGCAATGGGTGTCCAATGCTGGCTTTCCCTTCCACAGCCACCTCGATTCCTGTCCGCCACTCGACGAGCTCAGGAAGCCGACAGCAACTGACCATGCTACCCAGATCAGCAGAGAGGCACAGTCTCCCATCTGGACTATGCTTGCGGGTTGGGGCGCGACGGTCGGTGCAGAGACCGTGGTCAAGCTCCTCGCGTCGGTACTGAATGAATTGATGACCGAGTTTGTGACCTGGTCCTACGCCGGAATCTACCGTCAAGAGCTGCACCTTCACCTCGAGTTTTGGGTAGAACATTTGTTTTCCCGGATTGCACGCAAGGTGCTCGTTTGCCTGGACGAAAAGTTGGAATCACAAACTCTCCCGGAGACAGAGGTGAGGAAATGGATGGATATGGCGACCGCCCGTCTCGGCGCTCTCCGCGTCGATGAGCTCTTCGACGTCATCGTGGAGTGGGACGCTACCGCACCCGCAATCGAGGACTTGCGCCATTTCACGACAAACCCGATGACAAGAGGGTACTTGGCGCACAACTTTGCCAATGTCCTGCAAGCACGTCTTCTCCACCCTGGCGCATCGACCATCGAGATCCTACAATTCTATATTTCCATCATCCGCTCGTTTCGCATCCTCGACCCACGAGGAGTCCTCCTCGATCGAGTCATAAGGAGACTCCGTCGCTACGTCCGAGAGCGAGACGATACCGCCAAGGTGATTGTGGGCGGACTGCTGGCAGACGTATCACCGGACGAAGAAGGGCGGCCGCCACCGTCCGACCCGACCGTCCTGACAGAACTCGCTCGTGAATTGACCAGCCACACCGCACGAGACAATGGGCCGGATGACGGTGAATTTGACTGGAACAACATGGAGTGGATTCCCGACCCCATCGACGCCGCCCCAGACTACTCGAAATCCAACAAACCCACAGATGTAATCGGTAGTTTCGTTACACTGTTTGAAACCAAGGACGTCTTTGTCAAGGAGCTTCAAGCCGGGATGGCGGAGAGGCTTCTCAAGAACAAAGCCCACTTCCACGAGGAAGTCGGTATGCTGGAGCATTTGAAGATACGTTTCGGAGACTCGGGACTGCTCGTGTGTGAAGTGATGCTGCGGGATGTAGTGGATTCGAAGAAAGTGGATAAAGTCATCAGGAGGGAGTTGGAAATGCAACAAGCGAAGACAGGACGCGACCCCACGGACGGGGATGACGGGGTCCAGATTCACGCAAGGATCCTCTCCCGCCTGTTCTGGCCGGCCATGCCCGATCAGTCATTTAACGTCCCACCCGCGGTGATGGAGGAGCAAAGAAAGTACGAACAGGGCTTTAAGGCTCTGAAGCAGTTGCGCAAGTTGACCTGGATCAATAGTATTGGTCAGGTGGAGGTTGACTTGGAATTGGAGGACCGTACGTACCACGAGGAAGTCTTTCCATGGCAAGCGACCGTCATCTACGCGTTCCACGATGAAGGTGTCGGAAGTGCCGGGCAGCCGGTGAGAAAGACCGTGACGGAACTTGCCTCGGAGCTTGCCATGTCTCAAGCCCTCGTTCGGTCGGCCTGCATGTTCTGGGCTTCCAAACGCGTCCTCACTGAAGCCTCGCCGAACACCTTCGCTGTTCTTGAAAAGCTCCCCAGCGGAGCCGACGCCGCCGACGACACGCCGATGGGCGAAGCTGGTGCATCCGCCAACCACCGATCCAACAGAAATTTCGCCGCCGCACAAGCAGCCGCTCTGGCCGCGGCTACAAGGGAGGCCGAGGAAGCAGAACGCAAGCAAAAGATGGCCATGTATCAACGATTCATTGTCTCGATGCTCACGAACCAGGGCGGCATGCCGCTGGCCCGGATCTCGATGATGTTGTCCATTGTGGTGCCGGGCGGGTTCCCTTATAGTAATGAGGAATTGAAGGAGTTTCTGGCGTCCATGGTCAAGGAAGATGCGTTGGAAGTAGGCAATGCGGGTATTTATCGAGCCAAGACTTGAGGACGATGACCTATGATTACGAACTGACGAAGACGAACGGGGAGACGGCGATGAGGCGTGGACTTCCCACGGCGAACAGACATGCGGTTCCTGCGGTTGTCGTTGTGGCAGCTGTTGATGATACGATGGATGGGCAGCAGCGTTTGTTTGTGTGCATAGCAATAGTGGACGTGCCCCAAGAAGATCAAGGAGGCCTTGAGGCGACGACAAGCATTAGAATTACCAGAGAAGCGAACAGTGCCACGAGATGGGTTGGAGGAGCACCACCCAAGTCACTATCGATCATATTCTGCCTACATCGATACTCTATGCATGTCAACATCCATCCATAAAAAAGGGGGTGATAAACACTGTATTAAGCTTAATCCGAGGATACGCCGCCACACCCGTTGAAATTTTGACCTCCATATTCTTTGCCGTCGTTGTCCCAAGAACATAATCATAGTGATACCCCAATTCCCTTCATTGGTCTTTGCGTTACCGCGAAAGAAAGACAAAGAGAGAAAGAAAAAGACAGAGATAGAGAGAGATACCGTCTGTCTGGACCGTGTGGACCGTCGCAGGATATTCTCTCTCGTTATTGCTGTAGAAAGAAAAGAAAAGAAAAGCAAACAGGAACTAGCCACTACAAGAGACCAGAACCAGAACCAGAACCAGAGGAAAGCGAACACTCGACCCGAGACGCAGCAATGAGGTCGTGAAAAGCAGACAGAGAGGACTAGGAGATCCTGTCCTGTCCACTTCCTTTCTTTTCTTTCCATATCTTCTGATCGACCTACGAGGTCGAGGTCCGGGTCGAGAGACAGGCAGACACACAGACACACAGACACACAGATACACCCTAGAGCCTCGCGGCCCACGACGCGACACAGCAACAGCAATGCTCCCGACCCCGTCGACCTCGCACGTCTCGTACGACCTGATCTACGAGCCGGCCGAGGACTCGTACCTGTTTCTCGACACGCTCTCGTCGGCGTCGGAGACGGCGTGGCTGCGTTTGCGGTTTTGCTCCTCCTCCCCCCCGTGCTCCTCTTCTTCTTCTTCGGCGCAGCCAGAGCCAGAGCCAGAGCCAGAGCAACCCACCACCAGTTCCAGCTCCAGAACCAGAACCAGGACGACCGCACAGGCTAACAACAAGAGCCCACCGCCCCTCCTGGTCGAAGTCGGCCCCGGGTCCGGCGTCGTGGTGGCCTTTCTGGCCGCGCACGCGCCCGCCATCTTCGGCCGCCCCGTGCTCGGCCTGAGCGTCGACGTCAACCCGTACGCGTGCCGCGCCACGCGGACTACGGTCGAGAAGGCTCTCGGGGAAACTCAGGCGGCGGCGGCGGCGGAGATGACGACGACGACGCTGACGACGACGACGACAATAGACGAAAAGAACCCCTGGAGCAGGAGCAGGAGCAGGAGCATCTACCTCGCCTCCCTGAACGGCGACCTGGTCACGCCGCTGCGGTCCGGCGAAGTGGATGTGCTGGTCTTCAATCCGCCCTACGTCCCGACGGAGTCGGTTCCTGCTCCTCCTGCTCCCCCTCCTCCTCGAACTACTACTACCCCTCCTGCCGCTTCTCCCACGTTCGCGGACCAATCGCACCTCCTCGCGCTCTCCTACGCGGGCGGCCGCGACGGCATGGACGTCACGCGGCGCCTGCTGCGCCAGGTGCCCGCGGTGCTGAGCCCACGCGGCGTCGCCTACGTGCTCTTCTGCCGCGGGAACCGGCCCGACGAGGTCAAGCGGTGGATTCGCTCGTGGGGGTCGGGGTCGGAGTCGGAGTCGGAGTCAGAGGCAAACGATGGCGATGGCGACCACCACCACCACCACCAGCAAGGGCGGTGGCGCGCCGAGACCGTGGGCACCAGTGGCAAGACCGCCGGGTGGGAGAAGTTGGAGATTGTGAGGATATGGCGCGAAGAGGAGAACGGGAATGAATCAGTGAGTGAGTGAATGAATGAATGAATGACTGGACGAGGAAACCGAGGAGAGCGGCAGCGAGTGATGAGTGACCCGAGGGGACAGGACAAGAGTGTATCAGAAAGGTACGTGCTGTACACCACCCAAGAGACATACTGGTCGTGGACGTTTGTGATGTGATACTGTACAACGGAGAAGCGGCGAGCCACAACCACAACCACATCTTTTCACGCGATGCACCACGTTCTCGTGAAGTAAACAGCATGCAAAAACTATTATTATTAATTACTTTCGTCAACTCGTGCTGTGTGGCATTGTTTGTCCAACCAACGGGACGACAACTTTCGCTAAACAACTTCCTCGAGATCCCAGCCACATTTTTCTTCTGTGTCGAGATTTCGAGAGGGCTTTGTTTCTCTTCATGCTTGGTTTTTGTTTTCCCCCATCCATATGCAATCCAAGGCTGTGCAGGAAGGTAGGTAGCATAATTAAGGTACGCAATTCGCGAATGTTCGGTCGGAGGTGTTTCAGAGAGAGAGAGAGAGAGAGTGGGGCGACGATAAGTCGGTGAAATCAGTTGACGTTAATCAGAGGCACGAGAGAGAGAGGCACGAGAGGGAGAGGAACAGGTTGGCGGTCGACTGGTTGTTTGACCTGAAACCTTACAGAAGAGCCACAGCTCTGCCAATTCTGTTAGCATTTGAAATGGGACACCAACGGGGTTGATGGGAGATCTTACCCTGCAATACCCGCAACGACAGCAATTCCTCCAGGGAATTCAGGTCGGTATGCGGCGCCGGTAAAAGTCGCTGGAGCGACTGAGGTCGAGGCGGGAGCAACAGTCTCGGTTGGCGCCTGGGGCTGTCCATCGCTGATTTGAGTGACAGGGGCGCCCGTTGGTGCTTGGGGTTGACCATCACTGATCTGGCTGACAGGTGCACCGGTAGGAGCTTGCGGCTGTCCATCGCTGATCTGGGTCACTGGTGTCCCTGTAGGAGCTTGGGGCTGTCCGTCGCTGATCTGGCTGACGGGAGCACCCGTTGGTGCCTGGGGCTGTCCGTCGCTGATCTGGGTCACGGGAGTACCAGTAGGGGCCTGAGGCTGCCCATCACTGATCTGGCTGACGGGAGCACCAGTAGGGGCCTGAGGCTGTCCGTCGCTGATCTGGGTCACGGGAGTACCAGTAGGGGCCTGGGGTTGCCCATCACTGATCTGGCTGACCGGCGCACCAGTAGGGGCCTGAGGCTGGCCGTCACTGATCTGGGTCACTGGTGTCCCTGTAGCGGCCTGGGGTTGCCCGTCGCTGATCTGGGTCACTGGTGCTCCAGTAGGGGCCTGGGGTCTTGAGGAGGTTAGGAATGGAGGCGAGCAATAGAGAGAGCCCGGATTAAACTTACTGGCCATCGCTGATCTGGGACACCGGCGTTGCGGTGGGAACCTGTGGCTGTCCATCCGAGATTTGGGAGACAGGTACGCCAGTCGTTGCTTGCGGCCTACGAAATGTTAGTAAGGACTGCAGGTAGGACCAGGCGTGAGGGACAAGCATTGGTGAACTTACTGGCCGTCGCTGATCTGCGTGACAGGAACACCAGTGGTAGCCTGAGGTCTGCGAAGGGGTCAGCGAACACACGCTACGAAAGTAATACCACAAGAACACATGAGGCCGTGTTCTAGCTCAATGCGAGCATGTGCCGTCCGTACGATAACAATGATGGTAGGAGACACCACAAGAACCAAATCATGCCATAACAATGAGGGGTCACTTACTGTCCATCTGAGATCTGGGTAACGACCGCCGAAGTGACCTGGGGTTGGCCATCCGTGAGTTGAGTGACCGACGGGACGACAGTCGTGACTGCTGGTTGGCCATCATTTGCTTGTGTGGCTGGCGGAGCAGAGGATGCGATCAGAGCGTAGATATAGATTGGGACACAGTGGGGGGCCCAGTCCCGGTCGTACAGGTTATAGAATGATCCGCTCAGACATTGATACCAGATGGCAGAGCCACCCAACGCAAGGCTTGAGTTGGAGCAGAGAGAAAACCCGCTTGTGTAGATGGCCCCGGCCTGTGGAGGGTTGTCAAACTGGAATTGATAGTTGGAGGCAATATATCCAGTACGTCCGGCTTGATCTTTGAGGATCGAGTCCGCAAGAGTGAGGGTCAGGATGCCAGAATTTTGACGCTGAATACGAGTCAGTCCATCTGGCATGAATGCGAGTGACGCAGGGGGACCTACCTCGTGCAGGTCCCGTTTGGCTGAGGACGAGACATTCACCACAGTGATCTCGAAGCTGCCGCTATACGAGGGCTGGCAGCCCTCGGGAGCTGGAGACGATGGAGCAATTGCAGAGGTCACACCTTGCGGCATGGGTGAAGCCAGGACGGAGGCCGCCAAGGCCGTGAGAAGAGCGAATGTACGCATAGTTGCAGTGGGTGTAAGACGGGATGGCCTGTTGCTGACACGGCTACTCGATCTCAACGAGGGTGGGCAGACGCTGAAGCGAATGATCAGTGCCTTACCGAAGGATTTGGGAGTATACAATAAGCAACACTCTTGAGAGAAAAAGAAAGAAAGAAGATGAGCACCGGGCGGGACGGTTTTATGAAAGCACTGTGAAGACGGAAACTCGCCAGAGGAAGACATTCGAAGCCATCCTAGCGGTTCCCCTGGCAGTCGAATGAGAGTCAATGATACATCGAGAGGTCGTCCGTGACAGCCGGTCAGTGGATGGACGTTGATGTTAGTGTCGAGTGTTCAATGCACGTTCTCTCCACCATCTTTCCAGCACACCACTGTTCCAGGTGTAGCTTGAATCCAAAAGCGTTGTTTTTCCTTGCCGACCCCGCACCCAGTAGGCGGATGGTGTGGTCGCTTGGAGCGCCATTCGATGTCCACATCTTGGCGATCGTCGTGCCGCCGAGGAGCTCCCTGTTCGGGCGGGCTTCGTGTAATTCACATGTGTGCTGCATGTCAAAAAAAACTTTGATGGAGAGGTCACAGCCAGTCCTCACGGCGAAGGAGGACAGAAGAGAGCTTGCTGACCCACCCATCTGGTACCACCGAGATCAGTCAATGACGAAATAGACTCAGGACGCCGCTGCGAGAAGTGTGTAACATCTGAGACATGAAGCATCAGACGGTTGCATATGAAGCCTCTTTCGGGAACCTTGGTCGGCCAATTCGACTTAGCAAGGCGGGGAATGAGCTGGGGAGGGATCCTTAAGCTTTCGCATGGTGTGATTCCGACCTGTCAGCGATGTGGTCGGGGTTGAAGTTGCAGTTCCCGTTCAACGAGATGCGAGGTTGCGAGCCAGCACAGCCAGGGCGCCGAGTTGGGATGGCTATTGCCAGGTTGTGTCTCCTCATATTGACTGTTCCATCTCTTTTTGTGTTTCGCAATTCGCCCACAATCGAGCGGCAAATCTCACTTGGCTGCAAGGAGGGGAGCGAGTCGAGGGATGCATTAGTGTCATGTACGTTGAGGTGCAGTGTGAGAGTTGTGTGGAAAACCCCTCGTGATGCTTGGGTAGGCGCCTTCCCAATTGGGGCCTAGCGTGTTCACGTGCTCCGCGCATTCCGAAGTCGAGTGACAATCCCTCGGTACGAATTCTCCGTCCCCTCCTCGCTGAGAATGGTAGTATACGGTACATACGTGGATACACGACGTCATCAGCCGGCCTCGGCCCCAATGGGCGTCTGGATATCTACCGCCTGGGCGCCTCCCGCTTCCACTCACGGTTCCAGAAGTTCCTGCATCCATCGCATCTCCACCGCACTCACTCCACGGGCATAAGCCTTTGTCCCCGTGTACACGAATTCATTGTACATAATAGCTTCATACTTTCTTCGTTGGCTTCCAGAGGTAGATGAAGGCAGAGAGAACAACACGCTGCTTGGGTGGATCGCAACCACCTGGTTCGTGAGAATGGTACGATAACTCCCATCGGGGCAAAGCCGCGCCACGTTGGGGTGGAAGCCGGTCATAATGCACTTGAGGATGCGAGTGGGTAGAGTGGTCCTGTCGTGATCCCGCGGCGGATCAGCCTCCCGTGGTCCTTTCTCAACCGCTCTACTCTCGTTCTGGGTCTGGTGCCGGTATCGGTCCATCAGTGCAGTGAGTTGTTTCCTGACATCCATGGCGCCGCTCATAGCCCGGTGCGAAATGTGCCGCTCTTCACACCAGCGACGGCGATCTGTGTTTTCCGCCACATACGCCTGGACAGTGGCTAGGAGTGTGAGATGATCTCCCTCACGGCGGAAGAGTTGGCGCCGTGCTTGCTGGGCACGACCTTCCGGGGAGTCTTCCTCAACATCCGAGTCGCTGAGATGAGGTCTGACCACGTCGCCAGACGTTGTGGCAGATGGACGGTTGTGGATGTTGAGGAAGATGTTCTCGACACTCAACGCCGAAACAATGTCAATGATCTCTTCGACACAGCCATACGCTGGCTCGGCGCTGGCAAGCAGCACCCTCGCCAAACTCACAGGAAGGGGTAACACGCTCATCTCCCGTCCCAGCCGGGTAATCTGCCCACTCGAACTGTCCAATGCAGAGAGCTGAAGGAGGTGGATCATCGCCCTCTCGAGAGCCCGCCGTGGCGGAGAAGTTAGGAACGGGAACTCACCCAAGTTATCAATCGAGTGCGCCTTGAGTGTGAGAGCAAGCTGGCTAAGGTCGCAGCGCAGGATCTCGGGTTCGGTATCCTGGGCCAACTGGTAGAAATCTGCTTCGGTGTATAACCTGTATGCAGTTCCCGGTGCATCTCGTCCAGCTCGCCCAGAACGTTGATTCGCGGAGCTGCGAGAGATGGGGACGGTGAGGAGAGTGTCCAGGTTGAGGGAAGGGCGAAATAGTCGCTGCTTCGCCTTCCCCGTGTCTATTACATATCGAATCCCGGGCACCGTGATACTGGTCTCGGCGATATTCGTGGCTAATATGACCTTGCGTGTGAACTTGGGGGTTGGTTGGAAGACACGTTGTTGCATGTTCGAGGGCAAAGCAGCATAGAGAGGGAGGATGAGGAGTTTGGGGAGCGTCGCCGATTGCTTGGGATCTTCTTGAATCGAGAGTGACCATGAACTCACCAGGCTGAGGAGAGATTCGACGGTCTCTTGACCCGTGAGAAACACGAGAATATCGCCTGGTAGAGGGGCATGCGTGTGAATGTTTAGTATTCGCTGATATGCCGCATCAATGACATCGGGAACTGACGTTGGCGTATAGTTGATGGTCACAGGGTATTGACGGCCTTTGATGAAGAGTGATGTTGCTGTAGGAGGCACATGTCTGCCAGGGGTGTCTTTCGCGACGCCATGGCTCATGTCGGGGTCGAGCTTGCCTCTCGTTTCCGCAGCATCAATACCATTTTCTTGGTCAGAGAAACCAGACGATTCGCCATTTTCCTCACGGGACTTGCCATTGGCATTCGAAGGATCTTGGTGATTCTTCTGGCTCGTGCCGAAGAAGTGCTGAATTTTCTCCATGTCTGCCGTCGCACTCATGACCACGATCTTCAGTGCAACGCCACCCCTCCCATCCGTCTTATTTCTGAGCCCTTGCATCCGCCTGAGAAACCCAAGCACCAGATCCACATTGACGCCGCGCTCATGAACCTCGTCCACGACGACGGCAGAGTAGTCTTTCAACCAGGGATCCCGGAGCATTTCCTGCAGGAGCATCCCTTCGGTCAAGAACTTGATCCGGGTCGAGGGACTCGTGCTGTTCTCAAACCGCACCGAGTACCCGACTTGGGACGCCGGGCTCGAGTTGCCCAGCGGCGTGCCCATCTCCTCCGCCACGCGCCGGGCCAGGGAGATCGCGGCCACTCGTCGGGGTTGCGTGATGGCGATGCATCCTCCCACGTTGACCCCTACACCACCAACTTTCTTCGTCTTACACCAGGGTTCGTTCACCAGGAACTGTGGAATCTGCGTCGACTTGCCCGATCCCGTCTCTCCGACCAGCAGCAGCACATCGTGATCCCTGAGCTTCTGCCGTATTTGGTCGGCGTGGCTGTAGATGGGTAATTTTTGTCGGCCTGGCAGTAACAGACGAGCCCGCTCCTTCAAACTCGGGGTTTTGCTGCCGCTTCTGGGGCTGTCGTCCTTCGCTTGCCGCTCCTCGAAATCAACGGTCTTGCTTGTTGCAGTATTCCGCACAGTGCTGGACCGATGGCGTTCCAACTTGTCCTTGACGGATGCAGACTTCGAGGAGAAGGCCTCCGCCGCAGATCTCTTGATCCCTTTCTGCAGCATGGTCGCCTCTTGCTTCCGTCTGGGCGCTTGTTGCTGTTCTTATTCGAGTTCTTTACTAGACATGCGTAATGGTCGAGACATCAAAAGCGTCGAAACAAAAAGACATTGCAGATCCTATCATACCAGCCTGTTTTTTTGGGGGGGGGGGGGGGGGGGGTTGGTCAAAAATTGCAGACGATGGCGAAAGCAAAATTTATTTCCCTGCAGCCTCGTCGCGGTCTTCCCCAGGCTTGGCACGGAAATCAACTCCACATTCCACGGATTGACTTGGAAGTTGGTAACGAATAATATATTAACTTTCTGCAGGAGAACTATCAGACAAGGGATGGATGAAACCTATTACATTGAAGCTAATAGAAGTTGCGTTCACCCGGACTCGATGCACCATACACCATAGATAAAACAGGTGGTTTTACACGGTTCACTCGGGCAACACGTCCCAAGTCTTTATTCCTCGACGCTTTTAGATCAGAGCCTGCCCTTTAAACATAGCCTCCCTGACTTCCCTAATCACGTCTTTTCTATCTTTGCCTCCCATCAATACAATTCCCCTCCCTCGCCGGTTCATCCTACCCATACGTCCCAACCGGTGAACAAAATCTATCGTAGTATGTGGAACGTCATACAACACCACGTGCCGCACTGCGAGAGTGTCAACACCGCGTGAACCAAGGTCGGTGGTCACGAGAACCTTAACATCCGGGAGATGCCTCGTCGGTCTAGATGGCTGGGTGGGGTGTGTCCCCGATGTCGAGGGGTTCGATGAACGGTCAAAGGGAACGAAATCCTTGAACAGTTTCTTGGAGGTCGAGGACGCGGAAGAGGATGGTTTGGACGAGCCTTCGACACGGTCCACAGAGGTGAATGTTGCAAGGATTTCAGCCTGGCGCTGCTCCGTGGTATCCCTCGTCAACGCAACAGCTTCGATACCCTTTGACACTAGAAATCGCGCAACTTCTTCTGCCTTGTCGCGCTCGTTGACAAAAACAAGGATATGCTTGACCGTGTTTTTGGGGTTGAGGTCTTCGTGTACAGCCCGTCCTAGTGTCCAGATCACATCCGCACACGCCAAGTCACGGCTGCCACGGTAGGGATCCTTGTCGATGTCTACAGCGCCCAACTGTACTCGGCGCGGAATCGTATGTAGCTTGGGTGTGACGATACGTTTGCAATCGGGGAACCTCTTGTCAATGAACCTATCAAGACTGTTTGGGATAGTGGCAGAGCAGAGAATGAGTTGCTTCAATGAGGGGGCCGCACGATCGATGATTTCGCACGTTGTCTCACTAAAGGAGCGGTCGAAAAGAGAATCAGCCTCGTCCATGACCAGATACTGAACGCGTGATAGGATATTCGGCTCCTTTTTGGCGATGCTGGCGATCAAGTGGGGGGAGGAGACGAGGATGTCGATCCCTTGGGGGTTGAAGAGGCGGCTGCGGATAACCGTGGGTGTGTTCGAGGAAGAAATGCCCGCAGAGCGATATTTCACAGTGTGCCCGATAACTTTGACCACCTTTGTAACCTGCGCCACGAGCTCGGAGGAGGGGAGAAGGATGAGGGCTCGAGGCCGGCCCATTGACTGGTTTGGTGGTGGCTCGTCAGCTTCCGAAGCGTCTGCTTCGAAAACGCGGTTCTTGTCTTGTTCTTCCCTTTCTTTGACACTCCGGGCTTCACGCTCGTGCTCTTCGTTCCGATCAACCTCTTCTTGTTGCTTAACGGCATTGATGACAGGTAAGAGGTACGCCAGCGTCTTCCCTGAACCGGTCTCTGCAGCGAGAAGGAAGGTCTTGTATTTGTGGGGGGGAGGGTTCCCGTCTGCACCCACCTGTTTCTGCTTTTGATATTCGCCCTTTTTGCTGAGGAGTGCAGGAATCGCCAATTTCTGTACAGGTGTAGGGGTATACTCCGTCAGATGTGGCAAGACCTGGGTGTATATAGAGTCGACAACTGAGGGCATCAATCCCAGCTCTTCAAAGGAGGCGATTTTCTCCATTTGCTGCTTTAGCTTGGTCCGTTGGCCGTAGGATAAGGGAGTGAGGATCTGCTGCATCTTCAATGCGTGGAAGAGAGGTCGTTCGTCTTTGTCCTTTTTCTCTTTTCTCTTCGAGGGTGGAGTTGATGCAAAAGCCATATCGCCATCTCCGTCAAGAGGTGCTGTCGTCTTTGCCGGCAACTTATTTGCCGTTGCCTGCGCCTTGATCTTCGACCTAAGGGCCATCCGGACTCGTGAAGGCACTGGTCGAGGTGCTCTCGCAATGGGTAATCGCGCCACGGTTTGATTCATTCCTGCAAAAGGACCTGCTGTATCCCTCCTCGCCACTTTCCTCCCTGCGTCTGTCTTCCCTACATCCTGTGTGAGAGTCATTCTGGAAGGTTTCCGGCGCTGGCGCATGGCTAATGCCATGGACCTCTGCGGCTGCCATTGTCGCGGTGGTAATCTGAGCGCAGAGATGAGAGCTCGAAAATGGCAAGCTGGGCAAATAGCAGCAGAGGACGACATGGACGGCTATGCAACAAGGGTCATTGGGATCGGACAATTGAAAGGGACAACGCAACAGTGCCGTTATGATGTTGAACTTTTTTTTCCCTGCGCACCGCGTTCATGCGGCCCACTGTAATAATCAATGCGTACGAGTTAGGCGAGCCGACACCCCTTGCAAGTGTGGCGTCCCAGCCCGGGGCCTTTCCAGGCCTTTCCGGGTTTTGTCTCGGGTGGACATCAGCGCCAACACGTTGCCTGGCAACCGTTGGTGTCGCGGGCTTTGTTGTTGTTCTCCAGTTAAACCGCCGTGGGGGGGCCACTTAAGTTTCACATATACCACCAAACAACGTTGAATATCGAATATCGCAATACTAACACTCTTAACGAGACTTCTCTCTGCTGACTACCCTGTGTCAAAGAGTGGCCTCAATTGTGGTCGCAGTTGGGCAGTCAACTGTAGCTCGCAGTCATTTTGCCATTGCGCTTGTTGCTCTCATTTCTACGCACCCGCAGCTGGTCTGCTCATCAGGCTCAGCACAGACCTTCTGCCATTCTTCCCATCTTTTGGTGCTGCCTATCCATACCTCATTCCTCCGTACAGCGAACTATCCCCTAATTCATGGTCTGAGCTCGACATCTGCCACATACACAAAGCTATTGTCGAGCTTCTCTGCCCTGAGCTATGGCCTCTGAGGTAAAAGACGAAACTATTGATATTGACTTCGTTTTGCTCACCTTCTGTCTCAGGTCCCACCTTTGCGCATCCAAAAGGGCGGCAGCAATGGGCCTGGCTCTTCGCCGTCCAAATTGCCACGAATAACGAATCGTCCTCTGTCCGAGCTGAGTCCTATGGCAATTCGCAGAAACTCTCCAAGTTTCCCGCAACCAAAGGTACGTCTTCCGCTATCGATCCAACGACAAATCTGACATATCTACAGGGCAAGCTGTTCAGCAGCGAGAGTTCTCCTATCGGCTCGTCGCCCTTTTCCTCGAGTTCACCGCGACTGTTTTGGCAGGGCCGCGACCCTAGTTCTCCTGCAAGAGAAAATACCGAAACTCCTCCCGCCTCCTCCCCCCAGAAGCGCTCGTCCATTGAGAACTTGAAGAAGGCTTCACGAGTGAAGAACAGTAGCATGTTTGCCCTCGAACAGAGCACTCACTATGATCCTTCGCGTCCAACGATTCTGGACGGCCGCCCTCAGAGCATGCAGTTTCCCCGGCAGTCATCACCAATCCGTGGCTCGGACGCCGGGCGAAAAGAAAACTTCGCGCCGTCGGACCACACCCAGTCGGCTCAATCACAAGGGAAACAGCAGGAGGATGAGTCCAAAAGCACAACCAATCCTGTTACACCCCTCTCGCCAAGTCGACTGAATAGCTCACCGGCGAAGTCGTCACTGTCGAAGAAGACGGGTTCAGCGTTCAGAAGCAGTGGCTTCAACCCCGAGACCGGCATATGGGAGGACGATGAAGACTTCCAAGACAGACAACTGCCCGCTGGCCGTGGGTTGCACCGTCATCAGAAAAGTGTCACGTTTGACCAAGCCCCTCCACAAATCAACGAGTATGAGATGACCACACCCGCGCCTTCTTCAATCGCGTCCGGATCGCGAGAGGGGAGCTATGAATCTACAGATGATGATGAGGAAGAGGACGAGGAAGCAGGCTTTGAGAGAGGCTCATCAGTCGACCATGACGACAGCTTCGACGCGTCCCTTGAGGACACTGAGAAGACCCCGGTCGTCTTGCCCGAGGACTGGCGCTTCATGAGTCCCGAGAACGCCAACACTGACCTGTCTCGTCATCAAGAAGATGTCTTCGAAGATGACTGCGGTAGTCCCGCCCCGACTGCACAGCCAGGCATTCCATCTTACCGCCCTCACCAGACAAGCGCAAGCTCAATTGACTCCAACGGACAGTCTCGTCCGCTCCCGCCACTTCCTCCAGTGGCTAGCTCACAAGGACATGCGGGTTCTGACAGTCTCTCTGGTGCATTTGAGCGTATGAGCGTTGCTTCGCGATCACTTCCAAGCCCACCAACAGCTACCACCATCTCGAAAGCAGACATTCAGAAGATCGGGAATGGGACTTCTCTCTCCGCGGAGGACAGACTGAGATTGATGGCACTCCAAGAACAGGAGAGAGAACGCCGGATGAGGCGAATGGGTTCCAAAGACGCTGTCCCCGTTCGGTGCTCCAGTAGTGAAGACTTTGTCGAGAGTGGCGATCCACGCCCTACCCAGTCTGGATCTGGAAGCTCGACCCCACAGCTTTCCAGGGCGTCAATCCTTGAAGGTTTGCGTGGGTATGTTGGTACCGACAGTCGACACAGCAGCGAGGATATTCCAGATGCTTCTCGACAGCGGGATTATTCCTCTCTCGATCCTGACGTTCCCATACCCTCCCTAGAAGATCCAACGCAACCGCGCATTAAAGTGGAGGAAGATGAAGAGCCCGACTTGTACTCTATTCCGGACATGTACATGGGACGCAATGTCTCAGGTTCAGACGCGAGCACAAGCCACGATGACGACCTCACCAGCCAGTATTCGCAACCTTCGCAGGTGTCTTTCCGTACTCAAATAACGGAGGAAGGAGAAGACACGCCAAAAGCACAGAGCCCAGCTCGAGAGTTGAACACCAAGCCCATCACATCTGAGCGCGTGTCTTTGCCAGATTTTACCGACTTTGGCAAGACAAGCAGTTTCGATATCGGCCTTGCCCCGTATTTGAGCCACAAAGAGGAGACAGTGAATCCCATCAGCACTGTTGCGCCGCCATCTCAATTACCTGACCTCGCTGCTCTCCGTCAGTCGATTCAGCGGCCATATACACCAGAAATCCAGCTGAGGCCATTCCAAAGTCGCCCAACGTTTAGCGCGGAGCAGCCTGTGCCAGCAACACCTGAATCCGTGGTTAGACACCCTATTACACGTCAAGATTCTCCTAGCAATGTCGACAATGACGCAGGACAGGATGAGCTGGCGGCACAAACGGAAAGTGACCGTTCATTTAGCCCATCCGACACTGGTTCTGTTTTGAATCATGGCAAGGAACTGTCACCTGTCTCTCCCATCTCGGCCGAGTTTGATGAGAGCACAGACACGGCGAAAGACAACTCCACTGATGCAGAAGCAGGCGACGAGACGCCACCCGAACCTGACAAGAAAGAAGGAGAAAAGAAGCGGGTTAGCAGCCTGTTACCCTTGGACATCCCCACCACAGGACTGGACGAAGGCCTCGGATTGGGTCTCGAGAAGGAATTTGACCGTGTTGTGGAAGCCCAGAAGGTAGAGTTTGAACTCTCATTGCAACGTCTTTATTACCCTTTTCACGGACGATTTCCCTCCAGTGAGGTGCCCGACGTGAAGGACTGGAAAGGAGAAAACCCCATGGAAAACATCCCATACCTCCCTAAACCTCGTGGAGCGCGTCCTCTGCGCGGAGCACATCTTGCTATTTCTCCCGATAGATCTCCTGATGAAGATTCATTTGCTAATCGAGCTGGCCCCCGACAGAGAGGATACTTGATGAGACAGAACACCAAAATTGTCGTCGCAAGTGAACGTATATCTCAGGATGAGTGCCGATCTCCTGGGCTTCCGACGACAACTGAAGATGGTCTGCTGGGCGTGCCCGCGGAGGCTAATCAGGTCCACGCATCACCGCGCAAGACGAGTCAACCAACTTGGACTGCTGAGCCATGGAATGGAAAGGTCCGACGGAAGAGTATTCGAGTTGGTGGGGAAAAGGCCGTCAGTAAGCGGAAGCCTGTCGAAGGCCCTGTGCCGCCGTTACCGGGACAGGCAAGCAATGCTCAAGAGAGCCTCGACGCTGTTGCGGAAGACGAGATCGGAGAAGAAGAGGAATGGGAGGATGGAGCTGAACGTGGTCGACTCTTTGTCAAGGTGGTTGGCGTCAAGGACCTCCAGATGCCCTTTCCTCAACGTAAGCAATTTGTGCATCCTCTGTGGGAGTTCAAGCTGATCACAAACAGACGAACGCACCTTCTTCGCTCTCACACTGGACAATGGCATGCACTGCGTCACGACTGCGTGGCTCGACCTTGCTCGAAGCGCCCCTATCGGTCAGGAATTTGAGCTGATTGTGCTCAATGACCTTGAATTTCAACTCACCCTACAGATGAAATTGGAGGAGCCCAAAGTTGAGCGGCCGCAGTCTCCTTCTAAGCCGCCCCCGTCGCCTAAGAAGCAAGGAGCTTTCGGGAGGCTATTTGGATCCCCCAAAAAGAAGAAAGAGTCGGAAGTCAGAGCTCAGCAAGAAGCCCAGGCTGTTAGAAGACCGGTCACGCCGCCGTCTGCATACGAGCTGGTGCAGGGCCTTGTGGCAAAGGACGGTTCATTTGCTCGAGCCTACATTTCGCTCAGCGAACATGAGAAGCAAGCATACGGAAGACCGTACACAGTAGACATCACCTGCTTCAACGAGTGGGCTATGGAAGAGGTCCACGTGGGCAGTTCGAGAAGCAAGAAGAGCGTGACACAACTCCAGCGCCGCCCGCCGTATGAGATTGGCAAGTTGGAACTGCAGTTGTTGTATGTGCCGAAACCTCGAGGAGCCAAGGAGGATGATATGCCCAAGAGCATGAATGGTGCAATTAGGGCACTGCGAGAGGCCGAAGAACGTCTGGCTCAACAAGCGAACATCAAGGAGTTTGAGGGCTACCTAAGCCAGCAGGGAGGCGACTGCCCGGTTTGTGGATGCCGGTCAAAGAACTTTGGAACCTTGTGCTGATAAATGTGTTTAGTACTGGCGACGGCGATTTTTCAAGCTTGCCGGAACCAAGCTGACGGCATTCCATGAGACGACTCTTCAACCCCGAGCAACAATCAACCTTGCGAAAGCCACGCGCCTCATTGATGACAAAACGGCGTTGACGCAAAAGGAGACTTCGACCAAAGGTGGCGGCCGCCGCAAGAGTGGCTTTGCGGAAGAGGAAGAAGGCTACATGTTTGTGGAAGAGGGTTTCCGAATCCGCTTTGCCAATGGAGAAGTTATCGACTTCTACGCCGACTCGACCGCCGAGAAAGAGCAGTGGATGCAAGCCCTCTCGCAGGTCGTGGGCAAAGGCGTGCAGGGCAGCTCGGCCCCGATCAAAGGCTGGACTGAAATGGTGCTCAGACGGGAGAAGAAAATGAAGACGGCTGGTGCAGGTCAACGTCCGAAAGCCGGTCACCAACGAACGGAGACTTACCATGCCGGTGGTGGGATGGGGCAGTCACACAGCCCGGCGAAGGCAGCGGTAGGCCGCGAGGAGAGGCATCGAAAGACGAAGAGTATGTATGCGTGAGGAGCAAGAAGGATAATAACCAGGATTGTGGATTGATGGGATTTCAAGGGCGTGTTTGAATATGGCTGGGTCGGTGGGCGTTGATCAGAGAAATATGACGATAATGGATGGACCAGGGTGGGCTCTGTGGGATTGTTGATGTTCCAATTCGATTCTATTCGAGTCGAGTTCGATTTTCTTTTCATGGGAAGACGATCTTGATGCAGCACACGATCAATGGGGGTGGCATTGGAGGAGATCAGTGAGCCAGGACTACGACTGACTGACTTGCCACACATGTGAAGCCAGTGAGAGATGTGTGCATCCAAAAGAATTTGTTTAGAGAATGAGATGTTGAATGAAACCTTTGCTTGAGTTCGTGTGTATCTCCCCTTCCGTCTATGTGGCACAATTTTTCTTAATACTCGGTTTGTATGGGAACCTCACCAAAGAGCCAAGATTTCGACTCCTCAGAAAAACATGCGCCATATGGACGAAGGGGTGGTAGATAATACGTGTACTAAAAGGTCGGGAATATTTTACTATTTCGACGCCCAAACATATGAAATGTATTAGTTTCATATACAATCTTAGGCAAGGATGTATCAACTGATGACTATTATTTATGTTTCGTCTCTGATATCAACCAACTGGCGCCGCTTGGTTAGACAGGGCTGACAACACAAACTTGCCGAGAAACGGCGTCACTGGGCTTCTCTGTAGCCCTTAAACGGGCACACAACACACTCGGTCTGGTGCGTGGTCTTCCTTCATCTCTGTTCTTCTCCTTCAGAAAGTTATCGCCGTAGATGCATCAATGTCTTCTATATTCAAACAATGCGTATCTATCGACCATTTCGACGGATGAGTCGTGCGTGGACCCAATCTCTGGGTGCAAGACAACGCAAAGCCTCTGTCGACAATCGACAGCGATCCAGCTCGGCAACGATGACATGTACTTGGTGCAGCAGCATCCTGATGTAAGCTTTTCGCTGTTGTTTTGTTTTTTACGTTTGAGCTTCCTTGCTGAAGGTCTCTGGGGACGCTGTCATTTCCCCAAGTCTTTGCTGAGTAGTGAGGCTGGGTCCATGTCGCATTGACGCACGACTTCACATTTTCACCACTGGTGGTCCTGGACGGCCGCCGAAAGGCCGTGACGCGAGATTGGATTCGGCAAAAATTAGACCATTTGCTCTCCTTTGATGGCGATGTCACTAGTCGGAAGTTCCTGAGGGCTATTCTCGTCAATGACTACGGGACTGACAAGCCGATCGATGTTTCCACTCTTCAAGCCCTGGAGGATTATTGCTGTAAGGTGGTGTTTCGATCGGATGCCCGGCTTGATCTTGTCGAAAACCCCTTCTTTCACAACATTCAAGGCCTCTTCAAAGCATTCAAACCAGAGCCTGACCACCAGGAGGCTTTCATTCTGTCCACCATCACCTCACAGTCGGATGAGTATATGTAGCTAAGACCCCGCGAATTCTGTCCCTGCGACTCACTTCTGTGTAGCTACGAGCCTCTGATGGCAAGTACTGGAGGCCATATTCTCGCAATAGCAGTGCCATCCAAGTTGGCATTCACCGCGAGTGAGGAAAAGCCCCTGGCTGGGATAAGGATAGCGGTCAAAGACCTTTTCCATCCGGCCTTTCACCTGGCCGAGCCCATCCCGGCCAAAATGCAGCTCAAGTCATCTCAGAGCGGCTTCGGGGGTACAACCTAGGCTGCATATGACAACAGCCGGAGCGGTTGTGGTCTCTCTCTTGTCTAGGAACGAGGTGACCACAGTCGGGAGCATAAGTACGTGACAGAGTGAGATCAGGGCAACCTGTGCAACAGTGCAGAGCGCGTGGATGAGCTGGTTTGCCCCAGTATCGAGGTTGAGGATCAGCGGCCTTAGTTAATAATAGTGAGTTTGGTTGGAACAAATGGGGACGTCAAAAATGCGTTATTAGAACCAGCAACTGCATTCATCAATACTCTGTAGTCCTATTACTAGCGCCTTGGCTGTGTATATTAATTCACAGGGGAACAGAGTCTCAATGAGGAATCTATGGTCCAAAGTCATCTACGAGGTAATACAGTATCTATCTTTGCTGATACGCAGTATATAGTCTAGGTTCCCTCGCGATTCCCTTCCATCGGCACAGCCCGGCGGAAGCCTAACCTGCCTCATTTGAGGGTATCCGAGTCTCCAATCGTGATCGATGAATTTGAAAGTGATTCCGTCGGGACTGCGAAAGTCGCGAATCGCGATCCATTTCCCCGCATTGCGATGTCGCTGCCGCGGGAAAGTTCGATTGGAGTGACGAGGTGGGGGGTGAGAGAGGAGGGAAAAAGATATGGTATGTACATATCAAACGGGTTTCCCTTTTTTTTCTCCAATCTCATCAATCTTTTTCTTCATCCATCGATTCGTTGTGCTGGTGGGTCAACCCGAAAATAAAGGTAGGACAATCGAAAAAAAAAGATCAAGAATCAGAAGAGAAAGACAAAAAGGGTGTCGTCGAGAGTTGAACGAACATCATCTCATCGCTGTCAAGGCACGAAAGACGAATACGAGGGGGTAATATTATATATACTATCTACTATCCGAAGTCAAAGAGCGAACGTTGGCCTCCTCCAGTGTGAATCTTGATACAACCATCCCACAAAGCACGCACCCAAGACCAAGACCAGGACCGCACAGTACAAACACAAACACAACAATGGCCCCTGCCCTCGACGTCTACGACCACTCGTCGGCCGAGAACCGCACCGTCGGCGCCCTGGGCACGACCACCTCGGGCAAGAAGCTCAGGATCCGCTCGTACCCCAAGTTCGAGTCGCTCGAGGAGGAGCGCCTGTACCGCAAGCAGCACCTCGCCGCCGCGTTTCGCGTGTTTGCCGATCGAGGGTTCGACGAGGGCGTGGCGGGACACATCTCGGTGCGGGATCCCATTCTGACGGACCATTTCTGTGAGTTTTGTTAAGAGTTCCACTTCTTCTCCTAGAGGTCGGGAATTTCGGGGGGTTTGTTGGCTTTGGCGGTGCGTGAGAGGGTGAAAATGTAGCTGAAGAACAAGTGAATGGGACAAAGCGCATGAGAAGACTCTGGTGTTCTCTATACCACGACAAAAATGATGTCCAACATCCTCGGGACTGGCCCATACTGACAATGTCTGACCGACAGGGCTCAACCCTCTCTCGCAGCACTTCTCCCAGATCTGCGTGTCGGACCTCATCCTGGTCAACGAGGAGGGCGAGGTGGTGATCGGCGACGAGCCCATCAACGCGGCGGCCTTCGCCATCCACTCGGAGATCCACAAGGCACGGCCGGACGTCGACGCCGCCTGCCACGCCCACAGCGTCTACGGCAAGGCCTTCTCCGTGTTCGGGCGCGAGCTGGACATGATGACTCAGGACTCCCTGCGGTTCTGGCGCAGCCACGCCGTCTACGACAACTTTGGGGGCGTCGTCCTGGACCGCGAGGAGGGCAAGAGGATCGCCAAAGCCCTCGGGAACGGCAAGGCCGTCATCCTTCAGAACCACGGCCTGTTGACGGTGGCGAAGACGGTAAGATATCTCTCTTCCCTCGTGGAATATGTTGGGACGAAGCTGAGTTCCATTTTTTTGGTGTTGTTCGTTGTTTAGGTCGACGCCGCCGCCTTCTGGTTCATCAGCCTCGACAAGACCTGCCACGCCCAACTGCTCGCCGACGCCGCCAGCGCCGGCAGCGGCAACAAGAAGAAGCTCATCTCGGACGAGGAGGCCGAGTTCTCTTTCTCGCAGGTCGGCACCGACGAGAAGGGCTGGCTGGCCTTCCAGGGCTACTATGACGAGCAGCTGGCCAAGACGAACGGGGGGTTCTTGAAATGAAAAAAGAAATCAATTCCTGCTGGCCTGGGTCTGTGGGCACCGTTGCGGGGGGTGATTCCCAGGCCCAGAGAGCACATAAAACAGGCGCGCTGTGTTCGTTGTAAATCAGCTTTATCCTATTTACTGTCTTACCGGGGGAAGATATCGTCAGAGCACCCCAACGAACCCGGGGAATCTCGTTGGCCTCTTTCTCCGGGTTGAAAGCGATTGATGGTAGTTCTGCGTCGCCCACTTCTCAACGTTGACATTCTCTGCAGTAGGCAGGCATTAGCCATCAAATGCTCTTTTTTCCCCTTGTCCTTGACCGAATGCCGCCCCTCTCTGGCTATCTTGAGGTCGAGTCGCAGGGGTGGATATAATATGTGGAAATGGATATACAGAAACAATATGTCCTACCCAGGTTGCTTGAAAACGCCGTCTAGGTCCAATTCAACCCTGCGTCAAAAGGAAGTCAGTCGGGCTGCCTCGGAGATAGATGACCATCCTCTCGTCCGTCTCTTGAGTAGCCCGAACGCTTGAGTTCGCCCTTGAAAGCTCAGAAGCTTATCAAGTCCCCATTGTGTTGTGGTACGCACGACTCCACTATTAGCAGGTCAACAGCCTCGGAACTGGACGCAGCTCGACTTCGGATATACCACAAACTGAAGCCTCACTAGCCAAAGCTAATTGAAGTCTTTCCCTCGAGGCCTTCATCGTGTCTGACGTTCAGGTGCCGTACAATATTAGGACGCCGATGTGCGACGGCAAGCAGTGGTTCGAGGCTGAGAGTCTTAGTGGTCAAATCCTTCGGGACAGATAGACCCCAATGGATAGTCCTTCGAGGCCCTTTCGTCGAGGACAAATTCTGGCCCACCACCAAGACGTCACTAGTTGAGATCTCGGACCAAGTTGGCGGCGAAAGAATTTCAGCTTCCAGCACCAAGAAAGAGCGGACCCCGGCTTGTAGTTGAAGACACCTATACCCCGCCCTCTATCTCGGTTGAACGCAGGGTGGTGACGATGTCTTTGGATCATGCCTCCCCGATAGCGCGACGTTCGGGAGAGCATCCTCAAGCATAAGTGGTGCTGTTGCCCGCCTCCTGGGACTCTTGTCACAAACTTCCTCAGCACACGGAAACGGCCAAGATCGAACGACTTTGAAATCGCCCAGCATGCCGACAGGGAGCTGCTTCTGCGGCAATATCAAGATCGAGTACACTGGAGAGCCAGCCATGACTGTGGGTCCTCCTCTGTCCGCGAAGCCATGTCTTGTCGATCCCGCTCAGACTGACGTCTTCTCCATCTAGGCGCTCTGCCACTGTGCCGACTGTCGCAAGATCTCAGGTGGAAACTACTCGAACAACTTCGTCGTGCCGAGCTCCAATTTCAAAATCACTCAAGGAACCCCCAAGGAAATCACCAAGACGGCGGACAGTGGAAAGTCCATCACCAGCGGCTTTTGTCCTGACTGTGGTATGTGGATGACCTCATAGATCCAATGTCGTGCTTTGGCGCGGGTGTGTCTGATTGTATACCATTCTGACAGGCACCACGCTCTTCCGGTACGGCGACAGCTTCGGCGGTATCGATGGCATGAGGATCATCAAAGCGGGTGTCTTGGACGACGTAAACCTCATCAACGACACCAAACCTGGCGTTGAGTTGTTTGCGCCAGAGCGTATCAAATGGGTCCCCTCTCTGGAAGGCGCTGGCCAGATTGATGCAATGCCGCCCTCTTGAACGAAAGCTTGGATAGAGAGCGAGCGAGTCAGAGTAAAAGAGGATAGCAGAAAATAGTGGAATGAAAGATGGTGGCTTGAACTCTGGACCATGCAGGGTTGAGTAATCTGGTCATTGAAACTTCTCTCACCCGTGTCTCTGCATTGCCAATGATACTTAGTAAACGGCCGGCCAGCTATTAAATGATCCTTGCGCTTGCTGAAAATGATATTGACAAAAATGGCTACATCGAATGTTAAGCTGGAGGACCGTGCAAGATATGGAGCTTCCATCGTCCGGTCCTCAGATCCTGTCGGAATTGCAAGGCGATACCAGTACCACTCCTTTCTCCATCGCCAGTCCAGAAATTAGCGCTCGCTCCTTATAATGCGTGGGTATCATAATGCATCTGGCTCGCTTCAAACAAAGTCTGTCCAAAACAGAAGGCGTGCCTTCGTCAACTTGTCCAGTTACTTAGAGTACTTCACCGCACAAGGTGGACGTTGGTTTCGGGGTCGGGCTTTCTAGATCATCGGATGCTGCCGAATCTTTCGATGGGCTCCGCAGAGGACTTGGGACGATCACTGTTTTCAAGGGACTTGGGAGAGGCGGAGCGGGTGAGTTCTTTCTCGATGGGCTTGACAGCGGACTCGCCATCGCCAGGCTTCTTGCACGGGCATGCAGTTTGCGTTCTTCTTCCCCGTTCCAATCTTTGGTAAGCTCGGCTCGGACTCCTCGGCTCCATTGTCGAACAACGTCCTCGAAAGAAGACCACACGGTGCTGTCGCTGACCTGATTCGCGACAGCCATCACGTCGAGCTGAAGCTTGAGCTCCCACCTTAACTCCGCAGCCTTGAGCCAGTATCGAAGGTTGTCAGCACGCCGGTACGGTTTCGCGACGTCTTCGTGGAAGGATTTGATATAGTCAAATTGCCTCTTGGACCGTTTGACTGCAGCGTTATGCATCTTCACCAGATCCTTGCCGTCAGCCAGATTGCGGAAGAATTCTGGATTCACATCGGCTTTCTCAGGGGATGGGCCTTGACCGATCCCGTGAAGCAGGAAGTTGAGGAAGTTAATATCTCTTTCCTGCTCTCGATCAATCCACTTGGCATCGTCCATCCAGTGCCAGTCTCTCCTTTCGGTCCTGTCGGCCTCCTCCAGTTTTGCCTCTTGGTCTATCATCATGCCGACATCACTGACCCAGACCAGCACTGCAAGTCTTTCATCCTCACGGAAACCGCCCGCGAAGTTTCGAGAGGCACATTTCTTCAGTACATCCAGCACGGAGTAGAGATCTCTCCGCAATTCCTGATCGGATCTTATGGAGTTCAATCTCTGGGGATTGGGGTGCAGAGTGTAATAAAGTCTTGCGGCTCGAATCGCTTGAGTGGCGGTATCAAGGACATGCAACCCTTGGATCTCGTAGAATCCTTGTGTCTGATCTTCAGAATTTCCAGTGGTCGGGCCTTCACAGGATTCGACAGCTTGTAATGCGTTCTCCAAAGCTTCCACCAGTTCTTTTTTCATAGTTTTCTGATCCGGAGGTGGGGCTACATATGTCGACCGGTGACTGTACGTTGATACAGTTGGAGGTAACATGACGTCCGTGCCATCCTCCGGCACAGCGTCCCAGTTGGCCTGAGACTCATCCTCGATTGGAGATTCAACCAGCTCTTGATTTGCAGTTAACGAGAGCTTTGGGATATCATATTCTCCATTCTGTTTCTTTTTCGCCATCTGGCCTCCTTTGCCATCCAACAATCCCGTTCGAGCGAAATAGTATTGCAGGTGGGCGATACTGCCGAGGCTCATGACACTCTCACGATTCTTGGCCGATTCGGCAAACGATCCTCCCTGAGGACGTATGTAACCCCGTCGACGAGAATATGTGCTGGTTCGAGAAGTTGTCGAGCCATTGGAGTACGAGGACCGGCTCGAGACCGTCGAGACGCCCGAGAAGGATCGGTGGGATAAGAGTGTAGAAGAGTCAGGGGTCGCGAGGAGATTCGGGGAGGGTGACGGCGATCGAGACGGGAGGCTGGAAGATGACAGGTCTAGATCCGTGCTCATGGCGGCCGGATGGTCACTGAAAGCCTTGGACTGGGGGAGCACAGGGTGTCTGGATATCGTTGACCGTGGCAGTCCGCTCGAAGTGGGCGTGTGACACAGAAGGGGACAGAAATTGCTGACCAGCAGTGACAGATAAATCGACAAGTCCAAGTGAGTGATGTTGCAATGAACGACGAAATATCAAAACGATCAAAAGTGCACGAAACAACTGCAAAGGAAGATGGACCTGGCCATGACAGTAGTTGGTGGTCGAGAGCAGGGTTGGATGGTGAAATTGCATCGAGACGCTAGTGCCAGATTCGCGGTCGAAAAGGGGAAGAGAGTCGGGAGAATCACCAACGGCCAGCGGCTCCTTCATCTCTCGCACAGCCATCTCTGTAGCAACGTCTACGGAGGACACATCTTGGCTTTCTATTTTTCAACTCCGGCAATAGATTGCAAGCCGACATCAGAGCTCTCCCGAGGTAGGTGTATAAGGATCACAAGGTATATCTCACCCCAAACAGCCGTTTGTTGACAGACCTGACGCCCGGTGACGCGCACTTTCGGGCTTCGGCGCGTTGTTGGGCACCCACGCACCTAAAGTTCGGCGGGATCGACGGGCACAACCGCCCAGTCAACGGCATAAGGGCGCCCGGGCCCCAGCTTCAATTGTCTGGAGTTGTGGCTGTCGTCATAGGCGCTCAATGCTCGTAACTGCCCCGCACCCGGGATGCATAATTCATGGCATTTATCATTTTTACGTACCTTTTGTCTGCTCATGGGCATTGAGGCATGCAGTAAGTCATTCGAGACAAAATCAGCGACATCGCCACTTACACCCTAAACGTAATTGCTATCCCCAACTGTTCATCATGGTCAAACGAATTGCATTCAAAGTCCACGGCAAAGTGCAGGGCGTCGCCTTTCGGTAAGTGTTCGTGTGAGGGAGTTTGAGTGATCGCCACGTCTGATCCGAAACAGCGACTTTACCCAGAGGAAAGCCTCGAGCTATGGCATTACTGGTTTCGTTACCAACACCTCAGATGGGAAGGTTGGGCTTCCCTCTCTATACGTCCATTGATCAGTCACCATGCACCCAATGTATCAGACCACTTGCTGACATAACCTCTCCACCCTTAGGTAGCCGGAGAAGCGCAGGGTGATGAGGAAGCACTAAAGAAACTGAAGGCGGATCTGGACTCTGGACCTCGACCAGCCCACGTTGTCAAACTCGAGATCAAGGACATTGATGTCAAAGAGGGAGAGAAGTCGTTCGAAGTTTCAGTATGAAGGGTTGACGACAAACCTCGACTGACTTGTATTTGCCGCGAAACAAGAGGGTTGCAATGCAAGTCTGGAAAGAAAGGGGCTGATATCATCGTTGGAGACATCCGCCAGTGGCTTTTGTGCACTTAGCTCCCACATCATGTTGCACATCCGGACCTCCCAAGCGAGGTTTTCGGTAAGACTGTGAAAATAGAAATCTGAACAAATAAGCAATCGATGCTGAACCATCTGGGTGCCATCAAATCGGTCACATATACCTAGTTTGGGAGAATGAAATTTGAGCAGCGAACCTATCCGAGCTTTATCCAAGTAATGGGCTGCCGATTTCTCCCGAGATTCAAGCACGTGCCAGGCCATCCTTCCCAGTTGTAATGGACTCAGCCTTCCAATGTCCCGATCTCTGCCGTCCTTCTTCAAGTCAGCTGTACTCCGTACCTGTAGATCCCCGTGTAGTCACCGAAAAACCAGATCTCCCGGAAAATCAAGAGCCACAATGGCAAGATGATGTTTTTGTGGCCAGCCATGCGGTTGCAGCCACCTCGTTGCACCTGGGGGCCCTTTCTGCACGAGACTGCACAAAGGCAATGTGCACGTCTAGACTCGGAAGGTATTTATTTCTAGAGAGGGCAAAGCTCCAAATGCATAAAGTACAGTGAAGGGGATTTCGATGCAAGGGACCCAACAAGGGCAGGTACAGGTGGGGTTTTGGAAGTTGAAACTCGTGTGAGTCAGCAACTTAGAAAGACACGGCTCAGGTCTAGCCACAAAGGTGGGACAGCCATCCAAATGTCGCACCTTACCACAAGCCCTGGATACGAACTCGAACCGCGTTGCTCCTCCACTTGTTCCCTTCCTTTTGGCAACTTGCTCACTGTCTCTGCTACATTGCGTCTTTGAGCACCTTGGATGCCTAGAGCGTGTTCCGAAATTGGCGCATGTGGCGCATGACAAACTAACCTTTGACACACGTTCTCCGCGCTCTTCGGATGCTGGCCCTGTAGCCATTCAGGTCTGATACAAAACTATAAAACATATCCGTCTATTGATATTCTTTGCTGGGGCTTTACTGCTTCTCTATGTGCTGACCAAAACTTCCACGACTCCAGGAGACTTGACCAGAACCTTTTGCTCACCCTGCAATTGTACCCTTTGCTTACCATAGATTCTCCTACCCTCACGATGACCTCCTCGAAAGCCCTATTCACGCCAACCCTTGCAGCCAACCTATCCAGTGCAGCGAGGAGAGGCCTGTTTCTTTCGACGATCACTGCTGCAGGTTTAAGACCCAGCTGTGCAGCCATCAGACCATTCGATGCGCAAGCGAGACGAAACTTCTCCGTCTCCCACAAAGCGCAACTCGAGTTCTTCCCACCGCCCAAAAACCTCCCTCACATCAAACTGACGTACGCGCTGGAATTCCTGTCTCACAACCTCCACACTGACCCTTCACAGTCCTCCACCATGGCCCCATCCCACCGCCACGGATGAACAACTCAAGAGCATCGAGATTGCCCATAGGGAAGTGCGAGGTGTGTCAGATTGGATTGCATACAACACGGTACGCTTTTTGCGATGGGGCACCGACCTCGTTACCGGATACCGCCACGATCCCACCAGACCTTATGTGATGAGCGAGAGGAAATGGCTGGTTCGTTTCATCTTCCTCGAGACTGTGGCTGGTGTGCCGGGAATGGTTGCTGGGATGCTTCGTCACTTGCGGAGTCTGCGGGCAATGAAAAGAGATAATGGATGGTGAGAACCATTGCATGGTGATCAAGGCTGTACCCAAGGCTGACAATGATCTCCTCAGGATTGAAACCATGCTTGAGGACGCATACAACGAGCGGATGCACCTCCTGACGTTCCTGAAGATGGCCGAACCCGGAATGTTTATGAAGTTGATGATTCTCGGTGCCCAAGGGGTCTTCTGCAACGGCTTCTTCGTTGCATATCTCTTGAACCCCAAAATATGCCACCGATTTGTCGGTTATCTTGAAGAGGAGGCAACCAAGACCTACACCTATGCCATCGAAGACCTTGAAAGTGGCAAACTGCCGGCTTGGGAAAACCTCGAGGCACCAGAAATTGCCGTGAAATACTGGAACATGCCGGAAGGCAAGAGGACTATGAAAGACCTTCTATACTACATCCGAGCGGACGAGGCGAAGCACCGAGAGATCCATCACACTCTGGGCAATCTCAACCAGGCCGAAGACCCCAACCCGTTCGCCTCGGAGTACAAAGATCCTTCTAAACCTCACCCCGGCAGAGGTATCGAGCACATCAGGTCGAAGGGCTGGGAGCGAGAGGAGGTTATCTGAGCGAGCCACACCCCGGGTATTTCAAAAGAGTTCGGAGCATATTCAAATACCATTGGAGGTTTCTCTTCTTAGCGGCATATCTGGGTTTGGCGTTGCAGGTGCTGTGGAAGGCAAATGATCCCCACGGCTTGACTGAGACTTAACGCAGGTCAGTCTAGAATTTGGCTGGCTTGCAAACATTGATAGATACCGGGCGGCCTTGTTATTCAGGCTCCATTGGCACCAAGTCGATATATAAAATGGCAGCATTCCCCATTCTCAAACAGCTCTCGCTTCGTATCCGCGTTACTGCACTGTCATCCGAGTTCTTGTTTATACAAACACGGTAGAGCTGCTTCCAGCCTGTCCGACCGAGGGCCTGATGTCAGAGTGCATTTCTCAGGCACAAGCAGCTCGATCCTAGTGGTCCGTCACGCCTGTCAGCCCAATTTTTAAGCTCCGCAAGCGCGCCCTGGGAAGGACTGCGTTCCCTAACCCTGGTTCGTCGGCTTCGCCTCATGGTCTAATCTTACCCAAACAAATCCCGGGGCGTGCACTGCCAACAAACTTCCAACAGTCCAACCTCGTCCATCTAACTCACCGTCACCCTTCGCCTCGAAATAATAATACACACCGCCAACATCTCCGGCGGTCCAACTGCGCTCAAAGCACGTTCCACAGCGTGTCTGCTCACGATTTCTTTAGCTATAGCCTCCGCCCGGCCAGTTCCTGAACACGCCAAGCTGCAGATCACTCGTCCACGGCGATTCTTCCGCACATGAACAACACTGCAATTGCAGCTATACCCCGTCTTTGGGTCTCCTGGCCTCAAATCTTGAGCAACTGATCAGGCTGGACAGTCAGCGCTCGCTGTTTGTTATGACCTCTGCTCTCCGCCGCCCGTCCATGGTGGAAACCCCAAGCGATGTCGATCTACATCAACTCCTTGTCCCCTCTTCGTCGAACGATGTCTCTTCCCAACACCAGGCCAATTCCGCGTCCTCCGAACCGAGTAGCGATGCTGGCTCCTTCGTGATCCCGGACAGCCTCTCCAGAAGCAACTCCGTCTTCTCCTTTTCAAGGGCATCCTTCAGCAGTCAGATCGCCAGCCTCACTTCGATTAATATTCCACAAGCCGAGTCTCTTGCCGCCACCGTTAGCACCCTTCCGAGCGCCCGCAAGGCCGTCAGAGCCATCTCTACTGCCGCCGAGCAGATACAATCATGGATCAAGAAAGCCTTGAAAGTTTTGGAAAATCTTGAAGCCGAAGACGACGTGGAATGGGCTGCGGCTGCTGGGAGGTTGGGTTTGGATGAAACAGACAAAACTATAAACAAATTCGAGTCTTTGATCAATATGTATGTTCTGTCGATCGAGGAACTGCAATCGCGTCCCGACATTGGCGATGCAAATCCCGAAGATCTCCAGGCTGTGGTGGAACAGATGGAATCGGTTTTGGGCGGCTGGGATGACGTCCGCAAAGACTTGAAAAACGTTCACGAACAGGTGGAGCTCGCCATGGAATGGGAGGAGTTGTGGGCGAAAGTCCTCGGAGATGTGGGTGCAGAGATGGACGCACTGAGCGCGATGGTCTTTGAAATGGAGGAGAAGAGACACACCGCCTATCAAACACAGACCCACGTTGAGTCAAGTCAAAATATCGATCTGAACGAGCTCGAGAGCTTCATCGATGAGCCTTCTCAGAAAAGAACGACGCCGAACTCGCGGTTTAGCATCCCTTCTTTCGAATCGTCACCCCTGGGGTCTCCCATTATCGAAAATCCGCAGGACGACTCCAATTTACTTGCACTCTTCGCTAGGATGCAACCCCTCAGAGCCTCATTGGATTTCCTGCCTATGAGACTATCCATGTTTCAGGCGCGAGCGGAGAAGATCTTCCCCATTGCTTGCCGAGAGCTCGATGACAAGCGGGCGCGGTTGGAAAGAAATTGGACGGAGTTGTCCAAAGAGGCAGAGACCCTTCGGAGAGAGCTCAGCGAGGATCGTTGGGTGATTGTGTTCCGCAACGCCGGCCGGCAAGCTCAGAAAATGTGCGACTCGGTTGAACGAAGTATCCTGAAGGTCCAGGAAGCGATCCACGAGAATTTTCAGGCGACGAACCCGTCCGCTTTGGCTAAGAGGATCGAAAGTTTCGAGGCAAAGAAGATTCACTACAGCCCGGCCATTCAACGGGTGTTGGGGATCATACAAAAAGGTCTCAAGGATCGTTTGACGGTCAACGGAGAAATCCTCCGTTTGCACAAGGACTTGTCATCCAGATTCCGAGATCTTACGGATACGATGGACGACCTGGATAGCCTCCTCGAGCCTGTTACCTCGCGGCAGAACTCGAAATTGCGAGAATCTATCTCGAGCATCGTCTCCGCAGATCGCTCGTTTACCAGCACCAATTTTGCTGGCACTCCGGGCAGCTCTCCTCCTTCGTCAGTTGATCTCCCTCCGCAGCGACACGAGAAGCCTGCGTCGAAATACGGTCTGAATGGGTACACAAAACAGCGTACCCCCTCCACGAGCAGGCCACCACCGCCAGTCTCAAGCAACAAACGAATGTCAATGCTACCCCAGACGCGGCGGCCCACCACGCCAATGTCGCATTCGAGCAGTGGTATTCGGCGTGGAACGTCACCTTTGCCGGGTCCTCCCTCCGTATACCGTCAAGGCGTCTACACCCCTCCTGTGGTGCCTGCGCCTCGACCAGAGCCGACACCGCGTTCGAATAAACCCAGATGGTCCGCTGTTGTGAAGTCGTACGACAGCACAATAGCGCCGTCGTATCGATCTTCTTCCACCACCACACCATTGACCGCGAGAAGGTATACTCCGCGATCTATCTCTTCCAATACTGCTTTGCCATTGCGCAGTCCACTCAGCCGGGAAGCATCCGCATCACCTTCATCCATGGTGCCTGCCCTTTCCAAAAGAGACAGCCAACAATTCAGATCCTTTGCCGAGCGTGTCGCTGATCCCTTACCGGCAAGGACCAGCAGTTTGTTGGACCCCGTGCCATATCACAAGACCCGGAATTCGAGTGCTCCAGCGCCGGGGACCATTCGATCGCCGTCTTCACTTGTCGTGAACAATCAAAACAAGCCTACAATGAGCGGAGGGTCAATCCCGCGTCCGCCTTCGTCTCTCAGTAGGAGTTACGGTTCTTCGCAAGTTCCCTTGCGATCAACATCTCTCAATCCTCGACTTGATAATAGGCTGGAAGGCAGCCCTAGGAAGGGTGACGATTGTCTGGAAGAGAATGACAGGGCCAGTGAGAACGACGAGGACCAAACGACGGAGCCGAGTTCGAGTCCTTTGTCAAAGCGCACGATCACCAGACCCAGCAGCGTTATGGCGATGAGCGGGAAGGCCAAACGGATGTCATTATTGCCTGTCCCAGTTGGAAGTGGCAGGCAAAGTTCACTGGGTTCGAGGATTTCTTGAGAGACGGCAGCCTCCTACAGCAGGCCTGGGAAGCTGCTCCACGATCGTTTCGTTGGGATATGGGGAGAGGCGAGCGGACCAGTGCCATTAGTTTTCTTTGTGTTTTGACAGCGTTCCAAGCGTGTACTTTCCGCAAGTTTTTTCCTACCGAGCCAGGCAATTTATTGTGCCTGATACCATAGCGCGCAGAATGCGGCATAGCCATCCATGCCAGAGAATACTGTACTTCCTTGAACTGGCATCATTGGCTGGCTGTCTTAGCAACCTCAGAGCCTCAACAACGATGCTTCGCCTACAAAGCCACGTAATTAATTGGTTAATGAAGGGAGGTATAAAAGGAGATATGTACCTATGCTGTGTACGTACAGACCGTCGTCCGACGGCAACCCCTCCAAACTCCGAATGTGTACTCGTATTGGCTCCCATGGTCGTCATGCGATTTGGATACATATGTACCCACCTACCGCGCCACGAGATAGATGGATGGGTTACATTGTACTACGATTGTTCATCCGCGAGAGGAGCTGAGCTCGAATAATCAAATTCCGACGATACCGGATCCTGGACACTATCCAAGGTCTCCTGCTTCTTGCATTGCGTGTGTGTCGCCCGTATAAGCCATCTATCTGATCCTTGATACATAAAGAGGCCGGCCACGTGGCCCCCGCCCCCCACAAAAAAAGGCTTCAGGTGTGTATGCACGCACTCACTCAATCTCAATACCCCAGGCCATAGCCCTTGACGCGGGAGAAATAAAAGGGCTTGTCGTTCCGGAGATGGAAGTCGGCCCAATCATTGGTGAGCACGTTGTAGCTCCAGAAACCCTTCCACACCAGCTTGTTGTTCTTGGTGGTGTGCCGCGAGCGCGCCGACCCCGCCGACTTCAGCGACAAATGCATCGTGTACATGTACCGCGGGCCGGCGCCTTCGGTCTCGATGTGCAGATCGCCGGGGGACATGATCGGTGTCGGGTTGGAGGACGGGAGTGTCGTTGGTTCTAGGCTCTGGTGCGGGTTGGTGGTAGTGGTAGTGGTGGAGGGCTCAGAGCCCGGGAGGTCCAGGCTCGGGTGGCACAGGCGCCAGCGGCCGCGGAGGGCGTGTTTCATCACGTCTCGCGCCGACGGGGGAGGTGCGCCTGCATTGGAGGCGGTGGAGGCAGCAGTGGATGAGCCGGGTTCTCTGAGAAGGGCTGGTGCCGACGAGGTAAAGTTCAAGGGATGTGCTGCTTCCTTTTTCCCGGAACGGACGAAGGTCAAGTTCTCTGGTGTCAGGTGGTGGACCACTTCGACCGGCTCGTTGGTGGTGAGAAGGGATATACAAGTCCCGTCCCGGAAGAATCGCAGATACCGGTAATACGTGACGATGTGGACCGGGTTGGTCCAGGTGCTTGCTGTGACAGAGGCAGCGCCCGGTCGAGTGTAGTTGACCGTGGAGATGTACACGCCCGTGAAGCGGACGCGGGGATAGTTGTGGAAGACGTCTCGCCAGATGGTGTCCTTTGGGAATGGAATATGTGACACACGGAGAGGGGACGGCGAGTCTTCATCTGCGAGGTCGTCGTCCAGCACACGGAAGGTGATCTCGCGACCCTGCAGGTCGGTGTTGAAATCGTATCGTTGGCTGGCGAGGCCGAACTCGGGGCCCAGCGCCACCCGTCTCCAAACGGCGTTGTCGGTCACGACATGATATGCCAGTTTCCTGCAGACCAAAGACAGCCGGACATATATGGCTGGATCCCGGATGGCTATGTGTTCTAGTAGCTCCAACAGTACTTCTGTGGGCAGCTTCTTAATGGCGCAAGGCGGAGGACGGTCGCCTTCAATGATGGGTGGTGCACCCTGAATTTGCGCGTGTGCAAACGAGTCGATCAGTTGAGAAAAGGTTAGATTCTCTGGGCCGGGTTCTTTGAGGGAGTGATGGGCGGTGGAAGGGACGGTGACAGGGGCGTTGGAGGGGTTGGGGTTGGGTGTTTTTGACTTGGCTGCTTGAGGGAAGTGCTTGTTCTTGTACGACTGGTCCACCTTTGCGTCGAGCTTGTAGGCTTTGCGGTAGTGGGAGAGACTGTCGCCCAAGTTCCCCTGACTCTCCTTTTCGACGGCACGCTCGAAATGCTCCAAGGCACTGATGGGTTCTTTCTTCGACGAAGCCCTTGCGGTGAAATCATCGTCGTCCACACTATGGACTTTCAGACCTTCCATGCGCGGCGCGAGCGTGGCCGAGCTGCTACCGCCGGCTTGATCTGCATCGCTGTAGTGGTCGGAATCGTCCTGTTTGATATCTGCCGCCGGATGGCGAGTCGGGGGTTTGTTGAGGGGCCTTTCAGGTCGACCATCGCTGGTCCTTCTCTGTTTGTACTGGACTGATGATCCAGGTTTCTTTTCTGGCTTTCTCGAGCGAGCACTGACTTCCTCTTTCCATTGCTGGCGGAATTGCTCGAGTTCTGACGCCGGTTCAGCCATTGGATCTTCCCTGACGTATTCGTTGTGCTGAGAAGGGCGGGGGACCTGATATCCGGCAGTAAATGACCTCGTTCAGTAAGATGAATCACCTCCAGGCATACGCCGTGTGGGCCACTAATAGAATTCGAGGCTGGGACCGGGAGAATCAATGTCGTCAGTAATACAGATGGTAGATGGTTGGGTGAGTCAATGACCTGGGGATCCCCAGGAATGAGTGGCGTTGGAAAAGGGTACGTACCAGCTTATCTAATGGCCGTGTTATCGCCGACGAGTGGCCGGCACACTTACCCGATTAGTCCCCTCCGACAACGGCCGACTTTCCTCTGACGAAGTTTTTGGCGGCAGCTCAATCTCAAAAGTCTCCATGTCATAATTCATAATTGCCTCCCTCACGCCCTTCGCTTGATATCCTCTCCTCCCAGGCAGACGCTCGAGTATTGAGGTTGATTCTTAGGCAAAGGCTCTTCGCTGGATCAGTCGTCACTGTTGGAGGTGTCTCCGGCTTGAATGTCCTACTCATTCACTGCGGAACCTGCGCAGTCGATTGACGAGCATCCCCTCTCCCAACACGCGCTCGGCCACGATGCCCAACAACAACCACAAGCAGAGGGACAACGGCATGACAGAGTACCGTTCTCGCAACAGAGTACCGGCGACATGTCAGCCTCAAATACTATCGATATAACCACCACTCAACGCATGATCTCCGCCACATGGGGCAGCATCTTGACCTCACTGCTGGGTATGTCACCACTCTCAGCACGACCTACCACTAGCCCTTGCTGACTCTTGTATAGTGACACCGCTCGATGTTGTGCGTGTACGGTTACAATCCCAGCAACCTCCTCCGCCCTTGAATATCTCCCGGTTTCCCGCATACTCTACCAACTTCAAACACCTGCCACCCGATCTGGGCGTCAACTCATGCTGTCGAGAAGTCTTTTTTGTCGGAAACAATGGTCAGTTCTGCCTTGCGGCAAATGGCTCCGTGCAGGAGTCTTCGGCACTTGCAGCTGAATGTGCTGTTGAAGAAACCCAACGAAGGACTTTCAATTCCACCCTAGATGGCCTGAAGAAGATTGCAAAGAACGAGGGCTATTCGACGTTATGGCGCGGGCTGTCTCCGACGTTGGTGATGGCTATTCCTGCCAACGTCATATATTTCACAGGCTACGACTGGCTGCGTTACCATCACAACAGCCCGGTCAGGAAGGTCTCATCCGATGCTTATGCCCCTCTGGTTGCTGGTTCGATCGCACGGATAGCAGCTGCCATTGCCGTGTCGCCCATCGAAATGTTCCGAACTCGAATGCAAGCGACCTCTGGAATTGATACGGGAGTGTTTAAAGAAACTTTACTTGGCCTGCACCGCATGACCCAGACCCAGGGATACACATCGCTATGGCGTGGGTTGACTCTGACCATGTGGCGAGATGTACCATTCTCTGGCATCTACTGGTGGGGATATGAAGCAATCCGGAACAAGTTGACCGATGCTCGACAGTTAGCCAAAGGGCAGCATCTCGACCCTGCCCGCTCCATGACCGGTGGACGAACAGCTCAAGCACACGAAAACCACACAACCACCTTTGTCGACAGTTTCGTCGCTGGTGCGGGTTCCGGCGCCGTTGCTGCTTTCGTCACCACTCCCTTTGATGTCGGCAAGACTCGCCAGCAAGTCTATCACCATGCTGGAGACGACGCTCCCTCGGCCGTGGCGGCACGAGAGGCCGCCAAAGCTGGCAAACATATCCCAGAAGAGCTGTCGATCCCACGCTTCCTGTACCACATTTTCACCGAGGAAGGCATGAGGGGGCTTTTCAAGGGCTGGGCTGCGCGCTGTCTAAAAGTCGCACCGGCATGCGCAATTATGATCAGCAGCTATGAGATGGGCAAGAAATGGGCGAAGACAGTGAACGAAAAGAAGGAGAAGAAGGCTATCGCTTAATTTTTGGGGTCTGGTCAATTTCCAGCTCCGCCAGGGAAATGGAGGACCTGTTTTCGTGATGAATATGAGTTCATTCAATGAATTGTACCAATACCAATGGGCGCGGTTTCGGGTCCTTAATGTACAGCTGGCACGGTGTTGGTGGAATCCTTCTTAGCTACAATATTATGAACTCCTCCCTCAGGGAAAGGAAAATGGCGTTGCAACTTTAACCTCCGTTCGACGTTATTATGAATTGAGCGCTTCAGCATCACCCCAGACTCATTGCATCTTCAGCTCAGTGTTTCCACGTATTATGTACGGGCATTCTCATCGTTTTCGACCCTGGCCAAACGTCACCATCAAACAGATCATTACCTAACACCATTACGCCCCTCCAGTTCATATATAAAGCATCCTATGCCATACTCACATCCCCTGGGTCCTGCATGCCACATCACATCAAACTAAAGTTGCGACATCAGCGCGGCCTGGGCGGCGGTCGACGCCGCCATCTTGACGCCGCCCTTCGCCAGATCCTGCGCCACGTACTTGCGCACGAGCAGGTCGCGCTCCTCCTTCTTCTGCCGGGCGTACTCGGGGTCGTTTAGGGGGCAGCGCGGGTCGACGTCCGGCCCGGGGCAGGTGTGCGGCCGCTCGTTGTCGCGACACCGGTGCCGTCGCCGGTTCAGGGGGCATTTGGGGTCGACGCACGTGCACGGGTGGCGTGGGTCGTCGCACGCGTGTGTCGTGGCCACGATCGGGCATTTCTTTTGCCAGCATGGGTGCTCCGACGAGGTGTGGTGGTGGTGGTTGTTCCCGTACGTCCGGAGACGCATGTGTGCGTGCGGAGTGTGCTCGTGGTCGTCCGGCTGGTCGGGGTTTGGTGGATTGGAGGGCTGATTGGGATTTGATGGCTGGCTAGGGTTGGGGGGTTGATTTGGGTGCGATGGTTGACTGGGATTCGATGGCTGGTTGGGATAGCCTGGTTGATTCGGGTTCGGCGGTTGACTGGGATAAGATGGCTGGTTGGGGTAGGACGGCTGGCCTGGTGGATTGCCGTTCTGATATGGAGGGCAGTTGTTCTGGTAAGGGGGTTGACAGGACGGATCGCCATTGTGGCACGGGGGCTCGTCATGGTTCATCTTGTCTGGGGGGTTCGAGAACTGCGAATGGTTATCGCAACTGTCCTCGGTGGGAGCCTCTGAACCCGAGTCTTGATCCATGTCGCGGTCGTGGTCATCCCTAGTCCTCTTGTGGTGAGGTGGGTGATGATGCATGGGCGGCAAAGGCGGCGGGAACTTGAACCAAGGGATGCGATTCGGGTTGGGGCCTGGTATTTCTCGAACTGCTGTCTGTGGGGGGTGCTTCGAATCGAGCGAGCGATCTGACCAGCGGTCCGTGTCATGAGGGGGAAGGTGTTTTCCGCGCCGCTTGTAGCAGTATTTGTAGATGAAATAGCCAATGACAGCCAAGACGACGAGTCCGACCACACTGCTCACGGTGCCCTCGACGATTTGGGGTACATTGTTCTTCTTCGGAGCGTCACCAACGGCAACGGTGCAGTTCTCTGGCGGCAGGTTCGAGGTCACACCGACGACGAAGATGGAGTTCTTGTCGGCGTTGTCGGCGGTGACCTTCACGTCAATCGTGTCGGTACTGGGAGCAACGACAGAGAACCCGCTACCATAGTAGCTAGAATAGTAATCTGCTGAGCCTTTGGCAAGGGTCTTGCCGCCAGAAACGATTTGGACCGCCAGAGTGCCAGCATCGACGCTTTGAACATTGAACGTAAGCTGCTCCTTAGACCGTGCACTATAAGTCATGGTTTGTGTCTCGGAGCCCGAAATGAAGTGCGACGCGTCGAGACCAGCCAGCAGAGTGGTAGTATCTCCGTCTGGATTGTCGTTTCTGGTAAGACCATTGACGATGATACCGTCAATAAAAGCTTTGGACGCATTGTAGTTCTGTATGGTAAAGTATCTTCCACCCGAATGCATAATCGACGAAAGGACATCTGTGTCCTGCAAACTGGAAGAGTCGTCCAGGAACCCGAATGCCACTCTGATACCGAGGCTGGTAGCACGGTTGATTTGATTCACGAGGTCGGAAGTACTCGAGTCCTAGGGAACTAGTCAGCGTCACTGCAGTAACGTTTTCCGAGTGCATGACATCGAAGTTGACCTGTAAGCAAATGAAAGCGGAAGATTGCCCACATGGTAAACCCGTCAAACAAAAAGGGGGAGCTCAATATCAACGTACCTCTCCGTCAGTGAAGACTAGAATGCCACTTCGTCCGGCAGTGTCTCCAGTTTTTGCCGCGGTAAGTTGTTGAATGGCCATTTGAACACCGCCTGCAATATAGGTGCCGCCATCTGCGCCGATCTGTGCCAGCGAGCTCGCAGCCGCACCGGGGTCTCCAAGCGGGTAGTCCAGATAGGCCTCGTCGTCAAAGTTGATGACAGTGACCATATCTTGCTTCTGGGTACTGGTCACCTCGCTCTTGGAAATAAGCCAGTCAAGGACCATCTTTGCAGCGCTGACGCGATATAAGTAAGGGTCTGAAATTTCCATAGACCCAGAGCTGTCGATCACCAGGGCAATCTTGCGGTCGCCATTGTTTGAGTTGGCTCGCAGGTTTGTGCAAACCGGAGATGAGTCGTCTCGTGGAAGGAGATGGGCATTAGCAATGCTCGCCAAAAGAACATATGGCAAAGAGAGAGTAATGGAAAACATGGCAATCAGAAGAACAATAGGGCTGCCATGGGGTAGCTTTCTCTGCTGGGTCAATGAGGGTCGCTTCGACCCTATATGTTGTCTCTCGCGTGGTCATCAGCTGGAAGTCTGATGGAAACAGATACCACTCCCGATCACTTGGCGGGCGCTGCAGATGGCCGTTTCTGTCAAGACAACCTCCACATGAAGAAGCGACAAAATGCACTAGACAGGAGAGAGGCAGAAGGGGGATGAGATTAACTCGTTGAGACGAGGGACCGAGTCTCGACCAACAGTTGCTCCGCTGCTGTTTGTTCACGGCTGAGAAGTCTTAGGCACGAGGCTGGACAGCAACAAACTAGTGAATTGTCCTGAACGGCGCTCGTATTGTCGCCTTGATTTTCTCGTCTTGACCGTGTGAGCCTTCCAGCCATTCTCAATCCAGAAGCACTAGATTGAGAAAAAGAGATGGCATTGTTGCAGAAATCAGAGTTTCTATGCATGAAGTCTCAAGTTCTCGTATCGCCGGGGCTAGATTCGCCAAGAGAGTCCGGGTTCTCCCTATGGCGTTCCTGGGAGTGAGTTCAGGTCTTGACATCTGGAGTGTGTTCTCGGCAAGTTCACGAAAGTCCATCAGAACGTGTGAACGTGTGAGCCTCAGCCTTATCAGGGCCTTGGCTGCGATCTCCGCTGCGTACTTGGCCGGCGCCACAAGCACATTCATGGCCTATGAGTTCATGGACATCAGGGGTTCTCCCAGGAGGGGTCTCATCGATATCCCTTTTGCTCAGTTTAAAATTTCCCCGTATTGAACCTCTACACACTGCCAACCGCCCGGGATGCAGGTTTTAGGTTGGTTAGAACGTTGACACGGTGGAAATTAGACAAGGCGGAGTTCCTCTTGGCGAGCATCGGGATTCGATGAAGCTTGTTGTCGCGAGGTATGAGGTACAGTGAGGCTGAGAGATGCGGTCGGAAATTCATGGGCGAGAAAGTTCCGAAGCTTTGCCAAGGGTCTTGGCAAAAGCCAAGACATCAAGCGGGATGTTCTTCGAGCCCCTATTCCAGTCCCAATGGAGGTTGCCAGCACCGCCGCTTTTGGAGGTGCGCTTTCCTTCTCCCACACCCATCCGGGAACCCAAAACAAACACTTCTACCCTCACCACAATCACCATTACCTTCACCATTACGATGGCTGGCGAAACCGCTCTTGGTCCGCAGGCTAACTTCAACATCATTGCTACCGAGATACTAAATGTCAGGAATGGATCGCCAGCAAGCTATCTAACAAGTGTATTGCCTATCTATAGGCGCGGACGACAGAGATTCCGAAGCTGGAGAGCTTTAGAAGGCAGTCCGCGACCCGTACGCTTATATACATCCAGCCCCTGAGAGTCTTGGCACCCCTTATTCGGGACAGCACCTCTTGTCCGTAACACTAAAGATACCAAAAACACCTACACTCGCCGACGGTTCAGCAACTTCTCGACGAGTTCCGTGCAATAAGGGGGTAGTTAACGAGAGACACGACGGCAATACGGCGAGACATTGAAAATGTCCGTCAGCAAGTTATCGATGTTCGTCAAGAGCTTATAAATACAATTACTGCGTCGTATGTACAGTTCAACTTATTTTAGTATTACTATACTAATTCTATAGGAATCATATAATAACGCAGCCCGCGTTCAGAATACATACCTTCGAAAGTCAAAACGAAAATCTTGTATCGTTTATTAACGCTACTGTGACGGCAAGGCACATATGGGATGGAGAACGCTCCAAAGATGTGAATTCCTATTGTACGAAGGACTAAGCTGGAGAGAAAAAGAAAGAAGAAAGGGAGACGGCGGCAGGTACGGGACTCGGTCAGCCAATCAGATCGCCGTTCCGACTGATCTGGGTGACCCGGACTCCGCGGCCGTGACAGCTACTACCGGTGCCGCTATCCTTAATTTCCCTCATATGTCATTCGAGATTCGATACTACAACAACTGGGTATTCCTACGCAGGGTGCAGATTTAGCGGAGGAGAAGCGGTTACCCAGAGCTCACCTCGGGTTACTAGAGGTCGCAGCCTCACCACATCCATAAGTGACACGCTGTACGAAGTGCACGAGTCAGAACTGTATTGATAGTTTACGATTGATGAGAATCAAGATCATGATCTAAAGCAGCGGCTAATTTCCCTGCAAAAACTTTACATCTCTGGAGTCACCATTGGTCCTGTTACACTCCATGCCCTCGTATTGATCACAGGAGACTACACATTCTAAATATATATATCGGCAACCTGGCCTGCTGTCCAGGATGTGCGCCTTGGAGTGTTCGTATTTCTGCAGCCCTTTTGCTGTGGCAATTTCCACAATCTGGCATGCGAAAGGACTCACTCGTGTAAGTTCCATTCTGATCAGGCATCAGGGCATTTTCTGCTGTATATATAGACTGCAGCAGCAATGGATTGCTCCTGGGGTGCCTGTGAGTATCCTGCCCGTTCTTTTGGTTCAAATATCCCCAAGTCGCTCGTTGCATTCGGGTTCAACAACATTCGTCTTCTGTCCAAACCAGCCCAATAGCCTCTGTTGTGGAATCTCTCCGAGCATCTACATTCCACCTGGTCCATCATGTCTTCCGAACAAGGTTACTCGGTGGTCCCTGTGCAGCGAATCTTCCTGCCCATCAGGATCGTTCAGATGGTCTTTACCGTCATCATCTTCGGCATTGCGTGCTACCATCTTTCTCTGGCTCCGAGTTATGATGTGGGATCCCACCCCCTGAATGTTTACGAGTATTCAACTGACATCTTGCAAGGCTGGCGGCCTTAGCCTCTTCACCGCTCTGGCCACTATAATCTTCCTGATCTACTGGTTCGTGGCAAACAGTCCAACCAACACTCATCTTTACAATTACTGGGCTGTGTTTGCTGTTGAGCTCTTCGTCCTCATCTTTTGGCTCTGCACCTTTGCCCTCGACGCCGACAAGGTCTCTTTGTACGTCCAGGCTACAAACTATTCGTCAAGCTACGATGGTACCGACTATTCCGGTGATGGTACCACCAGCGGTAGCGGCACCGTCTGCTACGCCGGCGTCTGTGTCAACTACAAGCGCGACCTCTACAAGCGCAGTCTCGTCAAGCGGGCTACTGACTCCGTATCTGCAACACTATATGTCGCCCTTGCACTGTCGGTGATCAATTTGTCAGTACTCCAACCCCCTCGCGGGTCAACGTCTCTGTGCACTAACGGACTTTAGTATCCTATTCGGCGTCACCTTCGCCCTCTACACCATCAACATGTTCCGGCACCGAGCTGCCCTTTCGAATGCAAAAGGCAACAATATCCCCATGGGCAATGGCCACGTGGCGGCCAACCGAATGGAGAAGGGGATAGTCATGAACGGACGCCAGTGAACACATGCTGCTTTGATGCCAAACTTAGCCTTGTGGTACAATCACAAGTGGTCTGTGAAGAAAGCTTAGAGGAATGAAGAAGGGCGTATAGGTTACGTACCGGATGGGTTGTCACAAGGAATATTAAAGCGGCGTGGCCGGCATAATAATCTGGGCGCCCGTGAAAACGCCAAGGCTGACGGCAGCAACGACGCCCCAAAAGCCAACAGGTATCAGATGGACTTCTTCTGACAACGATTCTTAGACATGATTTCAGTCTGCAATAATGGGTGCTATACGGACTATAGGCATTGTTGTGCTAAGCATCTCGTTTGTTGTCTTCGTTGCTCTCTTTGGTCGACTCCCCGTCTTCAGGTGAGCGACTTTCCTCCCCAGTTAAAAGTCGTCTGGCCCCAGGTTCTCACAGGCTCTTACAGGAGGACACCTATCGCCTTTCTCCATCGACTGCTCTGGAAAATTATCCCAAATGCCATTGTATTCATCGATGAACGGCTCACTGGCCGCCGTGTCACGCGTAGTCTCGCGAGAACGGGTGATTATCTCATGAATGAGAAACATCCACTTATCCTTGTATGTTTGGGGACCGAGCCCCAAGCCCGGAACGATATACGCGCTCACAGACGCCTCTAGATATTCTTTGTCCTCTTACAGGTTGCCGGCGAATTTCTGTTCATTCCAGCAGCATGGGGTCGTCTTTCGACCAGCCAAATAGCAGTGTTGCCCCCTCTGATTGTTGCCCCTCTGGCGTTTCTGTACCTTTCCAATACTACATCCTCAAATATCACCCCTGAGAATCACCGGTCGGCAATGTTGGCGTATCCCTATGACTTTGCTCTCTTCCATCCAGGCTACTTCTGCTCTACCTGTCGATTTCCAAAACCAGCCAGGTCTAAGCACTGTTCTATATGTAAGGCGTGCATTCAGAAACAGGACCACCACTGCATCTGGATCAACAACTGCGTGGGAAGGAACAACTATCTATGGTTTCATCTCCTCCTGGTCAGCATAGCCACACTGCTTTTCTACGGTTCATATCTGGGTTATGTCTTGCTCGACCGAAGACTCCAGGAACGCCTCGTGCCGCCAGCGCTGACGAGAGGCAGTTTCACGGCCAAGCGGTGGAGCACCAGGATGACATGGGGCGAATACGCACACGCTTGGGCATGGGCTATTTCCATAGAGTGGCGTATCGGTGCCGTCATGATGCTGGCTATGATGTGTATCCCGCTGGCGCTGGGATTTCTTTCCTATCACATCTATCTCATCTGGGCGGGTATGACTACGAACGAAAGCTCGAAATGGAGTGATTGGAAAGAGGATATTACAGACAAGGTAGTCTTCAGGGCAGAGATGACTCGCCTGAGAGAAACCTATCCACCTCTGCCTGAAGACGTCGAACCTTTGGACAAGGATGTGAAATGGCCGGCGGGAGTGCGGGCCAAGTGGTGGCTGGTGAGGACGAGAGATGGCAGACAGCCCACAAGGAAGGTCAGCAGAAAGGCAGGAAATACTACAAATTCCGGGGCTGGAACGGGAGGAAATACGAACGGGGAGGAAGAGGTGCCGGACGAGCGTTGGGAACCTGTTTCTTCAATTGCACAGGTTGAGAACTTGTATGATCTGGGTTTCTGGGACAACCTGTGGGATGGACTGTTCAATCACGGATGAGGCCGTTCGTAGCACAATAGGAGAGGACTATGGGAGTGCCGGAGACTCGTACTTGAAGACAAGTTTCTAGGTATATGGTTTTCAACGAGCGTCGAGCATTCGAGAACGACAACCGAGTACATTTACTCCATTCCCCCCAAACCGATACCCCCTGGTTGGTATTATTAGAGTATGAGCATAAGGCGGCTTTTCTTTCCATGCTGCAGGTTCGATTGCGTAAATCGTCGGCCCGAATATCTGGCCTAGCGCAACAGCGAGTCCACATCTCGTCACGTGGATTGGTGCCGGCCTCGCCGCCTTTGCGGTGAACTTCCCAACTTTCGAGAAGATTGAACCGCGTTTCTAGCAGTCAGCCATATTTGCAACGAGTCTCGATCAATCGACGGCGAAAGTCGTTGCGAGACGCCCGTGATTTCAGGATGCTTGCAAATGGCTCCGCGACCTGCCAAAAGGCAGCGCAGATCTACCATCGTCCTTTCCGACGGCAGCGATGAAGACTCGAACCCGCCGTCTCCCAAACCTGGAAGAGCGACGAGTTTCCAACGGGAGATCACATTCGATGGCAGGACGTCTGCAACAGTGTCTCCAGTGAAGTCCAGACCGACGAAGCCTGCCTCAAGGAAGGCTGCGGCTCAACCCTCCCCAGCGTCCTCGCCTGAAAAAGCGAGAAAGAATACGAAAGTCAAGACCGAGGTAGAGAAGAACAAGTCACTGCACAACTTCTTTCACAAGGCGACAGAGGAACAGAGATGGAAGAGAAAGTCTGAAACATCAGATGTAGAGGCCCAAAATAACGGCGAGCTGAGCGATGCCATCGAGGACGACGATCTGTCCGACGAAACTTTGCAGGAATTAGGATTCAGTAAAGGCAGATCTCACACCAATGCAAACGGGCGCATACCAGGGACGGTGTCTGCGGTCGCTACCTCCAAGCGGAATGCTGATGTTGGAAGTCTACCATCGACCCAGAGATTCGTCAAGCCTGGAGCAGCATCAAATCGAAATGTCAACGATTTTGGAGACCCATCTCACATCGATAACCACGACCACCGGCCCTGGGCCGACCGTTATGGACCTACAAATCTCGAGGAGCTTATGGTCCACAAGAAAAAGGTAGCAGATGTTCAGAATTGGCTGCAGGGCAAGTTGGAGGGGCACAACAATCAGAAGCTGCTCGTACTAAAAGGCCCAGCCGGCAGTGGCAAGACCACAACCGTTGGTCTGGTTGCAAAAGCGCTGGGCTTGCAACTCGTCTCGTGGCACAATCCTGCTGTGTCGGAAGTGGGTGCGGGCAACTCAATATCCGCCCAATTCGACGAGTTCTTGAATCGAGGCGGCCAATTCGGTAGTTTAGCATTCGATCAGGACACTTCAGAGCGAAATACAAGAGAAGGGGACTCAGGCCGTCGACTCCTGGTTATTGAGGAGTTTCCGGCAACGATGACGAGATCTTCGAGCACCCTGCAGTCATTCAGATCCGTCATCCAACGCTTCCTTGCTCAGGCTAACAAGCCTTCTTCCACGGCATTTCGTAGCCAACAGAGCTCCAAGGACATCTACCCCCCGGTGGTCATTATCATCTCCGAGACTTTGTTGTCATCTTCCACAGCGCTGACGGACAGCTTCACAGCTCACCGACTGCTCGGCGCAGAGATCTTGAATCATCCATTCGTGACCACCATGGATTTCAACCCTGTTGCGCCTACAATTCTCACGAAAGCGCTCGACTTGGTAATGAAAAAGGAAGCGAGAGACTCACGTCGACGTAGAGTTCCGGGTCCGGCCATCATCACAAGGCTAGCTGAGATGGGCGACGTCCGTAGTGCCGTCAACTCCCTCGAGTTCTTGTGTGTCAGGGGAGGGGATGGGTTGGAATGGTCCGGCACCGTTGCGGCGAAAGCGAAACGGCCATCGAAGAACAAGGAGAACCTGGCATTGACAGAGGTGGAAAAGAATTCTTTGCAACTGGTCTGCCAGCGTGAAACAACACTCGACATGTTCCATGCTGCGGGAAAAATCGTTTATAATAAACGCGAAGATCCTCGCGTATTAGACACTCGAGCTCAACCACCACCAAAGCCGCCGGACCATCTCATGCATCTTTACACTCCAAAGGCCTCACAAGTGGATATTGAAGCCTTGCTCAACGAGACAGGCACGGACATTCAGACATTTATCTCTACCTTGCACCAAAATTACATTCTGTCATGCAATGGCGATATGTTTGAGGAGTCTTTCGACGGCTGTGCTGACATCCTCTCGACGAGCGATCTCTTGAATCCCGAGATCCGCCAAAACAGGCGTCGCCATAACAACTCAAACCCTAACTATGGGATAACGCAGTCAAACATCCAGACAGGAACTTCGGATACACTCCGACAGGATGAAATTAGCTTCCACGTTGGCACAAGAGGCCTGTTGTTCCATTTACCACATCCGGTTAATCGGGCAGCGGCCACTATACCGGGTGCGAAAAGAGGAGATGCATTCAAGATGTTTTACCCGGCAAGCCTGAGGTTGTGGAAACCCATCGAGGAGATGGAGGGACTGTTGGAGACATTTGTCTATGGCGGTGGGACCTTGGTTGGCAGAGGTGATGGTTCTTCCGTGTTTACTTCTACCAGCAGAACGGGGACTATGTTCGCTGGCGGTGATAGGGGCGTTGCGAATTGGCGAACGAAAGAATTTGCGCTGGACAACGCCACCAGTAGCTCTTCGGCACGAGTCAAGCAAGAGCCGTTAGACACATCCAACCCCAGTCTCGTACCGGAAGGTTTTGAAGGCACCGCTAACAACCCACCTCCTCCGATTGTGTACTCGAAGGATATCTTGACAACCGAGCTTCTGCCATACATGACTCGCATCTTTACGGCGAGGAGACAGGATACAACAACCTTAGAGAAGATTACCAAGTTCAAGCCGACCACCTATCTATCCACAGAGGAAGATGGATCTGAAGAAGAAGACGATATGACTATCAATGCCACATCTGGCGAAGGGGCTGGACGGGCGCAGTCCCTCACTCCAGCCATCAGAAGCGCAAATGCAACGCTCAGCAACTCGACACAAGGTCTCAGGAACTTGAAGAACGACGTGCCAGTAGCGGCTGCCATGGCCGTGGAGAAGCTCTACATCTCCGACGACGACATCGAGGACGACTAAGTGCCCCCAACTATCGTGCCACTTCAGGTAATCCTGACATGATTCCGATGTATCAGGAGAGCAGACTGTCCCCAAAGTCCCGAACCTAAACCATCCAAGAAAAAAAAAAACAGTGTTACAGAGCAGGTGGGTGGGTTGAGAGAGGGAAAAAAAGACTCCCCATAAACGGCGTTTCCGGTCCAATCCGGTTTAGAAAAGAAGCCGTTTTGAGTGATTGTTCGACGATGGAGCCAGCGCGAATTACTACTGCAGGGAGGGAGAGCTGATACTGGACTGTACCTTGTACATCGGGAACAATACACAGGAAAACTTACAACACACGGAAGGAATGAAAATCATCATCATCACGAGCGTCCAGAATAGATGGAATCTGACACTTAGCTTCAAACTACATAAATGGCCCCAAGAGGTTTTGCTTCTCCTTGATTTGATTGCTTGATTTGAGTCTTCTCCCGAGAATATAGTCCGTAATGATATCAAGTAACCACTTGCCAGTTGAGTGAGTGACTGCTTGCTTGCTTGTTAAGTGCTTATGTACTGAGTACTAATGTATACATACACTTTAATTACATACGTTGCACAGCCTGGGGAAGGCTGTATCGGAAGAAGCTATATGGAATACTCCAAAGAGACACCGCATAGAGCGAGTACTGGTTCCTGTCTCTCCTGTTATGCTTGCTGTGGCCAATGCGGCGATCCTCGACTCGTATAGACCGTCATTATAATGCTTGTAGTTCCTGTCCCGTCTCATTTCTTTTCTTTTCTTTCCTCTCGGCTTTTGTATTCCCCATGTGTGGAAATGGCTTCGTCACCTATGGTCCCCTGACTGACCGTTTCTGGTCGTTTGCCTTGTGTTGTGCTCAGGTCTGCTGGAACCATCCATCCTCCTTAATGCGAAAGACAAATGTAACCCCGGTAGCGGCAAGCAACCCCAAGCATAACGCCGTTGTCCCATATTTATCATAGTACCTCGACACACTGGCCCTTCTCTTGCGAATCATCTGCACCCGCAAATAATAAATGACAACACTATATATCAATGCTGCGGAAGCGACAATCGTAAACCCCCAGGCGGAAATCAAACTCACATTATCTCCAAAATTTAGAAGCGCCGCTGCAATGGAGCCGATGATGATACTGAATTCCAGCCACGAGAGAAAGGTGCGTTCGGCAGCAAAGTAAACCTTTGGTTCCACACGAACGGGCACATGGATGCGTTTGCCCTTGGGCGCCTTGAAGCGTTTCACTTGGACTTGCCCGGTGAGCTGGTTTCTGCCGCCGGCAATGCCTCCGTTCTGTGGTAAACGGGTGGTTGCAGGGATTTTCTGGAAGAGGTTGAGCACACGATCGCCAACCAGGTGAGCCTGCTGCTTCAGAAACAAGGGGTAATATTTCCACGAGCTGGACTGGCGGGCTTGTTCGAGCTCGTCTTCAGCATCTTCTTCTTCCGAGTCGTACAGATACTCGTCCGAAACACGTATGGCCGCGACTCTTTCTTCTTCGTCTAAAGAGTTGCCAGGTGCCGCATAGCTGTCTTCTACGGCGTCTCGGTTCTGAGCCCGACTATGCTCGTCGAGTGCTCGTCGTGCGGCCTTCAAGCGTCTTGTCCCTTCATCGTCGGTCTCCTCAGACGGATCAAACATGGGTGTGGTCTTTCCAGTGGTCTGAGCCTCAGCTGATGGATCGTCTGAATCATACTCGTCCTCATCGACATCACTGGTTGAGTAGCTGGCTGTATTGGCAGGTCGTTCAATGCCGAAGCGGTGGGTGATAGGTTTCCGAATGTCAACGTCCATCTGGGGGAACCAGAACGGAAGAAGATTGATGCGGGTAGGGAAAAGGGTGGCGGTGCCATGGATGAATTTCGAAAACTTGGGGACAGCTTCGACCAGATGGCTTGCCGTCAAGTCTCGAATCCACTGAGGTGGTTCTTGGCCGGCTTGGGTCTGCAACTTGACTTCAAGGACGGCGTAAGGGAATCGTTCAACATCCTCCGCAGGCAGCTGGGGAAAGGGCCAGTCGATCCCAATGTCCATTCGTCGCCAGTTCTTACCGGCGCGCTGTCGGCCATCAAGATTATCTTCGCGGACCATGGTCAATTCGGTGTCCAATGATATTCTCACACGGGCGTCACCTGGAAGCTGGAACGCCGTGCGGTGGTAGAAAGACCTGGTCACGGGGACGAGTTTCCGGCTGATAACACGGTATTGGATCTCTCGAGCGAGCTGTTCGAGGTCGTCAATCTCCTTGGCACTCTTCTTTCCCTCCTTTCGCATCTTCGCAAAGACCTCGTCCACGGTCAATGTCCCGTTCAAAAAAGCATTGACATTCTTCTCTTTCAGCGTGAACCGGGCTTTGACAGACTTTTCCCCTGTCCAATCTTCGCGATGAGTCTTCCTCTCCACGAAGATGGTCTCGTTTTCCATGCCACCGTACCATCGAAGGCGGATGGCCTCGGCGCCTTCGGTCTTCTTGAGACGACCCATATACAGCTCCCATGTTTCCGGGTTGTCGTAGTAGATGGATGAGATGGCAGAATCCTTTTCTTCAAACTCCTTGTTGGGGTTGAAGACCAAGACAGGTAAATGCTTGAGGATGATGAGCTTCAACTCTGTGATATTGTCCGGATGGACCCAGTATTTGGTTGTTTGACGGACAAAGTTCTGCTGGGAACCGCCGGCGCTGCTGTCTCCTTTTACCGGGTTGCCCCGCGTGCGGACCAGGTCGTAGAGTTTCGAGAGCTTGACGATAAAGGCATCATAGTTGTCTTGAAAGAAGGGCTTTGCTTTGAGGCGGGTCGCGAAGGAAGGACGTAGGATCAACTGGGTTTGCTTGTCATGCTTCTTAATGATCTTCTGAAACCCCGTGTAGTTCAGTTGTGTGAATTTGGCCAGGTCATGAACGTCAGCGATAATGTCGGAAAGGTCGGCTTCTAGTAGGTCGAAATCGTTCTCGAGCTCCTCGTCGGCTTCTGAGCCATTCTGATTCTGGCGCTCTTGCCGTTCGACCACCTGTTTGACTTCGGACTCGGCCGCCTTGATCCTTGATATTATCTCCTGGCTCTTGAGCTTCTGGAACGTAAAGACCTTGTCCAGCTCGGCCTCCAGCAACCGAATAAAGTTGGCTTCGTCGTCGTCGGTCCACGACTCGCGCTCGCCACTTTTGCCATTAACGAAGGGCTTCTTGAGGGCGGCTTTGAGGTCGTCATAAGCAATGTAGTGCCAGTAATAGTCCTTGATCAAGGACTGGCGGAGCTGCTGACCGAACCTAGAGGAAAGGTGGGTGGTTAGCGAGGAATACAACAACTGGGCGGGGTTGGCTTCAGGGCATACTTCATGGCGAGAGGAACGGGAAGGGTGCTGCCAGACTACGGCATTGAAGGGAAAGAGATGTGAACGTATGGTCGACTGAGTAGAAGTGACGAAGGACATAGAGCTTAATCGTGACGAGAGATGCAGCAGAGAATAATAGACAAATGCTTTGGGATCATGGTGCAGCAGAAGCAAAGCTCCAAAGCTAACAAAATTCCATGCAGGTAGAGGTAATGGCCTCGATGAACCGCGAATCGGGCTCGTTTGCTGGAGCTTCCGGCTACGTAGGGGCTTCATCTGCGCCTCGGTGCTGACCCAATGGCAACGGCGGGTTTGGGGAACGTGCGCCTGTCCTCGTTGCTTATAAGGCCAAAGCGTCCAAGGACAGCAAGTGGCTAGCCCGCTAGTGGGGGCTCTAGGGGGTCTGGAGCGCCGGTCTAGGTACCCACTGCTAGCATATTCGGGCATCGGTGCCCACCCCATCAGGTACATACCCTAGCCTAACAAGCTGCCTCGTGGGTAGAGAGGAGAAAGATAGGCTTCAAGCAGCAGTATGATTAAGTGGGATGAAGATCTCAGTAGGGCACTCCACCATTGAGATGCTAAACCGTGAGTGTTCAATGTCAAAATTGACTATTATCACCAAGTCGCCGACGACAAAGAATTATTACCACAGCACCAGTCGCCATCAATGGAGTCCCTCAGTGACGACAAGTCCGCACACCATGTCCATATGTATCATGTACCTGCTCATAATAGCCTGGCGAGGCTGAGAGAGATCGTCTGCGGGCCAGAGCATCCACCAATCCACATTCTGGTAATATTAACCCGACCATGATACCACAGATGAGTGGGGTTCCTCGATCTACCGAGTACAGCTTCCCATAATCCATCTGCTTGTCTACAGTGCTCGAGGCATGGGCCATGTCCAAATGAACATACGCAAAAGGTAACTGCGATAGTCGTCGTCTGCGACTTCCGCACTGGGACTGGAACCAAGACAACACACAACAACACACAGTCGTCGTCACTTGGCTTTTTCTCCATCTCTTCATCCAACCCTGATATTGAGAAAACGGCACCAACCATCTCCATCTCTTTCTATCAGGCAGTTTCAGCGACCAAACTCCATTGCATTCCATTCCTCGTCCCTCGTTTCCTCGCGCCATCTCTGCACTTCGTTCGACTCATCAACCCATCAGGCAACCGCGCTAGCCTCAAAGGCAGCCGCAACCAGCTGTCCGAGGCTGTGCTCTGTGTTTTCCACCCATGAAATACCTTCTTCCGCCTTTGTTCCATGTGATATCTCCCGCCTTCCGTCTCCATGCTCATCTAACCCCCTTCCCGCCATGACGTCCTCTGCAACAACCCAGGTGGCTCTGAGCCAGGTTCCCGATCTGCCCAACGAAATCTTTCTGCTCATTATCCAAAGATGTCCCCGAGCCACCTTGAAACAGCTGCGACTGGTGTCGAAGAACCTCGCTCACATGGTTGACCCGTATCTCTGGCGCAAAGTGGTTCTGGTTCCAAACGACCACTCTATCCTTGGCCTGTACAGCGCATTGCAGGGCTCAAAGGTCCCTCGTCATATCACTAGTCTGACATATGATGGCCGTTTTGGGTCGTTCTTCCATTGCATCAAGGGAATTCCGTCAGACCGGACTCGCCCCATTTCCAAAGAGGAACGTCGCAAAGTGATGGCCTTCCTCGACCGCACCGGCCTTGAAAATTTCAAACCTTATGAAGAGGCCGCCATCGAAGTGGCCGTCCTCTCTAGAGCATTACGGATCCTGCCCAACCTGCAGGTGGTCCGCGTCAAAGAACACGAAGATGGGTCTCCTATTGCGGCAGCCAAGGTTCCCTACTTCTATCTCAGGTTCTGCAAACGCCTCAGGGTCGACCCAGAGACGGTCAATTGGAGTTCGATGGCGGGGACTTCGGGTAGATCCTACACCAAGGGATTTCTTACCGCCGCTTTCTCTGCTGGCTGCCACCTTCACACCTTCAAGGCAAAGAACATAGATGGGCGGTCAATGTTTGGAGTGGTGCCTATCAAGGCGCCCGCCGGATTTCAGCAAATTCGTATATGTCGAGCCGTCACCGAGAACCTCCGCGCCCTGGAGCTCTCTTTCCGGAATGACACGCTGATGGCCACCGCCAACCATATTGAATTGATCCGCGCCCTCTTCGCTGGAGCCCCGAACATGAAGACGCTGAAATTGCGGCTCACGGATTGCAGTGCCAGTCATCACCAGTATACTGAGGATGACTTGGTTTCGGATTTTTGTGGACTTCTGGAATCCTCCGCCGGAACATGGTCGTCTGCGCCTCTCGTCCCAAGACTGGAAACCCTGATTGTCGACGCCTGCATCTGCCACGATGAGGACTTTCTTCACTTCTTGAAGATCCACGCCGCCACCCTGCGACGCTTGGAATTGTCCAACGTGACCCTCATCGGTGGTGAAGATCGCCGAGAATGCTGGGTCCGCCTGATCAAGCACTTGAAGACAGATCTCAAACTCACTTCGGTTTCCTTCAGCGGATGGTTCAGCAACGGGGGAAGGCAACAATGGTTCGTTGCAAAGGATATTGGAAGCACAGACAGGCTGAAGGCTAAAGTGGAAGCCTATGTTACAGATCCACGGATTCGAGAATGCCCCCTCGAATCCCTCGCCATCAAACCAAATCAGGGTGATGTCGAGCAACCGGCAAATGGAGAAGAATTTGAAGGGGACCTGACCTGGACCATGATCTACTCCAACCAGACAGAGGACCAAATGGATTGGCAGCTGCTCCAGCCATCATTCGGCGTCTCTTCAAACGAGGTATCCCCACCCCCGTCAGCGTCTGGTGATGTCGGTCCGATAGAGGAGACGCAATCTGATGGTTACATAGGGCATGCCGGTAAGCAATTAGACGACCCGGAACAGGACGAGTCTCACGACGAGTCCCCAGACGACAAGCAATTTTGCGCCCCTAAAGCAGTCGTGTCCTCATTTTTCAAAATACCTCAGGCCCAGGCTTATGCGGCTAAGGGGCTTCCCGTACCTGCCACCTTGTCCTTGTACCATTCTGATTGATAGAGGCCACAGGACGGGTGGTCTGGTATTGTTATCCTATGCAGCTTTTTTCTGGGTGCTCTGGTCTTTGATGGCAGCCTGTCTCTTTCTTATTGATACATTGCTCGACATAGCCAGCCAATGTGGATTTTCAAGGCTGCGCAGCTCGCAGCCAGGATAAGCCTGGGGCATTCAACGTCCGTATTTGTAGATGTCGAGGGCGTCAGGACTCAACTTTGGGATGGTGGGTGAGGCTCTCTCGCGTTGGGTTAACGAACATCACGACATAATGACGGGAATACATCAAACGATGAAACTGGGAGCCGAGACTCGAACAAGGGCTTGGTTGTATATCTAGTAAAAACGATGCTGGCATGAAAGTCTTCGCTAGTTAGTTAATTGTGCTGGACCTTGGCGAGGATGAGTGCTGGGTAGCTAATCCCATTGACGGAATGCGGTCAGAAAACTGTAAATCCCAGTCGAAGATTCGGGTTTCTCTCGATATCAAGGAGGATGGAGCCAAAAAAAGAATGGGAAAGAGAAGGATCGGGAGAAACAACTGCTTCCCCTGTGACTAGTCCTTCCACGACCTGGTTAGGAATGGGGACGCTCCTCGCCTGCTGTGCTTCAAGAATTCTTATTCTTATATGTACAACACGGCCCAGTCTCGCCGGACACGGGCAATTGGTCGACTGTAAGGCCTTTCAGGTTCACTTGTCTTCCTCCAAGATTGGGTGCTGGCGGATTCGAAATTCCAGTGCCATCCTACAGGCCCGGCTCGTGGCGAGACTTCCTCCTTCTGTCTATCGCCCATCACAGCTCCCCATCTGCCCTCAGGACGTCTTTGCTATGATATGGCTCGCTCAACAACGTGGTCTGCCCAGCCCTCGGCTCGCAGGTCATTCTCTGTTTCCCCTCGTAAACTTGTGGTCCCGGCCGCGGCACCTTCGACACATCATACCCACTGATGGTGGCCGAGTCCTTGAGCGCCTGCAATAACTGCTTGACCGTCTCCGGTGTGAGATCCTCGTAGTAATCGTCGTTGATCTGGACCATGGGCGCATTGACACAAGCACCTAAACATTCGACCTCGAGGAGAGAAAAGAGCTTGTCTTCGGTCATGTGGCCCGAGTGGATGCCCAGAAACTCTTCACACGCCTTCATGATCACGTCGCTCCCGCACCCGCCCAGCATGCACGGCGTGGTGGTGCACACCTGGACGAAATATTTCCCGACTGGGTTGCGGTTGTACATGGTATAAAAGGTGGCAACTTCGTAGACACGCATGGGCGGCATCTCGAGGATCCGGGCCACCTCATTCATCACGCTGATCGAGGTATAGCCGTGTTGGCGCTGGCCCAGATCCAGCAGGGGCATGACGGCAGCCTTTTTGTACTGCGGCGGATAGCGCTTGATGATCTCATCGATGAGGCGGAGGTTCGTCTCGTTGAACTTGAAGGGGATAGAGGGGTTGTTTTCGGGAGTATTGCGATGCTGCCTTCTCTGTTAGGGGGGCTTTCTATTGGGATGAGATTTAGGTGTGCTACTGACCACGGCAAGCGATTCACTTCTCGACGACGGGGTGGTTGAGAATTGTCTGGGATGGAACAGCTGTCTTCGCGGAGCTCGGGGAGCTGTCCTGGTCGCCTGGCGTACCAACTGTGGCACAAGCTTGGACGCCATGGTGGGCGACTTGGTGACTTGATCGCAATTTACTTCGAGGACGACCTGGTAAAATGAGCCTGCGACGTCGAGAAGGCGAGACTGTACAGAAGGAGCTTCCACCAATGACGAGGGAGTCAATGTCATTGTGCTCTTAGGGGGAGTATGATCCTCCATATCAGCCAGCTTTGCACTAACATTTGTCACGATTCACCGTATTGGTGATGAGTGGGTCGTCATGACTGTCATTTGAAACTCCGCAGCCGTAGCCTTTCCCCTTCTCCACGCTGGCCAGATTGAGTCGCCAACGAACGATGCGGTCTTGATGAATATACTCTCCTTGAAAGGCACGAGAATGAGGCTTTCATCCGTGGTGGGCGCGGTGCTCGCGCTGTGCGTCGGAGTCTTCGGGGCAGAGTCGAATCTCACCGAACGTCGAACCACGCAAACGATATTAGCAGGCGACTTCAAACCTCCCCCAGTATTCGAGAACACCAACCTCGTCCGGACCATCAACCTCGAGAAGGGCTACGTGCGAGAGACCACCAATGTGCTGGTCACCAACACGGACAAGTCGCCCCAGTCGGACTACTATATTCCCTTTGAATATGACCTGATGGGCAAGATTGGCGGGTTCGACGCCCGGGACAAGAAGACGCCAGAATTTCCATTGAAGACCACCATTGCGGCGCTGTCTGCGGTGTTGGACGATCAAGGCGGAACCTCAAGGTATGCAGAACCAGTCCCGGTTCGTCGCGGGGAATGGTAGCTGACTGCTCTAGACCTACTCAATACTATGTCATCCACCTCGCGGAACCGCTGCCACCCAAAAGCACCGTCACTCTCTCAATTTCGTGGAACGTGCTGGGTGTTCTGACGCCTTTGCCCGCCTCTATCAGACAGGAAGACAAGCAATACCTCGTCTACAATTTCTCCGCCTACGTGCCCTCCGTCTACAAGACCGTCAAACAGAAAACAAAAGTCAAGTTCCCGTCCGCAGACGTCCCCGAATACACCACCACCAGCGGCTTGACGTCGGCCACCGACCCAGAAAAGCAAGGGACGTCGTTCACATATGGTCCATACGATACGGCCAAGGTCGAGCCAGGCACAACCTATCCGGTGACTGTGCGCTACGAATTCAACAAGCCCCTCCTTGTCTGCAGCCTTCTCGAACGAGACGTCGAAGTGTCCCACTGGGGAGGTAATTTGGCGACCGAAGAAAGATACTGGCTGCGCCACGACGGTGCTACACTTGCGAACCAATTCTCTCGCCTGGCATGGAGCACGCAAAACTTCTACATCAACGCCGGGCAGGGGTCTACCTCCGCCGTGAGGGAACTGAAGGTCCCGCTGAAACCAGGCACGGCCGACCCGTATTTCACCGACGACATTGGAAATGTCTCGACATCGCGTTTCAGACCCAACAACGTCCGTGAAGCAAGCCTGGAACTCAAGCCTCGCTATCCCATCTTCGGTGGATGGAAGTATAGTTTCCGCATTGGCTGGAACAATGCGCTCTCTTCTGCCCTCCGCCAGCTCAAGACTCAATCCGACACCTACATCCTGTCCGTCCCACTCTTGGAAGGCCCCAAGATGCCGGAGGGGATTCAATACGAGCAGCTCGTTTTCCGGGTCATTCTGCCCGAAGGTGCTAAGAACGTCAAGTGGCAGGCTCACGGCGGTACGGGCGTTCCGCCTCTGCACGCCGAGTATGATCTTCACAAGACGTTCCTGGACACTTTGGGGAGGACGGAGTTGAAGCTGACGGCCTACAATGTTGTCGACGAAGCGAGAGACGTGACCATCCTGGTGACGTACGAATACCCGTTCCTGGCCGCCTTCCGCAAACCCATGACCATCTTCGCGGGATTGGCTGTGGTGTATGTGCTCGCGTGGTTTGTGGGCAGTGTGGACACGAGTATTGGCAAGACGAAGACGAGGTGATATCTTACTACTCTGGTCTGGGGAGTGAGGTGCTGGAGCAGGTTGACACTTGCCTTGATGGATGGATGTATACCTCTCTTTTTGGTCTGTAGATTATCGTCGAAAAGTGGCCCCTTTTTTTTTCCTGGGAAGAGATAGAAAAGCTAGGTAGGGGTTTCAGACCCCTTCGGTGAAAAGAAAAGTGTGGAATGGTCCTTTCTTCTGTCTATCCCCTCCCCTCATTGCACGTTCATTTCACTTCGTTACTATTCAAGCGTCTGGATTCGTGATACCTGTGCCCGACTCGTAAACCATTCCCCCAGGAAAACAAAGCTCAATCATATCCTGAAACGCTCCCTCCAGCTTCCCCTCCCGAGCGTGTATCCCAAACGACACGATTCAGTTATTTCCAAAGAGAAAACACCAAACCAAAGAGCACTTCATAGTCGATAATCGATAATACACAATAGGATTGGGTTTTGTTCTTATCTTCAGCCCGTACACCTCTCCTCGGGCGGACGATACCCGATGCCTAGGCCGTCCATGAGCCTCCTCTCGCGGTCGGCCCAGGTATCTAGGTCGTCCCACTCGATGGCGTCGTCCTTGAAGTCACTGCGTTTTAAAGCCTTGACGCCGCCGCCGCCGCCGGCCCCCATCAATAGCCGCTCCAGTGCGCCGCCCTTGTGATCCTTGGGTCGCGGGGCTTCGAGGTCCAGCACGAGCCCGTTCCCGCGGTGGCGCACGCCCGACGAGTCGAACTTGAGTCCGTGCGTCTTGCGCACGAAGCGCCGGATGTCGCGCTGGAAGGTCGTGCCGCCGCTCCAGCCCAGCACCGCGCAGCCGACGGTGCGCCACGCCGAGACGATGATGTCGACGCGGCGGTGGATGTTGGGGTTCGTTTTCCGGGCGGCCGGGCCCGTGTCATCGGCGGTCGCTTCCGGGTCCTCGCTCGCGTAGTGCGGGTCCTGCCACACGCACAGCGCCTTGTCCAGGCTGTCGAAGCCGTGGCCGTGGCTCGTGCCCCCGCGGAACGGCAGCGTCGCCTGCCCGCGATCACTGGTCGTGGTGTGCAGCGTCAACGTGTGCGTGATCCAGCCCTCTTCCTCGAGACTGCGGACCACCTCCACCACCAGATCTTGCGTCTTGGACGCTTCGCGGTGTGACAGGATGACGTCCACGTCGCCCGAGAAGGCCTTGCCGCGCCGGTATCCGCCGACGATGATGAGTTCGATGTCGTCCGTCGAGCCGAACTTGTCTTCCGGGACGTGGAGAACAGATCGCGCGTGCCGCAAGATCACGTCCCCGATCGCCTCCACCTCGCGCCGGGGGATCTTCTCCAGAAACTCGTCGTAGTACTTGACGCCGATCTGCTGCACGCGGGTCAAGGTCGACCAGCCAAACTCCACCACGTCGTCGAGGTCCTTCCAGCCGTGCTCGAAGTAGAACCTGCGCGCCGTGTCCGGTCCGACGCCCCAGATGTTCCAGAAGAGACGCAGGTGTTGCAGGTCCTGATCGGCCTCCAAGTCGCGGACCACTTGGATGAATCTCTCCGAGTCGTCGGCTTCCGGCGGCGCAGAGTCTTGCCATTCGCGCCACAGCGCGGCGATCTTAGTTTCGCAGCCGGGGAGGCGGGTGATTTCTTCGACATGAGCGATGCGGTACGGGTAGGCGGCGATCGAGGCAATGGAGGTCGAGTAGGCGCGAACCCCGATATCGTCGAGTGTGAGGACGCGGGCTTCCTTGATCTTGGTGAGTTGGGCGATGAAGGCGTCGTTGGGGGTGTGCATGGGCGTGGAGCGACAGCACGCGTAGGCTGCGTTGGGGCCGACTGCCCAGTCCGGAAGAGGTGGAAGAGGGTGCTTGGCTTGGTATTCGAGTTCAGACGTCGTGGTGCGATGGAGCTTCGGCCGCTTGTGATGGGTGGAGTCTGCCTGTGAGGACGAAGAATGGTGGTGGTGGGCATGGTCGCCAAACCGGCGGCGAGAGGACGAGGGCAGGACCGCTGCTTCGGCCTTTGCACGTTCCAAAATGGATGTCGACACGGCCGGCTTGGACGCCCTTCGTGCTGTGATGGCTTGAGATTGCGACGCAGATCCTCCTACCTTGACATACGTGGTCACGGGTGCGGGCGCTCTGGGAGAGACTTCGTCCGCTGGCTTGGGGATGATCCTCGCCGCATAGACCATGTAAGGTTGGTATGGAAGCAGACGTCCCTCGTTGAGACAGGCTTCCAGCCAGGAGAGTTTCAGGATGAGAATATGGACTGATAGATCAGGCCAGGACACTTGGGCGGCGGGTGGAGATGCGCCTTCATCCCCAGATGAATCTGAAGATATCGAGATCGGGCTTGAACTGAGCCGCTTTGACCTTGTCGAATACCGGGAACTGCGAGCATGCTCTGCAAGCTTGACTTTCTTCCTCGCTGGGCCTTCCTGCACACTCTGTTCACGACCCACATCTGCGTTGGAGCTCGTCCCCGGCAAGGCTGACTCTTCTGTCCATACTCCCCTCGCCCGGAGATCAAATGCGGCACGCTTCTTATGGGTGACTCGACCTATGAAGACTCTGGCCTCTTTGGCATCGTACGTCAATTGGCCGCCAGCTTGGACGATCTGGTCTTCCGTGTCATGAAGTTCTTCTGGCTTCAAGTGAGTTGGAAGGATGAAGATGGGCGGCGACGCTGCCAAGTCCAATGGATGAGGGGGATTTGAGGTGGCCATGAATAATAGGTCGAGTCATAATCCAAAAATCCATGAAACTTGGTGACATGGAGAAAATTCGGGTCGCATCAGACCCAAGAGATGTGGAGGAGGGTGGTGTAAAAGGACATATTGGGATGGAGAAGTGTCAACCACGGATGGGGACCGCTACAGATGCATATTAACCGTTAGTTGTTGCGCCTTGCTCATTCTGTCATCAGCAGCAAAGAGGTGAAGCCTTCAATGAGGACATGGTGAGATGGAAAATGATGCATCGTATTCGGGAATTGAGTCGCTCTGATCTCGACGTCTTGTTCCGTCCAATCAGCCATGGCGGTCGGGATCTGAGGGTGACGTCATACTGAGAAAGCCATACAATGCTTGCAGAATGGTGTTTTCGTTCTCTATACCGAGTATTCTCTCCGACTTGGTACTGTCCCACTATGTCGGGAAATCGAATGGCGCCCTCATTGACATCTGGGCTCGCTATTCACCACTATCCTCCTCGTCTTCGTCGTCTTCCAAGATATCATCCAACCGTGTCGGCCCAAACCACTCGGTCTCGTGCTGCCTCTTCAACACAGAAGCAAAGTCTGCCGCATAGTCCCTTTTGTAATACTTGGTCAGTCTCTCTTGGGGATCCGTGGTCAGCGGCAGGAGATCCGTTTGACCTTCTGGTGGTGTGATGGCTATCGCTGGAATCTCAACCGCTCCTGGAATGATATAGTTCTCTCCTTCGGCCTCTCCATCCGCAAACTCGGACTGGATCCAGAACCAAGTATTAGGCCGGACGAGCATGAAAAGCTCAGTTTCGGGGATTGGCGATCGGTTCGGTTTGCTGTTCCGAAACCTGGGTTTAGTCTTTGACGGGCGCTTTTTCGGCGTCGGCTCTTCCCACAAGTATAGTTTCGATGCCAGTGCAGATGTCTCGAGAAGACCTCTTTTGTTGGCTTCGATGCACGGACAACAGGGGCCGCAATTTGCTGGAATGGCCTTGCTCGCTGCCGGCATTCTTATCACCCAGTCCGTGATTGATTTCTGTGTCAGCTTCTTCAGCGGCGGGCCGTCATCGTCTCGCTTTGGCTTGACCACGTAGTGATCCGATTCATCGATGCTTTGACTGCGTCGTCTCTTCCTTCTGCAGTCACACCATTTCCAGTACTGCCCCAGTACGCTTTGACGAAGATCGGCCCACAAGAAGAACTCAAGAGTCTCTGTATCAGCGGTGGCAGTACTGGAGCGCGTATCGACGAAAGCAAAGTAAATGAGAGGGAAGTTGAGGAGCTGAAGAAGACGGCTGTTACGTGCCCGATTGACGTGGTGCAGATCGATGTCGCTCTCGAAGTCTTTGCCACTTTCGACACGATGCTTTGGACTTCCAAACCATTTCACGGCCCGTTTTAATGCTGCTCGAGTCTCTGCCAGGTCAACGGATGCTTTGAACTCTAGGGAGGTCCCCGATTTCTCTGCCTGCACAGCTCTGACATACAACTCCCTGGAATGGCGATAAGCGGTCCAGCTATTTTCGATGATGCGGTGTGTAAGCCGGTTGTCTGGATTCTCACACTCATAGTCTTCCTTGAGTTTCCTTGCTTCCAGCAGTTTCCCTTGCTCGATGAAACACATGATCAACTGTACATAGTCACGCCAGCTGTCATATGGTTCGGTGCCGCTCAGGTTCTTGACGTCGTTAAGCTTCGAAAACCGTATGTTAAATCTGTACAGGCCTTCAGCTTCCACGACCCGCCCATCGCGTTGCAGTGCCACCGCAAGCTCATACAGCGTATACAGCAGATAAGCTCGGGTAGTGTCATTGATGTATTCGTCGTGCGACGGCAGTTCAAGAAGTCGACATACGGTTCTTTCCGCATCGTCGACCATGTCTAGCATGCATTGGCAGCGCACAACTCGGTACGTCAAGCAGCAGATAGAACTCCCAAGAAGTGGGGAAAGCTCGTAGGTTCTATCTAGCAGTCGTGTCCCGAAGACGAGGGCACCCTGATACTTGCCCATGTTCATGAGATTCAGCATGTGCTTTTCGACCCAGTTCAGTGGCCTGGTGTCTTTGTAGCCCCATCGTTCTTCATATGGTAGATCTCTCCAGTGAGACATGGTCATGCTAGCTTGCAATTAGCATCTAACGGGATGACCCGACGGCATTTCGAGGTAGACCTACTGCGAATGCTCCAAGGCAAAAATGTCTTCGTTTACGGCCGCCTTATATCTCGACATCCAATGGTGTCGCTTCGCCAGGTCGCGGGGATCAGTGTCAGGCTCGGGGTCAGCCAGCAGTTCTGTGAGCATCCGGTTCGCTTCAGGCCAATTGCTCTGGGCAACGCTGAGGTACGCTTCTGAGTCCTCAATCTCGCGCCAGGTCTGCGCGCCGATCGGATCGAGGGGGAGGTGACGACTAAGTACTCGCTTTGCCTCTCGAAGTTCATGCTCAGCCGCACCATATTCCGACAGATTCATCAGGGCGTTGGCTCTCACTTGACAAATGTGGATGTACTCTCGGTCCAGAACGATATCAAGGCCCTGTCGAGATTGTATCAGAATGCACATATCGAAAGCATGAGTTATGGTCACGCCGGCCAGGATCTGGTAGATGCCGTCCTCGACAAGAAAAACAGCGACATTTTTGAGAAATATCATGTACTGCATGCTGCAAAACTGCGAGATTCGCCTTGGTTTGAGATTACAAAGCGACGCAATGTGAGTGAGCATCGGCCAGAATTTTTCGGGATCAAAGATGGGGCCTTTCTTCGGCAGCTCGTGTTCTGGCTTGGTTAGATAGTCGTTCAACACCGAGATCCATGCGTGCAGGAAGTCTCTCGTCTCTTGTTTGTCCTCGACTTGTCGGCGTTTGATTTGCAGCCAGCGTTGTACCTGAGGATGAAGGTTAATGGTGGCAAGCTCTGGTCCTTGGTCTATCTCCACCAACCCACTCAGACGGAGCAAGCCCATCGCAGAGTGAAGGCCTCCCGGATTGTTTTGAAATATTGGGAACTTTTCAACCAGAGCAACGGGAATCCCCATTCCATCGACAACTGAGCAGATGGAGAGTAATCGGCCTGCGGTGACATTATAGTCATTGAGAGCATCCCATAGAATAGACATGATGACCGAAAAGATCGGACTGCACTCCGGCCACGTCGGACCGCAGCCTTGCTTGACCTTGTGTAAACAAAGTTGTTGGAAGCGGCTGGGCGAGAGCCGCAGCAAGCGCATGCAGGCACAAGAAAGCGCCAGGTGAAGAGGCGCGGTGTGCCACGAGTTTTGTTGCCAGTGCCAGAAAGCGCGAAGACAGTCGACAGCATCGTTGCTGTTCGGCACGGAAGCCCTGAAATACTGCATGGCTTGTTCCTCGCTAAGTGCACCAACATAGAGGCACGTCGTTCGGCAGGCCAGCTTCAGTCCACATTCCACAGGTAGTACCTGGTCAGCACTGCCACCCACGGTCGGGACGACGAAGGAAGAAGTAAGGAGTATACGACAGCGTTCCGGAAGAAAGAGGTCGGATGTGTTCAGTTCCGTCTCCATTCCATCTTCCAGAGAGGAGTGCAGGTCAAACACGACGATAAGCAATTCATCCCGACGAGCTTGCAGCGTGGATGTGATCTTGAGAAGAGTATGGGTCATGGTGATACCCCGGGCAAGTTGCTCTCCGGTAATTTTGGTATACGCCGCTCGATAATCACGGACGAACGATTCGAAGGTTCGACCATCCAACCATAGGATCTTGCAGCCTGTCCGGGTGGAAAACTCCAGAGCAGCTTTAGTAGCAATCCGACGCTTGCTGCTCAAGTAGCATTAGAGATGTTCACCCACGAGAGATTGGTGATGGCATACCCGGACCCGGGGGAGCCCCAGAGCAAGATGCTTGTATTACAGACTCCATGGTGGTCGTGGGATAGGTTGAGGGCTTTTACCACCAAGGCCACATCGTGCGACTGATCGATTGTCGGTGGACTATAACCATTGACCTGTGGCGGAGACGGTGATGCTGGTGCTTGGGAACCGGCGGGGAGTTGGGAAGGTGACTTGCGATCCATGCATTGTTGCTCGAACGATCCAACACCGGTGCACAGAATTGGCCTGAGAGGATTTCATTGAAAGGATGTCCGTCCCTATTGCTACCCGTGATCCATCTGCAAGAAGACACGGAATCGGATGAAAGAGAAAAGCTTGACGGGGGGGAGAAGAGGCGCCACAGCCAAAGTGCCTAGGCGGCCCTTTACTTAGTGTGATGACAGGCTGTGCCAAAAAGTCCCCCAAGGCTGGTGGCTGCTAGGCTCCCACCAAGTTTCCCCGCAGGTACCTACCGGCCCCAAGGTCCCCCCCAGGCGGCCCCCTGTTGCCCTCTCTAGCCCTTCATTATTCCGCCCAGGTTCCAGGCCATCAGAGCACCGTGGTTTTTTACGCGCCATGCTTTGTCTGGCAACCCTTTACAGCCACTGCTGCAGCGCGAGTGTCTCTCGACTGGCGTCATCCTCCGGAAGACTGTTCCTCTCTCTTGTCCCTCTTAATCCTGGCACAATCTGCGTCCCAAGAGTGCGGCTGAAAAAGATTCTCCACCCACCTCTTCGGCTGTCTGGGGCTGGAGTTCGCCATTGGTTCCAGTGGGGATTGTGCTCGAGGTTGCAGATGCGCCTTTTGTTCCAGCCAGTCTTGCACCAGGATGGTCCCAAACCGGTGAGCAGCGTCGAAGGAACATGTGATGGGATAACAGGCCCGGCCTGTGGAATGTGGCCAAGGTTGATTGGGCGAACTGCCCAAGACTCGTTCTGGAGAAGACGAAGAACAGGCGACTCGACGAGCAAAGACTGGATCCATTGAGGCCAGGGTCAACATCAGTCTTGGTGGTTGAAGAGTCACATCCCTGTCCTGATCAGCCTTCGCTTCTGCCCAACTAAAACCGCTCCTCGCCAGTTCCGTTCTTGGCTGCCATTCGATCACCCCATCTGATCAGTGTATACCTGGAAGCCATGCATGCAGATGCAGTGCAGGGCACTCACTCTGGTCTTTCTGGGCACGCCGAGCCGACCAGGTCCAGTGACCGAACGGTGTCCAGTCGATTTTGTAAGTTGGGCCGGAAGCCTCTTCAACTGGAAAAGCAGATAAAAGTCGTGCACGTCCACCGCATTGGTCGTGGACAGATCCTCCATCATCTACACGCTCAAAGCTTGGAACTCATGGCTTCGTCTTCGTCCCTATCGACCAATACCAGTGAGATGAGCTCCAAACCCTCGATAACGATACCGACACCAACTACGTCCGCTCACAGACCTGATATGAAAGGTCGCAGTGCCAGTGACGACTCACATAATGCCATCACCAGTTCAAGAACTTTGTCTCCCGCAACCACGCTCTCCCCGCTGTCAATGGAGTCTTCATCACCCCCGACGAAAGGTCATCTCAGTTTCCCCTTCCCCTTCCCCTTCCCCAGATCACGGTCCAAGTCCCCAAGGCCCCCACCACTAGACATCAGCATTCCGTCCTCCTCCTCCTCCTCATCCAACAACATCAAGCGCACCCAGAGCTCGCCCATCCCGGTTCCGGGGTCTTCTTCTCACGACCACCACCCACGGACGCCGCGATACACGTCCGACGGCGCCATATCCCCCTCAGCCACGAGCCCGTCGTCTCCGGACCTGCAGAAACGCGACAGCTGGATCCAGAAGAAGTCGCGGCATAGCGGCAGCTCGCCCGGGGGATATGGACGGCACAGCGACGACTGGCTGTTTGGCGGCATCAGCTTGACCCAGACGGCCAAAGAGATTGTGCATCGCGGCAGGAGTAAGAAAGAGGAGTACGGTACCCCTTCTGGGAATCGTTGACCGTCTCTCGGAGACTCCACGACGACACTCCTCCAGGCTTATTTTTAACGAGCAATTAATTGGTCATGCCTGACTGGGTGGCTATTTGAATGAGCGAGTGAACGAGCGAACGAACGAATCAACCACTTGAGCAACCATCCTATCAGCTGAGCATTAGCTTGGTTGTCGAATCCGATGAGCAAGGCGTTCCCTGGGGTTTGTGGGCTTGATACCCTTTATTTTCCTTTTCCTGCAGAGGATACCAGATTGGACATTTGGAAGGGAACCCATGGTGGTCAAAACCTGGAGTATGGGAGTCATGAATCTTCTATTTTTTTTCCCCGGATGAGATGACCGCTCCTACTACATTCACCTGTCGCGACACTCTTATATACTGACTGATTCTGTGTGTAAAACATCGACGCCCCAAATCTATCCATCCCTGGCTGGAAGACTCACAGCTCGCGGACTGCATGTGTGTGTGTATGTGTGTGTGTGTGTGTGTGTGAGAGTAACCCAGTACCTTCTTTTCATATAACCAACAATATGATATCATATGATGGACCTCTTCTGTTTCCATTTCTCCGTCCTGCACCCAGAGCGAGCAGCATCGACTGCCTAACTAATAACCAACCACCTCGCTCCTGTCTCCATCACTCCCTCCCTTCCACTCGCACACGCAACTCACCTCACCTCACCTTACCTCACATCAAACTCCCTCTGGCGGTGTGACCGCGCATCCTCGCCCCCATATTTCTCCTTGCAGGCCTGGCCCAGGTACCCGCTGCCGGCGCGCAGAAAACACACCTTCTGCGCCGGGTTGCCTGTTCCGCCACTGATGCGGCGGTCCGGGTGCGTGCTGGACTTGGACTCGTGGCGCTCGTAGAGTTGGAGCAGAGGCGATCTTTTGGCGTCGTCGTCGCCACCGTCGTGTGTAGACGACGAGGAGGAGGACGAGCCGTTGAGCATCTTCTCCGTCACGAGGTGCCAGAATGTCGCGTTCAAGGGTGCCGTGGACGGCCAGGAGATGCCATGCCCGTGAGAAGACGGTGCGGATGTGCTCTCGTCACCACTGTCGTGGTCATCATCGTGCTCATTCTCACTCTCGTCCCCGTCGACAATCGAGTAGACGTGGCGCGTGTCGTACTCAAATTCCCAGACGGGCTTGGTCCAGCTCAAGCTGTCGGACATGTTGGCGAAGTACGTCTGGGCGCCCATGACGGAGAAGGTGGTCGCGTCGATCTGGTAGATGCGGAATCCCGAATTGAGGCCCGTCAGGGGCGTGATGGACGGGCCGATGTGGCTGATTTGGAGCGGCTTGGTCAAGTCGATTTGCGTCGTATCGCGCAGTGTCTGAGGGCCGGAACGGGTGGTGACGGTCACCTGTGAGGAAGGCAGGTAGTCGTAGAAGATCTGGACTTGGTCTTGGTGCGTGTGCCTATAATACGTTCAAAGAATAGTTAGCGCACTCTGGTTCAGTCTCCGATTATATGATGATACTGGTCCACACTCACCCGAAGAAGATCGCCGCGATGGTGGCGGGCGAGAAGCGCCGCACGATGGAATAGAACAGCGCCGTCGGATTCGGCATGCTGGCGGAACCGTCATATCCAGACAGCACGTGGGCGATGATCCAGGCGCGCTGGCCTCTCCTTTCGCACGCTGACAGCTCGTCCGCCACCCACTTGAGGATGCCGCTGGGATCCGGGTTGGTCACGTTCCAGTAGTTGAAGATGTTTTCCTTGTACCAGAAGTCGGAGTTGATGGAGATGACACGCAGCCCCTGGGCGGTGGTGGTGGCGTAGGCGCCAAAGTGAGTGCGGGCAAACTCGGCTTCGGTGTCGTTGAGCCACGCGTGGCCCGACCACAGGGAGGAGAGCAGGTCGTAGTTCCACTGCAGGATGTTGCTGGTCCGGTTCGTCGGGTCGGGGTCCATGCTGCGGGGGGTGTTGAAGCCGACGGGGAGAGTATCGTGGTTCCCAAGGGCCGCGTAGACGGGGATTGTATCTCCCATCAAGCGCTTGAAGACTTTGAACGTCACCTCTTCCTCGTAGGATACGTAGTCGTGAGAGAGCAAGTCCTCGGGGTCGTGCGAGACAATGTCGCCTGTGAAGATGCTGAAGGCAAGCTCATCCATGTCCACAAAGGCGGGCATCTCGATGAGCGCCGACAGCGCCAGGTCGGCGGGCGTGTCACAGAGGAACGATCCAAACCTTGAGGCGGGAATAGAGGCGTTGTGGGAGTCGGTGAAGAGTTCCCTGTTGACCGAATATGGTCGGCAACACATGTAGTCGGAGCAATTGCTCTCAGATCCGATGTCATAGCGCGGGTCCAGGTGCCAGTCGGAGAGATGGAGCACGTTGAACGTTTGCTCTGAGGGTGCTGGGGCTATGTACGCCGATTCTGGTTTCGGGGAGAAGTAGAAGTCTTCGTCGATCAGGACCGGAGGCTCGACGTCACAGAATTCGTAGTTGACGGAGCACCAATGCTGCATGTCGCCCGTGGCCAACGTCATCTTCGAAAAGAGCTGCGCCATGTAGGCGCCGTATCCAGCTCCGCCTTTGAAGTGCGACTCGCACGACGCCGCTCGGAGCTTGGACTTGAACTCCGGCACAGCATTGCAGGCTCGGATGAGCACATCCGTGAAGACGGTCACTGGCTGACTGATAGCCGCGATGTGCAGCACCTGGCCCGCGGCAATACATTTTGAGCAGCTGTCCGGGTAATAGGGAGTGTGCAGGATGGACAGCAACTCGGTCAGGATTGACTCTTGGATCGCCAACTCGCCCAGAGGAGTGATGGGCTCTGGTAAGGGTGTTTTCTTGTCGTACGCGGGGACTGGCCCTGAGCCGTTGTAGTAGAGTTTGATGACATCCTTGCCGATGGTATTGGTGAGTTGCGGATCCAAGGCTTCCGGAGAGCCAGCCAACGGTGCCTGAGCCGAGGCGTGGGAGGATGAAAAGGCTGCTGTGACGAGTGAAGTATGCTTGAGAATGGCCCAGTAGCCCCACAGAGCGCCAACGAAGGAGAACAGCATGAAAAGGGTCGAGGGTAAGCCAGCCGCGAATCTCGCCGACATGTGTTGAACAAACAGTACAAGGCCTAATGGTGTGGCTCTCAATTGTTATTGTTCACCGGGTCGTCCAGCGACGGGGGGCATCCGATGAAGCCACTCATGCGTGTCGACACAGGAAGGCTGTGATAAGTTGCTATGCAGCTATACACGCAGGGATGATGCCGTCGACCAGATGCAGGGTTGATGGATGTTGTTGAAATTGGGCGAATCGACTCAGAATCTGAGATGAAGTCATACTCTGCACACGGCGGAATTAATTTCCGTGGCCCCGACATTCTGCCGCCTCTAACGACATCTCCGTCATCCACTGTGTGATACAGCACCACCAGCTCATCTTCAAGTACGTACGGTAGACTATGAGTCGAGGCTAGACAACAGCTTTACCCGCAAATACAGCAAGTCATCCCAATGAAGTCGATCCCCAAGGGTCATCTCGACGAGACATTTCGACGACAGCGTCGCACGTAACAAGACGTCAACGACTGACAGATGCTTCGTACCACAACCAGAAGCAGGAAACCTATCTCATACGCTTGGGTTCTATTCCATATGAACCTCTGAAACAGGAGACATTGAATGCCCCTTCTTCCAAATTGCTAATATCCTCAATGGCAGCATGATCGCCTGGAGTACATATATTTACACACACTTATTCTCTCTCCCTTCTCCTCTTGTGCCATGTCTCTTACGTACTCAACACTTCCTCAACCCTGTTCTCCTTCTCGACCAGACCCTAACTGTTTCTGTGTGAGCCTCCACCCAAACCCTACGGCAAGATGCAATCTCATCCGGCCTTCTTGCTCGTCCTGGTGGCGTGCCTGGCGCGAGCCTTGACCGTCTTCGCAGCTCCGACTCCCAACGAGACTCCTAGTGGAGTGTCATCCTGCTCTGGATACACAGACACGGTGTGTTCCACCTTTCACCGTCAAGCTCATTTCTCCATCCATCCATGGCCATTCTAACATTGTTTCCGGGCTGGGGTAGTTCGACGAGGACGGCTACGTGTTGGTGCCCCAGCTCAATCCGGTCGGCACGTATCACGGCGTGACCTACACAGGCTTTGTCGGCGCAGTCAGTATTTCGTTCTGTATCCTCTGGAGACTTCAGCAGAGTCGAGCTCAACCCTGACATGCCATGATACGCACCTCTAGTCGAAGGGGCTCGTGACAGGTAACGTGGGCGGCGTCGTTCCCGTCTCATCCCCCAACGTCGCCGTGGGCTCCATCACCGACGTGCTGGTGTACTTCGGGCAGCTAACGCTGCAACCGTTCGGGACCATCACGGCGGCGCCCTCGGGGTCCTTCGACCTCGTCGACGCCTGGATGGGGTGTTTCCAGCAGCAGGTCAGCGCGAACCTCCCGGGCCTGGCGCTAGGGTGCACAGTCACGGTGACGGCCACGGACCAGGACGGCAACCAGATCCCCGAGACCACGCTGTCCTACGACCCGCCCGACCCGCTCAACGCGGCCATGGTGCTCGTCACGTTCCCCAGCACGTTCCGGAATCTGCACAGCGTCACTTTCGGCATCGCCACCTCGACATTGTTGACGGCCACCACAAACTTAGCGCTCGACAACGTCACGCACTGTAACTACCCATAACACCCGTCCGTGGCGATCTGGGGTCTGGGATGAGGTGGAGGTTTAGGTGTCTGGGTCGTACCGAAAGGAAACGTCAGCGTCAGCGTCAGCGTCGCCATCAGCATCAGCTTTACTGGTGATCCGAAGGTTTCGAAGTCATGCATGTTCCTGGTGGTCTCTATCTCTCTCTCTCGGGTGCCGGTCGTGCACTGCCACTGGTCTGTCCGTTGCAGCTTGAGTCTCCAGTAGCACTATGTATATGTACGTAGTTGGTTGGCTCAATGCGTTTATGAGAATTTGCCGGAACCGGAGCCGATAGACGTACATAGCTCTGTAAAGATGATAAGAGAGAAACAAGGGATTATCAGGGCATACAGTATAGTATTCGCGTGGCTCGCGCCTGTCTCGACTGGGGACAGTACGTATGTGTGTACGTAGGTTATGTATGCAGGCTTGCTTCTGTCCAACCCCTCCAAATATCCAGTATCCGATTCCCATTTCCTAATTGCCCACTCGTAGCATCCCAGAAGTATTTCCATTTTAACATCGCATCGCATTGCACTGCACTGCATGCCATGGCAAGATGTGGCAAGCAAGTTCATGGATCGTTTTTTAGTAGACTTTTTGTTGCCCTCTCCAATACCTCTCAACCCGGCCTGAAAACCCATGGGGAGAGAAAAGGGGCAAAAGATACAATCAGACAAACAGACAGATGGCCTCACTCACTTTCCTCGTCGATTTTCCTCTTTTTTTCTTTCTTCCTCTTGGTGCTCAGCAGACTAGAGCATATCAAGACCTATCGACCCGATTCCCAAATCCCCAAAATAAAAAACAACAAAAACAATATCGCTCACAATAGCCGACCCAGATACTTGTGTGTAGTTCGCGAACGCGCGAAGGGGGAGAGGAGGACGTAAAGATTCCCCCTCCAGAGCCCCAGTAGCAGCAATAACAAGAACAGAGAATAAACAAATGTGCCGCCCAAGATGCTCGTAACGTTGATGGCATAAAATGCCGCAAATCCGATAACATGGCCGGCGGGGAGGGTGATGATTCGAAGACGCTCCCAAGTCCTTTCAGGGGGGGTTGACTGGTACAACACGACCCCGATATTGCCTCCTTTATCGGTGGATAGATAGATTGTGGTGTAGCTCTTCCGGCCAAGTACACCATTCTCCGTCCTTTTTTTCCTTTTCGTTTCCTTACTTTTGTTTTATCTTTGGAGCCCCTGCGAGTTCCTCTTTCCTTCACAGTTCAATGCCCAAAGCTGCCGACCCAGCTCCCGCTGGGCCTCACAATATCGATGGGGACGCTCCCCACCTGGACCGAAGGGATGATGCCCAATCCCTGCTCGCGGACTTCCACGGAATCTCGGCCAATCTTCTCACTGATCTCCTCCTCAATCTCGAGGTCAAACGACTCTGCCGGTCGACCCTCTCGCAGCGCCGGACTCGCGAGCTCTTCGTCGAGCTCAAAGAATCCGACGCCACTACCTCCATCCACGGCGCCAACGAGCCCGCCGGAAAACCCGGACTCGTCGGGCGAAGAGATCAAGCGTGGGGACTGCAAGGGCGACGACGAGGGTGGGCTTCCGTTCAGCGCCGGAGATGGTGATGGGCTTGGGTTAGGACTTGCCAGTGGGGACGGGATAGGCGAGATGAAGCGGCCCCTTGGTCCCCTTCCTCGACGTCTCTCTTTTGCGCCTAGGAGTCCCGGACTCCCCCTATCCCTCCCACCGTTGACTTCCTCAATATGTTGTCCAACCCCAAGTGACTCCTGTTGTGCTTCTGAACTCACATCCTTCTCGGCCTCCAGCTCCGGGCTCGGGCCTTCTTCGTAACTGCTACTCGGATCGACAACTTTGAGATCCGCCAGCTGGAACATGACATGCTTCCTCCTCCTGCCTCCGCCACTGGCGCTCCGTAGAGCACTGGGGAGACTTGCACTAGGCAGGACGGACGTTGACTGAGTGCGCTTGGTCGCGACGACTGTTGGCGAGACCGGCTGTGGTGGTAGTGATTGGGACGATCGGGCCTGCTTTTCCAATACTTGGTCCGCGCGTTCCTTGGATTCCGCGTCCAACTGTAGTCGTTTCGCTTCCTCTTCCTCGGCAGACAAGGGCTGTGGACTCCGCACAATCGGCTTACGATCGCGCGACTCTAGAAGGGGCAAGTACATGGGTGTGAAGACACCGGCAAAGGGGTCAGATCGGTCTTTTGAAGGTGTAGGAGTGGACACGGCCGGAGGATCACCCTTTGACTGTGCGGGCGGCGGCGTTGTCGGAGCAATTGTGGGAGAACGGGGCCTTGTCCGAGCCAGGATCGTGGGCGTAGGCGGTGTCCCCAGCGTATGCAAAGGGGGAGTGGTCTCGCCCGCAATGTTCAGTTTCTCCAAAGACAGAGTCGGCCCGCTCAGCGGTGGCGGCTTTCTGACCACCTTGTCACCTCCTGCTCCGTCTCTTCTCGTTTTGTAGCCCGGCCAGCCATTTACCGCACCATTCCGGGTCGAAGCCAACAGACTCAAGGCAGATGTCGCCGCTGAAGGGGCCGATGAAGGCTTGGTGGGCGTGCCCTGGGAAGCACTGTTGGCACCCGCACGCGACCTCTTCTTGTTGACCCAGAGCTGCTTCTCAAACTCACGAAACTCCCGATCCTTAGCAGCCTTGAACCTGGCCACCTCCTCGTCCAACTGCCTTCTCTTCTGGTCGAGGGCATCGAGGATTTCCGAGTCCGAATCACTAGTATTGTCGGGCGAAGGGAGGGCGTTGGGCACAATGCTTTTAATGCATTTCAGCTGCGCCGAATTTCTGTACATGGTCACGATAACCCCCTAGTGCTCTCTCCTGTCTTCTGCGTGGTAATTTTTTTTCTCTCCCAGTCGAGGGAAACTAAAAAGAACCAGCACCATGCAGACAGGTCACCGGGGGAGGAGGGAAAGCTCTTGGTGACACATGAATGCAAAATTCGGGATCCAGATTCTAAGGGTCGGTGAAAGGGCCCAAAGGAGACAAAAGGCTGAACGCGAAACGGACGAGGTGATTTTGCGAGAACTCCTCGTCCCCCTTTGCGCGTTTGTGTGGTGTCTTTGAACGAGGGCAGGAAAACAAGACGACAAGCTGGTGGTGACGGGAGGGATTCCCGTTCGAATGAGAACGCGGTTGGTGGCGGGTTTAGACGGAGACGGGCGGATGGAGAGCTTTTAGGATATTGTCAACCCGAACAGAGCTGCGTATGTGCGCGTCTGCGTGTGAAAATTGTGATATTATGGAGACTGTGGCAGGGTGGACGTCGGTGAGGCGGACGGGCGTCGTAATGAGGGCGACGATGGAGTTGCGGTCCAGGGTGACACGTCAAGAGGACCTCGAGAGGGTTTTGTCTCAGACATGGGACATGTGAACCCAAGCACTGACAGAATGGGCTTGTCGGAGCCGGCTGAACGACCTCGAAATTCGGTGGAACGGTTGTGGGATCCCTAAGTTCGGGGATCAAGGGATTAAGGTATTCAGGTATCCCGTTATCCCAGCTTTGGCTCTCAGAGAGAGGACAAGAGGGGAGGAGGGGGGGAGGGGAGAGGCTTTTGGCTTTGGGAAACTCTGCTGCAGAGTGCAAAAAAGGTGCAACCCCACTTCTTTGGGTGTCTTGTCGCCGCAGATGGGGGAGGAGAGTTCGATGGTGGATAAGGGCGAACGAGTAGTGGAATAAAATTTGGGGGTGAGCAAGGGGGGAAGTGAGTGGGAGCACAGACTCAAGGGATCGAGAGCGTGGGAGGGAGCAAAAAGAAGCGACCAAGCGAGGGAAGCGAGCAAGGGCTCGGCCTTGGTCAGCACCAGGAAGGATCAAATAGCTATTCTGAGGTGTTGGTGGGTTGAGTCTGGACTGCACGACGAGGTCGAGGTACCATCTGACTACTGCCTCTAGAGGGGGCTATGGGCGGTACAAGTACTTTCTTTGCGAGTACTACATCAAAAGGCAATGGCAATCCATCGGTACCTCGGGAGAGCGGTAGCGCCCGCTGAGTCAGTAGGAGGGCGAGAACGAATGCCATGGAGGACAGTGATCGTGTCTGCACTCAGCCTAAATTGATGGGCCAGACAAAAGGAGAATAAAAGGGAAAAAGTGGACAAAGGATTCAAAGGTTGAATATGACCGATGGGGAGGGAATTCAGTATCGATATCGAACATGATAGACGACGACACTTGATTATCGATTGGAGAAAAATGGGCTGATCGTCGACTTGGTCAATGTCACGAAGGAGTGAAAGTGTGGGGGGAAAGAGGGACAAGAAAGAAAACAAGTGATCAACATGGGCAATTGGAACAAGTGCAGCGAAGGAATTGGGCAAAGATGTGCGGTCAGATCGATTGGGAGATAGACGGCCGATAGACGAGCGGGCAATTATCTCGCGGTGGGTGTGGCTGGGTGGGTGGTGCCCTGTCTGTTCAATAGTACCTGCTAGTAGCTACAACCGCTGGAGGTTCCCAGTGAGCTTGTCAGCCAGCCCAGCAAGCCAGGTACCTGAGACTTCCCGAGGCAGGCCTCCAGGCCTCATTCAGGGGGAGTCACAGGGACAACTCCAGGCTGCACTAGGCTTGACCTTGGCTGGACCGAGTGCCCGGGGGGGAATTCTAGGGCCCCCTCGTCTCCAAGGCTCTTCTCGGCCTAATCATCCCGAAATCGCACACGTGACTCCACTTTTCCCCGAATCTGCATGTGATCGATCGGATTTTGAGCAAGAAAGAAAAAGCAAAAATTTTGGGAACAAAAGATCCATTCAAACCACTGTTCCCGCCTTCACCGCCACTTGGGCCCTTTTGCGGACCTTTAACCTTCCATTTCATTCCTCTGTGTCTCGGATTAGCTCAATCTAGTAGTGCCGGTCCGTCGCCGAAAATCGGACACGAATCCCAGCAATCACATCCCTCCTCTAGAGTCCAACAATGATGAAGCCAACTATCCGTCCGTATACATGTACCGTCAGAAGGCCGCCCAATTGACCTGTAACAGAGTAGCCCCTTGTAGACAACCCAGTATGGTGTCTTCGCTGCCATCCCCAGCACCTCCTTTGCGCAAATCCTCATCAAAGCGCTCGTCTGGTGGTCTGTATTCGCGCTTCCCGCCTTCGGCGCCGGTACTCGCGCGAGTACTCCTCGGCCGGATCCGTGAACTGGTCATCGCTGAACCGGGGCCAGTTGTACTCGCTGAACTTGACCCGGCGGTCCTCGGTCGACGGAAGAGGACCCGAGCCGGTCGAGGCCTCGTGCTTGTGCGATGTTCCCGCGGCGGCGAGAACTCTCGGATGCACTCCGGCTTGCACAGTCACAACCGGACAACGCGCTTCCCTTTCGTAAGCCGTTGGGTGCAATGGTGAACCAGGTGACATCCATGCTCGATCTTGCACGTCTTCAGCTGCCCTCGTAACCACCGGTATGCGGAGGTTGTCGAGCACCGTTTTCATTTCGTCCTCCAGTCCGCGACCAGTGAATTCAATGGAAGGAATCCGTGGCTCCTGGTACCGTGTAGAGTGATTTGTTTGTGACGGATCAGCATTCAGAAAGATTTCCTTGTGCAAATCCACCAGTGGCCACGAATAGCTCTGACTTGTATGACCGGTAGCCACGCCATTTGTAGTGTTCTGATGTCGAGCTGAGTCGTTCCCGTTGTGCGTTGCTCGAAGAACTGGCGGGACGCCATGGACAAACCCAGATTGCAAAGTAGGTGGGATGTAACCGACGCTCCCATGCTTTAGCTTCGATCCGGCCGAGTACGCTTGAAACGTGGCGGTGCCCTGGTTGTCAGTGTCTAGCCTGCCAGGATATGCCTTGAACTTGTAGCCATGCCTCTCCTCATCAGCAGGGATCGGTGTAGAGTCGATGTTGAAGCATTTTATCCTCGGTTGCGGCTTCGCAGGCGATGCAGGGACAGAATCTAGCTCGACTGCATTTCGCAAATCCGAACGGAAACGTTCAAAGTCATCTGGCCTATCAATGACGAAGTGAGGGTTCGGATGAGAAAAGGATGCATATGCTCCGAGTTCAGGAACCATCACCGGACCCATCGAGAAAGTTGAGAGGAGTGAAACGGTGGATGAAGCCGCTCCGGGGTGCATGTCTAGCGTGGTTGAAAAACTGCTGAGCGATCCGGCCCTGTATGGATTATCGATCGAAACTTCAGGATGCTCGCCGGTCCCGGATGGAATATGGACCAAGGCTTCAGGATGCTCGTGTTGGCGTTCTGTTGTCTTCAACACAGAATCGCTGCGTGTGTCTGGCTGGCGTCGTTTCGATCCACGAAATTCTGGACCGGCAGTGTTAGCCAGGAACTCTTCAACCGGAGCAGCAGAATCTTCTGACTCACTCTCAGCCATGGACCTGAAGCACCCTGAACCACGTCTGTCATACCATTCTCGAACTGTTGCCGTCTTCTTCTGTGCCGCCGCTTTGATTCGATCAACGAATCTCGCCTGTCCGGCTTGATGCGGTTGGGCGCCTTGGACTGTGTCAGGCATGCTTGATTGAGATATCAACCGAGGGAGAGCTGAACTTGCAGGAGGTCGTTTTTGCAACCACCCAGTTGGCTCAAGAGTGTCGCTGGGTAAACGAGCTGCAGACTCGACTGCGTCGCTGCATTTATGCTTTTCCATATCATCGCGCGTTGTTCTGTCTTTGTGTCGCAGTCCAAGCCCCTGAGGCAGAAGCCTTGGATGGAAACAAGGATGTTGGTCTCATGGCAGCCGAAACAACGGTACTTTGTCGTAGAGTGATTGATCATGGAGGACAAAGCAGAAAAAGCAGAAAAAGCAAATGTTGGCGCCTTTTGTTGATCTGGCTATCTCGGAAAGTGACAATGACAAAGGACGGAGTCGGTCCCTTTCTTTGTCGTTACAATGCCCGAGTCTCACGTCACGGCGACGTTAGTGCCACGGTGTCTCCTCTCCAACACACGCTATTGTCACTGTCTCAATTCATAGGAATGTATCCTTGCACCTGCTTGACTTGCTCGCACCACTTGAGGATTGATGGCCATCTCGAGAGATTGAACCCAGCATCGCCAGCAATATGAGTGTACGCAAAGAGGCAGATATCGGCCAGGGTAATCTGTAATAGTTATGTTTAGCTAGTTTTCATGATAACGCATCTGCTAACATGAGTTTGTGACAAGCATGAAGTAGTTGAGGAACTAAGGGCGACTCACGGAGTCACCGACGAACCATCCATATTCGTTCTTTGCAAGGTGATCCTCCATACAATCCAACGCCTGCTCCCCCGCCGAGATCTTGCCCTCAATTTGTGCCAGGCGGGATTCATCCAGGTTCTGCCGACCAATGGCAAGCACCCAAAACCGGAGAGTTGCGATGTTGACTTCGTGTTGATTCTGTTCGAAAAACATCCAGCGCAGCATTTCAGCACGCTGTAGCGGGTCCCAAGGGATGAGAGGTGGCCTTTTTGGGGACAAGGAAGCTGCCGCGGCCGCCGTGTCGGCGAGATAGAAGCAGGCCGCATTGCTTTCGGGCAGAAACGTGGAGTCACCGATCTGGAGGACGGGCACCCTGCCAAAGGAAGAGACGGTCTGCAGGAACTCTGCTGTTCTCGTTTCACCGTGGAGTATCGAGTAGATGCGACGGTTAAGCGGAACTCCCAGCAACGCCGCAGTCAAGCGGACCTTGTAGCAATTACCTGAGATGGGCTCCTCGTGAAGGGTGAACTTGTCCATCTTGATGTGAAAAGTACCGTTGGTATCGTGTTCGAGGCTGATGAGGATATAGAGACACCTGGCTCGTGGGGATGCAATCTGTAAAGTCTACCTACCTAGAAAGCTTTGTGCTCTCGAAAAAGTAAAAGATCTTGTCGAGATGACTGCATGAGAGGAGCTCTGGTCCATGTATGTGGCACTCACCGTTAGATATAACGGTGTGAATGAATAGTCATGATCTTGTCATACTCGGCGCTAAAACACGCCCTTCGAAACGTGAATGGTTCTGCCTAAGCAGATACAAAAGGAATTTCATCTTGTGCCATCTCTAGGTATGTAATGCCTCGAATCAAAGGGTAAGGAGATCAACAATTGCTGCTGTCAATCGTAGCAGTCCACAAATTCAGGCGCCGGGTCTTACTCACGCTTTATATCATCAGCAGTCCAGGGAGGGATGCCATGCGCGGGGGGTGTGTTGTCCTTTCGTTTCAAGGTTTGCGTCTGGCAGACGCACTTCTCGAAGTCGCTAATAATGCCAATGGGGTTTTGTATCCCAACAAATCTTTTGCGTCCGTGCTTGAATAGGCGCGGAAGGGGCTTACTTCTCCGGGAAAATCATCCACGATTTAGATCTCTGAATTCCTTTTTTCCTCAAGCCCCGGAGGCGCATCGTGAAACTTGATTCGTCACATCCTTGGTGGCCCCCCGGGTCGTTCGCTTTGTCGCTCCGGACCCTTGCCAGGTCCCATCCCGCTCCTCACTCCGCACGTGCATGCATAGAAGTCCGAGGAGTAGTAGTAGTAGGCAGGTTAGAACGAGGGTAGGGGCATGGGATAGATATGCGGATCTGAGCTTCGAGAAAAACGCCATGCCACATTCGACAATGTCCTGTCCATACGGGTCATTTGTGGGAGCCCCTCGTTCGCCGAAGACACTAGGTGACTGATTGCTGCGTAGCTCCTCGTAGGACAAGAAGACGTCGGAAAGTCGGCGGTGACTTTGCCCGTGGCTTTCCTCATTCGGCTACGGTCGACGGAGAACATGTAGATGAAGATGCATAATGTCCATGGCATCAAAGTTTGATAGTAACCATGTCCGAGCACTTGTTCCAAAATGTGGGTAGCGGTAATTCCCAGAGGTATTGATCAATACGGCCTTGGTTGTTGTTGGTGGATGAGCACGAGCACAGCTTGAGCAGAAAGCAAACTACGGAGATGAGGTCACAATGTGCGTGAAAAGGGGGCATTGGGGATCACGTGCACTTCCCCAGATGCAAGGGGCGAGGGATCAGGTCAAGACTATTAAAGAGTCGCATGCGGAAATCATGGTGGTTAATGATAATTCTATTTCATTTCCAATCTGGTTCTTTGGTCATGGTGTCTAGCCTGTGGTTCTGCCTTGACATATGCACCCCGTGCCCACACATCCAAATCATTTAACCCATGAAGTGAGGCTTTTCTACCGAACCGACTTCGCTAATCCCAAAAGAACTTTTTTCTTTTACTGCTGAAAAGCACGCTCTGGAAAGCCAAAATATTCTCAGCGAAAGGAAAAGAAGCTCATAATGGAAATGAAGGTGACGAGCAGGAGAGCCGTTTAGGCAATGCCGCTACCACCGGTGAGAGTGATGATTTGACCTAGATGTTGAAAGAGGTTGTTCGTCAGTTGCGAGTTCCCAAGCACCACGGCAGATTGCGGGGCAGACTTACCGTTGATCCATTCGCTGTCAGGGTGGCACAGGAATATGACAACCTTGGCAATGTCGTCGGGAACAGCACATCGGCCGAGGGGAATCAGCTTGGCGATGCCGGCCTCGATGACCTCGATAGGGGTATCCTTGGTGGCGCCGGGAGAGTAGTGCCAGGCGTTCTGCGCGAACATGTCGGTCTTGATACCGCCAGGGGCAATAGCATTGGCGGTGATGCGTCGGGGACCACCATCGGCCGCGAAAGAACGAGCAAAGCCCTCGACGGCAGATTTGGAGCCAGCATACAGGGCGTGGTTAGGGACACCCAGGCGGGCAGCAATGGACGACATGAAGATGATGCGGCCACCATCTGAACAGGGACAAAACCATCAGCCAAAGGGGTATCGAGGATCAGTGGGCGTCCACTCACCGCTGAGGTATTTCAAGGCATGTTGGCCGACGAAGAACTGGGCCCGGGTGTTGAGACCGAACACTTGGTCGTACAACTCCTCAGTGACATCCTCTGGCTTGGAGAAGGCCTCCATGCCGGCGTTGTTGATGACAATGTCCACTTAGGAAGGTCAGCACGTGACATTGAACCCCCGGGGGGCCGCAAGTCTTTTCAAGGTCGATTGACTTACGCTTGCCAAAGTGCTTGATGGCCTCCTCGAAGAGCTTGGTGATCTCAGGGACTTTGGAGATGTTGGCCTGGATGGCAACAGCCTTGCCGCCGGCCTTCTCGATCTCAGCAACAGTGGCCAGGGCGGGCTTGGCAGAGCTGGCATAGTTGATGCAGACAGCAGCACCACGCTCAGCAAGGGTTTTGGCAAGACCAGAACCAAGGCCACGACCGGCACCCGTGATCAGGGCCACCTTGCCATCGAGACGAATCTGAGATTTGCCGCTCATGTTTGTTGCTGGAGGTTTCACTGAGCGGGGGTCAGCAGGCGGTGAGTGAGACACACAATGGGACAAACCAACGGTGAGGGTTCGACGACGAGATATCCGACAAGTGAATGACGGACGAGTCTATATCAGATAAAGACGAGTGACGCTGCAGCACGAGGATGGGATGAAGAGAGGAGGAAGAATACAATAATGGATGTTGACCGCCAAAGCAAGGGGGAAGAAAAGAAATAGCAGTTTCAATGGGCCATATAAGAGAGACTGCAGAAAATAGGGGGCCAGATGGGCCAGATTTCTACTTAGGGGGAGAGTTTGTTGTGCGTGTGGCCTTGTGCGTGTGGCGGCTCTCCCTCTCTCCCGACACTAGCCCGGAGTGCGACCAGCGACCGCGACTACCCTGATACTATTGATTTCTTTGTTCCTGGTGGTTCCTGACACGCTGCACAGTCGGTGAGTCGGGCCAAACGGTTGAGCGAGGGTCTGGGGCCTGGCAGCCTCACCGACGGTCGGCGCGTCAATGGAGAGGCCAATGGACCAGTCGAGAGCTGGGCTGGCGAACCCGTGTGCCCGTTCATATCGAGGCGGTGAGGGCGGTGAAGAGGGGTGATTCATGGAGGGTGTTGATTGAGCTGGAGCTGCGGGGCAAGCCGCTGAGGGGCTTTATTATTATTATCGTTGTGATGGAGGGGTAATTGTGGGCGACATCGTGACGAGCAGCAGATCAGCCTCACCGTTGGGCAATGGCCAGTGATTATCAAAGGTAAAAGGCAATTGCTTTTGATGGGCTACAGAAATAGATACCGGACGAAAGAATATCACACAGACAAGGCTCGAAGGTCTGCCGCAGTGGTCGGGCACTCACCACGGAAAGATATGTTAATAATGGCTTGCATAAAGGGCGGAGATGCGCCAGAGTTATCACCATCTACGCAGTACTCCGTGCAGTAGTAAATAGGTGGACGGCGAGGGAAGACAGCGGTTCCTATCAACGAGCGACTATTAAGGAGAATTTGGTTGAAGCACCAAAACTGTGTGGCCTCGGAAGTCCGGCGAGGTGCCTTTTCCCAAGAACTCTACGTATATAGAATGTTGAGAAGAGAGTCGAGCTGAGTCGAGAGACTCAGGTGAATCAATTATTATCGCACATGTTGGGTGGCCGCTCTTCCCTCAGTGTCCGTTGAGTTCGTGAAGATCAACCATCGACTCTCCCGCAGTGAACATCTCGACTTGTTATTAGTCACGTCCTCGCAATCTATCTCTGGGCCAAGCTCGACAATGTCTCAGATTGCCAGCATCTGGTTTGATGTTTCCAAGATGAGTGACGAGCTGTGCAGAGAAGACGCGGGTTGAGTTAATTACCGCCGGCGTATTCACGCGTACCACGCCATGTACGGGACCGTTACCGGGTCTAACTCTTTTGGGGGCTCCAGAGTCCGAGCGCTAGTAGGGGGTTGATCCTTGGCTCTTTAGCACCCGTTGTCCCTTGCTGCGCTGCACTCCTTTGGCCCCTCCCATCCATCCCATCCATTTTTAGCAGACCCACCTGGTTCCTTGTGCCTGGCATTCCTTTTTGGACAATGATGAACTGTCCTCGTATTCTTGTTCCCAGTTGGCGTCATCAGACACACTCGCTTTTTGTCTCAGTCCGTGAACAAGACAATGCCCCCTTATTGCCTGATGCCAAGCCTCTACTCAGGCATCCGTTTTCTCCATCTACCGAGGACTCCGTACTCCGTACCTACTCCGTCCTGCAAAGCATACGGTAGCTGGATGAGGAGTCAAACAAGGCTTTGAGGGTGTCGCCTCAGGCAAGGCTGATCGGGAGCTGCTTGATATACCATCCTCGTATATCGATCCCCTTGATTCTCTTCTGTGTATTCTATGCTTCCCCTGTACCCATGGTGGTTTCCCAACGCGTACCGAGTAGAGGATCCCCGTCTCGAAACTCCGTAGCTCGTCAAGCTGGCCCAGTTGGTCATCTATAGCACGTTTGCGTCCTTGTGCCCTTGCTCCGGCTCCGATCACGGTCCCTTTTTTAATAGATCCGCTCTTCGAACGGACCATACTATCGCTTGCTAAAGTCCTGAAGCAAGCCGACTTTGGGCTTAGACCGCACAATCCTCCCCAGTTCCCCAGCATTTTACCGGTCATCAAATTTCCAGCCATCGACGGTTGATCTTCGTCTGGCGTGCTTCAAGTAGATCTAACGTCGATCTAAGAGGCACCACAATGTCGGCACCAGCTCTGGTCCGATTGCCCGACCTATATCTATTTCGTCGACCAATCTTCCCTCTCCTCGACATGGTTTGTATCCATGGCCATTCATACCGCCGAACCTTGGTTCTGGCTCCTCTCACATTGGCTCCGACCGTGATGCAATCGTCTCGTTAGTGTCTCTCTTGTTGTTTGAGAATGACCACTTGGTTCG